AAATAAAAGGGGGGTTTTTTAAATGTGTTTAAAAAAAAAGTTTTTTTTTTTATAATTTAAAAAATTAATTTAAAGTTAAAAAATTTGGAAATTAAAAAAAAAAAATTTTTTGAATTTGAAAAAAAAAGGGGGGTTTTTGGAAAAAAAAAAAAAGGGGGGGTGGAATAAAAAAGAAAAAAATGGGGTAAAAAGTTGTGGGGGAAAAAAAAAAAATTTTGGGGGGGATTTTGGAAAAAGGTTTTAAAGTGGGGGTTTTTGGAAAAATGGTTTTTTTTAAAAAAAAAATGAGGGGGTTTTTTTTTTTTGTGTTTTTTTTATGTGAAAAAAAAAATTGGTTAAATGTGGTTTAAAAATTATATTTAAAATTTTGGGGAAATTAAAAAATTTTTTAAAGGGGGGGGTTAGTGAAAGGGGGTTGTTTTTATAAAAAAAAAAATTAAAAAAAAAAAAAAAATGGGGAAAGGGGAAAAAAAAAAAAATAAAAATGGTTTTTTAAAAAAAAAAATTTTTTTAAAAAAAAAATTAAAATTGATAAAAAATTTTTTTAATTTTAATCTGGTTAAATAAAAATTTTATTTTTTTTTTTATTTTTTTTAATTTTTAAAAAAAAAAAAAAAAAAAATAATAAAAAAGTTAAGTTTCCCTTTTTTGGGATCGGCCTTTTTCCCCCCCCCCGGGGGGCCCCCCCCCCCTATCACTCCATCTCATTCAATAAATATATATCTGTAGCTACAACTACTTGTATGCACATTGTGTCTTTCCAGCAGCGTAACTCCCTACTCATCCCTCCTACTACTCATGCTGGTATCTTCAGCTGGTAAGTCGACCTCCCGTAGCCCTCTTCATCCGCTCATGAAGCTCATGCAACTGGCCGTCGTCATGACCACCGTCGTTCTCATAGTCGAAGTCCTCGTCGTCGTCAACAGGGGGAGCAAACGTGCGCTCAATGGCTGCTGCTGAAGAATCAAGGACAGAAGGATCGCTCAGAATCTGCTCGTCTGTCATTTTATCAATGTTGTCCGCCTTTGTTGCCACCGTTCCGACTGTAGCATTGCCATCAGTAGACGCAGTCGCACTTGGAGTCTCACTTTTTCTTACAACACCACCCTCATTGGCTTTAACCACATCAGGAGTGATACCCAATTGCCCAAGCATAGTCGCAGCAGGTCCGTGAAGACCACCCATGGAATTCAACGACTGCATGAGGTTCTGCAGCATCTGCTCCTCAGACTGATCTCCTACAATTCCAGCCTCCTCAAGCTCATCTCTGGTCTCATCCTTGGCCAAGTACGACGCTAATTCCTCGTCTTTCAGTTTCAGCGCGTCCTTGAGGAAAAATTCAAAGAATTCGTCTTCATTGATCACATCTTCGTCCCTCACATCCTTGCCGGTACGAACCTCATGTCTCTCTTCTTCCTTCTCATCGTCATCTTTGAACAAATCCTCCTCCTTGCCCATGAACTCGTTGAGACGCTTCATTACCTCCTCTATCGTGTCCTTCATGCCATCTTCGTCAAACTGATGCTCGTCTTCCTCCATTTCTAGATCATCTTTCATAGCTTCCAACCACTCTCCAGAATCAGTATCAGTGGAGAACTCCACAATATTCTTCACAGGGAGATTCTTGAGCTCAGAAACAGCCCACCGCTCGTCTCCAACAGAAAACAGACGCTCAAACGCCATAGTCAATTTGCGGCCCAGCACAATCTCAGGAGAAGCATCCAGATCAAACGAGATCTGCATGGCTTCAGCATATACCAATCGCGTAAACTTGACAGACACAGTCACCATATCCTCCAGTGGAAAATGTACGAAATCGACCATAGGCGTCTTTCCAGACCCGCCATGATTCTGAGCTTGAAACAAACCATCTATCGCCACAATGATTAGTTCAGGATGTGAATAAACCAGTTTAGCCAGCTTTGAAGGGATGCAGACTAATGCACGATGTGTATTTTTCTTCACAGTTCCCGGAACACGCTCCACACGCTTCAAAATAGTGTCGTTGGTGGCTCTGTTCAAATCCATTTTCCCTCCAGAATTCACATACCGTGTAGCCTCTGGCAACGGGACAGAGTCGCCGTTAAATTGTGACCGCGGAATGAGCTCAAACTGTCCGTTTTTGATCCACAGACGCCCCTCGGCGGTCTCAGGCTCTATCCAGGATGGAATCACATGGGCCGCCTCAATCAACAGAAAGTCGCCATCAGAATCACTCACATGCACACTGACGGGAAGCTGTAAGGTAAGACGGTAAAGAATGTATACCACCAGCCATTCGTCGTCCAGGGCAGGCCCAAAGGTCGTGGAACCAGAAACTGTGTTTGGAGACGAAATGTCAAGTGTGAACGAGTCTCGGTACCAAATGTACCCCGGAGCTACTTGTGCACAGAGCTCTAGAGCTGCGAATACCACGTCCTTCGGAGCCACAGATCGACATGCAATGGTGTATGTGACGGTGTCAAGATCCATTTTGTGTCGCCAGTGTTGTGTGTTGGTTGTGAATAATTTATTTCGTTAGGGACATGATGAGACGCATAATGATGCAGCCTGGGAGGTTAACTTTATGAGGAGTCGAAGGGATTTGGTGATGTTGGTGTAAAATGGACTAGGGGGGGGAGATAACTAGAATACAAAGTTTTGAGTATGTTAGAAGTAGCTTTTTGAGAACACAGGCATAATATCAGATCTATCCGGTCACTTTTGAACCTATCAGAGAGATGTGTCATGTACTGTAAGGAGAAAGTCAAGTTGATGGGTGGATCTTGGCATTTGAAGATTCTCACAAGCAATTCATCTTTTTTTAGTGAGTCCAAAATACTGCTGGTGTTCTTCCTGGATGATTCTCCCGCCACCAAAACAACTCTCAGGGGTCTGGACTTGGTGTAGAAGAAGGAATAAGGGGACTCTCTCGATATTCCGAACAGTTAGAGGTACCGGTACAAGTCCAGGGGTCTGGATCTATAGATTGGATAATAAGTCAATCGAAATTAGAAGAATGGCTTCTTGTCCAATAATACGGACATGACAGGCTGTATGTTGTCACCCTACATGTAGTCTGAGACGTGCGTACAAGTAACTACAAGTACATGCTGTACTCATACTATTGCACATACCACCTGAACACAGAGCAGCTACCAGAACAGTCCAGAACAACGGCATCAGTCCGAACCAACGGGAAATCATATAAACCGAGATTGGAAACCCCATCTACGCAAAAATACCCACCTATCACCATATATTTTCCCCTCGAAAACTCATCTCACTTGTGTGACGCACTCGTAAATAAGCGAGATTAAGCGACGGTGGGAAATTACCGGGGTTCAGGAGCAGATGAGGGTCTGAAAATTTGACGGTAGATGAAACCAACACACAGAACTTGATTTCCGCTGTAAAAACATCCCCTCACCATACTTTTATCTGCTAGAAAACACCCACTCGAAACACTCCGTTCGGTTGCAGTTGGAAGAACAACTCTATCCTTCATGTCCCAACTCAAGCGTGTTTTGGCTCACTGGTTTTGACTCGTGTTTCTAGGTAGCCCGAGAAGAGGGTTGTCTAAAGAAGTGTTCGAGCTGGTATTTCCGTAAAAATATTTCGCAGATCTGCTATAAACATCTGAAATATTCTCCAGATTGACTTTACTACCCTAACCCCCGCACATTTACCCCTAAAAGAACCCTCCCCCCTGATGTTGACATTACGTAAAGGTGCAGGTACAAGATAGGCTATGTTGCATGTATGTGGTGAAGCGTAACCGCGACTGAAACGACCGACCAAACTCGCTGCTCAGACCTCTCCAGCGTGACAATGGCAGACAAGGCCCGCATCAACAATGCCAAGGCTCAGCTGTCCGAGTCATACAACGCGCTGCTGGACCATTTCCACGCTACCGAGCTCAAGGTGATCGGCAACTACAATGTGGTTCGGCTCATTGGGCAGGGCTCGTTTGGCAAGGTGTATTTGGCGACGCACAAGTTCACCAACACCAAGGTGGTACTCAAGTCGTCAGCCAAGAGCGCCCCCAACCTTGTGCGAGAGATTCACCATCACCGGCAGTTCAAACACCCTCATATCACTCGTCTCCACGAGATTATCGTCACGGAGACGGTGGTCTGGATGGTGCTCGAGTACTGTCCGGGAGACGAGCTGTACACCTATCTGGTGGAAAACGGACGACTGTCTGTCGACGAGACCCGCAAAATATTTGCACAACTGTGTGGAGCTGTCACCTACGTCCACAACACCAAAAATTGCGTCCATAGAGACCTCAAGCTCGAAAACATTCTGTTGGACAGACACCATAACGTCAAGCTGTGCGACTTTGGATTCACACATGGATACGAGTCACGAGTCATGCTGGAAACTATTTGTGGCACTTCTGCCTACATGGCTCCTGAAATGCTGCTGGGCAAAAAGTACAGCGGAGAAGCTGTCGACGTGTGGTCTCTGGGAGTCATTCTGTACGCCCTGGTATGTGGCGAAATGCCGTTTGACGAGGAGGACGAGGAGGACACGAAAAACCGCATCATGAACGCCGAACCGGACTATGCCAAACACCAATTGCCGGCAGATATGTTGGCTTTGCTTAAAGGAATGCTTTGCAAGAACCCTCATCAGCGACCCAAGCTCGCTGAGGTGCTGAACAACGGCTTTTTGGGTCTGGAGGGTATGCGGCAGGCTGAAATGCTGGCAGCTAAAGAACCCAAGCTGTTTTCAACCAAGATGGAAAAACATGTATTGAAACGCATGAAGGCGCTCAATATTAGCATTGAGAACCTCTACGAGTCCGTATCCAAGATGAAATGCGACTCTCTGGCCGGGTTCTGGGCTGCATCGTTGGAAAAAGCATACAAAAAGGAGCGACGCAAGCAGTCGCGAAGAAGATCAAGGTCGGCCTTCTCATACTCGTTTGATATCGCTCGAAAGCGGCCGTCGGAAGAGAATATCGGAGACTCAATGCAAATGACCGCTCCTCATTCCCCTTCTTCTCCCTTATCAAAAGTACGGCACTTCGACGGCCTAGGAATCAGAAACAGACTGTCTGGAGACTTTAGAAGACCGTCCAGTGAACAAGTGTCGACCCCCAGACAGTCCCTTGATTTCAGACCGCCCCATAGATCCACTACCACAGGTGAAGCCATGACTTCTCCTCCTGCTCCTGACTCTCCCAGATCACCGAGAGACACGGCCACCAACACTCCAGACACGTCTGTGACACTCGAGAGACCACATACGGTTGGCGAAAGTCCCCGATTGCAGGCCTCTCCGTTTGATAACCGCTCTGTGACATCTGACGGCTCTTCTCTCAAAAAGAAGGGCAACTTTGGCAAGTCTCTCAAGAATGTCATGCTCAAAATGGTCTTCATTGGCAAAAAGAAACCCACAACTGAGGGTAATACCCAGTCGGAGCCTAGTCAGTCTTCCGGCACTGGAAGATCCCTCCCCTCGTCTCTACACTCCTACAGCATCAAAAACAAGTCCAACACCTCCCTAGAGGAGGGCATCGCACCGACAGAAACCGTTCCAGACGTACCTCCACTACCACAAAGTGCACCTGGACTCACCTCTCTCAACAGCCAGGACAATATCGAGCCTATGACATCTTTCCGAAGAACTACCCGTCGAGAACGACCAATCTCGCAGATTTCTTCCTTCTCTGGTATCTCTCAAATCTCCGGCATCTCTGCCATTTCATCGGCGCCTTCCGTTTCGTCTTCTCTAGAACGATCTGGCTCGGGAAGCAGACGCATTGTCATGCGAAGACCTTACTTTGGCCGTCGCTCTACCTCCTCGTCGTTTTCTTCGATCCAATCCCATCGAAAAACACATTCCAAGGCATCCTCCACGTCTTCTACAGACGAGTATTTGGGAGACGATACAACCGATCCCGGCTCTCCGGGGCCCTCAGAAACACCCACCACCTCTTATGGACGTCACTCGACAAGCAACAAAAAGGCTCATTCGAAGCAGCACGATTATAACGAAACGGCGCAGTTTAACACATACAAGCCGCCCAGCCGGCGACGCAAGTCGGCCACCAAGGTGTCTTCACCCAACATGGCTCTGTTTCCCAGTCGGTCTCGTCCCACCAATTCTAAGCGTCCCGATAGAAAGGGTTCTGTGATTGAAGAGGAGGTCGAAGACGAGTATGTGGAGGAGAGCTTTGACGGAGACGATGGTGATGGGCTGGACTTTGACACAAGGGGCAGGAGTTTCTAGACTGAAGATGCGAGCATACTGGCCAGGACACATACAACCCATTCATGGACGGTGCAAAAACGGACCAGATATTACGTAACAGTTATTTATTATTGAACAGCAGATTGCGCGTACTTGTAGTTATCAACAGTAAGGAGATTCCCGCAGTGTCTTTTTTTTTTTTTTTTTTTTTTTTTTTTTTTTTTTGCCTATCATTAGATTGTGGGGTGAGTTTAAATGAGCCGCATGGAGTTGGTGGGGGGAGAGATGTGGGGCATAATAGTAGGTATTTCAGAATTTTAAAGCTGAAATCGAATAAGAAGCATTGGAGTATCACAAGGAAGCTGTTATTATTTCGATACGAGCTTCTTTGGTCAAGTTAGACCGAACATGTTATCCTCACCTCATCGTCAAACTCTCCTGCTAATGATCGAAGCTTGAGTTATCTCAACAAACTCATCATGAGCATGGATACCCGTAAAAGTGATACAAAAGAGCTGAGTCTGGTCGAGATCGTGGACTTGGTGTGGACCTCTACCGAAGAAATTGGTCAGGATCTCAAACAGAAGGGTGAGCGACTTTCAAAACACTACGCCGAACAGCTGGAGCAAGCTCTGACCACTCCTGTTCTCGCTGTTCCATCTACAAAAGAACAATGCATAGAAGCTACTCGGGATCTGAAGCACAAATACAACAAACTCGTGGAAGAATTGCGGCCGTCACGTGACTCATTCCAACTGAGTCTCAATCGGCATGTGGCGCTGCTGAAACGGGTGGACCAAATGAGCCGACAGTTCTCGCGCAAAGTCAGGAAACAGACGGAGAAGGACAAGTTTTTGGGCTATCAGGATCGTGCACTAGATTCGCTTTCTTTTTTCTTTGACAGAGCTTCACGTGACGATTTGGATTCGGAGACACTACAGAAGTGTCTTCAGGAGATGATGGAGGGACAGGATGAAGAGCTCAGGGAGTGGTACTTTATGGAAGAGTTGAGTCGGTTTGGGAGACACGTGACAGAGAGCTTGAGGCCTAAGCCAGATGTAATCATTGAAGACAAAGTGGTGTCTTTGTCTCGACGTTTGGAACTCTCTCCAGAATGCATATCTCTTGTATACTCTCACTGTGACCTTGAAACGTGCGTCTCATTGCGTCAGGTCAGTTCCGCATGGTACAAGGTGTTTGGGCAAATTAACCACATCTGGCGGTCTAAGATGCGCGAGCGGAACCCATTTATTGAGCCAGGAGACGCCGATATGAAAAGCTATGCCGACTGCGTGTTGGTGTTTGTGGCTCGACTCAAATGGCCCACCGTAAGCAATCTGAACGACATGGAGGTTTCTGGAGAGCCAGCAGAGCGAAATAAAGTGGTTGGATTCGAGCTGGGACTCAATGAGAAACTTCCCAGTAACTTTACAGGTATGATGCCGTTCGAGTCTGGGTGTACAGTTGCCTGTGATCATTTCTTTGCTCTGGCAGCATGGGAGTCTCAGGAGTTCATTCGAGATTTATGGGACCTTAGCTCGCGTCCAAAGGATGAACCATACGAGGTGATTGGAGTTGGAGAGCATGGAACTGTTGTCAAATATAGAGACATTGAAGTGACGCTTCCCCCGTCGGTTCGCCCAGAAGATATAGTTCCGTTCACAGGGCACAATACGCCTGTGCATCTTGGTACTATGATCATTACAGTGGAGTTGCTAGACGGGAGGATGATTTCTATTCCACGAGATGATCCGCATTACGAACACGGATATATTTTCAACGCGCCTGGAGCTCGTCTTTTTCAGATTGGAAACGTGCATTTCGCGAGAGAGTCTCCTGGTTTGATCCACAAGAAGGCAGTGTACAGGTACAGGTTTGCGGACTTTGAGAGTCGGAAAATGATTGAGTATGGAGCAGGAAGACATGTATATCCCGTCGCAGCCTACAATGGTTGCATCTGGTGGCATCTGATGGCTGTTCCTAACTCTTTGGTGCCCACATTCGTGGATCTCAGGACTCCCGAAAAAATCCACTTTCAGCCAAATAGAGCCATCTGTGGAGTGTCTGCGAAGCTTTTTGAACAGAGCTTTAGAGATAGAGACACGAGCCAGTTTGTTGTTTCTATAACGGACATTGGTATTCAGGTGGTGGATCTCGATAGAGGAGTGATCACGGAGGTGACTGGGCCCAGTGACAAACCTGCTGCTCGTTTCTTTCCAGGCTATTGGAACGGCAAATTCATGGCAAGGTGTATGAGCGAGGTCGTAGTCCAGGCAACGACGGAGCTGGTGCTTCAGGAGCACGGCGTTCCAGAGGAGGAGTGGAGGGTGTAATTCTGACCTTTTGACACGAAGTGCTCTGATCTGTCTGCATGTTGGTAGCTACATACAAGACAAGTATCACAAGTACAAGGAGCAAGGCAGAGTTTATAGGGAACACGATGCCCACCGGGGCTATTACTTGTATACAGTATAGCTAACTCACACCTACTCGTAGAAGCTCACTCAGATACAACCATTCTTCTATTATACAATCACATTCACCTGTCTGCAAGTTCTCTACACATCCATTTACTCTAGAAGCTTTCCCTAATAACTCAATACATTTTATTCACACTATCTACACAAGAATAGGTCAATTCGCCCTGACTGGTTCACTCAGCTGACTTACTCAATGTTAGCAAGAGTAAGACCAGGAGAACCAGGAACGGCGTCCTGGGTAGCCTTGACGTTGGGAACCTCGACCTTCTCACCGGTGATCAGATCAGTGCCCTCGGTCTCGCCCTCCTTGATGGAAACCAGCTGCAGCTGCTCCAAAGTGGTGGCCTGGGCGGATCGCTTGATGAGGTCAGTGACCTGCTTGACGGTCTCGATCTCGTCAAACACGAGCTTTCGGTTGAAAACGACGTCGGCGGCCTCACCGGAGTTGATTCGCGACTTGATGTGCTGCACGTACTGCATGCCTCGCTTAACGTCTCCGAGTTTGGCCACGTTCTGCTTGAAGGCAGGGGTGTCGATGGTCAGGTTCTTGAGAGCGTCCTGAAGGAGGTCAATGTAAGCAGACTGCCACTCGGGGAAGGCAGAAGCCACGTAGACGGTGAGCTTGGCAGGCTTCTTGGCGTCGAAAGAGGGGCCCTTCTTGGACTTCTTCTTGAGAGCAGCTCCCTCGGCCTCTCGAACCGCACGACAGAGGTCCCGGACGTAGTTGAGAGAGGCGGTCAGACCGGCATCAATAGGCTTGGAGGCCTTGGGGAACAGAGTGGACTGCACAGAGCCCTTCTTTCCAAGTACGTCTCGGTAGATGTACTCAGCGAAATGGGGAGCAACAGGAGCCAGCATCAGAGCCTGGGACTCGATGAACCGCAGGACGAGGTCCTTTCGCATGCCGCCAGTGGCGGAAGAAGAGTCTCGGTAGTAGTCTCGAGCAGACATGAAGTCGAACAGACCGGACTTGAGGGCATACTTGTAGTTGCACTCAGCGTAGTGAGCAGCAGCCTCCTCGATGAGCATGTTCATCTCGTTCTCGAAAGTCTGGTCCAGGAAGTTGTTGCCGTCGGTTCGCAGAGAGGTGTCCTTGACCATCTCCTCAGCCCACTCCTTAAGAGTGTACAGACGCAGAATGGCGGCGTTGGCGTTGGCCTCGTCAAAGTTGGCATCCTCAAAGGTGTCACCAGCGTCGGCCAGAGCGATTCGAGAGGCATCAGCACCAAACTTCTCGACAATCTGCTTGAGAGTCATGAAGTTTCCGGTAGACTTAGACATCTTCTCGTGGTTGAGCAGCAGATGACCGTTGGCTCGAATACCCTTGGGCCACACTCGCTTGGGGAACATGGCGGTGTGGCAGTAGATGAAGAAGGTCAGATGGTTGGGGATCAGATCCTTACCAGACACTCGGATGTCGACAGGGTAGAAGTAGTCAAACTCCCGTCGCATGGCATCGAGCTTGGCAGCGTCCAGGCCCTCAGGCTTGGTATCGGATCGCAGGAAGACGTAATCAAATACGTCGTCGGTCATGTCCTCGGGGGTGACGTTCAGAAGACCGGGCTTCTGACCCTCAATGTCGGAGTGCAGGAAATGGGCAATGGTGTAGTAAGCCATGTAAATGGTGGAGTCCGACAGAGACTCGACCAGGTACTTGTCGTCCCAGGGGATCTTAGTTCCAAGACCGTAGGTTCGAGAGAGAGCCCAGTTCTTGAGCCAGCCAAGGGTGCCCTTGAACTGGTTTCGGGTCTCCTCGGAGAAGACGTTCATCTGCTCGAGACACTCCAGAGCCCGCTCCTTCCACTGCTCCTCTCCGTAGTCCATGTACCACTGATCCTCAAGGGAAACAATACAGTCGTCTCCAGATCGAGAAGTGACGGGTCCCTCAGGCTCGTTGTAGGTGAAGGCCTCGCCAGCAGCAACCATGTCCTCCTTGGTCTTGGGCTTGGCCTCCTCGACCTTCTGACCAGAGTACTTGCCGATGCACATGACTCCCTGGTAGAAGCCCTCCTTGTAGGCAATCTCCTTGGCCTTGGTGAGCAGGTCCTTGTCCTTGGGAGACCGGATCTTGAGGTCCTGGACCAGCTTCTCGGCGGTCAGGTTGCCGTAGTTGGGGGTCTGGATGATACCAACGGGCTGAGCATCGGTCCACTCCTTCTGGATCTTGTAGTACTCGGGCTTGTTTCGCAGATCCTGGTAGGTGATGTAATCATCGGGGGAGTCGGAGGGCACACAAGTGACCACACCGGTACCCTTTGTGGCGATAATGGTCTCCATGGGCAGCACTCGCAGCTCAGGGTGAACGGCAAGGGGTGCCTTGATTCGAGCACCGATCAGATCGGAACCGTCAATCTCGCAAACGGGAGCGTACTCGCCACGCTTGGGAGTCAGCTTCTGGAACGACATGTTCTTGAAAGCTCGCTCAGTGGTGATGTAGAACTCGCCATTTCCGGCGTCGAAGATGCCGTATCGGATCTTGGGGGACACGAAACAACAGGTCTGGCCGTACATGGTCTCGGGACGCAGAGTAGCTGCCACCAGGTAAGTGGGGGCGTTGACATCAAAACCAACCTGGGCAAGGGTCTCCTTGGCGGCCTCGGGGAACTCCAGCACCTTGATCTTGATGCCGGTGTACTCCTGGGGGTTGACACCCTCTCCGGAGGCTCGGTCGTGGTCCATACAGGGCTGGCCATCCTTGGCGGAGTAGATGGTGTATCGCTCGCCAAACTTGATCTTGCCGAGGTCCTTGAGCTTTCGCACCTGCCATCGCACAAAGGCGTCGTAGTAAGGGTTGGTTTCGGTGGTGACAAAAGATCGTCGCCAGTCGATTCGGGCGCCGAAGTTGTCACAGTCCTCCTGGCACAGAGGAGGGAAGTGCTTGAGCCAATAATCGGCGTCGGCAAAGTTCTTTACCTCCTCTCGGGGGATTCCGAGCTGCATCATAATCTCGTGCTGGAACTTGGAAGTGCCGGCCTTGGCCACAGCCTTGGACTTCTTGGCCTTGAACTTGGTGGGATCCACCTTCTCGGCCACAGCCTTGGGGGCCTCCTCCTCCTCCTCCTCGCCGGTGGGCAGGTTCTGGTCAAAGTTGGGGCCAAACATCTCAATCTCTCGCACCAGCTTGTCGGCACAAGCCTTGATGGGCATACCGGTGCAGTGGAAGCCCAGGGGGAAGAGGGCTCGCTTGCCCTGCATTCGAGCAAAACCAGCAGCAAACTCGACCTTGGAAAGGGTGAAGGAATGGCCGGCATGAAGCACACCGTTCATGTAGGGGTAGGCCATGGAGCCAAAGAACTTAGGGTGCAGCTCACGTAGGTCGTCGCCGTTGAGATCGGAGTGGTCCTCAGGAGCATTGACCTCAAAGGCCTTTTCATCCTTCCAGATCTTCTGGTACTTCTTTTCAATGTCGATCAGAGCATCTCGACGCGCGGTGTTTTCCAACACCAGCGTCTTTCCTCCAGCGTCAGCACTCATGTTTTGGTTGAAGGTGAAGTTGAGTTGGAGGTTGATTTGGGAGTGAAATTTGGTTGTCTCTCCAGCACACTGCATCAAAGTTTTTTCAACCCACTAATTTGGCTTTCGGAAATACTGGAACCAGCTACAAGTAGTGACTCATGGTTGTGGGGGTTGTATAACTACGTGGATATGAAGTGTATATGGAGGGAGGAATTTTGGCCGTTATCCGACGACTATCAACATGGGCCGTGTAACATATAGCCTTGGTTTTCACTCAATACAGTGATTGTGTATCACTTCCAGTCTCCTCTTGTCATACCCTTCACATGTATAAGCAGTGTGTATGTACTTGTATGTACTGGTTTTTTCTAGTTCTAGACCACTACAAAAGAGTTCTACTCAAGATATTTTAACAGTGAAAAAGCTCTAATAAATCAAAACCATTATCCTCTACAAAGTGCACTCTTCAGAAATTCCAGATCAGTTCCCCCTCATCAAAATGAACATCCCCTATTGTCCATTTCCGTGCGGCTCGCAATTATTAGTCTTCCCCATACTGTAAAACCTCCCAACCTCAGAATAACCTCCGGTACCGCTGATCTGATCCCCGGTGCTGCTGGACAGGCGTGAAGTCAGAGGTGAGTCAGGGTGGCGAGCGACGGTAGGGGGAGGTTTAGGTTGATTGTACAAGTCACGTGTTCAGACTCTACCGGAAAAAAACCTCGCTGAACTCATAATCTGTAGATCTGAAAGGTGTACTGCTGAGTAATGGCATGAGTGTCAGAGACAAAACAAATCTGCACCCCGTGTTACAGTAATTGCCACTGCAACAACACTGAAAGACTTATTCGCAGTATTGAAAACCAGGGAGATATTCAATACGACCCTCTGAAGCGCAGTGATCTATTCAGTTTGACAGTTATACTGATCTGGAAGGCTTGCTTTGTGGAAGCGAAATGCTGCAAACATCCTGCTTATACTTAAAGTTGTCAAGTACCACTACACATTAGTTAAGATCACAGTTGGTTACGAACGGCGCTTCCATCCCCCTCAAAAAATCATCACATCTGGCCAAAGATTAAAATGGTGACTTGTATAAACAGTCCGAATGCCTCTGCATCACTTACATCTCTCTACCACCACCTGATTATCCCGTTCGCGTACCGCCCTCTTGTACACATTAGGCATGTGCACCAAAACTTTGACCTCAGTATACAGTGCAGCAGTCTGATCCGAGCTACCTCACTACATGACCACCATCATGGACAAACGAATACAGCTGCGAGAGGGCAACAAGCGCGCATGGGACGGCGACATGGACGTGTTCCAGATCGCCGAAAAGCCGGACTCGTCGCTCAAGGGCAACACGGTGTTCATTCGACGTTTGCGTATGCAGCTCAAAGCCGACCAAGAGCCTGCCATTCTGGAGGAGTTGCACACTTTGAGTCTTGAAAAGTACCTGGGCGAGGCTATCAACGCTCTACTCGAGGGTCTGCTGAAGCTCAAGACCCGGGGCGACTTTTCGGTGGCCGTACAGGTCACTTCTATCATGCACCAGCGGTTCTTCCACCAGTTTACTCCACAGTTTCTGACCGTCTTTTTCCAAGGTCTAGAGTCCACTCTGACCGAGGACCGGGCCAAGCGGACAGAGCTGGCACCCATCCGCAAGATTCTGTGCCGTCTATGTGTCGATCTATGGCTCGTTGGAATCATCACTCCGGAATACTTCAACAAGAACATTCCCAGTTGGATCGAAGGCACGCCACAGGCCATTTCTCAGGCCGGACCACCGCCATTGGTCATTTTCCGCCACATCCTGGGCACCGATCTGAAAGATTTCGACTACGCCGATCTTGTGCTTTCATTGGCAAAGCACTTTCCGTTTCTGGTTGGAGGAGCTGATGAGGAGGGCCAGGCTGAGGCTCTGGGCGTGACGGAGGCCGTGCCAAAGATGGCCAAGCTTGTCAAAAGCTACTGCTTGCATATGCAGAAGCGGGTGAAGATGATGGCCATTCTGCTTGGCCGACAGAGACGCAAATTTGAGAAGCACTACATCCAAGTGGGTCGTATGACGACCGGACGAGAGGATAGCTTGAACGAGCTTGAAACACAACTCTCCACCATGGTTTCCACCTGTACTCAGCTGAGTGAAGCTCTGGGTATTGAGATGCAGTCTCTCACCGACTGCTACAAGGAGGAGGACACAATCACTCTGGACGCTTCCTTTGACGGCCAGCCCCTCTGGGACTCAGAAGACGATATGCTGTTTTACACTGAAGTCCCCGATCTCGCAGACAAGGTTTCTGAACAGGTGCTTTCGGGAGGAGTGGATGTTGCTGACGCTGAGCTCAATGATATGGTTGAGAAGAACAAAGCAGCACGACAGAAGGAGTTGCTGCAACAGGCCGTGGAGAAGGAGCGGGAAAAGATCCGAGCAAACGCTCAAAAGGCACGTGAAAGTCGCCAGGCTGCTAAAGCTCCTCAGGGCAAGAAGAAGAGCACTACTGACGGAGGAGAGTCGGACGATTCAGATTATGTTTCCGAGGAGGAGGAAGAGGAACCTGTCAAGGACATGTCTCCCAAGGGTATTCAGATGACCGAGTTTCTGGAACGTCTTTCTCAGGCACGTTCCAAGGAGGAGATTGATGCTATGACCATTGAGTTCTGTCATCTAAACAACAAGGCTTCTCTCAACCGCCTGCTACGTCATTTCCGGGAGTTTTCTCTTCACAAGGCGTTCATGCTGCCATTTTACGCCCGAATGGTGGCTACTCTGGGACCTTACTTTCCCAAACTTCGAGCCTCAGTGATTGAACGACTCTTTGCACGGCTACGAAGCTATACTCGAGGTAACAGTCGTCGTTCTATGGAACGACGGCTTGCTTCTTTCCAGTTTCTTTCCGAACTCACCAAGTTTGGACTTGTTCCCAAACACTACATTTTCCATCTTCTCAACTTCATGGGTTCCAGACTAAACTACATGAACCTGGAGTCTCTCAGCAAGATTTTCCACTGCTGTGGCCAGTTTCTCTGGCGAAACGCGTCCACCCACCAGGATATGGAGGAGCTGATGGAGTCCATGATGCAGCGTCGAACCAAGGGGTACCTGAGTATTTCCGAGATTCTCATGGTAGAGGAGCTGCTATCTCTGGTCAAGTTCCGAGGAGGAGCCGGTGAGACTACCAACAAGCGCCATGTTGTTTCCAGTACCCCTATCCAGGTCTTCCTCGACAGACTGTATTATATTGAGTTGAGTACGGAGGTGGCCGAACAGGTGGCTCAATTGACATTGAAGCTGGACTGGTCTGATGAAGAGATCACGTGTCCCACACTATTCCGAATCTTCACCGAGACTTGGCGAGTTAGTCATGGAAATATGGCTGCCGTTGCTGCTGTGTTGTCCAGGATTGCCCCCTCTCACCCCGTTTTCGCCCAGAAGGTGATTGAGACTGTGTTAGAGAACATCCGGCAGTGTCTGGAGCTTAACTCGTATTCTCTGAACCAGATTCGACTATCGCAGGTCGAATTTGTCAGTGAGCTCTACAACCAGGGTCTGCTCAATCACACATGTATTCTCGACATGCTGTTCATGATCATTTGTTATGATCATCGCCGAGGACGACCCACAGCCGGAGTCTACTGTCCCAAGGATCCCCCCGATTCGTTTTTCCGAATTCGTCTGGTTCTCAACGCCTTGGTTACGTGCCAGCAGAAACTCGTATCTGACGTCAACTCTTCCGAGCTCGAGTTTTTTATCGCCTTCTTCCAGTACTACATTTTCACCAAGACCCGGCTGCCCATGGAGCTTAAGATTGATTTCCGAACGCTGTTTGTGGACTTGCAGCTCGAGCAGCAGCTCTACAGCACTCTTGACGGAGCAGCTCGAGGTCTAGAAAGCGCTCTCAAGGGTAAATTCGGAGAGCGATTTGAGGAGGAACAAAAGGAGCAGCAAAAGCACAAGTTAGCTGTTGAGGAGACAAAGGTGGATACTTCTACTGTCGCATCTCCTGTCCCCACTCCTGAGTTTGTGTCTCGAAAGACCGCAGATGATATTCAAGCCGAGCAGGACTTTGATCGGGAGTTCTCCGAGATGATGAAGGAGGCTGGCGGTCAAGGAACAGGCTCATTTGACCGGCCGGTTCCCTCTGCCAAGGTTCTCACTCAGCATATATCTGGAGCTTCTCTCAACGGTGCCAAGCTCTTCTCTCTCAAGGATGGCAACACGGGACCCAGTATTATGGGCAACAAGATGGGATTTACCCTATTGTCCAAGAGAGGCAGCAAGATGCAAGGACGGCTAGTAGCTCTGCCCGCAAACTCCAAGATGGCCAAGAGTCTTGAGCAGCGACAACGAGAGGAAAGAGAACAGCGACATAAACTGAATAGCTACGTCATGGCCCACGCTGATATGGAAGAGGAATAGGGGACGAGGCAGGAGTGATGAGCGACAGTGCATGTACACCATGTACGGTAACTTTCAGAGACACACTCACAATCAACCCACTGCCTGTGTGCAGTGTTTGGCCCACTCTTGACGCCTATCCCGCATCACTCAGTATCGAGGTTACCTCCTGAGCAGAGAAGCACCAGCTATGGTTCACTCTCGTGGATGGGCGACTGATATACATCAGCGTTGGTCTCACTTCCGTCACACAATGGAACTTCGGTCAATATGACCAAAAGGAAATACGGTAATGTAATTTTAGTACCATAAATGTAAAAAGGTGTAGGCACAGGATCGAAGTGATTGGGCGTCTGGATACACTGTCTACAACCCATGATCGCATGTACAGGTAGTTACTCATTGGTACAAGCACGTGCACAAACACGAAGTACAACCTGCCACATGAGCATAAACATTGTCCATTTACGGATGGGCGCGTCTTGTTCCACTTAATATTCCACTTCTACTAGCCACTGCTTTCTTTTTCCGCTTTTTCTCCTTGTTTTTTTTCTCTCGCCTGTGCAAGGTGGGCGCGCTGCATGTCGATAAGATCTGAGTCAGATCTAGGCCCGTGTGTGTGAGATGATGCATACGCAAAAGGCTTGTTATTCATTATAGATACAAATACAGTGGATGGAGAGGTTGGTGACCGAAGGGGCGATGGTTGTGCTGCTACAGGTCCGGTCGAAGGATGTCTGTCGGCCCTTTGATCGAATCCGCACCGGTTGCATGATCTGCAATGCGTTTGAGGTTGGGCTGATAGGCTCAATACGGCTGAAGCTCCAGCATATGATTCAGGGGTTGAGATGGATGTAGATGCCATATCTGTGTGGTTTGTGCGGTCGCAAGAGTTGCGTGATGTCGGTGTTGTCGTGGTATAATGCTTGTTGGTGTCATTGTCTGTCATCATGTCTCAATACTCCTCCTTCACCCACATGTGATCGGATCTGGGTTCGGACAGCCGTCTCGAAACCGTTGGAGAAAACATCTGCGTGCGAACCACGTCGACGGCGCTGACATGCTGTTTGGGAGGCCCTCCGTCCCGCGATGCCTTCTTGTATATCGTGTTGATCTGGGACGCAAACCGGATCAACAGGAGAGTCATGGCGATGATGACGGCCACCATCAGAACGAGCGAAATGTGGTCGATGCAAGTCATGGCGGTGGAGAAATGGATGCCTGCACCCATGATCGTAGTTGAGAGATGTGAAAGAGGTCACGTTCGCACGCAACTAGCCCGGGGTGTCATTTCTTTTCCCAAAGGGTCTAAAAAGACAGCCTATAATAAAGCCCCCCAAAAAGGTTGCAGGGGTACGCACGGTGCAAGCACCAGAGTAGGCATAAACACTGCTGCGGACGGCGACAAGGTTGGCTCTAAATCCCATCAACAAACGAAATGACAAGAGTGTCTCAGATCCCGGCATCTCACACGAGCGAGGCGAATAACGGCGGCCATAGAAGACTCTTGGTGGATAAATGGAAGTAGTGAGAGTTCGATACAAGATGGATGTATTAGCTAGCAAGGATGCATGTGTCTGTGTGCCTTTCTGCTGGTCGGTCATCTGTTATACCTCTCTCCTCTCGCTCTTTCTCTTCTGGCCTTTGTCCCTTGTCTTGTCGCTAATAATAGGGGTTGTGGTTGAGGAGACTATGGGGATGGACAAGGAGATATGTGTGGCATTGTGGGGTTTGAAAAGTAAACACAGCGAGCACTTGAGAGAAGCTGCTGTGGACATCTGCAACCACCATTGTATGTACATACTGTATATACGATACCGTATTCTACATTCAATCTCACATGCTGAGTCTCATCAGAGTGAACTACAAGTACAAGTAACGGCTTTATACACGGCTCTAAGACACGTCTGAGACAACCCACTCAACGCGCTATAACCACAGCTAATTACTTAGTGTAGTGCTACACGTCAAAGGCCTGGACCGAAAAGCGTGGGCCGATTATTTAAATACATGCCTAATATGCCTAATAATATTATAAGCCGGTTGAATCAACGGGTGGCAAGATACGAGTAATAATATATGTACTACACAATGTACAAGTACGATACGAGACATTTGAGACAAGATCATAAGATTTCGTTTAAGCATTCGTATCGGTATTCGTATCGGTGTTCTACCATCCTTCAGTGCGAATCTTAGCACAATGATTCAGGTTATATAATTCGCCTGGAATATTGAAGATACAAGTAGACTATAGTGGGTGTGTTCTGCTGACATTTTCTCTCCTATATCGACCTACGTCATATTGGGCTCTCAGTACACTTGTTGTAAGTGACTAGATCACGTTCCAATACTTGAAATTTACTTGAATGAAATGACACCTGGAAGTGGGGGTGGGGAATTGGGATTCCATGAAAGACAGAAATATATTAAAAGAGTTGATCATAATATAGAGCTGAGCACAGCAGTAAAATGGTCTATCAATGCTCTTCATGAAGTATAACAGCATTCTTCTTCGTCGTAAATTTACTTGAACTGACAACCTACGATCAACACAAATAATCTATAGATGCAATAATTAAGGAGTGAATATACAATGTTTGAATGTTGGATAGGGTTTTTAATTGGTGTTTAGAAAGTAAACAGACCCGACCGCTTCTTACCGAAAGGATAGACACAAAGAGTGGCGGCAAAAAGACCAACAGTGATACCAATGGCGACCTGAATCATGGTAAATCCAAGATTAGCAGCTCCTCCAGGAGTAGCCTGTTCAATGGCAGCAGTACTTGTTTCCGTGAGTAGAGACGTCTGCACTCTAGTAACCACAGTGGATGTGGCGGAGTTGACAATGGTCTCTCTGATTGTAGTGGTCACGTTCTTGTTGCCAATCAGACGGTTGGAGTTGGCAATGGCAGCCACAAGTGATCCTTGAGAGGCGACACCAGAGGGCACCTGCACAAAGATACCGGGAAGCATGGCAGCAAACGCAAGACCGTGGCCCAGACGAGAGTACAGGTTTCCAAGAATACCAATGGTAAAGGCACCAATGGCAGACGTCAAATACGACGAGTTATCTGGATCGGGAATGTTGGCTCCCACAAAGTACGTGACCGTGTATCCTGCGCCTGAAATAAGAAGCATTGAGGGCAGCTGCGTGATACGGGCTTGGTTGACCAGCGCAATGAAAAAGGAGTAGAGAGGCACAAAGAGAATTCGCCAGAGGGGGTCCAGCTGCTGGGGACACTTGTCTTGACGGGTGGCATTGTGATCACACCATCCGTAGACCACGGCTCCCAGCGTGATTCCAAACCCGAGGAACATCGAGTAGATGACTGCGTAGAACATACGGATAGATCCGGCGACGATGTTCTTACTCTGCAACTCCAGAGAGCCACACAGCACAATGTATCCCGGCAGAATAATGGCTAGTGAGCCTTGGGCAATGGCAGCAAAGCAGAAGGGGTGAGAGCCGCCAGAAGAAATGGTACCAATGGCTCGAGCCAAGAAGGAAATCAAAATACTCATGGAAACCTCAAACACGTTGTTATAAAGATCGGACCGAGGAGCAACAATGATCTGGAAGAAACCAACAACAGATCCAAGAATGATACACATGGGGATATCAGCCCAGCGGCCACGAAAGGCATAAGGAGACACCACACCAGTACCACAGGCGAAGAAGATGACACATAGCCAGGGAGGGTACAGGTTCTTGGACCGCAGAATCTCATCCAGTCGGTTGGACGCCTCTTCCACGCCAATCATGTCATGGACCACCTCCTTGTAGATCTCGTGTGTATCCTGCAACTTGGATAGGTTGACACCTTGAACACATCGTACCAGCTGCATCTCGGAAGTATGGGTCGTGGCATCACCGAAAGACACAATCATACACCCAGGAATGTACAGAAACTGACCATCAATCTCCAGGATACGAGAAGTCATCTTCATGTACTCTTCCAGACGATGGGTAGGAGCTCCATACAACATGAGAGCTCTGCACATTCGCAAAATAAACCGCTGTCTCTGAAGCAGCTCGGCAATATGGACTGTGATCTTGACCTCCTGTCGTCGTCGTCGTTTGAGTTCTCGTTCTCGCTTCTTGAAGTTCTTGCCCGTGTTCTTGGCCATCTTGTTGAGCTTCTTGATATCCTTGACAGGTCGAAGAGCCTCACTTCTAAGACTTCTCGGCCTGTCTGGTGGCTTATCACCTCCATCTCCTCCTCCCCCTGCTGCTGTTTCCATTTCGTCCAAGTATCCCTCCGAGTGAGATCTTTGGTGACCCTTGGTATGGTGGTGAAGATGAAGACCAGGAATGTGATGATGGTGGTGAGGAGCAGGTGTTCCTCCGGGACTGGGGGAGGTGGATCGAGACTTATCGTACCATTTAGGTCTCTTCTTATTCTCCTCCTTCTCCTTTCGCTGGTCCTCGATGATCTTGAGCAGCTCCTTCTTCTTCTTCTTCAAGCCTAGCTTCTGGGTCGTCTTGGTTTTAGACTTGGTAGGGTGGTCAATGGGAGTGCCTCCGGGAGTAGTGGGTTCAGACCCATATAGCATAGGGGAGACGTCGCCGGTGGAAGTGCCGTCCCCAACTGTAGTAGCCAAGGTAGAAGTACTCTTGTTGCCTTCTTCTTCATTATAGAGCTTTAGAAGGGCACCAAGCACACCCTGCTTGAACCTCTTGGGAGGAGCAACATAATCCTCGTGCGTGGGAGTCACACTACCATCTGCCGCATCGTAAGTAAGGAAGTTGCCGTGGTTATCTTCATCTTCATCATCATCGTGGATATGAATCGACGAAAAGTAATCAACTGCGGGTGCTGTAAACGGATCGTAATCCTCGTCTTCGGCGTCGGGAGTGTGGACAGCATGTTTGTGTTGGTTAACAAGATCTCGAGCCTGATCACGCAGAATCTCAGCCTCCTCAGCCTCCCTGTCCTTCTCTTCCTCAGAGAATGGAGAGGAAGCACCAGTGTTGGGGCCTGTTTCAGAGCTGTGATGGTGGTGATGGTTGTGGTGATGGTGCTGTCGCTCTTTCTCATTATCCTCAGCCCGCTTCTCCTTGTCCTCAGCCCGCTTCTCCTTGATGTCCTCCAAACGACGATCCAGAGCAACCAGAGGAATGTCGTTGATATCGTGACCAGCCAAAGAGTCTTCTCCATCGTCATGATTACCAGCTGAAGCGTTTCCAGAAGCATCTCCAGGAGTATGATCCTCAGAACCTGGAGCACTGTGACTGTGCATACCAAGCGCGTTTTCTCGTCTAAGCGCAAGGTGAGAGTCTCGTTGGTCTCTTTGATCGTCCAATGTCTGGGACGACTCGGAAGACCGGTCAACAGCTCCAGGAGCCATGCCTCCTCCACTCATACTGCCAAAGCTTGCTAGACCTCCCATGATAGCCGCTCCAACAGCCATGTTGCTACCTCGTTCAGAATTCTGGGCAAAAGCGTCAACATGGGCCGCAGAGGCTCGTTCTCGTTCGATTAGAGGCGCATCGGCTCGTGCAGCTCGATCGGCATCACTTTCGTCATCAGAAGATTCGTCCGTGGAGACTGAACGAGCGTCGTCGTCGATCTTGAACATGTCGTTATTTCCCACACCGTCGTCGTCGGTACTGGCCACTGTCTCTTCTTCCTGCGCTTCTCTGGCACGTGACTGTCGAGCTCGCATCAGACTGATGGACTTGACCTTGTCGATTCGGAATTGTGGTTGTTCGGAGGGACCAGCTTCCTCACTGTTGGAAGGTTGCGCGGGTTGACGTGGTCGCGCAGTGAATGTCACCTCTTCATCTTCGTCGTCGTCCTCCTCCGACTCTGTATCATACTGGCCTAATCCAGACGAGTTCAACAGAGTGTTCATCAACGTAGTGGACGACAGAGAACTGCCCTTAGGTGGGGTGTGTGTGGTTACTCCGGTGGCAGATCGGGCCCGTCCAGCCGGAACACTGGGAGAATACGTGGTAGGAGTTCCGGGAGATTTGAGCGTCGACTTCTTCTTGTTGGGATGCGTAGAAAAGTAGTCGTCTGTGTCTGCACCAGGAGACCCAGTGGAGATGGGGGCGCTGGCAGGCTCCTCTCCATCAGGTCCTACAATTACCACACTAGGAGTCGGAATAACAACGGATGTTTCCTTCTCATCCGAATCATCATGTCCATCGTCGTTTTCATCTGCAGGATACAGAATTCGTTTTGTGGTGGGATCGTTGTCTTTGGGGAATCGCACTCGTTGTCGCTGTTTGTTGGCTGATGAAGAACGCGTAGCGACATGCTCATCAGATTGAGTACGCATCATACCGGGTCTTCCAGGACGTCCTCGAACCGGTTCTCCTCGCTGTAGTGCTTCTCCGATCGCCACATGATAGGACTTCGGTCTTGGGGGCGATGGTTTCTTGTCAGACGACGCCACGCCAGAGGACGGTGTACCAGCCTTTGAGGTCTCCTTGGATGATCCAGCTGAATGAGGAGGAGTTACGCCTGGGGAACTTGGCGACTTGGGCGACTTGGGCGACTTGGCCAGCTTGCCGAGCTCAATCGCTGATGTGCTTCGTTTATGCAGCGATCCTTCCTGGCCCAGAAGACTCTGCGGTCTACTGCTGGCAGGGATGTTTGTGAAGTAGCCTCCCGCGGGAGTGGAAGATCCTAGACCTGGAGAAGAGGCTCCAGGGGTATTAGCTCGAAGAGATGCAAAGGGCCGAGCGTGTGGGTTGAATGCACCTGGAGATCTGCTTCGAATAGGTGCGTCATCTTCGACTGAAAGCAGTGAAGTCTGCGTCTTGGTTCTTCTGCCACGTCCAAAACGAGCCGGAGACGCATCTCGGGATTTTGGAGGTTCGCGAGATGCGTTTCGGGACGCCGCGTGGCTCTTGACGCCTGCGGTACGGCCCTTACGACCCTCCGGGGGTTGTTGGAGCACGAATCCTCGTAGTGACGAGGACGAATTTGCTGAAAATAACGGCGGTCGTTGGGGTGCTGTGGATGTCGATGGAGTTGTGGTTGTAGTGGCGGGTTTCTCGGGCGTAGCTGCCGGTGAGGGCGACGCTGTGTCTTTTCCTTTTCCTTTATCTTTACCCCTGTCTTTATCCATCTGGGTTAGTAAGCGGTAGCAAAGGTCGTCGGTCTGAGCAGATCCTTTGGGCTCGGTCTTTCGGACGCGATTTGAACGCAGCAGACTGCTCAAAGTGGCATTTTTCAGCACGATCCACAGGGTCTGGAAGTAGCAACATCGGAGACACGATGGATAGAGCCAGGGCTGATCAGGTTTGACCTAGAGCTGGGTCTCTCACGCCGTCTATATCTGGTCACCACTCTGTAGACACGGCTACAACGTTTCAGACCGATCTATGATAATAGCTGGTGTTTCGTAAGGTACCAGCCGTTGCCAAGTGTCTTGTCATGCCGCGGTGAGCCCTCTGACAGCGCTTCTGTCGGGCTTGTCTCCTCCGATACTCACGATTCATGCTGTGCTGGCGATTGTGACGAGCCTAGGGAGAAAAAATCAGAGTCTGTCTGTCTTTCTGTACCACCACCAACTCAACTGCGAATCCCAAACATTGTGGAATAGTCTTCCCCTTTGTTGTGCCGAGAGTTTAGTCGATAGAGTTAACGAGATGCGATAACAGTGTAGTCGATGGCTTAACCGGTTTGAGTGCATTAAGTAGCAATCTAGGATGAGGGGGTCTTTTGTGCAAGAAAAGTGATTGTGCCTTTGGTGGAACTTATACCAACGGAGTTTCAGATACCGACTATTCACCACCCCATTAACCATTCGTATGGGATCTACATCTCACGTCCCTTTCTACACGTGTAACGCTTCTTTATCCGTCTTGAAGAGAGAGAGAGCTGCGCATCTTGTAGCTAACTTTGTGCCACCATGGATGACGTCACTTTGACGACCGAGGCTGGCACTAAAACCGCTGCAACATGCAGAGTGGTGGTTGCAGTTGCGGTCACGTGAGCGCACGGTAGTACGGAGAAGAATTCACACCAGGTAAAACCACACTCAACAATTCCGCGGCCCAACGAGGGGGTGGACATTACATTACATTGGTTGTTTTGGTCCCATCCCCCTCCCACAGCCCACATTCTCTCTCTAGTGCTGCTTTTACTCCTCTCTCTCTGCTACAAGAAGTGCAAACCTTGCGTGGTCTAAGCTGTCCCAATTGGGATCCCGCGCGGCTTCTCGATTCGGCAGGGATAGTGAAGAGGGTCAAGGTGGGTCTTCCAGAGTCGGAATCTCGTTTTGAAAGGTCCAGTCGTCTTCTCCGTCTAAAAGTGACAAATATGGTCTGTCTGCCCCCTTCCCTCCCTTCTGTTTCACCGTTTGACAAGTCTCATTCGTGTCTCAGAGAAAAGTCAAGTTGGATTTTCAAGACCTGCATTTATCAGGTATCATGAAATGAAAAGTGCACTGTGACAAGTGCTAAATATCACCCAACTGGTAATTGGTGCAAGTGTACAAGTGGACTTGAACACCCGGGTCGCTGAGCATTTCGCACTATGGCCACATCGTACATTGGTCATTCACTTACCGGAACCCGTAATTCCACCCTGTCAACCGAAAGATCTACCGAGGTGAAACCGCTCTAAGGTGGATCCGTGTGCGTGTCCGTCTCATTTTTTACAGTAATGTGTGGGTAATTATAGCACACTGCGTAATTAAAAAGCAAGTGGCGTGCACTGCTCCGATCGTGCATACGACGAGACGAAATATGTCCAGTTTTGTAGGCACGTGACTAGATCTGGCAGGCGTCGCACTGTACCGAGTACCTTGCACTTGTCAGATATCGCCAGTGCGTGAAGAAATTGAAGCTACTAGGGCCTAACCATGCCTTGTGCACCGATCAGCTTCCCCACTCAACCCACCCCTCTTCAGACTGTAACTCTGTCTCTCCAACTCCGGAGGTGGGCTCATCTTCAGTTACCCCAGTAACGTAAAGGTGTCATTGCTGTGTCTTGGGCATCCTTTCAGTCCATTGCGTCCGTTCCATGCTCTTTGTATTGTATGTGACTTCGCCCTCATTACAACCGCAATTAGCAAGTTACGAGCAGTAGAACTGAATCCACCTTGGCTGGGTGCTCTACTTACATAAGCACCATCAAGCTATGTTTCACGTCGCAGACTGAAATTTCGACTTGCAGACGAATCGATAATCCACTAGGCTCGATAGTATCTGCTCGGTCTGCTCGTTTGGTACGATCGGCGGTACCCACCGTGCACACCTCGTGGCTCCCTTGAAATCATGACCTCTCACGGCAACTCGGCAAACCGGGAACTGAGCTGAAAAGCCTAGACAGTTCTAAATTGCCGTTACTTTTTGGTGTCACTCAAACTCCATCTCCTGGAAACTTCACTAATTAACACCCAAAAACCTCTCAGTTGAATTGTGCGCTACCCGTGGAGCAAGTAATGCGGAGTTCAGACGGAGTAAGCGTCAGTAAAGACCTCATTGGTAACTAATGCGAGGCGCTATTCTTCAACCAACGAATTGTACTGACGATGGCAAGTACGAGCGAGTAGTAAAGCTTGATCCATTGTCTACTGTAGCGTACAGTCTTTTCCAACAGCATCTAAAGTAAGAACGTACGAGTACCGGTACCGAAAATGTTCTCACAATCAGTTCTTGCTATTGTACATCTCTTAATGCGCTGCTATATATAGCTGACATGGCTGCTTCTCCAGAGTTTCCACGACGAGCATCGATGCTTGAGAGCTTTTACTGAAGTACCTACGATCGTGCGTCACCCGGTTTGTAGCCTTTTTCATGGTCTTCCCTTTAACCTACCGGTACGAGAACAGTAGCTCGTAGTAATCAAGGAGGTGTTTGATAGATTCGGGATATCCACAGAAGGTGAAACCACGGCGGAGACATTATTTCAGTCAAGCAACACATCTGTAGATAAACCAAAGCTACCACCACCTAGCCAGTTGTGTTATCATCATCTTATCACTGGAGCTGATGAAATTATGAAGTAGTCCTTACCAACGGCCTTTCGAAAGGAGAGTATGTACAGCACAGGTACAAGTAGAGACATTCAATCATATCGTCGGTATGTTCCAGATAAATCAGACATGTATACGATATTTATACTGAACCTATGCGTCTATTTGATTCTGTGGTAGTGGGCTGGTTATACGGTTATACGGTTATACGGTCAGATCGTTCAGATCGTTCTATTCCGATAAAAACAAATAATTATTCAATACAATTAAATGAGCAGGGCAACCATGGCGACCATAGCGGCGACCACGGAGACGGCCTTGGAGGCAGCTCCGTTAGCCTGGGCAGGGAAGGTGTTGGGAGCCTGGGGGACCTGAGGGACGGTACCGTTGTTGACCTGGACGACGGGAGAAGTCTGGGGAGCAGCGGTGGGGATGTCAGACTGGGGGATAACAGTCTGGACGGTCTGGGTTCCAATGGTGACAATCTGGGTCAGGTGGATAGTCTGGGTAGACTTACCCTCAGCGGGAACCTCGACGGGAGAAGAGCCAGTGGGCTTAGCAACGGGCTTGGACTCAGCAGTGGGCTTGGACTCGGCAGTGGGCTTGGACTCGGTAGTGGGCTTGGAAACCTCAGAGGCAGGCTCAGACTTGGGGGTATCGGTCTTAACAACAACAGTTCCAGTCTTGGTAACAGTCTGAGTGGTCTTGAGGTTGGTGGGCTTGAGAGGAGCCTCAGTAGGAGCAGGTCTAACGGGGACAGATGAGATCTTGTGGCACTTGGCCTCGGGGCAGATCTCGGTCACCACCTTGGTGGTAGTGGCGGTGACGGTAACGTACTCGACGGGGATGGTCTTAGAAACACACTTGTCCAGGGTGCAGTGCTTGGTGACTGTCACAGTAGGCTGAGGCTTAGAGACGCACTTGTTGTCCTCGCAGTGGGTGACGGTCTTGGTCAAGGTGGACTCGACGTGCTCGGTGGCCTCAACGGTGACAACAGCGCCGGAAGAAACACCGGTGGAGATGGTGGAGTTGGTGAAGGCGGGAGCAGAGGAGACGGGAGCAGGAGCAGAAGTGATGGGAGCAGAAGACTCGACAGCAGAAGACTCGACAGCAGAAGACTCGACAGCAGAAGACTCGACAGCAGCGGAGGTCTCAACAGGAATGGAAGACTCCACGGCAGAAGTAGTCTCCTCAGGCACCTCCTCAACAGGAGCGTTAGCGTTAACTTCACCGTCCTTGGCGACAATGGACTCCCAGGTTCCAGAGTGGTCAGAGTAGGAGTACTCGGATCCAGTGGAGTAGTCCTGGACGTTCACAGACTTGACGTACATGGGGTAGGGGCTCTTGGTGTAATCGGTCTCTCCGCCGGCCCACTCAATGACGCCAGCGTTGTTGGTGGGGTCTCCTCCGGCCCACACGCCAATTCGGATGTTCATAGGAGACTGGGGGTATCCCTGAGAAAAGGTGGAAGGCACGGTTCGGACGGCCTCTCCGTCAATGAACCAGGTAAGGTCATCCTTGGTCCACTCAACAGTGTAGGTGTGGAACTCGGAGTTGGAGTTAGCGACGGGGTGGATGGCACCTCGGTCGTAAGTGGTGGTGTTACCCTGGATGTAGAAGTTAGTCTGTACGTTGTTAGCATCTCCTCCAATCCATTCCAGATCAATCTCATCGAGATCGTCGGACTGGAGAACCACAGACGAGATGATTCCCTGACCAGGGGCGGCCTGGACCACGGCCTCAACTCGGCCAAACATGATGTAAAAGTCGGACTGAATGGTGGGGTTGTCGCCCTGCTCAACAACAGCCAGAGAAACACCAGTGTCGTTGGAGTAGGTGATTCGGTGGGGCTTGAAGGAAGGAGGGAAGTCGTCGGAGGGACCCTGGGTGAAATCGAAGGACTTGGAGGTTCCAAGAGCCTTATCGGCGGGACAGGTCTCGTGCAGAGGGTTGCAATCGGTGTAAGTCTGGGCCATAACAGACATGGCCAAGGAGGCCACAACGGAAAGAGAAAGTCGCATAATGATTAATGAATGTGTACTAGTTGGGGAATCAAAGAATGACTAGGGTGAGTGAGACGGCCTGCTGGAGAAAAGAAGGAAAAAGCAGATCAATTAGCGCCCCTCGCTGTTTATATATGGCACATTGCTCGGACTGCATCATGTCGTATATTTCAGTGGTGCAAAATGTATGACTTTTTGGTGTTCTTTTAGTGTGGAGACACAGAGGGAAAAACACTATACAGTTTTTACTTTCTGCAGGAATGTTACAGTGCGAAGTAAAATGTGGTTCTAAAAAGATGAAGACAGAAAAGAAAAAAAGATAAAACGGCCAAGGGGAGGAGATTGTCTACAATTCAATCAAACATTGGTCATGGAAACAAGCGGTAAATACCTCCAACACACCAAATCACCGCCATCTCGTCTCCACATGTGGAACTTCAATTCCATCCATCGCCTCCACCCAATTTACCCCTAGATGCCGCATGTATTGTATCACCCGAAATGGACTATGCAAATATTAGCCTCGACTTTTTAACTCTGATGTGTCAAAAAAACGAGATCCATTGTCGATCGGGGGGGAGTGGTGGAGAGGCTGTGAAGAGTGTCGATCAAAGAGCTGCTGTCGTGCGTGTTCCGGGGGCCAGGTGAGCCTGAATGCCACGTGAATGGGACTCGTACTCCCTCGCAAAATTCTCAAGACCCCTATTTTCCGCATGCTGCATTCTCGGATACCAGAACACGTACATCCGCCACACGTTAGGGCTGCTGCATGGTAACGCACCCTGTCACGTCGATCGTCACGTTTTCATGCCCCACCACAGTCATACGATGGAAGAATGTGAGTGGTACCGGTAGGCTTAAAACAACAGATAAAACACCTCTATACACACAAAACGTCGCCAACACACACGGCATGTAACTAACCCACACAGATCTATGCTCCCACTGATCACACTCACCACCATGTCGCCAGTGTTAGCCGCTTGAACGCCTCGGTAGGCTCTAAACCGCGTCAGAGTTTTTGACACCAGCAGTAAACAAAAAAATCAAACCAAAACTCTAGCCTACGACATACAAATCGAGCTGGCCTTCTGAGCATGACAAGGGTGTCACCTGCAGAAGATTATCCATTGTCTCGTGACAAGACCATTCAACTTGTAAGTAAACAAACTGTACTTGTACCATTACTGGAGTGTCTGTTTGACGTTCTTACATCCATCCATTCAGATGTACCTGGGATGGCGACCAATTCAACCCTTATTACTTCGTATAACCCTCAATGCTTGATACAAGCACCAATGGCATAAATTGCTATTGTTCAACAAATAATATCCCCCTATTGTACCCACCTCCGAACTTCCTGGTTAGGAATACAATATTGTACATACGGATACAACCGTGGTGGCGGTGACGCGTTTACGGTTTGAACAAGCAGACAAAGAACACACGAGCGACTTCCACAGTCGAGACGAGGGGGTGAAGAGGTTGTCACGTGGCCCCATCATAAATGGAGCTACAAGTACACTCGTACGAGTACGTACCGGTACTACAGTAAACAGTAGCTCTCATTTTATGCCTCCGGTTGTGTTAAGGTAGCCATTAGTGCAAATTATGCTCACACTCAAAAATGTGTCTAATCTCATTTTTGATGCCCGTGTCTCTGATGATCCCATGCAGAGTTTCATGTAAGCGTTCTGGCGAGGATCGGATCTATTTGTTATACAACATTCTCCTTCTCTCGCACTGTTGATGCAAGGGTGTATTATGACACCATTTGTGGGTGAGGATGAGCGAAGGTGTTTATCCACGAATATCCCACGTGAGTGCACGATACCAGCAGTGTATAATACTGGCTGCTGTGTCTCTAACAACGAGTACAATTGAGAATCGTTGTTCAGGATAGATTTCTAGCTGTTGCTAGGATTGATCAAGACGATGTCTTACTGTTTATTATATTCATTGTTCGTTCCGAGTGTTCATTTACGAGCTGCGAGTGAAATAATTACAGTAATACGACTATCGTACATACTCGTACTGGAACTTGTCCAGTGCAAGTACTGTACGAGCAGTAAAGTAGATATCCCAGGGGTAATGGACGACAGTGCGATGTCATCATCAACAATCTGTCAACATCGCCCATCTTGGACCATCAAAACAAGACAACTTTGAGCTGCACGTCGCCTAACGTTGGTTTGGTGGTATAGAAGTATGTACTAATTATGATACTGGTACCGACGCCATTTCGGTATACGGTTGGGGACGTGCCATAATGGGAAATGGTGTACTCTCTGTGATTCGAAGAGCTGGCATCAAGGGATTCTTTGGTAAATTAAATATATTTTGACAAGCCGTTGAGCTGCAGCTTGAGACACGTGACAAACAGTTCGACTACAATTGTAGCTAAATACTGTCTCGCATTTGTAATGGTTCAGACAGATGACACTGACAGACGGATCAGAGTGGGACGCGTTATACTGTAAAAAGGCGACTAAAAAATGCGGCTAAAAGTCTTGGTAGGGGCAGGCGAGATGTAATCACCTCTTACTCTTAACCTGTTCAGCACATGAATGCAGTGGGAGGTACACTAGTTTCTAGTGTGGTCACTACAATGTAGTAATTGTGGGAAAAGAAGAGTCAGAGCTATCTTCCAGCAACTACTGTAATAAAGAGTATAGAACCGTCGGAGAGTATTATAGTCACTACTGTATACTGTACATAATCAGACTGACTAAAAACAATGCAAAATGCTGCACTTCGCTCTCCGCATATAAGATATCCCTCTAATCAACTTCCCTCAACCACCATGTCTCATCACTGTTTCACCCTGCCCGAGTGCGGACCTAAATATTAAATGATTAGTATGGTTAGTTAGGACAGACACAAGAGCTATAATGACCAATCAATTGAAAAGGTATAAACATAGATTTTGTTTCCATTAGTTTCTCCCCCCATCGAAGTGTTTCTTCATGCAATTCTCCGCTTCGTGACTTCTGTGTCTTCCCCCCCCCATATATTGGTTCAACTAAGCCCACTAAAACACTAACTGACACTCCCCCGCACCCCACCCCACACCCTAGAAGTACATTGCCCACGCTACAACATCCCTCAGGACAACTGCGAATACCACGATCATGTCACTCGAAAACCCCAACACGCTGCCGTTCAACGACCCCGAAACGAGCCCCAAAACAGCACTCGTCACAGGCGCCTCCTCGGGAATCGGATGGTACACCACCCTCCACCTGTACATGCACGGCTGGGACGTGTTTCTGGGAGTGCGAAACGTGCTCAAGGGCCAGAAGGCGATCGACGACATCAAGGCTGAGGCTCAGAAGCGCCAGCTGGACGGGTCTATTCCCGCAACTGCCAAATTCGGCCAATTGGCAATCGTGGAAATGGATCTACTTGATATCAAGTCGCTGGACAAGGTGGAAGCTCAACTTCAGAATACTGAGAAGCTCGATCTGCTCATCCACAATGCCGGCATCATGGCTGTTCCCCGAGAAAACTCCAAGGATGGATGGGAGGTGCAAATGCAAACCAACTACGTGGCCCCTTTTGTGCTGACAGACAGACTGCTTGATCTTCTACAAAAGGCACCCAAGCCCCGAATTGTATACCTGTCGTCGATCGGCCATCACTTTGCCATGAAACCTGCACCGCTGGATAAACGACAGGATGGCTTTCCTGGTCTGTACTATGGATTTGTGAGATACGGATACTCAAAGACCGCTGGCATGCAGCTCATCAACCAACTTGCCAAGGATTACCCCCATATTTTATCAATGTCAGTGCACCCTGGCTTTGTCATGGAGACAGAGTTGTACAGACACTGGAACAGCCTCCCACTGGTAGGTCCACTGTTCAATCTCGGTTTCCGGAGCTTTGGTGTTGTGTTTGGAGTCTCCAAGGAGGAAGGATGCTACTCAACTCTCGTGGCTGCTTTGTCGCCCAATCTGACGGCTCCTACGGACTCAGGCGAGTTCTTGTGGACCAAGGGCTCTGAGGGCAACCCTAGTTCCCTGGTGAAGGACGAAAAGTACGCTCTGAAGAACTGGAACTGGACCGTGGACCAGATGGAACAGAAGAATGTTCGAATTCGGCACTTTCAACATAAAAGATAGGTACCGAGAAACTGGTACGAGAACCGATGTCATGATTGCATGATGGTTCACGTCACGTCTATTACCGCCTCATATAGCTACTAACCATTCACCCTTAGCTAATATAGCTGTTCATTAATATTACGTGCTGCGCTCGACCAAAAGCAATCATCCGATCCACCAATAGGTACACGACGCGGTTCATACGTATTGCAAGCATTGCTATCCATAACCATTAGTATTACATTACTCATACTCATCAAGTACCCGTCTCATGTCGCTCAGTAGACTTTCTCCGCTCGTCTACTCCTTCTTTCTAAACTCCGCCTGCAGCCAAATTCGGTACATTTTAATCCGTCTCTGTCTGTTGACCATGAGTCTTCGGTCAGTACCGACCTTGACAACTTCGAATCGCTCTCCGAAAATATCATGCAGTTCCTCCTCGGTAAAGAAGTAAACTCGAGTTCCGTCACCTCGAATGTAAAAGTTTTCGTCGAGCAAACGGCCCTTCTTGAACCGCAGCTGTGTGAGATCGTACCGTCCGTAGTCTCGGAACAGGATTCGGCCCCCGGGCTTGAGAAGCCGGTCGACGTTCTTCATAGCCTGTTTCCACTGCTCAGGTGCCAGAGCAGAGAAAACAAAGATCATTACCACAATGTCCACAGAGTGTTCCTCAATACCCTCGGGCAGGTTGCCTTCAGGGTCAGCCAGATCCCACACAGAAGCGCCGGCGTGTTTGGGGTCAAATTGGTCGCTCTCTCGGACGATTTCAACGGCTCTTCGGGAAAAATCGCAGCCGAAAATACGCAGATCGGGGTTCTCGTTGGCACCTAGAACAGGGAACATGGTGTTGCCGGCTCCACAGCCAACCTCCAGAATGGACACAGGACCGGCGTCGGCCTTGGTAGCCTCGTATAGAGCGGGGAACTCGACTCGCAGCCACTTTCGGTCCTTGAAAAAGTTCTCCTTGTTGTTCTTGTAGAAAAGATCCCAGTATCGGGCTGGATCAGCCATGTATGCCTTCTTGTCGAACTCCGTCACGGGTGCCTCCTTCTGCTTGGCGAGCTTCTCCTCAGCTTCTACACGCTGTTCCTCGCCCCATTCCACGTGATCCCAGGCATTGTGATCCCACACAGACTCCTCGTCCTTGAGATATCGCTGTCCAAACTTGTAGGGCCGGTCTCCTCGGGCCTCTCGGCTGACCGACCAATCGGGCTCGGGTGTTCCAGTTTCAGAAGGAGCTTCAGAGTGCACCTCTGCGGGAGATCCGTCTCTTTCTTCAGTCGACATGGTGAGACGGGTGATGTTGGTGGTGGTTAGATCAGTCTGCATTAATTAAATTTCACTTTGGAAAATTTCAATTAAGCTCGACCAGAATGGGGTCAAGCAGAGTCTCAAGTGTATAGTCAAGTAAATTAGAGGTATTAGTTGAGATGGAAGACCGAGGTTATGGAGACTAAATACGACAATGTACGATTGAAAGTGTGGACATTCAACTTCAAGGGAGTTCTTCCTTCTTCAATGACGCTGATTGAAACTACTCTACTCCAGTTTCGTGTGTGATTATCTGCTTCGGCCATAGTCCACCACACCTATACAGTTTGTAGTCTCGATTGGTACCTGTATGGTGTACAGTATGTACTGTACATGTACAATACTACTTGTACGGTAGTTGTAGGAGGTGTTTAGGGAGGTTCACAGTGCCACACCCGTGCGTTGAAAATGTCATATATATGTCAGATGGTTTCAATCTGCCATTACTACGAGTATGCTATACTCGTGCTACTAGCAGCAAGTTCTTGTGAAGACAGACTCGGTCTCTGCACTGTCTCTGCACTGTCTCTGCACTGATTACAATGAGTATCGTAGTGTTGAAAGGTCCACGGAATTGATATTAAATAGCCCTTAGCACCTCTCCTGATTCAGACCTTCTGATCAGCCATCCGAAACAGCCTCACATACTGCAACTACGTTAACTCCTTGCTACTTATGTCCTTGTAAATGCCTACTGTAGCCACCTGATACACCTTGTTTCTATATCGACCCTAAAAGAGACAAAAAGTGGACAAAAAGGGAGTGCCACGGCTAAGCGGGAGTTGTACTTCTGTTTGAGCCGTGTCTCATTATTTAGGGCGTTGATATGGTCGATTCATACCCATTATTATACCCAATCTGAGTCTGAGCAACGCGCACAATTATCGTCGTTGGTGGGTGAAGCGCATGCACGAGAGACATATTACAGAAGGACGAGGTTTGATGGATTGCTTAGTGGAATATTATTATATCGACGGCTTTGTGAAATATTATGTCTATCAAAGGGGGGGGGTGGTTGTGGAGACAATGGGTAGTGGAGCCAACTTGTCAGAACCAAGTGAGACAGCCCTTCAGACGATTGGACAAACTATGGGTTTGACAGTGGTTGGTAGACGACTAATTTCCCGTTAATCGGACATCCAAGGTCCGAAAACCCGTTGGATCATCAGATAAAACCCCTCATGCCTGGTGCCCCTCATTTTGGGTCTCCTCGTACGCCCCTATTGGTGTTCTAGCTGGCCCTTCTGGGAGAGGCTTCACTTGCCTTAGCGCCCCTTTAGCTTTGGGATACCAGCCTTGCTCATTAATTTTTTGAGAGCCCGAGTCTAACTGCAAAGCCCGGCCTGCGCAGGACAATAGACCGTCTGACATATGAGACAACCCCAGGGCAATCCAAGTGGTAGGAATTGCTGTTTTAGTGCAAATATGAATATACTGTATATATATTTTTCGTTTACGTAGGACATACGGACACATTAGTGTGCGTGTATGTACTGATTCTGGGTACTCTGGACTGGGAGCTAATAGCATTGGACTCGATTAGTTTGGTAACTTACTGTAGCAATGCCCACTGCATTTGTAGGATGGGTTCCAGCTCAACTGCCCCACTAATCTACGACGTAGGGGTCTCCGTTGGTCTACCGTTGCTGTACGTGCGTTTGCACTCTCATAATTAATATACCAGGAGTAAGACAGTGACGCATCTCCACTCAACGGCATCACATGTGCATGTCAATCCCAATTATCTCCGAGTCCACACGTCGATCACGCAATAAGACTCGTCTATCGACCGGACCTCCATCGCCATTGTTGTCTTGCCTTTTTCCCTGAGTGCCCTTTTTTCTCTCCTGTCCAGCTCTCCAGCCAGCCCCATCTGATGCACCCTCATGCGTCACCATGCACCCGGAGTCTAAAGCTGCTGATGGGGGCTGAAAAGCGCAGTTGGGACGCACCAGCACAAAGAAAATGTCCCTAAAAATCCGTATCAGAGCATTAGAGTTGTTAAATGGTCGGCTGGTCATAGAGGCAAGAAGCAAAGAGCCAGAGACTCCCATATATATACTCAGCAGCCCGAAGATGAGAAATCTTTGTCACCACACTCACCCTGTAACAGTCACTCCTTAACGCCGCCCCCATGGGCAACACAAATTCAACTCTGCTCAATAGGGAGGAGGCAGAAAAGGCTCTCTTTGGAGACGTCACTGCCCCTCCGACTACAACCATCAACCCGACACTAAAGACGCCCCCTTCACCCGCTCTTTCTGTCGAACAACGATACGACTTCAACAACCGACTGACGCAACTGCAACAGCTGATCGAGTCCGACACCGCGCCCGCTTCGCTCAAAAAGGTGCCCCACCTCACCAAGGACCAACAGCGTATCCTGCTGCGAAAATACATGCATCGAGAGATCTTCACCGTCCATCAGGGCCCTGCAGATCTCCCCTCAAATCCCCACGACGTCACCTTCAAGGAGACCTACCTGGTTCACCGAGATTACAAACAACGATCTAAAAGCGCTCATGTACCTCGTTCGGAACCAGCCATTCGGTCTCCTGTTGAAGAAGATGACATTCAAATTATTTGTGAACGACGCCTAGAACGTCCTGGAAGTGACTCCCTCAGTGAAGCTTCCTTCACCTCCGCCTGCTCGGAGAATGCATACTCTGAACGAGACTTTGAGCCTCCGCTTAGTCCACAGAGATCTCCTGACAAGCTGGACGTCAGGCCCATGAGACGAGGTTCCACCCCAATCCCCGAGGCTCTTTTGCTGGGACAAGGACGAGGCCATACCCAGAGCCCCATTCACACTCAGCAGCATCACGATCACGTGGCTCATCTTCAACATCATGAACTGCACGTTCATCAGCACTCAAGAGGATCGTCTGCCGCTTCTGGAGATAGTCTGAATGTTCCCAAGCAGCGAGGACGAAAACAGAAGCGGTCCTCTGACCCCAAACCGGATCTCAGGCCCCGATCAAAGTCCGATGGACACGCTCTGGCAGCATCCATGGTCAGACTCACACCCGACGAACACCTACTTGCATACCCGTCTCGAGAAGCGTCACCCGACCGATTTGACGGCACTTGGGGCTCCCCTGTTCCCCAGCAGCATGCTCAATTCCCTCACGAGCCTCATCATCATTCGCATTTGGCTCATGAGATTCCCATTCTGCCCCCTCCCATGGAGTTTGAGCGGTCTAGAGCACGAGCCAAGGAACTCAAGCAGAAGCAGACAGACGAGTTTGTCCAGGAGAGTAACAACGAGCCCTCTGAGTCTCTTCCAATGTCCAAGACCATGCCCACCATTACTCTTCCCTCCATGCCCTCTTTGCCTACAAGCATGAGTCTTCCCAAACGACACTCTATGCCTGTGCAGGCTCCCAAAGCTACAGCTTCGGACATTTTTGAGATTCCAGCCGTGCCCACTACTCCTGCCAAAGAAAAGTCAGAGAAGTTGTCGCTCTTCAAACGTCTGGCTCATCGACGTCGTTCCATGACCGAAAAGGCTCCCCCGCCCCTCTTAGTCGACGAAAAAGATCTGGATCTGACTCTCACGATCCCTGCCATTCCCATTTCCGCCCGTAAGATGACCTCCGAGCCTGAAGACTCGCCCCTGGTAGCCAACAGACTATCGTCTATCACTCGTCCCAAGACCCGGCCGGCAGCTCAGCCCAGAGCCAAGAGCATGTATGTCCCTCGAGAGACGCCGGTCGAGTCTCCTGATGGAGCTTACCCGTTCCAAGCTCGTGGTAATGAGATGTCCAAGCACATCAACGACCTCTCCAACGCGCCCTGGAGTCTCTCTAATGTTCCCCAGCTGTCTCCCGAGCGATTTGTGCAGAAGCGAACTGACACTGCTGGCAGTTTTGGTTCCATGGAGGAACTCAAGCGGACGAACACTGTCACCAACGGTGGTCACATTCTGGACGCTGGTATCCCTCCCAAAGTGCCTACTCATAGATCCCTGACCATCATGTCTCAGAGCAGTGGCACTTCTTCCGATGACTATTTTAGCGTTGGTTCACGGTCTCCTGAACTTTCTTATTCTTCGGTTATCGCTCACTCTCAGCAGCAGCAAGGAGGATCCTCTACTCCTTCCCCTCCTCACTCTACGGACATTTACACTCGAAAGTGCTCGTACCGACGGCCCAAGCTTCAGACTCGAAAGACGGAGCCGGCTCCGATCACCGTGTCTACAGTGGCAGAGGTCGAAACGCCACCTGTATCACCTGAAGACGATGCTTCGTACGAGCAGGAGATTGAGGAGGAGATTGCCGCACGACAGTTCATGCTGTGTGGCTACAAGAAGTCGTCAACCAAGCTGCAGGTTGTTAACTGGCAGAAGGACGCGTTCATGAATTCTTCCACCACTCTCGGTGACCTTTCCCACACAGGAACAGACAATTCCCCCCCTTCTGTGCCTCCTCCCATGCCCTTCATGATGCAAAACAAGCAGCGTCAGACTCCCCGAAAGTACCACAAGAAGGGTGGCTCAGATGCCTTCTCTTTTGAAGAGGAGTTTGCACAGGAACAAAAAGAACAGAAAAAAGAGCAGCCTCGGCTTCCTGAGCCTCAGGTATCTGCTGCTCAACAGACTTACCTCGATCTGATCAACAATGATGACATGTGGGACGATCAGGGTAACGATTATTTCAATTTCTGCAATTAGCCGCAACCGTGGTGACGGCGAAACAGTATAGTATTTATATAGCATATGCATTTTATCCCTACGTTGTCTTACCGTTTCTTGTATGCACAATCACGAACTGCTTTTCTACCTAATATATATTGTTACATGCTTTGTGAGTTGCACTCACGTTATTTTTCTTGTCTGTCTTGCCCATCCATAAATAATGTCTTCTTCTACCTAAGCAGCAAGGTGGGGAGGAAGCAGAAAGTTGGGGATGGAGTTCTTGATGAAGTAGGTGTGGCCGCAGTTCTCGCATTTCATGGTGCCCTCCACAATGCAAGTCTCGATAAGTAGGGAGTGCAGCTCCTGGAGCAGACCCTGGTTTCCCTCAGCGAACGGCTCGTCGATTTCGGGCTTGACATCTGGTAAAGATTCGTTTCCGAGCTATAATTAGTATTGAAAGGTACTTGGCAGTAGGTCCCTCATAGGAAATGTAGACGGTAGGCAACTTTTGTACACGACATAAATGCAGCCTGTACCAGTCTATGAACACCGACCATTTAGTAGAACATTTTAGAGACAGTATAGACGGTATGTTAGACTTCGTAGTCCGATTTAGACACCATAAACCACGTATAAACGTCCTATGATGTCTGCTGCCGTCTCAGAGCTGTCTGTCGTAGTCCATCCGTTGGCTGTGCGGCTGCCTTTGAGACTGCTTTCGACCATCTTGGACGTCTAGACTCCACTGACGGTTCAGAAACAGCCCGTATACATTATGGAAAGTGTCGAATCCGCCCGTCGACAACAGCACTCTCAAAGCGTCTGTTAGTTGCACAGGATCAGTCACACGCTCTCCTTGATACACCTTCATGTTCTCAAAGCTCTGTCACCGTTCCTATACTCATAATTCCGCCTCATTCCACCTCTTATACTCACATCGTTTGCGACCTTGACAAGAGCAGCCCAATCTATTCTCTCAAGCATGCTGACGAGAAATTCGGGATCGAACTCAGCCTCCTGCTGGACCATCTCCAGAGCAGAGAAGGTCAGAGGAAAGGCGTTTCCGGAAGAAACACATTGCTTGGAAGCACACTGGACGAAATTGCTGGTGAGGAACTTCATGTTGACGAGATGTTTGTGTCAGTTTTCGAGCTGAAGGTATCGCCAATATCGCTATCTCCTGGTATGTATATTTTTGAAAAACATCCAAAATAATTTCTGCCCTAACCCTATTTTGGGAGGTTTGTTATTAAGCGATTTGGGGATGAGGCAGAAAAGAATGTTGTAGTAGCAGAATAAAAGCTCTTAATATAGTGAAATTTGGTCTAATTTTGAAGAGCTGGAGTTCCTCTTTCTAATGGTATAGGTTATAATAACAACTGGTTTATAACTACCTGCGTACTAGCCACAACAACTATAGGTGATTCCAATGAGCCAAGATGTCTATGGTGAGATGTTTATATACTTCATAATTGTCCCCCCTCTTTAATTCATACATCCATTGCCTTTAACAACTCTCTAGAGATCTCGCTCCGACTCGATAGTAGTTTGCACTGTAGCACATCTGTGAAACTCTAAGTTGGCAACCCTAACTACTAAATTACCCGGTAGAAGGTACATAAAAATCTGTGCTGTCTTGATCTGACTTTCTTCACTCCACACTTTTTGGAGCGGAAAACGACGGAATCTCCGAGTAATAAAGTGACACGGAGGTTAGCTGGCGCTACCTGAAGTGTCATCTCGTTAATCGGTCTTTTTGTCGGTTTCCAAGGTGTCTTTCTCTTCGACTGAAAGACACCACCCTTTCTCAAATGGTACGTTTTTGATGATGTTGGAGGCCACGAACGCGTTCGGAAGATGATGCAAAGTAGGGTGAGAAGGCATTTCCCTTCCCTGATTAATCCCAATCCTCTAAGAAGCACTGACGTTTGCTTTGTTTGTGGCATCTTTTACATGTCTCGACTTCTCTTACTAACTTCAGGTATGTTCCACTGTGTTTGCAACACCTTTAAGGATGAAAAACTTCTGTCAATCCCCTGAACTGGATTCCGCAATCAAGAAAATAGGTTTCCAGGATATGACGATTCGTGTCGCCTGATTTTAAACATGGCATCTCTTGTCTTTGTTGTTCCCTACTAACCTTAGCTATAGTAATCTATCCCTTAACTACTTTCTGTGAATGTGTGTGTCTTAAAGCTATTGCTGTCTTATGAGTGTAAGCAGTTGTATCGTATGAACCAGTATCCAGTACAAGTATCGTCTCTGGCGTGTATGATTTTATTACAGGTCCAATACATACATCTTCCCATAGATCGAGAGCTCCAAAGGTAGATTCCATCGACACCTTGGAGGTTGCATTCTACTTGTAGTACGTATATATCAGCTACCCTTTTTCGTTTGCAAGTACAGTTTTTAAGTCTCTACACAACCAAACATCATCTACTCTACAGCCAGCGTCCAAACACCATCTATCAATCTATACCTCGCGTTCTACCCTGTCATAACTACACCCGCTTGATATCCCACTTAACATCAGTGACGGACACCTCCTCACTGTTCTTCTCGTCGTAGTCAAACCACTCGCCCTCGGATAGATCCATCTCCTTGAAAGGTGTGCCAGACTCGCCCTTGCACTGGAAGTCACCGTCGGCTCGGAACTCCTTGAGCTCGAGACCTCGACAGTCGATCTGCAGAATCTCGGCGGGCTTCTTATCGTCGGCGTTGAGAGTTTTGCCTGTCTCGGTGAGGGTGGCAGACGACTCTCGCTTGCAGAAGCGGCACTTGAAGACGAAGTTGGCGTCTCCTCGACTGCCGCTGATGTCGCTCTTGTCCTGGGCGTTCATGGTGACCCAGTTTTCGTGGACCTCATGGCACGAATTGCACTCAATTTTGAAGGAGAACTCGTAGGGTAGCGTGGGTCCCAACTCTGTGACTCCCTGGAGCTCTGCGGAAAGAAATAGACCGAACATCGTGTCCTTCTAGTTGGTGTTGATGATCTAGATGTCGAAAGCGCACCCAAAAGTTTATACGCGGAGGTGTGATGTGATTGAGTGTAAATAAGTGTATGACATACTGGCAGTAATGGAGGTGTCAGATTGGAAGAAACAGTAATGAAATGTTGTATCCAATCTGAGTCTCTATGTTAAAATCTCTTTCAGATCCACTTATTACCTATACAAATATCGTGTGTTGTTGCATGGCTCACTTAGTGCTCAGCTGACTATACAACGCTGACGAGGTACGATCGTTGTACTCGTTACATAATCATAAGACCACTGGACCGCTGTTATTCTCAATACACTATTTCTAAAAAACGGAATATTCTACACTATGTGTGATATGCCCAATACCACATCACACTCACATTTTCCCTCCTTCATTTTATACCACATTGTCGCATCGTTCTCCTCCTACCCTAACCTTGTGAAATTTCAACCGCCAAAAGTTTGCACTGCATACGCTGTCACGATATATCTCACCCGCCATACTCAAGATGATTCGGGCTTTTTCGACAAAAAGCACGGCGTGGAACGCCGCCAAGGAGGCTGTTGCAGAGACCTCCGGCAAGAAGGCCGGACGTCTGACTGCCGAGACCCGGGCCAACATTTCCGGAGGCATGATTCTGTCTCGAATCCCCATCGTCACCTCCGAGCCCACTCCCTTTGCCAAGCAGTACTACGAGTACATGGATGGTCTCAAGCGCCGAATGATGTGGACCTTCCCCTCGTTTCTTTACTTCAAGCGAGGTACTCTTGCTGAGCGAAAGTACAGAGAGCTGAACAAGATCCCCACCCAGGCCCGAGACGGAGTAGTGTACCCCGAGGGTATTCCCGATGTGGTGAATCACCGAGAGCGAACAATGCCCCAGAAGATCGCCGTGCCCACCAAGGACAATGAGGGCTCTCGAGGCGCCAAGAAGGGCACCGAGGAGGGCGAGGAGGATGTGATCAAGCCCAACTCCCGAATCACTGAGGCCGACAAGCAGAACGACGTCAAGTCACTGGAGCGAAAGCTGGACCGAACCCTGTACCTACTGGCCCAGACCAAGAACGGCTGGCGATTCCCCTCGGTCGTTATCAACGAGAAGGAGACCATCGATGAGGCCGCCAAGCGAGGCATCCACGAGCTCGGAGGCCCCGACATGAACATCTGGAACGTGTCGCACACCCCCGCGGGCTTCTTCAAGAACGGCGACAAGCGAGAGTTCTACGTCAAGTCACACATTGTCCAGGGCGAGTTCAAGCCCAGCCGGGACGTGCAGGACTTTGCGTGGCTCACCAAGGAGGAGATCCAGGCTAAGGTCGACGACCAGTACTACCAGCAGCTGCATCCTCTTCTCAACTCGGTTTAAACTGCATCTGTCGACCGACCAACTGAGACCGCACACGAGGAAAAGACTAATGTATATATGTGTATATAGGGGGATGATGATTGAGTGATTGAATGAGTGTACGAGTACTTGTAGTGTATGTTGGTACATTATGACTGTAACATATACCGTAGCTAGCTGTGGTGTTTTAGTGAATGCAATCCGGTTCTAATATTATACTACATACACTTGTACTTGTACCTATACTTGTACTTGTACTGGTTTTATATTCTGTGCTGCAGACGAGGGTGTGGGAAATCCAGTGACTGTCGCACGCTCCGATAGCTAATCAGTATCTGTCAGTATGAGGGCTCGCTGGTTGCTCCGGTGTCATCCTCTCTTTCAAATCTGGCTTTAATGACTAGAGGATTCTTGTCGCACATGCCAGCCCGATTTCGGCATCTAGTAACCACTCGGCCTATTACCTCCTACAGTAATCACATTCAGACCCGCAACGTCCCCAGAAAATGCCAGGTTGTACTTCACCGGGCTCCATGCCACCACTGGGAGCCCTGTCCATCTCGGACGAGAAACAGCATGCACAAATTTTCCAGTGTCCACATGTACAATGTCCACAGGGATATCGTTGTTGTCATACCCGACGGCAATGTAGTCTCCATCATGCGAAAAATCGAGAGAAACGACCGGTTGGTCGTGCTTGGACAGTGTCTTGACACATACCAACTCTTTGGTATCCCACAACGAAACAATGCCTTCATTGCCACCCACAGCAATATAACGGCCTTGAGGATCAGGTTTGACACAGTTCGCGGCTGTTGTGTGTCCTAGAAGCTCAAACAGAGTGGTCACATTAGACGTGCTTAATGATTGGGAAGAAGTAACCACCTTTTCGACCTCTTCAGAAGTAGCAGCAGTCTGGAGATTCAGCTTGAGCAGCTTCACCACACCAATTCCCATTGTAATGGCCATGACAGCAGTTGTGTTTGTCCAAGTTGCCGCGAAAATTTCGTAGGGAGATTCCTTGTATGCAGCAATGGGGTTTCCAAACGCTTCCATTGCACCAATGGCGATCTTGGGTGCCCCTCGCGATCTTTGCGAGTCCTTTCCTCCATTCTGACGTCCTCCGATGTTTGTGCTGGGTGCTGGTTCAGCCACTTCTCCGTTGAAAGAAGGCGCGTACCACAGGATCGCATTGTCTCGTCTTAACACCGATATGTACCGACCACAGGGAGACCACAAGCAGGCTAGATTGTCGGCTCCGGTGTTCACGGATGCAAGCAGCGTTTTTGTTCTTGTGTCCCACACCTTGAGAGTTCCGTCGAGACTGCAAGTAGCGAGCTGATCGGGACTGATGGGAGACCATGCCAGGCCCACTACAGCCTTTTGAGACTTGCTTGAGGAGTATGGGATTTCTGTCGACGTGTTGACCTCGGTATTTCCGGCAATCCATACCCGGATTCGCGCATCGCTGTATGCCACGGCAATTCGAGTACCTGTACTGTTCCAGGCAATGTTTTTGATCGATGACTGTGAAGATGAGGATGCAGAGGAGCCGCCCTGCTTTGAATCTTTTTCTTGGTAAGCAACAACACTCTGGTTCTTGAAGTAGGTCTGCGCAGATCCCACTGGCAGCGATTGCTGAGTGTTGATTGGTTTGCTCATGTTGTCGAGGTACGAATTTTGGAGATGTTACTGCACAGTCAGATATTGGACGTGAACTCTAATGAGGAGCCGAGATTTATATATAGTATGTATTATGTACACGTTGATGGAAATTTTGAGGGGTTGCTTAGTATTATATCAGTTCATTTTCGTTGTAGAATTAGCCTGTTGTCAGTAAAATACTTGGTGAAATCTCTTATCCTGAGAGCCACGTTCTCAGAGCGCCCAGATTATACCTGTAAGGTAATGTACGTAGGACTGCTGGAGCCGACAAGAGACCCTCTCAAAAAGAAGCGCAATTCTAACAGAATTACAACGATGACTTCAAATCGAGGTTTAAATTAGTCATCTAAGTGGTTGTTTTTTTTTTTATGTTTTTTTTTTATTTTTTCATCCTTTTTCTTTTCATTCGTTCAGGACATCTACATCTTGACTGGTGTATAGGCATGGGAAGATTATCGTGACTTCAAACCACGTAACGGGACAACTACAACAAGCCTGTATAAGTGCTGTACATCCCACATACAACTCAAAACCTTTAAATATCATAATCATTAATCTATCTATACATTTTTTCCTCTCTTAGTAAGCTATCTACTGCTGAGGAGGAAAGCCACCCATGGAAGGGATACCGTTGGGGAAGAGAGCTGCCAGAGCCGCGTTGGCGTCCATCTGGGCAGCGTTGACTTGTGGTGGAGGAGCGGGAGATCTGATGCCGACAGGAACGTGGTTGGCGTTGCCTCCGTAGCCTCCTCCTCCGTAACCTCCTCCATAACCTCCTCCGTATCCACCTCGGTCTCCTCCGTAGCCCCCACCTCGGCCTCCATCTCGTCCCCCATCTCGGTCAAATCCTCCGCCCCCTTCTCGATCAGGGAAGGAAGATCGGGGTCCATTTCGGCCACCGGCGTTGGTGGGCATTCGCTTGGACTTGGCCTTGGAAGAAACGCCGGTACCAACCTCGATATCGGGCTCCTCGATACACATGCCAGGAGCCACAGGGACTCCTCCAGTGCCTCCGTAGGGAGCAGAAACCACCCACTTCATGTCTGCCTCGGTAAGCGTGGCAATGGGGATGACGGAAATACCGGTCTGGTAGTTGGAGCAGTCTCGAGGACCGAAACCGACACCCCATCGGGCTCGCAGAGTGATACTGCCCTGCTGGTTGAGTCGGGTGAAGTTCTGCAGAACGGCCTCGGCCTCAGCTCGAGTGTACATTTTACAGAAGGCGTGCTTTCGCTCTCTGTGCATTACCAGCGACTGGGTTCGGCCATAGGGTCGCAGAATGGATAGAAGCTCCTCGTTAGTGGTCGACATAGTCACACCTCCAATGAAGATAGTTCGAGACAGCACCTTGATGGTTCCAGGAGGCAAAGAGTTGTCGTAGGTGACCTTCTTCTCGGTGGGAGGAGGAGCGTCGTCCTCAAAGGTGTCGGTTCCGGGAGGTTGTCGGTTCTGGTTTCGGCCTCGGCCAAAGTCCCGATCTCCTCCTCGGTCTCCCCCTCGGTCTCCAGAACGGTCTCGGTAGTTTCGGTCTCGTCCGAAATCACGGTCTCGGGGATCTCGGTCCCGGGGGTCCCTGTCTCTGTACTCTCTAGAACGGTCTCGGAAGTTGTCTCGGGGATCTCGGGGGTCTCGGGGGTCTCTCGACGGAAGGTTCCAGGCCTGGTTGACATCTCCACCGGGCATGGTAGGAGGAGCACCGCCAGACTGAGCCATGATCATCTTGAGCACATCAGCAGCAGCATTGGGGTTGGCAGCGGGTGCGGGGGCAGGTGCGCCCGCGGCAGCGCCAGCGTTCATGCTAGCAAGAGCCTGCAGAATGGAGGCTGTATCAGTAGGCACGGGGTTGGAGGCAGCGGGAGCAGAGGGAGCAGCACCGCCAAGAACAGCGGCCAGAGCAGCAGCAGCATTGGCGCCTCCAGCAGGAGCTGCTGTGGATCCAGTGACAGGGGGCTGGCCCTGGTTAATGAGATCAATCAGCTGCGAGGGAGGAGACTGCTCAGGGGTCTTGGACATACTAAAGAAGCCCCGCATTCTCTGCATGGAGTCAGGGGGGAAAGTTCCAGCCTTCTGCCAAATCTCCACCAGCTTGTCCAGCTTGTCTCGAGTGTCGTCAGAGGAAGTATGGTCTACACACTCTCGAGCAGCTCTCTCGACAAACTCAGAGATTCGGAAAAGACCCTTGGCATGGGAGCCGTCGGGAGCTTGGGGGTTCAGAGCATGGCCAACCTTCTTGTTCTCCTCTTGGTACGCTCGAGCAACGGCATCTAGAACATACATGGCTCCAAGCTTGTGGCTCAGAGGAGTCTTGTTGAGATGTCGCTCAAGGATGGGAATGAGAGTGGATTCCATCTGGGTTAGTAATACGTTGGGGAAGGGCTATGGGGTACCATGATCTCGTAGGTTACGGTGGTTACGATAGTGGTTTGAGATGATTTGAAAACTTGGGGAGCCATCTTATCACCATATTGGAGTGTGACAAGATGTTCGTTCACCCTCAAACCAGATACAATGGTACAGTTGCAACGTACAACTGATTACTGTGTACGTGTTATACTGCGCGCGCGTGTTTTACTGCAATGAAAGCAAAATAACAGTGTGAAATAACGGTGATTTTTTTTGTATTGTAGGTGTGGCAGCCGGGTCGCCATCTCCACTTGTGTAAGAACAAAATAAGGGTATCATTTGTTAATGTTCCGACAATAAGACACATTGATAAATAGACACTGGACAAGCGTGTCAGTTCATACGATAAAAGTCCCTGATATCACTCGTGTGTTGTCGTCATCATTGTCACCGTTGCGTCTCACCTCCATATATACCATACGATCTACCGGTTGGTCGTCACAAAAGTCAGGATAATACTCACATCAACGTTCTTCATGGCCAACTCTCGAATTCCGTTAATCTTGGAGCCAGACACTCCTGGAGCCTTTGCCACCAACATGGATGCCAAAAGCGCCTCGAATTCAGTTTCCACTGCCGAAGACATTTGTGTTTGTGTGTGTGTCGTGATTTGTGTGTTTAGTGCGTGTGTCAAAGCTGGGGGCAAAATACTGTACTACAATAATACCACTTGATACGATACGAGTACTGTGTTTGTGTTGTCGTAGAATGTTTTGCTGAGTGCTGAGATGTTGTGTGGATGAAGGAGAGTGGGTTGCGCAAAAACTGGTACCATATTGTAGTTAGGGTTACCCGGCCGGATTTAAGGTTACATAGGTTGTAAGTCATATGATGTGAAAGTGTCATCGTGGAATATAGAAGGATGTTATGGTTGCCCTGTTTGCCAAATTTTGACAGGCTCCTTATATACTACGTTGAATTTTTTGTATTATCAAATCTATTTATGTAGCTACTGTACATGAGTCTCAATGGCACTTCAGATTTTTTTCTTTTAACTCAGGTAAGAGAAGAATGTGGTATAAATTTGAGCCCAAGAGGGAACCATAATCATGCTGTACGGAAAGTTGTATTGTCCTAACTTCTGGTCAGAGCTTATTCTCACAGTATAATAAACGTCAGAAAAGGCTTAAAGATGAAACAGTCAACAGATACATCATTTTGTGCTTTTTTAACAGGTTTTTTTATTCTAGGGAACAGATTATGAGTTCTCGTGTCAGGACTCCATGGCTACCATCCTCAAAAAGTTTATAGCCGCCTTCGTGGCCAAGTGGTAAGGCGCAGCACTAGTAATGCTGAGATCATCAGTTCAAATCTGGTCGAAGGCATATATTTTTATAATTTTTGAACACAGGGTACACTGCCGGTTACCAGTACTTGAACCACTATATTACCAATCAATCTTCTTTTACTCACTCACACTACTGTACAATTTATGCACATGATACAGTAGGTACAGTATGTACCGTACATACAGCTCAAATCATTTGACTTCAGGGGTTCTATATAAAAATACATCATTTCGTTTTATTTTGCACACTCTCTCTCTACTCCTCATCATCCTCCAGCTGCTCGTCAATGAACTCAACTGCTTCCTTGAACCGTTCCTCCACAATTCGATGTAGACCGGTGCTGTCACATCGGAGCACTCGTCCAAACTTACGCCTTGGCTTCTTGGGGTTAGTGCTCACATCCCAGCAGGGATGGGTGTCCGCAGTGAAAACCAGTGACGATCGGTAGAACCAGTCGGTGATGTACTCGTCAATAATGGAGACAATAGGGCGCAGCTGGGTCTCGGAGATGAAGTTGATGACGCAGTTGACCTTTTCTCGGGTGTCTCGGTGGCCTACCAGATGCACCAGACCAGCGTAGGCATCACCAAAGCCCACCATGATCACGTTCTGCGCGTCAAACACACTGAGGTACTTGTCCCACAGATACAGGCACACCTCCTGGCTGGCAAACAGTGCATAGTAGTTGTCGTCGTCAGCTCCATTCAAAGCCTTGGGAATGTTGACGTCAATGATACCGTATCCCCGTCCATGTGCCCACTCCAGCCACTTTGTCGTCACGTCAACCATGCAGGAATCAAAGTCAAGCTCGCCAGTGACAGCGTCCACCTTACCCCAGATCTGAGGAGGATCATGCACAAACACAACCACGGTTTCGGCCGAGTGGATTTTTGGTGATGCAAGAATCTGGTCTGCCAGAGAGATTGACGATCCTGAAGCAGGACCAGCAGTGGCAGCCCGTCCAGATGGCGTACTGCTGCTTCCTCCCATGTTTGGAAGAGCCGATAGCTTGTACTTGTCGAACAGCTTGCGTGCCTGGTAGGATCGAACGACGTCACCCATCAGATCGTACGTGGTGATCTCCTTGGGAATGATAGTCTCAAAGCCAGGCTGCAGACATCGCCAGTACTGAGACTGGGTCTCGACCACATCCTGGACAACAGAGATAGTTGCAGAGGTGGGCTTGAAGGCCGCAGGAAGAGGAAGAGGCGCCTCTCCAAGAAGCACCTTGGTGACGGCCAAGGCAGACTTGGCAGTGGCCTCCAAAGTGTAACCTCCCTCCAGCACCACAGCCAGGTTTCCAGAAGCCAGGCCCTTGAGCATGTGGGTCATGTGACCATATCCCGAAGGCGTAATCTTGCACCCACCAAGAAGATCACCCTCGGCTGCGTCGAAACCAGCTGACACAATCACAAAATCAGGGTCAAACTCCATACCAATTGGCATGACGACTTTTTGGAATGCGTAAATGTAGTCTGCATCGCCAGCTCCAGGGGCACTCCAGGGAATGTTGACACTGTATCCCTCTCCAGCTCCAGTTCCCACAGACGTGTGAGCTCCAAATGTGCCTCCAGGGTAGAATTTTCCGTTCTCGTACTGGTGCAGAGAAATGTAAAGCACCCTAGGGTCATCCAGAAAGGCTCGTTGGGTACCGTTTCCGTGATGAACATCCCAGTCGAGAATCAGGATCCGCTTAACTCGCTCAGGGTACCGTTTCAGTAGCACCTTGGCAGCCACAGCCACGTTGGAAAACATGCAAAAGCCAGCAGGGTTGCCAGGCTCGGCGTGATGGCCTGGTGGACGAACGACGGCAATGGCGTTCTTGACATTCCGCTCGATCACGGCTCTACACGTCTCAATGGTTCCTCCACAGGACAATTTGCCTGCACTGAACGACTCATTGTTGAAATAGACCGAGTCGCCCTTTTCGCCCTCCTCCAGTAACTGCGGTCGGTTCATCTTCTCCGTCGACGCTAGGAAGTCCACATGTGCGGGGGTATGCACCTCCAGAACCTCGTCGAGCGAGGCTTCTCGGATCGGAATCTTTTCCATCAGTGGGCCAATGTCCTCCAGACCTAGATACTCGGGATCCACCACTAGTCCTGCATCCACCAGCGCCTTGTACACTGAGAAAATACGTCTCGGGTCCTCTGGATGAGGGTCCACGTAGTCGTAGGATGTGGACACCAGACGAGCATGGTATCGCATTCGCACGTCGTAACAGACTCCAGTTTTCAGCGGAATGTAACGCAGCTGAGGAGCCTTGAGGGCTGGGTTGACGTCTGCGTCGAGGATGAGTTCACGGGCGCGTTGTGTGTCGAATTCAGGCGTGTCTGTCTCCTCAAACTTACGCTTGCCGTTGACGTGCTCCAGGTCCACCAGCGACAGAGTCTGGGGCACAAAGTTGGTATCGAACTCCGTCTTGATGGGCTGCGCCATTCGCTCAGCAATCTGGCCGGAGATGGAAGCGCTGTCATAGTCCCCTAGCTGCACCTGATCCATGTTGATTTTATAGTCGTCCGACGTGTCCATCAAATCGCCATCGGCCACCGCACCAGTGTCGTGCATCGCCTGTAGGTCGTGTTCGTTCGTGTTGGTTGCTGTAGTGGTGGTTGCTGTAGTGTCGGTTGTGCCCGTTCCGGTCGTGCTAGTTGCGGCGTTCGTGTCGTGTGTGGTGGGTTCGACGACGGCTTCAGTCTTGACGTCGGTGCTAGCAGGAGCCTCATTTATCTCATCGATTTTATCGTTGGCAGTCACTTCGGGCTTCTCGTCGGTCTTATCCTCTGCTTTGACTACCTCTTGCTCATTCTCCTCCTTCTTCTCATCCTTCCCTTCAACTCCGTTCTTGTGATCCTCTTCAATCTTAGCACCAGGTTCAGCTTTTTGTTCAATCGAAACAGAGGGCTCATCAGCAGCTGTTTCAGCCCCCGGAAGCGGTTTTTCAGACGTGTCGGGCGCGGTAATCTCACCAACATTGGTCTCGACGGCCGCTGCACGCTCCCCCGCGTCCTTGATATCCCGATCACTGTCCATTTCTATCGTGTTGTGGTGGTGGTGAGGCTAAGAAGGTTTTACCCGGTTGCTCTGTATCACACACGTCCCTGGGTCCATCACTAGTGGTGGGCGCGGTTGGAGCCTAAAGAGATTGTAGAGTGCATCAGAAGACCGTCGATGGATTACTGCCGCCCCTGAACCAATCACGGTATTTGGCCTTTCCGAAAATCGAACTGGAGCCGCCGTGGACCCTCTAGAAACCGCACGTGACTTATACGACACTACAAGGCCCTAAAACCACAAAAAGGGAGCGTCGCCCATTTTTCACACCTTGTCCAGATAAGCTTGGGGGTGATGTGAACCGAAATAACTGGTTGTAACCGGGGATGTGTGCAGCTTTCCACGTGACAGGTCGTCACTGAGCGACTTTGTGTTGTCACGTGATCATTCCCATTGCTCCTGGCACTCCCTCTCCATTTTAATCCCACTCGTAATATCCACTTCCATCCTCACATCGACCTACCGGAGACATGCAACAATCGGAGAGCTTATTGATTGTACTGGCCTACACTGGGATATGCTGGAGCTTGTAAATGGGGAGGTTCTGACTTGGCGAATCATATACAGTCTTAATCTGAGCAGTCACTTGCAAAGTACTACACTTCCGAAAAGGCACTTTGCTGCACAAAAAACGTAGCTCTCCGCGTCGCTTCGTTCCATTACCTATTGTAGGCAGTGTCTTTAATTGAACCTTGTCCCAGTCTCGCTACAAGTAGCCTCCCTCTTTGGGGTTATGCGGAGGTGTGGCGAAAACGACCTACCTGTCTGAGAAGTATCGATGGAGTAAGGTGATGGTTCACGTGATTATAAACATTGTACCAAGGTCAAATATCGTCGTGTGAAAGGCAGTTTCTTGTTGTTTGTTTACTACTGCTCATATTCTCGTTCATAATGTTTGGTCAGTGCCTGCCCCCTCAAACTCCCCTAACCCCCTGACCCCAGATAAGCTCCCTCATGCAGCAACTTGTGTACCACCATCGCCGTTGTCTAATTTTTTTTTCGCTCAGGCCTCAAAACGACCATGTTCCGATCCAGCGACCGACCCCGGTTCAATCTCAAGCTCAAAATTATCGAGCTGGCCAATGTGCCCCAACTGACAGGTGTGGCGACCGTGCGATGGCATCTCACCGACCATCGACGCAACGACTTTCGAGGACGTACGGACGTCGCTCGAATCCGGAACCACCGAGCCGAATGGAACTACGAGACGTCCATGGAGTTCAGAATGCGAATAGACGATGATAAGATGCTGCACGGCTCGTCCATCATGTTCGATGTGTTTGTGGAGTCCAGAAACGACCGTCAGAATGACAAGGAGATCAACACCTCGGACAGAAACCACCTAGGACGAGTGGAGCTGAATCTCGCTGAATACGCCCAGGACGAACCAATTACGCACAGATACTTGCTCCGAAAGTCCAAGGTCAACTCACTGCTCAACGTCTCCATCAACATGGAGCAGCTGCGAGGAGATACAGATTATATGATTCCTCCTCTCTCTACACAGCACATTTTCGGTCTCATGAGCCAGAAGGAGACATCTGATGCCGGCGGAGAGAGCAAGACGTGCGAGTATCGAAGAGAATTCGCCCGAGGTTACTTTGTCTCGCCCCAGGGAGTGTCTGTCAACAAGTGTATTGAGGACATTTTCCATGGAGGGGACGGATTTGGAGACGGAGGCAAGGGTATGTTCTGGCAGCCTCCCAAGAAGAAGGGCTCCAAGAGGGATGCTGATATCAAGGAGGAGCCTGAGAATTCTTCAGGTACCAACGGTAACCAGCCCAAGAAGACCAGTGCTTCTTGCAAGCTCAAGGAGCGTCTCACCTTCCACAAGTCCCATCCTAACAACCCCCATACTCCGCCCAAGCCCTCGCCGCTGCACGAATCTGTTGACCAGGAGCAGATGCAGGAGGAGAGTGCGGGTATGCCTCGCTCTACTGAGGACAATGCTATGGGAGCCGGTCCCAAGTCCCAGGAACCTGCAGGTGTCAATCTTGGAGGCAAGCGAGGTGCCGATCGAGTCTCAGACTTGTACAGAGGCTTCCGGGACTTCCAGAGCACTCGAAGAGACCAGGTCAGACAGGGCAAGAGTCTGGAGAACTTTGTCATCAACAGCGCTCCTCCTGGTGTGACTCTGCCTCGAGCTACAGACATGCTCAATGGATACATCAGTTGGTACGTTGTGGACGAGAAGACCGGCCTTGAGGAGGAGGGCTCAAATCTCGAGGGCCAGAAGGTGGCACACAAGCACTATGTTGAGCAGAAGATGATGCACGATGAGTTTATGAGAGAGCGAATTAACGTGCTGGCAGAGGAGAGCAAGGCTCGGGAGGAGGTGGAGCGCTTCAACAAGTCTCATGGAATCGACAAGCCTGCATACGAGCCACTTCCTCCCAAGAGTGAGGGCATTCTTCCCGAGATGGCACATGCTCAGGCTATTCAGCAGGAGGCAGAGGCTAAAAAGAATGCACAGGAGGTTCCCGACCAGAACGGACACCAGGCGTCTTTGCCCATGGCCCCTGCTGGGGCCAAACACTCTGAGCGAGCTCGTGCAGCCTACGAATTTGCACCCAAGACAGCTGAGCCCAGCAACTCGGAAGTGGCTCCGGACGTGTCTGGCCAGCGAGACGCTCCTGTTGTCAACAATGCACGGGAGCACATGGCCGAGATGCGACTGGACTCGGAGTTGGAATCAAATGATCACTCTGTGCAGCCCTCTGAGGTGACCGCCGCGCAGCAGCAGCAACATCAGCCGAAGCAAGAGCCTTCTCAAGAGGCTAACGTGCAAGCAAGTTTTGATGTTAATTCTGCTGAGCGTTCCAACACCAACCCGGAGATTCTCGCTCAGCCTTTGAAGGATAGTGCATTGCCGAAGTAGAAGCAGCTTTGACTGATCGAAGACGTATGTAATTGAAGTATTTATTTATATCTCCACGCCATGGAGTGGGTTTCTATCAATAATCTGTCACCTGCATGTGCAGTATATGTCGGAGTCTCTATCGGAGCGTCTAAAACCAGTCTTGACAGATCTACAAGCGCCCCGAGTCTCACATGAGATCGTATTCGCATAACATAGTGTCACCTACCTTTAGACCCTGGCCATACGTGTGATAGGTACCTATCTATCAGAAAGTCTGTATGTATTTTCTATGACACCGATAAAGCATGGATCCGGAACTCCGTGGTATTATGAAGTCTGGAATGTGGGTACAAGTACTCCGTTTTGGGGGTTGCATTAGACCCAAGTGTAACAACGTAGAGCAACGTCTGCTCTGCTAGAGCACGTGAATATCAAACGCTCAACCCAATCCCTGGTTGAGTGCGGGTTAGCCTGGACATTTCTACGCCTTGATTACTCGTAGCGAGGGTTGAAAGTCATTTCGGCAAAAGGATGTCCGTGAAGAATAGAAAGTATCTAAGCACCAATAGCGGAGATTGCGATTTCTCACAAGTATAAGCAAGCTGAGACATAATTTGAGGACACACGATAGACTAGCCCGAGTTTTGGAGCTATTGGCTTCAGCGAAAAGCCTTTTTATTCCACCGCGAGCTCGTAACGACCCGTAGATGTGATTTAATCTGAAAATGTTGCAGGGCCCAGTGTATAGTCGATACAGTAAATACAGTACATGTTCCGTAGGCTTGTCTGGGTCCGTGGAGATGTTCGGATCGCTCCAACTATGGTAGAGACCTCCAACAGCCAACGGCAACGGCTAACGATGGCTTTTGGTTTAGACCCGTCAGCAGCTAAGAGAGCTACGAACCCCTCCTTGTCGACGAGCTCCTCCTCGCTCAACAGAGTTGTTGGGCTCTCTCGACAAGGAACGCAACGTGGGTTTTGAGTGTCTTACCCCAGTCCGTCAACACAGGGGCGCCAAGCAAAGATGGGGTCAGCCGTATGTGAAACGTTAGGCCTGATGCTGGTCACGAGCTGTTATCGGGGGAGCTGAGGTTACATTGTAACGATTGAGTACAGAAAGTGTTCATCAGGCTTGCTTGCTACTGTGTACCGATAGGGCTACTCCAAGGAAACATGTATACTTTTTTCCCCTTGAGCCGTCTCGTATAGTCCATTAATAATTGCCTACTGGAAAAGAATCGAACACGCTGGACCGTGGCTTGATCGTCATATTAGTTTCACATTGCCGGTGTCGTCATCCTCAAAAGTGGTGGAACGATTGTGGTGCCAAAAGTCAATCATGCGTCTCCACCCTCTTGCACACACTGAGATAACGAGACAGTTGCCGAAAAGTTGGGCGTTTTCTTTGTTACAGTGCCAAACAAAGAACAGGGGGGACCAAACTCTTTGTTGTCTCTCCTCATACAAAGACGTTCCAAGTCTTAAGTCATTTTAGATTTAATTTTTGGTCTACTGCCCATCGTTAGTGTGGAAAAACCGAGAAATACAAAATGCACCGTCGTCTGGCACCTCTACGAGCCCTATAGACCACGCTATCATAGGCCTACTTGGATCAGACCAAGACCTCCAAATCCAGCCTCTCCACCGTAAACGTAGACCCAGTATATGCACTGTGGGTAGTTCAGCTTGCTGCTGCACGGTTTCGTCATGATGACTCAAACACACCTTCTCCGAGACACTCTTCATAAGAGAGCTCATTCATCCGGGCTATTATAAACGCCTCGCAGACACAGTCCACACAGGACCAGAGGAGCACAAAAGACGCAGCATGTTAACGGGTATGCGGAGATGCGAAAACGAGCCAACAAACTACTGTACGTCTGTCTTCAAGCGAGACGGGTAAAGCGTAAATCCGCACTTAGGGAAGTAGAAGGTACACAATATTTCTGAGTAGGGCAGTTATAGCCGTTTTAGTTGATACCAGTACTTACAGTAGTAGGGGGTCAAATTGGGCGAGAAAATTTTAACGCACTATCGGACCGACTATTCAGTAGTGTGGGTCAAGCAGTGTCTATTTTATCGCAATCTCAAAATTGACACAAGTACAGTATGTACAAAGTACAAGTACTTGTACTCGTATGATACACCGTTTGTCAAATATCAGTCGCTCTTATTGATCGTCAGTATGGAATAAATAAATAAATAGTCTAGTGCGCTTGCTACCTTTTTTACTCGGCACAAACCCGTCCAGGAACGCCATCAAAGTCGGGCAGTCCCTTGCACACTCCCTTATGAATGTGCTCCTCAATCCAGGTCTCGTTGGACTCAAACATCTCGCCACAGCCCGAACAGGTGCCGGACGTAGTCGATCGCTGAGCAGACTTGGTTCCAGGAGGGTAGATGAAATGCCGGGCCTTGAGATGAGTTTTGTAAGTGTCTCGTCGTGAAAAGCCGCCCGATGGATGGCAGGGCATCTCGGCGGTGCAGTCGTAGAAGGGGCATGTGTGGGCCTTCTTCTCAGAATGCTTTTTGAGGTGTCGGGTAAGGTATCCCCGGATTCGGAACGTGGAATCGCAGTGAGGACACACAAACTTGGGGGCGTCGTCGCCCTCCTCACCAGCGGAGCCAGAGTTGGACACCGAGTAAGGAGAAGAAGATCGAGACGACGCGGGGGGCGACAGGGTGACGACGGGGGCCTGATGTTGCTGTTGATGTTGAGAAGAAATCTGGTAGAAGTCGATAGGCTGTGTCTGGTGGGTCTGGGGTTGCTCCATGTGCTGGGGCTGTTCCAGGCGCTGAGGTTGTTGCTGGGGCTGCTGCATGGTGGCGACAGGAGCATGCTCCTGGACCAGGTAGTCGAGAGCCTGGGGGGACTCCAAAGACGACGACGATGAAAACCGGTCGACTCTGTCAAAGGTCTCAAAGTCCAGAGCTTCCGACTGAGGAGACTCGGTGTAGAAGAGCTGCTGCTGCTGAGTCATGTGCTGCTGCTGAGTCATGTGTTGCTGTTGAGACACCTGCTGACGCATCTGCTGGGTGTTGTTCAGATGCTGAGAAATCTGCTGATGCTGCTGCTGCTGAAGACCCATGGGCATCTGGAACTTGGGCGATGAGAGGGTAGACTCAGTGTAGGAAGAGTGGGATAGAGGAGACAGGTCGTCGGCAGAGGGGAAGTCGCCAAGGTCGAAGAGCAGGTCCTGGGTCAGGGGCTGTTGCTGCTGCTGCTGAGCGACAATCTGCTGCTGCTTGACACTGGGTCGTCGTTCGTACGGAGTGTAGGAAGTGACGGACGATCTCTTTCGCTCGGGGCCTGCTCGTCGCATGAGCTTGGCGTCGGCGACAGGCATGTTGATTCCACCCATGAAGAAGGAGTCGGGCACGGAGGAAAAGTCGCTGAGAGAGTCCATGGAGTACATCATGTCGAGGTCAAAGGGCATCTGCGAGGTCTGCAGAGCGGCGGTGTTGTCACACACGTCCCATCCCACAACGTCGCCCTGTGGGTTGACCATGGGCAGCATACCAAAGTAGGTGTCTGTGGCACAGGGCTTGGGGGACTTTGTATCGTCGTCGAGCTTCTGGAGATTGGAGATGGAGGGGAACAGGGAGACAGTGGGGGTCTGGATTTCCTCGTCCGACTGCTCGGTATCGGACTCATGTTCCTCCTGCTGTAGCTGCTGCTGCTGCTGTTTTTTGTCTTCCAAAAGGGGCTCCTGCTCGCTCTGGTGTTCAGATACAGTGCTGGTCCAGAAGAGCGAAAAGATGAGGGTGGCCATCATGGAGACGAGCATGGCGCCTTGGCTCAGGAGCCGAAACAGTTGTGGCGATGAGGCGGGGCGTGAAACTGTTGTGGTTTCCATTTTGTGAGGTTGTAAATGTGGTGGTGTTGTACAACGTTATAGGTGGCGTGTTGTGTATGTGTTTGAGTAGTTTAAGAGAGAAGAGTCGGGGCGTTTGTTTCGTTGGTGGTATGCAAACTTGTCCTAGTTATTCTGGGGATTCTTCTTTCCAGTCGGTGTTGGTTGTACCTGATATTTTCCTTCCACGGGTGTGATTTACTCGGCGTCGTGGTAGCTCGGAAGCTAGGGTATATAAAAAGACTGATGGGTTTGGGGGTGGAAAAAAGCGTAATTCGGGAAAAGCCTAAGTGGGTTTTGGAGTCAATTTTTTAGGGAAACGCAAAAGCGAAAGAGCCAAAGTCTCATTGTCAACACAAAGAAGCTCGATACAAAAAGAAGGCTGACAGACAAGAGAAATGAGAGAAAAAAAAGCGAAACGGGAAATATGGTGAGGAGAGAGGCTCAGCATATAGGGTGTGAGAGCTGTGGGCAAACCAAAAACAAAAAAAAAGGAAAGACAGCCCTCTGAAGAGATAGAGATAGCGGTTGGGAACGAGAAAATACAGTAAATCCGAAAAGAAAGAGGACCCACACACATGTCGCGTACACTCGGCACCGCTCGGAGATATCATGTGGAGAGTGCACGAGTACCGTCTAGCTGTACGAGCAGGAGCACACACTCGCGCGGGATGCTTATTGCTACAGTATACCATCTCGTACAAGTATCACGAACAAAGACTCGGACCAATGGTCATACTCGTACATGTGTCGCGCTACGATTCACAGTTCCATCGTGTGCCACAAAGCCTTATTGCCCAAGGTCACGCTATTTCCCAATAAAAGACGTGGGAAAAAAGGTGGCTTATCAGTGCTGTTATCTACAACTATTGTCTCTTGTACGTGAACGTATTTTTGGCTTGTGAGAGGTGACATGGAATTTTGAATTCCTCATACAATTAGCTACAAGCACGATACAATTATGGCTTGTTGATGTGCTCTACATGCACCCCGGTTGCAGTATGTACTACTTCTCGCGCCCCACATTACGTAGGGGCTATTTTTTTTTCTGCTTTTTGGTGCACCGTTTATCCGCTAAACTCCTACACACCACCTTCTTATCACCCCCACCCTCTCTGGGCCTCGGTGGCTGCTTGCTAATTTTGGGGAGTGCCGTTTCCTGCAATGCGCTGTCGTCCGAGCTTGTTTTTTGGACAAGATAACGATGGCGGGGAAGCTCACGCCAGAGGCCACTAACGTAAGTGTGACGGGCTGGAAAAGAATTTTTTGGTGTAACGAAGGGCGTGAGCAATCCAGCTCGGATTCTGGCGGTTTCCCAAACCAGTATCAGCCACAAATTCGCACACCTCCCACCCCCTCCATCTCGATCAACCCAAATTACCTTTGCACTGGGTGCAATAAATATAAGTGTAGTGTGTCTTCTGTACTGACGCCATGTGCCAAGCCTCAAACGACGCATACGGCAACGAGTATGAGTAATATGGCAACGATATACGTGAGATAGGTGTTGGTGGTGTTTACAGCCGTACAAGAATGACATGGCAATGGGGGGGTGTCACTCTCATCAACCCATTGCTCAGGCTGAGCAAAACACGTTTTTTTAGACTCGGTCACGGTGCAAGAGTCTTGTTTCCACTGTACACACAGGTTCAGGCTTTAGGCTCGGCCCACAGCGCGACATTATTGTACCAGTCGGAACGGACAAGGTCAAAAAAGGGGAGAGTGGTGGAAAAAGCAAAACGAGGAGAAACAAACATAAACAGGTCAGCTATTTACCCCGGATTCCTCACTGGCTAATGGCAGTTTATACCAGGCACAAGGTACTGGTGCACAAGTAGCAATGTAGTGGTACGAAGTGTTTATGTGCGGGGAACAAGCGCCCGTATGTACGTACGGTACTCGTATATGGAGTACGATAGGCAGATCAAGCCACATTCGAGGCGTGAATTGCAGCTGGTGGAGGGTAGATCTGCTTTGTGATGAACAAACAGGCACAATTGAGTGACGATGAACCCGAGTATCGTACCAGTATACATGTGTATCGTACAGAGACAGTCTATATCATGTGTTCGTTCCGAAGTGAAGCAATGACGTAATGCAACTACAAGCAGCTACTTGACTGAACTACAAATATGAGGGTACACTATACGACTGTTGGCCGATGTGTACAGTACGAAATCTCAGTGTAATGCTCTGTACACAGTATGTGCATTACTACTCGTACAACTACCGACTTGTACACAGTACATACAACGATGAGGGTATGTACAGACAAGTGGTTCGTATTCAGATTGCCAGTCTTCGGCATCCTACCCCACAACGGCTAATGAGATGGTGCATAAAATTGTCCACTGCTCCTGACACTGAGTCAATGCAACTCATCTGCCCTCAAACAGATGACTGTGGGGTACGGCTTCGACGTCTCGGTCTCCATCTCCATCCAAGACCAAGACCAAGACTAAGGCCAAAACCCTGAGTCTAACTCCAGCTCCTCCTTTTGGCATCGTGAAGACGGGTCGTTGGACCGCTGTTTGCCGCTGCTACAAGTAGACGCTCTGCTTGTAGTATAGGGCACACTACTGCAGCCCGATCTAGCACACGCTACTTTAGGCTGGGTCTACGGTTAGCCCCGCACCTGGCATATGCTCTAGAATGTCTTTGGAGCAAGGAGTAGGTCTATGGCCATTCAGGGCACCACAGGGAGACATTCTAGCGCACAAGTACTGGTATGTAGACATTACTAATGTGTGTTTAATTAATAGTACATGCTGTTGCGATTGGATAATCCCCCGGGGCATGTATTTATTGGTACTAATGCTGTGTAACACCAACTGGTGCTTGTCTGGATATACTCCGGTTAGTGCATTCCGGACACCTATAACTCTTCTCTGCTATGCCATTTAATCCGATTGTTGGCACCAGTCGTATGGCTTCCCCACTTATACGAAAACCGATAGCCATCCATGAGACCTATGCCGAACGTCTCTTTGTTGCACACAATGGTTCATCAAGGACCGTGGAGGTTTTATGGAGGGGGTGGGGGGTGTTCAATGGAGTAGGTCACAGCGATTGAGAAGGCGGTCATTCGGCATATGCTGTCAAGTGATTTGCCAGTAGCTCATTGGCAACAGGTCGCGATTTCACCCTTTGTGAGTTACTACAATAGTTCCGGACTTCACTCAGTAGAGTACAGCAATTCAGGGGTATATTCGTAAACAGTATACGTACTGTACTCATAGTAGGTAGCGTGTATTGTACCTTTAGCTGACAGCTACTGTACACATACATCTGGCACTTATGTCCGAGTACAAACCAGTCAATGTTGTTTTCTGGCTATTCGTCTGATGTGGTAGAAGGAACACTGGTGAAGAGACTGTTCCGAACAAGAAGCCGAACTCCTGTCACTACAAGTAGCTACAAGTAGCTATTGTACCTGCAGAGTGCCAAGTCAGCATTCCAATTTGTTTTTAATTTGCTTTCGTCCTACATCTATCTTGATCTACTGTTTAGCTGGTCTGGGCTTCTCTTCCGTGGATCTTGACCAGGCTAATGTCTGTCTAGCTACATGTGGTAGAAATACATACTGTAGTTCAGTTATGGAACCCTTTTTGGTTCTTAGAATGTTCAAATGGTGGCAAGCAATGACACTACGACGGGCCAATTGCGACGCCAACGTCCTCGACGCCTGAAACTTGACACTATCGGAAGAATGCATCTCGGGTGTCCTAATTTGAGACTGTATACTTGTTGTAGTTCCATCTGTGACAGTAGCCATATAATCCGTGCCCTTCTTTCCATCATCTCTAAATGTCATTACAGTCTATTTTTATGTCGTATGCTCAGTTAGTCCGTTGCTCGTGCTCCCTCTTCACTCCTCAAATGTCTGCCATCGGTACCAGTTATAAGCAATGATGGCCAGCAGCGAGATCACCAGGCCAATAGTGTTGACCACAGACATGGTGTCGTCGTAGATCAGTGCACTGGCCACAATCGTGAGAATCTCCTTGAAGATGCCTCCAATAGAGAGTGTGATGACAGAGGTCTCCTGCAGCAGCGCGTACTCGGCCACAGTAAGGAAAAATGCAAAAAGTCCCGGGATGACCATGAGGAAAATCCCCCAAAGAAGGCCCTGGTCGGCCCAGAAATGGGATGTGACGAACGTCACAGGACCCTCCACAATCAGAGCAAACACGAACAGACACAGAGCCATCATGGGAGCCACGTTCTGAATCGTGGAAAAGGGGTTTGTAGTCGCAGGGCATCGTGTAAGAAGCAGCTGAGTCAGAGCCCATCTGAGACCTGACAGAACTGCTGCTCCTAAGACAAGCAGGAAGCCGATCAGATGGAACTTAGTCTCTCCGGCAACCATCATGACCACACCGATCATCAGCACCATTACCACGCTGATGAGCTTGACGTTGGGCTTTTCGATTCGGAACATGAAACCAAAGATCATGACCCAGCCCAGAGACGACGATTTGACCATGGTGTAGAAGGACACGGTGATATATTTTAGCGAGATGTTGCCCATTCCAATGTCTCCTCCCGTGGCCAGACCACAGGGGCCCATCTTGTATATGTACTCCCGCCACGTCAGAGGCACGTAGACCTCTCCCTTCTCTGTTGCCATCACACGGGGGTTGAAGCGTCGGGGGAACGCTGTAATGACTGCAGTAGCAAACGCAGTTTGTACCAGTTGGTGGATACCTGTGGCGAACAGCGGGAACCGAAAGTCCAGCTTTGTTGGATCAAACATCCACTTGTTGTATAACGTCAGGGAGAGAGAAAACGTGTACCAGCAAAGCAGGTAGGCTGTGCATTTGAGGGCGTGTTTGATCCACTTGTTTTTCTTGATGACGGCGGACTCTTTGTTCTCGGAGTCGCTCATCATCTCCATCTGGTGAAAGTCGTCTCCAATGGGATCGTCTTCCAGTAGAGCGTCGAGATCGGAGTCACTGTCGTTGTTGCCGCCGTGTCCATTGTGCCGCCGTTGCGAGTCTTCGCTGGTGGTCCGGCGCAGCATGCCGTCATCGCGCCCAGCCGGCGAGTCCAGCTGTTGGTACTGGCCCATATGTGTGTTTTGGTGTCAAGGGGGTTGAGATGTATCACGTGCGTTACGCGTGTCGTGAGGGGGTGCGATTAGATTTATCAGCGGGTTGGTGGAAGTCACGTGATCGGAATGGGTGTCGATTGGGTACCTCTGCTCTGTGTTGCCGCTACACTTGTTTTCCGCGCTCCTATGTCTCTGTTGGGGGTATAATTTTAGTGGCCGTGGTAGAGAACTGAACCACAACCACACACACCGGTGGACCAGCGCCTTTAGAGTTCGTTGCTGTTGAAGTGAGCCAGGTGGGACAAATACTGTAATTAAGCGTGTCGTTAAAGGGGTTTGATTGGGAGAGGATTACAAGTAGGCACTGTTATAATTATGTCCTTCTGGGCGAGCAGATGATGGCGTCGTGACATAGATAGTGTAGCGGTCGTATAAGTGGTCTCTACCGGGTCACAACTAGTGAGTATGTTCACATTCAAGTATTTGTACTCTTACTGTTTTGAAACCCACTTTACACACTCATCTTTCAACCACCTTTCCCCATACATACACAGTCAAAATAGGCATTGTAAGAGACGCACCTCGGCAGCAACCACAGCAATGCCACACGACCATACAAGTGGACCATAATAAATACAAGTGCAAACACAAGTACAAGCACACCGATAGACGCGGTCCACAGGACCTCAGAACCACCACATGCTGTCGAAACTGACTAAGCGCGATATACCCTAACCCCAACACATAATTTACTGTACGAGTACCGGTACAACTTGTACTTGCCTCCACACGTGCCTATCAACCAGCATCCATTTCCCTGCTGACGTAATAAGACGGCCCAACGTACAACATGGTGTAAATACGAAATACGACACACGGGACAGGTGAAGTAGGCCCAATATCATACGACTAATCGTAACCAACTCGCAGCATCACGAACACGTCGATGTTACTCTCAACGTCAACCCTAGGCTCGAAAAACCCTAGCTATAAATATTTCTCCGCCAAAGTTTGTATGCAATGCCATGCATTGAACCGAGTGAGGAGTTGAGAGGAGTTGGGGTGACAAGAGTTCCAAAATGTCGTAGGGTGGGCCATAGATGTATATGCTCGTTCATGGTGCGATACGGAGCAACCAAACAAGCCACGCCACGCCCAAAACAATGTTGATTAGACCCTTTAGCTCCACTATTGCACCGGTACTCGCATACTAATATAGATAAACTTTGAAGATGTCACAATAGTGCTATGGGTATGTACGGAAAGGTCCAGACGTCGCTCGCTCGACGGACTTAAGACAGAACAAAACAACACAGCTACTTGTGCACACGGCAGGAGCAATGAAACTCTCCAGCACACTACTCGCGTGCCTGGGGACGCTTGGAGCTACCCAGAGAGCTTTTCCAGTGTCCCATGGACCCACAGAACAGGAGCTCATGCCCTACTCATGGGATGATGTCTATGACTTTATGAGTGCGGACTTCCAGGACCAGTTTCACATTCAGTACGCTGATGGATCGATACGAGGCAAGAGGATCGACAAATACTTGCCCGATGACGCAATCCACCTGCGCAAACGACTGGTTAGTGACGAGGACTCAGCCAAAGTCAGTGGAGGACAGTTGTACTTGGATCTCATGATCGGCTGGTCCAAAGGTCATGGTGTGGGTGGCGACGACAAGCGGTACAAACTGTCTGTCAACCTGTGGAACAACGTGACGATCCTATACGACTACGAAGACATTCCTACGTGTCCCGAACGAGACAGAAACCTGTGTGACCAGGTGACAGACCCACAGTGTGTGTTCGCAGACGCCACGAAATGCGACTACAAAGACAACATCTATGCATACAACACAACCAACGGCACCAACGTGAATGAGGTGCTTCTTGGCTCAGATTCAGGCTACAACATCTCCCTGATTCAACAGTCTATCACAGGTAACCTGTACACAGACTGGGTTCAAGTTGGAGACCCTGCTACAGGAGCAGCTTTTTCAGTGGACGGATTTGCATTTGTGGCAGCTCGAAAGGGCACCACGCAGAGCCCAGGTATGGGGTTTGCCCCGGGACACTACCTCACTGGTCTCATGAACACCACTAATGTGACCACGGACTTTGCTGCCGCTCTCATGTACAACGGATACACAGAGTCGCGATCTCTGGCGCTATACATGGCTAACGGATCCAGTGCATCGCCTCATATGATGTTTGGAGGACTGGATACATCATTAGCCAAGGATAACTTCTTTGTGTCCTACCCACTACTCAAGGGAAACAACTTCTCCTACCCAACTCAGTATATGGTAACACTCACAGGAGTGTCTGTTACGGCCGACGATGGAACTTCTGCATCTTTGGGAGAACTGGGAGGGTCGTGTGGAGATGGGGACACCAAGGGTGACTGTGTCCCAGTGGGATTTGACACTACAAAGTACATGTCCTACCTACCCCGAAACGTGGTCATTAACCTGGCCATCCAGCTCAACGCAATGTACTCGTCTGACCTGCAGCTGTGGATCCAGTCATGCGCATACAGAACCATTGGTGGATATTTGAACATCGAGCTGACTTCTAATGTCTTTTCAGTGCCCATCTCTCAGATGCTCATGCCCATGATTGACGATCAGGGCAACGCTATGAAATTTAACGGCGGTGAAGACGCGTGTTATCTTGCTCTCAGACCGTCTGAAAACAATGGTTACAACTCTCTCGGTCTGGGCTTCATGCAGAACTTCTACATGGTATTTGATCCCGATGACAACTACGTCTCCCTGGGTACACTCAAGAGTCAGCAAGAGCTGGATACCGAGGCTTTCAAGAACAGGTACCCGAACCCTGTCAAACCTCTCAAACCAGGCAGGCTGTCCAAAATTGCTAACGTAACTACAGTTTCCGAACAAGCCCAAATCACCTTCCAGTACGTTCCTCCCCATGACGTCACCGAGATCATCACCACGACATCCAACGGAGTAGCTCTGCAACAAGGCCCTCTCGGAGCTCCTGTCCCTACGTCAGCAAACTCTCTGCTGGTTATTACATATGGCTCTTCAGTCATGTCGCTCCAGGGCATTCCCATCGGAACCTCAGTTCTGGAGTCCGGCACCGTGTCTGGAAATGCCAGAATCGATCCCACAGGCGCCACGACTCGGTCAACGTCTTCCACGATCAAACCCCCGCAGATCCAGATTCTGGGAACTCCAATTTCGGGCTCCCTGACCATCTTCAGGCAAGGGTCTCCCACAGAAGCACCCAGGATGGCCAAGCAGGCGCCTATGGGCAACTCTAACATTGGCGCCCCTCGTTCTGGCGCCACCTCTTTACTCCAGGGATTTGGAGTCACTCTTGGGATGTGTCTCATTGGAGCCTGTATTATCATTGTTGCCTAAAACTAACAGCTAACCGACAACTAGCCATTGCATTGTATATATTTAATAATAGGTTGACGCAGGAGGCTATGATGTTATTTTTAGATGAACAGGGCCAATAGATGCTATAGGCAGTGGCTTCTGGTACGAGTACACAACGCTTAGTCAAAGCTACAAGTAGTAGTGTACCCAATACTCTCTATTGTCAAGATGAAGCAGGAATCAAACGAGCTGCAAAGTAACAATTATCAATTGCAAGCAATGATGATTCTACAAGTACTCGTACTGCGAGTGTGGTAAATTGGTACAACTCGTACTGTACGAGTAATTAGTATCGGTGGTCATACAACTAAGACACCAATAGAGAAAGGACCACCGGTATTAATAAGTAGCTAGCATGTTGTGCTAGAACCACTGTGAGTTACCCTTGATGAGCTATTACATCCATAGGCTGAATTTGAAATGAGCTGATATTGACACTCTGCAAAGGCGCAGGCTGTATACACTGCGAGTACAAACCTCTTGTAGCAAGAGATAGACTCCAACCTACGGTACTCGTAGCTCTGTCCGTTCTCCACGGTCCATTAAACCCGGTGCAAGTACTCGTACTAGATATCGTACGGATTTGAAGAAGCTTAGCGTTCACTACGAATACACATGTGTTGGCGGTCCAAAACAGCATGAAGGGGGTGAAAGTGAGACAAAATGCGGTGTCCACGGGAATATACGAGATTCCACATGGATCTTGAAGGGTAATGGAAGCGTGGTAAAAGGTGTTTCATCACTCTCGACCTTGTATGATGGAGTTTTGGTGATATCGTTGTGGTTGAGCCGTTGTACTTGTAAGGAGCCCCAATACGGAGAGGTCTAGAAACTGGAACCTCGATATTATTAGCAGTGTCGGATGTTCCACGAAGACATCGGCACTGCGACGTACAGTAGAAGTGCATATTGTACTCGTACAGCATGTACCAGCACATCCATACTTTACATGCAACTAATCCAACAGCTCAGAAGAAGAGTGGTGCCGTGTGTACTGACTGTACAAGCTGTTCATACGACTATCCCTTGCGCTAATGTGAAAGTACAGCAGGACTTGCTTTCCTATCCTCAGTGGAACGAATACCGCTACTTCTAACTAACTAATTAGCGCCTCGGACTGAACGGAAGAGGGATGTTATCCGAAAATACTGGTATACAGCTTCTGCGCTAGGAGCCCGTTCTACCGTAACTACCACGAGCCCATGCCGGTGATCCGCCATATAGCGCAGAAGCAAGGTGCGAGAGATTTGCATCGGAACAAATGCCACGGACCCAACCAAATGAGATGTTGAATCTCCCTTCTTCCCCCATCTCATCACAATAGTAGATCGATCGTCTGCTGATTTCTACTGAATCAGGGAGCATGGCACTAATGGTTGCACTAAGACTCCCCCAAAGCCGGCGCGAAATGGATTTACGTGCTGAAGAGTCCGTCCTATTCATATGAGCTATTACTTGGGTCGTGGTTGTGCTCTACTCAGGCCATATATCTACGTTGCTCACCTCCACGGCACCCTGGCTCAATCCAGAAGTACATCGCACCTACAGCGCCCTTTTGCAAGTTTATCAACCTCGAAGTGCGCGGCTAATATTCGCGCATGGATATCTGTACTGCTGCTAAGCCAAAGAATGCGTTAGTGGATAGAATAAGGGCGTTAGAACTGCCCTATAGCCATTTCCTGATGAAACACTAACATCGACTAATCGAGGCTGTTATGTTTTTCCATGTGTTTATAGGCCGGCTACAATAAAAAACCTGCTGAGCCGAAAAGGACGATCAGCGCAGATCAAGGGACAAAATTCCATACATGCGGACAATCTTCTATCGGGAAAAACGCCCCTTTTTATTGGTCCCTTCGGAGTTAACCTAGACTCTTTTGCACGGCTCTGTAGCGGGCTAACACGATGAAACCCGACTTGTGTCACTGTAGTGGGCCATACACGTGTGTAAGACTACGAGTTGAGCATGTGGTTGCAACATGCACACGCCTCAAATGTCATTATTCGTACATTTGACGAGAATCGCAGATCGTCTCAGGGCCTGACGTGCTTGGCATACCCTCTCCTCACCAATTGTTAACGGTCTTTCAGTTTGACATTGTGAGCTTGGAGGACATAGCTGGGGTGAGTTAGTAGGCCATAAGAACCGTGCTAATGGGCTTCAAGATGAAACAGCGAAACAAGTTGGTTGGGTTGAAAAAACGACTTGGCTAAATTCTCGCTTCGTGGACTTGGACCACACAGTTCTGCTTGTCGTGCCGTACAGCCAAGGAAAACAATATGCGCATGCCAAGCTTAGCTGGTGAGACGTCTGTAATAGAGGGCTGTTTGTATGGAAGGCCCAAAGTAGCAAAGGGGGTGGTCGGAGACCCTCCAAGGCGCCAGCAGTGGCTTTGGCAGCCCATAAGGCTTGGGTATTTTCATCTTCGGCGTCTGACAGCTTTTTTTGCGTCCTCTTTTTCGTTTTTCCACCCATTCGCACCTTTTTGAACAATGCTACCCGATGTCGCTGACGGAGTCCGCTTTGGTGCAGTTGGGTCGCACTTCCGCTTTGTTGGTCGCGTCTAACATGTGAGTTAATCGTCCAATGGGTGCAGCTTTCGGAGCGGTTATGGGTGGGTAACCGTGGAAAAAAGCAGAATAAAACCAGTGGCAAGGTCGGAAAGACGGCTTATATTGCTTCTGATCCAACCCATCCGTTTCTGTTGCCTGTTTCGGGGTTTACACAATCCCACTATCTCCACTTGCCATTTCCATTTTCTTCAACCAACATTAAGCTCAAAACCTTAGTAAATGCCGTCCCAAGGCGCTAGTGCCACGGCGTCAGGGCCCTGGGGTAACCTGTGACTTCGAGGGGGATATTGGGGATGAACGAAGAGCAAATCGACGCTGGAAAGTCGATAAAGGGCGTTTAGACACACGCAAATTCCAGTAAATCAACTCGCTTTTGCCTTACCTCTTTCTCCGCTGCTCACACACCCCTCCGCGCCGCTTCCCCAGGTTACCGACTGCGTCTTTAGTGGTTGCCTTGTCTCTGAGTCTGAGTCTGCGGCTGATCGGCTGTTGCGTGCAGTTATAACCACTCTTGTGTCCGGCGCCTCGTCACGCTCCAGGGCAAACCGCTAGGCAACTAGAGGTAGGAGTGGAAGGACGTGCAACATTTCTGACGACACAAACACACAAGCACACAAGCGACTTCGCGACACTGAACGATACCAGCAAGATAATCCGGCCCGTCAGATATAAACAGCTACCGATAACGGTTACCGAACACCAACAGCACGATCTCCTACGGACGAACTACACCCACACGACTAACTACCTCGTTCCACTACGCCCACCACGACCACCACCACGACCGCCACATGAACGAACAAGACGATAATGATGTGCGTTCGCCGGGTCTGTCGTCCTCCTGCTCAAGCGCCATGACCTCTCACACGGGCACCCCGCTGCTGCAAGAGGCGTGCTCCTCGTCCTCAGTGCCTCCCATGTCTCTCGACGCCTTCAACGAAAAGTTGTTGATACACCCATCCGGCGAAGAGCAGGTGGTGCTATCTTGTGCTACACAGTCCCATGTGGCCACCCGCAGCCGCAGACGCTATGATGTGGACGTTTTCTTTGACAGACAACAGAACGAGAGCTCCCAGGGAACCACTCCCGCAGCTACAGGCTCCGACAAGAGCAAGGGTAAGCAGCCGGCCGTGAGTGCCACGGTCGAAAGCATTTCCGCACCTCTGGCTTCGCAAGTGGTGCCCCCAGCGGCAGTCTCGCTCTTCCCAGCTACAAACATGAACCAGTTTGACTCAAAGTCCGAAGAATATATTCCTTTGGACGGTTGTGTTGAGGGATAGACCAAAGATACGGTCAAAGGTTACAAGCGGAGCTCGAATGGAGACAATAGCGGCACAGGATGACGACACAGGCCGACGACACAGGCTGACGACACAGGCTGACGAACACATACAAACGCACACAAACAAACAAACACACACAAACATACACACACAGCCTCGATCATCGGATGCTACATTGGATCCATTAATTAGACCCCTCTGAGCGTTGGAATGAGACTGTATCAAGGATAGGATCAAGTGACACTCTGCCGATGAAGCCAACTTTGTTTTTGTTGGCACTTGACGCAAGGGTGACTGATTGATGGCTGAAGGATGATGTACAGCATATCGGACCTGGCGAGACATATGACGTATATGACTTCGATATGAAAGCCGGCAGGACTGGCTACTGTGCCCGAACAAGTAGACTACATTACTCACTCACACTATTATTTATTAATGCATTTCACGTATTTTATTGAACTAAAGGAGGTGTAACAATGATACAGCCGTTTACGGAACGGGTACGTAGGCTGAGTCTGAGTTTGATACTCTTACGCTCTGTGGTTGGATTCACAAGCGTAACTCTGTAGTTAACCAGAGCGGGTTAAGAGCTCACACCTTTTGTCGGTGTTTGCATAGTTGGTAATCGTAGCATTGATGTTATCATCTGAACTTGTACTTACGTCTCCACCTTGCGAGTTCTCCACCCCATCGAGGTGGAGGAGGTTTAGTGCCAGATGGAAGAGAAATTTGTAAACGGCTAAACCGGTTTCATTCGCATCCTTTACGCAATGCTACATTGCCGCCCTGGCAGTCTTTGTAATAATTAATCTCTGCTCCCCACACTGAGCCTGTGTGGACAGGCAGGTATCGCACATGGACTAACTTATCAGTCCTTGTTTCGAGAGATCGGCAGTTACAGATCGGCGTGGTAGTGTAATCTAAGTAGGTCATGAGCGCAGAGAAGGGTGGGTGATACCGCTCAAATGTGGACATAACCCGGAGTTGGGGTTGTGATATAGATCAGACTCTATTCACTAACATACATCCACCGTACAGTATTACTCTTCACGTGCAGACCCCTCAGCTAGAAGCTGTAACTTACCATAATTCTGGTGGCTACTCTACGAGCTCTACGAGTACTTCTGGCAGGTCTGAGAGTTCGGATAGAGTAAGGTACAAGCACCGAAGGAGAGGTAAAGAGCCAAAGTAGGAGGTGAATCCACGGCCTTCGGACTAAAAAAGCGGTGTTTTGAGTCAGTACAGTAGTTTTAGTCCCCCCAGAAATATGTCATCTCATTCACCCCACAAGTAGTGAGACATCAATGCGGTTGATGCAGATGGATGTGGCCAAGAAAGACTGTGCCGTATCGTAATGATACACGGTATTATCTAGTTTTACAAATTCCTTGCTCGAAAACCCGTCACACCTCTTTCATCGCACCATAGATAAGACCGAGATGACCCCTCTTTGCTTCTGTGGCTTACTCTGACATGTCTCAAGTGAGAGCCTGATAAGACGTTAGGTTGGAGGATCTATCGAGGCTGCCAACTGTTAGCAACTGCCATAAATGATTAATTAGCACCGTGGAAGATGTGTAGAAGGCGTGAGACGCCGAAGCAAACAAATAATGATTTATACAGACGGTAAAGGGCATTATGTACACCTCTTTACCATGTGTGTTTATTACTACATCGCACACTCGTTATTACAGACAGTAGCCCCTTGCCTCTTACAAACTGGTCATCAATACATCTACTACACTATCATTACATGGCCAATAGCAATAGCTGCCGTGGCTACGATCAGGAACAGTCCTAAACCGGCGACATAATTACATGGGTTTATAACCATCTACCCTCATTGTTACATCACACAATTAGCATCTGTATGAAGTGCGATACACCAAGTGAAACAAAATCCACCTGCCCAAGGAGCAGATTAGACGATGGTCCCATATATAGAATGATAAAAGTAGTTGCTGAAAGTACCTGACACAATTAATATGGGCCACTCAAATCCCATATCTAGTACTCCACAGCCACAATGCTACACCACTGGCTATCTACAAGTAGATGTTTTTGTGGCGTCGTATCAATCATGTCATCAGGCCGAGTTCTTGCACAGCTGTGAAGAAGATGGAACAGTCATGGTTAGTCACGGATGCAGAAAAAATAATTACTGCTTGTATCTTTGTTGACGCACAAGGCATCTCTGGGGATGGCAAGATGCACCAGGTGGTTCAAGTAATTCTCCAAGTAAAAACTAACTATAATACCCCAATCTCACCAAAGAACGATACTCAAGCAATGTAACCGTAAGGGTCGATTTTTGTGCTTATTACCTCCTATACCGGACGCTGTCAATTTTCTAGCATACCTTCTGAATCCATTCCACCCTTGTACTGTAGCACAAAAAAGGAGAAAACCCCTACCAGTTTTGTCCCTATCAAACCCCAATAAACTGGTTGAATTAAAAGTGAAACTGCATGAAGGCAGCAGCACCACAACATGTTATAAAACAAAACAAAACACAAACATGATGCACAAGACTTCACAAGAAGCCATTAGGGTCAAAAAAATATCGCTGCAAGATATTGCTCTCAGTTTGATCTCTCATTTCTTGCTCATTCTTGAAACGGTATCATTCACTACATTTCATGGACTGGGTCCGATGCACATAATACATTTTTTTCCCTCTAAATAAATCTGTTTTAAAAAAAGACTTAGTTCTCAGCGAGGAGCTGCTCTCGCTTCTCAGCGATTCGAGCGGCTCGTCGCTCTCGGGCAGCTCGGTTCTTGACTCGTCGAGCCTCGGCCTCGTCCTTGAGGGCCTTCTCTCGAGTAGCCTCAGCCTTGGCCTTGATAACGTGCTCGACAACGGCTCGCTTGTGCTTGAAGGTGTTACCCTTGGCGAGCTTGTAAAGCTCGTGGTAGAGGTGCTTGTCAATCTTGCCCTGCTCTCGGTACTTGGAGAGCAGTCGTCGGATGACTCGCTGTCGTCGCATCCAAAGGACCTGCTCGGGCATTCGAGCGTTGGCGGTACCCTTTCGCTTACCGAAACCGGTGTGTCGGCCGGCTCGCTTGGCCTCGGCCAGAGCTCGAGTTCGGGATCGAGAGTGCATGGCGTTGGGCTTTCGCACAATAAGGCCGTCGGACACGAGCTTTCGCACCTGCTGTCGAGAGTTGGCGTTAGCAATGTCGGTCAGCTCCTGGGGGTCGAGCCAGATCTTTCTCTTTCCAACGCCGAGGACGCTGGCGGCGAGTCGCTTAGTGGTCTTGAGGTTTGCCCTGGAGTTAGTTACATGTGTTGTGGTGCTGGTGGCGAATACATCAAAAGAGGGGGAACAACAAGAGCAAAGAGGGGGTCAAGACAGGCCAAAGAGCTATAGAGAGAGTGTAGAGAGCACAAACGGACAGTGTAAGGTATGTAGCAAAATGTGCCCACCAAACACTCTCAGCTTCGCACCCCATTAAACACCTCCGATCGTGGATACCACGGAGTCTCTAATCTCAGAAGACGTCAAAAGATGGACGCCGAAATGTCGATAAAATCTCTGTCATGTCCTCATCTCCTCCACATCGTAATCCCTCTCGCTCGGGGTCCATTCCAATGCTGTCTACTCACATTTTTGTCAGTGTCGTTGTTCAAGATGAGAAGAAGAGAAAAGCCAGAAAAACTTCGACTAATTGGGAGCGCTGCGAGGGTGACCAGTTAACTTACTATGGGGAATAGGGTTGTCTACTGGTTGCGGTTGGGAGCACTCGAGAGTTTGTGACCACTCTTCCCAAAGCGGAATAAGTCATGTGATCTGAGGTTGAAATTTGGAACCGCGCCGGGTGATTGTGGGTTCGATTCGACACTGCGACGTTTGTATTAATTTAGGTAAACCTTACTGGGGTTATGCACCTCCATGCAGCTCTTGCAAAAAAATCGGGAAATTTATTTCGCTATAACCACACCTCAACACAACATCAAACATGGGTAAATCTCTGAGATCCAAGGGGCAGCAGCGAAATCGAGCCATCATGCGAGAAAAGGTCTTCGGACCTGCTCGAGAAAAGGTCGAGCTTTCCATTGCCAAGCGACTTCATGGTGAGGAGGTGCTCCGAAAGAAGGAGCAGGAGAAGGCTGATAAGGAAGATGGTGAGTGCGAAGAGATTAAAGGGATTTTGACAGTGACGAGAGATGAATGACGACAAACGAGTGCTTTTAGTCCGTTTGACTCAGCTCTATTTCACTGTCGTTGTGTTGTGCGTCTATGAGTACCAGCACCACCTACAGTGGCAACAACGGCACTATTTGTACATCAACTAACCCAGCTATGGAGACTGAAGACGCTCCTGCCGGAGAGGAGGCCGATAAGCCCAAGGTGTCGACCGGAGGCTTCTCCAAGAAGAAGAAGAAGGCAAGAAAGCTCAAGTCCAACAATATCACCTTCAACACCAAGCGAAAGAAGAAGAACTAATTTATTGCATTACTAGATGGATATAATGAACATTTATTAACGGTTACCGTGTAATATGGGCTTGTGTAATGTGATGGGATATTCCGCGGAGCTTTGGTATGTTCTTAAAACGTTTACAGTGACGTGAGACATGAGGCGTGTCTCATCAAGTACAGTGTGAACGATACTGTACGTGTAGCCAAAGAGATAACTTGTACATCAGGAGACTGAGAAAAGCAGTGCCATTGTGAACACTTCCGCCACTTCCGTCACTTCTTGTCTCGTTGCGCCCTTGGATCACTTGTACCGCAGTATGTACGAATGCACCCTATCAGGCACTACTACTTGTAGACGCACATAATTATTGTATCTCATGGTCTTGGACGTAATTCGAATATATAAGCAGTTTGAAAATAATAGCCACGACTTACATGTCGCCTGATTGGACACACATCCCCAATACCTTCTACTACACGACATATTGAAGTACTTGTATACAGTATGACATGCTTGGACAACTTCGTACAGTAGTTACTGTATGTACACTGCACTCTGGATATGTACAACATACGATATATACTTGGCTTCAGAAGTACGAGTACAAGTACTGTGCATTTGACGGCTACGTCGTGGATATTTCCGACCTCATCATCTTTCATAGCTTCTCTCTCAGGGATATGTCTACCTTGGACTACAATACATCACTACGCACTCGCTTCCTCTTACTCTCTCATATATTCATAGCTGTTAAATAAAACTCATTTGGTTAAAGCAATCGGTGCTCTACTCAACCTGAGGAACAGGGGCGACCTGGACGGTCTCCTCCTCATCGTCAGAGTCAGAGTCAGAGTCGGAGTCGGAGTCGGAGTCAGAGTCGGAATCGGAATCGGACTCCTCCTCAACCTTGTCCTCAGACTTGTCCTCAGGCTTCTCCTGCTCCTCAGGCTGAGGTCGACCAGGGAAGAATCGGCCGCCATGAATTTCGGCCACCTTGTGCTCGCCGTTGGGGAGAATGTAGTGGACTCGGACGGTCTGCATCTGCTTCTTGTCCTCGTCACAGGGCATGTTGCCAGGTCGCATCATGCCGTGAGGTCGGCCTCGCATCATACCGTGGTGTTTGCCATGTCGGTCGCCAGCAGGCATCATCTGGTTGTTGCCATGGTGCTCGCCGTGGTGCTCGCCGTGGTGCTTGCCGTGGTGCTGGCCATGGTGAGGAGTACCGGCCTCTCGCACCATCATCTCGTTGCAGGCATCAATAGACATGCCAATGATGGGGGAGAGGAAAAGCAGACCGAGAATGACCCACAGGGCCTTTCGGCACTTTCGCTTGGGCTGCTCGGTCTGGGCCTCGGGGTCAACGTTGTCGAGCTGCTTGGAGGGAGCCTCCTCGAGAGTAGCCTCCTCGTAAGAGGGAGCCTTCTCGTCAAGGGGCTGGGAGTCAATGGGGAGTTTCTGGTCGGTGGTGGACATGTTGCTGGAACTGTTTGTGTAACTTGGAGGAAGATGGGTCAGCTCTGAAAAGTATATCGCGTCTTTAGGACACATTATTAACTGTTAGCTATCGCCACTGCCTTTAAGTTCGCTGCAACCAAAGATAGACAAGTGACGTGAGACCATGCACGGAGAGCAGTGGGGACATTGTGGGCGATACAGAAGCTGGTGCGCAAAAGAAGGGATAGCCCTTCTTGTCCTGTCACGTGACGCATTTGTGCAACAAACACTGGGGGGTATTACGGCTCTAGAACATGCAATATTGTTTATCCCTCACCCACCCTTTGCTCCATATTCGTCTGTACACTTTGGTTGTCTCATGCTCCACCCAAACACAGTTTGGCTAAGAATTCTATCAAACACAGCTAAGCCTGTGTGACAGGCTTTTGGACGCTAATTGAAATAACACGCCGGAGCCTGGAATGCCAGATAATTGCTCTCCAGCCCATCCAGCCCTTCTTTGGATACTGTTTATCGCTCATGTTCACTTTCTAATATGCAGCAAAAGTTGCGCGGGAATTAAGTGGCGGTGCAGCCGTGGCGGTGCATGGCCGAGTTGCAACAGAGGCTGCAAGTCGCCAGTGGAGGCCAAGTGAAATACGAGTCTATCCGGTACGACACGATTGAGTTGAAATTTAATCAAATCAGATAAAAAAAAGAGAGAAAAAAAGAAAAAAGAATACTGATATAATGGGGTATATGAGAGGGGTTTTTTAGGGGAATAATCCAGCTACATAGTTTTCACGCTGCTTCGCCCGTGGATCTAGGGGTAAGAGCGAGCCCACTTCACCCAGGATATGCCACAGCCTTGGCGCCCCAGATGGTGATAATATAGGTCTGGACATTCATTCAATGCTTAATTGCGCATCTAGAGCATTAGTCTACAAAATTTACTGTAGGTGTTTTTCAATGTACAGAGTCATTTCACACTTACTGAATATAGGGAGGGTTCATAACTACACACTGCATACGTTAATGGCCAGTGACCAGTCAATTCTGTGACCTACCACCTCTCGCTACCGTTTTCCGTAAATGTTACAATAATTACATGACTTGGTCTACTCCTCGTCGACGAAACCTCCCTGCTTGCAAAGCGAGTAGAACAACGAGTCCTTTCGCTTGAGCAGCTCGGCAGGAGTATCAAACTCGGCAATCTCGCCCTGGTTGAGCACCACAATCTTGTCCGAGTCCAGAATGGTGTTGAGTCGATGCGCAATAGTCAGAATCGTTCGGTTCTTGAACTCGGTTCGAATAGTTTCCTGGATGATCTTGTCTGTCTCCACATCGACAGCAGCAGTGGCCTCATCCAGCACCAGAATCGAGGTGGGGGTGAGCAGAGCTCGGGCCAGACACATGAGCTGTCTCTGACCAACCGAAAAGTTGGACCCTCCCTCTTTGACCTTGGCATCCAGACCTCCCTCCATGTTGTCCACCACATGATTCTTGAGATGCGACAGCTCTAACACTCGCCACAGTTCCGAGTCCGAGTGATCGTTGTTGGGGTCCAAGTTGTCTCGAAGAGTGCCCTCAAACGCCTGTGAGTCTTGGGGAATGATGGCCAATCGAGTTCGCAGATCATGCAGACCAATCTGCGAAGTGTCCACTCCATCGATGGAAATGAATCCCTCGGCGGCCTCGATGATTCGGAACAGTGCCAACGTCAGAGAGGACTTGCCGGCTCCAGTTCGGCCAACAATACCAATCTTCTCTCTGGGCTTGATCTCGAGGTTGATCTGCTTGAGAATCAGATCCAGGCCCGCTCGATACCGAGTAGAGTAGTTGTGGAAGGTAATGCCTCCTTGCTCAGGCCAATCAATGCCGGGCTGCTTGTCAGGAATGAACTCTGGAGCCTCGGGCTTAAGGTTGGAGTACTCTAGGATTCGCTCGACAGAAACAATGTTGGTCTCCACCTCCACAGTCATTCGCACAATCCAGTTGAGAGACTGGGTGATAGAAAGAGCGTAGGACATGGACAGACCAATGATACCGGGAGTCATGAGATTGGCCTTGAGCTGCAGCACGGAGAAGGAGGCTGCAGCTAGAATGATGATGGATCCGATGAACTCCAGACGCACAGCCAGCCATCGGTTGGCAGAAACAGACGGGAAGTATGCCTCCATGTTCTGATCAACTCGAGCCTCGTTGACAAAGTTGAACCGACTCTGTTGGCTGTATGCTCGAATGGTAGAAACACCTCCGAGGGTCTCCTGGAAGTGAGCGAAGATGGGCGATCGAGACACAGAGTCCAGACGCTTGAGCTCTCGAGAAGTTCGCAGGTAGTATCGCTGGTAGTAGATGTAGAGGAAGAGCAGGGGCAGAATAAACAGAATGAAGGGAGGAGTGGACCAAGAAATAACAATCAGGGTGAAAAGAACCTTGATGGTGTTGGAGAAGAACTGAACAAAAGTTCGACCCAGAACCTGGTCCACCTTGTTGATATCGTTTGAGAACCGGTTGATGATTCGGCCCAGAGGAGTGGTCTCAAAGAAGGACATGGGGGCTCGAACCACAGAAACAAGCATGTCATGATGCAGCTTCTTGGCAGATTCAACAATACAGAACATCCACATGATGAAGGTCTGAATGACTGTTACAAAAGACGCGCCGAGACCCAGACACAGGTAGATGCCGAGGTAGAAGGCAATGTGGGGGTTGCGGTTGTACTTAGTGTTGACTTCGGACCAGTGCTTGAGCCAGACGTTTCCAGCAGTCGTAAGAGCCATGGCCAGAACCAGGAACGACATGAACAGAATAACGTATCGAATGTTGGATGCCTTGGCGTACTCCAGATACACGCTCCACTTGACCTTACCCTGCTCCATGTTTTCCTTGTTGTGCTTAGACTTTCGCTCATCAGAGTCCACGTTGAAGTTGGGCAGTCGGAAAGAAGCCGTGGAAGATCGTCGCAGAGTGTGGGAAGAGCCCCGTCGCTTAACAATGCTACCGGCAGTGTTATCTTCTCGGATGGACACAATGGACGAGGAAGAAGAGGGGCCATCGGGAGAACCCGTGGTGGAAGGAGCAACAGAGGCAGCGTTCGAGCTATCGTCCCGAAGAGTGTCGGAGTCCTGCTTCTTTCGGCCAAACTCATTCAGCAGCTTGAAAATAGGGCCCTTGGCAGCCATCACGTCAACGTACTTGCCGGTCTCAACAATCTTGCCTGCAGACAGCATCATAATGGAATCAGCATGAGAAAGCACAGAAATGGAGTTCGTAGCAAGCACCTTGGTCTTGGAGGCCAGCAAGCCAGAATCTCCGAGAACATTGTCAATAATGTGTCGTCCAACATGCTCGTCAACAGCAGAAAGAGGATCGTCCAACAGGTAGACGTCCGCACGGGCGTAGACAGCTCGGGCAAGAGAAAGACGGGCCTTCTGTCCTCCGGACAAAGAAATACCCTTCTCTCCTACCTGTGTCTGATCTCCATCGGGAAGGATGGCCAGATCATCAACCAGAGCACACGCATTGATGGTCTGCTCGTAGAAAGACTCGTCGTACTTTGATCCAAAAAGAATGTTGTCCTTGACGGTGGCGTTCATGATCCAGGGGACTTGAGCAACGTAGGCAACTCGGCCCTTAACCTGAGCAGTTCCACACTCTCGGTACAGGTCTCCGAGGATGGCTTGCAGCAGGGAAGACTTTCCAGCACCAACCTTTCCGACAATACAGGCGAGATCTCCCTTGAAAGTTTGCAGAGAAATGTCGTCAAGAGCAACCTTGTATTGGGGGGTTCGCTCCCACAGGAAAGTGCACCCCTTGAGCAGGATGTCGTTCTCGCCTCGCTCAACGGCCCGAGGAAGTCGAGTGACAGCGTCGGACTGCAGCTCGGGGGCCTTGAGGTAGCTCTCCAGACGGTTGATGGCCACAGAGGCCTCGATCATGGCCGTGATGACCATGGGGATGACAGCCAGTGGGAAACCAAGCAGGTTGAAGAGTGCCAGAGCCGGGAAGACAATGTCGGTGGACAACGGCTTGTCGGAGATCTTCACAAAGACAGCAAAAGTGGTGCACGAAACGAGGAAGGGGGCACATTGCCAGGGGAAAGAAGCCAAAGCAGAGAACTTACCCAAACGCTTGAGGTTCTCGAGCTCCTCGTCGTTTCGAACTCTGTTGAGTCGGCCAATGAAAGGAATCTCCCATCCGTACAGCTTGAGAGACTTCATGTTGGTGAGAATCTCACTGGTGAGTCGGGTTCGGTGGTCCTTGTACTTCATCTGGGCCTGCTGCAGAGTCTTTTGTTTCTTCGCAATCCAGGCGTTGATAGGAATCATGATGAGCAGTGTAGCAACTCCGGCCCACATGCTGTTTCCAACCAGATCGTGCAGAGACAGCAGACACAGAATGATCTGGAAGGGACCCGACCAGATAATCTGACCGTACTGAGTCACATCCTGAAGCCGCTGGGTGTCGACAGACATGAGGTTGACCACGTCACCAGTAGACTTGTCTCGAGTAGCGGCCTTAAGAGACTTTCTGTAGATGGCAGCCGTCAGACCAGCCTTGATCTTCATACCAGTATCAAAGGCGCGCTGGAAGTACTGATGCAGAGCGGCGGTCTGGATAATAGACACGGCGAACATGGCAAATGCCAGCACCAGACCCTTGCTGAGAGGATTATCTTCGGGCTTGTCCTGGTAGTCCTTGACGAACTTGATGAGCAGAGCCAGGAGTCGGGGCTGAACAAAAGCCAGGATATCCTGAATGAACTTGAAGAAGCCTCCGACCATGAAAGGGCCGCCAAAGGCCTTCCAGACTGCCCACAGCAGATTGGGTTTCTTCTCCCACTCGTCTTCGAGGTCGTCATACGAGTCTCCTGCTCCGTACCCCTTGGGCAGAGGAGGCATATCCTCCTCGGTCAGGTAGTGGTCGTAACCCTGTCGCATAAGAGGTCCCATCCATTGGAAAGTGAGTCGGGAGAAGATGTCGGCGTTTTCGAGAGGCGATTGTCGCATTTGTCTGGCCAGAGCCATCTGAGGCGAAAGCGGCTTAGGAATGGCCCATTCGACAATGAACATTGCGAGAGCTGTGATAGTGGAAGCCAGGTAGATCTGGGCAGTGGTACCAAAGCCCACACGAGTGTAGACGTTGTAGGTCTTGAGAAGCAGACCGATGGGCGACAGCAGCCAGAAGAAGAGCAATGAGCCACAGGGGATTCGAGAGCGGTAGTACTCGAGGTAATGCAGCGGCACAGCCACCAGGATGATGGAGGCGAGGGTCAGAAACGGACTGAGAAAGGGCAGAGAGCCATTCCAGCCGTTGAAGTGTTGATTGCTAAGCAGCAGCAGAAAGTGAATGATTTGGAACGCAAGCAGTGCAGCCTTGGTCCAGAAGGTCCAGTTTTTGCGCGTGGGGGCGCCGCTAGTTTGTGTCCTAAACAGCGAGTAGATCTGCCAAGGTCCACACACGGCCAAAATGGCCACGGGGGTCAGCATGACCGGACCGTCGACAAAGCAGGGCGTTAGGCCCGACCCCATTGTGGAGATCGGCCCCCAGCCTTCGGGATCCGCACATGTGTTCTGGGTTAGCGCTGCCGTGCAGGTATTCCACACTCGAGAGGCACTCACCATTTCCGTCCAAATGTGTGTGTTTTGGGTGAAGATAAAAACGATTAGTGTGTCGTTCCGTTACTTTTTTATGCGAGCGAATCTAGCTTTCTGTATGTGGTGCGGATGGGAGGTGAAGGTGAGAGCAGACGAGTTGTTTGTGGGCGTTAGAAGGACGTTAGAAACTCACAAACCAGATGAAAAGAAAGCTGTTTATGTAGATATGTTCCAGTTAGTCCCTCTTCCCTCCCCCCGCTATACACGACAAGTTATACTAATCTGCGCCGTTGGCTTATCGGGCTCCGAAACCCATAGTTTCATTAATTTTGGAGGTCTTTAGAGTTGGCCAGTAACGGTGGGGGGATAGGGAGACGAGTGTAATGTGTGATAATATTGAGGGATAATTGCAAGTGCGATAGATTGTGCTCAGTTACTGTAGCTGATGATTCAACACCGAAGTCATTCTGCAGATACGATGACTAACATCTATCGTAGTAACCGTCAAGCCCCTCTACGGCACTTGCCACCCGTCAACCTAGTTCGAACGTGGCTGCATGGTTTGTCATACACTCTGTGAGCGGGACCACCTATAGGAGGTAGTTGGATGCACAGTTCGAGTGGCTACTCGGTTTGCGGTTTGGAATCAACAGGTTTGGAATCAAAAGTCGTGTGTTTTCATGGCTTCTTGCGCTTTCTACGCAGTTTCCATTCTCTTTCTATGCACATCTCGGCAAGTGTCTCACATCTTTCCTTTTCGCCCACAAGGACTCACCTGTACAAGTATCAGTACAGCACGTTGTGCAAGCTTCATTAGACAGCAGGCTTAAGTCATAGACAGTGTCGTATTGCTGTTGGATTACTGGCAGTTAAGCACTTATTTAGACTGACATTTATACTGTATTCTGCTGAGTCTGAGACAGCGAGCTCATGTGTCTTTCCATAGCACAGCTACTTATACAGTAGCAAATGTATCGGAAGTGGCAAATTGGAGCAAGCGCCAGTTATTCGACATTTTTTAATCAGTGGAGGCTTTCTATAAAAAATGAACCATGCATTTTCTCTTGAAATTCGTTTTGAAACCCTTGTCAATACAATAGTACAAGTACCCATCCAGTCCCTCTCAACAAGTCTAGCCGACTCGTTTCCACTGTGCCTCCTACACGCACATATTGCGTTATCTTCTAATGGGTTCTCTGTGGAACCCTAATCCACCCCGCACCCCACAATGCCATATATAGAGGAGGGCGCAATGTACTTGTTCCTCAACACAACACGACTACAAAATGCCTCTTCGAGCCGGTGGTGAGTAAACACGAAAGCAGGAGGTTCGATGGCGCTAATTGAGTGATAGGAAGGAAATATGGACCAGAATGACCTAGCACTCACTCAATTGAGATGCCTTCTCAACTTACACCCGCACCCACCACTACCGTACTCAGCTAACACAGATTCCTTCCCTTCTGCCACTTTCAACTACGTTCCCGAGACCCCCGAGATCGAGGGCAACGTGGCTGCCTGCGGTATCCCCCAGCCTTTCCACTCCGATAAGGAGCTTGCTGGAAAGAAGGTCGTTTTCGTGTCCGTCCCCGGCGCCTTCACCCCCACCTGCACCGCCAACCACATTCCTCCTTACATCGAGAACGTGGACAAGCTCAAGGCCAAGGGCGTCGACAAGGTCGTCGTTATCTCTGCCAATGACCCCTTCGTGCTGTCCGCCTGGGGACGAGCTCTCAAGGCTCCCAAGGACAACTTTTTCATCTTTGCCTCCGACGGAAACGCCGCCTTCTCCAAGTCCATTGGCCAGGCTGTCGATCTCGCTTCTGTGGGCTTCGGAGAGCGAACTGCCCGATACGCCATCATCGTGGACGATGGCAAGGTTACCTACAACGAGCAGGAGCCTGGCAAGGAAGTCACTGTCTCCGGCTTTGACGCTGTCTACGCCAAGCTCTAAGTTATACGCGATCAAATGAAGTTTATGTAAGCAATGAGATTTTTAACGATTAAATACTAATACTTGTATGCGTGTGATTATGACGTTAAGCAATTGGATGAGCAGAAGCTGGTTCAAACCTCCTTCTCCTTTCCCTTTCGACTGAAAGAGCCCCGGATCGAGCTTCGAAGAGACTGGGTATCCTCGGTCGCAGCCTTCTCGCTTTCCTTCTTGCGGTTTCGGCCAAGGGAACCTCGGATCGAGCCGCGTGTGCCTCCATCTTCCTTCTTCTCCCTCTGTCGCTGTTGTCGCTTCCGTCGGGCACGTCGCCGATCCATGGACCGAAACTCGGACGAAAGGGCCCGGGCATATGTCTCGAGACCCCGGTAGAAGAACTCAAACAGCATACCGCCCTCGTCCCGGCTTTGGGAAGGGGGCCCAAAGATATTCTGTAGGCTTCGCCGCACAACAGAGTCAGCAGGCAGAGAGCCAGTCACGTACTCACTAAAGGTGCATCGAGGATTGTCGTACACAAGCACCGAGTCGTTGATGCTGGACTGAGGGAACCGTCTGACGGAGCAGTAGGGCTTGGTGGCAACATATAGGAGCTCAATTGGACCTCTGGTGAGCTCCAGAAGAGACTGATGAACCGCATCAACATCAACAACGGGAGGAGAGACGGTCGCCTGACTCAACCACAGGTTACTCACCTGGGCAGCCTTGGTCATACCATCTGTGCCGGAAATGAGAGTGAGATCAACCCCCCACATTTCCACAGACTCGGGAGAAGCAGAAAGGGCGGTCATGGCTTCATCCTTAGGGGATCCCATAGGAGTAGACGTAGCCATGGGCTGGGCCGAGTCTGACCTTCCTTTGGGAGTAAGAGAGTGCAGCTTGCCTGAGTCGTTGTCATACTTGTTCGAAAGGGAAATTCCAGGGCTGTGAATGGTCACAAAATCTGGCCGAGATCCGCAGTTTGTGGCAGTGCATCCATAGTAAGCCTTGAGTTGTCGCTGGATGATTTCCCAGAGACTGTCGTGGTCTCGAAGAAGCGCTCCCGAATCTTCGTAGATAGTGACTCGTTTGATCCCAACGACAGAGCACCACACGACAATGTTGGCAATACTCTGTTTGATGCGGGCCTGCTCTCGGTCGTTGTGAACAGCCATCTTGACTCTGTATGCGTCAATCTCCCCCTGTGCCTGGTCGACCTCATCCTGACTGGGGTATATGACCTCTCCTGTGGCCAGATGAAGGGGTTTAGGTAGTGAGAGCTCTGGTGGTCCTTCCAGAAGAGGCTGAAGCTCGAAGACGAATCCTACGTTGTTGGGCACCGTTCCTAGCTTGGACACTTCCCGTTTGATCAACAGAGGAGACTTTTGCTGCTCTAACAGACCGAGATGAGCACCGAGGTCGGATGAGGCTGAAGCGTAGAGCCAGCTGAGGTGTCGAGAGGCCAATGGCAGACGTCTTGATACAGACACGACACAGCCTGTGATCCAAGTACGCAGCTGGTGGGTCCAGGAGGGATGGTGGGTCGTGGCAGAAGAGTCGGACGAGTCTGTGGACCTGAAGGAGGATCCCGATCCGTAACGTCGCAGCTGTTGGCCCCTATGTCTGGCGTTGTCATTTCTGGAGCTACCTCTGTGAGGTCTTGCCGGAGCCAGTGCCACGAGCCATAGAGTCCAAGTTCGCACCATGAGCAACACTGAGGTGGCTGCGTGATTTACGTCGCCGTGAATCTGGTACCAGAAGTCGATGGTATCATGTAGAAACACAAGAATGGCGTGTTGAATATGGAACTGCAACAGTTCCCATGTGGTGATGGGCATATCCTGGAGGTTAGCGCCAGGAGTAAAGATTCTGTCGAGCTCGAACCCCTTGAAGTTCACACCATCGAGTCCCAGAGATCTCGGGGTCACGACGGAGTATTTTTGAATTGTGCTCATAATGAGGGCGTTACAGACACAAGATGAGCTTTTAGATCACAGATATAAGGTGGAGGTGAGGTGTGGTGAAGACGGATAATTGACATATAGAGGGACTTACTGCATTTGTGTAATGTGGGACTGCAAGTATAAGTACAGTAGTTAGCCAGTGTGCGGTATAAAGCAGTTGCCACGGTAAAACATACAGTACCAATTCTTCGATTCGTCGAACTCTCGCGAAGTCGTCGTACTGTGGGTTACAAGCTGGGATCATACAGCTGTTGCCATCTCTGATGAACAACTGCAACAGATGGTGATGGTAAGTATTAATGCGTTCTTTGGACTGAACTGCTGGTCAGTGATATTTGATCAAATGATATCATGGCGACTTTCCAAGTTCACAGCCACTTGGTGGGGTGCCTTGTTCGGGGATGTTGCGTTCTCATGCCACCTCCAAAGCTGCCTCCTGTAGTGTGGGTGTCATATAGATACAGAACATTGTACATTGTTTGTGAGTGGATTGTCAAGATGCAGTACATACTGTAGCTCCACTGCAGTGCAACTCCATAGTTGCGATCTCACAAATGGCTTTACGTACCACAAGTACAGTACGAACTGGTACTCCTCTTCCCCAATACGATCGTCCCTCTCTCCGTCAGTGTCTCATCTGTTCAATTCGAGCTATGTTCCTAACTAGTTCACGATAAGATGGCGTGTCATCACATCGCTGCTCCATAATCCTACACTTAATTACATCACTTATATCACGTCAGCCATGCTGTCCTCCTATTACTGATTGCCTTGTCCGTCTTTGACCCACATTGTTTGGGTGTTTACTGCTGCTCCTGCTGCTGCTGCTCCTGTTCCCTAGCCCTGGCAGCCTCGTTCTGTGCGACGGCCGCTTGTGCCTGGGCATGGACCTGCTCAAACTGGCCCTGTGGAGGCTGGCCGTTGACGTCAATGTCCACATTGTGGAAGTCGAGAATCTCCGAGTACATCATCACCTTCCATGTGTCCACCGGCAAGTCTGCGTCATTGAACGACCAGTCGAACCGTTCCTCGGCTACAGGCTCGTCGCTGGGGTCGTGGTATGGTGCCAAGTAAGGGTGGGCCAGAGCCTCGGCCGCGGTTATTCGCTTTTTGGGGTCGAAAACCAGCATTTTCTCCATGAGATCGATGGCCTCGGGGTCGGCGTTTCGGAACTTGGACGCCAGAGGGATTCGTTCTCGCCGGGGCAGAGTTCTGACGAACCTCAAAGTGTTTTCCGAGCAGATGGTGTGAATCACATCTTCTGGGGGCGAGCCCAGCAGCTCGGTGATGATGGAGAACTGGTGCACGTGGTCCTTGCCGGGGAACAGGGGCTTGCCCTCCAGCATCTCGGCGAAGATGCAGCCCGTGGACCAAATATCCACCTCCACATCGTACTTCTGCCACGTGAGCATGATTTCAGGCGCTCGGTAGTACCGGGTCGACACGTAGCCGGTCATCTGGGTGTCCTGGATTCGGGCAAGGCCAAAGTCGCAGATTTTCAGGTCGCAGTTCTCGTTGACGAGGATGTTGGACGGCTTGAGGTCTCGATGGACCACACCGGCAGAGTGCACGTACTTCAGGCCTCGCAGAATCTGGTAAAGAAAGTACTGAATGAACTGCTTCTCCAGAGGCCGGGTCATGAGCAGACGGTGCAGGTCTGTGCCCAGCAGCTCGGTGACAAAGTAAATGTCTTCCAGCGGCGAGATGAAAATGTCGCTCAGGCAAATGAGGTTTTCGTGGCGCAGGTGCTTGAGCAGCTTGAGCTCTCGGTACGTCCGTTTCGACAGCACGGGAGTGCCGAACGGCTTCATGATTTTCTTGATGGCCACGTTCTGGTCCGTGAGCTGGTCCTTGGCCGAACACACGAGACCAAAGGCTCCCATCCCCACGGGGTTGAGATCCACGTATCGCGACGTGATTTCGAAACACGTGCCGAAGATCTGGGTCCGGATAAAGTCCGCCATGTTACGCGCTGTTCCTGGGAGACGGTAGAGAGAGTCACAGGGGTCCGAGCTACACTTGGTGATGTAGTGCTGCGAGTTGTGTGGTGTGTGTGGTGTCTCGAGAGTATCGCCAACCTAACTTGTGCTTGCTGCACCAAACCAATTTTGAATTTTCAACCTGCAGGGTACGCGGCTGGCGGAGATGGTTGGGGGGGGGCTTCTGAATGTGGCTACGATCCTTGTGAGGGCATTTATCGACTTTGGTACACGGTATTCGGCCCCGGTTACATATTTCTGTTTTCTTTCGACGTCCCTTGTGCGTTCACGGCTCTTTTGTTGAATCGTGCCGTGTCATGACGTCAAAAAAAGAACGAACAGCACAGCAACCAAGCACACACGCTAGGTCACCAGAGAACAGCTTATATAAGGTGGCGAACTTGGGGAATTGAAATTGAGAGCCGGGAGTGCCAGCATGGTTACACACACAGCCCGTCCCGCTCGTTATCACTCCGTTTTACGCTCCTCATATCCCCCCACTTAATGTCTCATTATCGCCGCATTGTCGTTGATTGGGTGTGCTTATGTTGTCAACTTGGGAACATGATACAGTTGACTTGAAGAATGATCATACTGTAAATGAATATCTCAGTACTTGTACAAGTACTCGATTATGTACAAATACAAGCAAAATACACCCCCATCTGCACAGTATCCATCACACACGGCTATAGACGGCATACAAGTAGTTCCCCTCACACACGTACACACCCATCCATCAATCACAGGTGGCTTTTTAGAGTCCAACAAACAGCAGACCGCAGAGTTCTCTTTTCCACCACACAAAGAGAATGACAAGCACTACACGAGAATCATTCGTAGAAATGGTGTCGCTATCGTACAAGTACGAGCACTCGTATTGTACAATAGCATCTGAAAAGATATCGTCGTATAACTCGCAAACCACAACAGATATGAACAAACCCACTGCGATATTCTTATCTGAGTATCACATGTACCTGGCACCTTGACTTGCAGCATCATAGACCCAATGTTTGGATCTAATTTGCTGTCAGAAGGCGTCGTATCTGAATTCAGACGTCGGAGAGAACGGGAGTACGACAGAAGAAGCAGTTCACATATTAGTAACCAATCACATTCCACCCGCTCACCAGTCAGCCATCAACCCATTTCCATAGACTCTCTGCATCTCATTTATTGCTTCTATTGTTTTCTCGTTTTGTTATGAACCAACCCCACACTGCAAATTCAACATCACAGGATTCTGTATACCTGCGAATGAGAACAATTTGGTTGACTCTGTTGCTTAAAATAACCCCTGTTTAAACAACAAGGTTACTGTCTTATTGCTATTAAATCCTATCATTTAACTTCTCAATAAGCCGTTAATCTCGGTTTTTCTTGGGGGTCACGTGATGTAATTGTTGCCTGTGGTGTAACGGGAGCTTTTTATTTTTTAAAATTCAGGCATCCTGGCCGAGCGGTTAAGGCGAGAGATTAGAAATCTCTTGGGGTTTCCCCGCGTAGGTTCGAATCCTGCGGATGTCGTCATTTTTTTGTCCTTGCACAACTTTTTGCTATAGGAAATACCATGGACAACTTACTGTACTGTACTACAACTACAAGTAGTACGCTCTACACAACCACCACCCCCTGTATCATTAATCATGCAATGTATAAATAATTATGTATGCTATGTCGTGTCATCAATTCCCATATCCATCTCCTTCACACCCAGACTCTTCTCTATCCCTCCGTCTCCAGTTTCCTCCTTAGACCTTTCCATTCGCAACCGTCTTCGCTCCTCCTCTCGAGCTGCCTTCTCCTCCTTTTCCCACGCGTTGGGCGACCGGAAAACTCGCTGGAAGAGCGTCTTGCCCTTGTTAGCCTTGGAGAAGAGGTATCCTCCCGAGAAGAGGAACGTAGGGATTGCTGATATGACAGAAACAAGTCCGACAGACAAGACCATCATTCCCCAGCCACTTCTGTCCTTGGTGGCTCCTGCTTGAAGCGGTCCAATGATGATACCGATAGAAAAGGCGACGTTGAAGATACCAAAAGCAGAAGCCAGACCTCCTCCTTTGCCGTAGAAGCCAGGACGTCGCTTTTCGAGTTTGGCAGTGAAAGAAGCCAGATCGGTCATCACAGGACCAACCAATACAACAAGAGAGGCTCCCAGAAGTGCTAGGAGCGCACACAGAAGAACCACCTGTCTCACATTGTGGTGGTCGGGTAGACGGAGAAGAATGAAGCAGGGGCAGGCACAAATGAAACCCAGAGTCGCAAATAACTTGACTCCAAACTTGTCAACCATCATTCCGACGGCTGGGCCGATCAGGGAAGGGATAGCAAGAGCCAACATGACTAGACCAGCCTGTAGAGACCCGAATCCAAAAATCTCATCCAGATGCATAGGTAGGGTAGCATCCAGAGCTCCCACACACCAGCCAAAGATGACTGCTTGGAAGAAGATGACGAGGATACGAGGATGCCTGAGGAGCAGAATAATGGGTGGGATCTGAACCCACACCTTTCTTCCAAACACCTGGAACCACATGATAGCCTGAGGAGAAGGACCAGGTTCAGCTTCGGTCTCCATAGTCGATTCCCAATCTTCGATATCGATGCCTTCTTCGATACGTTTCTGCTCAGCCTCCTCGGCCTTCTTTTTCGCCTTTTCCAGCTCCTCCTGGGCAAATTCTGCCGGATAGAGTCTCTTGTAGTCCGATCTCTCCAGCATAATTAACCGCAAAATGACATCTAGACCCAAAACTCCGAAGGAGACGTAGAATACAGCGTTGTAGCCAACTCTATCGTACACAGCTCCTCCGATAGTTGGTCCCAGAAACGTGCCTAATGACATTCCAATGTCTGGGAAGCCCATAAACATGCCTATCGTGTCTGGATCCGAGGCATCAGCCAGGATCGCCAGTCCGGACACCCACACAATTCCTCCGCTGGCTCCCTGGATGAATCGACCGAGATCATACACGCCAGGAGACTTGGCCCAGCAAACAATTGCTGTAGCTGCAATCAACAGAAGCAGTCCAAATAGCATTACTGGCCGTCTGCGTTTCATGTGGTCGGCCACAACGCCTGTGAGAACCGAGAGAACGACAAGGCCGGCTGCGTAAAGCGCCAGGGCACGGGAAATCTGGTTCTGAACATCGTCTTCAGGCACCCCCATCTGGGAAGAAAATGCAAAGGGAATGACTGGCACCACAATTCCGTAAAGGAATGTGTCGGTGAAGACTGCCAGGGTAATGGAAGTGATGATAACCGGGTTGGACGAACGCCATTTGACCATTTTGAGCGTTCGTAGCCATGGAATGTGCCATTCTGCAACATCCACCAGTTTGTAAACAGGAGATGACTTGAACGCAGACCATTTTCGGGTAACTTTCTGTCGGGTTTCAGTAGGGCCTGTCTTCTGCTCGATTCCAATAGGGGCGATGGGTGCGGTGGTGACTTTGAATCCGATCCTGCCAGGAAGAACAGCCTCCATATTCACCTGTTGGAGAGGGTCTTGTGGCGAGCCTGGAGGAGGGCTGGTGAATTCGACCTGCGGCGGCGAGGCAATTTTGTGCTCTGCTTCAGTCATGGCGGCTTTTGGCGAGGCCCAGAATTTCGAGAGTCTCGGGCCTGTTATATATATTTGTCACGCTTGCCTTACTGTGTGTGCCTTGCCTATATTTTGTAACTCAAATTTGGCTCTAGTACGAGCTTAACTTTTTTGGGCCTGGGTTGTGGTGGTTGCAAGAGTTACAATTGCGACGGGTGATGCTGAAATCAATTCTTGAGGAGATCCTGAAGTGATTTTAGTTGCTTCTATCTCAATCGGAAGCCTGTTAAATCCTCATATCACCGTCTCAAGTCTCTCTAAAGACTCCTGCACACTCTCCTCCTCGATAACTGTATTTGATGCGACTCATGCGAGCGATACCTGTATCAATGTATGGACGTGTACCTGATGTGGGAATGATAACATCGATACTACAGCACTATTGGCAGTTGTGTGAGAATGTTGCCACCTTGCCCAATCTTCCAAAACGATGATGGCGTGAACAACTAGATCTCACACCATACGCATCACATCAACATTTGTGCCACACTACTATACCCGGCTCGTATTGAGCATCTCTGCCGTTCTGCAAACTGCCCCTTTAGGCAGGTGGATGCACCTTTTTGTCACCGGAATCGCGTCTCGAGGGGAACGATGAAAAGTGGATGGTCTCGAAATCCAGTTTTTGGTTGTTTAGACCGATATAAATGTCTGAAAAGCATCCTACCCTCGCCACTTTTCCGTGCCATCCACTCAAACGGTTTTAGCTCCATGTCTAAACTCCCTAGCGTCTGAGCGTATCAGTCTGCCTGGAGACTCCAAAATTACTGTAGCCCTTTCTCCAGGTGCGCAACGTTATTCGAATCTTCCGCACACCTCCACGGGGGACTGCTGAGAGGTACCACAGAGATGCGGCCGTGCAGGGGAAAATGCGAGAAAATATTCAAAATTGGAACGGCAGAAATATCACCGCTAGTTGGAATTTTCGGAATTTACCCATTTTTCTGCACCCGCCAATACTTCTCCTTCTACGGCTCTCGTGTAACTCAAACTCCAACTCTACTCAAAATGGCAAACCTCCCAAAAGCATCTCATGAGACTCATGAGAATGTGAAGGACAACAATACAGTACTATAAGTATGGGACTGATATCTGAGGTTATACACCCTATTGTGTGTATGCGTGTAACTAAATCTGTTTAGTTGTATTCTGTTCAGTTGCATGGTCAAACTAGATCTTGTAAGTGTACTGTACAAGTACATACTGTATGTACTCGTAGGGTGAACTGATAAAAACGGGCACCTGACACACATCCAAACTATAGATGAACAACAATGTATATCACCGTACTCGTAATAAGACACTCATTGTGCTCCCTTTTTAGACGCCGAGGCTATCGCTCTCACTTATCACTCGTAAAAGTAGCCTATCAGTGGACATCACTCTCAATTGTCACCTAATTACAGTTAGCCAAGACTCGTATAGTCTCTCTGCGGCTTGATGCCACCCCTTAACGTCCTGCATCCATAGTGGCAAGTCTGCGGGTCCAGATGCTGTTTGAAGGGTGTCTTTGATGTAGCATTGGCTGGACGTTTATTTTTGATTGAGTATCGACGACCGCTTGTGATTGTAATGGGCTACTTTGTTCTCGTACATACTATAGTTCGGCATGAACACCACAGCTGAAGTAGGACTCTGCCAAACAAGCCATATAGCGGTGTTTCGCATGGAATTTCTCTGCTATCATTCTAACAAACTCTTTGCGTTGCCATAACTCACAATTATTATCAATTGGTGTCATCAAAAACGGATACAGCACCTCATTCACCTCACCTCAATGGTGCAAGAGCTAGTATGAGCTACATGCTCGAGAAATCTATCAAGCACGGCTCTTGCCTAATGAAAGCTAAGCAGAGCTCAACCGAAACATCTCAAAGGCACTGCTAATACTCCCCCATGTGATTCCACATCTTTTCAGAGGCAGTTTCGGAAACCCGGTAACGGCTTTTTCGGCCCGACCCGCTTCCGAAACACTCCCGACCCGATCCTATCTCAACTTCCGAAAAGCAATTTGAGGTAATTGTGAACGGTGCGAATATTGAGAAAAAGAAAAGTACTGATTGCCACCGACAAAAAAGATCGGCTGTGGAAATCGATTTTCTATGGTATCGTTCTCTTAGGACTATAGACTACGTAGCTACAATATTTACATGTTTGACCCAATGTGAACAGACACTGTCGCTTTACAAAGGTGACTACGAGTTCGGTAAGAATTAATACGGAGGCCACCATTCCAAGATTGGCCACTTATTACATACAATACATTCACTACTGCTATAATCAAACATTTTTTCTCTATAATTTATCAGTCTCATCTCAGACTGTCTACCCTCATCGTAATTTTTCACTTGTTGAAGTCTACCTCGTTCAACCCGGAGGTGTCACACATACCTCGGAAAATACCCTCCTTGTCGTTGTACAAGTTCCAGGGCGTGTCGTACTGGTTGATCTCGCCGGACTCAAGCACCAAAATACGATCATACTTGGCAATGGTTCGCAGTCGATGGGCGATACACAGAATCGTGCAGTGGCCAAACTCCCGTGAAATGGTCTCCTGAACCAGCTTGTCCGTCTTGTAGTCGACATTTGATGTGGCTTCGTCCAGCACCAAAATTTTGGTGTTTCTAAGCAGTGCTCGGGCTAGAGTCAGCAGCTGTCGCTCACCTAGAGAGAAGTTGCTGCCGTCAGCCTCCACCTTTTGATCCAGATGAAACTTACCCTCAGTCTCTCCTTCATCGAGAAGTCCAGACCGTCGTAGAGAACCCCATAGCTCAGCATCAGAGTATTGCTCCAGAGGATCCAAATTAGACCGGATGGTGCCCAGGAACAAAACTGGCTCCTGGGGAATGATGGACAACTGAGACCGAAGCTGATGCAGTCCAATAGTCGAAATGTCAACACCATCAATAGTAATAGAACCCTCAGCAAGCTCCACAATTCGATACAGAGTCTGCAAGATGGTACTCTTACCGGCTCCTGTTCGTCCACAGATACCCACCTTGTGTCCTCCCTGAAAGTCGACAGACAATGACTTGAGCACGTAAGGAAGTCCATCTCGGTACTTCATGGACACATTGTTGAAGCTGATGGCTCCCTGCTCAGGCCAGTTGGGTCGCTGGTCGAGCTCTGTACCGTCCACTTCTCGAGCAGCCTCAGCAGGAATGTTGTCCTTGTAGTAAAGAATTCGCTCTGTGGCGTTCATGCAGTTTTCGAGTTCAGCAACGGCCTGGGCAACCATAGACATGACTTCGGGGATAAAGGAGGCCGCGGAAATGATCAGACCCATGTTGGAAGGGGTGAGATCAAAGACTCCGACAGCAACAAGAATAGTGGCCACCAGAACGACCAAAGAACCCAGACCATCCAGACGGAGAGACAGCCATCGCTGGTTTGCAGCAGTGAGGAAGTAGGCACTGTCCATATCATCGAGAGTAGCCTGAAGCTTGTTCATGAGCCGATGCTGGGCCTTGTACATGATGATGACGGGCATACCGGAAATGGACTCGTTGAAGACACTCATCATGTGCGACCGTTCAATGGAGTCAATTCGCTTGACTTCACGAGCTGACTTTCGGTAGTAACCTAGAGAAACGTAGAAGACAAAACCGACAGGGACAAGCACAAGAGTCACATAAGGAACGTAGACACAAGTAAGCAGGAAGTTGGAGAAGAATGCGGAGACGCCAAAGAACAACATAGTCAATCGCATAGCCAGCTCGTTATCCAGAGAGTCTGTGTCTCGGGTGAACCGGTTGATGATACGACCCTGAGGAGTGGTATCGAAGAAAGAAGTTCGTGCAGCGAACACCGAGTCCAAAGCATGATTGTGTAGATTTCTTGCTGCCATGGCAGAGTTGATCTCATTGACAATCATGTATCCTGCCACAGCAAGAAGCAGAAGAATACCCAGCATGATGTAAATTCCGGTGTAGAAGTTTCTGGAGGCATGGAAACGGTCACCTGTCCAGAACGAGAGCCATACAGATGTGAAGACAAACAGAAAGGCAATCACAATCATGGAAATGAAGATCATGCCAATGAACATCATTACCTTGACCCTACTGGGGTTGGCCTGACGAAAATACTGCCAGTACACATGCAAACCAACTGCATCTCTCATTCGCTCTTCTTCCTCCATCATGTTATCGTTCTCCTCAAATGCCGAGACTGTAGTGGTCACCTTTTGCAGCTCTTGAGTGGCATCTGCCAAAATGGAAATGGTCTCAGCTGCATCCTCATACTCCTCCTTGTTATCGCAGTCGTCTTCAAGATCGCCTTCAATAACAACCTCAGTCTCGTCGACAGCAACCACCTCCTCCTTGGACATGGAACCAGCCGCCAAAAGAGCCTTGAACTGCTCATTGTCAGCCTCCAGCTCTTGGTACGTACCAATATGAAACTGGCCTTCGGCATCCATGAAAATCACATGATCAGCCTTAGGCAGCACAGACAGCTGATGGGTGGCCAGAATTCGAGTGGAGTTCTTGGCTAAGCCTCGAAGACAATCGTCCACAATACCAGCACCTACTCGAGCGTCCACAGCCGACAGGACGTCGTCCATGATGAGAATCTCGGGGTTTCCATATATAGCACGTGCGAGGTTGATTCGAGCTTTTTGACCGCCCGAAACTGTGATGCCTCGCTCTCCAATCATGGTATTGTCTCCGTGAGTCATTATTTTGAGATCCTGGCTCAGCTGACAGGCAGTAACCACAGTTCTATACCATTCAGAGTCGAATTTTCGCCCAAACACAATGTTATCTCGAACTGTGGCGTTTTGAATCCACGGCTCCAGACATCCAATCCACTCTGTGGACGACACTCGCACGGAACCGCCTGTCAAAACCATAGATCCAGTGATGGCAGCAAGAAGAGACGACTTTCCAGAACCAATGGGACCGGTAACAACGACAAATTCACCCCGCTTGATTTTGAAAGACAGGTTGTTGAAGCCCTTGAAAGTCGACTTAAGAGTACCCTTTTCAGACTCACTGGATCCCTCGGTCTTTTCGTGTTCCACCTCCTCTTCCACAACCACCGCGATCTCCTTGGCCGCCTTCTTGGCCGCCTTCTTGGCCTTCTTCTCGGCCTTCTTCTTATCCTTTTCCTCCTTCTTTGCATCTTTAGCCTTCTCTTTGTCGCTCTTATCATCGACAACTTCTGGCCAGATGAAAGAGGCGTCTTCCACAATCACAGCGTCATCAGTAGATTCAAGAGTAGCGTCAAAAACTGTAGTGGGAGTCGACTCCTCGGCCCCAAGGAACCGCTGGATACGTCTGAGAGCCACTCGAGCGTCTCCAGCAGCCTGGAGGGCCTGGGGAAGAACAGCAAGAGCAGGCAGGAGTAAATTGAAAAGCGTCAGAGAAGAGAACATTCGAGCAGGATCAGTTCCATGACCTAGAGCAGCGTAGGTGATGAAAGACAACGCTCCTGCCAAAATAGGGAGTGCCTGAAACATACCAATGGCTGTTCCTCGAATCGAGCCCATCTTGGCGTAGTTACGGGTCTCGTCAAGACGCACCTTCTTGATCTTGTCACAGTAAGGAACCTCCCAGCCGTAGTACTTGATGATTCTAATCGACTGCAGAGCTTCTCGGATATACGTGACTCGCTTATCCGTGAGCTTGACAATGATGGCTCGCAGCTTCATAGAGAAGATGGTGATGCCTGCGACGACAAAGATCAAGACAATCATGGTCGCAATTCCAACTAGAGCTGCGACCTTGAGGTTGACCACGAGTACAGCAATGGCACAACCCACAACAGGCAAAAAGATAGTAATGTAGTGGAAAGATTCACAACTGAGATCAACTCGATGTGCGTCAATAGCTGCCAAGTTTGTGATCTTGCCTGTGGTGTATTGAGCTCGGCCCTTGGCGCTCAAACGGGTACTCTTGCTGTAGATGACGGCCACCAGAGCTGCACGAGCCTGAGCTCCAACCATCTTGACATTGTAGAACATGTGGTTGAAGAAGAAAGTGACTCCTACGGCCAGTAGAAATAGGCCTATCGAGGGGCCGACTCCTCGGCCGACCTTAGGTTCCCGGTCTGTCCCCCTGTAGAGATATCTGTCTTGAATGTATTCGATCAGAACACGTGACACCATAGCTGAGGCGATTCCACAGAGGTCCTTGACTAGGGCAAACAGTCCGGCTAGCCAGAACTTCCAAAAAAACGTCTGGTTAAGAGCCAAGACGAGGGGTTTGGCTGAATCTTGCAGCTTGAGATGCGCCTCTTGCTCCGAGAGTCCTTTCTTGAGCAGTTTGGCGTGGTACTTGGCGTATTGTTTTTCGAGATTGGATTCAAGTCGCTGCTGGATCACAGCCGCCGAGTTTCTCTCTCTCACTTTATACAGATCCTCACGTTCAATGTTTCGTAAGTAACCAGTCTGTGTTAGTATTGAAGAAGACATCAGAAGTTATCCTATAGCCATACTCACTTTCAACAATGGACTAAGCCATTGCCAGGTCAATTTTGACAGAATCCCGGCCCGTTCTTCGGCCGAATCTGGTTTTTCAGTAGGTACCGGAGGAATGCGTCTGCCGGTGAAGAGTGTGATGATGGAGAAGGGCTTTTTCCCCAGCGAGGACGTGACCGACCCGCATTCTAGACTCTCCTGTGTCACTTCGGTTTTACCCATGTGTGGAAGACTGAGGGTGTGGTGTGAGAAACTGATGATCTGAAATCAGCTGTCTGATCTGTGGCTGATCTGAGCTGTTTGTCGACTGATCTCAATGATCTAGCAGTCCAATCGAGATTCAAGGAGGTTAAGTAGCAACGCCGCAGTGCCGAGTATAAAAGCTGCGAGAAAAAGGTGGCGTCTCCCCACTTGCTGGTTGGTTATCGGCGATTGATGTGACCGATACATGTCTAAAATTGATAGTCTTCTGGATTGAGTTTGGGGACTTGCGGGTTGGTGAAAGAATTGGCGCGTATATAAGAGGTTATGTGACCCACAGCAGTCGATATCTCTTCTCCACAGTGTTTAATTATCTCAACTTCGTCGTTTTTTTCATCTACAAGAACCCCGAGAACCTCTTTCCAACTTCTATCCACGACCTCGGACCCCGAAGAGCCGTGCCTCCATATCAAGAAGCTAATGCACCGAACGCAGTCTCCAAACCTACTTCAAGCAGCAAGTTCAAAATAAATGGAACATGCCCTATTACCCGTTGTTTCTTCACCTTCCTGACACCATTGAAGTATCACAGTATACGAACTGACTGTGCTATTAAGCGACGCGTCAGCTGCTTACATGCTGCAAGTGCAACCACCACCACCACCACCACGAGCACCACTACAGGTTTCACAGACTCCATTGCTCGACACACACCGGTCGGATCGGAACTTCGAACGAGTACCGTAGTTCCAGTTCCTCCCCACGTTCCCCACAGTGGCAAATTCGCTGTCAAATTAGTGCACAGAACACTATTGGGTGGCAAACGGCGTTTTGCACCATGCACACTGATATGAAACTATATCCATGCGGATGAGAAAGGAGTTGGTGTGTAGATCGATTATAGGAGCATCAGGCAGTCGACCAGAGCCAATTCACAGTGTGAGTGAGTGTGTGCCCCTTCGATGGTTTCTCATGTCACTATGACTCACAGGTACAGTATGTACTTGTATTGTACTTTGTGAGTATTGTCTTGGTTGTCTTATCTTTCGTGTTGTCCAAAAAACGATCATGAAGGAAAAAAAAAAAAAGAAAAAAAAAGAAAAAAAAAAGGGGATGACACCAATTGGTTGCTAGAAGGAAAAATGATAGCGCTAGCAGAGGTAATCCTGTTGGTCAAGTGACTCGTTACAACCTCTACTTGTAGGTCGTTCTATACTTTCATTCTCTGATCTTTTATGACCCATATTAGTGGGTTGTATTACTCCCTCACACCCATTGGCCAACCCCAAAACAAGAGTCAAAACAGACAATTTTTTACTGCACGCGCGTGCACTAACGATGCATACTACGAGTGCAAGTAGCTCAAACTTTCCCAGCCACATTTGCAACCAAGGGATGTGGGTGTTTAGACAGGGTGGCCGGTCACGTGACCTACAAGTAGAGACTGGGCGTGAGTTGAACGATGCAGTCAAGGCTCGCAGAGTTCTGTCAACTCGTAGGCTTCCATATTTGTTGACTTAATTTACTGGTTCTATCCACACAATTTCACGAATTTAGAACTCTCCACACCTGGGAATGGAATTTCGCAGCTTGTGCTATGATCGAAGGAAGACAAGTACAAGAAATTAACCAGAATCGTTGTGTTGTTTCAGTTAAGTACCAAAAGTCATTATTACATATTCCCAGTTTTACGTCTTCTCGTATCTGACGTCATGCCATTAATAACATTATTCTATCGTCGACTGTAGATGTACACTGTAGGCCGCATCATGACCAGGTGGGACAGCAACAAAAGGGTACTCACAACAACACCATCTTGAAAATCTCATAATCTGATTCCACCTTTTCTCGTGTATTCCTGTTTTCCTCATAACCTGTCGTCCACAGTCTCCACGCTACTGCAGCATTCGTTGCGATACTGTCTCTCTGCTCTCTGGTCGTTTCTTCCGGGTAACGCGTACATCTAAGAACCTAACAAAGTTTTCAGTTACCCTGTCGTAGCCCGCTCTTATATATATACTCAGGAAGTGCACCCTAATATTTTTTTTCCCAACCATAGATCTGGGTGTTTAAAGCAGCGTCAGTTTACTGGTTCGCCTTTGTTGACACCATTCTCGGCGCTCGAGCGGAGGGTGGCATAGACAGCTCTCCAGGCTCCCTCTGGCAACAGAGAGACAGGGCCTGCGACCTGTGTAGCCGTTCAAGGGTGTCACTTTCTCTTCCTTTTACGTAGGAAGTCCCCGCCGACGGATCTTAGATTAAAGCAACTTGTGGTTCTTATCGTGGCGAGTCCTTGTGGCTTGTCAGCCCGTGCTTTGAGCGCGCCTTCGGGCTGCTGCTCAGTACGGGTAATGGTTTGCGCTATGGGTTGTGGCGGCATATTCCTAAACACTGCGTCGGACCATTGGTCAGTAGGCGTTGGGGTAAAGCCATGCTGCAGACATCTTATATTTATAGAATCATTATGTAAATATGGAGGGACACAAGCTTTCACTGGCTATTCGCGTGATCTGATTCCGTTGCGTCGACCGCTGGGTTTCAGTTATTGACAGAGCGTTTCATGGACGCATTATTGATGTATGATCGATGAGGATGAGGATTATAATCTACTACAACAATGAGGGTCCACTTGATCAAGAGCTATATTGTTAGTCGTTATATTAGAGCTTATGGGCCCAAGAGGCAGCTCTTGATGGTGAGTAAGCCCCCACTATTTGCAGGACAGACTTCAATAACCCAAATATGGTGTTCATAATTCTCTCTGTTGATGCTGCTACAGTGAAAGTCGTATTACGGCACTTTTACAGTAACGGTCACTCAACTTTTATCGATTGAGACGACAAGATGGAGTTCAGACCAGTCCTGGTAACGTCCCGACAATCTCCGACTGGGAATAGCTACATATAGCTTAGCCTCACAAGCATCCCATATCTGTTTAACCAGATCTACAGTAACTCGAAGACATAGTTGGCAGACTCTCTGGATCAGTTCTTCAGGTGTAAGACTCCCAGTGGATAGGAGATGCAGTGCACAACACTCCTGATATTGCTACCTTCGCTTAAACAATCCCAGACCGTCAAGAAGAACCCACTGTGAGTCATATCTGATGAAGGCTGTAAAACCAGGTTCTCCATGTACAGACCCCCTGTACCCCTGATTGACCAGAATGGCGTAGATGTTCCGGGCAGCACATTTTCACATGCTGTGCTGTCCACGAGTAGCGACTAATATAACGAGAGGAAACGGCATCTTCTGCTGTGCTCCAGGCCATTCTGATCTCATACCCAGTCTCACATTCTTCCTTAACTACACCATGTGGTTTGTATCAAAACGTCTTCAAACAACTCCTATCACAACTTGTACTACCAATATTGGTACTACTTTGCTGGTATCCGCCGAAGAAAGGAGCTTACATCTGTCAAGAATAAACGAGATCCATATTTTACTCTGTCCTGTTCTTTCATATCCTATTATCTCATATAGGAAAGAATAACCGGATGGGAAAATATCCGCATTATTATCACCAAACAAGCCGCAGGCGAGCGCTAAAATGGACCCTGGACTTCTTTGTGCCTTTGTTGTGCACGGGCCAGATATTCTGGCACTAACGGAGCGTGAAAGTGGAAGGGTACGGGTGTCAATGTCTACCAATACGTCCTCTTCGTATTTTAATGGACTATATACAGCGTAGTACTCACCGTATTGCTACAAGCGTTCCATTCTGTGAGTCGCATCAACACACACACCATATGGAGGTATCGTGTACTTGTAGCTAACGCACTGGTATTGTGTGTACTCGTATAATACTCTGTTAGTTTGTTTCATGGTTCAAAGTGCGGTAGCTACTGTACCTGTACGAGTAGGAGACATCTAGTTAAAACGACAGGGAGCTGTGCAATATGGATAGTTTAACGGTATTCATTCAGCGCAGTCTGAGATGAGTGTCTCAAGATATTGCATATTTCCCCCTATGCAATCTCACAAGGTGCTGCGACACTATGTCATGCAGTAGGGACGGACCCACTCTGCTGCCCACGAGTGCATAATATTACCAATTACAAATACTTGTAGCAATCACTAAAAGAAATGATCAAAAGCTACAAGTAGCACAAGGCATCCTGCTTTGCAGCTCCAAAACGGCGTGCAAAAAGCAATGTGCTCGAAGGAAGAGTCCAGATTTAACCCTGCTGTTAGCGAGGTACAAACACAAAAAGCGGACTTGGGTGGGCAGCACAGTTGGCGTACAAGGTGGTCCAACCCTGAATCTGCTGTGGAATGAGCTCGTGAGCTCGTTGGGTCGTTTAGTCCTGCCATGTCTCGCTTAAGCATTGATCATCAGGAACGGCTGGGAGGATGTTGGGAGATACTGTACGTTAGGGAGGTGTCACTGAGAAAAGAAAAGCACCGATCTACTCGCGTCGCTATAGAGATTTGATTTCTTTTTTCTTCTTCCACACTCGACCACTTGGAAAATGAAATCGATGATCTTCATGAATACGTAGACCCTGAACATCTTAACCTAGTTTGTCGATCAGGATCACATCCTTCCAGCTGTGGAACACACATGCACCGATCGCAAGCAAGGGCGGACTTAAACAGAATGGGCCGCCTTGTATCCACCTTTGGTCTCGTGTCTTACCTGTGCAGTAGCCCGAGATAATGTGGCTAACTCTGCTGCGGCAAGCGTGTCATCAGGAACTCAGTTCACAGCTTTATTTAATAGCTCATAAGCGGGGTACAGCTCTCCAAACTTGAGCACGGTAGCAATGTTTTGCATACTTGTAATTGGGTTGTAACAGTTGATGGTCTGCTCGGTGTCTGCTGACACCTTCGGCTATTTGTAAGCAGAACCGTGGGTGGGGCTGTAAGCATGGCTGCGACCATCATCTGATAATGCACCCACCAGTCCGATGTCGCACGGCCGTTTAAATGCCGGATCGGACAAACCGTCCTTGTCTGTCGTGTACATGTCACCGAATGAAGGCCGACAGAAGACTTGAAAAAAGCCTTGAAGCCTGGCTACTATTGAGAGCAAGACCTGAGCAAGATGCGGGGTAGCACGGCTGGCTGGGATCGCCTTGGAGGCTCCCACAAGCCTCAACGCTGTTTTTCCCGGCCAAATTTGCACATACTTTTGGCCTCCAGAGAGTGCGTTTGCCCACCTGTTTTTTTCAGGCTGTCGCTATTTATCCGAACCACAGAAATAGAAAAAAAAGGGAAAACTATGAAATCTTGGTTGGGGGGGGAATGTCCTTGTATTGCACAAGAAGGGTGTAGGAGTTTATTTTTTGCCCAGCTCGTTTGAAGATCAGGGGGTGTAGGTCGTGGAGGAGGCGGTAAAATATGGGGGGAAGGAGCCAGTTGTGACCAGAATAGCTTTATTGACAGTTGTATTATTTTTCTGGCTCAAAACCGCTTCTCCTCCACCTTCTGTAACAATCCCCTTCTGCTCTCCGTGTATCTTCATTCCAATATGCAACCTGTGTTCCACCTGCCAATGTGCAGTTGGCAATTTTGCAACGTTTAGTGCAATGCAACCCCACATTTTAGTGCATAGCGGTGGAGAGGGGGTTGGTAATAGGTGAAAAGTGGAGTTTTCGGGTGATTTGAAGGTGTGGGTCGAACCAGAATGTATCCAAAACATATACCCCTGAAAACACGACTCTTGAATCCCCCCATTGTGCCCCATTTTCCACCCGTCTCTACCTACCCCATTTTTACACTAGCAAACCCTATTCCGCTTAAACCTTGTCCTGCACGACAAAAACTCCAGGTTTCCTTGTACTGTGGAGTCATACATTGCCTAGAGCGTGCGGGACCTTCAACACTCACACCAAGAACAAACCGCACCATAGTTTGGCCTGATATCGAAAAACGCAGTACAGAAGAAGAAGGGACCCGAAAAAAATATTAACGACATGTCTCCCTCGTCAGCGCCACCCAAACGTGCACATCATCCTCCTCTACCACAACACCATCCACAAGGTGCTGCTCCGGAAAACGCCTACCAGCCGTCGGTGACTCAGAAACCCGTCAAATCAGTTCACGATCTCAACGCGCTGCTGGCCATTGAAATGCAACGAACACGGCGGTACTTCCGCGACCACCCGACTCTGTCGACCACTCTGTCCAACAACAAGATCCAGGACGTGATTTTGCAACATCCAGTGACACGTATGTTGGAAGTGCCTCAGGCGGACCTGGACGCCCGCGCCCGAACTTTTGACCTGCTGCGAAACGTCATCAAGGCCACCGTCATTGCTCTCAATTATGCCAAACACACAATCCAGTCGGCCCCGAACAGCGGTCAGCTGAACTTCAACAAGAATGCATATGTGCGGGGAGGCGCTCAGCAGTCGACGCTGCAGACGTCGCCTTTAGTGCGGGAACTCGTCACGTCAATTTACAACGTCCACAAGCAGATGGGTGACGGAGGACCTATGCCACCCCCCAATACGGTGCCGGTGGTCCACAACAATGACGAAAACGTGCTCATCGACCTCGCCACCATGCTACAGCGACTCATGCACATGCGCGACGTGCTGGAGGAGCTACTGCTGAGAATCCAGGGTGTGTGCTGCTACGTCTACTGGAACACCTGGGACTCGGTGTTTGAGATGGTGGCCGAAATCGCTGGACTGCAGGAAACAGAGGCCGCAGCAGAGGGGCGACTTTTCAGAGCAGCAGGCCCGGCGGCAATGTACAGGCAGCGCAAGAAGCTGGAAAAGAGCCACGCTGAGGAGTCTCGAAGACGGTCTCAGATCTCAAAGCCCGGAAAAGAACTACCCCGAACACGTGTCAATTTGGCGGCCATCAAGAAGCTCTTTGAGCTGCAGGAGCCGCCCATTGCACAGAAGCATCTCAATTCGTACAAGGTGCGGGACTCGTTCCAGGTGGCCAACTTCAACCCCGAAATGATGGCTGACAGTGGCACGGGAATTTCTTCGTATTTGCGTCTCCGAACTTTTGGGGAAGACGAGGTAGCCAATGCGTCCATGAAACAACCTCTGGTTGTAACGGACGACGATGAATCTGCGTCTGTGATCATGCAGCCCACTCCGGTCCGTTCTGTGGTCTCAGATGATGCATCGTGTTCTCCGCAATCGACGAAAACGGCCCTGACCTCTGATGACGAGGAAAAAGACCGTACTCGAACGTGGAACGATCTCGTAAACCACATTGACGATCTCAGCGATCTGGACTCCAACTTGTCGCTCTTCTCCCGGATGAAAACCACAGATTCCTCCCACATGGACTGTAACATGCCCCCCTTGCCGCTGATTGACCAGTCGGAAATCGACGATCTGCCCATGGAAGACATGTCGCGATATGGCAAGGCTGAGGGCGAGCGGGTGAGTCTGCACCAGCAGATTCGAATGATGGACGACGAGTAGCGTGCAAAAGTTTGACCCTGTCGGACACTATTTATTCAATATCATGTGATTATAGATGAGTAATAAGAGGGTAGCTAATAAGAGTACCTTGATAAGGAAAAGGATAAGAAGTTCACGGAGATGGTTGTCGTACTGTAATACATAGGTACATACTACCCGTACAAGAGAGGACTATATTTCTGTGTAGAGAAGCGAGTGTGCTGCATACGCGATGGTCTACTCCATGATGAGCAGCACCTAGCGTACAATGTTTGTCAGTATTTGTCAACTGATAATGGCATAACGTATACATCTGGTAGACTCCGTACTGCAGTATAGCTACGGGTATTTATGTAATACGGGTACATAGGGTTGTGGTCACTATTTCAATACGTACAATATAGAACCAGTCACCTCGATCTCACCCGTCGGGTAAGAGAAGATTACATGGCCCATTGAGTGCTACATACTGTAGATTTAGTTCAACATTCATCTTGGAACTTGGTAATAGATAGGCTAGGCCAGAGGGTATGGTATCCAACTACAATAACAACTGGGCTCTCTGGTGCTTGACTATTGCTGGTCGGATAGGAAGCTGTACCACTCCAGGATATGGCTGCGATTGGTGTGTGAGGCATGGGGGAGTGGTAGAGAGAGGAGTTCTAAGCCATGTCCATGACCGTCTTTAGAACAAAAAACCAATTACTTCGAAGTTTGAAGCGTACCCTCGACTCTCGGGTCTCATTTTGACATGGCCAGGTCCAGGGACAAGAGAGATGCAGACACTTGTATGGATCGAGGTACTATACATAATAAGGGGAACTTCATATTTGACTTATATTTACGAGGAGGAACGATGGAATAGATGTGAGACAAATGACAGTTACAAGTCGCTACTGTACATATAAACTTGCACCCAAATACTGTATATACGGTATTTTCTGCTGTCATTTACGACTCTTAATGAGCAGTATGAGCTCTGTGTCTCGAATGAGAAGACGCGTAGACTGGATCAATAGGAGATATAGAGTCAATACAAGTATGAGGTAGAGGTAGAGAGCCATGTATAAATATAATGTGAACACCCATTGTGATACGCAAGCCTCCAACAATCGGAATGGGTCATTCTCCTCAAGCTTAGAAACAACAGCAGAACAGTATCAACATTTCTCTATCTAGTTAACTTGATACTTACCTTTTTTTTATTCTAATGATTCATTACAGCTATATACCTACAAGTAGTAAGCCGGGTTATTGGCGTTTTTCTAAGACAAACGTCAATCTCTGTTGCTCTAACAAGATTTTAACTTCCAGCATGGTCCCTTGGCCCAGTTGGTTAAGGCGTCGTGCTAATAAGAAATTAGCCTCTTTGCAACGCGAAGATCAGCAGTTCGATCCTGCTAGGGACCATTTTTTGCTTAACATATGGTGTAGGCTTGAGTGTTTTGGCATTTTGCTGTGTACAGGAGCTACTGTACGTACTTCTCTGGAATATCGGCACGGTTAGACTATCTACGTACGTTGTGGAGCCGGCGATAGCCTACTGTATTTACTGTTTTGCATTTACAGTAATACATACAACCTTAGTCAGCTAACTATTTAAATTTCTGTCCTGCACCTACTGTAAGCCTTCCTCTTGTGTGAGCTCATCTAATGCCAGTCGCAGAGGGCAAAACAAAAAGTATCGTTATAAAAACATACACTACTTCTCGTATAAGTACGAGTACTGTAGTCCGCCGGAAAAAAAGGGCCAACTGGAGTCTGTATTTACAGAACTAGCTAGCTGTGATGATCATGCGGAGGATCGAACTCCGAGCCTCCCCGGTGTGAGCGGGACGTGATAACCATTACACCACACGACCGATCAATTTTGGGCTTCGTTGGAACTACCAGCGGTGAATTCTGGGTTAGTATTCGCGCCCAATTTGAGAGATAAAGCAGTTTTGAAAATTCCATTGGGTTTTCATGGGTCTTTATAGGTGTTAAGGAAAATTTCCGAGCCTTTTTCTTACTGAGAGAGGTGTAAACACTGATATTGAAATGAATGATAAGGATACATAGTTAGAGATTAATTCCACAACTCGTATTGGCCTCTCTCCTGATGGATGTCAAAATTCTATTTACTTTATCTCATTTTAAGTACTGTAGATTGTACTGTGTTCCTTTTGTCTGTCACAGTTCCCGGAAATACCTCTCTTCTCACTACTAATTTTGACGCAAATGGATACACCTGTGTTGACATGATATGGCACGAGTGTGCGAAGAAGATCAGCAAGTTTTTTCATGTCAACCTGATTGATCAGTTGAACAGTATATATACCTATGTGTTCAAATGGTCGCGACACCGCTACTCATATCCATCAGAGCATGCATTAAGAATCGTTGTCCCAGAACTAATAGTGTGTCATTACTTGTTCTAAAGAGACGCTATCATACAATGTAACAGATGCAGTTTACACAACTTGTATTAAAAGAATGTAAAAGGGACCCCCTTCACCTATCCTTTGCTACTAATTACAATGTCCAGATCTATGTATAGTTTGAGAAACCTGGGACTGTCCAAGAGTGTTCATATTACACAAGAGCTGATCTCCACGGATTCTCGACAACTCAAATACCCATTGTGCCACATTTTCAGGTAAAGTGATCACCTTTTACCCTCTGAGATACTTTTTTATTTTTTATTTTTTATTCTAGGGAAATACATTTTTATTCTTTTTTTTATTCTAATGATTCATTTACACTACAGTTTTATTGCAGTTCGCATATTTCGCCTACTGTAACGCTGTATACACAAGTTTTCCGATATAGTGTAGGGGCTATCACATCACGCTCTCATTTCGAGAACCGTGGAGACCGGGGTTCGATTCCCCGTATCGGAGTCGCTGCTGTATGGTAGTTTTTTGCAACCACCAGGTGGTGTTACTCTGTATTTTTGTGGTGAGAAACGGGCTCCCATGCTGATAGATTTATTTAAGGTGTCTTTGTCCGATATAAGGTTTCGAGTAGATAAACTCAAAAAACTGCATGCAAGGGGTTGCAAACACAAGTTTGGTGTTTCATACAGAAATGTAGCTGTGTCATGTAAATAAAAAAGATGGCGACATCCGCAGGATTCGAACCTACGCGGGGAAACCCCAAGAGATTTCTAATCTCTCGCCTTAACCGCTCGGCCAGGATGCCAACTTTTTTTAGATTGTAATCGTGGTATGTACGTGTGCGGGTAATTTTTAACGCGCTAGGATAGCTGTAATGAATCATTAGAATAAAAAAAAAAGTCGAAAATTGGCATAATACGCGTTTTATCATCCTTTTGGTGTTCCTTGCGATTGATACGACTTCATGTGAAGGTTTGGTAACGTTTGCGTACCATATGAACAGATTAGATACTGATATATTCATATTGGTGCTACTCTCATACATGAATTGAAAAGGAGCATGGATTCTGGTTCGATGACATCGAACACAATAGTGACGGTTTGTTCAGATTTTTCGCCACCCTCCCCTTCCGTTCTTATGGCAGCCTTTAATACTCGACTTGTAACTACTTACAGCACAATCGTCGTATACTTGTATTGTGGCAATCATGCTGCTGTGTGTGAGGATTATTAAGAGAAGAGGACAGAAAACCATTCTTGGCTTACAAGTCATTTGTTGATGTATTAAGAGGCATTTCAATCACTATCTATACGGTCTAGAGAATTCTATGAGTGCAACTTTTCAGCAGATTTTGGCCTTAGGTATGTTCGGGTACATACTCTTTGAGCAAGGTCGTTTCATCAAAAATGGAGCAGTAAGAAACCATTGCTGTATACATGTACGATACTATGTACTTGTCTCGTTGCGTTCCCACCAACTCCGTCTCTTTTATAGAGAACCTCTACAAGTATTACAAGTACAATACGTACATACAGTAGTTTCGTCCTCCCAACAACACGCTAATTAACGCGACCGGGGTCTCAACTTAAGTATCGTATGCCGATCCCTGACTAAAACACAGACGCAGTTTGCGGATTGACGTCACAAAAAGAAAACCATATGGATCGACGTAGAGCAAAAAGACAGGGCCCAACCGGGAATTGAACCCGGGACCTCTCGCAAATTGCTCAGGACACCCTAAGCGAGAATTATACCACTAAACCATCGGGCCGCTGATGGTGTGTTTTAGGGAGCGTTCTCCTTAGTAAGGGTCGTCGGATTCCGTCATGTGCGCCATTTCCTATCTGACTCCATGGACCGATGTCTGCGAGGACTTGCAAAGCTGTCTCCTATAGCTGTACTGGCGGAGCCTCCAGCCGACTTACGCCCCAGGGCGCAGTGGTCAAGAGAGAGGATGAAAGTTGACCTGTTCGAACGCCAGCGTCGTGAAAACCCGATCGCAACCATGTCTCGGGAGCAAGTTGCATATCTCGAGTCGCAAATCGATGTCCCTGTCAAGGTGGCAAAGGATAGCTGGCGAGATCGTTTCAAGGTCATGAAGAACAAGCACTGGTTGGAGACACTGCCATCCGAGCTTGATCCGAACCACCTACACTGGCTTAAGACAAATCAGTTCCTGAGCAAGCACTACCGACGAGATGATAAGAGCGCTGCTACGCTACACATGTTGCGGCTGAGCCGCCTCCCCTTCACCCGGTGGTACCCTAAATCAAGATCTGTCCAGTACAGAGACATTGGATGTAGTTCTTGTCAACTCTTCAAACAGAAGAACTACCTCCACGAGTACCTTTTTGTCAATTGTCCAGCGTCCAAGGCCATCGGCCAGAAGATTGGTGTCCCCCTTCCATCAAAGATGGCGGACTGGATTTTACTGGAAGCCAAGGACGGCCCGCTAAACTACATTAGAAAGCTCGCCCATGCTTTGTGGCAGTTCGAGCGAGCTATGCGAAAAACTGGCCTAGTGGGTACTGACCCCGTGGTCCAGCGAGACTTCGCTCACTTGTTCACCCGAGCTTCTGCAGCATATCGTCGCGACATGGTGATCGTGGCTACGAGGCGGAAGCGCGGAGAGGAATGGGCGCCGAAGTTGTTTTCTACTCTAGGAGCATTATTACGATGGCTGGTACACATGACGTACTCGTGAGGTCTGCTCACGCTAAATATACACGCTGACGTCTCAGATTAATGGAATTATGGAAAAAAAATTGAAAAAAAAAAAAACAACCAAACACCGTGCTACCCCAACTTCAACTCCCCGATGGCGCAAAGACTCAAACACGACACACACGAATCATATTCATGATCCCTATCCGAATTACACCGTCTACGATCTATTATGAGAACAAACTAAACCAACCTCGACTCTGGATAAGACATGAAACGATTGATATGATTTCTTGATCTGTTAGCCATGATTCACTACCACGAGACCACGACAATTACATGAACTAGACGAAACGTCGACATTTTAACCGACAGCGCCTCGCAGCGCACATCGCAAAGATTCAGAAGTGTATGATTTATTGAACGCCAATAACCCGGCTTACTAGGTATATAGCTGTAATGAATCATTAGAATAAAAAAAAAAAAAAAAAGAGAATGCAGGCATCACTGTATCTAACTTCTACTCTACAACACGCTTTCTATCTGTGCTACATGGTTAAGGCGTACCATCTACTGGCCTGTGTTTGCCTCGGGGTTCAGTGATAGCAGTAATTGTATCGGTTCTGAAACATATCACCTGAGTCTGTTCTCCGCAGTATAGTCCTCATATCTAATATGTACTTACAGTCTACATTGTACTTTGCGTCAACTTATTGTTCAGATACACTATAAATAACTACTCCTTGGTTGCAGCAATGGTGAACTTGACGGGATTCTTGCAACCGTACTTGTCGCCGGTCTTGACGTAGACAATCGGGGGATGAAGAGGTCCCACGGTCTCGTCGATACAGGAGTAGAATTCCTGGGAGTCGTTGAACTCGAAGTCCTTGACGAGGCCATCACCCTTGAAGGAGAAGCCCTCCTTGGGCTCCGGAGGAGACTTGAAAATGAGCTCACCGTCCTGGGCAACATCTAGAGACAGACCAGGGAAGCCCTGGGCGATCAACTTGATGGTGTTTCCGTCGTCCTCGGCTCGGAAGTCCGAGTAGCCCGTGGTCAGGCCGTAGACAATGTTGTTTCCGTGGAGCTGCAGCGGCTTGAGACCTGTTGCACCGGGGCCAATGGCGGCCTTGAGTGTGTACTGGTCGGCTGCAAGAGCAGCAGTGGCAGCGGTGAGGATGGAGAGGGACTTGAAAAGCATTTTGGGTTGTGGGCGGTTGCGTGTTTGTCAGTGTGTAGTAGTGAGGGACGATATATTGTCGGGGTCGAACCCCTTTATATGCTGTGACTCAATATACTGACGTCGTACGTGCGGGATTTCTTCGTTCTCAATCAATGTCATCCCTACGCTCAAAATAGAATATCCCGAATTTTGACATTCTGAACTCTGAGGGTAGCATTAGGCTTGCATGTGCCATGTATTGAGGGATGGTTTCAGGCACGCCTTGGAAGCATGGCGGAGGAGGGGTACAGACGAGCTATTGCTTGGAGAGGTGGGGATGACAGCGTGTGACTTCTATTACCGTGTAGTGATGCATGTAGTGATGCGATATTGTTGGTGTTGGCACTGTCCTCCGTCACTTCGGGTCTCGAGCTGTGTAGAGTTAAGCGAAGACCCTGTCTTAAAGATGGAAGTGATGTCATCCTTATTTTTAGCAAAGGCGTTGACGTCACATTAAAAGTGGAGAAAGTGCGGGCGTTCAGGGGTAGCAAACATTGCTATCGATACGGGGTCCACTCAATTCAAGGAAGTAATTTGGTCTATCTTACATACACGGAGCTTCAGATAAACACAGTATCGTGTAAAATGCCGCTGGTTCTTTCTACCGGTTCTTACTTGTAATGATCACAGTCCTTGAAACGATGATCTTTCAAGAACATGTGATGCGGTATGTACATGTGCTGTATTGGGTTTACTGATATTCCTCGTAGAAATCAGATGTAAGTCATAGAGAGGCAGTTATATATAGATATTCAACCCTAGGCACGAGGGGCTTCCTCGTTGTTTGCGGTACGTGTCTCTCTTTAGTTTCACAGGAGTCTTATCCAAGGTAGCCAACCGCAACTCAGAGTGGAAGTTGACGGGCTCTAAAATGGTCATATCAGATCCAAATCACCAATTTTACTCTCCGGACAGCAGCAAGATGACAGTTACAGTAGAAGTACCGGTACTTTACAAGGTTCTATTTACACAAGGGCAATCTCATTCGAGAACGAAGTGTTTTTTTGTTTTTATTCTAATGATTCATTGCAGAGTGGTTTTTTTTTTTTTATTCTAATGATTCAGTGTTTTTTTATTTCCTCACTTTCCACAGTCTCTTCTCCAGGCCCCACGACCCCAACTACGGCCCGATGGTTTAGTGGTATAATTCTCGCTTAGGGTGTCCTGAGCAATTTGCGAGAGGTCCCGGGTTCAATTCCCGGTTGGGCCCGTTCTTTTTATACCCCCAGAGTTCCTAGGGTTATTTTTTAGTCTCCAGTTACAAGTATTACCTGTACGCACATCTGCGTCCATGCTGATGCATCGTGCATGGCACAGAACCTCAGGCTGGATTAGTAACAGAGAGTGCTGTAGCAGCTTCTGAAACAAGTGCGATTTTTATATCGTTATGATGATAGAATCATCAAGTTACCTCCGGGAATGTGTTTTGTTATATCCCCGTGTGCTACATGGCGTGTCATATTTGTAGCCTCTGTTTACGTCCTTGATTACGACGAGTGCAGTCTCAACTGTGTTGTAGGAATTACATCACACAAACAACCAGAGCATGCTCTTCCGGGCTGTTGAGGCGCTGGAATTTTTGCGCGCCTTCATACTGTGTGGCCTGTGATTCTGTAGACACCCTCTTTCTTTACTCGTTGGCTTCTGCTTGTATTTGTACGAGTAAGACGTTTCTACAAGTAAAGTTGAATGCCTATGCCTCCATATTCTCATAATGACACAAACTTGTACTTGTACAAGTAGACAATCACATAATAACGCAAACCCACACATATACACCACCAGGGTACTGTACCCAGCCATTAATAAACCCCGAACACCTCTTTGATAGTCTGATCTTAATGTCTGATCTTACTTACTGTCTCATCTCATCCTGTATTAGGTTAAGGCTCAACGTCTATGCATACGTCAGAACTCAAAAATGAGAGCATTCCCAAAAGCCTTCAGAGAGGAGGCTTGTATATTCCTCAACAAAACCCTATTGAACATTTTTTTTATTCTAATGATTCATTACAGCTATATACCTACTAGGCCAGGTTATTGGCGTTCAATAATCGAACATTTTTTTTTATTCTAATGAACATGATGACTAATCGAAATACTCATGAAGAAGCCCGACATTTTTTGGGACGAACAACCAGAGGACGTGGCGTAATGGTAGCGCATTGGATTTCGGTTCTTAATGAACGACGTCCTCCAAAGGCTGCGGGTTCGAGTCCTGTCGTCCTCTTAAGCATATATCCCTGCTGATTTTTTTCTCTTTGCCAGTGTGTGTAAGACGCATTTTTGCCCTCCAGCCTTTTGTCATCATTTTTTTTCAAACAAAGAAAACTCAAAACAAAACCTTATTTTTATTAAAGAATTTAATAAACGTAAAATCCATCGTTGCCGTCGATGGGCCCCCGGTTCGATTCCGGATCGGCGCAGTGTGGCCCAGGCCATATCCTGAAGAAAATACGGCTTCCAGTCCGATCAGCTACAGTCAAACTCAAGAGACCCCAGTACTTCATCTGCGACCGCGTCTCGCAATTACCAGAAAAGTCATGGAACTCAGAAAGAGTAAGATAGGGACGAAGATGTATGAATTGTGAGTATGGCCTAGATGGTAGCAGCGAGTATTGTAAGTAGTACGATCTTCACTGTCTCTATATAGGGGCACTGTCTCTATATAGGAGAAGCAGTAACTTGAATAAAGGTAAGATCCTGGAATGTCAAGTAGAAAATGGTCGATCAGCCACTGGTCTCAGCTATTATTTGTGCTGTGGGTCTTGCACACACACACATCCACTCAGCTATTGTCGTAGCAGGATAGAATTCCGAAGAAGACACAATATAGATCTACTAGAATATATAGAACCAGTAGTAGCTATCAATACGATTCAATCAGCACTAAATTAATTCCCCAAGTGAATTTTCTGTGCAGGACCATAGATATTACTATACACACAAGCCGGAAAAATGTGGTGACAAGGAAAAGACACCACAAAACAGAACACCAGAACACACTAAGAAAATGATGTAAACACGAATTAGTATACTCAGTGTAAAAAAACGACATTATTTAGTAATATGGAACAATTAATTATCACTCAAGCGTCCCACATCGCTGGAACATGACGTTTTATTTTCCGGATCACGTGACCTATCCTGTGGAACATATTAAACAGGAGACCTTTCACGGCACGTGCCAGTCCCGGTGGCCGAGTGGTTAAGGCGTTGCCCTGCTAATAGATTAGCTGTCAGGCAGTGGGTTTTGCCCGCGCAGGTTCGAATCCTGTCCGTGACGAGTACTTTTTGGCTCTCTTTAATCCTCTTTTTGTGGATATAGTGCCGATGTTTTTGTCCTAGTTTCACCTCATCTGTGTCGTGTTGGTATGTGCTGTCTTCTACTACTTTAGCTACAGTACATACGCAGTATGTACTTGTACTTGTACGCTTAAATAATGCTATTAATGAAATGCAATATGCCCCATACTTGATCGCTTCATACTCGATCACAGGCCTACTCGACCATTGACCATCAATCCTCTCACTAACCACTGTCTCGACTAGGTTTGTAACCCCTCTATTCCCCTTCTCGATCACTCTCGACCGTAGACAGAATAGCTAACTCGGCATCCTCCTCTGTCACCTCGGGGGACTGTAATCGCACCTCCTGAACCACATCATCCTCTGGCTTGAGTAACTTGACTTGGTTGGTGTTGTACGACTTGCAGTTGTCACACTTGAGACCCAGAAAGTGGAACTTGACGTTACTCTTGGCAGAACAGTCATTACAAGTGACAATAGATCGCCAGTCGGCATATGGATCGGGAAGAGGCTGATTTTCAATCTCCGTGTCCATGATTCGAAACTGAGCCTCCATGTTCAAAATACTCTTGGCACAAGTGGGACACTTGTACGACACTCTGGTGTGGTCGTACCAACACGTCTGGTGAATGGCGTGTCCACAGGGCATGAAAATGACCTTAGTGGTCGATGTGAAGAGGTAGTCGCCGCAAATAGGACAGTCGCAGTCGGTGGAGCGCTCGATGCACTTGTGGGAGCCGTGTAGATCCATCGTCATGCACGCGTTGCATCGCTGGCAATGGAAAAAGTCGATACCCAGTCCCTTGCCAATGCGACAGATGCCACAATCGTTGCAATGGTAGATGGACTTTTCAGGATCATCGTCCCACAGTTTGCAGATGGCACAGTAGTAGGAGGCCATGGACTTGTGGCACGACATGCAGTCTTGAGCTGCTGGCTGCGCCGTACCGCAATACATACACAGCATGTTCCGAGTGTCTTTTCTAATGAGAGTGTGGGATTCCACATTGTCGTGGCAGAATCGACAAGTGTACCACTTGTTGCACTCGTTGCATTCCAGTTTGCATGCTCGTTGGTAATGTTCGCAGCCCAGAATCTGCAACTCTTCGTCATGATAAGTCGGTTGCTTATCTGTAGACGAGGCTTCTGCTGTCGGGCGAGCATCGTTTGCAGCCTGCTGTAGTCTGTAGTAATCGTGCGTCATGAGTGTCTGTAACATGTACGCTTTTTCCCGTTCGGAAAAGTCGGCATTCTGAATCTCCATAATCTTTTGACGAAGTGATACTTCTGTTTCGGGCTGATCACTACTACTCTTGCACAGTTTTTGAATGTAGGCGATCATACGTTGAGGAGCAGCCGGCTTAGGAGTGGCTCGTGGAGTGGCCGCTGTGTCGGTGTTGGAGTCCTCATTGGTATCGGGATCACTGTTTCCACGGACGGGAAATGAGGGAATATGAAAGTTCCATGAAGGTCGGAATCGAGGCGGCTGAAAACGTCGTCTATCAAACCCGTCGAAATTAAGACGTCCAATCATATCCATTTCGTCATCTGAAGACGATTCCGACGGAGGCAATATTGGAGATCGCACGCTGGAGATCGTAGACGCTTCTACCACTTCTCCTTCCTGCTCGTCTCCGTCGGTGTACTCATAAGAGCTTTCTCCCGCGACATCGCTTTCAGCTGCGGAAAAGTCGTACGGGTGTCTTCCATCCACAAACAGCTGTTGGAAGCCCGTTGCGGCTGTTGCGGCTTCTCCGTTTTCTTCCCGGCCTCGTGTGAACCAGGCCATGTTGAGTCCTCCAAAAGACGGCAGGTTCAGAGGCCCTCCTAGCAGTCTGTGATTTTCTGGAGCGGAAAAGTAGTCTTCGGGTCGTACAGCTGACGGTCTGGCACCTGCTGTTTCATCATCAGAGCCCAAAACTGCGTCTCTGCTCTCGTTCCAAAGCTCGGTCATTTCTCGCCACCGTTGCAGATAGCTGCTCTGCAACTCTGGCTCGGAACACACGGCGGGCACGTTGGAGGGGGTGTCCTGGAGCGTGTTTCTGCGCTCTCGAGCTCGCGCCAACACCGATCCTTGCTGCTGTTCCAGCTGAGCCTCCAGCTCGGGAGCCTCTCCATTCTCTTCTGTTCTCTGCTGGCGATCCAGCCAGTTGCGAAACACCTCGGGCATCATGTCATCCCGGCGATGCAAAAACTCCGGCAGACGGATCACCGGCAGAGGCGGAAATTGCATGTAGTCCATGGCGCAAAGATGTCCGTGTACTTGTACAGGTGGTTTTGGCTTGCTTAGTGAAAAGATGTCGCAGCCGTTTGAGTTTATCATGCGTGTGATGAGGGATGTGTATGACAAGGGAGTGCAAGGCAGTGTGTCAAGTTTGTCTTGCGAAGTAGGTGAGGGGACAGCAGGTATTGGACCACTACAGCGTTTTTACGCTACAATAGGAGGTAAACAGGTACTATCTTTGGTCTTTATAGAGGCTTATAAGGTTCCTAACTCGACTCGTGTGTCCCTTGGAAGTTAGTTCCGAACTAATTAAGGAAGCAAGTGAGAGTGTTCCCGGCCAGGCCATTTCTCGGGGTGTAAAAGTGTGGGGAAATTTTGGAAAAAAATTGAGATTTTTTTTTTAAAAAACTTATAACATGATTTGACTGCGCCTCTTCACTTACAGCTTCGAGATTCAATTTTCAGCACCAAATGGAGACGCCCTCTTGTATACAATATGCTCACAGCCATGCCTGATGTACGATGTACAATATCCTCCCATAAGCTCATGCATTAATAAAATATGCTGCATGATCTGAACCTCCATAATTCACAACACAATGTCAACGAGAGAGTGTTATCGACGCTGTGTGCGGGCAGCCAACACACTGGGAAGCGCGGGATACAACCACAGCCGGCGGCGGCTATCTGCGCGGCTGAAGCAGGCATTTGAGTCTGGATCGGCGTCTCCAGAGCAACAGCTGCGCACCACCGAGTTCCTCGAACGAGCCGCGCGCTACCAGGGCACCGAATACAACGTGATCCGCAACATGATCGCGATAGATTCCGCGCGCCACGGCCACCAGAAGCGTTCCAATCCGACCAAGAAGCTAGCTGAGGACGAAGAGCAGCTCAAGAACGGATTGGAGTACGTCATGGCTACTTACAATGTACCTGGTCCAAACCAGTATAGTGAAGCTCTAAAGAAGGGAAAGCTGCCGACCATGCCGGAAAGTACACGTGCGCTGACGGACCTCATCAGATACGGAAGCCAGACGCAATATGACGAGTATGACGCTTTGATCAGGGGGTTGAATGAGACTATGGGTCTGGCACTTCCTGTAGATGGGCAAAAGACGGAGACTGCACGCAAGACAAGTGATCATCGATAAGGGATTGACTTGGGGCAGGCTTGGAGACGAGGACAAGATCTCATAACATTTACGGATTCTAGGGCCATCTACGACTCACTAAAAGGCAACTACTATCCAAGGCTTCCACAGGGCTCTCGGACCTTGTAAAAACACTCCCAGAGTCACACAAAGCCTTCTAGGCTGGAGGCTCATCTTTGTACATAACTTATTGCATTATCATGTCGGAACTACTGTACGACAACTCAACTCAAGGAGAGTATTCATTACGCAGCGTTTGCAGACTTGTTCTGTACATACAAATGCGTCTGATTCGCTATAATGTACTTTCTATATCCAAGAAATCTATTGTTTAAGGAATGTTTCAATCTGTAAACCCACTCAGTTGTAGTTGAGTGCCTTGGAGGTTGACAGATCTTCCTGTTTTCTTGAACTGGAAATGATGGTTAACATACCAAACTTATAGAGTGTATGCAAATATATAACCGACATTCTTCTTACTGCACTGACATATTTGTATTTATTAATCTCTCTCTCACACACACTCTCTCTACAAGTACACGTCTAGTGGATGGCATTGTATTCATAGCCACCCAATAACAGCACATGTAGCCTTCTTATAGGGTCTTCCTTTCTGCTCGTCTTTCATACTGACTAACGAAGCTACTAATACACTATAGTCCACGATAACTAGTGGTTCACTTCATCTTACAGTCTCATATTTCATAACATTGAACCGTCTTTTGAAATCTTTTCATCTATATATATGTTTATGTTACAAGTACATCTATTCCCGGTCGTACAGAACCTGCTTGACAGGCTCAGTTTCACCGACGTAGAGCCGGTGTTCCTGGATGTATCGGATGACCGAATTTGGTATCAGATACTGCACGCTCATTCCCCGTCTAATAAACAGCCGCACCTTTGTAGAGGAAATATCGTTGTAAATGAGCTGTTTGATGACCAGCACGTTGCGTCTGTGCTCGTACATAATGTCATGTGACAGCAGGAACGACCGCACGTCTGCGCCTGTTCGCTCCACAATCAGACACCCGTATCGGCCCAGAATGTGATGCAAGTCCCGCTCCTCCCACACGTTGGGCTCCCCCATACTTTCAATCAGGTCTCCTCCTGCGAGCAGCATGATTTTGACACCCTTTCGCTTTCCACTGACCGTCTTGATACCGCCTCTCTTGATGTTGATTTCCTCGTTAAAGTGGTCCAACACCGTAGCAGTTCGCTGGTATGTGGGCTGCAGCGACTCCCATGCATCTACCATGAGCCACGACGATGTCCGTTCACAGGCCAGTTCACACATTCGAACTCGGTGATGTGCAGGAGCCAGACCGGGTTTGTTGTAGTTGTCCGAGACGGGCGAGTAGTAGCCTCCAATGACCTCAAACCGGGTCTGTTCTCGAATGGAGTCCATGGCCATCTCGAACATTCGCAGATGCAGGTATGTGATGGGCGAGAAGGAGCCACAGGCCACAATGACCAGAGGACTCTTGGTCTCCTCGATCATTACCTCTGACAGTCGGTGGGTGGGAAACTTGTAGTGATCCAGGTCTCGTGCTTGCCGCGACACGCCGATGGGCACCTCTTCGAGATCTGCGCTCTGAATGATAGGCCGCAGTCCACTGTTGTCGAGCAGATATGGCGGGGTTCGGGACGACGAATCTGCCGTGCCGGTCTCCGTGTGCACCTGTGGTTCTTTGGGCGACTTGGGCGATGTGGGGGCCATGGCCTCTTCGACTGTGGTGGGTGGTAGGGCCTGGTCTCCCAGAGAGAACTTGGAGAAGTTCGTCTGAATCTCGTTGGGCGACACCTCGAGGTCGACCTCGTCGATCTTCTCGCATCGGTCGGGGCTGGAGTCGCTCATATTCAGCTCGCTGTGGATTCGCGGAATGTTGACTGGGGCCGGGTGGTAGTTTGAGTCTTTGGGGTTGTGTTTGCTATGGTGTTTGAGGGTCAGAGCAATCTGTTCGAGGCCCACCAGCGAATCGCGCGAGTTTGTTCGAGAGGGCAGAAGCCGCGGGCTGTCTTGCGGGAGATCGATTTCGTGCTGCGAGTCTTCCAGTACGTAGGGCTGGATGGGCGCAATGTTGGGGATGAGAGAGGCCTGTGCTGGTGCTGGAGATCGGTAAGCGGTGGGTCGCTTATCGCTGGGTCGGACGAAATTTGGCGCTAGTTTGGGGTCCATCAGGTTATGAGGATGGGGATTTGGTGGGTGTGAAATCCGGCTTTTCTAAAAACCGATTTCCAAAAACGCAGGTGCAGTTTCTCTTCTGTATGTCGTACTTGTAGGCTCCTCTGGTGATAAAGATACAGTACAACAGTAGCTTTACAGTAAGAGATGTACAGGGCTTCTGGTAACGTGACTCACAGCAAGAAGTTAATGTATCGGTGTTGGGTGGTGGGTGTGTACAGACTTTGTGTTGGCTGAAGCTGGGGGAGTGATTGTCTGTGTTTGTGACGTGTCTGTGTCGAAAAAATCGAATATAAATTGGCCGTTCTTTCCTGCTCCTCCCGTACTTATATAAACCGCGTCTTTTTTCCTCTTTTACCAGCCGCAAACCCTTGGCCCTTGGCCCGAATAAAGAGCGCACGTCGCTCGAAAATCCTTTCCCGCGGAGTGGGGTATCGTACCTTTGACAAACTAGGTTTCTGGTACACGGCTCAAAGGAGCGGCTGCGATATCGGAGAGCGACAGTGTGGGTGATTGGGAGGAGCTGTAGACTCGAGAGACAGCCATATGACATGTCGGTGGCCACCTGTCAGATCTCTGTCTTTGTGGACCTTCCAGACTACGTCTGGCAGGTCATTAGAGCGCCTTTTCACATCCTCGGCTAGCTCGCTCTACAGATGATGCGGCGTCTAAATCTCAACAGCTGGACATGAAAGTAAGCGTGGGAGGAAGCTGCTGAAAATGGGCGCTCCCAAAGTGTACTAAAATTGCTGTCATGGATCTGAGGGGGTTGTCCTGGCAACAACCGGGTGATTTGTCACATATTGAGCCAACAAAATGGCTAGAAAACAGCCATATTGCTCCATTTATGGCCCTGGTAAATTTTTCAAGTTTCTGTTATGATTACATTTTTTAGGTTGATAGACGCAGGCGCAGGCGGGTTGTTACAGTCTGATACATCGGTAAGCATTGGCGTCACACGAACACGTCACGTGAACTTGTTGGGCTTGGAGTTAAGACGGGTGGTGTACATAGGGGTTCCAAATTAACGGCCTAATTGGTGCACCAATACGCACGAAAGATACGAGCCGTTCGAGCACCTATCCACATCGGTCTACACTAATATTGCGTATTTGCAAGTGTATGGAGATTGATTTTACTGTATTACAACTAAGGCTGTTGTGGTGCCTGAGGGAGTACGGAGACTAATGGTAGCTAATTAGTGCCACTTTTGCCACTTCTACAACTGTACAGTTTTATTGATAGCTTCAGGAGCCGTAAAACGGTGGTAAAGTGGTTCAGCCCGAATCCACTAAGCCGACATCTCGGCTATCGTTCTCCACATTCTATTATAGGGACACAAGGAATGTCTCATCTTCCCCTCAGTCTCAACAGCTGCAACCTCAGCAAGACCTGAGATTGTACTCTACCTGAAACTCTGTCAACGGTGTGTATTGGAATGTTCACGCTGGTAAACAATTCAGTTGCTGCTCAAACAGCCCCGTGGATCACATTCAGAGCCTCACGTCGAGCTACAAGAACAGTGCGCACGCACCCTACGTGCTTCCGAAGAATGCGGCGCGCGAATACAACCCACTTACCCAGCACATACTTGCAACTTGATGTGAAGAGCTGCATGGGAGAAAGAAAGCCACGGAATGACGAAATGAAGAGAAAATGGAAAAAGAAAAGTGAATGGATAAAGATTTGTACAGGTTAGATTTGCTAAGTAAGCGATGAAAAGGGTATAAGTATCGTAGGTGGGTCTTAGCCATACGACGGACACTTCCAATATTAGTAATCATGCCATGGTGGGATACGCAGAGAAGCAGGAAGTGGACATGAGTGGGCAAGTTTGCACTTTTGGTTCACACTCTACTCAACTGGGAAAGCTACTTGCACTATACTGCTGCTGTAGCGGCCAGTCGTGTCAATAGATCGCTTCTGACGATTATTTAGCTACAAGTGCATACAGTACAAGTACAGTACCTGGCTTGATGGTCTCATGAGACAGTCGAGTTGTGTAGCTAGTGGGTAAGCGGCTGAAAACATTTTGTCATGAATGGTCCTTGAACACATCAGTCACTGTGCTCATTTGTCTGCTCAAAGGTGACTTGTACAATCCAGTACAGTAGTACCGGTGCGAGTACCGTGTGTAAGGAGCTAAAGCGTTCTGTGAGCGTTGGTCATAGTCGTGGTTGTCTGTAAGAAAGACTTACTGATCCTGGCAGGGATCAGTGGTCTTCTTATATCACAGTTGGTTCTTTGATCGTTTCCTTGGTGTTGGTCAACCCCTGGACCCCTCACCAGATCTTGGTCCCCGGTGTGGTAAACTGCCTTGCATATGTTGGGTTTCTTGCCTCTTTTGGAACTTAACGTTGGTTTGTGAACTCTCGGGGCGGCTGAAACCTCGGCCACTCTCCACTCATCAACAATTTCACATACTATTTCACTCTCTCTTCAAAGTTCTTCCTGCATGCATGTATTCACATGCATGACTGTCGTTGATTACGTCATTCCCTCCTTTCACCATGTACATACTTGTAGGTGACAGGGTGGTTATCTGCGTAGTGAGGTGACCCGAACGTGAATTGACGTCCACATATATGAATATATTCAACGTTTCCCGTTGATTAGTAGGTCTCCACTCCACGTTCTAGTAAGCCAATACTGCTACTATCAGACTGTATCGTATAACTCCGCAGTATGTACTCATACAACTGTTGCCTGCATCACTCCAGACACGCGTGCAATGACATCAGACGATTAAAAACACGAGCAATTTGATAGCACACAAGGCAGACATCGGTCACGAATTCGACGCAAATTCAAGCCCAAACAAAAATTCAGACAAACCAAATATTTTCTCTCGAAGAAAAAAAAACCACTCATACATTTACAAGTTCGGGTACACTTGGGCCACCACGTCAATGCATGCCACAGGTCTGATTGGCGAACAAGGTTATCTTTTTGGTAAGAGCTGACGAGGTTCAAATAACCATACAGGTTCCTACAATACCAGTGTTGGTGGTTTTTTCTACCACATCAGATCAACGGCTCAACCAGTTGCAGAAACACGATCAGCCCCAAACACCCCAAAGATGTTTCTCCCTAGAGAACTCTGGCTACAGATCCATCCCCTTCTAGATGGACCATCGTTCCAGGCTCTTGCCCAGACGTGCAAATGGCAATGGCAACAATACAAACAAGTCGAGGAAGACTTCTTCAGGGTGATGAATATGATCCCGGCTGTCCACACGTTGGCCAACCCTCCTAAATCATACGACCCGGACTTTTGGCGCGGTTGGTTTGGCAGTTACTTCATGAAAATTCTGGAGCCCAGTGGAGATGCGGTACCCTTCACTATCCACTTTGATGCACCCTCCAAAGACGATATTGCTTCATTGTCTTCCCAGCTAAACAAAAAGGTACATTTCAACTTCCAGAATCGCCCGAAACTACGTTACATTGTCGACTTTGAGCACTGGAACGTGTCTGCGGTGGAGCTCGGAGATCACGTGCGAAACACCAACAGAAACAGCGAACATCGACTCGTACTGGACCACATATCCAACCAACTGGACGAAGTATGCATCGAAAACGATGGGCAAGGCCTGAAGGTTGTCTGGAAGAAACCCAACCCCAAAGACAACCTCAGTATCGAAACGCCCGTTGTGCCACCTCTTTTGGATGGTATTTTTACCTGCTGGTTATCAGATAGACCCAAGTCTGTCCATGACATCTTCTTCTATGCCCAGAGTGACTTTTTTGACAACACTCTTGTCTACTACGTCGACTGGAGGACTTTATCGCTTATCCCTGTGTCCAAACAGTGCTACCCATTCGACTCGCACCCTATGGCGATGAAAAATAGCCTCTATTCAGGAATCTGCAATGGCAATTTTCTCTATTTTACCCAGGATACCATTTACATTCGAAATATCCTTTCCGATAGCCTCATGTTGCTGAGTTGTCGAGAACCCCAGCTTATCCACTACGATAACAGATACTTTATCTACATTGATGACAATGGCGAGTATGTTGTTGACGTACTACGGGGTAAGGTGAACACTCTTACTCCGCGAAACATTCTCAAAGCTATCCCTTCCATTCATATGGTCTCTATCACTGAAGAGAAGGGAGTGGAATGCTGGATACCCGGATGGGCTAGTCTCGGACAACTTAAGGCTGGAGAGAGCAAGGCCATGACTGCGGGTTTTGCCTATGGATGCATTGAGAATGGAGAAGTGATTTTTCGTCGTGACATGACGTGACATGACCACTGGAACGGCGTAAATAGTGCATATTGCTTCTACGACAGAACACAGGGCTGGAAGTGTCGAGAAAAACATGTAAAAAACTTCTCTAGCTATTGTAACGTATGTACATACTGTAGATGAATGCTTCTCAAGACGACAAGCTATGACCTTAGAAATAACTTCGCCCAAGCAGCCATATCATTGCAAATGGAAATAAACCCCATAAAACAACTCATATTCGACCATTCCTTCGATTGGTGTCATGATGCGAATCAGTTAGAGTAGAAAATAATTGAACACATCAGAGAGACACTTTTTTCAAAGACAAGACCCGTCAGAGCATACACATGCTGTCAGCAAGACTTGCAAATTTGTACCAACTACGCTACTCCACCTACGGTACTCCACCTACTCCTTTCAATCTATCGACACACTCTATTAAATAATAATGCCTATACAATGCCAATGCCTGTTCCATGATGTCCATGTCAACGAGTTTAGAAAGGATAACCCTGGAAACCTCCCTGCTGGAAGCCTCCCTGCTGGAAGCCTCCACCTCCAAAGCCGCCTCCGCCGCCCTGCTGGCCAAACATTCGGAACAGGGTTTCAGGATCGATGCCGCCCATGCCGCCCATTCCTCCGTGCATGCCTCCGCCCATTCCTCCTCCTCCAAACATGTCGTTAGGGTCCTGGAGATCGACACCAGAGTCGTATCGCTGTCGCTTCTGCGGGTCCGAGAGCGTCTCATAAGCCTCTCCGACATCCTTGAACTTCTCTGCGGCTTCGTCGTTATCGGGGTTCTTATCAGGGTGGAACTGCAGAGCCTTCTTTCGGTATGCCTTTTTGAGCTCCGTGTCGTTGGCGCTCTTCTCCACCCCTAAGATCTTGTAGTAATCCTTTCTCTTAGACATCTTAAGCTGCAGCTCAGCGTCCCGGAGCTCGGATCGCAACGAGTTGTCACTGGGATCGGCCTCCATGGCCTGTTTGAACTCGTTGACAGCATCCTCCCACTTTTCGAGCGAGCCCAGAGCTCGGGCCTTGGTCTTTCGGGCCTTGACAAACGACGGGTCGGCCTCCAGAGCCAGATCGCAGTCCTTGAGAGCGTCCTCGAAGTCACCGAGCTTAACGTTGGCAGTGGCTCGGTTGGAATAGATCTTGGCGTTGACCAGCTTATTTGTGGGATCCAGGGCCAGGGTCTCGGTGTACAGCTCCTTGGCTCGTGCGTACTGCCCGGACTTGAAGGCTGAGTTACCCTCCTCTCGCTTTCGGTCAATCTCCTTGATTTGCTTGAGCAGAGTTCGAGCCTTGGAGTTATCGGGATCGTTTCGAAGAGCCTGCTGCAGATGGGTGATAGCAGCAGCCATCTCACCGTTATAGTAGAGGATCTGAGCTCGCAGAGTCAGTGCCAGAGGGTCAGAAGAGTCCTCTCGCAGCAGACCAACGACATTGGAAGAGGCCTGGTCAAGCTCGCCAGCACCAATCATGGCCTCGACTTTGAGAAGAGCCCATGCTCGGGGAGGCTTGGCAAACCGGCCCAGAAGAGCCTCGGCCTGGGAAATGGAATGCTTGGCCAACGAGGGATTGCCTCCTGCAATCATGTTTTTAGCCTGCTGAATCAACGAGTACATCTGGGCGGCGTTGTGGGTGTCCAGGTTCTCCACGGGAGGGTGGATGGACGAAAAAGTGTTGAGGGCGTCCTCACAGTGGCCCAGAGATGTCTGGATCTTGCCGATACGCAACAGAGTCTTCTCGGCATGGGGTGCCAGAAGGTTGGCTCTTTGTGCGTCCATCAAAGCGTCCTCGTACTTGCCCAGTTGAAAGTAGGCCATTGATCTGTTGTTGAGGTACGTAGCGTTGGTGGGCTCTTCATCGACCGCCTGGGTGTAGAGATGGACGGCCTCCGAGTACTGGCCCGCCTTGTAGGCCACGTTTCCCTGCTCCTTGTATTCTAGTGCTGTAGTCATGGAGATGTGTGTGTGTTGTGAGATGGGTTTTCCTGTGGTGCCTTTGTTTTCGTAAGTCCACCTATTTCCACCTATCGTAACCAGATCGGAGGAAGAAGAGTGGAAATTTCACTTTTTATGACCACCCCCAGAATTAACTTTGGACCAAAGAATCTTCCAGAAAGTTGTACTTGATATGTACAGTACTCTTAGTGCACGTGACCGTGGAAAACGGGTATTACCAGTGTTTGGGTGCTTTTTCTGGAGCTGGTTTTGGAGTTACGTTCTTGTTCATCGGGTCTAGACCGTTTTCGTTACATCTGCTGCCCTGTTTGTGCAACTACCGCTCACATTCCACTCTCTTCCAACGCCTCAGAATCTGGGGATGTCCCAAGACGGTAATTGGCTGAGAGATAGTTATTGTAGCGCACTTGAGTTGCTATATACGCAATAAGTTGTACTTGTAATTCAGATAGTGCGCAGCAACGACTTGACCCATTCTTCAGCCACTCAAGCCCTCTTATCCCGATTTGTATTGTCACTACCGGCGCTTATACCATACCAAACCCCCCATCTCATAACGCTTATCGAAACCTTCTCGAATATTCCATAGAGTTCGGTACGAGATGTAGAGGCAAGAAACGGGTTTTGTGGAGTAGAGGCAGTTAATGGACATGTCAAGTGCGAGGGAAAGTAGATTTGACCAATCAGAACCGTTCGTGTACGCTCTATACCCCTCCTGGCTCGCCTGTTCACGCGCGTCTTTTGACTTCGCGTATCGTATCATCGTCATCAGGGGTGACTCGAAATTGAGCTCATGCAAAAGTTTATTATACAGAATGGCTGGAGGATAGAAGCAGTATTGGCGTTGGAATACATGGAATCGAACAAAGAAACGAACAAAGTTGGTTGTATGTTTCATTATCCATCAGTGCTATATCCATTATTCACGTTAGAGCCTATATTTGTGATTATTTGATTTATACACAGCTCTTAACTAAAATACAGTTCCAATTAACTAAATAGTTGAAATAGCTGGAATTTTAATGATATAAACAAACATAATTACTTAGACTTTAGGAGACTTTGCATTGAAATACTCTGAATGTACTGTACCTACTGTAGCTAGTCTCCACAAGCAAACATCTTTATCAACAGCTACACACAACAAAATCAGACCTACATCCCCAAATTCACGTCAAAAATAATCTAGAGTATTCCGCACGTCAAGTAGACCTCTCTTTCCTCACACCATACAGTCCCACATTTTTTACGCTTGGTGTCAAATAAATACATTCGCTAACCCATTTTGGTTACCAGCTATCCAGCTCCAGCTCTATCTCAAGATGATATTGGCTCCTCTCAGCTCAAGGTACTGTTGATCGACTCCGGGAGGAATGTCCCGCACAACCTGAGCCACCTCTTGGTTGTAGAACCGCAAGTTGGTACTGGGAGACCGATACTTGCCCTCGAGACCAGTGATGTCACAGTAGGCCTTGGAGGGGATCAACGACGGCGGCGCATCAATGTTGAAGTACGTGATGTCGTCGATTCCCAGATTCTTGTCTGCAAGGCGACGCTGTTCCTCTGCAATGATGGCCTTTATGTTCTTATTGCGGTTTTTGGGCGCCTTCCAGCTGCTGTTCCGGAACTTTTTGGGCATACTGTTGGCGTTGGCCTCGGCTATAGTAGGTGGCGCTTGCGGGTTGGATGATTCCGTCATGTGTGATGGAGAAGTGTGGCGGAGTGTGATGCAATTGGTGATGTTGTAGCTACTGGTGCAGGTCACAATATTGGAGTATGCATATTCGAACCAAAAAGGTAATTCTGTTGGAGAAACGTATTTATTACTTTCGTGCAAGTACCGGGTGCGAGTACACGAGTACTATCATTATAAAAACATCTTGCAACGGGTATGATATTTATTAATTGAGTTATATTATTTTGATGTTTACGTGGGAATCTCTCAATTTGATTTGATTTGATTTGATTTCTAATAGATAATATCGGTAAAAACTTGACACGATTCGTATACTAATTACCTTACAAATCTCAAGACTACTTCATATTCTATCAAAATCTATCATCTAAACAATCTACTTGGTCACCACCTTGTCTCCGTTGACCCAGACAGTAGAAGTGTTTCGGTCGTCTCCATTAAACAACCACTTGTGCACCAGGTTCTCGAGCTTGTTTCCCTCGGAAATAGGCAATTCCCAGTCAAAAATGTCAACAGGAGAACCGTTAGTCTCGAGATCAATCTGCTGGGCGTCGAACTTCTTGCCCACCTCGAAAGAACCAATCTTTGAGTCCAGTTTGAGAGCCTCGGCGCCACCCAGAGTGGCCAAGTACAGTACCTCATCCACAGACAGCTTGTCGGCGTCGTTTTCGGACTTCATGGCCACGTGACGAGACACCAGAAGACCGTGTCTGGCTGTGCTGAGAATGGAAGGAGCGTAACCTCCAGAAACATCGGTTCCCAGACCAAAGGGAATGTTCCTGTCGAGAATTTTTCGAGCATGGAACTCGCCTGATGTCAGCGACGAGTTGGAAATGGGGCAATGGGAAAGTCCACACTTTTGCTGCTCCACCAGGTTGAGTTCTTCGTCGGTCAGATAGATGGCATGGGCCAGAAGCGTCTTTTCTGTCAGCAGTCCATGCTGGTGGTATGTGTCTGCATACGATTTGCAAGCAGGGTACAGCTCCTTGACCCAGGCAATCTCGCCCTTGTTTTCAGAAATGTGAGTCTGGATGTGCAGGTTGTTCTTCTGGGCATAGTCTCCCTGCCAGGACATGATTTCACCAGTGCAAGAGGGCGCAAAACGGGGTGTGATGATGGGGAGGATGCGATCGGGTTTGTTAAGAGACTGAATATACTCAACAACTTCCCGGTCGCTCTTCTTGGCCTCCTCCACGCTTGCATCTCTGTAGTAATCAGGAGTGTTTTGGTCCATGCACACTCTTCCCACAAGTGCTCTCTGACCTTGAGACAGACAAATGTCAGCCAGTTTCTTTGTGGACTCCACGTGGACAGTGGCGTAGTAAGCAGCCGTTGTAGTTCCGTTGGCGAGAGTCTTCTTGACTACCCTGGAGTACACGTCCTGGGCGATTTTGGGGTCCTTGAGAGACGACTCCAGGGGAAAGGTGTAGGTAGTCAGCCAGTCTAGCAGTGTGGTCTTGCCGAAAATACCGCTGTTGGGGTACTGGGGCGCATGAATGTGAGTGTCGATGAAACCGGGGAAAAGGAACGAGGTGGTTTTCGACAAGTCCACCGTGTCGAAGTTCTTAATGTTGTGGGTGGCAGCAGACGCCGAAGCCGATTCAGCATGTCTGTCGAAAAAGACGATTTCCCCTTCCCTGACACCGATAGCAGCTTGGGGCAGGTATTCAAGTGCTCTTCTGGCGGGATTGACGATGGCTCCGAAAAAAACTGTGGTGTTTGAAGCAGTCATTATGGTGTAGGGTGCTGTTGTCGAGTTACTGGTAGGCCCGGATCAAATCAACTATATCTATCCCACGCAGATAATGCCGAAGGTTCACTGAGAGATAACACAAGGTTCTTCCGTCGGTCCCAACGGATCGACCGGTGGAAGAGGCAGGGCCGTGGCGGGCAAAGGCGTCGGCTTGATTTGGTCGCAGAGAAGTTGTAAAATTAGCGAAAAGTCTGGAATATAATAATTGCGAGCTATATTTACTTTAGAGAATTTTTTCTTGTGTTTTTGTGATCATCTTGGCCTCTTTTTCAACTGCTCTTTAGCTTCTCCATGTTGCAACGGCCGGCACAAAAAACAACGTGCTGATATAATTAGGCTGTTTCACAGCTGGGGACGGCTTGAACATAATTGCAATCTAAGATAACTCTTAATGCTTAGCGTAAGCCAGTAAAATAAATCAGCGAGAGGACGGAGCTTGACACTGTTGACCAAGACCGATCTTGTGCCGTGGGATAATATGTGTCAGGAGTGAAACGGGTGTTAATACATCTATTTTAGGGGTGTGTGTATGTCTGTCTGCAGCCGTGCAGTGGAGGTACTATCGTTGTAAGTACTGTAGATGTATCCGCCGTAGTGTGTAGATACCTGGAAATTACAGAAGCTGGTGTGTTGCATAATCGGTTTGGATTTAGCACTGCTGTCAAGACTATCAGAGATAGTCTGGACCTCAAGAAACCCCTACTATGCACACAGAAAATTGATAGATGGCGGTTTATCAAGAAGTCTCGGTTCTGTTCTTGGTACTGTGGTTGTGGCGTAACTCGCATGGTGAGGCTGTTTCAACAGGCTGCAAGTATGCGTCTCCTGGTATGTGTCGCTGAAGGTGAACAGGAGCTCTATTGACACTGCCATATATATATATATATATATATTCAGCCTTGTTCAAAGACACCCCCCACCAAACTGGTCTACCATCACCGCCATCATCGATATGATCAACCATCATCTCTACTCGCACCAATATATGCACCTGGCCGCTAAACAAATGAGACTGGCTCTGGATATAAAAACGTACGCCCTGATTCAAACCAACAAGCATATCAGTTACTCCGGAGACCTTGAAGCTGAGCTTGCTGCTGTTGCTAGCAGAATTGACGAGATTGAAGAGACTTTTTACGAAGTAGGAATGGCCGTTGTCATTGAGGAAACCAAGCAAGTAAAACAAGACGGCTCCATCAAGAAATGATACAGCTATAGCAAATTGGTGTTTATATATATTTACATAAGATTAGTTAAGTAATTTATAGAGAAGCTGAATTTCAGGAGAATGTACAGTAGATAAGGCAGATCAATGTGCTGTACTGGTTGGCGCACAGGCCTTGTCGCTGATTGTAGTTGGCCAGTATGTACTGTACTGTCTAAAAATGGAAATCAAAACAAATGTTAGTCCAAATGTAAGTACTTGTACTCATACTTACACATCCTGAATATCTTTTCTTTGTATTCAGTGGGGATTCTGTTTCTGAAACGGATGTGGCTCATTTGGCATGAAGAAGCCGTTCTACGGTGAACGATACTAGGGATTGAAGCGGCAAACAGCGGCCACATAGTGCCAATGACTAGCATCTTAAATCTCTATAAAAAGGGCGCAGTTCCACCTTAAACGAGACTCATCAACCATCACCAATCACCACATCCATTACCATGCCAGTTCTAATCACCTCTGACATCACCAAGACCGACTCCAACTTTCCGCTGCGACCATACCCACGCAAACATCGGCTGTCTCAGAAGAAACAGATCAATGGTACATAATTAAGAAACCACAATGTTTGCCGGTGCTCTTTGCAGCTACTTGTAATAAGCAAGATGTACTGAAGTAAATGTGTACATCAATGAGATACCTCTACCACTCTTCGTGTCTCAAAGGCGTGGGGATAAAGGCCCTCCTACAAGAACCTTCTGAGCAATCACAGAGTGTTCAAAAATGTATATGAAACGCACCAGGCATATAATGATCAATTGACAACACAAAATATCCCGCATCGCGTATTGACACGTTACATCATGTGTACTCACGGACATTGACTCTGTTGTGTTGGTTGTGTTTTATATTTCAATTTCAAACCTCACGTTAAACACGAAAATGCACACCGCCAAATTAGGTTAGTTAATTAGAGTGTCAAGCTGTACATCAAAGTCGCAACTGATGAGGCAATAATGTGACCTTCAAATGGAGATAACGTGATTTTTTTCCATTGAGAAGATGGATTAAATCAAGATTTATGAGGTACATTCTCAAAGCTTTTCTGATTGCTTTCTGATTTTTTCTGATTTTAACTCGATATATACCGTTCACCACCGTTAAGGTTCACGCGACGCGTCCGAGCCAGCCCTTAATGAGACTATGCATATACACGGTGTAAAAAGAGACGCCTTTTTCCACAGTTCACAGTCCACAGTTCACACACACAAACACGCGCAAGAACTTCGATCGACAAATTCATCGAAAATGGGTGCACCTCTGAAAACATACGGACGTGTCCGAGAAGCGAGCCCGGGCACCAGCACCGAGTCTGCTCCACTCTCCAACTCACCCCTGTTGTCACCCAATTCGCGGGTCAAAAAGCTGCTGGCTGATCTTGGAGAAAGCAGTGACGAGGAGGAGGACGTGGAGCAACTGCGAAGCAAGTTTCTGAGCAAGAAAGAACAGAAGGATCAGGCCGCAGCCGAGTCGTCGCCTTTAATGAACCGAACAAGGGCGTTGAATGGTAAATTACCTAGCAAGTCGATTTTCGACACTGCACAAGATGAGCAAGACACTCAAGAGATGGACACACAGGATGACGCTGACGGATTGGTCTTGTCCAAGCCGATTGAGAAGGTGACAGAAAAGGTTGCCTTTTCTGATGTTGATTCCATGGCAGACACTCAGCCTGACTTTGAGGAGACTCAGCCAGATGAAGATAACGACATTGCTGCAGACATGGCTACCGGTGGAGAATCAAAGACTGATTTTCCTTCACCTATGGCTTCCCCATCTCTGTCTCTTGCATCACCCTCTCCTATTCCACCTCCTGTTGCCACCACCGCAGCTACAAACACTACATCTGCTACTACTCGTGATGCAGCCCCCTCTGCACGACCACGAAGAAACCGAGTCATTGCAGACTCCGACTCGGAAGACGATCTGCGTTCGTCCAATTTACCTTCCTCGACTTTGGACTCTAACCCCCACGAAGGAATGGGACTCAAGAAGACCCTGTCTGACTTATCGGACCTTTCTGGCTCCGAAAACGAATCGGAATCCGAGCATGGATCCGAGGACGAGTCGCAACAGCGAGTCAATGCACTCAAGGAGCGTCTCGCATCTACCGTGGACGAGCTGGACCCCTTTGAGGACGCAGACGTGTCTGTCATTAGTTCCCAGAAACCCACTCGAAAGGCCAGCAAGAAAGCTCTGGAGGAAATCGAGCGGGAAAACCAACGTATCAATCGGCAGCGGAACCTGGCACCGGAGGTATACACTACGGGATTGGTTACCAAGCAGAACCTTCTGGCTCGTTTTGGAATGGCTCTTAAAGAGGAGGAGACGAACAGAGAGTCGGTCATTGCAGCTCCTACTACACCTGGAAAGACAGCCACCACTTCGGTTCCTCACTCAGACGACTCGGTGATGGATTTCGATCTTCTTTCCTCTCCTCTGACTTCTAATGACCCTGGTCTTCAACCTCAAGAAGTGAAGGAGGTCCCTTTCACACCCTCCAAAATGATGCCTCCTTCAACCCCATCTCTTTCTCGATCTGTCAACAAGAAGCAGGTGAAGAAACTTGCCAATGTGGGTGTTCATCGTATGGCCAGCTACATCACCAAGCGACCCTCTCAACTGCTATCCACCCTGTCTGATTCCGACGATGACCTCATTATTGTGCCTGACGCTGAGGCCGACAAGGTACCCGAATCGTTCAGAAAGATGCAGCAACAGGGAGTTCCTGTCAAGTACAGCTCTCAGAAACCTGCTGCTACCGCTGGGCCAGACTTTTTTAGCCTGATGAAAGCCAACATTCGCAAGCAGCATGCGCAGATGAAGGCCGACAGTGAACGTGAACGGCAGCAGCTAGGTCTCGTAGATCTCACTGAGCAAGACAAGGAGGACGAGGCCGTCGAGTCGTTACTGGAACAAGCACGACGTCAGCAACAGGAGATTGCTGATCGTGAGAAGCGAGAGCGGAGACGAGCTCGTGATGAGGAGTACGATTCCGTGGCTGAATCTGACCATGAGTGGTTCGATAACGACGATGAGAGTCGTGCTGGGGTGCCTGATTCGGAGGATGAGGATAGTGACGTCAACTTGTCTGACGAAGACGGTCTCCAAGCTCAACAGGCTCTAGTCGACGCAGTTAGCGGAGATAAGGACGAAAAGGCCGAAGGTGTGGCTGAGGATGAGGTTGATACTCAACTTGATTTCCCAGAAGATACGGAGGTTAAGGATACAGCTGCCCCTGACAGTGTCGACAACATCATTTCAGGTATTACTGCAACCTCCCCATCATCTCCTGTATCTGAAGTTGCCTCCCCTGTACGGGACAATACTGCTTACCTGCGTCAATTGGCCGAGGACGAGGCTGCTCACCAGCGTCGAGAACGTGCTCGCACTTCGACTTCGGGACTACTGGACGGAGAAGCCGAAGAGTCCGATGACGACTGGGCTGGCCTAGGAGGCGCCAGCGACGAGGAAACCACTCGTCCCGAAGATCTGGCTGAGATTGGCCAGATGGTAGACGATACAAAGACCGGTGCCGATCGGGAAAACTACGCTGCCAACCGGCAGTACGATCTGCAGAAGGACCTTGATGATGACGCCAAGCAGGTGGAGAAGCTGCTGGACGACGTAACCAATGGTGGTTTGCGTCGTAAGCGGGCCAACAATCTGGATCTCGACTTTTCCGACTCTGAAGACGAGGACGAGATGCGAAGAAAGCGTCGAATTCTGTCTGAGCGAAAGAAGAAGCGAATGCTCGAGGCTGGCAACCTGGAGGATCTGGCCAAGAATCCCGAAGCTGCGGCTTTCATCAGAGCCATGCAGGATACCGACAGTGAAGAGGAGGATGAAGATGTGTTTGCTTTGCCCACAAAGCCTGCAGCTTTGAAACGGGAGGGTCCCGCACAGACTAAAAAGAAACCGTCAATTCAGGAAACTCTGTCGTTCCTGTGTGAGGAGTCTGTTGAGATGCCTCCTTCTTCTCCTGGAGGCAATTCGGACATGGAGTCAGACGACGATCTCATTATCACTGGACAAACACACTCGACTATTGATCTCACAGCTTCTCGACAAGACACAGTTATGGATGATCATGACGATGAAGACTACCTTGAACGACTGGGACCTTCTCGAAACGTGGTTGTGCGAGAAGCTGAGGACGACGAGGAGCTCAAGACCATCATTGGACCCAACGGTAACTTCCATGGTCTGATTCGAAAGAAGAAGCAGCCGTCTATGACTACTTCATCTACCGAGTCTGTGTCCAAGAAGAAGAACGCCAGGTACTTGCAACAGCAGGAGTCCGAGACCCAGAAGCAACAGAGTCTCAAGAACCGGTTCCTGGCAAAGTTCAAGTCGGTGGGTAGTAAGCCCAAGTCCCAGAGTTATATGAAGGGTGGTAGTTTTTACTAGCCAGGGGGTGGCACCATAAGTTATTAATAAGCATTTAATTGTCCAGAGATGAGTATATACGCACTTGTATAGGAGTTATGTAAACGCCATTGGGTGTTTGGCTTCGCACAGTAGAGTGCCAGCGTTGGATTGTGTACAGGTTTTACATCACGCACAGTCGAGTGGATGGGAACTACTTCCAGGTGGTAAAGGGATGTGGTTTAGTATGACTGAGATATATACGTAGCTACAGTATCATATGTGCTCACTCTGAAATCATGTCACAGATGCACCTGGGAGGCTCTCGGGAACGTTAGAGACTCAGCTGCTTCGGATGTACCTTGCATTTCTCATGTTAGTTTCAGGTACACCAAGTTTTCAACCGACCAGTGGTAATCGCATTCTGATTACAGAAGGTGTAGAAGTATATCTACTTGTAGTAAAGTAGAAACGACAAATACTGTATTCTGTTTTCGTCGCCGTTTAAGAGATTTTCAAGTTGCACAGTCTACCCCTATTACGCCCATCTCGTGTCAATCTCGAGCAAGGTTCTGCGATCGGCGCGGTTATTGCGTGTGTGACTGGCGTCTGGGAGTGGGTAAGTGGTGGGAGGTATTGACGTGGGGTGTTCTAATGGGGGTTTATGGCGTGCATTTAAACACTTGGAATAACTGGTTTTCCTCTTTAATTTCGTGTTTGGATCATAATACACCATTATAGTGACCTTCATCAGACCACTCAGCAGCTCTCATATTTACAACGTTATTCAGTGATCGTCAAAACAAGCTGATACCCGCAGTTAGCTGATTTTCTCCACGGTAGATATATATGCAGAGCTCAATGTGCTGGTATCTAGACGCCCACTCGTCATCATGAAACTATCTCTCCTTACCATTGCTCTGTATGCTCTTGGAGCTCGAGCAGACGTGACTGTCACTGTCACTGCTACTGTGACCGCGGACCCTGTCATCTCTTCAACTCTAGCGGTCAACATTGCCGAGTCCGACTCGCCCAAGGCCGGTCCAATTGTTGCTCCTCTCAACAACGAACAGACCTTCTACACAACCGAACTTGAGCTCGGGAGTCCAGGCCAAAAGTTTAGACTGCTTCTTGATACTGGCAGCAGTGACACCTGGGTTATTTCCAAGGAGGACACTTATGACTGTGGCTACGGCTCCTGCGACTACACTGGCCAGTTCACCAAGAACCAAAGCTCTTCCTACCATGAAATTGACGAGGACTTTGCCTTCTACTACCTTGGAGGAAATGCAAAGGGTAAGTGGGCCAAGGACACTCTTTCCATCAGCGGCAAGGCCATCCCCAGCTTCCAGTTTGGACTGGCTGATGACGCCTTTGGAGTGGATCCTCTGACTGGAATTGTGGGAGTGGGTCCCAAAAGCCTCGAATTTACCAAAAACAAGTACCCCAACTTGCCTGAGGCGCTCAAGGAGGCTGGTCTAATTAAGAAGGTTGCTTACTCGCTTTACCTGGACGACGACAATGGACACATCATCTTTGGAGGATATGACAAGGCAAAATATGAGGGGGATTTAGTTGAGCACAAGATGACCAATGAGAAGAGAATCCAGGTGGATTATTCAGATGTGAGAGTCTCCGGAACTCTGTGTTCTCCTGATGAAGACACAGTTCAGCCTGCTCTGCTTGATACAGGTAGCACTTTGTCTTATCTCGATGATAAGACTCTCAACCGGGTTTTTATGAAGCTTCCCGTGTTTGTTGGAGACTACCTTGAGGACCAGGGGGCTTATCAGATCTCATGTATGCCTCCTCAGTTCGATGTCTCATTCAAGTTTGGCGACCAGGACCTGCATATCAACGGTTCTGATCTCATCATTCCTGTGTCTCGAAACTGGTCCGAACTTGACAAGGGCTGTTACTTTGGCATCACTACCAGCAACAACTCCAACCACAGAACGATTCTTGGAGGCACTTTCCTACGGTCTGTTTATGCCGTTGTTGATCTTGAGGACAAGACTGTTTCCATGGCTCCTATTAAGAAGACTGGCGATAGTGACGTGAAGGAGCTGAGCTGATGGCAGGAGGTTCACGAAATCGATACATAATAACTCAGATAATTAATGACTAATGATACATCATCGATGATCGAATCAAACAGGTAAAATGAGTTTGATGAGCAGCGTCTCAACGTACTGTGAGACAGCTTGTGGACACTGTGTGGGAGATTATATCACTTGGGAACTTACAGTGAGACTGGTATGCAGTTGTTTCACGAGGAGATGGCACCTGACAGCGAACAGCTATAAAGACATCCGTAAAACTGGGAGAGTGGGGTGGGGTCTATTAGCAAGCACGATAACATATAGAGCAATCAAAATAGACACAGACAAACGGGCATCTAAGGCAACGTCAATGTGCTTCGGCCATGTTTAAGACAAAGGACGATTGACTCATTGATGTATGTCATCACGTTGTTTTGAGGAGAGTGAGACGTGCTACAGTTGGTAGGTACCATTGATTTGAACTCATCCATCTCAATAGTGTATGTAGTCTGAGAATAATGTCAATGACGCCTAACAAGACTGGTTCAGCAGACGGTCTCTGCTTCTATGATCAGCTTGTTTTTTCCATGCCTTTTGCAAGTTCGTTCAATTTTTGCCACATTTTCCAAACTCCTCCCCACTCATCGTCCTTCAAACTGCCACTTTTATTGGTTCGTACAAGCAGCTCCGATTATGCACTGCTCTGAACTTTGTGCAAAGAGGGGTCATCCGCCCCTCTATGGAGACACTGGTGCTGTAGACATTACTGTACTTAGTCTTGAATCATCCAGCGGTGCTGAGATGGTAAGATTTTTAGTGGCAATTGCGTTCTTGTGTCCATCTTTGCAGTACATGCCTCACTCACAGACTCGGCTCCTCGCGTTAATAGCACCAAAAAGCCTCTCATACATGCGCCCCCACGCTCAGCCACCAGTAAGGGGTGCATGAGCTGGGCCAAAAATGAATGTCTCCAGCTTGTATCTCAGAGCAATTAATGGGTGGAGATCGAGACACACATAAGTATTGAATCGAGGTTGCTATGGTGGCAAGAAGCAGTCTATTTTGGGTGCACCTGGACAAGTACGAGTCAGTAGTTTGATATTGAAACTCAGAGCGGTGCTCCTGCTGTATGTACTTCAAGGTATAGCAAGGGGCAATGAACATAAACCTGTTTGCCCAGTGATACATAGGTGATACACAGCTGTAATATATGGAGAAAGAGGAATATGGCTCTGCGGACGCACTGCTGAGAGGTATCTATGGTCTGACACAGCCGCACCTAAAAATAAACAGAACAAAGTATTATGGTGAATTTAGCGTTGGAGCACCGTGCACATCCACTGCTAGGCAAACTTTCTTATATCTACAATACAGACCGTCTCACAGGCATCTAGGAGCTCTCTTACCACTTGCACAGGCGGCCGAAGGGTGTTTAGAGGAGGTGGCGCACGCGACGACCAGCAGACAGTGCCAAGCGAGAGGCTATAGATAGGATACACGCAACATATCCCGACAGGACAGATCATACGTACATCAGAACAGCACACAGATCAGACGATACAAAACAAACTGGTGCAAGCGATTCTACAAGTACAGATACCGAGCAACACAAACAGTCACACAAACAGACCTAAGAGCGTCGACACAAACACGACAACATCACCACACCGACACGAAAAATGAAATCGATATTTCACGAAGAAACAGACAGTGAGTGGTCTGTAGATTTGAACGACCCCAAGCACAACAGACGGTTCATCCAGGTGCCCCGAAAACCCGTTGGAACGGGTCAGAGCAAGCTGAGAGACCCCGATATGGTCACTCAGGCTGACGGAAAAGTTATTGAGTGCTTTCCCTTCACCAACGACCCTCTCCCAGCCATGCCCTGCTCCCCTGAGGAGTCTCCCTACAGGGAGGACAGCGGCGCAGGAACGGGACCATCAGCGGAACCATCTACATCGCCAGACACTCGTCCGGCTCGTTCGTTTTCTGTTTCGAGAAAACCAGTGCAATACGGAGTCCAAACTCCTACTCCCGTGAGAACCAGAGGCTACACTGAGAGTGACGTTGGAGGAACTATGACCACCAGTGTCACCCAGGTGACCAACAAGACGCCTCCTCTTGGGTCTGAGGGGTTTTCGGTGGCCGGAGCTCGACCCAAATCCAAGCACAGCAGCATGCGAGAGTCGTCCAAGGCAGACCTTTCTAAGGCGCTTTCTAAAATCGGTATCAAGCCAAGTGGGTCCTCTCGTGACCTTCCCACCGATCCCGATGAGTTACAGGCTTCCCGTGAGGAGCATATTCGTGACAGTTATGCTGCTCTTGAGCGTGTTAGAGACAGCAGAGCTGTTCAGGAGTTTTACGCTGCAGGAGGAGAGGGAGAGAAGGAAAAGGAGAAGGAAAAGGGGGAAAAGTGGGAAAAGGAAAAAGCGAAGGAAAAAGAGAAGGAAAAAGAAAAGACGGAGGAAAGAGAGAAGAGCAGAAGCAGAAGCAGAAGTAGAGACGTGATTGGAGGGGGGAGCCAGAGTTCTGTATTGGAACGTCTTTCGGAAGAGAGTCTTTCTAGTGACAAACGTCTAGGTCAACTTGGTGAGCACTTGACGAAAAAAGAGGTTCTCAAGTCTCCTGGAGCTTCCACGTTGGAACATGACGGCATCTCCGACGCCACGTCTACAGAGAAACACGATTCAGATAACGATTCTGACTCCGACTGTGATACCCAAAGCTTTGTCAAGCTGCCGTCTGCAGACATACATCCCGTTTATGGAGGCAACAACTTTTCCACGACCCCTTACGCCACCGCATTCGAGACTCCTCTAATTGAGTCGACGTCTACTTTTGGAGCCGCTCGTTCTCGGTCATGTACTCCTCCTTCAGGTCAGCTTTTGGACGCATCTCCCACTAAAACGACCAATGTGACTCCCCGGCGAGTCCCCGTGGACCATCCCTCCTTGCATTCTAATCCCGAGGGTCGGTTTCTCATTGACAGCTGTCCCGAGCAGGAACTCAAACGCGAATCTTCTTCCGTTGCAATCCCTCCTAAAGGTTACAAGTACCCTATTGACGACCGTTTCCCTGCTGCTGTTCCACGCCAGTCTTCCCCTCCTGCTGATCCGTACCAGGAGATACCCGAGCCGTACGACTGCTGGAACGAAGAGGCGGACCGGAAGAGCCCCGGGGCCCCTTCCGTTGTTACCAGACATCCTTACTATCGGTACTTTGTCATGCGGTTTTCCAGAGACTTGTATCTGACCACAACTCCCACCCAGCATCATATGGTGGCCAACCAGGCGCAGTCGTATTATGTGAAGAATGAGGACTACCGGTTCATGTTCTACACCAACATTAACGAGCAGCCCGTGACGATTGTGGAGAAGCGAGACAACTTTCTGCAGATCTGCTACGACGACTCATCCAGGCCACCGCTCGAGGACTACAATTTGTCCAGCACTGTGTCTCTGGAGCAGTCCATCGATTCTCAGTCTCTCAGCGAGTCGCTGTCGGACATTGTGAATCCCTCTTTTGTCGGCCAGGCAATCGAGATCCCCTGTGGTGACAAGGGAAAGAACAAAAAGTACAAGCGTTACTCATTTATCGACGAGCTGGGTCAGGAGTGGTTCATCACGAACGAAAAGTCAGGAGTTTACACTTTCTCCAACGCCAACTCCGTGGTAGCAACTTACAAGCGTAAGGAGAATATTGGCAAGCGTATTGTCAAGAACGGACTCGAGTGGTTGTCTCAACAGGAGAGCAACAAGAACGACAACTATCGTGCTCTTCCCAGTGCCGGTCCTCAGCCTGTAGCATCATCTATCGAGACCGAGGCTAGCGCTACATTGACTGTCAGTGAGCTGGTGGACCCGTCTTCGAACCTGTGGAAGATTTGCATTGGGTTGCTAGTGACCGTTGCTTACAAGAAACCGAAGCAGTAGGCTGAGAAAGCCACTGGAGCCAAGACACATTAATACAAGTAATTACATTAGTAAATGCATTCATTATAGACTAGGGTGTGGCAGCATTATGGTACTGTACATACAGGATGACAGTTGCTGGAAGCAATTTACTTTAAGCACGGAGAAACTATTGGCTGTGTGGAACTCCTCGTTGTGAGGAGGTTGGAATTTTTTATCCACTATGATACATGATTATAGGATTAAACTCGTAAAATATATCTCAACTGTCATCAAGTTATATGCAGTGTAGTCTGTTGTATGAGTAAAAGAACACCGGTAGCCACATCCACATATGTGAGACAACGCGGTTGTTATGAGGCAAAGATCTGTGCACACTATTGAAGAAAGTAGCATCGGTTAATTATCATGATATCTTGTACAAGACGTGGTTTAGTGGGGGGAGGTACAAGTAGCACATATTGTATGTACAGATGGAGATTGTCTTTGCCGCTCTTTCAGGTACTGTACTTTTATTAGTTATAGACCAGCGTACTTGTGGTGCGATACTGGTGGTACACTTATGGGCATGCTGCGGTGTGCTTCGAAAGCGTGCCAGTGTATCACTGACGTCACTTTCCAGTGTCTCAGATCCTGCCGTAGCTCTGGTGGATAGTTCAGGGGCAGGGGGCGCAGAGGTGGAGACGGCAATATGGACGCTGCAAATACTACTACAAGTAGTAGTAGAGACGTTGGAAAGAATGCTGGGCGCGTGTTGCCTGTATACGGGGAGCCGAAATGACAAGACGGCGGAGGAAATTAATAAATCTGGCGTATGACAGGTACAGTGTAGAGTACGATCGGAGGACAAGAGTTGACTCACATCCTGAACGGCCTGCTGCATCTTGGGCTTGGTGCAGGCTGTTACAGTAAGGTACCCGAAGGGCAGCCGGTGTGGGGACGAAACCGCCTTAATTGTTACCAGAGACTTTATGGTGTCAAAAGCAAATACAGGAGTAGGTGATGTGCACCCCAGGCGCTAATTGCGGATACTGGGATGTATCCGGATGTATCCCCTATATTGTTACATATCCCGTACCTATTGTACTGTATTATGTTTTCCAGGGGTGCAGTGTAACATTGGCCCACCGTGACTGGTAATTTCACACGCGGCCGTTTCCAATCTCGTTTAATATCCACTTTTGGCCATTTGCGCACAGTAATTAGAAGTTTTCCAGATCGCTGCTTGTCTTTGTGAAAAATACAAAACGAAAGGCACAGGTAAGAGTACAAGTACGGTACTTGGTGCTTGTTACCGGTACTTCTATTAGTGTGAGGATAGTTAATCAGAATATCAGTGGTTCTCTCTCTTTACAAACCGTACAGAGCCTGTCCAGCGTCTTAGTTGGTCCGTTGAGGAGTGTATTGTAACTGGTCCAAGTGGTGTGTAACAAATCAAGGAGTGTGTATTCTGGAACAGAAACAAGATGAATCCCCCACACTACACCTCTCGCCCGTTCCCGGCATGGCAAAAAACCACAACGGTTCTGCTAACTCCCCATTCCCCTGAACATTATCTTTTATTAGTCTTTCGGTGTGCATTAAATTGCATGTTGTGCTGAATTTCAATGTTCAAAAAAGCGACGACAAATAGGGGATGATTGAGATGACTACAGGGAGGTGGTTGGTGTATAATAAGGGAGTGAAGGCGACTATGAGTGTCCTTGAGAGAAATATGACAATTTTTATCGCGGCAGTATACATAAACGCGTTTGCCTTCTCCCCTTGACTCTCCTACCGACTTGGAACCAACCAACTCTTCACCTCACGGCCCGCACGCGAAGCACAACCTTCGTGTTTTTAACGGGAGTTTAAAAGGATAAAAAATATAGCCAAACGGAGAAGAGGTCTGTCTATAGCTCTCCTCAGCCCCTAAACTTGTATAGCCCAAAGGCACACTGCCCACTCGTCCAACGGCGACTAGTGAGTCGATGGGCAACAAACCACAGGCCTGTCAACACAATCTATATGCTCCACACCCCCATCTCTCCTGATCTGCATCTGATCTGAAAAGTACTGCCGTTGTCACTCGCACTTGGGAGACTATCCGTAGAACAAGGCCGCGAACAAACGGCGGACAAGCAAGCTGTGGCTGGTCACACTGGGGCGACTCTTCTTTTTTACTCACCTAACCAACGTGCATACAGCCCCAGTAGGCGAAATTGCCATATCGGGACCCTGTGTACAAATACTACGATCACCCCCACCGGATCTGCCCACGGGAATATTTTATCTCTTGTCGTCACAGTCAAACAACCCTTTCAAGCCAGCCGTGCACTAAGCTCTCTGACCCCTTCTTGTGCTGAGTTTGTCTTTTTTTCATCAAATCTTTCGCTTGGGACTTTAGGGCCCAATCTAAGATAGACACACGCTCACCACCCAAACCACACCCCTTCTTTTGCACACCACCCCACGACCGAAACACAATATCACAGAACGGCAAAACATACTGTGACGTTAACATACCGGACGAATACCAAGGACTCTTACAGGCTCTCACTCTTCATCTCCTCCACTACCCAAGTCGCGCTCCCTGTGAATACTCCGCTCATTACACGGTCTCAGTTTTTGCGTCACTCACTACAACCCCTGCACAAGTCTCAATCAAGACACTCGCAAGAGACCCTTGACTCTCTAGCGACCCATCCACACAGACTCGTTACACAAGCACGTCCCTACATCCACTCTCGCTACCGGTTCCAAAATGCAGAGTATAAAATGTGTCGTCACTGGCGACGGGTAAGTGATCGTGATGCCATGAAGGTCATGGTTCAATTGACGCGACGTGTCGGCGATATGACGGCGGTCGTTTAGGCGAAACGATGGCCATCGTGTATTTGCTCCACGGGCGGCTTCACACCCACGCAATACACCGCTTGTCCCACCCTCCCCGCCACCCTACTAACACAGTGCCGTCGGTAAAACTTGCATGCTAATCTCATACACCACAAACGCCTTCCCAGGAGAGTACATCCCCACCGTGTAAGTATTGACGCCCTCATTGATGCCCTCCACCTCTCCTATCTAACTCAGCTTCGACAACTACTCTGCCAATGTCATGGTGGATAACAAACCGATAAACCTCGGACTTTGGGATACCGCGGGCCAGGAAGATTACGACCGGCTGCGGCCACTGTCATACCCCCAGACCGGCGTGTTTCTTATCTGCTTCTCGCTCGTGTCGCCCCCGTCGTTCGAGAACGTCAAAGCTAAGTGGCACCCCGAAATCTCGCACCACGCCCCCAATACGCCCATCATCCTCGTCGGCACCAAGCTCGACCTGCGTAACGACAGTGAGACTCTGGCGCGGCTCGCTGAAAAGCGACAAGCCCCCATCACATATGCAGAAGGCGCCAAGTGTGCTCGGGACATTGGCGCCGTCAAATACTTTGAGTGCTCGGCATTGACCCAAAAGGGACTCAAAACAGTGTTTGACGAGGCCATTCACGCGGTGCTGTCGCCTCCCCAGCCCAAGAAAAAGAAGAAGAACTGTGTGATTCTCTAAAGTGGTTGTACTACGCGACAAACAAACCCACTGCTCCCCAGGAGTCAACCCACGTGACGCTCGAATCTGGCGGGGTCCAACTTCCCTCCAGATTGAGTCTTCAGCTATGGCCCAAGACTTAAAACGCTCTAGACAAACACCACTTGTTTTATTGGCGGTCTTTCTCGGCTTCTTTGCCAGATCCCGCCAATGACAGCTATGACTTGGTCCTCCACTAAAAAGGAACTCGCTAGCTTAGGACTCCACTCATTAGTTAATTGATGTGTTTGGATTTGTGTATCTGTAGGGTCTGGACCGTTGTTGATTGGTCGGACTTGTATATAGATGTGGCGACGAATAGGAATGTGTGCTACACCGTATAGACAGCCGCTTGAAATCGTACAGTACTTATATTGTATGTACTCGTAATTGAGCGGCATAGGGGTGCCATGCACCTTTTCAATAACCTATCAACAGAGAGAATCGTGGGGTGGATTTTTCACGTTGTGCACGGCTGGATCTTGGCGTGTGCGGACCGTTGGTAGGGTAATCCCGTTTAGATGGAGTTCAAAGATGAGATTTCAGATTTGAAACATGATGTGCGATGATGTGCAGTGATGTAATATCGATGGTTAATCATCGTTTGTTTCGTATTTCATTAAGAGCGGCTGTTTTGGTTTATGGAGTTATATGAGAAGAAACTTGTCTCGTTTGTTTGACATGATTGAAAGATGTGTTTTCGCCGAGGTGAGCTACATGCTGTAGAAGCGACTACAAGTAGTTACAAATTGAGGTTGAGTGGTTAAGCGCTACTTGTAGTCTTGACATGTGTCTGTATTGCAGCTACTTGTAGTTGAGGGTATGTATCATACGCCACATATCTTAGAGTAGAATGTTGCGATGTCTTATTTTTACTTATGAGTGCTACATTCATCGTGATGAGAGTGTAAGGATGCTCGCAGCTATTTAGTGAGGAGTGTTCCTCGTCTGCAACCATCAATTTTTCTTGCATTTGCTTTTTGTCCACAGCTTTTTCGCCGTACCATTGCATGACGCACGAGTCGCATACAGGTCTCTCTAACTTGCACATAATGTCAGATCGGCGTTTGGCTTGTCGCCGGCCGAGCACGTGGGGAGAAACGGGGAGAGCAGCTACCAGTATGTACTTATGAGTACAAGTATGTACTATATTTACTGTGAGAGTAAATGAACTGCTGATCGGAGCTGAACTCAATATGGTGAGTTGCTACATTGTAGGTCGTTTCTTGTGAGACCTGTTTCCTGGGCTATGCTTCAGTATCGGTTATCTTAGCGAGACTCACGTACACTGTAGACAGCCGGTCTCTGAGGAGTATAGTTAACCCGGAGAAGACAGGACTTCATTGTATGAGTACATACTGGTAATTACAGGTTGTATCGTAGGTAACGGTACTACGGTATCAGAACAAGTACCACTTATACTTGTGACTGGAGCACTGACATCCTGGCCCAGCTCACCATAACACATACAACACGAAGATTGCATGTGTTGTTTCTGCTTAATCTATAGTCCGGCGGTGATGGTGGTATCGTTCTGTATCGTATAACCAACCGTTAATAGTAGTATACTTACTTCTAGCGCAAGAGTTGTGTCCAGTATACTTCGGGCTGAGGAAGTGAGACGGATCCACACGGTTAGCGGGGGTTGTATACGACGCATGTTGAAGCGGTTATAGCAAGAGCATGGAGTTGGCAGTGGTTTACATACCCTTTCAACGGAAAGCACCCTGTTTGGCGCCATATTATTCTCTACAAAAGGTCTCTTACGGTCTCTTACAGCTCAGAATGGAAGTCCCAATTATTCAAAACCGTCCATCGGCAGACCTGCGGGCTCAACCGTTTGTTCTTTTTTGTTGACTTGCCTGAAGTTAATCAGTCGGCAGAGCAACCAACCAAATACAAGTACAGTACGAGTGATAGATAACGCTTCATAGGTCTTTGATTTGAGCGATACAGTAACCATCTACAGTATAACAAATGTTCTTGTGATGACCACAAGTACAAGTGCCTGTCGATACCCACAGCAACCAGACAGATGGCATTAGACCATATAATACTGGTGTATCTGCCAAACGATCGCATGCCACTACCATGACATGGTACAAGTAGTGCCTGCTCGATATCTTGTCTGGGGGATTTCATCGATCCACTTTTTGCCTATTCTGTCTTGTCTTTCTCTTGGCACTCTCGACTCAACTATGCCCGTAACACAGTATCGTACAAGGAGAGTTTGGACATAACGGCGGTACGAGTACGGTACATGATCGAGGTTCGATCGGAGGAATTCGGTCACCAGCAGCACAACTAGTTTTGGCACCTTGACCCATGCTCTTCATTCTCCTTTCCTGCATACCCACAGTCTATCCTGCCATGGTTCCCCTACGTACCAAGCTCTCACAGCTTGTTCTGGTCGTGTCGCGTCCTTGCATTTACCCTACCGCTGCGCCCCGTTGGATTTCTTCTAGGTTTGCTCCTATGCAGACCCAACAAAGAGCCGACTCAGTTGGTCCGAAGCGCACAAAGCCAAAATCCACTTCAGGGCAAGTGCTAGTCTATCATACCGAAAAAATCGCCCAACTATAGCCATCACTCAACCGCCGTCAGCTGTTATATACCCACTGAAGTCATTGAAATCCGCCTTCCGCAGTCACCGCCACCAAACGCCTTTCATATCTACTCATACTCTGCACGCGCCAAAGTTACTCCTGCTGCCACAAGATTAAATCAAAAAACGCGAGCACACAGAAAGACGCGACCAACGCCTAAAACCCGGAAGCCGACCCTTTGACCGACCGTATTATATATTGTCTTGTTCTGCCCCGACCATCAGCAGTCGACCAGTCCAAAAAAAAAAACCGGAAACATATTCATTGCATCTCCATTCCTGCATTAACAGCATCCTCCTTCAAGGTCTACTCCATTGCACAACCCCCTCTATACCGACTCAGTCATCCCCAGCTCACTCACACACACACACACAATGTACTACTCAAACAACAACGTCAAGCATCTCCTGGACGAGGAAGATGTCGTGCCCTACTCGTCGTCGTTCATCGGCCAGTGGTACTACACCTACAAGGTCCACTTCACTGTGGGCATGATCACTCCTCTGGAGGCTGGCTTCTGTAACGTTGTCATTGTGCTGGTAGCTGCTCTGCTCATGGTGGCTCTGCTCTACTTGCCCCAGAACTCCATGCTGCTGGCCAACCGAGCATACTACTACTGGTCAGGTCACGAGACCTGGTCTACCCCCAACCCTCCTAACTTCACCCAGATTCTGGGCACTGCCATCAACAAAGTCTACCACACTGTGTAGCATTATTTATTAGAGAATAGACGTCTGTATTAACAAGTAGAGTAGAGCAACCGCTAACCCATCAAGTAAATGGCTTTTCCCCTAACCGTTTCTTTCTCCTCCTCTTCTCCCGCTTGGTTGAACTTCCAACTCTTCCTCTTATTTAATGATCTTTTTCTTCATATTGTCTCCAGTACATACGGTATATGCACTGATACATTCTTGAGGATGCGGCTGAATGAATCGCGTGTCTGGATCTGACCCCTGACTAGTGTCAACCAAAAACATTTCTTTACAGACCTGTCCAGCTGACCTGTCGATACTGTACACTGTGGTGCAGTATAAGTATATTGTCGTAAAAGTATCATATAAGCACCTTCCTGATGTCGACAAACTCAACTCTCGTGTGCTACTTTACTTGAAAAGAGACGTCCCTGTTAATCGCACGCAACAGGCCCATCTGTCTCACATGGCCCACCAACTTTTTCTGGCTCTGAGTTGGGGTGCGTGAGTTAGTGCAACTGTCTGGGTCTGAGTTTGTCGCGTGAATAACTACGCGTGGTACATGAATGCAAGGGATGTAAACAACTGTGTGGAACAAGTGAGGCGTATCCCCACAGTATAATACGAAACGATTACAGCGTCAAAAATATTCACTTGTTCAACTTTTTTGTCAGCCTATGTACGTTCCTCTATGATTGAACCTACAAAAGTCCCTCAGACCAGGTTACACGAAACATACAGTGTGGTAAGTGCTATCACTTTCATAGACTTAGTTCCATATATGTCGCTCCTACATTTCACCAGCAGACCAAGATTGTCCTGTAAACTCATCCAGCCCAATACCAGTACGCTCTAAATAAACTGCGTGAGTATACTAGCAGTGTATATCCGAGAGTCTATCGTAGTTCCACGCACCCCAGTCAACCTTGGAGCACTGCCCGCAGCCGTTTCGAGACGTGTAGCCGAAGTCACCAGGCGGTTTAAACATCACCCAAGAGATTGTCACTGTTTCATGGACCAGAGGAGAATGTAGACGGGATGTTTTCTCGGACTTTCATGAGGAATGAATGATATGTTGATGTTGACGGGTGTCATGAATAGCTGTCTATAACGTCATGTCCGTAGGTATTCATTTTGTCCATAGTATCTGCCGTTACTCGTACAAGTCCTTCGGTATCACGAGCAGCATCGTAGTTGCTACAAGGGCGAGTGCTGTTACCCTTACTCATTCTCCCTTAACCCTTCCACGCATTACTGGTACTTGTAGGTCGTTCCAGTTAACGTACAGTTCCACAGTCTCAAACTCTAGCCACAAGTCAAAGCCTTTGAATTAACCGCCGAACAAGGTGATTATGGGTCTGATATCTATTTTTTTTATCTTCATTTGGTAACTTGTGCTTTATCCCGCCAAACTGCTTTCAATTCAGTCATTCTTTGTGTATGTTTTGAACCCTCTTCTACAAGTATGAGCACACCTGAGTAGTCGATGAAGCTTACTGTAAGACTTCAATACGGTGTCGGGCAAGTACGAGTACGAGTACCGTACTTTTAGGCATTCGTATGGAAACAGGCTATCGCTTTGCTACGGTACGAGTATCGTACCAGTATATACAAGTACTGGTACGATACTGTACGATAATTACCGATTTTACTTGAGACTTATTAGTAGTACCCAGCAGCAGTACGTAGAACTACCGGTACTTGTACTAATCACTACCTATTCCCACCATTCCATTATGTCCATTATCTATATGCCTATTCCTCTATTCTACCGAATCAGACCCTGTCGAGAAGGATGGACACCGGGAGTGCTGGTCTTGGGCTTCTTGGTCTGGGGAGCAAACTCCTTGTGGGCCTTCTTGTGGGCCGAAGCCAGATTCTGTTTCTTCTCGTCCTTTCGAGCCTTGGCCTGGGCTTCAGCCTTGGCCTTCTCCTCGTTAGCAATTCGCTCCGACCGCTCGTCGTCCAGCTTCTGTCGCTTCTCTTGGATCTTGTTTCGTCGGTTGGATGAGTTGCCTCCTCCTCCTGCAGTCAACTCCACGTTGATCTTTCGTCTCATAAGAGTAGAGTGATGCATTCGGAGAGCAACGTTCATCCGTCTGGAGGCGTCGTCGCCCTCAAACTCGAGGAATGCAAACCCCTTGGCATCTCGAATTCGAATCTTGTTAGGAGTGCAGGTCTTAAAATGATCAGCAATCACCTCCTCCTTGATATCATAAGGCAAGTTACCACAGAAAAGAATAAATCGAGCCGCCTTGGCAGCAGGGCCGTTCTCGCCATCCCGCTTTCGCTTCTTGGAACCCTTCTTCTCCTCCTCCTCGGCCTTCTTGGCCTCCTTTTTCTCCTTCTTCTCCTCCTTAAGAGCCTCCACCGTTAACTCTCCCTTCTCGATCTTCTTTTTGGTCTTCTTGAACTCCAAAGCCTTTCGCTCCTTCTTGGATAATTTCGATATGTCAATTTCAGACTCAGTCTTGTCAGCCGCTTTACCTTCAGTCTTGTTCTCTTCAGTCTTGCTCTCATCGGCCTTCTTGTCCTTCTTATCCTTCTTCTCAGACTTGGTCTCGTCAGTTTTTGTCTTGATATCGACCGTTTCTTCGGCCTTCACCTCGTCAGTCACCTCGTCAGTCACCTCGTCAACCACCTTGGCCTGCTTCTTGCTGCTCTTGTCTTTGGATCCCATTGTAAAAGTCGTTGTAGGATGTGTACAGCTGGTAATGGAATAATTTCAGCCTGATAATGCACACCACATAATTTTTCCCAATAAGCTTTGGGTGCATGAGATGAGATGGAGTACAAGAAGTAGAGGGAGAAACATGTTCTCAGTAAACGGGCGAAAACTATGTCTGTGGGTGTTCAAAAAATTATCATGTGGTTTTTATATCCTTCTGTTTGAAGTGTTTTGTTATTACAGTACCCCGCAAATGTCCTTATCAAGAGATGCGCGCGATTTGTTGTGTGCCCGAACCTGTTACACTTCCTGTGCCCTCTACTGTAAATTACGTAATTACAATTACGTAATGTACTTGTGCAATGTACTCAATGTGGCTAAGTAGCTTCCTGGGTTGAAAGTACTGTAGCCTACAGTAAACTAGTCACTCACTCTACTGCATGACTTTTTGCCACAGAAGCTATATCACGCCACCACTCCGCTTGTTTAGCCCAATATATCCCTTCTTTTTCTATATCTTGCTTTTTAATCACAAAATTGGCCATCTCCATCTGTCTCACAGTGTGTGGCTCTTAGTACAACAAGTACAGTAACACAGTGTACTCTCGTTAACCAACCCACTTTCAACGTTCCATTCCAGACGCTATTCTGTGCATAAGTAATAGACATTGTGTTTGGTCGTTCACCATGGAGCCCCTTGTATCGTAGTATAAGAGTCTTTCTATATGTTCCATTGTGCAGGCGAATGTTGTATCTTACGTCACCACCACAGTGTATCTGTAACTACAGTATTGTACAATTGTACATACTCCTATCTTACCAAATTGCACAGTACACTGTACCCAGATCATCATTCTTTATTATATAATCAACATCTCTCCACTCATAACCTCACCCAGTCATCAGCTCGCACATACTCAGGACGATCCTTGCCTCGGAGCAGTGCTTGTAACTACAGTATGTACTCGTAGTGAAAAAGGTTGCCCCTGAAGATGGACAAGAGGATGCACAAGCGCACAAAGAAAAGTAGGGGTGGCACGTGTGAGTGGATGTGACTAAGCAGTTGTGAGGTGGTTACAGTCAAGCCTGGTTCGATGTGAAAGCTCACGTGCATCGTACCATTGCCTTGTCTACAACCTCTTCTCTACTGTAGCTACAAGTACTCGTTAAGCATGCCCACCAGCCGTGTACCCACTTTGAAGCCGTCAGTGGAGCTTAAAGATGAAAAGAAGTAACTGGTCCACATGAGCATATTTATCGTCGTGAATAACAATAGGTTGTAGTGATGGACGAGGTGGAGATGTGGGTTGGTATTGTGCAGCGATCACTCAATACTACTGGTACGGTTCTAGTCTTCATCTTCTATGGTCCTGCTCCTCGTACCTGTCCTTACATCGCTATCATCTCATTATCTCAGCGTCACCATGACGTATGTAGTATGCACACGGTTTTTGGGACGAAAAATTCTGTGACGTTGAACATGTAAGGCGCCAGATATACACGTAATACTGTACCAGATTGAGGAGCAAGAGAGAGCGGTAATTATTCTCACGGAAATGACTTACGTCGTCCACGTAGTATGTATGCTCTTCCAAGACATGTCCCAGGTTCACCAAGTCCATTAGCTACAAATACAGCGATGCTGGTCCAACTGAAATAAAGTACGCACGTCCACCACACGCATGTCTACCAAGCTACTGTACATTAACTCTCATCACCAAAAAGACAACATCAACACATACACTTCACCACGACAAACACAAAAACACACACACAATGAGCCAGAACTGGAGGCGCAAATCGTCCGTGTCGGCGTGGGACAAGCCCGAGGGCGGGTGGTCGCGACGGCAACGAGGAGGGATCATCGCCACGGTGGGAGGCTTCATCGAGGGTTTGGCTACGGCCCTGATACGGCGCAAAATCTTTGTCGTCATTTTTTTGCTGCTGACCCTGCTGTCCTTCTTCACAGCCGTGCCATTTGTGCCGCACTTCAACTGGGGCTCGGGCAAGTACGTGATTATCCTGGCTGCCAACGAGGGTGGAGGAGTCATGCACTGGAAGGGAGCCAAAGAGTGGGCCATCGAGCGAAGCAGCATTGAAAACAAGCGAGAATACGCCGAGCGCCACGGCTACCATCTTGCCGTCAAGGACGTGAGTCTCAAGAAGAGATACTCTCACGAGTGGAGAGAGTCGTGGCAGAAGGTCGACATCATCAAGGAGACCATGCGCCAGTTCCCCAACGCCGAGTGGTTCTGGTGGCTCGATCTGCATACGCTCATCATGGAGCCCCAGATCTCGCTGGATCAGCACATTTTCAACAACCTCTACAATGAGACCTACCGAGACCTAACTGGCCAATTCAACCCTTTGAACTTACCCGTGCAGATCCCCTACGTGGACTACAACCAGCCCGTCGACCTGATTGTCACCCAGGACTGCGGAGGCTTCAATCTGGGTTCCTTCTTCATTCGACGGTCCGACTGGACCGACAAGCTGCTCGATCTGTGGTGGGACCCTGTCTTCTATGAACAGAGGCACATGGAGTGGGAGCACAAGGAGCAGGACGCGCTGGAGTACCTGTTCACGAACCAGCCCTGGATCCGAGGACGGGTCGGCTTTCTGCCCCTCAGAAAAATCAACGGTCTGCCTCCCGGAGCTTGTTCCGAGATGGAGAATGACAAGCAGCTGTTCTACGACGAGAAGTCACGAGACTTCCTTGTCAACATGGCCGGCTGTGAATGGGGACGAGACTGCTGGAAGGAGATGGAGTCGTACAAGGCGAAGGCTGTCGAGCTGCATCGAAAGAAGTGGTGGTTGTTTTAGGCGATAAGCGAGCCTTTTTCAGCGAAGCGAGAAAGCGTACGAGAGGAACGAGCCACAGCAGAGCTATTAGATACATATTTGTATATATGGAGATAGTATTATAGAATCAAATATGATGTACAAGAGATGAATGTTGAGTGTGTAGAGCGAATATGTGGCTCACGTGTCTTCTAAATATCTGAGACATACAGAAACTACCCAGCCGTATCCAGTAGAATGGCTCGCTTTGTCCTGACCCTGTTTTGGTTGTAATACCGAACAGTGTACTCATGGTGAATAATGAAAATGCATGTATTTAGCTACCATTCCATCTATAAGCAGCCATGAGTGTGAAGTCTCTTAGCAAAGTCGACTACTGACCGCTCATTTTATGTACTTTAAAGCTCTTTTGAAGTTCCTTTCAAGGTCTGCTGGAACTCTTCATCTTCAACTCACCAAGTTGTTCTCCTCCTGATCCTTCTGGGTCGCCTGGACAGCGAGGATCTTCTTCTTGAGGTACTCGTTACGCTCCTCTCGAAGAGCCAGGTAGGTGAAGAAGCTGAAGAGCAGATCTAGAAAGACGATAGAGAAGACCATCGAGTTGGACACGTATATACTGTTTCCGTAGGCACAGTAGGCGATGATGGCGAACAGAGTGATGACTCGCAGAGGCATGATGGAGTAAAAGTACTCAAGGTAGGGCCCATTGAGAGGAGCCACATCAGAGACACCCACCATAGTCAGCAGGTATGCCACGAGTCCGAGAAGAGGCTCGGCGTTCTCGAGTTTCAGAGGGGGCTGTGTTAGTTATGGTGACAGCGCGGTGTAATTCTTGTTGGAAGAGATCAAGGAGGATTCAGGAGGTCCTCACTAGGTCTGGAACGAAATAAAACTGCTTTAAATTCGTATTCAGATTGATCTCCCGGTTAAAGTCACTTGACTGCAGATAAGATCACGGTATCATTGTGATGTCTAGTCGCCACAGAGTCTGTGAATTATGTTGATCTGGCGACCATATGAATGCATTCATTCCTTAGAAAACATTCTGATAATGCAGGTCTCACGATAACGCTCGTCGCACGTCTGTCCAGACCAACTTCTCAGAGTCCCCGTACTCCATCACACAGTCAGATCACTCACCAGCTGCATGGCCTGCCCGACGATATTAACATACATGTTGTCAATAATAACGGTCGGGTCTGTCCACAGAAAGTATGCCAACGACCACATGAAGGTGGACCGGGCGACGATGAATGTTTTTGCCGAAACGAACATGTTGTTTGTGTGTTTTTTTTTTTTCTGCATATACATTCATTTAATTATAACTTTGCCGTGAAAGAATAACCTTTGAAATGAATGTACGCTTACACGAATATTACTAATTAAACACGTTTAGTGTCATGGTCCAACTTGGCACGTACCTATTTCCAGTAAAAAAATCATAAAAAAACCTGGTTCAGTCCGTGTTGTATGTTGGTCCACATAGCTTCGCGTGTTTGTTCGTTCATCGGGAAAACGCCACTCCAGTCTCCAGTTCTCTAATCTCAATCCTTCCATTGCCCTCTTCATTTGCATTGCCTTTGAAAACTTCTCCTTGTGGTTCTTCTTCGTCATTGGTTTGGTTCTGCGTCCCCTGTGGTGACTACGCGCCCTGCTACGCTGTTCTCTCGGTGGCCTCGGCCGCCTTTTACGCTTGCTACTGTGTCTACTCTCGCTCATCGTGAAGTGCTGGCGGTTGTCCATCGTAGAAACACATCTGGGCTTCCTTCAGGAATTGAAGCAAACCCTGTTGGACATGTCCCAGGGTGGCGTCGTCCCCTGAGTACCGGAGGGATCTCTCCATCTTCCAGATCCCATAAGCCAATTCCCGCAGATATTTGCGTGTCTTGACTTGTTGATGTTTCCGGGGGGCGTCTGTTGTAGGACGTGTTGTGCGAAGGAGAGCTTTTATCTAATTAAATTGCGTCGCATAATTGGCATAATTAGAGTCTGCACTTGTATCTATAGTTAAGACGCGATCGTGGGGTACAACAGATACTATCTTCAAAAAATACATGAGGTAAAGATTTATCCATATATAAATAGACCGAAAGAGTATATACTACTCTTCTGCTACTTCCCTTATCAACAATCACATCTCAACTACCCCTTGCACCACCACCACATCGCGTGATTAGCTTACATAATCCGAGTGCTTTCTCCCAACAACGCGAAAGTCACTTTCCACCACGGTCACATACCTGTCCCACAGCAGACAAGCCCACGAAGAACGGTAAAATGTCGTGGCTCCAAGACGGCATGCTCAACATGGACGACGACGGCGACATGAACATGGCGGCCGGCAACAACCCCAACTTCTCCACCATGGATGGCTCGTTTTTCGGCGCCTCTCAATCGCCCTTCCAGTCGCAAGATTTCGACGACATCACCAATAATGCCAACACAAACAGCGGCAACAATAGCGGCAACTTCTCGGGCCAGCCTACTTCCACCAACACGCCCCAGACACACACGCCCAGTGCCCCTGGCTCGGTTGCCAACCCCCACGTGTCTCCCTCAGATATCTTTTCTCCTTCACTCAACCCCCGCTCCCGACCCACCTCGGCTCTCAACACCACCCAGTCGCCGCAGATTCACCACTCTCCGCAACTGGGCAGTCCCCAGATGGGCCACTTGGGCGGTCAGAACCAGGGCGGCCAGTTCTTCCGGCCCCAGGGCATGGGTCAAGGAGCAGGTACTCCCGGTGCCGGGCCGCACCAGGGTATGTCTCCCCAGGGCATGCACCAGGGCACCCCCAACATGGCCAATGTGCAGCCTGGTCAGCAGCAGCAGCAGCAACAGCAGCAGCAACAGCAGCCCAGTGGTGCTTCTGGTCAACTCGGCCAACATGGTGCTCCCCCCATGAGTCAGTCGCCCGGCCAGACAGCGGCCAAACTGCCACAGCCGCGGCAAATCACTCCACAACAGATGCAGGCGTTCCACAAGCGGATTGTGGCCGCTCCTCCCCAACAGCGTATCGCTATGCTGCAGCAGCTGAACCAGTCACACCCCCAAGCTGCCCGCATGCTTGCCCAGAAGATCGGCGTCCAGTTGCCTGGACAGCAGTCCGGAGGACAGCAGCCTGGAGGAGACCACCAGCAGCCTCAGCCCACGTCACAGCAACAGTCGCAGCAGGAGGCCAACCAGAAAAAGGTGGAAATGTACAACAAGGCGTTGCGAGAGTTCCACTCTAAGCGAGGTTCTCCCATGGGCCCGTTTCTGCAGGTCGGCCAGCGCAAGATTCCCCACGTCAACCTCTTCTTTGCTGTGATGAAGAACCAGGGCTTCCAGGTGATCTCTAACAACAATCAGTGGGCCACTGTGGCCCGTGCTTTGGGCTTCCAACCCCATGAGACCGACGCTCCCCAGCAGCTGAAGCAGCAGTATCAGCAGTGGCTACTACCATTCGATGAAGCTCGTCGCAAACGGGCTGCTTCTGCTGCAGGCACTACCCCCGGTGCCACGCCCGGTGGATCTGCCGCTACTCCCTCTGCTGCAGCTACTCCTTCAACTATGACCACCCCTGGTCCAGCGGCCGACTCGACAGAAACCCCCAAGCCTGCAGTCGCGGAAGAGGATATGGTAGTGCACAAGTACCTTCCCAAGTCGCGGCAGAACGAGGAGCAGTCGATCCGCAACCCTGCCATCATCAAGGGCCTTGGAAACGATCTTAACTTCATTCTAGCCACCATGCCCTTCGCTCACGAGCTTGGGTCAATTAACATTCTTGGTCTCACCAACTCTCTCGAGTCTGGCCACCCTGGAGAGATTCGACAGGCGCTGGACAAGTTGTTGGTCATTTCTGCGGACCCGCGGTGTCTTCTTGGGCTTTATGACTGCGCCAACCTGACTCAGGTTCTCGGAGACCTTGGTCAGGACCTCGTTACTGAGCTGGTCAAGCTTACTGGTCACGCTACACCCGAGCGAGACTCGTTCAGCGACGAGGAGTCAGAAACCGAAGACTCCACATTTGCCGCCTCGACCATTGAAAAGGTCTTTGAGAAGTACTCCGCCGACTTTGACAATGACCAGCACACCAACGGCATCGAGGTGGTTGTGGACTCTCTTATGGGCACTGAAACTCGACCCCCGCACCACTACGACGACGATGATTACTCCCACAGTGATTCTGACCTCTCTGACCTCGAAGTCGAGTTCAACCACCACCACAAGAAGCGCAAGAAGATCCTCAAGACACCTCCTCCTCCACGATCGTGCAACTTTGGCAACTATGTGATCATGCTGGAGGAGTGTGAGAACGAAGGAGAGAAGCTGGACCACAATGTTGAGGATGGCACCCCTACGCCGTTTCTTAAAAACGCCGTTGGTGACCGTCTCGTGTGTCTGACGTCGATTCTGCGAAACCTGTCGTTTCTGGAAACCAATCAAGCCGCTCTGATAATGGACGAGGCTATTTACGAGTTCATTTTCACGCTTCTGCGGCGAATTGGAACGCTTGAAAACTTGCTGGCGACCCCAAGGCAGTATCTGGACGTTCTGAAGGACGTGGCCACCTTCCTGGCCAACGTGTCGCTGTCGCTTGTGCTCAAGAACCCTGGAGACGCCTACATCATATTGCTTCTGGTCATGTTCTTCGGGCCCAACGAGTCGCCCTTCATCGGCACGCCCGAAGACTACAGAGTCGTGTTCCAGGAGTACAACCCCCTGGTAGACAAGTACCTGCCTTGTGCGGTCGACATGTTTGTCAAGAGTGTGTCTCGAGAGACGCCTAACAAGAAGTTCTTTTTGGACATCATGCTGGAAAAATGCCGTGATCCTCAGTACCTGGAGATTTCGCAGCTCAACAGAGCCGATTCGAACGCGCCCATCTTCCAGTATGAGATTCTGACACGAATTTTTGGCATCTGTGTCTCTCCCGTGCCTCGAACGGATCTCCAGATCATCCCTCACACTTTTGACATTCGAAAGCCGCTCATGCTACAGGCCCTTCTGGGTGCCGAGATTCTCGCACACATTGTTCCTGCTAAGACGGACAAGGAGAATCTGCCGTTACGATGGCTCAATTCGGACGACAACTTTGGCAACACACTATTGCGGACGGCATGTGCTCTGGGCTCAGTCAACGTGAGTGCCTACAAGGCCAAGTCCCAACGCCACGACCCCAAGAAGATCGAGGAGGCCAACCCTTTTGCCCGAATCACCCAAAGATGTATCACGATTCTACGAATTCTTGGTCTCAAGGCCATGAAAGGCGAGGAAGAAGAGGAGCTGGCCGTGTCGGAGGAGAGTGCGCTGCCTCCCGGAGTTTTGCCCAACGTGGAGACTATTCTAGGCGCTATGCTGGCGTTCGAAATGGACTCTGTGGTGGTGCAGCAGATGGCCGTGCTGTCTAACGAGGGCGAGAAGTTCTACGAGGCGCTTGGAGGAATCGAAAAGGCAAAGAGTTTGGCTGCCCCTAGCAACTAGCAGGGCCAGCTCTGTATTATTAATAGATAAGTAATTAACAGGTGTATATTATGAGTGCGAGTGCGAGTGCGAAGGGCAGTGTATGTACGGGTAGAAGTGCAGGTTCAAAGAGTGTTCTGCTACTTGTAATATGAAAAGGTTGTCCAAGGAATTGTCTGACTTGCAACAATATTTATTACACGTGCAGTATAAATATGGATTTGGACTGTCTCACAGTGCCATGTGGTCTAAACACCCACATGGCAGTACCCGTACATACTGGTACATACTTGTAGAGGGTTCCAGAGAGAAGGCACTATTTGTACAGTAGTGAGTACTGGATGTGACCTATGGAGCTATTAGAGCTTCTAAGACCCAGCCAGATTATTGTACGAGTACGAGAGATTTTTTTTGCAAGATCAAGGGCTGTTTATACAAGTACTAGCTCTACCTACCGGTACTTGCAGTGAGATAGCAGTCGAACTGAACCAAGCGCTACATCTGTCGCACTGTGGTATTGTTAAGTCCACGAAACCCAACGTCAGATGTCATCGATATGTGTAAGGCTTGAGTTACCGGCGTTTACGTTTTAATAAGGGGCATGTGATTCAGTTCTCCCCCAGTTTGGCCACACACAGTTTGGCTAATAGGCGCTAATTAAGTCTCAAAGGTGGAGGTTGCACAGAGGTAAAACGTGAGAGGGTTTAGCAGAAGGCTTGTCTATGATACAACTTGTCTATGATACGACTTTCATACAAGTACGATAGCAAGACGGTTCTGATATCAAGCGCTGTTCTTAGGTTACAGTATTTCTACAGGTACGTGAATTCCGGTTTCTGTTCTCAATCGCATGATGCTTGATCTATTAATAAATACACGGCTGTTTACTGAGCCTTGGTGGTCTTGGAGTTGTAGAGCTTGACCAGGACACCAGTGTGGTGGCACATGGTCAGAGCATGGAACTTGACGGGAGGCTCAGGCTTGTCGTCAGCGTTCTCGATGGTGTCGTAGAGCTGCGCGATTCGTGCAAGAGCATAGCCAGCCTCGGTAAGAGCGTACTGCTGGCCCAGACAGATTCGGGGTCCTCCATTGAAGGGCAGGTACTCCCATCCCTTAGCCTGGGAGGCACCATCCTCGTACCATCGCTCGGGTCGGAACTCCTCAGCGTCCTCACCCCAGAACTCCTTGAGTCGGTGAGTGGTGAAAACGTGGTATGAAACGAGGTTGCCCTTTCGGACGACAATGGGCTGCATTCCGTCAGGTCCTCCTCCTCGGGGAAGAGTGGTGTCTCGGGTAGCGTATCGCATGTTGGCAGGGACAGAGGGGTAGAGTCGCAGGACTTCGTTAAGAACGTATCGCAGGTAGTCGCATCGCTTGAGAGACTCAAAGGTGATGGTGGACAGATCCTCACCGTCTCCAAGGTTCTCAATGACCTCCTCTCGCAGCTTGGCATAAACCTCGGGTCGTCGAGCCATCAGATACAGGCACCAAGACAGAAGAGAAGCAGTGGTATCTCGGCCAGCAAGAAGAATGTTGAGAGCCTGGTCTCGCAGAACAATGGGGTCCTTGGTCTCCTTGGCAAGCTCTCGGAGGAAAACGTACTTACCGTCGTCAACGTGCTTCTCGGACTCCTCAAGAGCCTTCTTAACGTAGTGGTCGACAAAGGCATGGACTCGCTCTCCAGAAGAGTACAGCTCTCGGGGTCTCCAGGCCCAGTAGAACATCTGAAGACGAGCTCGCTGGCCAAGGTGCTCCTGAGCGGTGTTGAAGTCCTCCTGGAAAGACTTTCGGAGATGGACGGGCATATCGGTGGGGACGGCAGTGGGGTTGGTTTCGACGGTCTGGGAACCGACAGACTGGCCAAACAGGAACTCGGTGGCAGTGTCAAGAGTCAGGTTGAAGAAGAGCTCTTGGGCATCAAAGGCAGAGCCATCCTTGGGGATTCGAGAGGTCATGTACTGGATGTGCTCCTCGATCATCTCAACGTCGGAAACCTGATCTCGAGCAAACTGGGGTCGCAGCATGGCTCGAGAATGCTGCCATCCCTGGCCGTCAAGAGTAAAGATACCGTTGCCAAGAACGGGGAGGAACTGAGCGTGTCGCTCACCGAGACAAAAGTCCTTGAACTGGGTGGCTAGAACAGCCTTGAGGTTCTCAGGGTCGACAGTGTGGTACATGTCAACGCCGAACACGGTGGTCTTGCAGGTGTAACCGGGGTAGACCTGGGACTCAAACATCCACTGAACAAACTCGAGCAGTCGGTTCTTCTTGGACTCAACCAGGAAGGGGATGAAGAAGGAGGCTGAAAAGGGGAATCGTGAAATATCCTTGGGCTTACCACACTTCCACTTCTTTTCGAGCTTGCGGGTTTTGATGTGGTACTGGATCACGGAGAAGCCATAGTAGGCTAGCAGAAAGACGCCGAGCGCCAGCGACAGGTTGAGGGCGTTGGACATAGTGCAGGAGTATTCTGGGGAGGACCTATGGTTTGGTGCTGTCACCTATATATATACCTCTGTGCTTTTTTTGTTCGCTTTTTTGAATTGACGCTTTCCCAGACTTTTTCATATTCACGATCGCTCAGTTTGGCATAAGGTTTCAGTTTACATGCACTCTTGAGGGATCTCGAATGGAATGAAAGAAGATGAAAACATACCAGGAACACCTCAGAACTGGAATCTATAGCATCATAAGATGTATGGAAGGCGAATTGATTGCTGACATCTCGGCAGGAAAGGTTCTGATGAGTTAACACCCCCTCTGGTCCTCCCCCCCTTACACCCGCTAACTTTCTGCTGTCTTGAATCTTCCCCACTAACACTTATTCACATGCTGTTGTCATCGCACAAGGTTCGAAAAGCCCTTGTTCCTCGTTGTTACCATGACGCTTAGGCTTTCAACAGTTGTGGGGACAGACCTTGAGCCGCAACATTAGAAGAATTTTGGTTGGTCACTGGAGTACAACAGTTAGCTCTGCTGTCCAGGAGACAGCGATGACAGCGACAGTTGGCCCCTCCTTGTGGTACCAGACGTCCTAGAGTGTGTCCTCATCACTGTTGCTACCAATTTTATGTCTTTAAACCACCATTATTTTCCACCTCCACCGTTCGTGACACCCGCTGGAGCTTCTCCGCAATCGTCATTTGCTGGGTTACTCACAAGGTTAGAGTTGATCGCAGAGCTGGTTATTAGCGTCTGCGAACGTGTATACCTGTGTTGTATGAAGGGTGAAACATCTGTGCAATGTCGATATTTGAGCAGTACATACATGTATTTGTTTCTTGTTTCTCCAGTTGCGTATCAAGTCAGTCTTCTCGTGGCTCTAAAAGTCGTTTTGCAGGCGTTTGAAACGGCGTTCTAAACTGACCTGTGGGCTGCATACCCCGGACATACCCCAGAGTCAGTGGATTCAGGGTACCCCCTGTTTGTTTGTAAAGACCCCAGATGTGACTTCTGTGCTCTCTGCGGGCTCCCCCACCTCTCCCCTGCAGCATGTGGTCTCTTTGGAACCTCACAATAGCTTCTGAGCTGGCTTCTCTTTGCTCCGTCAGGATTTTTGTCCTCTCCCCAGTGTATTACTGTCTTGTTTGGGAACCCCGCGTTTCGCTAAGCATTGGGCCAAATCTAAGCCAAAATCAAAAAAGCAAAACGAACACCGAAGCTAGCGTTTTAGCATGGAGTAATGAAGGAAATTGACAGGAGTTTGGGTCAGAGATTTTACATGGGAGCTACTGGTCGGTCTTGGGTGTCGCTATACGACTTTCTGGGTCTCATTCTCTCCATTGTTGTCCACCCACTACACAGTCCAAAATTGTTGAGTAAAGCTAAAAGAAAATTCCATGCAAAGGAAGAACGTGAAAGTGTAACTGGACAGATCCTGTGCGGAAGCCAAACTCAGACCGCCCACTACTCCGCGTCATCTGAAACTGTGGTTTCTCCGTATGGCGACGCAAATACTTGTAGTCATTAGATGGACGAATCCACTCTTGTTTTCCTACCAGTAGTCAAGACTAAATCGTTGGTGAACCTATAGAGCATCATTTTCCAACAGGTGACTCATCCTCATGATCCACATGGGTCTGTAGAGGCGCACAGATCTCCATGGTGCGCGACGTGGTGCATCATTTGTGTACCAGCCGTCTGCTGCTTTCGTATAGGCATTGTTGTCAGCTTTTTGGAGAGGCTGACACATGGGGTGGTGATTCTTCAAGAAGTGGGTGGTGTCCAGAAGCAGGCGGCCCTGTCGATTGTCGTGGACAATGGAATCAGAAGGCTGTAGGTCAACTACCAGACACACCGTTACAGAAAAAGAAACAGTCTATGGATCTAATACTTGTACTCGTATTGTACCGTGCAACTTACATTCCTCACCGATTATTTGTCAATAAGTCGACTTTTCAAACAAACCGGCTCTCTTTAATTACCACGAGACCTCTACATCAAACACGAGTCGGTAGTTGCACGCTTTCTTGAGCCTGATCCATGAGTACATACGCTGGAATTACGGACAAAGCTCAAACTCTGGGTGTGACATGGTTTGAGGACCGGAAAATTATCGGGGCTGCTACTGTTTTCCGTTTCTTTAGACTCCGTCCAACTCCAGCAATCCGGTTGAGTCATGTCTCGAATCTCACTGGCTGTACTCCTGAGCTGCTGTGTCATTGGTTACTAAGTACTGTATGGCAGTACCTGGGACGTCCAGGCTGTTGTGAATAGGCGTACAGGTAGAGAGGATAACACTGTTCAAGTAGGACCCATCAATACTTGCCTTCTTTACACGATAATGGTGGATGCAGCGATACATTAGGAGTATGCCTTAGCGAGAATCTGGCAGCATGTGAATGTTCACGCTGTCTTGCTGCTGAGAAAGCAAGGATAATCAGCAGGAAGAATAATAATATTTGCATTGGAAAATTGTTGAGCTACCGCACATGAATGGATAAAAGGACGGACTGTTAACTCCGTGTCTGTGGCTATTTTTATCTCGTCCATGTGCCATGTTCGTTGTTCTAGATGTTGCACAATGACCAAACAGATGCAGACTGATTGCAGTTCTTTGTTTTCCAGATCCTGGGGTACGAAAAGTGGAGATTGTTGCATGAAGTGGTAGTGTCGTCTTACTGACACTACAATTTGGTATTCTGATGATTGTCGTACAATGGTGGGTGCATCTTGTTCAAGCAACGTCAGTTCTATGATGAGTTTGCTAATTGGCTACCCACCTCAAGACCTTGGTACATTCCGTACCTGGTACTTGTAAGACTACGCTGTAGCTTTGTGTCTCAGATGAGAATCTTATGGCCCATTGAATGGCTTGCGCTGGTCGAAAAGGGCAACCAAAGACAAACGTCCGTGGGGTGTGGGCATCATGGGGTCTGTATGAATAATCAGATTGGGTGAGTACGGCGAACTAGAAACAAGCGAATGACAGAGACGCAGTGTTGGTCGCGTCCATACCCAACAAACGGCTTTTATCGCTGTTGTTAATGAGTTAAGTGCTTGAATTATAACGGCGATATATAGCTTTCTACACAGTTCATAAGTATCTACATATCCATTACAGAGTACATACAAGTACATACCGTGTGTACTCGTAGCTTCTTGTAGCTACTTGTAGTTGTATGACAAGATAACGGCACCAGCCATTGAAGAAAGAGAATCATTGATGTGTACACTGCTTTTGTGTGTACACATAGCAAACCACCCCTTCATTCCCGTATCAACTACCCCACCATCCCCGCTATATTGGATGTCCCTTGAAGGCATGTGAAATTGCCACCTTCTCGTACAACACTACCCGTAGTCTGTGTCTTGCTTTGTGCAAAAATCCAGTATCCACATTTATTACTGCCAATTTACACGCCTATTGCAAGTTTCACGTTCAATGGTCGCTTAAATGGTCGCTTTCCTTCCCGCAGATCGGACGTTACTAGATCGCGACTCCGTCCTCGACGTTGCTAGCTTATTATTAATAATTGGCACGTGCTAATAACAAGTAACGTGGTCCTTCACTCAAGCAGTCCATCAGTCTTGCACAATTGTTCTCACACTCATCCAATCTACAACTTTCTTCAGCCCTCCTCTCCATACCATTCACCAACACCATTCCCTGTGACACTGTTGGATGTCACATCTGGCATTCTACTACTTCTTGTAGAAGAGGCCACAGGCACGCAATTGGTAGCTACTGCAAATACAGTACGTACTGCAACCGCACACATTACATGGCTAAGACCAATTCTTGTTCGCTTTCCAGTCTACCGTACGACCAGCTACAGTATGTACTCGTACCAGTACCTGGTGATACTTACAGAAATCGTCGGTGTTATAAGGGACATGACAGCGGTTCAATCCATACCACAGGCTTTGGTGGGATCGTACATTAGATGCAGGTGAGTGTGTACTTTCGCAGTCACATGCTGTGGTTTGGTGCTACTGTAATTTCCCTCTCGCTTGGTGACTGAAGCCCACTGAAAAACGGACTACTATATCGGTAGCTACGTACTTGTAGCAAATCGTATCGGCGTAATCTTTCTTGGTGGCTCAGCCTCATCTTCCGTGACCTACAATTACATACAGTAGTCTATCAAAGAGTGCTCTCTGATTGATGGACTAGGAAGTCCTATACTTCCACCGCTTTAACAGCATACTGTAGGTCGGGAATATACTGTAAGCACAGGTAGAATTATGATAGGAAAGCTCGTCGTGAGAGACCCCTTTACCATCGTACAGTACAACCATTGTATACCTCCGTTCCAAGTCAAGTGTGAGGTGAGAATTACACTCAATACACAATGTAGTGTATGTGTAACTTCTGCTTCCCGTTTTTTTGGTCCAGCCAATCCTCCATCACCGTGATGTATTCACACACAACATGTGTACTTAGTTGCAGTTGATATCACTCGTTCTGGATTATGTACATACTGTACATACAGTATCGTGACGTACATACTGTAGCTAATTATTTGTATTGCGACATCTCTGGTAATTTAAATTAATGGTACCACTTGTAATCGTACATTAATTACCATGCCTGTATCTCGGGTGTCCTCGTTCTCAGTTGGTCTCGACCCATTGACACACAGGCATAGTGTCCATCACAAGCATACATCTCACCTTGGCCACATATCCCACCTTGGCCACATATCCAACAACTCGTATTCTCTAATTGTTGCCCTGGAAAAATGCCTTTCTCTTATAGTTGCCCCATATCATCTGTCACTGCGTGTGTCGCGTGGAGATACGTGGTTTAGAGTTCTGATAACAAGTGTGCCATTAGTACACCGACCACAGCTGTTGTGCGCATGTACGTTTTTGAGACTGTTGAGCTGAGATTGCTCTCGTAGTCGTCCCCTTATTGCCTCGTATATATATTCATCACGGTACATAGACGAGGCTTGTGTGTGGCCCCTCATTCCAGCAGTCCAATGGTGGTGTGATCCTTGTATCATGACACTATCAGCAGGGACAGCCCACATCACCATTCAAATCACGCTTCACCTTCCTTTTGACGGAGGTTTATATAATCGCTCTTACAGTGAGATCAGCCTTAAGACCAGCCGGCCTCTCGTGTCTGGAAAGCCTCTCGTATGAAACCGTGTACATACGGGCATCGCCTGATGTCCTTTTGACTTTGGTGCGATGGGGGAGACAATATACGAGTGAATATACGAGCGGGACATGTCTGACCGCGTGTATATACCGCTACAATACGATACTTAGTTGTACTGTGGCTGACTCAGTAGCTGCCGTGGAGGTCAGCTGTCGTGGAGGTCAGCTTGTACCGCCGCGTGGTTGTACTGGTACGATCTCTATCGCCGCAACCTCATGATCAACCCGGTATAAGTAGAATACATACAAGTACGATACTTGTAGTCTACTTGTACTTGTACTCCTGGGGTAGAACCAGCGCCAGCTGATTTCCTACTTGTACGATACTGTAGACTCTCTGTTAGGGAAAGTCCCAACCAGCACACCATGCAACTCCAATATTAGACACCTAACTCTGAATATGAGGTTAGGCTCTCCGCCAGACAGTCTAGACTGTTTCTTAATTTTATTAGTAATGGCAGCAGTACAGGTATCTCTGGGCCGTAATATTCCCCACCAAGCCGCTAGATACGCCACTAAGCAAAGTTCAAGAGCCATCGCACAATTATCTACGAGTACCGCAGCAATCATTCATTTCAAGGCACACATGGGGTTTCTCTTGCAGAAAAACGCACGGTTTCAAAGTATAAACGCACATCTAGGCCGAGACAAGTTGCGGGGTATGGTACTAGTATTTCCGGGTGCATTCCACGGGTGAATGGGCGTTTAGAATTGAGGCAATTGCCACGGGTTGGGCCACATATGTTGAGTACTCATTTCTCCTCTCAATGAACGTCTCCAGAATGACATACATTCTCCTCCAACACCTTGTGGGGTAAACTTCTGTCAGATTCCACGTAACAAGGTTGGTGTCGGAACAACGAAAAAGGATCGGAACAGAGCTTCCGGTGTCGGTGATTGGGCAGGGGGCTGAGGCGTGCCTGGCGCGTGCGCGTGGTAGAGAGAGTGTGCTACAGCAGAGAGATATTACTCGTTTGGAGCTAGAGATGCCGCCGTTGAAGAAATTAACGAACGAGTAACTAACAGACCATTCCAGGATCATCGAGGACCGTTGTCAGCGCCCTTACTACAGAAATGTATGTACAGTAATTACAACTGCGCGGCTGCTTGACGGATGTATGGAGTCTAAGTAATGAGTGCGTACGTAGCAACAACAGTGTACGCAGTACTATAGAGGAACAATTGCCCCGGAGAAGACGGCCAGGCCGCCTAGATGACAAATTCAACAACTCACAGCTGACTTTCTGCCATTGCCACTAGGGGGGGGCCTTTTTATATGGCCAAGCCAAGCTCTCCACGTCGGTTGGGCTGCACCCAACAATAAATGGGTAGGGTTGCACCAACAAAGGGATGGGATGGGGGGTAGAAGATACGAGGATAACGGGGCTCAATGGCACAAATAAGAACGAATACTGCCATTAAGACTCGTGATCCAGCGACTGACACCATTGCATCATCTAAGGGCCTCAAAACTACCTCGGAACTGCTGCGCTGATCTGGACACCACAGAGGTTCCGAGCACTTTAGGTTGCACCAAATGTCCCACCAGGTGCAGGCAGAAAACGCTGGAACAGCGTGTACAGTTTGTCTTAGCAAAAAGTGAAGGCGCTGAGGTCGAGCAGGGTGGTGTGACTTGTTATAGCCTTTAGAGCTGCGAAAGCGCGTATGGATTTGGCTCATCAGGCCAGATTGAGGGTCTGTGGACACATGTCATGTTAGTGTACTTCAATCGCCCCCTGGATATAGCCCCGACAATAGGCCGTGGCCTCATTTTTTTGCCTTCCGCACATTTCCATTGCTCGGTACCCACACCTTGCTTCTCCTGCACTTGCCAACCTTAATACTGGTTTACATTGACCAACATCTTACAAGCGGGGGGCTTGTCTAGGGTATATATAAACAGTGGCTCTCCCAATCGGTTGCCAGTCTCTTTTTTCCTTTCTTTCCCCACAGATTCGAAATCTAAACTACACATCACACAATGCCTGTTACTGACGTCCTTAAGCGAAAGTCCGGTGTCATCGTCGGCGACGATGTCCGAGCCGTGAGTATCCACGACAAGATCAGTGTCGAGACGACGCGTTTTGTGTAATGACACAATCCGAAAGTCGCTAGCAACACACACTCTCTACACAAACTAACCCAGCTCTTCGAGTACGCCCGAGAGCACAAGTTCGCCCTCCCCGCCGTCAACGTGACCTCTTCGTCCACCGTTGTCGCCGTTCTTGAGTCTGCCCGAGCCAACAAGTCCCCCGTCATCATCCAGATGTCCCAGGGTGGCGCTGCCTACTTTGCTGGCAAGGGTGTCGACAACAAGGATCAGACCGCCTCCATCCAGGGAGCCATTGCCGCTGCCCAGTTCATCCGAACCATTGCTCCCGTTTACGGCATTCCCGTCATCGTCCACACCGACCACTGTGCCCGAAAGCTGCTCCCCTGGCTCGACGGTATGCTCGACGCCGATGAGGAGTACTTCAAGACTCACGGTGAGCCCCTCTTCTCTTCACACATGGTGGATCTCTCCGAGGAGGAGCACCCCGAGAACATCGCCACCACCGCCGAGTACTTCAAGCGAGCCGCCAAGATGAACCAGTGGCTCGAGATGGAGATTGGTGTCACCGGAGGTGAGGAGGATGGTGTTGACAACACTGGTGTCGACAACTCCAAGCTCTACACCCAGCCCGAGGACATTTACGCCGTCTACTCCGCCCTCGCTCCCATCTCCCCCAACTTCTCCATTGCCGCTGCCTTCGGTAACGTGCACGGTGTCTACAAGGTCGGCAACGTCAAGCTGCACCCCGAGCTCCTCGAGAAGCACCAGGCTTACTCCGCCGAGAAGGTTGGCTCTCCCGAGAAGCACGGCAACGGAAAGCCTCTCTTCCTCGTCTTCCACGGTGGATCCGGTTCTTCCGACTCCGACTACAAGATTGCCATTGATAACGGTGTTGTCAAGGTCAACCTCGATACTGATCTGCAGTACGCTTACCTTGTTGGTATCAGAGACTACATTCTCTCCAAGAAGGACTACCTCATGCAGCAGGTCGGCAACCCCGAGGGTGATGACAAGCCCAACAAGAAGTACTTCGACCCCCGTGTCTGGGTCCGAGAGGGTGAGAAGACCATGGCCAAGCGACTCGACTCTGCCTTTGAGGTTTTCAACGCCAAGAACACCTTGTAAGTTATGTATAAAAGATGATGTTAGAATGGGGACGATATATGAGCAATTGATTATTCATGGATAAACCTGTGCAACTGTACACTGTGCTGTAGCCTTCGCTAATGCAATGTAGCCACGTCAATTGACCACTTTCGGTTGTAATGCAGGTGGGGGGTCTAGGCCTTGACTGTATCTTGCTTCGTGGGGGTCATCTTTGTTTCGATTTGAGCAAGGCAATTGGGCTATTTTCTAGCTTTACGTTCCTAAGGAGTCAAGAAAAGGCGCATGCTTTTTCGTTCCTACTCATTTTTCATTTCGCTTGACGTTATTCCGAGGGCTGATAATTTTTCCGAATTATGAAATTGAAAGTGGTCCTTTTTTCGTGCTAAAATGGGCACGCGTTGATAGCTTGCTGCAGGGTTGTGCTTGTTCTCATTTATGGCAAGGAGTGGTGGCAACTCTCGGTAGAGTTGTATTGTGGTGGACATTATTGGTTCTCGAGCAATGGAATGGGAATTATGGTACAAATAGCTACAAATACAAGCAGTCATAGCTCGCTCTGACGAATAGAGAATAGACTGTCTCATATCTATTATATCGTACATTTTGCATGGCGATCAGATGTGCATACTTATACAGACTGTAGGAGGCAATAGAGTGTGTATCATTTGGTGGTGGTGAGCGGTAGCTAATTACAACAAGGAACCGCTGGATGTGAAGGTCATTTGCCTTGTATGGTCGCTACTTACTCATCGTTACTTACGTATCACTATGTTCATTCCCCTTACATCTGTTTCAGATTCTGAGGTGATGAGCCAATAATTGTTCTATAATCTCTAATAGTAAAAAAACATCTTTCACTTGGTTCATTATATAACTAAATGATCCAATTGATATTGTTGTGCTGCTCCATTTCTTCTCTCACCATATACTCATCTGTTGTGTACGTACTTGTAGTTATTGTTGAGAAATTGATGTGGGAAAAAAGGCTCAAGCATCTCGAACTAAGTACAGTTTGTTGATGGTTTAGTTGACTTTAATTTCAATGAGTTTTATGTGTCTAGGTTGCTCTTACACAGTCATATGGACTCACTGACGACAGAAGTACTGTAGGTTCAGTGTGTCTTTGTTTAACATAGCCATTGCTGACTTATCAGTTCACCGTGTTAAAAGCGTTTCACACTGCCTTAATCAGCCCCACTTCTCGTAGCAGGGGTCTCACAAGTGCAGGTTTCATGGGGCTGGTTTAGGGAGTCAAAAGAGTGTGTATGCGCCTGCACACATCTCTTACGTATTTCCCTAGAATAAAAAAATAAAATAAGTATAAGATACATGAAGCACCACTGATATTTGACACGTGCCTGATAAGGCAATAGTGTGTATACGGCTAGGTATATATGGACTTGGTTATCAGATAAACGCCTCTTTACGGCTTCTAGAAACCCCTCTTGACGCGCCCTGCCTTTTCTCCTCTATCACTCCTATACATGCCCAAGTGGCAAACAAGGTTGAAGGTTGCTCCTGGACGTGCATACTGGGGCCATTGTCATATCTTGTCATACGTACTCGCTCAGATATACTCTGTTTCACCACTACACTCAATTGAATACACCCTCGAGTCGACCAATTGACCATGACACTCTACTACACTCTTGTTTTCGCCATTCTGGTGACGGAGATGGCCACCTTCCTGCTGCTGGTGGCCCCTCTTCCCGAGAAGATTCGACGGCAGTTTTTCCTGTCTCTGGCCAAGCTGGAGGTTCTGGACAAGCTGCGGCTGGGCCTCAAGTTCACTTTTGTGTTCATTCTGATCCTCTTCATCGACTCCGTCAACCGAGTGTACCGAGTCTCTGTCGATCGATCCACCGGCGAATACAAGGGCAACCTGGTGGCCACCGAACGATCCGAGCTCCAGGCCCGAAAGTTCTACAGCCAGCGAAACATGTACCTGTGCGGATTCACCCTCTTCCTGTCGCTCATTCTGAACCGAACCTACTCGCTGGTAATTGAGCTCATCAACGCCCGAGACCTCATCAACGAGCTCAAGGGTTCCTCCAACGCCAAGGTCAAGGCCGAGCTGTCTGCCTCCGACGACGCCAACAAGGAGATCACTCTGCTCAAGGCTGAGCTGCAGCAGAAGGATAAGGACATTGCTGCTCTTAAGTCTCAGTCCGCCAATCTGTCCACTGAGTACAACCGAATCAGCGACGAGCTCAACGCTTCCACCGGCAACACCAAGCTGGACAAGAAGACCGCCTAAAAGATATATTGAATAAGATAAACCGAAGAAATCAACTGTATCTGCAACACCTCTTCTTGCTGGAATGTAATATTTCTACTACGTCTAACAAGACTATGTAGGACACCATGGCAACATTTACTAACAGTGTGATAAAAACCCGTCTCATTCAACTCAGTCCCCAGGCTGTTTCGAATGGTGTACCGTAGTAATATCGTCTTATTAAAGTACTGGGCTTACAGATTTCATGAAATATACACTTTACTTACACTCTTATACGCCTCCAATACTTCTATAATCGTTACTATAATATACATGCATCAACCACTCTCGGTAGGGTAGGCGTTGCTCTTGTGTTTGGGGGTGAACTCGAACTCGTCGCCGACAGGACCCAGGAACCGTTCGGTCACCTTGATCCAGTCTCGGTAGTCACTGGAACCCAACAGAGTCTCCATCTCGTCTCGGCCCTTCCACAAATCCGGTCGGTCGTTCATCTTGGCAGGCAGATACTCCAGGATTCCTGAGGGTACGTATCTGTGTGTGAAGGACATGAACTCGCACAGGTACCGTCGAGTCTGATTGACTCCGTATTGATCAGATCCCCAGTGCTCAAGTCCGTACTGGGCAAACTTCTGGAAGTATTCGAGTCGCTCGGTGGCCGACTTGTCAATATGCTGACGGCTCTCGACCTCCTCGAAGATCCAGGGCTTGATAAGAGCGCCTCGAGCAACCATCACAGAGTCGACATGAGCCTCATCCACTGCTCGATGCCAGTCAGACCAGGTGTAACAGTCTCCGTTACCCACGACCCAAGTGGGGTGAGAAATGACGTGGTCATCAAGCTCGCTCTTCTCCCGGACATCGTCTCGGGTGTTGACCACAGAGTCTGCAACCTCTCGGATGTAGTTCCAGTCGGCCAGCTTTGTGTATCTCTGGGCTCGGGATCGGCCGTGAAGAGTGAAAGCAGCTGTCTGGCCCTCAGCGAGCAGTCTGGCGGTGAGCTTCTTGGCGGTAGGCGTGGAACCGGTTCCAGTTCGCATCTTGACAGTGATGGGCACATCTCCAGACACCATGCTCATACCTCTAACGATTCGAGCTGTCTTTCCCTGTTGGTCCATAAGCGCAGAGCCGGCTCCCTGTCGGTAAACGAGATCGATGGGGCAGCCACAGTTGAGGTTGATCTCGGAGATGCCTGTGCAGAGCTCAGAGACGGCCTGAGCAGCCTTGATAGCCTGCCAGTGCTTGGGAGCAGTCACCTGGACACCAAAGTGGTTTCCCTCGGTGACTTCGGAACTGTGACATCGAGTCAGGGCCCACTCGGCCTTATGGCCCTGGATCAGAGGCAGAGTGAGAGCCATCTCTCCGTAGGTGACATCAGCACCAAGGTCCTTCATCAGACGTCGGTAGGGCAGGTTGCCAACGGTGGTAAGAGGGGAAACAATATACTTGCCTTTGAGATCGAGTTTCTTCTTTTCACTGGGTCGGATTCGACCAGTGTCAATCTCAATAGTCTCCTTCTTCTCCAGCTTGGTCTGTTCGTCGTCTTCGTCTCGCACAATCTGAGCATCAATGAGCTTGATGGCCTCATCGGATTTGGACAAGTCGTACTTCTTTCGCTGCAGAGGGTTGAGATGCTTGAACACGTGGTTAAGCTCCTTGTTGTCTGCGTTGGCCTTCTTCTTCTCCTCGTCCACAAGAAGCTTGCCTTCACTGTCTCGGTGCGAAGACAACCATCGGCACTTGTATCCCTGAGGACACTGGCCGGTCAGATCAAACACAGGACACACGCCCTCAATATCCTTGGGCTTGGATTCGAGATACTTCTGCAAATCGTGCTCGAACTTGCACTTGTCTCCGTATGAACACTCCTGGGGAGATCCGTCCTCTTTGAACTGTAGAGCACTGGAGCACATTTTGATGGCGTCCTTTCGCTGCTTCAAAGACCGGTTCTTGTTCTGGCCACCCTTCTTCTTTTCCTCTGGCTTCTCGCCGCCCTCGGCGAGATCGTCGTTAACAGATGGAGGAGCATCTCTGGCATCAGCAGAAGCTCGAGCAACAAGATACTCAGGCTTGATGCTTGCGACTCCTCGAACACGACCCTCGGCGAGCTGTTTTTCGTAAACGGAATCCACGATAGTGTCGGGCAGGTCCTCGACCTTAGTTTTCTTGACCACGGGCTCGTCAGACATGTTCAGAGACAAAATAGGTGTGTCGTGATGGTCTCTCTGGATAGCTTGAATAATTTATTTCCCCTTTGGCTTCATTTTTTCATGCACCAACTTTATCGCAAAAAAATGGAACTTAAAATTCCTAGTCTGAAAAATCAGTTTTATATCCGGCTACACAAACAACTACACAACTTCGTTGCCATGACGGAAAATCGCATCAGACAAGTCTTCAGGGAACGCAAAGAACAGGGCAAAACAGTGACCGTGGCAGGACCTATGGTTCGGTACTCAAAACTGCCGTTCAGAGCTCTGGTACGCCATTTCGACTGTGATGTGGTATACTCACCCATGATGCTGGCTCGGGAATTCTGTCGAAACCAGACAGCCCGGCTCTGCGACTTCACAACCAACAAAGACGATTTCCCGCTTATCGTGCAACTTGGAGGCAACAACGCGGAAGATATGGTCAAGGCTGTCAAGATGCTGCAACCGTATGTGGACGGAGTAGGAATCAACTGTGGATGTCCTATCAAGGAGCAGATCCGAGAGGGAGTTGGAGCAGCGCTGATGACGGCTCCCGATCTGGTTGCAGAGATGGTGGCTGCTATTCGTAAGGAATGTGGTGCTGAAATATACGTGGAGGTGAAGATGCGGATTCACAAGGACCTGAATGACACGGTGCACTTTGCCAAGCTTGTGGAGGCTGCTGGAGCTGATTCTATCAGCGTGCATGGCCGGCTGGTTCCACAAAGAAGCAGAACGGCCCCTAACTACGACGGAATCAAGATTGTCAAAGATTCTGTCGACGTTCCTGTCATCGCCAACGGAGACGCATTTACAACTACTAACATCGAGGAGATTGTCGAGCTGACGGGCTGCGACGGAGTCATGGCTGCGCGAGGCATTCTCAGCAACCCAGCAATGTTTGCAGGATACACAAAGACGCCCTGGAGAGCAGTGGAGCTATTCTGGGACTACGTCACAGCTTATGGACTTCCATATGCTCTTACGATCCACCACTTTTCGGAAATGTTGGAGGCAGAGCTAACGAGGTACGAGAAGAAGGACCTCAACAACTGTAAGAACATGGTGGAGCTGATCAACTGGTTTGATGACCGGTTTGACCTCAAGCGACCTGGAGATGAGGACTTTGCTATCAGAGACGAGTATCCCTGGAAGAACAGAACAAGTTTTGTATATAACTAGAGGTGGGAATGGTGCATAATAGATTGATAGAATACTACAACTACTGTATGTACTGTACTCGTACTATATACTGTAGGTGCCGGTACTACACATCCGAACTATTCGGATGTAATTTTTATCACGACGTGCCTATAATTTAATCTACATTGGTCGTAAACGGATGATTTAAGAAGAATGGACTGATAATAGCACAAAACCAACTTGTGAAGTAACACTTTTCGAGCCAATATTTTCACATATCTATTTTCACCCTATTAATCCTTAGTAATCTGAATGTTCCAGATGGATTTTAGCGTGCATGTCAGAAGCGGCAATGATTCATCCTTCCAACAAGTGCGTCATCAACCCACTTTGATCCAGTGACTATAAAGGGCTTGATCGGCAACAGAAACGACCCATTAAAACACACACATTCACTCTAATCGACGCATAATTCATCTATCAAAATGGCAAAAGCAAAGCAAGCACCTACGGCATACTTTCTGTACGACCTGCCTGAGTCTATTCTCAAGTCTCTCAAGGTGTATGATTTCAACGGAGTACTGCGATCTGAAGAGACGGAAGTTAAGCCATCGAGCCAGTTTTCTGCTGAAGAAAAGGCCTTCCATCGATACAATCACAAACTGCGTCTTCAGGGCTTGGCAGCTATTCGAAAACCAGAGTACGATCAACTGCTTAAAGATGGACTGACTGACACACAAAAAGACGACGATTCAGACAGCAACAGCAACAGCAACAGCAACAGCAACAGCAACAGCGAGGAGGATACAGAATCGGACAGTGACGAAGAGTTTGGACTGCCTCGAAAAATGGAACTGGCGTCGATCTCGGAAGCTGGAGATGGAGAAACGGCAAAAGACGAACTCAAGGGAAGCCCTGTCATCTTCCTCAAGAGCCCCGAAGTTGAACCTAAGACACTGACGGTCTACAAGAATGCACTGGGCCACGTATCACCCACTGAGTCGGGTATTCTTGGGGAGATTCAGCGGGTGAATACTCTTCCGGAGGCTACTTCTGTGATCATCATGGCTGGAGGAGGACATTTTGCTGCAGCGATCTTTCAACACTCGCCGAAAATCAAAAACACAATGGTTCCCCTAATTCTGGAAACCAAATCATTTCACAGATACACCACTCGTCGAAGCCAGGGAGGTTCCCAGAGTGCTTCTGATGGTTCAAAGGGTAAGGCCAAGTCTGTGGGTTCCTCTCTGCGACGATATGGAGAGAGCCAGTTGCAGATGGAGGTGAAGGAGTTGCTGACTTCTCCCGAGTGGAAGAAGCGTCTGTTACCTGGCCTTCCTACGTCTGCCGCTAACATTTACATTCGAGCCAGTGGAAAGGGCAGTCGTGGTCTTGTTCTTGGGTTCGAGGGATGTCCTATTCCCAAAAATGATTCCCGAGTCAAGAGTATCCCCTTCAACACCCGTCGAGCAAACTACACCGAGGTTCTGCGGTCCTGGACGGAACTGTCCACTGTCAAGGTTGTGGATGTGAGCAAAGAGGAAGAGGAGGCAGAAAAGACACGTGAAAAGGAGGCCGAGAAGGCTCGGAAGGAGCAGTCGCGTCTTGCAGCGGCTGAAGCCAAGAAGCAGAAGCAGCAGCAGTCCCAACCTACCACCGTACCACTCACTCCTCTCATGAAACAGACTTCTGAGATCACTGAGTTGATTCGAAAGAGTCGGGCTCCTAAGCTCATTTCGTACCTCAAACTGCAAAAGCTCAAGTCGCCCTACCAGCTGGAGTTCCCCGAAGGAGATAAGACAGGCACATTGTGTCCTACTGCTCTGCATTACGCCGCTAAAGAGGGTAGCGCTTACATTGTGAGTGTCTTGTTGAAGCAGCTAGGGGCCGATCCTACCGTTACCAACTCGTTTGGAAAGACTGCTTGGGATCTGGTTTCGGATAGTAAGACCCGGGACACTTTCCAGCTGGCAAGAGGAGCTCTTGGAGAAGACAAGTGGGACTGGAAAGCCAGTCATGTTGGAGAAGCTCTTACCGATGAGCAGATTGAACAGCGAGACAAAAAGGAGGCTGCTGAACACGACCAAAAGGTCAAACAGTCCATTGCCCAGCAGGAGGAGGAGCAGAAGGAAAAGGAGTCCAGCAAGAGATACGAAAAGATTGTCGCCAAGAGTGGACTGGGAAAGAGACTGCCTCAGATGGCCACCAAGCTGGAGGACACTAGAGGTCTTTCTGATGAAGCAAAGATGAGACTCGAGCGAGAGAGACGAGCTCGAGCTGCCGAAGCACGGTTTGCAAAAAAATAAGGCTAAATAGAATCACTGTAGACACTAGCGTGCTAATATATATTCTCATGAATGCTGAACAGAGACTGCTTGTAGCCTTGTGACGGATAACAGAAAGCAAGAGTGGGGAACAATGAGTGTATTGAGTGAATGGGCTATAAATACGACATACAGTAAGTACAAAATAGTTGTGTAGTGAAACATGTTCGTACTACGAAAAATTCAAAAAATAACGCTTGGTATTCCCTAACGATATGATCATGCGGAGGATCGAACTCCGAGCCTCCCCGGTGTGAGCGGGACGTGATAACCATTACACCACACGACCTGGCTATTACTTTTAAGGACCAACTATCTTACTAAGGGCTGTGTAATGATTAGTCATAAATCATTAGAATAAAATAAAATAATCTTGATCTGTTAGCCATGATTCACTACCACGAGACCACGACAATTACATGAACTAGACGAAGCGTCGACAAACCAACCGACAGCGCCTCGCAGCGCACATCGCAAAGATTCAGAAGTGTATGATTTATTGAACGCCAATAACCCGGCTTACTACATGTGGGTATCTAGCTGTAATGAATCATTAGAATAAAATAAATAAAATAAAATAAAAAACCTGCTTACTACTTGTAGGTATATAGCTGTAATGAATCATCAGAATAAAGAAGAAAAATAAAATGCTGCCGTCTATTCGTGACAAAGTAGCTGTATTATGCTGGTTGAGGATATACTTACTGGAGATCGTCTATTTTGGTGTTGTGGAGAAAATTAGGGTGAAGTTCGTGTATAACAAGGAATATAATAACAATGGGAAAGATTGGGTATAAGATAATCTGTATCCTCACTTGTTCATCGGTTAACAGCCAGAGGTTCAGCTTCTCAAGTTTTCAATCACCATCGTAAGGTTCACTTGACATCACGGGAACAAGGCCGATAGAAACTCAGCCCTACTGCACCATTGTACACTGTAGAAATATTTGTAGCAGGTTCTTCGTGTGATAAGAGGCTGATATTTCAGAGATCTAATCAACACCTCTCTCCAATGACGTCATTCGCTATTCGGTCCGATTATGTCCGTACTTTGTGCGTCCTATTAGTAGACTTCGACCGCCTGTCAACTTTAGGTGGGTTCTGGCTGGACATAGCTACCGTACTTGTAATCGTACATCCTATAATTAGATTTATACAATAATTTGACGTCTGACGCGAAGCAGGTGTAAAGATCATGTTCCGAGGGGTTTTCGTGTTTCCGTGGACACCGCGACTATCGTGCCAGGTACAGTACAGGCATAACTTGACGGTGTACTTATATCACTGGGGAAAATTGGAGTGATTCGACAAAATTACCAAGCGCATACGAATATCAGTGTATAAAGAGAGTGTACCAGTACACAAGAGACGTATCTCTGTACAAGTATTGTTCTCTGTACAAGTATTGTATAATTTGTTATCATTTGACCTATGGGATATTGGAAGGCGTGGCTTAGCTGAGGGGAACTGACAGGTGATGGACCAGCTGTCTCTCTGTCTCTCAGTCGGCTATTACTGTACTCAGTCTTCTACAATTTGAGGCAAACGTATAGAAGTGTTTGGTCTTGCTGCCAACATGCGCAATGCGAGCATTGGAATGTACAAAAGGTGAGAGTGATGGTGCGTGACAACTGTTGCTTTGGAATGAGGATGGAAGAGAGACTGTCATCTGTGGATCTGTGTCTTGTGACTACTATTACAGGGCAGGTATAATGATGTCCTTAGTAAAACAAGTGCTTGTGATGTTTCAATTCATTTATTACGTCTGTTCCACTTAGCCGCACTTTGTCTGCTAATCTCCATGTGTATATCGTCGATAGACTTTGTACAGTGCTGCATATGTGGAACGCGAAGAGATGCAACGGGTCTTCGATTGGCAGCAAAGGCCTGCCGAAAATGAAAACAAATGCAACAAGGATCAGATTGGACGACGGAAGACTGAAATTAATGGTTCAGCTCCTGTACGGGTACTTGTCATACTGTACAAGTAGATAGACACATCTCGGTTATTTCAAAATGTTGATTCACCAATAGAACATGAAAAATACGACGTTCCTCTTGCTCCAGTTGCTACTTGCACCATTACGTGTCATTCCCAAAATAGCACCGGGCGCTACTTGTACCGGTACGAGTAGGTCGTAGCATCATTTCACGAGTTGACAGTTGCCTGTTGAAGGTTGACAGCCACTCCTTGTATGAAGGCAAAACCCCAACTAAGCAGAGTAGTCTCCAGAAGCGTAAAGATGGTTTCAATGTGGGGCAGCAGCCAGAAGGGGTATTCGGACCGGTGTAGTTGAGAATAAGAGCAGATAGATGCTACTAGAGGGAATCAATCGACTCTCCTACACCAGCTTTTTATTCCACGTGACTTTCTTTTTTCGCTTAGACAAACCACCCACACTTACTCCTCGGCCTTTCACTAACTCCAAAACTCCTTGCTTTCTTCGCATCGGAGTTGGGCGCACAGCTGCACGTCACTCACGCCATGCCCAACATGCGTCAACAATGGAATGTACCGAGGTGTGGGAGAAAAATGTCAATGAATTGCTTGTATTTCGCCTTACACCCGGAAAAAAAACACCACAAAGTCCTGGAATCACATCCTTACCACTCCCACGATATCTCTCGTGTTCAACTTTCTCTGTAGTCTATCTGTCTTTAACGCTAACGTCCAACTCTAGAACAGGTGCGGTACCTCTTTTACAGATTCAATACACCTGGAACTCTAACGTTATGCCAGAGCCTAATTCGCGTCGTGTCACCTTTGTATGCAGCGTGTGTTTTGTATGTTATTTGTGTGTTTAAACATGAGCCATGTCAGAAGACAAATATTGCACAGTGCGCGTTTGTAGAATATATAAGAGCGTAATCCGCCACTTTTCAAAAACCAACCACACTCGTTCATACCCCCCCACACTCGTTACTATAATGCAGTTCTCAGCCGTCCTCCTCGCCACCGCCGCCTCCATGGTCTCTGCCCAGCAGTTTGGCATCATCGCCATCCGATCTGGTTCCGACATCCAGAACTCCGCCGTCTACTCCAACGGTGAGAAGCTCGTCATCGGCGGCACCTACCAGTCCACCGACTACGAGGTCAAGGACATGCTCCTCCTCGCCAACGGCAAGCCCGTTCAGTTCGGCAACGGCGCCAACATCGTCGATTCTGAGGGTGCCGGAACCCGAGATATTGAGGTCAACGGCCAGGACTACGTCTACGTCCCCAAGTTTGAGTGGACCGCCTGCCCCGCCCCCGAGGGTGCCGACTACGTCTACACTGTCGAGACCTCAAGCGTCTGCGGTGAGGCCGGCATCCCCTTCGCTCCCCGAGCCATGTACAAGGACGAGGCTGCCACTGAGGAGAAGCCCGCCGAGACTGAGGCCGCCCCCGTCGAGACCCCCGCTATCACTGAGGCTCCCGTCCCCGTCCCCACCGGAGGTGCCGTTGTCACTGCCAACTCCACCATCGTTCTCACCATCACCGACTGCGGTGAGGGTGTTGAGTGCGTCACCAAGCCTCAGCCCCAGCCTACCCAGGTTGAGGAGGCTCCCGAGCAGGCCAACGGTGCCGCTGCTCTCGGTGTCTCTGCCGGTATTGCTGGCATCGCCGCCGTTGCTATGCTCCTCTAAGCGCATCTTTTTGATTTTGCTACTTAACAGAAATACCCCTTTGAAATATTATTACTAACTGTATGAAGACCACTGTACAAGCAGAGTGATTCACAGTATGGCAACACAATTCATTAGCTGTGCATAATTACTGTATGAGTATAAAGCTCAGTTAATCTACTGTATTTTAGTCTTGTGAAGTGTTGCTAAGGCTCATTGACCTTAGCTTATTTTGGAGTCTACTGTAGGGTGTACTGAATGTATAAGAACAGAAGAAAAGAAATCATATCGATAGTCTACTTGTACGGTGCATTGTACACTACTGTACTTGTAGTATGAGTACGCACAGCACAAATAGACAATCGATATGATTTCTGTTAAAAGTTGCATGATATCCTTCACAAACAATACGGAGTACAAGTACATACTGTACGCGTATTTTACACATCTGATGAGCTATAAGCTTGATCTCAAGGATACAAGTAGACAAGAACAACAATGATGGTATATCCAGCAAGGTAAGTTATCTTGCCAGGTCATGACCCTTTGAATGATACTACTGCTATGGAGTCCCGATGCTGAGATATGTTATGGACTGGAGCTCTGGTGTCACCTACGCACGTCCACACGCTGCTTGGTCAATAAATATATTATACATTCCCACCTCTAGTCATACTTTCCATGGTTCATCCAGGTTCTTTCTCCGACCTTTCTTACCTGCACAGCGTCCGTAAAGTACCCTTCTGACCATCCTTTCATCATGGAGCTAGTGAAGGGACCGTGGACCTCTTCTCCCTCTGCCCATCGAAACACCCATTCTTCCTGCTCGTCTTCAATCTCATCCACTTTTCGTTTCAGATCTTTGACCGACTGGCCCGTCAACAAACAGTACTCCTTTTGGACCTCTTCTCGAGTCATGTCATAGATGTTGGACATGTCTCTAGACAGCAAAGCGTCACAGTACTCGGTCAGCTGTTCGATTTGCTGTACCATAGCCTTTTTCTCGTCACCATTGAGCTTTTTGCGCTCCTTTCCTAGTCGCGCAAGAGCCGCTAAGGACGATTCTCCACTCTGAAGCACTTCCGACAGTTGTTGCAACAGCTCAACCTTTGAAATAATCGGTTTAGCAGCAGCGGATTCCTTCCTGGACTGTTGCGCACGCTTGGCAGCAGCAATATCCTTCTTGCTGACTCCATCCAGCCACAAGTCTTGGTGCTCCTTTTCGTCCTGAGCGTTTTTGACAAAATTGCCTTCCTGATCGAACTTGCCCTCCTCCAAGTCTTGCTTGAGATTGAACGATTCCATCTTGGGTGTGTATTTCTTTGCCCTGCTCAGATCCACATCCAGTCCGTCCATGTCGTCCTTTGTGTAGTAGTCAATATCCACTTCCGAGTCGGACTCCTCTTCTTCTAGAGGGGCCACAGTGGTGTGTGTACCGACATCGCCCTCAAACTTTTCCATATCCATGAACTGCGGTTTCTCGTCATCAAACTCCTCCTCCTCGGGCCTGTCGCCGTTATCCTTCTCTTTGTTCTCTTCGTCTTCGTCCTCACTGAACATGTCGCTGTCACTGTCGTTGTTTCCATGTCCATTTGCTCCCTTCACAGGCGCATCCTCATCGGAAGAGTCGTCATCGATGCCTCGAAGCCCCTTTTTCTGCGCCCGGACTCGTCCCCCAATATCCTCCTCCAGCAATTCATCGAGTTCGGTCGTTTCCTCAACCTCAGGCGCCAGCTGGAGCGGGTTATTGGTGTTAAAAGTAGACATGGTGATGAAGAAATCACAGCATGCATGTCGAATGTTTGTGCATAGTATAAAGGAGTATATAAGTCTACTAAATGTCCAATAACAAATCCAACTAGACTTAGTGATTGAAAATTAATGTATTATATTATTATACCTACAGGTTAACACAATCTCTGTGAAATACAGTACTTGTAGAACCTGCCAACAATTTGGACCACCTTTTTTCGAACACACATATCTCCTTAATCAAAGTTTTTTACTTGTAGTGGCAGTTCTCTTGCTCTGGCTAAGCAGTCGCATCCTACGTGCGATACGATACATGCAGCTCTTCATCTGCAGGTTAAATTCAATTATAAAGCATCAAATTTATTGTACTCACCATCTATCACACTCTCCGCCGCGGCTACAGAAATGCCAGCTATCCCTACAGAAATGAAGCAGCACGACGACATCTTCGAGGACTTGTTCCAGCTTGAAGAAAAGTGAGTCAGAGGTAACTGAAGGTGCTCAGACACCACCATCGGAAAACTTATCATGCTAACCACAGATTCTACGAAGAAGGATACAATGATGGACTACAGGCTGGTACAAAGGCTGGGTTTGCTGAAGGACGTGAGTTTGGAGTACAGACGGGATATCAGCGGTTTCTGGATCTCGGTTTGCTCCAGGGACGAGTCATAGTGTGGGAGGAACAGGTGGCTGATCTACCTGAAAGCAAACAGCAAAAGACAGTCGAGCGACTGCAACAGATCAAGCAGCTGATCCACCAGGAGGAGCCCACATATTTTTTATCCAACGATAGTGTGGTCGTTCATCAATACGAAACTATGATGAAGAAGGCCAAGGCCAAGGTGAGAACTTTGGCAGCCAGCATCGGTAGCGAAAAGGTGGTGTTTGAGGATCTGCTCAAGGGTTACACTGAAGAGGAGAATATCGAGGATAACTTCTAGAACGATATCTAGACGTATGGGAGTGGCGTGAGGAAGAAAACCTCAGCTAACCAGAGAAGGGAGATTACCAATTCAGCACCCAACCCTGACGGTTGCATCTCAGACAATGATAATGACACAGGTATGCAGATCGATCGCCTCAGGTTGTCTCATCTCGTTCTAAGGAGGTTAATGCAGTTCAAATAAGGGTGCTCTAGAGTCTTGCCACTCGATCTGCCTCAATTACCTGCTGAGTCGCTCAGACGAGCGAAGCTGCAATGAATATACGAAATTGATGAGTTATGAGTTATGACACATTATATTTAGAGCTGTATGTTGAATTCTAAGCAAATGCGAAGAGTCCCTTGACGGTAGACTTTCTCATGTGATCAATACTGAGTCCTTGTAGATAGGAAAAGTTCAAGCCTAAGCAATCTTTTGACTTCCTAAAGGACTTTAGAAGACACACATGGCGGTGTGTTGACCTACACCAGCACCCAGTAATCAGCATGTACTGTAGAACTGTAGCTACAGTATTTGTATGACAACTGCTTTTATTACCACCTACAACTGCAGTCATTTTTACCCCTAAACTGAAGAAGTGAACTTGTAACGATTCTTCTACTGTGTGTATTTACATACTTGTAGATAGATCAGCCAGGACATTTACTCCTCAAATACAGTCAAGTGACCCACGACCGTCGTAATTCTTCCTCAGCATCAGTATCAGGCGGTCCCAATCGCTATTGCTGATTACGCTAATTAGCCACTCAACGCGATTTAACCACTAGCTAATCACAAAAGCGATATTAAGCATATAGCACGTGGAAGGAATGTGTTGTGGTGGCTAGAAGCATAACCACAGAGCAAAAAGAATAAGAAAAGAGGCGAAGATCCAGTCCTTCATACAGCCAAGACTCTTTCGTCTTTCCACCTCTTATCTACCACTTTTAACACCGGTTCACCGCTCTTATCATACACGCACACGTGACGCATCCACCTTGCATATCACTTAACTCAGTTGCCGCTAGTAACCTCAACTACCCATTCTACAGCACACCCCAAAGGAAACGACAACCGATGGACTGGCAACCGGGCTATCCTTCCGAGCCCTTTGGGGCGTACATGGAGCCTCTGGACCCCCCCTACCAGGTGCCCGTCATCCCACAGGACATTTTCGATGACTTGGGCGATCTGGATACCACCTCTTCTCACGACACGGAGATGGATCTGGACATGGACATGGGGCCTCCCAGCCACTACATGCGCGATGTTGCGATCCGAGAGAGTGCTGCAGCCGAGGGCGTGGACGAGGACCGGCCAGACTGCTTCTTCAAGTTTCTGGAAGAGGAGTTTCGTCAGGGTACTCTCTCCTCAGAGCTGTACCAGAGATCAGTATACAAAACGGTGGAGTTTCCGGACACTGTTACCCCAGACGTCTTGTGTGAGCATCCGATTCTCGACAAACAGGGACTCGAGTGGGGTACGCTGTTTGAGTCGTCCCGAAGAGGCTCCTTTCTCATCCCCGACGGAGTATGTGAAAGCGTGGCAACCCACAAGGCTCTGGTGCGCAAACTCAGATACCAGCGCTACGCGGCTTACCGTCCGCCACCTAGCGCATCTCCAACGATTCAAGGCTTCGAGCACTCACTCATGGCGTTCCAGCGGTGCTTCACTAACCCCAAACCCCATCTTTTCCATTTCCAGCTGAGAAACCTGATGTATCCCGTTTCAGCCACGCAGGTTTTCTACAATGCCAATCATATGGATGACTTCCAGGTGGATATGCTCAATCCAGAAACGGGCGAACAGACGGTCGCAATATCACCTGAAATGTGTGACCCATCTCTCCAGCAATTGAGAGTGTCCGCCTTAGCAGCTAACAGGAACGTGGTTATGCTGGGAAGCACAAAGGGCGTGTTTGTGGTGAAACCGTTGGCTGAAACGTCGTCGTCAGAAAAGAAATCGTTTCTCTCTTCGGGCATGATATCGTCTGGTAACGAACTACAGGTCAACTACATCTCCTTGTTGTCCTCTTCAGCCCTGATATCAGGCAACGACAACGTTCTTCGGACTCTGGACCTGAACACTCTTAAGGCAAAAGACTCCATTACACTCAACTATGCTGCTAATGCTACGGCCTTTCTCCCAGGCTCGGAAAATGTCTGCGTCATGGCTTGTGACTCGCAGGAGTCGCACGTCTACGACTCGCGATCGGGTAAACTGCAAATGTCATTGCAGGGTCACACGGACTTCGGATTTGCATGTGCCTGGTCTCCCGATGGCAAAACAGTGGCTACAGGCAACCAGGACGGAACTTGCCGTCTGTACGACATCCGAGGAGCGTCCAACCAATGCATCGGCGCCGTTTCGGGAAAGTTGCAGGCAGCTATTCGGTCCGTGGATTTTGATGCTTCCGGAAGATATCTTGCTATTGCCGAGCCGGTCGATTACGTGACTGTTATCGATACGTGGTCGGAATGTACGTCCAGACAGACGATCGAGTTCTTTGGAGGCACCGCCGGCGTCAGATTCACTCAGTCGTGTTCGCTGGGCGAGTACCAGCAGTTGACAATTGGTGTTGCTGATGAGACTGTTGGAGGAGTCATTCAGTACATGCGACCCAGTCAGTTACAGGGTGAGGATTTTGGATTTATCTAGACGATGACGAGAGACAGGGGCCGAAAAGAGTGACGAATAAGAAATGTCGTCGACTATGACGACGACGAAGATGATGTGTACGATAGGATGATGTCTGAAGGAGACCCGTATATATGTTATTTATTGAGTATAATACTAATTGAAGGGGTGGATTACGAGTGAGTCACTGATGGGGATACGAAGGCGTTACAGCGCGACTAAAAATTGATGAATTTGAGCTGTGTTCATCAGTGTCTTCGCAGTTGCTCACGGTTCACATGCTCGCACGCAACAAATCATTGAGGACCTCAACGGGAAATATTGGTGGATAGAGAGTATTAAACGGGAAGCTGGCAAGGCTCAGCTTCGATTAGCCATACTGCACAAATAGTACATACCTCACTTACGTAACCTCTAAACGTCCATTTTTAACTTCTCCAACTTGCAGTTTTTCTTTATATTATTTTGAACTAAGGAAAGACAGCGCTTTTTTTTCATTCTAGATGAGGGTGAGATTATTTTTTTCCTAATTTTTTTTTTAATTCTAATGATTCATTTTTCATGATTCATTTTATTCTAGGGAAAATGCCCCACGGAAATAAGGTTTAATTTAAGCTTGTTTGGGAGTTTGGCCGAGTGGTCTAAGGCGCTAGCTTCAGGTTCTAGTGTCGAAAGAGGCGTGAGTTCGAACCTCCCAGCTCTCTTTTTTTTGCCTAACGGAGTGGTGCCGGGAGTGTAACTTGATGTAACTTGATTTTTCGCCACATACACAGATTAATTGGTTCTCTGATTTTGAGTCTTCAGCCCGTTATTTTGCCACTTTACCCACTTTCTTATTTTACTTGTGGTATGCACACCTCTACGTCATATGCAGCCCCAAACTCTGGATCATAGCTCTCACCATCGGACCCTTCTTTTTGATAACACACATCATGTTTGGAGGAACTGCACAATGGGGCGCCACGCCTTTCCGAAACCGAACCCAGAAGTTTCAGGACTACTACCGATGTTACCCCATCGCCATGATGCCCGGTAAGGACCGAGAGTCTGCCAACTACGGTGGCAAGATCTTTTTGCCTCCCTCGGCACTTTCCAAGCTCAGTATGCTGCACATTTCGTACCCGATGTTGTTCCAGCTCAAAAGCGAGGAGAACGACAATGTGACGTACGGTGGCGTTTTGGAGTTCATTGCCGAGGAGGGCCGCGTCTACTTGCCCCAATGGATCATTGAGACTCTGGATGTGGGTCCTGGATCTCTGCTGGAAATTTCGTCTTGTGATTTGCCACTGGGTAAGTTTGTCAAGTTTGAACCCCAGAGCGTTGATTTTCTGGACATTTCCGACCCCCGAGCAGTGCTGGAGAGATCATTCCAGAACTTCTCGACCCTCACAGTCGGAGACGTGTTCAAGTTCAGCTACAACGACAAGACATATGGAATGAAGGTGCTGGAGGTCAAGCCCGACCTGGAGGACAAGCACTCGGTGTGCTGTGTGGAGACGGACATTGAGGTTGACTTTGCGCCTCCGGTGGGCTACGTGGATCCCTCCACCCAGAGTGACTCCAATTACGGAAGAGCCATCAAGACACCTGGTACCAGTGGATCTTCTACTCCTGCACCAATGGCAGCCGCGGGAACCATGGCCCAGTCTATTGGTTATTCGAAGCTCGCCCAACAGACCATTAAGTCTGCTTCTAAAAACACCTTTTCCGGTGGCGGCCAGAAGCTGTCTGGAAAAGCCGTCAAGCCTGAAGAAGAGGCCTCCCTCGACGAGCACTTCAAGGAGCTCGTGGGTCTGGGATCAACAGACACAGACGCGAACCCCCAGCCTTTACGTCTCCCTTTTGGGCAGCTATTCTTTGGTTTCCCCCTAGTGCCTGTCAAGCCTTCTGAAGACGAAGAGACACAGACCGAGGAGCAGCAGCAACAGCCCCACTTTTCGGGCACAGGCCAGAGTCTGCGAGAAAGTCGAAAACGCAAGGAGCGCAACTCGTCGGCTGGAGCTGCGGGAGGAACCCCCAAGAAGCCCACCAGTCCCGAAATGGTGGTCATTGATTAACCATGGCCAAGACGGCTGTGGATTAGAGGCAGACTTATATATCTGTATTTATATGTGTTGGGCAACCAACCCAAGTTATTATATTGAATGAGTAAAATAGGAGAAGTAAATGGTAATACTCATACTTGTACATGTAGATTGTAAATAATATATACTTGATTTAAAAAATGTAAATATATAAACTACGAAACTGAAACGCCTTGAAGGCTGAGTGTATCGTACATACGTAATACTGTACAATAAATACGATGTACTGGGGGTACTACAGTAAGTATGCGTATGTATCGCTTCAAATTGTGGACGAGAAGCACTACAGTAGATTTTTTTCACTATCATCTTGTCACTTGGGTCATCTTCGTGGGCTTGCTCTCCACAACCCAGGCATGCTACTTGTACAATGGCATCTACATGCTCATATAGTCAAAACAAATAAATAATTATGCTAATGCTTCTTGTTAATCTTGCGTCCCATTCGCCGTCTCAATGTCAAGTACTTACTCTCGGGCTCCGGACTGTCATTGACAGCTCCAACCACAGACCGAATAGACTGCCGTCGTGTAAGAGGAGGCATGGAGGCATTACTGGAGGTCTTGCGAGCAACCGGCTGCGATAAGTGCGACTTGTTTGACTTTTGAGACTGTCTAGAAGTCGTTCGGTCAACTGCAGGCATGCCTGGAACCATGTTGTACTGGTGCTCGCCTCCTCCATAGATCTGTCCATTGTGTTCCACGACAGAAAAGACCCGCTTTCGAAGGCCTCTTGGGATATGATCTCGATCCAGAATGTCTGGAGTATGATCAGCTGCCGTTCGTAGCTCATGGGGTGTCTCGTCAGGTTCTTCATCGTCGTTGTCAGCCTTGAGAGGATCGTGGGGAGCCAGAACCTCGTCGTAAGCACGAGCTGCCGAAGCAGCCCATTCAGCGTAAATGGGACGCGAAAGAAAGCCGTACTTGAATTTGTTGACACCCACAAGCAGCGCTGTGAGATCAGCCAACTCTTCCACGTACTCAATGACCTCCTCCACGGCCGAAGAAGTCGCACTCCACGACATGAACTTTTGCTGCAACACGACGGCTCGATGTTGGAGGTAGTCGTGTGGCTGCTGCTGCTGCTGCTGCTGTGTTCGGGCTCGAGGCACAATCTCAATCTCCTGAGACGAGTCATCCGAGTCTGAAGTGTCATCAGAACTGTGGTGCAGAGCATGGGGTGTGTCTGTATCATTGACCACCAAATCAGGAACACAAGCCTTCTCTCGAGTGGTGTCTCCTTCCGAACATCGTCTAGGAGACCCAGTATGAACATTGGGAAGACTGGCTCGAGAAGATAACTCAGGGTGCGAAGGATTGCCTAGAGGAGTGGCCAAGGGGGTTTCTCGAGGGGTTTCTCGGGGGGTCTCTCGAGGTGTGTCACGAGGTGTACCTACCGCTGGAGTTCCAATATTGGGAACGCTATGATGATGCTTGTTCTGGCTCAGTCGTGTGATCATGACCTCTCGAACTCGGTTCACAAACCGTCGATGCGCCAAACGAGCACTGGGCATATACTGAGGCAGGGGTGTCTTATTCAGAAGAGCTGCTTCAACTGCACGTAGAGTCGTGGTGATTGCAGCGGCAGTCTGACGTCGGTAGGCCAGAACCTCAGGTCCATACTCGTCCAGAACCACAGATCCATACTGTTGACGTAAGAAGACAATGTTCTCCAGTCGGTCGATAATCTGTCGAGTCACGAAAATGATCTCGCCAAATATCTTGGAAATCTCCTCAAAAGAGCCCTTAAGACGAGGCTCCTGTTTGGTGAAAGTTCTGAAGGTCGCTGCAGCTGTAAGTGAACCTCTGGCGACCTTAGCGCACTTTTTGAACTCCTTCTGAGCAGTGGCAGGGTCGTCAAAGCCGTAAGCAATGATTCTCTCCATTCGAGAACACTCTCTGATCGCCTGGACGGTCACCACCACGAGCTCTTCTCGCGCCTTAACTGGGAATAAGAATAATTGTCCTAATAGAGCCGCTCCTCCTCCGATCATCATAGCCAGAGTTCGTTTGGCAAAGTTGGTGACAATTCCACCTGTAGTCGTAGGGTATAGAGTGGCCAGAAGGACCACATTAGCAGACACAACCGTAATCATGCCTCCCTTGAAGTATTTGGTGGCCAACATGAACCATAGGGCAGGGATAAAGATGACAGCCATGACCACTCCCATAACTGAGTGAATGTGACCTCGTCCAGCAGTATGGGCCAGAACAGCCCAAGCCGACCCAATAGTTAATCCGATTGTTCGGAGGATGAAAATGAAAACGGAGCCTCCCAGAGTCGTCTCCGTAACCAGGGCAACCACAAAACCGACCCAAGAGCCTCGCATGTTGATGTACCACAGCCGCATGGAAGGCACAAACATGGGCCAGGATACGAGAAACATCGGGATTGTCACTTTGAGAGCAAATTTCCAGTGTTTCTCTTCTGCAGGAGTGACTTCGATAATGTTGGCAATGTGGTTTCCAATCCATAAATCAAACATTTTCCACTTGTTGCGGAACCGCACATAATGCGATTCCTTTGTTTTCTTCTCAGAAGCAGGTTGGGCTTCCTTCAGATCCTTGGGCTGGTCAGTGTTGGACATTTGACGTGTGATGGCAGCTTCTCTAGTCTCCAGGTTTTGTGTGAATGTCAAGACATCGTGTCCTTCAATGTTATCTCCGTCGTTTCTGGCGTCATCTGATCGCGAGAAAAAGTACTTGGAGAAGCTCTTTCTGTTCTCGAACATCGCCGACCACAGTCGCTTTTTGCCTAAAATAGGCCATCCACGCACGTCTTCTCGCTTGCGACGTGTAGCATGCAGAGCCTGGGCTTCGTCAAGCAAGCTCATGATACTCAAAGCACAAGACTTGAGGTTAAGAATGAAAGAGGCGAGGAGGAACAGCTCGTCTCGGGGAAGAAGATAGTCGTCAATGTGGTCGTGATCGACAGTACCAAAGTCCAGAGACGCCAGTGCGGACCGAGACACAACGTCGAAAGTCTCAATGGCGTCCTTGAACTCCTCCCGTTTGTCTGGAAAGTCACGAATATTGGGCAGCTGCTCTCCGACGGAAAATGCGTAGCAAACAGCGTGAACGGCATGGTCAAACGCGTCAGTCATGGCCTTATCGAGCACATGGATGGGTTCTGCGACTCGAGAAACCATGGCTAGGAGGAGCTCCTTGTTTCCATGCACGATTTCTCGCTCGGGTTTCAGACGCTTGATAATATCCTGCTCCTCCTCGGCCGCCTGGTTAGAGCTACTGTTTGTCTTTTGGAGCTGAGCAGCCTGTACTTTTCCGAGCAGTGCAAATTCCAGCTCACAGGCATCCAACATGGCACCCGCAGACTTGACTATGCCGTTCAACAGTTTGACTGTGGGTTTCAGAACCGTGGGAGACACGTAAGCATAGGTGATTTCGAACGTGCACTCTGTCAGGGCAGCCTTGCACGACGTGTACTTGGCTGTGAGAGCTGTCTTCTTTTTCAGCAGAGTTCCGAGCTCTGTAATGTCTAGTTCAGGGGATACAGATGCCTGGGACTGATTGTTGTCGATTTTGGTGTTGTCGTGAATAGACTCCGGAACATACGTCTCTGGGGTCTCGTTGGAATCGTCTGTGTTTCCATGGATCGATTTCGGCGACTCTGCTCCTCCGTTGGAAGCCTCTTGTTCCCGCCTCTGTTCTTCCTCCAAATGGACTCGCATGATTTCGGCCGAGTTGACAAAGTAGGTAACTGTCATAGAGATGGACGTCTTGAGTTCCTTAATGAGAGCCACCGTGACCTTTCCAAGGTCCGTAGAACCCGACTCGGGGAAGATGGTCACATTGAAAAAAATCGACGTACCGCACGCCAGCATGATTGGATAGCCAAAGTTGATGCACATGTTCTGCACAGACACCTCGAGATCGGACAGGTAGGAGAAATGTGTGACGATAAGGAAGGTTAGTACCCCTGCAAAGATACGGGGGATCTTGGACCGCCAATATCCATGGAACATGAGCATGAGAAACTCGCCCAGCGCCAAAATTCCCAGCGCGCTTCTATAGTCTGGGTTTCCACTCAGACCCTTCTCTGACTTGAGTTCCATATGTCGTAATGGTAGTTTGGCGATGTACCGTGTCAGGTTGGCGTATCCTACACCCAGACCCAGGCCCAACAGAGTAATGACGATACTCTCAACCTCCTTTCCCAGTCGCTTTGCCGGCGGAACAATCACGGAAAACAGAGTCAACATGTAGCCTACCTTTCCGATTCGGTGCACACAGGCCGGAATGAGACAGAAAATCAGACAAAAGGTGGTGTTGACAAAGGTTTTTACCAGCCGCTTGAGCGTCAGGTCATCCCATGCAAACTCCACGCCGAGGAGGTTGATTTTAGGGGGCCGGCTTTTCCACTTGGCCCATAGTTGCGACATGTTGCGTATGGTAAAATTGTTTGGTACTGTGCGGTATAGGACGGACTAACATATTATCGCCTGCCAAACTCTATGCATATCGCACTAAAATGACTGCAACGGTCCCAGTGGGGGTCACCTGTAAATACTGGTATGGTTTCTGGGGAGTGCGCAACTGGGATGGTAAGTAACAGTTGGTGATGGGAAGAATAATAATGTTTTTTCAGTCGGATGTATATATTCCCTCATTGGTTTCGTGTAGCTCAATTTTTTTTTCATTTGCTACAGGCAAGGTATTACTGTAATTACTACTTGTAGCTATAATTAGGTCATTCATTGACCAATGATACATATTGAAGTGCTCTTTCAGAATAACGCACACAACCACCAAGAGAGTACGAGTACGGGTACGAGACAAGTAGTACGTACTCTATACTCGTACTTGTACCATATCATACCACAGTACATACTCTGTTATGATTCTGAGTCTGCTTACGGAAGCACTTACATTTGGGTTTTTGCACCTTCAAACGTTTCAAGACTACGAGTACAGTAATTAAAACTAATCAAGAGTAAATGTTTTTTTTTTCCCTCTCACAATATGCTATGATTTAAGTTAAAATACACGGACGGTCTTTCACACACATTGCTGTACTTGCACAAGTAACTCACCTATATCGCAAGAGCTACATTTCCCTAGATCCGACCCCACTTAAGGTTCAATAAGACCTCCCGCCAAAACGACTTCACATTACACATATCTGACTGAAACAGATAAAAAAAATCTTTCATTTAAGACATATTGTGACATACTGCAGACTCCACGCGGTTAACTACACTCTTATAGCTTCTTTGATACAGATTTTACCGCATATTAATTCTTGCCCGTTTACCGAACCCTATGTTAAATAAGGTGTCGGTACTATCACAGCATTGCTTCTATGTTAACTCGACCCTCCAAATAATTTACTGTAACCGCAGCTCTGCTGCTCCTACTCACCCCTAACCCTACACTTTTCATCATGTCATGATCGCTGGTTCGAACCTCCTCAGCCTCTTTGGTCTCATATCTAAATTAAAAGGAAAATTAAACGTCACAACCCTGGCGGTCATGTGATGACTGATGGAAATAATCATTCCCAACAAGAGACACGTGTTTGGGTGACATTCCTTGTGCGTGAACTTGTTTTGAAGGTCTCCCCTTGATTTGGAAAGTAAACAATGTCCATTTGCAGTCATAGTCGCGTTTAGCGGCCACTGGCAGGTAAGAGCAATTACAATTATTATTGGGCTTTCTCCTAGAGCGTTCTCGATCACTTCCTATGTAGTTGTGTCCTCGGCGTATGGAGCAGTTGTGTAAGCACATCTCGTTCTGGACATCATTACAGTACAACCGGTACTTGTACACCTGCCGCATCCATGCAACAAACGCGTGGAGATATCTGTATGGAGATTGGCTGGGAGACAAACGTAGTTGGAGGGTCTGTGCAGCTCAGGAGAGTCTAAGGGGTCTTGAGCGAGCGTTAAGGAGAGTGCAAGACTTCCCCACAAATGTCTGCGACGCTGTATCATGCTGATTTGTGTGTTTCAAGCGTATTTGTGTGACCTACCATGGTTTCTACTCTCCTCCGATGGAACACTCCATTTAAGATTGCTCAACAATACACAATATTAGAGCTGATAAAGAGCAGCCGTATCTGCTGCCATGCATCGTTCCTGACGTGGAAAAGAAAACAGTAGGCGGGAGTAGTACGGTGGGACAGGTGTAGGAGAGGTGGACAAGGGTGTAATTTTTTTCCCGGTTGATTGTGCAACGAAAACAAGCAGTATTTCGCATCGGAGTCCGACTTGCTACCACCTTCTTTGAAATCAAACGCTCTCATCCTCATTTTACACATTTCAGTTTGTACCTGTCAGCACGCCTTGCGCTTCACGTGGTTAGAGTATCCACTCATGGCGGTCTCTCTGCACATGTGTGAACTTTATCAGGAGGTAGAAAAACGGAGTTGGGGTGATTATCTGGTTATTTGGGCAACTTCTGCCAGAAAAATTTCGATTGAATAGATTAATTGACATCCTCTCCAAATTAATCGATATCCGACCGTCCTACGACCCCTATAACCCCGCCAAATGCTCTCCATGGACCCCCCATCTGTAATCTGCAGTGTGCTTAAACGTGCCTAAGCAAAAAAGGGAAAAAAGCCAAACAAATCCACCCTAAGACGTTTGGCGCTAAAAACATGTGCTCGCCTCCTGAACAAGCACGTTACTTTTGTTGGGCCACCCCGGTGCTATTAAAGTCCAGACTTGCCCTCCTCCGCGCCCCATCTCCGCCACAATAGCCATCTCAAGATGAAAATCGCCCTTGTCACCGAAGTGTCTCCTCTCTACGTGAACGGAGTGTCGCGCACCATTGTGCGTCTGCTCGACCACCTGACCGAACAGGGCCATGAGGTGGTGGTCTTTGGCCCCGACTCGGGCCACTACAAGAACGTGCGACTGGTCGGTACTTTTGGAGTGCCGCTCTTCTTCTACCCGGAGCTCAAGTTCAACTTCGCTACCCCCAGCATGGTCTACCAGCTGCGACAGTATCAGCCCGAAATCATCCACTTTGTCGATCCCAACCTGCTGGGACCCCAGATGCTCGTGTGGTGTAAGATGTTCCTGCCCCATGTGCCTCGAATCGCCTCCTACCACACCAATATTGCGCTCTACGCTACCATGTTCGGCTTCTCCTACCTCTACGAGCCCATCTGGTGGACCATGCGAATGTACCACGGCGCCTGCCGAAAGACGTTGTGTCCCTCGCACTCCACCAAGGCCGCTCTTGTGGCCAACGGCATCCCAGCCGAGAAGGTGGGTATCTGGACCCGAGGAGTGGAAATGGCAATGTTTAACCCCGAACGACGAAACATGCAACTGCGAGAGAAATGGCTGTGTGCTGGAAAGCCTACACTTCAGTCAAACTCATCGACATCTTCGCTGCTACGACGAGCCTCCAACGAAGATGAGGGTGTTTCTTTCGGCCTCCAGGACCCCGAGGATAAACTGATCATTCTCTATGTGGGTCGAATCTCATGGGAAAAGAACATCCAGGTGCTGGTCGAGGCCTACAAGGGCATGAACCACGAACAGGTGCATCTGGTAATTGTGGGAGACGGTCCCGCTAAGGCATCGATCCAGGGCCAACTCCGATCTGCTGACGTCACTTTCACCGGCTACCTTCGAGGGGAGGAGCTTGCCGAAGCCTATGCATCTGCCGACATTTTCGCCTTCCCTTCGAAATCGGAAACCTTTGGTCAGGTGGTGTTGGAGGCCCAGGCCTCGGCACTTCCCTGCGTCATTATGGATGCTGAGGGAGTGTCTGAGATTGTCGAGGGAGAAGTGTCAGGAATCATCACTCCCCTGCCGGCAAACATGGACCAGGCCGACAGCGTGGAGGTCCAGGAGGCCTTCCGAGCCAACATTGAAAGACTGGTGGACAACCCTGTTCTGCGGGAAAAAATGTCTCGAAACGCCGTGGCCCGAGCCCAAAAGTTTTCCTGGTACGAAGCCATGCAGGCGTGCGTGGACGCCTACGCAGACACCATTGTGGACGCCCAAATGGAGACCAACACTTCCATTGTTTAAGGGAGCAAGAAGTATAGCGCACAATGAGTACTCAACATATATGTATAATACAATTATTATTTATTGACTGAATCATCACCTGTAAATTGATGTGTTTATGGCCATGATAAAGTGCAGTGTACAGCCTTATCCAAACCTATCCAAAGTTACTGTATTTCCATCAACTTAATCGTAAACCAAGTTGAATTGCTGCATCTCGATTAGAGATCAATTAGGTGTGTCGTTGTGTCATGTCAATAGGGCTTACAGATCCTTTCATTTGCTTTGTGGTTCAAAATTGTTATGAGGACAATTTAGGCGGCTGTCTCCAAACTGCCTCCTTGAAAGACACGCCTCTCCCGGTTCGTATTTTTATGTTGAACATTCGCCATGAACTGTCTCACCTTTGTTTGTCGCCACTGAGATTAGATAGGCGGGAGTTCCAGTCTCAGGCGACTGACAGAGAAAGCACAAGATCACGTCTCACATTAGCAAGCCCTTGTATGTACGAGTACGATACAAGTATGAGCGTTCAAGGGGGTCATTTGAACACCAATATGCAAGGCCGGGTAGAGAAATCACTCATATTAGCCCGTTTTAACCGACTTTACAAGTCGCAACGCCGTTTTGAAACTCCGACCCCGACCCCCGCGTTTTAGTGCCCTATTTTAATGGTGCAAGCACAAGTAGTGTTATACCCCCTGTCAGACAAGCTCTGAAAGATGTCTAAACGTTGGCGTAAGGGGGGCTATGTCTGGATTTATCACGAATGCGTGGTGGACGTTAAACACGTTGATGTAGAAGCTACTTGTAGTGTGTGTGTGTGCATCAACAAGTAGCTACAGTGATCCCTATGAGGCTCTTCCAGTCTGCATCAATACACAATAATTGCTCGCAGCCTACCCCCAACCACCTCCGAAGCATGCTTGTTTATCCCCTCGCAGCTCTCTCAAGTCACTCGTTATAGACCACCCCGCATTTTGCTTTTTGTGGTAACTTTGCGAGTGGCGTAAGATGAGGGTTAGTCTAAGCTGTCCAGCGTCCGGTTAACCCACCTTCCTCAGAAGGCCATAGAGCACGTGATCGATGTCTTTGGTCTCAGGGTCAAGAATGGACTTTGCAGCGACAACACTAGAAACGTCAGCAAATTCAATAAGAGCCGATTTGGCCTTTTTGCCAGCATCTCCAGGAAGAATTGCTACGTGTTCAATCGGTCCGTAACGCGAAAAAAGTGAAATGACTTCCTCTTCCTTGAGATCTCGTCCCTTGCCTCTTTTGCTCCATTTGATCTTGAGCGTTGGTGATGCAGATGTCGAAGTAGTAGATGTAGATGCTGAAGTAGGTAAAGGTGTTTTTGGGTAACTCGTCTTCAATGAGGTGTTTGTGTCATTCGAGGTAGACGACACTGTGTTAGATGTTGTGTTTCCCGCTCCCTTCATAGCGTCCATGTACATCTTCCTCCGTTTAGCCTCCAGCTCTGCCACTAGACCCTGGTTGTGGTTGCGCATGTCCTCCAATACTGCAGCGAGATTCATGTTGTCTCTCTGGTGCTTCTTGCTAGCCTCATACTCCTGTTCTCGTCGTAAAAGGTCGTCCTGGAACTTGCGTCGTTCAGCAGACAGTTCTTCGCGTTTTCGGATCTTCTCAAACCGTGCACTCAGCAGCTGATCGTACTTCTTGCGCAGAGAGTCATCCACGAGTGTCTCCAATGCGATAGACAGCTGGTGGAACTTGACTTCTGCTTCCTTGGAAGGGTTTTTGTCGGGATGGTATAACAGTGCCGTTTTCCTGTAGGCGCGCTGGATGCTTTTTGTGTCTGAGGACACGTCGACGCCCAGAAGGGCGTACAAATCAATTTCCTCCTCCAGTAGAAGCGGATGCAGAGACATGTGTGTTGTGGTGTATTGATGAAATCAGCTTGACATTACATGAGATCACGTTGGACAGTATGTTTGGCATTGCATAAATATATTTAACCTTATTTGGAGGCGCTGTGAGGGTAGGAGGTGTATTGATGGAGGTGACGGGGACACGTTGCGGGTATACAGTATACTGCTGTTTCTTTATAACGAAAAGCTTTTGCCGAGTTATTTAAAACTTGAATGGTGAGATTCTGTTGACTATTCAAACGACTTAGATTGATAATCACATAAGTTTCCCCGAATATAGTTGGACATTTACTTGAAACAAAAGACGAAAAAATAGAGTATGTACAGTATGTCCTGTGGTAAATCTTGGGCAGTGGAGATGTGATCACTCAGAGTATTTGAGGTGATATAAAACACATCAAAACCCCATTGAAAACCTGCTGTGTACAATAACTCACACACAAGTCAGAGGAGTTGTTCTACAAGTACGAGTACCGTACGAGTACGAGCACCACCTTCTTAGGTTTCTGATCTACTACAAGTAGTAGTGTGTACTAGTATTGGATTCCACCACAACAGTCTCCCTACAGCCACCATTAGTCATCTACAGTACTGTGGAGGAAACAAAACATATATAAATGTAAATATATCAACTCGTTTAATGGCACCTTCGCTTACATTTATACATCCCCACCCCATCTCTCACACCATTTCCACCTTCAACTCGAACACAGCTCTGACAAGCTCAAAGTTACCCTGACACCACGTATGTACGTCTCTAACACCGAGCACAGCACACCACGTCTGCTACAACTCCTCCACTAACTCCTTCAAAACATTCCAACCGCGATGTACAACCAGCGACAGGGCAACACGGCGACCCCGCCACTGCACCATCCCATTCCCCAGCATCCCATTCCCCCCATGCGGTCTCCACCTGTCGAGCAAACACAGCATCAGAACCTCCAGGATCGGTACGCGCCTCCACAACAACACGCCCAGCACCAGCAGCACCCGCAACACGGAGCTGGTGGCGACCAGGGCAACTTCTTCAACCCGGCCGGCTACCCGCAGTTCTTTAACGACGGAACTGCTCAGGTGGGTCTACAGGTGGGCCGATCCGCTGTCGCTGCCGGGCAGGAGTACATGGAGAAGAACTTCAACAAGTACGTGTCTGTGTCCCAGTTGCGGTACTATTTCCAGGTGTCCAACCTGTATGTTGTCAAGAAGCTCGGTCTCGTTCTATTCCCCTTCCTACACAAGCCCTGGACTCGTGATGTCGTTCGTTCAGAGACTACCGGCGAGATCGAAGGCTACGCGCCCGCCAGAGACGACATCAACGCCCCCGACATGTACATCCCCACCATGGCTTTCACCACATATATCATTCTGTGTTCGGTGCTGAGTGGTGTGCACGATCACTTCCATCCCCAGCTGTTTGGAACCCTGGCCTCCAAGGCCGTGTCCGTGATGGTGTTTGAGCTTCTGGTGCTCCGTCTCGCCACTTACCTGCTGTCCGCTGACTCGCAACTGTTTGACTTTGCTGCTTATGCCGGCTACAAGCTTGTGGGCGTCCTCATCACCATCCTGGCTGCTTCTCTCACCGGATCCACCTACGTTAAGTGGGGAGTCTTCCTGTACACGTACATTGCCAACGCCATGTTCCTTCTGCGGTCGATCAAGTACCTCATTATCCCCGACGGAACCAGTCCTGTTCCTCAGGGAATCAACACTGGCAACCGACGAAGCAGCATCCAGTTTCTGGCCGTGTATGCTTTCTTGTTCCAGCTGGGCATGATGTGGATTTTGATTCCGGCTAACAGTGTGTTGAACTCTGCTCCTGTGCCTGTTATCGCCCAGACAATGTCTTAGACACGTCGAGCGATGTATAGGGATGTACAATGAGAGTTGCCTTGAGCCGCTATTTGAGAATATCAACGGGCTCGAACAGTACTTCAGTTGCAGAGGGAGTGCGAGTACACTTACGGCTGTTACAGCACCGTGATAATAGATGACATAGATGTAATAAGCGGTAGCTGTTGTCTACTAAGGCATACTTTCAATGGAGCGGTAAGTGATTTAGAGGAACTTGCTAATGTTGGGAAAGTAGAGAAATATACACACAAGTAAAAAAGAATTGGAGTCATTGAATTACAATTGCAACGTCTAGGAGATTGGCTATCTAGGGGTATTCAGACTGTGTCGATTATTTTATAATTACTGTAGAATATTATTTATGTAAGTATGTACATTGGTATGTACAGTATCGTACACATGTAATACTGTGGTTGTATTGGTAAAATCAGATTCCGAAGTGGGTGTCACTGAAATGTGTCGCAAGCAGGGTGAATTCTCGCTCAGAAACCTGCGGCAGCCCCATGGGTTGACCATTAGCCCGTTCTATGATTTTCTGGAAGTATATAGTAGCTACAAAGTAGTGACCACCACTTGGTGCTTTTTTTATTCGTTGTTGATCTTAGTTGATCAAGCTCTAAATTCAATATATAAAAGTCCCCGTGTTGTGTTCGTTTAAGCATGAGTGGTGGCGGCCTGGGTCTTTCCGTCTCTCAAAGCATCCTTGACAATCTCTCTCCAATTACTCTTCCACACAAAGTAGAGTTGTAGGATGGAGACAAAGAAGACGCCAATGGTAAGTCCGATCCAGAAACCCTCAATGCCGTAGCCCCAGTGGAAGGCAAAGATTACACCGGCCGGCAAACCCACGACGTAGTAGAAAAAGAGGTTGAGATATCCTCCGATTCTCTGACGTCCCTGGGCTCTGAGAATGCCTCCAGAGATGACCCCAAGTGAATCGTTGACCTGGAAGAGGGCCGCGAAGGGCATGGTTTCACGCACGAGCTGCAGAACGGCCTCGTCATTAGTGAACATCTTTCCAATGGTGTCTCTGAGACCCAGCATGAAGGCCATGTTGAGCACTCCGAAGACAAGAGAGATGACAGCAGCCATTCTGGCAGAGATTCGGGCAGCAGCAGTAAGGTTGGCACCAACCAGATTGGCGATTCGAGTGGAGGCAGCAATGCCAATAGCAAAGGGAATCTGGTAGATGATGCCACAGACAGACACCAGCACTGACTGGCAGGCCAGGGCGTCAGTTCCGAATCTAGAGGCAGCGAAGGTGACAATTTCAAACGCCAGCCACTCGGCTTCGACCATGATGATACCTGGAATAGCCAGTCGGATCATTCTGCCCCAGCCGGTGAAGAGGTTATCTGGTCGGAAACCGCACCAGCACTTTCGGCCGTTGATGAAGACGACGTACAGAGACAGCATGGTGGCCATGAGCCAGTCGGTGAAGACGACGGCAATGGGGGCTCCCACGTAGCCCAAGCCAAAGTGCTCGTTCCACACCAGCAGGTAGTTGAGCGAGATGTTGATGGGAGCGCAGATAAGAAGAATGTAGGTACCGGCGTTGAAGTCACCCTGGGACTGCAGGTAATGCTTGAGGTTTTCAAACAGAATATAAGCGGGGAAACCACAGGCCAGGACCTCGAGGTAGAGGGCTGCAAAATGGATGAGTTCGGGATCGTCGAGCAGCAGGTGCAGCAGCTGACGTCCGAAAACGGCCCACAAGAGAATTATAGGCACAGCGATGATCCACAGAAAGATTGTGCATCGCAGGAAATGAACTCCGACCATTTTGTAGTCTTTTCGGCCGTACGCCTGTGCACACAGGGTATCTAGACAGGTGGCCACTCCATGGACGACAGCAAAACCTGTGATGGCGGAGGTCATGGAGGCCAGAGAACATGCGGCGAGCTCATTCTTACCGAGATGGCCGACGGAGAAGACCGATGCGACAGTCAGCGAGTATTGCATGAGGAAGGTCATGGTTAGTGGAGCCGAGTACTTGAGAATCGTTTTCGTTTCCGTGCTGGCAGTAGTCTGAATTTCTCCCTTTCTCACAGCCGCATCGAATGCCTTGTAGACTGCTCGTCGTTCTTCTCGGGTTCGAGCGTGGGTAGTGGTTCCTCCGTAGCTATTGTTGTTGTTGTTGTTACCGTTAGAGGTGCCTCCATAGTTGGCCTGGGGGCGGGCCTTTTTGAGCAGCTCTTCCTGTTCCTGGGTGGCTCTCTCAGCCTGTGTAGAGTACATGGACGACGCATCGTCGAATTCCGAGTCATCGTTGGTTTCGTCGTCGTCATCTTCATCCGAGTAGTTGTATGAAACTCGAACTCCGGATCGACCGAGCGAGCCGAAAGCTGCTCCAGCTGAATTTGGGGTTCGGTTGAAATGTCCGCCTTTTTTTTTCTGCGGCGTTTCCGAGATGGCTATCGGGGCCGTTTCGGCCGACGAGCCTAGCAGGTGCGAGTCGTATGACGACATGTGTGTGGGGAGTTGTAGAGGGGATGTGTTGTGGCGGTGAAGACCTTGCCGTGAGTACTAAGTTGAGGTGCAGATTTGGTGTACAACATGTACCACCCGATAAGCGAGGGCTCTGGTGCGTTGGCGCGATGTGGCTTGGCAAGGAAAGTAGCTGTAGCTTTTAACGCTTTTTTTTTTTTTTAGCTGGAGAAAATGCGTTGTTTTTGAACGGCTTTCTGGAGGCCAACAGCATACTCTTATACTGACCTCGTCAAGACAGACTCCTCACACAGAGTTCCAAATAGCCTTCCACAAGACATCTAAAGCGAGAACCGGTCAAAAGTCAATAGTACAAGTAACCACAGGTAATGGTGACTCAGAGAGGGGCAGATATATAGAAGGGAAGATTGAGAGGCATGTTTGTATTTTTTGAGGCCATTAGACGTACAGAATCATTCAGGGAGTTGATATCAGACTTGGGGATATCGGGAATAAGACGTTGACTCCATATCTACACACTTCAACCATCCATTGACGTATCCAACATCGTACAGAGTTGGAGCTAGTCAATCTTATCGGGCCAGACAAGGGTTACGACAGAAACTCGTTAGTGGCTTTTCCACAGTGGGAATCTCTATGCGCAGACTGAGATAGTCTTCGGATGTGTAAAGATATACACACTGGCTGCTTCCGCGGAGTATAAGTGAGATATGCGGCTTCCCTTAACTATGGTAATCATGGCCAACTATTCTCAACTAAATGTAAATTATTCAACTAAACCCAAGTAATGTAACGTACATATGAACTGTTATACGGCCATAAAACAACCCAATTCCACATCACCACTCGAATCTCCTCTGACAAGGCATCTAATCCCCGCCCACTCCTCAGAACTCCTCCATCTTACGTGCTGTCCCAAAATTTCACCCTATAGCTCATACATTTCACCCACACCGCATCCAAATGCCTAAACAGGAAGGCTTATCGTGGCTAATCACATGTTTGCAAAAAGCATGCAGAGTTGGGCTGAGAAAAAACACTTCACACTTCATCGTGCGGGCTTACCCAATCGGGAAATTGCATCCGTAAAACTTCTAGAGAATGAATATCACCGAAAAATGCTGGAAAAATAGGGTAAAATTAAAGATTAGGAGAGGTGTAAGAACAGGATATGACTGTTTTTTAAGGTACAAGTAGACGCAAATGTTTGAGTGGGAAAATATTGCCGTCTCAGCTTTGTAATCTTGGCCGTAGCAACTTTTGGCGGTTTAATTATGCTTACCGTTAGTTGTCACAGGTTAAGAGTTAGTCTATTAACTAGATATTTAACTATTCAAAATGAGTAAAATCAACTCCACGAATTTAAAGTCGCGTCCCATTTTTCCCCCTCATATCTCTAGTAATCTCAGACTGCATCATAGAGCCATTAATTATCCCAATTGGGACAGGCGCAACGCGAAACTTTGAGCTGTGTACTAGAAGCGTGTCATAGAGTGAGGGGGGGTTTACAAGACGAAACAAGGCGTTTGAGGGTGACAATATATGGCCATTCGACCTCGAAAACATGCGGAAATTCTTATGTGTACATTTTTCCATTCTAGAACAACTTCAAATTATATATATATATACATGAGGAAATGCAGAAACTTCAGTGTGCTTACATTACCTTGAACTTGTACTTTTGTATTACAGTTTTGGTTGGTGTTTTCTCCAGACCACGCAAACAACCCCTTCATTCTGGTAGTTGAGATCACTTTTTGAGCATTTTAAAGATTTGAATGGTTATTTAAGTGTCAAAATATCCACTTTCAAGCTCCATCTTTATCTCAAATCTCCTCCATTGCTGTGTGAAAAGCACGGTAGAAAAACACCCCTTGGTTGAATAAGGTTGGGTGTACAGCTACACCAATATTTTTACGCGTCTGAATATTGACCCACTATAACTACATCTCAACACCACACTACATAACACCCATGGGTCGACCTTTTAACGGAAACAACACCCATGTGGTGAAACAGCGCAGTGACGAGTTTGAGCGGCGAAGGCTGGAGCGGATCGAGCAGCTGGGTCAAAAGTTTGCCGCAGTCGAACGCCGAGATGCCATAGACGACCGAATGGGTTTTACTCGCTTCTCTGGCGATGAAAAACGAGTCGGGTGGCTGGTCAACATGCACGAGACGTTGCTACAGTCGGAAACGGCCGAGCGGGGCCTGGCAGCGGTGGACTACTACTTCTACGACGAGGAGGGAGGCAACTTCAAGTCGACGGTGGTGTTCCGGCCCTACTTTTTTGTCATTTGCAAGCCTCATACTGAGCATGCGGTGAAGGATCTCATGGAAAAGATGTTTGAGCGGGTGCTCGCAAGCACGGAAATTGTTACAAAGGAAGATTTGAACTTGGTGAGTGATAACAAGCAGCCCTGGATGAGTTGAGTGGCAGACATTGCAATGAGTGGGAGAGATAACGAACTCTCAGCATCTCGCTGATTGCAGTGAGTCCATTACTGCTGAGTGATTCTTACTGCTGTGATTCTTACTGCTGTAATTCTTGCTATTAAGCCGTGTGTGACAATTGGCTAACACAGACAAACCATCTCACAGGAAAGAAACGAAAGGCGGTGAAATTGGAATTTCACAACTCGGAGGATCTGAGCTCGACACGTTTCACGCTCAGCAAGATTGTCGACCGACAGACACAGCAGACAGAGCAGCATCTCAACATTTATGAGCTTGAAGGGTGAGTAAGAGAAAGAGGGGAGAGGCAAGAGAAAGACTGTGTTGAAGTCACGTGGTCAGTCTTCAAACAAGATGTTCAATATTAACCCAGCGATGTGGACACCAGCACAGACGTAGAATCATCCATCACTGGCATCAAGGAATTTGATGTGCCGTTTGAAACCCGAGTGGCCATTGATCTGGACATTCGTGTGGGAAACTGGTACGAGGTCACCAAGGAAAACGACACGGCTGTGCTCAAACACATGGTTGAACGAGAGTACCGAGCCGATCCAGTCGTCATGGCATACGACATTGAGACCGAAAAGGCTCCCCTTCGTTTCCCCGACTCAGCCGTCGACAGAATCATGATGATTTCGTACATGATTGACGGCGAGGGTTTCCTCATCACCAACCGAGAAATGGTGAGTGAAGACATTGAGGACTTTGAGTACACTCCCAAGCCCGAATTCCCCGGTAATTTCACCATTTTCAACGAGCCTAACGAGAAGGCTGTGTTGGAAAAGTGGTTTGAGCACATTCGAGACGTGTGTCCCACGGTGATGACTTCCTACAACGGAGACTTTTTCGACTTCCCATTCATCGACAAACGAACAGCCTTCCATGGAATGAATCTCTACGACGAGATTGGATGGAAAAAGGTGGAGGAAGAGAGATACGAGTGTTCCTATTGTGTGCATATGGACTGTCTCAACTGGGTCAAGCGAGACTCGTACTTGCCTCAGGGTTCTCAGGGTCTCAAGGCTGTGACAAAGGTGAAGCTGAGTTACGATCCCAAGGAGCTCGATCCGGAAAAGATGACTCCTTATGCACGAGACCATCCTCAGATTCTCGCGGAATATTCTGTTTCCGATGCTGTGGCCACCTATTATCTCTACATGAAGTATGTGCATCCGTTCATCTTCTCTCTGTGTTGCATTATTCCCCTCAACCCCGATGCAGTGCTACGAAAAGGTACAGGTACTCTTTGCGAGATGCTCCTCATGGTCAAGGCTTATGAGGGACGCATCATTCTTCCCGACAAGCACAAACCTGCTCTTGAGCGTCATTACAAGGGTCATCTGGTCGATAACGAGACGTACACCGGTGGCCACGTGGAGTCCTTGGCTGCTGGCGTGTTTCGAAGCGACATCATGGTCGATTTCGACATTGATACTAACAGTATCGACGAGCTACTGGTCAATTTAGACGAGACTCTCGAGTTTTGCGTCACTGTTGAGGCTGGAAAGAAATCGTCTGATTTTGAGAACTTGGATGAAGTAAGAGACCAGATCATCGAACAGCTTCAGGAGCTCAAATCCAACCCCAAGCGATCCGATTACCCGCTCATTTACCACGTGGATGTCGCGTCTATGTACCCCAACATCATGACGACCAACCGACTTCAGCCCGACTCCATGGTAGACGAAAAGGACTGTGCTGTTTGTGACTACAACCGTCCCGACAAGACGTGCGCACGTGAACTAGAGTGGGCTCGACGAGTCGACTATTACCCTGTGTCAAAGGGAGATGTCAACAACCTAAAGCAGGGTCTGGTTGAGGAGTACTCCGGAGGTCGTTTCGGAAACGGCTCATCTGTCGAGATCTCGTACGATGAAGGTATGACTGAGCGGGAAAAGTTCCAGAAACGAAAGGGCTGGGCTGGATTGTCTGGTCAGGAGCAGGCTAACAAGCTCAAGGAGCGAGTGGCGGCCTTTTCGCTCAAGACCAAGGCTCGAAAGACGGACTCGGAGACGACTGTGCAAAAGACCATTGTTTGCCAGCGAGAAAACCCCTTCTATGTCGATGTTGTGCAAGAGTTCAAACAGCGTCGAATCGACTACAAGACAAAGGCGAAAAGGTGGAACAAGGAGGCTGCTTCTGCTTCCGATCCTGCGTCTCGAGAGGAGGCCAAGAAGATGGCTATCACCAACGACTCGATGCAGCTGGCCCACAAAGTCATTCTCAACTCCTTCTACGGTTATGTTATGCGAAAGGGTTCTCGATGGTACTCCATGGAGATGGCCGGTGTGACTTGTTACACTGGAGCCAAGATCATCAAGATTGCCCGTCAGACAATGGAAGGTCTTGGTATTCCTCTTGAGCTCGATACAGACGGTATTTGGTGTATGCTGCCCAAGACCTTCCCCGAGAAGTTCAAGTGCAAGTTTAAGGATGGTTCCAGCTACGAGCTTGAGTATCCCTGTTCTATCATGAACTACTTGGTGCACAGAGACTTTACCAACCACCAGTACCAGAAGCTGAATCCCGAGACTGGGAAGTACGACACTCATTCAGAAAACTCCATCTTCTTCGAGCTCGACGGACCCTACAAGTGCATGATGATGCCTACGTCGACTGATAAGGGTAAGGGTCTCAAAAAGCGGTACGTGGTTTTTGACGACCGCAATAAGATTGTCGAGCTTAAGGGCTTCGAGGTCAAGCGACGAGGAGAGCTGTCGTTGATCAAAAAGTTTCAGTCACAGCTGTGGGACACGTTTCTGGAGGGCTCCAATCTCGTCGAGTGTTATGCTGCTCAGGCTCGAGTGGCTGAAGCTTGGCTGGCAGTGATTGACTCTCGCGGCAAGAACCTATCCGACGAAGAGCTCATTGACCTGGTTTGTGAGAACAAGTCCATGTCCAAGCCTGTGCATGAGTACGGCTCTCAGAAGAGTACTGCTCTGACGACTGCCCGTCGTCTAGCGGAGATTATGGGCGACTCCATTCTCACGGGAGGCAAGCTGTCAACCAAGTACATCATTGCGGTTCGAACCAAGAACTCCATGCCTGTTCCTGAGGCTAAGAAGGGTTCCGACGAGGACTCTTCAACTGCTGATCGAGCTATTCCCACTCTGGTTTTCGAAACCGAATCTCTGGACGAAAAGCTGCGGTTCTTGAAACGGTGGATGGGCCCTCGATGGGAATCCACGGACCCCCGAGACGTCATTGACTGGATGTACTATCGAGAACGTCTGGCGACGACTATCAACAAGCTTGTGGTGATTCCTGCCATTCTGTTGGGTCTCAAGAACCCCGTTCGAGGCTGTGATCCCCCCGAATGGGCTTCTGACATCATCAAGCAACGAGATAACCCCATCAAGCAGAGCACCCTGAGCTCTTATTTTGTCAAGGGTAAACTTCCCACTCCTGAGCCCATTCTCAGTGAAGAAGATGAGGTCATGGAGATCCAGGTGGGCGACATTGAAAGCATCGGGACCACTCCTTCTCCTTCCAGACCCCCTGGAGTGCCTGCCCGAGTGGTTGTGTCTAAACGAGTGCGCAAAACTGTTGAGGAAACGGACAAGTCCACTCCCTCTCTTCCTCACAAGGCCCCCGATCCGTTCGCCGACTATGCAGCCTACATTAAGTACGCCAAGGTCAAGTGGAAGCATCAGAAGGCTCAGCGAGACCGAAGAGCCCATCTTTTTGGCGAGTCCGACAATGGCATCGCTTCTTCGTGGGTGTCCAAGAACGCCCACCTGGCTCAAGACGCCTGGCACCTGGTGTCCATCCATGCTGCCGAAAAACCTGGCCAGGTGGAGGCCAGCGTCATCATCGGAGACAAGATGCAACGGGTGCAGATCAATGTGCCGCGCAAGGTGTACGTGGGGTCTCGTGAGCCGCTGAAGTGGGATAAGTTCACTGACGTGACCAATGCCATGGCTGTGGCTGAAGAGGAGCAACCCAAGTACCTCTACCGAGCAGTCATGTCTGAAGACATGTACCAGACGGAGATGACTAACCCGGAGTCTCCGCTGAAGGACCCTCACGTGACGAAAATCTACGAGGCCGACGTGTCGCCTGATTCACGTGCCCTCATTGAGCTTGGATCCACATTCCATCTTGATGCCTCCACTCCTGGTATCCTCTCCAAGGGCTTCACCCATGGCTTTGAGGCCAAATGGTTCAAGTCAGGTGACTCGCGGTCCTACCTGCAAAACTCAGGACTCTCCTACGCTCACATTGTGCACGTGGTTTCTTCTGCCGTGGAGATATTTGTCATCACACCCACCTGGGACGCACCAGCTCTTGTGTTTGTGCACCAGTCGTCTTCCAGTGAAAAGTTACCTGACATCTCGAAGGAGTACGCCCGTCTGCGACGTGGAGAACGGTACAAGCAGAACATGGACGATTGCACCGTCTTTTCCTTCCCCGACACAATGCAGTACGAGGTGGAGTACTGTTCCAACCACCGACGAATGCTGCAGAAGGTGTCCAAGGCGTGTGACTCACTGTCTGGCTCCCGAAACGGCCAGCTGGTGTTTGCACTCCATTCTCCGGACAGAAACGTGGATGAAAAGGTGGCTGCCCTGGCCAGAATCCCCTGTATTCGGCTGAGACCCGTTCCTCCGTCTACTGCTGCTGTTGGATGGCAACGGGATCTGGTTCGACGGCTGATTGCATCGTTCTTGTCACATGGAGCCAACATTTCGTACCTTGTCGAGATGGCTCGGTATGCCAAGATGCCTCTGTGTCATGTGCAAGATACCCGGGACGTGATTGACGTATCATACGCTCGTCGGCTCATCCAGAACAGTGTCGTTTTGTGGTGGTCTGCTGCTCTGTCTACCGGAGGAGCCCTCACTGACCAGGCGGAAGTGCCTGTCGCCAACAATCCTGGACTGTACACCAACATTTGTTTCGAGATCAAAATCGAGCATTTGGTGCTCAACGCCTTGTTGCAGAGTGCTGTGATCCAGGATACTGAGGGAGACATTCACAACGAGCTTCTCTCCAACGCCTTCAACCCCCACGCCCTCAAAACCCTCAAAATGGTGGTCAAGGAGTGGTGGGAGCACGGGGACAAGAAACGGCCTCCCCAGGATCTGCTGGACAACTTCACAGTGTGGGTTTATGCGCCTGAGTCGCGTCTTTTCTCCCCCCAGTTGCTGTACCACACTCAGAACCTGACGAAGAAGACCTTCCTGTATCTTGCTCAAGAGTGTCGAAAGCACCAGGCTCAGTTGGTGTACGCTGATCAACACAAGCTTGTGTTGCAGACAGAGAAGACGGAGCTTCAGCTGGTGTACTCGTACTCCAACTACATTGTTCGGCAGATCAGAACCCATCCCATTCTCAAGTATGTCTCTGTCGACATTACTCGCTACTGGGACACCTTCCTGTGGATGGACAAGTGGAACTACGGGGGCTACTCGTCTGACGTCATTGTTGACCCCTCCAAGCAGAGCGAGTCTCTGTTGATGCATTGGCACATTGCCAACTTCTTGCCTGAGACTCTACAGCAGGAATTTTCCAAGTGGGTCCAGGAGTACATTCATTTGTTGCGGCTGCGGAAATACCCCGAAAACAGAACTACTGATGTTGACGACATGCCCAGTGACACTCCCATGCTCACCGACGGAGACAAGGACGACGCTGCCCTTCTGAGCGACAAGTTCTTTGGCAAGGGTGTGGTTTCTTACCTGCATCCCAAGCTCGTGAGACGGGTCAAGCTGCTGGCTCAAAAGCTATCGGATGTTCTCTCCTCAGGCGACTCCATTGACGCCTTTAAGTTCCCCGTGCTTCCCGGGTCCATGATCCAGCCAGAGACTAATCCCGTGGTCGAGTTCGCCAAGTACGTGTGCCACATTTACGGCATCAACGCCAAGGCCAACTTTGAAGTCCAGATTTTGCTCAGAGACCTTCTTAACATCTTTGATATCAACGAGTTTTCCGAGGAGGGCACGTTCCGAGATCCGTCCATGTCGCTCAAGCTAACCAACATGATGTGTTTCAAGTGCAAGAACCCCTGCGATCTGGACCTATGCAAGGACTCGTGCTGCACCAAATCTGGCTTCAGATGCCCCCTCTGCAACTCGCTCTATGATATGGTCATTGTGGAGCAGCGGCTGGTGGGTCAGCTGCAGCGAATGATTCTCGAGTACGAGACGCAGGACTTCCGCTGCGACAAGTGTCGACGAGTCAAAGAGTATGAGCTCACGGAGTTCTGTCCTTGTTCTGGCTCTTGGGTCACTATCATGTCTGCCGAAGACGTCCACAAGGAGCTGTCCATTTATGATCGGTGCGCTCGGTGGTTCGAGTTGAAGATGCTTGGTTCGTTCCTCAGACAGTTGGGTTATGTTTAGGAGGAGCGTTGTTGAGGAAGACTGACGTGAGGAGATATTTATCTAATGTATGTTTGTACTGTATGGGTGTGTTGTGGAGATAGGAATCGTATCAAGACAGGTGTGTATGAGTATTTGAGATTAGAAGACAAGGGTTACATGAATAGTTGTACTATCTAATTAGAACAAAGTCGTAGTCTTTCCTATACTTGGCTTGAACTTGTCGTGGACGTTGTCCATGTACACTATGTACTGTACTGGTAGTTTGTATGTGTAGATATATCCCTCGTGGAGTGGTATAGAGAACCTGTTACTTTAAAAAGCACAAATAACTATCTTGGAACTGTTCTATAATCTTTGTAACTCGGAAGACTTGTAAACATTGTGGCACTTCTCTACTGCAAATGATGGCAGCACCCATCATTTACTGAGAACAATACTATGACAAGGGTGAGTGGCAGCTATGTCAATCATTCCAGACTTTCACACCTATTTGAGCAATATATATATATATATATATATATATATATATATTTCTCTACTTGCACTCATACAAATATGTCTGGATTAATGCAGATCTATTTCCATTGGCGAAGTTTAGCCCTCTTTGAAACGATATTATGGGATCTGCTCAGTTGGCGGGCCCACCTAAACGGAAACGGGCATTTGTGGCATTGTCGCTACTTGATCTGACCTACTAGTGCTTCAACTTTTCTACCATGCTCTCGTGTTACAGCTTCACGGTATTGTACCACAGCTCGTACTCCCCATATCCCTCACACTACTCACTCTTCACCCACTACACCTTGTACTTCTCTTATTTGTACTACAAGTACTCATACTCGTCAAGCCCGAGCAGTTCATGCTTCGCACCTTTTACTGGCGTCAGTTCTATCAATATCTTTATTAAACGACAACTTTGCTACCTCCTAGCATTGTTGCTATGCACCATTGGAAGATTCCAACACATCCTCGCGCACTTGTGAACCACTCCTTACGTGGTCCACAGCTTTGCAGTTCCGTCAGCAGCGGCTGAAAACAACCAAGCCTCCCGGGGATGCCACTCAACCCGCAGAATACCCAGACCGCTCTTGACATCGTGGCCCTTGAGCACCTTGAGAGGCACCAGCAGAGGGTTGGTCATCATGTCGTCGTAGACGGTGCCGTGGAAAATGTTAATATTACCGTCGTCAGAAGCGGAGCAGAACAACGGCAGACCACCCTTGTGGAATGCTGCGTGCCGCACGGCCTTTTCGTGGTATCGCAGGGTCTTGTAGGGCTTATCACTGAGGTCGAGATCGTGCCACAGAAGCCGTTTGTCGAACGACGACAGGATCACGTTATCACCACGGGGATGAATGTCCAGAGAAGACACCCATCTAGCACCGGGCATAAGCTTCTTGGCCATGACCTGCTTGGCCAGATCGTAAATACGCACGTATCGCTGGGTGGCAACGTACAGATGAGGTCGGAAGGGATGGAACATGGCGTCCTGCACAATACCCTTGGACTTATTGAAAGGCGACTGTGACGAATGCTTAGAGATCTGGTGGATGGCCACGGCTCTGTGCTGCGCCGAGGGGGCCACAGTGACCAGATAGTCTCCCTTTCGGTGCCATGCGAGTCGCTTGATGGTTTTGGTGGCGGTAATGATGGCTCCAATACCAGAGGCCTGCTGCTTGGCGGTGGGGGTGATCCACTTGGCAGGAGGGCTCTTCTTCTTGACGTGACCGGTCTCGTCGTCCGAGTCGGAGTCAGCATCGTCATCCAGACCCTTGGTATCGATATCCTGCTGCTCTCGTCCTCCCTCGGCAAAACCCCATCCCTGCTCAATCTTCTCTCGGCCGGTGTTCTCGATATCAAAGTCAAACAGCGTGGGAGGCACAATCAGGAAAATATGCTCACCAGCAGAGGCAGCCAGCATGCCAGGGACAGCGGGGTTCCACTGCACACACTCGACTGAGTCATCCTGAGCATCAATGGACGCCACCAGACGACATCGGTACAGCTCTCGACCAGTGAGCACTTCCCAAACTCGAAGAGTTCCGTCGTCGCCTCCAGTGGCAAGGAACTCTCCACTGGGATCCACAGAGATGGCTCGAACCTTGCCCTTGTGGCCCTTGTAGGTGGTAGCACATCTGATGGGGAAAGGCATGAGATCCTTGGGGGAGGGGAGATCGGGAATCAGAGAGTCGGGATCAATGTTGAGCTTGTTCTTTCGCACTCGAGGAGCCAGGTAGAGATCCAAAGACCGCTCGAAACGCTCTCGAACAGACTCGGAGTAGCCGGGCACATGTCGCAGAGCAGTGTACTTCTTGGGCACGTAGTTTCGCTCTCTCTCGGAAGGAGCAAGAGCATTCCACTCGGCAATCTCCTCTTCGGTGGGCAGATACTCGGCAGGGGGGTTGTAGGACTCGTCGTGGGTGGGAGGGGGCATTTTGGGGGCTCGCAGAGTCATGACGTGGTCCTGGACGTCCGTGAGGTTGTCGGCCCACACGTCGTAGTTGGGTCGGGCGTCAGGGTCCTCCTTGGGCTTTGTCAGCAGTTTACCCTGTCTAATGGCCTGCACCATCTTCATGACTCGCTTGGCCTCGTGCTTGGAGGGAATGAATCGTCTCTTGGGCTCGGGCGCAGCAGACAGAGGCATGATCTCTGTCTTGGAAGAGAACCACTCCACCAGGTCCTCGTAGGGATTGGAGGCGTCATCGGTGGTCTCATTCTTCTGAATCCGCTTGATGAGTTCCAGTTCCTCCTTGGAAATGTTGAGACCCTTTCCGGTGCTCTTGTCTAGCAGGCCGGTCCATCCCTCGGGCAAATCAATCGTCTCCAGTAGGTTGTCCAGAGCAGAACCGGTAGCGGGTCGCATGATTCGCTTACCGTTGATGTCATATCCAATGTGAGGCATCTGGTCGTAGGCAGACAGGGGCACGTTTCCAATGGTATTGGATTCCTCCTGGTCCGAATCGTCCGAGTCGTAGACAGCATGGATTTCCTTCTTGATCATTCGAGGCTTGCCGTCGGCTCCAGGCACAATTTCAACCACGTCCTTGAGCTCATCAGTCTGGTCGGAAGATCGAGACAGAGATCGCAGACGAACTCCGTCATCCAAATGCTTTAGAATCGAGGGGTCGACCTCGTCGTCTCCAGCATCAGAAAAGTAAGCCAGCTCGTCTTCCAGCTCGCTTCCAGACAGATCCTCCTCTTCACCGATGAGTGCCTCAAGCTCGGCGTCAGAGTCACTTTCATCGTCGGCATCTTCTTCGTTTTCAGTCTTGCTGGTGTTCTTCTTGTCCTTTGTCACATTTTCTTGTGCCACTTCCTGCTCAGCTTCATCCTCGTCGTCGGAGTCGCCCTCATCAATGAGTCCCTCGACATCGAACTCGTCTTGCACGTCGACAGGCTCGTCGACTTTGCGCTTCAAATCCTTCTTAACGGAGTTGGAACGACTTCGTACCATTTTTGTGTGCTGTGCGAAAAGTTGCAAATCCAATTTAAAAAAAATTGTCTACTATGCATGTCCAAAGTTAAAGTCAGGTTATGACGAGGAGGAGAAGTGGACATCACCTATACTTGGTTTACGCGGTGAAGTTTGTACTCCACATTAATATCTGAGCCAACACCATTCTTATGATCTGCTCAGATTTTACACATCTCACCAACAACCCCTCTTTTGAAGGGTCCCACAAACGTCACATCTCCACAATAAAATTCCATGCAACTCTGTAACCTCACTTACCTTACAAAGGAGATATATATGTCATCCATAACCAAACATTGAGAGTAGGTAGGTGGTATAAAAACAATACAAGCTTGGCTTCTTGTGATATGATCTCCATATAAAATATCCCATTTTTTCACTCGTGCATAGGTCATATCACACGCCCCAATGCCCCACAACAAAACCACTAGACTGTGCTTAACTACAGTAGACTTCCAACAACGTATACTTGATCTGAAAGCTATATGAGGATTACGGCGTTCTCAAATTGTTCATCCGATTATAATATTGACTGACCAATTTCCTAGGCCATCCTGTCTTACGCCTCAACTTCGATATGGATCCCACTTGCACACCACTTCTTCATCACCACCTCACCCGTACGTCAAACTCTACAAGCGAGGTTCTGTCAGCACAATAAAAACGCTTTGAGGGGCTGCACAATCTTGGTGTCGTCATGACCTCGGATGATTTTGGTGAGAAGTGACTGGGTTGTTTTCTTGGTTGAAGAAATGTAAGAGTAGCTACTTGTACTGTTTGCCCTTTGAAGACTATTGACACACAAAACTCCAGTGCAAGTTCCCATCAGGGGAAAAAAAAGATTGCAGCACCCAGGATTCTCGTATGGTCTCCCACTACAATACTAACTAGGCTCTCTGGTGCTTGACTATGGCTGATCGGACGGGAAGCCGTATTTTCACCAGGATATGGCCGCAACCGTTATTCAATAAATTTGGTTGGACCTATATGATGGGAAAGATATATCACGTGACATAATGAATCATTAGAATAAAAAAAAAAACGTGAATCATTAGAATAAAAAAAACCCTGCCTCGCAGCGCACACCGAAACGATTTATGATTTATTTAACGCCAATAACCCGGCTTACTACAAGTACATACTGTAGGTATATAGCTGTAGTGAAGAAGAAAAAAAAATTAGAATAAGCTGTAAGCCGGGTTATTGGCGTTCAATAAATCATACACTTCTGAATCATTGCGGTGTGCGCTGAGAGGCGCACGTCAGTTGGTTTGTCGACGCTTCGTCTCGTTCTTGTCTTTGTCGTGGTCTCGTGGTATTGTTTTGTTTTGTTGTATTCTAATGATTCATCACCGTTTTTTTTTTTTTTCTAATGATTCGGCTTAGTCATCTGAGTTCTGTTGTTTGCGTCCCAAGAAAATAAATATTATGTTCGAAATGGCATCCTGGCCGAGCGGTTAAGGCGAGAGATTAGAAATCTCTTGGGGTTTCCCCGCGTAGGTTCGAATCCTGCGGATGTCGCCATCTTTTTGCCCTTCCGTGGAAGAGCTTATTTTTTTGAGAGCAATTGCGACACACTCGGGGTTGCTATGATTGCCACCAGGCACCGTATAAACTGTGTTCAACCACAATTGAGACATTTCAGGCTCCTGTATATATTTCAGATTACTCAGCCAGTTCGAAGGCAAACTCAATTCAACACTCATATACATGATAAACCACATACTCATATCTCATGCACTCTACCCCAACACATTACACAACATCATGCCCACACTCCACTGCCTTGCCGACCTTTGCCTCATTCCTGTGAGTTACGCCGATACTATCAATTAATGTACCCCGAAATATGACTAACACAGATTGGAACAGGCAACGCCTCAGTTTCTGAGTACGTGACCGACGTGGTTCGAGTCATCAAGGCATCAGGTCTGCACTACGTCCTCCACAGTGCCGGCACCACCATCGGTGAGTATACATACGCTTCACAGACAAGTCACACAGAGAGTGGATCATACACAGTCACACACCACACGCAGTTTTGTGGGGACACAAAGGCATGTCGTGCGATACAGACGCCAATCACACCAACCTTGTCACTCGTTGACATGAGCTAACCACAGAAGGACCCTGGGATGAGGTGTGTGCCACCATCGGAAAGGCACACGAAGCCCTGCACGAGAAGGGCGTCGTTCGAATCCAGAGCGATATCCGAATCGGAACACGAACCGACAAGGATCAATCTCCCCAGGACAAAATCGACGCTGTTATGCGACACTTGAGTAAGGACGAGGAGAAGAAATAGTCACGTGACTTACATCACCTACAAGCAATGCCCACCGTCCCATACGTCAATGTGCACGTCTTTCCATAGCTGAATGCATTCTTTCCACATACCAACATGGCTATACCCTAACCGCTAACAGAGCTGCAACAGTGTTAACAGGAGCATACCCTAACCACTATCAGTACCCTAACCACTAACAGATTTTACTGTTAGCATTGTTAGCAAACGCGTTGCATTCCGTACGTTGCAGGCGTGTAGCAGTGGCTGGCTACAAGTACTTGTAGGAGGAGTGTAGAGGAGTTTTTTTTTTTGTTGACAACCGAGATATTCCGATTGGTGATCAAGTTACCAGTAGAAATACCCGTGATTACAGACGTGATTTACCAGGGTGAAGCTGCAACATCAAACTACTAATCTATATGGATGCATCAATTCCCATCAGTCTTACTACAAGTAGTACTTCTACGATAACAATGAAACATACGCGTCACGTTCTACACCCTGCTCTTCACGTCACGTCTTATTACGTCCCTTATGCTCATGTATGGCGCCAAACTAAGGGAGTATGTTGGACGTGTATACAACGTGCAGCAGCACACACGTAGATGATCAATTAATGCACAGAACGCGTTTGGGGCTGGATATTGAGGAGTAGAGCGGAACAACTATGCAAGTGTACCGAGGGGATGAAAATACCAGGAAGACAACGATAGGTGAGCTGTAATTGTGAAGTACAAACAGTGTTGGTGATTAAATGGAGTATTATTTGTCCCCTATTACGTTTCGGCTGGTGTGTTATGGTGTAATCACAGTACACATACTGTAGCTACAGAACGATAGTGAGATACGGACGCATATTTACCCCAGAACACGAACCAAAACAAACAGTGAAGTCCGATTATCAGCTACCTCTGGGCCGACAAAGCACCACAGTATCGTACATTCCTCGAGCCATACAATACAATCAAATCGATCCGATAGCAGATTCATTAAATACTATACACGAGGCAGTGCCTCATAACCCGTTAACCAATAAACATAATAAAAAGATGACAATCAGGCGCGCGCTTAGTTGTCAAAGGTAGAGTACTTGGCAACAGCTCGAGTACCGTCACCAGTGGCGTGCTTGGCGAGCTCACCGGGGAGAATGAGTCGGACAGCGGTCTGGATCTCTCGAGAAGTGATGGTGGACTTCTTGGTGTAGGTGGCCAGCTTGGAGGCCTCGGTGGCGACTCGCTCAAAGATGTCGTTGACAAAGGAGTTCATGATAGACATGGCTCGGGTGGAGATACCAGTGTCAGGGTGGGTCTGCTTCAGCACCTTGTAGATGTAAGAAGAGTAAGTCTCCTTTCGGGCCTTAGTTCGCTTCTTCTTCTCGCCGGTGGCGGTGGTGGTCTTCTTGCCAGCCTCCTTCTTCTCAGCAGGGGCCTTTCCGGCAGGGGCCTTTCCGGCAAGGGAGGGCTTCTTCTCAGCAACTTTAGGGGCCATTGTGTTCTGTGTGTGTTGGTTGAAAGTGTGTAACTTTTATCTCGATTTGAGGCGGATGATAAAGGTGTGTATCGAAAGAAGGTGATGTGATGGGGAGGGGGGGTTATTTATAATAACTTTTGTCCTGTGAATGGATTTGTGCACGATGTGGGTTAGACTCGACGTGCGTGGCCATGGTGTATGCACAATTGGGAGTTTTGGGCGTGCTAGCCAGGTGACTTTGGATAGAACCTTAATCGCTAACAGCCGTTCTCTGATATGCAGAGGAGTGTAAATTTTACAGCACGACGCACAAACTCCCAACGCGAGCACAATAGGCTCCATTTCTCCCAAATTACAGCGCCACGCATACTATGGCATTTAGAGCTGCATCAAAAGTATTCCCACCACTGTCCCAAATAGGAAATGACGAGACAAAGAAACCTGATAGCAGTTGATAGCAACACCACGCATCAACACGTAACACACAGACTCCTGGCGGTAACCCCCTCCCAACATTACATTCCACGTGCACCAAACAGGAAATAACATTGAACCCCCAAGCTACCGTGCGCCACCCTTCCTCACGCCCCCCAAACTTATATATACCTGCTCGTGTCCCCCTCTTTCTACCCTTTTCATTCCACAACCAATTCAAGTGCACAATCTGCGAAATAAAATCACTTTTATTTCCACTCCTCACTAACACTTTTATCTAACAACAACAACAACACACAATGTCTTCCGGTGGAAAGTCCGGTGGCAAGGCCGCCTCCTCTTCTAAGACCTCCAAGTCTCGATCCGCTAAGGCCGATCTTACCTTCCCCGTTGGTCGAGTCCACCGACTCCTGCGAAAGGGAAACTACGCCCAGCGAATTGGTGCTGGTGCCCCCATCTACCTCGCTGCCGTCCTTGAGTACCTCGCCGTCGAGATTCTCGAGCTGTCCGGTAACGCTGCCCGAGACAACAAGAAGAGTCGTATCGTTCCCCGACATCTGCAGCTCGCCATCCGAAACGATGAGGAGCTGAACAAGCTGCTTGGCCACGTCACCATTGCTCAGGGTGGTGTTCTCCCCAACATCCACCAGAACCTTCTGCCCCGAAAGTCCGCCAAGGGCGCCAAGGGTGCTTCTCAGGAGCTCTAAGTCTCTTGAAGGCTTTATATTTTATCTATTGGGTTTTGGGTTGTTTTAATGTCCATTAAAACTGTTTACAGTGTACTATAATGAATGACATGTATTGTATTTTATCTTGATTTGTAGAGATGAGGATCAATTGGCTGGATACAGATTTATCTTGTACCCTACATACCTCGTTGCAATTCTATTGAATTTATTTGATTTTTGCCCAATTAGTCAATCTCGCTTATACCTTCTCAGACCATCGTCACTTTCCAGGAGTTGGGAGGCTTCATACATGCCCCATGCATCTCGTTAATCAGAGTTTTAGAGAGTTACAAATATTAAGGTTTTAACTGGGGTTGGGAGTTTGCTCGAAATACTTTTCTCTAGAGCGTGTCAAAATCGACCTCAAAAAGAGAACGCTTTTCACCATTCGGAGAAGATGTCACCCATTGAAAATAGTGGAATGTTTTCGGACTCAAATAAGGTTGTAGCATGAGGCATTTTGCCACCCAACAAAACAAACATCCGGAAATAGACAAAACAGCCGAACGTATTGCGCGATTTAGCACTAGCACGTTATTTTCTCGACGATCGATATTACCTGGCTGCTATGTTGTTTAGTAGTGCTCAATTATGTTTGAGGTTCAAGCATGTTTTCCGGTGATGATTATTTCCACAGATATAGAGGGTCAGTATTTTCGGGCGCCACGTGATATCAATGTCAGGTGATTGGGACATTTCGCGCCAACCATATTTCCCGAAAAGGAAGGGATTAGTAAACAAATGATAATTTCCTCCTGAAGTGTAATATCCGCCGACTTACGTAACTTGGAGTGACATTACATTATACACAATGAGAACTTTCGAATTACTGCACATGTCGTCACAACGAATCATCTAACATTCATTCCATTGTGAGACGATGTGGGTTCGAAACCGTTCAGAGGGCGGGCAGCCGGTTCCTTACTGGGTCAATTTCGTTAGCTGATCTGGCCATATACTGCAGCGCACTTGTATGTACCTGTAGTTATTTTTCATGACGGCTTTCGAGGTTCGTACAAGTACTCGTACCGGTACTTTTTGGTCTTACTCACGTTTTCCATTGGTCTCATCTTGACAAATCTTAACTCGTTTAAAGCACAAGAATGTGCAATTATTCTGTTTCGCTAAACGTGCAAATTGTCCATTTTATTAAATATTGTGAGGATGTGGAGATACTAATTTTAACTTCTGAGTGGACGAATAAGGTATCAATTAGTTTAAATCGTACCTGTAGCTGACGTAATCGCTGAAGAGTGGTTTCGTGGCTGCTGCCTACTTGTAGTATGCTCTATCAAATACCCATAGAGGGGATGGAAGACTTAATGCTGAGTGCTCCAAGTAGGAGCTGTGAGTCTCGTTGTCGGAACATGTCTCTTTCAAGCGTCATCAATAATAAAGACTTAACTTCCCTAGTTTAGTATGTACGAACTTGTACACTCGTATGTACTATTATAGTCCATTAACATATAGGACCGTCCACTACCAGGTATGCCCTTTTCGTGTCAAATTGTATGTTTTTAAAAAGGGCTGCCATGGAATGGGATATTCGAGTGTACTGTGGAAGTTTTCACTCCCACTGCCAAAGTATGTTTTTAGTGTCGTTTCCGATGCCACCTTTTTCACTCTCTTGCATTGTTAACTTGGAAATATGCACAACCCCAACCTTAAGTTTGTGTGAGGATGGGTGGTGATGGTCTTAGACAACCGAAGAGTTTTCGAGCGACGACGAAACTTAGAGCTGAAATTCTCGACTGTACTGGTACAACGCATTCAATTCTGTTTATCTTAAAGTGGGGGATCCACTTATTCCTGTGGCTCCATTCATGTTGCCTACAGTCATGTCACTTTATGCACCCTCCCACTCAAGAATTGGGTTCTGCAAGCCACATGCACGACCATTGTTGGTGAGACAAAATATCAGGAGTGGCAGAGAAGGAGGATACCAAATGCGATTTTAGAAAATAGTTGAAAAGGGAAGAAGGTCTGCTATCATTGAAATGGGTATATTATCTACTGGGAATCTCCCAATCTCTTCATGGGAGTAAGATTCCCTCTCGCAGTCTCAGAAGAACAGTGTCTATCAGTATTCACAGGGTATGTGGTTATTATTGAATATCGGGTGTGATTATTTCTGTTATTGTACACGCACCACAGAACTTTTAGTCTGCTGAGTGTCAAGAGTAACGTCCATGAAGTATATAACTGATGCTGAGCCATCTTGCCCTACCGTTTTGATCAAATGGGTGTATACTACTTGTAGTGCATGCCCTCTTGGTTTTACCTCGGTTGTCTACTGGGGGGTTATTCCATCAAATAAAGCCACAATAAGTCAAAGAGTCAAAGTATACGATTCTACATAGCGCAAAGTGAATCCCAATTGACACCATGACAAGTATGAGGGAGTCTGGTATTGTGAAAATCAGTGCCATGTCCCATGTACTCGTGAAGTAGACTGTGTCTTTCACATTCTTCCTGGTATGGGATCTAACTACAAGTAACCTTCATTAGTCCAACATCACCATCTGGCAATATGGATGCTACAGTATGTAGTCGCCTCTTTAACTGGGAGTCCCAGGAGAGCCTCCATCACCCGCCGATGAAACCACCTGCGATAGCTTGCAAACACGTTAAGAGCATCATATACGTGCTGATGATAGTTCCACATTGTAAACTCGGATAAATTCGGGTAGTCTGTGCGTTGGCTTGTCTCGGCTGGTGCCTTGTGCTAGCTACTTGTGGTGAGACAGCGGGGTAAGAGCTTGCAGCTGCCGAGATAGAACCTACTGTGAAAAAAATGCTGCCAGTGGACCATGAAAAAAACGGCGCTAGCTACTTGTACTTTCGGCTTGCAGAGCCGCCGGGAGGGATAGGTGGCGTCAATCTACCGCCGCATACCTCTTCAACTCTGACAAAAGATCTACAATCAGTCAATATGCCCAACCAAAGGGATGATATAAAGTTGAATATTGGTAAACAACGGGGGTTGGGTATATAAACCGATATAGGATCAAATAGGAAAAAATGTGGCAAATTTTCAACAGAGAAAAGGGCTACCAACGAACCTGCTCCTTTTTAGTTTACTGCTTACCAACACCGCAAATTTTACCCAATTTTACCCATGTTAGCCTAACTTGAACGCTTCTAGACCCCTCGGTTATTGCTCTAAAATCCGCACCATGCAGAAGCGTGAAGAATGGCAGGAGGTGGTTTCACAGAACCGTAGGCAAGGTGCATTTGAAGAGGTATTACGAGTTCTATCTATTTATATGTATTTTACCATCGGAAACTCTCTATAAGTGCTCTCAAAGTCCCCACTGACCTCCCCCCGACATTTTCTGCCTCGCAGTCACAAAATATTACCACTTCCAATTTCCGGCCCGAGGTCTTACTTTTGCCTTTACACCCTTGTTGCTATGTCGACTTGCAATGAGTGATCATGAAGGGGTATACGAGGGGAGTAAGAGAGAACCGAGGCTGCCACCTAACCGTATCAGGTGTCCCTTTGACATTGGTTTCTACGGTCGAATGACTGAAAATGTCGTCATGTGTTCCGGGAAACTCCCGATATTACAGTGTAAAATTGCTTACTTCGAAAACGTCTAAATTCTCTATTTTCTCTGTTCTCCGGAACGGACAAACCCCGGCTGCCTCTGGCCTGTCACGCAGGTGCACAGCTGCCCCAGGGTCTTTGTACATGCAATATGGCACGACTTTGAATTGCCAGTTCGCTCTTGTTATCTGCATTTTGACTTTCGGGCGAGCGGAGGTCGCGGGTAAGTGGCAGGATACAACCCCTAGTGTTGCCGGAATATGTTAACAAGGGGTTATATCGATGAATATCAAATGAATCGGTGAATCCGAACGAATATAAATGTGCTTGTTGCTCCCCAGGTGGTCAGAACCACTGCGTTGTTTGCAGTATGTACAGAACCACTGCGTTGTTTGCAGTATGTACCCCAGATACAAAGGACCGCCATGACGTAAGTATATGAAAGTATACTGCATAAGGTTGGCACTACTCGTACGGGATAATTACGGGGTGCCATACAGTAGTAGACTGAGAGCTGTTAGTGGATGGCAGTCATGTGTGAACGTGAGGGCAGCTACCAGAAACCGCTCGGAATGCGTGTTTGTGTTCAGTATACGTTTTTCCCCGTTCAACTTGCGTCTCGCCCAATCACCGTAGATACTCCTTTACAGTATGTCTGTCCCGCATAAACTTGTGACAGCTGCATCCAGGGTTATCCGGTTTATGATGCTCCATTAACCCGAACCTCGGGCAGCCAAGAAAGTTATCGCAAAGTTTGAGAGCTAGCGGTTATCAGATACTTGTATTCATATATATATGGAGAACGAGGTCTCCCTGTTACACAGCAGTCACAAACAACAGCACAAGCAGTATTAAACGATCTCACACGCAGCATAGCGACACAACCACCAGTAACGCAGACACGAGACATCCACAGATAATCAAAATCACCATACCCATCACAACGACCACAACGATCATGACCACCACATCTTCTACCACAGCACCAATAAAACAAACAGTGGCACAGGCTACCAATCCACAGCTGCTTCGACCGTTGCTCGAAAAATACATGGGAAACCAGCTAGCCGCAGACATGTTACTCCAAGCATGCAACTTTCTGCAACCGACGAAATCGCCTCTCACACGCTACAGACGATTATCTCCTTCAACTGTAGAGGCTCTCATTTCCATTCCCTCCCTAGGCCTCGACTTTGTGTGGATCTCCACCTCTATCTCAGCTTTGCACTGGGAACTGCGATGTATCCATCTTCTGGGCGGATTTGAGAACATGTACTGGGTGCCCTGGTCAAAGAACATGGCCGAAGCCGACTCCGAATACAACCTACGTCGACAGACAGAGGCTACAAGACACAAAAGCAAGATTGCACACGAAGAGGTTCGGTCGGAGTTGGTGCGAATCTTTGAGGGAGGAAGTGATTCGGACTTGAACTCGGATCTGGGCTCGAACTCGGGCTCAGACTCAACAGAAGACGTGGTAGACAGCGAGGACGAGTACTGGAACTCCTACGATGACTACTGCTGATTCTAATGGCTGCTGTCGGTTGTTGATTTTTTTGCTTATCGATAATTCCGACGCGAGGATCTACATGACTGCGGAAGTACGTACGTCATGATACATATTGTATATTATTTATTGCATCGGCGCTTGCGTCCCAACGAAGAAATATGAGGTGTAGACCGTTTGTGAGTTGTAGACTGATAATCTTCTCTTCCTACAAATAGAATAATATATGCTGTCTGCTCGTGATTTCTCTGGCCTTTTTTAAATTATCCATGTTTTATCTCAGAGACCAAATATTTACTTATTCCCAGCCACACGAAAATGTCTCAAATGACGGCTCTGGTAAACTCAGCAACTAACGGTTGTCGATCACTCACGTGGTGCGTTGTGGGTCATGTGTCCACCTGTTTGATCGCAAGATCTCGGTGTTCCGGGGTTAGCGGGAAACCTACGTAACCGTGTTGGAGTGAAGTAACTAATGGGAATGAATCCAAGATACATACCACGCACTCGAGATCTCTGCGCCTCAAGTCTGATCCCCCATAGCAAAACGTATCGTACAGTATGTACTGCTAGTGATGCAGTGAAGGTATTGTACTTAGTTCAACTTTTGTTATATGTACTTGGATTGTGCAAGTATATTTAAGGTTGTATGGGCAGTATTTTTAATGTCTCTATAAATAATAATGAAAAGTCTTGCAAAGGCGGCTTTTTAGATTGCTCAAATTCCAATACTTGAATGGAACATTTCTTGTACAAGCACGATACATGTATCGATATGGACACCAACTCTGGCATCGCTATTTTTCATACTGTCCATTATATAGCCGATTCGTCAGTGTCTAATCCACGTCTCCAAATAAACTTTGGTAGTATCCTCCCAGGACTGGAGGATTGAGTTTAGACATCTATACAGTACTGTACACTCAGAATCACGACTTGTACATCATGGAAAAACAGCTCCAGGACACTCTCAATGAGTATCTCGTGACAGAATCGACGCTGGAGGACATAGTGTCACTTGAAACTGCGCGCAAAGAGTCCGGACTTCGACACAGAAACAACACAAATGCACCCAATATTCCGGCCACTGTCTATGCTGCTTTGCGAATCCAGAAACACAGACAACTGGACCAGGTAGCCGCTAACATTGAAGATTTCATAGAGAGTCTTGAATTGAACAAAGACACATCAAGCTCTTCGCCTGACGCCGTGTTTGAGCGACTCATTAGCCTTATGGAGGCTCTGGAGGAGAGCGTCAATCATAGAACAGATGGGCTGCTCTGGGACGCCAATGACGTCGCACAGACACTAGGCAACCAGGTGGGATCTCTGAAGGATTTTCAAGTGGGCGAATCGGAAGTGGACAAGCAGGCCGTGGAGGGTGTGTTAGAGAGTTTGGGGGAGCTGAAGGATACGCTGAGTAAGACATGATCGCAGCGAATGGTTTAATCCAGTATCTTACGTGATACACGTGATTTGCGCGTGATATATACGTGTCACGTGGTATAATCTTTCCGGTTGACGAGCCTAACACGCGATTGTGGACAACTCGCGCGTAAAACCTGAATTACGGCATTCACCACCCTACAGACTTGCGTGATCAGAGTCATATTACACGACATGAGTACGTGACATAGACGATGGAGATAACTGCTTGGAATCGGTGTATGATGACCACACCTTTGGATGCCATTGGTGCCTCTCCGGATCACTTCATGTCCTTTCGCCAGAGCTGCCTGATATGCATTTTGTACCCAGAATCTATGGCTAGAACCCTACCAGTTCATAGACATCCCCAGAACATTTCCAGCTAATATACTTATTGATTTACAAATTGATATTTTTTATTGTAGTGGCAGTAGTTCGTGGGAGCGTTGTATACATCTTGTCGATTAACTGCGGCTTGAGCCCAGAAACTAGGGATAATCAAGAGATTAGAACCACGGTGCCTGAGTATGTACTGGTTTTCTGCACGTCTGTAACTACTTGTAGCTAGCAATCGAGCATGGTACGAGTACCTACCCCCATCATTGTCTGGTCAATATGCTAATACATATATGTACACACTCTTCCGGAAGTGTTCTATTAGTCTCCGGTTGTGGGTGACCATTGTGTCTGCTCATGAGACATCTGAGCTGTGCTCTTAAATCACATCACATACACAGGTCTCCCGTGCTCAGTTGGTGACTATCCTAAGCACTCGTACTGCGCAGTCAGATTACGCGTTAACACTCTCATCCACCTTTTCAACCCCCAAATCGTCTCCAACCCACTTCCACACCTCATACTTCCAGTTCAGCTGCGGGTTCCAGTGGATACCGTGGCTACCTCCTGAGTTGGGTTCGATTCCTCCAGACCCAGGGCTAGACTCAACGTACACCAGTCGTCCAACTCTGGAATGGTTCAGAGCCATGGCGCACATGGGACATGGCTCATGGGTGGTGTACACATGCATTTCCAGACACAGATAAAGTCTGTCATCTTCTTCTCCGTCAATTGTTTCTTGTTTTCCTTCTCTTTCTCTCTCCTGCTTGCTAGTGCCTCTTTCCTGGCGTCTAGCAAGCTCCTGGGACGCGATTTCGGCAATGGCTTCCATCGTGCAGTGGTTCAGAGGGTTACCCTGTTTGTGTCGAGTATCGAGCTTTCGGCTAAGCACTTCTCCCGTCTTGGGGTCCACTATCAGAGTGGCTACAGGCAGTTCTTTCGTTCCAGAGTTGGCTTTACTCAGAGCAATGACCTCGTTGAGTTTCTGTTTCATCTCGGAGAGCTCAGAATCCGACAACTTGGTTTGTATAGCTGCTGTATTACCTCTCCACATGATTGGCCAGGCGTTTCTCGACCACTCCACAGACTCCTGTTTGGTGAAGGGCAGGTACTTCGATGCATAGTCAGTATGAAAGGGCGGCTCGTAGCTGAGAATGGCGGTGATTCCGGCCTTGATAGTCTCGAAATCAACCTCTGTGTCCTTAGACGCGATGATCACTCTCAGAAATACCTCGCTGGCGGGTTTCTTTTCGGTTGAGTCTGCCGTCTCTCCTTCAACTTGTCCTTCCTTGATCAAATCAGCCTCTTTGGCGATTCTACGCAGATGTCCAAGATCATGGGCATCTTCGTCGACGTGGTCTTTGATAAGTCTGTGTTAGGAATAGATCGTGTGCGACTTGGATCTTCAGATACTTACTTCACCACCACTCCAGACTTGTTTGCAGGAATGGTTGTAGTTAGTAGGGGGATGAGTTCCAGGCCTCGGTGGTCGTCCTGGTACTTGATTTGCCAGAAACTGTCGTCGATGACGTTGTTTCGGGGATTGCTTTTCAGCTTGTGGACGAACTCCGACATGTTGGCGATTTACAGTGTACAAATTTCACTTCGATCTAGACCTTTTTTTTTTCTGCATGCTCATGCAGTCTAGCAAGTCTAATTTGGAGATGGAGAAGAGAGAGGTGGAAGTACAAGTATGGGATGCGGGGGGCATATAAGAGTGAAACAAGCACTTCTACTTGTTCGCTACCGGCAATTGTAACATTACGAACGCCCAAAAGATTGTGATTAGGCAAATTCGAACAACACAACTGAAACACGCGTACGAGTACAGTACTTGTACAATTATGTAATATCATACTGTACTCTTACCAATCAGTTCTTCTACCACAGCCAGTAGCAAAAATGACATTAGTAATCACATCAAAACTGATGACATTTTCCTTTCACTACTACAAGCAGCCACGTCCCCTCATCAATCACGTGAAACACTCGACTCCACCATCATCAAGTTACCCCACAAATGCCGGACCTTCGACTACTGTACTTGTAGCTAGCTAATCACGTTCACTGCATGAAGTAGGCGTGGTATTATGATTACATATTACTGTATGACGTCGCTAAAAAGCATTAAATCAGGACGGGCATTTAAAGGACATAAAAAACATCTTTTTGTATAGACATGTTGATATAAATATGATGCTCAAGACACGAGGATACAACAAATTTCATAATTTTCTCAACTCGTCACACCGAATAGCTGTTATTCCAAGGTCCAGTATTTACCCAACAGAACCTAAACAGAGGCATCATCTCATTAAGCTTCCTAACATTCCCAACGGTGACACGTACCAGTGTTAATAATGGTAACCTACTGTACGTCTTAGTATGGAAGTGCATTACGTGGTTTTAGCAGGCAGAACGAATAGTCAGCAATGAAATACGGAACAGGTATATGCTCCCACCGAAAGCAAAAATATCACAGGTACACCTTAACACACCACGTGATAACTTTGTTTGAAGGTGTTTGTTGTCCCAACTCTGCTGTATCAACCTTGTCTGACTCTTCCCTCCCCCTTGGTACGTAGCCAGCAGAGTTCAAGATACTTTTGTGGAGAGTTTGAAGCACCGTCTTTGGTTTCTTTCAACATGCTCAGTCAAGATCCCGAGTCGCAGATGCCCCAGCAGCGAAATTTTTCGAGTGAGTGACGTTGTGAACTTGAGTTGGTCAAGTGAAATTGGCCGTTGGCGTTGTTGCGCAGGCGTGTGTTGCTTCACAGACAGGCAGGTTGCCAGACAGCAGGGTGTTTGCATTCCGTGTCTCGTTCCATGCTCTCTGTGTAACGGCCACTAGCTCACGGCACTTGTGGGTAGCTCGTGCTAAAGGCATGGGTAAAAGCCCCTCTATGATTGGGACTTGCGGTTGGGTTGGGCTGGGTACAAACACATGCTATGCTCATCAGCTCAGCCGTGCCATGGGCCATCAACCAACTTTTCTCCCGACCCTAATCCCCTCCACACTACTAATGCCAGGATTCCACCACATCAACCCCGACAGTCTAGTGCATCTAAAGTCGTACCAGTACAGAGTGAGTATCACCAGTTTGGCGGTCACACGGTGACAGCAATGTGACAACAGCCATGGAAGCAAGGACAGAAGCAGGGGCGGAGCAGCAGCAGGGTCTGCAACAGGGACACAATCGACGTGTAAGAGATGAACCCATCAGTCTCTCACGCGACCTCATGACCAGTATGGCATTCGATGTGTCGTCTTGACCAATTCACACACTCCGTGTCATACTTGATTTAACTGTCATCACAAAATGACACGTTCAGTGCCTGAAACCGAACAACGCAACCACTGTGCTACATATACACTGTCGCCGCGATATCGACACGTCTATCTTCTTATAACCCCCTAACTCAGAGCGTCGATAAATCCTACCTGTCTAAGTACATCCTGAACCCATGGTGGACTTACGCAGCAACCTTCATGCCTGATTGGCTGGCTCCCAACGCCATCACTCTCATCGGTGTCTCCGGCATGCTCCTGTCAATCTTCTTCACCGTCTGGTACACCCCCGAGCTCACCGGCGACGGTCCCTCCTGGATCTACTTCTTCTCTGCCTTTTCGCTCTTCTTCTACCAGACCATGGACAATATTGACGGCAAGCAGGCCCGTCGAACTGGCTCTTCCTCTCCTCTGGGAGAGCTGTTTGACCACGGAATCGACTCCCTCAACTGCACCTACGGCGGAATTGTCAACTGCGGTGCTGTGGCCCTTGGTTCCACCTCCTACGGAGGCCTCATGGTTCTGTCCACCTGTATTGGTATGTACTTTTCTACCTGGGAGACTTACTACACCCACACTCTTTACCTGGGAGTTGTTAACGGCCCCACCGAAGGGCTAGTGGTGGCCCTGTCTACCATGCTAATCTCCGGCTTCATGGGCACCGACATCTGGAAGGAGGATGCCGTTGAGGTGCTCCCCTTCCTCTCCTTCATGGTTCCCGAGTACCTCAAGCTCAACGAGTTCTGGGTCTGGGTCGTCATGTTCACCCTCGTGGTGCTGCACGTGCCTTTCTGCGTGTGGAACGTCTATTGGGCCTGCAAGGAGGACGATGTGCCTTTCTCCGAGGCTCTGGTGGGCCTCCTGCCCTTTGGCGTGGCCGGAGGAGCTGCCTACGTGTGGCTGCAGAGTCCTTATTCCACTGTGCTGGTTGACAACCACCTTGTGCTATTTGGACTGACCGCCTCGTGGGTCTTTGGCCGGCTGACCACCGGTGTGATTCTCAACCACCTCACCAAGCTCGAGTTCCCTCTGTGGAACTCCACCCTGATTCCTCTTCTGGGAGCCACCGTTCTGTTCTACCTGCTCCCTGCCCTGGGTCTACTGCCCCAGGACAATCCCCACTTCGAGACTCTGTATCTGTGGGGCTTCTTTGTCTACGCTGCCGCGAACTTTTTGACCTGGGCTGTTAACACCATCAATGTCATCTGTTCCTACCTTGGCATCCGATGTCTGTCTCTGCGACCCGTGGACAACAAGACCAACTAGACAAAAATAGACGTTCAACTATAGAAGGGGTATGTGACATCTCACAAAAACTTGCAGGAGGTTCATACCCAAAATAATGAAAATATGAGAAAATCTGATCCGGTGCAGTCCCCCAAGGGCATTGGTATGTATATTAAAGATGTTGTAAGTGACGGTCGTATAAGAATGCGTCTACATCTGGAGTAAACTGTGACGGACATCCTGCGATATTCAGAAGTTGTAGTTGTAACATACCTCAATGTGTCCTACCAGACTGTAGTCCTATTACTTCACCTACTTGTAGTATGTACAGTATATAATATAAATGAATCATAATTCTATGTCGTTAATGTTCTTCCCCTTCTGTGATGCATTATCTGTCTTTCCTGGCAGTTTGGTGTGGGAATGTTCCTTTTTTCATTAGTCTTCGCCCAGTTTCAGGATCAAATATGAATACCCAATACCTGTAGCTAGATGATGCTGTCTGCATGTGACGCCAGCTACAAGAGATGTGTTCATTTTAGCAGCGGCAAAACAGCCTACTACACTCATGAGTGCATGCTTTAGACCTTCTGTTTCTTCCTCAACGGCTCTCTCACCTCCTCCGGCTCTGCAATCACCACCTGCTTATAACTCTTCTTTCTGAGCAGTCCGTTTCGAATGACCGCCTCTGGGTTCTTGCTCACAGCTTCTCTAGCTCTAGCCGAGTTCAGACCCCAGATGTAGCTCAAGTTCATGATATCAAAAGGGCCCCTGAGACTCAGGCTGGACAGAGATTCGCTTGAAATGACAAGTCCTCGACACCGGGCTGCTCTCACTACCAACGAGTTGTTTGCAATCGATGTTTTTCTGGCCAGGGGATCACTGGACAAACCCGGTGCATAAACAACCTCGATTTTGACGCCTCTTTCAGTAGCAGCTCCGATGGTCTTGTGTTTCGGAATGCATGGCAGACGGCGAGTCATGTCCATCGACACAATGTCGACATCCAGATTGGTACAGGCGGCCTGGAGCATTTTTTCCGACATGGGTCTGATGGCCACAATATCAAACTGCTGGTATAGGTTGGGAAGGTTGAAGCTGTGGTTGAGGTCCTCGGCAACAATGGTCACTCGCGTGTAGATGCGTATATCCGGGAACTCTTTGTGGATTTCGTCGGGGACGGGACATTTGAGAGTAGCGGGAATCTTTCCCTGGTAGATGCAGTTGAGAGCCACGGCCTTGTACCCCAGCTCCTGTAGAAACAAAATGGATGCCTTGGCGGAGGATATTTTGGCTCTATCGGACGGCGACGCGGCATTGGGGCCAGATACAGGCCACGGGATGTTCAGATCGATCATTTCGGGTTGTACTTGAGGATAGTGGAAGGTAGAGAGGCTTATGTTCAAAATATTGCATACTAAGTTTTGGGTGCATGGGAGGTGCAGCATCAAATGTTTGAAGGTCATGGAGGTAGGGGAAATGGAGGGACTGATTTGCAGCGAAGATATAGGCTGATAATCTCATTGACTTACTTCGATGTTGATTGGTGATCCCAGAGATAGGACTTGCTGTGTGTGCGGTTTAGATGAAAGAAGGCACTGGTAAGTATAGAGCTAAAAGATGCTTGGGAGTTTAGTTGAGTATTGTGAATGAGAATGCTGGTGAGAAATTTGGAGGGCATGGGTGTGTTGCGCGAGCTTGAAATAAAGCACTTAATGGACTCAGTATTGGAAGCACAGTAACTGTGTTGGTTAGAAATCAACCATAACGAAGAATGTGGTCTCTGAAGGACGTCTGTGGTGTGCTAGAGTGGAACGCGTTTGGGAAGCTGGTTTTTCTATAAGCGAAGATAGGATCTATAGCCCTGAGAGAACTTCACTAAGCTCTAAATAAGAGTAGGGAAGAAGAATTGTTACAAGTTGGTACCTGTGCTATGTTCTACCTTGGTGTAGACTCATGATGGACAAAGTCTCTAAGCCTCGAAAGTCAGAAGGTTGTACACAACGAGTCATAAACTTGAAGATGATGTACAGTTGAATGAATCCCAGCTAAAAACTCTCCACCTTCGTAGCATGTCTTGCCGTTCGGGTTGGTGGTTTAATACAAGTACAGGGCTCGAGGTGTGTGTGTGTGGGGCAGACATGTCATATTCAAAGCTGTGGAGTTCAGTACGAGTGGAAAGAAGAGACTTTTATGTTCGATACTCTGAGTATGTCTTTCTTGAAGCATTCTGGAAACATAAGCTCAGATTCTTTATTATATGAGGACTTGTAGGAGAGGAATCAGGAGAGGAATCAGGAGAGGAATCAGAGATAGGAAGACTGGATAGTTGCGATAACTTTGACGTAAAGGTGTAGAGTGGACTCAGCATTAGATCTTATATCTCCAACAGGAATATTTCTTCAAATCAAACCAATTTTCTCTTCTGAGCTGGAGCAGTTGATCAAAGCGTCCCTGCACCTCCTTTCTATACTTCGAGGTGGTTGGCTTCTGAACAACTTCTAGACCGACTGCCTGGCTGCAATAGCTCTCTATATATTCACTCTTGAGTCCTCGCATATATACCAGACAATCACCCACTGAACCAGTGCATGGCCACACCACGATCTTCCCACTCACTCTTGTATTCCCCTCCTATCTGACACCCATCACTTCTCCTGTTTCAGTGACACATTCTTCGGCGGCAAGACGGCGTCAAGTCAGGCAGGGGTGGAGCGACCAGTCTTATAATAAAATACTGGCTGATATGAATAAAAAAGCTGAAACCAGAAATGAGAGGAACAAAACGGTGATCTAAAAATATCTCGTCAAAAAATAAATCTAGAAGAGTCGCGTATGTATGTACCGATTCAGCGCCTGAAATTCTAGTGCAACGTTACAGGATGTACGAGTACAGGGCACAAGTCAACTCTGTTGGGCTCCACTGATTCGCGTATCAACGTTACATATCAGGGTGGATGCGAGCTACACTGCTTGTAGTCGAGGTGCCTATCACTTGTCAACGCGTGTGTACCGGTACTTGTAATTAGAAACAAACGACAACTGCTTTTCCGACGTAACGATTCAGTACTCCAGAATCTGCCTCTCCAAGTGCTCCTTACCAGTTCGTCGTATTGCACCCTATTTGCTTTCCCGACAGCCCCCGGCATGCTCCTGGATCGGCTTTTTTTTCTCGCCCAAGTTTGGCGTCCAGAGCTTGATTGAGTCACGTTTGGGAAGCATGGCTAATTCAAGCCAGGAGCATAGTAGTGCATAGCCACAGCCTCCTATGGATCGTGTCCAATCAGAGAAGTCTATTAGTTGATAGCAGGATTCCGTGCTGGAATCCAAGTACAGATAAAAGTACAGAATACACTCCTATCGGTCTGTACGTATGAGTTTCGCAATACTTACGGTAATAGTATTGTGCTGTTGCGTACTTGTACTTGTTGTACGTATCTGTCACCCTGCACCTTAGAGTTCAGCCACGAGAAGACAAGAACATCAGAGTGACAGACAAGCATGTATGGCAGTAGAAGGCCAAGAAAGAGCACAAATACTGTGAATATTGCGGAGTCTGACAAATATCAGATTTATGTAACACCAGAACAGATACAATAGAATAGCTCGGTTCCGTAGCTCACAGTATACCTGTTACAAGACTACCAGTAATACACTTATCGGTAGCCCGCATGTCAGGCCTAGCCCTGTACAGCACACGTCGACTGTACATGACCTCAGTACAGTGCAAACAGTGGGGTAAGAGAGGGTATTTTTTGAAGCAGAAATACAAGTAGTTGAAGGAAAAAAGAGGGGGAAAAAAAGGGATGCAAAAGAGACCGAAAAACACGAACGACGTGACAACCAGACAGACAAACAGACACACACTCATACACACCTCATCAAGTCACGTGCGACCCCTTTTCCAGCCGCGCAACCGACCTTTACAGTTTGTGTACACTTGCCGTTGCATACTGTGCGTGAATCAGTCAGGAGGAGTGATGTGGGTGGGATGACAATTATGGGCTGGAGGGGAGGATATACAATACACAGGTGGATGTTGGTGACGGATATGGATAGAACGAGTGCCTGGTACCAAGCATGTACTGTTGATACGCCATCGTTATGGGAGAACTCGTAAGTACAAGTACTTCAAACCTCGGTAGATCTAATTACTGTGCCTCTCCACACAGCAACTGAAGAGAGACACATTTATTATGAGGCTGCCTGGCAACCAATGAGCAAATAACAGACATCGTATGTTAGTTACACTTGTACGAGGGGGGGGGGGGGGGGGGTACTTGTAGGTCGACTCGACCAGTCACACATTAATTACCTCTTGGGGAGCGGTTTGGGGTTGTTTCGTGTATGCTCATATGTGTGGCCCAGGTTGCCTGACCATGTATGATCATTGTGTAAAGGTGTCCTTATTGCGGCTTGTTTGTTTACGCTAGTGGCAGGCAAAAGATGGTGTTAGATAGGTCTGTGTGCGGCCGTAATAGTACGAATAATACAGTGGAATCAACACTAGCCGACGGTGTGACTTGACTTTCCCCCAAAACACCATTCTTTTCCTCTCTCCTTCCTACACATCACGATCCGTCTTGTCGTCGAACCTGTTGCACCCCACACGAGACATTTTCCCACCACTGTTGAGTCGGCCGAAATTGGGTTTTTAACTTGTGCTTGGCCCTCCGCTTTGGCTTTTTCTCTTTTTCTCCCTCCCAATTTTACACTTTCACACTCACTCCCAATCGCTCTACTGCCATCCCCTTCCCTCTCCAAGGCTGCTCCCTTTTTTCCCCTAGCCCCCACCACCCCCCAGTCTGTCACCTCGACGACACACCTCTCAGTCTGAGCGAGCACTCGGTCCCCGTTGGCAGCAGCCGTCTATTTGTACCTTCCCATCTGGCGCCCTCACCGACCTCGGCACGACACTCTCGACGTAACGACTCGACGTAACGACCTTTTCGACAAGTCACTGCATCCACCTCTTCACAAGCACACACAAACACATTAATCACGGCTACAAAAACGCAGCTACCAGCTTTGTTGCTCAAACCCGCTAATCGCTAATCCACCACCAACATCAACATGTCTCACCATCAATCATCCAACGTGGTGGGCGTCCACTACCGAGTGGGCAAGAAGATCGGAGAAGGATCATTCGGCGTCATCTTCGAAGGAGCCAACCTGCTTAATACTCAGCAGGTGGCCATCAAGTTCGAGCCCCGAAAGTCCGAAGCCCCCCAGCTCCGAGACGAGTACAGAACATACAAGCATCTGGCCGGCTGTGTAGGCATCCCCAACGTCTACTACTTTGGCCAAGAGGGCCTGCACAACATCCTGGTCATCGATCTGCTAGGCCCGTCACTCGAGGATCTGTTTGACTGGTGTGGCCGACGATTCTCCATCAAGACCGTCGTCATGGTTGCCAAGCAGATGCTGTCACGAGTACAGACCATCCACGAAAACCATCTCATCTACCGAGACATCAAGCCTGACAACTTCCTGATCGGCCGAGAGGGCACCAAGACAGCCTCTCTCATCTACGTGGTTGACTTTGGAATGGCCAAGCAGTACCGGGACCCCAAGACCAAACAGCACATTCCCTACCGGGAACGAAAGTCGCTGAGCGGAACAGCACGATACATGTCCATCAATACGCATCTGGGACGAGAGCAGTCGCGACGAGACGATCTCGAAGCCCTCGGACACGTCTTCATGTACTTTTTGCGGGGCGGTCTGCCTTGGCAGGGTCTCAAGGCTGCCACCAACAAGCAAAAGTACGAAAAGATTGGCGAAAAGAAACAGACGACACACATCAAGGATCTGTGTGACGGCTTCCCCGAGCAGTTTGAGCAGTACCTATCGTACGTCCGTGGCCTGGGCTTCGAGGAGACCCCTGACTACGACTACCTGCGGGCCCTGTTCACTCAGGCTCTCAAGTCGACCGGCGAGACCGAAGACGGAGTCTACGACTGGATGAAGCTCAACGGCGGCAAGGGCTGGGATTCGGGCAACAGAAAGCCCAATCTGCATGGCTATGGCCACGCCTACCCGCCAGACCGGTCCGGCAACGCTAACTCGCGACAAGCCCACATTTCGTCTGCGCGACTTAATGCCACCCCTCCTCCCCTGCCCGAGCCCGCTGCTGTCGCCCGCCAGAACTCCAAGGGTCGACATGGCGCCCGTAACCCTCAGGCCCGACTGTCCAAGAATGCCCAGACTCCCGGCTACTACCAGCAGTCACCAAGCCAGAGTCACGGCGTGCAAGGTGGTGCTGGCGCTGGCACTGGAGCCATGAGCTCGCAGCAGAAGCAGTCCAGCGTGCACCAGCAGCTGTCACAATCTAACCAGGCTAACTATAACCAGGCCACGGACCCGGCCAACGCCGAATACGAGGCCCCCAAGAAGGGCTTCTGGGCCAAGATCTCCGGCTTTTGCTGCGCTTAGACGCCAGCCCCGGCCCACTCATGTGAAGAGCAGGATCGTATAAGTAAATTATATATAGTAGGGAGACTCCACAAATTTTGTAATGTATTGATGTTTTGACGAGGCGTTGCAGTAGCTACACGTAGAGGAGACTGAGTAATAGAAATCAAACACGCTTGTTCTGGTTCCTGGGGGATAATAACACCAAATGCTGTCTTCGACGTCAATTACGAAGACACAAGAACGAGTATCGTACACAGTGGTACTTGTACTTTATGGACACTGATATTACTCGTATAGCGGTCAAAGTTGGACTAGCTAACGGGTCGAGGAAAAAGCAGTTATGACAGTATCGTTCGTAATACAACAATAGGTACATACTGTACATACTGTAGTTTACTGTAGTGCTTTCCATTGCTTGCTTCGTCACATTCTATGTTACTTGTACTGCGCTTTAATTGTTGTATACACTCATCGTCATTTACAGTGTGCACACGTTGAGGCTATTAATAGAACCGATGATCTGGATTGTCATGAGATGGGGTGTTGCACAGCCATTATGAGTCTATAATGAGCCAAAGACTGACGCCAGTAGACTCAGAAACACGAGCTGAACTCAACTGCACTCATACTCGGAGACACACCGAACCGTACAGTGAAGTGTCTCAGCCTTATACGCGTGTGGCCTTTGCATGTAGGGGTGCGAGGGAGGCCAGCAGCGATGTTGTGTTGGCTAGATTCACGGATAGTTGATGAGCAAGACTGGCTGGGATATTTGGGGGATAGTTCAAGTGATATGCTCCTGATACTATTCTGGGCTTCGTTTCACGTGGGCCTGTATTACTGTACAAGTAGGATACTTGTAGCTACTGTAGACTAATACCCTACTTGTAGTAGCAGATTGTGACTTGCAATAGATAGTTGACATTGTGGTGGTGAACTACTCAAGGTATTCTGTGGCCGTACGTAGAGGCAGGACTTTCTAAAGAGGGATTCCGGCCACCGGTACTGTACAGTATATATACACTGTTTTTTTTTTTCTGCATATACATTCATTTAATTATAACTTTGTGTTGATGACGCTACAGTACGAGTAGACTATACCATACAAATCCAGCAATTTTACTTAGCATATTACTGATATTAGCTGGACCAAGAAAAGATACCCTATAACTACTCCGAAGTGCAGATGTTCAGTTTTGGACACCATCAATATAATATAGAAACATAGAGTACAGTAATTATAAATATCATAATCCCACCACAAATTTCAACACTCCCCTACACGATCCATCTCACACCCTTCATCTTTGCTATTTACTAACGCATGCATGAACACTATCTCCGAGGTGAACCTGACTGGAAGTAGACTTAATATTACAGCACAACCACATCTCCACACAAACCACAATGAGCCAAGATCTGCTATCGTGGGATCCGTTCGCACCGGTGGCTCAGCCGCCTCCACCCCAAGCTGCTCCGGCCGCGGTAAAAGACGACGATGACGACGACGACGAGTTTGGCGACTTTGAAGAGGCCCCGTCGGCCCCTATTGATATGCCAAACCCACCACCACCCAATCCCATGCCAGCTATGGGTGGCCACTCCATGGCAAAAAACCTGTCACCACAGAAGAAGAAACCGCTGATCCAGGACTCGATCAACAACATGGGTGCTCTTAGCCCTGGCCAGAGCATCAAGTTTGGCCAGCATCTGAACCACGGCTCCAAGAGCTCTGCGGACTGGAACGGGATTCTGGGAGCCAGACCAGGCGACAGAAAGTCGTACCATGGCCCCCAGAAACACCAGCATCAAGAAACACAGACTAACAAGCAACCCAGACCGACACATACCAACTCACCTTCAACTACATTCGACTGGGACGATTTTGAGACGACCTCTCCGACTATTGAAGCAAAAGCAACCCCCAAAGTTGCTCCACCCGCGAACGTAACACCATTTAGGCAGATTTCAACTCCTCACCAACTGCTCACATACCTGCACACCAACTGTTTGCCTGTAATGGATAAGCTGGTTCAACAGCTCCAGCCTCTGACATTCCCGCTCAGAAAACGAGTCCTGGCCCACCCCACAACTAAGAAGTTTGTGGAACGATATATCGATCTGGTCTACTTAGCAGCCCGAATCATGGCTGGACGAATGCGCAAACTGAGAATCATGTGTGAAAATGGCATTGAAGGAATGTCGAAAAACACTTTCGCGGACTTAATGAAGAAATCAGACAGAGACGCCCGGGAAATATCTCGTGTCTGGAAACCTCTAAGTGCTGCCATCGGACCCATGACAAACCACAGACAGCTGCCCATCCTGCAACCCGAGTTTCTCATTGCCAATGAAGATACACCTCCTAAACAGCTGGAATCTGTCTGCTGTATCTGCGGTCTCAAAAACACAGAGTTCATCCGAGGCCACCCTAAGCCCAAGTTCAACGCCCAGCAAAACGCCCACTTCTCTTGCATCAGCTGGTACAATAATCTTCCGGTTTTCGGCATCAGTGGAGTGAGACAAGCGGGAGAATCTTCCTTTACTGGGGATCTCATTTGAGGCGCAATCATCATATATTTAATTAATTGCATTTATAAACAAATTACATCTCAAAAGATTTTTACGTTCCAATTATATGTTGCTTATGAATCACTACACCCCACAAATGCCGTATGTACAATAGTGGCTTCATAAAAGTATTGTTCTGTCATATATCTCCAGCAGCCTACAAGCTGTCACAGTCACCATTACTCACTACAATGCAGTGTACAGTACATACAAGTACAGCACACCTGCTCTACCATCACATGTCTATTATAAATTAATCGAAGGTCATGACAATCTCTCCTTCTTTTGGAGTGGGAGATCGCGACTTGGACTTAGGCCGGTTGGACTCGGGATCAATGTACTTCTTGAAAGGAGTCTCTGGAGGAGCAGCGGCGGGGGGAGCAGCAGCAGCAGCAGGCACTCGGCCGTTGGTGGCAGCCCCAGAAGAGTTTCCATTGGTCACAGCAGTAGTGGAGTCAGCAGGAGAGACAGTATCACCACTGAAAGAGTTGGCAACGGCAGAAGCTCCTGCACTGGCAGAGGAAGCCACAGATGCTACACCAGCTGAAATCTTCTGTCCGATAGAACCCACTCGATCATCATGGTCGTCTTGGAAAGGCTCAAACGACATTTCAATCTGCTCAGTGTTGCCGTCCGTGAAGGGATTGTACTCCACAAATGTAGTCGCCTGAGAAGACACAGATCCATTGGTGCCAGATCGAGGTCGTCCAGTGATAGGTACATCAGGAACAGACCCTCGACGAGCAGCAGCAAGCTTGGGATCGTTTTCAAGTCGCAAAACCTCACGCTGAATAGCATCAAGATCAAACAGGGTATTGTCAGCACCTTCAGGATTGGTATTGTCCTTAGTAGTCCCCTCTTCACCCTCCTTGCACTCCTTTCCCTCCTCACCCCCGTCACCCTCCTCCCCATCCTTGCGCGTAATATTGCCCTCGTTGATATCATCCTCGGCAACCTTACTGGTCATATCCCACCAGGACTTTTTCTTGGGCTGCTTCTTCTTCCACGAACCAAAGAAGCCCTTCTTCTTTTTCTCCTTGCTCTCCTTCTCCTCCTCCAGCTTGAGCTCGGCCTCCATCTGCTTTCGCGCGATATCAAACTCCTGAATGAGCTCTCGCTGGCGTTCTCTGTGCTTCTCCGGATCGGGATCCTCAATCTCGGCGAAGTCCTCGGACAGAACCTCCCACCCGAGATCCTTCAGCATCTGAGGCATGGCTTTTCGGTAAGCCATGTGACCATCAACTCGGTCAGTGGCGTCGTAGTTCTCAATGCCCTCCACAGACTCGAGCTTCGTGAGACCTGCAACACGTCCAAGGCCTCCACTGGTGGCTCGGAAGAGATATCCAAGTACCCAATCTTTACGAGAGTAGCCGTTGACAAAACGACCAGACACCATGCTTCTACACAGACACAGCTGGTCGGTCTTCACAATCACAGGAGCTCCAAAGATGTAAACGTCCTGAACAAGACCGTAGGCGCCTCGACGAGCAAGCTCAACCAGACACGAGTAAATCACTCGAGCACCCAGAGAGAAACCAACTAAAGTAGCAGGTCGAACTCCTAGGTTACGCTGGATCAGAGTATCAGCCAGAACGTAACCAGTGGCCCAGGCACGATCAAGAGACACGTTCCAGGGGTTGTCAACGAGGTAGCCGAGCTTGGTAAGAATCATTGGCAGTTGAATAGACGACATGAGGGCCGTCAGAACAGTGGCTCCCAGAACCTGCTGAATGGAGTTGGCCAAAACCTCCGTGGCAAGAATGTTGATGGTTTGACCCATACTCTGCAGCATCTCGGGTTCCCACAGCACAGAAAGAAGATCTCCCATGATGGGATCAACGGTTGAAAATGGAAGACGCACGTCATCCTCCTTACCCAACATCCATCCGGAAATGGTGATAATCAGATTGAGTCGTTTCTGGTTATGCAGAGGCTTGAACTCAAATGTCTTGACACTGCCCATACGTCGCATCATACTAGCAGAACCCACACGTGCTCCCAGAGCTGTGGCGGCCGTAGTGACAACAGCAGCACCTCCAATACCACCCAAAAAGGCACCAGTACCAGTGATACCAATGGTGGTGAAACCAGCGGCCAAACCAGCACCAATGACAGGAGCCAGCAGACCACCTGATAGACCGACCACAAGACCTCCTCCAAGAGTAGCAAGACCCACGTACATGTACTTCTTTCGCAGGTTCTTCTTCTTGCGCGTCTTCATGATCTCCTTCTCGTCCCACGTCTGCTGGGTGTTCTCCTCCATCTCCAGGGCGTCTGTGACTCGCTGTTCAAACTGAGCCATTTCCAGCCATGTCACTCCCATCTCCTCTCCGACCTTCTGCATAAGAGTTCGACTTCGAGCGTCGTAGACAGAGTCGGCTACAAGAACCAGAAACAGATCACAGAGAAGTGTCCATCGAATATCAATCGTCAGCATCTTCTTGTCTTCGAGCTCTTCAGGCGCATAGACTCGATCGTCATACTCATCAGAGTAAGTAGACGAAGGGCGGGAAGAGGAGCGAGTAGAAGAGGAGTCTCCATCGAGATTTTTCTCCTCCACACCAACCCTAGTCTCGACACGGGCAAGATCTCCGTTCTCCATCTCCTCCACAACCTCAGCACCACCAATCTTGACCTTTGTAGCGTCGTCCTCGTTGATGTCGGGAACTGATCCATCGAAGGAGGTCTTCCCGTCAAAAGAAAATTTACTTAGCTGGCCATCATCACCACTAACATCAACATCAGCTTCAGCTGTGGCATCATCAACTTGAATCTCTGTTGATCCAGGATCATTCTCCTCGCCCCACTCGCCCTTTGCCTGTGTGTCCCCCTGGCCTTTTTCGTTACTCTCCTCCTTAGCCCTCTTCTTTTCCTCCTTCTTTTCCTCCTCGGCAGCCTCCATTTCAGCTTGGTTCTCCTCATTGAGAGGGTTCTTGACCCGCTTGACGCCAATCAAACTGGGTGTGATATCTCTGGGCTCAACACCATGACTGTACAGCTGCTCAATCATAATCTGCTCCTCGGGACTCAGCTCCATATGGGAGTAGAGGCGGAACATCATTTTCTGAGACCACATGGCCATTGACCCCTGAGCATCACTTAGACCTCGTCCAATCTTCTTGGAGCCCTTCAGAGAAGCCAACTCACGAGCCATTTCAATCAACATGAGTTTACATAGACCCACATATCCAATTCGCTGTGAGTCTGAAAGAAGACCCTTTGTAGCCTGCATTTGAGACAAAGGGTTTCGAGCCATCTCATCATCATCAAACAAGTACGACGTGTTCTCGTCCATGGAGTTAATGCTCTTTGCGTCCTCATCTCGAGTGACTCGGGTGTAGCCACTTCGAGCGGTGGGATCAACCTCCTCGACCTCCAAATTGTCCTTGTTCTTGACTACCACGTTTCCTCTATCGTCGTAGACGTCGTAGGAGGCGACAGTCAACATATCCTGCCACTCTCCCTCGTCGTCGTCATCTTCCTCCTCACTGGTTTCGCTTCTGCTGCTGTCGGTGGTTGCGTCGGATGGTCCTCGTACGTGGTGAGACACCTTCTTTTCGTGTGGTTGTTTTTGGTGGATCTCCTTCTCGCTCAGTTGAGTGAAGGGCATCTGGCCCTCTCGCTGGATAAACTCCTCCTCAAAAGTCATCGAGTGGTCGCCTGGTGTGGCTGAATGGGTTGTATGGCTGGGTGAGTGACTAGGTGTTCGTTGCCGTGTTGCCTGTTCTGTAGACTGCTTTTTAGGAGTAGTGTCTCTTGCTGATCGTGAACTGCCGAAAGACGGTCTGTTCGCCTCCGTGGGCGTCATGAGATCATCACGACTCTGCCGGCGAGGCTGTTCCTCAACATAATCTGTGCTAATCGGAAGAATGGGCCGGATTCCCCGTCGAGGACTGGTAACCTGCTGAGGAACAACATACCCAGTAGTGGGGGAAGCTGTTGCGGTTGTGGTAGCTGATGGTCCCGTAATAGTAGCAGTGGAAGCATTAACTTGCGAGTAAATGTCGTGAGACTCTGTCGCTTGTTCGTCCTCTGGTTCTCCATCTGTTTCCTCCTCATCCAAGTCGAATCGCATGCTAGCAAGGTCCCCGTCAGGTTCCTCGTCCAGCTTCTTTTTCTCGATCCGAGGCTCCTCTCTGCGCGACGAAAACCCCAGCGAGAGATCTCCGTCGAGATCCGCGTCTCCGAAGTCGGCCATGGTGTTGTAGACGGGTGCTGGAGCGTGTGTGGTGTATGCTTACAGCAGTTCTATCGTTCTAGTCTGATGTATCGTGCGAAGTAGCTCTAACTCCCAATGGTCTGCTCAAACTTACACTGCTTGTATTACGCGTGCCACAGGGATCGTACTAAGAGACGGTACTAGTGCGTCACGAGTAGAGGTGATAGCCAGCTGTATATAAATCGTAATAATAACTGCTATATGAATTATATATGTCTGTTTCTTGCCGTTTTGCTTGTTAGTATAGTATCTACATCCACAACCATGTAAACACAGGATAGCGTTCACGATATGAGAGATGCGCCAAACGTGCAGGAGCCGAAAGACTCTGGCCTATGTGACGATACAACAACATACCGACATTGCTGTAAGCTACAAGAGCCTGTATATACTATGGCTTATGGCATTCGCGTCTAAGTCTCGCACAGAAAACGCCTAGCGTCGACTCCTGTGCTAACACAAATACCCCCGCCTGCTATCCCTTCCTCTCTTTCTCTCTCTCTTTCTCTCTCTTTTTCAACTCCATTCCTAAATTCAAATCAGCAAATAAGAGCGCAGCCCGGAAGAGAAAGATACCAGCGCCGACACGAGCAGGCATGGTGGATGGTGGCCTTCACATATAACCATCCTTGGAATGCAACGTTCCCGGAACTACAACAACTGTGTATCGTACACTAAGGAGGTTTTAGCGTCTCACATGTAACCAGAGATGTTGATATGCGTGTTGTAAATTCATTGGACTTGATAGTGCGAGGGTATTTATACCAATCTGACAATAGCAAACTCTCAAGTGGTATAATAGATACCTTCACATACCATTTTGAATTCCTTATCCTACAATTTGAATTCAGTTCCAGTATACTGTAGCTGGCTCGCCACCAACCGGAAATTACGGTTCGGCATTTATTGCATCAAACGAATCTTTAGCCGAGGACCGTTTTTGGATGCTTGGCGGAGCTACAGTAGTGAGATGATGGGTGAAGAAGATGCACAATACAACACCACGGTGCAGGATAATTACATCAGAAGACATCTTTCTGTCTCTGTTTGTGTCCTCTCTCTCTCCACTCAAAATTGGCTTATCGCTGCATTGTGTGGTGATTACATAAAGGGAGGTAGATGACCTTCAAGAAGGGAGCTGTCAGGCTGCTGTATGATACGATACATGTCCCAAGAATGGATGTATTAGGTGCTGTACTACTGAAAAACGAACCGACATTGAGCGTTTTCCGATTTTTAGAACTTGTATGAGTACAAGTAGCTGAGATCTTCGTCATTTACATACGACTGTCGCGCAAGAATACAGATTACTGTATGTATACTGTAGTACGACTAGTACTTGCATACGTACAAGTACTTACTTCACACTGATCAGAACAAATCCACAACATTGACCCTTTATTAAACCACTATTTTGAGGTGTCATTTTCTACAGTATATAAATACTCTTGAGAGTTATGTATCACTTCCGTTCACGCCTTGACTACTCGCGGGCTTCGTAGTCGGCCTCTTTCTTGGCTTTCCGAATAGAGGACTTGAGTGTAACCCATACAGCAAGCAAACCGATGAGCAACTAGAAGGTAAAGGCGGTCCTGATCATACCCTTGACACGTCCTCCAACGACAGAGGTTACAGCTCCAGCACTCGAGCTCTCAGTGAAGATTGTGCGCACGAGCGTGGAGACATGGAACCAAATGGTGCAGACACTCCAAGTGAGCAAGGAACAGACTGCAGTCCACACCATCATTATACCAGCCTGGTTGGCTCCAGGAATGAAGGCAAAATGTTCCTGAGAACAAAGATAGATTCCAGAGAGTCGGGCGCAAGAGTGACGGGGAGAATGATCGATGTCCCCTGTGAACTGGCCAGCCAACTGAACAAGACACAGGGCAGAGGAGTTAGTACCTTGCGTGATACTCACTGGGGAACTTGTCTTCGAGGGCAGTCAGGTTTCCTCTAGAGAAACACTCGATAGCGTGGTGAACAGTGGCACGGGCACCGAAGAAACCAGACCGAGCCTTCTAACAAACCAGGTTGGTTGAATTAGACTGCTTGAAGGAATTCTTGATGGTCTCAAAAAACACGGAGTCCTGGTTGTAGGAGTATTCTACAAGATAGGCGTTAGAGAAGGACGCAAACTTGTTGATACAACCATGAAGATGAAGTTGAAGATAACAAGAAAGATGTTAAGTAATCACGAGAAAGAGAAGAATTAAGAACCACGGCAACTTGGAAACTGCGCCTGCGCAAAACATTGTATGTGTTATGGTAAAGAGGAGGTTGTGTGACGGTGATCAAGAGGTCTATGACTTTTGCCAGAAAAGTTAGAGAGATGTAATGGTGTATGATGCAGTATGGAAATAATCCAATGCACTGAAACCAGTTCATTAAATACATCTCAAGGCTCTTCTCTACACTCTCATATTCCAGGACCAGACTTGCATGTATCATGCAATACTCAATGAACCGCAAACCCTATCGCTATAGCGGACAACACAAGTAGAGTACATAGGGCTATACTCCGAGGTACTATGGTTTCTTTATCCGGTAATATCAATGTCCAAGTAATTACTTGTAGTACCCGTAGCTACAGTACAGTTAATATTTTTTTCTACATCCCTTTTACCATGTTTGAAGGCACACTGCTCACTATCGCAGGCTGCAACAATGATCTGGTGGAGCTGAAACGTTATCTTATATGAACTCCTGGATTGTAGCTACAGTATCATTAGGAAAGGGGTGACACTGCACTATTGGTTTGCTTCTGATGATACGTATGAATACGATGGTATCTTGATACAGAGTCTTGCATACATTAATTTCGAAACTAGAGCACAGCAACAGCTCCCAAATGAGCATTCCCCTGAAGCCCATCAAAACTGCACCACAAATTTGATCCCATATTACCATTTTAAAGCAATTGTTAACAAGATACTACTGTAGAAAACTGATTAAACATTCGTAACTTGCCTGTGGCTCGACTTACAGCCAAATGTTCGCGGCAAAATTTGAATATTTTGCACACTTATTGTCCCAAAACCAAATAATGCCAACAAAATCCGATATAGTGTAGGGGCTATCACATCACGCTCTCATCAAGAATACTTCTTGAGAACCGTGGAGACCGGGGTTCGATTCCCCGTATCGGAGTGTTTATTTTTTGCTCAACCATACCCTGGGGTGTGTTCTGTGGAGCATTCTCACTTTTGGTAAACGACATTGCTTCAAGTGCAGCGGAATCAAAAAGTATAAAGTGGGCAGCGAGTATACCTGTACAGACTGTAGGCGATAACTCAATCCAATTACCCCCCACAACATGACTGGCCAAACTGATCTCAAGACTTTATTGAAATCAGCAACACCGATTCTCAATGAAGGCACATACTTCTTCTGCAACATTCACTTGACGCCTAAAGTTGGTGAGAAATGGACCGACAAGACATATTCTGCTATCCACGGACTGTTGCCTGTGTCGGTGGCTACAATACGTGAGTCAGAAGGGCTGACGGTGGTGGTTCCCAAGGAAAAGGTCGACGAGTATCTGTCTGACTCGTCATTGCCGCCTTTGGAGTACGACTCCAACTATGAGTGTGCTTGGATCACTTTGACGATACATTCTTCGTTGGAGGCTGTGGGTCTGACAGCTGCGTTTTCGGCGCGGTTGGCCGACAACAATATCAGCTGCAACGTCATTGCTGGCTTTCATCATGATCACATTTTTGTCGGCAAAGGCGACGCCCAGAGAGCCATTGACGTTCTTTCTAATTTGGACCGATAGCCGTATAGTCCAGTCTATCTATAAGTTCAACTAACTCGTAACTATTACCATAACATATACTTCACTGCCCCAGATAAGGTTCCGATAAAAAGTTCTGCAGACTAAATTTATTTCAGTCTCCTCTTCACCACCAAAATGCCCTCCTACGAAGCTCGACTCTAGAGGATCTCGCTTGTGGTGCTTAAACTTCTTGGACTGCTTAGCGACCACGGACAGAATAGATGAGTAGGCAGCGGCGGCAGGGCCCTCAGGCACAGCAGCAGGGGCAGCATCAGAAGCTTTTCCCTGAGATTTTTTAGCTCCTGTTACAGATAGCTTGGTATCCATTTCCCTCACTACTTCTTTTTGAGAACACTTTTACGTAGAAGACAACGCTTTTTTTTTTTTACAATATGGTATACTTCTACTTAATGCTTTTAAATTTTCACATAACTAATACTTTACCCGGTTTCATTGTGTCAGTAACAAAACAGATAAAGGCAAAAAGGTCCATCCTAGTAGTGTAAGGCAACTACATTACGATTGTGGGTTTATTACGTGAAAAAATGATGTCTATTGCAAAGTAGTAAAAATTTTTAAGAGAATTATACTTATATAAAGTACATAAAGAACAAATTCCAGGTAACTGGGGTCGGGAGAAAATAAAAATAAAAATACATTTTCAATGGTTTGGAGGTATTCTTTGAAATCATAAAGTTTTACATTCGTCACTCGTTAGCTAAAGCCCTTTAGAATGGCTTTTGAAAAAAATAAAAAAGACAATAAGTTTTATAACCTCTATTTTACTTCCCTTACTTGGAACTTGTCAATGTAGAACAAATTATCGACACCAGTGGTCATGTTCACAGATCCTAGAGCGTTACCGGTGGTCATGAAGTAGGTATTTGTAGAAACCACATCTCCATCGTTGAAGTACAATTCCAAGATGTTTTGATCCAGTAGGCCGTACACTTTATAGTAACTTAGGTCGTTCTCAGACTTGAATGGTTGGTTGTTGACAGACATTCTGTTTGTGAAATATGGGTTCTCCTTGACAAACTTGACCTTAGAGTTACCACGGTCCAAAAAGAAGGAAGAAGCACTGACTTCAAAACCCATTCTCAAATATTCTTCAGGATCTTCTAAACCCTTGAACCAAAGTGATAAGTCGGCAAAGACGGATTTGGATATGGTTTGTGTGGTGTTAACAGCGTAAACCAACTCAAACTCTAGGGTACCAGTCGAGTTGCTCAAATCGACATTGTAAGAATTGGCCTTAGTTAGAGTTGTGTTAGTAGCAAAACGAGACCAGGGACCAGCATTACTAATGTTCAATATTGGTTCGGCTTTCAAATTGATCAATTCAGTCTCTGGATTAGCTTGATATTCAGTGTTCAAAGAAAACTTGCGGACCAAAGACATGGATGATCTCCATGGGTTAGTTGGGACAAAGGCACTGTACTCCCAGTTTGAAGCCCAGGCAATACCTAATGCTGAACCGTAGGTTGGGTCAGTGTTGAAGAAAGTTTGCAAGGCATAGTAGTCCTTACCAAAATCTACCACTCTAGATTGATTGTCAAACGCTTCAAAATGAGTACCATTGAAGGATCCAACAAAATATTGGTTGAAGGAACCGCCAGCAGGTGCACCTGGGTTGATAGAAATAAACATGACCCAATAAGATTTGGAAGGATCTTGCTCAGTTGGGACTTCAATCAAACCTGGACATTCGTATTGGTAGCCTAAGAAACCTTCATTGGCAAATGCAGATTCTAGCTTCCAGGACTTCAAGTCATCAGAGGAGTAAATTTCAATTTTGTAGTCTTGTGATTTGGCAGCCGTCATAATCCATTTTTGAGAAGGTTCATACCAGAACACCTTTGGATCTCTGAATTGAGTGGAGTTGGCAGCTAAAACAGGGTTCTTTTGGTATTCAGTAAAAGTGTAACCACCATCAAGAGAATAGCTAATGTATTGCTCTTCACTTTCAGGAGTGTTATAAGTCCAAATCGCAACGCATCTTTGTCTTGGATCAATAGTATCATTGAAAAACCCACTCGTGTTGTTGTAATCAACCACCATGGAGCCAGAGAAAGCACCTGAATCGTTACGCTTGGGAGCGATAGCAATGGGTTGATCTTCCCAATTAGTCAAATCATCGGAAGTAGCATGGCCCCAAAACAATGGCGTACCCCATACGGTGTCATTTGGGTTGTATTGAAAGTACAGATGCCATTTGGCATCTTTTTCATCGTACCACAACCCATTTGGGTCATTCATCCAGCCCTTGTTGGGTGTGAAGTGGACCAAAGGTCTATCGCTAGTTTCGTTTGTCATTGATGCAGATATTTTGGCTGCAAAACCAGCCAAAAGGAAAAGGAAAGCTTCTGCAGGGGCGGCCAGGGGAGCGGCCAGAACGGCAGTGAGAATAGTAAAGGCGGTAGCGAGCTTCATTGTTGGATTGGAGGATTGGATAGTGGGTTGGTGCTCTTCAACGGGCCCGTCGATGGGGTTTATATCGTGTTTCTGGACAAGATACTATCCAGAAACTGCTCTGATTGCGTCACGAAACACGGCTCTCGCCAAGACGCGCCAAGACGATGCCCTCATTATCTTGGTGCAATACAGGTGGAGTGTGTGCATTAGTTGGTGCCGTGCCTTCTCACGATATCTGACAGGGGCTTGGGTTTGGGTTGGAAGTCGGATTCCGCTGAAACATGGTGTTGTGCAGATGTGAGTCTCTCAAAGTCGGTTCATCATACTCCATTGACATCATGGTACAGTGCGTACGTAAAAGATGGCCTGACTACAAGTAGTGGGATCTCTCTAACATTGTCCATCACATCGTAAATCACACCGCCTATCCATGAACCCTGATGCCGATCGTCGAAGTTAGACCAGGGCCAGTGGTGGGTAGCGTGGGGTAGGCTGCCACTGCCGTTGGAACCCCTTGTGTCCCTGGACTACAACTTAACCAACATGTCAGACAAAGGAGAGAAAAGTGTCCGCTCCACCGAACTGACGCCAGGAATGTACCGTGGCGCTCAAGAGGTCATGTGTAATTAAGGATACAAGATAAGCTGCGCCCTTGAATGCAAAAAGCACGCAGCTCATATGTTAATTTCCAATCAATGTTTCAGGGATGCATAGGACCCCGGATCGAGGTGGGCGGGAACAACGGTCTCGATAATGTACGTACACTACACACAAAGAGAAGCAAGTGGGGGCGGGACTGCACGGCACTTGTGAGACACCTCAGATTGTACCTGATACGCCTGAATATCGCAAATATTATGACTGTGTTGCAGGCTTGTCTTGACACTGTGTTCCGCTAGCCGGTGGATGTACCATCTATCAAACGGCTCTACGTACGTAACCCAAAACCCAAACTCTCCACGCGTTGCTGCTCTAACTGTCATCATAATTGTCGGCCGAGGTCTGTACGGCCAGAACCGAGATCCTATTGAGGAGGCCAAGCGATACCAGAAGGCTGGCTGGGAGGCTTACCAGAAGATTAACTGTTAGAGGTTAGACTATGGATATGTAATTTAACTGTGTATATAGAGAGCGTGCAAGTATGGAGCGCTTGTTCAGCTTGTATGATGGTCAGACGACCTGTCTGATCGAGTATGTATGATACTGCACAACCTGTGTATCCGCATGATCTGTCCAATGGGGCATGTTGTTGTGTTTCTCGATACGGAGATGCTGGGTACAAGTAGCTAATACGATTGAACTACTTATACTTATATGAGGCTTGAAGAAAGCTGACTTGTGTATGACTTATTCTCAACTACATCCCCAGTCACAATACCACCACTGCACTACCACTACACCAAAACCATGATCAAACCACCCATGGACTTCCTGGAGGCAGAAGAACTTGTTATGGAAAAGCTCAAGAGAGAGAAGCCAAGATACTATCAAGACATGTGTCGCAACTTCAAGGAGGACCAAGCTCTGTACACCGAGAAACAGGCCTTTGTCGACGAAGCTCTAAAGCTGAAACGGGACATCGAAAAGTTGGAGAAGTCAATCTGGAAACTACACGTAGAAAACAGACACCATCTCCAACAAGTACAGGACTTCAAATTTGCACTGAAGACATTCTGTGGGTGGAGCCATAAGTAACAATCGCCTGCTCCAGGAACTTAAAAAAGAGGCATTATAGGCCCCTTCATCTGAATATTCTTTGAGTACCAACTGCCGCCAACTCCCCAATCGTTAATTAGTGTTATCTATTCTATCTATGCTATTAGCACATATTTATCATGTGCTGCTGTTATGTACGGGTTCAATATACAAATGCTTAGTCCTCAAACACCTTCATAGGTGGGTCGTCTTCCTGGCCAAATCGAATTCTCATGATTTCAAACACGAACAGACCGATAGACGTAGACGGAAGCGCACTGAGGGTCGTCCAGCCACAACCATGGTATAGGTATCTGGGCCAACTCAACCGCAGACCCTTTCGGATGTTATTGGCTGTATGCAGAGTCTCAACGTAGGCTCGGTAGTAGAGATGGATACCCGGGAAGATTCTGTATCTAAGAGTAGTAAAACATCTAATAGAAAAGTTGACGGTCTTACTCCATCCCTTACCAAACTTCACAAGAAGTGAATGCGTTCTGGGAAGAGTCTCCTCCAGCGTTTCAGACAGTTCCACCATAAGAGGGTTTCTGTGGTGAATCCGACGCTCGTAGCATAGAAATGTTGACTGGAAAGGAGAGGCGGGACTGGCCTGATGTTTTATTCGCTCTCCAAGTTTGTTCTGTGTCTTTTGCTCCTTGGATCGGTTAGCTTCCAGTTGTTTTCTTGCGTCAATGAGGTCTTGAGTATCGAGACGAGTCAGGTAGATGCCCTGCAGCTTCTGAAGAGGAAACTGAACCACATGCAGTGAGATGGTGGCTGCTGCTCCAGCTACAAGGATGCTGAAAGGTGCTAGGACCTTGTTGACGATGCTTTTTCCATTCTCATCAAAGCCTGAAGGATGTTCCTTGAGACGATCAGCATACAGCCACTTGGCATAGGACCTGTACCACGATCCCTTAACCATTTCGAACGTGGCAAAAAAGACCCCAAAACCCAGACTCTCTTTGACAACTGACAACGTAAAGCCAGCAAAGACACCTGGTGCACCTGTTTGGCGCAACTTCTCCATTCCATAGGACCACATAGAGGGCAACTGTTTGGTCTTGAGCACTTCTGCTATCGAAGAACGCCTGTAGATGGCGTCGATTGGTGCTGCAGCTACTGCCTGGGCTGCTCCAGCGACTGCTCCGGCACAAAACGTCTGTTTGAACGTGTATCGATGAGGCATGAGTTCATCGATGATGTATTTCACATGCGAGCCGTCCATTCCCTGGGTATCATACCATGATTTCCTTAGCAGCAGTTGTCGTTGGTGTTCGTCTTCTTCATCCTCCTTTTGTCGGTCTTTCTCTGATTTGAATAATGGTAGACATCCCAGATATGTGGAGTACAATACCAGTCCTACGGCCGAGTTCGCCAATAAGGGGGGCAGCAATTGATTTGGAATAAAACCCCAGCCATGCTGTTTGACTGCGTTGGCAATCAGAGCCGGACTGCTGTGTGTTTTGAAGCTCCAAGGTTTGTCGCTGTTTGGAGACAGCGCCCGTGGAAGCGCTAAGTAGTCGACTCTGGTAGGTCGAAAGAGCTTGACAGGCACACGGATGTAAAATGTGAAGAGCTGGGATGCGAGCGCCCGAGTACCGGCCGTCGTAGCTCCAATAATCCGGGCCGAGCTTGGTTTCCATGCTTCGTTATTGTTTTCGTGCGGTTCGGTGAATTCCGGAACCTCGGGCAGAAATCCCGGAACGTCGCCGGGCTCGATTTTCTGCATGAGGCCTAGAAACACTCTCCAGTGTCGCGGGACGTGAGGAACGGGCTTCTATCTGCTGAGCGATATCAGGTACTGGTCGTGCTTGCGGTTGTCCAGAGATCCAAAACTTTTGCGATGCGTCAGGGACGCACAGTTTACCGACAACGGAGGAGTGCAAAACGTGGGGGAACAGGGCAGTTTGTGTGGGTGGGTCGGCGAGTCCGAATGATGATTTTGTATCGTTACAGATTGCGTGGGGTGGAGATTAATATGGCTGCTCGAAAATTGCTCGTGTCGCGTTACTGAGAGGCAGAGTACATGTACGCGAGCTCTCTTGTGTCTACTCCTTCACCTCTTTAATGTTGCTGTACATATACGCGGTATGATAGATGTGGTCAGGTGGTGGATTTGGGAATGAAGGTCGGTTTGGGCTCGGTAGTGGTAATGAGTGTCATGGGTGAGGCTTAAGTGGCGAGAGATCTAACTGGTCTTCGTCTCTAGTATGTGTTATCACGTCAACACGAAATTAACCTGTGATGGATAATAAATGAAGTGTACGATGATGAGAAGGGTTCCGCCCACCCGCGAGGTGCGATAAAAGGATTGTGGAGCACAATATTTTCTGCTCTGTTACTGTAGTATCATACCATATCAAGTTTCTGGTTCTAACGTCTCCATCATCGAGTCAGATCCGGTGATTCTTTCTCTCAATCAACGAGCTATGGACTGTTGTTATCCCAGACGCCACCAATTTCTGTTTGGGAGATGGGAGGACAAGGGCCGCACACCCAAACCATCTGTTGATCAAGGTTCGATACCAAGGCATGCATATCGCCAAAATTATTTGCTACTCGTACAACAAGAACCACAGACATACAAACACACAATGGACGTTGGAGATATCATCGAGCGAGACATTGAAGACACACCGGCTCCCCTACCGCCCATGCCCCCAAAGGCTCCCAGCGCCTTCAAGCGAGAGTGGAAGCGAAAGCCCAAGCCTGCTCCTGCTCCTGCTCCTGCTCCTGCTCCTGCTCCCGTCAACAACCAGGCACCGCCTGCAAAGCCTACGGTAGCTGGACGTTTCCAGAACGACTATCCGTCGGATCAGAAGCTGACTGAAGCCGAGGAGATTCATCTGGAGAACTTGTCAAAGCTTGCCAAGATGAGTCCTGAGGAAATTGAGGCCCAGAGACAAGAGATCATGGAAAGCATGGATGAGAACGTGCTCATGGCACTCATGAGACGGGCCAAGATCAAGGAAGACGATATGGAACCTCCTCAACAGGAGCCGACCGTGGAGGAGCCGGAGGAGGTTTTCAATAAGTCGAAGCCTGTCAAAGAAGAGCCACAGAGTGAACACGCGAGGGAAGAGCCGACAATTACGGAAGTTAGGGATGATGTTAAGGCAGAACTTGAGCAGACTAAAGAGACAAAGGAGGCTGAACGCTCTCTAGGAGATGACCTAAAATCGTCATTGGGAGCTAGAGAGGTCAAACCTAGCGATATGGAGTCCAAGTACGATGTTGAGGATGAAGATGATGATGACAAACCTGCCACTACCCCAGGAACACCCAAGAAGGAGACCAAGACAGCGACTGCATCGGAGATGGATTTTGATAGCTCTGCCACACCAAAGAAGGTCAAGTTTGAGGCAAAGGAGGATGGAGATGAAAAGGGTAAAGACAAGGCAGAGTCTCAGAAGTCTGGCGTTCAGGCAGTGCATTTTCCAAAGCCTCCCACATTCGCTGCTGACGATGAAGATCCCATGTCCATCGACGACGAAGACTTTATGGAGAAACTACATGAGAAGTACTTTCCTGATCTGCCCAAAGAACCGTCCAAGATGGCATGGATGACCGATGCCAGACACAGAGTGGTTGAGGAGCGAGGACCCGATGGAGAAATGACTGCCAAGATCATTCAGGACACTTCAGATGCTCCACTGCCTAAAACTATGCTCCCATCTGAGATTAGATTCGACTTCAAAGGTAACATCATCACCCCCAAGACCTCTCGAAACATCCCAATGAACCTTGGTCTGCATCACCATGGCGAGAACCCAGAGATGGCTGGATATACCATTCCCGAGCTAGCTCAACTTGCGCGAAGTTCGGTGTCGGGGCAGCGATGTATTGCCATCAGAACCCTCGGACGAATTCTGTACCGTCTTGGAAACCCTACTGTCATGGAGAAGGAGTATGGAAAGACCATTGGCATGGGTCTTAGAGGTCTCATTGACCAGGGACGAGTCATCGAATCAATCACCGAGGCCACCCATGCCAAGCAGATGAACGTTGCAGCATACGCTACCGAAGCTCTCTGGCTGTGGAAACAGGGCGGAAGTGATACTCGACAGGCTAGTTAGAGTGGAGTGGGATAGTGGAATAGTTAGTTATAGATAGGAATTCATTTATAGGTCATCATCAATATTATCTACAGTAAATATCACTTGTATATACTACTCAATTTAAAAATCATAATACATTATTACTAAACTGCACAACCAACTACAATCTATAACCATTGGCTGTGTTACTTTTTTTTTTTTTTTCTTTTTTTTTTTCGAAAAAAACTGTTTTTAGCAATGCAGCTTACTTGTCATGACGGTCCTTTTTGTAACCATAGGGGTTCTCGCTGGTCCATCTCCACAGATCGGAGCAGCTTTCGTCGAGAGTCTTCTCTGCCTTCCAGTTGAGCTCGGAGTTTGCTCGGCCGGGTTTCGCGGTGAGATCCAGAACGTCTCCGTCTCGTCGACCGGTGATTTCGTAGGGTAGGTCCTTACCCACGGCGTTGGAAAAGGCCTTGACGACCTCAAGCACAGTAGATCCGTGGCCGGTTCCTAGGTTCCATTCTCGAGAGAAACCGTGCTTGAGCTCGGGGGACCCCTGGGGCAGCTGCTTTCGCTCTTTATCGACAGCCTCGAGCTTCTCAAGGGCAGCCACGTGGCCAGCAGCAAGATCGCACACGTGGATGTAGTCTCGGATGGGAGTTCCATCTCGAGAGGGGTAGTCGTCACCAAACACAAAGAGCTTCTCTCGTCGGCCCACGGCAACCTGGGCAAGGTAAGGAAGCAGGTTGTTGGGGATACCAAGAGGATCCTCTCCAACCAGACCAGAGGGATGGGCACCCATCGGATTGAAGTATCGCAGAATAGCGGCGTTCCAGGGAGCATTGGCTCGCACGTGATCTCGAATGATGTCCTCGATCATCATCTTGGTTCGTCCGTAAGGGTTAGTGGGTCCGGTGGGACACTCCTCAGGAATGGGAATCATGCCCTCAAACCGGGTGACGTCTCCGTAGACGGTGGCGGACGACGAGAAGACAAAGTTGTGGATGTTGTGCTTCTGGCACCACTGCAGGAGGTTAATGGAACCCGCCACGTTGCAGTTGTAATACTCCAGAGGAATCTGGCCAGATTCTCCCACGGCCTTGAGACCAGCGAAATGCAGCACAGAGGTGATGGTTGGGTACTGCTTGTACACTTCATCCAGACCGTTAGTGTCTCTGATATCAACCTCAAAGAAGGGGATTTTCTCGCCCACAATCTGTTCGATTCGGCGCACAGCCTCCTCACACGAGTTGTCCAGGTTGTCGACAATGACTGGCTTTCGTCCAGCCTCAACCAGAGCAATAACAGTGTGAGAGCCGATGTATCCGGCTCCTCCGGTGACGAGCACGTGTTCAGCAGCAGCCTGGGTCATTTTCGCGTCGTGCTGCGGTGTTAGTTGAGATGTTGAGTTAGGATGACAGTGTGAGTGGAACAAACCTGCTGCGGTGCAGTGTGCGGCTCACTCCAAGTTTATATTTAGAAGTGACAATGTGCCAGAAGTAAACAGATGGGCGAACTTTAGCAACCAACAGCGTTATACGAATAGAGAAGTATTGAGCATGAAACGGATTACTCAATACGGATTCTGATTGAAGATCGCGTGAATCAACAGTTTGCTCGATTTACGGAAGAACAAATCTGATTATCGTCCTCCGAGTACGTGGATCGTCGTGTCATTTCCGTCTCAACGACGTTCCTTCTCTTGCATGATGACAGATATGCAGAGTGATGTTAAGAGATAATATGATGGCTTTGGACAATTACAGAAAAGTGAAACCGAAGCAGAATCGACTCATAAGTGTACGAAAACTCCTTCTCGAGCGTTCTTCACCCCACCAACCCTTCCCTGCACCCCACAACAGATACAACATCTAATACATTAGTTCGACAGAGACGCGCGCTGCAACTCAAAAAGAGACAGCCTCGCAAAAATGGAGGCTGAAAACGGCTTCCATCTGTAAGACTGAGATGATGCCTTTACAATGACAATGAGTGCGACAGAAAGAAAACTACTGTACTGTACTTTTGTATTACGAAACTGAGAAGAGCGAGAATATATATAGACGGCAGCACCTGTGTCCTCACCTACTGGTAAGACGCTCAATGCCGCTACCAGGATGGTAACTGCCTACCAGGAACATGGTTATATGAGGCTGGTTGTCGCTCCACCATATTGAGGAGGGATGATCTACCCGCTGCAGAATGAAACGGCGGCAATACACTGAACTTCCTGTGTTTAGGGCAGGCTTGGATTGCTGTAAACCAGAGGGCGTGGGAAAAACAAAGAGATATCGGCCATGTAGGATTCACTTATCGGTGTTATGCTGGTTCTCCTTATTGATATGTGCTTCATATCGTAGAAGTATCTTAATGCAACCTTGTATGGATGGTGTCACGCGGTGGTGCCCCCACTGAGCTTACGGAGGGAAGGTCTGATGATGGCTGTAAAAGGTGCCTTGGACGGGATAATCATCAAATTCTTTGGTGTGGACTTGGCACTCTGTATGTACTTTTTAGTCGCTTTTATGAGGTGCTTGAGTCGAATTAAGTGGCGCTCTAGTGGCGACTAATGTCAAGCAAAACCCCCAACTAAACATGTATTTACTACTTACTGTACTCACTTACTATTATGTAAGCACACCAAGCCGGGTAAGATCAGACTACAGTATATAGCTGATCGCACGCATGGCTGAGCTCATACCTGCAACATCGACACTATTTATCCACATTTTTTGTGACACGCTGCTACTTGTAGCCAAGCTGATGATGGCCAATATGATCAGATTAAAATCAATTGCCATAACATACGTAATGAGATGCACTCAGAATTTTCTGAAGCCTCCACCACACAAACCACACAGTTCAGTGAAGCAAGAGAATGTACACAACCTGCCAAAGATACGGCATGAAAAAATAAAAACCAAAAAAAAACCCTAAAGAAGCCAATTGATTTGGAATCGTGAGATAAACCAGTGTCCTAATACACTCTTCGAAATATTACCCACAGGCACAGTTAATCCTCTGTTACTACGATAGATCACAGTTTTATACTTACTCCCCTCCCAACCCAAACCCAGCATTTGGGTTTGAAGAAAAAAGGTGAAAATTAGTGTATTGGCATTCTGATTGAAACCTCCGTTGGAAGCAGCAGACATATATTCCACATCCACCCCCATCACAAAAGTCATGTCGGAAACTCTTCAGATCAGCAGAGTCGCAGGCACCAACGGCGCCCCTACACACGTGACCGTCACCGCCCAGGCTCTTTTCCAGATCCTCGACCATGCTCTCAGACGCGAGGAGGAGCAGTCCAAGGTCATTGGTACCCTTGTTGGTATTCGTTCCGAGGACGGCAGCGAGGTTGAGGTGCGAAACGCCTACGCCGTTCCCCACTCCGAGTCCGAGCAGGAGATGACTATCGATCTCGAATACAACCCCACCATGCTTGCTCTCCACCGAAAGGCCTTCCCCAAGGAAGTGATTGTCGGCTGGTACGCTACTTCTTCGGAGCTCAACACCTTCTCCGGACTCATTCACGACTATTACACTCAGCTGGATGGAACCCCCGCAATCCACCTGACTGTCGAGGCCGCCAACCTCGCAGACACCCTTCTGCCCCGAACCTACGTGGCATCCGCCGTGGGCATCGATCCCAGCAAGAACTCGGGCAACTGTGTCTTTGTGCCCATTTCTAACGAGGTCAAGTTCAACGACTCGGCTGACCGAGCCGCTTTGGAGGCTATCTCCTCTGCCAGGGAGTCTCCCGAGCGAAGCATAAACCTGACGTCCGATCTGGCCAACCTGGAGAACTCGCTGACCCAGGTGCTCGACATGCTGGAGCGAGTCCAGACCTACGTTGCTCGAGTCATCAGCGGCGAGGAGTCTTCTGAGAAGGCCCAGCAGGTTGGCAAGCAGCTGCTGTCCACTCTGACCCTGACTCCCTCTCTGGACGCCCAGAACCTCGAGGCGCTTTTCAACTCTCACCTGCAGGACGTTCTCATGGTGGTCTACTTGGCCAACACCGTCAAGACTCAGCTTCAGCTTTCTGCTAAGCTCACCACTCTGGTCTAAGCTGGTTAGTTAGAGGGTACATTTGCACACATGCTGGAGGAGCATAACACATTGTATACATTAGGCATGTCATGGTAAAACACATCTCCCAGCCGTGTCTATATACTTGGATAAAAGAATGGATTTCACAGAGTAGAAAAGGAGACACTTGTACGAGTGTGTACTGTAGATACATGTACGAGTACATACTGTAAGACATAACCTGATTACTGACGAGGACTAAAGCTGAAAATGCCGAAAGTAAAAGTCCTTAATCTATACTACAACTGTTGGCTGTTGTAAGTCCCTTCGTAGCGATTACTTTCGCGTCGATTCTTATAATTTGCATATTCATTGCTATATTACAGTAGTAGAATTTCACAATATCGTGATGGCCCCACAATGTGAATAAATAATCTATTATACGATATACACGTTATAAACCACCATAAAAGCCATTGAAACCATCGGAGTACTCGGCCACCATTCCACTATCATAGTCATTCCCATCGTAGTCCTTATGCATTAGCAAGTCCTTTCGGAACTGCTTCTTCTTGATCTTCTTCAAGCCTCGCACAGGAGTGATGATAGCCTCTCTAGAGTGAGAGGGTCGACGTCTGGAGGGGATGGGAGTTCCCGTAAACCGCTGCTGGTAAAGAGGGTTGGAAATAAGTCCTCGATTTCTGAAAGCCGACAGAGGCACATTGGAAGAGGTCGAGTACGGCTGGGCCTCTTGACACACGTCCTTGGGGGCCTCTTCATCCAGATCACTGGTGTAGATGAACTCGTCGAGGACAATGTCATTCAGATCTGAAATGTCGGAGCAGTCATCTGACTCAATAGCTGTCGAGTATCGAATGCCACCGTTGGAATTGCTCTTACCATTGGTAGTGGGGGGACTCTTCTGACCCGAAAGAGACCGTGTAGTGAGTCCGTCAATGATGCCAAATGGCCTCTCTTTGGTCATGACCCAAGAACCCAGCATTGGGGGTCGCGATGCAATGTTGGAGGATGAAAGAATCTCCGTGGCTGTGTTGCACTTCTTCTGTGTTCGGGGAGGCAACGTGGTGTCTTCGTCGGTCGAGTCTCCAGAGTCAACAGTATAGTCGCTATAGCCATTCTGGTTGTTCTTGAAGATGGAAGAAGACGAGCCTGCCGCAGGAGGTTTCTTAGGAGTCGAGAGAGAAGGTCTTCGTTTGGTAGAGTTGTTCATCTTGTCTTCATTCTCGGACGATGATCCGTCGGAAAAGAAGTATCCAAACAGATAGGAGTCATCGTCTGAGGTAAACCCCTTGGGAGTATCCGTGGTAGTATTATTGCGAATGGTATTGTTGAGAGTGTTGTTGTTTTCAACGCCAATTTCGCCGTTAGTAATGAGAACTTGGTTGGGGTCTCGAGGCTCAAAGAAGGGGTCGTTGTCCTCAAACGAATAGTCGTCTTCGTCAGACGAGTATCCGGTATAGTGATGCTGGGAGTGAGAGTTTCGTCGGGAGTAGTTGCCGAATGACGCCACAGACTCGTCGTCATCTGTGGGGCTCAGAGTCTGCAGCCTATCTCCGTTCTCTGCCATCTCCTGTAGAATGGCGTCTTCCTCCTCTCTCTCAATGTCATTGTCGTTGATGGCGTCGAAGTCCTTGTCAACTTCATCGGAGAAGTCGTTGATTGACGAATACGAGTTGTCGCCCTCAGACAGGGGGGAGCCCAGGTCTCCGTTCTCAAACTCCTCCTCGTCAAGATCTCCAATCTCGTCATCGAAATCGCTCTCATCAGGGTTTGGCGAAGAGTCTGCTTCGATAGCCTTGAGTAGAGAGTCTTCTTCGAACGAGTCATCTGAAGAGTCTCCTTCCTCCTCTTTATGACGAGGGAACTCCACATGTTCATCAAGTGTATGGTCAACAACGGAGCCTCGGCGAGACTTTCGTCGCACCAGAGTGCTGTCTTTGGAACTAAGCCGAGTCTCAATGTCCGAAAGACTGGACAAGTCAGACTCCTCACTGCTGTCAGCAATGGCAGACTCGTTTTCGTTTTGAAGCATGCTCTTTTTGGCAGACTTGGCTCCAAACTTGCGCCGCCTGTATGCTTCTGGCAGGGAGGTCTCGTCAATGGAAGAGTCAGTGTCTTCATCTTCATCGTCACTATCGGTATCATCGTCATCTTCACCATTGCTGGCTTCATCTTGAGAGCCCTCATCATTGACGGCTGCAATGATGGTCTCAAATGCTTCATCTTCCGAGTCGAGGTCTTCGTCATTGTCGTCCTCCTCCTCGACAGAAAGGTCTGGTTGGTAGAGAGCCTTGCGTCCGTATCGTTTGCTGGCCACAGGGGCCTTTCGAGCAGGCATGGGGGTCTTTCGCCCCGTCTTCTTCATCTGTAGGACATCCTCCAGTCTTTTACCGGAGTAGGTTGGCCGATGGACCGAGGATTTTCGTCTGGCCATGTGTGTAATTTGTGGGTCTGTTTGTGTCTGTTTCTGTAGTTCTCGTGTGTTTTTCGATCCTGTCGCGGGTCGGTCTAGTCAAGTCTTGTGCCGCTTAGAATATAAAAATGGCGGAGGTGTGTTCAATGTGAGGTGGTTGCGTGTGGTTTTTCAGAGAACGAGCCATGAACGCAGTTGAGGCTCCCTATATTTGTTGAGCGGTGTAGTTGACGAGGTTGGCGGGCAGTAGCTGTTGGTCTTGGTATAAATCTCTGGGTCTCCAAGGTATACTGGGCTTAATTTTTGTCCTGCTGTATGCATGTGCACTTAGGCTCTGAAATTTTTTAGATATATATCACACAAGGTTCTGCCTAAGGTTCACATAGAATATATCAGGTGGTAGTAACGTGGGTGTAGCACGAGAATGAGAAGAGAAAAATGCGAAATTAGTGGTGGCATGGCCTCTTAGTTGTACCGGAATAAATATGTTGTCTTTATAATTACTAAGAATCGTTTTTTTTGGCATACCTTTGGACAACCTCTCATTGATCCTCCAACAACTCTGTTCGTTTTTTAGACAACCCAAACCATGTGTTGAGAGAACCAGGAACTCACCGTCGCCACCGTGCAGACTGTTGTTTGTGGTGGTGGAGTGTCTGAGAGGTGGTTTGGTGGGAGCCCGTCACTGGGTGGGACACCAATATATCGTTTTCTAGCTCACGGTCCCCGTCATAGTTGCATGATGGCTGCCTCCATCACTGAGCCAAATAGCAATATTGACCGAAGTCCCATTTGTTAAAACCCGGACTTTTAGCTTACTAGTAATAATTTGGGGTAACCTCAGTGGTCTCGTAGTTGGGACAACCAGGAAGCAGACCACTATAAACATGCAGGATTCACACTGGTGTGTGAGGCACATCCACGATGCGTGATGATGTGAGGACCAGGCGTAGCGGTATGGGAGTCTAGATAACATAAAAAACCATATCCAAGAGTGTATATCCACTTACTTAGTCACGTGCAAAACTAGCTGTTTGCCAGTGGAAGAGCTATATACAGTAAGCTGCAAGGTTCTCCGGAACTTGAAACAGGCTTCTGCTAACCCGTTATGCTCCTTATTGTCAGACGTCTACAAGTACAGTATGTACTGTAAGTGCCTGTTGCTTGATGGTGTTTTTGTAGTATGAACAATGACAATCCAGATCTGCCCTAACCCGATAGAAGAGGAATCGCACTGCTGGAAGTGTCAAGCTCGTATTGTACAAGTATGAATCCATACTCGTCATGCCCTATACGAGTCGCACTTTCACATCACTCCAGAGCCCCTCTCTCTGAAGGCTCTAAAATCAAGGTTGATGTTTATCTGTCTAGGGGTCAGAGGATGGGGAGGATGCAGTTTTGGGTCATAATTTATATACTGTAGCTCGGTTTCCCCTCTATTTGATGTGGGGAGGTCTATGGCGAGTACCACACTACTTGTAGTATCATCCTATACTGTACCGGTGGCTACAGTACTCGTACGTCTGTGTAAAAATGTTCACTGTTTGGCACGACCAATATACTACAATATACAATAGTACCCCTTCTGTCTCACTTTCCGTCCGTTTATTATTCACAATAGTCGAATCGTAACTGTAGGAAGTAGCATGTGTGATAAATATGGATGGCATACAGATTACAAGAACGCTCTGTCTTTGTAGAAGTGCAAGTAACCAGAGATGATTCAGAATGTCAAAGAGACACAGTTAATAAAGCCTCATAATTCAGAATAGTCCGTATTGATTCATGTAGCTACCATTAGCACTCTTAACCTGTATGGTGATGGTGTCTTTTCTTGGTCCATCGCTAATAGTCAACCAATGCCAACTAATATCCAACTAACCCCTGCTGCTTACTCCAGGATCACGGTTGCTCCCAATGGATGCACCTCAATCGCGTCAACATGGAGCCTGCAGAGGCAGGCAAAACATCAAAGAAACCACAAACGGCTCAATTGATATTAGTGGAGTAACTAAAACCACTCTGACACTCTCAAATCATTCCACAATCACTCATGTGTGTCTCCTCTAACTACGGCTCCCAAATAAACTCGGTCCCTTACCTAGATCCATCCAACTCTATATACGTGACACGTTAAAAGATCATCGGTCCAGCTCTCACTGCACACCATATCAAAAGGGCCCATACCACGATGAAAATCTCGGCTATCTTCGCGCTGGGAGCTGCCTCTGCCGCCATGGCGCTTAAGGGCGTGGCTCCTGAAGATGAGCATCTCTACAAGATCTCCAATGGAATTTGGAAGTGTCTCAACCACCCCCACATCCGTCTGGAAGCCCACCAGCTCAACGACGACTACTGCGACTGTCCGGATGGCAGCGACGAGCCCGGAACCGCTGCCTGTGTCGGAATCAAGGACTACGATATTCGAAAGAAGCTCACATTTTACTGTGCTAACAAGGGTCATATTCCAGGACGACTTCCTTCCAACAGAGTAGGAGATGGTATCTGTGATTCCGACATTTGCTGCGACGGCTCCGACGAGGATGACGGCATCTGCCCCAACGTGTGTGCCGAGATGGCAGCCGAGCGAATCACCAAGGAGAACGAGCTCAAGAAGACTCTTAGTGAGGGTCTCAATGCTCGACAGAAGCTGCTGGGACGACTGGGAGCTATCCAGAAGACCACAAAGGAGGAGGAGAGCGCCATTATTGAGAAGATTTACGACATAAATGTCGGAATCAAGGAGGCCGAGAAGAAGCTGGCCGCTGAGATCGAGAAGGCCAAGGAGGACTTTGGATACGAGGCCCCCAAGCCCGAGCAGTCCCCCCTCGAGAAGCTCACCAATTTCCTCGGTCCCGAAATCCAGCAGAAAATCATGGGCTTTGCTACCGATGCTCGAATGTGGATGGTTGCTAACGGTCTCATGCCTCACCCTGACCATACCAAGAGTGCTAACTCCAATGAGCCCCAGAACGTACGAGACGCCCGAGACGAGCTCCAGGACGAGCAGGAAGAGCTGGAGAAGACTCTCGAGGAGCAGAAGGTGCTTGCTGACAAATCCAAGGCTTTGCGGGCAGGAAAGGCTCCTGCTGTCATCTTCTCCCTGCAGGGAGAGTGCGTCTCGTCCCACATCGGAGAGTACGACTACGAGGTGTGTTTCGGGCAGCAGTGCCACCAGCGAGGCAACAACATCAACGTGTCTCTGGGCCATTTTAACTCCATCGAGGAGCTGCCCCGATCAGCTGACTGGGATGAGGTTCTGGAAGGCCCTCGGTACTCGTATGTCATGCGGTACGTTTCTGGTGCTAGATGCTGGAACGGGCCCGAGCGTATCTCCAACGTCCATCTTCGATGTGGAGCAGAGCCTCAGATTCTATCTGTTTCCGAGCCTGAAAAGTGCGAGTATGATATTCGAATGGTGACCCCTGCTGTCTGCGAGGGCGCCATTGTCCAGGAGGGAAAACATGATGAGCTGTAGGCCACCCTATCAATGACCAGCAATAGTTAGATATACATAAACGAGAATAAAATGATTTGATGTACCGGATAAGATCGCGATTAATCGGCTTTAAGGTCGGTTTGGAGTCTGCGCAATGCAACTGCTTGAGCCGGACACACCCGTTTCTACGGTCCCTGGCGCTTCGGTTCACAGCTTTCAATAAAGGAGTACAGTCGGGTGAGTACGGTAGGTACTGTAGCTACGCTATATGTTCAATCGTCTAAACAAAATCCGGCGCAAGCGGCATCAGTGGTCCATGATGAGAACTGGCAGCATGCTGTAAGTGAGACTACATACATTATCACCCAACGTACCGCGATACCCATACCGTACATACTGTACGGCACTACTGTACAATATCTCTCGCTACTAGTAATAGAATTAGTGGAGTTTTGGCGCAGATGAGCAGTGATCGGAGATACCCGACACAGCTCCAGCACTACAAGTAGGACTCCTTTAGACGTTAATTTAATGGCATTGGAAGCGAATCCACCGGTTAATTTTGCTAAATTGCGTAAATGACCTACACAAATCACAATGTGAGAAGTCTTTGTCCTTCAAAGTGGTGATGTCATCTTACCGTAGCTACTAGCAGGTGAGAGACAGGGAGCTGTCAGTGATTAGTACAAGTAATATTAGTTGAATGCCGTGCAATAGCACAGCAGAGACGTCTGGCAACGTTGAGCCAGGTTGATTGAAAAACGTGGGAAATCCAAGACAACATCTCAATGTATAAGAACCGCTATACAGGGGGACTACAACAACCAACCTGTTGAGGCGTCTCCACGATTTGCTCACTTTGTTAAGGCACCACCACGCTCGACGAGACCGCACCGTCTCTACTGTGCTCTTGATGCACGACGATGTTTTCACTTGCGCATAACACCGGCCCTTGTGAGCGTGGTGCATTCTACAATCCAATTGGGCAGTCTGGCCACCAAATCATATCAATGTTAGCGTCTTTTTATTGTATATTAGACAAAATGTCCCAGGCTCTTCCAGTCCTGGTTTCAATCGATCAGTTCATAGCGCCACTTGAGATTGTCACACCACATCTCTCTTGATGGGTTTACTTTTGGCATCCACACCGAAGTTCTTGGGTTTTTGTACAGTCCGCCGAGTCCTTCTGATCGACACCATAGACTGTCAGTCTATCACTCCACCCTCCTCCAATCCACCTTACCACTCCCATTGCCATTCCATCCGGTAGTATGACTCGTCGGTGCTCAACACATGCTGCAGAAGATCAACCATAATTCTTCCGTTAAGTCTAATGAGACTCTCTCGCTTGTCGAGCAGCTTGCGTTGACGGAAACGTAGCTGTTGCTCGAGAACCTCGGGGCTGGGGGTCTCGGTAACTAGCCGGTGGATAGCATCAATGTCAGTCTCGCCCTCTTCAGCAAACCACACCTCGTTTTCAGACAGGTAAGTGTATGCATCAAGCAGTTTCTGGCTTCCCACCAAAGGAACCCCTGCGATAATGGAAGCAGGGACAGAAGAAGAGGCTTTCTTGGAGTAGTAGTCATTGGATGCAAAGGCAGGGACAATGGCAAGACCCTCGCTCATGTGACCATAAAAGTCTGTGAAAGACAGGTCTGTCATGAATTCGACCTTGGACTTGATCTGCTCAGGGACCTCAGGTGGGATGCCATGACCAACAAGATACATTTTGACTGAAGACATGCTGTCAACGATCTTTGCAAGTTGACTAAATAATAACTTGTAGTCTCGTCGCTTGGAATCAAAGTCTCCTTGTAGATTGAGTCCCAGGACTGGCATGGGCGACTTGTGGGGTCGGGTGGGGGCTCTGAAAACAGGAGTAAAGACCTTCGTACGGAGCTTTTCCTGGTGCTCGGGACTCCAGGTAGCAGCAGATTCGTTCTTAAGGTTCTGGTTGACGTGCTCAGATAGAGTGACAAAGGTGACTTGATTCTTTTCGATCCAAGGAGACAGTCGCTCGTAGTGACCGTAGTCGCTGTTGGCGAGCCATCTGTCGGCGTGATGAACTACACAGACAAGAGAGACTCCCTGGGCGAGCCATTCGTTGAACACTGCAGAGTGCTCTTTAGAGTCGTGCTCACAGGTGATAGAGAGAACGACATCTGGTCGGCCCACGCGCGTCTTGTACTCCTTCAGTTTGTTGCTATGCACGTACTTGGCCACGTTGGTGTGGTTACCAATGGTCGACTTCATGATAGGACCCATCTGAAATCGCACCAGCTTGAAGAAGGGATAGATGAACGCAGAAGACTTGGAGGTAGTCTCGACGAGCGAGGTCAGAAATGCGGTAGTGACCTCCTCGTGACTTCCTCCGGATTCCAGCAGAATCACCTTGGAGGGCTTTCCACTTGCCGGTCGATACACCGCTTTGTTACCCGTCGTGTAGCGGTATAGGTTGAGCTTGTCGATGTGCCCTGTCGAGTGAATAGTGTAGAGAACGATGCCGCAGAGTGCTAAGAAGCACGCAATAACAGGGAGTCGCAAAAACCGTCTTGGTATCATTGAATGCTCTTGTGTGTTTGTGTGGCGAAGTTGATGTTCAAGTCAAGACAGTTGGGCGAAGAAAGCTCGGCAGCAGCATGGTGTCTCGTTGGTGTCTTTTGACGTGCTTGTTCCTGTATCCGAAACAGTCTCTGCTGTATGTGTTGTTCCCGTTAGAGTTAATATCTATCTCTGTATGTAAAGATCTTCTGATCGCCAGGTCGACTCCTTCTGTCTTTCGTGTGGGGATGGTGCTGACGACTCTGCTACTGTCTAGGGTGCAACCATTGCGTTCTTGATTCCCTCGTCACCCGTCCTGCAAATTTCTCAACTGTAACTACAAATTGCATGCCGCATTCATTTGAGAAGCCCGTGGTATTCGTATGCAACAAGGTTCAGCTGACTGACATTTATTTTTGAGGTATTGGAAGCTGACCAAGGCAGTTTAAGGGGGACGCTGAAAGGCTGCAGTGGCAGCGGTATCCAGTCCATCGTCTTCGCCAACAGCTATATGGTCGATTTCCCGCTTTACAGACGTTTTAAACCACTCTTCGTGTTTATTTTGTAGGTTAATTCAGATTGCACGTTGCAGCATACCCTGATCCGGCAAGCGAAAAAATGCAAGCCTTGCCTTGATACAAGTATTCGTAGGTCTCCTTTGCGACTGCGATAACGATAGTTCAAAAGCCACAAATAACTACAAGTAGTGTTCTTATAATGATTGAGGGTTAAACTGGAAAATAAAACTTTGTTCAGTACAATAGACACAAATATCCATCACTACTCTCCTTATCTCTACTACCCATACTCGTATTCCTCAGCTTCACAATATTCGCCTGTCTCTGGGACGACCCACTTCCCATGTCTTTGTTCGCCATCAACGCACAAACCTAAAGGCACAGCCCCAGGTGCAGAATTGCATATTAGGAAGTCACCTATAAATGAAACAAGGTGAGGAGGAGCTATATCTATGGTAGGTACAGTAGGTACTGTACAGTATGTTCTTGTACTCGTACTTGTGATGTACGATACTTAGGACCATGTTTGAACTACCCGTTTAAGAAGCAGTACCTCGTAGAAAGCACCTTCAACCGAAGTACTTTGCTTCACAACACCTTGGGTGGACATACCCAAACAACCGCGATTAATAATTAAAGTGTGGAGATTCATCCCATTTACGTCACATGTATATCGTGGAAGTCATGGTCGGCCCACTGTACAGTTGTGGGAAAGTGAACAGTACGGAAAGAAACTGGGGTGTGAGAGTGTTGCGATTTAAGGCCTGGGCCAAGCGTTCAAAAAAGGGGGAGTCAGATACCCGGCATAATATACGTTGTTTTTTTCTCGCTTGCGCAGTAGGTGTATATGCATAATAGGTGAAATATTATATGAAGGAGCATGCGAGCAGTCAGGGGAACAATGGGTTCATAAGCACCAAAGCGGCACGTGCCTATGGGGTGGTGGGGTTGAACACCGAAGTTGAAATTTCGTGCGTGCGAAGCAATGAAGAGACCGGGTGTATCTATATACAACTAGTGGGCTTCATGTTAGATAGCTCTGCAGCTGAAATCATTGCTGAAGTTTTTGACAAGTGCAGGTACAGCATGTACACTGTTATTACTGGTACACCCATACATTGTAAAATACTTCCAGTACTTAGAAGACTTAAAAAACTATTCGACATTGTTCTCAAGGCAAGTGTTCAGGACAAAGCTGTTTGCAGAAGACAATAGATACATCAATTAGTCCAAGCACTAGCCACGGAGGACAGTTGAGTCGAATACTGGTGCTCTTGTGACACTTACCGCCTAAATTACTACCCACGTATAAACTGCCATTTCCAAGGGCGAATAATTTGGCATTCGGGCCAGATATCGACTACACAACCCCTAATCCTTCCAATCCTCCCCCTCTACTTGCACTTGTACTCCAATGCCATAAATCGTCATCTATAATGCATCCATCAGCTCTTTCGGAAGTAGTTAGTGTAGTACCATTGGAGCTCAGCAATACTCTCCTCAATGTCGCTTCGAGCGGTATGAGCGCTCACTTTTCGAGGTACCTTTCTGGACATCTTAGGGTTATGACGCTTCATGGCCTCCTTGATGGAAGACACGTCCAGAATCCGATAATGTAAATGCTCGTCAATCTTGGGCATGTCCTTGGCCAGAAAGACTCGATCCTGATGCACAGAGTTTCCGGCAAGCACACCGGCCCCTTTTCGAGGAACAAATCGCTTGATATAAGCCAACAGCTCCTCTTCCACTTCAGTCATAGTCTTGGTGCTCTCAATGCACTTTTGTGTGAGTCCGCTCTGGCCGTGGTGCTCCACACACCAAGCACTCATGGCGTCGAGCTTTTCCTTAGGACAGTGGATCACAGCCTCATAGCCTTTGGGGTCAATGACCTGGAGGTTATCGTCGGTGAGCAGACAGCAGATTTCGATGATCTGATCGTTCTTGTGATCCAGACCTGTCATTTCACAGTCGATCCAAACAAGGGGGGGCTCCATTTTTACAGGTGGTGCTTGGAACCAGTAGGTGAGTGATTTGGTGAAGAGTAGCCTCTGGGGAGTTAGCACAAGCTTCTTCAGTGGTAGAGGCCGTTTCCGAAGCGATCTGTAGACAAACCGCGATATCTGGGGCGACATGAAGTTTCCGCAGACAAGGTTACACTGCAGGAAATGCGTCTAGGAATCTGGAAGGTGCAAGTTCCCCCCTCCTCCATTTGGACTCCAGGTTCAATCCCTGTTGTCTTCATGTTGTTTTGGAACGACAAAAACGCGTCCCAACTATTTTGCTGAAATCGCCCTATTCAACGGAAAGTCAATATTTCTCGACCGATCATTTCGGACCACTCGAAACGCGCGACGCTCACATAAGCTTCACGTACCATCTCTAAAAGTCTGGCTTCCTCTGGGCTGACTAAACAACAGATGAAAATGCTCCCAAATTGGGCTGATTAAGGTTTTAATGCGACTGAAAAGTCGGTCCAGAAAGCTCTGAACTACTTGTATTGAGTGACCATTTGCATGCTTTCCACTGCTTTTTCGTGCGGTGTACACTATCTACTTGTAGTGTGACTGTTGTTGGGTCCTGGTGCCTCAGACTTTTATTGTGCGTCTCCAGTGTAATCGCGAAACGCCAAACAGTCGCCCCACGTTAAGGTTTATGACGCCCGGGTAACCCGCGTAGCCTAATCCGGCATTGACCAAACATAAGGGACGTGATCAGCACCTTTTGAACCACACATTCCGAAATACACACAAAATGCGAGAAATCGTTTCCCTCCAATGCGGACAAGCCGGAAACCAGGTCGCAACTGCCTTTTGGAACACAATCACCGAGGAACATTGTCTGGACGACGATGGGTTCTTTGTAGGCGACAACCGAGAGCAGAGTGACCGACTTGAGGTCTTCTTTTCCGAGGCTTCCAACAGAAAGTATGTACCTCGAGCTGTCGCTGTCGACCTCGAGCCTGCCACTCTAGACTCCATCAGATCTGGCAAACAGGGCCATCTGTTCCGACCAGACAATCTAATTAGCGGACAGTCAGGAGCAGGCAACATTTGGGCAAAGGGATACTACACAGAAGGAGCTGAGTTGATGGAGACGGTAATGGACGCGGTGCGACGCGAGGCAGAGTCATGCGACGCCCTTCAGGGATTCCAGGTAACCCACTCTCTGGGAGGAGGAACCGGTTCAGGAATGGGCACTCTTTTGCTGTCGAAAATCAAGGAGGAATATCCCGAGCGCATGCTGGCCACGTACTCGGTTCTTCCCTCACCTAAGGTCTCCGAGACCGTCACTGAGCCCTATAATGCTGTGCTCTCTTTCCACCAGCTCGTTGAGCAGGCAGATGCTACCTTCTGTCTGGACAATGAAGCTCTGTACGATATCTCCACACGAACTCTCAAGATTAAACAACCCCGGATCCAGGACCTCAACAACCTCATCTCCAAGGTCATGTCGGGCGTGACCACTTGTCTGCGATTCCCGGGCCAGCTGAACGGAGACCTTCGAAAGATGGCTGTCAACCTGGTGCCCTTCCCCCGACTCCATTTCTTTACAGTCGGCTACGCTCCGCTTTTTTCGGCAGCCTCACAGTCGTTCCAGCAACTCGAGGTTCCCGAGCTGACCCAACAGCTCTTCAACCCCAACAATGTCATGGCTGCTTGTAATCTGTACAATGGCCGGTACTTGACGGTGTCCACCATTTTCCGAGGAAAGGTGTCGACCAAGGAGGTCGAGGACTCTATCCAGACCGCTCGAACCAAACACTCACCCTACTTCGTCGAGTGGATTCCCAACAACATCCAGACGTCGGTCTGCAATGTGCCTCCCAAGGGGCTCAAGACCTCTGCTACTTTTGTGGCAAATTCCACTGCAGTGCAAGAGCTCTTTACCCGAACCGCAAGCCAGTTTTCGGCTATGTTCCGACGAAAAGCTTTCATCCACTGGTACACTGCTGAAGGTATGGAACTGATGGAGTTCACCGAGGCCGAGTCCAACCTGCACGATCTCATTGCTGAATATCAGCAATACCAGGAGGCTGGTGTGGATGACGATCTCGGATACGAAGAGGGAGAGTATGTTGAGGAGGAGTATCTGGAATAATTCTGCAGACTATCCCTCTGCATTTTGTATAGCTAATGTAATATTTATGACTATCTCAGAGATTGTACAATGCGTGATGTGTGATATATAATAATATAGCTTATAGCAGATTGAGCCGCTGAGCTTCTCTACCAATTGTGAGATCGTCTACAAGTAGCTACTTGTATTACAAGGAAACACAGTAAAAATTCCAACACGTGTTTCTTTGCGATACCAAGTCAGTATCCATGGTTATACGTACAAAACAGGAACATTGGCGAAGTGTTACTGTGTTACCACAAGTTGAACGCACACCAGACGACTCTAAATTAATTTAATGGGATACAATGATATTATCTTTTATTATACCAGCCCCAGCAAATATTCTGCAGTATGTAATGATAGCTCGTGAATTCATCTTACTAACTGCAGCTTAATTATACCTGCTTTTTGCCATCCTATATTGTAGCAGCGACCTGTTTCGTTACTATTTCTGTAGGCGCAATATGAAATCTCGTATGCCGAACCGAAGGAAGAAGCCACCATGCAGATTGACTGCAGGTAAGCCGCTCTTACCTATAAGATGATAGTCATGAGGGGAGTGCCGAATGCACGATACTGTAACCTCTTTCGTCTCCATCCATATATAATCAATCTACAGAAAGTAATTGTATTTATAATTTCTTGGTACATGTGACAACAGCCTCCGACGCCACTACTCGTAGCCCAGGATCTATAGTTAACTCATTTTCCACTCGAAAATCTAAATCCCAAGGTGGATCTTTAACACCTGGCACCAAAACCCTATCCACGCATCACGCGTACTTACATATCGCATAATCAATCTTACTCACACAACACACTCGCTCTCACGATGGACAAAAACATCGAAATGATGCACCGGAAACGGGCCAAGGATGTTGATCAGGGCCTCCCTGTGTCAGCATCCAATTGGGCGGAGGTAGCTACCGACGAAATTGGCGAAGTCGCAGCTCAAAACTACACCTCTACTACACACGACCGAAAGACGCTATCCTTCTCTCAGTTGACACCTAAGGATCGCCAGCGATTTCTTGTTCTCGTGCTGCTCTATCTGCTCCAGGGTATCCCTCTTGGTCTCGCTATGGGTAGTGTTCCCTATCTGCTGAAGGAACATCTGTCTTATGGTGAAATCGGAATCTTCTCCCTAGCCTCCTACCCCTACTCGCTAAAGTTGCTGTGGAGTCCAATTGTCGATGCCTGCTACAACAAGTCGTTTGGACGGAGAAAGTCGTGGATTGTACCAATCCAGGCTGTCTCTGGACTCGTGCTGATCTGGCTGGGGACCTTCATTGAGAAACTCATTATGGGAGGGATCAATGAACCTGGGTCCCAGCCCGTGGAAAAGAACTTGTTCAGAATCACACTCTTCTTCCTTCTGCTGGTGTTCCTTTGTGCCACCCAAGATATTGCTGTGGACGGATGGGCTCTGACTCTGTTGTCGAAGGAGGCTCTTTCCTACGCTTCTACTGCCCAGACTATCGGTCTCAACACTGGCTATTTTACCTCTTTCACTGTGTTTCTGGCTTTCAATGGTCCTGATCTAGCCAACAAGTACTGGCGATCTGTGCCCTCAGCTGACCCTCCCATCTCTCTGTCTGGATACCTCACTCTCTGGGGACTCATCTACCTGGCTGTGACAGTTTGTGTCGCCCTTTTCCAGAAGGAAGACCGAGAAAAGCACGACGACGACTCCCTAGTTACGATCTACCGGACCATGATGAAGGTGCTCAAGCTTCCCAACATCCAGATCTTTATTCTTGTCCATTTTCTGTCAAAGATTGGTTTCCAGGCCAACGAGGCAGTCACCAACTTGAAGTTGCTCGAGAAGGGATTCTCCAAGGGCGAGCTCGCATTGACGGTTCTTATCGACTTCCCCTTTCAAATTATCTTTGGGTACTACGGAGGCAAGTGGTCCACTGGTAAAGAACCCCTCAAGCCCTGGATGATGGCATTTGTAGGCCGTCTGGGATGTGGAGTACTTGCCATGCTCGTGGTCTACATGTTCCCTACTGAGCGAGCCAAGTCCGGAGAAGGTATTGGATTTGGATACTTCATGGTCGTCATCATCATGCATGTTCTCAACTCCTTCCTCAGCACCATCCAGTTCATCTCTATTACTGCCTTCCATACCCAGATTGCTGACCCTGTCATCGGAGGCACCTACATGACCACCCTTAACACAATTTCCAACCTGGGCGGTCTCTGGCCAAAGATTATTGTTCTCAAGGCTGTCGACTGGTTCACATCCGCCACCTGTACACCCAAGGCTGGCAAGACCTTCGCTGCCTTCTCATGTGTGGCCAAGGAGGCCAAGAACATGTGTGAGCAGAGTGGAGGTATCTGCACCATCCAAACCGATGGCTACTACATCACCTCGATGCTGTGCATCACCATTGGAGCCACGCTGTTCTTTGGATGGATTTACAAGAAAATGCGCTTCCTTGAGTCGCTCCCTATTTCAAGCTGGAGAGTTTGAGGCTGTATATAGATACATTAGACGAATAAAATATGAAAGATAAATGTTTGTACGAATAATTAGATATGCTTCAGTCACTTGTTGAATTGCGTTAAATACGTTAATCATACTCTACATAAGCTCCTATCCGTGCAATAATTACTGTATGTACCTACATGTTGTAGCTGGAGCGCTCTACTCCTCAATGTAGAGGGCGTCCTTGGCAGCCTTGACAACAATCTCGGGTGTGGGGAAGGCGAAGTTCTCAAGCTCAATGGCGTAAGGAGTGGGAACCTCAGCTCCGGTAACTCGCTGGATGGGGGCATCAAGGTAATCCCAGGCCCAGGAGTCGTTGACGACACCACAGAGCTCGGAGCCCATGCCAAAGGCGGGGAAGCCAGCCTCGACAGAGACAAGTCGGTTAGTCTTCTTGATGGAGTTGAAAATGGTCTCAGTGTCGAGAGGCTTGACAGTTCGCAGGTTAATGACCTCGGCATCGACGTTGTGGTGCTTCTTGAGGAGGTCGGCGGCCTTGAGGGCGGTCTCGACGTTTCGGGAGTGACCGACAAGAGTGATATCCTTACCCTCTCGCTCAATCTTGGCCTTTCCAAGGGGCAGAACGAAGTCGGGGGACATGGCCTCCTCAGACATGGGGAAAGACTCTCCGTACATGATCTCGTTCTCGAGGAAAACAGTCACGTTGGGGTCTCGGATGGCGGCCTTGAGCAGACCCTTGGCATCCTCAGAGCTGTAGGGAGAGACGACCTTGAGACCGGGAATCTGGCCGTACCACCCGGTGAAATCCTGAGAGTGTTGGGCAGCAACACCAGCGGCGGCACCGTTAGGACCTCGGAAGGTGACATTGCACTGCTGGGTACCTCCGGACATGTAGTAGGTCTTGGCACCGGAATTGATGATCTGATCAATGGCCTGCATGGCGAAGTTCCAGGTCATGAACTCGCAGACGGGGGTGAGACCGGCCAGGGCGGCACCGACACAAACACCGGCGAAACCCATCTCGGTGATAGGGGTGTCAACCACTCGCTTCTCGCCGAACTTGTCGAGAAGGCCCTTGGTGACCTTGTAGGCACCGTTGTACTGGCCGACCTCCTCACCCATGATGAAAACATTATCGTTTCGGTCCATCTCCTCTCGCAGTGCGGTGTTGAGGGCGTCTCTGACAGTCATCTAGGTTAGTACGTTGTTTTGGGTGTTGTCATGTTGATGTTGTTGGAAGTGTACAGAGCATTGTACAATTGCGACATAGCAGGAACGCAATCAACGGCTGAATCGCCGAATCGCTATTTCACAATTGGCACCTACAGCTTTGATAACTCCGGCAGCTCCAGACACGGAGTGCAGTTACAGCATGAGGCTGAATGTCCGCGTCACAATGATGATAAAATGGGTGCGTTTCAGGAGTTGCTGAAAATTTGACTGGTGGCAAATATCACTGAAAGCTCGTCACTCCATTGTGATCTCTCTCGCTATAACCGTGTTTGCTTCTTCTGCCATGTCTTAAGTCCGAAAAGCACTGTTTGCTGTTGATGAACACCCGTTACACAACGCTCGAGTTGCCCCATTCAGGGCGCATCGCGAAGCCGCAAGCGCACGGCCGTCGTGTATATATCGTGTCGTTCACACAAAAAATACTCACGTTAGTGGCGCCGCCTTCGGTTGAGGCAGCTCGGGTCTGGCCCATCATTCGGATGGCAGCCTGCTGGCCAGCAGTGGGCAGCAGAATCTGCTTGGAGGCGGGCTTGAGAACAGAGGTCTTGGCGGTGGCGGCCAGACGGTTCAATTGCTTGATGGCAGACATGTTTGTGGCTTGTTGCTGTGGGACCGAAAAAGATCTCAGATATCGTTTGTCGATGAAGAGTCTTGTAGTGAGAGATTTAGCTCGGAGGGGCGGTTGAGAGTTATTTCCCAACAGAATAGAGCCTAACCTGCTGGCGGGTCACATAACCCGGAAAAACTTTTCGAGCTAATTTTCCGAGTGCTCAGCAGCGCGTTGCGCGGAAGTGGAGTGGAAATGACGGTTATAGAACGACTCAATTCCCAGACTGGATACACTGGCAATGTTTTGTCACACATTTTTGGTCAAAACAAGCGCAACTACCTTGGTATTACAACGTTCTAGTGACACGTCCACCCGGACTAATTTAGGTTGGTCCCCCACGTCACACAGAGGACTAAAGAGGAGAGCCTACTGCTGTGTACACGAGAGTGAGTGGCTATTGGCGGTAGCAAAAATGGGGGTCCAAGACGAGCGTAAAGCTCAACACGCTCAGAAGTCCGATTATCGGAGCTTGGAATTACTAACCAAGACGCACATGTCACGTGAACACAATATAATACATGGTGCGTCCCTCGAGGATCTACCCTGTTGGTGTCTACTATCGGAATAATCTAGATGCAAACATAGCTATGAGCTTCAGCTATACGGGGGCGTGGACTGGACGTACGTACAGAGCAGGTGTACAGCAGTAAATATGTACAAGTCTGTAGGAAGGGAGCAAAAACCACCAATTGAACAGTGTGCGGTTTTGACGTGCATGCATACACACAAGAGGCACTGCTTGGTGTTGAGACAGCAAGTTGAGATAGGAGCGGGCAGTAACATATTAGATACAGGACCCTAAGTGCCTGTACTTGTATATCTAATGTGCGCTATGTGCAGTGTCTACTGTATGTATCCCAATTGTACATCGCCAAGTAACATTTTACATTGTACAGTACAGTAATGACTTTCAGTGTGTGCATTCAACGATCATTTATTTCCCACATAATTACAGTAGCCCAACATGACTACTTAATATTAGCACAACTTTTGGCTGGGTGAAATTTCTGACGTCAACGGCGATTGGGAATGTTGAGCTTTAGCCAAGTACAAATACAACAGTTGGGCCATATCGGCTACGCAAATCCGCACGAATCTATGCTAATACTTTCGTTATAGGGCTTCTGTTAGAACAGCAAGTGTTTTTTGAGTACCAGTGGGGTTGTCTGAGCGGGTGTGCTTTGCTACAACTCCTGATTGTTGTTGTGGGAGTGCCTTAAATAGGCATCTGACCCACCCGCTTGTAGCCAAACATCTCGCCGATCTTGAACCAGAGGTTTCGAAGAGGATCGACGACAATTTTGGCCAGCGAGGCGCCTCGTCGCTTCTGCTCACCGCCCTGGACTTCGTTGGTGCTGGGCAGAACGTAGTCCGAGGCACTGAGGGAGATGAAGAGTGAAAAGGGCACAAGCCAGATGCAGATGACAAAGTAGGACGCCACTTGAGCAAAGGGCAGCCGGGTCTCTCCTACGTAGTCCAGATTGTGGTATCGAATAGACGCCGGGGGAAGCTCAGGGTCCGAGAAGTGGGAGAACCAGAGGAAGTGATTAATGAGGACGAGCACAGCACTTCCAATAAAAGTTGGAGAGGTCAATTCAATCATAGGGAACCGCTTCAGATTCTGTAGATACACCATCTGTGAGCCCACGGACATGACGGACAACCAGAAGGGGAAGCCATCAATGAGCCACAGCAGAACGTCGACTGTGATGATGAAGTAGATGAGCCGGTAGAGAGACTTACGGGCGATTGAGGTGTGCTCTTCAACTAGCTCTGAGAGGTAGTAGAGGCCAGAAGCTGTGTTAGTGTCTATGCAGGCGTGTACACGCGTCCAGACGAGATGTTTCCGAGTGTTAACAGGGCAGAGTTGAATGATCAGAGGATAAGGCTGAATATCGGCGAGAAACACAACCAATACTTGAACAGATGAGCTCCCGATCTTCAACTTCAATTCGTCTTCACGCAAACGGCCCAGTGGCAACCTTCTCATCTTGCACGATTAGCACAGGCTCACCAACACCTGTCGTACCATGAGTATTAAAAAAAAAACCACACAAACCTCTCCATTTCACTCACCAATAGCTCCGGTAAGGAACAGAAAGCCGAATAAGGATCCGACCCATGAAAGCAATAACAAAATCATCGTGTCGTATTCTTCGTCGCGTTATACTGGTTTCGCGATAAAAGGCAACGCCCGATCTGGCCATATCCCTAATCCTGCTTTCTTCCCAAAAGCTGGCTTTTTCAACTTTAGTGCGTGACGTAATCTTTAGACTGAAATATTCGCAGCAAGCTCTCCCCTTGCGTACAGCTCAGACCGCAGTTCATCATACATGCATATACAGATCAGGATATCGCAACAGTCTAATAGAACCGCCTGATCCGACACAAAAATGAGGTGAGTACTCACAGAGACACTGTCAGCGTTACAACGCAACTAACCCAGTTTTGCATTTGGAAGCAGTGGAACGTCTTTCAACTCCGGTGTCTCCTTTAGCTACATCACTGGAGTTCCTGATACAAAGGCCGTTACGCCTCCAGCACGAACGGTACTGTTCAAAAACCTGCTGAAACGAGATGCAAGCACCAGAGAAAAAGCCATCTCCGAGTTGCTGACCCAGCTCCAAGCCAAGAACCCAGAGACCCTCGACAAGACCACATATTACGCCTGGATCCAGCTTTACGCTAAGCTAGCTATCGACATTAGCCGAGTAGTACGAGATAAGGCACACCGATGCCAGGGATACATTTGCAGCATTCTGGGTCCCCAGAGTGTTCCCCATTTGGGCGATGCCATCTGTCCTTGGCTTTTGGGAACTGTCGATTCTGACAGACAGGTTGCTATGGCAGCCATGCAGTCTCTGGATATCGCCTTCCCGGACCCTGAGAAGAGGGGCAAGTTTCTCAAGACATTCCGAAAGAGCTGTGTCACCACTCTGGTGGAAGCTCTCCGAACAGAGACAAAGGACTCACTTTCTGACGACCGATTCGTCACCAAGGAGGAGGCGGATGCCAAGTTCAACCGGTTCCGATCGTCCGGAATCGCTTTACTAGGAAACTTGCTACCATTCAAGCAATCCGAGCTTGACGAGGGATGCGAGGACATTCTGCATGATGATAAACTATGGAACTCGGTCACCTCTGACGACTCTGCTTTGGCCCAAGCAGTTATCACCCTGGCTTCTAAGATGATCACTGACGACTCTCTGCATGAGACCTTCTCCAACACCCTCCTTAGAAAGGGTCTTGGATCTATCAATCCCGGCTGCATCTCTACTTACACTAAACTTATCACAAAGCTGACCGTGACCAATCCAGAGATCTGGTCCATGGCCAAGAAACCCCTTACTCCCCAACTGAGCAAGTACCTACGGACCTCAAAAGCGTGGAACGAGATTCCTGTTCTTATTGAGGCCATCAACAGAACTTCCTTGGCTACAGATATGGACAAATTGATGGCTGACTTCCTGTCTGGCGTCACTTCTGATGAATCACCAGGTGCATGGATCTGCTTCTTTGACACCATTGCGAAGATCGCCAACACCAGTCAGCTTGGAGCCGCCCTTTCTCAGCTCGGGAAGCTCAAGGAGATCATTCGACCCAGGGGGTTGTGTAATGCTACTCTCACTCCCACGGGTCAGATGTATCCTTATGTTTCTAACCTAGCTCGAGCATGCCATTCTGAGTTCGAGACAGCCTACAATGCCGCCATCACTCGAACTACCGAGAAGAAGGATTTCCTTACATTCGAGAAACTGATGCAACTCACTGCTTTCTTGATGGAAGATGAACCTCTCCGTCCTATTCTTGGACCTGGTATTGAAGCTATCTTCACTTTTCCCGTTGAGAAGGCTACAAAGGCTCTGCTCTACCCCGTGAACAAGTTCCATCTTCTTAGTGAGTCTCTTCAGAACAAGTTCATTGAGTTCACCATGGCTCTGCCTCTCCACTTTACTGCAGATAACGTCGGGCTTTTGCTCGACCTGGCCCAAGATATGGCTCGAAAGATGCCCGCCGAAGATGTTGACAAGTTCTTTGCCATCACCACCGATAACATTGCAAAAGTGGAAGACACTGAGACTCGACAGAATCTCCTGCATGCATTTGTCTCTTCCCACTGGCCTACTACGCTTCCCGACTCTGTGGTCACCCTACTTGAGGGCACCCTGGACCACAGCTCTACAGCTCTTCTGCTCAAAGGCTCTTTCACAGATGAACAGAAGAAGGCTCTCTTCTCACATTTTGAGGATGACCTTCTAGGCGATCCCACTGCTCTTGAGGATCTCTCTGATGGTGTTCTTACTCGACTGTGTGACGGATTCCTCGTTGACAATAGAAGCATCCTCTTCGAAGACGTTATGTTCGAGCCTTTCATCGAGAAGCTGCTTGGAAAAATCGAGGAGCTTGAGTACACTAACAAGGAACTAGCCTCCAAGCTGGCTGAGCAGTGTGTCAAGGCTGGACTCAAGGACTATCTTTTGAGCTCTGGAGTTCGTGACTTCATTGCCGATCTGTCCAAGCGCGTGGCTGTTCCATGGCTTTTTGAGGCTTGTCAGCTGTTTTTGACCAAGCTGCAGAACCTCCTGCAGTATGATCTGTCTCCATCTCTAACGGTTACGTCCAAGTTCGGAGGAGCTGTTCTGTTTGAGCAGTTCGTTGGTCCTGATGAACTTGCAGGTGTCAAACCTGAGCCTCGTCTCATTGACGAAGCCCTCGGCCTTTTTGGCTTCATGTTCACCCTCGATAAGATCAAGCCTGTTGACGACACTCTAGTAGAGTATGTGACTGTTGCCAAGAAGTACACTGAACTTAACAGTGTGACCACGGACTTTGATTTCGATCGGTACGCTGCTTTTGCTTCTATGAACGCCCTATCGAATGATCTCAAGACCAAATTCGAGGACAACAGCAAACTCAACGGACCTGCCGCATTCTATTATGCTCAGATTGTCGCCGATACAACTGTTCCAGTTGGTACCGTGAATGTGCGAAAGCTAGTACAGGAAGAAAAGTATACTGAGGCTCTGATTGACATTGTTTCTCGATCCGAGGAGGATTTCCAACAGACTCTCAGCTACTTGGCTTCTGAGATTCCTTCTGTTTCTGCCTTGGAGATTGAAGCAAAAAGCGGTTTCAACCGACTGGTTCTCATCAATTGCATCTTCGAATGTTCCGAGTACGAACTTGACATACCTCTTCAGCGACTTAGTATGATGACCAACACTCTTTTCGACTGGTGTTTGGAGGCTGAGAATGCCTTTGAGTTGGACTTCATCCCGATTCGAGCTGAGATAGCCAAGCTCATCTTGCATCTTGAGGACCAGGATGTTTCGCGAGACTTGTACGAGAAGTTCCTGTCCTTTGTTATTGAGGGTCTCAACATTCTGTCAAGTTTGGATAAGGATACTATTGACGGCGATATTGCCGAGATTGTCGATGGCTTCCGTCTCCAGCTGTTCAAGATTCTGGCTACCTACTTCAACAACAAGGAGACTAACCCTGTTCTGGCCGAGGTCTGGAAGGAGGAGATTGACAGTGTGTGGGAGGATCTTGCCGGCCATTTCTGTACTTACGTCACTTCTCCTTCTCCCCTTGCCGTCAAGGTGGACCGCCTTCTTGGACGAATTGCTGTTCACGTTCCGATCAAGTACTTTGAGCTCGACAAACTGTTTGGTGTTGTGGCTCGGTCTTCTCCCGATTGCCAGTTTGCTGCTACCAAGCTTGCTCTTAAGATGATTCCTGACCAGCAGGAGGAGCTCTCTATCAACGTTGAGCTTGCCAAGACTAAGGTTGCCAGTGAACATGACGATGAGGACCACAACATCGACGTAACTCTTTCCCCTGAGCTGCGGTCCGTTGTTGAGTCTGCTGAGCCTGGTTCTTCCCGGTTCCTTCTGGCTTGGATTCTCATCTTGGATCATCTCGATGCCTCATCTTATGCCATTAAGCAGGTGTACCTTGATCAGCTCAAATCTTCTGATGCTGTCAACGACATGCTTACCTGCATTTCTGAGATGGTCCAGACCAACCCCTCTACCAAGAACCATACTGCCTTTCCTAAGACTCTGGACCTCTCTGTTCTTGCAGCGCATCTTTATTACCGAGCACTGGTCCATCTTGGATCTATCACCCGTCTGTGGTTCGCTGACATCAAGAAGCGATCTGTTGCTCTTGCTGTCAAGGAGACCACTAAGAAGCACTTCTCCCCTCAGCTTATCGAAGACGAGATGGAGCGAGTCGAGGAGCTTCTCAATAAGGCTTCTTTGGATGACAGCATGTCTGTGCGGTTCAACAAGCAAACACACGAGGTTCGAGCTACCTACCTTGTTGACGAGCAGAAGATGGAGATCTCCATTGTTATTCCAGATGACTACCCTCTGTCCGCCGTAACTGTTGAGGGCGCAGTTCGAGTGGGTGTTCGAGAGAACAAGTGGCGAGCATGGCTACTGGCTTCTCAGGCCATTGTTGCCAACAAGAACGGTACTATTGTTGATGCTCTGGAACTTTTCAAGAAGAACATTTCTCTTCACTTCTCTGGTGTGACCGAGTGTGCCATTTGTTATTCTATTTTGCATCAGGACAAGTCCTTGCCTTCCAAGACTTGTGGCACTTGTAAGAACAAGTTTCACAGTGACTGTTTGTACAAGTGGTTTAAGAGCAGTAACTCTTCCACCTGTCCTCTGTGTCGAAGCACCTTCAGCTTCCGAGTCGGCAAGTAGTCCATGTATATATGTACTATTAATGAATTGTATTTTATAGAAGCCATTGGCCACATCAATTTGCATAAGATAATTTTGTCATTTGTTACAAATGTGCAATTACAATACATACTTACTATAAGGTGGGAAGCTCCTGTTGTCCATCACCAAAACTTTTGGGAGGAGAAGCGAAGGTACATTTTATAGGCACTCCAGGTTCCCCGGTTCGAACAGTGCTACTTGTACCCGGAACCTTCTTAAGGTATGTAAATGTGAATTTGTCCATGACTGGCTATCCCACGATAGTCAACATGCATCATCTTTATCTAACTCACATTCCACCAAGTGGCACTCTCCTTGAATCGGCGTGGCTCGAACACCTATTTCAAGCTCCACTTTTTAGCACGTACTGTATGTACTTGCCTTGGCGCAGTAGAGTTTGGGAAGGAGTCCAAGTTTCCGAGGTCACGGTACAGGTGTTATAAACCTCAAAGGGTTTGGTGGGATGTGCAAGTGAAACGAGAAGTGTTTACGAGAGAGACTTCATACCCAGGTTGCTAACTCCTGAACTTCAGAACTTTGCACTAATCATTTCAAGGTCAAATAACTCCCTATTGTGTGTGCCAGCTTACTCGTCCCACCTTGTATGCCAACAGAAAGCCAATTTACCGACGAGCGTAGTTTCTGGTCCCAACGAAATGAGGGGGATCGGGACGTAGCAAATCAAGCAAGCACCCACTGTTGCTGTCTGATTAGGTCATCCAAACGGCTCATACTGTAGAAAGGAAGTCTTCTGGTGCAGCCATCCATCAGTTGTCCAATCCTTTAACATGCCCGAAAATACCCCAAGCTGCACCAGCCACGCTTCTTGGATGCAATATTTTCCCTAATTTTGCACGTGGCTGAAGTTTAACGTGGCATTGACCCAAGGGCGTGTCTGACGGACAGGTACAAGAGTTATGGGTTGAGAACGGCACAAAAACAGACGGGGAAAACGATTGCGTTACACCTCTGGCTGTCGGGCAATTCCATACTCTATGGCAATCGATCTCGAGTTTCTATACGTGCATGCAAGGTCATATGTTGCCTCTAAACTTTTTCCAACGACAAACGTTCAGCAGCACACTGGTCTGTTTGGATCGATACCCTAACCTCCCGACTGAAAGTTTTTTATGCAAAGAATCTGGGAAAAAAATACCCTTTCCTCCTTACACACTTTCAAAGACTCAAAATGATTATTTTCAAGGTGAGTATCGAACAATCGCATCACACGCGTGGTGCAATTGGCCACAGAGGCCGCCCATTGCGAGCCCCAAACTAACCGCAGGACGTTATTTCCAACGATGAGATGTGCTCTGATGCCTTCGAGCCCAAGGTTGTTGACAATGTTGTCTACGAGGTCGACTGTACCATGATCCAGGTCGCTGAGGGTGACGTCGATATCGGTGCTAACCCCTCTGCCGAGGACGCCGAGGAGGGTGTTGACTCTGACGTCCAGACCGTCAACAACGTTGTCCACTCTTTCCGACTCCAGTCCACTGGATTCGACAAGAAGTCCTACCTCACCTACCTCAAGGGTTACATGAAGTCCATCAAGAACTACCTTGCTGAGAACAAGCCCGAGGAGGTCGAGAACTTCGAGAAGGGTGCCCAGGCTTACGCCAAGAAGATTGTTGCCAACTTCAAGGACTTCGACTTCTACACTGGTGAGTCCATGGACCCCGATGGAATGGTTGCCCTCCTCAACTACCGAGAGGACGGTACCACCCCTTACCTTATCTTCTGGAAGCACGGTATCAAGGAGGAGAAGATCTAAGAAAATAGTAATAGAATTGATTAGTATTTGAGATTACAAAAAGAGCGTGTCAAGTCGTACACTACAACGCAGGTAGAAATTTCCCAACCACTGTCATACAAGGAATGTCATTCATTAGTCGTCATATGTTCGTTAGTTAGTTCGCTGAGCTCAGTTTCTCACCTTGCACTCGTCAAAGATGTTCTTGGGAACAGAACTGTTGGTCCACTTGCCAACAAAGTCGTCAAACTTGATCCAGGACAGATCGCCGAGGTTGGATCGAATGGGCTGACCGGAGTAAAGAACTCGAATGAAGTGCTCGTTCTTGAGCTTCCAAAGCTCCAGTGCAATGTTGGAGCCCATTCCAGGCCATCGCAGGGTCTTAATACCCAGAGAAGCGGTTAAAGGTGCCACATCTCCATCGTGAGCAAAGACGTGATGGTACTTTATAGAGGAAGTACCGTTGACAACCTGTTGGAGCTGAGCAACAAGCTCGCCAATCAAAACACCGGCCTTGAGCTTTACGTAGTTGGTAGCGTTATTCTGGGTGACGTAGTGGTAGTTGTACTCCCAATCTCCGGCCTTGAATACAGTGTTGGCAGCAGTGTCGTTCACAGAAGGAGGCAGAGCGTAGCCGTTGCAGAGTCGGGCCTGGAAGTTATCGTTGTAGTGGTCCCAGTCGCTGTTCCAGTCGCTGACATTGGTCTTAAAGGCCGTCTTGAACTCCGTCTGCAGGGGGTTGAGCACCTGCATGTGTTCCTGGAACTCATCAGACTTCTTCCACGTAGCGTCATAAGCGTCTCGCTGGTCACAGGGGTAGTTGGATCCAATTGAGTCAATTTGCTCATCCTGTTGGTGCAGAGGTAGAGTGTCTCGAAGGTAAGGCCACAGACCTCGAAGAACTCCTCCGGCAGACTGCTGGGTCAGAGCTTTGGTAGAAGATCGAAGCCAGACGGTCTCGGGAGTGGGGTACTTGGGAAGGAGACCAAGTTTATCTCCGTAGACGGCCCAGAGGTCTCGTCCATGTGTGATACCGTCGGCAAAGCCACCGGATGTCAGCTGGGGGAACTGACAAGTGGTGTTGGGGTCATGGGTGGTGGAGAATGGGTTAACAGAGGGGTCTGAGTAAGTGGAGGCGTACACGTGCACGGGGTCTCGCTGGGTAGCCCGGTTGGCAGGGCCTCCATACAAGAAAGGCAGAAAGTCTGAACACGAGTACGCAATATCTTCTCCCTCCGGGAATGTATGGTAAGCAGATCGCTTCTGATGTCTCTGAACGTAGGTCAAAGCCACGATCTGGGCATCCTTCTGGGAAGGCAGCTCGTAGGTGTCGTCTCTGGGGTGGGGCATAAAGCAGTAGTTATACTCGCCGTACTTTTCTGTGTCGGGAGTACCTCCTACAGAGCCCACTGGGATGGCCGAGTAGGAGGAGTTGCCTGTCTGCACTACACACCCAGGGTCAACAATATCAGGGTAGAAGGTGTCAATGGTTTTGTTGTCCCAAGCCAGGACAGCAGTGGCTAGCGAAATGAGAGCGGCGGTTCGCATATTGGCGGTATGTGTGGAGCTCCTGTGACGATTGTTGGTTCATTAAGTAGTACCACTTTTTTGAGTGCGTAATAATCAAGTGATTACTTGCACGATAGTTTAACTTAAGTTGGGTCGAGCGGCAGACGCCAGAGAGGCACACTAAGAGAGTACCGGAAACAGTATTTGAGTGATGTTTGAGGGGAAAAGGGAGAATAATGGAGGGAGTTGGTTATTTAACGCACAATTGATGTCTATTTATATATTTTTGAGACTCGTTCTCCTATCAATTGTATCACTCAAGACCGTCTCACCCACCCGCTACTCTCGTTAAACTTCGATGAGAGAGACGCACATGTTTCAATACTGCGAGGTTATACGCTGACGACGAGACTTTCAGCTGCGGACTTCAAGCTTCCAATTTGATACTACCGGACCTGAAATTGACACGGCCCTCGTCTTGGCGTTGATCGATTAGGTGATATTGGACCGGTTATTTTCAAACAAAGATTGTGTCTCACTTCGACTAAGTGGGCGTATCAGGCACGAGACGGTGAAGGCGTGTAGCTACTTGGGCTGTAGGTTGAAACTATCCGTATCATATATCAGGTATCAGTAGACTCATCTATTTTTACATTTCAAGGGGTTTACAGTATACCCTACTGTAGAAAGGTATCTACTGCTTTTACAGTAGCTACGAGTACCCGCACTCGCAAATACTTTCACACGCTCCTGTTCACGAGTCTCTATTCAGATGATCTTACAGTGGAGCCTTGCGTGTTGAGGTGCAATGATCACATGTCTCAGAGAGTAACAGCAGAATATATCCACATCTATTTATTTATTTGTGGCTATTTGTAATTGATCCGTAATTATTTGGTGACCTTGCACTCCTCTACAATATCGATGGGCACCGACTTACTCCACAGATCGACAAACTCATCAAATTTGATCCACTCAAGATTTCCAAGTTTGGATCGAATGGGGGCACCGGCCCACAGAACACGGACATAGTGTTCGTTCTGATTAGTGATAGGAGGGAGGGGAATCTGTTCTGACTCGTTGTCATCGACAGCCTCCACCTTCCACAACTCCACCGCTATGTTAATGCCCATTCCAGGCTGTTTCATGGTTTGCAGCCCCAGAGTAGTTGCCATAGGGGCTAGATCTCCATCGTGGGCAAAGTAGTGTCTGTATACCACACTCGAATGGTTGTAAACGGTCTCCTTGAGCTGATCAATAATCTCACCGACAAGAAGGCCAACCTTCAGACGAGCATACTCGGCAGCATTGGGATCTGCAATGTACTGCTGGTAGAACTCCCAGTCCTCACCAGAGAAGACCTGGGCTGCAGCATTCCCAGAAGCACAAGAGGTACTGTTTGCACATGGGAGAGGATAACCATTGCAGAGACGAGACTGGAAGGTATCACTCCATTTCTCATACTTGTAGTCGGACTCGCCAAACACAGTCTTGTGCAGCTCGTCCAACACGGGCACCATGAATTCATCGTGCTCCTTCCAGATGTCCGTCTTCTTGAGATCCTTCTTCAGCTTGTCTCGCTTTTCGCAAGGGTAGTTTGATCCAATTGTGTCCACCTCGGCTCGCTGTTGGTGGATGGGCAGCGTCTCGTTGTGGTTTGGCCACAACCCCCGAAGTACTCCACCCGCGGTCTGGGCTGTGAGATCCTTATTGGATCGTCGAAGCCAGATGTGGTCCAAACTGGGGACTGCAGGAATGATACCCATCTTATCTCCATATACATTCCACAGATCTCTACCATGCTGGAAGCCGTCCTCCAGACCCCCGATGGTCAATTGGGGGAACTGGCAGCTTCCATGGGGTACGTATCCCGAACTTACGTATGGATTGGAGTCGGGTGTGTAGACATAATCGTGAACGGGAATAGCAGCGTTCAAGAGCCCTGTGGAGTCACGATTTTCACCAAACAAAAAAGGAACAAGCTCTGAACAATCGTACCGGATGTCCTCGTCTTGGTAGGTGTGGTAGGATGTCCGTTTCTGGTGTCTCTGAATATAGGTCAATCCAGCCATACTTCCTCGAACAGAGCCATTGAGAATTGCTGCTGGCAGCTCATAGGTGTCGATGTGAGGATGGGGCATGGAGCAGTAGTTGTAGCCTCCGTACTCGATATTTCGAGGTGTAGCATGCTTGCTACCAACGGGAAGTTGGTAGCCCTGGTAGTAAGGCTTGGTTGGCACTTCCTCGGGGTAGAGTGTGTCTGTGGCGTTTGTGTTCCAGGCCAGAGCAGGGGAGATCACGACGAAAATAAGGGACCACATCTTGTCGTTTTCCGGGTGTTATTTGGAGCATGTCGTTCTTCATATACTCTGGTCTTATTAGTACGAAGGTGTATAAACAATGTTTCTGCATTCTCCCCACGTGGGAAATAGCGTTTCTGTATGCAAGTATCGGTCAGATTAGGTGGGCAGAATCCACACAATCCCGCGGCAGTATGAAGATCTGTTTGGGAGGAAGAGCTGTTTGGAGCAATGAGATCTGAACCCTAGTCATATATTCTGATGTCGTTCTGTTGCCATGGCTTAGATTCTCTCCAGAAGAATCCACCATTATCGACGGACTATGAAGATGTACCAGTGTACTTGTACTTTTACAATCATGATTTCTGCAGTTACTGTACAAGTATTCGTACTATTAAGGTACTCACATCCTATGTTCTACCTACAGTCCCCCTCCCTCCTTCCGCATGCAACCATCCCTCTATATGCAATTCTTCTATATATTATGTTCTCTATTTGTTAACGATCAGACAGACGTTCTCGGGAGAGATATCCATCTCGGTGTACTGAACCAGACGGGCATCCAGACCCTCCTTTCGAAGAGCGTGGAGTCGGCCCTGGTCCAGAAGACGTCGGCACTTGAGACCGATCACCTTTCTTGCTTCAGCAGGAAGTCCGGAAGGGTGTCCAACTGGTGCTGGGGTCTCATTATCGGCAGCTTCTGTCTGCTCACCCTCCACAGGCTCTTTCTTGGGTCTCTCTCCACACAAAACCCACGATGTCATTCTAGTAAGAGCGGCGAATCCATCATCGTCAAAACCACGCTCCTGCAGCCACTCGATTCCGGCTTTGGGGAACATCTGCACGTTGCATATCTGTCGACAACACAGTGCAATAACAAGCGCAGCAGGTCTGGCTTCCTTGGTGAACACCGCACTGTTAAGAAGACATTGAAGGGTTAGATCGGTGGCACAGCCGCAGAGATGCTTGGAGACAATTAGGTTGGCGTCGTAGGGTCCCTCCACAGGCACCCCATCCAGCATGAGATCCTTAATGTCCATTTTGAGTCGCTTGATAAGAGGCAACGGCTGTTCAGGGAAATCGTCCTTGGTGTCTTTCACAAGCTTACCGTCCATCTTCATTCGAGGCATGGCTCGATCGATAAACAGGTAGTTAGCAGCTGTCTTATCATCCTGTTGTCTCTCAGCACAGATAGCATAGTTGATGTATCTGGAAAGCTCAGCTCGTCCGGCTCCAAACTCGAGAATTCGACTGGAGGATTTCAAAAGGCCAGTCTTCTCCATATGCGCAATAAGAGACGCCTGCTGAAGAGCGTGTTTCTTGTTTTGGACCTCAGTCATTCGTTTGGCAAGACCCTTCTCGTGGTTCAGAATTTCCACGGGCACCTCCTCCACGTCCTTGAACGCAGCCTCCACTACAGGGATCCATTTGGCGTAGTCAACGGTGATATCAGACTTCTTACCAACACAGGGCTTGGCCTCAGGATTACTGATGTTCATGTCATCTCTGTGCCATCCCTCTCGCTCCTTTTGCATTCGCTCCTTGACCTTGTTGCACTTGTACATGTGCTGCTGGAGCTCGTCAGCCCAAACTGTATGTCCCGGATCAACAGGACAAACAACACGCTCTCGACCAGCATAGCTGTCCTTCTGCAGAAGTACATGCTGAGCGCAAAACTTTTCCTCCGCCTTTCGTTGCATGTGACACTGTCGGTGGTTCTTGTGAGGCAGCTTGTACTCGCATCGCAAGTACGAGTACTCCTTGGGAGTGTCTCTCTTCTGTCTCTTGGGGAACATGGAAGGGTTGGGCTTTTCAGGCTTTCCGTCAGCGCTCATAGTTTCAGAACTGGCCTTAACAACCTCTGGTATTCCTGTTTCTGTGGTCATGTTGTGTGTAATATCACGGAGTTGATTTTTTATAGATCGCTCCCATATACATATTTTTCACCTGAAGGTTTAGTGTGTGTTGTGCCATGCATGGATGACGCGTATTTGAAAAGGGGAGGGTTTATTGATTTAAGATCATGCTAAATATCGAAGCACTCGATGTACAAGTGCAAGTATGTACTGTACAGTAGTATACTCATATCTGTAAAAAAATGTTGAGATAGTTCACTATTGATGCAAGTACCAGTCGGTAACGTACAATTGTACAAGTATAAGTAAATTTTATTCAGGAATCTCATCAATAGAGGTGCCAAATTGCAGGTCTATATATATACTTGTACAAGTACAAGCACTAAGTATTTCAACACCGGCTGGGCCGTTTTCCTAAACCACATCAGTCGACTTTCGACTTTTCGACAACAATTCCTGAATCACCACAAGTGCAAGTACCTTCAAACCAACTTCAAACTACTTGTAGTATCTTTTATACGATAAATATTACTTGTGGATTAGATATGAGGGAGGGTACTTTTTTTGTGAGTTGGGTCTTCTTAGTGGGCCATGTCGTTCTCGATACTCTCCTGAACAAACTTCCAGTACCTGTGTCGAGTAGCGATTCGGAACTTCTTGCCAAAGGCTATCATGAACAAGAACATTCCGATGCAAAAGACTGAAACTCCGGCGGCCTCTCCGAAACATCGCTGGAGACCCTCATTGGTGAGCCAGGGGGTGATGGCGTAGCCCATACCGAAACCCATGCAGTTTCGGATGATAATAAGAGGAACCATGGATTCCGAAGCCATTTCCCGATAGCAATCAACAGCGTAATTGACGGAACAGAGACCAGCAAGCACGCCGAAGCCTCCAGTGATACCAAGACCCATGACCAATCCAAACCAGTGGATGCCATGGGCAGCGCCAATACCCCAGAGAATGAGACCAGCGGGGCACATGACCATATAGAGTGCCAAGAGCCAGAGTCGATCCTCGGCTTCAGATATACCTCCGTGTCGCTTGGCCATCCAGATACGTAGTCTGTCTCCAAGCCATCCCCCGTACCAGGCGACAATAGCGGTGATGATGGTGGGACACAAGTAGGCGACACCGACCATTGAGGGCTTGAAGTTGTAGGGGGGTTCAGATAGGATCTTGGAGGCAGTAGCGTTGAGAACGGAGAACCAAATCAGACCGGTACCGTAAAGGAAGCCGGCGTAGATGACCGGAGGGAAAGAGAAGAGAATGATGATTGGACGCTTGACCATGGTCCATAACATGTTGGGTCTGGGCTTGTCAAACAGCTTCAGCTTGTCCCAGAAGGTCTTGGGCTTGTAGATCTTGGCAGGCACACCGCAAGCAGCAGTCTCTCCATTAGAGAAAGGGTTGGGTATGACGTCCACTCGGTTAGCAGATCCCTTCTCGTTCTGGTCGCTAGAGTCGTTGAAAGATCCTGATCCCACAGGAAGAACGGCTCCACCATGAGCAACGTCCAGAGTCTCGCTCTCCATGCACTCTCGCTCCAGCTCAGCCTTTCGAGAGTAGTTAGTCTCCTCGAAGAAGAAGAAAAGAAAAACGAAAACCACTGCGTCGAAGATGGCACCCCAGAAGAGCACCCATTTCCAGTCCATACCCTGGGTGATAAAACCTCCAAAAAAGGGGGCCATGAAGGAGCCGAACAGCATCATGAAGGCGTACAGGCCCATCCAGGAGCCTCGCTCGTGTTCGAACCAAATATCGGAGACTGTGACTTCACATAGAGACTCGATGGGAGCTCCAAGGAAACCCTGCAGAATCTTATGACCAATCCACTGACCGTTGTTCTTGGTATAGGGGGCCCAAATCTGGACTGCCATTGTTCCCAGGATAGAGATGAGGTAGACAGGTCTCTTTCCGAACTGTAGAGCCACCGGCTGCCAGAAAAGACAGCCGAAACCCAGCATCAGGAACATATATCCGGTACCCTCGTTGAGGTCAGCCAGCGACAAGTTGGTCTTCTCTGAGATGGGCAGCAGTACCGAGAAGATGGAGGCAGTGGGAACTCCAACTCCAAGGGTGTACAACACCATACACAGCATGGAGAGCCACTTTCTTCGCTGAGACCAATTCAAAGGATCGTCTGGGTCAGCCGAGGGAGTAGGCACCAGCACAATCTCGTGGTCTACGGCATTGTAATCGGGGTCTCCCTTGAGATCGACCAATTGGATGGTTCCAGGAATGACTTCACTGTCGACTTTCATGCTGAAGGATGTGCGTATATGGGACCGAAGACTTCTGCATCTGGCCTAGGTCTCGATATATATAGAGCGGTGGCTCTTGGACAAGAGAAAGGCCCAGACTCTTTGCACGTATGCATTGTCTCGCTTCTGCATCCGTCTGTACTCCCGTAACGATGTCGTGCAGATCGCAACAAGCTTGGACAATCAAACCTACCCAGGTTCTTTGTGTATCCCGCTTCGCAGTTTCAGAGGATGAGTGTTAACCGCGGCAGTTGAAACGGATGACGAAGCAGGAATATGATGCTCATGGACAGGGTGCAGCCTTCTAGAGTTGTTCTGGAAAGAGGAGTAGCAGCAAGCAGAGTCGTATCTCTTGCTCTAGCTAGTCTCTCAATCCCAACACGTCGAGTTACTGACGCCTTGGCAGCTTTAGCGTCCCACGTATGATCTGCAGAAAGGGTTCGTTCAAATCCCAAGTCCAACCATATGCTGTACTTGTCCTGCATCTCGTGAGATGGCGATGCACCCTAATGACGTCTGGGATCGCCTATTATTCGGAGATCTATCTGGCAGCTGTCGCGTGTTATAGAACAGCTGCATTTTATTTGAGACCCGCGGTTGTAAGAGAGGTGTATCAAACGAAGTCGTCTTGTGTGCTTGATTACCAGTCAGGCTCTTTACTTTTTATACTATGGGTTCTCATTCAACAAAAATATTCCAGACTCTCTTGCATGATACATGTCTCTAAGCTCGAAACTGGTACCTTATAGTGAACTAAGAAACCTTAGCTTCATGTGGGGATGACGATTATTTCTTAAGACACGCGATAAAACCTGTCACAAAAGATATCCACTTATATGCCAGCTATGGTTTCGATGTTAATCAAACCTGAAATTACGAAATACTCTTACAACAAGTCTGTAATTGCACCTCTACAACCTTCACTGTTTTCCCTCCACCTAACCGTTTGATCTTAAACCTCCGTTAAGCTTGAATTGCCAAGAAACCTACAAGTAGCAGGGTGGCAGTCACGCAAATTGCACCGAGCAATAGCAATTGGTCGTATGTGTGTACACCGTACGTCATATTGACGAGTTCATATATACTGTACAATTAATACAACCATGTCATTTACAAACCCCACCGAAAAATAAGCCAAGTGATGCTACAGGACACCTTGTGCAGGTGAGACCTGATTCAGTGCGATACGTGATTCTCTCTGAGACCGATGTTGTCTTTGCCGAGTCGGCTCCTTACATCACCAGATCTCAGCTTGAAGAATTATTTTTAGCAATGAAACGAACCTCCAGTTCAATACAACCGATTTGACGATTTCAAATTCATAATCAATAGTTGTTTTTTTGTATCGATGTCATGCGACTCATTCCAACGTTGAGAATATGACATGAGCGTAATGTACAGGGATGTAAGAAAAAGCAATTAATAGAGGCAACAATATACAGTTGAAACTACGGCTGGTGGAGAGAATGACGTGCGGGAGGTGAATCTCGAACGACGATGGTTGACGATAGGGTAAATTTCCATTACCCTACCGGCGTAGATGTTAGTCCAATATCCGAACCATATGTGAGTGGTTGGTTCATGTACCTGCACCAGTTTGCAGTTCCCAGGGGCGGAGCAACAGGGCTCTCCGGGCGTAAGTGTATGTCTTTTACGAGCCGAGCACAGCGAATACGAAAGAGAGGATGTAACGAATGAAACGGAAGATGCTATTTTTGGTCGACAATTTTCTGGCTGTTCTTGTGCGAGTCACAAATGTGCTGAAGTGGAGGTCATCCTCAAAAAGCAATACCCGTCTACGGAACTACTTCTCGTATCTGGTCAATCACATTCGGAGGTCGAACTTTGTTGGCGAAGAAAGCGCTGACAAAATCAATGTAAGAGTGGGGGGTTGCATGAGGAACAAGTGATTGAGTGCAACAGGCATACATGCCAGTGAACGCGAACTCATGATATGCCTTTCTCCTGTTTATTAATAGACATGGGTGTGCCACACCTTGGAGCTACTATAGCTCAATATGTTATGTACAGTATGTACTGAAACTGAAACATTTAGAGTACAGACTAGCTACGGGTTTTTGTATGTAGGGTGAGATTTTAAGATGATTAGACTTGTTTAGGGTGTGTTTAAGCCATATATAAGGGTTCTCTACGGTCAGATTAGCACTCACAGATGATTTGAGCACATAGATCATGTGTTCGCTGCATCCACATGGTTTTTAGGGGGTACTGTACATATATATCTGTGGTGGTCCTGATTTTCGCCAAACCATGTTCTTCGTGTTCCTTTTCACCCTCACTCACATGTCGTCCACTTGTTAGCGTCATCTTTCTTGGCAATAGCTACTATTCAACATTGAAGGAACAGCCGTCCCGAAAGTCACTTGTCGGAGTACTCCGTCCCGCGACGCATGCAACCGCTATGAACTAACCCGTGTCAGTGAAGTCGGGGGATAGTCTTCTGCCATTGTTGGTGAAACTGTTCTGCTTATTCACGTGAATTTCAACATTCACACATCGATCGACAAGCGAGGCTATTATTTAAAAACTGTCTTAGTGAGTTACCCTGCTGACGAAGCAATGATAATCTGATTCGAGGAGAGATGATGAACACGACTGAAGTGAGTGGTTATTCCCCCATTAACGATAATATCCGCATTAATTATTATGCTGCACGGAACTGACATCAATATCGCCCACCACCACTCGTTTCAACACGTTGACAGGCTGATGACACCAGCTAGACGCCAAATTTTAGTGATCTAAACATCCTCTTTTGGTAAGGGTAGGTTTCAGAGCGGGGCTAGCGGGAATGCCAAGCGTTAGCTGGGGTATGTGAGCATTGCGCCAAAAAACGACTGTACGAGATGGACCAAGACGGGGCCAAGCTGTGCAGAAAGTGAAGAACAAGCAGCAGCCGATTTTAGAAAGGAGCGACAGAACGCTTAAGAGAGACTCGCGTGACTAAACAGCCTTCTACTCCGCTTTCATCACCCAAGTAAGTATGTTGACAGCCACTCACCTTCACCGGTTTGCGTTTGACAATACAGTTGGACCCCTGCAGAGATACTACCCACGTGGGTGGTATCGAGCTGTAATTGGCATCCTTCAGTAATAAACCTGACCAGCCGTCAGTCGCCGAGAACCAAGAACACGGGCTAGCCAATCACGCAGATCCAATTAGCCATCAAAGTCTTTGTTATTGAGTCTCCACAACGATTAACCAGTCTAAACAAGCATACGAATACGAGCTTTCTCTTGAAAAGAATGGAAAGAAAACATATATAGACTGTGGGACAGACGAGGCAGGAGAAAAGGAACCTTACCCCAAGTCGCTCGTTCAACAATGAGATTTTCTACCTCCGTGGTCGCTGTTCTGACCAGCGCCCTCGCTATCAACGGTGTGTTGGCCATCCCCCAGGTCAAGAACCCCGTCCCCCAGAACATCCTCGAGCCTGTGCAGTTCCGCGTAGCTTTCGCTGGTGCTGAAGCCGGAAAGTCTGCCGCTGTGTCCTGGAACACCTACGGCGAGCTGTCAGGAGCACCCACTCTCCGATATGGCCTTGACCCTGATAACCTCAGCAAGTCTGCCTCTGGAGAGTCTAATACCTATGCCACTTCCACTACCTGGAACCACCATGTTGTTCTGGAGGGCCTCGAGCCTGGAACTGTGTACTACTACCGAGTAGAGGGTGCTGACGTCTCCAAGACCTTCCATTTCAAGACTGCTCTTGCTCCCGGTACCAACAAGGAATTCACTTTTGCTGCTGCCATTGATCTAGGAGTCATGGGAGAGTATGGACTTAGTACCTGGGTCGGGGAGGGCGCTGAGGGTCCCCTCAAGCCCGGAGAGAAGAACACCATCGACTCTCTTTTGGACGACTTTGACGAGTACGAGTTCCTCCTGCACCCTGGAGACATTGCCTACTCCGATTACTGGCTCAAGGAGGAGATCCAGGGCTACCTTCCCAACACCACCCTTGAGGAAGGAATCTACGTTTACGAGGCTCTGCTGAACACCTACTATCAGCAGATGGAGGGCTTGACTGCCTACAAGCAGTATATGGTCTCCCCAGGTAACCATGAGGCCAACTGTAACAATGGAGGAACCTCTGACAAGAAGAACAACATCACTTATACTGCTGACATGTGCTTTGAGGGCCAAACCAATTTCACCGGACTGCGAAACCACTTTCGAATGCCTGCTGAGGAGTCTGGTGGTGTCGGCCCTATGTGGTACTCTTTCGATTACGGTCTTGTCCACTTTGTTTCCATCAACACCGAGACTGACTTTGAGGATGCTCCATCTTCCACCGGTATGCGGTCCGGAGAGTTTGGTTATCCAGGACAGCAGCTCGATTGGCTCCGAGCTGATCTGGCCAATGTTGACAGAGAGAAGACTCCCTGGGTTGTCGTTTCTGGCCACCGGCCCTGGTATATTGACGCCAAGAAGAAGAACGTGTGCAAGGACTGTCAAAACGCCTTTGAAGACATTCTGGTCGACGGAAACGTCGATCTGGTCATCATGGGTCACGTGCATCTCTATGAGAGAAACCACCCTGTTGCCCACGGAAAGGTTGATCCTAACGGCCTGAACAACCCCTCTGCTCCCTGGTACATTGTCAACGGTGCTGCTGGCCACTATGACGGTATCGACTTTGCTGCCGGTCTCGACGAGGAGTGGATCGCCTATACTATGGACGGTCACTACGGATGGTCTTCTTTCACTGTACACAACTGCTCCCACCTCACCCACGAGTTTGTCTTTTCCGAGAATAACACTCGTCTTGACCGACAGACTTTGTTCAAGGACCGAAAGTGTAAGCTTCCCATTGATGGCGGCTCTTCTGTGTCGATCTCGCCTTCTACGTCGTCGATCCCTGGGGTTGAAAGTGGTTCTGGATTCAACGGAACTGTTACCAAGACCGAGTCTGATAAGAAGTCCTCTGTGGTCGGCACTGCCACGGTCTCTAAGCCGAAGCCTGCCGATGAGACTAAGACCGTTATCAAACCCGAGACCTCTACAGTTACCGAGACTGACTGTGAAAAGTGTCATTCTGAGACAAATGGAAGTCTATTGGAGTCGGCTGCTGAAACCGCTCAGACGGAGAAGGAGCAGTCTAAAGCTGCTACCGTCGTCGAAACCGTCCACGAGACCGCCGTCGCCTCTACCAAGCCCATTGTTTCTATTTCATCCCTATCTCCTGTTGCTACAGCACCCATTGCTAGCGTAGGACCTTCATCTGTGGCCTCCGCCAGCGAATCCGAGTCTGCTGCTGTTTTCCAGCCCAGCACCGGTTCTGCAGGATCTACGCCCGCACTAGCCAATGTCGCCACTCTGGCGCGAATCAGCCCCATGGTGATGGGCGTTGCTCTTGTGGCGGTCCCCGCCTTCGCCATGCAATTTGTCTAAATAAGTTTGCAAAAAGATCGTATTATAGTTGGAGCAAGGGAGAAATGTAGAGTGTGAAAGACTCACTATGGTCCGGGCTTATCTCGACCAATAGCCAAAGTCTGGAGTTTCTGAGAGAAAAAGGCAAGATACGTATGTAACAAAGCGACGCATGGTACAATAATACCGGAGGCATGTATCATAGAGAGTTAGTGGTTCGATGATGGCACTGGTGCCTGGTATGACTTTATACGGCTGACTACATATTTGTCCTCAGACATACAATTACAGTCAAGCACTTACCCTTGGACATCTGTAGGTACCCCCCGGCCAAGACGATCTCAGCGTGTCGTATGTCGGATTGGCGTAGCTCCCTCGCTCGTCAATTGGCTCCCATCTACTTTCTTCTGCTTGGCTACACCCAGCATGTCTGCCATGGCTCGTTTTCGTGCCTTATCTATCCTCCCAGTATTACCAACTCTAAATGACATGATGTGATTGGGTCTACACTTTCATATCAGAGATAAGGAGTAGCACAGTTGCATAAAAAGCCCAACTCTAATCAGCTTCTTCCTTTCTTGTAATTAGTACAAAGGTGATTAGCGAAATCTGGAAGCTTAGTTGGCCCTAAAAAAATCAAAAAAAGCAAAAAACGAAAAACGAAAAACCACAGTTTTGAGAACAGGGAGGTAACGAAGGATCGTATATATATATATATATATATATACCCACGGATCCCGAGACCGGCCTTTGATTCTTCCCTACAACCAACCATTCTCACCACCCTAATTCACAAATGGCTGACGCTACCTCAACGCAAGCTCCCCTTCCGACCACTGGCAATGGAGGAGACTCCCTCACACAAAACCTGAACGTCCCCTTCCTGGGTGCCGATATGGTCTGGATCATGACCTCTTCGGCACTGGTCTGGATCATGATTCCAGGAGTCGGTCTGCTCTACTCTGGTATGTCGCGTAAGCACCACGCCCTGTCTCTCCTGTGGGCATCCATCATGTGCTGTGCCCTCGTCTCTTTCGAGTGGTTTTTCTGGGGTTACACTCTGGCATTCTCTCACAAGGCCGGAAAGTTCATTGGAACCATGGATAACTTCGGTCTTATGAATGTTCTCGCTGCTCCCTCTGTTGGCTCCTCTGCTGTCCCCGATATCCTGTATATGTTCTACCAGGGCATGTTCGCATGCATCACCGGTATGCTCATGGTTGGTGGAGCTCACGAGCGAGCTCGACTCGGCCCCATGATGGTATATCTCTTCATTTGGATGACTGTCGTCTACTCTCCTATTGCATGCTGGACATGGAACCCTAGTGGATGGCTCGCCGTCCTTGGAGGACTTGATTTCGCAGGTGGAGGACCTGTTCACATGTCTTCCGGTGCGGGTGCCCTTGCCTATGCTCTCTGGTGTGGTAAGAGACGTGACCCTGCTGTTGAGAAGCTGCCTCACTACCGGCCCTCTTCCGTTACTTCCGTTGTTCTCGGCACTGTTTTGCTTTGGTTCGGATGGTTCGGATTCAACGGTGGTTCCTCTGGTAACGCCTCCATCCGAGGCTTCTACGCTGCCGCTAATACTAACCTTGCTGCTGCTTGCGGTGCTCTCGCTTGGATGTGTGTCGACTTCTTCCGAAAGGGCCGAAAGTGGTCCACTGTTGGTCTCTGTTCTGGTGCCATCGCAGGTCTCGTTGGCATCACCCCCGCCGCCGGCTTCGTCCCTATCTGGTCTGCTGTCCCTATTGGTATCATCACCGCCGTCTTCGCTAACATTTCTGGTGACCTTAAGAATCTGCTCCGAATTGATGATGGTCTCGATGTCTTCTCTCTCCATGGTGTGGGAGGATTCTGCGGCTCTGTTCTTACTGCCTTCTTTGCTGCTGACTACATTGCCCATCTGGATGGTGCCACAGAGATCAAGGGTGGATGGCTCAACCACCACTGGGCTCAGCTGGGTTACCAGCTGGCTGGTGCGTTTGCTACCCTCGGCTACTCCTTTGTGGTCTCTTCAGTTATTCTTGTCATCATGAACAGAATCCCCTACCTCAACGTCCGAATGACCGAGGAGGAGGAGATGCTTGGAACCGACATGGCCCAGATCGGCGAGTTTGCCTTCGACTGGGAGGACTCTGGAGTCCTGGACCTGCATGGCCAGAACCCCAATGGTATGGGCGTCACCCCCAACGTCCAGACTCCCAAGCCCAGCAGCATCAACGAAAACAAGGAGGCTGCTGAGAGTGATTCGGTTTAATTGTTTATTTTTCATAATTTATTGCATTAATATTAGTTACAGTTGCTTTATTGTGCCCGTAGGCGAGGAACAGTACAAGTACAGTAGTCATTACTCTCTTTCATGCGCCAAGATGTACTAAAATTATTGACAGGGCATGGCAGGCACCCAATGAGACTGGCAGATGACAACCACTTACCTGAAACCCACCAAATCCGTCAGCCGCGCTAAGACCTTTAACTTCAAAGCTCCAACTTCAACAGCTTATAGGAGAGGGCTTACGTCGATCTCTCCAGTTCGGTGTCAGAATTACATTAACTCTGAAGCCAAGAATATGAGAATCAATTACTGCCCTGGAGCATACCAGACTGTCGGCGCTGGTCTCTATTCTCTGTAACTGCTTGTAGCACGGCTACAAGTACTGAGCATAGTGGGTATAGTATGGATGTAGCGGTGGACGAAGCCGTGTGGGACCGCCAAACGGATCTGCAAATAGGCATTAGCACGACACTGATGTTCGGTTTCAGGAGGTGGCAGATTGTTTTATGAGTGTGAGCCACAATATCGCTCCATTAATTTGATAAAAGAGACCCTAGAGGCCCTCTCTCATTGGCCCGTGGTTATCGCCACAACACTGTGGCTTGAGCACCACGCCAAGACGACGGAGAAAGGTTGTTTGACTCGGCCGAAGTGGCTACAACCAGAGACAAAGCTCAAATCTATAAGCAAACAGACTCCGGTTGGCACCGGCTACCGTGCTGTAGCTCTGACTTACAGTACGACCGTATGCAGGGTGTATAAGCATTATGTGTGCCCACTGGCGATCAGCATGACTCATTCGTAGGTTTGGCCGGGGAAACTAATGGATTGGGTCTCTGTGTGGATTAGATACTCTTTTCTTTTTCCATTTTACTCGCGTTTTCGTTTCTTCTTAGACCATGTTGAAACAGCATGAGAATAGCAATGCACGAAATGCATGCTGATCCGGAAGAATTGTAGGACTATAGAAACACAAAATCGAGTAGGTGCACAGAAGCCAAGTTCTCCAAACCATCAAACTTGAGTTAGGCAACCACTATGGACCCCCGCAGATATCGCTGTTGAGATTACAACAGCGGGTGTTTTTCAGGCTCCCAACACAAAGGGGAGTCCTTATCAAGTTGGGCGTTATCAGAGTTCAGCAGTATGCGACTTTAAAAGAACTTAAAATAGCAGGGCTTTAAGAGATTAACGGGACCTTGCTGACATGGGTGTTCTGTATATTCGAGTGGGGTATATTTCTTTGTATGTCCATAGTTTGATGAGACTGACGATAAGTTCTGTTGTGTCTCTTCACCAATTACGTCAGATGATCTGTGGTGCCAAGTCGTGCCAAGCGCCTAAAGAGCTCTTAGACGCTGCCAGAGATAAGCATCTGATTTGATAACTTGATGCCCCCTTGCTGCAGAGGTGTTTCCATTACAGACAGATTTGTATTTAAGAACGACGCCTGAAGTCCAATGATACAACGCCACGTGACCAGAAGTGTATTGGGGAAGTGAAAAATTCATGTTGGCGCGCGTGTTTTGAAACTACCAATACTACTTGTAGATTTCTGACTGCTAGTCCCGATGATAATACTGCGTGTTTGGTATTTATCTACACGTCGCAATGCATTGTTTCAGCTAAGGTACAGACCCATATTCTTGCAAGCCATACAGTATGTACGACTACACATACGGATGTACCCTTAGATCCCTTCTACGTTTGCTAACCGGCCGGTGAGACTTGGAGAAGTGTCTCGAGGATGTATGCCAGAATCAAAAAGTGGATAGCCTCAAAGTGTTGCTTTTATGACCCCTATCATGCCCACCAGAGCGCCCATATTGCTGCTATCACTCCAAACAACAAGGCCCCTATCAGCATGGCTATGTACAGTGATGGATGGGATCCAGCCATTGCAAAGGTTCTGCCAAGATGTCGTCGTAATTGGACAGAGATTGGCTCCCGCGTGATTTCATACAGACTGTGGAGATGCTTATTTCCGGTTAACTGTCTCAACACGGTAACCTTTTGGTGAAGAATCATCGCAGGTGAGGTTTCTGGAATCAAAGCAAACAGCAATGCCATGACTACACAGAAACAACCCGACGAATAACCAGCAGGAAACTCCTTTATTAGATTTACGGCCACCGGGCTTCCAAAGTAGGAAACCACGGGTCCACAGAGGTAGACAAGGAGCCCCCCACCTACAGCGGAGGGTGAGAAGACGTCATTTAGAATCTTTGACCCCACAGATAAAGGGGAGGAAGCCCCCAGAGTTGATAAAAAACTGAAAGAAGCCAATTGGAAGAAAGAGAACCGGTCAAAGTAGACGTGAACCAGAGCTGAGGACCCAATCAAGATTGAAACAGACGCGTTCAACAGCACCTTACGACCGAAGTAATCAGACAAAGGCCCCACAATGACCAGTCCTATCAATCGTGGGACAATTTTCACCATCAACATGACAAAAACGCTTGATCCGCTATGGGCAAGCGACAGCGTAGTGCTTTTTGGAAAGGCTGCAGACACGAAGGGCTCAGCTCCGACATAAAGAGATGCCACCACAACAGTGAAGAGCTTCCTTCTTAGGGGCCAATTTTTGGGGTACAAAGGATCTGAAGCACTTTTGAAAGTCACTAGTTCGGGATCCATCCCCACGAAAGAGGCATCATGTTGAGGGACTCTGGTTCGAGTCTTTGGTAGCGACTTGAAGGCCAATCTCACCGACTGGATATGAGATTTCCTACTCTGCAATATTTCATCATCAGTTAATTTCCCGTAAATGTTTTCTACGGAAAAGTCCTTTGGTATATTCTTCTCTGAGGTATCTGATGGTATGGTCATAATGTCGACACGCGATGTTAGTGAAAAAGGAGGTTTGAGCTAAAATAACCTACAATTAAGGTTGGTACAGACAATGCTCTGGTACAGACAATGCTCTGGTATGCAAAAGGCTCCTTTAAGCTTTTTTTTGGGGGGTGGGATATCGTGCTACGAGCGAGCGAGTCGCTCAATACAGTAGCTACAGTAACACCAAGGATAAAAGAGCCAAGGATTCAATCAATATAACTTATATAAACTACAACTGGTAGGTGAAGTAAGGAGATCGATCGCCCATGTCGTGGATCTCCTCGTTGGTCAGATGGTCGTACTTACCAGCAGCCAGACCCTCTCTTCGCCGTCGGTTGGCAGCTCGGTAGCAGAGGTAGGTAATGGTAGCAAGAGTCAGACCAGCAGATACAAAGGCAAGGTTAATAGCGTGTCCAAGCTTGTACCCTGGTCGGTCCTGGGCTCGGTAAATGTTGGCACCTACAGCTCCAGACATATTACCAAGCATGAGAGCGATAGCGAGAGCAATGGCTCGCTTGTAGGTTCCGGCACTGTTGACAGAGAGCCAAGATAACATAGCAATAAAGGCAGGGTGGGTTCCTCCAACGATAAAGAAACATCCCGCGTATGTCACCGCCGGGTGAGATTCAGCAGTGGTAAGAGCCATGATGTATCCAATAATTGCAGACACAAAGTCCAAAGCCATGAGAGGGTATCTGATTCCGTACTTGTCTGAGAAGTATGCCTGCACCACAGTGGTGATGGCACCAGTGAAGGAAACGGGAATAGACATGAGCTGGGCCTTGGAAGAGACGTGACCCAGGTTCTTGATGATGGAAGGCAGGAAGAAAGAAATCGAGTAGATGGGAGTAGCAGCAAAGATAATTAGGAAGGCAATGGCCCAGGACTGGGGATCCAGGAAAGCCTGCCACACAAACTTTTTATCGTTAGAGTTGTTGACACCCATAGACTGATGGACGCCGGTGGCAGCAGCTGCTGAGTCTCGATCCAGACCGTCGTACTTGAGCTTGTACTGGAGGTACTCTCGTTCCTCTTCAGAAAGGAACTTGGCGTCTTCGGGGAAATCTTGGATAGTGAAGAAGGCAATGACAGCGACAACAACGGTGGCGATACCCTCAATGATGAAGATCCACTTCCAGCCAGCCAGACCGGCTGTTCCTCTCATCTTGGCAATAGCGAAGGCCAGAAGACCCGAAAAGGCACCAGCCATACCGGCAGCTGAGAAGAAAAGAGCCTGTCGCAGCTGCATCTCCTTACGAGCATACCACATTGTGAGGTAGTAAGCAACACCAGGAACAAGTCCAGCCTCAGTCATTCCCAGAAAGAGTCGGCAGATGAGAAGACCGTGATAGTTGGTGACAATGCCCATGAGTGTCATACAGGTTCCCCAGCAAACCATAATGATAGGTAGGTAGACAGAGGGTCTGAGTCGCTTGAGAATCATGTTGGAGGGCACCTCAAAGGTGCAGTAGGTAAAGAAAAACACGGTGAGACAGAGATTGAATTGCTGGCCGGTGAGTCCCAAGTCCTCGGAGAGACCTTCAATGTTGGCATTTCCAATGTTACCTCGATCGAGGAAAGACATGAGATAGAGCAGAGTGACCATAGGGACAATCTTCAGGTCCATCTTTCGCAGGAGCTTGGCTCCGTCGACATGGGGGAACTTCTCCTCCAGGGATGGCAGGTACTCGACGCTGGTTACGGCGTCATTGAGCTTCTCCACAGATTCAATGTGGGTGTTTGAGTCTTTGGTCTCCATAGATGATTGTTTAATGTGTTGGATGGTTTGATGATCAGGACAACGTCTCCTAAGGCCTATATAAGGGCAATGTGGGGTATCTTGCTGATTTGTGGGGTGTCATACGTCGAGTCACTGTTGCTGATCATAGCTCATCGAGTTCGGTGTCTGAGCCGGCATCATATCGGTGGTTACTCGGCTCGACTTGCCAGTATGCACACCGATAGGGCCTATCAAGGCGATTGCCAAGCTGCAGGAGGTCTTGTTTGATGCACGCCTCCTTTTTTAAGCCTCCGCAACTTTTCTTATATAGGGCTTGTAGCCAATTTTTCGACACTAACGGGGGCTTGTGGTTTATTAACACTTGGGATGGGCAGATTGGACGCAGCGGCCGTGTGGGGAAGGGAAATCGGTTGAGTGGATCTGCCAGCCCGAGTTGCAAGGCTCTGGAGCCCGTTTCACACCACCTTTCAACACCTCTGGCGATGACCCACGGCACCACATCAGATACGGAACAACATCAACCAACAACTGATATTATGAAGAAATCCACGGGTGAATAGTGTCAAAAGTTTACCCGGATAGACAAGCTTAGGGCTCAAAGGCCGGCTTTGCCACACAACATGCAGATCCCGAGACGCCGTACATTGCGACTTTCCCAGCAATGATTTTTCTTCCCCCTTGCACCATCGTCTTGGCAGAAATATTTTATGTTTCTATGTGGGCATCCAGTCCGACTCGCATATCTGTGGGGTAATTAGAGCTGACTGACAAATATATGCATATTGCTTCAGCCGCACGGGAAGCCAGCCGTATCAACCCTAAGCAGCCGCCACGCAAAAAGACAGAGTGAGACAATTGTGGCTAAACATGTTGCGGGTGGCGCGTTTAGTGAGTCATTTTTTCACTTGTTGAAAGCACGTTGTACTAAGAGCACTTTTAGACCCGGGTCTGCGCTAGGTCAACGTGTTTGTCGCCATATTGGGACACTACAGCATTGTGTCTTTGATTGGGGGCAAAGAGAGTACATCCGATGTATTTTAGGTATCGTGGAGTATGACATATACATACGGGATGTCTACATAGGCCTGAAATAGCTGATTGGTATTCGGTGGGGTAACAATCAACCTACAAGTAGTATTGTACATACTGTAATTTTAGTTTGTAGCTTGAGACTGTTCGAGTTTTCGTCTGTCTTGTATTCACGAGTGGTCTCACGACCATATAATATTCCCGAGTATGGTCTAACCAGTTGCTTTGTCTACTACAGTAAATCACGTAATCTCAATGCATCACCATCTTGGCACTGCTCGCTTCGAATCGCCCTCTTTGTGCACAACTACAGTCGAATTTAACAGGGCGTGTTAAGATACCGTAACTGGAATGTTGTAGAAGTGATGGATGAGATGTCTCAAATCTCATACAGTAGATTATGTCGACGGTAACTGGAATTCTACTGATACAGTTAAAGTACAGTACAAACACCCTTTAAAGGGTGCCCGCTGGAGGACTACAACTTTTCTGCGAAAAAAAGTCACACCCCTTTATTTTAACCATATCCCGATGCAACAAATATCCAATGAGTCAAGTCCCAAACCAGGAATATTATCCTTTCATATCGCATTCTCTGTATTTGTCCTTTTTGGGTCTGGTAGAATCAAGAGCAATCTGTAGCCTTCCGCCATGTCACATTTTGTTGTGTCGTTGGGTCCAAGTGCTTCAATACCTGACTCCCGCACAATACGATACAGTATTAGAATATGGCCACCTGCTCTTGGTGCTTTCGATCCCCTCTCCACGACTACTGCGATGTTTCCCATGGTTTTGATGCAAGTCTACCGTTGTTCAGTTATCAGAGAGAGCGTCATTGGTATCGTAGCATTGTGCGGAGTATATAGTAGTAGGTACGATACAGCACTCGGGCAAGTGTTACAAGTACTGGTACGAGTACAAATATTGGCATCTTAAACCCGTATAGTCTCGTATCATCGTATGTAAGTGTACAGAATCTCCAGATTACCAATATACAGTAGCCAGTGTATGTACATACTGTACATACTGTAGCTATACTAGATCATCATTCTTCCCGTGAGGTTTTCTTTCCTATTTCACGATACTTTCATATCCAGGATTGGCGCAGAGCGACCGTTACTTATTTTTCGCGTAATGGGGGCGGATACTGGATTTCCAAAGGGTAGATACTGATTTATCGTGAGGGATGCTCCGTTCCTTGCACCATTCATGTGTGGTGGAGGGAGGGTGGGGTTTTGCATGGACAGCAGTTAGAGATGGAGCTCAAAACTCCGCTACTTGTACGAAGATAGTTCTTCTGCAAAAATAGTGAGTGCACAAAAAAAAGCGTCTTATCAGATGCTTTGTCTACATTCATCAGTATATGCGTATTTTTGTCATTATTTGTTCAACAATTTCTCAAGTACTATTGCGATATTAGTTGGTAAATTTTGTTTAGAAACAGAGACACAATCAGTATGCTTAAAAGACTACTTGTACTTGTACCCAGAAGACAAACTTGGTATTGCAGGTACGAACATTGATTCCCGACACAGGATCTGTTTCGCTTTCAGTACAGTAGCTACAGATAGATAATCGTTTGTGCTTACACGAACCCCCAATCCTGTGAGTTCGCCACTGACGCGCGTCGAGCCTAATTCACGTCATTAGATCTACAGTAGGTCGTGATCTAAACATTTCAGGAAGAATTTGAGGCAGACAACAGAGCGGAATTCGGCCAAATAACTACACAAAAAACCAGCATCATCACCGCTACACTACAAGGCACATGTCAGATATGCTTAATCTGATTCGTGGAAACCTCAACGCGGCCCAATACCGAGCTGCGTCGTTTCGCAAGGATGCCGTGCTCCAGATCGTGGCGGGACCCGGTACCGGCAAAACCAAGACGCTGGTGAGCCGAGTAGCTCATCTACTAGAACAAGGTGTGCCCGCTCGAGGAATTGTGGTGACGACCTTCACAAACAAGGCCGCTGACGAGCTGAAAGAACGACTGGGGGCTCTGCTAGCAGACTCGAAGACAAACTTTTCGCTAGTCAAGGCAGGCACGTTTCATTCCATCTGTTATAAACTGTTACAGAAGCATGGGGATAAGGTAGGACTGCGGCCCAAGTTTGGAGTGGCTGACGACGCTCAGCAAGTGGCACATTTGAAGAGGGTCCAGAAGCAGCTGAAGACAATGGAGAAACAAAAGAAGGGCAAGAAGACGGAGGCAGATGAGGAGGAACCAGACACGTTGTCAAAATCAGGATCAGGATCGGAGTCTGAATTCTCATCGCTGTACTCGCCGTTCAAGATGAAGAGTTACATTTCAGAGCTCAAGGTAAACATGACTTCGGATGACTCAGACGACGCTCTCCGACTTTATCAAAAACAACTGGAAATGTCTAACCACATTGATTTCGACGACATTCTCACCAAGACAGCCGAACTGATCAGGAAGCACCCAGAGGTGGTCTCAGAGGTTGAGACAGTCCTGGTAGACGAGTTCCAAGACACAAACAAGATCCAGATGGAACTAGTGGACCTGTTCTCTCGTCACACACCGCAAAGATCAATCACAGTCATTGGAGACCCCGACCAAAGTATCTACAAATTCCGATTTGCTACAGAAAGGAACTTTCAGGAGATGAGAGACATGTACCCAGACACAGAGGTCGTGTTTCTGACAGAAAATTACAGATCTACAGACCCAATCCTGGCTATAGCAGAAGAGGTTATTTCACAAGACGCATCGCGATACGGCGGGTGTGGACAATCACGCAAGCTGGTGGGTCATTCAGACTTTGCTGTCACTCCCGAGCTAACCAAGTACGCCAACAAGTATAAGGAAGCAGTTGGAGTAGCCGAGACAATTCGGGACTTGCGAAAGGTGACAAAGAATAGGCTGCCTCTCAGCTCTATTGCAATCCTATGTCGTACCAATAGACAGGCTTCCATGTTCGAGGAAGCTCTAGTGGCTGGTAACACGGCCTGTTATCTTGCTGAAGGAGGAGCCAATTTTTGGGACAAATCGCATATTCGTATTGTGTTAAACTACCTACGATGTGCTTACTCAGATGAGGATCGATCGGCTTTTATGGAAGCTATGAACAACCCTCGTCGAAGGCTCTCAGGTAAGACTGCCATGTTGATCTCACAGTATTTAGATGACAACTACGGAGGTCCAAACTCAGTGTATGATCTTTTACACGATGCTGCCCATCGAAAGGGTCTGCTAAATATCACCCAGCCTTCTTTCGAGGGTCTTCGACAGTTTATGGACCATATTGATCATCTCAGGGACCTTATCAACAGCAAGGAGTATTACATGGATGAGGTTATTGAGTATCTTCTGGACAAAGTGGGACTGGATGAATACATTACTACAATGGGAGTTCGTGAAAAGGCATACGAGCGTCTTTCTGAAGTTGGTCAGATCTCTGATCGGTTTTCTGTCATCACTGAGGCTGCAGACAATAATCTGTGGGACAATGAGGTATCTGGAGATATCAGTGAGCAGTTATCACCCCTAGGACAGTTTCTCAACGCACAGGCTCTCCGGGCTGATAACTCTGGTAACGCAGAGAATGGTGTTATCATTTCCACCATCCATAGGGCCAAGGGTCTCGAATGGCCAGTTGTGTTCGTCCCTAATCTTCTCGACGGCGATCTTCCCATGCGGATGCCCGACACTGATATCGACGAGGAGAGACGACTTTTCTTCGTTGCACTGACACGTGCCAAGCGTCTGTTGTACATGTCGTACTCGCGTGAAGGTGAGCCCAGTACTTTCATTACCGAAAATGTGTCTGCTCTCACATCTACTCCGACTTGGACCACTGAGTCTGTCAACATGCTTCTCGGTTCGCTGGGTCTGGAAGAAATTGATGAGATGGGTAGCAAGTCCAAGACTAATGCCACCCCACCTGGGGGCTTCTCTGGGTTCACCACGGCCTCTCAGTTGCTGAAGGATAAGGCCAAGCAGTCCATCACTCGATCTGCAGGCTTCAAGCGCACTTCTGAGTTGGATTCTGAGCTACCTGCAACCAAAAAGATGTCTCCGGTTGCAGCCGCTTCGATAAAATCCACGACTAAACGCAAATCGAATGCCAAAGGCAAGGCCCAAAGCAGCATTTTCAGCTTCACAAAGAATTCTACTGTCCCTCCAGCTCCTGAAGATCGTAAGGGTCACAGTGAGCTGTTGAAGACGCTACCCAAAGGGACAGAAATCAAATACAGAGAGAAAGTGGAGAAATAAGAGCGACACCCGTTCCACTCACATGGTCACATGGTCACATGGTTAGCAACTATAGAAAATTCCCGCAACGGGGCATAGCATATTCCTCAAGGGGTTGCCTCCAATTTTGGCCACTCAACAAAACAGAGATTGTGGCAGTGGAGAGGGGCAACCAGTACGAATCCGTCATTAATTTGTAAATAGCATGTATACGAATACAAGTACCACGTTTTATGACATGTTTTGTTTCCCCTCTTAACTTATTCAAGCTGTTCCGTGCTTTTACCGAGGCAGGAGGTACACTTTATCGTAGCCACAAAATTGTCAGTACTTGTACTTGTAGTAATCTTGCAATGTTAAGAGAAACAATCTTCTGGTGTAAATAGCTTGCAATTATCCAGTAGAAATGGCACCGTTCGAAGAGTACATCCAGATAACACTCGTAAACACGGGCAGACAGTACATCTAACGCCTTCTGATGAGGTTAGACCCCCCTTGTTAGTCTTATCATCGACCCCCACGCTAACTATTTGCTTGTTTGTCACATTCTGTGACGGGATAATCTTTTTTCGGAAGGTATGAGGAGGACGGAACTAAAGTCGATAAAACAGGTTCCGATCCACCTTCCACACAAAGACAAGAGACAAGAGGCACAAGCAATGGATTCAATGCAAGTCCCTGCCAAGCATCAGACGCGATGACACTCGTTGCTTAGCAAAGGTATGTCATGAATAAATACAGCACTCCTTTAGATAGCTACAAGTAGTGCGAGTTTGCCAAGTAATAGACCTATGCTAGCTATACATAAGCGTAGTTGATCGAGCTAGAGACCATTGTCGTGCACCATCACCCCACATATCTTTGGGTGGTTAATAACTGCTCAGTGGGGTGAGTTCTGGTCCTCTATTCATTCCTCAAACTCGGCTGTTATGTGCCTGTCATAAATATCTATTTGCCCGGTAATACACCGAAGAGTCGCATTTGAGTTGCCGCTTAGTATTTTGACGTGCGTTTTTCCCCACAACATAAAGGACCAACTGTGCATGTGGTATGTAAGAAAAGAGCTAGAGACAAAGAGAAAAGAATAGCCTCGCCGCGATGTTACCGAACGCCCTACTCCAATACCTGTAACATGTCCTACCATAGTCGTAACTTGACCTCGAAAGTACATGTAGCAACTATAGTGTAAGAGGAAATAGAGGACACGCCACAGGCAAGATTAGAGTAAAATACCACAAATAAGCAGGTCTCAACCACAGCCGCAGTATCTCGCCATTAGTCTGAGTTAAGATGATACTACGGTTCACAGAAGCGATCAGCCTCGCTGTCCTAGTGGCCGCTATTTCAGCAGATACCACGTCAGCCTTACACGACGTTCTTAGTTTTTTTCCACCAAACTCAGCCCTGTCTCAGTGCAACAAGGGGAGCGTCGAGACCCGCGCTACCCCAGCTTTTTTTGAAAACCCTACTCTGGCTTTTCACACTTGAGGCCGGACGGGTGGAAAGACGATTTATGCAAGTGGGTGCGGCTCGCCAAGATTGCCAAGCACCCGAAACAACTTGGCAGTCGGAAAGTCGACTTTGCCAAAGAGCTGGAAGATCCACTTTAACATACACGACGGCGTGTGGTTACGAATTGGGTATAAACCGAGTAACCTCTCTGTCACTCAACCAGTCGCCACGCCTTCTTTTAGTTCCGTTAAGAGTATAAATTCTTAACTCTGCTTAAAAAACTCAGAGTGGGCTTCCTCCACTCGTTCGCCTATAGTCAGAGTTTTATATGCACGACAACATGACGCATTCCGCTCCTCCGTGGCAATAGGCGAGTCCACAGAGCTGTGCCTAGAAGGACGAATGGTATTGGTGTATGGTACCACTGATCACCCTGATTATGCGGGCATCACAAACTGTTCCAACATCCTCAGATCCACGATCCTCAACAGAAAAAATGCTCGCGCTAGGCCAAACAAGGAAGACAAACGCATCTCCATCGAAGTTCATGCACTTACCCCACATCTCCACCACTACCCTCGGCCAGATTAATATATAAAGGGCTGAAGTGATGTCCATAACTTATATCTCCCAGTCTACTATCCTGTCAGACAATCACTTCTGTCAGCCAACTAACAACACCACCCGCCCACAAGTTCCCCCCTCAGATCAGTCCCTACGCAATGTCCCAGCCAATCGATCTGGAACGAGGAGAGTCCCACTCGTCTCTAAACGACATGGAGAAGGTCGCCCAGGTTCACACCTCGGGAGATAACAACGAATACATTCATATTGCTGGTAACCGTTACCACAAGGAGGACTTCATGCGAGCCTTCGGTGGTACTCTTAATCCCGGTTCCGCTCCCATGCCCTCTCGAAAGTTTGGTAATGCTGCCCCCATTGGTCTTTTTTCCTTCTCCATTACCATTTTCATTCTTGGCATGTGTCTTGTCAACGCTCGAGGAGTTCATGCTCCTAACGTCATGGTTGGATGTGCCATCTTTGGTGGAGGTCTCGTTGAGTTCACTGCTGGAATCTGGGAAATTGTCGCAGAGAACACCTTTGCTGCTACCGTCTTCATGTGTTTTGCCTGCTTTTGGTGGTCCTGGGCCGTTCTTAACCTGCCCATTGGAATCGAGAAATACTACGCTACCGAAGAAGAGTTCATGCAGGCTGTGGGAATCTTCCTCATGGGCTGGTTCATCTTTGCTATTCTCATGACTCTGTGCACATTAAAATCAACGGTGGCTTTCTTCATTCTCTTTGTGTCTCTTGATCTGGCTGTCATCTTCCTCGCTGCCGGCTACTTCAACAACAACCCCAAGCTCCTCCAAGCCGGGGGTGGATTCTGTATCTCCACTGGTCTTCTTGGTTGCTGGAACGGTTTCTCAGGTGTTGCTACTCCTCAGTCCACTTACAAGTGGCTTATCCCCAAGGCTATTATGATGCCCGGTGCCCATGCCTAAGTCTTCCCTTATTTATATTCTCAATAAACTGATGTGTAAAACATTGTGAACCCTCAGAGTTTGTAGCCGAATGATTTGGACACCATACTCCACCACCATAATTTCTTGGAAAGTGGCGTATGCTGGAGCAATGCCTCCACACCAAAAATACACTGCCATGAGGCGACTATAAAAAATGATTACAGCACCCAGGATTCTCGTATGGTCTCCCACTACAATACTAACTAGGCTCTCTGGTGCTTGACTATGGCTGATCGGACGGGAAGCCGTATTTTCACCAGGATATGGCCGTAACCGAAATGCGCCGACCCGGAATCGAACCGGGGGCCCATCGATGGCAACGATGGATTTTACCACTAAACCATCGGCGCAGTTTTTCTGACTTTTTTTAAAGATTGAGTCTGCTCTGTGACAGCATACTCACGTGACCGGCCTCTGTAGCTGAAATGTAGTAGTAGAATACAAAAAACCATGCAATGTTTGAAGATTTTGTGTACCTGTGGGATATTGTGGACAAACCTATTTCAGAGGGATAAAACAGCTGTGAGACGTCTCTAATATTATAATTCATTCACCCAGAATCCGTTATCGTGTGACTTGGTTTCATGTTTGGTTTCGCACCAATCAAGGTTGATGACAGTATAGAGGGAGGTTGGGAGGAATCCGAACTGTGTAGATAGCGAAAAGGGACGACTAACTAAGGAGAGAAGAAATAGACACCAGCAAATGACTGCCAGATTTGTAATTTTTTTGCTCGATAATCCATTTAGCTTGAGGCTTCATATTACTCTTAATCCACCACGTTTCCCATCTTCTCCCGTCCTCTCCATCGCCCCACAGCCCATCTCGCTAAATAAGTCACATGACTTTAACTTCCCAGGGTAACGTCTACCGTCCACGTTGCTGCATGTCGACGACAACCACCCATCTCATCCATCAACAGAACGGGCCAATTGCACACAATGACTTCTGCACGAATGACGGACAAGGAGCTCTTTGAGCTCAACAAGTCTGCTGTGACTCAGGACTTCCGAATCACCCCCCGACTCTCTTACAACACCGTTGGCGGTGTTAACGGTCCCCTTGTCATTCTTGACAACGTCAAGTTCCCCCGTTACAACGAAATTGTCAACCTGACTCTTCCTGACGGTTCCGAGCGAGCCGGTCAGGTACTGGAAGTCCGAGGCTCCCGAGCCATTGTCCAGGTCTTTGAGGGTACCTCTGGTATTGATGTCAAGAAGACGAAGGTCGAGTTTACCGGAGAGAACCTGAAAATTGCCGTGTCCGAGGATGTGCTGGGACGAGTCTTTGACGGTTCCGCCCGACCTATCGACAACGGCCCCAAGGTATTTGCCGAAGACTACCTCGATATTAACGGCTCCCCCATCAACCCCTACTCTCGAATCTACCCCGAGGAAATGATTTCCACTGGTATCTCCACCATCGACACCATGAACTCCATTGCCCGTGGCCAGAAGATTCCCATTTTCTCCGCCTCTGGTCTGCCACACAACGAAATCGCCGCCCAGATTTGTCGACAGGCCGGTCTGGTCCGACCCACCAAGGATGTCCATGACGGACACGAGGAGAACTTCTCTATCGTCTTCGCCGCCATGGGTGTCAACCTGGAAACCTCACGATTCTTCAAGCAGGATTTCGAGGCCTCCGGTGCCCTGGAGCGAACCTCCCTGTTCCTCAACTTGGCCAATGACCCCACCATTGAGCGAATCATTACTCCCCGACTGGCCCTCACCACCGCCGAGTACCTGGCCTACCAGACCGAGCGACACGTTCTCACCATTCTTACCGATATGTCTTCGTACGCCGACGCCCTGCGAGAGGTTTCTGCCGCCCGGGAAGAGGTGCCCGGTCGACGAGGTTACCCCGGTTACATGTACACTGATTTGTCCACTATCTACGAGCGAGCTGGCCGAGTCGAGGGCCGAAACGGTTCCATCACCCAGGTGCCCATTCTCACCATGCCTAACGATGATATCACTCATCCTATTCCCGATCTTACCGGTTACATCACTGAGGGCCAGATCTCTGTCGACCGACAGCTCTACAACCGAGGTATCTACCCTCCCATCAACGTTCTTCCCTCTCTGTCTCGTCTCATGAAGTCGGCCATTGGTGAGGGCCGAACCAGAAAGGACCACGGTGATGTGTCTAACCAGCTGTACGCCAAGTACGCCATTGGTAAGGATGCCGCTGCCATGAAGGCCGTTGTCGGTGAGGAGGCTCTGTCTACCGAAGACAAACTGTCTCTGGAGTTCCTGGACAAGTTTGAGAAGCAGTTTGTGTCCCAGGGCCCCTACGAGGACCGATCCATCTTCGAGTCCCTTGACCTTGCATGGGAGCTTCTGCGAATCTACCCCAAGGAGATGCTCAACCGAATCTCTCCTAAGATCATCGATGAGTTCTACGACCGAGAGTCCGACGAGTTTGCCGGCAAGGATACCGAGGAGATTATTGAAACCGAGAATCTCATTGATGCCTAAGTACTAATAAATCATGTTGAATTAAGCAGCTTATATTTGGTGTAGTAGTGTCAGGATGTAAGACATCATGCGTTATTAATGTGTTGTGTACAGTATGTACACTGTACGATACAATGTACAGCAAGTACAAGTGCAAGTACAAGTATGTACAGTACATGTACTAATGGTGTTACAGTCTCGTGTTAATAAGTTATTTATGGTTAGTCTAGAATTCGATCTTGTCTCGATCCGCCTGTTCTTCCAGCCACATGTCTCGCTGGAACTTGAACCACTCGGGGAGAACTTCTTCATCAGGGACCTTGATGATGACGGTCTGAACAGGATTGGAGTTCATATTGCTCATAACCGATGTGACCGAGTACATACGTGAACGCATGAACTCGGGTGAAGAAGGGCCTAGAAACTGGCCACCACTGCTGCTTTTGATATCTTCCTCGTCATCCGTGACAGCACACTCTCCATCCCATGCCACACATTTGATATCGATCATTTCCAGGAAGATCTCGGCCATGTAATGCGGCTTTGCGCCCGAGAAGATGCGGTATTCGGCCACCACACTGGAGTAATTCCACTTGAGCATTCGTCGTAATGCGCCCACAAAGGCGTTTGTCGAGTCCAGAATGAGAATGGGATATGAAGTCTTGTCGAGAACGTAATCAAACGAGTCCTGTAGCAGGTCCTCCGACAGGACCAGAGCATTGCTGGATGCCCTCCAAGGCCGAAGACCCACATGGGCAAGCTTGATGTCTTGCTCGGAGCAGAATCCTCGAATGTGTTTTGGCGGTCGATCAGGGTTCAGCGATATGATGGTCTTGAGACCCAGAGTCTCGAGAAATGCAAAGTTGAGTGTTGTCAATGCCGAACATCGGTACACACCGTCTTCGACCACTCCGAAGTATTCTGGTGGTGCAAGCATCGTGTCAGGTTGTGATCGAATGTAGTTGGTGGTTAGAGTGGGTCTTTGTAGCTGTTTCTTAGTGTGACCTCCGGTCGTTGATCGCTGGGTTGGTTTGTGCACTCGTTTTGGCAGCAGCCTTCAGTTACGGACTTGTTCTTGATGGTGCTCGTTCTGCCAGAACCTTATATTCTTTGATGAAGGAGGTGGCATGAAATTGTATGTATCAACATGAGCTTGCTAGGCCGCTTTACGGGGAACAAAACAACATCACTCAATCAAATACTCTGGTCGTTATAGTCTAGTGTTAGTTTCTTTGACCCAATAATATCGCTCTTGTCCCCTTCCTTCATCCACTCATCCCATGCCAAATATTTCACCCTGCACATGCATGAACAAAATCTAAATCAAATCAAATCATCATCGCCATCACAACCAGCATGAAACGACTCTGGGGGACCCTGCCCCGAGTCAAGAGAGTGCGCCACCAACGCGCAATAGGGATGCTATCAACTAAAAAATCTCATGCTCGACAAATACATCAACACACGTTTTATCCAGTAGCTACCGACCAAGCATTTTCACAGCTCGACCCCCAGAAGAAAAAACGGGCTGATCTCGGAACCTCAGTGCCGCTATATCTGCCACCAGAGGCCTGCGGATTACGACAACTAGCTGCCGGAGACTTCGTCGAAGCTATTGTCGCTGGAATACCATACTGGGGAGTAGTTACGACACGACAACCATTCACCCTGGAGATGCTGGACAGCGATGGAATCAACAGAGAAGTGCCAGTGGATTGCGTCACGTTTGGGCTCTACGGCTTCACAGAATTGACAGGCAAGAAGGAGCGACTCGCACTTCTGTCGAACTATCTTAATTCGGTCTCCTACTATCACAGTGTAGCAATGCGGAAGCTTTCGACCATCCATTCACTCTTTGCTAAGCAGGCAATCCCGTGGTCTGTCGGGCTGGACGAAATAACCGAGACCCTTCTCAAGATCTCTCCGGCAATAAATGCATACTCTTGGTCCGCTGCGGCTTTGGCTTCACATATCGCCGTCGTCAATCAGCCGCGCTACTTCAGATGTGACTATGCTCAGACAGCAGATTATGACTCCTGGTCACCCCTCAATTACGTGGCTCTACCTATCGATATCGTGAGCAAACTGGAACTGGTTGTCCATCCTGACAATGCTGCCAGATCAATCAAAGAGTTCACAGCAATTGCTCTGAGATATATGGAATCTACAGAGCATGTTCAGCATCGTCATTTGCCTCTCAGGGCACTATTTACGGCCAAACAGTCGTATGACACCTGGGATGCCGTAGTGGTGTTCCTTCGACATTACGTGGAGTATCCTCACCGTAACCTCATGTGGGTTGTTCCTGAGATTCTTGGTAGCTGGTATCGAGACAGGTACGAGGGCCATGGAGACCCCTATGACCCGTATGTGGTTCGAGAGTTCTTGGAAAGAATCAACGAAACGACCCCCAGTGGTCCAGGATCAGTATTCCTCGCTGGTCCGAACGACATTGCATTTACAAAACATAGACTGCCTGCAGATACGACGGTGGCAGCCGAGGAGCTCGAGCTAACAGACGGAAATTCAACATTCTTCGACTACTGCAGTCAAAAGTTTACTGAGTGGGAACCATACACATCCGTGTCCGCAGCCCAATTTCTACATAAGTGGAGAGACCCGGCATACCTGCTAGATCGTCACATTGGCTTCGGCATATATGTGGAGAACGGGGTGCCAGAATTCCTCCATCTGCATGTTCCTGACGTCACCCAAACTGTTCCAGTCAAGTCTAGCGTGCTATCTGTGGTCGGCCAGCGAAGTTATTCTCTCGATACAGTAGAGGGTCGACTAGACATGCTTCCAGGAGCTGTAGCTGACGAGCTGGCTCTCACAGGAGAGGGCAGACGACGAGTCATGACGGTCACTGTAAGACTACAGGATGGCAAGCTCCCTGAGAGCATCACACCGGATCTACTTTTCGTATCTTTCGGTACGGTCGAGTTCGAAGAACTAACAGAGTCAAACAACTCCAGCCGAGCTTTGACAGAGCTGCTACAAGAACATTACGACTACCGACTATCTCACGGAGCACTTCCTGGGTTTGCCAAGTCTAACAAGAACGTCAGCTTGTCTTACCAGGTTGGAGAAGTATCTGAGCTGCCCAAGTCAATCTTCCTTAGCTCGGTCGAATACCAGAAAGACGATCAGATCGCGCCACGGAATGAAAAGGTTTCGATTTTGCATGCTACCGAGGACTTGGATGTGTTGAGCGAGGCTCGCATTCTCATGAACCGACTCGGAGCCATCTACGCGTCTGAAAACAAGCTGGCTGTCATGTATCGACAGCAGCAGGACCCCTTGCACGCGGAAAAGTCGGATCATCCGCTCAATCGAAAGATCCAGTCTCTCTATTTCGAAAAGGAACATTTTTCGGACACACCCGGTCCCCATGAGTCCCTCGGACTGGATTCTGTTATACAGATTGCTTCTCCCATCGACTCCCTGGAGGACATTGTGAATCAGCATCAGCTGTATTGCAAATACGCCAACCTGTGCGCATCGAGAAGACATGGAGAAGACGTGGTGAACTTAGCAACTCTTCGAGGAACACCCAAAGTAGACTGGCTTGCGCCTGCTGGAAAGGAGGAATACACACCTCTTTCAGACAGATGGCATGATATCCAGGACGATGTGTGTGACGTTCTGGAGGAGGAGACCCCTCGAATGATTCTGGAGCTGCCTCAACCTCTCTCTGCTGGACAGCTTCGAAGTGTCTACTTACAGTACCTGCGACCTCGACAACGGTTGACTGACCGGGCAGCTCAACTGGTTGAACGATACTGGAAGATTCTGTGGATCGAAACGCAGAATAACTTTGCATACAAGTGTGTTGTGACTCGACCTGCTCTTACCTATAAGCGAGATCCTATCACCAAGCTGTCTACACGAGCGCGGGCTTATTGCATTGATTTGGACATGGAGGTTGAGGTTGAGGTTGGAGATCTTCAGCTTGAGCGAGGAGATCGGCTTGTCAGCATGGGAGTTGTGCGCGCTAATAAATACACTGGAGAGCTGGTCCTGTGTGTTTAGGTGTAGAGGAGTTTGGTAAAGGATGATAAGGGAGCATTTGTATATAGTAAATCATGCATTAATCTATGAGTTTCGTTGTTCAGTTGCTGTCTATATGCCCAGCACTTCAGTCGCTTACAGCAACTTTAGATGACCAGTGACTCGGTCAATCTCAGACTTGGGAGCAGGGCCGACACCTAGAACAGTGGCACTTCCTGCAGCAATCTGGGTTCGGCCAGCGTCTCGGATCACACAGGCGATGATACCTCGCTCGAGAGCTTGTCGCTTGAGCTCGAACAGCTCGGCCTCAGACTTGACCTGGAGGGCCACCTTGGCCTGGCCCCATCGGACCCATGATCGGGTGGTTTTAGGCTTGAGATCGGAGGACTGTCTGTAGCATGCCAGAGCTGCATGTGCACACTGGGCTGCGATCTTGCCCTTAGTCATCTTGAGATCAGTTCTCACCACCAGCACCATTTTCAATTCTCCACGGGCTTTGTCCTCGTGAGCCTGCAGCTGCTTGATGTCTTCCTCTGTGAACTCATCCTCGGACGAGTCGGCCTCGGAAGAGGATATCGAAGATGAAGATAGTCTTCGTGCAGCTAGCTTTCGGGGAGCAGGAGTGGTGGCTCGAGGAATGACGTATCGTCCAAGAATGACACCTGCGCCGACCAGACCGGATGCCACGAGGTAGTTGATTGTTTGTGTAGACAGGGTCGCGGGAAGAGTCAACATTGTAATGGTGTGTTGAAGTTGATTGAAATTTCGATGCAACGAAGTTTGATTTGGGTCATGCATGACATAAAGTGACGGAAGATGAGTGCACGCACTGCACTCTGTACCGATACAAGCGTCGGTACACTACTTGTACTTGTAGCTGCGATAAACAAGTTCAACGATGACAACTTACTTGCATTGTATAATGGAAGGAAAAATTATGTGCCATTTTGATATACAACCGAACTGTGTACTCGTACTGTATCTGAATATCAACATCACCTCGTTTGCTCTATGGTTAGCACCGTTAGAGTTCGGGACATCTCCAGCACAAGGCACAGTTACATGTATGTACAGTACTCTTCCTGTTAACAACCACCCAGCACTGATGTACTCCAATGACCAGGATTGGATGTGTTGGGTCTGACATGGCTCGTTGAACTTAAGCGATGCACTCTCGTATACGGTTTGCGCTCATACTGTAGACAGCTTTTTATGTTGCCTATTATGAGCAATGGAGATACACTACAGTAAAGAGATCCCTGATTGGATACTACTGATAGCAAGCCATGTGTAAACCCATCAAGAGCCTCATTCATATGTTTGTCCACGTGCCAAAACAGATCTCCAAGGAAACACTCACTAACAAATCTTTCTGCTAGTCAGATGAGATTCTCTCAGGGCCTTTCTTGGGTTGGTTAGTGCACTAGCGCATGGGCAGGATACAAACGAGTTGGAAAAACGCCACGCGCCATGGGTGAACGGAAACCTGTTCGCATCCATCTCGACTGCAGACCCCTTGGGCATGTTTCCCCGATGAGCACACCTCGTCAAGCTGCCGTCATTTGTTACAGCTCCCGTATGCATTGGGCTGGAAGTTATGCTGTGGGAACTTCTGCCACTGATGACATTGTTCAGGATGGCCTTCGTGGATCTTAAAGCATTAACTTCAAACATGCCGGCTCTAGCGAAAGGGACAAACCATCGATGTTTGTACTCGAACATCAGATCCAGAGCATGACAGACTGCCTGCTGTCTACTCTACTTGGACCATGGCGACCCATGATTCTTCTGCCAAGGGCCAGATGCGTGGGTTCATCACCGACAAATTCACAATGGTCGAGCCGTCGTTGCCTCAAGATGTGGGCTATCTCCCAAAGGCAGTTCTACCCAACTACAAGTCTCCCTCGATGATGCCAATGTTCGCGTTCGCAGATTATCGCCGATGTTGCCAACCAAGAGAAGCCGCACTCGGACCAATCTTGATTCCATGTACTTCTCCAGAAAGGGTCTAGACAGATTTACTCAGATTCTGGTGGTTCTGAACGATGTCGTTGGTGATAAGGCATGTGCTCGCGACCTTCTTGGTCGATTGAAGAACGCATTTACTGTGTTCGTCAATCACAGACAGCAGAATCCACTTGCTTACAACACCCTCTGGAAGGGCATTGTCTCTACTGCGGGCCTTGGTACGGACTCCCCCGCTGATTTCGGTAACTTACTACAATGACCTTCATATCCACTATGGTTATTTTGTTCATGCCGCTGCTATATCGCCAAAGTTGATAGAGAGCTGGGAGACGGGAAATGGCTCACTCAGAGAGACAGTGGGTCGATAATCTGGTGATAGACTACGCTAACCCCAGTCCTCAGGGTAAGAGCTTTCCTATTCATCGATCTTTCTACTGGTGGTCTGGTCACTCGTGGGCTAAGGGCCTGCATCTTAGTGCTGATGGTAAGGATGAAGAGTCTTCTTCTAAAGACTACCACTCAGTGTATGCCATCAAGCTCTGGGGTAATGCCAATGGTAACCAGGCAATGGAGGCCCGTGCCAATCTTCAGCTGGCTATAATGAAGCGTGCCATGAATACCTACATACTGGTACATGAAGGACAACAAGTGGAACCAGCCCATGAAACATTAAGAACAAGGTCCCTGGTATTTCGTTTGAGCACAAAGCTGATCATGCAACGTACTTTGGTATGAATCCCGAGTACATTATTGGTATCCATGCTCTTCCCACTACTCCTGTTTCTGCATACATTAGAGACCCTGCGTTTGTCAGAGACATGGGATCAGCGGCGGGTTAAAAGGTTCATCAACTGGGTCGATAGTGGGTGGAAAGGTATTCTTCAGCTAGATCGAAGTAAGCTAGATCGGAGAACCTTCGATTCCCATGTTGCGTATCAGTTTGTCACCCAAGGTTTCCAGCCTCGATGGCTGGATCCAGGTAACCTCTCTTACCTGGTCTCTTACTGTACCATGGTTGCTGGGTTGGGAGGCCAATAAAATATACAGAACTATTAGAATAAATGAGTACGGTACGATAGTGTATATGTTTGTGTCTTGGTTGTTTACCATTGTCTCGACGAGTGTTTGAAAGATGGCTTACTAACATGGTTCAAACTGTGGCTGGTTAATTACTGTAGCTACCGTATCCAGAAATCTGTCGTCGTCATTGCGAAGGTTTGGTATCGCATATAAGCCGTTAACACCGATCCTTCCTTTGGGACGATCACAGCAATGAACAAGACCCATGACGTCCACACCTAGCTTACTCGGTTATATGTCGACCACCAATAAACCAATAGCAATACATTCTATCTCTCTATACTGCATGGTAACGGTCATGTGTGTATCCACACTCCGCCCACACATGTTTCCCCACATGGTTATTGGACGCAACTGCATAAGCTCTGCAGCTATAGCTACACTCGTAATAGAGCTTTTGGAATATAAATTGGGCTTGAAGCCTGAAGTTGTCAAGAACACTCAACACCGACTATAAATACACAATGGCTCCTGCTCTGTTCAGTCCCATCAATGTGGGAGACACTCACCTGCTCAACCGGGTCGTTATGGCTCCATTGACCCGATTTCGAGCTGATGAGGGAGGTGTTCCCTCTGATCTTCAGAAGGACTACTACGTCCAGCGATCCCAGACCCCTGGCACTCTTCTCGTTGCTGAGGCAACCTACGTTTCTCCTGGTGCAGGCGGCATGAAGACCTTTGGAGGCCATGTTCCTGGTCTGTGGAACGAGGCTCAGATTGCTGGCTGGAAAAAAGTGATTGATGCGGTCCATGCCAAGGGATGCAAGTTCTACATCCAGCTGTGGGATCTCGGCCGAACTGCCAACCAGCAGGTTCTGGAGAAGGAAGGACTGCCCTTCACTGGTCCCTCTGCTATCCCTCAGAAGGGAGACAAGTTTGGAGACAAGATCCGAGCCCTTACCGTGCCTGAGATCAAGCAGAAGATCAAGGACTACGCCACCGCTGCTGAGAATGCAATCAAGGCCGGTGCTGACGGAGTTGAAATCCACTCGGCAAACGGTTATCTGCCCGATCAGTTCATTCACTGGAATTCTAATCACCGAACAGACGAGTACGGAGGAAGTATAGAAAACCGATGTCGGTTTTCTCTGGAGATCGTGGACGCCATTTCTGCCTCCATCGGTTCAGACAAACTGGCGATCCGACTGTCCCCCTGGACCGACGTTCAGGACGTCGAGGTTGATCAGGTCAACACGCTCCCCACTTTTGAATACATCTTCCGTCAGCTCCAAAAGCGAGCAGACAATGGCCAGAAGCTAGCCTACGTGCATCTCATTGAGCCCCGAGTCAATGGCACCAAGACCAAGCGGGAGGATATTGCGTGGCAGACCAACGAGCCTTTCCGAAAGATCTGGAAGGGTCCTCTTGTTCGAGCTGGAGGTTTCACTCGAGAAACTGCTCTCGAGGCTGCGGCTTCTGACCCCCTTACTCTGGTTGCGTTCGGCCGATTCTTCATCAGTACTCCCGATCTCGTTGAACGACTGGAGAAGGACGAGAAGCTCAATCCTTACAATCGAAAGACTTTCTACTCCTCCGGTCCAGTTGGATACATTGACTATCCCACTTACGAAAAGGCCAAGTTGTAGACAACCATAGACACATTTGAATAATCCAATGCCCAAATTATGTATTTTTGCAGCTATGTATACCGTATGCAATGTGAATGTCCGCCTGACTGATTTAGGCAGAGTCTTTTTATTCATTGACAATAACAACAAGCACTGTGATATCGTCGGGCTTGCCTCCCATGTAGTGCACTTTCATCACCTGCTGCACCTCCTTGGCAAACGGAGAAAGATGCTGCTTATTGGTGCTTAGCGACTTGGCCTTTAGCACGATTCGCCGCGCTAGATCCATGGCACCCTTGTGTTCACCGCTGGACTTGATGCCCTCCTTGTCGTCCTTGATCCACGATCCGTGCTCCAGCATGGTTTCGTTGACAATCTTGAGGGTGTCCTGAGCGCTCATGTTGTCGGTGAGACCGTCAGTAGCAAGCACAATGACATCCCCAGGCTCGGCAGTGAAAGAGAACTGATCGGCCATTGCGGGAGTGTCCTCAATGTGACGCAGACCCTGTCGTTCATCACTTCGCTTGAGTTCATCAGGGATGATAGCCAGCTGGTAAGGGGTGTTGAAGGCATGAGTCTGCGCTTTCGAGCCTCCAGCAAGCTTGCCGTTACGGAAAACCATGAATCCGGAGTCTCCGAGGTTGGCAACAGCCACCTGGCCGTCCTGACCAGCGACCCCAATGCATGCTGTGCTTCCTCCTGCCTTGACGGTCTTTTCCCGGACAATCTTGTTGTAGGCGTTGGTGAGCAGCTGTTTGGGGGAAATGAGTGAGGCTAGGGGCTTTTCAGCGAATGCAGGCTCCTTCTCGATCTCCTTAGCCTTCTCCACAGCCAGATTGGAGCTCTCGTGGCATAGGTAGTAGCTGAAATCGGAGGAATTGACTCCCATTTCTGCCCAGCCGCCCACGCCGTCGGTGACGCCAAACGCCGTGTTGCTGTATGTGTATGAATCGGGCGAGTCCGTCTTGCTCAGCGAAACATGGAAAAATGCATCTTCTCCGGTAGGCGGTCTGTTTTCTCCAGCCGGAGGTTTGGACTGCTGGTGAGGTGGCCGGGGCTTCGCGCTGTAGGCCTCGGCGATTGTGTAGCTGAGAAAGCGCCTAGAGAAGAGTGGCTTCAGAAGCTGGATTCGGGGTAGTCGGGTTGGTCGGAACATGGCTTTTGTTAGGGGGGCCAAGTGTAGGATTTATCCAGGAACACACCTCACAGTTTCACAGTCGAATAAAAATAGGCTCTCCGAAAAGAAATGCTTTTAGAGTTGAGGTGCGTGCACACCAACAGCAGAGCACGGACACCCAAAAACAAATGCATGTGGGAGCAACTGTAGAAAGACACGGATACGAGAAGTGCTAAAAAAGCTGATCAGATGTGTACAGTGAGACCACTTACGTTACACACTATTGTAGATTCAAACAGATACTCAAAACATACATTACTGATAGTTGACACTTTCGGACGAGGCAGAGACTCTGATATCGTCCACCTTGATGTCGTCTCCCTTGATACTCTCCTTCCTGTCGGTGGTGTTGTCCTTCTCGGCTTCGATACACTCCACGGCGGAGCCAACTAGAATGATGCCGTTCTTGTGGCAGATTCGCTTCTCATCTCGCTTGTAGAAATAAAGAACCGCAATACCTCCAACAACGCAACCGAAGGCACAGGCAGCACAAGTTGCGAAACCCTTGGTAAATCGAGGTGATTCCTCAGTGGGGAAAACCAGAACAGACACCCATGCCTGGGTGGACTGGCCCATCATATTCATGGCCACAATCACAATGGCATATGCCTGTGGATCGTGTCTCATAATGTCACTAACCCAGCCGAAGTAGGATGGACTCATGGACCAGGACGTGTATTGTAGACAGAAGGCAAACCACTTTGCAGCTTCCGACACGTCCCATACTGCCAGAATCACGCAGCCTATGAAGTTGAGGGTCTGGGTGATGGCAATGGCTCCCCATCGACATTTGAACATGTCTGCAAAAAGAGATGCCGAGTAGACGTACACAAAACCAAGACCTGGTGCCACAGACGACAACTGGTTAATCTTCTGGTTTGTGTATCTCTGGTTTCCTTCCGAGTCCGTAAGACTTTTCAGCCAGAGGATGAAAGAACCAGATGTTCCACTATTGTTGTTGAAGAATATGCAGGCCACCAGTACCAGTAGTGGCATGCGCCAGGTAGTGAGGAGAGGTTTCCAGAGCTCCCAAGAGAAGAACTTCTTCTTCTCCACCGCGGTAGTTTCGGTAGCATATGGTTTCATTCTTAGTCGACATCTTCGGATTTCATCGTCCGTCAAAAACAGCGAAACACATTTGTCTGGGGTTCCTGGAATGACAAAGAAGCCAATGACAGCCAGTGGAAGAGTTGCAATGGCGTCCACGATGAACACCCATCTCCACCCCTCAAATCCTCCAACTCCATCTAGATCAAGGGCTGCACTAGCCAGTAGACCCGAACTCAGCAGACCAAGAAACTGGCCCATGTAGAAGAAACCTGCTCGGCGAGCGACCTCAGATGGCTTGTACCACGAGCCCATGAGGAAATATGCAGTTGGCACAAATCCAGACTCGAAAACTCCAACAAAAAATCGAATCACCTTGAGAGCTGCGACAGAATGGATCTTGCAACACAAGAGAGTCATGATACCCCAACAGAGATCCATGGCAGGAATGACAATATTTAGCGGCACTTTGGGAAGCATGAACATGAAGGGAAGCTGGAAAACAACTCTCCCACCAGGTACATGGCCTGTACATTGACCAAGTCGTTACCCTTGAAACCCAAGTCTTCTCTCATACCGCTGACATAAGCATTGTTGACATTGGTCTGGTCTAGATACTTGACCCAGTAGACTGCCAGAGAGTAACATGTCAAAAGGAGATCGAGCTTGAGAATCAATTTCTTGTCCTCCTTGGTATCTCGTTCGTCGAACCACTTGAACCACTTATGACCGGATTTCTCGTAGCTGTTCTGTCTGTACTCATACTCATCAAAGAACTTCCACCACGGGCGATTGGTTTCGTCTCTGTACTCTATGACGAGTTCTTGTTCATCTGTGACAGCTTCAATAGCCAAGTCGTCTGCGACGTGACGTATGGTTGGAATAAATTTCATGTGTTGATATGCGATTATGTGATGGGTGAGAGGTTCTCGATTGCAGAGACTTGTACTTATAGCCATGTGTAGATCGACCCCCGCCCCTTGGATCAGTGCATCCTTTTGCCGCCGTCCTTTATCCATGTGCTTCGCTACTGGACGATTGTTATCGCGTTCCCATGCATATATCACTGTCAGGTTTTACCCAATCGCTCTTGGCGTGAGGGGCGCACTTCTTCAAACACTCCTACCTGGATGATCTGTCCTTTTTGGGATAGCTGGGGTCGGCAATAACCACCGCCTGTGCCCAATTAATAGTCACGTGACCAATGAGACAACAAGCATACATTTCCCCCACGCATATATCCCATATCCACTATTACACGTCCTGGCATGATGAGCCTCCAAAAATGACTTCGTGACGCGAATGTCCATATAGCCGCCAGACAAGCTCAGACTCACTGATAAGCTTCTTGGGGGTCCAAACTCTGATGTACTCCAAACTCAAACCAACAAGACTCATCAATCACGATCTTCAGACACAGCGGCAAAAACGACGGAGAGCGATAAAGGTTTGATTGATGGCCTTTTCATTCAATTGAGGCCATATTATTAATGACGTTTAGAAAGAGGTGGAAGATAAGGCCTTGTTGGCACGTGTTGTACATGTGGATGTGCACCCGTTCGTCTAGACCTTACCCCACACAGCCTTACAGCTTGCCCCCCACGAACCCAAGGTCCACTTGTAGACAATGGACTCAATTTTGAGCCCCGCATTCCAAGGCTCTATCTTGCTTATCCATTGTCTGTTGTTTTTGGGTTCATAATCCCTTCTGTAGGTTTGTGTGCATTAATCAGTAATGAGGGTCCGATATGTTACCGTATCGAAAAATGAGACAGTGGCTCTGTTCTAAATGCGTCCTAAAATAGTTTACAATTACAGCATTGCTTGATGACGTTACTGTGTTGAACTGTCCACTTGTAGTAGAATTACGGGTTTTCGCGGCGTCCCTAAATTCACACATAAGTGACACAGATCATTGCCTCACAACGGCTAGCCCCCAGTCCCGAATTACCACCAAGTCTACTGTTGTGAATAAAACAGTAGGTACGCTTTCTAGGCATCGTACCGTTACAAGTAGTCTACTCTTGCTTCAAATACAAGTACAGTAGCTACAGTAACTCGCATGTAAAAATATCGATTACACTAATAGACAGATCAAAACAGAAAAGAAGGCAAAGTTAGCGGAGTGGGCATCTACCACAGTCGATAGTACTCGTTTCGGAAGGGGAACTGGAGATCTTTGAAGAAACCCCGCTCGGTCCACATACCATTTCCTCGTTCATTCTTGTACTCTGAGAGTCTGAGGCTCTCATGCAATGGCAGGTTAGCAGGCTCTGTGTATGTGAAGCCGTTGTAGGCGGAGTCGATGAAGAAGTTCTGGTTGTACTCGTTCTCTCCAGTCTTGGCAATGTTCTCCGACAGTGAGTTCACATCTTCCACGAGCCACTCATTTGTCTTTGCATCGAGCTGGGTCAACAGAGCGTCCAGGCGGTCAGATTGGGAGAGATGAGACTTCACGGCATTGTGCCACTGGGCAGCCAACTTTCCCAGAAGCTCACATGCAACCACATAATACAAAATATGCATGTAAGTGGTCTTGGGAATGTTCTTGTTCTGACACGACTTGAGGAACCAGGTCTCGGCCAGCTCTGCTCGCTTGGCAGCAGCATAGTAGTGCAGCTCTGGACCCTTGAACTTGTGCTTCTTCTGGGGAACAGTGACATGGAGGTGCTTGACGCCCACCTCCTTGCTGGTAGGAGGAGGGTGAAGGCTCTCAACCAGCTCATTCTGCAGCAGGTAAAGAAACTCTGCTGCAAAAGGAGCTGAGAAATCAACCTTGGACTCTTCAAAGAAAGAATGCAGGCTTTCGTCGGAGGCAATAACGTTGGACAGGAAAGAAGGGTCCATCAACTTAACCAGATGTAGCTCAATTGCAGGAACATGCTTAGTGGGGAAGACACGCTTGAATATACCAGTATCGGCTGTAGGTAGGAAGTTTTGTTCAAGTTCCCAACCCTTCTGCTCTGAGAACTTGTTAAAAATGAAAGTCTCTTCCGATCGATCTGTTCCAAGAAGACCCCATTGCTGCATGAAGTATTCGGTGGGCTCGACAACACCTCCATTCTGCTCAACGAGATCAGTGAGAAACTCGACACTGTCTCGCTCGTCGGCCTCGTCGTATTGGTCTCTCAATGGGGAATTGACGAGAATTTGGTAAGCGTAGGACATGCAGTCGAAAGTTTCACGCCCCTGGGGGGACTGCAGCAGCTCGACGCATCGGTTTCTGTAAGCGAATCTGAGACGGCTTTCAGAGGCGGAGGAGGGGCATCGCAGAGCGAGGTAAAGAAGAGGAACCATTGTTGTCAATATTTGTTTGTGTGAGTGTTTGTGTGTCCAATTGAGGTTGATGAATAACTATTTGCAAGGGGAAGACTGCTCTACATATATACCCCACCCAGGGTTTGTACAGGCCGTGTGACCTTCACTAAAGCCGTTTAACGTCAACAATTTGGCTTCGGCGAGGTCTAGTGCGGTATTTTTTAGACTACCTAGGCTATCAAAGAGTGCCACCATGAGACCTATGTATAATCCTTGTGGGGTGATAAAAATTTAAATACGGTTCGAGGTTGTCTTACCAGTACGGCTGGTGTAGGGAACTTACCTGTAGAGGTTACACACAGAGAGGAATTTACCGTGTTGAGAGACCGATAAAACGACTAGAGGTGTCACTCTAATGTCGCTTTTCTTAATTCATTGTCCGGATAATGTTCATTGCATTTTCTGCAGTGAAAGGGGCAAGACTCAACGTTTTTGCATTATCGAGGCATTAGCGATGGGATAGCAGGGTACGGTGCATGTCTTAAGTCCGTGGCACGTTTCTCCTACTAGAAACATAATTGGGCCGGCCCTGCATTTCCGGGCAAAGAATCTGAGACAGCCGCGGAGCTAAAGTTGATACGACTGAAAACCCACTTTGAGTCCACATCTTTCACATTTCACAATGGCAACGCAAGCGAAGTCCTAATGAGAGATTATCTACAAAACCGTAAGGCTGAAGACTATCCTGTGACTTTCGTTGCACCTTAAGTCGGACGATTCACTCAAGATTAAAGTCTCACCGGTACGACGGTTGATTTTTCGGTTCTCGGGCAATTAGAAGTCGGGGCGGTGAAGTGATAGGGAATGGTCACTATAGTTTGATGTTTTAGAGCCCTCGAAGCTCCATATCTACAGTGTACTTGTTCTGTACAGTACCCAAACACTCTAGGAGCTTCGTTAACTTGGCAAGGACAGTTCACCACTTGCGACTGTAAGCCCTCCATGCGGAGTAGAAACTTGTACCACAGTAACCCATCCAAAAGTGCTCCTCGAGATGTTGGACTCCCTTGATTGATGACTCCACACGGTCGATACTACGGTAACTGGGGCTAGCCCCGTATACGACTAAAACGATCTGTGCAAGTCTAAGCGAGTGATTGCGAAGACAAAGCTTCTTCCGAATTGCGGATATAAAGGGACCACGGAAATTATGGATTTAAGACGAGCTAAAAACAACACATACTGTACTTGGATAGAGCAGTTTCGTGTCAAAGTCACTGCGTCGCCTTCGACAAGATGTTATCTGATGCTCCTTGTGATCACTTGGCAATGAAGGCAGATGAGGTCCACTTCTTTGTTTGGGTTACGAGTTCGGGAATAGTAATTTTTCAATTTAATTGGAAAAAGAAAAGGTGCTTGTAGGATCAAGAAAAGCAATGAACGGGCTCAAACTCCTGTCCAAAGCAAGCCTTTTTACCTTCTTCCAGAACGGTGTGGCTAACAGCGGATCTCCATTTAGAAGGAATCAAAGGCAACATCTCTCGGAAATGTCTTTGATAATTTCCTTCCTTCCAATTTTACACGCTTATCACCTTTCATCATCACATGGGTGCACATCGGCTATTAAATGTTCCGAAACTCAAGGTCAACCCTCCGTTCAATAACCCTTAATAAGTATCATTTCATTTCATCTGACCGCTAAACTCCATTTTATCCCTCTTTCAATCTCACCACCTCCACTATTTATCCCTTTCAGCTAAATAACTCCCATTTTAGTTTCCATTCCTGTTTTTTTATTTATTCTAATGATTCATTTCAGCTATATACCTATTTGTAGTAAGCTTGATTTTTTTTTTTTTTTGTTTTATTCTAGGGAAATACATTTCAACTACTTGAGGTCTATTTTTTTATTATTATTATTCTAGGGAAATTTGTATTCTATTTTTTATTCTATTTTTTATTACAATGTTTCATTTTGTTTTTATTCTAATGATTCATTATATATATTTTTATTCTAATGACTTTTTTATTTTATTTTCCTAAAGATTTTTTATTTTTATTCTATTTATTACACGTGACATGGGTGTCAAATTCTATATTTCATTTTTTAAAAATAGCGTGTTCCGGCCCGAGTAGCGCAATGGTTAACGCGTTGGACTTCTAATCCAAAGATTGTGGGTTCGAGTCCCACCCCGGGTGCTTATACACTTACTTTTTTGTCTATTGAGGAAAATAAGGTTTTGATCAATATTGTTCGACTCACCCAAAATGTCAACCTGAACACGCACCCACAGACACAAAAAATGGCCCCCAAGCACAATTACAGAGGAGTGAGTATCCTACCGACCGTCGACAACACATCAAGCTACTAATCTAAGGCAACAGTCGAGGATCTGGAGTTCCCCCCAGCCTTTTCTGTCACTCCTCAGACATCTCTGATCGAGGCTCTGGAGTTGTCGTACGAGAAAGAATACTCATACTTACCCGTTATTTCGGGCAAGAACCGGGCTCTTCTCGGATACCTTACGGCCGACCAATTGAGACAGCAGAGCTCCCGGTCCAGTTTGGACGGCTCTGTGCCTGTTGCCAGTGTCTACAACAAGTTTCACAAGGATGCTTCTCGACCTTTCAAGCCCATCACCCCCGCTACTCCTCTGGAGCAGCTGGAGAACTTTTTTGAGTCTGGACAGCCTTTTGCTGTGGTGACTGACGATAGCAGACAGTTTGTGTTGGGAGTGGTTGTCAAGGAGGATCTGGACAAGTATGTTAAGTGCCGACCTGAGCTGCAGTAAATTGCATAGTTATGATTGATATTCAGTTGGTCTTGGTATGAGTAAATCGTGGAGCGCGTTTAGACTTCCCAACAGAAACATCACGTTGTATAATGTATGAGGAAGATATTATGAATTCAGTATTTTAACACATTGATTAAAAGATCATTATATTCGTGTTTGTGCTTTTTCTGTTGGTTCCATGAATAACTACGGCATTTAATTGGGTATTTCGAAACCCCAGTTTCTCATGGGACTTTAGAATTACAGTAGGTGCGATTAGACTTGAGCATGCATCACCGTGTTGTGCTTCTTCATAATCCACAGTGGTGTGGGTTTCACTAACCTGATAAAGCCCATATGAACGACAGAAATGGACAAAGAACGGTACATTCAGCTGTGCTACAATGCCGTCAAGCTGCCTGATCAGTTGGATAATTACCAGCACTATTACAACCTCTTTGATGGCTGGTCAACTAAGTTGATGGAATCAACCAAGCGTGAAGTCAACATCATAATCGACAGGAGACTCATGAAGGAAAACGTGGTGTCACTGATTGGGGTGGACGAATTGAAGGGTATTGATCTAGGTAAAGACGTTGTTAGACTGAAATTGGAACGCTTCGCAGTTCCCTGGGTGATCTTGGCAGCTCACGTCCTCTTGGGTTTCACGACAGACGCGCTTGAAATCGTGACCTCATTGGTGGAGACTTTCCATATCCACGGCATCCCCGAGTCGATGGTAGAGCAAGTTGTTGCTTGGAGTCTTTATTCTATGGGCCTAGATTACACTGTTGTTTTACACGATAGCAAGACTCGACACGACCAGTTGAAGTACGCAGCCGCGAACGCGTCAAGACTGTCGGAAAAGCGGACGGAAATTTGGCGGGAAATCTTTGACCATCTTCATGAACAGAAGGCTTTCGCTCATCCAAAGGTCGAAGCCGGCGTGGTCTACTTTGCCCTGTTTCGCTTGCCAGAAAATGCATCTCGTGGATTATATACCGTCTTATTCCTTGATGCTGCCACTGGTGCTCTCGCTTTCACATCACCATTTCAACGGGAGCAGGAAGGGCTTGGGGCTATCAGTCGATATATCCGTAAGCATATCGATGTCTTTTTGAGAGAGCATGGCCAGCCAGCGTTCATGGTTTGTGTCAATCCTTGGGATAGTGGAGAGAAGTACGCGTCGCTTGTGGGCGTTCTTCAGGATGCGGTAAAGGGACTTCCCCCTCTTTCCACGCATTTTTGCATCTACACGACTAGGGATGGAGATATATTTTGCGACTTGCCTTCGACACTCGCCAACCTCCTTCTACATATCACTGAGAGACTGGAATCTGGGCTACAGAGACTCAAAGTTGATCCAATTCTATCATTCTATACCGAAAAGGGCTCAACTGCCTGCTGGGAATACATCTTGGAGTCATCTTTTGGAGACCTTCTTCAAAGAAAATTTCACACGAATCAGCCTGTTTCGTATTACCTTGGCAACAATGGCATGAACCCCACGCCCTGTAGGTTGAGCTATGCCGTACCAGGTAAAGGGGCTACGATTTCCCTGACGGGCCAACACAGTTGGGATCGCCTCTATGTCTCTCCTTATTTGGATGTGGATGGTGGCGACATGACGGTTCAACATGAAGCAGTGGAACATTTGGATGAATGTGATCAGGATGAACTTGACCGGCTTCTGACTCTTTCTGCAAACTACTTTTTGCATGATGTTTCATCGGAATCTAACGTTGTGGGGCTCCAAAAACCTTGGCACCAACTGCTTCTGTACATTTGGCGTGTGGCTGAAACGCCCAAGACCAGTCTTGAGTCCACGCTAGTGAGAACTACTCCTGTCGAAACCATACCTGTAGACGTTGTGGATCGACAACTTGTGCTCAATGATGAGCCAAAGGGTGAGCCAAAGGGTAAGGCATTTGACCCAACCGCGAGCTCAAAGAAGCCCCCCTCACCTGCTCGCACTCCTGCGGGAACTCCTGTTTACTCGGCAGATGCGGCAGTTGCCATGATGCTTGGTCTAAAGTCTAGGATGAAAAGGCGTGAGAGGGCACCTTGGGGACAATGTGGTATTAAGAAGGATGCAACTGCGAAGGATAGAGCCTCTCCTTGGACAACGAAGGCCCTTGATGGAAAGAAGTTTCTTACTGCACAGAGGGTCTCTCATGAACAGAGAGTCGCATATGGCAACATGTCTTCTGGTGAAAATGAAAACGCTCATGGGAATAGAATGCTTTCTAGGAGGGTTGAAGCTGCTGTTTCTGAGACATCTTCCTCGGCCCCCAAGCATTCTCAGAAAGTCTCCCTAACTGTGGCAGATACCAAGTCTCCTTCTTTCAATGCGACCTCTACTGGAAAGGATCGAAAGAGGCAGGATCAAGCCATTGGCCATAAGAGATGCAGTGTCGCGGCTTTCAAAGATAAAGGTTCCATTCTAGGAGGAAAGCTTGCTCAGCCCCGGCCAGTTCCAAAGAAAACATTTCGAGTTCCTCTGGCTCATAATACGCCTGATATTAAGCCATCAACACCCGCTTCTCGGGTCCGCAGACTTTCTGTTCTAGAAGCTCTCTCTGAAAGGGCCCTGGTCCAGAAGTCCGCTGATGACCCTGCCAGTCATACTACTGAGATGCCTGCCTGCCATTTAGCTATAAAGAAGCCTGTCAGCTATGCAGCGGCGACGAATTCTGTTACTGTGGCTTCTTTCAAGAGGTCTGTTGACATGGCATTGAAGAAGTCTGTCCATAACACTCTTCCAGGGATGCCCGAAGACTTTCAAAAAAGCACGTCGCCAAATCAAAGAAGACCGAGGACGGGGAGTCCCAGGTAACAAGGCTTGACATGCCTGTTTCAATTGTACCTGGCATTGGGTCATCTGCTGATAAGGCATTTGCTACGTATGCCAGTCTAATGAAGACATCTTCAGTCAAGACACCTTCAGTCAAGACAACTTCAGTCAAGACAACTTCAGTCAAGACAACTTCAGTCAATTCGGTCAAGAAAACTTTAGAAAAGTCCTCTTCCGACAAGTCCTTTTCAGACAAGTCCTCTACAAGCCATACCGCTCCTGTTGCTACTTCTATCAAGGCCGCTTCACTCGCGACTGCTTCTGCTATGTCTGCTGCCACTAGGATGTCATTGCCTGGGACACCGTTGACAAAGACCCCTTCTGTGAAAACGCCTTCAAGAAGTATCTCTTCAACCAAGTCCCCATCCACGAAAGAACCCACTCTCAAAGGTTTCATCATCATCAAAAGGCTCATCTTCGAAGTTTACCTCCACCAAAAATTTATCAAGAGGACTGCTGTTGAGAGAGACTACATCATCCAACCCTTCTGACTAAGAGCCCCACCAATCCACAAAGTTATGAATTCCGCGCCAAAAATTCCGACCAATAACGCCCCTACGACGAAAGGGTCTACGAACCAGTCAGCTACCCCCACATATTCTTCGTCGAAGACTTCTACCGCCAAGATGCCCCTTGAGAAGGCATCTTCAATCAATTCCTCTATTTTTATATCAACCAAGTCTCCCCGCATTCAGACCGCATCATCCTAGGTTTCTGTCAAACCACCAATCTGCAAGTCTTCTCTCGAACCATCGATGAGTAGGGCTTCCCCGTTTACCGTTAGTGACACCCCGTCAAGACTAGCGACAGCTCCAAAAGACAAGAAATATACGCCGGCTGAGAGTTTGAAGCGCAAGGGAAAGACAGAAGATCGAGGCGAGAATTTCATGTCCAAGAAACCAAGGGCTGTAGCCACACCTGAGCGACAGACCGGATCTTCACACCAGCCTCAAAGCACTACCAGTCTTTATCACAGAGACTCTCACGAACGTTCATACACGATAGCATCAGGTATATTATAACAACACAGTAAAATATTCAATCAAATTCTGCAGATGTTTATAAATTATTGATGACAGATTTTTGTACTTGTACTACACATTATAATTCTTAAGATATCCACTTACTTCTCCTCCGCAGCGTCCTGTTTGCTCGCCTTCTCCTTCTCAAGAAGTTCCTTGTTTCTCTTTGCAGCAAGCACCACCTCCTGGAAAGCAGCAGCTCCGGTGCCACTCTTAGACCGCGAATGGGCTCGTGGTCGCATGCTGCTGGCAACAGATAGCAGAGAGGGCTTCTCGGTGTCTGCGACAGCTTCTTCTTCCTCGTCTTCATCGTCAGAGTCCACCATGTTAAGAGACTTGATACGGTTATGCAGTCGTACAGCCTCGATAGCCTGTCTGAACTTGGATCGAGCGTTGAAGCCTTCTCGAATGTTGGGCAGTAGATCGATAGATTTGGTGGTATCGCCCGTGATCCACTCGTGTTTCAGCAGTTCCGCAGATGTGGGTCTGAGAGCAGGGTCTAGAGCTAGACACGACTTGATGAAGTCCTTGGCGTCCTCAGACACATCTTGCCAGTACTTTTTGTGGAATACAAGCGCGTTGGGGCCCTCGATCTCCTCCAGGAAGTCCCGAACGGTCTCAGATCGGAATGGAGAGTAGCCGGACAAAATGGTGAAGGTGATGACACCGAGAGACCAGATGTCGCAAGGCTTTCCGTGTCCTGTGCCCTTGAGCACCTCGGGGGCTGCATATCCAAAGGAACCGGCCATGGAGTGTAGCACCTCATCGGGAGACTTGAGGTGTTTGGCGATACCGAAATCGGTGAGCACCAAAGACGCATGGGGATCGGGGGTAACGAACAGCAGGTTCTCGGGCTTGAGATCTCGGTGCACAATGTCCTTGCTGTGCAGGTAATCGACGGCCTCGAGGATGTCCTTCACGGACTGTCGGGCATCCTTTTCGGTGAACTTGCCATAATCGCAGATTCGGTCGAAGAGCTCGCCTCCGGTAGCGAGCTGGGTGACAATGTAGAACTTCTCCTTGCTCTCGAACCAGTCCTTGAAGGCGATGATGTGTGGGTGGTGGCACTCCTTGAGCAAAGAGAGCTCTTCAATTACCACGTGGTCGTTTCCCTTGAGGTTTTTCTTGACAATGATCTTGACGGCCACCTCTTCGCCGGTCGAGTGCTGTTTTGCGTACTTGACAATACCGAAGGTACCGGCTCCCAGGGTCTTGCCAAACTTGTAGTCGGCCTTCTTGTTGTAGGAAGGTGGTTGACCCGAGACTTTGTTGACCAAGCTGTGGAAGGTCATGTTGTGTGTAGATGTTCGTGATTGGCGGCGGTCTGTGTGTGAGGCAATTGAATAGTTATCACGATTTGATGTGTTGTGGTGCGACAATCATGCACCGTGGCTTCAATAGGAGTTGGGAAGGAGACAAGGCGAGAAGTTAATTCAGTGAGATGAAAACGCCAAGATTTCCGTGGTACGTTACTTGAGGGTAGCTGGGAGGCAGGGTGGCAAAAGGAGCCGTTATATATATGCACCGAAGACCGAGGAGGCGTTCTATGTGTGTCACGGGCGCGCTTGTTCGTGAGTTTGTATCCTTGATTGTTATGTATGTACACTTGTACATACTGCGCCTTGCGGCGGAACTACTGTATCATCACGCTTCTACTGTACAAGTAGTGCGGGTGCCAGCACCGCATGTGTATTTTTGGATCACGTCCATCCCCGCTATAGCTCAGAGTTTGATGGAGACAGGCAAAAGAGCAACTACCAAGTCAGGAAACCATCGCTGAGAGCTGACAAGGAGGCGCCTAACCGTGACGGTGAGGGACATGTGTACAGTCCTTGTGACACAAAAACACGCTGCTGACAACTGCACAAACGTCCGCGTGTATGTCCCATGCCAGGCACTTCTAACATGTGCTGCATTTACCTTCGCCCTTTCTTGTCTGCGAGGCGATGCAAACCATATGCCAAAAAAAAGATCGGCGGGTCATGGACAACGGAACTTCACCGGTGTCACAGACGCAACACACTCCGCACAAGATGTTCGGATCTTCTGCTTTCTCCCGTTCCGTGGCGTGGTAGGACACTGTTGTCTAAAATTAATGATAGCCCACGCATAAGCTACAAGAGTACATCGTACAAGTAGCTACTTTTATCGACAAGGCTGTGTCAGCAAAATTAGCTGCCGCACTTTTAATAGTGAGTCTGCACCGGTTCAGATGTATAGACCAACTTGGGGCTATAAGAGGGGTCCGAAATTACAGTGCACAGTAATACCGCAGTTCGGCGTGCTACAAGTACCGGTACGAGTACACGTACAATGTCGTCATAATTCCTCCCCCCCCCCTGCTTAATAGTAATACGTAGACCATTTGCAGCGGGAATATGATGATAGCTCTAGATGATGATGTCACACATTGGCATGCACAAGTACATGTGATTGTGGCTGTGCCATAGAAGTACTCGGACGACGAGTGGTGATCTCATGGTGGGGAAAAGTGCCTGTGTCTGATCTCTTTACAGCAGCTACGATGACGGTACAAGTACTCGCATAATTATTGCCACAGTGTACCTATCTTTGGACCTACAGTACAGTATGTAGGTGTACCTGTACAAGTTACACACAACTCCAAATCATAAAAAACGTTAATACTTACTAAAACCTACAAAATCATTACTGAATATCCTCGGGCTCCATGGGGACATCGGGAATTCGCTCTCGATGCAGGAAGGGCTTCATGACATCCTCGTAGTAGTGAGGCTTGCCACCCTCAGGAGGGTACTGCTGTTTGACCTTCTCAAAGTAGTTCTTGTACACGTCTCCGTCGTATCGTCCAATGGCAGCGTTGATGAAGTAGTCGGACAGGTTGAAGGCATCGGTGTATCCAATAACGTTCTTTCGAACAATTCCGCAGTACTTGTTGACAAGAGAAGTCACCTCAATGATATCCTCAGGCTCAAAGTAGCCCTCAGCCAGGAACAGAGCAGAGTCCTCCTCAATGGACCACAGGGCAAACAGGTTGGCCAGAGGGATCAGATGAGGCTTCACCTTCTCATCAGCAGTGGCGATTCGTGAGTAGAAGGCCTCGATAAGAGCTCGTCGAGTGTGGATTCGGGCAGCCTGGAATCGCTCCTGGGACACCTGCTCAAAGCACTCGTCAACAGAAACTCCCTGCTTGGAGAGCTCCTCGTAAGCGTCAGTAGCAGCGTTGATAGCACCGGCAGAGACAGCCTCCCATGCCTCCACGAGCAGCTTGGGGTCTTCCAGGGATCGTCCGTTTCTCTTGGCGTTGGCAAGCTCCTTGGACCGAGAGAGGTACTTCGTGGCGTTACCTAGTTTGCCCTCCTTTCGGTAGACGAGAGCAGATTGGATCAGAGCTCGGCCGGCAGATAGAGTCAGAACAGTATTGTCACCCTCCCAAGTGCACTGGACAACCCAGTCCTGGAAGGCCTGTCCAAAGCCGTTGTAGGCAGAGTATCCGTGGCCTCCACACGCCTGTCGGGCCTTGTCAATGATGTCAGCACAAGCCCATGTAGTGGCAGCCTTGAGACCAGCAGAAACAGAGAAGAGCTCCTTGATATCCTGGACGTAAGACTCAACTCCGGCTTTGTCGTCCTCCTTGAGGCTCTCAGCCTTCTCCTGGGATGCAAAGAACAGCTCTCGGACGTGATCTCCAGCTAGTTTCATGGCGTAAGAGTAAGCCATAAGAGGCAGGAGTCGTCTTTGGTGGTACAGGTAGTCAATTAGTCGGGTTTCGGGCTCTCCTGGAGTTGACGAGAACTGTCGTCGGATGGTGGCGTATCTCAGGGCAATGGTGAGGAACTTTTTGGACACATTGTGAGAGTCAGTGGTCATCTGGACTCGTCCAGTGATGAGAGATCCGTAAGTCAGTTGGGCCAAAGGCGGCTGCTTGACGGTACCGTCTCGAAGAACCTTGGTATGCTTCATGAGCATGTAGTTTCGGGGCACTCGGACGTTGGTGAACTGAATCCAGCCGTTGTCAACGGCATCTCGACCCATCTTCTTACCAATATCACCTGTGGCGATTCCAGGACGCAGCGAATGGTCGTCCAGGTTTCGGAGAGGTACGACAAACGATTTCACACCGTAGTCCTTTCCGTCTACTTGAAGACGGGCAAAGGCAAGTGTGTGAGTAGCAGTGTGGGCGGCTCCTCCAATCCACCACTTTGTGGCTCCAACGTGGGGCGTGTTAATGATAAATTCGTCGGTCTCTTTGTCGAAAGTGGCGATGGTTTCCAGACGCGACAGGTTAGATCCATGGCCCATTTCGGTCATGGCAAAACAGCCGTAGAAGCCCTTGATGACCATGGCTCCCTGGTCCAGCCAGTACATGAGCTGATCGGGGGTTCCCTGGCCCCGGATGGAGTTACAGAAGAGCGCGTAGTGGACTCCCAGTCGAGCATACGTTCCCATGTCAAGAATACCCAGGAACCCAATCTTTCGGAAAGACATGGGCTCGGGGTCCATGGCGATGGACTTGGACAGCTGGAAAATTCGCTTCACAGATCGCTCTCGCAGTGTTTCAAACGATTCATCGTACTCGTTCTGGTTGTTGAAGAGAGGGTCTCGCTCGTACATGAGCATGAGCGACTCCAGCAGCTCGGTCTCCTCCTTAGAGCCATCCAGAAAGTAGGTGATGTCTCTAGGGTCGAAGTCCAGCTGAGCTCGCTCCTGAGCCATCAGCTTGGGGGGCTCAGTGAAGGTGTCGTAGAGCTTGCCGTCATGGACAATGTCGTTAGCGGGGTTTGGGGTGATCATTGTTGTGGGTCGTTTCAATGAAAGAGCATGCCACTGCAACTATATAGTGGCTCCAGCTGTTAGGCTTTCTGTCTCCTCGGGGTGATTATTAAACGAATAGGCTTGTCAAAATGTGGGGTAGAAGTTTATGTGGGACGTGGTGTTTGGGAGTGGCAGTGGAGGAATGTGTTTAGAACGTGGTGGGACTGTTGGTTCGTGTCCATAATGGCTTATTTCGTCTCCTTGATGCCTTGAGGAACACTTATTGTAAATTTTTACCACTCAACACAGCTTTTAACTGCTCATTCTACCCGTCTCTATGCGATCTCTGCCTACCCCACCAAACTCATTTGCACGTTCAGAGCCTAAAAGACCTACTGGTTCCGTATGTGGGGATGGTACACACGACGTGAGATGGCAGGTAAAGATAGAAATGGAAGGCAATAGAAAACAATCAGAAGAGGTATTAAAATAATTGTACACAACCAACTCTCCCAATCGCTCAATATACACCTATTCCACCTGCTCGGATCACCTCCAACGCGCAACGCATGTAAGAAAAATCCGAAACTCAATCCCCGCATTCTAATCATTTAATGGTGCATATGTATCGGCAAAAGAGCGAAGGTGTATTATTATACAGAAGGAGGTAGTAGGAATGATAGCACAAATAAGACCAGTGTAATTATTCAGCGTGTGTGATCCGATTATCAAATAATGGGGCATGACTATAGCTAACTACTCATATAAACTACCACAAACTCACGCCGACTTGTGCGAAGTACAGTAGTTCCGTTACCCCAGTGTCATCTCCGGACTTTCTAGCTGTCAAAATAATATTGTTTCACCTGGCAGCCTAACGCAACGGTGAGGTTGATTAGTCCGACCCTTTTTCACGAGCGTGTCTCCGAAGCTGCATGGCCGAGCCGAAAAATGTTGTACATTGTACATTGTGTTAGGATAGAATGAGACTGTGCCAGGCATGTACTCGTACAAGTACGTACGATGTGTGCTACCTTACACACTTCAGGTAAATGCTGTGGTGATCGACGGTTTGTTCTTGATCAAATTGAAGCAATCAGTCGTGTTATGTTATAGGCTACTGTATGAAGGAGAACGGTGGACACAGCGTTGTGTAGCCCCGCTCAATAAAATTGAAGTAATAGTTCAACTGTAAACCGAGGTTTACTAAGGGGAAAGTATTTGAACAATATAGTGGCGAAGTGTGACGTCTGAGGAAGCTGGAGGATCAGTTTGGATATTCCACTCTCTTAGAAAAAGTTATCTTTTACTCGATCGATCATGTCGCCCTTCTGTGCTTCTGGTCTTGCTGTGGAGTCACCTTCGAGACCCAAGCAGATATGGATATTCTGTATGTACATACTGTAGCTAATATACTTGTATGTACTGTATATACTGTACTTGTACTTGTATTACTGTTGTACCGCCAAGACAAGTGTTTCAAGTGCTCTACAGTAGGTAGAAAATATTCGATTGGGAGCATCAGTGTGTAGATGTCTACAAGTATCGTGGCTACAATGGCTACTTGCACTTACAGTAGAGACATCTTCACTTGTGGCTATAGCACTGGTTCATAGGCGAGGTTGGTGGCGAACTACAAGTTGCCCTCCTTTGGGCAGTCAATGTGGCAACTCACTGTCATTAATTGACATGGAGCATCTAACTACATATACTGTATATATGGTACCACATATTCTCTGTTAAATTCTTTGTATTACGTTCGACGTCATTGCCTTTCTCATTTAGCGATTCAAAAGCACCCACTCGTCACATGACCACCCCCACTTTAGGTTTTCTTATGCAGGAATCATCATTTTTTTTCCGACCGCATAATCAGCCAAAAATACATACTCACGAACGACACCCATAAGAATAATGTCAGCACACGATAAAGACGGCGACGTGGTCATGGACGAGGACGTGGCTCCCGAAATCTCCGAGGAGGAGCGTCTGGCTCAGGAGAAGGCCGAGCGAAAACAGGAGCTGAACCAGAAGGCCGACGACTTCCACGCCGAGTTCATGGCCAACAAGTTCACAATTCTGCCCGGAGCTTCGGCCGACAAGACTGCCTGCTCGTTCCAGTTCACCGAGGAGGACCACACCATTGGAAACGCTCTTCAGTACATCATCATGAAGAACCCCGAGGTGGAGTTTTGCGGTTACTCGATCCCACATCCTTCCGAGGCCAAGCTCAACATCCGTATACAGACATACGGCGACATCACTGCCATTGAGGCTCTTCAGAAAGGTCTGGACGACCTGATTCAGGCCTGTGACGTCGTCAAGAACAAGTTCACCGACGCCGTCACCGACTTCACTTCCAAGAACTAAGCATGTAAAAGGGGTATGGGGCCATTGGGCTGTATTAATAGATAGATTGATTATGAGTGGATGTAGGGGTTTGTGGTAAAGAAACGGTTTATTTGGGGTGTCTACTTTACTTGTAGCAGAGGATACGGGGCTCTAGCCTTCCAAATGGGTACTGACGGATCTTTTGATCTGATTGTACTAGCGTGAGAGGTTGTTGCTGACCAGAAGAGTTATTGTAACGTTGAAAAGGTAATTCGGCCAGCTGTTTACAATAGGTAGTCTGACCTGGTACAGTATACTCTTCCTCCTAACAATCCTCGAAGTACATGAGAAGAGGCATTGGTAGTCTTCAGAATGACTGGCTACTCATAATTGGGGGTGTCCTATGATGCCTCTACTGTTACTTGTACGAACACAAGTACATACTATGGTTGTGCAAGCAAGACGAAACGCTCTCAAGAACACCACCTGCCTGAATTTGTAACATTTGCGTACAGCACTTGTAGCTACAGCATGATACATACTGGAAGAAAGGGTGTGCAGTCGCTAGTTTAAGATACTACAAGATATTACAACACTAATTTATCATCAATAAAGACGAATCAAATAGAGGGATGTGCTTTCGTTGTTTACTCCCTTGTTTCACCATTTTTTCACTGTTCTTTTGATCATAATATTCAGAAGCTGACTCCACTGTCTGCCTCCTTCTTTTGCCTATTCTGCCTCGCCTTTTACAAGGAACTATTTTTCGCGCCGTGCTCTGCATTAAGTTTGTGCGCGTGTCATTTTGTTTCATTTGGACGGGATGTAGACAAGGCACCAGGAGGGGGATAATAAGAGACTGACAGTAGATAAATATCCATAAAATATATATGAGAACCCGTAGCTCCCATATGTCCGTAGAACAAAAAAAAAACACGTACCATCATCTCTCTAGCTTGCTTCCGCTATCAGGGCTCAGATATGCATAAGATCAGGTGCTCGCGCACACAAGGCAACTTTCATCACCCTACCAGCACAACTACAACCACACCCGACTATGGACTTTCTCACCAAGGCCATTGGCACCGTCTCGTCGTACGGCTCCAAGCTGCCGTTTGTGCTGGGCGACGCGACGCAAAAGGCCAGCGAGGGCAGATCGCTATGGACGGTATATGATGCGACCCTCAAGTCCAATTCTTCCGACTGCACCGTGTTTGAATTTGTCGCTGACCAGACATATCCTCGTGACCGCATTGTTGTTGTCAAACACTTCGCACGGTCGCTCAAAACTTATCGTTTTCCGGGTATTCTCAAGGTCCACGACACGGTTGAAACAGACACTTCGGTACACGTTGTGACTGAAAGATGCAGATCTCTGGCACAGGTGATCCGAGACTCCAAGGACGAGCTATCGGCCGACCGAATTTTGTGGGGACTCTACTTTGTGACCGAAACGCTCAAACAAATCAACGCAGAAGGAGCTTCAACTCACGGCAACATCTCTCTCGACTCCATCTTCATCACAGCTTCTGGAGAATGGAAGGTGGGGGGTCTGGAACTTATCACCGCCCAGAAAGACGCTCAGAGTGCTCTGGCTTCATTTGGACCTCTTCTTCCTAACTCCTCAAACAATGCCCCTCCTGAAATCAAGAACCAAGGATACCAGTCTGCCCAGAGCGCAGCCTCCAAGCTGGCCATTGATTCCTGGCAGTTTGGAAACCTGCTGCAGTCTCTCTACACAGCTGTGGGTGTGGATATGCCTGCTGGAATGCCCGCCATGGTATCTCAGATGACCAGCGTCAAGCCTGAGAAGCGACCTCGTATCCCCAAGTTCCTGGAACAGGCGCAGGTCTCGTTTTTCGGCGACCATGACATGATTTCCGTGTCCCAGGACATCTCTCAGTTCCATATCATTTCCGAACCCATGGAGCGACGCCATGTGCTGGAAACACTTACAAAATTTAGGCAGGCGTTCCCCCCTGCATACCTGGCTTCCAGCGTTATCCCCGAGCTCCTTAGAGCTCTGACTCCACCTACACCGTCGTCATCTCAGATCAACTTGTCCAACGACCCCGGTGTCTTCCAATCTGACTCAGAGAGACCCCAGATTCTCGTATGCATCTTGGCCCTGGCTGAGGGACTGTCTTCCAAGGACTATGCAACTCTGGTGATCCCCACCATCGCCAAGATGTACACTTGTCCCGATAGACCTATTCGAATGGCTCTTCTGGAGGCCCTGCCTTCTTATGCCCCCCATGTGTCCGAGAAGGTGGCCTCTGATCAGATTTTCCCTCAGTTTATCACCGGTTTCTCCGATACATCCCCTCTCATTCGAGAGTCCACTGTAAAGGCTGTGTTGCCGCTGATTCCTCATCTTAATTCCCGAATCAAAAACAACGATCTTCTGCGCTACCTCGCCAAGACTCACAACGACAAGGAGCCCGGTATTCGAACGAACACCACCGTCATTCTCGGCAAGATTGCTGACGAGCTGTCTTCCTCTGCACGAACAGGTATTCTGGTGACTGCGTTTGGTCGAGCTCTCAAGGACCCCTTCGTACACACACGAAACGCTGCTCTTTTGGCATTGGCCTCCAACATGGACATTTTCGATGCGTCCTCCATCGTCAACAAGGTGCTGCCTGCCATTGCTCCTAGTCTCATTGACAACGATCCTGCTATTCGCGCTCAAGCGAAATTGACCTTTGACGAGTTTCTGGCTGAAGTTGTCAAGCATACCTATAATCTGGATGATGATACCGAGATCACTGAGCCTCCTCAGTCGTCAGTTACACTCTTGGCCACCAAACAGAAGGAGAAGGATGCATCCAAGACCGAGGCAGGCTCTGCGTGGTCTCTTTCGTGGTCCTCTCCTTTCACATTTGGTACTAAAACCCAATCCACATCTTCCTCCACTGCCGGAACTCCCGTGGTGGCTCAAGGCACCATCTCTCGACAGGAGTCCCCTGCTCCTATTGTTGACGAAGTTGATTCACTGGCTTCCGCAGCCCGAACCATGTCCATCAAGCCCAAGAGCGGTCTCTCTCTCGGCTCCACCAAGCCCAAGCTTGCTGCTAGTGGCCTAGGTATCAAAAGTACTCTTGCTACAAAGAAACCAGCTGCTCCTCCTACCCTGCAAGACAACGACGGCTGGGGTCTGGATGACAACTGGGACGATGGATCTGACGGCGAGGTGGTCATCAAGGAGGCCCCCAAAACTAAGCCTGCTCCCAAGACCAAGAAGCCTGCCAAACTGGATCTGGATGACGATGAAGATGGAGATGATGATGGCTGGGACAATTGGTAGGACTAATGGTTCATATAGATGATATTGCCGATGACGGGAGTCCGTGAAAATAAGAGTTGAAAAGAGACTCGTGTATGTAAATCTCCACATTATTAATATTGGTTTGTACGCTGTTCGTTCATTTGAAAGTCAATTAATCTATACCATTTTTTCTATGAAGTTTTAGTTAGTCTACCATCGGGAGTTGGAAAGAGGAGCGGAGTTGGAGCCGGTGATGTCGGAACCTCGTCCTCCACCATAGCCACCGCCGCCGTAGCCACCTCGTCGGTAACCACCACGGCCGCCACGGCCGCCTCGACCGCCTCGGCCTCCCCAGCCTCCTCGGCCACCTCGGCCACCGCCCATCTCCTCCAGCTTGGGGTCGATATGCTGCTTGGCCTCTCGCAGGATGACGAGAAGGTCTCGGGCCTGCTTTCGGTTGTCCTCGGTGAAGTAGGTGTAAGCGGTACCCTTGGTGCCGGCTCGACCAGTTCGACCGATTCGGTGGACATAGTCCTCGGAGTTGGAGGGGTAGTCGTAGTTGATAACGAAGTTGATACCCTTGACATCTAGAGTTAGTATTTGGAAGAACAGAATAAATGAATGTGGAAGTTCAACATATGAAGCAAAGGAAAGGATGGTACTACACAAACATGAATAAGTGGCGACAAGTACAGAAAACTCGTCATCCGTCATGATGAACACATACAATACAATATGCTCGTGCTTAGAGTTACTCACAGTAACATCGTAAGACAAGCTTCATCTACGAAACAACAATGTTTCAACAACAGTGTAACAGCAGTGTCTCTCTGCTGCAGTTGTAGCATCCCATATTCTTCCAACACGATCATTCTTTTCATGGTCACAAATATATTCAAACGCAAGCCCGTCCACAAAATCGTTCATGTTCATTTAGGCATTTAAATATATCTATCGTTCAAGTGATGCGTCTTGTCCTGGCATAATTAATCAAATCATAATCTCAACACGTGTTTCCAAAAGGGTCATAATAAGAGGCTCTGGATTCGTCTTCGGAAAAACAAGTGTACTCAGGATATGAGTCGTCATAACCAAACAGTCGGAGTGGACGTGAATCGCGACTCGCTGCATGGCTCAACTCAGAAGAAGTTCTTTTTTGGGATATCGTAGATGGTATCGGATATGTGTGTGGATGTAGCAAAAAAGCTCCCAGCAAGGATATCAATAAATAGAGAAGCTCTACTTGCATCCAACAAGTAACTGTTCACGTAAACTGCACAAGCCACCAGTGTTGGACCCAAAGAGAGCCGCAAATAAATAGGAATGAAAGGAAATGTTAGTACTCACCAATACCACGGGAAGCCACGTCGGTGGCAACCATGATGGGGCTCTTGCCCTGTCGGAACTCGTTGAGAACCCAGTCTCGCTCCTGCTGCTGCTTGTCACCGTGAATGGCGAGAGCAGGCCAGCCGTCCTGTCGCAGGAACTTGGTAATGTCGTCAGCGACACGCTTGGTGCCGGTGAAAATCAGACACTTGGACTCCTTGTTCTCCATGACGGTCTCGAGGTGCTTGACAAGTCGGTCTCGCTTCTCGTACTCGGTGCAGACCTCCACAACCTGGGTGATGTTGTGAGAGGCAGACAACTCCAGAGAACCAATGTTGACCTGAATCTGGTCCTTGAGGTAGTCGTGGGCCAGTCGCTGGACCTCCTTGGGCCAGGTAGCAGACCACATGAGGGTCTGTCGGTCGGGTCGAATCTGGTCGACAATCTTTCGAATTTGAGGCTCGAAACCCATATCGAGCATTCGGTCGGCCTCATCGAGAACCAGGTAGGTCACTCGTCGAAGGTTAGTCTTTCCGGACTCGAGCATATCGAGAAGTCGGCCGGGAGTGGCAATGACAATCTCCACACCTCGGGCAAGGTCTCGAATCTGCTGGCCTCGGGGAACACCTCCGTAGACACAGGTGTTTCGAATCTTGGAAGACTTGCCGAACTTGGAGCACTCCTGCTGAATCTGAACAGCCAGCTCTCGGGTGGGGGCGAGGACCAGGACGATGGGTCCGTCACCGTGGGACAGCATGGGCTGGGCGTTGATGTGGACAATGGCGGGCAGGCAGTAAGACAGAGTCTTACCGGAACCGGTGGAAGCGATACCAATGACATCTCGTCCGGTCAGGGCCATGGGCCATCCCTGGCACTGAATGGCAGTGGGCTTCTCGAAACCCTGCTGCTTGACCTCCTTGAGGACGTAAGGGGGGAAACCAGCCTCGTCAAAGTTGGTCACGGGCTTAGGGATACCGTCTCCGTGCAGGGTCATCTGGTTCTCCTTTCGGAAGGCAGTGACCTCCTCGTCGGTTCGCTCAGTGACAGCAGGGTCCTCCTTGTAGAAGTTCTTCTCAAACTGAGGGAGCTTCTCAAGGTCCCAGTCCTGCTTGGGCAGGTTGCCAAAGTCGTTGTCCTGGTAGCCTCCGCCGCCGTAGCCGCCTCGGTCACCTCCGAAACCTCGATCGCCACCGAAGCCGCCTCGACCGCCTCGGGAACCACCTCGGCCACCTCGGCCTCCGCCGAAGCCTCGTCCGCCGCCGTAGCCTCGGTCGTTGTTGTTGTAATCGTCACCGTAAGACATTTTGTGTGTGATGTATTGCTGTGTTGTGAAGAAAGGGAAGACAGCGGGGGCTGGAAGGCTACTTATGGTGAAGAAAAATTTGGGTCGTTGCATCAATTGTGTGATGGACCAAACTCTATTTGAAAAAAATCCTTCACATCAAAAAGCTTATAAACGTTGGAGGGCAGTATATGCCAATGAAAGGTTCAGAAAGTGCAAAAAGTAGAAAAAATCTGCACCTTCCGATAATAAAAAATACTGTAAAATATGCAGCACCTCCAAATGAGGCTGTATGTCGAGACAGGCATAGGTCTACTACGGCCACAAGTCTGGTTTTTGTAGTCTGGAGACAGGGTTAATTGACTAGTGATCGATGAACACAATGATCTCCTTACCAGGTCAAGTATAACTCACCCCAATTATTATGTACTTGTTCATCGTACAAGTACGAGCAGTCGAAGGCTCATCAAAGAAAAAGCATAGCTCAGAGAACATTTCTTTCATACATCGAAGCATCCAGAATATATCCACAACAAAAGAGCTGCCTCCGGTGAAGGACTGGGTGCCGTTGGCGAAACTTATCTTCGAGCTGTTGAAAACTCGTTTTCCTTCTTACCCTTTGTGGTATTCCTGAACCCCATTCGGTGTTTGCGACAGAGAAAGACGGCATTTACAGTAACGTGCTTCTCCCAGTGAAAACTCACTCTTGTCTGGATTAATTTCACACTCGCGACGCTGAAGCTAAATATCTCATCGGGTCTCACATCAGTCTATTGTAGTTCGATCCACCAACGCAACCTAATCACACAATATGACGATGAAACGATCGCTAAACGACATTCTGGACGGCCACGAGGATGTGGATCTCGACTCTACCGCCGAGCTGGATGTAGACATGGAGACCCCACCCTTCCAGGATGCCCCAGACACCCAGATGCGAATGTGTGTGGACTGTGGAGATCAGCCAGCGGACAAGAACTGCCAGGGCTGTGAGGAAGACTTTTGCGACGTATGTTTTCAGTACATTCACCGAACCGGCAACCGATCTAAACACGCTACTCTGCCCATTGAGAACGCTATCACCAACTCGGCAGGTGGCGCGACTGGAGCCACCACAGCGAGCAATGGAGCTGGACAAGAGCCTGAGGACAAGGTCGACATGTCTCTGTCGAAGCACTCCATGATTGAACCCGATGAGACCCAGCTCAAGGTTCTGGCCCTGCTGAAAGAGCGGGCTAAGGATGTTCCTGTTCGGCTCACTTATGACGAGAGAAAACTGCTCAGACTGTTGGAGGCTGCTCTCAACGTCTCCGAGTACACCGACAAGGTCGACATTCTGTCCTACACTTCCAAAGCCAAGCGTATTGTGGCCCAGCTCCGAGAAATGTGCTCGATTATGGCTGCTCTGGTTGTGGCTACAGACATGAAGACTGGACAGGCACTATTTGAGAATAAGAACTTTGCTGATAACGCCGATTGGTTCCAGACTGTGTTTGAAATTGGCCGGCGATACAAGATCATGAACCCTGACAAGATGCGAGACTCTTTTGGTAAACTCATGTACATGATCATGGACTCAAGGCTGGCAGAAGTGTCTCAGGTCATGGAGTTTGATCTCTACAAGCCTGTCAAGAGCGTCTATAGCCATCTGCGATCATTTGGAGATGGCGCTGACGGTTCCGGCGTCGCTGTCTTTGGAGATCCTCTAATTGTCGATGCCATCATGGAGATCAACCCTGATGGCAAGAACCGAAGACAGATTCAGCAGGCGATCCAGACCAAGGAGCGAGCTATCGAGATTCTGGCCAAGCGATACTCCAAGGGCAAGCTGCTTAAGGAGGATGTTCGACAGTGTCTCTATTCTCTCGGAGATTACCATGCCTATCTCCGAGCCAACCAGGAGCCTGTGGAGCGAATGATGAAGTACCTCAATGAAGACTTTGACGAGTCTTCCGACACATCTGGTGAGTTCCATCTGGCTATCAGATACGGCTCTGGAGGGGCTCGTCTGTCCCACAACCACTCAAAGCAGTACCAGTACGTCCGCCAGTCTCTGTCTTTGTGGTCCGAGATTATGAAGGAGATGTTCCGAATGTGGTCGCTTTCGGACGCGGACCTCACCAGCACTGGCCGATACCAGCTCACCGACACTGGTCAGGGTCTCAACCGAATCAAGGGCTGCCCTGGTGTGTCTCGAGCCATTCATGGTGTCATATCCAAGGCTCAGCATCGAACTGGCTCGTGGATTGGTTCCTCAGTCGTCCACCTGGGGGATCATACTGTGCCCAACGCCCTCTTTTTCCTGGACAAGTACCTCCAAGTGCCCCGTATTCTCATTCCCGTGGACATGGTGGTCTCCAATATCGAAAGCCTCGCAAAGGACCCACATGTGTCCCTGTGGATAAAGGAGCAGTTTGGTTCACCTGACCGGCTCCGGAAGACTATTCTGGCTGACTTCTTCAAGCACGCCTTTGACGGATCTGGAGCAGACAACTTCTACGACGCCGGCTCGTGTATCGACGGCCGACTCACCTCTGCATGGAACTGGGCCAACTCCATTTCCAAAAAGAGCTATTACAAGATCTTCCTTGTCAGTGGCTTCACTGGGTTCGATGGAGCTGGCTTTTAAGGAGCATGCCTCGAGTACAGCACATGGAGTGACGGCGCCTTCGGTCATCCAACGCTCATATAGAAATAACATGTTAGAATAGTGTTGAATTGTAAATTCTGCCAAAGTCATCATCATGAGCACATAGAAATCTGCAAACTGTACATTCTCATGGGAAAATAATTGTTTATACTACATACGCTCCGAATAAGTATTCTTCTACAATACAAAGTTTCCAAGCAATTTTGTGTTTTATTTATGTGATTATGGGTTTTTTAAAAGAGTTAGCTTTTGTTTTGAGAATTATGTTTACTTCTGCATAGCACGGAGTCGGGCAACCTCGGCCTCGAGCTCCTTGTTTCGAGTCAGAAGCTCCTCGACTCGCTCCTCAAGCTGGGACATTCGCTCCATCTTTCGGGCTCGGGATCGTCGAGCGGCCTCGGTGTTTCGAGCTCGCTTGACGGCCACAGAGTCAGCACCCTCCTCAACAACAATGGGAGAGAGAGGAGCCTGTCGAGGCTTTCGGTTGTAAGCAGTAAGACCATGCTGGTCCTTCTTGTTCTCAAAAGAGGGAGACTCAGAGCCATCTCGCGGTCGCTTGAGAGGGTTCACATCCATACCGCCGAGAGATTCAGGTCCAACACTGCTGGAGGCAGGGCTGACCGAAGCAGACACGGTAGTAGGAGCGAACGAGTCAATGTTCTGAGTGAAGGCCATGGGGAAGGGCATGAGCTCAGCGTCAGGCTCAGCCTTGACAGCGACGGGCGCAACCTGGGGGGCAGGGCTGGCCTGGGGAGCAGCAGCGTCGTCATTGAACAGCGACTCCCAGTTGTTGCAGTCTCCAAGGTCGGCATCACCGAAGATAGGAGAGGCATCAAAGTCGTCGTTGCCAAAGCTGTGGCCCATGAGTTCCTGGGGCGAAATTGTACCAGTTGCCGGGGTGAGAGAGGCAACTAGGGGATCAATCTGTTGGGGCTGCTGAGGGGCAGCAGTCTGAGCATGAGCGTGGCCAGTCTTGCCAAACTCTCCGACAGCCTCGTGCTTGGGGGTCAGCATGGGAGAGAAGGGCATCTGGTTGCCGCTCATCGAAGCAGCGAAGCCGCCAAAGGCAGACTCGTGCTTCGAGAATCGCTTGTAATCGTGGTAGATAGACATTTTGACTGGATTGAATGTTGGATCAAATGTAACGGGGGTAATGTTGGTCGTTGTTGTAATGTTTGTTGTATGTTCAGCTGGGGGTAAGGGACACCATTTTGTTGGGATAAGGCCGCGATAAGAATCGGACGGGAAGTTTACTTGAGTTTCAGCATTTTTAAAAGGGGGGCGTGAGGCGAGCTTTTAAAAATTGTTTAGAGAGGATTCTGTAACAATTTTTCTTCGACTAATAAGAGGGGGACTTATTAATTCTTTCGTTATTCTTTCAATTCATTGTGTGTTGTTTTTGGTTGACGCGGGGGAAAAATTTAGAAAGCGGACATCTTGACTGTATCGTATCTAAATTCTTGGTGTGTAGTGTTGTAAATTGAAAGGCTTGGAGAAAAGAAGAAGAGGAAAGAGAAGGGTGAGTCAGAGTGTATATATAGTGAGTTGGGAGGAATAAATTTTTCGTTGGTCCAGCAACCTTAATTCCAGAGGCCTGTGTCTTGCCTTGTTCAGGCTCCCGAAAACGGCAACTTTATCCCATCTGTTGCAGGCTTCCTCTCTTTCTATTGGCCAACGATAGCGGCGGTGAACTTTGAAATCGGAGCGAGGTCGCTAGGCTTCTGGCGAACTGAGTATGTGTGCTCTGTGAGAGTTGTGGCAGGGAAATAGCGGTCGGAATCAGGAAATTGGGGTTTGAAAAACCCCCTGAAGATGCCACTTCTTGCCACTTTTTCGTTTGGGGCTCTCATACGTTCGTCCGCACCCCACAAGTTCACGTGCGGTGACTAATTTCTGCAGACCATCAAGGCTAAACTTAGAGCGTGAGAAACTCGAGTGACTAATTCGTGGCTAGTGCCAGAATTGATATTGGTTGTCGCTTGACTAATTGCTTCTGGTTTCAGGCGATCCACTTCCTCATGGTTTCATCATCCTCGCCAATCATTTATCTCACCAATTAGCCCTCTTTATTCTCACGCCCCTTGGGAAATCCAAGCCCATCTCCGCCACCTCCGCTAAAGGAACCGCTTCCGCTCGACACCTCGGCATGAATTTAATATGAACCTTGGCGTTGGAACTGTACATCGTTGTTTCCACACGCGACAGACATACAGCCGGCTGTAGCAGATCCAAAGGGGCAACCGTTCAGCAGACAAGGACTCCATAGTGTATGTATCGGTATTATACTACTCGTACAGTAGTTACACTGTATCCTCTAAAAATCATGGCGATAAATAAGCGCTACAGGAGTGACACTCACGGTTAGAGACTGTAGCATACATAGATGCACGCGTGGAAGGCTGGATCTGTCCTCTTCTACTGTAAAAGCCGCACTCAGTCCCTCACACACCAGCATCATGCGGATAACGATACCCGTCTATCAGCGCATGTTCCGTTTCCATTGGCCGTTGAGTCAGAGAACCGGCTTCTTGGCCTTTCTTGCTCCTTTTCTGTGCCTGTTTCTGCACCTCCAAGCCACGGGTCCCACCTTATTTCACGAAGCGGTAGGTCCGAGTAGATGCTGTATTTCGCCTGTACCTCACCCATTTAGATGCATGAGTACAGCGCTGTAGGAGCTGAGTCGACTCGATCTGTATCAGACGCGAGCAGTCGTCCTTCTACAGGTATCGGGAGGAGCAGTCTTTTCTTCTTCCTGAATCAGTCATTTAGTCTCTCGACACGTTCCGCCGTCGGGAATGTTGTGAATCATTTAGCCGCTTCAGGTGCCTCCGAATTGATGTTCTGTTCCGCCTCCCGGCATAGCTAATTACCAATCCCACTGGCCTAGTGCACTTGTACCTACACCAGAAACAAGGCACTAAATATAATGTGCGTGGTCGCGACACTGTCACTACACAAATTATTGTACCGCAGCACAATATTAGTCGTCCCAATGGTTATTGAGTCATAGCAAGTGTCAAGCGCATCGTCGAGCTAAGCAGGTAATATACGGCTCGTGCCTGTCTCTGATACAGAGCTCGTTCGTATGCGTCTTATACAGACATGCCGAGTAGCTGTGAGGAGGTGTTGAAATAAAGTGAACTGCTGAGAGCCAGGCACTATCATAAAAAACTCGCGACTACTACTTGCAGTACAAATACTCAAAAGTCTGTGTCCGTTATGATGAATCCAGTCACTATGCTACATCCACTAAACGCCGATCATCGAAGGGGTCACGGATGCAGTTTGCAATATACTTGTGCATTCAGACCCAGATACAAGTACAAGTACAGTAGTAATTGTTTTGGTATGAAGGATGTGGTTATCAGGTACCAGTTTCGTGGCAGGTCTCAATATCTTCTAAAGGTCCTTACGCGAGTAACACTGATGTGAAGGTATGTGAAAAGTATACCCTTACATCGGCAGTAGGCCTGCCATTAACCAGTCTGTCGTATCTCATATCATTTCCACGATCTATTTACATTAGTTTCTACTTTTGGAGTCACTAAATCGTTTGAGAGCAGCCAGGGCAATGACTCCCTCGATGTCCTCATTCAGAGCATCTACCGCTGCCTCCGCAACAACGTTGACACTGAGAGGAGGCTGGATGAACTGTGGAAGAGCAGGGAAGAAGGATCGAGCAACGGTCTGGGCGCCGAATCCGACCTTTAAAGCCTCGGCAAGAGCGTCTCGAGGTGTAGACTTGTGAATGCCAAATTGACGGTCCCCGGAAGACTCGTACATGAATGCGGGTCGCAGGAACACCGATCTGAGGTTGGTGAGGTCGGAGATTTCGGTCTCTGCCATTCGTTTGGAGGTGATATATCCATCGGGGATGAGATTGCTGGTCTTCTCGGCAGACACCATGACGTAGGGCTTTCTCTCGTCCATCGGAACAGTGTCGGCAAATGCTGTTGCCGTCAGAACTGCGCTCAATCTGTTCATTTTGTCGTAGGAAAAGTTTGGGTCCTTGGCCATAGGATTGGAGCCCTTGACGAGACCACACAGGGCGTCTTTAACTCCTCCGTTAAGTCCCTGCTTGTAGTTGCCGCCCTCCAGCAAGATTCCCATTGAGTGAATCACTGCCGACGCCTTCTCTAGCTCGTTGGTGTATGTAGAGGGCTCAAAGACGTCAGCTCGCTTCCATTGGACCTTGGACATCCAGCTCTCGGCGTTCTTGGGAGGTCCAGATCGAGAGATGGAAGTGACTGCCCATCCCTTGGAGAGGGCCTGCTTGCAAATGTGTCGTCCTGTGTTAGCAGCTGTGTGTGAGGTGTGTGTTGAGACTTGCTACTTACCAAGGAATCCGTTTCCGCCAAAGACAACGAGGTTTTTCGACATTATGTGCTGTGGTGGTAACACTCGATAATTTGTGATGATACGACAAGGTTCGGTGGTAAGGTTTGTGCTGCGTGTGTGATGCGGGTTGTTGAGGCGTTGACTGGATGTGGTGATGGTAGTGGGTATGTAGATACCGGTAGGTTGTGTACATGCTGTATTGGATGGCAGCTAATGGATGTTGGTGTGCTGATTATCCTTGGTATTGGCTACAGATACTGGTGCTGTGTTTTTATGGATAGCTTGGTCGGCTTAGCAACCGTATGGCAAAGTCGTCTCTCTTACACAAGCTAGGAAGGCTCCATATAGCCCCTTCAAGTGAAGTTGTCTGGGCGCGATTCCTCCTCAAGATACGCAGGCCAGGCACAAGTACTTGTACTTGTAGCTCCAACCTGCCCCAAAGGTAATATCCCAGGCCACAAAGCAGGTGCCACTTCCTCTCGTCAGTCCTTGCTATAACTCAAGTATTGTTCCACGCTCACATGTCCGTGGCTTACTAATTCAACAAACCTCCTCCTGGGTTCGACTCTCACCGGGGTACTATAAGTAGTATTATGAAGGCGCCTACAGGGGACCCCAACTGTCATGATATCATCGGATATCAAAAGATAGCCCATCGCCAAGAAAAGCAATCCGGGGAGAGATAGCCGATCGAGAAGTGTGGGGATAGACACAGTATCCTTGAGCCTTGCACCAAAACCCAACAAACTACTATATACGGCAACACTCCACCCCCTCCGGAATCCACCAATTTATTATTCCGGATGCTCTTGCCCCACCAAGTTCCAGTCCGTGATAGTACGCTTGGTAGAGAGGGTCCCACATGTACGAGTAGTGCACAACCGCATACAAAAGCTGCGATATTCCTGCACAGAAAAGTAGTGGCGGATATATATTGATTGATCAAATAACATGTGTGCACAGCCCCGCACTCTACGTGCTCGTATTCAGCCTCATAGAGTGTCACCACGTTGTCGCAACCAACCATCATCCACCTTAGCTCGGCCGAGTCACGTCATGTATTAGGGGCGCGCACCAATGTACACAAAGTTGCACTAACAAGAGCTTCTTGCGCGTTGCAGCTCTACGCCGCAAAGTGCCGTGCCGAACACAAAGACCTACTCAGCAGCTCCAAGGGCGCTCGGCCAACGATATAAATACACTCTCACCTCCGTATTCATGTTCCCTGCATTGCGGTTCTCACCATGGGCAATAGGCTTCATGTTTGAGACCCTCTCGCATAGAAGTGGCAAAGGTAGGCGAGCAAAGCGGAAGCAAGCAGGAACGCTGGAATTGGCAGTAAACACAGCGTAGCCCCGGCGTTCGAAGCGGCTGAACGACACAAAGCGACATGTAACATCATTGCGGTTATGCTCAGCCTCGCCCTCGTATCATCGGGTCTCTAAAGTGTCTCTTGGCTTTTCTCGGGTTTGGCTTCCGAGCAACTGCGTGTGTTTTGCCTGTATAGCGCTCCACCAAATTATTCCAAGAGTGTATCGGACAGCATTCTCTGGAAGTCTACGAAGCCAACTTGTACTCTTCCAATCTTCTTTTTATTACCTCGAAGCTATAAAAAATGACCTGATCCGCGGCAAGATCGGAGCCCAACCCTCATTCTAACTTGTCCATTCTTTTGCTTGTCCATGACCATTATTTAGCCCTTCAAGCTGCCTAAACGGTTTTTGGAGTTGAACTCTTGATCCGTTAACCTCAGCATTTAAATCTTTTTAAACGCGCATGAGATGTTGCTGCCGGAACACTTTAGGAATGGGACGTAGTAGGGGGCGTATCAGAGCCCCAGAAGAGAGATTTGAACACAGAACTGAATATAACAAGGCTCGAATAACCATCCGGTTACCCCATACATCGTTATAATCCCACTACTTCCTCCCACCGACACTCTTCGACCCCAGACATTAAAGCCTATACAAATTACAAAAGCCTACTCTGCAGACAGTAAACTCAGCCTAGCACGGCTCATGTATCTCTCAATGTAGATCTACCGTACAAGTGTACTTGATGGCCGCCTTCTCCACTCCCAACCTCCTTCGTCTCCATCGACACCAATGAAAATCTCAACGCTCATAGTCGTGGCAGCTCTCATTGGCCTGTGTTTGGCTGCTCCCCCCAGTGCAGAGGAGATGGGAATGACCCCAGACGAATGGTCCAACTGGGTGTACTCCCAGTATGGTGTCTACGGAATGCGACCCAGTCGAGCCGCCAATCTCGTGGGAATGATTCTCTTCATTATCCTGTGGGCTATCCAAGGAGCGCTGGCCTTGTACTACCGACAATGGTGGTTTGGAGGAGCCTTCTTCTGTGGCATCTGTCTGGAGTTTCTCGGATACCTGGGCCGATTCCTGTCCACCTGGGATCTCCAGAACTTGAACGAGTTCATTCTACAGATTGTCTGTCTGACTCTGGCACCTGCCTTCATAATGGCGGGTGTCTACTGTCTGCTGGCAAAGTTTGTCGTCATCTACGGAGAGAGCTACAGTCGGGTAGCTCCTCTGGTGTACACATTGATCTTCGTGGCCTGTGATTTGATTTCCATTGTCATCCAGGCTGTAGGAGGAGGTATTTCAGCCACTGCTCTCTACGACAACAAGTCTACCGACGACGGAACTCACATCATGGTCGCCGGTATGGCTTTTCAGGTCTTCACCATGTCAATTTTCTTTATCATGACCACTGACTTCTTGTGGCGAGTGCACAAGGGTATCCGTAACCCCAACGTCGCGGACTCTCGAGCCAATGACCCCGAAATCATTGCTATTCGAGAGTCGCCCAAGATGAAGTACTTTGTCATTGCTACATACATTGCCTTTGGCTTTGTCTTCACTCGGTCCGTCTACCGAGTCGTCGAGCTGGCTGAGGGCTGGTACGGCAATCTTCTTCAGCACGAGGCCTACCTGCTTGTGCTGGACGGTCTGATGATGCTCATTGCCATCACCATTCTGACCGTCTTCTACCCCGGCTTCGTCTGGGGCCGAACCCACATCAACGCCGGAGCTGTCAAGCATAGCAAGAGCGAAAAAAACGAGTTCCAGGACGTTCAGCAGGAACATTACCCCGAACAGCAAGAATACCCGGAACAGCGAGACGATGGGTCTTACGGAAAGGAGACCGAAAGCAGTGTTTAGAAGTCATATATAATGTATTATTTTGTTTTGAGCTACGAGAATCTAAGGCATGGGAGGCTACCCTAAGGCCCAGATGTTTGAGACATAGGACACTGAGACCAGACATTGTGAGACAGTACTAAATAGGTACTCGTGCAAGCACACATGCAAGTTCGAGACGGTACAATGTAGATACTTGTACGAGTACTCATTATGATGACACTCACAAGATGCTAGTATCCAGATCTAGACTGATGCACCCTCCGAAGCCGAATAAACAAGTTGACACTAGTAGCCAAGACTACAATAGTGCATGTAGCATCGTTGGATAGAGAAGAGTTCCTTGGGGAAGTGCTGTATTTATGAGTAAAACTAGGGATCGTATAACCATGACAAAATTACTGAGCAAATATCTCAAATCTGTCACCGACTCTCACTTTTCAAATTTATCGCCTTTAACGAACATGAACCCACATGTTTTTCCACCGAAATGCATCCTAACATACACTAAAACACAATGTCACAAGGACTTTTGCCAGACCTTTGGAAACCGCTCAAACAACTGAAAACATGCTTAACCACGATATTTGGACTCAGATTTTCTCTTTGGTCGACTTTCGCACCGCGCTGAACCTCAGATACTCGTGCAGAGAGCTCTTTCATCTGAGCAACGAACTGTCCGATGCAGTTTGGGCTCTATACCTGAAAGATATCGGGGGAGAGTTCTGTGAGAAGGCCAAAAACAGCGTCATTCGACTCAACAGACCTCTGGTTTTCACCACAGGACCTTTGACCAAGTGCAGTCAGAAGGCAGGTCCTCCTAGTCCGAAGGCTGGGTTCCTCAAACACCTCGTATACATACAAGGAGACGGTAAGATCGGGTATGTGGTGAACTATCGGGAATGGAGTGTTAAAGCGGTGGAAACTGAAGGAGGAACTGATACTACGTCCTGGTACTGTTTCTCTGAATTCAACAAGGAGTTTGAGTCCATCGCCCTAGAAGAAAACAGCGTGGTGTGGCAGAAACGACAGGGACCAGATTTGAGAGTCCAGATACCTATGAAATACCAAAACACAAGACACAAGCATCTCTTTAGAGCCTCGAATCCAAACCAGACCTTTGTCTATCTCCATAGATACTGGGAAGACTCAGAGGAAACAGACAAACAAGACTTTCTTAGTGACATACTGTTTGTGAACTGGAAGGAGAGGAGAATGAACTTGTTGGAAGGATGTATAACTATGGCTTCCGCCAACAGTGTCAATTGCGTCCTTATAAATGGACTGCTATTCTTCAAGGGACCTAACTACACTCTTCAAGTGAAGAACATGCTTACTGGAGAACATCATCAGGTGAGTCCCAATGGGGTGGAAATCGGTTACCATGATGATAGATACGTGTGCTACAACACTCTGGAAACAACACATGTGATAGATACACTCACTCTGTTAATCTACCCTCTGACTAATGTGCTATTCGACTTTCGCAGTGGAATTCAGCATATTGAAGGCCAGTTTATAAGCTGGTTGCACCCTGTAGTTGGTTCAGGCACCTTAAATCTCAAACCAGGCCAAGTCATGAACCTCAGTGACGTGTGACCGGGGTTAAGTACATTCACATCAACCTACATACAAGTATACTGCATACACCTTAACGTCTATATCAATAATACATTAAATACATACTTAACCAATATGTTTGTCTTGGCCAGTCGTTTGTGGGCTTGGAAGATAATCGCTTATTTGATGTTAACGACCTTAACATCGAAAGTAAGCTGGGAGTTGGGGGGGATACCGGGCAGCTTCTGCTTACCGTAGGCCATTCCAGGGGGGATAATGATTCGTCGCTCACCCTTGACCTTCATACCCTGGACACCAATGTCCCATCCTCGGATGACCTCGCCCTTACCGACAGAGAAGTAGAAAGGCTTACCCTTGGAGTTGGAGTCAAAGACCTTACCGTTGGCGAGCTTGCCAACGTATCGGACACCGACCTTGGAGCCGACCTTGGCGGAAGGACCCTCACCGACGGTTCGGTCCTCAATCTTGACACCACCCTCAAGCTGTCGGGTGACAAGCTTGGGCTTGGGCTCGGAGGGAGTGGGGCCCTGCTCGAGGTTCTTGGTGAAGGCAACCTTGGCCTTCTTGGCGGCCTTCTCCTGCTTCTTCTCCTCGGCGGCTCGCTTGAGGATCTTCTTAGGCTCGACAACGGGCTCTTCCTCCTCATCCTCATCGTCCTCATCGTCCTCGTCGTCCTGCTCCATGAGCTCGACAAGTCGCTCGTCACCGTTGATGACCTCATCCTCATCGGGAGAGAGATCGTACTCGCCTTCGTCGAGCTCGTCCTCATCATCCTCGTCGTCCTCACCGAGAGCAAGGAGCTCATCCTCGTCCTCCATGTCGTAGGGGTGCTCAATGTAGTTACCGGAGAGGTGGATGGCGTAGGAGCCAGTGACCTCGAACATGATCTGCTCACCGGGGGTGATAACGAGATCAAGAGTCTGCTGGTATCCAAACTTGGGGGAGAGAGTGCAGACAACAAAGTCCTCAATCTCACCCTCGTCGTCGTCGTCCTCATCGTCCTCCTCGAACTCCATCTCGTCGTCCTCGTCGTCATCCTCATCGTCGTCTCCTCCCTCAACCTCATCGAGACCGTCCTCGTTGGCGGCGATCAGCTTCTTGATCTGAGCCATGTCCTCAGCAGAGACTTCGTCATCCTCATCGTCGTCATCCTCGTCCTCGTCATCCTCGTCGTCCTCATCGTCGAAGTTGTCGGCAGGCTTAAGGATTCGGAGAGTGGCGGGCTCCTCCTCATCACCCTCAATTCGGGCGGGATCAATGGCAGCCATGGTGATTCGCACAGAAACAGGGAAGTCCTGCTCAATGGGGGCCACGGGAATTCCGGGGAACACGGCCAGGGTGTAGGAGGCCAGGGGAAGGCAGTTGTTGGCGTTGTTAGACATGGTTGTTGTGTGTGATAGATACAAAAGTGCAGACCCAAGTATTTAAAATGGGCAAATTTTTGGAATAAGGTTGCATATGCACTAAGAGCTTAACGGGAGTGCTGTACATTTGGCTGGAGCTCGTGGAAGACGGTGAAACCGTTATTGTGGCAATGGTGGGATCTATCGAGGTAATTGGTAGGACACATGCACCAACATACGTGTATATGACATGTAGAACCGTCCACTGCTGTTAGGCGATATGTCGTCTTTCGCAGCCCATCAAGGCACTCTCAAACCCAATCCATGGAAAATAAACGTGGGACTATTTGGACTTGGGACTTGGTGCTTGCAATCGTTGTTGGTTGTGTCGTCACGTAACATTTATAGCAACTTAGGGACATCTGGCAGAGAAGGCTGCTTGGTCCAGTAGTGTGGTAGCCTTGAATTGGTCATGTGAGATTGTGATTGGTCTGCATTGGTCGCCCCCATCTCGAGCAATGGCTTTTTTCGTTCCCATGGAACTCTTTGGAACAGCAACACCATACACATTATTCATGTAAGGCGTGCAGGATAAGGTGGCGGCGAGGTGAGGCAGAGATGGGAATGGATATTTGTCACATGTATAGGGGTTGGACTATGGCGGGTCACTATAGAATGTGTAACTGTACTTCTTCTCAGTCCATATAGCCATTTTTGGTCTTGTTACTCTTTTTTCCATCTCATTTCACCCCCAATACTTGCTGCTTTGTTGGCAGGCACCACACGGACATTGGGCGGCTGCTTTAAGTGAAACACCAACTGAGCCTTAACTAAAGACGACGGTTTTTTCACAAATCGTGGCCCACCAAAACTGGCTCCATGGACTGTATATAAAGCTGCACAGTGAAAAAAACAAAAAACGCACTCCACATAGACGATGCACTGATGACGTCGTACTGTAGATGAGGAGATACATGTTGACATGTTGTAGCAGAAGATGTGGTAGAGGTCCAGTTGGTGGCAAACACCCAGGTGGCGACTCAATTAATGCCATGGTGACAGAGGGGCTGTAATTGGTGTTCATTCTGGTGAGATACATTCCGCAGTGTAGCCACCAGAAGCTACGGGTCATGATAGGCGGTTGTACATTTGTAGGAAGAGTGTCCAAGTTGAGAGAGAGTGGTATCGCGAATGGACACCTACCGTACATGCTGTGTGAACAGCAACTGGCACCAATATGTCTGAGAGGTAAAGACGAGGGGAGCTATCTTAAGTCATCTACCAGGTCAGAGGAAACTTGCGAGTTTAGAAGGTCATTGTTTTATCAAGCCTAGTCCAGTATGACAGTTGTCTAAAAGTAGCATTTACAGTAACAAGGTCTGGACAGGTTGGTAATACAAAAAAAAGTGCAAAGAACACCAGTTTCCAATACTTCGACTCTTACTACTCGTGCCAGAAGAGCCATCATTGTTCTACTTGTAGGTAACTACAAGCAACATCCTCCCACACCCCAGAGCCACTAATGGATGCCCGCTTCACAACGGAACAACAGCGACCAGAGATGCATGGCAGTAGCAGTCTGAACAGCATGGAATGTATTTACAGAGAGAGACCGCAGCAACAAGCTACAAGTACAATGGTTCTTCACAGAAGACCGTTTGTCAAGTGAGTGATTACGTACAAGTGGCTTCCATGGTCTGAGTCGAACTCGGGACGTAAATATCGGTGAGTACATGTAAACACAGGTTCTAATACAGCACATCACCGCTAGTCAGCGCTGTTCAGCACAACGCCATCACCACAGGCAAGCATTTTGTGGAACAATTTATAAAATGCGGTTTACAAGTAAGAGCTACAGATACCAGTGCCTTTTTTTGGTTCTACGTGTGCACGCAGTCGTATATATACGCTCCTACTTTTGACTCCCACTTGTGGCTACGAGTACAAATAGTCGCTTCGCGCCTACTTGTAAGTAAAATTCAAATTGCATTGCTATACAGCTTTTGACAGACGACGGCTTCACCACCGTCCACCATTTTCCACCCCCATGTTCCATTTTGTGTTTTTATAATTTAAAACTTGAGCAGGTGGGGCTTGTCACCAGACTTGAGAGAGAACTGGGAAGCCAGGTACTGCTTGAGAAGAGGAGTCTTCTTGATCTCGGCAATGAGAGCAGCATCGACGTCCTTCTGGTCGGCGACTCGCTCGGCCTTGAGCTCCTTCTGCTTGCCCTCGGCGAAGAACTGCTTCTCGGCCTTCTTGTCGGCGGAAGATCGAGCGAAGTAGGCAGGGGTGAACTTGTCAGCCTTGACACCGGAGACATCGACCTTAGTGGAGGTGGCAATGACGTATCGGGCGTTGACTCGTCGGAGAGGGACACCGTTGACCTTGAAGGGACCGGTCACAAGGAGAGTGCCATCCTCAAGAGACTTGAGGAGAACAACTCGCTTGCCTCGGAATCGGCCGGCAAGGAGAATGAGTACGGCACCGGGAACAAGAGAAGGTCGCAGCTTGGACTTGTTCTGGACGGTGGGGATCTTGACGTGAGTGGGCTCAGCGACGTACCACTTGGGGGCCTTCTCAGTGGGGACGGTTCGGCTACCGCCGTTCTTGGCTCCTCCGATCTGCTTGGACATTTTTGATGTTTAGGGTGTTGAGGTGAGTGGAAAATGAGAGCGGTGAAAATCCACTATACCTGACGGCGGCCGATGCTCCGGAGCTGCATGAAAAAAGAGTGTACATCTGGGAATGGGAATGTGTGACTGCCTTTTGGCTTAATTGGGAAATTCACGTGACAGTTGGGAGGAAACAGAGCCAAAGTCACACCCTAACCCAGGGTTGGGAGGTACGAGAGGTTGCCTGTTTGGGACAGACCACTCAGATGAGGAAACAGTCCTAACCCTATTTAACCGAACAGGCACGGTTTGATTAGTAACGATTAGGGGATATACAGTGCTCTTTTCGCTTTTCCTGAGTGTCTTTTTGGAGCTCAAATGGCCTTCTCACAGCTGCTACTAAATTAAAGTTCACCAATCTCAGGAGTTAGAGTGGTTATGCAGCGTGATAGAGACCCTTCTGTGGGACACGATGCGCCATGCGACATAACGTGAGCTGCAGTTGGTGTTGCGGAGTACGCGGTTGGTTGCTGTGGCTCGGGAGGGCGTTGGGACGTCACGTGTATCAATATATGGTTGATATTGCAGTACGAGTACAAGTAGTCACCTGTAAAATGTCTATTAGGGCTGAGTGGTTATTAGTTAGAATTGGTTGAGTAACTAGCTAACATTAGTTGGATTTTACTTGTGCATTAGCGTGATTCTGTATTGTACTGTTTTTTTTTCTCCTTCTTTTTACAGTACATGAAATCCGTTCTTCTGTAACAGTAAGGAAAGAAGTTACTCATACTGTACTCATACAGTAGGGTTAGTTGCTGTCCAAGAACACGCGAGTATCCTCAGATGCTACTGTACATGTTGTATAGGAACTCCTTATGGGCACTGTCTAGGCTACACAACCATTCGAATCTATGCATATGCCACCATCGAGATCTACAGTACAAATACCGTACACTAATGGGTAAGGGAAGGCACTCCACACCCGAAGCCGACTGCTCGTAGTTGTACTGATACTCGCACTGGAACTAATGCAGAAAAAAATAATATATACCGCTTCTGTTTAAAACAATGGGTAGGGTTTGCCCGTTGCCGTTGGGTGACGGAGATCTCTCTGATGGTGATATACTAAGAAAAGCAGCCCAGCCTTGTCGCGCGGTTATTGAGACACAGCGCGTCTTTTGGGTCGGCGTACTGTCGCCGAAACCAAATGGGATTGGCTAGTATCTGGAGCAGATATCGTTCTTGGCGTAGGTTGTGAGAGTGTCAAGCGGCTGATTGATAAGGGTGTAATATTATAGGTGACATGTGAATGATATGTTGACACAATTACAATAAGCACCGAATGAACATGTACTTGTAATACAAGTACTTCACTTGTACCGGCACTTGTACACCTAAAAATGTACTGCATGAACATCACCATCGTTTGGGGGGTACACAAGGGGTTCGGATAGGTCCGTCAGCAATCTTCTGGAAGACAACTGCTTGAAACATGCAAGGTCAATCCTAACTCCCTGGCCACGTGGACTATAGCGGGTGAGTCGTATCGTCATTCTTAGGGCCGGAGACGGGCCTGTGTTTATGAGCCAGCCAAACTCTGAATCCTTCGGTCTTCGCCGTATGAGCCAAACGGGCAACTTTGAGTTTTTCCACCCGAAGATAGTGTACTGGTGAACTGTGTCATCAAACTGAAAATTGCTCGGGGGAGGCTCAAGCAATGAGGGAGTGACGTGTGTAACGACAACAGACCATGGGTTATGTATGACTAACTGCTCAGACCTGTTTTTTTCAGTCCTACTAAGACTGTTCCGGTAGTAGCCCTTAGCCTCGAAAGATAAGAAACAGAAAAAGCAAAATGTCTTGGAATTCGACTGTGCGGAGTTCCGAATAGCTTATGGATGGGTGTAAGGAACAGAGAAGTCCCTAATCTTCAGTGACTACGCGGGGAAACACGAGATTGCACCCAAGACAATGACCGGGAAAAGGCGCAGCTATCAGTACAGTACGAAGCCAGACCCATTTCACTTACACGCCGTTGCCTTGATAAGGTCTGATTCATGTGGGTGTTGTGAGAGGCCAGCAGGTATAAGCCTGCTTGGCATGTATCTGGCGTTGTACATACAGTAGCCACGATATCACTATCACAGAGTTACTGTGTGAAACAGGGAGTGTTCTTATCAGGTACAGTTTTGTTATTATCACGTGCAGAACGAATACCTCTTGGTCCCGTGAGTCTTTAAGATGTGGCCGAACCATTTTATCCATACAACCAAATCACGTATCTGCCTATTTCATTCTTTTTCTCTCACTTTCGGCCTCTCTTGCTCCCCTTTGTTACGCCGCCATATGAAGATCATGGAGGTCGCTCTACCAGGGAAAACTTTGTTAGCTTATCAACCAATCACAGCGCGTAGCATGGAACGGAGAAGACCGAAATGCTGGGAGAAAATATAGATGGAGCTTATCTGTCTCTCCTGGACTGCTTGTTATCTATGCATATTGAACTGTAAGAGGATTAAGCGACAGGGACGGGCAGAAGACATCGATGGTATAAAAAAGAAGGGTGGTGGAGATATTTCACCCCAGATTCTATCAGATCAGCTTCGAAAGGTCAAACACGCAAGATGCTTGGACACGTCCCAACCAAAACGTTCTCGGAAAAGGCCGGAAAGATGGCCCGAATCATCAAACACAAGCTCACCACTCGAGAAGGACTCATTGGAGACTACGACTACGCATTTCTCTTCACCCCCAAGATCCCCTTCATGAAGAAACGAGAAGACGAACCCTCGACCTTTTTCCCTCTCAACTCGTCACTTCCTCTCTTCCTAGCAATTCTGCTGGGATTCCAGCATTCTCTGGCCATGGTGGCTGGAGTCGTCACACCTCCTCTGATCATGGGTGGTTCTGCCAACTTTGGACCTGATCTCAGCCAGTACCTCGTCTCTGCATGCCTCATTGGCTCTGGAATTCTGTCGCTCATCCATATTATTCGATTCAAAATTCCCAAAACTAATATCTACATTGGAACCGGCCTGATTTCCGTGGTTGGAACCTCATTCGCTACCATCAACGTCTTCACCAGTTCACTGCCCATTATGTACCGATCAGGTATTTGTCAGACAGCTGCTGACGGAACTCCTCTTCCCTGTCCTGATGGCTACGGTCGTCTCATTGCTACTGCCATGGTCTGCGCGCTTCTGGAAGTCGTGCTTTCATTCCTGCCTGCTAAGGTCCTCAAGAAGGTCTTCCCTCCCATCGTCACCGGCCCTGTAGTGCTTCTCATTGGTGTCGAGCTTGTATCTTCCGGTTTCAAGGACTGGGCTGGAGGATCTGGCCCCTGCTACGGACGACCTACTTCTGGAGACTTCATGATGTGTCCTGCCAACGGTGCTCCGATGGCCGCTCCCTGGGGCTCAGCCCAGTTCATCGGTCTTGGATTCCTCGTCTTCATCTCTATTCTCTTCTGTGAAAAGTGGGGAGCTCCCATCATGAAGTCCTGCTCGGTTGTCATTGGTCTGCTGGTCGGATGTATTGTGGCTGCTGCTTGTGGATACTTTGATGGAACCAACATCGATGCTGCTCCTGTCGGAACCTTCCTGTGGACCCACACCTTCAAGCTCAAGATCTACGGACCAGCAGTACTTCCTATGCTTGCTGTCTATCTAGTGCTGATGATGGAGTCCATTGGTGACATTACCGCCACATGTGACGTATCTCGACAAGCCGTTGAGGGCCCCGAGTACGAGTCTCGAATCAAGGGAGGCATTCTTGGTGATGGTATCATTGGTATCCTTGCCGGAGCCTTCACTCTTACTCCCATGTCTACGTTTGCTCAGAACAACGGTGTTATTGCTCTCACCAAGTGTGCCAACAGACAGGCTGGAGCCTGGGCCTGTTTCTTTATGCTCATCATGGGTATTTTCGCCAAGTTTGCTGCTGCTATTGTGGCCATCCCCAAGCCTGTTCTGGGAGGCATGACCACCTTTCTCTTCTCTTCTGTCTGCGTCTCTGGTATTGCCATTATAACCCGAGCCGGCAAGATCCAGCGACGAGAGCGACTGATTCTGACAGCCTCTCTGGTCATGGGTCTTGGTGCTACCATGGTCCCCGATTGGTTCACTTACGTATTCACCTACAAGGGCGACAACCACTCTCTTCGGGGCTTCTACGATGCTATCGAGCTAGTTATGACCAATGGTTTCGCAATTGCCGGATTTGTTGGTATTGCTTGCAACCTCATCTTGGCTGAGGAGGAGAACGTTGACGATGAACAGGAAATGCAGGTGGTCGAGATTGACGCTGCTGAGGAGGAGAACTCTAGCTCCGATGATATGATGGTTCCTGAGGCCAAGCGAGCCTCCGAGGACCACAAGCGAGTGGACATGGTTTAGAAAAGGAGGATATAGATTTATTTATTGCATTAATTGATTGTTTATGATTGTACACTTTGCTCGTACATACATGTAGTGACTCTAAGGAATACAAGCAGTACAATACCTCTGTCAAAAAGTGGGAATAGGCCACACACCCATCGGCTGGTCTGCTTCTATCTACAAATTCATCGTTAGTTATGCATATATACAAATGATTACTTCGTGTCCTCCTGCTCGTTGTTCCTATCTTCGTCCTTGTCCAGCACATGCAAATTCTCCGTCTTGTGGGCAAGGTCAATGTCAATATCATACTCCTCTTCCTCGTACTCCGAAGAGTGGTACGAGTCCGAGTCCGAGTCCGACACCTGCTTACCCAGATCGTCCAAGGTCAGCATGCCGTCGTTGGAGCCGGTGGGAGAGAAGACAGATGTCGGGGACATGACCAGTCCTCCTCTTCGAGAGCAGTCGGCAAAGGTGGAGGTGCCTTCGTCGTCGATATCAAAGTCAATCATACTCTCAAACGCCTGGATCTGAGCCGGCGACTGCTGCTGAATGGGTGTGAAGCCTCGGGTAACAGGGGGTGAGTTGAGACATGTAGTAGAGGCTGCCGAGTACTGCTGGGGAGTGGCAGAGTTAGTGCTAGTCATTCCGCTGGGCATTGTGTTGGGCATATAACTTGTGCTGAAACTTTGAGGAAGAGAAGCAGTTCCGTTATCTCTGCTGTTGCTTCTGCTGGGCTGGTTGTCTCTGAGATTGTAGGGTTTCTGTGTAGTGGTCGTCGTCGGGTTTGTGTTCGTGTTTGTGGTTGGGTTTGTGGTTGGGTTGTAATTGTTGTTGATGTTGGAGTTGGCAGTACCCGTGCTTGTAGGTGTGTTACTATTAGTTGTGTTGGGAACGGAAGGAGTGCTCTGCTGGATGGTTGGCAGTGCTGCAGTAAGCTGACTGATGGGAGTCATGACTCCTGGGGTGCCCTTCATCGATCTACTTCTCAGACGGCTGTACCCTGCTCCACTTGGCACTGACGAAGAGGCATGGAGAGAGGCGCTTCTGTTGACAGAAACGGTCGATGCAGGTCTGGAAAGTGACGTCAGAGGCTTCTGGAGTTCTCGGGTGTTCCACTTGAGTGTTCGACTCACAGACTCAATGTAGTCCATGTCTGATCGGATCACGGTGGGGAATGGAAACTTTGAAGCTCGCACTGTGATGTAGTCGCCCGACTTGAGCTCCACACGTGATCTGCCATCAAATGAGACCCATGCTGAAGTCCGTGAGTTCTTTCGAGGAACAACCACCTTGAGTGTCATTGAATCAGGCAGAAGCATGGGTCTGAAGGACAGGGTATGGGGACAAATTGGAGTCACACAGATGGCTGGAATCTCAGGGTGAACCAGAGAGCCTCCTGCTGACAAAGAGTATGCCGTGGATCCTGTGGGAGTCGATAGAATGAGGCCATCAGCCTGTACGATGGTCAACAGGTTATCATCCCCATAGAGCTCCAGCATTGAGATGAATGGTGAAGGACCTCTATCGACGACAATTTCGTTGAGAACTTCGTGTCGGCCAATCTTGGAGTGATGCTTATCTCTCTTTCCGGTTTCCGGGTTCATTTCCCGCTTGAACACGGTGCATGTGAATCGCATTCTCAGATGCACATGTACTCCCTGAGTCATGGCCTTTGTAAGATGCTTGCCAAAGTCATGGTATTCAAAATTGGTCAGGAAGCCGAGCGAACCCAGCGCAAAGGGAATAACGGGGGGAGCGGTGCCTTGAAAAAGCCACGAGGCCCACAGAACCGTCCCGTCTCCTCCCAGGGTAATGACTAGATCAAAGAGCTCGGGCTTCTGGGTCGCCATTTCGGCAGTCCAGTATCTGAGCATACGTGCTGGGGTGTTTGCAGTCAGTGTAGGAGCGTCGAAGCGGCCACTCTTCTCGAGTTTGGCATCCACATAGACCACCACTCCTCGGTCCATCAACCACCGGGCCATATCTCGGGTCAGGTAGACAAGCGAGTTGTCTCGGGCCTTGGTGATGATCATGACCTTAGTCACATCGATGTGGACGGAGGCCTTGCCGAGATGTTTGGCAATTCGTCGAACTCCTGTCGCAGTTTGGACGAAGTGAGCATGGCTGAGTCGTGAGCTCTGAATGTCTTCAGCTGAGAGCTCCTGGAGGGCCGAGGCGGCGCTGAGAGCAGCGTCGAACCGCTGGTGCACGTACGGAGACTCGCTGACCGGAGTGCTCATCTTCTCAGGGCTGTAGGGAGTCAGTTGGCCGGAGTACTGAGTCTGCTTTTTCTCAAAAGTCGATCCATGTACCGAAACCTAACGTGTGTGCGGAGCTTAATTTTTTTCCCTTTCTCTAAGCACAGAAAATTTAAGGGCTGGCTGCACGAGAAAAGAGTAACGGCGGCGAGAAGCGGTGAGGGACGAAACAGGCGTGCGGAAGTCGCAGAAAGAAGCGACACCAAACCAATGCAAGCGCTCGCAAGCCCGCCGCATTCCCGTGCAACGAACTCCACCAAATGCTAGTCACATGACTCCGAGCTTGCGTTTGGACGCAACCGATGCAGCTACCATTCGATCTACCCTAGCCCGAGACTATTTCCGATCATTGGAGGAGTGTTTTCAAAGACATCAAAGTCGATATTTGAAGCGATAATAAACGGATTTTTTGAGCTAAGAAGCATGGTGTATCACCCGACATGATTTTATATGTCGGAACCACCTATATTTCGTCTCTCACGGCCACCCAAACACCACTTCCCGGTATGGACCGGATTAACTTAAGTGGATCCAGGTGACAGGTGTAATTCATATAAACTAGAGCCAAGACGTTATAATATCGCACCTGAAGAAGTGGATGTGCAAACTCACAGAACCCGGCTGTTGGGTCAATTGATGTTATACAATGACGTTATATTTTATAGGCCAACCATTTACACCACGTGGCGTGTATCTCTGGGGTTACTGGTGCCAGGGTTGTGGTGAGATGGGGTGCTTGAATACGGTCGACTAAACTGTAGCTAAATATGGGGTTAGCACCAAAGACAATTGGAGATTCGACTCTAAAAAAAAAACGGGGCCCAATTCAACGGCCAGGAGTGGAAAAGATGTTATGCTGGCCCTTGCCGAAAATTCGCCGACCAAAAATCAAATCGCCCCACAAAACGGATGACTTTGGCCCGGCCTGTCTACTCAGCTTGGCGTGTTCGATGCGTCCGGCACATCTTGGGGTAACTCAACAAATGCATGCTTGAGTCAACCTTGCCGAGTCGTCCGGGGAAAGGCGGAGAGATTGTATCAGGGGTGTTTCGGGTGCTGGGATTAGTAAGGGGGCGGTCATGAGTTTCGGATAGGATCACGTGTCCAGATTAGTGAGACTTGGGGGTCTGAGACGCCGTCTTAATCCAATACTGCTTATGTAAGCGAGAGGGAGAGACTCTTTGGAGAAATAGACGGAGAAGGTCCGTCAATAGCTGATTTTAATCTTTAAGAACATTCAGTTATATCATGGGATTTCTTCTCGGTACTGTACAAGTAGTGACCCTGACACCGAGGACACGCTTTTACTTGTACTTGCAGTATGAGTTGAATTCACTGCATATACCAATTACAAGTAACCACCTCTATGATCCACAATGAATCACAGTCACGTGATGGGATCTGGTTTTGAATGTTCCTGGTCTGTTCTCGCATTTGTCAAGAATTGAATCGTACTTGAACCGGTCAGTATGTACCTACTTGTATGACAGCATAGGCACTCTCCACAGCACTACAAGTAGCTGATACAGCTCATCACTATTTTGATAATGTCGACACTGGTATGTATCAAATGGAGCCATTACATGTACTTACTTCCATAGCCTTATCACTTGTTGATACCTGATGGTAGAAGCTTGATGAAACCTGGTAGTTGTAATATTTTCCGTAAGGTCTCTTCTGATTGCACTGCTGTGAACGGCTGAAACGAAGAGGGCGGTTAAGACACACGGATGTGCGACTTATAGATCCCTTTTATCAATTGTAGCTAATTATAATGAAAAGGTAGGGATCGTGTCTTAGGCACCAGCAAATGTTCATGGAAGCTGTCATCCGAGGGTGAACTACCTATACAAATGAAAGAAACACCATTGGATCAGATGTCGATAATGACGTCAGAAGATTGAACAAACCAGTGTCTAAGAACGATCAAACTGTTCCAGCTGACCATTCTCATTGAAAGAATCCGTCGTCGTTATCCTCACTGTGTGAACAGACTCAAGGCGCATTGATCTAGTGAGACACGTGTAGCCTCACTTATGGCTGCTGGAATATTGAGTGAGTGATTATAAAAAACGAAATCAATCAAGTCACGGTGGCAATCATGTGAAAGAATCACCCTAAAAATGCCATGTTTATAGACTAACTGGTCTCAACATTCAATGTGATGTATGTAAGGTGGAGTGGTATGTACAAACAAGTGCGACTGACAATCACATGCGTTACCGCAGAGAGAGAGTGATGTATCGTCATGACATGCACAATTGGGTTGCGTGGAAGTCGCCACCGTGAGTCGTTGGGTGTCTCTCATTGTGAATCAAGCCCTGAATCAGACTAGATGGGCCTTGTCACATGCGTCTGGCGGTTCTAGCCGTCCCAAAACGGGTCTCCATGTGTCTATCTTTAGCGATGGTGCATTTCGTCCGGGGTGATAACGCAGTCAGAAGCTCATTCATGTTATTTCGTTGTTAATTGTTCCAGTGACACAAGCTGTAGTGTTCACCCAGGTAACATTGAATACATCACTCGTAGGCAGTGAGCATGGATGGCTTGTGTAACCCCAGAATTAAACCAAAATAGGAACATTGTGAGGTTGCAATACTCGTTTGCACGCCCAGATTAAAGCTCGCACGTCGTGAAACCTGCTGGATTCATGTTGAATGTGCATTACTCTAAGCTTGATTGTGTGCTCGTGAAAAAAGAGACTGTCAACAGAGACCCCAGAAGCTATACAGAGTTGAGAGATGAGTTCAGATAAGGCGAGTTTAGGTTTTGGGACTAACACAACAAATACTGTGGGTTAGGTCAAGACACGAGGCAGCGTGAAAAAAAAGAGGAGACCCTATAATCGTCTAAACACAAGACAAGGACCCTGAACTGCACCATTTACCCCTCCCCCGTATTTCAGCCACCTCGTGCTCACAATCGATGTTGCACTTTGTTGCTTGCTTTTCTTGGCTCACCTATCGCTACCTCCTTCCTCATGGCTCGACCCAGCTACTATCACATGGAAGCGGCGGCGTTTGATAGCATCACGTGACTGGATATGCGAAGGGTTAGTTGTCGATCCAGGCATCTTTAGCGCAATCCAATGGTGTGAGAGATGCGCGGCTGGAATGTGAAAGAGCGCGATGACAGGACAACACTGTGAGAGGGCGTATACTAAAAAACTGACAGAAAATGTTGAGGTGCACACGCACCTTTTACCCCACAGCAACACGGCAGTCATGTGGATATACGCACTCCACGTACAGTATCGTACAAGCGTGCACGTACCCCATTTTTTTAGACAAAGTACCGGCCCCGGTTTTGGGCTCTCTGCTTTGTACGATGTAAAGTAGTGCGCCTTTTTCAGACGACGCCTACAGAATGTCGTGTGAGTGTACCTGTACCATTCAGAAGAGGCACCACGGGGTAGTGTAACGGTGTACAGAAAACAACAACCAGCCGTACAACCGAGCCGTTGCCGACCCACCGGAGAATCCACGGGCTATCCGAAACAAGTCAGTTCTCACATGGTAGGTCAGCTCATTTTCGCCTCTCAGACCATTTTCTCAGAGGGAGATCCATCACACCACACATGTGCACGAGTGCCACCCAACCTAATTCTCTGTAGTGGTGAGCGTGTGAGCCTGAACCGGACCCTCCCAAATTTAGACACAGCAAGAAATACACTCACATCAAGGTTCATGAACGTTTTCAACACTTTCACACCGCAACAAGGAAGATAGAGTTTCGGCTCAAAATGTGAAAGACGCACGACCTATATATTAGACGTGTGCCCTGAGAAGAGAGGTCCGGTATCAACCATCAACTTCTACATCTTGCACAACTATGTCTCTCGCGCTGCCAACATACTCAATGGGTCTCAAGTCTGCTCTCAAGTCTCCCAAGTCTCCCAAACCAACCTCAGCCAAGCGAGTCTCCTTCGACGCCTCCGCACACGATAACGAGCCTCTGCCGTCGCCTTCTGCCTTCGACCAGCTTGCCTACCTCACCAAGGCTCCCGTTCCTTACCAGGAGGAGCCACAGGGACTCAAGCTGTCTCTTGAACAGCTCAAGCCCATGAAGAACAAGGATATTTACGCCGTTCATCAGTTTGGCCACCAGACTCTTCCTATCCCCTACAACATTGAATTCTACATGCAGTTCCTCTACTCGACGGGCACTTTCTGCTACTACCTCCCCTACGGCGAGCTGGATCCCAACACTGAGGACCCCGAAGCTATTGCCGCTGTGGTGGCCGGAAAGTTCTCCCACCAGCAGGCCAACTGCCATGTGTACATTCTGGCCGTTGCTCCCGGTCTCCAGCAGTCCGGAGTTGGATCCGCCATCATGCGGGTGCTCCAGCAGACCATTTTCGACGAACAGCTCAGCCGATACACCGCTCACACTCATCTCAACTTTGTGGTGGACGTGATCGCTGACGGAGCTGATGTCGAGTCTCCCCAGGGTTTCTACGAGAAGCTTGGATTCCGAACCCAGGGAGCTCCTCGACATGGATACTATGGAGGACAGTGGACTTCTGTTAAGATGGTCAAGTCTATTGACCTCTAGGAAGTGACTGACAATGACTCCACTACAACACCAACTCATCTGAACTGCATACACTAACAACCACACGAGCATGATAACGACAATGACCTATTTATTGTACATAATTATATTTATTCGAATTAATACTTGATATTTTGATGTGTTACTTGTAGTACTTGTGCTACAACAACTGTAGATAATTATTCCGACGTTTTTCCGCTAGTGCTCTTTTCGTTGCTTTTGTTTTCAACTTTCCCTTTTTCTATCTGCCCGGTCCATTCCGTTACCTCTTTGGTAAAATGGCGCCCTCCCGAGAGTATGTCCTCGGTTAACTTTATCACACGAGCAAGAAATGGAGAATGTGCCTTAGCTGCAACATCGCGTGGATGTCGGTAAGTCATAATTATAATACCGGGAATCAAGTACCATCAGCGTCATTGTTTGATCTCCGAGTTCCTTTCGTCCTTCCGCTACATTTCGGCCCCTATACTGTCGGCGTTATTTGCCTCATCGCAGGAAGATCTCGGTCGAACCTAAAGATCGAATCAGGCTATTTATGAAAAGATAGTGTGTTAGAAGGTCGGCTGTACGTTGGCCGAGGATGTGGTCTGGTTTAATCTTAGGTCGCAGACTAGTTGCTCCTACTCGGTCCATTGTTTAGTTTGTTTCTAGCAACGTTCGGCCCATGCTGCCGATATGAACGGCGCACATGACCCGCTGAGCACTGAGTTTCATTTTACTGAACGCTTTAGGAGATCTTGAACACGTTGGAATGCGATCGCAAATGGACGGATCTGTGTATTCTTACGGTACAGTACTTGCAGCTACTTGTAGCTATGATACGTGTACAGGTACAGCTGTTACGAAGTGAAGGTTTTGTTAGTCTATTCGGTGTTAGTTTATAGAGCATACTCAGTGCTTGGCCTACCACTGTATATACTCAGTCCTACTCAGTGGAACATCAGGTCCAACTCAACCTAGGAAGTGCAAAGATGCATGAAAAGGCAAACGGCCAAATGGATGTCTAAGCTCTAGCTGCGGTCGGTGTTTTTACTCTTGCTTCCCGCGACATCCAGGGCTGGATGCACGGCTCCCCAAGACACTCGTAAACAGGTCCATCCGGATTTCTCCGAGAGTGAGAGAAAATACTTGTGTCTGCATCTTAACGCACATGACGCACAGAATTCCGCCTAGCTGGAGCGCAACGTGACGCTCTCCGGGGTGCGTTTCCCCACACGGCATGCGTTCGACAACAGACAGTTCCCGATTTGCCCTAGTGTGCTATTTTGAGCCGACAATTTTTTCTCACAAACTTCGGCCGAAATAGCTCGGCATCTTTTATCCGGGTTCCAAGAGTGATTAGCTCAAGGTTATCAATTTGATCTTGATCTAATGACTGACTGACTGGTCACATAGCCACTGGAAGGGCAGGACAGAAATACACGCCCGTGACAAAGCGCAGCTGGCTAGAAAAAGGCAACAGTCATGAAACAAAGATCCGACACGGATATACCGCAAGCTGAAAAATAACAACTAGAGCAAGACCGACTCGGCCGACATGTGATGATCGGCTTACTGTCAAACAGTCAGGTGAGTCCGTTTCCTTGGTCTTGTCGATTCAACTGACTCCCTAATACAGCTGAAATCCCCAGCATCACACAACTCCACCCGTAATTACTTCCTGCTCCGAGCAGGAACCGCAAAGTTGGTATTGTGTGTACCCGGCCATCCGGAATCTAAACCGCTTTTATGCACACGACCGTTGTAACAAACCAACCGCTTCCAAAGTTACAACGCAATACAAATACAGTATTGTGGCTATTGTACATGCTGACGTGAATGGAAGGAGGTGACGAGATGTAGAATGACAAAGTGTTGAATAATTTTACGAAAAGAAGTTGGAATGTGTACTACCATCGTAGGGATCACGTGACAATCTTTTTGTACCAACACTGAATCCATCACGTGGTGTTCCCACCGCATGTCTCTTTGAATATAAAGACCAAATGAGAGACATTCACCGAGACGTATATTTGCAGGATGAAACCATAACGCCTACTTGTAGAAGTATATACATTCAATATTTGTATGCTCAAGGCCCTTCTTGTATCGCACCACCGTGGGTACATACAATACGATTACTGGAAATTACTATTAAATACTTATAATAGGACCTCATGTAATGTCCGATACAGCCTACTGCCCACCGCCTCCTATAATCCTACCAATGCATTCACTATATCCTTTTGTGCGAAACGATCTGTCGTTTTATCTGTCTCTCTCGTCTGACGTCTACTAATTTCCCTCCTCCTCTTCCTCGTCTTCGTCGGTCTCTGCTTCACTCTCTTCCTCGTCGGTCTCCTCTTCACTGGCAGTCTGGAGCTCTCCATCTAAGTCATCAATATCATCCTCATCTCCTCCGTAGCCAAACTGCTCTCTCCACACTCTCTGTTCTCGTTCAAGACGCTGCTTCTCAGCCTCAGCAACTCCTCCACTGGGCTTGAGCTTGTTCTCTCCCACAAACTCGCCCAGCTCCTTTTCAAACTTGTCGACTCTAGACTCAAGTTCAAACTTTCGTAACCGCTCAGACCGTTCAATAGCCTCGATTCGAGACTCATGGTCGGGTTTCAGAGCAAGGACAGACGAAAGAACTCCCTCCTTGAGATCCTGAACGGACTCAGTAGGAACAGGGAGAAGTACGGCCTTGTGACTGTTCTTGGCGGCACTTTTAAGCTGCTCGTTGGAACACTGTTCAACAAGAGCCAGAGTAGATGCAGCAGAAGCCAAATCCTCTCGCAGATCGGCCATGAGCTCCTCCTGAAGTTTGAAGAACTGCTGCTCTTCGCAGATGGTCTCCAGTTCTCGTTCCCAGACCTTCTTCCACACGGACTTTTGCGAGTTGATGTAAGTCTCCAGAGCGGTGAGCTCGGTGTTACAAGTCTCCATCTCTTTGGTGACAACTTCAAGCTGACCGGGCTCAGCCCGAACGCCTCGCTGAGCGACATCCTTTCTAAGAGCCTCAATAACGTCCTGGAGATCGTCTGCTCGAGTGAGAAGAGCATCTGAGTCAGTAGAGACCTTCTTGTTGGCCATTTCCATGAAGGCTCGAGAGTTGTCTCCAGCGGCGGGAAGAGAAGAGTAGTCTCGAAGCTTGCCAATGGTGTCGGAAATGTCCTTCATTGAAGTCTTCCAGAGAGTGAAGGATGAGTCCTTGAGCTGTCGAATAACAGCCAGCTCGTGCTTCAATGCATGCATATCGGCAGCCTTGGCCTTGAGAAGATCTTTGTCGGCAATAGGAGTGGGAACAGGAGCAGGCGCAATAGTGGACAGTTTGGCCTGTGACACTTCTGGAGGAGCAATGACGGGAGTCTTGACAATGGGCTCCGTTGCTTTAACGATAGAGGGACCTTGTGTACCGGCACCGACTGCTGCCGAGGGAGGTTTCTTCTCCACCATAAGCTTCAAGTCTCCAATTTCTTCCCTCTGCTGGTTCAGAGCAAAAGTAATGGCCTTGACATGTTCCAAGATGCCCTGGATGTCGTCGCTTTTTTCCTTCTCTTTTTCCTTCTCCTTCTCCTTCTCTTCCTCTTCATGTAGCACCAGCATAGTTCCGTCGTGGATATCGCTCAGATGCGACTCTTCCAGCTCATACTCCACTCCAGATTTTTTGTCACGAATGTAAATGTTGGGGAAATCGTCTGCTCCAGGAGAGTAGTTGAATGTGGAGATGAATAGGAGTCTCAGAGCGTTGATGTTGACATCCGAGTCAGCCTTGACCTTTTTGGTAGCATTTCCAAGTCTAAGAAACAAAGACATTCCAGGTCCTCCAACATCTGTAGCCGTAGACACATCGCCTAAATCACTCTCGTCGGGAAGAGGAGTCGATGGCAACATGGGCATGTCTGGAACGGCCTTTCCAGGTGCTCCAGAGGTAAGTTTGGCGTATTGGTAAGCCGAGAATCGTCTGGATGCTCGTCTTTCGAGCGCCTCTCCTCGTTGTAAAGCTGCCAGAGGGTCTCCACGTGATCCCGGGCGTCTGGTCGGAGAGCCCTGGGGAATGGCAGGGGCCATGGCTTGAGCCATAGCTCCAGGTATGCCAGGAGGCATGTGAGCTGGTGGGGCCATATGCGGTGGCTGCGGCGGTTGTCGGGCCACCGGTGGACTGGGTAATCCTGGCTGCTTAGGTGCTGAGCCTATAGTTTGAGACCGTCGCACATGGTCTCTATCATCCTTGTGCTGTGGCAGAGAGGTGGGTGCTGAGACCTGTCTGGAGGGTCCGTATTGATGCTGGGGCGGGTGTGGTCGGAAATTTTTGGGTGATTGTTGAGGTGGGATCTGTTGCGCCTGTGCTCCTTGAGCTGCTCTAAGTGCAGCCTGTTTCTTCTTCAGACCCTGAAGCAGGTTGATGATGATTTCCCGAATGCTGGGCAGGTACAGATCGAGGTTTTCCTGCGATGCTTCTTCGCTTAGCGCCTTTTCTAGCACCGTCCGCAGCGCCTGGGGCACATCGCCCATGTCAGTGACGGGCAAGCCGGCGTTGAGAAACGCTCGACAGGCAATGTTGAACTCGTTGCCCAGATTGACGTAGATGTCGGACACGTCCTGTTCAGAGGCTGCTCCGCGGGCCCATTGCGTGAGGCTCTCAAGCAGCTGTTTGGTTGCTACCAGCAGATGGGTGACGCTGGACTCAATGGAGTTCATGGCAGTCGAGTTGCGGGCCATGGGGGTCTGAGCAGACAGACGTCTTGACGAGCCTGTGGGAGCCTGCTGGTTGTGGCTCTGGTGATGCGGAGGGTGCGCCATGGGTGGCGGAGGGTGCTGCCCACCGTGGTACGACATGGGTGGTGATGGACAGGTTGTAGTGAGTGTACCTTGGTGTGGGCCAGACTGCACTTCTTGAATTAGGTGTAATATGTGTCCCACAAACCTTGGGAATGTGTTTAGCTTTGTTGGTGGACACGGAAGGGGAGCTAAAGCAGGGGCGGGAGGATGCGATGTCAAGGTGTGAGTGACTTGTATAGTGGTTGTATCCAACACTGCTTTGCCGAAAAAAAAATAAACAAGACCCTGTCACCACACACTGCTCTATCTTTACATCATCCCCACAAGGTTCTACTTACCCCAATCATGTGATGTTGCAGATGCACTAGCAAGAAAAAACCATTGTCCCACCAACGGCTCAAAACCACAACCACACTCAATACTGTAGTCTTGCGGCGAAGAGTTACATGACGAGTAGATAATAATGCCGTTCTCGGGTATCTGCCAAGAGATAACGATTGAAGAGGGTTTGAAAAAATATATGAGTTCTCAGCTTGAACATTAGCAGCAATAGAGAAACTTCTAACGTGTAACATGGATGAAACATTACGTCATTCCACCTATCGTACTGGGTATTTTTATTACCCAGTGAGGGGGTACATTAGTAAGCTATTTTGTAGTACTGTGAGTTGATTTTCAACTACAAGTAGTTACTGTAATTGTACAGCACGAGTACGAATATTTACTTATGGGGTGAGGGTCGTGAGTTGGATTATAATAGAGCGCCAGAATACAAAAATTGCCTTGGTTGTCGCCTAGAATTTCGCACCAATATTTGTCAGTTTTGGTGTAGCACCAGAACAGCTTATCGTGGCCTACAGTACATACTGTGGTGAAGTCGTACAATTTCAGGGTTAGTCAGGATTAGCCAGGGTTATTTAGGAGAATGCTGAACTGTTACTGCTGTAGTACACAGACACACGCCCCAGTTGGTCAAGTCAACAAGCTTGACCGCTTTACTTGGATTTCTCATGTACATTTCAACAATCACTGATCTCATGACTTCACGATACAACTCATCTACAGTAGTATTTATCATTAGTGGCTGAAGCTTGGAGCATTTTTCAACGTGGGATTTTCTTAATGTAAGAAAACTACTGTACAGAGGTGACTTCAAGCGCGTGTTTCTAAGGAACGTCTTACGTTATTTCCATAAGCAGTGTGTGACCACTGAAGTACATCGGAGGAAGACAATTACAAAGACATTCGTTATAGTACACTGTCATACCACACCCTACTCTCATTACAAGTACCGGTACAGGTACACAATCCCACCTTGGCAGCTTGTATTATCTATCTAATTAAAACTGCGAATAGTGCCATGCAAAGGAATACTGATCCGTTGGAGACACACCCATATTTTGAAGTCAGGCCATGCCAAATACATAATGCATAATAGTTTAAGCGATGCTCGCTGTTGAGTAGAGCTCGCACTGCAGCCAGCACACCAGTGTGTTGACGAGGAGAAGCAGACTGGCTGTGCTTAACCCATCTGCTGGTACAGCTGGGACCACTTGGTCTGCTCCCACTGCTCGCCCTGCTGGTCGTTGTTGAGCTTGAATATACTGCTCATGACAGTAAGCTCGAAAGAGGTGGTGGCGTAACCAGCAACGGCCATCCAGTCGTTGACAACACAGCCAGCGCCGACAACAGGAGAACCTCGGTTGACGGATCCAGCAATCAGGGGGACCTGGAGAAGCGAAGAAAGCTCATCCTGGTCCTCAATGGAGGTCTGGGGGTGGACAATACCTCCCTGGTTGGACAGGGCACAGTAAGAGCCGACAAGCACATTTCCAGCAACAGTCTGTCGGAAGACCTCAACACCAAGCACATCGGCAATCAGCTCTTCGGTCTCTCGCTCGATATCGGGATGCACAAGAGCGGCGTAGTCGTTGGTACAGATGACGTTTCCAAGAGCAGATAGACGCTCCTCAACTCGCTGGATCTTGACCTCGTCGGGCAGGGAGTTTCGCAGGTGCTGCAGCTCAACATCCGAAGTGGTGGAGGGCACAAGCAGACCTCGTCGGTTGCCGGCTGTGAGACGGCCCACGAGTCGGGTGCCGCCAATGGTGGAGTAGACAATAGGAATGGTATCTTGGAGCTCGGCCTCGAAAGAGCTGTAGAAGTTCTCGGAGCCGCCAACAGCCACCAGACAGTAGGAGTTGGTGAGCTTGGAAAAGACACCAATCTCGTCAGAGTTTTCAAACTGGGCACGGGTAGCCATTATGTTGATTGATTTTTTTGAATAAGGGGTGAAGTGTGGTTATTCAGGCTTGCGGTGGATACTGCCTATCTTTATGTTTTGCATTGCAGCACAATTTTTTCATGACCGTGCAGCTCAGCTGCGTGCTGGAGTATACTGTGACTGATCTCGTCAACGTGTAGTTCTTGTCATGTCATACGTGCAGACAGTATGCAACTGTGATGGGCCGGTGGCGATATATGTGTAGATTGTGTGTGTGTCTTGCGGCAGGCTGTTTGGTACGTATGGTGGCGGATCGTATTCATGTAACAACAAGATAGTCCGACTGTTTGTGGACTCATACTTGAATTGAATATCGACTTACTACGGAATATATTGTAATACCTCCATTGGCTCAGACTGTGATCGGAGATTGACTCAGTTAGTAAGCAGACCAAGGGTGGGGCGAAATGTCCCTTTCAGAATATTCGGTTTTACTCTCATTTCTTCTATCATTACCCACCACAGTTCGTGTTACTGTACACACTACTGTAGAGATACAGCGATCCATTTATACAGTTAATTCATTATTTTATACAATATTTAGCTACCTCCTAGCAAAAAATACCTTAGTCGAGATCCATCTCGTCGTCAAAGTCATCGTAGGAATCTTCAGCCAGCTCCATGTCCGTCTCGCCGTCATGGTTGGGCAGAATCTCCAGACCCTTGTCTCCTCGGATGATTCGGACCTCCTCGCCGTCCTTAATCTGGTGCTTCAGAAGCATGACAGCAAGCTTGTTGAGAACCTCGTTCTGGATGAGTCGGTTGAGAGGTCGAGCACCGAGGTCGGGGCTGTAACCGTTCTCCACCAGGTAGTCCATGGCGTCCTCATCGAGATGAAGTTTGAGGTTTCGGTTGTTGTGCTCGAATCGCTTCGAAATCTCATGGAGACGAATGTTGATGATTCGTCGAATGGACTTCTTAGACAGCCGGTTGAAGACAACCATAGCGGTGATTCGGTTGAGAAACTCGGGTCGGAAGTGGCCCTTGACAGCCTCCATGACCAGGTCTCGAGTGGACTGGTCAATGGTAGTCGAGGTCGATCGGTTGATGAACTCCGCACCCAGGTTGGAAGTCATGATAATGATACAGTTGGATGCGTTGACCACCTTTCCGGCGGAAGATCGCACTCGACCATCATCAAGAACCTGCAGAAGAACAGTGAGCACCTCGGGAGCAGCCTTCTCAACCTCATCGAACAACACAACGGAGTAGGGCTTTCGGATCAGGGCCTCGGTAAGAATACCACCCTCCTCGTATCCAACGTATCCGGGAGCAGCACCAATCAGCTTGGAGCCGGAGTGCTTGTCCATGAGCTCGGAACAGTCGATTCGGATCATGGCCTGCTCGTCAGCAAACAGGAAACCTGCCAGCTTCTTGGCAAGCTCAGTCTTACCGGAACCGGAGAGACCAAGGAAAAGGAAAGAAGCGGGGGCGTTGGGGTTGGCAAGACCCGATCGAGACAGTCTGATCGCGTTGGAAACGGCCTTGACAGCCTCGGGTTGGCCAACAACTTCTCGAGAAAGCACCTTCTCCATGTTGATGAGCTTGGTGTTCTCGGCCTGGGTCAGCTTGGTGACAGGGATACCAGTCAGTCGAGCCGCAGTCTCAGCTACCTGGTCGGCGCCAACAACGTCCTTGATCATGGACTTCTCCTTAGCGGCATTCTCCTCTTCAAGCTCAACAATTCGCTTCTTCAGATCCGGAATGGCAAAGTATCGCAGATCAGCAGCAGTGGAAGTGTCTCGTCGTCGCTCGGCGTCGAGAGCCTTGGTCTCGAGCTCATCAACCTTGTGCTTGAGGTTGTTAAGCTCAACGTGACCTGCTCGCTCTCGCTCAAAGGTCTCTCGCAGAGGTCCGAGCTCCTCCTCAATGTCAGCCACTCGGTGCTTCGCGGCATCAAGACGCTCCTTGGTACCCTGGTCGGCGTGCTGGTCTCGCTCCAGAGCCTTGACCTCGATCATGAGCAGATCAAGCTCTCGCTCCAGGGAGTCCAGATGCTCGGGTCGAGAGTCTCGAGCAACAGCAACAGCGGCTGCAGCCTCATCGACCAGATCGACGGCCGAATCGGGCAGCTTTCGGTAGGTGAGGTATCGGGAAGCCAGCTGAGCAGCAGAAACCAGGGCAGAGTCCAGAATTCGGACTCCGTGATGCAGCTCGTACTTGTTCTGGATACCTCGCAGAATGGCGACGGTCTCTCGAATAGTAGGCTCTCGCACGTCGATCTTCTGGAATCGTCGCTCAAAGGCGGCATCCTTCTCAACGTGCTTTCGGTACTCTTCGTTGGTGGTGGCACCGATACAGTGGAGGGAACCTCGAGCAAGCATGGGCTTGAGCAGGTTGGCAGCATCACCCTTTCCATCACCCATGAGCATATGGATCTCATCGATGAACAGGATGATCATGTCCTTGGAGTCCTCAATCTCCTTGAGAACACCCTTGATTCGCTCCTCAAAGTCTCCCTGGTACTTGGCACCAGCCTTGAGAGCTCCCAGATCGAGAGAGAAGAGCTGGCAGTTAGCCAGAACGTTGGGGACATCGCCGTCGATGATTCGCTGCGCGACACCCTCGACAATTGAGGTCTTACCCACACCGGGATCACCAATCAGACAAGGGTTGGACTTGGTTCGTCGTGCCAGCACTCGGATACATCGTCGGATCTCCTCCTCTCGGCCAATGACAGGGTCAATCTTACCCTCTCGAGCCTGTTTGGTCATGTCAATGGCATACTTGTTGAGGAACTCGAACTCGTCGGCTCCGTCAGCGGTTCGCGAGTCAATTCGTCGCTTTCCTCGCACGGCTGTGATGTTGGCCTCCATGACGTCCTTCTTAATACCGCACTCCTTGAGAATGCTCTCAATAGAGGAGTCATCGAGAAGGGCCATGAGAATGTGGTCCTGGCCCACGTACTCGTCCTTTTGTCGCTGCTTGTACTTGATGGCATTCTGCAGCACCTTGGAGAAGGCGGGGCTCTGGGACAACTCGTCGGGAGGAGGGCTTTGGCTGGGCAGTCGAACAAGTGCCTTGTTGACGGCTCGCTTGAACTGGTCCCAATCGTACTTGCCTCGCTCTACGACGGCCTTGATGTAAGGATCAGAGGCATCGTCCTCTGCATCGAACATGGCAGCCAGAAGATGGATTGGCTGGAGAGTGCCCTGCTGGTGCTGCTGGGCCAGCTCGACGGAAGTTTTGAGGATCTTGTTAGCTCTGTCAGTGAATTCTGATTCGTTCATTCTTGTTGTAATTGTGTTAATGTGTGTGTTTCGAGAATCTCCAGATCGGACGGGTCTATATAAGTTTGCTTCGCTGCCTCAGTTGTCTATAGCTTTATGCATGTTGCACCTTGACTTCCTTAGAGTTGTAGAACCTACGAGAACCTGGCGGAAGACGGTCGAAGACAATGGAAGATGCTAGAAGGTGCTCGAAGAAAATCCTACATTTTGCCACTTTTACATGTATTCCACAACCTTCCAGGGTTTTTCCGAGCAATATTCGCCCCGCAACGTCTCTCAATGGTTGTTCCTATTCTCGTCCGCCTCACATGGTTCGAGTGGATTAGGGCGCGCAGATTCTGCACACCCTGGCCGCAACCAAGTGATCTGCCTTGTGCCACGGACGAGGGAAGCGAGACGGATGTTGCTGTTATCCCTGACAAATTGTCTATCCTTACATAATACTCTGGGACCTTACGTTTCTCTTATCGTATTCTCTTACTGTTCAATTGATAGATCATATGTACGTGCTCTACTTCTGCTTGTTACTGTGATGTACCACCAGTCAGACCACATGGAAACAAGGACGTTGGGACGATCGTGCAGGCGGGATTATCCTGGAGCAAGGCGGCTCAAAGGGTATTGTACTCGTACAAGGGATGTGTGGCTCCGAGGACGATGCATGTGTAAGGAGGAGGATTGATTTGCAGACACCTCATTTCTTTTTGGTGCCTTAGTGGAAGATTGGTAGCGGTGTCTTTTTCGTGTTTGAAAAAGAACGCTTCTGGACTTCTCTCTGCCACGCCGTTGTTGGCGCATGCAGAGACGCTGGTGCTAGACGAATGGGCAGATGTCTGTGTTGTGTCAGGTAACCAGTTCATACAACGCAGCTATACTGACCATATGTACATACTGTACTTGTAGGATCGTGAAGCTCCTATGTGGGTCACTCAATAGTAACTGTTACAGGTAACGGTAACAGTAACATACTGTCACGTGTAAACACCGCATCTCACCAAGGCACCCGTCAAGGCATCGCAGTACAACTACAAGTACTTGTAGCCTGCAGTAGCTGATTACCAGCGGTACTCGTACATACTGTAGCTAGCTGCAACAATACGAGGACACCTGATCATGGAATTGATAGTGGGTATATAAAGATGACCACAGTAGACATCAGGCAAAGCCATTGTTGCACAATTTGGGCTCTCAGGAAAAGAGTGGAGGCCCTCTTGTATTACGGGTGTTTTTCTTACTGTAGCTATCCTCGCCAACTCACACCAGGATTTTATTTCTCTTTAGGCATTATAGGCTTATGCTTCCGTACATCCTTGTAGCTGAGTTTGGTCAGTGAGTTTCACCAGACGCAGCCATAGAGGTATTTATTGTCGTATGCGACGACCAGATACAAGGAGCGCAAGCGAGTGTATTTAAATCAGATTTTTTGCAAGATATCTTTACTTTTCTCTTCAGCACGTGCTTTACTGTATTTACAGTAGCTATAGAGTGCAAACAATCCCCTTCACAGTCAACGTTGGCTTGTATGCCTCATGTTGTCTTCTCGTTCTCGTCACTCCAAATGACCACAATTGATTACCCCAGAGGTCGGCGAAGATTTTCAGCATCTCTGTCAATGGAGATATGCTTGCACTCGGGCTGGAGAAGGTTACAGCGTGTATTGACCGTACCTGCCGTACCTACCACCGATCTACACGGTGTCTCACGATGAAGAAAGCGTGTCGGAATCGATTCCCGATGCTATATAACCGCCTGTTTTCTTGTAGATCCCACACTCTGAATACGTTAGAGCCCGAACCCAAGATTCGTTACAGTATGTCGTATGGCACCTCTGAAAGAGACTATCCACGAGACATGGGAAAGTATTGGCCAAAATATCGTAAAGAGACCGTGGGGGAGGGGAACAAGAGCCGTTGGGGTGGACAAGGCTCCTTGTACCTCAAAGTGCTTACCCGTTTCGTATGTACCCAGTTGACGCAGATTTATGTACCTCTCTCATGTCCCATATTGGCCAACCAAAACACGGTTGGTTTTTTTCTGCGCCTTATGCTCACCTCAAACCTCGCTTGCATTTGCTTTGAATCTCTAATTCTATGGGAGCCAATATGCGAGATGAAAAGGGCAATAAGCTATCACCAACTACTGTACAAGAAGATAATCGTAATACAAAAATGACAGTTCGGAGAGATTTTGTGGACCCCAGAGGTAGTTCCACCATCTTACACAGAAGCATCATCACAAGCAACCCGATCAATTACATTGTACAAGTACACTCTGCCGACCATGCATTGCAGCTCAACCGAACAAGCACACAATGACCAGCTCCATACAAATAATATAGAAGTACAGGCCCTGAATAATACAGTACTTGAACGGTTATCGAAGGACAAGCCACATTAGCAACGTCTAACAGGCTCTCTTTGTGCTCCCTAGTCTTGTGTCCTACCTGAGCATCATTTTTAAACTGATCGGGACAACTGATCGGGACACCCACATGGATATTACCCTTCCGTTGAGTCATGTCGTTGAGTCATGTGGGGCTGACACTTGCGACTTGTACTTTGGAAGAGAAGAGGCAGAAACGAGTTCTTTAAAGTCACAGATTCGAGCAACCATTCATTCCGGCTTGCCGCCATCAGATATACACCTACGGCCTCCTTGGTCAGTCCCATACTTGCAACTATCTCACTCCTACAGCGGCGTTGTTTTTTGACCTTGCAAATAAGCAATAGACATAAAAGACAAGCCAGCAGCCAAACCAGAGTGGTTCAAGTGTAGTCCAACGTTATTGGTAACCTATAATACTCGTATGACTCAAGTGAATGAGTCTCAATGAGTCTCGGTGACTCGCTTTGACTCAAGAGACTCAAAAGACTCAAAAGACCCAAGCCGCTTGTAGCGAACTTTAGACGCCGTGGTTCCCGAACACTTGTTTTCGTGCGGGAGCCATTGGCCAAGTCTTTGTTGGTCAACAAAGAACAGATGGAAAAAGTTTCATGGAAAAAAAATTGGTAAAAAAAGAGAGTTTGATTGAGGTTGACACAAGGAGCAACTTGAAAAGTAGTCGGTGCGTTGTGTTGTTGCTGGAGGCGATAAACCACATCACGTATGATTATTTCTGCCTATAATCAACTGGAATGTACCACAAACTGCTCCCACTACCAGTAGAACCTATTTCCCGCATCGCTCACAGCCGCACTTCCCCCCACACCCCTGTAGGCGTAACTTTCAGACCAAAGACATTAGCTCAAACACTTGAGTCATTTGTTGCATAGTATTGAGTCATCCATATCCTAAACAAGCACACGCTCAACCTTTTCTTGAGTCAAAAGCTAGTCACTGGCGAAGCAAGGTGCGTCAACAGGTTCTTCTTAAATAGCTCCTCTTGGCCCACAGAGACGTTTTTTTTTTCTCTTCATCGCAACAAGACAACTGCAATGACAGGCTACATTTCTGAACCGGCGTCCAACGCCATCATCTACTGCACCCTATGTTTCTTCCTGGTCATGGGAGTAGTGGTTGGCTACTTGCACATGCGAAAACAGAAGAAAGAGAACCAGGGCAGTGAAGGATTCTTGTCTGCGAACAACACAAAAACAGCGCTTCCGCTGGCCATTAATTTTGTGGCATCAGGTGAGTACTAACTGAACAGAATCATGACTTGCACTGCGGGTGTTTTTGGAGGCTTTTGAGACGGTATAACGACCGCTGGTGTTAACTGTCTCACCCTCCAAAGGCTGAGATTACACCGCCACACTCGAACAAGATAATGCTTGCGTGAGAAAGTGCGTTACTAACCCAGCCATGGGAGCTGGAACCCTCAATGCCTATCCCGACATTGCTGTGCGAGCAGGTGTCGAGGGCTTGGTTGTCTACGGTCTCTCTTCTGCCCTCCCCATGATGCTTTTCGCCGGAGTAGGCCCCATTGTCCGAAAAGCATGCCCCGATGGCTTTGTGCTCACAGAATGGACCCGACTAAGATACGGCTGGCTCACTTCCTTCTACCTCACCTGTCTCACCATTGGAACAATGTATCTGTATATGGTTGCTGAGCTGGCTGCTGTGCAGGCTGCAATTGAGACACTTACTGGAATTGATGCTCTGCCCGTCCTGATTGTTGAGGCTGTGTTCACCTCCATCTACACTGCTGTCGGAGGTTTCCACACATCTTTCTTCACAGACAACTTCCAGGGAGGAATGATGTTGGTGCTCATGGTAATTGTTTGTGTTGGTCTGGGAGTCTACTTCCACGTTGATCCTTCTGAACCCGCCAAATCCGGTATGCTGGGCCCGAACCTGCTCGCTAACAAGCTCATCTACATTCTTCCTGTTGCCATTGCTACCAACGATTGCTTCTTAAGTGGTTTCTGGATGCGAACTTTTGCTTCAAAGAACAATGTTGAGCTATTCTGGGCCTGCGCTATTGCCAGCTCTATCGTTCTTATTGTTCTGACCGTTGTTGGTCTTACTGGCTTGCTTGCTGTCTGGGCTAAGCTTGAGATTGATGGACAGGTCTTTGTGTACGGAGACGAGCGATCTGCTCTCGCTTTCTTCTACGTTCTCAAGGAGATGCCTGGGTGGGTGATTGGGTTCACCGTTGCATTTGTCCTGTCTCTCTCCGTCGCTTCTTATGACTCCTCTCAGTCTGCGATGGCTTCCACTATCTCCAACGACTTCTTCCGAAACAAGATTCCCATGGTCTGGGTGCGTCTTATTGTGCTGTGCATCAACGCCCCCGTCATCGTGGTTGCCCTCAAAGCCCCCAACGTTCTGAACATTTTCCTGATTGCCGATCTTTTCTCGGCAGCCGTTATCCCCATTATGTTCTGTGGTCTTTCCAAGCGAATGTACTTTATTTCTGGCTGGGAGGTCATCGGAGGCGGTTTCGGAGGTATGCTTACAGTATTCATTTTCGGATCCATCTACTTCAAGAGTGCCCGAGAGGGTATCAAGCTGATTATTCTATTGGAGGGTCTATACGGGGATGACTGGTCTGCTTTTGGAGCCTTTGTGGCCGCACCTGTAGGCTCTCTTCTCTGGGGTTTCGGAATTCTTACTGTTCGTCTGACAGTTCTTAAGATCTACTCGCTCATCACTGGCAAGCCTTTCACTGCCCTTGACAAGCCTTCAGATGATAAGACCGGTATTGCTGTCATTCGGGAGATTGGCCATGTTGAAGATGACAATACCTCGGAGTCCATCATTCTCGACCGAAAGGACCCCAACATTCTCACCGAGACACACATTCTCAAGGAGCAGCCTACAGTCAAGGAGGAGTCGTATGAGGCGTAGATATGATCCCCCAACCCTCAAAAATCGCATTTGCGTTCTTAGTATAGCTTAGTAATTTTTATTTCTTCATTCGAATTTTATAATATACCGCAAGTGTCATGCTTTATTGCGAAATCCATCTTATCACTCACCGGAAAATGTCGTCGTAGGGGTGGGTGCGCCATATCGGCTTTACAATCCGAAGTCCATGGCCACAGGATTCGGCTGTGTGTTTGAGCCATATCTTTCACGTGTCAGGCGCGATCTCCAACCCATAACAGCGTTTCCGATATCTGCGGATTTCGAAACAGTCGACAGGAACTGACAGTTATCCTTGACAGATGACATTACTGTACTGTAACGACATGTTGGACAAGCGAGATGAGATGAGAAAGTGTAGAGTAAGAGTACTGTAGGGAAGTGGTAATGAGGGTAAGGTATATTTGGCTTGGTAACACAAACAACACACCTGCTACTATATAATCCCTGCTTTTCTGCCCACCTGAACTCCTCTGATCACCCTGGTAACAGCTGCTCCCTCTTCCCTGGGATACCTGGCTGTGGCTTTTACCAAGCACACCGCCAAGGAGACGTCCAGCCCCCACGCAAACTTCGAGGGCGTTCGCCACCTCTGGTCCAACACCACAGTCCTCAGAAAGCGACAGACAGATGTCACTCTGACTTCTCAGAACTACGTCTTCTACTCTGCTGACATCACTATTGGCACTCCTGCTCAGGAATTCACGGTTCTGGTTGACACTGGCTCTTCTGATCTTTGGGTCTACTCAAGAAACGACACCCAGGACTGTGCCAACAATGCCTGCCAAGCTACCGGCCAATATGACTCGTCTGCCTCTTCTTCCTACAAGTTCGTCTCTAACGACTTCTCTATCCAGTACGTCTCTGGAAGCGCTGCTGGAAACTGGGTCACGGACACTATCACTGTTGGAGGCGCTAGTGTACCTGATTTCCAATTCGCTAGTGCTGTTGATGCCCCTGGGGGAGTAGGTGTGTTTGGAATTGGTCTTGCCTCTGGAGAAGCAGCCAAGGTCAAGTACGATAACTTCCCTGTGATGCTCCAGAAATCAGGAATCATTTCCCGAAACGTCTACTCTCTCTACCTTGATTCCATTGATGCGGCCACCGGCTCTGTCCTCTTCGGAGCTGTTGACTCTTCCAAGTACTCTGGTTCTCTCGAGACTTTGCCTCTGACCTCGCCCAACGCCTTCCAGGTCGCTTACGGAGACATTTCGGTAAATGGACAGAGTGTTTCCAGCGGCGGAAATGCCATTCTCGACTCCGGAACCTCTTTCTCGTACATCCCTGAAGCTGCATTTGCTGGTCTTCAGAAAAAGCTCAAGCTGGGAACCCTCGAACCCAACACCCAGCTATACACTATTGATTGCAACGCTGCTTCTTTCAACGTGGACTTCAAATTTGGAAGCTCGACCATCTCTGTTCCTTCTTCTCAGCTCATCATGCCTCTCAAGAACTTTGGGCTCAACTCCAACCAGTGTGTCTTTGGTATTGTCTCTACCAAGTACTCTTCTGGTTATGTTCTTCTCGGAGACACCTTCCTGCGATCTGCCTACGTCGTCTACGATCTGGACAACAAACTCGTCGGAATCGCTCCAGCCAAGTACGGCACCGCGAGCTCCATTCAACGAGTCACTGGTTCCCTGTGAGTAGTCACACTACCATGGCACAACGCTGGTCGTAAGTCTGTATAGCTAGTTAATATGTTTGTACTGAGCGGTGGTGACGTAGGAAGTGCAAAAAAGAGGTCTGCGGTGTGTCGAGGTCAGGGACAGAAGTCCAAAGAACTCTCGAGTCAAAAATAGAAGCCTACAACGCTCGAGAATGGCAAAAAGGTCGTACCCGGAATCGAACCGGGGTTACTGGAAGGTACTTCAAGAGTCAGAATCCAAGGTGATAACCGCTACACTATACAACCAGAGAAAATTGGTCCCTAGCAGGATCGAACTGCTGATCTTCGCGTTGCAAAGAAGCTAATTCTTATTAGCACGACGCCTTAACCAACTGGGCCAAGGGACCGAATCTTAAAAAACACTAAAACATGGGTCACCAAATATGAATGTGTATTATGTAATCGCTTAAAAAAACGCTTTGTTTGATTGTTGATATATTTATCCGGTCTAGAGATGGAACAGGAAGAATGCGTGAACAAGCGAACACGAATGTCATGCGCTCTTCTGAATAACCGAATCCGAATCCGAATCCGATTTGCGGGTATAACATTGTCTTTAGGCCGCAAGTAGCTGAAATGTATTTCCCTAGAATAAAAAAAAACATCGTCTATAAGATCAACCATCATGACACTGGCTACTAAGTCACCCAGACCCGAAGAATGCACGTCAAACGTATTCTACGACAACGTTACAACACACCGCTTACTGCGTCTTCATTTATCAGCAGCTCTAGATGGTCCAGCTTGAGGCGACTACAAGTACCAGAATTTTTAATGTTTGATTGTTACTATTTTAATGTTTATCCAGTCAACAAGCAGAGGAGAAACTTGCGGAGAACTGTGAGCATGATTGTCACTTGTACAAGTACAAGTACAAGTATACTTGTATATTCAGTCTGATTAGCGGATATAAGATACTGTATAAGGGACCCACCCAACCCAATTGATGCAACTCTGTTCAGAAATACAGAAATATAAATACTATACTTGTACTTGTATCTATTCAATGGGGACCTTACCTTCGTTCCCCCAATCCAATACACTTCAACTCATGATAACAATATTAAACATCATTCGTTTTATTTTTTATAATAGCATCATAACACATTAAATACGAGGACTACCAGAAGTCTCACTTTCCTAATGTTACAGAAAACAAAAATATAAGATCATACATAATGAAGATCCCTATGATTGATTAGATATGGTTCATTAGATGGTTCATGTAACGGCTTACAATCCACTTCTAGGGACATCACGCTCCGATAGTAGCACACACCAGAAGAAGGTAAAGGTATTTCTGTTTTTTTTTTTTTTCAATTCTAATGATTCATTACAGCTATATACCTAGAAAGCCGGGTTATTGGCGTTATGATTACATAATCATGGAACAGGATATATTGTTTCAACGCTCTGTTTAAGGAAGTCCGAGAGGACGTGGCGTAATGGTAGCGCATTGGATTTCGGTTCTTCTGAACGACGTCCTCCAAAGGCTGCGGGTTCGAGTCCTGTCGTCCTCTTTTTGATTTTTTTGTGTCTACAAGTACGACTACGAGGTCTGTGAACCGGTACCTCTATTTCACGTCCAACTTGACACAATACTTGTAGTACTGTACATACTGTAGTGCTGTGTGCAGAGAAGTACAAAGAGCATGGGTTTACTGTAGTCTGGTGTTTGGTATGTACTTGTACATACGAATACATGTGACATCGTATGTCTGATAACGTGGAAGTCAGGTATGGATACGGGGTTGCGTGTAACGAAGAAGAGCACTGGTTTGTGCATCATCTTCATTTTCAAATCAGTCACGTGAAAACAGAATCAGTTTTGGGGTTGTGTCGTTGTAATCAGTTGGTACTGTATGACTGTTTAATGGCCGTTGTAAAGACTCAACAAATTACATTGCTTACTTGGTTACTCAGCAACTAAAACAAAGATGTATCCGCCCCAAGACACACCAGCAACTGTTACAGCCCCCCTCCCCCCCAATTGGTCTATCTCTCTACAGTACGAGTGGAGAATTTACCCACGAGTTTCATACTCCTCCACGTCCAATCAACTGCTACAAGGGCTTCGTCTCACTTCCCCATCATTGTCTCAGTGACCCTTGCACCCTGAAATTCGGCTAGAGCTCCGTAGTGGAGACACAACAAGACCACTACAGAACGGCAAGCTGAAGAGCTGCAGACCAAAGTATATCAAGAATCAAGAAAAAAATGAGTCTGGTTGGACATGCTAAAAATTACCCTCGATATAATTACTCGGACACCGTCAGTACCTCGTCTCCTTTTCACCCCGCTCACGAACTTTCACACGCACCACTTTAGACTCAGACTTCATGCATGCCCCCCAACCCCACGTTGAGTAAAGACAGGTCATCTTGGACCACTCTTTCAAGTCCTCACAACAGGAAAACCAAATTCTGAACGACTGAAATGGAAGATTTCGGGTGAGTACAGATGAGCAACTGGCACACAAGCCTCAACGGACAGCCAATTATCAACATGTACACACCCCAAGTGATGTGCTTTCAGACCTACAGCTCTCACTTCAGTCTGTTAAACTAACACAGTATCTCTCGAGCTGGTCTCTCTATCAGAGCCAAGGCTCTTGCCAAACTGGCCAAGTATGCCGCCACTTCCAACGCGCCCACTGCTGACTCGGATCTCGACAAGCTCAACTCTGCCCTTGGCCAGGTAGAAGACAAGTCCGGTATCCCCATGAGTCCCAAGGAGCTGGAGGTGCTTCTTGCTCTGGCTGGTTCTGCCAAGTACGTGGCCAACATCGACAGAGCTGCTTCCTTGCTCCAGCAGCTCGGCCAATACCTCATTGAATCGCCCAAACAGGTTTTTGCCAAGTGCCCCGTCATCCGAAAGGTCTACCCGTCCCCCTGGGAGCTTGTTACCAAGGCCGTGACTGCCGCAGTGCTGGATCTCGGTATTAACTTCCCTGCTCTCTATGAAGAGTCCCACCGGTACATTTTCCAGTACATTTCTGTGGTCCATGAACTCTCCTCTGGCCGATCTTTGGATGTGCTGCTGCCCTTTGTGCTGTCCATCCACGGCTTTTTGGCCGAGCTCGCTCGAAAGACGGACTCGTTCAGCGTCGAGGACCGACAAAAGCTCTTTTCGGAGCTCAAATGGCTCACAGACTCGTCCTTTCTGCTCGAGTTTGAGACTGAAATGTCCAAGCTACGATCCTCCGAAGACGAGTCTACCTGGGCTTCGATTGTGGCCAAGTACCAGGTTGCCGACCTCCAGCTAGGTGCCATGGTGCTCTCTGCCTACTTCTGTGACTTTTGCCGAGCCCTAGCCACCTCTCTGGTCATCGTGGGAGACGCTTCGGAGTCGTCTGTGCTGGACTCCATTGGAGGTTTGTCTACCGAGATTTCCAACCCCGGCAACAACCTGCTCAATCAGCTCAACGAGTACGCCATCCGAGAAATTCATTCGCTCGACGAAGGTGCCAGTTACATTGAGCTCGCCTCTCCTGACCGAGTGCTCACTGCTCTCAACATCAAGGCCTCTGCTCTGGAGATCGTTGGCGTGGCTGTTCACTTTGGAATTGTTCATGAGTCCGATACCACCGGAATCATTGAGTCTTCTCTCGAGCTGACCTCCACCATGCAATCGGAACGACTTATGTTGACTCTGTTCAAGTTGGGTTCTCTTATTGGAGGATCTCGAATCTGCTCCACTCTGGTCAGATTCCTTCCTCACTACGCATGTGACCCCCGAGTGTCCCCTGAAGACGTCCGAGAGGCAACCCGAGTCATTGCCAGCCGAGCTATGGTGTCCCTGTCAGAAGACTCTGTCGTTTCCTCTGTCTACACTCTCGTCAACCTCCTGACCCCCATCGAGCGATCTGACGACCAGTGGGAGCAGGTTGCTATCTTCCAGAATGTTGTGACCGCTGCGGTCACTATTGCTATCGAGTACGGTGAGACCACCATTGCCGTGCTCGTTTCCAACGTTTTGGCCCAGAAGCTGCTCCATATCTCACCTGAGATTGACCAGGACATTATCCTTGGCTTGTCTGACATTGCCCTTCATGTTCCCGAGAAGGAGTTCAAGTCAATTCTCAAGGTCTACTCTTCTCTGGCTAGTCACGCCTTCGAAAAGGACAACAAGGATATGCTGCTGACCGTCACTCAGGCCAGAAACCACATTGCCACCTGCCTGAAGAAGGCATACCTACAGGAGTCCTCCGAGACCATCAAACAGGCTCTTGTTGATGGCCCCAGCACCGACAAGTCTGCCGAGCTGTACCAGCCCTTTCTGTCGGAGCTTCTCTTTGGTATTGTTTCCAAGGGAGAGGTTGCCAAGGACGACCGATCTCAGACTGAAGTCAATGCTGTTGCTGAGGAGATTGGTATCTACCTGCCTCCCCTTGCCCATCTGCTTCCCGAATACCCAGAGCCTGCACTTGATTTGTCTTCCAATCCCGACCTGCAGACTCTGTTCCGAAATGCTTGGTTCAACATGGTTGTGCACGGCTATGCCCCCAACTCGGACATCACCAAGAAATACCAGTCTGAGCTGGAGAACATTGCCCGATCCACTCCTCCTCTTGTGTCTGACAACTCCCCCAACAAGATGGAGTCTGATCTGGAGCTCAACACCGTCCTTCGACGAGGCTCTTCTCGATCCAACGTCAACAATCAGAAGGCCAACATGGCCAAGGTCTTTTCTCTCAACAACTCGTTTGAGATCCGATCTTTGCACTACCCCAAGCTCATGTTCATCGCTGCCACAATGTTGGTCGAGACTCTGCGAGCCAGTACTGGCAACTGTGGAAAGGTGCTCATGTACTTTGGAGATAAGGGCTTCAACTCCGGTGAGACTGGCCGTCACATGGCCGGTATTGCCACCGATGTCACCAAGGTTTACATCATGAAAGTTCTTCGAGGCCACTCTCCTCCCTTCACTGCCCAGGCTGTTGCCGAGCAGATCAAGGAGATGTTGGTTTGCTGCTGCCATCGAGTGGCTGCCATCCAGGACGTTGCTTTCGCATGCACCGATTTGCTCATTCGAGCTGTCCCCTCTGCGCTGTGCCAGAAGCAGTCTCTGTACGCTCTTCTCGAGCTGCTCACTCTGCTGTGGAGTTCTTGTATTGACGCTGAGACCGACGAGTACGAGCCCCGGTCTGTGTTCAAGAGCAACAAGCAGGGTCTGGACATTACTCTCGAGCTATCCGACTCGTACTCTGCTCGTCAATACACACTGAAGCGATTCCAGGGCGCTGCTCGGCAGTGGGTCCAGTTTGCTATGACCAAGCTCACCGCCGACATGAAGTCTCTGCTGCAGTCCTACTTGGTCGATATGGAGGGCTCCCGTGACTTTGAGCACGTTTCTCTGGGCTGCTCTTTTGCTTTGGAGATGGGTGGATCCGTCACCGGCACCGACCGTCAGCTTGCCTCTCTCAAGGCCGTCAACGACATCCCCACCGATACTGTTTCCGGATTCTTGTCACAGTACATGTGGCGAAACGAGTTCCGAGACGACGGAGCGGCTCTGACAATCTCTTCTGGAGATGCTGTTTCCGATCTACGATACTCCTTCTACTCTCGAGTTGCTTCGCTCACCGAGAAGCTGGATAACAAGTCCTACGTTGCTCCTGTTGAGGTCAAGAATCTGTTGTTCGCTGGTGCATCTTACCTCTCTCGAGTGGGCCACAAGGGTGTTGATGCTGCTCGTCTGCTTGTTCAGATTCCCTTCCGAGCCTTCTCCGAGGCTTCCATCAAGACTGGTATCTCCATGTGGCTGTGGATTGCTTCTGAGATCCCTGCTCTAGAGTACGTGATACTTGCCGAGGTCTACCGAGGCTGGGAGACCACCGTCCATGACCACGTGGGTTTGTACTCTCGAAAGCACGATATTCCAGAGGCTGACTACGCCAAAATGGAGTATGCTCCTTCCAACAAGAAGGAGATTGACCACGACTCTACCGTGACCCTGCGATCTCTTGAGCCCCACCATGCTCTCGTGCGGTACATTTCGTCGCGATTCAACACCCTGGTATACGACTCTCCGCATGTACTCAAGCAGATCACCGTGTTCCTCACCAGCGCTCTGCAGGGTCTTCACCATGCTTCTCTGCATGCTTTGTCTCGAGAGACTCGATTTGAGCTGATTCTGCTTGCACTGGATGTTCTCAATGTCCAGAACACTCGTGGATCCAAGGGTGCGGATCGGCTGTTCCGGCTCATCATCCGATCTGCCCTCACCTGGTTCGCACAGCCTCCTCAATGGCCTTTTGGAGGTAACCGTCTGCGAATGATTTCCGAGATCCGACTCTTCTCCGAGGTCTCCGACATGCTAAAGAACGTGGGTGGTCGAAACGCCTCTTCTGCAGCCTACAAGGATCTGCTGGTGGCTTTCATTTCGGATGAGCTTATCAAGATGACTGCCTGGGCCGATCCTCTACAGAACGGTGCTTTCAAGCCCCAGCACCGAATCGTGGCATCTGCCATCTCCACCAAGACCGTTCAGGATGCTTGGAACGTGGACCCTACTTTGGCTGTGTTCTTGGTTGAGCGGTACGCTTCTGGCGATGGAGTCAAGCAGCTCGAGAAGCTCATCAACGCTGAGCCACTGCGAATCATCAACACTCCCCAGGCCGTGCCTTACTTCCTCAAGAATGCATCTCCCAAGACCAAGCACTATCTGCTATTGATGAAGCCCGTGTCTCCCATCTCGTCCATCAACCTGTTCTTGCCTGCCCATCACCCCGATTCCATCACTCTTCAGTACGCTATGCGATCTCTGGAGAGCCACGATGTCAACTTGGTTTTCTTCTACGTGCCTCAAATCGTGCAGCTACTGCGATACGACAAGGCTGGCTATGTAGAGCGGTACATTCTGGAGACTGCCAAGCTGTCGCAACTGTTTGCCCACCAGATTATCTGGAATATTATGGCCAACTCCTACAAGGATGAGGACTCTACTATCCCCGACCCCATGAAGCCAACTCTTGATCATGTCGTTGAGCGAATGATCGACTCGTTCGACGCCGAGGAGAAGTCCTTCTATGAACGAGAGTTTGGCTTCTTTGCCGAGGTCACGGACATTTCCGGAAAGCTCAAGCCCTACATCAAAAAGACTAAGGCTGAGAAGAAGGCCAAGATCGATGAGGAGATCAACAAGATCAAGGTCGACGTTGGTGTCTATCTGCCCTCCAACCCCGACGGAACCGTCATTGACATTGACAGAAAGAGTGGACGACCTCTGCAGTCGCACGCCAAGGCTCCTTACATGGCCACTTTCAAGATCCGACGAGAAGTACGAGCTATTGGTGACGATGACGAGGATGTCGACGAGGACGGCCACCAGCTGACCACCACCGTCGAGAAGTGGCAGTCTGCCATTTTCAAGGTCGGTGATGACTGTCGACAGGATGTGCTGGCTCTGCAGATCATTTCCGTCTTCCGTTCCATTTTCAACTCTTACGGAATGGATCTGTACGTCTTCCCCTACCGAGTCACCGCCACGGCACCCGGTTGTGGTGTCATTGACGTTCTCCCCGACTCCATCTCTCGAGATATGCTGGGTCGAGAGGCCGTCAACGGTCTGTACGAGTATTTCACCTCCAAGCACGGATCTGAGGATTCTATCCAGTTCCAGCGAGCCCGAAACAACTTTGTGAAGTCGCTCGCTGCCTACTCCGTCATCTCCTACCTTATTCAGTTCAAGGATCGGCACAATGGTAACATTATGTACGATGGACAAGGTCATATTCTGCACATTGACTTTGGTTTCTGTTTCGATATTGTGCCTGGTGGTGTCAAGTTTGAGGCTGCCCCCTTCAAGCTCACCCACGAGATGGTGCTGGTTATGGGAGGTAACACTCAGACCCAGGCTTACCGATGGTTCGAGGAACTGTCTGTCAAGGCTTTCCTGGCTTGTCGACCTCATGCTGAGACCATCATCCAGCTGGTTCTGCCCATGTTGGATTCTGGACTTCCCTGTTTCAAGGAGCATACCATTCGAAACTTGCGACGGCGATTTGTTCTGGAGAAGACTGAAGCTCAGGCCGCCACTCACTTCCGAGGACTCATCAAGAAGTCCATCGAGTCTTTCTACACCAAGGGCTACGACGAGTTCCAGCGAATCACAAACGGTATTCCTTATTAAGCGGATTTGTTTTTCAACGGATGTATGTACTACATTGTAGTCGGAGGATCTTATGTGGGTTAATATTATTATGTGAATGATTGTTATTGTGTTTGTAAGTACAGTATGTACTTGTAGATCTGAATCAATGTTTACTACGGTTGCGTTCCAAGAAGCTAGCATCAACAATATATTACATCATCCAATACAGAAAACCAAACTGTCAACTGCATTACAACCTGTAGATCGGACTTTCTCCGTTGATTCCATCAAAGACGTAAAAGTTGTCGATGGGAATCTGTGATCGGGCCAGATAATTGAGCACCTCCTGAGCAATACCTCCTCCCATGATCGATGCAGTTGTGGCAATCTCTGCGTCCTTGCTAGTGAGCACCTGTTGTGCCAGTTCCTCAGAAATGATTCCCAGAGGCAGCTGCAGCTTCGAACACTGCTCCACACCCAGCTCGTGGAACTCCTTTGCACTCAAATCGCCCCACGACTTTCCGGGGTTTGTCTGTTCGTACTCCCAGCCTGTAAACAGAAGAGGCACGTATCCGGGGATTCGAGACTTGTGCTTAGGTCGCATGTGAGCAAAGGGCTTCGGCGTCTGAACAGCCTCGAGCACCTGCTTGAACGGCTTAAAGCTCTGCTTGAGAGAAGCACTGTAGTTTCCAGTCTCTAACTCAACTGTCCCCACCAAGGTAGCCTGCTCAGGGATGCTCATGGTCGAGGGCTTGTTGGGAGTCTCAATTTTGTAAGTATACTCTCTGAAATCAATGAAGGCGTAGGAGAAGAGACCAGAGATGCCCACGCAGATGTTAGTGGTGTCTGTCTCTTCACACAGGGTTGTAATGTGCACAATCTCCTTCAGAGTGGCCTGGGTGATAACCACGAGGTCGAACTTGCCCACAAATTCCTTGTCCAGGTCCAAAATGACCTTGTCCACCGTCTCCACGGTAACGTGTCGATTCAGCTGTGAGATTCGAGGCAGGGCAGATTCTCCTCGGTTTTTGTTCTCGTCGCCCTCCTGCACGAAAAACTGTGCTCCAAAGTCGGCATCAGAGGTGACGTGCGCATCCACGATAGTCAACGAGCCGATACCTGCGAGCACCAGGTCCTTGACGATTTCGTTGGCGACTGCCCCGATGTTGATGAGTAGGATCTTGGAGTTACGCATCCGCGCCTGCGATTCCATGCCCCACAGTCGAATCTGCCGGTCATAAAGTGCCACCTCGTCGGCCGAGATCGTGTTTTCCGTCTTGCCCACGCTGGTTTCCGTCATTGCTGGTGTTGAAAGGTGCAATTGAGATCAGGAAACTCAAACGCGTTGTGATAATATGCAGGATAATGAGTGAAGGTCTGAGATGTCAGAGGTGAATCAGGGTTGTGCGGAGGAGTCGGACGAGAAGAATAATGAGAGGTTATCTGCGAAGTTATGCCTAATGATACTGTAAGACTACAATACAATATAGTGTATAGGAGTTCATGGTGCCATCTTGGGCAATGTGCTCTTTTCAACGCTTGTAGTTGATTTGGAATTCATTGTAAATTTACTGTAGTTTCAACGGCCCAGTAGAGAGCACGGATTCGATGTTCCAGTTACTTCTGGAGTTCTCATCAGTCTTGATAATAAAACGACACCAGTCTTTCCCACTGCTGCTTATAGTATAATGGTCTCAATAATTTGTCTCATCCATAACTGATAGACACGAATTGATAGTCCTGCGTGTGGTGTAACAATCTTCCTCAGTCTCAGGGTTCAATGTATGTAAACGAGAAATGGACCCCAAACCTGTAGAAACGATATTATTCCCCACAACAATCCTAGTGTCTGGTCTCGTTCAGTAGCTCTTGATCTCTCTGTTGCAGTGCTCCTGACAAACGTATCACAATGCATGATTACTAAGCATGCGATTTCTATGTGCTTGTGGAATGAGAGATACAAGTACCAGCACTTCTACAGTACAAGTACAAGTACAAGAGAATGTATTTATTTTTATACACGCTAAAATTGCTATCAATGGATGGATCAAACAGCACAGCAAATATAGGCCTTCCCTGAAGGTCACGTTAGCTACTACAAGTAATACAACAACCACACCACATACTGTATTATACTCTCTACAGTATTTGCCCAGTCCTATTAGCACACACTAAAGACGCTTACAAGTGACCAACACGTAATTTCACACCAGTGCCTGTACACACGATGGCCTATGTAGTTTATCAAGATATAGATTACTAAGCAGATGATTGCGGTGTTACGAGCAGGGTGACTGAAATACCATTACTTGTACAAGAAATCTATCCGATATCTGGCATTTCTGGAGGTCAAAAACGTGACATTCTTGCTGATATGAAAATCACCGTCGTTTCTTACACCCCACAGAAAAACAGAGGATAAGGGCAACCAACTTAATGGTACGTAAGCTTCCCTACAGCAGGTGGGATGTATACTTCAAAAACGTGAAATATGGCTCTCGAATGAGCTGAAATTTGGACATAATCTTAGAAATTCCATTTCAAGCCCTCCACGTGAATTTTACACCTCGATCACCACTCCTACGCGAATTTGAACGTTGTCAAATACTGACGACCACGAGCCAAACCTTAACTTGACGCAGACACTCTCTCACCACTTCATCTCTTCCTCACGACATTCTGATCTCTATCTGCATCAAGTCCCCTGACACCTACTAAAATGGACATTGGAAAAATTCTGGACGTGACGCCGGAGCCGATTCTCTCGACAGATGCGGTGATCAACGCTGCTTCCGACAACCGCAGCATGGATTACTGTCTGCCAGTCCAGATGGCCGAGTTCCAACGAGAACTGACGGACCAGGTGGTCAACCTGCATTATTCTGACATTCTGCGGTTCTACGACACAATCAGTCCGACACAAAATCAGTCGTGCGCACCCTCTGATTGGGCCGATTCTCTGGGAGCCATGTATCAGGACTCGTTACTGGTTGCAACCCATCCGTACCTGCTGGTGGACCACTACATGCCCCGGAGCCTGTTGCTGAAAGAAATCCCCGACAAGCTGGCGCGTACCAGTGCCAAGTTCGCCGTGCTAGGCGACATTGTGTCACTGCTGGAAAACAAGCAATACAATGTGGCTCTGATAGCGCGGTCAGGAAAGACGTTGGATTTGGTGGAGGCATTTCTGCACGGCAAGCCTGTTTCTTTCGAGAGACATACAGGCCCATATCTGAGAGAGCCGTCGGCCAAGCAGCGAGCACACAAAACGACCATTCATGTCATGTCGTCGTCGCTGCTGGAGAGTAGTTACAATGGCGATCATCGTTTTGATCTGGTGATTGCCTTCGACAGCACGTTCAACCCAGCAGAGGTGCATGTGGAGGCTCTACGGATGCACAAGAGGAACATTCCCGCTCCCGTGTTGCGTCTGGTATCAAACCTCTCTGCTGAGCATGTCGCATACAGCTTTGGACTCACTGCTAACCCCGATAGAGTGTTTACGGAAGAGGTGATTGCAGCTCTAGTGGTGCTGAGAGACAAATCTGGAACAATCCCCGCTGAGATGAAGTCGTTGTACCTGCAGCAGCTTCAGCCATTGGCCTACTGGTTTGCCGATTTGTCTCTTCCTTGGCCACTTCCCGATCTAGCACCCATTTCCGGGTACTCCAAATTGGACGTGGAGACCTCAATGGCCTCGTCGTATCATCGTCGATCGGCCATTCCTGGAACCGCCAATGACCCTACGGACAATTCTTCTCAGCCTTCTAAGCGGTACAAGCTGGACCCTATCAGCGCAGACCACTTTGCTCCTCCACACGATTATGCACATGGTCGATGGACAGGTTTGACACAGGGGCTTCTGGAGCAATACAACTCGCTTGTTGGCCGAGAACGGCAACTAGTGTCGGAAATCGAGTCGCACAGGAAGCTCGCAACTACGCAGCAGCTCAAAATGGAGTCTCAACAGGACGAGATTGCGCGTCAGGTGCGTCAACACGCGTCCTTCGAGGAGACTATTGGCAAGCTGGAGCGAAAGATCGAACGAGGAGAATCAGATGCGGTTCGAAAAGAGGAGGCAGTTGTTCGATTGCAGGATGAGGTTGCTTCTCTGAAGGCTATTTTGGCTTCTGGAGAGGACGCAGACATCAAAACCAAACAGCAGGAGGAGATTCAGGCGCTGAAGACGAGCCTGCAAAAGGCCAATGCTACTGCTGATGCTCGGTCCAATGAGAATGACTACATGCGTTCCGAATACCAAAAGGCATCCGAGAGCGCGTCCGAGGCGTTGGCGAAGGTGGGATTGCTTACAACCGAGCTGGCTGAGGCCAACCAGCGTGCCGATGGTGAGTTTTCTGCCCTCAGAAAGCTCACATTCGACGAAGAGCGAGAAATTCGGGATTCGGAGATTGCAGAGCTCAAGGTTAAGGTGGAGAACTTGGAGGAGCAGCTCAAGAGACAGAGCGAGGCAGCTCCCAAGACATCACGTGCGAGGTACGGTGTGAGATCGAGCTCGGTTCCTAGACGAGCTCTTTCTCCTGCCGATGGACCTAATACGCAGTCAGAGTAGACGGATGACGAATGATGAAATATATTATGTATTATAGGAGGTTTAATTAATTACTGACGGATTGAGTGGTTCTATTTTTACTTACAAGTACTTGTAGTTTGAATGCAATATATTACCGATACGGTATGTGTTCCTACCCCTTCAACGCCTACTCCTTGCACCACAACTTCACTGTTCGATCCCAGCCACAGGTGGCGAAGTACTCGTTTCCAGGTCCCAAATCCATGCCCATGATTCGGTCTTGCGTCTTCCACCTTTTAGCCAGGGTCCACGAATCGGCATTCCAGATGTTAAAGTCGCCATCGTATCCCGTAGATGCGAGAAATGAGCCCGACTTGTCAAACTGAACACTCGACACAATCTTTGTATGTGCAGGGATTGTGTGGGAACATTTTTGAGCACGCAGATCCCATATTCTGACAGATCCGTCAGCAGATCCAGATGCAAGATAGAACCCGTTACCAGACCATCCCAGACTGTATATCTCTCGGATATGGCCTTCCAGAGTCTGAATACTTCGTCCAGATCGCATATCCCACACTCTGCCTACTGCATCCAAGCCAGCAGAGGCTACTAGAGCTCCATCCGGGTGGAAGGCCACAGAGTGGACACCCTTAGAGTGTCCTTCTTGAGACAACAGCTTGGTACCGCTCTCAATGTCCCACAGAGCCCAGGTGTAGTCATAGGACGCGGTAGCAGCCCACTGCCCGCTTGGATGAACGTCTAGACCTGCGATACGGCCCTTGTGGGCTTCAGACACCGTTCTGTATGCAGTATGTTCGTTGCCTTCTGTGCTGGAATCCCAGAACAGCAGCTTTCCCTCTCCACATCCACTCAGCAAGATATTACGTGCCCATTTCAAAGCACTTACTTTATCCACGTGCCCTCTCAACACAGCCTTGGTATTCAGATTCGGTACATCCATTAGCTTGATCTCGCCGTTCCACGATGATGCAGCCAGTATAGAGTCGCTTCCAAAAGCCACGGCCCCTGCTGGACGTGTGGAAACGAACTGTGATCCCAGAAGCTGATACTGCTCTATAGGGGCCATCTTATCTCGTCGTAGGTTAACTGTCTCCACCAGGGACAATTCCGACTGTTGCTTTTGTGTCGTGAGTCGGTCCCTTGCTCTCAAGATACTGTCGTTTGTTATCTGCCTCCTTGCATCAAGCAACTCTTCACTTCCTGGCGTAAAAAACTCGTCGTCGTCCATAGAAACGTCAGAATCGCTCTCTTCGTCCTGCAGACCTTCCCGATCAAACTCGTCCACCATTAGCTGACCCAGACGGGTCCGTCGATCAGCTTTGTCTTCTGCGAAAAGAGTAATGGGCTCATTCAACGATCGTAGTTTCGCTCTAACATCCTTATCGTCTGTAGGAACATGCAGTTTTTTGAGAATATCAGCTCGACGTTGTTTTTCCAACAGCTGACGGGCCGCAACGGCCTCTTCCCGAACTGAAGAAGAGTCCACCGTCGTCTTGATCGACTCCAGATCCACAAGTTCCATGTTGGTGATGAAGACAATTAGGTTGGGAGGTGCAGAATTGATACATTTGATTACTAAAGCGATATGGAGTGCTAAAGCAGGATTATGCAATGAGTGAAAGGCCCGAATAAACTATTGTAAGGTCAGGGTTGTTCAGATTTGCAGCTAGAGAGCAAGAAATATCGGCCACTTATTAACCACAGGTTATGAGTTTCTTGCAGCTCCTGCCTGTTCGATCCCCATAACTGTGGATATTATTCACTACTTGTAGCTCTGTTTAGATAATAGCTGATGAAGATGGTGGCGATATTTACAGAAAAATCGACTTTGGAAAAAACAACAACACGCAGGCGACTCCACATGCTGCTTCGATATACTGACCTCCGCCTACCTTCCCTTCACATGAATGATAAAAAACTCGTTCGGAGTTTAGCTCTAAAAGCGAAAGTGCGGAGAATGTGGGAACAGGATACAACTATAGAATGATAAAGTGATAGAAAAAGAGCTACTGAAACGAATAATGCGGGCATAGAAATAGCTTCAGAGCCTCACGTAACTTGTGTTTAGTTTGGCCTCTCCTAATACCTCAATCATCGCTCGCTATTAGCTCTCAGATGCCAATAATAATAAGACGCAGTAGATCGCCTAAGCAAGTTTAAACGGAATGTGTTGAGGCTATTTCAGTGTGGAGGAGTTATAAAGTGCAAAGAAGGGGGAGGAAGGATGTTTGAGTTGCCGGAAGGCATTCAATATATAGGAAATTCTGTTAAGAAAGAATCTCTTCCAAGCCCCAACCGTTGGCGCCCATCAATGGTGTGTTTAATAAACCCCGCTGACAACCGCATCCATGCATTCCCCGGAGTTAATATCTCACCTCCTGATATCTAGATGCAGCTTCGAAAGCTAAAGTGGCTACATTCACTACAGACCACAGGCAGTAAGCATCCGACACACAAGTGCACCTGTCTATAACCCCCACAATTTCTTCTCTTGTTGCACACCAACACCAACACCACAGAAACACAACAATGGCGATCCCCCACTTGGAGTGTCTGCAGAAATGCGTCCACGAGCTCCATGCCCTGTTGCATCAGCACTACCACGAGTTCCAGGCTTCTCCGGTCGCTTACCTTCATTCGAAGCACGACTGCGTGAGGGCTGAGGTAATTGAGCATTTCCAGAATGCCACTACCTATGAAAAGTGAGAATAAGCGAAGGATGAGACTGTTTGAGTACTACTAACCCAGATTTCGAGATGCGGTATTTATTGTGTGAGTATACACGGTCCCATTGAGAATCAAAACGACACAAGTAAAAGGCGATCTTACAGAGATACCATTGACGCCATGACACTCACGACGTTTTACCCATGAGATCTTGGAGCAATTATTCACAGAGGCTTCTCTTGGCCGTACATCCGACCGTCCGACCGGGAGCACACGGACATGATATCAGTCATCATATGTTAGCTACGACATACAATTAACAGCTACTCGCTGTTCATGTGATTTGATCTGGAAACGATGAGCTAGAGCAACCCAGCCATGTATATACTAACTCAGCGTCATTCTCACAGCCCTTGGCAACTTCCTTTCTTTTATTCACACCATCTTTGCTGATGGACTTCAAAACACATTCCGTTTCCATGCCAGAAAAGTGACCAAAAAGATTCTCGACATTCCCTTCATCAAGGCTAAGATTGACAAGGAGACAGGGGTTGTGATTGAGAAGATCCAGAACGACATTATCGTCCGAATGCCCGGCACCCAAATCTTTGGGACTCTCCCTGCTGAAGGTATGACCAACACAGAGGTCATCACTGAGATGTCTAAGTACCACGATATGAAGCGAACCTTCTGGGAAAAGGGTCGTGTAAGTGGAGCTGTCTACCACGGAGGTAAGGAGCTCACAGACCTGCAATCCGAGGCATTCTCCCAGTTCACAGTGGCGAACCAGCTTCATCCCGATGTCTTCCCGGGTGTCCGAAAGATGGAGTCTGAGGTTGTTGCTATGGTTCTGGCTCTTTTCCATGGCCCTGAGGGCTCTTGCGGAACCTCTACATCTGGAGGTACCGAGTCTCTCCTGCTGACTTCTCTGGCCGCCAAGATGAAGGCCTACAACGAGCGAGGCGTCACACATCCCGAGATTATTGCTCCTATCACTGTGCATGCCGGCTTTGACAAGGCTGCCTACTACTTTGGAATGAAGCTGCGACATGCCCCCGTCGATCCGAAGACTATGAAGGTTGATCTGAAGGCTGTGCGACGAATGGTTACCAGAAACACCGTTCTGCTAGTCGGATCTGCCCCCAACTTCCCCCATGGTATTATCGATGACATCGAGGGCCTCTCTGATATCGCTCTCAAGCACAAAATCCCCCTGCATGTGGATGCTTGTCTGGGCTCCTTTATCGTCCCTTACCTTGAGAGAGCTGGCTTCGACAAGATCCTGTTCGATTTTCGAGTCCCTGGTGTCACTTCCATCTCATGTGACACCCACAAGTACGGATTTGCCCCCAAGGGATCTTCTATCATCATGTACAGAACACCCGAGCTTCGACATTACCAGTACTTTGTTGCACCCGACTGGACCGGAGGTATCTACGGCTCTCCCACTCTTGCTGGCTCTCGTCCTGGAGCCATCATGGTCGGATGCTGGGCCACCATGCTATCTGTCGGAGACAACGGATACTTGGAGTCTTGTAAGGAGATTGTCGGAGCTGCCCGAAAGTTTCGAAAAGCTGTGGACGAGGAGATTCCTGACCTCCAGATCATTGGAGATCCTCGAGCATCTGTTATCGCCTTCGGTTCTGACTCTGTCAACATCTACGATCTATCTGATGCCATGAGCAAGAAGGGATGGCACTTGTCGACTCTGCAGAACCCCCCAGCTGCCCACGTAGCGTTCACCAAGCCTGCTGTGGCTGCTGTAGACGATCTGGTTTCTGATCTCAAGAGCTGCATTATCGAAATGAAGAAGGCCGGCAATACCAAGGTGGAGGATGGAACGGCTGCTTTCTACGGTGTGGCTGGTTCCATCAAGACCGCTGGAGTTGCTGACCGGCTTGTGTGCGGTTTCCTTGATGGTCTATACAAGCTATAGATACTTCTCGGTATCATTCTAGTTTTCTTGAAGATGATATATGTATTAGTATGATGAATGAGCATTTACTCGAGTTGTAATTTGTATCCCTGTAATCTACTGTCTTTCCCCAACTCTATTTTGTCCCACCTCCTTATGATGATGACCGAGCTTATTTCCCTCATCCAACATCATGTCGCTGCTGAAAGAGAAACATATCAAGTATATCCAGACGTTGGACGATCATACCGACAGCCTCGCCTACTGGCTGACGGAGCATTTACGGCTGAGTGAGTATATTTGAGCTGCATTTTCGCCTCACCTAACACAGATGGTCTCTACTGGGGTCTGAATGCCCTTGATCTGATGCATGCCAGAGAGGCTCTTCCTCGTGAAGACGTGATCAAATTTGTGCTAAACTGCCAAAAACCGAATGGAGGGTTCGGAGCCGCGCCAAATCACGACGCCCACATCACTTTCACGCTTTCGGCTGTTCAAATTCTTCTGATTGAGGATGCTCTCGACAAGATTGATGCCGACCAGATTGCAGACTACATTGTCTCGCTGCACAATCAGGAGACGGGTGAGGTCTCGGGTGATGAATACGGCGAGGTGGATACTCGGTTCCTGTACATTGCTCTCAACTGCTTGTCTATCCTGGGAAAGTTGGATAGACTGAACGTGGAAGCTATGGCCAAATGGATAGCTGCTTGCCAGAATCTTGATGGTGGCTTTGGAATGGTTCCCGGAGCAGAGAGTCATGCTGCTCAGGCCTTCACATGCATTGGAGCTCTCACTATAGCCGGAAAGCTGGATCTGATAGATGGGGATTTGGCCTGTTGGTGGCTCAGTGAACGGCAACTGCCAGAGGGAGGACTCAATGGTCGACCGGAGAAACTGCCGGACGTGTGTTACTCGTGGTGGGTGCTGTCTTGTCTGGCCATGATGAAGAAGCTGCATTGGATCAACCGAGACAAACTACGAGATTTCATTTTGAAAGCTCAAGACGAAGATGATGGAGGTATTGCTGATCGAGAGGGTGACGTGGCCGACGTATTTCACACGAATTTTGGCCTCTGTGGCTTGTCACTGCTGGGTACAGATGGTCTGGATCAAGTGAACCCTGTCTACTGTCTTCCCCAGAAGGTTATGCATAGAGTCAAGCAGGATCCTTGGAACGGTAAGGATTTGAGCAAGTAAGGGCTGGGATATGAATGAATTATGAGACATCAGCATTGCATAAGTGTAAAACCGAAGGCGCGAAGCCATTACAGTAGTATCGTATCTCAGATTGAGATTCAAGCACAGATTGACCTCCATTGCCAGATACAGATTATTATCCGCCGGAATCGTATGATTAAAATCATTGCCAGTGTCATAGTAGCATCCTGATTGTATGAAGGAACTCGTATCATCAGATCACTACTGTATCTCGCAAGATATCAGACATAGTCAGGTAACATTATCTGACTTACCGGAGCACTTCGTGAGCAACACATCCGATATCGTAAGATCTATGACGTTACTGTAACAAAATGGTACGATCGACTCATTTTTGTACCACTGTTGGCCGAACACGTGATGTTGGAAGGGTTGATATAGCATCATCCTTCCTATACCCGGTCACTCTCATGTCATTATATTGTACATCTGATTTACCGGTTCTTTGTCTCCATGTGGCAGTTGTGATAGACCAAGAGAGCTGCAGCTACATACAATAGCTCATTGGCTCATTGGCCTTCTGTATAATTCCAGAACCATTTCTGTAATGCAGGTTCATATGTTGCTCCTGATGTATTTGTTAAAGGAAGTCGAACGACTGGAACGCAGGATTAATATGCGTGGAAATAGGTACAGTATCAACAAGCGGACTCTGTAGATTGTATCCACCCATCTTGATATACTAGATGTACCCACTCATATCCATAGTAACACTGGCCATCGCCAAGAGGACCTTTCCACGTCGTATTCTTAATAGATTTCTTTTTGTTACTATTTATCTGCTGTCCCGTAACTCACCACTGCAGAGAATCGTCTGGATGCATATCTGTGCAGCAGGGCAGATGAACATGATGTATGGGTAGATGGCTGCAGAGCCATTTCGGGAAACGGCCCGTGCCACATGCATGTGGCTGGTGTTAGGAGCTATGCGGCTACATCCGAGTTATTCGTTTCGCACTCTTCCCGTTTCGAACTGTGTGGTTATCCGAGAAAAAGCACGCTTGGCAAAACTCCATCGTTTTGTTTTACAGTTACACTCTACAAGTAGTGCGATATTAGTGGTCTTATCTGTAGGTTAACCTTGAAAGTGGCCTGTTCTGGGACACTTATTCATGATAAAGTGGAGAAGTGGAGAAGTGGGGAAGAGGAATTAAGCTCCTTATATTTTACCAAACTGTCGTCAAGATAAGTCCCGGCCATCTTGATGGTTCTACTTCTACGAGTACTGTACCTTTACTTGTAAGTGTGTACTTGTGAATGAAGAGAGAGAAGTAGAGCAGTGCGTGACAACCAGTATGCTCTTGAAGAACAACTTTTGGTAATGCCAGAACATGTACAAATAGTATCTGATTTGTAAGGGGGATTTTTGTCCATACCATATACTGTAGCTACAAGTACTGTAATTCCAATACAACTACTTGTAGTGATAATTATATGAAACATGTGAGTTCTTCAAGACAAGTCTCCACGCAAATCAATAGTACTGTACTGAAATCGTGGAGAAAAACGGAAGGACTACAAGTATACAGTAACTAAGTATCATTAAGAAGTCCATATATTCAACTACAGTACGTACCGTACAGTAATAACTTGCAACAGTCGTTTGTGGGCATTTTCTTGCCTCCACAAATTCAGCAGAACTCTAACCGATATAAGCTACAATTAACCTCAGCATTTTGTGCTCACGAAACGGCCAGAATAACGGTCCGAATTGACCGTGGTTTTGTGAGGTGATAGATTGGAAGAGTAAAAGACACGTGACCACACGACACGCATGCATCTCTGGAGTTATTCGAGCAAACCTGGCTTTTTGTCCCAGTCCCAACTTACTGTAGCCAGATACTTTAATTGTGGATGTACAGTAGTTACATAGTAGGTATAGCCCAAAACGGACTGGTGAGATTGAGTGGAAGACAATTTCTTACTGTACAGTAGAAGTTCTACATATACTGCAACCATAGCCTCCTCAATTAAGGATTACAGAAACTAGTTTTTTTCGTAATAATTTTATTGCTAGAATGCAAAACATGTCAGAAGAAGAAAAACCGACACGTTTATAAATATAGTGATAAAGGATCCAAGGTAGAGAAGAATCAAAAGAGAAACAAGACAGGGCAGTAGCCATTGAGAACCAATGTAGACAAGCAGATGGAGTAAAAGAGTCACGTTTTTGTAAGATTCCAGAGTTCTGTGTATATCAATGGGTTGTGCTGGCTGCAACGTCGAATGTCGTAGTTCTCTGAATTGATAGCTTCTCCGAGGGTTGATTATCAAGTGCAAAATGATTTGTTGTTTGATGTAGTTGAGCATTTTAAGCAGACTCAGGCTTCTTGTTCATGAATCGAGGGTCAAAAGTGGAGTGACCAAAGGACTGGTAGATACCGGCCTGCTTGTCAAACTTGACTCGCTTGTAGGCGTAGACACCAAAAGCCCAGCCCAGAACGGGGGTAAGCCATAGAGCAAGGGTCTTGAGGTTACCAGCAGTTCGCACAAAATCTCGTCCGTGGGGGAGGTAAGAGACGGAGTGCTTAATGAAGGGGTTGATGGCGAGCTGGGGTCGAGAGGGCTGCATTGTGGTTTTGTTTTAAGTGATTGGGAAGATCAGGTGATGTTGTTTAATGGGGAGATATACTAGCCACATTCGGCTTCCTATTTATACCTGAGAGTGACCACGAGGTATGGTTGACATGGCCTGATGTCGCACACAAGGTTTCTTTGTCTAGACACTAGCCACCGGATTCCAGCCACCCGGGTTGCATTGCACACGCATGCTTACTTCCGTGTGCCGGGGAGGGCCACGCTGTGCCACAGGCTGAGTCTAAACCAAAAAGCTAGAATGAGAAAATTGTGGCGCAACTGTGGCTAGAAAAGTTAGCCGTTGAAATAGACTAAAAACGGCAACTAGGCACATTGAAATCAATTGTTCACCTGTGTCTAGGAACAAGAATTAAATACAGGGACACACATGCTTGCATACATACAGTGCAGACAACATCCCTTTTCCCCACTTCTTACACATCTCTACAGACACACAGACACCGCCTTTGTAAATAAAGTTGTCTCCACGCAGATAGCCACAATGGGCTCATGTTGCCGCATAAAACATTGCGCCATTGAAGATGGTGTCATGTCCAACATGGTACGTCGTACGATGATTAAGGGGCCTATGAGACGACATTTTTTTCGGTAAGAATACGGCGGTAGGACAATCGTCACTCGAATTGCTTCCAATATCGCTAGGCTGCTTTGGTGTCCTTTGCTGAGTTTTCTTTTGCTGAGTTTGGATTGCTTTTGCTCTCTCCCAGTCTTGCAATGTAAGGTAATGTAAACAGCGGTTTTGTGTACAAGTACGATACTGTAGTTTCTTTTGCTGATTCGCACTCAGTGTGTGACACAAAGGGTTTGGATTTGTGGGTGATTTGTTATGGTCGGTTTGCTGTAGAATGTCGAGAGGTTGCTCTTAGATTAGTGTAGCTAATCTCGCAACATGTTTGAACGAGAGGGTGTAGTTCGTCTCTGTGTTGACTATCGTATCCGCTGCTGTGTTGTTAACCTCAACTGCCGCCTTCGTGTATCTTATCTCACCATGATCCTATCTCTCTCTCTAGCCACTAGCCACAAGCGTTGGTATGGCAACCCCCCCCAGTTATATATGAGAAAAAAAGAGGCAAGTGGCTGGTTCGGGTTTGGGAGACACAAGGAAAGATGCCGCATCAGTTTGATTAGGGTGAGTAGACAAGAATTTCAAAGTGTTCCTGTTCTTTCTGGCGGTTCTTCAAACATTTCCACTAACGACTACTCCTGCAACTGCATCTTGTAACTTGCTACAGTACCACTCCGGACACCACCACCACCCGGCACAACGGGACTAAAGATCAAACCAGAGCATTTCCAGAACACCAGCCTCCCCTCCAGGTATTCTGTAACTGCATTCCAATCCTCACTGAGTGCAAATGGCGTGACACAAGCCACTTCCCCGCGTACTAGCCACACATCCTGAGCCACAGTCTCCTCAACCTTGTCCGTCGCTTGACTTTGTTTTTTTCCCGACAGAAACAAAAGGAATGTGCAATTTACAAGTATTTGTAACAGAAACATGCAAAACAGTTGCCACTGGGCGAACAGGTGCATTGTGGGTGTCCGCCAATGTGCCGCGGTGTGTCTTGTAAGCTTCGTTGTAGTGCTATACGGGCTGACCTCTACCTGTAAGAGTGGTACCTCTACCAATTCTTATTCGCTATATAAAAAGACATACTGTACTAAGCCTACAACTGACATTTGCTGCAATAATATCGTCCCAGTATAGACCCCTTATTTTTTTTAAATCCATCTCGCCTTTGGCTCAAACTCCTGTCTATCTTTGTCTCACCGGAACCTGACGCTGACTTCCGATTCAAGCTGCGAGTCTACTGTAGAACACGGCTCTGAAAAGTGTAAGCACTGCCACAATGATGTGCCTTTTGAATGACTGTTCACGTGAACTTCTGTTTGAGCTGGTGTCTGTCCACCAAAATTCCTGCAGTAGGCTTTGGTGAGCAATACGAACATCACCATGTTGCACCATTCACACATTGATCTTACAAATAGTTACATACTATAGAGCCGAAATAGATATTTCTACAATGGGGTTGATAGCCCACAATCATCAAAGTGATACGGCGCCCGAAGCGTAGAACCCTACCTACGTCAGCCCTTAATCGCAGACAATACAAATCTAACCCGGAGGGGTATACAGGTACCTACACTGGGTTGACAAACTCCATTCTTATGGACTGTTCGTCAGAAGTCATCAAATGAAACAACAAGAAAACATGCTATTGGTACTTAATCACACCACTCTTTCAGCAATGTAGTTATGTCAAGGTCTACGCCATCCATTTCCTTCTCAAAGGTACTAATCTTCTATAAATAGGTGATTGAACAAAAGAAACACCTACTTGTAGTAGCAATCCATGGAATCTCATCCATATGCGTCTTCTCTGACGATCAGTTATGATAGACGGTGGTGGGCTAGGTGGAGATAATGCTTTTAGGGAAGGACCCTCAGAGGCTAGAAGCTGTTGCTATATCAATATGACACAGTAGTTAGTCTTGCAAACACACCCAAATATCCCTTCGACATCACCAACGCTGCCGTATTTACAGTCTCAGTTAACACTTCTTCATAATGGTGTAAATTCTATGTTGAGTCGTGTAGTCCAATTCTATCTGGATGGTGTCCTATCATCACGCTGATAGACTGCCACCCACTCCCTTAGTCCATCCAACCTACTCACACTAACCCAGGAGCCGCATGGTCATCTCAACAGCGGCAAAAGTACCAGCTGAAGCAGGAATAGCTCGCAGAAGTGTGGGAGATAGTCCTCTGAACAGGCCAGCAACTCCGTCTGTCTTCAGAGTCTGTCTCAGCGCATCTAGAGCTCCCTTGTACTTGGGATGGGTGAACGAGTCGCTCTGGACCTTGGACTTGATAACATCCAGAGGGTAACAAGACAGCCACAGAACTTGGCCAGCCAGGGCACCACAAGAAAGCAGCTGCCAAGCAGGCAGGTTCTTTCTCTCGGTGTGGGTTCGCTCACAAACTTGCTTTATAAGGAACTCGAACGACAAAAACCACATTCCGTATCCCTGGGCCTCCCGCAAAAGGGTCACTCCAACTCCTCTATAGATACCCTTGAGCCCATAGTGTCCATATACCTGATTGAACATGCCAATGACGCCCTGATGCGTAGTGGACTTGGTGGTTTGTGCCAAAATACGCAACTGCTCAATGGGAGAAGCCACAATGGTGTTCACCACACCAGCAGAGGCTCCGGACAGATAGATCTGAGGATAGGTCAGATCGAAGACATTGTCGGACTTCTTACCATCCAGGCGCAGAAAGAACCGCTTGGCCTCGTGGAAAGTGTAGAATTGAATCGATACACACGCTCCAACTCCAAAAAGAGGTCCACTGGTACCTCTGTAAAACGCGAGTGGCCCTTCCGTAGCCAAAGTTTTGGTAAATGCTTCGAGAGGAGTCTTGTATTGACCAGTTTGGATACGCACCTTGACCAGATCAAACGGCTGCCCGATCAGCACCTGGGCTGCTCCTCCAACAAAGCCTGCTGTGATGTCTTTCAGTTTGCGAGTGATTGAGTCATCCGACATGGTTGATGTGATGAGTTGTTATGCTGAAAATGATCTATTGAAGATTTGCAGATGCTTTCAGAAAGCTCCCACCGCGAATTGTCGTTGTAAACGTCAGATCCACGAAACCCACACAAAAATGGAACAGGCCTTATCATGCATCATGCATTGCAGAATATCACGTGATTTGACGAATGAAAGTGTAGTTGGGGAACGTGCAAACAGATGGATAACGGACTTGTGAGAATATTTTTTTCTTCACAAAATCATATCAATTGGTAATGTAGTAAGCATGATGTTTTAATTAGCCTATTCCAAGCATTATTGAATCTAACATTCAGCGATTGTCTTCTCTCTTGGTCGTGGAGGCTAATAAGAGGTGCAGTGGAAGAATGGTGAGAACGTTGTCTAAGCAATACTTGTACTAATACAACACATTGGACGAAGTGTAGCAGATCACTTGAAAGTTCTCTTTGTGTATGAGTTCAATATAAAGTGATTACTTGTAGTTTGTACATAGACCCCTTGATACGACGAACCCGTTACGTAAGCCTCTCTATAGCAGAGAGAGACCATGCGCACGAGACACTTTTCGATACCTGCAGGCATATACCACGGTTCTGACACAAACATCTACTGGTACCCGTTGTCTCATAATAGTGCCAAGCAGTTCAAGACAACAATTTACTTCTACATTGTGTCCCTCGACAATGGCTTCTCCAACCGGTGCAGGTTTGTTGGTTACTCCGGATGAGCGGTGATCACCGATGACGGTGAATATCCCCAGTGTGTGGGTATAATCGGGTGCCGAAGTGGCTACTCCGGATGAGCGATGGTCACTGTTAACAGTGATTGTCCCCGACAGGCGGGTACCACTAAGCGAGGTGGATGCAGTGTCGAAGACTTTGGAAATACTCGCCAAGAAACCGCCAACGACATAGACCCCATCCTCGGGAGCTGACACTTGATGTCATATTTCCTTTCTACGATTGTACTCTGAACGCTCCCAGACAGCAGGCGGATGGCCGTGAGCTTGGCTTATAGAGACAGCGGTGGTGACACCAGTTAGATACTGCAACGCAACTTCGTCATTATTCTCATGCAAAAACATCTCCTTCTTTTGGCAAACATGTCTCTTCTCCGTAGCGTTTTGCAAGAGACGAGACACTTGTCCAAACCCAGGTAGAGCCACTCCGTACCAGCGTCACAAGTAAAGCAATAAGCAGAAATGAATTGAAACAACATATTGTAAACTACAAGTACGTATGTACTGTATGTACAGTAGTGACAGACAACACGCCGATAGTCTACTCTACACTATAGATAACGACAGCGGGAGTTTGAGCTTGTCACTTAGATTTCCTCAGAAGCCTATAGAGAAATGTAAGACAATGATAACTGGGCAAGGACTCAGTGCAAATACAACAACCATACAATATATTAATGTCATGTAATGTACCGATAATGTACCGGATGTGGTGGTAGTCGTTCCACTCTGGACTTACTCATACTTGATGTCTCCAATTCTATCTAGGATAGAAGGGGCTCGCTGATAAGGATCCAGGTCCCACCACTGCGATCTGAGCTTCTGAGTGACGACCTTTCGGTCGGCCAGTACCTGTTTCTCTTCCTCGGGAGTAACAGCCTTAATCCAGGCCACAGTGTTCTGCTCCATCTCCTCGTACAGCTTGAGACGGTCATTCTCCAGCTTCTTTCGCGTCTCAGAGTCCTCAGTCTTGGCAGCCTCTCCCTCTTTGGGCTCCACATAGACATACTGGTAGGGATCTGTACCGCCCATATCCTTGGGGATGTTGCTGATATCGATGAACTTTTCAACATCCTTGGTGTTACTTGTAAAGTGGATTTTTTTGGCGATAACGGGATCCAGCCAGGGCTTGATGATCTTCCAGATACCGGAAAAGACCCAGGGGGCTCGGTGGACCAGCAGAACTCCCAGACACTCGGGGTAATGGGCCTCGAAACACTGAATAACAAACTTGACAGCATTGTAGTCCATGTTAGACAGACCAAAGCCCTTCATATCGAACACCACGGTAGCGGAGTCCACGGGTTCATGCAGCATCAGACGAGTAGTCTCACATACATGGACAGTGAACTTCTCAATGGTTTCTTGGGTCTGCAGCTTGGGGTTATGGTTGACAGGTCGAGCGTGGACCACAGGTCGTCCCTCCTTGTCGTTTCCGTGGATAAAGCACTTTTTGGATCGGAACTGGAGCAGAAACTCGTCGTCTCCGTCCCGAAGAGCTCCGGCCTCTCCCCAAAGCTCAGTCTCGGCCACCTTGCCGTCAAACACCCGCCAGTGAAACGTCCTGGCCATCATTGCCAGCGCCTTACCCACATCCCATTTTCGGGCTCTCAAGAACCGCAGAAGCAAGTTGTCGGGAGAATCTCCGTGGACCATATCCCAAAAGGCCAGACGCAGCTGCTCAATGGACATGGTCTTTCGAACCTCGGCAAAGGCAGCCAGATCTAGCGCGCTCACATCATCAATGGGGGTGCCGTGCTTGGCGGCAGCCACCTTGCCGGCCTCAAAGTCCATTTCCTGCACAGCTCGAGTCACCTCCTTGAGGTTCTCGTCATCCAGAGCTCCAATAGCAGCCATCAGATGGGCCCACATGTCTTTGAGCTGGGCTGTCTGCTCGGGCGTGAGATTGCCCATTCGTCCTGGAAGAGCGGCCACCATAATCGTGTCGTTGGTGATGTCGTTGGTGGTGTTGAAGGAGAGTGAAGAACTGCTACTCATACTTATACATGCACAATGTCTGTGATTAGCTCGGTTGTTAGAGCTAAATGGCGGGGAGGCTACTGAAAGACGTGTTTGGGAGGCAGAGGGGGGTACCCACGGGTACATATAGTTCCGCAATGGGTTTGTGTCACAAGATCCACTTCTGTGTCACTTTTATTTATCCTTTACCTCCTGTCACGCGCGTGTCACGGGCCCTTCTCATCGCTGTCACGCAAGCATCCATCATAACGAATTATACTCGATGCACATACGTGACACTACCAATACAATAGGTGAAGGGGGAGACGCACCCCTGTACTCGCTAGCACAAGACAACAAACTACTGTAGTCGTGTGGACTGATTGGGTAACTGAAGAGTATCTCCATCAAATACTCCGCCATTTTTCGCAGTTAATAGAATTTTATTCGATTTTATACCCCATTCTTAGATTCTATTGCAACGCAATCTAAAAGGCAACAAGGAGGAGGCGGAGGATTCTGCAGGACTCAACACTAGAAAAAATGTGCCGAAAAAAGCGCAAGGACTCGGAATGGCCAAAAATATCAAAAAAAACTTCCATTTTGAGCGGAGAAAGTGAGAAATCAATGCTATATTGCCCGGTGAACCCCCTCAAACACCCTCAATATGGTTGCTGAAGATGGCCGATCTACGCTATGTTTCTCAAAGTTAACCTGTCTCACCCCGTGTGGGGTAGACGTTAGTTCCTGATGAGCTGAGGGGTTCCATGTGATAGGAGATGATAGTGTAGCTGAATAGAAACGATTTGCTCCGAGGCTTTTTGATGACTTAATTGACCCCGATTGTTGCACATTTTCCCATCGACTTTCAAATATCCGAGCATCAACACACAAGGTTCCATGTCGGAGCTCACTTACAGTAGAAACCATGTATTGTACCTGTTCGAGTTCCCCCATCTGCCATAAGTCCACGGACGGTTCGAAATGCTTTTTCAGGCGCTCCTACCATTTCTTGTATCCCTTAACCGTTTAAACGATAGGGTCAGATGCGAAGGGAGGGGTTGGAGTTGTACAATGATTTTCGGTTTATTTATCGAGAAATATTTAACATATGTTACGTAATAATCGATATAAATTCATTGGAGAAGAGACCTAAGATGTATTTGGTCTTTTCACGTAAGAGAAGACGCTATCATTTCCCACAACTCAACATTAACCCGAAACACATCCTGACTAGAGAAACAGTCGTTCGTTGGGTGCTACACATCAGCTACAAGTAGGTGCTATAGTCTGTAACAGAACTGCATGGTTGTACCTCGGTAGGGGGGTTATTTTCAGTATTGTGCGATGATACCCAGTTAAAGGTGAGGATCTGCTCAGTTGTTTTCGGAGTGGGTGGCAAATGTGTGATCAAGGTTGACTTTGAGTGGCGTGTTAGGATTGTGACTGTGACCGATACAGAAGAGATCAGAGTCTCATAAATTGACAGGAACGCCCTCCACGCCCCAAGTCCACAAACTCTAGTCCCAACAAAGTTCCTGATAATGTGCCTCATTATTGAATCCTAGACTTACCCAAAATATCCATAACGATGTTTGCCACAGCCTGTATAAAGAGGGGTCTTATTAACACATTCTGGAATGCTATTAAAATATCATTGAGTCTGTTATATCCCCGTCGATCCAATTGCGCCAATGGACGTGTGTTGGTGTCTTCTCATAATCGATGTGTGAGCTGCAAGGTGTCAGACACACAAGACCTTAGAGGAGGAAGTGGAGAATAATGCAGCTTTTGCCCTGAAATCCGATAAAAATAACAAAGCTATCTAAAGGCCCCAATATCAGCTTCTTTTGTGCTCAAATACGTTCTCGAGTGGGAGGATTCATCTCTCAATTCGTACGGACCGGTACTTTGAACGTCCCGTATGTACTGAACTCTAAGAAACATACGGGTTCTTGAAGTTTTATCAGCCCGGAAATATATCATCCCCCCAGAAGGTGCAATAACAATACTATACAAAAAACGATTGTAGATACAGATATTCACACTCACACAATTCAAACGACACTTGTGTCACTTCCCTACCTACCCCCCTTCATCTTTTGTACACTCCATCTTTTAGCCCCTCCACTTACCACTCTCACCTTATCGAAGCCTAATTTCCGCAATTATTAGGCTGTCTGAGGCTCCACCTCCTCGTACCATACAACTATGGATAGCGACTACGGAATCCAGTCAATTTTGTCGGACGACGAGCAAGACGCCTGGGACGAAATTGACGCTCCTTTTCTCGAGCGGCCCAGCTCCTCCGGTCTGGTGATGCCTGCGATTTCCTCCGACGGCTCCGTAGTGTCTAGTCGAGAGATAATGAGCAAGGGAGACGGCTTTCTGAACGGTGATTTCCCAATGCCAAAATTTGCGCAGTTATGGAACAAATCCGGGTGTTTGTGTATAGAGCCGCTCTGTGGTTGTGACAAGGTGAGGGAAAAGGTGGAGGCTCATCTTGGCAATATGACTGAGAAGCAGAGGGGATACGTGGTTGTCTTCGAGGTCGAGCCTGAAGCTGCCCAGCTGGCCAAGATGGCAGTGTTAAGGAACTGGAAAGGAGACGAGAAAGTCTTCATGTTTTTGGATACCAAATTCGAGCTTTCCAAGAAGATGCGAGATGGTATTAATGAGGTGGAAAGAGTGGAACTGGTTGTTTTGGGTGGTGAAGAGAAGAAGGCAGATGGTGATATTACCATTGATGCGAAACCGGCACATGGTACAAAGAGAATGAGCGCCGACGCAGTATCCTCCTTCCTCAAAATTCTCTTTTCTATTGGGATTGTGTTCGTTCTGTTCAACCCTCAGAAGCAAACCAGTCCCTCTTTCTCAGCCTCCAATACCACCTTCTATGGTCCTCCGCAGCCTGTGACCCCGTTTAAGTATGAGATTCCAGACTCCATGATATTTCCATCTTGCTATTACTTGGACAAGCCAGAGGTCCACGTCACCGCTCCTTCCCATCAGAACAGTTTAAGCATAGAAACAGTCTTCAACTTTCTTTCTGAGGGCTTTCAGCGACTATGGAACGGTATCCTGAGCATACCGTCTTTGCTGAGTCGACTTTTGGGACTTGATAAAGATGTGTTTGAGACCAACAGTGAACGAACGTTGAGGAAGATTGGGCTCGACATGGATCTATTGGTTGAACTAATGGACGAAATTCTTGAGGAGCAGACTGAGCAATCTCTTCACGATGCCCTCTATGTCTGGAACAAGATGGGCTCCGACATAGCTGAGCCCCTCAAGCGCCTGAAGTACGACGAGAAGACAACTTCTGCCAACTTTCTGTCAATCATAAAGCTTGAGAGGAGATTGAAGGTAGTAGGGGAGAAGCTGGCTACAACTAAGAGAGAGGTTAGTGCAATGAGAGATCGTGAGAAGGGAGGGGCACGAGAGAAAGCAAGAGGAGGTGAGATTGCTCGTCCACGTGAGAAGATCAATTCTCATCCGATTGTTGGCGCACGTGAAAATCCTGATGTTCTAAATATGTCTCCATTACCCACTGACTACATGAACCGAATGGAATACCGCGACCGACAGGGCCATGGGCGACGAGGAAGGAAGAGAGAGAGAGAGAGGGGAGGACCGAGGCGCTCATAGGAAAGGAGGCAGAGAGGAGATTTGATACTTGAAGGAGTGAATTATCTATTGTGGTTTATCCAGTGTTATTTATTATAATATCGAGTACAGTGTACTGGTAGTGCGTAGTTGAGCACATATGGTACAGTAGGTATTGCAAAACGCTTGAGGTCAAGGCTTGTAGAGTGTTCCGAGAGGGTTTGGTTCAATTACCAAGCCGCATATACAGTCTACACTTGAAGCATAGCTCTTTTACCATACGAGTATGTACTGTACTGTACAGAAAAACAACAACAACTAGCTATAGTATGATTAATTACCTCTACTTGTAGTAGTCTCGTTGTTTTCTGCAGTATGACTTTCTCGGCTTGGACAAAGCTCGTACCAATTATAAGATGCAGCATTGGAAAAACAAAACATAATAACAATCACCACCTCCACCCAATATGCTCGTTGATCTCCCTTCACGTTGTCCAGTCACATTCCCAGTGTAGATCACGTCAATGATGGCAGCCGGGTGATTGTCTGCCGCGGTTTTCACATCTTGACACAGAATCAAAAACCATCTATAAAGTACAGTACGAGTACATAGCCTAACATCAAGGCACTATCTAAGACGCCCTCTCCCACGATCCCGGTCCTAAAACCCTACTGATTATCGTTATGATCGACACAACAAGAGTTCTCCGTGGCCTCGGGCGTATCGTTCGACAAATGCACGATGCAGAGCTCTTTCACGGCTAACTCCTGTAGATCGCTCCCAAAAACAATGAAAGCTCCGGAATGCGACAGTTCATATGGCACCCAAGAGAAAAAGTGTTACCACAAGAGAAACCCACACCATGTGAGTTGATCTGGTGGGTGACTCTGTGAACAAATGCTCAAGAGTACAAAAACCACACACGATTGTTCTCTTACAAGTATGTAAATGAAAACAATAGACACAATTAGATCATGGGCGCTTCTAGCGATACACAGATCACCTTTCAAGTGTGGGCTGTATGAGCTTTACTGCTTAGAGGGATAGTTACTAAGCCTGTACAGTATGTAGGCAAGCACACCTGTAGCTGCAGTATATACTCGTACTTGTAGGAGGGTATCCAGTGCACCGCCCTTGAAGATCCTGTCGAAAATGTGATCAAGCATGAGTGGGTAGCAACTGCTCCTTACACTCGATTGCTTACATCCAAAACCGGTTCTTAGTGTAAGTGAAGCCATGGCAAGTGTACCATGGTGATTAAATAAATTAAATGTTATGTAATGTGTTAGACTGGTTTGTCATAAATCGCCAGTCCGGTGTATAATTGTGTTGTGTGCTGTTGTCATCATTAACTTGTCGTGATATCATCATTATGCGATACTCTCAGAGCATCATACTGTACAGTACTTGTCGCACCTTGCTCTCTAGATCAGAGCAACCACAACGCCTGCAATTGCGACCAAGCCAGTCAGTCGCACGTTGTACAGTCTGGATCCGCTGCCGTTTTGTTGCGAGGGCTTGGGTTTCTCGATGGTAGTGGGCTGTCCGTTACCACCTCCAGTGGCATAGACTGTAACTGTGCTTCGAGCGCTGATGGAAGTAGACTGGCCCGGTGGTCCAACGACAACAGTGGTAACTTCGCCCGAGTTTCCTCCCGAGTTACCATTGGAGCCGGAGTTGGTTCCAGAGTTGCTGGATCCTCCAGAGCTGCCTCCAGAGCTGCCTCCAGAGCTGCCTCCAGAGCTGCCTCCAGAGCTGCCTCCAGCTGCTCCACCCGCATTGCCCCCAGAGTTTCCCCCAGAGTTGGAACTAGAACTAGGAGCTGCACTGGCAGCACTAGTGCTCGGCGCAGCACTTGAGGCGGCGGTCGCATCGAGACCCAAGGAAGAGGCCAGCTGCATCACCTGCGAAGTTGCTGCCGCCCATTCACTGCTGTGTTCAGGGGTGAGGGTGGGTAGAGCGACTGTGACTGCGTTGATGATGAGAGCGAGATTGTTTGCCACATTAGACTTGGCCTCGGGCACGTTGTAGTGAGTCAGCACGTTCTTAAAGCCCTCGGAGGCCTTCGAGAAGTCAGGCGAGCCCTCAAAGGCACTTAGAGTGGCAGTGGCCATAGATAGCAGCTCGGGGAAATTCGACGAGTCGACACCGTTCGCGGCCAGGGATCCGAAACTGCCAATCAGGTTCTGCACGTCAGTGTTGGCGCTGACAATGTCGACCACACTTTGGATCTCGGAGGTGGCCTGCTGGTCAGACACGTCGTTGTCTGTTTTGGCTGAGACAATACCAGCCACGACATTTTGGGCGATGGAGGCGACCAGAGGGTTGTTCTGGGCGTGCACGAGCGTCAGCAGCGCAGCTAGGGTGAAGGTCGAATGTTTCATTGTGGTCCAGATTCTTCTCCTGTTGGTGTTCCAGGCCTATGGCTATATATGTTTACTACATCCAACCTACGCTTGAATACGGTTTGCGACTTTGTTGGCTGTGGGCAAACTCTAAGTGCTCCACCACAAAGTCAATTTTCCAACTGATGATGTCGAGCCAAATAGGAGAACGGAAAAGGGAGGTTGTGGCTGTGTATAGTTAGAGAGGTGGGTTATGTACAACTGGCCAGGAGACCAAATAACACAGTCAAAACAACGCACACAATCAATAAGTAGTACGTCCCTGTGAAACCCACTAAGGTCTCATCAATCCCAACTCATACCAGGAACACTGCACTATTACTGTCAGAGACTACTTGCATGCACCTAAGCGATATCACAGGTATGAGTTAGTGAGGGGTCATGTATGGTATTGGGGACACAAAGCAAATTATATTAACGGGCGTTACCTTTCTGAAACTATACCCTGCCTCTAAGCCTCTGTTCGTACAATACTACACTATAGCACTTGTATGAGTATTCGTACTGCACTTCATTGGTTGTTTGCCACCCCTGACGTCAAGACTCACCCCCACTATACACTATACTCCCCGCATCGGGGCCTGTTACATGTGGTGAGACAGTGGGGCGAGTTAAGTGGGGAAGTGGGTATTATTGATGTTATCAATTTCACAGGATAACTATTGAGGCGCATCCTTCCACTCAGATGGTCTCCAATCTCTTGTTGATTGCCCACTAATCCCGTTGATCGTACCCCCCCCCCCCCCCCCCCCCACCTTAAACCTCACTCCACTCTATATACAGCACTCCAATTTTTTTGGCTTTTAGACAGCTGCACCTGGGACTAAACTCTATTTGGAACGGGCCACTGACGTAAAAACTGCCTGAGCAGAGATCGTCATTACTGGTCTGACCGGGAAAGCAGGATGGTAAAGTGCAGAAACAGATACGGGGGTCCACCAGGCGACCCTGTCAAGTCCGATTTATCACAAATGCCGCCCTCTTTCCTTACTCAAACATCTACATTCCAACAACCATACCCCCGTAGCAGGGTGCATAAACCCCCTGGAGAAAATAAAAGCGGGAATTTGACAGAGCTCTGAACGACTTGTGGGAGAACTGGATATAGAAGTTTGTATGTACGAACCAACCAGACACTGGCTATGGGCAGTGCTTTGGGAAACCTGCAACAAGACTCTATCAGTTTAAACTGTCGATGGCAATATTGCTATTGAGTATACTATTTGTATACGCTCCATCATATATATAAAAGACGTCTTACAGGGTGTCCTGCACACTTTGCGACCTACGTATATCAGAAAAATGCTCACACAAGTAGCAACTACTTAACAAAGCAATATGCCTACAAGCCGTATTTGTGCCCCCGGCGCACCTGTCCAATATCACTTCCATTTACGTCCAAGCAAGACCAAGTCAAAAGTTCGCAAGTTTCGATGTCGATCCGTGCATTTTGTGGGGAAGCTGCGGGGATTTCGGTGGATCAAAAGACAGCCAGCGATGTGACACAGCGAGACGTTTAATTTTGACGTAAGAGGGCGTGAGTGACTGTGTTCAGTATCACTGTAGCAACTCTATGCCAGTCCACTGTATACTGCGAACACATCTAGCGTACAGTATTGGTATCTCTATACAGTGCCATCAATATCGCCAACAACCACATTCTCTACACACCGACTACCCGGTCCAGGAATAAGTACATTGCATTTGTAGTACACTCTGAGACACCAGTAAAACGGTTTGGAAGGTTTCCCACTTGGCCTTGCTTCTAGCGTGCTTCAAGTCATCTGAGTGGATCTAATCGGGGCTCGGAGCTCCCTCTCAATCTTATGACCTATCTTCCGCAGTCTTTCACTCAGCCCTTCATGAGTTCCACTACTTAACCCCAGTTACCATGCCTCTGTATACGATATGTGGAGAGGCAGAGAGTACAAATACTATAGAAATGGATGTTCTTGCACGTTGGTCTGGTTTGACTACTTGCACGCCAGCAATGGAACACATCTGAAGAACTTGTACATACCTCTACTGTAGCTCTATGAAGGTTTTCAGATTCGCTGAGAGATACTAGAACAACGCCAGTGGTATCATACCCATATGGTATACAAAAAAGTCTGGTACCATCTTAATCCTCTTTATCTCCTCTTTCCAATGATACTACTTATACCGCCAAAATCCCACCATGTCTCTTGCGTATATCACAATTATAGATTCCCAAAATATATCAGAGACACCTAGAACAGAAGTAAAAGTATTTATACCGCTCCACACCCCTTCACCTAGTAATTATCTTCTCTCCTCAATATCATCAATACACCCCTAAAACACGCCGACTTTATACCCCCTTCATATCAACTCATGTATGAAAGCGTAAACGTGTTATTAAAGCTTCTCCTACAATAAAGCCGAATCAATCGTGTTTGAGACTTCTAAAAGAGACCAAACCAGCCCGCAGAAGCAGTATATCACGTGATACCTCATATCTTCACGTGCATGCAACCGCGACCCCCTTTTAAACCCCCCATCTCCCCCTTATCGAACCCTAACCACCTCATCTCATCATGCACTTCGCTTAACACAAGCTGCGCGCTTGGCGCTAATTTCGAGTTTCAATATATCTACCAGCACAGACAGATCACGACATGTCGGATCAAAATCACGTCGAGCTGGAAAGCTTGGCAGAATCGGACGACTACCAGGTTGAAAGCGACAACGACGATGGCGGACACGTTACCCAGACGTTACTGGGCAACAATCCCGGGTTAGCCGAGGTCACGGCTGAATCTGAGAAGTCCAACATGAAAATGGCATTTATGAACATGGCCAACTCGATTATCGGCGCCGGAATCATCGGCCAGCCCTACGCCGTGCATGAGAGTGGTCTTATTGCGGGAATCCTGCTACTGGTTGGTCTGACGTTCCTGATCGACTGGACGATTCGACTCATCGTGGTCAACGCCAAGTTGTCAGGTACAGACACGTATCAAGCCACCTGCCGCAAATGTTTTGGTAAGACCGGTCTCATTGCCATCTCTCTGGCCCAGGGCTGCTTTGCATTTGGTGGATCGATCGCGTTCTGTGTCATTATCGGAGACACTATTCCGCATGTTCTGGGAGCACTTTTCCCGTCTCTTCTGGGTGGTGAGGACTCGGGACCTTCGATCCTCGTCAACAGACAGTTTATTATTGTTATTTGCACGTGTCTGATCTCTTATCCGTTGGCTCTGAACAGAAATATTGCCCATTTGGCCAAGGCCTCGGCTTTGGCTTTGGTATCCATGCTGGTCATTGTCATTCTTGTGATTGTCCGAGGACCCCAGCTTGCTCCTGAGTACAAGGGCACTTTTGATGGACACGCTCTGAGTATCAGCCCGGGACTGTTTCAGGGAGTGTCAGTCATCTCTTTCGCCTTTGTCTGTCACCACAACTCTCTGCTGATCTACGACTCTCTGAAACGACCTACTATGGATAGATTCGCTACAGTTACCCACTGGTCTACCGGAGTCTCCATGGTGGCTTGTCTGGCCATGGGAGTGGGTGGGTTCGTCATTTTCGTCGACAAGACCAAGGGAAACGTTCTCAACAACTTCCCAGCCTCTGATGTCATGGCCAACGTTGCGCGATTCTGTTTTGGCTTCAACATGCTCACCACCCTGCCTCTGGAGATCTTCGTTTGCAGAGAAGTCTTCACTACATACTTTTGGCCTGGCGATGAGTTCAAGTGGATTAGACACATTGTTACTACCACGGTGATGATGCTCACCGCCATGTGTGTTGCTCTGATCACCTGTAACCTGGGTGTTATTCTAGAACTCGTCGGAGCTACCTCAGCTTGCGTCATGGCATATATCCTGCCTCCCCTGTGCTATTTGAAGCTGACCAAGAACAAGAGTCTAAAACAGAAGGCTCCTTACTATCTGGTGGCAGGATTTGGAGTGCTAGTCATGCTCTTCTCCACCATCCAATCACTGCTGAAGATTGTGAATGGAGAGGAAGAGGGCAGTCATTGTGACGTGAACTAGTCCTAATATGACCAATTATTGTCCCCTACGGGTACTTGCACTGCACGACCACTCAAAACATCCAAAACAAACCAATCAGACCTAACCATATATCCGCCGTCTGATCACATACAGACAACACCAAAATCACTAAAATAGTCAATATCAATGTATTTTATTCAGTCCGCGAGCTCTACACATCAAAACCAGCCATTAAGTGTTAACCATTTTCCTACATGAACATTGCCATTCATCATCATTCTCCTGGTATCAGCTTCCAACCCTAGAATTATCAAATCCAGTACTAGTACATCTTCTGTCTCGCCTTCATGGCCTCGATTCGAGCCTTCAACTGATTAGTAACCTCTGCAGCACGCTGCCACGACTCCTGAGCCTGAGGTCTATATGAATCCCGTCTGTCAGGAGATAGGGCACGTGACACCGCCGACTCACGTGTACCGTAGTCATGTCCGTTTCCTCCCAAGTAGTCACGTGATCCGTTCCCAACACCGAAGTCCCGAGAGCCCCGGTTACCGACACCAAAGTCACGTGAGCCGCTGTTACCTCCATGACCAGGCCTGAATTCACGCGTGCCGTTGCTTCCCGCATTAAAGTTGTTTCCTCCGCTTAAGTCACGTGATATTCGTCTGTCTCCTCCAACTCTCTCACTCCCTCCTCCTTCCCCACCCAACGACAGCTCTCTGAACGATGCCTCAGCGTCAACAGAGGGTGACATCTCTCGGGGTTCTTGCTTCACAGCCTGAGAAGCAGAAGCAGCAGTTTCCAGCTCAGAAATCCGCTTGTAAGCAGCCTGCAAATCCCCCTGCATCCGGGAGAACTGTGTCTCTTTGCTCTTGAACGAAACAGCGTCTTTGGTGTGTTGTTCTAGAATGTCTGCCTTGGAATGTTGCAGAGAGTTGATCTCGTCAAGCAATCTCTGCTTCTCAGCTGCAAACTTTTGCTTTTCGGCCTCAAAAGCAGCCATCAATGTCTCCTTCTCCTTGATCCAAGTTTCCTTAGCGGCTCTCAGCTCCTCTAGTTCCTCAATATCTGCTGAGGAAGCTGCTGGTCCGAAAGAGTCGATACTCGGGCTTGCAGGAATCTTCTTGAGAGGTTGCTTCATCAACCCAGTTCGAGATTGGCCGTATCCTGAAGACTGACCATATCCAGATGACTGAACTGGCTTGCTGTCGGTAGATCCAAATCCAGAAGAAGGACCGGCATTGGATCCAGTAAAGGGCTTTCGAATAACACCTCCACCGGGTCGAACCAGTTTCCGTTGACCAGGAGTAGCCACAGAAGGACGTTTGTTAGATGCAGAAGCAGAGGCAGAAGGAGGAGGAGCGCGAGTAGCAGGCTTTGGGGTAGGCTTGGCCTTGGGCCTAGCCACCACTGTTGCCTTATCGTAGTACTCGACGATTTTCGTCTTTCGGATATCGTCAACGCCCTTGAAATGCTGCTCAAAGGCCCGTTCTCCAATCAGCTTTCGAGCAGTACCAAGAACCTGCATGGAAATCTCTCGGACAGGAGCCTGGGTATCAGAAAGTGTCTTCAGAACCGCCTTGATCACATGATCCAAGTCCTGGTCACTAGGATACTCCTTGATAGTCGACAAAAGACGCAGAATGAAGTTCAGAGACTCAATCCGCACCTGGGGAGTCTTATGGGACACGAACGGCAATGTATCTTCCACCACCTCGCCAAAGGGGAGCTTGCAAGCAATAGCATCGAGAGCTTTGCCCAGTGCTTCAGCCACAGAAGCTTTTTTCTCCTTCGTTCGCTCCAGAACAGCTTGGAGAGTGAATCGGTATCGTGCAAACGCGTTACCGGGCAACCCATTCGCCACTGTCTCGATACACTGAGCAGCCACCTGCACACATTGCACGTTGGCATCCTTGTGAACCACCTTAGCCATAGCTCTGAGAAGTTCTCCGTAGTCTCCCTCCTGTAATTTGGGGCCTCCGCTCTGAAGTACAGGTAGAACTGCCTCCAACCCCTCCTTTCGTTCCTTCCACTTGGCTGATGTAACTTCTGTGTAAAAGTTTGCTGGAACCTGAGACAGCACATCCTTGGCTTCCACCAGAGCCAGAGGGTCCGAATCCTCCTCATCACCCCCATTGTCCACATCCATCTCGTCGGACTCGATTCCGTTGGCCGAAGCTGTAGAAAGCACCTGTTGTTGAGATCTGAGAAGTCGAGCTTGGGTAGGTTTTCCAGCAGCTGCGTTAGCAGCAAACTTCTCATCGAGTTCCTTCTGCTGTACAGGTTTGAGGTTCCAGCTGGGCAAAATTGCGTCCATCAGAGGCTGACCATGCCACTTTTGAACCTCAACAATGAAGTTCATCGCCTCTGCTCGCACATTCTTGTCTGCATGAGTAAGCAGCTTAGGAAGAGCCTTGAACACGGGCTTAGGGTCGATTGTCTTTCCAAATGCTGCGACCATGTCCACCAAACACTTCAGGTTGGCAGCGATCACCTTGGGTGTTCTATGGCCCAACAAAGCAACAACATCCTCCACAACAGGATCAGGGACGTCCAGTTCAATGTACCATAACAGGGATTCTGTAGAAGAAGTTTTTGTGCCTGCTCGTGCGGAAGCTAGTCCCTTTTCAGCAAGAATAGGAACCACTACAGACCGTGTTCTCAAACAAGCCTGGGTACCTCCAAACTGAAGGAAGGCTGCCAAAGATTGAATACCTTGATCCTGAGCAACCACGTTCGTGTCACCGACAATCTTCTTGTACAGCCCAGGGTTGTCGAGGAAAGGCGCGAAAATGGGGTCCGCTTCGCTTGGAGATGTCGTGAACTTGTCCTTCAACTCTTCATAAGCTGATTGTCGCGCTTTCCAGTTCTGAATTAGTAACGCGGGGTTTGGGAAGGGGAAAACACGTGATACTCACCTTGTGGACCATTCGGTCCATCACCGGAATCGCATTAAAATCTTCTTCTTCACTCATGTCGTGTTGTAGCGATGTCGGTCGTGTTACGGGTATTAGGGGATGAGAACTGTATGCATCTCAGTTTACATGCGGTTACCCCGGCAACGATGGGGAGGCAAATAAGGTTGGCTAGCTGGGGTTCGATTACGGGAGTTGTTCTATACTGATTATAGTAGGAGAATGTATTAATGGAACATTACTGTCGGTTAACATAGTATTTTTGTGTAATTCCCATAGAACCAGTCTATATATTGTCGACATTCCCGTTTTGACCACGCTTGTCTTTGGATGTTGTTTAGACTGGTTGTGTGTTGTGGTTCGATCCCCAATTGGGATGGAAAAAAAGGGACTCAGCTAATGATAGGAAGGTACATACTCGTACAAGTACAGCTGCTGTGTTGGTACTCGTAGGAGTAACAACATTATGTAGCTGTAACTAATATACGCCAATGAGCTTGGCTTGAGAGCGGGCATGTCACATGGACACGCGCGAAGTATACGCGCTCAGAACACGCGTTGTTGTCTAAATCTGGCCTGAGGGTACATGAAAGATGTGAAAGGTGAGTATGTACTACTTGTAGTAGATATCAAGTACAGTATGTACTGTACAGTACAGTACCAAGAGAGTGCTCCAAGAACTCTTATGATAGTAAATACGGGGTAGTTTAGAAGTGGTTATCCATGTAGTGTTACGTAGGTGGTTTGAGGGACTTGGTGTCTCGAGGAGCTTGGAAAGTTGACAGATTGTGGCCCATAAAATGAATTGTAGGTATACCCTTTTTTCTAAAAAAGATTCGGAGGTGTAGAAACATGCCGGCTGATAATACTGCATACCGTCTCGCATGAGTCTATACAGCAGCTACCTGTCCTAAACTTATGGCACGTATTTATCGCGTGTAGCGTGTTTCCTCTGCTTCCGTGCATGGAACAAAATTGACGAGTGGAACTACAATTATCAAGAGTAAGTATTGGTGATGCAAACGGGCAAAAGTTGAAAATGTAAGGGATTGGCGAAAGATACCCGTAACTACTGACATGCCATGGTACAAAATGGCTCTATAGCCATGTTCAATGAAATGATACCTCTTCCTCATCATACTATGTAGCATACATTATGATGACTTCGTTATGGGTCAGCTTTCCCTGAATTATGGAAAAACCGGTATATCTACTGCCATCAAGTCCATCCCATTTTATTTCATAATCATCAACTCAACATGCATCTTCATTTTTTCCTAGGACTGGCTACCACAGCCTGGGCCATGTATGAATACAACGAGATCATCCCCTCTCGACATCGGGTTTGCAACCCCAACGAGCTGGGCTTGGAAGACTACTATGGCTTTGTTGTTCACCATCAAGTGACCGTTTCATCTTGGCCCAATCTGCACCATACTCGAGTATCCGAGTGTGAAAACTCGTATGTTCAGCAGCACGATTTGTACCATCCCAACGAGCCCGGCCAAGATACTGTGTGGGGCAAGAAGTTGTGTTCCGTTCACAACAACGACCACACTCGATGTTTCATGATGGCGCGAAGACGCCGATACGCCGGCCTCAAGTACTCTTTGTTCGTCCCCAACATGTGGATTGGTACTCTGTTTGAGTGTGACTGGAGAAACCCCAAGGACCCAGAGTGTATCAACCCAATCCCCATGCGACCTCTCATCTCCGACAATCTGGTATTAGCCAACTGGTACGAGACCCCTGATGGTTTCAAGCACATGGTTCGACGAATCCCGATGTTCTACACCACCAACAAGGGCCATCCCGTTCCTGCAAACTGGAACAACTCAGTAGATCCCTGGGAGCAGTACACTTACAGCTCCAACGAGGAAAGTGTCTTCAGCAACGTCGCAACCAATCTGCAGTCCTGGTTCCACACTCTGAATCGTATTGGACAGCAGGAACCACTTGACATCGATGAGGGGGATGGACGACCCCGACGAGGTCTTTCCGCTCCTATCGACTTGTCGTACAAGAACGCCTTCCATTGTTGGGATGATGTTCGTAACGTGTTCTGGAAGTGTCCCCCTCCCAAGTGGAAGGAAGAGATTGATGCTGAGAAGCGAAAGAAACCTGACTACCATAACAGACTCATTATGCCTATGCCCATGCCTCCTCTTGATCCCCCTCGAGAGCCCAACGACTTTGATGATCCCTTGGGTCTTCCTAAGTCTCGACTTCCCGAGTTCCGAGATATTCCCGGAATTATCGATCGAGGTAGAGACGCGTATGATCCCTTCTACGATCCCGTTTTTGAGAAAGAGAGAGCAGAATGGCATAAAAATAACCCAGCTACTACATACCCTGTCATGACTGCTGAGCTCCCTATTTCCACAGTGGGTCCCTCCAACCCTCTCAAGCACTCATTCAATATCTTTTCTGGACTGTTCAAGCCTCGTCCTGTCATCAAGGAGGAAGAGGAGCTGGAGGAGGAAACTTGGGGCTTCTTTGATATATTCCAGCCCAAACCTCGACGAGGACAATCCAGTATTGGTCTCATGGACAAAATTCTGTACGGAAATCTGCCTCCTGCTGCACGTCCTGGAGGAGCTCAGACAAGTTACACAGGTGGATACCGAACCTATGATCAGAATATCGGAAGTCTAGTACCTGTTATCCGACCCACAACCACTCAACGAAAGCCTGGTGAGTTCGATTTCACTCCTCTCCCCATGGAGGATTGGATCTCTCTTTTTACCCATGACTCCAAAGCTCCCGGCACTCCGGTAACTACTAGTCTTTCTGTCAAAACTGCTACTACCTCTGTTGCTTCTACGGTGTCTTCCAACAACACTATGCCCATGGTCACTCTTTACAAGGCCAAAAAGTCTGCGCGCGTCCACAGTCCAACCACCACCGCTTCTCAGTCTTACGAGGAGATTCGATGGAGCAAGGAGATGGAGCGTCGAAAGAAGGAGTATGAGGAATATAGACGACAGTTTGGTCCAGGCTACGAAGAGCTGCCCCCTAACAGTGGCCACGAGTGGACGGAATATTCTTCTTTTATTGATCACAACAGGAAGACGTTTGCTCGCAAGGAACAACGCCAGAAGGAGATTGAAGAGATGAAGACTCGGAATCGACAGAAGCGAGACGATCTTGATGAAAAACAGTTCTTCCTCGATGAGCCTGTCTCTGTGGGTGAGGGACCTATCTTCTATTCGGTTCCTGCTGCCGACCAGACCCTCAATGTGACTGTTCCCTCGGTTGAGGATCTTAAGAATCCAGCTATGATTCAGCGACGCTCGTTGTCTTCTCGGCTGGAAATCACTCTCACTGATATGATCGACACATTTGATGCCGTTGGTGAGAAGAAGTATCGACAGCTGATGAAGAACGTCCTCAGTGCTTTAGAAAGTATCGAGGATGTTTAGATTTTTATTTAGCATTGAAAAAAACGAAGCGTTGGTAGTTGTACTGGTACTGGTACCTAAGGTAAAGCGATCCCTCAGCCGATGCCAATGAACTCGAAATCGTGTGTACTGTGTATCATATCGCCATGTACTTAGTTGATGTTTATGTCACACCGGGTCAGTAAAACTACAACCACTTGTACTGTAAACGGATACACATATACAATGGGCGCCTCTATTGTAACCAGACTACACTTGGCACATCATTATCTTTCCATTCACCACCACATACAATCAATCCTTTAAACATCGTTCATTGTTATCTAAATCCTACATGCATTACTTCTGCTCCCGGCCATGGTAAGGGTGGTTGACAAAGTTGAACCAGGGGAAGATGAAGAGACCGGCAATGGAGTGGGCCGAGTTCTTGGCGGCAATCTCCTGCAGCTCGGGGGTCAGGGAGGAGGTTCCGTAGGGCTCGAGACCGGCGGCCTTACGAGCGGCCATCTGGGCCTCGTCCTTCTTGTACTCTCGGGCGTTCTCAGTGACACCAAAGAATCGCAGACTGCTTCGAGCGTAAGCAGCACCGAAACCAACGGCGAAACCGAGCATAGTAGCGACTCGCAGAAACTTGACAGAGGGTCGAGCAAACTTGCCCTTGACGGGGTCGAGCCACTCGGCGAAGCAGATACCGGCGGGAAGGGCGGCTGTAGCAAGACCAATGACACCGTAGTCAGAGGGTCTCATGTAGCCCACCACTCGCTTGAAGTGGGGGTCAGCATCGATGAGCTGGGTTAGTGTATGAACAATGTAGTTTTGTGCGTAACGTGATAATATGATGACGTAGGGTGCAATGGTTGCAATCAACGCCAGATGGAGCTTTTGGATCGCAGTATATCGTGGAGCGCGTAACACGTAACGATGGCTTTTCCGTGACGCCCGTAATTCTGTCACACGACTTCACCAGAGTGCTATGCTGTATGGCGTGACGAATGTTGTTGTAGGGTATCACTTGACTGTTCCTCCTATTCTAATAGCACCAGAGTTCCAACACAGTGCCACAGAAACAATCACCTGGCATCCCCTTTCCAATGCCTTGCCCTCTCTGTCATGGGTCGTATCGTAACTCGACCACTGAACGGTACCACCCCAGTCTCCCAAAAAAGCCGCAAATCGTCAGCAGAAATTTCCGACCGATAATACTCACAGGATAGTCTCCGTAGGAGTAGTTGACGCTGGTTTTGACAAGCGGAGTCGACGAAGACATTGTAGTTGTAGTGTGGTCTTGAACTGTGGTGGAGCCAATCAAACGTCTGGTGAATGCTTCTTTTCTGTATCCCTAACCCTAGGTATTGGGAAGTTGCTTAAGTAAGCGCGCAGACAATTGGCCAATGGGAGGAGGTCCATTAGGGTTGTAGATGTGGAGAAGGAATACGAGTAAGGGAGTTTAACAGAGGAAAATATGAAGCAAAGGGAATTGTTTATTTATTCAAAAATGTGCCAATAAGTGGATATTATCCTGTGATGGAACGGCTATGGGACTTCAGACAAATGAGTGGGAGTTAAATAAGGTTGGTAGGATTTTTTTGGAGAGGAATGCAGAAGGAGTGTTTTTTGGGATTTGTATGAGAGCTTGGTTACAGCATACACGAGCACCAATACTTGAAGGAAGTACCCAAAAGCTACAAGTAATTGCAGGTACTGTACATTGAACACTCTGAATAAGTCATAAATTAGAATCTAAACGTTGTTATATACATCCCCTGGTTGAAAAGTTAAGAGAGGACTACACTGCAGTCCTCAGTTGAATCTAAAGTCTTGTCTTAGCTAGAAGGGACGTTACTCCATATGGGGAATCTCCTTCAGCTTCTTGCATCGAGCAAGCTGGTCGTTGGTACTGGTGACAAAAGAACAGTAGAGATTCTTGACACACTTTCCATCGCAATCCTGCTTGACAAAAGGCGACTTTCGGTAGTAATGGTCATAGTAGAGCTGAGTCTGGTTGGCTCGGGTAACAATGTTCCTGGCCGCTCTGTGCCAGAAAGTACCGTTCAAGGGGGCATTCTTGGGCCAAGTGTGGTCAGGGTCATACGCGTCACGAGCAGAGTATTCAAATTCCCAGGTCATATTTTGAGGAGTATGGGCAGGATACTCAAGATGCTCAAAGCCATTGGTTGTCACATTCTTACCGTACCTCATGTCGAAGTCGAAAGTCTCGTTGAGCTTGGTATAGTAGTTTCGGGAGTCCATGATCTCAAAGGTTTTGGTGTCAACCTCGTAGTATCTCCAACCGGGATTGTAGTTGTTCATGGGAGTGAGAGACTGCACAATCCATCCTATCTGAAGAGCACTCTCTTCCGAAACAATGTCCTTATCAGACTCACCATCATAGTACACCGTGAACTGATCAGCGTGTGTATGGCCGTAGAATACAGAAGCCAAAACATGAGGAGAGAACCGAACAATGATCTGTCGCATAATCTCAGCAGACCAAGGAGTAGCAGCGGCAGCAGTACCGGTAGGAACATGGGCAAGCAGCCAGGCTTTCTGTCCCTTTTTCTCACACTCCAGAAGCTCGCTGACAATCCACTTGAAGGTCCCAGACGGATCAGGGTCACTGATGTTCCACCAGTTGTAAAGGTTGGCCTTGTACCAAAAATTGGAATCAACGGAAATGACTCGCAGACCTCGCTTGGTTGTCACTGCAAACGATCCATAAGTGTGAGCAGCCTGCTTCTCAGTCTCTTCGTCTATCCAGCCAAAATCCTGCCACAGAGCAGCGCTCAGCTCGGCATTCCAGGTGAAGTCTCCAGCGTATCCGGACTTGTTCTGTGCAAGCTGAGCGTAGGGATACGAGTCGTGGTTTCCAAAGGTAGGGTACATTGGGACATCCTTGAGATGCTTCTTCATGAGATAATAACACTCTTCCTCGGACTGAAACGTATGAGCAAATGAAAGCCACTCATCTAGATCGTGTGACACCATATCTCCGGTGAAAATGGCAAATTCGAAGTCCTTAACAGCGGCAAGGGTACCCACACTCTGCATTCCCTTGTCCAGAAGAACCTCGGGAGAATCGCACTTGTAGGTACCCTGTTTCTGGGCAGGTACAAGGGGACTTAGACCAGCTGCCTTGGCCTTCTTGTTCTCCACAACAGGAGTGCAACACATGCCCTTGTCACAGTCGGCTTCAGCGCCAATTGTGTATCGCAAATCAATGTGGAAATCAGAAACATGAGCAGCATTGAAGGTCTTTCCCTCACTCTTGGGAATGTTGGGGTTCTGGGGCTTTGCGGGCCACCAAGAGGAAATATCAAACTTGGGGGTATCAGGGTACTTGCAAGCAGCCTTGCCCTTGATCTTGACAAACTCGGCACACACAGCCTGGCCATCATCTCCATAGGGATCGAGAAGAGTCATGACGTTGGCAGCATGTTTTCCTTTACCTCCTCGAGTGATGACATCTCCTTGCCAAGTATCACAATCGGCAGTGAAGTTGTACTTCTGACACAGCTTGACAAGCAACCTGGGAGTCAGGTCTCGGTTCTTGAGAGCAAACTTCTTACCCAGATCAAGAGCCTGTCGGCACTTGTCACAGGAAGACAGATCCTGGTCAAAGATCTTGGTGGCCTCGGTCTCACCCCATTCCATGAGCTTGTCGTTGGGTAGGTTAGGGACAGTCAGGTCTCGGGAGAAGAGACTAGCCACTCCTAGAGCTCTAGCGAAGATGTCGAGTTTCATGGTTGACTTGTTGGTTGATCAAAGTGGTGGGCATGACATGGTTTATAAGATATCGAAGTCAGACAGCAAATGATTAGATAAACTGGCAGTTCAACATAGCAATCGATTCCTATCAGTGAGCTGAATCTAATAGTGTGACTCTTGTAACCATTGCTTCACTATCCAATACCCCTGAGTCTGGCCAGGTCTCTATCGGAAACGTCTTTCTCTCTCGATTTTTCTTCAAGTCAATATGCACAGCAGCGTGCTTCGTCCAATGTCGTTTATTGGTTCGGGAGGAGATTGACATCGCATGGACAACGTGTGTTTCAGTTCGGAGTCCGGGGAAGACAAAGATCAGTGCAAATGGCAGAATAAGGGGAATTGAGACCACAAGGATGATGAAGAAGGAAGCAACACGTGGCCAGGGGGCTAAAGAGACACGATGACGGAAACTTAGCCTACCTCAGTCAAGGCAACACCTCTTTATCAGTCTCGTTTGTTTCTTTTTCTTTCGATAAAGTTAGGGCCAAGGCTTAAGCTGCAATGACTCGAAGATCTTGGCGGGGATTGTGTGTGGGCTTCGGGGTAATCCCTGGTCGTTTTCTTGTATATTTTTTTTGTTAGCAGATGTCATCGATATGTGTCACCAGAAATATCTTGTGGCGCAACTTCTAGGTTCAGCTTCATGGCTCGTTCTTGTGCCCAGTCACCCTTCTTCAGAGATGTCTGATGCACGTTTCAGGAACGATAAAGGCATAGTTTAAAATATTGATACGGAGATATCAACGAGCTGAGTATTGTATATTAGAAAAGATAACAATACACGGGAAATGACTGCTATAATATCTACGCATAACAAACAATTCACGCTCAATTGTTGGACTCTACCCTCACAACGACACACACATCCAACTACAGTACAGTAGTATATACATACAGTATGTATGTACTATAGGCAACTCATTGAAGCTTGAACTGTATTGGATTCCCGAGAATCGGAGTGAGAGGTCGCCTTTAAATAAGGATATGCGCTTCATAATATAATGTACGTTCCTAAAGAGGCGGACATTGCAGCCGCCGGAAACTATCTGTGCGGTTTTGTTAGCACGTGCTTCCGGTAAGCGACAACAACCACTGAGGCAACAACCTTTGGACATCGTCATAGCACATCCACAGAGCTTGTCCTTGTAAAATTAACTACAGGATAGACAATTTGTACATTTGATGCTGTATTACAACACTATTACAGATTCAAAGAAATACGGTGAACTCGTTTACTTCTTAGCGCCGTACTTCTGGACAACCTTTCCGTCGGGAATGGTGAAGAAAACAGCGGGCTTGTCCTCAGACCAGGGCTGGTCGAGTCTGTAGTAACCCTTTCGCTCGAACTGGATGATGTCTCCAACCTTCATGTTCTTGATGTTGGAGTCAGCAAGAGCCTCGGTCTTGAAAACGGTCTCGGGAGTGAGCCAGTCCTCAAAGTTCTCGCCCTCCTCAATCTTGTCCTTGGTGATGAGATGGTCAAAGTCAACCAGCTCACAAGGAGTAGCATCAGACTCAGCCAACCAAGAGACCTTGTGCTCGGTCTTCTTGAAGTCACCCTCGAGGTGGAGCTTGGCGTCAATGCCGGTGACGAGATCGCCATTCTTGTGGATTTTCTCGACAATGATGTTACCCCAGTCCATGAGAGTGAGCTCCTCGCCATCCTTGAGGGTCTGAGCATCGTCCTGGTCAATGAGAACCTTCTTACCTCCGAAGACGGTCTTCTTGGTGCCAAGATCGGGGTTCTTCTTGTGCTTGGGTCGATCCTCAACAGTCTCGGGGGCAGCGTCGGCAAAAGAAATCTCAACAACGTCCTTCTTGACAACAGCGGAGTGTCGAGGAGCAACGGGGTCAATGACCTTCTTGTTGATAGCCCAGATAAGAGACCAGTCGAGGTTGATGATGTTCTTGGAAGGACCCTGGGAAATGATGAAGTTTCGCAGACCCTCCACAGTCATACCTCGTCGTCGCACACCTCGGACGGTGGGAAATCGAGGATCGCTCCACGACTCGACCTTGTCCTGATCAACAAACCACTGCAGCTTTCGCTTGGATAGCAGAGTTCGGACAAAGTTGACACGGGCGAAATCCCAAATGTGCACCTTTCGCAGGCCAAGAGCCTTGAGCATCCAGTCGTACTGCGCGTTTCGGTCTCGGTACTCGATGGTTCGCAGAGCGTGGGTCACACCCTCGATGGAGTCGACAATGGGGCAGCAGAAATCGTAAGTGGGATAAACCTTCCACTTGTCACCAGTTCGGTGGTGAGGGGTGAGGTTGCATCGGTAGATGACGGGATCTCGAAGAGTCTTGTTTCCGGCGTCGACGGAGATCTTGGCTCGGATACAGTTCTTAAGACCCTCCTCAGTACCCTTGGCCATCTGGTTCTCAAAGACATCGAGAGACTCCTCGACGGGTCGGTCTCGTCTAGCAGAGGCAATACCGTCCATTCGCTGCTCTCGCATCACCTCCTGGGTGGTGTCGTCGGCGTAAGCCTTGCCCTCCTTAATCATCTTGATACAGAGATCGTACATCTCCTGGAAGTAGTCGGAAGAGTAGGAGATGACATCTCCCTTGATTCCGAGCAGCTCCAGATCCTCGAGAATGGAGTCCTGGAACTCTTCCTTCTCCTTGGAGGGGTTGGTGTCGTCGAATCGGATGATCAGCTTACCCTTGTACTGTCGAGCAAAGTACTCGTTAAGGACAGCAGCCTTGGCGTGTCCGATATGGAGGTATCCAGAAGGCTCGGGAGGGAATCGGGTGACAACCTCGCCCTCCTTGGCGTTGACAAGACCAATCTCGAAAGAAGCCTTGGAGGCCACCTTCTTCTGGCCAGACTTGGCGCTCTTTCGGACCTCGTTCAGATCCTTGGTGAAGGTCTCAACAACGGGACCGTACTCAAAGGCGAGGAGGTAATTGTACCATCGGCCCAGATTGATGAAAACACCGGACTTCAGAGAGGTACCGACAACCAGGTTGGATCGAAGAACACCCCAGACAACCAGATCGGACAGAGAAGGAGTGTAGCCGTTGATGAAAGATCGGAAGTTAAGATGAGCCTCGAGCTTCTCAAGAGAAGGGGTGACGGCCTTAAAGTCCTTGGACAGGAGGTTGGTGAAGGCAAAGTCGATCCACTCCTGGTCCTCAGTAGAAACGGTAACAGCGAGCTTCTCAACCACAGCTTTGGTGCCGGAAACTCCGTCGTAAACGACATCGGCGGGGGTCTCCTTGGAAACGACCTTGTCGTCAATGATCTCGATCTTGATGTTCTTCTGGGCACCGAGCAGAACGGCGGCGTAGCCCACATTTGCGGCCTTGGCGGCAACCTGAATAGACATTTTTTTGTATGAGGGAAGAAGAAAGAAGATCGTATTCTTCTGGAGTATACCCGACTTTTGAGTTATGGTTTTTCAGTCAGAGAATCGAGCTTGTTGGTTCGATTACGAATGGGATGATATTATGGCAAAGTTTACTGTAGAAACGGGTGGAAAAAAGTGAGTTATTGTGGTTTGGTACAAGTAGCCACATAATAAACCAGTCAACTACAGTCTTGTAGCTAATTGAGAAAAAGGTCTGTCCCGCGTGGGTTCTGGAAGGACGTCATACAGATTGGCATATAGATCGTGTTACTACTTGTATGTACTGTGTGACTGACCAAGTTGAAGCGTAGAGTCTTGTGGTCTGTATTGTCCAGTTACTGCAGGACCTCCCTGTACAAGTACCTGTTGGAAGCATTTTACTGGTATGTATGAAACTCCCCATACTGTACTCATACTCTCCCGATAGCTATTGTATGTACGGTGTGTCCAATGTGCAAGTTCTGACGCAGTACGAGCACAAGTATATACTGTAGTAAGCAATTTAGAGGAGCAAAGAACAGCACACCGCTTCTACCGGGTACTAGTATTGTATTTATTTGACATCACTTGAATCGAAGTACAAGTATTTGTACCGGTACCGGTACAGGTAGTATATATCACAAACATCACCCTAAAATCATGGATCGCTGGTGATTTGCAGTATGCACTATTATTATGACGTTTCACTTCTATATGTATCCCAAGATGAGATATATCCGAGTCATTTGATACCAAACAAACAACTTATAGGCTATCAACAAGTACGAGTACAAGACAACCCACCACGATCACCAATTCAACATTCATTATTACCGATAACCTTATTGAAACTTTCACCATGAAACTTCCTCATCTAAATCACAACACCATCATCATCACATCTACACAACAATGAGCTCGTTCTCCACAACAGAACGTCTAGCTGCAAAGCTGAAGAAGCCCAAGGAGGTATACAGCTACTCCATCACCGACGGTAAGGTGACTATGGACCAATCTCAGCTCAAGTACTACTACCTGCCTGAGGAGACTATCCTGAAGGCTCCTATCGATCTGACCAAAGGCATTGAGAATTGGACACAGCCCAACGAGCACGATACTCATCTGGACACACTGCTCGAGTCGCTAAGTAAATATGAGCGCGAAACTGGAAGTAAAATCGATGCCGAAATCATCACTTGGCGTGGAATCCTTACCAAGATCATGACCCATCCTTACGACCAGTACAATGAGCCTATTGTGCTGAATATTACATATTTCGACGGACACTATTTCATTGAGGAAGACTGGCAGAGCAAGCAGCAAGGCAAGAAGGCGCCCGATGAGCAGATGAAGAAACACATCTACTCCGGCTACAAGTTCGAGAGTGTAGCTCTACTGAACGAGCCATGGTTCAAGAGCTCACGAGAGGACATTGAATCTCGTTTCGATGATATCCCCAATGGCGACCAGTTTGTGTCCGTGGTTCGAACACAGATTGGAGACAACAAGATCCTGATCGGCGGAGAGGTGGATTGTGTGTTCGATCCTTGTGCCAAAGGCACTAGCCGATATGGAGAGCTGAAAACCTCTCGAGAAGTTCACAATGCCAAGGACGGCGAGATTCTGGAGCGAAAAATGAACCGTGCTTGGGCTCAATCATTTCTACTCGGTGTGAAGCATATCATCTACGGATACAGAACGGGCGATCATAAGCTCGCAGCTGTTGATTACTTCAAAACCGAAGATCTGCCAATGTACGCTGGTGCTTCCTCTACCTGGAGTGGAACTGATGAGATCAACTTTCTCAACGCTGCTTTGACTAAACTGAAGGATCTGCCCAAGGAGGATAACAAGTTGTGGAGACTGGTGTTTGACTCTGCCAACAAAAAGGTGGATATTACGGAACTTGACGGAGAGAGCTTCTTGCTCAAGGAGTTTGTTGACTGGCGAAAGTCAATGTAATTTTATAATGATAGATTGTATTTAATTCTTCGATTGCCCAAATAAAGGGCAATAAGACGTAGGATGATATGACTGTAGAATGTCATCAAATTACAGTGTACAAACTGCACAAGTACTACAGTGCAATAGCTCCACTTTTACACAAACCGCCTCTATCTTACATAAATTAAATAACTATGAGTACAAACTAGTATCTTCGTCGGTATCCTCTCTGTCTGTAATATCTAGGAGACACGTAGAAGGATGGAGAATCGTATACTCGCTCGTAATCTCCTCTGTCTCTCGACTTTCGCTTCTCCTTCTCCTTCTCCTTCTCCTTGTCCTGCTTCTTCTCATTCTCTTTCACCTGCTGGTAAAGCGGACCTCTGTACGTGCCAAACCCAAAGTTGCAGACGAAGAGAGATCCTGCAAGTAGGAAGATAACGAACACCATGGACTTAAACGAGATGGGTCGAAGGAATCCGTTGATTATTTCGGCGAAAGTCTCAGCAGAAACTCGAGCTCGTCCCACTATCTTAGGATCTCTGTTCATACATCTCTCCCAAGCATTGCACATGGTCTCAAGAGCAGGAACCCGCTTTCCGGGCATACAGTTGTTAGCCAGGTAGTCCTTGGAGCACATGGCCATCTCCTGAAGAATATCAGCGGAGTACTCGTCCACTTTCATGTCGACATCACGCTTGACAGTGGAATAGAATGTCCAGACAAAGTACGAAACAACAGCCATGATTATAGCGTTGTAAGCGAGCTGTAACCAGATTGAAAGAAGAATAGGAAGATTGAGGGCAGCAGCAGCTCCACTTTGCGCAGAAGAGGAAGAAGAGGCGTGGTTATCTTTTGACTCTCGTGAACTGTTATCGTGATCACGAGACTTGGGTTTCGGGGTTCGACAGGGTGTGTTGATGTTGTGATTGGGGGTATTGATATCGTAGTCAGCGTACTCGTCCTCCCAGTCGTCCTCCGAATGATGATCTCGACCACCATGATTGCTCTGACTGCGAATGCCATTTGTTCGGTCTCCTCCACCAAATATGCCACGGGTTCCATAGTCGTGGCCGCGGTTACCTTCAAATCCGTTTCCACGGGTTCCGTTTACTCTACTACCTCTGTTCTCGTCGTCTCGTCCCCGTCCATTGTACATCTCATATCTTTGTTCAAACGAGTCGTCATAGGAGACGTCAAACTGAGGCGAGTAACGGGATCCTCTGGGCTGGAAGCTGTTGCCATAACCTCGTCCATCTCGTCTTCTGCCAGGAATTTCATGGTACTGTTTTATGGGCGAGAATTCCACAGAAGTGGGGCGTCGTTTAGACTTCATGAACGACATGTCCACCTTGGGAACGTTGGGGTTAATGTGGTATTGCTGTGAAGGAGGCTTTTGCGGCGAAGGAATCATGGCCATGCTTGGCTCCGATCGCTTTGAAGCCTCGTTGTTTACCACACTTCGTCTCATATCTGGGAAGAGCTTTCGAGTGGTTTCTGTAGCGCTCTTGAATAGGCTCTTCTTGGGCAGTTGCGTGTTAGAAGGCGGTTGCTGTTGCTGGTTGGAAGTTCTTTGACGATTGCTTGAAGGAAGTCTCTGTCTGTTTTCGATTCTGGATTGATTCTGTTGCACACTAGGTGAAGTGAGGAGATCCCGAAAAGACTCGGAGGAGGAGTTTCCAGTATCCGGCGAAGAAGGAGGGAGTTCTCCAAGATGGGCGTTTAAATTCTGTATGCAGCTTTCATCCCGAATATACGGATATTTATCAAGGTGTTCAGAAGCTGATAAGGAGATGTCGCTCTCAGTCTCATCGGCGTCGATCGTCACTCTCTGATCACCTACCGAGAAAATGTGATCGTGGTCAATTGATGGAAACACGTTCTTTCCATCCTCATAAACCTGGTTACCAGTTTCAAAAACTCTCTCCATCTCTGACTGTGTAACATATTCAATGGGAGCTTTATTGATGAAGGAAAGATTGACTGGTTTAGTCTTGGGTGTAGATTGCCGGTTGAGAAAGCTGTTGTTTTGTTCGCCAAGCGGCTCTCGATCGGCCAAAGGGGAGTCACGTGCCTCGTCGGGCCTAGAATTGAGAGTGCCGCCCAAAAATGACATTTTGCAAGTCGCCCGTGATGTGATGTTTAGGAGGTTTGATTTTGGGTCTGTCCCTGTTTGAATAATTCTATGTATGTTTACCTTGCATGCAGGGGGTTGCCAGGCAACAACAAACATCCGTTTTGGGTAATCCCATTTGGGAAATGTTATATTGTGTTTTAAAGTGGGAGATGGTGAAGATGTGAGATTAGAAGATACATTAATATGATGATGAGTTCTTGTAGAGTTATCTGAAGCTTTTTGTTAATCGCAGAATCATCTATGCCCTGTTTTGGAGAAACTGTTGTGCTGCATTGTGTAATGATGGACGGTTTGTTTAGAGTCTACTTAAAGGAGGTTGCTACTGACGTGGACTGAAAGAGTTGGAGTTGAGAAGTGGTGTTATGGTTGTCATGAGGCATAGCAAATCTTATCAGTATAATTCCACTGTACAGTACTACTTGAATCTCTCCTGTAGGTGCAGGCTTGTCCAGTTGTCCTTTATAACCTTGCCAGGTGCATGTTCTGATCTGAAGGATATGTTTGGGGGTCGCTACTGTACATGTCGTCATACTTGTATCTATAGGGTTTATAGGGTATGTTATTATAAAAATAAAAAAGTACAATATCGTAGTCACCTAAGACATCCATGATATTGTACTATATTAATTATGGTGGATGAGTCGCTGGAGTAACAGCTCAAATCAGAACTTTTTTAGATCAGACCCCACTTACTGTTGCGAGTCAACACACCACAATATGTACAATACTGATGTCTTGCACAATTGAAGTCCAGAAAACTCTTCAGGAGACCATAGTTATTGAATATCCAATGACGCTGCCGTCACAACCTTCAAATCTGCTCAAATTTGATCACATCAATGGCGAAAACAAGTGTCCTTGATCAGTCGCATGACTCTTTCGTAGTTCGACCAACATGCAGCGATACTCTTATCCCCCACGTGTAGAGCTCGCCGTCATGTGTAGAGCTCCGTACCTGAACCTACCTCCTTCTATCTCCTTCACGTGACATAGCAAATGATCAGTCCTAGAACCTTACATTGTTCATATGACCTTCGAAGTTTTGGTGATTGACGGATTAGCAGATCAACAAGATCAACAGCGCATCAGGCACCAATATGGGTGTAGCGAACGGGATTGGTGGAAAAAATGCCGGCTAGGTGGGGGGGTAGCGAGAGTGGATAAACGTGTTTGTGACAAACTACATTGTAGTGGCGCTACTGAGTACATTGGACAAGTAGTACCATTCGTATTCGCTTACTTGGGATATACAAGGAATATGAAAAACTCTAAGAAAACTGCGGTGGTACCACACTCCGATACCAGCATATACAGCATTCCCTGATTCGCGACTCCAGCCAGTCGTACCATTCTTATCAAGTGGCAATCGCTGCGTGGTCTATCAAGAATCCTAACTAAACAGTGACGATCTCTTTCTGGTAATATACTTTCTGTGAAGGTTATGTGAGAAAGCCAACTAAAACTTTGATATGTCAACTATAACCAAATGGTCAAGGAAAAGGATAGAGGGTGTATACTCACTACTTGGAAACGACAGGTGAGCAAAGATCCTTATCACAAAGATCCCCTGCAGAGAACTAGTTTTTGTTGAACTTTCCATGTGTATACCTCGTGTACTTGTGCATATTTACATACCAAATCGATAGTCTTTGAAGCGATCTCCAGATCGTCAGACTTTTTACAGCTTCAAATGTGAAAGTCGAGTGAGACAAGAAGACGGGACGTTTCGGTTCAAATGAGCTGACTCTTTGAGGGTTGGCGTTGCCAAAGTGGGACTTCACTCCTGCTCTGGGGTGATCAGGGGTTGTCTCATTTCGAGGCCTGAAAGCTCAGGATGTTAAAACATGTCAAAAGCCAGACGGGAAAAAGAAAGGATATGGACATGTTCCTGAGTGTTCCTGTAGAGTGCATGCTAGCGATAGATAGATTGATACTAATGCCCACTAATTATATGGCTTCTGGCGGTTGTGTGCTGTAAATACGCCCTCGTACATCGTACAATTTGATACAGGTGTCATAACTCATCCTGAGTATGAACAAACCTATCGACTTCACTTTAACATGTCGTTTACATAGACAACAAATATTAAGCAGCAAAAGAGCCAGAATACAGCCTCGCGGATGAGCAATTTAACGCACCTGAACGATTTTTACACTACACACCTCCTGATCTACATACATCACTCACGTTAGTCGATAAGGGAATGGATAAAAAGCAAATATTCCAAATAGTGGTGGAATAAAGTAATCAACGTGCAGAGATACTCACTTAATGCATACCCACCTTGCCAGTTATTTCGCAATCTCCAGTCTCCAACCTTCCTTGCCGCACAAAGAACTCCAGCTAAGTTGTCCGTTACATCGCAAAGGCGACTTAGGCGATCTATCGGGAGTTCTCCATCAACACAGAGTTCAATGTTCTTAGCTCAAGGCTTACAAGCCAACGGTATGAGACATTGGTGTGATTGTGACGGTAGATCTGAACGACTCTTTGTGCTCGTGGGTGGGCTTTATGAGGATTGGACAAGGTATGTAACGGCTCAAACAAAGCCCATAAGGCTTATAGCGGTTATGGTACGTAGAAATTTATGTTGGTGTGATATGGTGGTTGGTTTAAAGATTTTCTTGAAGACGTCGGACTTGGAGCTTAGCTCCTAATCATATTATTGGTTGGATGAGTACGGCAAGTCCGCGGTCAGATCTAGAGGAAGAAGAATAACAATAAGGGGAACTACAGTTTGTTCTTTCGAATGTGCTTCAGCTTACAGATGCCGTCAAGTGGCGTTCGAACGTGTACAGTTTACAGTATGCCATGAGATGTTAGGTTCCTTCTCGTCGATACTATCTCGTGCTCAGAATAATACTTGGAGTGGCATGTATATGTACTGTACTCTCTCACTTTAACATTGTCTTGATCTCTTATTTTATTACATTGAAAGACTCTACATAACATGAACCATGACTAAGCACTAATTAACACTGGGCTATCATAGCAACAGCACCCGTCTACCATACGTCTCGCCGACTAAAGCAATACTAAACTCTACAACCCTGGTCTGAGTGTGCAGTTAGTTTAACATGGGATCAAATCCAGACCTCCGAGTGCTATCATAACTTGGTTGTTATGTCCAATACGAGCTCAACAGATTTGTCGGGAGATTGGAACGAGCCCTGTTGATTTCAAACATTAACAAATAAATACTTGATGGATGTTTGAAAGATTTTCCAGTATAAAAAGTAGATGATAACTACGTTACCCTCAATCTCTCGCTGTTACTGTAATTACGTGTACTTGTAGCTACGAGGAGTTCCTGATAGAAGATACCAACCCTATAAGCATCATAATCATAAGAAATGAGATATTGCCGATTATAATCCACCATTGGTCTGTAGCTAACTCTCAGTGGCTCTCTTCAATAGCCATCTACAGTAACCCCTTTCATTGACTCTACATCAGCACATGAACCGCTCGTAAAAGAGACCGCACAAGTGAGACAGTCGCTCTGCAGCCAGATATACGAAGGTCTAAGCGTGAGACATGGCGTGGAGTGTAAATACGCGTATTACTTGTCGTGTGATCTGAGTAAAGGGGATTTATTTGTAGATGAATAATATCTCTGGACGAACTGCTGGCTGTGTTATTGGATATGCAAAAGGATGAAGATTGATGAAGATGTTACTGTGTGCCTCCCTACTTTGTAAGGAGGTGCTCGTAGATGCATGTCAGAATTGACAGTGATGGTAGATACAACAAGCAGAACTTGATGTCTCAGCACTGCTTGATTGGACGTTCTATATATCCTCGTAATTGTCACAATCTCACGAGTGTAACCATTCTCATTAATTTTCACTACTGACAAACCTCTATGAACCCAACTCGCAGCCGTCAGAGAACCACGGGAGTAACCCCTTCGTCCCGATAAATGAATCGACATTACCCGAAGACTCGCAATTATCCGACCTCTTGTCGTCACGTGATCACCCCACCAAGGAACAAGTCTCATCGCATCTTAACGACTTGTAAAAAATGTTCGTTAAGTCGTGTGCAGATGTTCCAAACTCAAAGTTTAAAATCTAGACTGCTTTTTCTCAGCCTGTATGCCCATGCAGAACGAGACAGGTTACCGGTACCGTTCGGGACTTGATGCCTGTTACGTGAAAGAAAAACTAAATAATTTATCTCACTCACCTCGTCCTTACAATCATTAATATAGTTTCCACTTTTTGCCAGCTCCATTTCTTCATCCTTGAACTACATCATCCCACATGTTAACACTTAGCTCAACCTCTGAGTGCGTCATGTTATGCTAAACCCTCGCTCTTGCGTGCATTATTCTGCTTGGTGGCATGCATATTACAAGTGCATGAGGTGGGGAAGTGGGGCTGATAACTGTTTTAGTGGAGGGACCAAGGAAGGGATGATGGACATATGCTCGTAAGTGGGTTGCAGGATAAGATGGGTCACGTGATACGGGAAGTAACGGCTTCCTGGCGTCATTGTTGCGATAGCGCGAGTTTGAGGTTTCATCGGAGTTGCGGTGATATACGGTCGCCCAAATAGCCCAGATTATAAAATCCAATTGGTGAAGGTCACGAGATTGAAGTCTTGGTTACGGATTCTACGAGCCACTCTGTATCCTGGTCCGGCCCAGATGTCAGTTTCTTCTCGTGACTCCTTGTATTTCCCCACGAGTGCAACCGCGAGGCTCCACATGTGCTAGGTGTTCTAGGTCGTTACTACTTTTACCAGGCACAAAGAGCTGGCCAAGTACAATAAGGATGACATCTTGGCGTCTGACGTTGTGGGGTAGTGGAGGGTAGTAGAGGGGGTTATATTGGTGGGCAAACGAAGTTTCGGGCTTCTGGAAAGTGCGTTTTGCAACTGTTGACGAGGAAACCCATCTGGTGGTCTTGGATATCCGTAGTGTTTTCTATAGCCCAAGTTTTAAAGACGAGTATGTACACTGTACGACGTAGTTGTAGTTTCCTCTCACATCCGTCACATCTGCGAGCGCCAGTAGCTGTACAACATACGGTTGAAACATATTGGCAGGTGAAACAGAAAACAAGCCCAGTGCCAACGTCATATTCATTTGAGACCAGGTGCGGCAGGTGGGTGTACGGTTACAGCAGAGAGAAATAATATTGCAGGCTTTTGGGTGGTAGCTATCTCGTTATTCAACCCCAACTAACTACTTGGTGGAGGTTAAAGTTGTACTTGAATGGCGCTAAGTATTGTCCAGTAACAAGGAGCCTAAGCAACGTAACAGTTGAACGACGACAATGACAAATGACCTCAAATGCCACCTCGTGTACATGCTCATCTCATGACAAGGATCCCATGTGGTTCAAGGTTTTCTTTTTCCGGGTCGTTTTAACCCTTATTCGTCCTTTTGGTGCTGGTATTTCCCTTGTCGAACAACTTGTTTTATCTCGCACCAGCTTTGTTCGGAACGGAACCTACCAGAGTCACCGCTCCTAAAGTTAGCCTTCTAGCTCCTTGCTTTGGGTGGTGAGACAAAAGGCGTAAATAGACTCGTTGCGGGGAATTATGCCAAACGCCTGAGAACAGTCTATCGGAGAGTCCAGGAGCAGTGGAGTCACGTGTACAAGCTCCTGGCAGCGCGCCACCTGCTGCGGATACCCCACATCAGTTTGGAAATTGCGTTACCACACTCCTTCCCTGACTTACCCGGCCGAAGCTAACGTCAGGAACACAACGTCTTCCCCGCCCACACTTGAAAAACCCAAACGAACGTGATTGCAAGAGAGGAGGGGAGCGGGGAGCGGGGAGAAAAATGCGGTGGTATATTGCTGGGAATTCTCACAGATACAATCCCAGGCTATGTGCTCTCGTAGTCGCTACCGCAACTGTCGCCACTTGTACAAATCGAGTTCGGGCTCCGTGGAAAAAAGTTAGTGTCTCTCGACGATCCTGTCGATCAGCGGGGAAGAATGTAGTCCGGGGTAGTTTCAATTAGCCAATACCGTTTTATGAGAGTGTAATTGGAAAGAGAGCAAGAATCGGAGTAAAAGGAGAAAATGGAAACTCATCTCCGACCCCGACGGATTTAACTGGTTTCACGTCAAGCGTGGTGGTTTTTTCCGGTCCGTTTACCGTGCTCTATTGTCTCATCCTCTTACGGTATCATACATTACTGGTCTCGATCAGTATCATGAAACGGCCCGATTAACAGAAGACACGGAGAAAAGCCATCTGACATAGCTGGATATTGATGCCACACGTATTCAAGGCGTGCTGTTCTACAAGACAATAACTACAGTATCCAACATCCCAGACGATCATCAAAAGGCGCCACTGTCATTCCTCTACAGCCACTTTTACCGCACCACAACCAATCTCTTCGCTAATAGGCGCGCTACTTGACCTGACCCTGTCATGGTTGTACCTGCCAGCCCAGACGCTTCCTCACCCACGAGCTTGTTCTCTCGCAGCCAGCTACCACCCTGCAAACCCTATGTGTAAATTCCGCATTACCCATGACAACCTTGTGCGCTTAAAGTTTGGCTAACAAGCAGTTGTACGAGGTGAGACAGGATGTGTTAGGAGCTAGTGGCGGCGGTGGAGCTATGTGTATTATGTAATCACGAGATGGGTGTGCTATTCGAAGCTGTTTCTATCTCTAAGTTTTCGTTGGTGCCTGGTAGCCTACCAGCTGATCAAGATCGACAGCCCTACGTTTATCAGGCTACTTCTAGTCACGAGGTCAGCAAGCTTGACAGAGTTGAAGGTAAAAGGCGTGAGCCTTGAGAGAAAAAGAAATAGAGGGAAGAAACAGCCAGAGTATGCCGTCCCCATGACCTCCTCGATATGGTTAAACTTGCAAGCTCATCCCCCGGGGAAGTCAAGCACAAGACCCTGAGCTGTACAGCATGTATAGTCTGTTGTTATGTCCGGGGTAGTCATGTATTGACAGCTCTTGCTAGATATTCAGAGTTGACAACTACTTGTGCAAGTACAGTACTTCTACGAATGCTAGTACGATACCGTACAAGTCGGTATTTGTCGTCTTCACCCGAGGTCTCACTTTCAGCTCTACAGTATCGCCATGTTCATTGTCTTCTGTAAGGTACATACAAGTGGTGCTGTCCACTTCCGGAGACGCACAATGAGTAACAACTACTAGTGGATACTTACATCCACATGTACGCCGGATTGATACAACCGTACCTACATTAGCACTATCTCCGGGACTCCATATGCAATTTGAAAGTCGTTTTCTCGTCTCCTTAGCCATATTTTCGCCAGCCGAGGTTGCAAAGTCGTATTTTCATCTGACGTCTTGGCGCGCGTCCAGCAGAAGCCCACTCCAACTGCACGCGTTAGACAAGCAAAACCAAGTACATACCGAGTACATACAGGTTGGCAATCAACAAAGAGTATTCGAGTACCAAGAGTCCAGGAAGGGGTACAGATGCGAGGTGGAGATGATCTGTTCTCTGCAAAATAATATCGTGAGTGATTAATAAGAGAGCGTCCCGAAACGGAAACAGTACCTAGCAAATGCAACTGTTCCTGAAAGCTAGAGACGTTGCAACGTGAATCGATATCACACTTTTCTCTCCTACTACAAGTTTACTTTAATTGAACAACTCGTGGGCTCTAATTCTCAACTTGTTAAGATAATGATAAATATATTGTTAGATGCTATCCTCCCTGTGTACTGAGCCCTTCTGCTCGTATATAATAATGTGTCATGTGGTACAACGCCGTGTTGTACAAGAGTGCCTGCCTCTATTCTTGTGAGATGGGTTGATTACCTCGAGGTCTGGGTGGTCTCGTACACCGACGAAGCCCCGCTAAAGGTACCCAGTCTCACTCGATCGAATATGCTCTTGCTGGACTTACTGCTTCCCGCGCTTTTGTTACTTTTCTGGGAAGCCACCGATCGCGTGCTCTGCGAACTGCTCATGACGGCAGTTGCCTTGGGCAGGCTCTCCTTGAGTTCTCGCTGGATAGCCAGGGTTCGGGCTCGAGCCTCCGACCAAGATCGCGAGTTGATGTAACTCCAGCCGGCCAGGTCGGGTCGGGCTGTCTGAATGACCGTGTCGAAGGAGATTTGAGGGTCGTAATTCTCAGCCCAGTTGCAGATTCTCTTGAGCGCGTGCTCAATGTTGAAGGGGTTGCCAGTGAGCTCACACAGAACACAGTAAATCTTCATGTACTCGAGAGGCTCGGAAAAGGCGGCAGGATGGAGGTTGACGAGGGTCTCCAGAGCAAGCTGGTGGCCTGCCATGTCTCCGAGATCGTGGAAGGCGGCGTTTCGGAATCGCTGGTACCAGTTGACTCCGTCGCCGCCTCGAACGCCCTTTCGGGTGAGCTCCTTCCACACGAGGTCCACAGGAGGAAGGGGGGAGCAGGCAGCAGCCCACTTGTCGAGCTCGATTTCGGCACGGTTCATCCATCGCAGCCACAGAACAAAAGATCGCTGGTCTCGGATCTCGGGCACGTTCACCCATGAAGAGGTGACCATCATCAGTTGTTGTTCGGCCTGAGGATGCACGGGGCCGTCTGTGGGAAGGTAGGGCATGGCTCTGACCTGGCCTCGCAGAATGTACTTGCCCAGCAGTTCGCAGCCGTGTTTGTCGTTGTATTGGTGGGTCATGGTGATGATTTGGGGACGTTGTTTGAGGGCTTCGAGGGAGGGTGGAACCAACTTCTTATATGTGGGCGCATGGGAAGAGTGGCATCAGCTGCATACCTGGCTCGCTTATTTTGTGAAGTTTATCAGACAATAGCGTTCAGGTGGGGGGGGAGGAGGGGCGGAACATATTTTTGCAATAGAGAAGAATTTGGCAAGTTTTAGGATATATATTAGAGCAGAATACTTCTCTCAGTATGAAGTCCAATTTTCCCGTTATTTCTAGCCCTCCAACAACCCGTTTTACACCCCTTCATTTACTCGGAAAACTAAACACTCTAACTAAGTATCTCCCTCTATCACTTTGCTTTCTTCCTACCCCACTTTTGGCCCAAATAGCTCGCAAAAGGACTTATAACAGCTTCTCGAACCCGTCCTGACTTTGGGGGATCAATCTAGGGTCTCTTGCGCATTCCTTGACTCGATTTACCCCCAATATACTACTACCTGAATGTACAAAAAACCGCCAATTACACTTTGCACACGTAAAGTTTTTCCCACCTGTTCTGCTGTTTTTTCTTCCTCCTTCTATTTTTCGTTTTTTAGCCTTCATTCCCATTTTGTGATTCTGTCCAAACTTAGTTGGACCAGCGTTTGAGTTTGCTTTTGCAATTTTTTTCCTTTTACCTCTCTCCAAGGAAAGCCCAAACAACAGCCCTGTATACAACAGACACAGCCCCAGAAAATGGGGAAGGTCGAGGGGCAGATCACGTGACCCAACCCAAAGCTCCCGACATGTGAAACTCAGTGGAGATGACGGGGGGAGGGGGGATACGAGCCCATGAATATGTATAGTGCGGGAGCGGCTGGGAACTAGTCGAGGGGGAAACGATCGAAAAGACGATCTTAATGACCTTTCCGTATTACCAATAGCCCAACTTTTCTCTCACTTTAAGTCTCTATGAAGGTGGTCACACGACACGAAAACGTTAGCATCACTGAGTATAACGTAGTTCAATGTCAAAAGTTTGCACCGAAAAGTTTTACTAACAGACCACAAATGTCCGTCGTCACGTGAGTTCGGACTGATTCGGACTCGATCACTACAGTGTCGAGGGTTGTGTCAGTCGGTGTCAGTTGGTGGTCTCGATTATGAGTCAATGATCACCGGCTAGTAGACACTGGGTTCCACGGACACCTAGTGTGATTGTTGAGACAACTATTCGAATTTTGTCGTCGTGGCTCGATTGGCGGTCTTTATTTTCATGCCCTCCACTACAATACCAATAGCCGGGTCCGGTTCTGTGGTAACATGTCTCGATCGCCAGTCCCGTCCGAACTTCCTATTTCGCATACGGACGCCAATGACACCTTCCGTAAGTCCAAATAGGGGCCGATGCTTGCGCTTCTTCTCCGGCGCTTCTTCTCCGGCGCCAACAGAAAATCGGTAGCGAGTACGCCAAACGAATACGATAGATGGAAGCGAGAGCATCTCGATAACACTACCGATTGGGGACAAATGGAGTGATCTTGATTGAAATTTCAGCTGTTCCCCCTTTCCATCCCGCTCTACGGTCAACCTGCCAAGCGCCGGTTTTTCCGGTCGATCGACAGATCTGCAGATCAGCAGGGACGTGGAATGACAACACGTCGTCACTGGTGAGGTTAGCAGGGTTGGGAGGAACAGTAGAGGAGGTACCAGGTTTGATATCAGCGGCCAAGCTTAGTATTTTGGTCAATTTGCGATCTTTCAGCTCTTGAACTACAAGCTGGATCCCTCTCGATCATGTAACTTCAACGAGGCTGGAGACTGTAGGGTTGACACTAATTGGTGAAGTAGAGTTCTGTAGCCTCGTTGGATGTGGTTAAAGATCGGCATGGTGCTGTTGGCGCTGTGACTGGACAGACCGTATCAGTCGTACAGCATTTGAGAAGTTCGAGTGGAGTATCTCTGAGAGTCAATATTGAGGGACAAGAATTGTAGCCCACTTGACGTCGGAGAAATGATTAAGACCTTCCTAATGTAGAAAACGTGAAAATGTCACTGACACTGATCGTTGAAAGTGCGCGGACTCCCTCCAACGTGTTTGCGCAACGGAGAATCATGTCAAATGGGGCTTCCAGAAACCTGCCTGATGCGCCCTCGAGCGACTGGAATAGGAAGTTGTAATAAAAAAGAATCGTTAAGACGACGGTGGAAAGTTCCCGATGAAAAATTCTCACATTCAGTTTGGAAAGTCGACTCTTGAATAAACGGAGCTTGTGGTGGAGAACGCGCAGTGTGCGGTGGGGATGGTGGAGACAGTTGTTTCGTATCTAAACGTGAAATAAATGGGTACAATATACGAGATGTTAGACCCACAGGAGTCATGTGATGGAACTAGTAGGTTAGGTGGATAGCCTGGACTATATTGGATCTGGTGGTGGATAAAGTGAAGTGAGGGAGTTCACAGGGTGGGCAGATAGCAGTTGGTTGGAGGGTGTATTCGAAGAGACGTGAGAAAGATTAGATAAGCAAAAGGTGGTCTTAGATTTTAAGTATACATACAGGCCGATAGTCGACTGCTAGATTACTGATTAATGATAATTCCTAAGGTCTGTGTTTATCGGCCTACTCTATCATATTCAGGACCCTTAGTTTTAGATCGAAACGTTGATGCCGATTGTGAAGTTCAGTCAAGGATTCAAAACTGTCAGATAAACATGCAGATGTAGTCTTGGTCCCTTATATTGGAGCTTGAGCCTACGAGTAATCCAGCGCGAGGATCGCTCTTGAGAGATGGTTTTTGCGACTTCGCAAAAATGGAAGCATGGTATGACAGCAAGTTATGGTCTTCGATCTGGTGCCAGTACTGATTAACAGATGTCTTTTACTGGTGCTGTAGTAATACTACTGTTCGTACACCGTACTTGTAGTAATGTATGTAGCATACATGTGCTTTTAATGTCGTTGCTATCCTTGAAAACAAGAATCAGAGATACGCCACAGAATTATCTGTACCCGTACACTCTAGTATCGTACATAACTGCTTGCAATTATATCACACTTGCTAATGTATACGGGCTATACGGGCTCTTTGTTACCCACCTTGAGCTTGCAATAATTGCAACATCGTTCACAGGTGGCATTCAGTACAATAGTCTTGCCAGAACTCTACGAGTACACTGCCCTTCACGGTCATAGTCATATAAATTAATTAGTTATAGAGTCCTGTAGTCAGATATGAACCAGAACCTGTTCAGAAGTGCTGTGCTCTTCAAGTGCTCTTTTTCTTCTTCTTCATGATACGTCTTTGTTCCAGTGCTCTCATCTTGAGTTCGATCTTGGCCTCAATCCACATATGCACGACCTTATCGTTCCACTCTCTGAGATCCAGGTCGACTCTCTCAATCTCTCGATCAAATGCACTTCGAGGCTCCCTACTGTTAGTGAAAACGCACATCTTATCAAGGGCATCTAGAATGTTGTAATGGCTATCGGTCATCTCACAGAGCATGCAATAGACCCGTAAGAACTCAAGGGGCTCGAAGCACGACTGGGGGGCAAGCATAATGAGAGTCTCGAGGGCCACTTGGTGTCCTCGCATAGGCCCAAACTTGTCGAATGCAGCCTGTCGTCTTCGTTCAACCCAGGAGCCCGTCTCAGAGCCCGACGCTCCTCCAAAATGCACAATTTCGGCCCAGGCAGAGTCCAGGGACTGTGGGCCAGCTTCACAGATCTGAATTTCGGCAGCATGGAACCACAGGCAGTATCTGAGGAATGAGAACTGACACTTGACCTGGGGAGCTGGGGTGATGAACTTCTCTGTGTGCTTTCGGGTGAGTGTAAGGTTGGGAGCAGTCTTGAGGCATGTCAAGTTGCTCAGATGCAGTCCCAAGATGGTCTCTCCAAGCTCCTTTGAATCATTCCAGGTGTTGTATGAGTACATGTTGGCGGTGTGTAATGAGTGCTCGTCTAATGAGTGTCTGTGTTGTTGATCCGTGTCAATGTTGCGATTGACGAGTTTCCGTCTGGAATGATGGTGGATAATGGACGTCTGAACTTCGTTGAATCAGCACAGGTCCCCTTTACTGTTATGTATATATATATATTTTTCATTTCATGGGCCATATTCACAAAACAGACTATTATCTCCGATGGAATGAAGTTAACTTTAAGACCTCGATCCAGGAGGGATTATAGTCGAGTTCACGACATGCAAAGCTGGTAATTAGTAAAGTTGAGTGTGAAATTTTTACAGTGAGCCGTCATAATCGATACCATGCTTCTAATTCTACTATATCTCATCTTCCTCACCAAGTTGATGGCATCTCAAATCAGCCCCCTAAACCCAAACGCGTAATACAGGAATGCACTGGATCAAAAGATATGCAGAGCAAACCTGAAGCAGCCAAAAGAGTGTTGGGCATGGACTGGACAATGGGCCTATATAAACGGGCACAACATTGACTGGAATGGAAAAAAGACCTCTCCAAGTCAAGATACAAACTGTTTCATTGACACTGACACTGGCTGAATCAAGACCGTCTTCTCTCCACGTCTTAATCTCCCTTCCGGACATAACGGACATTGCAGATGATGATGCATCTCAAGGCGCATCTTCCTGCGTGAAAAACGCGTCGAACGGCTAGCCAGATTACGGTAGAATGTAAGGGCAAAAAAGGCGGGATTTTACGTGTTGCACGTGCCAAGTCTTACGCGATTATTTTGGTCATCCTCAATTCCACGTGACTTCCCCAAACCGACTCCTATGAGCCGTATTGATCTCTCAACCATACTCCCCTTCCCCGGTTACGGTTTAAGACATGCAGTAAGGAGTCGATAATATGCGATACAATCAGAAGGTCCAAAAATAACACCAAAACAGACCGTTCTCGACCCGTTTGGGACAGCAGAAGACGACACTGGCGATCCTCGCGTGGTTGCAGATGAATTTGATTGCAAGTGAGTCGCACCATCAGTAAGAGTGGGCCCCTCCACCCTCTCCTTTTGTCATCAGGACTAGAGAGAGGTGATGGCATGGGACATGGCTGTCATACAGTACAAGCAGCTGCTACTTGTACTGAAATTCGAAAAATACATTTGCTTGCAGCTATAATATCACTGTGTTTTGGTTACACTCATTTTACTCATGTTTGATCACAGCCCATATTGCTGTCTGTACTGCCACTATGGTATGTTGTTCCTGGATCTGCTTTGATGATCAACTACGAGTACAAGTATGTAAGTATGTACTGTAGCTACTTGTAGATGTTACTGTATTTACTGCACTTGTTTACAGTCCAGAGATACTCTGGGCACAGATTCAGTAGCGAGCATTCGATTGCATCTAGATCTGAATTGATGTCTTACACAAGGGCTGCGATTTAACAAACTACACTATGTACTCGTAAAAGTAAGTACATACTGTAGTTACAATGTACTTGCACGTATATCATAGCTACTTGTACATATACCGTAGTTACATATATCGGTTTACCTATGGTGGATCAATATTTCACCTATACTTGTACTCATGCTTATCATTATTCCTGTCATATACCAACCCATGCATTTCCATACATTCATCTATATATACACCCCCGTACATACTCGTACATATGAGAACTATTACTTTTTGCCTAGCTTGAGCCATTTGGGAGTACCGGTCATCTTCCTTTTGGGCTTGGCCTCAGTAGTAGAGGGACCTCCAGAGGAAGGAACATCTCCCTTTGTATCACTCTCTACCGGCTTGGGGGTCTCCACAACAACTCCAGGCTTCAACACAGCCTTAGAATCAAACTTGGCTAATCCTGGGAATTCAACAGTTACCAAAGTGTTGGTAAGAAAACCCAGGTCAGTCATCAAGCGCAGAGAAACGTCGTTGAGCTCCTTACGAGGATAACTCTGCCATAGTCTGAACTTCTGATCTCCTCCCAGGACATTGTTGACGGTATCAACCATAGAACCCACCGTGTCATTCTTTGAGTACTCTGTCTCTACATAGACTCCATCAGGGAATCTCAGTCGCACCTTGACACTTCCCAACTGGTTGATTTTTGCCTGCCTCTGCTGATCTCGCAGCTTTTCCGTCAAAAGTGTGCTTCCACTCTTATTGGTGCCTCCAGTCTTGCGGATGGTGCTGATATAAGCATGTGCATGAGCAGTAGTTGGCTCAAAGTCATGATCGTCAGTAGGCACAGTTGATTTACCTGCCTCGAAAACCTTGACTGATTTGGAAGCAGGGTTCTCGCTTTCATTGGCCTGTTCATGGCCATCCATGAACTCGACATTGTAAGTTCCCTGTCTGATATAACTCTCCTGGTCAACCTTATGGCCATCTTCAGCTTCGCGGATGTCCAGCTTTCGCTGGAAGTTGATACCCGATTTCTGCTGGAAGAAATCGAGCATTTGCCCGATCGTCGTAGAAGGGGGGAATTGTGAGTGCAGAGATTCGCTGAAAGAGGGCGGTAGCGAGACCACAGATAGAGAGGCGTTCACAAGCAGCTTCTTGGGAGCTGCAGTAGAGGAAGTAGTAGAGGCTGGGGCTGTTGACGGAGTAAACCCATGATCAGGTTGTGTGGTGCTGGTCTGAGGAGAGTCAGTAGACTCGGTGGCATCTTCTGGTGTCACAGAGACTGGAGACAGCATATTGTTCTGAGGCGTTGCTGGAGCAACCACCTTGTTCGTTTCTGAGGTAGCCGGTTGTGTGGCGACTGGTGCTGGTGATGCAGTCTTCTTCGCGCCCAATCTCACGAGCTCCAGCTTCTGTCCCTGCGCAAAGTTTGCCAATCGAACAGTATCGTTCAAATCAAGCAGGGTGGCGGCGGGTTTTCTGCCTGCAGCCAGGGTTGAGGTCTTTTTTAGTCCAAAGTTGCCCTCCAACTGGAAATGAGTCACAGCCTGATCTCTAAGAGTGGTCAAAGGCATCATTGGAGTTGTGGGCAGCTTCACAGACTTGAAATTCCACGTTATCGTCGTCATTGTCGCGTTTGTATTGAAAGCGTAGTCTGTAGACAGTATTTTGGACACCGATATTGGAGATGACAATAAAGTTGGGGTTGGGAGAAATATACTGTAATATTAGGAAGAAAGGTGTGGAATATAGAGATATCGCTTGTACTGTACGTGGATTTTGTGGAAGATTTCATGTGTGAAGAAAGTGAGATGTGGGTATCATTGAATATCAGCAACTGAGGAGACTAGGTCGATTTGCTTCAATAGTCAACCTGATCTTCTATTGTTACGGTTGACGGGTACTAGAAGTTTCTAAGATTCCGTCTTATGAAACTTATTTTGGTGATTTACTTGAAGGGAATGACAAGAGACGATCGAGTGAGTATTTTGTTTATTCTGTGGATTTAATAGCTGTTCCAATGGAATCATTTAGTGTGTCAGTCACTCTGAGTCAGATGTATTCCCTCTTTTTTATATATGTATCACGTAATTACTTGTACTCATAATTTTTAGACACAGCACCTACCAAGTCGTTGAGTGAAGCTGGACAGTACATACTGTAGATCAGAATAACTTGATAGGATGTGGATATGATTTCTGAAGGCTTCTTAAGTTACATTTTTATTTTACGGAACTGTTTTATGATGCTCTATCAGCCCTTTTTGTCTTCTGTCACCCAACAAGGTGGGCTACTGTAGCCTTCGCGGCACATTTCTCAGATGAAGGGACTTTCCAGGGACCAACCATTGGGTTCAATATTGGAGCCATCTCGGTTTTAAAAGCTGAATTGTGCTCTGTTTTCTACATGTAAGTTGGTGAATGTAACAGATTGTTCGCAGCTCCTGCATCCATCCTCATTGACACCCACCAATGAGCATAGTTTGGCTACACCACTGATGAGTACACTGTACCGTAACTGTACCTGCCGGCGTACTTCAAAAGACGTGATATTGATCTGAGAGGTTAGCTGAAAAACTAAATCAACATGCAGCCTTCTTCTTTTCCCGAAAAGTCACTCATTTTCTCGCAGGTGTGCCCATTAGCAAAACACAGACTCTCCAGCCCTTCCTCATAGAGTTCAAGCGTCATCAATTGGGTATCTGACCATACTGTACTATATCTTGGCCAATACAGATGATGAGTAAATTCTGAAAAGCGCATTCTTTTCTAAGTAGACTAGAAACTTGATTTCCTTACTCACCCCAACCCCATATACGCGTACATGCCACCTGAATGTCACTCAGGGCATAATACCCCACCTGTGGATAAACTCTATTCTTCCCCGGATATCTCCCACAGTGACCTCTCTTCTATCACTGTCACCTAACACACAACACACCAAACACAATGGCGACGCTTGCAAGGACGGCCAAGATCTTTGGACTCTCGCTCGTTGCTGGAGCTACTGCCATGACCGGGTACCACTTCGGTGCTCTGGGGCGTCATGAGCTGACTTATCCGGTTGCTACCGAGAAGGATCATTTTCACTCCAAGGAGAGCACCTTTCTTCACAACAGTCAATTCGCCAAGGAGCTGCGGGAGAAAGGTTTTCGTGAGACCCGTTTGAGTGAGAAGATTCCTCTGGAGTACTCTCGAGGATTCCTGGAGTCGTTTCTGAAGAAGCCTGGATACCTGACCGTTGATCCACTGCTGTTCTACAAGCGGTGTGATGACGGAAAGAACGGTGTCATGTATGCATTTCTGCACGTCGGCGACCATTTAAACGGACACACTGGAATCGTGCATGGTGGTTTCCTGGGCACCCTGCTGGATGAGTTTGTATGTCTGGGGGCCTTCCCCAGCCTGCCCTCTCAGCAGTACGGAGTGACTGGCACCCTGGAGATCAATTACCGACAACCAGTTCGAGAGAACCAGTACCTCATGGTGCGAGTGGAGACTAAGGACATTCAGGGCCGAAAGGTAATTGCTGACGGATCTATCGAGAAGTTTGAGGGAGGTGATCTGTGGGAGAAGAAGAAGCAGAACGTGCTTGCTGAGGCTGAGCTGGTGGTCATTGAGCCCAAGTGGATTAAGGAGATGACTCAGTACTTTAAGAAGAAAGACGAGTAGTAAGGATCTGGAGATGAAGGCAGTGTTTTGGCTACTGGACTCAAAGTCTGCTCGCTCAGTCAGAGAGAAGCTACCACGTGAGCAGCAATGAGGTGGGACAATAAGTGACCATGTCTGTTTTGTTAGATGTGTAACAATGTTTTTAATTTGTTTATGTGACACTGGCGGGACATGTTGTCTCAATGGGAGATGTCGATATAGAAGCTACGAGTAGCGAACTGCGAGGCGTTCAGGTCATACCGGAGGCCTATTGTAGGAGGTGTGAGGAGGATGAAATACTTCAGCTGTATTCAGCTACCCTAATGAATTTGCTGAAACTGAAATATTAGATCCTTCAACAGAATCATCATATCCTCAGGCTTGCCTGGTCCCTTTTAGGATTGAGCTCACACAGATGTCTCTTATCCGTCATACAGAATTTGAAACGGTATAGTCAGTAAAAAATTGATAACCACTTACAGTCTACTGTATCGTACCAAAGCATCAATGTTCTCCATGAATTTTCACTACAACTACAAGTAGCTTCCGTTACAAAGAATGCGTGTCTGAAACACACTATAGACCATTTATTTAGCCTTCTAAAGTCACCAAAAATATATGTTGTGTCGAATTTTAGAAGTTATAACATTGTACCACAAGTTCTCGAAAAACGTCTACTCATCTCGCTCCTTACTGTTCCACAACCCCCTCCCAAGCCCTTCATCACCACCGATTAAACTTCGGCCTTATCGAAAATAAGCTCATGGTTGTACATATTTTGATGCATATTTCTGTCCACCTAATTTTTTCCTCACCACATCATGATCCAGATCAAACGCATCAACGACAAGTATCTGGTGTTTAAGGTAGAGGACATCCGGTTTCTCCGGCAAGAGCATCTCATTGGAGGCACGTTAATCGGTACGCTACCTCAAATCCCCCAACAGAATGTCTTCTGTGGCCTGCCACTGCAACTGTTCAAGGAAGAGGTGATATTTCTGATGAAGAATGGAATTGCAGAGGTTGTGGACGATAGTGCAAGTCATGTGACAGCCCTTACTTCCCAAACGCCTGAAGATATCGAAAACTACGAAAAACAACGCCATACAGCCCAGCAACTGCAGATCAAGGAGTATACAGAGGGTATGCTTGAGCGACGTCGGCAGGCTCTTGAGAAGAAGGGAATGAGCGGGAAGATTGACAAGGAGGTTGTGGTTGCTACTGATAACGCCATATCATACGTCACTGATGCTACCACTACAAATGAGACGCTGGAGGGATACAACATGTTCAGCAAGGAGAATGTGCTGAGCGACCTGCTAGAGCACGTGACTTCGGCTCAGTATTATATCTTCAACTTTTTGCATTCCCGAGGGTATTTCTTGTCACCTGGCCTGCGGTTTGGAGGCAATTTTTTGGCATACCCCGGAGACTCCGTCAGATACCACTCCCATTACATTGCTATTGGCAAGGAGTATGAGGAGAAATTCCCCATCAAAAGTGTTATTGTTGGAGGAGGGCGTCTTGGAACTAATGTAAAGAAGTGTCTTGTTCTTGGGGGAGAGAATGACGAGGGTGGGGACAGTGTGTATTGCATTGAGTGGAGTGGTTTTGGTTAGATGAAGAGTGGGTGACAATGTACATACTATAATGAAAAATGATAATAAAAAGCTGAGGGATCTGATTGGGTTGTTGCTACTTATAATATAGATCGTTGACAAAGACCGCAATGTTTTCTTTAAGAAACCTTTGTGGTGTTGTTTATAGGTTCTTTTACAATACAATGTCAAAGGGTTTGCCATATGATCTTCATTTTGGTGTCGTATGAAAAATTACGGCGAGGAGATGAAACCATCAAGAAAAACAACTGTTGACGTTCACCAGATATACTGTAGAGCTTCTTTGAGCTTCACAAAAGCTGTCGCTTCCTACAAAGTACAAGTACAAGTACAAGTACATAGATATTCCTGCTCACACCAGAGCCCACCTTGATGCAGCATGTATTTGTACAGTAGCCTTACACGTACAATAGGAACAAACAGAGAAGTGTGGTGATGTCGTCTTCTCCTGCCGACTACAGCAACGTAGTAAATCCCTTGTTTCCACGTGACCATTCAGTCGATTTTCGTTTTCGTTTTCCTTAACCATTCGTCTAAGCTCTCACCATCAAGCTTGCTTGCGGCTATACGCTGTTTTTGGAATACAGTCTACGAACATTAACTACTGTACGATAGCTATGATACTGTATTACAGTAGTCTCGGGAAGAGGGACTCGTACGCCCGTCGCACTTTGGAGACTCGATATGAAAAATGGAGAAAATTTATAAGATAATAAGCAATGGTATCAGAACTACTTATAGCTACAAGTACCCTCGATTTTACCATTGGCATTATTTTGACCACAACATTTTCAGGATTTACCTCATCAAGTGCACAGCCAAATGTGGCTTGAATATGTTCGTCGAGGGGCCTCTTCAGAGGCAAAGCCCCGGCGACTCATGGGGCTCACACAGCCAAGCTATAATCGGCGCCACACCTGGAGCGCGGTTAGCGGAGAAGCAGAAGAGGAAGTGAGATATATGGTGAATAAATGAAGCGTTGAATGAGGGAAGAGTGAGATATTCAGAAAATGAATGTGTGTTTGCAGCATGGTACGATACATGAAGCACCTTACTGTAGTATGCACCGCACAGAGACGACTCTCAACCAACTATTGTGTCATTGCTGTCAGCTCGATTATGACACCAGCCCCTGTAACTAAAGTGAGCCTCATTCAGCCATTTAGTCCGTGAGTCGCAAAGACAGCTGCCTCGAAAAGACCCCAACCAAAACGAGCAAATGTGGCTTGACCAAAGTGGAGGAAATAGCGGACATGTAACACTTGACTTGACTAGCCCGGGTTTGCTTTTGATAACAGATATTATGTGGCGTGTGTGATAAAAACAGACCCACAATGGGTGTATCGCCGTGTCTCGGCTTGATTTCAGCCCAAATGTCTTTTCCCCAGCCAGTGCGATCTCCACTTGGATCCTCCCACCTACCCCATAATCTCCACTCCAGATCATCATGCCCACCGCCCTTGCAGTAGCTTATCTGAGGTGTGTATCAAGCAACAACCAAGCATTGCTACTGTACGATACTGTAGTCCCTGGCTAAGCACCAGTACGCCACACACTTGACAAACACATGACACTACAATATTCACAAACACTTGGCAACACAGCCTGTTACACATCCATGGTAATTATTACACACTTCTTTCTCCGTTCCTTGGCTCCCACGCAAAGGTTTCATTTCATCTAGGTTGGTGCCGAGATTCGAACTTACAGTATTGAACTTACCACCGAAATAGAAACAGCCTAAAAAATGTTCTGGCGAGTAGGAACCCCACCATATCCGCTTCCCATACAAACCATCGGCCCCACAAGCCGTTATATAGCACTTTTGAACCACAAACACGGTGTTGTGCTTTCTCCAGAAGACCCCCGAAAAAGTGTAACATGGTTAAGATTCCCTTTCGGTCGATTTCGGTTCATCTTATGGGGTGCTACAAATCGGATTATTATGAATGTAACGTCTTAGCAGGCTCGGTAAAGTGTTAACAATCTCGTCAGCAACGGGCCAAGACTCCAACTTCATCAGCCAAGTCTCTCCAATCTTAGGAGCAGTTCCATTTCCGTCCTATTCATATTTCAAACTCTAAAAAGCACCCCATCTGTGGCGTCCCTGTCTCATGTCCTCCAGCCACACTCATTTCATGTGGACAGAAGGATGACAAAAATCACAGTCTTTGAAAGCGCTTATAACCCATCCAATATGTCAGAATCCGTATACCAACTTCTTTCAACATGGCTTTGAAGCACGAACTTCCGCAAGGTGCGGGCTATGGAATGGTGATTGGCATCGGCTTCGTTTTCGCAGCTGGAATTGTCATCACCATGCGAATCGCCAAAAGATACCTCAATGAGCACGCGCAAACCTCAGAAATGTTTATGGTTGCCAATCGATCTGTTGGAGTCGGCCTAACCGCCTCAGCTGTGTTTTCGTCTTGGATGTGGGCCACTGAGACCTTGTGGGGTAGTGTTGTGGGCTACAACTTTGGAGTCAGTGGTCCCTTCTGGTTCTCGGTCGGTCTGGCGTTCCACATCTCACTCATGTGTGTGGTTGGAATCCAGGTCAAGCTCAAGGCTCCCAATGGACACACAATGCTGGAAATTGTCAAGTTCAGGTACGGAGTGGTCGGTCACGTGGTGTTCATGGCATTGTGTCTCATCAACAACATCATGAGTTGCTCGTGGATGATCTTATCAGCCGCTGCAGGTATTGCTAGTCTTACTGGTATGCACATTGTGGCTAGTTGTATGTTGATTCCCTTTGGTGTCATTCTATACACGGTTGCAGGTGGTCTGAGAGCCACTTTCCTTACAGACTACGTCCATACAGTCATTGCCCTTGTTCTGCTCATCTACTTCTCCCTGGCCATCCTCCTCCACAAGGAGATTGGGGGTATCCATCAGCTCTACGATATGGTCATCCAGTATGGAGAGTCAACCAAGATCCTGGGAAACTACCAGGGCTCTCTGATGACATTCAAGTCCGAGGAAGCCATTTACTTTGCGATTGTCCACACTATTGGTAACCTTGGTCTAGTCATCATGGACACTGCTTTCTGGCAAAAGTCTCTGGCTGCTAACCTCGAGGCCACCGTGCCCGGTTACATGATTGGTTCCATTTGTATCTTCTGTGTCTCATGGGCTCTGGGAACCATCTGCGGCCTTTCTGCTCGAGTCATTGAGAATCTTCCCATCTTTCCCAATTACCCCAATGGCTTCTCGGCTGCTGATATTGGAAATGGTCTCGTTTTGCCTTACACCGTTGCCGCCCTGCTGGGTAAAGGTGCTAGTGCAGGTATTGTCATTATGCTGTTCATGACCGTTACTTCCACCACCTCGGCTGAGATGATTGCTGTCTCCAGTATTATCTCATTCGATCTCTACAGAACCTACATCAACCCCAACGCCTCCGATCGAGCCATCATTGCTGTATCTCACGCAGGAGTTATCTTCTTTGGACTGTTTGCAGCTGGTTTTGCTGTCATGTTGCACTACGTCGGTACCGATCTGAACTGGCTGGGATACTTCTTGGGTATTGTTATTACTCCTGGCGTGTTCCCTGCTATTCTGACTTTGCTGTGGAAGCGTCAGTCTAGAGCTGCCGCCACTCTTGCTCCTGTTCTTGGTCTTGGAACAGGAATGGGTTTGTGGCTTGGAACAGCCAAGTACTACTCTGGTCACATCAGCGTTGAGACACTCGGAGCTTCGCTTCCCAACGTCTGGGGTAACATTGGTTCCATGTTTGGTTCTCTGCTTTACTCTGTGGTGATTACTCTGCTTCGTCCTGAAGACTTCGACTGGGCCAAGTTCCAGAAGATCACTCTAGTCAACGAGGACAAGATCGCCGATAGTGAGAGTCATACTGAAGGTGAGCTGGTCAACACCGAAAAGGGAGACGAGTCGGGAACCCACACACCTGAGTTCCCTCTTGACAAGAATGAGTCTTCCCCTGAAACTTCAATCCACGAACACTCTGCTACGATTCCCACTTTGACCAACGAGAACTTCTTCCAACCACGGTTGGTTATTCCTCCAGAAATCCGAGGTTTCAAGCGGTTTCTGTGGTATATTGGTTGGGAAGTTGCACCTACAGACTACTCCAACCACCCTCTGGGTCAGGATGCCTTACCTATTATCTTCAAGTGGTACAAAGTGGCTGTTATTTTCTCCACCACGATCTTCCTGATCACCTGGGTGGTCTGGCCCTTCCCCATGTACAGAAACTGGGTATGGGGCAAGAGCTTCTTCACTGGATGGGTGGTTGTTGCTATCTTCTGGAATTTCCTGGCCTTTGTTTGTGTCTGTATCTTCCCTCTATGGAACGGCAGACACACGCTCTACAAGGTATTCAATGGCTTGTACCAGGACATCTTCCATAGAAAGCGAAAAGAGTAGAAATACTGCTTATTCAGGGTAATTTATAATGCGAGTGATAATAAAATTAAATGTTTTGGTTCCAACTATATACAATCCGTGCTTTTACCCTCCTTGAGACACTTCAGGACCTCTTCTACAGTCTCGGTAACTTCATCTCCAATGTACAAATTCAGATCAACCTCCAGGCCCATCCAAAGAGGATGGTCGTCCATAACAGGTCGCTTCAAGTCCCGAGTACGGAACACCTGCTTCTTTATTTTTCCAAGAACTTGTGAGATCTCTCCAGCCTCTTTTCCATCCATATCGTAGCCAACCACATCCTTGTAGAAACGCAGAACCGCAATAGCACCCACAAAGTCACCTGATCGAATGAAGACAGGGACGATGTCTATTGGACTGCATGAGTGGACCTGCTGCTCAGCAACCATCTTCAGAAACAGGTTTCGAGGAGCAGGAGCACACTCTTCATTCACCAGCTCCCACTTTCTTACACCGTCACTGACCCACTCACCCTGCCATGCTGAGTCAGCTCGTGGGGAGGTGCCAGCAACTGAATGAACATGAGAGGGCTTTCCAAGAATCGCTCTGTCGCCTTTGGAGCGGTAGTAGTCGGTCAGAATCTTCCACAGCAGCTTGTACAGCTGGGAAGAGAAGACTGCAGCTGTTCGTAGATGGTCATGAGGACTATACTTGTTAAGCGTGATATGATTAAACTGCCTCCATAGGGATCCGTAGTCCTTCTGCTTGTGATAATAGTTGACGACTGCAGAAATTGTACTAGGACTAGGCTTTCTTTTCTTGGAAAGAAACAGCTCAAGGATATTGTTGAACTGTTCATCGTCCTGGGTCCGCGCATAATGTCGAAGAAACACCCCCCAAATTGCAGGTGTGTCGGTTTCCAAAAGACAGACGGCCTTCTCGTAGTCATGCTTCAGATAATATGTTGCCATGGCAACCAGATGCGAACTGTCCTGCTTAACTCCATTTGCCTCCATCAGCTCAATCACATGACCCACCCTTCGCTTATCAAAGTACGTCAACACATTGAGCCAATGGGTATAGAACAGTGGAGTTGTGAGTAGTGAGGGACATTGATCAGTCAGAGTCTCAAAGAGCTTGATAGCGGCATTTGGATCAGCACGTGACTTTATGTTTGAGTTGTTATTAGATTCCTTAGCCACCAACGCTGCCTCAGTTGCTAGAATCAATCCAATGTCGGTATCACTGGTTAGTAGTCGTGTCACACGTGGATCTTTGATGAGTTTCTTAATGTCCAGTCCTTTCATGATGTAGAGTCTAGTAAGCTCAGTGAGATGAGCTACAGACACTGTCTTGGCACTCAAAGCAGTCTCCAACTGCTCTTCCGACTCGCAAAACGGTCTCTTGACTCCCCCACGCTTGGTGATAATGTTTGTGAATGTGAGATTCCCCAAGCTAACGGCTGGATCACGTGTCAGGATGGCTTCAGTATCCTGCATTTGTCTCAGAAGCTGTTGTGACCATTTATCCATAGTTTCCGAGTCTGTGGCTGTCTTACACAGGTGCACTAGCAGATTGCTCTCAAGCCAACTAAATTGAGAGATGATCTTTCCTGCTTCGAAATTGGCGTCCTTGATTCGCCCCAGAGATAGCAGGACTGCAACTCCAAACTCGTGATACCATCTCAGCTCTTTGACGTCCTGGTTCTTGTGATTCAGCCGTGCCTGTTGGTATTTGAGTGCTTTCTGGGCTTGATCTGAGTCTAGCAACAGCTGCAGGTACTCCATTTCATTGTATGGGTCCACTCTAAAGATGTTGAGAGGGTAAAATAAGTCACAGACAGTCTTCATGTCTCTAGCTTGATCACTAACTGTTCCCAACTTGGCGAGGTTGAAAAATGCCACATACTCTTCGGGAGAGAAGATATCGGCGTGATTTTTTGGCAGCACCTCCAGAGCATCAAACAAAAGCGATCTGTCGTCCTCCCGTCCTCTCTGAATAACTGTGACGTTTGTAGGATGGGCCATCTGTTGCTCACGAGCCTGCATGGTGAGATGAAAGAAATGTAGAATGTTGTCTCGAATCTCGTCTCGATTCAGTCGGTTTTGTCGTGCTTCCTGTTTAATGGCAGCGATCATGCTGTATTCAGAAGGGATCTCCATCTGGGGATTGTTGTCCACATTTTTATCGAACTCTTGTAACGCTTGGGTCTTAGCAGCTTCTTGTTGGGATGCTGGGAGATCTTCGAACCGTTGAAAAGCGGGCTTTTTGAATGGATCAAACGCCGAATTCGTTTTGGGCGCAATTTTCGTGCGTCCTGCCTTGGTCCGGAACGTTCGAACCAGTCGTAGCATCATGGACAGCTGTGTAGTAGTGAGAAATGTTGATGCACACTTTTCACTTATCGGATAGTTTCTGAACTCTAAGTGGGACCTACCAGACATAGTGGCAAATTGGGTATGGAGGGAGTAAAGATGTATTTGATGGTATAAGAGAAACTATTCCACCATTTATAATATCAAAATGATCCCCGAAGGGTCAATCTTGATGGTTGCAAGTAATTCCATTGTCTCTGTTTTCTTAATAGAGCTACTTGTAGTAAGTAAACTGCACATCCACGATTTTGACGTGTTAGCTTGTGCGCTCGCTTTAGCTACGATACTTGTACATCTATCTCGTGGCTCTGTAAAAGTTGCGTCCACACTCACAGCAAGGTCATGTGACTGCTGGCAGTTTGACAGGCCCTGAACAGAACAGAGCAATCAAGAATAAGAAGAAGCAGCCTCCTGCTTCCTGCTTCTAAATATTCGGTATTAACGTGACCTTCCGATAGATTATAATGTCGTTGGTGAAGCATTATTCAAGTCGAGAGAAATGGGCTGGTACAGAGGGTGTCGGGGTCCGTATAAGAACAATAAGTGATGATTGGAGTATGTTATGACTATGAAGGTTATACTGGTTTATTCAGCAGCGTTTTTAAAATGTAATCCTAACATAATATTTCAGCTTCCTACAACTCCGATGAAATTTCGCCGGTCATGATTTTTTGGCATATATACTGGTCTCAACCCAAAATTTATTTTGGCTTTATTATTATTAGCTATAGGTAGACTTCATGAACATTGGAGAGAGAAAAGTGCCAATAATCAGAGAGGTAGATTTATGGATCACTTCTTTTTTAAAAAAATGGTAATATACACATAAAATTTCATATTCCAACCACAAAAGTTGTTCCGAAGCTCCCTCTAGAAGCACCACACATTCAAGGTCCTCTCCAGATTCCTTCACCTGCTGAAACGTTAATAGTGATTGAATTTGGGGGCGCGTACTTATCTCTCACGCGTATGTAATTACACCTCTACACACGATATGGAGTATGTCATTCGCGACATGGAGTACGTCAGTGGCAGCGACTTTGAGGATGAGCCGCTGGGGTTCCCTGGTACTCTCGATTCCGACCCCTTACCGACAAGTGAGGTCGTGGAGCCGGTGGAGGAGGTGAACAGTGCCCCTTCTCCAGAACCAGAGACACAGGAAGCGCCGGTGGAAAGCGAAACAACGGAACCTGTACTCGTTGAAGATGTACAGACGACACAAGTACCAGATCTAGAGTCTGGACCTTGGAAAGTGAGTATTTTGGGCAGGAAATCAGCGAGTAGGATGGTGGAGGGGGAGAGCTTACATGCGTGGTGTGAAGTGCTGAAGGTGTGTCTGAGGGTCTCCAATGTTGGATCTGATTCATGTTTGAGTTATTTGCTTCTGTTGTTCATACACAGCTCTGAAAGCGGTATTGGCACCCTAGACCGAAATCAGATCTTGAATACACACCCCATGAGCTAGGAACGTGAATTGCTCGGACCCTTCGCACACCTGACACTAAATGATAGGCTGGATGTTGTTCGTTCGGACTACTGTCCCTTGGTTTCCATACTAACCCAGCGAAAACTGCGAACGCGAACATTCGCTCAACAACGACCATATGCATACGACCAGTTCATCTACAAGGGTCTTGGACTGGACGCCAGCGATATCAGAGAACTGCATTACCACCGAAGTGACGATGAAGAGTACGAGTACCAGGATCAACAGGAGGACATCGAAAACATTGCTGCAATAGACGCAGATGATTTGGCAGGTCTCATGTCCGATTCTGACTCACCGGACTTTGTTCCTCCTGTTGTATACAGCGCGGAACAAGCAGCTGAAAAACGAGCTGAGAAAGAGAGAAAATGTGTGGAAAGAGAACAAAAGCGACTCGAGGGGGAGAAGTTACGTCTAGAAAAGGAAAAGAAACGGGCTGGGAAGGAACAGTTGCGTATAGAGAAGGAAAAACGACGCCTGGAAAAGGAGGCAAGGAAAACTTCTAGATCGACCCAACCCACCGCTTACCAACGGTTTTTTCTCGAGTCAGACGATGAAGATGGAGGTCCAATTGATACACCTGGTGGTGGTAGTGATGGAATTGCTGGCTCAGACCCGCCAAACCCATCTTCTCAGAGAAGTATTGTGATCACAGACGAACCTGAAATTGACAGAATGGAAGAGCCCAAGAAACGCAACAAATCGAGCAATCCCAGGCCCCCGAAGCGACCAAGATCAAACGACTACATTCCAGCTTCTACAGCCAAAACGAGACGAAGACCTCAACAGCTGACTCTGGATTTTGGCACCACCAAGGGCAGCAAGGGTGCTAGCAGAGACAATCACGTTCTGGCTGCCGTTCGAGCCATGGCAAAGTCAACAAAGGAAATGTTCACTAGGTCACATGCCATTAATGCTGCTCAGAAACGCATGTTGTCGTATCGCCGGACTCCCAACATTAGAGAGGAGCGGCATTGGTTGGACGACGGAGGAGGACAGATTGGAGATGGTACCGGAGGAGCAGGAGGGGGGAGGTCATGGGGTGGAGGACATGTAAGATCACGTGACCAGGGCACTTTGTCGTGGTCGCGTGAGGGAGGCAGGAATGGGAGCAGTGGCGGTGGGGGGATTGCTGGGTCACGGGTTTCAGCGGGTGGTGGTGGAGCATCAAATAACTCAATCCCTGGTCTTGGCTCTGGCTCTGGGGGTGTAACACGTGGACAGACTAGGATTTCCAGATCACGTGGTCTCACACGGTCAAGTCCTTCAGTATCACGTCCTGCTGGGTACCGTTCTCTACCCCGAATCAGAGACAAACGAGCTGGTCCGTTGGAGCATATGAGACGAGCAGCGTGGAATCAGATTCAGGAAATGAAAATGAAAGCTCGGGTGGGTGGTGGACACTATTCTGGTCATTCTGGCCCCGTGGAGGACAACACAACCCAAAAAAAACACGTGACTAGCCACTCTATCAACCCTGGGCATGCCCGACGGGGTGGTACTCGCCACCTTGGTCACAGAACCTCACCTTCGCCAACCTCCAGAAACGGTTTCATCAACGAGTACGGAGTTCGAGTTCTTCCTTCTGACAATGTTGCTGGGGAATACAACCAGCGGAGGCATGCTTCAGGTGTTCATGTTCAAAGTCTAGATATTGATCACGTGCATTTGGACGCTTCTCAGCGTGGTTCTCGGTTCAATGAAAAGGAGTCTGGAGAGTATGCTATTCGAAGACGTATTGGAGGTCGCACTGGAGTCAGGCGTGAACCTGAACCTGAGCCTGAGACTGTGTCTGACTTCGTCGGCTTGACAGAGATGATTGAGGGTGGAGATGAACTGCATGATACCTTGGATGTTGACTACATTGGTGATTTTGATAAGCCCATCGATGTAGATATTGATCCCCCCGCTCTTTCTTCCACCTTGGACCCTGTTCATGTGGAATTTGCCAATCGTCTTTCCCAGCATGACACCTTTGAAACTACCTTTGGTCTAGCTAACAAGATTTACACGCTGGAGCCCATTTTTCTTGGACGTCTCAACTCGCCTTTGGAGACTTGGATGTGCCCTGTCTCTCAGATTATGGTCAGCCTGAATGATGTCAAGCTGATCTTTGATAAGATTCTTGGCGTTATAGAGGACGGTAGGCGTCGAGAGGATGTCTATGAGGCTCTTAGGTTGGTCTTTTCGCATCCTGTTCAAGAAACCACGGTTCTAGAGGAGTTCAAAAACAATATTATGGGTCTAGATGTCGGCGATCTTTCCGACTTGATCGTCTCTTTGGTCAATTATAGATGTCCTCTTGCTGGTGAGCTTCTCATTGACACAGATAAGCTCTATGTTGCTGTCAAAGACCATGCTCGTCCATTGCTGGTTGAGGCAGCTATGATACGTAACGACCCTATCCACATCCCATTCTTGTCAGACGGCATTCCTTCTCTGGAGCGAGCTTGGAGGAGTCTCTTTGTGGCCAAAGCCATTGGCAGAGACGAATCAGATGCCATGTTGGCATTACTTGATCTGCTGCCGCCCACAATTGTCCACGAGGATCGTGACGTTCAACAGGTTGACATTGAGCGTTACAAGAAGATTCTACTGATGAGAACTCAGCTACTCTGGCGATTTTCAGGTGAAGCGATTCTCTGGTGGGCTAAGAACACCCCTTATCCAGATACAACTATTCCAGAGCTTGACTTGGAGCGTCTGGCACCTGGAAATGCGTTCTTCACGGTTGCCAAGATGGTTTCGGATGTGTACAAGAGTGGTCATTATGGCCCAGCTTCTGATGTCGCTGCTGGGCTTGTATCTGGTGTTGGTCTTCGGTTTCCACGTGACGAAGGCTTCCATCGGAACAAACTGCGTAAGCTCGCTCAAACTTACATTTATCTCATGCTCCGAGTTCGGGATATATATGATCCTGAACTTCGACCGTCGTTCGCGCAGCTTCAGGACACTGTCCACACCGACAAGGCGCACCTGGAGGTCATCCGCATCGAGTTTGCCGCTGCTAGACAGACTCTTCAGATAGTCAATGGCAGTGGATTCACTGAGGAAGATCGAAAGAGTGTCCTTAAGTGGCTTGATCAGATGATCCAAATGACCACTCGTGAGTACGCTACCCTGGTTAGAACACGATACGCCGGAGAATATGAGAACCTTTTGATTCAGATATTCGAGCAGGTTGAGGAGGCTGGACAAAGTGTGATTACTCTTTTGACTCTTCCGGATGGCAGCTGGCAGAAAATGTCTGAGCCAATGAATCGAGCTTTGATCAAGTTGGTCCAAAAGACCCCTGATAGAGAACGTCCCTTGACAAAGGCTTTCGCCAAGTTTGTTGCCAAACATGGTCCTAGGTACTACAAAGACTTTGCTCAGATGCATCCTCCTCCTCGCAGCTATCCCATGCCTCAAGAGGCTCTCTGGATGACTATGTCAATTGAGGCAGGAACTTATGTGGATCCCATCGATGTGACTTACATTGCCGTCAAGTCGATGCTTCTCAAGAAGACTCACGAGCCGTTGTGGAGTCATGTTGTTGAGCTGAAGGACGTGAATCTCACTGGCTTATCTCAAGACATGATCCTCCAGAAAATTATGTTGGCTACAACTTCAGGGCACTTGGCAGGACAGCTACTGGAGTTCATACGTGACAACCTTGACTTCTTTGACAAGGAGTCGAAGCTTCTTATTCAGAAACTGGTGTCTTATCTAAAGGGTAATGATAACACTGCTGGAGCTCCCCAGCTTCAATGGTTCCTGAACCCTGCCAATTTTGAACTTCAAGCTGACTCGTCGCAATTGGCCCAGTACTCGAGTTTGTTAAAACGTTCAAGACATGAGAGTGAGATCAAGAACTATTTGCTCGGCACGTTGTCCATTTCTCTCATTCTCGACGGAGGGCAGGTCTTCTATGAGGCCGTCAAGGGCATTGGTATGGCCACAACTCATCCGATTCATGCTAAAGCCTTGATGCAGATGTTTGAGTCCTTGGTTTACTCCAAGAAGCATGCTACAGTGCTATTTCTGCCGCTATTCTTACGCCTCATGGTCACCATGGGCAATGAAGAGCTATGGATCCAACTTTGGAGCCATGCCTACGTCAGGGTCAAGACAATCAGACTGGACCACCTGTCGAGTCTAGAGAACGCTTACCTTGCTGAATTTCTTCATCTCACCTCTCTCATCCCTTCGGAAGATTCGACTTCGGTGCTCTTGGACATCTTAGGAGTACCTCACTCAGCAACTAGCATCTCATCCGCACTAACACGGCAAATGGACAGAGACGTAGACGCCACTCTAGAAAAGTTTCATGAGAACAGTGGCAAATGGACTCGAGGAGTGGGAAACTCCACTGATAAAATTTCTCTGCATTTTATTACGGCAGACAACATGGCCAGTCCTTATGACTCTGTCATCCAGTGCCTTGCCAGCACTATCATGTATCACCCTGTGCTTCTACCTCGGCTCAATTTCCTCGCTTCTCAAAATCCCTGGATTGGGCGGTACTTGGAGCAGCATTATTTTCAGGGTTGCCAGGTGACTACTCTCGACGATGTCTTCTTCTAATGAGATCTCAGCTATACTAGCTAATGCATTATTTATTATTTGAATATTTTAAACGTAGATGATGACATCTTGTGCTTTGCTCTATTAGTACATTTGCTCATGGTATATTTTTCATCTCATTGTGGTGAACTTGGATGGATTTATTTATTTTCTACAAAGGAGGTCTAGCCGACTGTGTTGAACGCCGATTTCTCAGCTCCAGCTTCCAGTCAGAAGCTATCACATTCTCTCAGGCTCGTGCATGTGTTTTTTCGTTGCGTTACAGCGTGAATCTCTTTCTTGATCGATATGGGCTCCTGCGATAACACGTCATTTGCCTGCCCGAACGACTCAGAGTGAACTGGTCTGACTTTGATGAGGAGTCTATACATATCATCATGCCGAGCCCATTTAAGTTCTAAAATATTATCAAGGGCTAAAAAACGCGCATGATATATGCGAGTGGCTCATCTACTTGGAGGTGCAGGGGGAAGGCTTACCACCGACAGACGAGGATACTCGGTAACAGATGTTGTGGGGAATTAGTTGAAACGTTGGAAAGTTAACAGTATTGTTAATAGTAACGATATAGGGTCTCTCCACAACCCTCTAGTGACATCTTTGAGCACATACAAGCCATCGCTACCGGCCTTAACTCTTGCATATATCTCGAACTTTATGCGCCAGCGTAGCTACTTGTAGGGAAAAATCTACGGAGAATACTGAGGCATAATATATGGTAATGGTGTGGCTTCAAGCTATTTTCCAGATAACTGCTCCGGTGATACATTGGTAATCAACTCTTGTATCGGTAATAGATCTTTAGCCTTCAGAATGTATGGAGTTGGCTCATTTTTGTGTCCTCATGCGAATCGGATGCCATGCTACTTACCGGTACAAGTACATACTGTACCTGTAGGTAACTGGGCTGAAATGGATGGCCCATTCGTGAATCTTCACGATCAAAGAATGAGTTCACCAATCTTTGTTGCAGAATTAAGCTTGACGTTCAATGCTTATCGGAGACCAGTCAGTGTCATCTGATCCGAAAATCACACCTTGGAGTTCCTCATCTGAGACAGGAATAATCAACACAGGTTAGGGACGGAGCGTCAGCAGAGAGAAACAGCGGCAAAAGATACGAGAAACCCTGAAGGAAAAAAATTGCAGTACCCAGGATTCTCGTATGGCAATATTAACGGACTCTCTGGTGCTTTACTATGGTTGATCAAACGGGGAGCCATTATTTCTTTTTAATTCATGAACATGCATTATGTTACGAGCATGGATCATTAGAATAAAACATTAGAATAAAACATAAAAAATCAATTTATCAGTTACCCCTACAAGTAGATTAAAAAAAAAAAAAAAAAGTAGCTGAAATGTATAAAACATCCTTCTGCGTTACTGTCGTGTAGTAGCGTGTATTAGTCGGATTCTCCTGTGCTCTTCTCCTCAATTCCTCCTGTTTTCACCAGGATATATGGCAGCAACTGACGAATTTTGTTCATGGTGAAACATGTTGAGACCCAAATGTCACGTGACCGGATTTCCATCAGAAATCTTCAATGACTGAATGAATGGTGTCCACTTTGCAGCACACTCCGTTTAAACCACACCTTAGGCGATGAGGGGTTGGGCTCTGGTAAACTAGCAACTTGTAGCGCTACATACTGGGGCTGGGGGTTGCATAGTTTTGTGTTGATAAAGTGAGTATTTTTTATTCACACAGACAGCATCGCCTTTTATGTGGTTTTTTTACCCATTACACCACTAATATATCTGTCCCGCCGTCCGAAAAATCACATCGCCCTCTCTGGGCAACTCTAACTCGTTATCACGAAAGTGTCTGTGCCATCTTAATCTTCTTTTCATATATCATCTTCTTCTCATATATCACCACAAGATGCCGGTTACTTCCAACAGAGACCGGATATTCTATTTTGCGGCCGTCAGCACGGCGATGCTGAGTACCGGCAAGGTGCTCAATTTCTTGGTGATGGTCTTTCACCTGACCATATGGAGTACGACTTGATTTGTTTGATTGATACCCACTACCCTCCTCTAACACAGTATTGACAGTGCCCTGGCACCTCGTCAAGGTACGCATTCTGTACACATACGAACACAAACCAGGATTTTGCCAACGCTCACATTTCTCTGAGTACACAGGCATGTTGCTTGCTCGCTGGATGTTCAGCTTGGAGCAGACCACAGCAGGCCGTATCTTGTTTGGACGAACGGCGTGGATGTGGTTCTACAGGTTTCGCCGGTTCCGTTCGGGAGCAATCGACATGGGCGACGTGCGATTCGAAAACGACCCGATTATTCCAGGGCTGTGGGTGCGTTCTGAAGGACGAGTTCCAAACTACGACATTGTGCTCTTTTGGATGCATGGAGGTGGGATGGTCACACACTCACCTTACATGTATCTGGAGTTCATGACAGCGCTAGTCACATCATTACATATGCAGGGCTTCCGATCCCCTGCCATCTTTATGCTCAAGCACAGCTACGCCCCCGAGCACCCGTTCCCACATCAACTCGATGAGGCGGCAGTCGCGTGGAACTACCTCCAAAAGGAACACCCAGCGGCCAACTTTGTGTTTGCCGGTGACGGTAGTGGTGCGAACCTAGCTCTATCTCTATTACTGCATCTCACACGACCCTGTCTTGGTGTCACTGAGTGTTTGACGAACGTGAAACCACAGGCAGCTCTGCTATTGAGCCCGTGGCCCAACTGGAAAACTAGCATGCGTGAGGAGACAGAAAACTGCTACTTTTCAGCATTCCATTTGCGCAGGTATAGAAACTACTACATTGCTCGAGCCAAGGAGACGTCGCCATACTTTGACCTCTCGTGTGTCACATCTCTGTCATGGTGGAAAGAGTCCTTCCCTGAAAAGGGTATGTATCTCATTTATGGCACAGAGGAGATGTTCGCCAACGAGATAGAAGAGCTTTATGGGGTCCTTCGGCTATGTGGACCCATCAAGATTGATGGGGAGCTGCGTCAGATTCACTGCTGGCCCATCACAACGCACTTCCTTGCCCGAGACGAGTATGTCCGCGGCGCAGGAGTGTTCGCGATAGCCTTGAATCTCGGAAAGATGTTAATTTGGGGTAATGATGTGAAGTGAGAAGGAGACATGTGAGGTATCATTTCTACACCCACAATAATCCATTATAGAAACCTGTATAATTGCGTGTTTATTTTAGGATGCGCTGTACCGCGGTATGATTCATCTTCAGCAGTCCTTGTTACTGTACTACAGTATACTCAAGTATCTCGGTGGAACTCCCACATAATACCCAGTCACGCCAATGGAATGTTTCAGTACGCATTCTACAAGCCTCTTTGTGTCGTTACAATAAGCGCTGCAAGCAGCTGGTACAATATTAATACATCTACTCAACGGTCTCGTCTCGCTTCTTGCCGGAGATGACGTCGATGGAGGCTGTGTTAGTCAATTGCTTCGGATGCACCATTTGTAACGGATTCTGTGATACTTACTCTGAGTGACGCTAAGGTAGGGGTACTTTCCATCTCCCATCTCGGAGTTGGGGGGGTACTGGTAGGTAGCGTTTCCAGTGACCATGACGGGGGTTCCGGTCTTGAGAACGCTGAGGAATTGGGCGGCTCGATCCTCAAAAGAGGTGACGGAGATGAAAGAAGCGGGTCGATCCTCTCGGAAGTCGTTGATAGCAACGGTGTATTTGATGTAGGGGTTGCCAGCAGCGGAGGTCAGGGTCTCGGGGGCCTTCGCGATACGGCCATGGAGAGTGACCTTGAAGGCGTCTCGGGCAGCAGCAGAGGTGGTGAATTTTCGAGTGAATCGGAACATTGTGTTGTGTAGGGAAGACGGTGGTGTGGTGCGTGTTTAGGAATTATAGTATAGATGTGTGGGACTTCGGACGTGTTTACCCTAACCCTGGCGACGAGGTACAACAACGTGCCTCAAATGAGTGCGACGAGAATTCAAGGAAAAACTTGCTGCATTGCTGCAGAGACGTAAAATATATATTCAGGAGGGCAGAGTGGGTTTGTGTAGCTGAAGTTTCTGGTTGATTCTAATACAATTATTCTGTACTCTACATCTATATGAACAACAAGTATTGGAGGTGGCTGTCTATCAGCTTCGAAAACAGACTTCCAAAGACCTTTAATATCGCCCGTTCGGGAAAGGTTTGTCTGAAAAGGTTCGGGTCGGGCAGACACACGGGAACTTTAGTTTGGCGTTGAAAAGAAGACGGCGAATGGGTGGCGTTGTAAATCGTTCCGAGGGGTGTCACATTGGAGATGGCCCAATGGATACGATGATTGAGAGGATGGGCGTAAAGCGTGTAGCTTCAAATTTAACATTATGAAAGCTTTCAAGATGTGGATACGAGTGGTACGAGAACAAGTGTACTAATATTGGTGCATACTACAAGTCTAGCAGGTGTACGATAGTAAACCATCTCGTAGGTGGAGTATACCATCTCGAAGGTGGTCTGTATAGTGTAAAAATACTGTACACGATACTGAGAGACACATATCTACACTACAATACCAGCCTTCTCGTAAATATGTAAAGCATGTCCAAGTAAGCTTCTTAGAATGTGAATGCATGACTACTTCGTAGTTACAGTAGATCCTTGTGACTTTTAATAGAATGTATATGCAGAAAAAATAGCCTCATTAGCTCTCTAAAAAGTGCTACAAAGAGAAATTGCCAACACTTCTGGCTGACCTATCAATCGAGTCCATATTATTCATACATCCTGCTTCACATCTGCTACTTGACTTTGGGCAAAGTCGAACCCACGCACTCGGCTTATCACCTCGGCTGCATATGATTCACCATACCCCGCATAACCCATCTCTCCATCCCACTGCACACGACACAACATGTGGGAGTACCAAAATGCAGCTATTCGACTAGATATTCTGTCGGCAGGCTCCTCGTGGAAACAGGACCCCGAGGGCAAGAAAGTTCTCAGAAATCATGGCTCTTCAGCCATCCATCTGTGGAACAAAAACAAGCCCGAACAGGAGCTGATTCTGTGTTCCAGTTGTGACCTTGCCAACTTGAGTGATGATAAGGGAGAATATGGACTCAAGGCTCATGCTAGACTACTTGTTGCGTCTGAGGGAGGACTCAAATCGGAGCACCTCGAATGGGTACGCGGTGAATTACAGGCCGTCGTGCCTCTGGCCGATGTGAACCAGGTGCTACAACAGTACACAAGTGGCGGGTTCAACTTCAAGCCCACTGCGGAGGATTCCAAGAGTATTGGAACAAGATGGGAGGGGTCCAAGGCCGAGCTTCCGTCGGTTATTGTGATTAAGCCCCTTGGAAAGTTGCCTAGACGGGGCAAGAAGTGTGAACAACTCGCCACCGCGGACATTTCAAAGGTGCACTTGGAAGTGCAGTGCTCGCCATTTGTGTTGGTCAATCCGGCGGTGTTCATGGCTTACACTGTGCGAGGTAACGCCTCTTACTTGGGATACACAGCCAACTTTGGACGTCCTCAGACCAAGGCGTCGGTGATTTTCAGCGATATCCGGTTTCTCGAAGGTATGGAGGGTGGCGTTGTGACGGATACGCATGGAAAACTAATCGGCATGGTTGTAGGATGCCTGTCAAAGGCTGGAGGAGAAGGTACATTGACTGTGATTGTGCCCTGGCAGGAACTGATGGACACCCTAGAGAAGAAGGACGACAAATACAAGCTGAGAATGTCAAAGACTGTCTCGGTTGAGTCACCAATGACCCCCGCTTCTTTCAACGGGGTCTGCGCCATTACTGTATCTCTAGCTGGAGGTAGGAGAGGCTGGGGTTCAGGTGTATTGATCAACAGAACGACAGTGGTCACCAATCAGCATGTCCCGGGAGATGATTATCAGTCTGTGACGGTATGGTTTGATAAGACCCATAACTCTGAAGCTTTCGTTGACCAAGCTCCTCTTCCTGGTGTGGACCTGGTGTTCTTGACTCTACGAACCCCAGCTCCGCCTATTTTCTTCCCTTCTAGACTCAGCAAGACCCCTGCATACCGTGGCCAGCCGGTCGAGTCGTATGGATTCGGTCTCATGTACCCCACTGCCCCTCTCCGGCCCATTCAGCCCTTGTATTCTCGAGGTCATATCGCTTCAGCAGTGAAGATGTCCCTGGAAGGAAAACCAAGCAAAGACAACGCTATGCTCTGTAGCACAGCTCACTGCTGGAATGGTTCTTCAGGTGGTGGGGTCTTCGACTCGAGAACTGGAGAACTCGTTGGTATTATGGCAAGCAATGGAAAGGTTGACAATGGAGTGATCGTGCCAGACATGGCATTTGTCATTCCTGCATGTGGAGTCATCGATAAGGCTCTCCAATTGAAACAGAAGGGGAAACAGGGTAAGGTGGCGGACAGAGTGAAGGATCTCTGGGCTCTGAGAGAGACCCATGAGAGTTTGTTCAACCCTGCGAAGCCAAAGCTTTAGAGCTTCTGATTTCTGTTGTATAGTATGCACTGTACTTGTAATGTGAACATGATCTAACTATTATTATTTGATCCAGCTGCAGAGAGCTGGTTGTCTAACTACTGGTACATCGCTTGTACATCGTCCTTCCACATTGTACCGGTACAAGTACATATCGTACAGTATGTACATACAAGTACAAGTTCAAGTACATACTGTACCGGGGCGTGTAGGGTATGGGTGTTAATGAGTGGAACTGGTTGAGGAAAAGTCGTTAGTGACCATCCATGCATTGAGTCCATAGAACCCTTATGTCTACAGTTACACTGATACCTGTCAAGAACGACAGTGTGCCTCGAAACAAACTCGATGCGCGTTCTCCTCTTTGACTGGGACCTGCTTTATCGTAACACCACACATATCATAGCACTTACAGTACAGTACATACTGTAGCCCCACTCCAATGTTACAGTAACCTCGTTTAAACACGCAGCAGTGATGTGAGAAGAAATGTGAGTGCAAAAATGAGCTCCCTCTTGATAAGGAGACAAAAAAGTGGACGACACCGGAATCGAACCGGGGACCTCGCGCATGCTAAGCGCATGTGATAACCAACTACACCAGACGCCCTGGAAGTTGCGTTTGGAAAAAACATGGCCAAGGTACCGTGAGACACTTAACCCTAACCCTGATTCACTACCACGAGACCACGACAAGGACAAGAATAAGATGAAGCGACGACGAACCAACTGGCACGTGCCTCGCAACGCACATCGAAACGATTACTAAGTGTATGATTTATTGAACGCCAATAACCCGGCTTACTACTTATAGGTATATAGCTGTAATGAATCATTAGAATTAAAAAAAAAAAAAAAAAAAAAAAAAAACACAATTCCCAAAGTGGATTTTTGGGCGATAAGGTGATATGTGAATTAAAAACGTGCGTGTGCTAAACTGGAGCAAGTTTTTAGATGTGCCTACTTGTAGGTGTCTTTACTACTTACTGTACAGTATGTATTAAATTGGTATCAATGAGGGGTCTGGAACCATGAGTCATGCCATAAGTATGAGGTTGACGTATGTTTCTGTGTGGGGTACGTTGTACCCGTACATGGCAGGTGAGTGTCTGCGTGGAACTGGTCATTTTGGAGATTTTCTGATATGAAAAATACAAGCTTCTGATTGGTCGCCCATATGGCCTACACAAATGCCACGCGTGCCCGTGGCTCCCTTTAGTGTGGCTGACCACGTGCCTTCTTCTGATAAGTCCCACCCCGTCTTCCTACAACGGCACGTGACATTTCGTTACCTTATCATGCATGCATATAGACCCAACCCCCACCCAATAATAAAGAGACCCGATTGGCGTGTCAACTTTCTTCCCGTCCATGCTTCTTCGTCGAGTTGTCCACAACACATCCTCCATCAGGTTCTATTCTTCCATGACTCTCCAGCCACTTCCCAAGCCCGCACGATTCGCTCAGACTCCTAAGGACGTGTGGTCTCTCATCAACGAGGCTGCTGCTGCTTCCGAAGAGGCTTCCGGAAAGAAGGTGGTCAACCTTGGCCAGGGCTTTTTTTCCTACTCGCCTCCTCAGTTTGCCATTGATGCTGCTAAGAAGGCTCTTGATGTACCTGCGCTGAATCAGTACTCTCCTACACGTGGTCGACCTTCTCTTCTTAAGGCTGTCTCTGACGCTTACTCTCCTTACTTTGGACGAACTCTTGATCCTGCCTCCGAGATTGTCATTACTGCCGGTGCCAATGAGGGCATGTACGCCGCCTTCACCGCCTTCCTGAACCCGGGCGATGAAGTCATTGTTTTCGAGCCCTTCTTCGATCAGTACATCTCCAACATTGAGCTTCCTGGTGGAAAGGTCGTCTATGTTCCCCTCCACCCCCCCAAGGATTCTCAGCATACCTCCTCTGCCGCCAATTGGTCCTTGGACATCGCGGAGTTCGAAGCTGCCATCACCCCCAAGACCAAGATGATTGTTGTGAACACCCCTCAGAACCCCACTGGTAAGGTCTTCAGCAAGGAGGAGCTGACCCAGATTGGTGAGCTTGCCGTCAAACACAACCTCATTGTGCTATCCGACGAGGTCTACGATCGTCTATACTTTGAGCCATTCACCCGAATTGCTACTCTTAACGAGGCTCTTGCTCGTCTGACTCTCACTGTTGGATCTGCCGGAAAGATTTTTGCTGCTACCGGATGGCGAGTCGGCTGGCTGATCGGAAACCCTGATCTGATTAAGTACGTCGCTGCTGCTCACACCCGAATCTGTTTCTGTGTCAATTCTCCTCTCCAGGAAGCCTCCGCACAGGCTCTGATCCAGGCCCAGACTAACTCGTACTACGACGACACTATTGCTAGCATCAAGAAGAAACATGAGCTGCTCAACTCGGCGTTTGAATATCTTGGACTGCCCTACTCTCAGGCCCAGGGTGGCTTCTTTGTGCTTGTCAACTTCTCCAAGGTGAAGATTCCCGCTGATTATGCTTTCCCCTCTGACCTGGACGGCCGAGCCAAGGATTTCCGAACCGCATATTGGCTTATTAAGGAGGTTGGAGTTGTTGCTATCCCTCCCACCGAGTTTTTCATTCCCGAGCATGCTCATCTCGCTGAGGATTACCTGCGATTTGCTGTCTGCAAGGACGATGATCTGCTTGAGGAGGCTGTGGAGCGACTCAAGGGACTCAAGAAGTACATTGAGTAAATGAATGGACTTCTAGTTGGACTAATCTATAGATGATAGAAGAGGCTGTTCCGTGGTTCAGTCTCATTATTTATGTTTTTTGACATGTAACAAGTGGGTACATACTACTGTACAGTACAAGTAGAGTCAAGTCTTACAAGTATCGTATGTACTTATTGTAGCGTGTGATGCTTACTTGCTTGTAGAGTACAAGTATCGTACGGACATCGGGCACAAACTGGTCTGTTCACATGTTATTATGAAATAAAATAAAAACGTGTACCGAAAGGTTGTGTCTTCAGGTCTCAGTATAGGAGTATGATAGTTGCTGCTCTGTCGTTCCCCGTTGCTCCTTATTCCGGTGGAGAACAGATAGCTTGATGTCTAATCTTGTGCACTACGTTACTACTGACCGTGGGCAACTTGAATGTCGCTCCGAGACGGCAACTGGCTTGACCGTTGTATGAGAGGAACCCTGCAGCCGGGTTCGAGGCCTTTCGGCATTTGAGGACGTCGGGTTACTGGGCGTTATTGACAGAGGAAGTCCTAAGAATATGACGATGATATGTCTACGGTACAGGCAGTGGATATGTTGTACAGTAGAGACTAAAGATGTGGCTCTTCAGGTTGGCCAAGCTTAGCAGTGTACACTACAGAATGTACATGTATCGTACTTGTATCGGCAACCGTCGATTGTCACGAACAAGTTATTATAATTGATGTAGCTACTCGTACTTGTAGTCTAGCAGACATCAATAACAAACTAAGTCCTACTGTTGAAGAATATACGAGATCACACTGATTAGTATAGAAGGAATAAATAGGATTGGCTATACAAAAATTGCTAAATACTTCATAGAGCTATTGGTATGGGCTGATGTTAGTCAAGGCAACGAAATATTGATTGTTTCATTGTGAAAGAATCAGACATCCAAGAAAGGTCATACAACGGTCACTGGCATACTAGATGGGTTCTATACGTATGCTACCGAGGAAACTGCGATCGTTTAAAATGAAAATTTCATCAGAAAAGGAGAGCTTCAAAAGCTGTGGTACTCACGTATCAAATGCGGTATGGTGTTGTTGGTGGTTGTATTCGAAACGAATCAAAAGCGAGCTTTTGAAATCTGAAGTTAGTCAAGATTTTCCAAGAAAGAACTCCAAATGTGGTCCCTCAGACAGAAATTAATACTGGCAAGTATAAGCCTTTGTCCGCACAATAAAGCACGGCTTCCAGCGCCTTGTTCCTTGTCGTCTTAGTCGAATCGGATATGGAAAGAAGTAAAGGTTGTATCATCATCAGGGATGATTCGAAGAGCTGGACTCACCATTTTGAATGTTGTATGTTAGACCGTAACCCTGGGGCTTATATATGGTGACGGAAAATTTCCTTCGGATGCATGCCATCGGTAGGGTAAATCGAAAATTTGTCCCAGTCAGTGCGTAGATTTCAGCACCTAGGGTTCGTGTAGGCATGGCTTGTGATTGGTCACCTGCAAAGTCTCCGATCTAGATTATCCGATCTCGGAAATACTACTACAGCGTAATCATCCAGAGGGACGTACCGGCTGTATCTGTGTGCCAAGAGTGGCCATGCTTCATCTTGCGCTACATTCCGCACAAATTTTGGTGTTCGTTTTTGGTATATCATTTTGGCTCGGAAAAGAGAGGCGTGAAAAAAAAGGGGGTGGATCAACGGCAGATAAAAGATGTGGAATAGTGATGAAATCGGACAAAAAGAAAAGCTGAAAAGCTGCCAGAAAGCTATTTCTTATATATTCAGACAATGAATATAATATATGAGCTTAGTCTAAAGGTGATGTAGCAATCACCCGAGGTTTTCCTGCTCCTAAGGGGTCTAACTAGTGGCTTGAAGCCATACTTTGAAACTTCTACAGTAGTCGGTGTGCTTTAGACCCACCAAGGCACTAAAACACTTGTGCAGTATGTACACTATAGATGGGCACAATAACCACTACAATTTTTTTGTGGAATCTAGGTCAGCAAGGCTTTTGCGTCAGTGCATAATCTTGGGACAGAACAACAAAACGTCGTCTTTCATGGTTCACAAAAAAAAACAAAAATTTTCGCCACTTGCTCAACTTTAAACGGCCAACCGTGGTAATTTGAGGCATGACAGGACAACTGGCAAGAAAGATATAGGAAAAAGAGTGCGTGGATAATCAGGAGAAATGCTGCTCTCAAAGACGGGCGCCGTTGGTATCACTGACCCACTCTGACTCAAAGAGTCACTCGTATTTGTGGCATGTCTCATTTGACTCATGCCATAGCACCCTTTTTGCAGTGTGGTTGCGTGTGTCAAGCGGACGACTCCCCGATAAGTGAGCAAGCTTCCCCACACAAGGGCCCGTTGATGAACACACGTGCGTTAACAGGTGGTCTCTGGGGTCCATCTAGTCGTAACAAAGAAGATCTGGTACGGCCTATCAAGCAACAAGAAAGTTCAGTTGGCTAGACTATTAGGGGCGCACCTCCTTCCTTTGTCTCTAGATGCAGTCTCTACCATCAAAGATCCTGACCCATCGTAGGGTTTCAGGTGCATGAGCCAAGCCCTCATGGACTCAATAAGAGTTGGCTTTTGCTATGATTTCCCAGCTCTCCCAGCTTAGCAAGTGGGAACCGGGTAGCCTATCACTGTTAAACATACGCTAACGTGTGTGCACGCGACCTCTCGGACTGCAGCTGGCATGTGCCATCCAACCCACTAAGAAACAGGTAGGAGTGGGTATTCCCCGAGATACACGTGGGGAGGTGTTTCACTACCGTTTTTTTTTGCTCCCCGCATGGCAAGTAAGTGGTGGTATCGACCTCCTGCATATTAAACGTGGTGTGGGCAGTCTTTCTCAACAGTCTCATAGAAGTAATTCATACGAGTACAAGGTAGTACAAGTAGCCTCATAAACACGACAAGAAACTCTAACCAAAGGATGCCCTTTTCGACCTTAATGCGAAATTTTAAAAGACTAATTATATAATATCGATGTGCCCCCCGGCATGAATTTACATACACATACATAAGACACGCTCCTCCAAAAACACTCACTTGGAATCACGCCCGTCACACATGCTACATACTGCACACGCGACCACCATTACTACTAACAATCACTCACTATGAAGTTTGCCAAGAAGCTACAACAGACTCTGGAGGAGGAAGACATTCCCCAGGAGTGGCGAACTGCTGCCATCCAGTACAAGGCCCTGAAAAAATGCATCACTAAGGTCGTCAACGAGCTCGAGGAGTACGGTTTGGAAAAGGAGACCCTCGAGATGCTGCTACAATATCACCAAGCCCAGCAAGACAAGGATAAGCTACATGAGGAGAAGGAGGAGACCAAGGAGATTCAGTCGTCGGACCCGGCTATCGTCTACTCGTTCGAGGGCGATCTTCGAGAGTTCGTTCCCACCATTACAATAACCCTAGACAAGGATAAGAACATTCCCATGGCTGCCAAGCTGTCTTCTTCGACACGAAAGAAGCTCAACCGAATCCTGCACTCCGACAAGTCCATTCAGGTTGTGGACAGATCAAAGTCCGTGATTAAGCACGTGGACTCCGATGAAGAAGAGCTGGAGGACGCCGCCGATCTGGAAATGGAGCTGGACAACGATGAGGCCAGTCTCAGCGACTCCTCTGCCAAGAAAGGTGGGGAACGACGAAGATCTGCACAAAATATCTCCAACTATCTTAAGACGAGGAAGTCCTCGGCCCAGCCTATTCCCGTCGTCAAAACCAACAACGACATGGAAACTCGTCCATTGATGAGGGTCAATTCCGTGGGATCTATTGATTCGGACAGGTCCACGTTTTCGCAATCCTCACTCATTTGGAACGGAGACATGTCAGACGGCATATACGAAAGCGACGACGGATTCGGGAGACGACCCAGTTATGCGAGCAGCGTTTTTTCTCAGGCAGACTCGCGACAGGGCTCGAGATCTGGTTCTATGTACAACTTTGAGTCTGTTTCCAGCAGACCTACTTCTATCAAGAATTATGAGTCAAGTGCAACAGTGGGTGACTCACGGCGACCTAAAGACGTGCCTCAGTTTCAGGAGAGATTCACTCTGGCTGTTCCCACATATAACGGCTCAAATAGAATACTTGCCGCTAGTCCTACGAGCCCCACCACCAACACCAGCGGCTCTTCTTTGCATATCTCTCCTGGAACCTCTCCTACTGCCACTACAAAGAGTCCTCCTGCTGCAGTATCCCCTGGAACCTCTCCCACCCACACAATCCACCAGATCCAGTCTATGGTGGAACCTACTCCCACCCCTGCTCCCAAGCCGCGCTCCCAATCTTTTGCATCTACCGCTCCCTCTGTGGCCACAACTACCCCCATCTCTCCACGACTCATGTACACCGAGGACGGCCCCAAAATGGTCATCCAGCTGCAGTCGGACTCGGAGTTCTTCCACATGCTCATGAAAGAGTTGCAGGATCTCGATGATCTCAAATCGTCACTCAAAAAGACTTTTGAAGCCGAAGTGCTCGACCTAGCCAAGGAAATCTCCACAGTCGCTTCGCCAGGAACAAAGAAATCGGACATGTATAGATGGAGACAAATCTTCCAGCTGTACATTGAGGCGGGCATCTTCTTTTCGGACCACGAGGCAATGGCAGGACCCACAAATTCCGTTCAGGCCAAAGAACGTCTCCAGTGGTTCTGGGATCAGCTGCAGAAGCAGTCGCTTGTTACAGGTTTCAAGAACAAGCGATCCAGGAAGGCTTTTGTCGACTTCTGGAACCTCAACTCGGAACTGGTCAAGAACCACGTCTACCAGGAACTCAACCAGACTGCGATCACGAAGATTCTCAAGAAGTTCGACAAGCAAACCGCACTCACTTCGAGACAATCTTTCCCTCCTTTCATTGCTGCTGGTCCCAATGGAACAGCATCTTTAGCCAAGACGATGATGTACGTCATGTCTGAACGACTCCTGTCCATCGTACCCCAGATTGACGACTACCTCTGTCCGATCTGCTCATCTATTGCAGTCAAGCCTATCAGACTATCGTGTAACCATGTCTTTTGTGTGCGATGTCTGGTGAAGTTGCAGCGAAAGGGAGAAGACCGATGCCCTCTCTGTCGAGAACTCAACGTGCTGGAGGCTGATGAGTCCAACCTGGATGAAGCCCACCTTAAGTACCTCAAGCTGTACTTCCCTAAGGAAGCGAAGGCAAAACAAATCGAGAACGAAAAGGAGATAACTGCCGAACAGTTTCAGAACATCAACAACGCGAAGTGCGTCATCATGTAACATACAGTACTACCCAATCATACGTGCTCCTTTTTTATTTAATGATACTACCACTAACGACAAATAAAATTAATGAATAAATTGAATGATGAAGATCACATACTATATGTAGTATAGATGAATTTGAATAAATAATGCGCTATATACTGTACACGTTCAAGCTAGTTCGCAACTGTAAGCTGTGTGGTAATTACCATACTCTTCGCTCTCAACTCAGGACTGAGCGATATCCCGAACTGTGTCAACGAGCTTCTGGACCTTATCCCTGTCGCCAGCAAGATCAACCCTGGTCCCGGTGATGAGACCCGAGTTGACATTAGAGGTTCTAGTGGTGATTCCCAGCTTTTCAGACAGCCGCTTGACCTCTCCGTGGATCAGCTGTGTCTTCTGATTAAAGCGAGGAAGAACAATATCGGTCTGGTAAACGCTCCTCTCCAACACTGAGTCGGGGGTAAAGAACTCACTGCCAATCTCAGACCCAGTGATAGGCTGTTCTTCTTCACCGTCACCCTCACTCTCAGTGGCCATGGCATCTGGATAGTCATAGCAAAATACTGGCTTGGTCCATAGACCACCATATTCCACGATCGGCATCACAGGCTCGTATTGGGAATTGAAGTCCTCCACGGGGGGGTTGTTGTTGAGGTAACAAAGCTTGGCGATAGCATCAAGTCTGGGCTCGATAGACCATCTATTCCCATCGCCACTGGAACCAATAGTGATGGGAATGGAAACAACGGACTCGTTGGATCCAGGCAACGACCATTTTCCGATCTCGACTCCAGGACGAATGGAACAACATACTGCGGCTCTATCAGTCCTTTCGTTGTGGGTCAAGTTCCCGATCAACAGCTGAAGAACTGAAGTTCTGGACCGCACACAGAAAAACCGAATGATGCGTGAAATGTGATTCAATGAACCACTGATACTGATGACGGACTCCAGGGCTCCGTGTTCGTAAGGGTTTAGGATAATTGTTGTATACTCCAGATCCTCAGCTATCTTAGAGCTCCTAAGGAACTCCTCTCCGGGGAACATGAACTCCTCGCGTGGAATAGCAAACACGGGCTGGAATCTGTACTTGTGATCTGCCAAAAGATTTTTTCGAAGAGCCTCCCTGGGATGGACGCCTCCATATACCCCATTAGAGTCTACTGATATGAGGCAGATGGGGAATGTGGTAGGTCCCGAGATCTCCACGTCGCCTTCCAGTGAAATGCAAAACTTGGAGAGGCGACGAGCAGAGTCTGAGCTCATGAGGAGTCTAACTGAAGCAGAGAGATCTGATCTGTATCCCCATAGATGTTGATCGAGATTCAGGGCACCGGCTTCAGGTTGGTACTCCTCATGCAGAAACTGGAATATGTCATAACATTCCCCCTTGACTCCAGGGGTCGCTAAGACATCTTCAGGCTTCACATGCGGCGATAAAGCCTGGACATTGAGAGACGCGTCTGAGATCTCTTGTAGAGGCGTCTTGGAGGTAAATGCAGCTGCGCGAGGTAGTTCTGTGTCTCCAAACACAGGGAAAGAGGCCACACTCCAGGACATTCGTGTGGAAGAATCTGATGCAATGACAGTTTCTGATGACTCTAGCTTCACAGCGGCAGCGGCTGGTGGCTCTGATGTGTTGTTGGAGGCGTATTCATTCTCCATTTTGACCGCGTCAGGCTCTGTGTCAGACCCTGCATGAACTTTTTCCCCAGGTTGAGACACTTCATGTTTTGTGTCGATTTCCACGTCTTGGCTTGTAGTATCAAGGGCGATCTGAGATGTCCATGAGGATGCGGTCTGCTTGCTGGCGCGAGTGCGTTTTCTGGGGTTGCGTGCCATCAGATGTACTTTAGGTGTTATGGAGAGAACAGGGTGTGGCCCCCTTATAGGCGGTCAATATAAATTACAATATGGTCATGGTATTACAAACGATGTGTCGTCTGTGCTTTTGTGCTCTTAATAATAGAAACAGAATACCGTCCGCCATGCAGCTCTCCATCTGACCCTACTTACAACAAAGCGAAGTTCACTTAAAGTTGTGTGTGGGACAAACTATGTGGCTTGTAGACTTGTTGCTGGGCTTGTCTTTCAGTGGCCGTTGGATATATTGCGCTAAAGCCGCGTATTGTGCTGGTGTTTGTATCCGGTTGGGATTGCCATTAGCATGATCATTTAGTTACAAGTAACTGTATGGCTGGCACATGCTAGAAATATTAATTGATTAGTCTGTGAGCTCACTCACCACCAATTACTTTTGCCACCATACTCTACTTGTAGATAGGTGACTGGTGAGATGCATCATGTACTGTTTGGGGATAGTATGGATCAATGACGTGGTGAAATGGGGCAGATTTTGTCGCCCTTATAGATGGACGAGTACGTACAGTATGTACTTATGTATTGTTTTGAAGTTGACAAACTCATACCTGTATTCCATCGACTACCCCACATATTAACGGTGGTGGAAACATGTTAAAGCCTAAATGTCGTACCGAGGCACATACAAATCCTAAGTTAAATACAGGCTCTACCCCACATTGATATCTTCACCACCGCTCAACACCAAAAGAAAGCATGCAGCAGTCGAAATATCTCCCTAGTCCCCTCGAGCGATACAAGTTCTGGGACGAGCGATTCACCATTGCCCGAGAGTCCCTTCCTGCTGGCAGCTGGGACGCTCTGCTGTATGGACGATGCAAACCCATTCGAGCCACTGACGACAAAAACGGTTACACCGAGATGGACTTTGAATTCACAATTACAGACGATATTCTCAATGGTCTGGGTTCCATGCATGGCGGAGCTGTGGCCTCCTTGCTCGATAACATGACCACCATGGCTAACTACATTGATTCGCGTGTGTGGCGTACCATCCCTATCTTTTACAACGCTACTGAGGACGAGCCAGAGGAAGGAATGGTGTTCAAGAGCCTATCTGAGGAGCAGAAGGATGAGATCTTTGGCCACTTGCTGTTGCATATTGGAGACTGGTGTGGTGTTTCTCGAACCCTGAACACCACATACCTGCGTGCTCTTGAACTGGGTCAGACCTACATTCTCAAATGCACCACTCCTTCTCGAGGCATGCGACTGCACCACCATCTTGGTCGTGTTTTCGACCAGCAGGGTCGATTGTGTGTGTCTCTTGAGCATGGTAAGGCTCATAACGGAGCTCCCATTCTCAAGTTTAAGAAGCCCAACCTGTAGTCAAATAGACAGTAATAGACGTTTTGTATTGGTACGAGTACCACACTCGTGTTTCGTGAGAAAGAATCTATCATATTAAATAATCTATATAACTTATGTATATGCTCTAAGGAGAGTTTGAGTCAAACACCAGGTTGTTGGCCATGAGGTTGACGGTGTCGGGATGATTGCCCTTGATCTTGATGGGGGTGGCGTTCTCTGTGAGAAGATCAGCCATCTGGGCAGGGGTCATGCCCAGGTTGAGAGTCAGCCAGTAGGACATGATTCCAGATACGTGGGGAGTGGCCATGGAAGTTCCAGACATGGTAGCCAGACCAGTGTCGGACTGGAAGGACAGTGACAGAATGTCAACGCCAGGGGCGAAGACGTTGACGCATTTGCCAAAGTTGGAGAAGCCGGCAATGGCGTCCTCGTTGTCGGAAGCGGCAACAGAGATGAAACCGGTCACGTTCGCATTGTTGGCGGGTCCGACGTCGCAGGCGTTGCCAGCAGCGTTTCCAGCAGCAGCGACAACAGGAAGACCGGCAGCGATGGCTCTGGCAACGGCAGCGTCTCGAGCCTGCGAAACAGCTCCGGAGCCAGAGTAGTTGACAATAGCTCGCTGGCTGGGGTTCTTGAGATGGTGGTCAATGGCCCACGAGAGACCAGATAGGAAACCAGACAGAGAACCGTTTCGGTTCTTGTCGAAAATCTTGACGGAGATGAGTCGGGTCCACATGGACACGCCGTAGTCGTAGGCACCAATGGTACCGGCGACGTGTGTACCGTGTCCATTCTCGTCTGTGTCAACGTCGTCAATGAAGTTGGCACCAAAGGAGGCTCGTCCATAGAACTGCTTGTGAGTGGTTCGAATACCAGTGTCGATCACGTAAACAAGAGGGGCGGCACCGGTAGTAGCACCTCGGAAGTAGTAGAAGCCCTCAGTGTTGGTGCCCAGGGGGTTGTTTCGCTGTGAGATTCGAGAAATACCCCAAGTAGCGTTCTGCTTGAGGTAGTATGTGGGGCTGCTCTGTCGCTTAGCAAGAGTCTGTTCTTCAGGTACTTCGTCGAACTGGACAGCAGGGGCAGCAATGGTTTCGATGGAATCCTTCTCCACAACCTTGACACCCTTGGTATTCTTGATCTTCTCGACTGTGTCGGCAGAGAACTTGCCGTAGTATCCGTACAAGGACTGGCTACCTTCCTTGGCCGTACCAAAGGCATAGGTTCCCTCAATACCCTGGGTAATCTTGTGTCCGATGTCAGCGAGAGAGCCAAACACGTTGGAGATAGCACCCTGAGCTGAGGTCATAGTGTCGACCTGGTTGTAGTGCTCCTCTCGAGTCTGGAGAGAGGCTCCCTGCTCGAACAAAATGATATATCGGTCCTGGACGGAGGCTGCGAATGCAGACACGGTCTCGTCTGAGTCGTTGGAAGGAACAACGTCGCGCTTGGCGAGTCGGAACCGCTCCTGGTGCTCCGAGACAATCTGTTCGATGGACTTTTGGGCAGCCACGGCCACCGCAAACAGAGACACGATAGCTGAAAACTTCATGTTTGCAAGAAAAGTCTCAGGCTGATAGATCGGCTAAATGAGAGTCGTGCGGCAAGGGGGATCCGGCTACATATATGTTGCTGCTGTTGATGACGATCTTATTCAGCCTACAATGGCATGTCAACGCAGATCTGCCGATCCCAGCTTGTATCCAGAAAGGGCAAGGTGCAACGGGCAAGCAGACGAGGAACAAGGAGCTGGGCTGGCCTCTCTTGGCCGCATAATATTTGCTGTTTTGTTGCTTTTGTGTTTCCCGTCATATCTCGGTTATTGCTTGTGTGTGGTTGTTCTCGCTTGTCACTTGCTTGTACGTTACCCACCATAGCATAGTGTTTGTGTTTTTCAAGCTGCAGGTTCTCGTTCCAGCAGTCGAGAGAAGGAAGCGCGAAGGATAAAGGTTATACGGGGTTACGGTAATTCGAAGAGATTTAGAGCGAACTACCGAGGTGTGTGCGTCGTGTATTTTGAGTGTCCTTTGGACAATAAATGCGCTACCACTTCTTCCAATCTCACTGGACGCGCATTAGACCCCTGCCATGCTCCATTGTGACCATGTGCGGTCCTACGGAACATCGACTTGTACCGAGCCCTGCCTGCCGCATGTAGAAGGATGTACAAAACCTATGCAAACTCACTTTAGATTGGGGGAACTCCTGGGAGGGACGTGTCGCTTGGCGAAAGGTGCTTGCACCCCTTGCCGAACGAAACTTGTGCATGCAGTATGTAGGTGGACACGAGTGATAGTCATTGAAGAGCGGGTAGTGGTTGGTGTGAGCATCAGACCTGGGTCGGGATTTTCTGAAGTTGTACTACACGTCTGTTGACCGTCATTTCCATTTGGCATGTCGACAGCCTTCATGAGTTCGTTTTTGGAAACCTTACACTTTGTTCGCACCCAGAACCACCCAACTCTGTTTGGTCATGTTACGGTAGATCCCAGGTGGACAATGAGTAGGGCTGGTTAAGACTCCGGACATGTGAGATGAGATGCTGCAAGTAATAATGGTAGGTGATTCAGATACGGGTGATGGGAAAGTAGAGGGCTGGTACAAGTAGTGTTAGTATCTCTATGTCATGTCTGATAACAACGGTGCTGGTAACCCTCACAGACCCAAAATTATGACATCACCCAGATTGCTTTAAGTTGAGCAGTTTACAGTGCACATTCTAATTGGCGACAATTAAAGGTCTCACGGACCGTCAGGTTAGCTATAGTCCGAGTAGAGTATTAATTAGAGATTATTGGCTACAAGTAGATAAAAAGTAACCATTTTCCATGAGGTGACACCCATAAGTATTTTCATACGACCTGTACTTTCATATTGCATATATTAACGACATTGCTGTGTTTGGTGATTTCTCTCCGCAGCTACTGAGTCACAGACTATGGGTACAGGTAGCTGCTGCAATATTGCAATTGAGGATCATACTCAGTCGCCTGCTTCTTACAGTCTCCACCCACTGCTCTCAATTACATTCATAAATGATCATCTCTCCGTGGAGCTAATAGGATATTAGAGGATGTATTGGCTTGGCGACAGTTTCCGGTCCATCACCTACCTGTGCCGTCTATGCTATGGTTGCTTGTTAATTCCCGTTTCCTCTCATATTCCCTTTTCCTCTCATATCCGCATCTCTTTTATATCCCTCTGGAAACTGTACCTACGTCGCGTCTATGTTTATGGCTCATAACCGAAGATGCAGAAGTGAGAGTGCTGCAATATCGAATATCGGATCTCGAATGGAGGGAAAGTTACTAAGGATAGTGGAGAGATGTCGGTTATTTGTTCGGTGGGCATTGTCAGTCACCAGCACAAGATCCACAACCTCAGTGATACGACGTCTTATTACAAGTACAGTAGTTAAATAATCCTAACAAAACATTAGTTGGACTCCACGTCATGCACGCACTGCACCCCCTACATCACCAGACGCGTCTCTGATAATTTGTGACTGTCCAACATGGCTGAAGATAAGGTGTTTGAACTGGGAAATGATAAGCGTGTGACGGTGCGTGAGTTCAAGGGCCGGACACTGATTGATATCCGGGCCTTCTACGAGAAAGACGGAAAGAAATTGCCCGGCTCAAAGGGCATTTCTCTGACAGAAGCTCAATTTGAAGAGCTCTCAGAACAAGTGCAAAGCATCCAAGATGCCGTGTTGGCGATGAAGGCCGAGAAGGAGGGAGACAAGGCCAAGGCCAAGGAATCAAAGGCTGCAGAACACGCGGAGAAGCGTGTCAACGACAAGAAGCGCAAGGCTAATGACGATGCTACTAAGGATAAACACGAAAGCAAAGATGCTGAGACAAAGAAGTCTCGTGGAAAGAGAATCCTCTCAGAGGAGTTCATCGTGGATGAGGACGATTTCTAAGTGGACATATTATAAATATCTATTGCTCTAATCTATTCAATCAATCTAGTTTTTGAGAAGCTCGTAAAGGTCTCCGAGTTTATCGGCATAGTACTTGGGCTTTGCGACCGCGTCCTCCTTCTTGATGCTCTCCTCGGTGTCGACACCGCTGAGCACAAAGAGTGTTCCCAGACCTCCTTCCTCGCCGAATCGCATATCCGTGTTGAGACGGTCACCGACCATACAGGCCTTGGAGGGATCAAACTCGAACTGAGCCTTGATACAGTCCATCATGGCTTGAGAAGGCTTTCCAAGAGCAACGGGCTTTCGGCCAGAAGACGTCTCAAGGGTTCCAACAATAGTTCCGGCTCCGGGAAGCAGCTTTCCGTGAGAGGGGTATGTAGAGTCGATGTTCGTGGCTAGGAACAGAGTCTCGGGGTCCTGCAGTTGGATAAGAGCGTTGGCGATCTTGTAGTAGTTGATGTGGAAGTCCAGACCGCATAGAACAGCTCCAATAGACTTATCTCGCACAATCGACGACAGAGCCTCGTCGTCGGCCACTCGATTGTAAGCGGCGTCGGTGGCTCCGAGCCAGGGGATACCTGCTTCGGTCAATTCCTCCTCCAAGCCAGTCTCTCCAACAACAAGCACCTTCTTGTCCTTGGGGAACTTGACCACCTTCTGGAGGTAGACGGCGGCCGAGTAGGCGGATCCAAAGATCTCCTCCTTGTTGACCTTGATGCCAAACTTCTCAAACTTCTTAGTGTATGCCTGTCGAGACTTGGTCGAATTGTTGGTGACGAAAATCAGCCGCTTGCCGTTATCTCGCAGAAGCTGAAGAGTTTCAGGAACATGGGGGAGCAGGTGGTTTCCCTGCCAGAGAACTCCATCACAATCAAACAGGAAGTCGTCGTACTGGTCTAGAAACTTCTGGGCCTGCTCTTTGGTGGTGATCTTGACACTCATTGTTGGGGTGGTTTGGTTGACTAATTAGTCTGAGCTGCAACCTTGCGTTAATAGAGCGTGGGGGCCACAGGTTATGATATTATGGTAATTCATACAAAAATTTAACTACATCAATGTCATAAGCAAAATTAGGTGATTACCAGTGAATAAATTATTTTCTCCTGTGACCCTTTCAATTGGTTGTTATTCTAACGCCTACTTATGGTTCCCTACCTTCACGTGATCAAACTCCCAAACACCTGCACCCTGATTGGCTGTGTGTTGTACCCAAAATTATTGGCTTACCATCACCAACAGATAGTCAGGTCTATCAGTCTTTGCATATTTATTCGATAATGCCTTCAGTTGGCCAAGATTTGCCCCCTGTCGGAGGATACGAACCCGTCCAGTGGAGAGTGAGTATTGCTGGAGACTTTTTGCACCATTTATTGGGCTATATTTGATGTTGAAATGGGTGGATTCGTGATGGAGACATGAGACGAAAACTAGATTGAAACGGAATCGACGGATTAAAGCGGCAAAATCAGTGGGATAGCGGGTGGTGGAACAGCTATGGAGGGGTATCTGGTTATCTCCCGGCTCAGGTATTGTTTGAATGAGAGGCCACAAAGATGGAGCACACGACAACACATCGCAGAGAGCACACGACACATGACAATGCAAATGCGACGGCCAAAGCGAAGTAATCAACCTGACAAGGATATTACTATTGGATACATAATTCTCGGCATATTAGCACCAGTCCTTCCAATTCGATCATGTTAATCTCATCTCACACATTCTGTGATACACAAACATGACCTTAGAGGTCAAGCAGGCATCGATTCACATTACTAACTCAGCGAAACCTCCCGGCACGAGGATTCCGACCCCTTGTCTACCTTGCTGCTCTCTGCGGTATCTGCGGTTACGGTTTTTACAGAGCCCTCGGAGGTATTCAGGAGCGACGAGAGCTCAAGCGAGAAAAGCTGTGGGCCCGAATCTACCTCATGCCTCTTCTGCAGGCCGAGGAGGACCGACAGACCGTTCGACGATCTATTGCCCAGCTCGAGCGAGAGAAGGAGATCATGAAGGGTACTGGCTTCGACGTCGACAAGTCTGTCTACAACGATGGCAAGTTCCATGCTCCTGCCCTCATGATCCCTCCCAAATAAGTATAGTAACTAAACATTTATCATCGGATTTGGAGTTGTTACCAGATAGGACGTACTTGTAGGCTTTGTACCATGGTCTGTGTGGACTATCGTACAGTATGTACCTACAGCACTCGTACATACTAGAGCTTGGAGTACAGTTGTTGGCCGCTAGTCAGGTACCTACTGTACAGTGAGTACCGTAGCCAATGGCCAGACTGACTGGACTGGGTGTGCAAGACTGGGTAGATACTTGTATTTTACATACTGTACTTGTACTTTACTGTGCAGTACAGTATCTCGGTTTTGCTCTACTGCAGCACTGTCTTTTTCTGTACTGTTGCTGTTGTGTCTGTGATCACTGTATTGTTCAGTTGTCAAGCGCTCAACTACAAGTCGCAGCTAACGGCAAGGTACTTGCCACGCTGAGTACATGTATCGGGAATATTCTATGTTGAAGTGCTGAGGTGCTGTCTGTTTCTCCTGTGTCTCGAATTATCATCCCATACCATCGATAGGGTCTGCCTTGGTACAGTAGTTTTCGTCTTGTAATACAGTATGAATGCCTACTGTGACCGGATCTTGGCAATTTAGTTGATGAGCTCGGACACGGACTGTCATCCAGTATACCGGGTTTAACGTTAAGACGGGCAAGTATCCGAAGAATATAACACGTGTTGCTAGTGTCTCTCTGCTCCGCCATTTATTTTCTGCTTTCTCTGATCATTCAAACCCCTTCTACTCCCACAGCCTACACCCGATTTCATATTGAGCACATCGCTTATGTTATGCATCATGCATCCCAGGGAGTATTTAGGGTGAAACCAACTTGAACAAGACAACACATGATCTTGACGCTGATCCAATGATATCCACCGGCGACTTTGCGATACTGTGCCTGTTCATCATTGCGCGACTGGTGTCGGCGAAATACAGCATCATTCCCGACTGCGATGAGGTGTTTAACTACTGGGAGCCTCTGCACTTTCTGACGCATGGATTCGGAGCACAGACATGGGAGTACTCTCCCGAGTACGCCATTCGGTCTTGGGCATACCTGTGGGCCCATGGAGTGGCAATTAAGCTGTCAGAACTCATTCTGAGTGCCACGGGTCTCCAGCCCAAGTACTTCATCTTCTACGGCCTGAGAACGGTGTTTGCCACTGTATGTGTGCTCTGCGACTTTGCGCTGTACAGATCGGCCAAGAAGAATCTGTCCAGCTCAATTGCGGTCGGATACGCTGTTATTTCGGCCTCCAGCACAGGAATGTTCCATGCAAGTGTGGCATTCCTGCCTTCGACCTTTGCCATGAATTGCGTCACTCTGGCCATGTCGCAGTTCCTCAACATCAGTCCCACAGGCTTTGTGAGCAGCTACTGTCGTGGCTTTGTGCTCATTGCTGTTGCTGGTATTCTCGGATGGCCTTTCGCTCTTGCTGTGGGTGCTCCTTTTGGCCTTTACTACCTGCTTAACATCACCCACCCCAATGCTTTTGCTGGCCTGCTGAAGGCCCTCATGGCTATCGGCACTATCGCAGGTATTACTCTGGCCATTGACTCAGTTTCATACCGTTCCCTTCAGCTTGGCACACTAAACATTGTGCTCTACAACGTATTTGGAGGAGAAGGACAAGGTCCCGAGATCTTTGGAGTGGAGGACTGGAAGTACTACCTGCACAACCTGCTGCTCAACTTCAACATTGCTTACCCACTTTCTATTCTTGCTTTTGCGACGCCTGTTTTGTTTTACCTGCTTCCTGCCTCCTCCACATCCCTCAGGGTCCATCCTGCTAGACTCGCACTGACTACCTCGCCTCTCCTGCTGTGGTCTGCGATCTTCTACATGCAGCCCCACAAGGAGGAGCGGTTCTTCTACGTGGTTTACCAGCTAATTGCTCTTTCTGCTGCCATTTCGCTGGAATGGATCTCTGCTGTTGTCCATGCAGTTGGCCTCAAGGGTCTCAAGGCCCTCACAATCGCTCTGGCTCTGTCGGGCATCGCCTCCATCTCCGTGCTAAGATCCGTGTCGCTCGCCCAGAACTACTCTGCGGCTATTCACGTGCTCAAGACCCCCCAGCTCTACGAGGGTGAGGGAACCACCTTCTGTCTAGGTCGAGAATGGTACAGATTCCCGTCCTCGTACTTTCTGGCTCCTCACCAGCGACTGCGATTTGTCAAGTCGGGCTTCAAGGGACTTCTACCCACAAGCTTTGAGGAGTCAGATTACCCTAACATGTGGTGGAACCTTCCAGGAACCTCCAGTATCCCTCTGCACATGAACAACCTCAATCTGGAAGCTCCCGAGCTGTACGTAGAGCCTTCTCAGTGCGACTTCGTGGTTGACATCGATATTCCTGCCAACAGTGAGGAGGGCGAGATTTCGTATTTTACCTCCCCCGAGTGGAAGAAGATCAACTGTCGCAAGTTTTTGGACTTCGAGTCCAGCGGTCCTGGAAAGCTCTTGTGGCTGCCAAAGAGTCTTCATGGCCTAACCAAGACCAGCCTGAAGCATCATGAATATTGTCTATTTGAGAAGGTGAAGAACGAGTAAATAAATAATTCCCTCTTCGTGGTTTCACTTGCGCTCAATTCCTATATATAACAATCCTCTATTTTTTTCGATATTCGTATACACCACTCTGTTTTACTTTATCATATAGATCTATTGATGCTACTTCTATGTAGCGCCTTCCGTCTTCCAGCCGTCTTAGTTGACAGACTTGGAAAGCATATGAGATCGGCCGGGGCCAACACCAACCCACTGCACAGGGCAGTCCAGGAACTTCTCAATGAAGGCGATGTACTTCTTGGCGTTCTCGGGCAGCTCGGCGTATTCGGTGATCTTGGTAGTGTCAGACTTCCAGCCGGGCAGAGTCTCGTAGATGCACTCGACCTGTTCCAGCACGTGCAGGTCCTCGGGGAAGGACTCCAGCACCTTACCGTTGTGCTTGTAGCCAACGGCAACCTTGAGCTCCTCCAGCTGGTCCAGAACATCCAGCTTGGTGATATTCAGGCTGGTGTAGCCGTTGATCCAGGTGGAGTACTGGAGCACGACCAGATCGAGCCATCCACATCGTCGTCGTCGGCCGGTGGTGACACCAAACTCGGCACCAACCTCCTGCAGGTGCTCTCCGACATTGTTGAGCTGCTCGGTGGGGAAGGGACCAGCGCCAACTCGGGTGGTGTAGGCCTTGACAACACCGTAGATGTTTCGAATGGCGGTGGGGGGGATACCCAGACCAGTGCAAACACCTCCGATTCCGGTGTTGGAGGAGGTGACGTAAGGATAGGTACCAAAGTCGAGATCCAGCATCAGAGCGTTGGCTCCCTCGATGAGGATTCGCTTGTTGGCCTTGATGGCCTTGTGCATGAAGGGGACGGCGTCGATGACGAAGGGTCGCAGATCGTCAGCGAGCTTCTTGTATCGCTTGATCTCCTCCTCGACGTCGTAGTCAAAGTCACCGTATCGCTTCTGTCGAGTGCCGACAAGTCGTCGGAGTCGAGACTCGAACTCCTCCCAAGCACCAGGCTCCTGAGAGACCAGGTGGTGGACTCGGATACCGGATCGAGAGGCCTTGGTGGAGTAAGTAGGACCAATACCCTTGCCGGTGGTGCCAATGGCCTTCTTGGTGGTAGACAGCTCCTGCTCCTTGAGACCGTCAGTGAGCTGGTGGAAGTCAAAGACCAAGTGGCATCGAGAAGACACGAAAAGTCTGTCTCGGCAGTTAAGACCCTTGTCCTCAATGGCCTTGAGCTCGTCGAAGAAAGAGGGGACGTGGATCACGACTCCGGAACCAAGCAGGTTCTGGCAGTTGGGGTTGACAAGGCCGGAGGGCAGCATGTGGAAGTCGTACTTGACATCACCAACCACAATGGTGTGTCCAGCGTTGTTTCCACCCTGGCATCGAGCACAAACGTCGATCTGGTCGCAGAGAATATCCACGAGCTTTCCCTTTCCTTCGTCGCCCCACTGGGAGCCTAGAACAACATCAGCCATTTTGGTAAGAGTGTATGTGTTTGTTGAAACTGTGAAGCGCTTAGCTTAGCCACTTAACTCGAGTCGGAACGTCGTCTCCCCTAATTATATATAAAAGTGACTCTTTGAAAACTTTGCATGTGGGCTAGGGTTGCGTCCCCAACCTGTCGGCTCGCCAAACCCAATTGACAAAACCACCGTGTTTTTGTGACTTAAGCTCCGTGAACGCAACCCAGGTACAACCTGGGACGGAGCCAGGTACAACCTGGGCCAGTACCAGGTTCTACTTGGGTACGGAACGGCATTGTAGAAAAGGAAGCTTCGTGAGAGTGGGATTCAGGTGTGGATATCTTGCGGAATTTAGTCGGATCTCCCGGCGGATGGGCCGTACTTGTGCAGTTAATTGGGCCAATGCCAAGCACGCATCTTTCACATCATTCACCTCTTGGTGCCAGAAGTTGAGTTATACACGCTCAATAGGGACCCTATGTCCCTCTGACCTGCTGTATTTAGGAATTGCTCGTGGTTGTGCTGAAATCGACCTCACCACGTGTGGATTAAGGTTCCTGCCCAGACTCCCCAAACAACAGAATGTCGCAGCCAAACCATCGTGGTTCGGTTCCGCCACGCGCACATATGAATGAGATCGAACGACCATGACAAAGAGTCAAGAGGCGCACACACGACGAAACAGCGTCCACACCCGAGATACAACTAGGTCGATGACCATACCAAACAACCATACATACACACTACAAGTATGTAACTCCGAGCTTGTCTCACTTACTGTAAGTCAGCCACAAGTTCCGATCCATACGTGATAATTACGGGAATGCAAGTACGATACATGCTGTGCGATCATACCTCAGGGATCCCACATAGACCACAAAGGGAGCACGAGATGTACATGAAGTCACATCAAAATGGCTGAATACACAAGGACGGCCACACGACCCACTGTGCCTGCCACGTTCTCCCTTTTTCACGCGCAACAATGTATGTACTGTATGTACTCGTACAAGTAACTCAAGTCCGAAAAACATCAATACTATACAAACCGTCTCTCCACAGGACATAGAAAATATTTATACACTCACTCCTGTCATGCATCAACTGCTCACGAGCTGGGGGACCTCATCGGAGTCCTCAGCAGGCCCACTCCCCTCCTCCTTGCTCTTATCGACCTCTCTACTCTTAGGGTTCTGCTTATCTCCAGATCCAGGTCCAAACTGAGCTCTGATCTTACGCTTAATCAGCACAATGCCCGCGAGACAAGCCTGGTTGGTGAGAAGAAAGACAGTCATCAACACGGCCAGCAGAGGATGTCTCAACTTGTATGCAAATCCCAACACCTGGACAAGTCCCGTCTGAACGCGGGCACCCCTGTACCAGCCATAAACCACACCAACTGCCTCCAGTGGCAAGATCGGTAGCAGTATCCAGTCTCCCTCTTTCCACTCCTTCTCCACAAAAACGAACGTAATCGTAAGAAACCCGACCATTGACAGAACTAGCAGTAGCGTCAGAAAGCCCACAGAACCCTCCATAAACTCCCTGCTGTTCTGAAAGTCGACTTTTGGTTCTGCGTGCTGCTGTTGTCTTTGTTGCTGCTGGTTTCGTTTCTCCAGAGCCACCCTGCATTCCTCCTCATACTGCTCATCTTCGTCCCACTCTTCATCCTCATCCACCTGTTCCACCAGCTCCCATCTATCGTCTCCCTCCTTCACAAACCCCATTTGGCCCATGATTTGCTCCAGATCTTCGGGGTCAATGTATTCGACGGTCTCGGCTGTCTTCTTGGCTATGCTCGGGGGTTTAGACATGGAGGACCCTGATGTCGCCCCCACAGAGGCGAGTTGTGTAATATCTACCTCTTCGTGCTTTCCGGATCGTCCTCTGCGTTCCATGTTGTGTTGTGTCACGTAGTTAGTTGAGTTGGTATAGTCTCGGTAATACAAGTGCAGTTGTACTTATACAGTCCTTGTACTCGTACTTAGAAGGCTAAACAAACAAGTGTCCCTGTAATACAGTTTGTCCCGACATGACACATGCAGTGTGGGAGAATACTTGTGAATTTTCACGTCGCTCTCAAACATCATAAGATGCCGCCAAAAAAGAAGTCGAAGCTCTTCAATGCTCGGCGAATTATCGTCCAAAATACCGACGATGCTTTGAAGGACGGCCGAATTAACGTTCCGGCTTTCGTCAATGCTAGACAGCGAGAAATCGAGAAACTCGCGACCGCCATGCAATCGTCGAGAACAGCAGCCTCTCAACGATCTTTCCAGTCTCTACCTCGATCCCTGAGACGAAGAGCCGCCTCACATGATGTCAAGCGGATCCCAAAAAGACTCAGAGCCCGAGCTCGTCAGGAAATGGCTAATGATGACCCCAGTTGTCATACCAGAGCTGCCACAGGAAAGAACAAGATTGGAAAGCTGAGAGGGCATAAACGGCTGCTGGCGATCCTGGACCAGAGAAAACACGTGGTTGGAGACAGACAAAAGAATGCTACTCCGATGGCCTTGTTGCAACCTAAGGATGTCACTGGAAAGGATCAGACAGCTACCCCTCCAGTGGGAAAGCTGCGATTCGAACATAGACAAAAGGATAAGACCTGGCTACCCACTCACGTGTGGCATGCGAAGAGAGCACATTTTGAGAACCGATGGGGCTTCTCAATCCCAGAAAAGCCATCGCAAAAGTGCTACAGAAAGACACACAGAGGAATAAAGCACGAAGGAGCTACAGTATGGGACTCTTCATACACCGCTACGTTCAGAATCGAAGCTACCACTGAGTACCTAAAACAGCTCATGGCCGGCTGGTTCGGCAAAAAGGTGCTTAGAAAACGCTATGTTTCAGGCGAATACTGCTTTTCTGGAGAAATCAAGCCCGAGGAGGTATCCCTAGGCCCTGCCCAGGTACTCTGGGAGTCTGAGTCTTCTGTGATCCTCAGAGTTCACCCTTGCATGACCTCCATGGTTCTACCTCTGCTGAACAAGGAGCGGCTGGAAAACGCCTCTCACAAGTTCCATTATACTGATCTGAGATACGCTATTGGATCGATCGGCATTGGCGGCCCCAAAGCTTTGCAGGTGCTCAACACAGTATTGTGCCCTTCCGATGAGCGAAGTTCTAGTGCCAAGATGTTCAGATCACTCTCTTACCTGGCCACACTTGACAGCCTTCCTGAAAATGCCGTTATGAATCTGAGGGTGCATGACCCTCGTCTGCATCCTGCCAAGCTCAAGCTACCTCGAACCAGCAACGAGCAGAGCATCATGGAGACTCTAATAGCCTGGCCAGGAGCTTTAGTCGAGGAAAACAAAACTAACGGAAACTTCACCGTGTTCTCAGGGGAGGCGCGACAAGAGAGTTATGCCAAACAGATGTCTCTCAAGGGCATCAACCAGCACAGAACTAACAAGCTGAGAGGACAAGAAGACGGAAAGACAAAGGCGGAGATACCTATCACCATTATTCGGAATGGTGCACACCTCTCGATCCTTCTGCCCTGGTTCTGGGTTCTCCCTGTGTGGTTTGCTCTTAATCACATCCCCTGTGTGTCATTTATTGGGTATCAGCAATTGCATCAGATTGCCTATGAAACTGGCAAGCCTTTTTTCCCCAACGATTACCCCCAGACCGAGGCCGGTCAGGCTGCCGAGGTATTCAGAGGAATGGGGCTCGAGCAGAAATACAATCGAACCCCGCCTGCCAAGCGAGTATCGTATTATGCTGAGCTTGGAAACGCCTTTGTGTGCGACTGGTCGCTGCTCAAGACAAACGAGCAAGAGACCGACGTTGGAGTCGCCAACAATCTCAAGCGAGTCAGCGTTAAGTATCTGCACAGAGGAACTCCCTACGATCGAGCTCGCATCTATAGAATTCCTGAGGATAAGAAGCAGCAGTGGCTCGATGCCCGAAAGCTGGACCCTGAGAATGTCGATGACTACCCAATTTGTCCTTCTAGAGAGCATCTGATTGGCTTTGTGACTACTGGCGATGTCAATCTTCAGGAAGGATGTGGTTTCGGCATAGGTAGTGTTATCACCATCCCTGAGGACGATCTGGTGGTTGTTCGAAACTGTGGACAAGGAGTCGGTCGGGTTGCTAAAATTGAACTGATTAAATAGATAATAAATATATTGATGCATGTTTCTATACCACTCACTGAATATTCCTGTCTGCAAAACGGCTCATGACTGGGCCGAGATTGCTTTGTAAGAATGATTTGGGCAACGAGTTGCACGAGAGGGTGGCAAATGATCTCACAGATTGGTAGAAGATTGGTGTCGTAGTCGCCAGGTACTCTGAGAGATCAGCCTCTTCAACAATGTGAGCGGTTTGTAGAAGCTGTAGTTGTTTCTTGACAGTATTCATAGCAGCTTCAGGTAGGTTGTAGGACAAAAAGCTGAATATGTGTCTGACAGATTGCAGGGAACTGGGGTCGTCCACAGAGTGGTACGCCTGAAGAGTCAGAAAGTGGAGTATGAAGGCAGCCAGACCTACAGCTTGTCTGTGATTATCCAGTCGTTCTCGTCTCAGAAACGACGTCAGAAGCAGAAGAGTGGTGTTTTTCAGACTCTCGTAGATGGTATTAGGCATATTCCTTTCCAGACTGGGATGTTTGATCTCAGGCATTGTCATTTTCTCTCGTTCGACCTCAGTTACGGCAGATGAGTTAGGAGGTGGAATACCGAGATCCGAGGCTGCGAATACGGCCATAAGAAGTCGCACCGCAAACAGTCGCTGCATGTAAGCGTGAGACATGGCTTCCCCGGCGGTTTTAGGAAGCTCAATGAAAGACATGCACATTTCCACACAATCCAGTGTGGGCTTCATGTTATCGACAACCTTCTTGGCCTTTTTGTCGCTCAGACTTTCGTCCTTCTTGCAATTGAACAGTGCCATGAGCAACAGGATCTCGCTCAGGTAGTCCACCGCGATCTCATCTTCCGTCATGATAGTGGTATTGGGCGGAGGGGCTTCTGCCAGATTTCTTTGATGCTAGGCGTGTGTAGGTGGGACGCGTTTATGCATTAATGGGATCAATAAAGCCTACAGCATGTACGTATGTACTACATAGTACCTTGTACTGACAGGGTGAGATTACAAAGAAAAGACACAAGTAAGAAAAATAACGAACATAGCAGAACATAACAGTGACAAATCTACCACAAACGATTTTATAGTACATACTACATCGTTTCTGCATTGTTTACTAGCTATAGAAGTGTGGTATTGGTTCTGGACTCAGCTCAGGCTCACTACCAAACTCTAACGGCTCCGATTGACATGCATATCAGTCAATTAATAGTTTTAATCCCACACATCACCACCACAATGAAACGATCTGGCCCAGTTTCGGACTTTTTCGCACCGCGCAAAAAGCAGACGACAGTGGCTTCGTACCTCGATCTTGCTCCAGGCCTACACTGGAAACTGGTCACAAACGGATGCCTACGAGGCATCTATGTTCCCCATGACTGCGGAGAACTACACTCCATGGCCAAGCGTCTCAAACAGGACGGATCAGAGCCCCTCTCTGTACCTGTGGCAGCCTTTGATCTTGACTCCACCATCACGCTCACAAAAAGCGGAATGCCTTGGCCCAGAAACGGATCCGACTGGAAGTGGTTCAGCGACCGTGTGGTAGAGTCTCTACAAGCAATGCACAAGACCGAGGACCGCAAGGGCTCGTTTCCGGTTCCCCACAAGCCATACATTGTCGTGATCATTACAAACCAGGGCTCATTGGTTCCTAAAGAGGGCAATAAGCGATATGCGCATTTTGTGGAACGGATCGACTCAGTAACAGACTTTATCGATATTCCTGTTCTTGTGTATGCTGCTAGTAAGCTGGAACAGAAGAGAGGAGCCCCCAAGGTGGCTACGAAGTCAGAACAGGATAAGGATCCCAATGCGTTCCGAAAGCCAGGCAACGGACTGTGGAGGCGGATGACCGCTGACCTGGAGAAGATGCACATGAAGGTGAATACGAAGGACTCGTTTTACGTGGGTGATGCAGCAGGGCGGCCTGGCGACTTCGCTGCTTCTGACAAGGCGTTTGCTGAAAACGTGGGAATTCAGTTCTTCACTCCCGAGGAGTTCTTTCATTGTGAGGTCGCTTACAAGGGGGAGAGAAGCGACGATGATGATGTGGAGAATGGAAAGCATTATGAGCATACTGAAGAGACTAAGGGGGAGGAGAATGGGAGGGAGGAAGAGAAGAAGGAGAACGGCGACAATGAGAACGGAGGGAATGGAGAGAATGGAAAAGCCAATAGAAAGAGGTGATCCAACTACTTGTAGACTAACATACAATAGAGCTAACATGAATGAACATTACTGTATCTTACGTATGAACCTGTACAGTGTACGGTACATACTATACTTGTACTTGCACATGGAAGTATCAGGATAATATTCTACAAGTACTTGCGATCAAACTTGCAATCAAACTTGCAATCAGACAAAAAGTAGAACTTCACACAACGATGAAAAGGGAAGTGAACGCTATCGTCGAACATGCAAGGAGCCTAAACAATGCCTTCTACACAAAAATACACCTCTAAAACTCATGTCAAACAAATTAATTTACTATGAAAGGTATTTTAAAAGGTATCGTAGATGATGTACTTGAACAAGGGTGATCGCGTGAACTTCGGCGTTAGTTGGGTGTCGAAGTAAAACTTCAGTCAGTTTTCAGTGGTCAGTGTCAAGACCTCCATGTATCAAGACACTACCATTTCTGACGGACTACAGCCAGAATTGGTTTCTCCCTACAGATGCCTACGGTACTTCGCAAGAGAAAGAAAGACGGCAAATTCATTAGACTAATAACTGCCCAGTATTCTTTTCTTGACGAGAGTATCTATGATACATCGTTAAATAAAGAATATTTTTGTGTGGTTGTAAAGCTGAGTGAAGTTTTCAGAAAACTTACTCCTCAATGACGTTGGTCTTCTCGGAAACGTAGATACCATCAAGGAACTTTCGGATATCCTTGTTTCGGACTCGGCAGGTCTGCTGGATGTCAGCACAGGTCTGAGAGACGTTCTCGATGGAGTTACCGATGATGCAGATCTCATCCTTCTGGTTGGTAGAGATCTCAGCGCTGCAGCCCTCGTGGATGGGGACTTCTCGGACTCGCTTCTCACCGAGGAAGTTTCGGATCTCAACGACGGAACCGTCCTTAATGAGGTTGACGTTGATGGGGAAATGGGCGTAGACGTATCGCATCTTGTACTTGTAACCTCGGGTGACACCGGTGATCATGTTGTTGATGAGGGTCTTGACGGTTCGCAGAGCAGCGACGTGCTTTCGGTCACCATCGAAGATGGTGATCTTGATCTGGTCATCGGAGACCTTCTCGAAGGCAACGTTGATGTGAGACAGGTTCTTCTTGAGGGTACCTCGGGGGCCGGTGACGGTGATTCGTCGGGCCTTGATGTCAACGGTGACACCCTCGGGGATATCGAGCAGAACGTCGGACTGGATGAACTTCATTGTGTTGGCGTGGAGAGTGCTGGAGAAGCTGAGTTATTCCAAAGAACTTTTATCACTTGGTGAAAAAGCTACCATTGAGTGTTGGGATAACAAATAAGGTCCACAGTCACACTAGGGTTAACCCTAGATCCGGGAGAAAGTTTAATTAGAAAGTGGATGGAAGCATTATAGGTGAAGGAGTGGAATAATACTTATATAAACCGCCGAAATATATATGACTGAACTTGGTTATTACAACTGCCTTTTTATTTGGCTGTATTTGGGCCATTAATATGGAGTTTTGATGTATTTCCAAAGACACCAAAGTCACATGACTAACCTTATACGCACGTCCTGTCACAGAAGTCACGTGTGATAGTTGAAAGAGTGGAAGAATGGCAGGGTGGTAAAGAGGTGTATAGAGGGGAGGTTAAAGGAATTGAGGTGCATTTCTAACGTGTCCTGGGCGATCGCTACGAGTGCAACAAGGGTGTACAAGTTTGAACCGTTGACCTTAGAGTGCATTTTACAGCGTTTAGGGTCAAAGGCTTCACTCTAAGCAGCTGTGCAGTGTAATTGTGGAAGAACTTAGCGGCCGTTTGTTGGGAATGACGAACGGAGGTTACGTACAAGATACAGTGAGACATCTGGTAATTACTTGTACAAGTAATACAAGTAATTATTATCTGTAGTCTTCTCATATTCTATAGAGTTATGTATTAGGTTATTATATATATATATATATATATATATATATTTAACAAACCAACTATTCTTGTCAATAAAGTGGAAGAATTAGTTGAGATCATTAATCAGGAGATGTCGCTTGCTTTCATTTGGCACTAGAACCCATACTAATACACAGTTACTGTCTCTTGTGAGATATGAATAGGTTGAACAGCTCCAAAACACAACTTCCATTTCCTCTGGCCCATATTACCCCCAGAAGCTGTCGTAATAAATCTATGCCTGGCAAAAAGCTTGGTTTAGATGTGAGACTGGCTAATGAGATGCAGTAGACTAATTCTGAGCCAATTAAATGTATGGACACCAACGGAGGGCGAGTGGGGGTCTTGACGTGTTATATATGGGAACTATGAGTTGAAAGGAGAGACAGAATAGGAATATCATACACATAGTATTCTTAGTTGTTTAAACGACTTCTCGGCTATAGAAGGAATTCATACAAGTAGCTTCGGAACCCCGTCTTTTGTTTTGTATGAGGTTCGAATGAGGTTCGATATGTTGGTGGAGCTTCCTATGACCATGTACAAGCATCTTTTCAGTTACTCAGCACAAATATTATGAGTCTTGGCCAGATGTCGCTACGGTACATACTGTACATCTGTAGCTACAACAACCGCAGTATGTAGGATGGATAAACACCGCCGTATGAAGCTTGGGCTGCGTGTCTTGAATCTGTTGTAGAAGTATGCATATTGTATGTACTTGTCAACGGAATTGTGAATATGTTGACACAAGGACGACTTGAATCAAGGGCTTATTTGCTCAGACTGAAGCTAACCAATCCTTGTATACCTCTCTACTTGTACTGTACTTTCACTCATACAACATGTATTTGAAAGCTCAGCACTCAAATACAGTATTTGCTACTTGTAGTACTCCCTCACACCTCAACACGATAAGGTAGCTATACCACAGTATACAATAGGTACAGCTGGTACTTGTAGATTTAACTCCAGTGATTAGCCAATGATCTGTATGCTTTTATACAGCCAAGAAGGGGAGTTTATGAGCTGGAAGCGGGAGTGGGGAAGCTGCAGGAGTCCTCCTACAGCCCGATGAGGGACTCGGCTGGAACGAGCACAAGCAGATCGCGAGAATATGGCAGGTCAAAACTGCGCATATCGAAACATGACGCACAAGTCAACATCGTCACAAGACATAAAATGGTGGCTCGAAAACAAGAAAGATGAAGCGATTGAAGCTTCGAAAGGTGATGAGACTTGAATCTGGAGCTGTTGGTGTCGATTCTACGACTAATTCGAACGCCTTCAGATTTTTATCCCTACTCGTACCGTAAACCCGAACACTACTGGCTCAGAGGAATGAACCTTATTGGCCTGGTTGGATGGAAAAGAGGAATGAATAAATCTGTATTCCAACTCATTTGTTATAAATTCCAATACGTAGAAATGAAATTGAGCCGTTAAATACTATGTATCCATCTTCTTTTCTCCCATTAATTATCCCCAACACTCTCAAGTTGGGATTCCCATAACCTCTTCACGTGACGTCCTCCCAGCCAATCACATTCCCCCCAATCACCCAAATGCTAAAGTTGCACTACCGGAATTTCATCACAGCACAGCACAGCACCACGAACACCACACCTACAATGATTGCTAGTGTTTGCAAGCGAGCCGGATTGCGGGCTGGCCCACGGGCATACCCAGGAGTGCGCCAGTTTGCCCTCCGAGCATACAACGAGGAGAAGGAGCTGGCTCTCAAACAGCGGCTTTCGCAGCTTCCTCCCCCCGGCAAGGCCTTTGTGACTGCCGAGGGAGAGCCTCGACCTGCCAAGGAGGCCGAGCTGGCTGAGCTGGCTGAGATTGCCGCTCTGTACAAGACGGACCGAGTTGGCATTCTCGATATTCTGCTGCTGGGCAACAAGCACGCCCGACTGTACCGAGACAACACAGCACTGCTCAAGGATTACTACTACAACGGTCGACGAATCCTCGACAAGATCCCCGTCAAGGACAAGCAGACAGGCAAGGTGACGTGGGAGATCAAGCGAGAGGGCGCCGAGAAGGAGGACTGGGTCAATCAGATGTACTTTCTGTACGCACCCTCGCTGATTCTGCTGCTCATCGTCATGGTGTACAAGTCTCGAGAGGACATCACCTTCTGGGCCAAGAAGGAGCTCGACCAGCGAGTTCTGGACAAGCATCCCGAGATTAACGATGCTCCCGAGAACGAGCGAGACGCCCTGATCGTCGAGCGAATCATTGCTGGCGACTACGACAAGCTGGCCAGCTTACAAAAGAAGGCCACCCCCACCCCGGCTACTTTGATTTAGTCTAGCATTAACGTATCAAGTGAAAAAAACGAGAATTGAAGCGTAGAGGTGTCCATGGATGTCGATGGACGTTTAAAGGTGAAATAGAGTGATGCGTGTTAGACATGCGTGCCAGTACAGTAATACACGAGAGCTACCATAAGCAAATACTGTTCACACACGTTAGGCAATACTACAACAGTTTGATAACGATGGCAACATCAACCTCTTTGAATCCACCCTCATACTCATATTATCTGAACGTCTGTATTCCTTATCGTGGCACTCTTGGAGGACTGTGTACAAACTGAGATCTGTTTCTACAGACTCAAGAAAACGAAGCACACCATATACTGGCACATGCTCTGTACAAAAAGAAGAAAAGTCTCGCACGTGGTGCTACTTGTAGCAATACTTCAAGCATATCAATAACCGTGTCAATAACACATTCTCTATTCAGGGCTCACTTTAGTCTTGGTTCTAACTCACACTGTCCTACATCATCCATAAACATAGTTTCATATCATCTCATGACGAAGTCCCACATCATCATAACAAACCACTTCAACAAGTCAACACCTAAATCCATGATAAAACATACAGTGATACAGTGTATTCTCTGTCATAAATCATCCCATGTAATAAGAATTTAAATAAAAGCCACTATAAATAAATATATAAATCTGGCATACGTTAGAATGTGGGCGCACTATACACACGCACGCCCACTTGATTGTGAGGGGTACTGGCACACCGTATTTGTACAGTCTGCTCATACCACCGATTAATGTTAGAGGCGTTATCATCTTATGCTGCGGGAGAAAAGTCCAGGACTCGGTTGACTCCACTGGCCCCAAGCTCTCGCTCCTGAGCAAGCTTCTTCTTGGGACTGATCTTGGACCGCACTGGTGACGGAGTGCCAGGAGTAGTGTTGAGCTGCGAGTCAAAGTTCTCGTCATCTGAAGGAGCAGAAATGGTGGATGCAGAAGAGCCTCGTCGTCGTTTCTCTGGTGACGAGGGAGGCAGCTCTGTGGCCTTGGTTTCTCGAAGAGGCGACGAAGGAATGGCCACAGGAGAACTAGACATTATGTGTGCTGGTGGAGGCTGTAATTGTCTCGATCCTCGAAACGCCACTGGGCTCATAAGCTCGGTTGGCGACCTTCGATTGTGTTCATGCAGTGCCTGGGAAGCCAGCAGTCCAAGGGCATCCATTCTGTGGTTCTGGCCCTGTTGTTGCTGCGACTGAGGTGGCTGAATGTGTTGTCGAGGCGGCTGAGAGGTACCAATGGACAGCGGGGGAGGCCGCGAGTCCAGCTGGCGGTTCTCATAAGCTGACTGTGTTCGTCGGTGTCCCATACCCTTGTGCACCATACCCACAGGTGACATGGGGTGATGTTGCTGCTGCTGCTGTTGCTGCTGAGGTTGGGGCTGATGTTGCGGGAAATACGGCAGAACAGGCGATGACTGCAGAGACGATGGGTGGTGGGGGCTCTGCATGTGTGGAGGTTGCTGTTGTTGCTGATGAGGGTGCTGCAGCAGGGGTTGCGGCTGCTGCGACAGGTGTGCGGGGTGCTGGTGGGGATGCTGCTGTGCCTGAGGCGTAACAGGCTCCAGTCGAGCTCGCAGTCGTTGAATCTCGCGGTCCCGCCACTCAATGTCAAACACTGCATCCTCCAGCCTCAACTTTGCCCGTCGCAACTTTCGCTTGTAACTCTCCAACACCTTGGTGCTGGACTTGTTATACTCTCCCAGCAGCTGACGGGGTGACTCGCCGTCCTGATCTGCCAGTCGCAGTCTATCCACCTCTCTCTTGGCGATGTTGTTCTCCACCTCGTATCGTTGGGCCGCTTCATGGGTCTCAATGGTCAGTAGCTTGTTCTGTAGCTGGAAGTGCGACTTCTGGATCTTGGTCTTTGCCAGAAGAGCTGTGAGAGCCTCAATAGTCTCGTTGGCTGCTCGCAGTGACTCTGCCACCGGTTCTCCTCCCTGCGCGATTTCCTCCTCACTGAGGGGCTTCCAGTGTCGAATGAGCGCCTCCTTCTCTGGGTCGGCCTCGGTGGGAGTCTGGGGTCTTGAAATGGGTCGTGCTAGAGGCGTCGACACATCGGCATTGTCTTCAGGCTGCTCCTTGTGCTCGGTAGAGTCGTCCGGTTGGGTATCTTGGGTGGAGTCTGCATCTGTGACTGTGGGCTCATGTTCGGGCTCAAAGGGCTGACCGCTAGGAAGAGGGGTGGGCAGGAAGCTCTGTTTGTCGGCGGGCGGAGTGTGGGGCGCGTCGAGGTCCGTGCCGTCCTCTTTCTTGGACATGGTTGCGGTGTTCTGGGTGGTGGCGCGTACTAGTGGTGGTGTTTTCGTATTAACGTTGCTCGGTAGGGTAAGTAGTTGTGCATAGACAGGCGTATACGAGTAGGTCTAGATAAGCTTGACGGGACTGTAAGGGTTTCCCCGTTGTAAACAAGACAGCTACTTGGATTAGAAGGCAACCACCAATTGAGAGATGGTAAACTTGGGACTGCGAAGCAGACGAGTGCATATAAAAGCACTTAGAACCACACCAGGCATTCTAGACTGGGTTTAAAACAGGTAGTAGTGTTTTTGGATGCTATGCTAGATAATGCCTCATCTCGATTGGGACCAGTGCTAATGTATGGTTCCTACGAGTAGAGCCGGCTGCTTCCTAAACAGGCTTCCTCGCCCACAAAATAAAACGGTGGACGCACTGTTTCTATGCACCGTGAGCCGTTGAGGCATGCCACATGGTTGCTTTAGCTGGCGACTATCAGTGCCAATAAGACCCGAAAAAGCAAATCATAGAACTGGACAGCATTATTAACGCCAGTATGGGGTCTACGCGGTTGTGTATGTCAGGGCTGAGTAATGAAGTAGATTAGACGGAGCAACAAGGATGGTACAATTTGAAGCACCCAGAACAAATCATAAGTACGAGTACAAGTACAAGTAGGACAACACGAGTTCTTATTCTACATCATCTATTTAAAACGCTCAGTTACTGACACTGTTTGTCGCTTAAAGTACAAGTACTTGTACTGAAGTTGGGTCCACTAAAAAGGATGCCTATACAAGTACAATAACTTGAGAGACGGTGACACTCACACAAACTCTCCAGAGAAAGTCTTTATCACTGTGCAGTACACATGCCCACAAGGGCGAACAAATCTAACTACTGTAACCGAGTGCCCCAGCTACTTGTACTTGTAAGCTGTTCTTTTCTGTTCCACCTCTCACTCACTTTCAGCTCGTAACCTACACACTGCTCTATGACCACCGCCAATTTTTAGCTCTCCATGCATTGAAATTCTCCAGACCAAATCACCTCCACAAAATGCTCCGTCTGCGACTGGTGAGAAACTTCACGTCCAAGGCCGGTCGGATCTCGTCGACCGGCACTGCTAACGTGTTCCGTAACGAACCAAAACCCGCCAATCTCCAAAAATCCGCCCGCGATGAAGCTGGATTCTCGTCCTCAGACTCTGCTCCCTCGTTGCTACAGTACCTCAAAGACCGGAACTTGGTTGCCAATGTGACCGAGGACTCGCTTGAGCAGCAACTACAGCAGAAATTCACATCCTTCTACCTTGGCATTGACCCCTCGGGCCCCTCCATGCACCTGGGGCACATGGTGCCCGTCATGATCATGCTGCATCTCTTCCTCCGAGGCCACTACGCCTTTGCTCTGGTCGGAGGAGCTACCGGAGCTGTGGGAGATCCCACTGGAAAGACTGAGGAGCGAAAGACGGTTGTGAAGGATACTCTGCAATATAACCTCGACGCCCTGGCCACCTCCCTTGAGCGAACCTTTTTGCATGCTGTTGCCGCTGCAAAGAAGGAAGGCGTCTATTACGGCGACCAGATCAAGCTGCAATACGCAATTGTCAATAACCACGACTGGTGGAAGAATGTCGGCTTCCTCGAGTTTCTGGCCTCCTATGGACGACTCATCCGTGTCAATCAAATGATGGCCAGAGACTCCGTCAAAGACAGACTCAACTCGGCCACCGGCATTGGCTATAACGAGTTCTCCTACCAGATTCTGCAAGCCTTTGATTTCTGGCACCTGTTCGAGACCCAGGGGTGCTCTCTTCAACTCGGTGGAGGAGACCAGTGGGGAAACATCACTGCTGGGGTTGATCTGACTAAGCGAGCTGCTGCCGTCAACAACCTTAAGGAAACTCCCTACGGAATCACTACTCAGCTCATGCTGTCCAAGAGCGGAAAGAAGCTGGGGAAGTCGGAAAACAATGCCACCATCTGGCTCAACCCCGAGATGACCCGTCCTTTTGAGTTGTACCAGTACCTGCTCAAGACTGCGGATGAGGATGTGGAGCAGTATCTTAAAATGTTTACTTTCGTGTCGCTGGAAGACATTGCTACCATCATGAGACAGCATGCGGAGAACGAGTCTCTGCGATATGCCCAGCGAGTACTAGCCGACAAATTCACAGCCCTTATCCACGGAGATACTGTTGTTGGGCGATGCCAGGTCATCACCCGAATCATGTTTGCTAAGTCGTCTCTGGAGCTCAACCAACAACCAAAGCCCGCTGCTCTTACTAACTCCGAGTCTTTGAAACAAGTTCTTGCCGAGGAGGGACTGCTCAAGCCTCTTGACAAGTCTACAGACTACACCACTCTGGTATCTACACACTTCAACATGTCCAAGAGTGCAGCGAAGAAGCTTATCTCCAACAAGGGTGTTTCTGTGGGTCTTGAGGGTGCTCAGAAGGTTGAGATCGGACCTATTCTTGAAAAACACAAGGACATGGGTGACTTCTTGATTGTCCGAGTCGGCAAGCTTGTTCAACCATTCTACCTTGGATCTGACCCTGTGGAGACTATTCCCTCTGCTGTCGGCATTTCTGACTCTTATGAGGTTCACACCGAGGACATTGATGTCACTCGAAAGTAGAACACCTGTAAATAATTGTACATAATACATAATACTGTATATCATTAACATATAAATAAACGAGATCATTGATCAGGCTGGCAATAGCAACTGTGTTAGTATGACGCATTTGGCGGGGGAGGGTTGTTCGTTGTAGTTGTAATACTCACTCTGGAACCATGAGAATATATCTCTCCATGGCTTCTCTAAACCGATTTTTGTACTGTCGTGGCGTCACCACCGTGGGCTCCTTGGCACCTCCTCCAACCAGACCTCGTTCCTTGACCCAAGATTCGAGCTTCTTGTCCCAGGTAAACGTTCGAATGATATCAATGATACCAACAACAAGCACCTTCTCTTCGCTATCGATACCAATCACCAGAGAGTAGTCCATAACGTTCATCTTCGCCAAAAACAGCGTGTCGTTGTACAGCGAGGTTCGAAGCAGCTTCTTGGCGTGCTCACGCACAAACAACGGCGACTCGTAAATATACTCCACCATGTTTTCATCCAGAAGCACCTCGTCATCCTTACCAGTCTGCTGAACGTGTCGGTTTCTCATACTGCCCTTAAGATCGAAGATTCGCAGGTTTTTGCGCTGGTAAAATAGGTTCTCCATCACCAACACATCCATCTTGACAGTCACCCCAGTGATGGTGTTTCGGATCAAGATCTGGTAGAAGCCAAGCAGTTTTGCAATGACCGTAGGTAGATCGTGGAAGAAGGCACGGGCCATGTAATCAAAGTAGGATGGGGCAAAGGACAAAAATGCGTCCAGCTCAGCAGGACTCAATTGCTTGACAACGAGACGGTCATCTAGAGTCTTGAGGAAGGCTGAGCCGGACTTACCACCTCTACTGTCCCACTTGACACACCGAGAAAGAGACTGGACGTAGTACTCATCCACCTTGCAGTGTCGTCTGAAGGCGTCAAACTGTTCGGCATAGAATACCTTACAAGACAGTTTGGCAGAACCTTCCTGGAATTGGTATCGCAGATGAGACGAAGTCTTCTTGAGCATGAGTTTCTCAAGGGGAGACTCTTCCTCGACCTGCACCTGGATCTCTTCAGGAGGGACGGCGCCTGAGTTTTCGGTTTCGTTGGACACTCGAATCTTCTCTTTGTAATCTGGAAGAGACAAGCAAAAGGCAATGAGCGAGGATGGCTCGTCTTCCCGAACAATGACATCAGAGTCTGCGAAAATGTGCTCTGTAGCTGCAAGCGGGTACTCAAGAGCATCCCAACCAGTAGCCGATCGATCAGCCCAGAAAGACGCGAGAGTCTTCATGAGGGACTGACGTTCAGCTGTTTGGTGAAGATCTCCGGAAAGAGCATCATTGACAGCAGAAGTGAGAGTGTGTTGGGTGACTGGGCCACCCTCAACCTCCACAACCTCCTTGGTGACTCCATCCTTCTGGACAGAGGCTGAAATGTGAGCTTCAGGAGATGAAGGCTCAGGATCAGGAGCAGTCAACAAAGCGGAAGGTTTGGCAGTGGTGGCCCTTCGAGAGGTGCTGGACTTTCGTGTACCAGGTGCCGAACCTCCTCCAACCTTGGCAGCCTTGTTTTTTTCGTCTTCGGAACTTGCAGACTCCTCCTCTTCAACAGCATCCTGAACAGACTTGTAAACATCAACAATGGGCTTGGAAGAATGAACAGGTAAAGCACGGAATCGACTAGCAGCGAGAAGCTTTCGCTCCTTAGCTCTTTCCTTTTCGAACTCTCTCGACAGCTGGTCAAAGTGCTTGGCCAAAGAAGACACTCGGTTGGAACCCAGCTCTCGACCCAGCTGAAGTTGTCGTTCAAGCTCCGTACTGGAGTTAACATACCGTTGTCTGAATGCGCTGGGGTTATTTCGAATCGTCTTCTCGGGCGACACAGACATTGCCTGAGGTGGGCCCATTCCACGGTCAGCAAGCTGTTGCAGAATGGGAATAGAAGACCGCTTCGTGGGAGACACAGAACGCGACAGGTGAGACTTCTCCTTGACCTTGTCACCGGAAATAGGAGAATTCATGGCAGCTGATCGACGAGGAATACCTGTCATTCGTTCTCGGAAAGCGTCGCTCTGAGGATCCTCAGGTTTAGACAGCTGGGAAATTGTGGGAGAGGTGAGAGAAGAAACATGAGGAGAAGTGATGGGGGATGTAGGCGTGGACGTCTTCGGGGACACGACAGGGGAAGTAACAATAGGAGATAGAGTCTTTACAGGCGAACTAGCATTTGTGGACGGCCTGGAAGGCCTTTCCTCATCGTCATTGAAAGGGACAACGGAGAGTGTATCGGATCCCTCGATTTCAAGGGGCTTCGGCGTGACATGACCTGACTTTGACAGTTCGGACTTGTCTACAGACTCATCGCCCTTATACTCATCATGTTTAGAGTCCGACTTAATAGTCTTCTTGGAGGCGACCTTATCATCATTCTTAGCTCCATCCTTATTGTCCAGCTTTGTGTCTTTCTCATTGAACTCCTTGTCCTCCTCCTTACCCTTACCTTCTTCCTCCTTGTCTTCTTTTTCATCTTTCTCATCAAGGAAGATACGTCTCAACTGTTGAGCGGTGATACGAGTGATATCCTTTTCGGAGGGGAAGAAGGCCTGTTCGAATTCGGTGAACTCGTTCTCCCACTCAACCACAAGCTGCTGAACATACTTGACTGCAGCGTTTAGTCTAAGGTAGTCTCGAGGAGAAGACGATCGCGTAATTTCGTCGAGGTACTGCAGAGCTTCCTCTCGTTCAGTTTCACACCGCTCCTTGAGCTCAGAAGCGCGGGTCTTGAACTCTTCGAACCGCTCAGGTGTCAGACCTTCAACCTTGACTCGCAGAAGACGTCGCATAACAGACTCACAGAACTTGTTGATAGAGTCTCGAATCTTGGCGTACCGATTGAGCCGGTGTCGGATATCAAAGGTGACATCCCACTCCGTCTTGGCTCGAGGAACAACAATCTCAAGAAGATCAATCTCCGAGTACTCAAACCGAACAGCCATGTTCTGCAATCCAAAGAAGTGAATGTGGTCTCTGTAGAGGTTATGAGGACAAGCGGAAGCTCGCAGAGACACCTTCTTGCCCCAGAAGGTCAGCTCCAGATACTTGCCAAACGAGTACTTCCACGTGTTTTCTGACATGGGCATGAAAGCAGGCATGGCACGCTTACAAATCTTGCAGTAAGACCACATGAGAATCTGGTTCTCTAGACCAGGCAGTCGGCAAGGAAATGGCTCGATGACAACATTGAGCCGTCCATGACCGTGAACATAGCTCTGGAAATGGTCTGAGAGAGGACGTCCACATCCCTCACTGCACAGGTTTCGAGCACTCAAGATGACATTTTCAATGAAGTGACCCAGGGTAATATCACTTTCGGAATAGTAGTCCATATTGAGGTTTTGGGGACCAAGGCAAGGTGTGGCTGTCTTGATATTGACCATTGAGTACAACACAACGAGGTTCTGGTGCACACTGGGGGAGAACATGTAAGGATTGTTGGAAAACATAAGCTCCCATCTATACTTGGCAAGAGACCACTGATCGTAGAGTCGTTGGTAGCCCTGATCAGCCATAGTCTTGACTATCCGTTGGATTCCAGCTCGAGGAAGATTGGACAGGTCCAGATTAACACCCCTAAATCGATTCTCCATCTCATTGTTGACCAGCTGGAGAAACTGCTCGTCGTCCAGTCCCTCAGACTTCTTCTGCAGCTCAATCTTGCAATCCATCTCCACCAAGCGATCTTCCAAATCACGAGCCGATGTCAGCAAGTAGGGAAGCTCAAACTGGACTAAAGGAGATGAAGATAAAATCTTAGACTGCTGGAGACGAACAATGTCGTTGAAGTAACCAGACTGGTGATCCTCAGGCTCCTCTGGTGGTTCCTGAACCTCAATGTCTTTTGTCAATGGCAGCTTGTTGGGGATCATCGCTAGTTGATCACGTAGAAGGGAGGTCTCGAGCTTTAGGTTGAATACAACGTATACCATGAACTCAACCACCAGCTTGAGAGCTTCTTCGTCGGGACCTCGGAGAACAATAGTGCAACCGAGTTCTCGAGGACAGCCTGAGAATATGATGTAACTCTTTCGAACACCCTCGGAGACATATTGACGAGCTGAGAAGAGCTCACAATGACCCAGGCGAGGGTGTGCTAGCTGGTCCTTGGAGAAACACACGTCTGCACCTGTATACCGAGACACTCGTTGAATAGCAGTGTCCTTGACATTGTGAACCACAGCAATACCCGACTTGCTGAGAAGATGGAGGGCGAAACCAGCCACTGGGGAGTTAGACACGATGACACTGGGTCGTAGTGCAATTATCCGCTTGACCAGTTTCTTCAAAAACTCCTTCTCCTGTGCAACCACAGGGTTAATAGAGATCACATGAACCCCGTCAGGTCGAGCATATTCAATAGGGAAGGTGATAACAAGCACTCTGGGGGTGGAAACCTCTGAAGGCATGCCTTTGATGGCAATGTTCGACGTGAACACCAGACCCTGCAGGTAGAAAGTGTCCTTAGGAGAGCCTCCAATGACTCGTTTGATTTTGATGTAGTTTCGGATATCGATAGAATCCTCTGCTCTCACATCCAGCTCAGTGTTCTCGCAGCATTGAAACACTGGCTTGATGAGAGCCTCAGTCCATTCCTCCACATTAGGCACTCCGGTGTCTTCAAGAAGTTGCCTGCAGAACTTGTAAGTGTGATGAATACTCGCCGTGTTGAGCTGCATGGTGGGGTACTGGGGACCCTTCACCGCAACAGCGCTGTTAACCTTGACGGGAGAGGGAGGGGCCACTTCTTCAGGGTGCAGACTTCCAGCACGACTCAAGGGACGTCCAGATAGACGTTTGTTAGACACAAACGATCTAGATCGCTTCTTGATACGTTGGATACGAGGAACTGACGTCGATGGCTCTCTCGAGATGTTGACAGGTTCCATGCTTCGGTTTGTACCACTTCGAGGGCGTCTCATTGTGGTTTGCATGGAAGTCTGGCTGGCATTCGGATCCACAGATGCCGCTGTACGATCCATTTGAAGAGCTGCAAGAAGCGACAATGCGTGTTCGTCTTCAGATTCACTCTCAGCAGCATGATCACTATCGTTAACGTCATTAATGCCTTCCATAGAATCCTGAATGTAGTTTCCTCCATTAGTAGCAACCGAGTTCCAGGGCAGAGATTTCGTTCGGCTTCGGCGAATGTTGGAATACCGACTGCTCGATGGTCTGGAGCCACCCTCCATGATCTCCAATGCTCCTCCTTCACCCAGACGAGTAGTGGGAATGGCCATTGTAGGGGTGGGCAACGGCTTGTAGCGCACAGGATGCAATTGATTTGCTTCAATCGCTTCCACATCTACAGAGTTATCGTAGATGCTTTCTGCAATCTCTCGTTCTGAGTCTGAGTCCGATTCTGTCGCCTCGTAACGGTCTGCAATATCCATACAATTGTAGCACGATCTCATCTTGCCTGGGTATTTGAATTTCTTTCCATCCAGCAGCGTGGTACATGCTGAGCAGAAGATCTGTCCACAAATTCGGCAATGATGTTTTCTTCTCCAGGCTGGGTTAGTACATAATTTTTACCGATTTATCTTGAGTTTTTTTTAATTTTTTTTTTAATAAGGCTCACCGATTCAAGAACCCCTCCTTATGATACTCACTGCTAAAAGCCTTTCCACAACTGAAACACTCGGTAGCGTTTTCATCCTTCATCCAAAACTGTTTCTCAAGTCCTCCCGCACGCAGTAAAGATGTTCTCTCTGGCGCCTCTGGCAGAGAGTCAGCCGTACTGACTATGCTTTCACTATCACTGCTTCCATCTCTATCAATGTATCCTGGAAGGTGGTATTTCATAGAGGAGCGAGAAGACCTGAGTGTATTTGTCGATACTGATCGGGTCACCTTGCTTTTATTGACTTGGGGAACCAATGGGGCTGGTGGCGGAGGAGTAGCCATATTGCCATCCCACAGAATGTTGACACTGCTGACACTAGGAGAAGGCTGTTTGATGTTGAGTCTAAGTCCCTCTCTGCCCACTACAGGCGCCATTTCGCTTACTGAGGACGTGTCTAGGAGCGACAGGGAATCTGGCAAGATGCTGTTATTGTCCGAGTCGTCTCTGAAACGCACATGTTCGTCGCTTGCTCTGAAAGAAGGCGCTATCGAGGGAGTGCAAGAGTGGGCTCGAGAAGGGGCTTGGGACGAGGTGCGAGAATGGCCACTGCGCTCCTTGGGGAGTACTCCTGATACCGCTGAAGATGCTGCCGACGTGATGCTCCTGAACTTGGAGTAGATGTTGCTGAGCAGCTTTGGGTCGTCGTTTTCGGGCGTTTCAGCCGGAAACGATATGAACGTTGACATGGCTGTGTCCGTGTCGCGGGAGCTGGCACTGGGCTGATTTGGCGGGATTGTCGTGGTTGATGAATCGCTTCCGCACCTCTCATGCGCCCGCAATATTGATATGCGTTGCCATAGTAACTTAATTCGGTTGTCAAGTATTAGTTGTTGGAGGTTACAGTAAGTACTGTAAATGATATTAAAGTAACCTAATTGAAGGAGCTCAACTACTGTACTGTACCCCCATAATTATACCCGTACTGTCCTTGTACTGGCTACAGTACTTGCCAGTATAAATACTGTAAAGTAGTCATGCAATTGATAGATTATATATATTTATTGGCCATGATTCTGGTAACCAACTGCAAGTCGACTGCCCATGAGCTCGAGTAACTCAAATGAGCATCCATGCCAAGGGTTACTCGTACGAGTTATGTGTACGAGAGTACATCCTGTATCGTAGCTAACTGGTATAAACGTTTGCAGATGACCTAGGGGAATGCATAGATTGAACCTGACGCTACAAGTATCTACAATTAAATTAGCTGGAAGCAATGAAGTTCCAAAATAAAACGTATGCCCGGCTTGCAACACATTTTGGCGCTCATTTTATTCCTACCGAGCTACTGTACATCCACGTAGCTAATGAGGTCTGTTGTACTTAAGGTACAGTAGTGCCTATTTACAGCTGACGCATGCACACGCACACTCTCCACACACCATGTTGCTGTCAGTATTACCGCTCTTACTGTCTGTAGCAAACGCGTTTGCGCCGCCGGGCTCGTCGTCGCCATCCCGTTACATTGGTGACGAGGGTCTGCAGTACTTGCACAAGAATTTCCCCACCGAAAAGTACCTCGCCATCGACGATCCTAATGGTCTGCTGCAGCCCATTCTGATTCCCCGAGTTCCGGACACAGATGGCATTCGAGAGGTCCAAAAGTTCATCACGGACTTTGTATCGACACAGACTTACTCGGAGGGAGAGGTGCCCGGCTGGGACGTGCAGCTCGACGTGTTCCAGGAGGATACGCCCATCAAGGAAAATGTGACATTCACCAACATTCTGGTCAAGCGAGACCCTCCGAATGCCAAGAAGGGCCACACTGGCTACATCACCATTGCCGCCCACTACGACACGCTCATCAAGCCCGAGGGCTTTGTTGGAGCAATCGACTCGGCCGTGCCTTGTGCTCTCATGCTGTACACTATCAAGGCGATCGACGAGGCTATTACCCGAAAGTGGAAGGAAATGAAGGCCGAGCCCGACCGGTTCTCCGAGCACGAAAAGACCACTGGTATACAGTTTCTGTTCTTCGACGGAGAGGAGGCATTCCACAGCTGGTCAGACACAGACTCCACCTATGGATCTCGACATCTTGCCCAGCTGATGGACCAGACTTACAACGAGGTGAACTCGGCCCGGCAGACCTGGCTGGCTGAGATGGAGTACCTGGTGCTTCTGGATCTGATCGGACACAAGGATACATACATCCCTTCATTCTTCAGAAACACTCACTGGCAGTACGAGGTGTTTGCTTCTCTGGAGCAGCGAATCCGGGATATCGGTCTAAGTGCACGTATGGATGAGAAGGAGACCATCTTCACCGAGGGAAAGCCCGCATTCTTTCGAGGAGCTGTTATTGGTGATGACCACCTCCCCTTTCTGCACCGAGGAGTGCCTGTTCTGCATTTGATCCCCAGCCATTTCCCCCCTGTCTGGCACAAGATTGACGACAACGCCAAGAATCTTCACTTTCCTGACATTTCCGAGTGGGGTCTATTGACGAGTAGTTTCGTCGCCAACCAGCTGCGAGTTGGAGACTGGATCGTGGACTATCCTGACGCCAACGAGATGCGAGAGCAGCGAGAGAAGGAGGAGAAGGCGCAGCGAGAACAGGCGCAAAAGAAGAAGATTCCCAACGGCAAGAAGGTCCCTCGAGCTGCTCGCCGACGAGGTGCTATGCTTTAGGAGACTGGGATTGAAGATGTATGTATTGATGCCTTGCAACAGATAGTACGTACCATGGATGAATGATATACCATTACATTAAATGAGAATGTGACTCGGAGCACTGTTTAAACAACTACCCAGCACCTATATAAACAATGCAGACATGCTCTATAAATGATATTAGTCTATGTGCTGTACAGTGTTAGTATGAAATGTGTAGTCGGTGCAAGGTGTAGTCGGTGAAGTGTGTAGATGTGTGTAGAAGGTGGTAATTGCAGCTTGAAATAACCTCGTTCACCTGCTGGTAGGATCAACTTTGGCGTGTTTGAAGAATTTGAGACCCATCCAACTGACGATACACCAGACCCAAGCCATGACGAGGGACAGGAAGAAGGACGTTGGATAGTACATTCTGATGGGGAAGTCGTCGTCATCATCAGGAGCCTTGTGCATATTTTTGCGGTCTGTCTTCGATCCAAACAAGTAGATATCTAGATCAAACATCGTGAAGACTGCGAAGAAGATCAGAGACCATGTTGTGATGAGTAGGATCCATCCCCAAGATGCGATTTCGCTGTATTCGGTGAGTTTTCGTTGTGTGCGGTTGAGAGACACCAGAGACCCGGGATGGTAGGCCACAGGCACGTGGTGCGATGCAGATCGAGGTCGTTTGGCCATGGTTCGGGACCTCAGCTGATATCACGTTACGTGAATAGTTGGCGCATACAGATGTCTAAGTTCAGGCTCCTTGGGAGATATTTGTTGATTAAAGTACGAGCAGTACTGTGGGTTGGAGGGTTTGGACCAGAACGATGTGTTTCCTGTTTTCGGTTAGAATGATGACGAGAGTAGTCGGAATTGAATACGGAAAAGTTGAATAAAAGTGTACTGTAGAGCAATGTTAGTAATCCCAATCGACTATCAATATCCCCATATTGCAGTATATATAGACCCTTTAGCACCTCTGAGTAAGGTTCCGCGTTAATGGAATGGCGTTACGTTATTATGGAGATAGAGAGGCTGGAGACTCAGAAGTAGCGGCCGTTAAGCGAACCCATGACGTCGCTACAAGTAGCAGGAAATGAGGATATTTAAAGGGGTTGATCTAAGAATATCGGAGGGCAGATTGAGCACGTTGAAAAGATCTTTCTCCTCCATCTCAAACACCATATTTCCTACAGTATACAGTTATTCGACTATGTGTGGAAGCCTTGAATTGTAATTCAATGTGTTTTTAGTTTTGGTCAAACAATGTCAGCAGACTCTGGTCGAGAGGCTGTAGTTATGGGAACTGCGCTTCTTCTATACAAGTATGTAAACGGCTGAAAGTGCATCAGAGTTGGAGGTTGCCTCCAAAGTAGCCCACCACTCTGTAAATAATCACTCAGCTCTTTCCATATTGGCTGGTGGTGTCGGAGCGCCTGTCTATCTTATGGTGTTTTGTTATTAATCCGGCGTTCGTGAAACTCGAACTGGGACGCCATACTTGTTATAGTACTTATAACAGCTACAAGTAGTTAGACTGGTAAGGTGGTAACCAACTTTCGTACTCGGGGCCCACGGTGTGACTCTCCTGTGTTGCAATAAATAAGTAAAAGCCACATACAGTACCTATAGCCACGGCTCCGGCGAGCAATACTGTAATCCACTTAGTCGAAGCCAGGCATTAATGCAAATCCAATTGTTCTTAGACGTTCTCTGATCTGCTGTTACTTATAACGCTAGACTTGCACTATTTGTCTTGTCCCAACTCCCATTCTTCACTCTCCCAACATCACTAAGACCGCATCGTCCTGCATCCACGTGATACGACCACGTACATCTCACACTCTCTTGTCGCAACCCAATTCCCCTCATGTTCGGTTTTGGCAAAAAGGACAATCAGAATCCATACCGGGTTCCTGAACAACACTCTCCTACTCACTCCGGATCCAATTCCCCCCGAACAATGAACAACCCTGGTCTTCCTAGACGGGCACCTACTCAGGGACAGCCCATGCCTCCTCATCACCAGACCCCTCCTCCTCAGCAGCACAGACAACCTCCTTCCGGTCACGGTGGCGATATGATTCTGGGAGTGGGCAAGGACAAGGCGTTTGCCCTGGCCAACCTCCTCGAAGTGCCCCCTGGAACCTTTGCTGACGGAGACTACGTCATTATCAACAACCAGCACGTCTTCACCGTGCGACAGTCGCCACATGCTGCTCCCGGCCAGATCCTTGCCGGAGCAGTGCAGCGACGATGGGCAGCTCTCAGCACAAACATGACTGTCCATGTGGCACCTTACGACCCCTTCCACAAGACACAGCAGGTGTATCTGGGCAACCTGGAGCTGGAAATCGACTTCCTGTCTGCCAGTGCGGCCAGCGGAGCTGGATCCCGATCCTTTGAGCCCGAAAAGCTCGCTCACCACTTCCTGCACCAGTACGCTAACCAGATCTTCACCCCTGGACAGACCCTGGCTATGGACTTCGAGGGCCTCAATTTCCAGATCAGAGTGCTCTCTACCTCGGTGGTCAATCTGGGAGACGCTGGCGGAGTGGCTGCCCGAAACGTCCGAGGTATTCTCGTTCGACACACCGATATCGGTTTCAACAAGGCCAAGGGATCGGCCATGAACCTCAAGAGCGCCAAGAACAAACCCCGACAGAACGCTATCATTCAGCCCGACTTCAAATTCCAGGATCTCGGTATTGGTGGTCTTGATGCCCAGTTTGGTAACATCTTCCGACGAGCCTTCGCTTCTCGAATCTACTCTCCTGCCGATGTCGAGGCCCTTGGTATCAACCACGTGAAGGGTATCTTGTTGTTCGGACCTCCCGGTACAGGTAAGACTCTAATCGCCCGACAAATTGGTAAGATGCTCAACGCTCGAGAACCCAAGATTGTCAACGGTCCCGAAATCCTAAACAAGTACGTTGGTGCTTCCGAAGAGAACATTCGAAACTTGTTCAAGGACGCCGAGGCGGAGTACCGAGAGAAGGGCGATGACTCCGGTCTTCACATCATCATTTTCGATGAGTTGGATGCTGTCTTCAAACAGCGAGGCTCCACCGGTGGAGGTACCGGTGTTGGAGACAACGTCGTCAACCAGCTGCTCGCTAAGATGGACGGTGTGGAGCAGCTCAATAACATTCTGGTTATCGGTATGACCAACCGAAAGGATCTGATTGATTCTGCTCTGATGCGACCTGGTCGATTCGAGGTCCAGATTGAGATTCCCCTTCCTGATGAGGCTGGCCGTCTGCAAATTCTCAAGATTCACACCGCGCCTATGACTGCTGCAGGAAAGTTGGGCAGAGATGTGGATCTTAACGAGCTTGCTGGAGAGACTAAGAACTACTCTGGTGCCGAAATTAAGGGTCTGCTTAACTCTGCTGCTTCTTATGCATTCACTCGAAACCTCAAGTTGGACCAAGGTGGAGGAGGCGTGCGACAGGAGAAGGGCGGAGAGCTCATGCTAATGCGGGACGACTTTGTGCATGCCCTCCAGGAAGTGCGTCCCGCGTTTGGTGTCTCCGAAGAGGATCTCGATGCTGCCGTCTCTGGTGGTATCATCAAGTACTCTCCCAACATTGATGACATTCTCAAGAAGGGAGAGCTATTTATTGAGCGAGTTCGACAGTCTTCTGGCGACCGTGCTCTGGCTTCTCTGCTGCTTCACGGCCCTGCTGGCTCTGGTAAGACTGCTCTCGCAGCTTCCATTGCCATGCAGTCGAACTTCCCCTTCGTGCGACTCATCTCTCCCGAAGGCTATGTTGGTATGTCCGAGGCATCTAAGATCACTGCCATTCAGAACTGTTTCCTGGATGCTTACAAGTCTCCTCTGTCCGTCATTGTGATTGACTCTATTGAGATCATTCTCGAGTGGGTCCAGATTGGACCCCGGTTCTCAAACTCTCTGCTGCAGGCCGTCAAGACTCTGTGTCGAAAGACTCCTCCCAAGGGCTGCCGATTGCTAATTCTGGTTACTACTCATGAGCGACACGTTCTTGAGCAGATGGATCTGATTTCCGCGTTTGACTCCGAGATTGGCGTACCTTACCTACAGTCTCTCAAGGAGCTCAACAAGGTACTGGACGCTATGCAGTTCTTGGACTCTCCCGAGGCTCGACACCGGGTTGTACAGTCCATCGAGGCCAAGACTGGATCTACCGTGCCTTCCATTGGTATCAAGACTCTGCTGTCTGGTCTCAAGACTGCCCAGTACTCTTCAGATGTTGAGGAGGAGTTTGTCGATTTTATGGTTGACCATATAAACGCCCGACGAAACAAGTATGTTTAACGAATCACGATTAGAATAGAATACATGAGATTGAAATGATGGGACAATGGCAGAGCGGAACGGATGCGCAAAACAAACTATCATGAACCAGTGATGGACACAAAACAACTGGTAGCAACCTGGGCAGTGTAGTGCAACAGGACGCGAGTGAACATGTAGGACGAGTTGCATTCACACGCATGCCATAGTTAACCACCGTAGCATTTTCAGCCCACACACGAGCTAACAGGTATCCCAAAACAGCTGTTAGGCGAAATAATAATTATCGTTGAGGGCAGAAACCAAATTAGCGACTACAAGTAGCACTCCGTAGGGTCTTCTGGGAAACAAGTGCAGTGACAGGGCTACTACGGTAGGTACAGTACACATCCTTTAGACTGGCACTATTCAAGCGGATATAACTGCACTTAAAGCACTTTGAGCGAAGTGGTGGTCTTATCGCCGTACAACACAGTATAGTACAGTATACAACCGTAGCGTACCTTGTGCATGTCTTCACTACAAGTAGATACTTACTCGTACTGGGCAATGGTATTTGGCCATCTGACGTCATGTTGGTCCCAGTCTTGTATTGTACTTCACATGCCATTGACTCAGTGACAGTTGCTCGTCTTCTTTGTATGTGAAGAGACTAGCAGTGACATAATATAACCCACATTCTTTTGGTTTAGATCATCTCTAGGGAAACAAAAATGGAAGGAGCTGCCCTAGCCGGTGTAGCGAGATCGTCATCACTGGAACCCCCCAAAATACCACCTCGTAAATAAAATTAAAGGTGGTAGGAGTTGGTTGCAGGGGAACATGAGTTCGGAATTTTCGGAGATTTTTGCAGTTACATTGAGCGTGGTATTGGATTGGGGTAGTAGCTCTTAGCTTGTAGTTGTTGCATGCTTTAGCGTGGACTTCAATCACCGAGTCTAACAGTCGCCGGACTGATTGTTCACCGACCTCCTGTACCTCGATCGGGTTGGGTAGGTTTCAGCGAGGGGGTGGTAGGGTGTGAAAAGCAAAAAGCTATGGGAGGGCGTTCTAGGATAGTACATGTAATTATAGATACTGTGTGGTTTTCTGCAATCGTGAACGTGTTTTATACGTCAACCATTTTATGCGTAACATGCGTTGGTTAGAAGGCCCAATGTGTCTGCCCATGTCAGAATGTCAAGTTTGATCCTGAGCTGTCAGAGTCCACTATGACAGTTGTTCTACGGACTGAGTGCCACAGACAAGGATCTGGGATCTCCAGAAAACACTGCATTCTTTCTAGGCCCCTCCTTCTTACAGCTCTGTCCAAATACAGCTCGAGGTCAAATATTACCAGCTAAATCAGACGTCAATGTTGCCTACGACGGCTTTGTTGACATCTGCTGAGCCCACGGCTATAATTTTGGCAGACGTGATGAGACGTGAGCCCAAGGGGGAGGGTGTGACATTGACATAGCCCACTAGCAGGTGGAGGGGATACGAATTTGGACGTCTGTTAAAGGTTCTCTGCACGAGATATTGAATAGGATCATCTTCCCTCATCTACTACCTGTCTCCCACGAATCGTAGAAGGTTCCGATCTGAATGTTCACCTGTCTAAAACGTTGGGCTTCCACGGATATAACCGAAATGCCGTTCGTCTAAGGCTGTCAGATAAATACAGATGCTAGCTTGGCCTCAGACTAAACCAGACACGCTAGCTTGTGTCAAATCTGTGGCCGGAAGAGTCAGTTGAGCCGACAACGCAGCCAGGTTTTGCTGCGACTCAAGCAGCAATTCTATTTCTGTTACAAAATAGATAAGGGCGAATTGGAAGGCGTAACAAATCTTCCACTTTACGTACCTTCGAAAAATACCACAAGGAAACAACCGCGGATCTTTGTATATCGTTGACAGATGTGTGTCGCGTCGATAGTGCAGGTGGTTGGTGACATTTTCCACTTGACAGCGGCCACAGACTTGAGAATATACTGAAATTATTATCTTCTTGTCTGTCTGATGGTTGATGTTTGCCAGGAATCCAGCTAGCACACGTCAAAACAGAACATAGCCTCCCTTGAGCTGCCAGCTCGTGTGGTTGCATCCCGTGGTAAGGTTCCGGGGTTTGCCATGAGATGCAGCAAAAAGGAAACAGCGGGAAACAAAAAATGTAAGGGTAATGTTCGCCAAACCAAAACAAGCTTGTTCAGTCTCAGATAACGGCTCCGGTTCCATGCATGCTACGGCGCGGAACATTATAGCCCCATGGCCGACGACTAGTGCCCTTGGTGGAGAACAAAGAGGTGACAGAGGGGTTGACAGTTTGGACATTAATAGATGTATCAATGTCAGGTGTCAAAGCTCCGAGATTAGGATGACACCCACAAATCAGTTTGTTCTCGTGTTGCCAATCATTTCGCACTAACAATATATATGGGCGACGCCCTTTTACCGAGATTCCCACAATAGGGTGTCTCTCTATGATTGGGTTGTTTATGATCTCGTTTGCGTTTTAATTTGGAGCACATCCTGCATGGCGGAGAAGACTCGTAGAACTTTTTTCTTGTGCATGACAAAGACGCTTGTTATCCCCAGCTCTGGGCGTGCACAAGGAGACGATCAACGAAAAAAATTAGATTCAAGCATAAGGACAAATCAATTATCCGTGGGCTGGCGGTAAAAGGGATAAAGAGAGACATGCTAAGTGGAGAGGGCACAGTAGCACTTACTACAAACGGCTAAGCTCGGAGTCAGCCGTGCGAAAGCAGCTGATAGACACGGTATCGCCGACGTCGCCGCAGCAGGATCCACTTACTGCAGCCGAGCCTTACTCAAGACTTGTCAGGGCACGCGAATAATATCGAGCGACTTGTCAGATGGATCGGCCTGCCCCACAGCATCTTGTCTCTTGTATGACAGAAGGGTCCTGCATTTTTCGCTTCACCTCCAAGCCGTCAACTGTCAGCTCATGGACGGGAGAAGACCCAAATAGAAGTCTATTAGGTGGCAGGTTTACACCCCACGCTGACAATTTTTTATTACTGTTCGCCTTCTCACCTGAAGAACAAGCATCGGCTGAGGAGAACAAGCAGCAGCAGTTGGTCATGCTTCCATCTTTTGGAGCCAAAGCCGGGTCTTTGTTTAGTAAAAAATACCAATATCTGTCTAAGCGTGTGCTTGCTTGGGGGTTTTGCCCGGAGGGGTCTACCGCGGCAGTTAGATGTCAATAGACATGCTGTCAACCCCGCCACTCAATTTCTTTTGCACTTTAGTATCATCTCAACTGGTGGCCACACGCACGGCTGAAGCATCTAGCAAAAATTGCCTTTAATGGTCTAGGTTTAAGGTTTCAGTCTAAGCGGAAGCTTACCGACATGCTTTATCGTTGAGACCCCCTCCTTATTGTTCTATTTACAATTGCGCTCCTGAAAATGGCGAGAATACAAGTTGGAGGACCGAGCCAACTTAGGGTCGGATAGCAGGAAAAGAGTCCACGACGAAGGGTACCCTACCGGCTAGCCCGTAACGGGCCTTTGATGCTAGTACTAAAGATGACCAATGCCCAAAAGCAACGTAGCCATTCGAAAAATCTGTCCATCTGGCTCACGAGTTCGTCTGAAGAGAGCTTCAAGTCGTGCGTCTACACCCCCCCTGAGCTACCCTAGCCACCATTATTGCACTTGAGGTGCCTGAGCCAATGTTGTTGAAAATGGATAAGGTTGACTATGGGGGCTCGGTCTCCGTGCAACGAGGATACCACCATAATGGCCCGCGAGCTCTGGGCACTCTATCGTCTTCAAGGGCAACGAAGGCGCCGCACAAGAGCAAATTCCGGCCTAGAAGTGCTGCCACAGTCCTGCTTCATTCCCAAGGCCATGGCTTGTGTCAACAAGGGAGCTTCAGAGACGCGTGTATGCTCTTAGGGCAAGACAAAGGAAGCGGAGCAATTGTCTCTCCGAAAGACGATTTACACTTGGCTGACACTACATACAAAGCCGGAGCGGAGCATACAGTTCATGTGTCGCTACCCTCGCTTTACCAAATCTTGCCCGAGTATCGCCTGAGGGCTGAGGACGGGGTAACTGACGGTGAGGGCAGGTCCAAGAATGGAGACAGTATTAAAGGTGCAATGTCGAAGAATTCTCACAACATGTACGGATACTCTTGGGACGCAAGCCAATCGGGCTACAAGAATGCTCCAGTCAGCCCCAATGGCAACAACAACGCCCATAATCACACTGGCCTGAACAATCACGCGAATCACTCTCTCAACTCGGTCAGTCCAGTGAATGCTGTTAACCCCATCACTTCAGCTTCTCCTGTGAACCACCTTGGAGCACACACGGCAAACCTCTCGGGCAGTCAGTCTGAAACACCCACTCCTTCCAACCACAATTCCACTCTCAATCATTCCCCGCTGAACAACAACACCCCAGGAACTACCACCCCCAATAACGGTATGAACACTATGCCTACAATCAACAGCTCTGTTCCCCCGTCGATGCACACTATGCCAGCTTCAACTTCCGCAAACATGAGTGGTCTCAACAACTTGAACAGACAGCCAACGTTGAACGGCCACTACAGTCAGGGACTTTCGCCCCCCAAGCACACAGTTGCTCCCCAGAATGTTCAATACCCACAGCACATAGGAGTTGGCTACTCAACTCCCTACATGGCTGGGACTGTCAACAACGGTGGGCTCCCCCACATGAACAACTACAACCAGTACGCTCTGCGTCGCTACGTGGACACAAACGTGTACCCCAAGCAGCAGCAGGGCTACCAACCCAACCAGCCCCAACTTCAACAGCCTGTTCAGCCCGGTGTCCCGCCCCAAATGCATAGCCAGCAGTCGATGCAACTGCCCCCACCCCATGGCCTGCACAATGGATACCGGCAGTACGATATGGTGCAACCTCAGATGGAACCCCAGAGGTACAACCCACCTGAACAGCAGCAACCCACAGGAGACAAGCGACGGCGAGGAAACTTGCCCAAATCCGTCACCAGCATCCTGAGAGAATGGCTCAACGACCATATTTCTCACCCATACCCCTCCGAGTACGAAAAGTCGCTGCTTCTGCAGCAGACTGGCCTTACCATGAGCCAGCTTAGCAACTGGTTCATCAACGCTCGACGACGACAATTGCCTGCCATGCAGCAACAAGGGGCGGAGAAGAAACGCCTTGAAGAGGGGGAACGGCCCATCAGCCAGAAATACCATTGAGTGCCGCATATAGACCACTCCGCATATAGATGTATAGTAACTGAGGAAATAAATGATTAAAAAACCCAAGCAAGAAGAGGCCAGTAAAATTGTTAGAGCTGCAAAGTAAATTTATTTGCCATTGTGCACTGTACTGCACTGTACTAATGCCAGGGCCTTCGTGTCTGTCAGATGTCTTTCACCTTTGACTCAATGTCAAGGGTCAAGCTACACTTGATTAATTGTGTCATACGATAACAGTTCATAAATATGCCATCTGAGCAGTTGTCTCAAAACAGAATATTCACCAGGTGACCTAATGGCTCTGAAAACATATTATTAGGTGAGTTTTGTTCCAGCTCACCGCCGTATTACGCATTTAGACTCACCCCCGGCTTTAAGATGCTCAGGTGAGGACCGCAAAACATGAAACCCATTGACCAGCGGCACGGCAAGGCACCTGAAAGTCAGAAAATTAAATGCAAAATCGGTACAATGAAACACAGATATGGCCGTTCTGACAGCTCATTGGTACTGACACGTCAGATTGGCGATAATGCGGGGAATAATACTTGTAAGTATCTTCAGGCTTTATAAGTTATAACTACAAGTAACTGGTGTACTTAGCTTGCGTTCACACGAAGACTGAGTTGATAAGCATTTCTGCAGAAGGCCCATTTGGTTCTCTTGCTTCTTCAGAAAGAAACAAATAAGTTGCTCCCCAGGAACGGAGGACCTCGGAGGCGCTCAGCTGAGGCCAGTGCCCCCCATCTGCTCGCTCCCGATACGCTGCAGCACTTCAAATGGTAAACTCCGTATAGCGCCCTTGCACCTGCTGTATTGAGAGTGGCTCTCTATAAACAATGGCTGAGGCTTAAATTTGATCTCTTCTGCTATGTTCAGGACACGACTTCAACCGTTCTACGATACCGAACAACAAACGACGTCCCCGCTAAGCTCCACCGGGCTGTGTGATCAACAATGAAGCACAAATTTCTTCCCTGAGACTCTGCTTTCTCTCTTTCTACTGAGTCCTCATGCATGGAAGCTGAAACTCTCTCCACTGGGGCTCAGATCGGAGACTGGCTGAGATGCCCAATACAACCAAAGGTTCTCACGTATTGTTGCAAGTGGGGCTCACATGGCTTCCCACAGACCCTTTCCTCAGATGCCCCTTCAGAGAAGGCACTCTTTGGGATAACTTGGCCCCGTGTAGGTATGCGGCTGCATTCCTGTTGTTCTCGCACCGTATTTTATCGCCGTGGAGATGAAATCCACGAACATTAGTCCACGCTCGGCTCCGCTAATACATGCCCCCAATCACAAAGACAGTTGGATATAAATAATATTTTAAACTGTGTACATATCTGGCAAGGTACAAACTGACAGATTTGACATATCAATTGCGAGTTTGGTTGACATTGACGTGTTGACACCTTAGTGTAGTTCCTTCTCAGTTGACACCTATCATCTGTCAGCTTCCAATTAACGAAATGTAATCCTACCATTAAGAACCTGTCATCAGAAACCTGTCACCAATAAGCTGTCATCATAAACAAACAAACAATCAACCTATCGGTGTCAAAGCGCGTCCCAAACACCCACGTGCAATACACGCATCTGGATTGTTTCCCGTCGATCCCAACCTGTCCGATCCATGTAATCCTATTATTCAACAAAACCCACAATATCTACTGGTGAATTACCAGAGGGTTTTCTTTTTGGGCTGACTATCGGTTTAGTCTCAGTAATCATCTCCTCCTCGCTCATCATCTCCCCATCGCTTTCCAAATCCTCCTCGACCGGAATCATAGTCCTGTCGGAACTCATCTCGCACCTGGCCTCCGGAGGAGCCCCGGCCAAATTGTCGTCCCTCCTTGAAGCCAGGATCCAGATCAATGGTAATGATTCGCTCGTCAAGCTTGGTCTTATGCAGGTATTTGAGGCAGGCGACAGCGTCGTCGTGCTCGTAGTATTCCACGAAGCAGAATCCACAAGGAGTCTTTTGGTATCGGTCGAGACCCATGATGATCTTCTTCACCTTTGCAATTCTGTGTTAGTATAGGCCGGGGAGATATGCCATAATGCTTTGAACTCGGGAGATTCCAGTTGAGAAGTGATTCCAAGAAAAGCGACATAGCAATCCGAAATTAATATTCCAGTTTCTAGATAGCTGCCTCAGAAAACAATTCAACAGTCAATCTACATGTCGATCGAAGTCCTCGAGTCGTAGAGTGGTTGAATTGGTCTTGAAGACGTCAGTCTAACATCCCCGAAGTCCCTGATTCTTCAGATCCTCTCCTGTGCTTCTAAATCCACACATGGGAAACAATTGGGAGCGTTACTCACTTGGTGAACAACTCGTGGATCTGCTCCTCTGTTGTGAAGAATGAGAGGTTACCGACATAGAGAGTGGTTGTGACATCCAGAGCAGCGAGATCCTCCTCACCCTGTCGAGATCTTCGCGCTTGTCGCAAGACATAAGAAGAGGGGCCGTCGAGTCGCTGAGCCGAGTTGATGGGCTTGGCTGTGAACAGATCCGCGGGTTCAGACATGGTGTGTAATTAGTGTGAAACGAGATACTTTGGTGCTGAGCCGAAAAAGTGTAGATTTCGACGTGCATAAAATATCAGTACAAGTACCCCCACAGTACGTGTGTTCGATTCACCAGTGGGTCGTAAAATTAGGTATAATTCTAGAAACCTTAAACTTTTGTATTACTAAAACACCCGACGGTAGGCGGCATACAATTAATTTCTTTTTACACAAGCTAGATCCTTCCACTGGTACGTACCGTGTACATATAGAGTACTTGTAGCGCCAAAAAGAAGCATTGTAATTATAGGAATAGGCCTTAAATCACCCTAATCCCCGTTTTTTTTCACAGGCATGTCAAACTTTTGGGAGTATAATATATGTGAATGTGTGAGTTAATGAGTGAAGGAGATGGGCGGTGAGTGAGTGTGTGTGTACAATACATTTCGCTCTTGGCGAACAAAACTGTGTATGTATGTATACAGCTGACGTTTTTGGTGCCAATATTGCGCACTAAAGTCGAGCTACTTGAGGGATGTTACATACTTACACTGTAGCTTCTTGAACAATAGGATCTCTCTTGTCTATATCAAGATGACATCAGATAATGTGGAAAAGCAACCATCGATAGCAAAGGAAGGCTTACCCTTGTTCTTGTCGTGTGCCGCAGGGTATTTTCGTCGGTCTCCGAACAGACTGCTGAGATGTACGTGTTCTTCGGTTCATTAGGTTGTGCATCCTTTTCTGCATTAATATTTTATACCTTACACGAACACTATCGAAGTATGCAACCGCATGGAATTCAGCGTGTGCCTGTGCCTGGGGGAGAGAGAAGATGAAATACAGTGGAGAAGGTGTAGGGGAATCCGGAGAAGCCCATTGTTGTGACCTTAGAAAATCCACAGCTTCAATATGCCACGATACGGGAAGCTATGATTACATGTCCCGAAATGTATACAGGACATGAAATGTAATTCATTCATTTAGGACCCTTTTGCCATGGATGGTCAGTAGGGTAACACATTTTAACGAGAACAAGGTAGTTTACAAAGTTTGCAGATTAGTCGCTCCCCATTAGCAAGGTTGAAAAAATTAGCTAGAATCCAGACACGCAGGGAGCGAAGATAACAAACCCCACAAGGCTGAAAAAGAGATATGAATGGTCAGGCCAGGTAGGCTGTGTAAGAGTCTCAAGCAACGTCGCTCGTACTCCAGGTACCAGGTCACGTGGCTTTTCTTGTAGTTATAGTGCCCACCCTCTGGGCTGCATATTCATGTCCTCTTCCCCACTCTTTTGATACTAGACTTTTCGGCTTTGCCGAACCGGATAACCTCCAGGTTTAGGGCTACATGTAAGACCGAATATCTATCCGCCAAAAGAGAGCACGCACCACAGCTGTGGGATTCCGTTATTTTCATGAGCGTTGTCTGTCGGTTCCCAGGGGTGGGTTTGCTGTCAAACAATACAGTAGACTGGTGAAAAAGATTGACCCTATAGCAGTCTGGGGTACGAGACTTATGACATTCATGGAATGTGGAGAAATGCCAAGACGCTGGGACACGGCAATCTGCGACATTGCCCGTGGAGAGACGACGAGCTTACTCGCAGCTGAATAACAGTGCGTTATCTGGTGGCGAGGGTTGCCAGTTGTGCGCGTTACCGTCGTTTTCTATATTGTCAAAACGAAAAAGAGATATGCGAATGGTTATGGTTTTTTCTACAGACCAATGATAATTCCTAATGAAAGACGTCACATCTTGTGTTTTCTTAATGAAGTGTATTAGACAGGGGCTAACGGATCTAAAAATGGTGAGAAATTTAAACTTGCAAGTGTTTGCGAGACCAGACCAGCTAGTCGGACTGTTTACTTGTCTGTCTCCCCGCAAACAAAAATACATCCAGGTCTTTCTTCATGATTAATTAGGGCCATTTATGAGTAACTTGTGCTTTCTCTGTTTGACCAATCTAAAGTTCAATACGTTGGTAGCTAAAATAGAGTTTCAGTGCTGCGCTACATTAAGCTTCCAGCGTGGCGTAAAAAGGACACGGACTCATCTCCATCTTGTTCTCTTACTCCTCGACACCACTATCGCCTCCAGGACATTGAATCCCCGAGACCAACCTATCATTGTAGCTAGAAAAAACTGTATTAAGAGAGCAGACGTTTTAACAACGCCTCCCAACCAGCAACTAGCCAAACCCCCCTTCTCGAGTCCTTTCGAAAGAATTTTTCTCTTTTTAGACGACTCAGCAACACTCAAGTCTTGGACAGAGTAAAGCACCAACCTCAACATTTCGTCATCACCAGCACCGTATCTCTTTCCTGATACGATACGATGGGCCAGTCCCCTTCCAAAAATGCAAACTCGACCTCCTCTCTGACAACTACTAACGGCCAGGCCTCTGGGGCCGGTCTAGGCGTCATATCCGACGAGGGAGGCGACGACCCCAGTAGTAGTGGGTGTAGTGGCACGAGCGCCCACAACAAGACACCTCACCACCAAAAGAGCTCATCATCCTCAACTCGACCCCCGACTGGACGAAGCCGCTCGTCCAAGTCCTCGACTGGAGGCTCTCGCAAGGAGCGAACCTCCATGTCCTTTGATCACGACTTTTCCATCGACAACGCTTCTGCAGCCGACTTCATGAGCAAACCCAAGCGAAGAGTATCGTCAGGGGCTTCGAAGTCCGCCAAGACTGATATGCGACATGACCCCACAGGTTCCGAGCGTAAGTCTCGCAGAGACAAGGCAGAGGAAGCAGGGCTCGTAGCAGCCATGGGCGAGGTGGTCATTTCCCGACCTCATGACTCGCAGTCATCGTCGGACACGGATAACGCCTCACTTGCCTCCACCAATTCTGAGGGCTCGACTTCGTCACTCACCGCACCAGTTGCTCCCATTCAAAACTCAAACTCTGAACCTGGCACAGCCCCCGGAGCACATACCGAACCCATTTCGATACCAGGTAATAATGACTCCTTAGCGCACTCGAAGTTCCTTTCTGCCAAAAGAACTCCCGCCACCACCCTCCCCCCTCCAGGCTCGTCGGGCCCTGTCGCCACTCCTGTCATTGCTGTTTCTCACCACGACAACAACGGATCACTCACCTCGAATGTAACCTCCGAGGGATCTCTTTCCGCCATTTCTATTGCGTCTTCCTCGGCCACCTCGAACGCATCCCCCGAGAACGCTGACAAGTCCAAAATGAGCCCCCAGTCTTCTCAGTCTTCCTCCTCTTCCGAAGAGGATCTTTCCGATCTCTCCGGCCTCAAGTCTCCCATTCCCACCACCCACATTGGCTCCTCTCGAGCTAACGCCGTGGCTCTGTCCTCCAAGCCCTCTGCTTCAACCCCCCAGCGTGTCGACCTTCCTGCTGGCTACCAGTCGTCATTGAGTGTGTCTGTTGATAGTGTCACCGGATCCCCCGCACGAAACATCAAGAACCCTAAAATTGAGCCTGCTGTGTCGGGAGCTTCGGTTGCGTCCACAGCCTCCAGCAAGAAGGCTACCAAGAAACAGCCTTTGCCCTTTGATGTCAACGATTTCATCAAGCGACTTCTCGATGCTGGAGGAAAATCTGGAGGAGCTGCCCCCGTGCCCCTGCGACCAAACGAGATTGTCCAGCTCTGTGCTGCGGCTCGAACCGTGTTCATGAGCCAGCCTGTTCTGCTGGAGCTCGGTACACCCGTCAAGGTTGTCGGAGATATCCATGGTCAGTTTGGAGACCTTATTCGAATCTTTCAAATGTCTGGTTTCCCTCCAAAGACCAACTACCTATTCCTTGGTGACTACGTTGATCGAGGACGACAGTCTCTGGAGACCATCCTTCTGCTCTTCTGCTTCAAGGTCAAATACCCCGAGAACTTCTTCATGCTGCGAGGTAACCATGAGTGTGCCTCCATCACCAAGGTTTATGGTTTCTACGACGAATGCAAGCGTCGAGCTACGACCAAGATTTGGAAGTCGTTTGTCGATACGTTCAACACGCTTCCTATTGCGGCTACTATCGGCGGCAAGATATTTTGTGTTCATGGTGGTCTGTCTCCTTACCTCAACTCCATGGACGACATCCGAAAGATCACTCGACCCACCAACGTCCCTGATGTTGGTCTCTTGTCTGATCTCTTGTGGTCTGACCCTGAGAGGTCTATCATGGAGTGGAGCGAGAACGACCGCGGTGTGTCGTATTGCTTTGGACGATCTGTTGTCAACAAATTCTGCACAAAGTTCAAATTTGATTTAGTGTGCCGAGCTCACATGGTTGTGCAGGACGGATACGAGTTCTTCAACAAGCGAAAGCTTGTCACCGTGTTCTCCGCTCCCAACTATTGTGGAGAGTTCGACAACTGGGGAGCTGTCATGTGCGTGTCCAAGCAGCTCCTTTGTTCTTTTGAGCTACTGAAGCCCATGGACTCCGCCTCTATCAAGGATGCCGTACGAAGGGGCATCAAAAAGACTCAAAAGGTCAAGCTTGGTGAGTCTTAGGTTCCTCTGTTTGTTACTGCGAGAACCTAGAGTTAATTGAGAAATTCAAAGTGGCACGCTCGAGTCCAGTTTAGTCCAGACACAGCCCGCCCTATTTCTGTCATACATTCCATAGAAAGTAAAAAATGTTCATGTGATATCCTCCGTGAGGTTTCACTGGCGGTTTAGGATTAGTACTTGTAGTGACGTGAAATAGTTTAGAAATGGGACACGAGAATGACCTACAGTATATATGGTTGTCCTATATAGTAGCTACTCGTACTCGTACTTGAACAAGTTTACACTAGAGGCACTGTTAAAAGCACATCAGGTAAAAGAATTGAGAGTTATATGGTTAGCTACATTGATAAAACATGGGGTGCACCTATGGGTGTGATAACGTGTCGTGTGATAAGCCATCTGATATAGATCAAGTTAGTCCATGTACTTCATTGAGCCACCAACAAGGTTGAAATACTCGGCAGTTCGACCACAAACGGGTTTCTGGCCCATATCAACGTAAACAACTCGTCCACCGCTGCTGGGGTCGTTGGCGTTGGGGCAGGCAAAGAAGCCAGAGTTCGAATTGTACCACAGGGCGATTTGCTTGTTGGTATTCCCAGAGTAAGACCAAGTGTCTTGTCCAGTAGGAGCACCGGCAACAACAAGTAGCTGACCGTTGGGGGCAACCTTGATGTGGGAAGGTCGCGTGTCACCGCCCACATTCGCCATCATATTTGACGGACTGTTGAGATTGATGGTGAAGTGCTCGCCGTACTTCTTGTTTCCGACCTGGATCTGGGTGGACACAACCTTGAGCTGCTGGTTGTGCAGCTTGTCACCAGGCTTGGAAACAGTCACCATGAAGGGGCCAGTGTTATGGTTATACTGGGACTGCGGGAGCTTTCGGGAGCTATCCTGTCGGTTGTCCTGTCGGTTGTCCTGTCGGTTGTCCTGTCGGTTGTTCTGTCGGTTGTCCTGTCGGTTGTCCTGATGGTTGTACCGGAAACGGTTGTCTCGGTTATCAGCATCTCGGTTATCCTGATGTCTGTTGTCTCGGTTATCCTGGAACTTGTTGTCCTTGTGGTTATCCTGGAAACGGTTGTCATCGTTGTCCTGGTGGCGATTGTCCTGATGACGGTTGTCTCGGTTGTCCTGGAATCTGTTATCCCGATGGTGGTCCTGGAACTTATTGTCAGTCTGACGGTTGTCAGAGGGGTTTCGGTTGTTCTGGTACCGGTTGTCCTGATCTCGATTGTCAGATCGGTTGTCAGAGTACTGGCCACCCCGTCGGTTGTCCTGGTGTCGGTTGTCAGTCTTTCGGTTGTCCTCGGGCTGGTAGATAACCTGGTTATTGATATACTGGTAGTAAGTATCATCAAGAGTCTCCTCACTGGCGGCAGTAACCTCATCTGTGGGGATGGTGGCAGCCACGGCAAGGGTGGTGGCCTTAGATGCTGCGCCAACAGAGACAAGAGTGGTGAGAATGATTCCAGAAAGCTGCATAGTCAAAAGTGAGAGAGTAGATGTTTTGTCTGAGAGTGAGTCATTGCCAAAGGGGCCTATATATACATGCTTATCGTCAGAGGTTTATCGTCAGAGAGAGTGTTCGTTTTCCAAAGGTGGTAGCGATGGTACCCTGGACTTGCCACAAGAGGTATCAATGTTTCACCAGTGTTCCAAAAGCGACAGCTCGAGAGGTGGTTGAAATTGCTCTCATTCAGTTTTTGGTATCGCTGGCTGGAATCAGTTATGTTGCCCCTGACATGTTGTTCGTATATATCTGGCAGTTCAAATATAGAAAGTGTAGAAGGAAACAATGCACTGTTGACGTGCAGGGGGTTAGTCTACGCAGCAACTACGACAACCTTTATTGTCGGCTTTTATGTCCGCATGAGGTAGCTTGTACAACTCATCTCCAATCTGCTATGTAACCTCACCAATTTTGACCCAGGCACTCAATGCCTAAAGTGCACCATCATCAATCATAAAATAATATAAATTATATCAGCTGCCTAAGTCGGGTTTCGGGGTCTGCGCCACGCAAGAGTCCTCTGTGGTTCTGGTCCAAACACTCCTGAATAAACTCGCCAGAGTTGACAATGGAAGTGCCCCCAAGAACAATACGGACAGACGACTGGGAATTAATTTCGGCAATAAGACGAGCCTCCTCATACGTGACTCCGCCGACAATGAAAACCACTACCTCCTGCACGTCATCCTCATAGACTCCATTATTGGAAACTGGGCCCCGGCCTGCTCCCCGTACATAGGGGTGTGTAGCCTCACGCAGCTTGTTCTTGACAAGATTGGTCAAGGTTTTCTCTAACAAGGGCCGATGTTGAGTGTACACGTTCTGAATACCCTTAAGACCCATGATGTTTCCCTTGGCCTTGGCGATGAAACCTTCTTCAAAGAGAGCCTCTTGTCTCTGGGCGAGGCATGCGAAATTAATGACTGCCTGAGCCGCCTGCACTGCGTCTTGTCCCTCATACTGTCCTAGCATCTCACACAGGAGCTTGAGAGAGTTGTTGTCCTTTTGCTCGTATCGCAGACCGTAAAGAGCAACCAGGCGCACTTTGTTCTCCATGGAGATGGAGGGCGCTGCGATTATTTGCTGAATCTGTTTGAGAGAGTCATTGTGGGAGTCGGAGCACACAAGGGTTTGTTCCAATTCGGAGACGTCCAGATGCTGGCCTTTCTCGACAATTCGAGAGAGCTCTCCCACAAGAGTAACGTGTTTGGAAACGTTACCTGAGAGTCGTCGGAACTCGGGGTACTCCTCCACAAATCGCTTCATGTCGGCGATACTTTCAATGTCCATGTTTGATTGTGTCTTAGACTGATAGTGCGACACATAATCCTTGATGGATTGGCCCAGGTCTCCGAAGTTATGGTACATGTTGTCAGCGAAGAAAGGATCATCATTTTGAGAAAGAACAATTTCTTTGAGCTCGTCTCGAATCTCAGGCGTGTTACGGAGATCCACTCGGTTGTTATCGATACCGATGAATTCGTGGACCATGGCTTGGTAACTCCAGGGCGTCAATAGAGGCGTGAGGGGATCGTTCTTTCTGTCCAGAATAAGCAGGACGGGCGCCGAGTCCCTGGGAGTTTTGAAGTTGAACAGGTTCTCTTCCTGCTTGATGCCGTAGGCCAGTTCTTCGGCAAGTTTTCGAGCCATATTGGAATTGGCGTCGTATCGGATCTGAGGTCGCAGTTTGAGACCCAGCAGCACAGCCTGCAATGACTCTGTGCATCTGTTGAGACATTCGGGGTTCCACCCTCCGTCGGAGTAGATGGAGAGCGAGTTTCTGGTGAGAGAAAAGTTGAAGAGATCCTTGTTAACGGCCAGGAAGTCAGCAAAGCTCTCCTGCACCTTTTTGACCACCTCATAGTCGTCACTTTCAGCCAGTCGTTCCAGCTGCGACTTTTTGACCACGTTGGAGAAGTAGAGCTCGTAAGAGGCATATCGAGGGTTCCGCAGCTCTTCACACAGCTTGGCAATGGAGTCGTTGCTGGGCCGGATAAACACAATGCACGCCAAATGTCGTTGTTTCTCTCGATTGGGGTTGTCGATTCGGTCTATCAGGTAGACTTCATTTTGAAGTAGAGACGATTGGGTTGTGCACATGGAAACTATAGGGGTAGTTTCCCCGTCTAGCAGCAACACCTTGAGCTTGCCAGACTTGTCCCCGACCATTGTGGTAATGTATTCCTTACCAGTTTCCGTGACGTTCATTTTCTGTCGGTTGCTCGTTCACCGTCTGGAAAGAGATACTATCTAGCAGGTGTGATAGCGGTGGCCTTATGCAGGTCAGACATGGTGGATTAGGGTAGGTGGTGTCAGTCTACGAAGTCGGAGCCAACGCAGATAAAGAGCGAAGCCATTTGAAGTGGGGACTGGAATGGCATATATAGGACATAAAAACATGACTGAATAGAAGGCAAGGGTAAAACTATGGGATGTAGATATAAATATATACATAATAGTTAGATGAGCCCGATTACTCAAATTGCAGTTTTCTTTCCAGGCGTTGCAACGAGTGCCTACAGTATATCTGGTTCTGCTTACGTGAGCCTCATGTACTCCATGATGCGCGGCATCGAAAAGCCTCGACAACCCCACGATAAAGTCGCAACAGCAAAAACCAGGCCCATGGTAGTCAAAAAACAACACGTGGCATCGAGCAAGCATCGAACTGCCTCGGCCCGCAACCTCACCAAAATGCGCGGCTCTTCCACCCATCTCTCGGGGCTCCAAAAGGAGGGGAGCGGCGATAGTCTCACTAAGCGCAAGGCTCGATCGTCAGACTCGCTTCAACGGCTAGCACGACCAAATCTCAGCATGACCCGAACCAACTCCGGCAACAGCAATAAGCAGGATACCTCCGCCAGTAGCGACAAGCTCAATCACAACGAGACATCTCCCAAGCCTGCCTCATCAAAAGAGGCCAACGACAAGGAGAACGAGGAGCAACAGAAGTCCAAGGAGCAGGACAAACCCGTGCATTTGCGGCAGGGCGGCAAGGTCGTCATCGGACTTCCTGTGAGCGACGATGAGGGCTCTGAGGAAGAGGACGAGGAGGAGGTTGACGAGGATAACGGGGATAACGGAGTTGCAGCCAATGGGTTAACAAGAGACATTTCCCGTTTGGCTATCGGAACAGAGATCAATGAACAGGAGCAGGCCGACGCAAACCAGCAGAATGGGGTCTACGCAAACGACATACCCGGAGAGGTGGCTGACACGGAGTCGAAGACCATGGCTGAAGGAGAGGAGGCCGTGGTGGCCATGCAGGAAAAGATGGCAGGAGAGCCAGAGGTTCGCAGGACCAGCAACAACATCCACAAGGAGAAACATGTACTGATCGACGAGAATGGAGGACATGTGGAGCACCATGAGCATGCCCAGCCTGGATCTGCTGATTCTCCCGTGAGCCCCAAGAGCGCGCCTGGCATCACCAACAAGAGACTTGGTAAGTCTGTCGAGAAAGATGGCCCCAGAGACCCCGAAAGTAGCCAGGAGAATATCTGCGAGGTGTACGACGAGTCAGAGTTCCCCGACTCCCCTGAGCTCAAGAATGTCAGTGACTCCTGTAATCCCTCGAGGGCAAATTCCAGAAACCCTTCTCGAAATCCTTCAAGGAACCCATCGTTCGAGGGACTGGGTCTGCTTAGGAGCCTTGGACCTCTCTCTAACAACAAAATGACCCCTGCATCTAGAAACTCGTCCTATGACTCGCTTAGGTTAAGTCAGCAGGCCACCGAGAAGGCTCCTACTCTCGAGCTCTCTAGCCACCACGTGCTGAGTAATCCTGACGGCTCATCGGGTCACACCCTGGGAAGTAATACCGTGGTCACTAGCGAATCGCCACAGAAAACCCCCAACTCCACTCCTCGCAAAGAACAGCGAAGTCGAACACAGCAGAAGCTGTGGCTTCAGAGAGAGAACGCTATCGACGAGCACGGATCTCCACGATTACCTGCTACTGAGATGCCGGATCAACTGGCCAATGGCAAGGCTGAGTACCAGGTTATCGATAAGCAGTACAAGAGCGTGAGAACCTTTTACAATCCAATTCTGGAGGGTCTTCAACGACATGAAATTTGCCGGTGGTACGAGAATGGAAAAGTGGTGAATCCCAAGCGGAGAGAGGTGCAACAACGTCAGCTGCAGAAGGACCTCCAGGCCCCTACAGGAGATGTCAATGAGATTCTGGCAACCCTCTTCAAGGGAGTTAAAAGTGAGAGTCAAGGTCTGGCAAATCAGGCCCAAAGGGCTACACTTGCTATGAAGAATGGCGAGTAATTTCACTGTGCGTATAACTTGTATTGTACTTAGTATCTTATATATTATTTATAGCCCAAAAACGTCCTGTATTCTAATTGTACTTAGTAGCTACTTCACTATGTTTATCACATAGGAGCAGACAGTGGTGAAGCTTGTACCCCGGGGTGACCATTCAAGGAGTATAAATTGACATGGCTAGACTTTGCTGAGGCTGGTGTTGAGGATATGCTGCTTCTTTCCACCAATGTCTTGTATCGTTGTTGTTCTACGATCTGTTTTTCAAGATCCTTTTCGGGCGACAAGATGACGCTTCTCAGGCTTTCTGTTCGTGTGATTTCTCCTCGAGGGTCCTGGGCAGAGTATGCAGGCACGAAATCCCCCACAAACCGTCCCGTGTCAGCCTTCATTTTATCTAGCTTGGCCATGTAGTCTCTGTTGTTGTGCTTGGTGATCTCTACTGGAACAGTCAAAGACATTGTTCCAACCTCGAACTCCAAATCAAAGCGCACGAGATATTGACGCGAAATGAGAGCTGAATAGAATGAAGGGATAATGGTTTTTGATGCTGATACTGGAATCTCGAGAACAGCCGAACAGTAGGGGTAATCCGAGTCAGACGAGTCAGAGTCATTCCAATCAATCTTCAGATCCACCATACTTCTTTGAATGATCTCTTCTATCCTTTGCACATCAGAGTAACGCTTCACCAGTAAGTCTGAGGGGATAAACTGCATTCCTGACAGAGAACAGTAAGTAATACCTTCGACAGTGGCCCAAGCCTTTTTGAGAACCTGAGGCTTGTCTGACAAGACATGAACAAGGTACAGAGTAGGTGCTCCTCCAGCCACGATACTCGGTGTTGTGTTGATACCCATCTTCACATACGTCATTGGCTTCTTTTTCAAGAACCCTCCTCCAAACTTGCGCTCTGCAATAAATGTCGAAGGTTGTGGTTCCAAGAAGAACTTTGTGTTGAGAGAATGTACGGCAGCTGGGTATGCGGGGATGACCTTAATATAGAGATAGAATCGCATGGTGATTTCAGCCATGATCTGAAACCTCACCTCATATTGAATACCACCAACCTTTCCCGGGATATCTTCTCCTTGAGTCTCTTCGAACATGGAGTTGCTTCCTATACTCGGTGGTAGTCGTTTAGTCAGAGCTATGCCGTTGTCCAGAGCCTCCGAAATTTCTCCAGGTATATGAAACTCGAACTTGTATCTGTATTTTTGTCCTATTCGGAACTCCCCCGGATCGGTCGGTGGCAACGCAGGAACTATTTCTCCATTAGCTGTGTCTAAGCATTCTTCATCCATGCGTAATTCCTCCTTGACAAACACATAAGTGGCCTTTTGACGTTGTGCAGCCCGCCGATGAATAGTCCACTGTGTTCCGGTAAAAAAAAGTCGCAGCTGATCGAAAGCAATGTGCCGATAATTCGGTTCCACAAGGATGTGGCCTTTGACATGATCCCCTAGGTCGTAGACATCCTTAGCACAGTCCGGGTCCACCACAATGTCCACAATGTTTTTGGCCGTCTCCTTGACGGAGATGGGCTTCAGAGAAGTACTTCCCCGGGTTGTGTGCATTGATTTCGCTGCTAGATTTGATGGTCAAGTCGTCTTTTATTGTCGCGTGGTGTGATCTGATGTTGAGTAATGATAGACATGCGTATAGGGTGCATGCTTCCCCACACTCCAGTTGCTAATGTGCCTTTGGGTTCGTTGGAAGATGAAAGACAACACAGCCTTGCCAAGAGCCCCGGTGTGCAAGTGGTATTTATTTGAAGATGGGAAAGATATCCGAGTCGGTTGAAACACAAGGGCCAATATATTAGAACCATCGGACTAATATATGTCACATTGTCTGACTTCTTCGACAAAGAGCATGAACCATAATCGCCTCTTGAGTTCCTGACCGGAAACGACGAGTCCGTACATACACAGGTGTAGGGTGGAGGATATGTTGGGTGGAGGATGAGTCGGTGGAGAGCGTGCAGACCACAGGTGTTTGGTGGAGGAAGTTGAAAGGCAAGGCGAGCAAATATCGCATTACGGAAGCAAACGTCTTCTCAATATTGTCCTAGAATATATACGTATAATACAACATGCCCCTTGTACAACTGTCTCGTACTTGTAGTGGTTTAACGTGAGATCCTTCAACCTCCCAACTCTGTGGCATTCGGAGGGGGATAATCATCAAGCAGTCATTTCTTCCACAACAGTGTTATACTCGTAGCCCCTACAGTACAACGTGCATAGTGGACTTCAGCCTTTAAGGATATGATCGATAACCTCAGAAATAACGTTATGCTAGCATCAGTAACCATGAACACAATCGGAGCCGATCGGACTTGCCACAACTCCCAGTCAAACACAATTCTCCACCCAATTTCATTATACAGTAATTGCCAAGTGATCACATGCCATCCTGGCATCGCTATCTCACTAGTCGTACATTACGAATCTACGCTCTTGCTATTAGCATTGTTTTGACTATCAGTTTATTCATTTTTTTGGATTTTCTGTTGGTTTTTTTTTCGGTGGATTTCCTCGCGGAATCCCTTGTCATGCCTCAGGCACCTTGAAGTTGCACATGCGGCCCTGGCGGTAAACGTCCAGTAGCAGTACCTGGAACTCTTCAGGCGCACAGTCCTGGTACTTCTTGTACAGGAGCAGAGCTGTGTGAGAGTCCTCGGTAGAATCGTGGTTACCTGACTGCACCTTTTTGCCCAGTACACACCATGCCAAAAACCGTAGAGACAGCTTTCGACGCTCAGATGGAATGTAATACAGATCCACAGTGTCAATCACCTGCTCAGGGGGTACCTGCATGTTGATGGTTCGGAAATCATTGGCTAGGCCATGGCCCACAAACACACATCCGAGATTCAGAAGAAGCCACAGACGTCTGTAAGAGGTGGGTAGACTGACCAAAGGCTTGCGTGAGATTGAAGGGTCTAGGTCGCCGGGTTCGATACCCGAAAACGCGGTGAGGTAATCCACGATGTGTTCGTTGATGGCAATGTAGTCGTTGATGAAAGGGTGTCCATCCTCGTTGAGGAGAGTGACTCGGGCGAGACACAGGTTTCGCGGAGCCAGAACCACCTTGGTGCCGTCTGATCGAATTTCGGTTTCTTCGTTTTTGAGCACAACAAACTCAGCGTCAATAGCACACAGAGTCTTGGGAGGCGGAACCTCCTTGATAAGCTCATAGCCGTAGTCGGTTGTTTCTCGACTGACATTGTTGCCGTTGACAAGACGCTCCTCGAAGAGAGCTGATACATCCATGTCGTTCTTCCACGAGTCATAGTCAAATCGCTCATCTGCTCCAACAGCATATACCATCATGACGGTTCGCTTCCAAGGAGTCTTCATAAAGGCCTCCTTCTCAGACACCTTGGTGACCAAGAAGTCGTTGAAGAGGTACCATTCGTCTCCAACGCGGATGAAAGCCACTTGTCCGTTGCCCTGAATCTGACAAATGAAACCAACGAGCTTGTATGCATCATTGTCGGTTTCAGCAGCCGGGCTGACCTTACCATCTAAGACCAAGAAGCTCTTGGCAACATCGACGTTCCCGTCTGCCACCGATAATGTCAGCACCTGAGGAAGAGACTCAACGTGTTTGCTGACGTGCAGTGACTGGTACTTTCGACATTTATCACACCACGCTCGAGTATGAAGCTCCTTGTCCAATGTACGCTCTAGACATTCATAGAAAGTGGACCCAAGTGCAAGCTCAAGAGTGTACCATACAGATTCAGCCTGGGCCATTTTACCACACGAAAAGGTATTGACAGTAATCACAGTGGCACCCAGAAGCTGTCTGAAGCTATCAAACAACGCGGGAGTCTGTCTCTGCTCGAATCCAATCTGCTCAAGAAGAAATCTGCAGAATAGTACAATGTTGGTGGCATCTTCAGGAGCAAGGGATCGCGTCTGAGCAATGCCATCGTAACAATGCATGAGGTTCGATGCTCGACACACGTGACCACGAGCTTTGTGCATCATGTCGAACAGCAAACCGACCTCATTCAGAAGCCTGTTCGGAGTACCTCTCGCTACTGACCTGAGAGCAAAGTTGAAAACGGGCGAACAGAACCTAAAGAGCTGTAGCAGGGGGTTAAAGGGGTTGGTTTCTAACCCAGAGAGACCAGTGTGATTGTTGTAATAAGAGAAGTCAAAGTCTGAGATTCCAAACTTGGAATACTTTATCTCCAGCTTTCGATACAGTCGAGGCACCTTCTTGGACGACATGGACGCTTCAGTGCATGTATCTTCGTCCCCAAAGAACGACTCATCCTCGATGTCCTCCATTCGTCGAGCACGTTCCTTCTCCTTCTCTGACAGGAACTTTGGTGCTGCGATCGACGTTCTCCGTTGATTGCTGTATTTTTGCGCCAGGTTTCGTTTTTGTTGCTTGTAGTTCGGCGCATGACCAACGAAGTCAATCTGTCGAACCTCTAGATCCTCATCAACCTCTTCTGGAGGCATCCCGACATTGATGATCGATGATGGCATGGCTGAAAGAAGTGTGTCTGAGTAGTAAGGCATTCCTACTGCACCCAGAGGGTATCGTGTGTCTCTAATAGAAACAGGAGGATAACTCTGCTCGGGCGTGGGGAAAGCTGTTGGTGCACTGAACTCGGCAAATGAAGACTGAGGCTCGTCACTCCATAGCTGTAGTTGCCCTGAAGTGTCGGAAACGACGAAATGATGACCTCGAGGGCTCAGCTTTACTCCATTTACGAGAGCCACTTCAGCCTGGTAAAGCTTGATCTGTTGAGTGGCATGGTCGAGGAACTCAAGCTGTCCAGATGGCGATGTGATGAGTGTTCTTGAGTCAGGAGTCTGACAGACGAAGGCAGCGAGAGGGTACGAAATGGGAGCCATGGCTCGCATCATTCGCAAGTCCCATACCTTGATCAACGGATCGATTCTGTGGCCAGTAGAAGCGGCTGAAAAGCCACACGTCATGACCACGTTGTCCTGCACAGACACGTCTGAAAAGGGTCCCTGATGGGCCTGGAACGTGTGCAGCTCCTTCAGATTGTTGTCCCCAACTACCAATTTGCCGTTTTCTGTACCCCAGACAACACACGAGCTGCTGCCAGCCATGTGAGTGGCCATACCTGGTGAATCCACCACTCTGGTCACGTCTCCTCTCTCACTGTTGACAACAACAAGCTTTCCGGGGTTTCCTCCGACCACAAACTCCGTGGGGCCATGTGTGAAGGTCATACACAAGTTGTTTCCTAGCGATGGGTCCGTCACGTGTTTTCTGGTGAGTCCTCCTCGTGTCGAGTAGTGCAACGCGTCGGTGGTGAGCGCGACGAGACCTCTGTCGTGACTGACCAGACTTGTGACCCGTCCACGACCTGCTCTGAACCGCGAATATGGCTGCAGCGTCTCACCATAGTAGCTGGACACGATTCCATTAGTGTCTCCAGCCCAGACGAGATCCTCTGCAAGATCAAAGGTGAGTGGAAGGGTGTCTGTCAGCTGTCCAATTTCTGTAGCTACAGGCGCCGTATGAGACACTCTGCATATCTGTGTTAGTGGGATTCGTGGCGGCTATCCACCCCCAGCGCGCGATAAATACCTCTTGCCAGCCCTCCATTCTGGTGTGTTCCCTGGTGTGCCGATATCTCGCGTATTGATGAGTGCAGCTGTAGCTAATAGTTTAATCCGTCTTGGGTGTAACTGAGACGATGGGGGAGACGGTGCATTAACAGTGCGCTGAGTGGGGGGCGGGGAAGAAATTCGAGCGTCTAAAACTGGATCTGGTTTTGTGTAAATGTCGAGAGAGAGAGAGCTCCAGCGTCAGGTGGATTCCATAGTCTCAATCACATTTATTTAAATTCTAGCTCCATCCAAGGGTTGCTATCTCACGTGAACCAACGAGCGCCGAAACAACCCTAACCGGGGCTTGAAAGGATTGACTTCCGTCTACAATATTATTGGTTTGGGGCTGGTTCTGCTGTCAGTAATGGTTGTCCTCTGTGCTGTACTGTAATATTCGTTCAGGTCAGGATACTGGAAATACTGCGCGGATTCTGTTTGGACACGTATACCACTACCATGCCATACACTTCACTCAGTAGACCTCCACAAGTAGAAGGATGTGCAAAAGTACAGGTACAGTAAGTCACAGTTACTGTATTGCCTCATAAGGAAAATACACCAGCTAAATTTCAGAACAAGAGGCAAAAGTGCTTATGAACTCAAGAGTAAACGCCGTTTTTGAAAAATCAACACACCGCTAACGAATATTAGTAATCACCTTCCGATCCGCCCCAGAACCCTACATAAAATCCTGCTAAAGGTGCAGCATGCCCACACCAAACAGAACCAATGTCTATCAAAACCTGCCGGACGCAGACACACGTGACTCTACTTGTAGTACCCGTACAAACAACTTAGTCGCCTGTCAGGAACACAACGGCGGCTATGCCGCTGTCCCCTTGAAATACATGCCGATTTGAAAGGGTGACAACTCACGCAAACACATTCGAACTGCCCTTGTAAGTACAAGTAGAAGAAGAAGTTTGAGTGGCTAATCGTTATAACCTCATAATGAACAAACATCACCCTCTTTCCTTTCATTCGATCAGGCCGAACGCTACAAAGAGAATTATACGCCTGCAGCTAAAAAAATAAATAAAAAAAAAAAGAGAAACACCACTCTTGCATTCTGCATCTCAGGACATCTATCTATCCTAACCACGTTCAGTAATTTATTCTCGTCTGCTACTTCACCACTCAAAGCGACAGCATTGCAGATACCCTCACAGGCTGTGTATGAGGCAAAACACACTTTTCCAATAAGCCTCTGCTCAATTCCTCGTCCTCCCTAGACCATCAGCACGATCTAGGGCAAGATACAGGACATCACACGACAAAAAGTGACCCTCCCCCCTACTCGCATGCTGGGTTTCAAATCGACATATGCGGAGTACCTCCAGTTTAACAATGGTCTCAACGCGTACCTCTCGAGGTTAGGTAACGAGGCCCTGTGGCTCAAACGGTGCTCCGTGGCCCTCGTGGCTACTCTGGCAGCAAGGCATGTGTTGTGCCCCATTAACGACAATGACACAGACGAGACACTGCTTCGGTTGGCTAGCGTCATGGAGGCGAATAGCAGGGTAAGCCCGCAACAGAGACCGAGCGTCTCATCATCTGCTCTGATGATCAGTGGAGCAGACAACGATAACTATTCCGAGACCAACATCTATGAGCTGTCGCAGAATGTCATGGCATACATATTGTCCAAGACCGATGGACAACTTCGCAAGCTGCTGGAGGGTATTTCTGAGCCACTCGACGCTAGTTCTACAATCAAGAAGGCCTTCAAACTACGCAGACGACGGGAAGTAAAGAAGCTGTTCTCTCAGACTGTTGACCATGTCAGCACGCTGCGGATCAAACGCGACAAGCGCTCTCTGGCTATTTTCGTGCAACACAACTTGAAGAAGTTTCGACAACTAGATGTTTCCTTACTAGATGGATGCAACGCCCTATTGGGCGTTGACGACATCGAGGACTTCGAATGGTTGGACGAGTCTGATTCGGTTAATAGCTTTCAGAGCATGTTTGTGCCTGAAGACAATGAAGAGGTGGACGGGAGCGCCTCTGCAGAGACTATGGATGTGTCCATGGAGGTTCTCGATGAACCTCAGGGAGCGTCTGCTCACCACGTCAACGATACTACTGATATTCGATTCACGGACACGGACCCTGTTTTACGTGCCCCTTCTACTACAGCCGCTGTAGCTGGTGGTATGACAGTTGCTAATGCGCAGCTTTCAGCTACCCTTTCTACTCCCGATCCAGCCCCCGTTCCTGCTCAGCCCACTACCTTAGCCACGTCGCAACCACCAGCACATTCTTTATCTGTTCAGCCGACAAGCTCAGATACTAACGCATCAGCTCCCGTTCGAGCTTCTGTCTCACAATCCCCTCGCCCACCTACAGTTCCTGCGCCTGCACCCCCACTCTCGAATCCGCCAGAGACCACTGTTCCTTCTCCTGCGCCAGTCACACCCGCCACATCGTCGAGGGCTTCTCCTGCAGCTCCTGCACTGTTCAAACCAGCAATCCCAGCAGATCATAGACCTCGACCAAAAGCGGGATCTGTGTCTAATGACAGTTCTGCTACAGCCCCCACCACAACTTCATCGACCACCCCTGTGACTACATTTGTGGCTACTGCGGCAGCTAACGGTACCACTAACGCAGCCATTTCCGACCCTCCTGCTGGACCTCCAGCTCCCGCCGCTGCCCCTCCTACAAGAACCGCTCCAGTTTCTGATCCCATGGCCTCCACCGCTTCTCTCGAAACCAACCGCTCTATTTCGTCTCGGAGCGGAACTCCCTTATCTACTCCTAAAGTACAAGGTTGGGTGGCTCGACAGGCCCAGAGACTCCGAGCAGACCAAAACAAAAATGTTGAGAACTTTGCTTCTAAAATTTCTGGAGGTGGAAGTGGTCATTCCGCAGGCGGACTTTCCGTATCCCAAGCCCTCTTCGACAAGACCAACGCTCTCCGAGAAGCTATTCATGCTTTCAGAAACACGTCCACTACCCCCGCACCTTCAGCTCCGAAATCCACCCACTGGCTGCCTCCGGCTACCAGCAACACCACGAACCCTCCAGGTACTAAGGAGCTTGTCGCTACTGTTCGAACTAATCGAACCCGTCAGAAACAGCTAGGCGCGTTGATTGGCAATGCTCCGGAAAACACAATCAAACAGAACTACAGAAGAGAGTATAAGGAGCTAGACGATGCAATTCGAGACGCTGAAGCCTATCTCAGAAAGGTCTGCAATGTTGGTCCTTATGCAACGAAACGAAAAGCACGGACCAGTAGTTCTACATCTGCTCCTACCTCTGCCTTGCCTCCACCAGCTCAAAGTAGAACTACTTCTGCGCCAAGATCTACCTCTACGAGCTCTGGAGCTTCTCCTGCACCCAATTTTCCTACATCTGACCCTCGAATTGTTGAATCACTACCTGCTCTGCACCCAAATAGCACTACAGTGACCACGTCTGCTCCTAGACCTGCATCGACTTCTAATACAGGACTGTCTATTGCAAGCCAACCGCGTTCTGATACCAATGTTGGAAATGATGAAGTTGTATCCACTGAGTACTCCATCGCTGGGTCTCGAAACTCGACTGAAGGTCCTATTCGGTCCAGAGGCGACAGCGCAGATGAAGGCCGGTCTCCCAAGCGACATCAGGTTCATCATGTCGCCCACACCCCACAGCTGCATCATCCCCAGCCTCATGCTGCTACACAGGAGCTGCATGATATCTTAGATCGTTCTCGAACCGACCAGATAAGGGGCCACCGTGAGGATGACTTGGTTTGGGGCCAGCGGACTCCCGTATCTGCTTCGCGACCTTCGTCGCGGTCTCCCTCTCGACACTCCACACAATCTCCTGGCGCTGTATCCCACAGGTTCCAGCCCAGACCCAACCCTATGCCTTGTCATGACCACTCACCGCTGCAAGGAGTTAGGGACAGAGAGGAAGACCATTACAGCTACCGGCCTGGTGAGGATCGAGGTCGTGAACTCGCAATGCGGCTAGGTTAAAGAGCGAAAATGTGGCTGCACAAGAGAAATCTGAGAGGAAGGCCTGTCACTGTCTATTCTCTCGATATTCACGTGTCATTTCACATGTTCCACCTTGTCTTATTGTTTGTGAAGTTCTATTCTGGTGTTGGATTGCATATTTGGATTATTCATTCTGATTACGTTTTGACCGAGCGTTGTTGAGCTCTATGGAGTTATTACTTATTGTTGGATTTACGGATTTATGGGTTTCTTCTGGATGGTTTTGGTGAGTCTGTGCTATCCACATCCGAAGCTGTTGGACTTTCTCTCAGGTTTGTTAGATCTGTCTATTAGGTGTCTCAGGCCTTGTCTCATGCTTTACGGAAGAGCAGGGATGCATGTCTCACAGGTGTCTTCGGAGTTTTGAACCGTATCCAACGGCGGTAAGCGTTGTGCACGTCAATTTCAGGACTCCTTGCAACCCAAAAACTTGTGGCCCGCGTGGCTAAGCTTTTGATTGGTCAGGGAGCTTATTTTTGGATTTGTTGGATTGTTTGTTCATCAGTGGAAGCAGGATAGGGGTGGATTACGACAACCAACGATAGCCACTCAAGAAAGGCATATTTGTGAGCTCTGCAGGTCTGTCTATCCCATTTCCTTTGTTCTGTCATCGAGTTTTGGATAACCTGAAAGATATTGCCCCAGACAGCTTCTTTCCCCAACTGTGATGAGATGAAGGACCACCTCCTTCATCCGTTTTCTCCTGCCGGCACTCAAGGCGCCACTTTCATATGATACTGCCTCTCATTGTTTATGCAGTCCGAGATTAAATTCTTTTCCGACTGCACCACACAAGACGTAAGCTTTATCAATGGAGTGGCAGTGTAGGAGGTGGTGATACCCGGATTACAGGTGGGCGGCGCTACTATCCATTAGTAGCTAAAAGCCAGTGTGATATACTGCAAACAAGGCCGAAACGAACTTTTTTGTAGCTTGAAACGGACGTCGTAGGTTCCAGGTCTGAGCCCAGCACTTTTGCCACTCGGTAGACAAGGTGTTTCGAATGTGAATATATTTCATCCTCTCAAGCTGCATCAAGACAGTTTTAGTGCCTATTGTCTTAAAAAATCGACGTGTGTTAATCCACCCAATGGTGTCTGTATAACAGTACAAGCGCAAGTAGGCTTCTGTATCGCTGCCGAGTGAGCATTTCTCTCATAAAAAAACACGACGCATCAAAGAAAAGGTGTGCTTTATCACGCCCGAAGGACGCTCACGTAATCTAATATCGCAAATCATGACATTATGTTTTCGTCTCTATCGGCCCCGTAGATAAAATCTCCGGCAGGACCGTAGTAACGCGTTTGGGCTATAGCGACGCGTTTTGGAGCAAAATATACCCGGTGGCAATAAGATATGCCAAGGTATGTTCCTGAGATTTCGGAATATCGGCTCTTTGCTTTGTCCCTGCCTGTTCCCGCTTGCAGTTATTGTGCCGCGCTATACGTTTCGCTTGGGTCTGCAAATATGCATACCCTGCGAGAGGAAGCTGCAAGGTCTCGACCTAAAAAGTACGTACTTGTAGAACAACCACTGTTAATGAAGTCAATTTTTCATTTGCATCGGGCCGTGGATCGAGGGAACCAGCATAGATAGCAGAAAAAAACGTCGACCTTCGTTTGTTTCGTGCTCTTCTTTCAACAAGATGGACTCTGCGAAAGGCTCTTACAAAATCTCCGCCAATGCCAGTCTCAGTATATTCAACACTGTGTTTGGACTGGCTCCGTTTGAAGTGAGTTGACACGAGGGGGAAAACGGGACGTGTGATGGCTGAAGGATGGCCGATGGCGTGTTGGCTGCCGTGGCGAGGATCATCACACACCCACTGGATGGCCTGAACATCTACACGCTTCCAGTCATGGTGTATGCCTTGTGGCTAGTAAACTCGCAACAAAAACGCGACGCTACATCTATCAACGTGAGACCAAATTACTAACGCAGATGGTTGTGAATGGCAAGAAGTTAGCCACGGGATGCATTACGATAGCGGATGCGACTACTCCGTCGGGGAAGCTCTATTATAACACCGAGCAAGACATTACGGCTAACACGCACTACTCCTTCAAGGGAGCCAGCAAGGATGGGCACCTTCAAATTGACTTCTACCGTCACGGAGACAAGACACCAACCATGGCGTTCTGTGGAGATGGACCAGTGGACGAGAGCTACTATAGAGGAGTGTTGGAGTTCTGCTAGAAGCCATGGTTTCTTTATTTATAAGCATTGTATTTTTACAGACTGTGTGGATAGATGTCGTAGTGTGATTGTAGTGAGGCGCTTAGTGATTTCACACATTTATAAATATCCACCTTTTGAGACCATCGGTCGTTTTTCTTGAGGCTCGCACCCACTGCCAGTTTCTCCTGGGAACCACTAGATTGTTTTTCCTTCTTCATGTAACACCCCTTGCTGTGTTCATTTACTTTCCAAAATAAAACTCGACCATGTGCTGAACGACATTGAAGCCAAACAGCGATGCAATGTAGAAGACGATAATTATGGGGATGGGCAGCAAGATGAACTCGGTGTGTTCCAGGAATGGCAAACTGGAGTAGCCGTAGAAGGTGACGAGGAAGTAGTAGCAGGTGGAAAAGGCGTACAAGGTGTTGCCGACAAACAGCGCCAGCCAGTTATCCTTAGTGAGCACTGGAAGAAGCACAAATTGCAGCACGTACAACAGCAGCCAGACAATGAGGAATCCATTGCAATGGACGTCAAAACAGTATGCGTACTCAAGAGCTCCTTGGGAGAACTGGTCACCTTTCTTCGTCAGGAATTTGCGTATAGTGAAATAGAAGACGGCGGCAATGATGAGTCCCAGGAGCAGGAAATCAACCAGGACCATGTAGAACATGAGTCTAATGATTCGGACGATTCCAGGTTGGTAGGCGAGTCCCCAACCAAGTGCACTGATCAGTAGCAGCACATTGAGGAGGATAAAGAAGGACGGATCGTCACGGGCCCACTTGTTCTTGGTCTGTTTGTGGTAGTAGAGGTTCTTGTAGACCCTCTTGGGTCGAAAAATGAGATAGAAGATTTCCCAAGATGCAGTTTCGAAGTCCAGTGTTCGGGGGCGGAAGATTCGACGGAGCATTTGCATGGGTCCGCCTCCAGACCGGCCAGCCCGCACATCCGACTGGTTCAGCGGCAGTCGGTGGTTCATAGTGTTGCGTGGCGGATTTCAGAGTTAATCACGTCTCCAGATGGTGATGCTGCGTTGTGAGGTTAGGGTGTTGGGAGGTGAACGTGGAGGTACCGGGGACATGTGCGGAACAGAGAAACGTGGCGTCTTGATGTGAGAAGCGACTTCTTAGTATATGAAGGTCATTGCGAGTAGCCGAGTATGTGAGCGTTCAAGAAGATCTCTCTCTTTTCCTTGTCGCCCTTTCATTCTGCTGTTCTGACTTACCTAAGCTGGTCACAAGGGTATCCCGGAGTCTATATCTTGTGAAGGTATGTCTACCAGAGTTGAGGTAAAATGAGCCTGAATGTCATGCCAACAATGGATGGTTGTGTTGATGATTCCAATGACATTCTTTGTTTTGTAGATATGACAGCGCTAAAATCAATCAACAGGTTCAAACGGAGCTCTCTGTGCTCGTGTCTCCAACAAACGTGCAAGTATTTCTCAAAGCGCAATCTCGATAATCTCTCTGTCGAACTGTCATGGGACCAATAACTCCACTACTAAACGAGACAGTTGAAAAGTTTCGATCCTGTTGCTTTCACAAAACCATACTGATATCACACCACGAGGATGTGGCAGTTCCACCCAGTCTACATTAATTACACGTGCTACGAGTACCGGCAGCACAGTATGTACGAGTCGTTGATTGTTGTTAGATCAACCAAGCAAGTCCAATTGGGTATTTAACAATTACAAATTGCACAAACCCCTGCTCGGTATATTTCTTGGTCATTCAAAGGATACTATGGGCAAGATATCTCCACATGTAAGTTAGAGGTCTTACCCGATCGCGTTATCAAGGTCCCGTGGGTACCTAATTATATCCCCAAGCTCGAGTATTTGTTGCAATCACGAACTTAGCACGCGGCTGATGAGTGCTTTTCCGGTATAGCCCAGCAATATCATACCACTCACATACCCTAATGGTGAGTTAAGGCCGTGGAGAATTAAATCCGAGACATATGTTGGACAGCGTGATGAGTATGAATTACACCAGATTGTAGTCGGATTTTCGCTTAGTCCCGTCCATTTTTTTCACACTTCTCCGACTACTATTTCGAGTCATTCTTATGACATACGTACGGAAGTCTCTCGTGTGTGCCCACATGTTCCGTGCAGTCCCAAATATACATAACCCTGGTGGCTAAAGCTGGACCGTGGCGCCAAAAGTTTATATTGTTTGAAGTGCGAACTTTGAAAAATTCACACAACATAAAAGCGTTGCAAAGACCAGACAATCAAATTCGCAATGTTCAACGTCCTTCGATCCATTAGCCGAGTTCCGGCCATGATTACTCTTCAGCGACCCTCCCTGTTCCAGACCGCTGGCCAGGTGTCTCGACCGGCCGTGAATGCCGCTGCCGCCATCACCGTCCGAGGAATGAAGACCAAGTCTGCCGTGCGAAAGCGATGCCCCGACTGCTACGTAAGTATCCATCCACAAGAGTTTTTCGTGACACTGTTCACTAGGATCAAGTGATTCCGCCCCTTCTAGACACGTTACTAATATCAGATTGTCACTCGAAAGGGTCGAGTTTTCAACTACTGCAAGACCCACCCTCGACACAAGCAGCGACAGGGTTAAATGATGCTATTTATTGTAATTGTACATATTTCTGATTTACCAAGGGAGTGTGGGGGCGAAATTGCGTACACTGGTTTCGATGTGGACGGAGTGGATGTGTAGATAGGTACTGTATTCAGTTTGCCGCCTGATCGGATGGCCACAGAAGGACAGAAATTGGAGATCTTACAGAACATGTACCGTCAAAATAATAAATCAACGCTTACACATCTCAAAACTTCAACTCTTTCAAAAGTTCACTACTTGTACAATTGTAGTTGCTTAGCTACTCATTATCTGAGCACATACACTGCAGTACTGATTTATCATCTCTATACATTGCTCACTAGTTCTGCCAAGTTTGCTTACTTCATTGATCAATTGATCATAAATTATTCTATAATATTTTGCATGTACATGTGACTACTGTAGCACTCATGACTTAGTCAACCTCCACCACGGTAGGGCACTTGCCGCCGCAATGGGCAGCACCCTCACCTGCGACAGGGAAACCTCCAGAGACTCCGTAAAACTTCATCAAGATAGGGTTGGAAAAACTCTCAAGCTCCTTCTGCTTATCGGAGTATTCTTCACTGGCACTGGATTGTGTAGCATCTAAGAATTCGATGGTCTCGTTAATAGCCTTCTTGAGCTTCTCTCGGTCCGCTTCACAGACCTTCCCCTTGAACTTGTTCTCGGAGAGTGTTCTTGAGGGAGAAGGAGAAAGACTTGTGGCCATTTTGGCGGCAATTCGAGCTGACTTTCTCTCTCATCCTCGTCCTTGTACTTTTCAGCATCGTTCACCATTCGCTCAAATTGCTCTTTGGAAAGTGGACCTTTGTCCTTGCAACAGTGATCTGCTGGGTATTACCAGTACTCTTTTCAACAGCGGAGACGTTGAGAATACCGTTGGAATTAACGTCGAAGGTGACCTCAATTGAAGGAACACCTCAGGGAGCAGGAGGAACTCCGGACAGCTCAAACTTAGAGAATGAATCTGAATCGGTGTCTGAGCCGAAGAAGAAAGGGTTTGCTAAGCACGTTCACAAGCGGTTCGCAGTCTAGCTGGTTGGTGGAAGTGTACTTTTTGTGCGTTGAGCACCGGTAGCTACAGTATCGTACATACTTGCAGCAAGATAGATCCTTTAGAACACAGACAGAAAGTGAAATACAGTGCTACTGTAGCTTGATTTACTGGTTCACCAAGTGAAGGTCTTAGACCACCAAGCGACAGAGCAAGTATATGGGTATGTGCAGTGTATTATTACTGAAGTGAGAAAGTGCCACTTCTTTCAAGTATGTGGTCAAAGGTGTTTTGGACAGAGTCAAGAGAGTCCACTACAATTACGAGTGTACGATACATATACTGTAGAAACAAAAAGAACACCACAATTGCACTCAGCGGTCATTAAATTTTTTACAATTAATTAGATATTCATTTTTGGAACACCTTAAGCAAGATATCGGTCGAGAGACTCGCCAAGAACCTCCTCAACGGCAGGAATGAGTTCGGCACGAACAGCAGACTCAACCTTTTCATCTTCACTTTCAAGGAGCTCGGCAATCTGGGGTACGAGCTGAGGCAGGAAGGGAAGGAACTCCTCGCCAACGTTGTTGAACAGAGCAGCGAAACATCGAGATCCATAAAGAGGAGCCTGGCGTAACAGCTTGATCATCATGTCGTTGAGCTGCTTCTTCTGGTCCTCAGAGGCCAGCTCGCAGAGAGCCACAACAGCCTTAATGAGAAGCTTGGAATTCTCGGGCGCAACCTTGGTGAGATAGGGGAATTGCGCACCCAGAGCGTCGGAAATCTTAGTGAAACGCTCCTCGTTGTTCCAGAACTCTTCTCGGTCAAATCGGAAAGAAGAGTAAAGGGAAGAGAGAATGTTTCGCTGGAGAGCAGGAGTGATTGCAGAAGCCTTGTTAAGAATCTCCAGAGCCAGATCGATGATGTAACCGTAGTAGGAGGTAACAATAGACTTGAGGTTCTCCTGCAGTCGGCAGACAATCTTGAACAGCAGAGTGGATCGCTCGGGAGTGTTCCAGTCGACAATCTTGACGAACAGAGGTCGGAAGGTTTTGTCATTGAGCTTGAGGACAATGGCAATCAGGCACTTGATGAACAGATTCTGGACACGAGCGGCAGTGTTGGCCTCCAGTTTCAGAGAGGAGTCGAAAGCTTCCAGACATAGAGTGATAAGGCTGTCGGCCTTGGAGTGGATTTGCTTCTTGTCAGCTTCGGCGACCGCCAGATCAAGCGTGTCAGCAAACAGACGAGCATTCTCGAAGCCCTCAACGAACTTCCAGGAGTCGCACAGAGTCTGGAGGACAACTCGAGAGTCCATGGTCTCGACACAAACAACAAAGAGCTGCTTACGGGTATCGGTATCAGCGGGACACTTGAGGGCAAATTCAAAGATCTTGGGTAGAGAAGAGACCATGAAAGAGGGCAGTCGCTTGATGAAGGTGGCAAAGAGAGCCAGAACCGACAGAGCAATGAGGTTGTCGGAAGAGTCTCGAGCAAGAACAGACGAGATAGTGGCAGGGAACAGACCAATCATTCGGGCACCCAGTCGGAGACACAGAGAAGAGAGGACAGATACGGCCTGGATGAAAACATCGTCGTCAGAATTCTTGAGCTGTGCTACAGCTTCGCCAGCACAGGTGACAAGAAGGGCATCAGAGCACTTAGGGAAGCCAGAGGCCACAGTTTCCACGATCTGGAGCAGCAGAACAAGATCGCCAGTATCGGTGGTGGACTTCAGCAGACTGTGCAGAGACTCGAGAAGAGTGTCGGAAGCCTTGGTATCTTCCTCCTCAATAGAACCTGAGGAGAATCGGGCCAGGACAGTCTTGTAGACAGAAGAGCCAAGTCGGCCAGCAACAGTGACGAAGAGGGGCAGAGGCAGCAGAGACAGGATAACGTTGAGCAACTCAGGGTACTGGCTCTCAATGAGCACGGTGAGCACGTTCTCGGCAATCTTGAGGGCCTCGGGGCTCTGGACAAGACCGGCCTGGAGAGGCAGAATTCGGGACTCGAGCAGAACAACCAGGAAGTCGATAGGAGAAACCTCGAGCTCCTTGTCGACCTGCAAGAAAATCTGTCGTCGAGTCTTCTTTTCCTTCTCCTTGGTCTTGGGGTCCGTAGCAATGATGGCGTACAGCTCCTGGACCAGAGTGACATAGGGAAGAACGACAGCAAGCTGCTTGGAAGCATCGAAGAGCTTGAACAGAGAGTCGCAGAACTTGGCGATAGCAGAAACTTCGGAAGTCTTACGTGCAGTCTTAAGCTCAGCAGACTTCTGGGCAAACAGGAATAGCAAAGTGGCAAGGGCGTCCTTGGTTCCGGAGGCATCCAAGGCTCGGACAAGCTCGCCAAACAGCTTGACTCGTCGGTGCTGAGGAATGTGGGGGAAGGCGGTGACGAAAGAGACCAGAAGCATGTCAACCTTGTCAGTGTTTCCAGCTAGACAGGGCACTATTCGCGCCACAGTCTGTTCGATGACATGGACGGAAAAGTCGTCGTCCTGTCGGAGAGTGTTGGCGCCCATAAAGGTGAAAATGGGCATGACAGAGTGCAAAACCAGAGTTGGGGCCACAGTAGCAAGCTCAGCAACAAGGAGCAGGTACTTGTTCTGGATCTGGGCGTTAGAGGCGGTTCGAATAGCAGAAACAACAATGTCGACTCGGATATCTCGATCAATGCTGGCTCCATCGTGTTGGTTGGCTCGAATGATGTTGAGAAGAACATCAGCAAGCAGAGACTGGCAGTAGTCAATAGGCAGGTTGGAGTCGGTTCCGAGAGTCAGAATCTCGCCAAGCTGAGTGAACAAAGGGCCTAGAAGAGCGTCGTCAGTGGTCTTGGATGCAACAAGCAGCTCCAGAACCAGAGAAACCTTTCGCAAGTTTCGCTCAGCAATATGGTGGAGCTTGCCCTGTAGCAGGTTTCGAACGGTGGACGAAGAAGATCGTCTCCGTCGTTTAGTAGACTCGTCAGAAGGAGCATCCATGGAGGTTGTGTTTTGCTCGACCTTGCAGTCATCCAGCAGAGAGATGAAGACCTTGGTAGGGACATCAACGTGAGCGAGAACATCAAGAGAGTCAAAGGGAACGTCCTTGTCAAGGGAAAGATCAACAAAGAATCGGAACAGGCCCAGGTGAGCATCTCCCTTGAGGGTGGGCCACAGCTTGACTAGTCGCTGGGTGACAATATCACATACTTCATCGTAGATAGGGGAGTCGTTCTTGATAAGGGACTCAAGGAACTTGATTCCGGTCTTGTCGGTGACAGTTCGGATTAACTCAGTAATGTACGCCAGATCGTTGGGAGGGTTGATGTACAGAGGCTCAACAACCTTCGTGGTAGGCACAATGGGCTCCTCGGAAGAAGTGACCAGAGTAAGAAGAGATGTTCTAATGGCGATAATCTCCTGAGATACCGCGTGCGAGCCGAGGTAGGCAAGAACCGCGGTTGAGAAGGCGCTCTTGTAACCCTTCTTCTTAGAGATCATATCAGAGACCTGTCGGATAACAAAGGACTCGTCCAGAATACACTCCTCGAGAGACAGAGCGTTAAGAAGGACGGTAACGTCACCAGAACCGAGGTAAGAGCAGTCGTTGGTGTAAATCTTCTCCACTCCCCAGATGGGTTTCTTGTTCTGCTTGGACTTGAGCACTTCGGCGAAGCTAGCAGCGGCCTTTCGGACTCGCTGGGATGCGTCAGAAAGAGCAATGCATGTGTAAGGGATGAGGTTTTGGAAGTCGGCCTCGCCAGCGGCAGTAATAATAGTCTTAGCGGCCTCCACGGCAGCAAGACGCGCCAAAAGAGGTGAGGGAGAAGCCCAAATTCGAGCAAAGAAGGTTAGGGAAGCAATGTCAGAGGAGAACATGCTGACAAACTTGTCCATAGTGTATCCTCGCTCGATGAGCTGAACAAAAATCTTGGAAAGTTCCGCGTAATTCTCGGAGGTCTTGGTTGAGAAGTAGGTGGTGGTCTGAGAAGCGGCTTTCTTGGCCTGCTCAACGAGAGACTCGACATCAACATCCTCCTGGATCTCCTCGACCTCCATCTCCTCGACGGCAGCCTCAGTAAAGACAGTCTGGAGCTTGAGCTCGAGCTGGTCGAGTTCAGGCACAGTCTCACCTCGGGTAACCCACTTGGCGATGACGGGAGCAGCCAGAGCAGCAACAGACGTGTTGGTCTCCTTTGCAAGGGCCCAGTCAACAATGTAACGCATAAGGAAGGTGGACTCGTTAGAGCCAAACTGGGTGTTGGAAATGATCTCTTCAAGACCCTTGAAATTGGCAGCGTCGGGGTTCCGGAGCAGAGCCATGCAGTATCCGAGGGTGAAAAGAGCCATCTTGTACTTCTGAGATAGGGCGACAACATCTGAAGGCTGAAAACCGGCCTTGTTGAGAGCGGTCATGACGCTAGTGGGCAGCACCTCGGGCTCCTGCTTTTGTTGGTACATCTGGGTGATGCAAAGAATACCGCTCTTGATGGCCTTCTGGGTCCAGTTTGCAGCGATGGTCTCAACGAGAGCGTTGAATACCTCCTTGTTGAGAGGCATTTTGTTACCAAGAACAGTCAGAACCATGTAGGCAGCAATCTGGCAGTCGGTATCGATGGTGACAACGAGCTTGGCCAGAGCCGGCAGGTAGATCTCCAGCATTCGCTCGGGGTCAGCCTTGTCGGCGACCAGGCCGTAGATGGCAAACTGCGACCAGAAAGACAGCTGTCGCTGGTATGAGGTCTTTGTGGTAGTCTGACCAACGATATACTCGGTGATGAGTTCAAACAGACGCATATCAGCACTGAAGGCTCGGATCAACAGGTTTCGAGGGGGGTTCTGGGCAGCAGACTTGCTCTTGTTAAGGAAAACAAACAGGGGAGGGAGCTTGATGATGACATCGGCGACCCGCAGGTAAATGTCCTGGTCGTAATAGGGGAGGACACACAGGAGAAGCTGCTCAGCGTTCATCTGGTTGACATGGAAACGTCGGACGAGCCATTCCAAGGCCTTGACGGCAGGGGAGAGCATCAGGTAGGGTCCAATTAGAGAAAGGAACGCCGAAATGGCCTTGTCGAGCAGGTCGTTCTGCTCCTGGGTCTGCACATATCGATCGACATCAATAGAGGTGTCGCTGAACAGGTTATTCTCGAACTGAGCGAATCGGGAGTCCAGAGAGACGAGATCTCGCAGGCCTTCAACACCAACAGCGTGGATAAAAGAAAAGTCCTGATCCTGGGCAACCTGAGGCTCGTAAATGAGCGACTTGGAGTGCTGCTTGAGCTTCCAGGTTCGGTCGACGGTAGATCCGCCGCCGAGTTGGGACAGCTGTTGAGAAAGGGTAGACACTGGGTTAGTTTAATGGACGAGGAGTGACAATATGACTGTCGTCCCCAGTTTTTGGTACTCACTTATTCCCTTTAATTAATACTGTCGTTGACGAATGTGGTTGTGTATGTAGGTTTTCTGAAATTTCACCTCAATCTCTTCACAAAAAAATTGTTTAGCCTTGCATTGCATACTTGAGGTTATGAGTGTGAAGAATGTGTCCAGTATACAAGTATCGGTATATACTGTATGAAGAAGGTAATTGGAACAGATAACACTATCTAGGGATTATGTCATTAATGGATATTGTTGGATGCATGTAAAATTTTTCTGGTTTGGGGACGTATTTTAGACTTTATAGTGTCTACAGCTAGAGTGTAGAACTTTTTCAACTAACTCTAGCCCATTACTTGGTTTATACATGATCCAATAGATGAGAAGTCCCACCTGCCCCAGAGTCCAGACCACATAAACACCTAGCTGTCTCAAGAATGTCCGACGTGACATAGTCACTGTCGTCTGTCTCAGTCAATTGCTGTCGTATACGTTCCTCGTAGCCGCGACCATATTTTCCTCATAAGCCGTTCCATCAACTCGTACAAAGCAGCATCGTTGCTTGAAGTTCAGGATTAGCTTCGATGATGCATGAGCAATGTGATGAAGCGAAATCGAAGCGTAACCTGATACCAAAACAGTCTACGCTACAATACATAACCATGACCAGCACTCTGAGCACGACCAAGAACCACCTGGTGATTCTGCCACCAACCACAAAACCAACAATTGTGTCGTTGACACACCCTCGAACCAGAAACCTGGCTCGATTCGTCGTTGACTCCTCCGACCCCAAGCACACTAAGGTATACGAAATCACCCAGATCAACGGCTCCAATGCGCACTTCGAGGGCACACCTGATCCCCGAAGCATCATTTTACAAGTCGAGGGTGACAAGGGAAGTGTGATTCAGGATCCCTCGGTCTTCATGACCACTCCCTTCTCTCCACTATGGCTCATTCTACCCACTCTGGTGCGGCATAAGGACAAGCTGATGACTCTGGACGACCTGCACGAGGCATCGTGCCACGGTGTCGACAGGATGGACTTAATCACTCAGGACACGTTTGATAAGTACATCCCAGATGTGTGCGAGGTTATGGACGAGGGAGAGAAGTTCTACAAGCTGTCCAACGAGAAGTTGCTTGCTCACTTGAAGGCTATCGTCGCTAGCATCAAGAAGAGCCTGCCCAACGATATTTATGTGCGACATGTACAGAACTTGCTCGACTCAGACGCATCAGACGAGATCAAGGATCTCGCCAAAGAGCACATCTCCATGAACATGCTGGGTTCCAACCTACCGCCAGATGTCACCGAGATTTTGCTGAAAAGCGTCGATTTCGAGCCCTACAACAAGCACAAGGCCGAGTATAAGGCCAAGAGAGATGCTGAATCGGCTGCACAGGGTCCTTCCGGTCCCCCTGAGAAGAAGCGGAAGAAATCTGCACCTGCCAAGGAAGAGAAGGCACCGAAAAATAACAAGCGACTTACTGCTTTCTTCTCTGTGGTGCCTAAGAAGTAGTAGGTAGAAGCGTTTTGTCTTCTACTGTGTAAAAACATTGACATTAATTATTGACCCCGCAGTGCAGTGCCCCGTAAGTCTACACACTTCGCTATCATTATACAAAGTCCTTAAATTACACCAACCTATACATACATAAATAACAGAGCTCCATCGTCTAAATGTCAGCCAAAAAGTTGCTGGGAGCTAGACCAGTTCGCTGGCCTCGTCCGTAGACCTCCACTTCCCACCAGCCATCGTCCTGCATTCGCAGTACCAGCATCACTTCGCCCTTTCGGAACGACACCTCCTCAGCTATGGCAGCTCGGTAGTCGTACTGCGCTCTGGAATAAGATATAACTGGCCGTCCATCCGAAGAGACTCGTGGGAGCTGTGGTGCGCCTCGAGGAGATGACATTCGGGGATCTGGGTTAAATCTAGGGTCCATTCGGGGATCCACTCGAGGCTCACCCATGGACTTGGATCTAGGACGACTATCTTGGTATTGCTGTTGTTGTTGCTGCTGGGCATGCAGGTGGTATTGCTGCTGCTGCTGCTGCTGAGCTCCGTAGAGATCGTAGGATCGCCCGTTAGGTGTGTGGCTTCGCTGAGGTCGCTGTTGACCTGAAGCGGCATACAGGTTTGGCTGAGATCGACCATGTAGAGGTTCAGAATAAGGGTTGGCACTACCAGGTCGAGCAGCAGGGTTGGGAGAGACACTTCTCAGCTGAGGATCGGGAGAAACAGTACGAGGGTAGTGGTTGTCTCCCACAATGGAGGGGGAATGAGCTCGCTGGCCCTGTTCGGCATAGAGCTGTCTCTGGATCTGTTCGGCGGAAGCTCCCTCGTAATAGCTCTTCGGTCTGGGCTGGTCAGATCGAGGTGCTCGTCCTCGCTCAGGCGTTCGCTGGACGGGTTTGCGATGCACAGGCTCACGGGTTGCTCCTCCAGAGTCCCGAGAGTGTCCCTCACCAAACATGTTAGCAGCGTACTGCTGACTAGTCTGCTGCATGTCTCGAGCTGTGAATGCAGGGGCAGGAGCATTGAGGTAGGAGGGCTCAAAAGACCGGCCAGGAGATGAGGGTGCTGATCGAGAAGCCACCCGTCGCTGAGAAATGGGCTGGCCACTTCCAAGAGTACCGTACTTGGAGCTATGAGGCTCAGTGTTGGGTGCGGAGGACACTGAAGAACCCACGGAGGAGCTCGACCCCACAGACAATTTGAGCTGTTCAAGGGCAGCAACAAGAGGATCGTCTCGGGACAGCTTCTTGACATTCTGAGAGGAGGCACTATTCATCGTGGATGGAGGAGCAGGCGATGAAGCCATGGCAGCTCGCTGAGGAGCAGGAGACTTCGAAGGGCTCAAGTCAAATGTGTTAGCTCCAACAGACAAAGCCTCATGAGTCTCGTTAGAGTCGTAAGGGGTTCGAGACCGAGGGTTTGGAGTTCGGGCACGCTCCTCGGCAGGGTCTCGAGACTGGCTTCGGTTCCAGCCCTTGTTCAGATCCTTCTTGGACCGTCTTCGGAAAGGAGTAGCCCAAGATCGTCCTTCCGTACGGCCAGAGGGCTCCATGACAGAAGAGGGCTCGTTTACTGACGATCCAGCCCAGTCAGGCTCAGAATAGACAGAAGAGCCAACCTCAGATGCGGCAGGCGCAGTAGAAGATGGAGCCCCAAGCTTAAACGAGAAGACATCTCGGGCAGTCTGAGCAATGTTGTGAAGAGGAGAATGATGAGCTGGCTTGGGATCAGGAATAGCCTGTTCCAGAGATCCAAACGAAGTGTCGGGATCCATAACATGTGAACCAGCTGCTCCAATTGATGAGTTCATCATATCGTCCATAGACTCGTCTCCAGTACCAGCAATTCGAGGGAACTGGGCCACCTTGAAGCTGTTCTCAACATTATCATGAGAGTGTCCGTTTAAGAAGTTGATGAACTCCGGGGGATCCTGAATTTCGGCACCAGTGGAGTTATCTCTCACAAACTGCATAATATCCTCGTTGACGTCTGTCTTCTCCAAGGCCAGACGAATGTTTTCACAGCACTCATCGTCAGAGACACACACTGTAGAGACGATATTAGTATATCCCCACAGGTTGCTTTTGAGAAAGTTGATTCTCTCCTCCTCAATATCCTGCAGTTTGTCACAGGCCACCTTCCATTCCTTGTTCCATCGATCAATAATATCAGCGAGGTTTCGAAGATGGGTCTGGTAGTCCCGCTTGGTGGCGTTGACACTCATGTGAGTCTTGTCGAGTTTCTGATTGTTCTTCTCCAGCTCCTTGCCCATCAGCAGGTTTTGCTGGGCATAGTACCCATTAATTTTGTTGCAGTCCAACTCAAACTTCTCACGGGCCTTCTCCACGTTGTTGTTTTGCATGATCTTGGCCTTGAGCAGTTTCTCCACCGTCTGCTGCGTTGTCTTGCGTCGCTCCCGCATGCTGCTGTTGAAGGCTACCAGAGGCTCCTCCAGCTGGCTCTTGAGTTGCTGAGCAGCAGTGGCGTGAGATTTGCCCATGGCTTCAGTGTCCTGTCTGATGGTCTCAAGACAAGACTGGAGACTGCCTGTCTCGACAGCTCCCAAGCTCTTTCGAGACAGAGCCAGCATGCGTTTAGAATACTCCTCTTCAATGGCGATTCGCTCCTTGTAGAATAGACGTACTTCTTCATTGGTTTGTTTGGAGTTCTTCATGCGAAGAAAAACATTGTGAACTCCCTGGTCATCCTTGCCCCAAAAGTTGTTGGCAAACGAATGTTCCGACATTGGTTTTTGGGCCGTGTGTATCAGTCGTAGATGTGCTAGAGGAGGAGAGCTCTCTCTTTAGCTGTAATACATGTTTATTGTCGGTTTGATACATGCCGTGTTGTGGTACTTCCTTATCGGGAACATTGATATGTACAGTCATGCAGCTCACCATGACCCATGAGCCTAGCGAAGAGACTCACGATAAACAATGCCAAAATGCATACATCGGAAAAGCATAACACCAGTCTGATTTGATTGCTCGACAACAGATGACGCAGAGAAAATAATTCGTTATTATTATTTCGATTGTCCTCAAGTCTGGTATCGCACTATCGAACCTGCAAAAATAACCCTTTACGTAATTGAGTGTAAATTTGGTGGACAGAGATACGATGTCTTGGTGTAAGCGTAAGTACACACCACTGGTACATAGGTTGAGACAAGCAGTGAGGTTTGTTTAAATATACCGGTAGATATTGACATGAAAGTCATCTGGCTGGCTTATTCCCTTCGTTCCTTGATATACAAAACGGTCTCTCCTTTATATCGATCGTGTGATGCTTGTTGATCTCGGAGTTAGAGTTCAAATGTATGTATGTACTACTGTATAATGAAGGGTGGCTTTATCCCAACCCCATCATTGAAGGAAGTGAAAATATGGGCAACTTGTGTTGGATAATAGCAAAGTCCCAGGCACAACGATCTGGAAGTTGCTACCGCTCTACAGTACATACCAGTGTATTTTATTCTTTATGCCGTTTCTACAATACTGTATAGGTTATTCTAGCTACTGTTCAACACACACACACATGCACAAGGACATCTATTACGCCTACGGGACATTGAGCATCTAGTCCATAAATTATCACTGGACCATATGCACTTGTAGTCGGGTATTTTAAGGTGTCATCATTTAATACGAGCAACCACTATCTTTGTGCCCAATGTGTGCTTCACGAAGCACCCCCCTTATTTCTCTATGGTAGCTACTCTACTGGAAAGCGTGCAGGAACTGAGAAACTCGTCCAGAAAGAGCATCAGCCTCAGCCTTAGAAGCAGCCTCGGCGTAGACTCGGACAGCATCCTCAGTACCACTGGCTCTGACAAAAGATCGGCCCTGGTTGAACATCTTGACGACTTCGTCAATCTTGTCTTGAAGGCCAGGAGGGGAAGTCAGACGTCGCTCAGCATCCGTAGTCTTGAAGAGAGATCGATCCTTGACAACAACCTTGTCCAGACGGTTGGGCAGATCCTTGTACGCTGAGTCCCACTCTTCAGGACCCCATCGGTTGATAGCCAGGACGACCAATACCAGCAGCAGGTCGGAAATGGCATCGCCAACAGTCTGGTTAATAAGATCAGAGAGAGCCAGAAGGGAGTCGATGGCCCGTCGCTGGACGGGTCCACAGTCCTCGGGAGCAGTCTGAAGCTTGATCTGAGCAGCAGGAGAGAAGAGTACAGTTCCGTGACCGTTGGCCTCAAAGTAGATACCAATGTCAAAGGCCTCAGCAGCGTGATGCAGGTGCTTGACACCGGTGGGAGTGCAAACAACAGGCACCTTGAGGTTGTCAACAATATACTTTGTGGAGGAACCGTTAGCGTAGGCGGTCTGGACGACTCCGACAGACAGATCGAGATCAGCTTCCTTGGACAGCTCAGTGATGTACATGCCAACCAGAGTGGCGATTTTGTCTCCGTCCAGCAGATGGAAAGCTTTCTTGTCGTCCACGTAGGAGAAGACGATTCGGTCGGCGTCTCCGTCGAAGGAAGCAAGCAGTTGGTAAGGCTCGGGGGTAACACCGTTGGGAAGACGCTGGTTAGTCTTGACGTAGTCAGCACCACAATCCATGTTCAGCATGGGCGGTTCTTTATACTGGTCGTTGACAATGGTCACAGACAGAGTTCCATCCAGCATGGCAGCCAGGGCACGGAGCTTGGGAGCTCCAATTCCATTAGCACAGTCAACAACGCACTTGAGTGGTTCATCAAGATCAGGAACAGCTTTCTTGAGAGCGTTGGCGAGCTTCTCGTAGTAGCCCTCCTCAGTGGGGGCCCCGTAGGCGTCAGGAGTGCCCTTGGTGTTGATTGCACGGGTAATGTAGTGGAGCTGGGGGGTGGTGAGCAGACCGTAGTTGTTGTAGTTCGCATTCATGGCTTTGAGACCATCTTCGAGCGCTGCCACGAGGGCGGGCCCAGACTCTCGGGAGTCTCGTCCAATGACCACATGGGCTCTCACGCTTGTATCGATGTTCAGTTTCGATACCAGAGAATCAACCTTAGCCTGGAGTTGGTTATCAGGGGCATTGGCGAGCTCGGCGGCATATACCTCCCATGATGCCTCGAGCATGGATCCAAGAGGATCAACAAGCTTGACTCCGTTGTCAGGGGGAGGATTGTGGGAGGCGGTGATCATGACACCAATGGTCTGGCCCTTCTTGAACTGAGATCGAAGGGCAGCGAGGATACCGACTCGAAAGGCCACTGAGTCGAGCAGAGTGGCTTTCATTCGGAAGCCTGCGGTTCCGTAGCCGAAATTGATGCCGTCAGGCTTGGGATGGTCCTTGGAGAAATCGTCAATGGACATTTTGTGAGGTGGTGTGCAGGTTAGAGTGTTGAGAGGCCAGACAGGCAATGCCGGAACTACACACGTTTATGGTTAGCCTGGTTGATGCGAGGTAAACGGAGTTAGGGTTGCCAGGCAACGGCACGGGAGCGAGAGAGGATAGAAGCGTTGTTGGTATTATGGGATGGCAGAAAACGGAAAAAGAAGAGGGAAAAAAAATTGACTCACGACTTTTGTGTTTGTGGAGAGTCTTTAGCTGTGATTGAGCCTATGCTTTGTTTGTACGGCCACTCTTTGCCAAGGCACTCCTCCATCATCATGCGTGCTATTAATACTCACCACCTATTGTTCCAGCGATAATACGAGCGACAATGCTACCTCAGTAATGTAACTTTGCTGGGGAGTTTGTGAGGAGAAGTTGGCATTGAGGAGCGTGGGAAAAAGAGGCATTAATTTCTTCTTCGTGGCAGATGGAGAATGTAGCTTCAAAGAGGTTCTTTTTTTCTTGGGACCCTACAGATAACCATTACAGTAAAAGTAACCTCGCTAATTTCACATCAAGCATTCATTTACAATAGCCATTTGGGTTGTCACAGTCCCAGAATATGGATTCATGCCTTGCCATGAGCCATATAGTCGTACGAGTATGTACTCATAATGTACAGTAGGTGTAAGAGCTCTGTCAGGGCAATTGGAAACCATATAAGGGATGGAGTACAGTAGGCTTTCTATTATTCTTTCTGTATGGCTGACTAATCACACATGCGGCTCAGGAAGCAGCATACGTGCCTCCACTGGACTGATCAAGTTCAGGATCGCATCCCTCAGCCATCTCGATCTACAATACACCGACACCATGTCACCGCCGATAAAAGTACTCACTAGGGAAGAGGCTCGCGCAAAGATGCCAAAACACGTGGACGAGTGTCCTCTTAAGAAGCTGGTACAGTATGAATCAAAAACCGCAAATGGAGTACAGCTCCTGATTCCCTTCACACGATATTTTCGAGCATGTCAGGTCAACGGACGAGAGCAGTTGTATGAGGTGACGACAAAATCACAGAACGTCCCATTGAAAAACATTCGGGATATCGACCCGCTGGATGACTTCAGATCGGCGATGAAGCTGGCTGAAAATAAGGAGTATGAGAAGCCTGTTTAGGTAAGCACAGATTGGAGAACGAGTTTGGACTTTATCTCACACTAGTCTATCCCACCCTCCCCCACTCTATTCACAGCTGTCACTTTCTAAGCATCGGGGAGAGACGCCACTCCTAAATTGAACGCCTAGGAAAACCCTCTACGATGTCACCTTTGTAAATAGTACTAATATAAGTTATCAAGATCTACGATGTTCTTGGGCAGTTCTCTTTTGACCCCAAGACTCCACTGCCACTCTACTGTGTGTCAGGATACCGTACTCTCAGTACTTCTTTCGTGCTCATGCTCTGTTACTCTAATGCAATGGTTAATAAGTACTGCCTTCGGCGGGCTGGGGCAGCTTTCTGTTGGCGGGCTGGCCCATGTCCTTTCGCAGCTCCAGCAACACCGTCTCCATCGTGTTGCTTCGTTTCCAGTGAGCGAGACATGGCAGGTTGGCGGGAATCACCACGCCGCTCTGCTGGTTAACGCAGGGAATGTTGATTTTCGAAATGAACTTGACGGTGGGGGGCTGGTCGGGGTAATCGGGGCCACATTCGAGTGTCAACGAGTAGATGCGGTTCTCGTGGGCAGAGTGGGGAGGTCCGAGGATGGTTCCGTTCCAGAAAGTCATTTCGATATCGTCGGAATCGGCCAGTCCTAGCGAGCAAGCTTCGGATCCGATTCCTTTTTCACCGTTGTCGAGCTCCTCCAGGAGTCGAAATGATCGGGGCCTGAGTTAGTAATCCGGACGGTGAGGTTGCGTGACCATGTAGTTAGGGGTTCTGGGCGTTTGCTTGGAATACGTAAGTCAAATCCGCGATTAAATCAAAACAACGGTTGTTCCCACACTTCCTCCTCCCCATACTCACATTTTGGCGGCCATTATGTTGTCGTTTTTGGTGTTCTAGATGAGGTTAAGCTGTCAAGTAGGCAAGGTAATTAGCTCGTCGTGCTCGGAAGATGCATGAGGGTAACGTAAGGCCGGTTGCTGGGACAACGACGTTCAGGAACCTTAATTTCTACCACCAACATCACGCTCACACCTACCAAAACCACCGGACCACAGTCATCATAATACCCCAACGGTGCAATGTCGGACACTCCCTCATCGCCGTTCATTGAGCATCCGGAAACCCCCAGGAAAGCGCTCTTCAGTAGTAATCGCCCCTCTCCAGTTCGATCTACACACGCCACACCTTCGCTCCATGGCACACCATCCACCGCAAGTCGGTTTTCAAGAACCCCTAGAGAAGACGTGATCGGGCTTAAAAAAACGATTTCGCAGTTGCGCTATGATTTGGAGGCACTCAAACAGGAGCAACAGGTTGCTCAGATTCTGCAGGAGGAAAAGGAGCGAGAACTGGAGGCCAAGCACAAGAAAGAGCTGGATCGAGCTGAACAAGCAGAGTCTGACCAGGTGTTTCTGTTCAACAAACAAAAAGAACTCTCAGACGAAAATCGCACGCTTAAAGAGGAATTGCGATCTCTTCAGTCTCAGCATGAGGCTGATGGACGTGAATTGAATCATGAACTGGAAGGATTGAAGGACTTGCTGAATGATCTACAATCGGAGAACCGAGCTCTTGTGTCGGAAATGAACTACAAGATTGAAGACTACGAACACAGAATCAAGGCGGCATCTACAACGACTGACGATCTGCTCAAGGAGGTTGAGAATAGAGGTACTGCCCTCACAGAAGCTAAAATGAACGTGGTTAAATTCGAGCAGCTGGTAGAATCCTTGAAGGGCGAATCATTGGATCTCAAACAGTCGGCCAAAGATCTGGAGGCTGTGGAGCAGACTAAAAGTCAACTTTCTGACCAGATCAAGTATTCGCGAGAACTGGAGGCGAAAGTGTCTGCCCTGACAGTGAGAGTAGAGGCGGCTGAGTCTGCACAGCAGCTCAGTCAGGTCTATGAAGAAGATCTGAGTAGCATGAAGGGTAAATTGAAGAACATGGAAGGTCTCAGACAACAGCTAGCGGAACAGCAGTTGCAAATTCTGGTACATGAGGAGAACAGCGCCAAGTGGAAGGCCTATTTGGAAAAATCGGACGAGTTCAAAACTGTGGAGGAGGTTGTCACAGCTCTTAACAAGGCTAGAATGGAAAAAGCTAGCTTGTTGGAGCGTGCCGGTTCAGGAGTGAATGATGAAACCCGGTCTACAGCTGAAGCATATGCGAGATTGCAAGAGCGAGTCACCACCCTTGAGTCCGAGCTGCAGCTGGCCCAAAACCAACTCAAGACAGAGAAAAAGAAAGTTGCTACCTCTATCAGGCAGCACACACTTGCTGCCAACGAGGCAAAGTTCCTTAGAGAGCAGCTGAAGGCGTACGATGATGAGGAGGTCACAGCAGCTGGCGCTGACGTTAAGCAGGGTCGTATTGACGAGCTGGAGAAACTGTTAGAAGCGGTCAAGAACGAGAAGAGTGTTTTGGAAGGTGAATTGAAGGAGGCAAGAAGCGAGCAAGGGTGTACTGTTGCTGCAGGTACCAAACGACCTCGCGCAGACGATAGTGTATCGTCAGAAGTCATATCTGAGTACACACGTAAGTTGCAGACTCTTCAGCAGGAGTTTGATGAGGTCTCTGTCGAGGCCAGACTTCTTGCAAAGACCAAGGAGGCCTTGGAGGCACGGCTTGAGAGTCTTGAGAAGAGCCAGGAATCACGAGTGCGAATTCTTGAGCTGCGTGAGAACCCAACTTCTCGCCATGAAGCTGTCAAGCAAAGCATGCTGGACACACTTAAAGCTGAGAACGAGGCTCTGATGGGCAAGAACGAAAACTCAAAGTCTGTACCCCAGGCTTCACTTGAGAGAAAGCAGCTGGAACTCCAGGGTGTCAGAGATAAGCTGGCATCTACGGAAAAGTCGTATCAACGACTCAAGGAGGTGTTCTCGGTCAAGTCGCTGGAATTTAGAGAAGCAGTGTATGCTCTAACTGGATACCAAATTGACATCCTCCGAAACAAAAAGGTCAAGGTCACTTCAATGTATGCTCAGTCTGATGAAGACTCGTTCACGTTCTTGCCTGACCCCAATCATAAGGGTCAGTTTGCCGGAGTCATTGATAGTCCTTTGACTGACGAGTTCAGCAACATTGTGGATTACTGGGTGAAGGATAAGAAGGATTTTCCATGTTTTTTGGCAGCTCTCAACCTAGAGCTGTACGAGCGAAAGGAGAACAATGGTAACCAGGCCAGCTAACAGCAACACATTATACATAATCATGATTATACATAATTATATTAAATCCAGGATAACCCAGGATAATCACAGCTCAACTACAGTATGTAGTATTCTTGCTATATGTTCCAGTAACATTATCTATAAATAATTAAATACGCTTATACGGCTGGACAACCTTCAACCTCTTTTGTTGACACCTCCTCGGAATGTTTTTCGTCGTCAGTACTCGTTTTTCGGTTAGTTCGGAGATTTTCCATGACCACTCCCTCGGCAGTAGGTTGGTCCAAAATGGACATGTCTGGCTCCGGAATGAATCGTGGAATGTAGTAGGACACGAGCACGAACAGTAGAAGCACACCAGGAAATCCGACAGCTGCAATACACTGGGTAATACCGAACTCTGCAGCAAATGCACACAGCTCCAGAATGGTGTAAAGGTACAGGTTTCTTGGTTTGACTCGTGACAGAGCGTTCTCATGAGAAATGTACTTTGCGTCAGTACAGATGAACACCACTTTGGCCACGATACCATTGTTGTACACTCCTGTCAATCCCATGCACCAGAAGAGACCAGACAGGACACCCTGAGGTACCAGGCCTAGAACCACCAGTAGAGGACCACTCATAGTACCAAGAATCATGAGCCCCTGGGCGAAGTTTGAGACTCGCTGTTCGACAACGGATTCGTTGATGGTTAGCAGAGTATATGAACTAGGCGCGTCCTTTGCCATTTCTTTTGTCTCGTCGTTGACAGGATAAGTACGTCCTTCTCCGTCAATATAAACCTCCTTCTTAACAACAAGGGAAGTAGTGTGGAGGGGAGCTTGGGGAATGAGCCCGTTAGGAGCAGGGATTCCAAGCATTCCAGCAACTCCTGTAGTAATTCCCAGCAAAAACAAATCCCAGTGGAAAGATGCTGGCTTCTTGAGGGGGAATTCTGAGCCTTGGCATATCAACGAAGACACATTGTGGTCAAAATAGAAGAGCAAAGTCAGCAGAATCGCAAATGGGATAGCCAAAAAGACGTCGCCTACCTTGATGTCCCAGAAGTGAATAAACCAGCCGTGTCCCCCGGGTCCATTTCTAATTTCGTCGGTGGGCTGGAATGCATTGGTAGTAGGCAGCTTCTGAACAGTGGTGTGACCTAGGGTGGTTCCAAAATGTACGAACCCAGAGAAGAATACGACACAAAGGGGCAGTCCGTAGTCGGCAAAAATTCCTCGTATCCAACCCTTGAAGAATGTGGAGTGGTTTCCGATAAGCACCGTGGTGCATCCAAAGATCATGATACACATGCCCACGATGACAGAGAGGTAACCAGAGGCGTCCCCCACTTCGGAAAACTGTCGTGTGCATATCTGAATACCCTTCTGGAGGTAGACGATTGAGATGAACAGTCCAAAGGCGTCACAGGAATATCGAGTGACCCACTTCAGACCGTTGGAGAAATTGAAAATAGCCAGGAACCAATGCATAACCATGGACCAAAGACAAATCCAAGCCATGAATGGGAAATATGGGGTGTCTCTGTTCTTGATGATATCATAAACTGTGTAGTTGAAGATGGCGATAGGTCCTGTGACTCCCACAATACATAGAGGTTGCCCAGCAAACAAGCCGAAAATTATTCCTCCCATAGCCGAGGCCATCAGCACCTCGTTGACTCCATAGGCGTTGTGTGTCTTATCAAACATATCCTGGGCGAAAGCAATTGCCGGCAGGAGGTTAGTGAAGTACATGTACACTGTACTGGGGATGACTCTGTAATTGAGACCATCTTTCCAATCAGAGATGTAGTATGGTAAGCGACCTTTGATATCGCGGTATATGCCGACACCGGGGGTTCCGAAGAAGTTGCCGATTTGTTTGAGCGTCATGGACAGCAGTTTAATGATGCAGGGCAGAGCTTGCCACGTTTTGTGCGTTTTTAAGAAGTTTTCGAATGAGCGGCTGAGGTCATCGACATTTTCATTAGAGGATATAGTCTAATACAGATAAGATTCCAGATAAGCAGTTGAAAGATGTCCCTGTGGGCAAGTCGGCCATTTTGAGGAGTATAAATGGTCATAAAGAGGCGCTAGCAGCTTCAGATTGTTATAATCACCTCATTTTTCATATTTATGGGTTGCAATTGCTCATACCGAACGTCTAAAGTCCTTTTTACCTCCCCCACGTGTTTTCTGTGGTGAGTTGTGGTTGGAGAATTAAATCGCAGCTTAATAGCGGGTAATTTTCTTGGCGGAAGAGACTACTCATACAGACACTACTGTTTGAGAGCAATATAGGGCATTTCTGAAGGGCCTCCATGATGGATCAGGTCTCTCTCCACTGAGCTCAAGACACGGCTCCACAGTCATTCGGGACCCTCTGTTCGTTACGTCGAAAGTACTTGGCGAAACAACATTCAAAAATTCACATCAAGGATATCAGAATCGTGTTCACAGCTCTGAAGCTTAGGCTCTTTATCAGTCATAAGTCTGGATATATAAGTCTGAAAAGAGAGAGAGAGAAAGAGAGCGGCATCCTCTGCATATACAGTACCATAGTACCCACACCATTCATGCATGTAGTCACACTACTCACACACGTCTCGTATCGTGCTTCAGCTGTGCTGTTGGACAGCTCTTATCGCGAGACGCCATGAGGCCATCACTAAATGTACCAGTACATTTGTCGGGCATTCGAACAATGCCGTTAGAACAGCGTACTATCGGCGCGATTGCCACTTGTAGCAGCTAGAGTACAGTTGGTGGCAAAAGTCAAATTGTGCTACTTGTGCTATTACAGTATGTACTTACTATACATGTCGACTCCACTGACTTGAGTTGCACCAAACATGAAGGAGCCAAAGGATTCAGACTAATAACGGAAACAGTTCGAAAAAATTGAATCACAAAATATCAAATCTAACAAAAAGCTGAGGCTTTTCTCTGTAAAATGGTATATTGAACGTTGATACCCTTGTTCCTGTTGCAGTGATAACTCTCAAATCTACCTCTGCCTTGAAGCCATCTTCAGGATCTAGGCTTACTAAGTCAACCTTAAAAATTAGTCCCAATCAGCGAAGTGCATTAAATACACGATAATGGAGACTCCATGATATGCGGGGAAAACTGGGACAGCTCGGAAAAGTGCGATTTCCGCCCAGAAACATTTCAGAGCTTCTGGGGTCCTATTTTATTGATCTTGTATCTTTTTTCCGTTATAAACCACTCCTTTTCACTCCTCAAACGCCTTTACCACCGCTCTCCACACTCACTGGGTTAGGGCTAAAAATTCACTAGCCAATCATATGCATCGCATTACTTCCCCCGGACAAAGGTATATTCACACATTTGGGAACAACTCCATTTACCATCACTAACCAACCAAAAAAAAATGATCCGAACTATTGCACAGCAGTCCTTCCGAGGTGAGTATCAGATGCGGAGATTGAGACGGATGTGGAGCAGATACGATACGCGAATCTAGAGGTCGAACTTCAAAACCCTCCTAATATGGATGCTCCTTTGATCGCGCGGAGCAGACGGGCGAAGGCCTGTGGCATTCTTGAAACAACTGGCAATACAGAGAGACAAGTTCGACTCAAAAAGACATCCCGGAGCTACGTGACGTCTTAGTTCTGTCTGGTACTCATAATCACGACAGGTACACGCCCCAGGTGACTACAACCAACCATAACGCGACAAACGAAACCCGCGACAGATAACATCACAATGATAAATATACCCCCATTCTTATATGTTACCTGTTGCAGAAGACTCATGTACACAATTGTCTTTACCGCGACGTCCGACCTCGCATTCTCTTAGATGGCTTATCTCCTGATGCACCTCCTGGAATAATACTAACCCAGTGGCTCGACCTTCTCTCCGACAGGGTCCTCTTGCCGCCTACCGATGCCTCCAGACCCAGACCACCACCCCTGCCGAGGCTCTGGACATCCTTAACAAGCAGCGAGCCCTTCGACCCACCTCCCCCCATCTCGACATCTACCAGCCCCAGCTGACCTGGTACCTTTCTGGTCTGCACCGAGTCACCGGTGTCGCTCTCGGTGGTGCTCTCTACGCTCTGCTGTGCGCTTACGCCGCTGGCCCTGCTCTTGGCATTCACATTGACTCTACCACCCTTGCCCACACTTTCGCCGCCGTCCCCCTGGTTGCCAAGCTCCCCCTGAAGGCTCTCGTTGCATTCCCCTTCACCTTCCACGCCTTCAACGGTGTCCGACATCTTGTGTGGGATTTCACCAAGGAGCTGACTGTCAAGGGTGTCTACCGAACCGGTTACACCGTTCTCGGCCTCTCTGTTCTGTCCGCTGCTGTTCTCGCTTTCATTTAAGGACATACATAGAAAAGTAATGGTGGATTGTTGTTATTAACGAGACAAGCTGTGCCTATAAGCAGAATTTACGAAGGTAGACGAATTGATGTTCAGACATCGAAGATCTGAAATATGCAGTTAGGGTGTTTTATTGAGTGAGTGTTGTTTAGTTCGCAGCCTGATATCGATCCGAGGACACTACCCACATCAAATACTGTAGCAGCACTGGTAGCCTAGACGTACAAGTAGCTACTTGTGCGTGTTTTATGTTAATTAGCCACCGGTAGAGGTAGCGATTACTTGTAATTGCATCATCGTCTCTCACTTCGTAGATTACGTCAAGATGCACTTATTTTCTTTTCCGAATGGTGCCTGACGCTACTTGTACTAATATCGCTATAAACTCCATTATGAGTTTATGTGGAAGTACTGTAGCTACTGTAATCACTGTGTTCAAGGTAGAGAGGACCAGTAACGGTTACTACAACTGAAAGAACTCGCTCGGTTATTCTTTGAGAAGAATCAGGAAGATGTACGCACGAAGTCAAATGTCTGACAATTGTCCAATCCTTTCAAACGTCGGGTTTGTGTAATTTGCGACCCCTATTGTCAAAAACAGCAAGGCATTTCATAGACACTGGCTTTGAGATGAGGTGGAATCATTGCTGTATACTTACTGTGCTTGTGTGTTCGTGTGAGATAGCGAGTGCGGGACCCACACAATGTACGATAAACTGCAAGTTTACTCGTACTTGAATATGTGTCTCCAGTAACCGCTCCAGTCCAGATTTTCGAGTTTTCGGTAATCCGCCTTGATGTGCTTCACAGTTGCTTGCAGGCCTACAAGTATAAGTATGAGTACCGGTACAAGTAGCCTATTGCAAGACATTATTTCGCTACGATCGTTACACATATCGCAAACACATTCCTTTTTACGGCTCCATCAAATGGATATCGATCATCGTTCCCATCTAAACGTGGCGTGATTAGTGACCATGTGGTCAATGCTTTTTTTCACTCCACAGCAAACTTCAAAAGGTTAGTGTGTACTGCATCGTATCCGCGACAAGTAGACTTCTGGGAGTACGTACTGTAATTACTGTATTTACTGTAGCTAATCGAGAGCGCAGACACGAGGCTGGCAAAGGTGTATTTATTTGGCTACTGTGAGTAGGCAGCAGGGTTTGCGAGGTGTGGTGACTGAGGCTGTGTGAGTTGGGGGTTCCGATGACCTTGCGCAGTTTCTATATTTTGACCTCCGAACATGCTGTCACAAGGGCATCGAGCTCACAAGACTGCTCACAAGAGCGTATTACTGTAGATGGGGTTGAGGGTGTAAGCGTGAGCACAGTCAAGATGAGGCACAGTAACAAGATATATTTGGTGTATCAATAATAACCTGGTCCAATCAAGAACAGAACGGCGGGGAAACGCACAACCACCAGTTCATGACTTACCTTGTCTCAGGGGACCATCTTATGTTCCCGTTCTACAATGTGGTACTTGGATGGTGCGCTGAAACGCTCACTGTTACAGGACTGTCTCGGTTCTTACCATTAGACCTCGCTAAGCTATAACCAATTTGCCTTTACGAAATGCCTCATGGACTCCAATTACTGTAATAGTGGCCGACAGAGCGGTAATAAGGGTGGGCTACGCGCCTTTTATTCTCCTTGGTATCACCCACATTCCAGGCCACCAACTAAAAACCTGCAACCTGTCGGTTGCGGTTTTGCACATCCCTGTCATAGCAAGTTAGTCTATTTTTTGTCCACTTCTGTTCCTGTATGTTGTTGAGCATGTTATGTCCGTGTAGCGGGATAGCTAATAGGTGCGCGCGATTAAAGTCAGTCATGTTATTCAACCGAGTTCCCGGCAGCAGTAGGTGTGTAGCCAGCTACTTATTTTACGTGTGCACGATCCAGCCACGTCCGAAATACTCAGTACTATGGTCTCAAATCCCTCCAGTACACAAAACCGTTGTCCGAGTTGCATTTCCCCTTTCAAACAAAGCCCCCAAGCAAGGGTGTTGGGGTCTATGTCTGCAATGTGGTCACGTGGTCCATAAACAAACGAAACAACCCGCTGGCCGGTCTGGGAGAGCAGCCAGAGACTGCTGTATGGACCGACCGTACACATACAACCACCCACGGTGGAGTTGCACGGCGCTAACAGCTTTAACTACCAGTAGACTCCGTTGTCGGGAATGTACCCTGTATTTTATGTTTCTGGCTCACCTTCGAATGTGTGGTTGAGTGTATTTTTAGCACAAGTCATGAGAGATGCATTTGACATGTGCAGAGGTGTGTGTGACAGAACAATGGAACTGGGAGCGTCCAGGGGCTGAGCATGTAATTATAGAGAAAGGGGCTCGTTATGGCTAACGGAGGAGCTTGTGGCCGAGGAAGGGCTGGGGTCACGTGACTCTCCCTCCGGCCCCCCTTCCTAATTAGCGCTTCGTTCTTGCTCTCTTTCCCGTATTAGCTACTTTGGGTCTTCCTCAATTGTCAACCAGATAACCTACAGACAATCAAACTCGGGGCACACTACTTGGCTCTGCAGCACTACACACACCTTCTCTCCATCATCAGAGTAAAAAGAGCGTTGCTCCCAACGCAATCTTCCAACCACCCTCCACCACGATCCGAGAGCAATGTCGGCTCTGTCTGCGTCCCTAGCTGCCGCAGCGGCGGCCGCACGGGCCAGTGAGACGTCCAGAGAGTCCAACAATGTTGCTGTAACCAAAGCCAGACCACCGCAACATACACTGGTCAAGCCAGCTCCAGCCAAACCACCGCGACCGGTCGCCCGACGACCAAAACAACCCGTTAAGATCACAGTCGATACGTCGGTCGCTAACACCCCTGCGCCGCAAGGCTCCTCAGCCACCTCTGCGGCTGCTGCGGCTGCCCGACACTTCAAGAAGCAGAAAGATGAACAGTCGTCTCCAAAGCTCTCACCGCATCACCGACCCCCTGCCAGCCATAGAAACAGCGGCGAGTCCGCCAAGACGCCGAGCTCAGACTCCCGACCGGCCAGCACAACTTCTACGATCCCAGTCACACCGGTTTCCGCTACAACGCCATCGTCAACTGTAGCAGCCGCAGCATCCGCAGCAGCTAAGCGATCGTCCACTTTCAACAAGAGCGTACCGACGCCCGTCGTGTCGGATATCATGAAGAAGGAACAGGAGGAAAACCGAGCGGCGGCGGCGGCGGCGGCGGCCCAGGAGAAGGCCACACAAATTATTCGTGATCTTCCGTCTCCGTCCAACTCCGTGCGGTCCAAGCGACTGTCACAGTCGTCACTCGTGCCAGTACTCTCCGACGAAGACATTTACAACCATAGGCGCTACGCCCGCTCGTCTCAGAGTTTTGCCACGATCCCCACCGACGAAGACTCGCCAGGCGAAATGGGCGACTTCGAAGATAACAACCAAGTGCATCGAGAACGGGCTCGAGGAATCCAGAGCGCCGCCAAACACGCAAATCGACTGTCCCAGACGTCCATGGACAGCACTCACACATCTCAGCAGCTGCAGCCGGTCGTGTCGCCGCACACAGGCCTCCCTCAGGAAGGGTCTGTGCTGGCAGCAGCTCTCAAGGCTGGCTCCAACGCCTCCAGCACAATGGAGCGCATTTCGCTGACCAATGAAGCCAAGGAGAGAGAGAAGGCCGAGAAGCGGCAACGCAAGGACGCAAAGGCTAAAGCTAAGCTTCTGGCCCAGGCAAACGCTGTGTATCAACAAAGCACCAACGAGAGTCACCATGCCCACCATCATCAATACCACCAGGGCAACATCTTCAAGCGGGTGATAGGCAAGTCTGGTAAGCCCATCGACCCATTCCAGGGCTTCTCGCCCAACTTCAGTGAACGACCTGGGGAGCATTTCCACAATCACCAGAGGGAGATGCAAGGAGCCCCAGACGGAATTAGACGGTCAATGGATACTTCGCGGCAGTCCATTGACGCTCCACGGCAGTCACTCGACGCTGCTCGACAATCCATCGACACTCCACGTGAGCTGACTACTAATGATACCTCGCCTATTCCCATCCAGCCATTGAAGTCGCATGACGCAGGGGCTGTTTCTGATCTGCCTACGTCCCTAGATGAACCTGGACTCTCGGGTCATCCGCATCTCCAGCAGTCGTTCAGCAATAATAACGCCTTGCAGACGGTCAAGTCGTCGACAGATGACTCTATGTCTATCGCTAGTTTGGACTCTGTTGATGACAGTGGACCCGGCCGGCCTCCTCTGCTAGCGCCCATACCCATTAGAAATGCATCCATCATTCCGGTGAGCTCCGAGTCCGAGTCTGAAGACATCCGACGAGGCCACCGACGTCATCTGAGCTCGTCTCAGTCACAGCGAAACTCTCTGCAGTTTCCCATGTCTCCCACATTTTCTGCATCTCCTGCCAAGCAGCTGATTACCCCCGAACAGTTGTTGCCGAAGCGACGACGAGGTATTGCACGAACACCTTCAGTGTCGTCTTCAGCGCCTCGGTCGTCGTCGCCAGTGATCTCTATTCCCTTGGAGCGAAGTAGTACTCTGCAATCCACTCTGCAGGGGTCTCCTATGAACTCTCCCGTTGCGAAGTCACCTGTTTTTTTTGAGGGTAACAATGGAAGCACGAACGGTGGTCTGGGAAGTTCGATGAGCAATAGTCCACCTGATAGTGAGCTTGCATTGACTCCCTCTGAGTCCACTGCTCACTCGTACTTTGCTAGAGAGTACCGAGAGCCCAAGTCGTCATCTACTCGAGGTGTTGAGGGTGCCTCTCGTCTTGCCAAGAAGCTGCCTCATCGCCACCTCGCTGCTGGAGGTAAGAGCATTGTCAAGAGCATTTGGAACAAGGCTACCCCAGATGCTCCACCGCCTCCTCCTGTTTCTACAGGTGGTATGAAGACATCGTTGCGTAAGCAGCCCAAGAAGAAGTTCAATGAGGACAAGCCTTGGAAGCACCATAACGATGCAGACACCCTGACTGATGCCGATCGAAAGCGATACGACGGTGTTTGGGCTACCAACCGAGGGGCCCATGTTCCTTACTACATGGAGCCGGAGGAGTATGACATTTTGATTGACGAAGAAGAGTTTTACGATGAGGGCTTCCTGTCCGATTCAGACTTCACTGACAGCGACAGCGACGACGACTCGGTATCTTCTGCTGAGTACATCATGTCTGGAGAGAACATTGGTAATGATGACGTCGTTGTGAGTGACCAGAACGACGCTGTGCATGGATACATTGTGTCTCGTCTGTGGCGACGATCCCGACTCCCTGATGAACGTCTTTCTGATATTTGGGAGCTAGTGGATCGATGCAACGACGGTACACTGGATAGAGAAGGCTTTCTTGTGGGCATGTGGCTTGTAGACCAGTGTTTGTATGGTCGAAAACTACCCAACAAGGTCGACCCACGAGTGTGGGGTTCTGTTGGCCGTCTCAACGTCAACATCAAGATTCGGCAGAAGGAACCCAAGCGGAACTCTGCGAAGCGGAAGGCTCGAAGAAAGGTCCGACGCGATAGAAAGGAGCTTGTTCGGGAGCGTGAGCGAAACGAAAAGGAGCGCAGGAAGGACGAAAAGAAGGAAAAGAAGGATGAAAAGAAGGACAAGAAGGACGATAGGAGAAGAGACAAGAAGAGGGTGGGAGAGGCGTAACCATGAGACGATGACAGGGTGAAACCCGAGGAGGATCAGGAGGAGTAATTATTATTATAGATATATGCATTTAATACTCACGGTAATGACTGACTGCAAACTCTAGGAATCACTATTTTTACCTACGTGCGTCCTTTGTCGGAATCGATATCGACAAAGGCGTTATCACAACTATAGCTTGGTGGACAATCCCTTTCCGAGTTTCCAGTAGATGATGATGAAAGCAATTGCAAAAACAACACCGGCACAACAGATACCCACAAATGGCCAGATGAGGTATGGATCCTTAAGAGCAGGTGTGATACCTGTCTGGATTGCTGTACTGAGTGCAGACATGAACAGCAGCAGAGCAAGGACGATGGATCTCAACTTGTAGGGAGCCAGATGGTAGGCCAGCTCATAAGAAGTAGTTACTGCAAAAATTTCAGACAGTGCTGTACAGAAGTAGGGGAACACCTGCCACCAGATTGTAATTGGGGCTACACCTTCCTCGCAATTGGTCGCGTAGTATCCACAAGGAGATGTCTCGTATATCTGCCACTGCAGGATAGCTCCAATCATTGGAGAAAAAGCCGCGAGCATGAATCCCAGGAAGATACGGAAGGAAGCTCTGAAGTTGATTCTCATCTTTCGAAGCAGCGGATACAATCCATAGTTGATGATAGGCACAAACACAATGATAGTTAACGGGTTGAAGTTGTTAATGAGATCATTGGGCACTCCGTTGGTGATCATGGAAGCACCCTGGGAGTTCGAAAGGGCACCAATACCGTTGTCGTTAATAAAGTAGACGGGGTAGAAGAGAAAGAACATAGTGGCTTTAAGAGTGGACCAGACATCGTGCACAAACTTGGGAGGATAGGTGGACTTCTTGCGGAAAATGTACTGGTAAATGACACCACAGAAGCCAGCAATGATGGAGTTTTTAGAGGACGGGACCTTGTACACCATGTTTCGGATGATGTAGAGAAGAGCAGGTAGGAAGAAGTAGAGGATAGTAGGTACGAGAAAGGCGAGCCAGTAACCAATTCGTTTCTCAGCATAAGCAGTGCCCAGACCGAGGAAACCACCGACATTGACAGCCCAGTAGTAAACCAGGGTCATTCTCTGCAGAGTGGTCTCCTTGTTTATCACCACTTGTTCCCCAGATGGAAGTGTCTTGACCCAATCATCGTCTTCTCGATACTGTTCCATCACTAACGGAAGCAAGTTGGGCTTGAACAGACCGGTTCCAAACGCGAAGATAATCAGACCCGCAATGAATAGACCCAGAGAAGCCTTTTGGGCTTCAATCACTCCAGGAACACCAGCAATAACGATAATAACGTGTCCAATTCCACAAACAATAGTTCCTGCCCAAATAGTGGGGTATCGTCCGTATCTGGCATCCGCAAGATAAGCACCAAGAAGAGGTGTCAGGTAGGAAAGGAAATTGAGAACAAGAGTAATAGCCGTGGCTACTTGAAGACCCTGGTTGAGAGCTCCAGCTGTAAGCTGAGAGTCCTTCGGGGTAGCTCCCCAGCCATTGCCCCCCTTTGGAAGAGGAAACTGAACAAAGTTGGAGATGACGTTTGTAAGACCGTAGTAAGAGCCTCGTTCGGCAAACTCCACAAGTGCCAAAACGTAGGTAATCTTTGGAACTGGTCCAGAGACTCTTCGGAGTGCGATATCTCCATCCTCAACCTTTCTCAACCCATTAGGATTCCACTCGTCGGTGTAGTTGGCCCAAGTGTGAGAGTAATGCTCGTGCTCCATATAGATCTCCTCATACTCGTAGTCGATTCCATCCTTCTCATTATTGGGGTCAACGCTTCCCTCTCGGACTGACTCGTCATTGACAGAGGTGGTCGTAGCTAGTGTGTCCTTGAGAGCGTCCTTGAGAGTCCCATTTTCGGGAAACTCCGGAGTGGGGTCCAGACTGTAGTCAATATGGGAGTCGTACTCAACCTGAGGATTGTACTCAACTTGCTCAACCTCAGAAAGGTACTCCCCCTGTGAAGGGTACATGGTAGCTTTGAAGTTGTCGTCCTTGTCGTCGTAGGTCATTGCGAGATGATGGCCCCGGGATTTTCTCTGGCAATTTCTTATATATATACTGTAGATACATTGGATGACACTACTTGTATTTCAGAGCCGTGGAGTGGGGATCTCATAATTGTACTAGACACTGGGGTAAACACACTAGTCTATCGTTTCGGGTCCCCAGATAAGTGGGGAACATTCCATCGATAGCCTGAGAGGTTTGAGTGTATGCATGCCGTTTCGAGCCGAGATATGCCAAAGATCAGCTTCTCTTAATGGCTTTCCACCGTTTCTTGGTACACTGCACAAAATACCGTTAATTAGACCGTTGGCATGGCAGGAGCGACCAAGTACATGCCTGCGCACGTTAGTGAGTGTACTGTAAGTACAGTAGCTACAAGACTCTAACTTGGAAGGCCCGTAGCTGAAAATTTGAGTGGTTAGTATGTTAATTATCCGAGGCGTATCCGAGGCTCTTCTCATCGAGCATTTCCACTACTTGTAGACCCTGTGTAAGGTGCATTTATGAACGGCTCACACCCCACAACTAGCAGGGAAAAACTTCTGGAGTTGGACCTATTGGGGTAGTCAATAACCGGGCTCCCGCTTAAAAAGGATTGTGGGGTACAAGTATCCAATAAGTGCTTGCCGTGTACTTGTAGATTGAAGGAGGAGAGTCGAGTTGGATAGGAAAGGGTCAGCTCGAATATCTTCACCAGATTTACCACGTACAACTTGTACTTGTACTTGTACGAGTAGTGACGCTTGCGAGAGGGAAAACGATCGAAACTCGAGGATGGACCAAATGGCCATGGAAGAATATGTGTGGATGCAAAATTTTCCTGCTAAGATATCCATAGACTCACTTCGAACAACCCCGCTCTATACCAGTCCGAACTTTCGCTATATGAGTTTACTGACCATCAGCATGCATACAGGGCGCGCTCAGCCGAAACCACGCAGTATAGCTAGCTACGAGTACAAATACAGTAAGCACCTTCTATGGGACTTGAATAATAAAAACACTAAGTAGGGACAAGGGTCAAAATGCATTGAAAATTTTCAGCAATGAATGTTACTTCCTCTCAGAAGTTCCTACAAGTACTACAAATACAACATCTCCAAGAGCAGTTCTCTCTGTTTCTGGGTCATGTTGAACTCTAATAACCAACCACCTAAATGCTGCAGAGTTCCATCATCGCCCACCATCGTCAACCACACACACTAATTACAGGTAATGATCCACTCGGTACTGATCTTCAACAATTCGGGCTTGCCACGATTGACTAAATTCTACGCTCCCGTGGACCTGGCAACACAACAAACGCTTCTCAAGCAGGTGCATTCTCTGCTGGTGGCAAGAAAACCAGACGCATGTCTGTTCCTCACCCCTCCTCCTCTTCTCCAGGGCCAGGAGGATGTTGACACCATCCGTGTCATATACAAGCACTACGCCACGTTATACTTTGTGTTTGTAGTCGACGAGCAGGAATCCGAACTCGGCATCTTGGATCTGATCCAGGTCATGGTGGAGTGCCTGGACCGGTGCTTCGAGAACGTCTGTGAGCTGGATCTGGTATTCGGGTGGCAAACACTTGAAACCGTGCTGGGAGAAATCATTCAGGGAGGCATGGTCGTGGAGACTTCAGTGACCAAGATCGTCGCTGCTGTCGACGAGGCTAACAGAGGTAACGGTAGTGCGGAAATGAAGGAGGGAGGTGCGAGCGGAGGATTCGCCAACGCTCTCAGTGGAGCCACAAACGCCATCAGTCAAATGGCCAAGGAGGGACGATGGTCCTACCGATAATTGTATATGGCTGTGACTATGAAAAAAATGTTGGATGCCTGAGGACTACAAGTAGTGGATGTCTGATGTGAGGAAGCATAGAGAACGGTGTCACGTACATGAAGTACTGCACACATGTAAAATGAATGAATGTATTATTGACAGTTGGAATGTGACGGTTCGTATCAAGCCACTTGTCCACTGGCTATTAGTGTCACAAGGGCGTACAGACCTGCTCACCGTCATATCCCAAAACCACCATAATACTCGAACTGTTACAAGCCCCACAAGTGATGCAGAATCATGTTCCTCTTTTACCAGTATATATTCCTCTTTATCTTCAGCACCACGCACCATGTTTGTGTTATATGAGATATACTGTGGCTAGACACTCACCAAGATCGGGTAATTACACCAGAAGTAGGAGCTACTACTTGTAGTACATGTAGCGATAGTACAAGTACAACAGATATTACCAATGCGTCATACCCAGGGTCCAGACACGACCGAAGAGCCTGTAAGTTCACAGTGCCAGTAGCGCCAACCTTCAGCCCTCATTATTACGGTAATGAGTTCGAAGAGCAATAAGAGCGACCATGAGCCAGAACCTTTGAGCCAGCCCGCCAGTATGTACTCGACATATATATTCATGAGCAAAGAGTCCTTTTTCAGTGCCAAATCGAGCCCAACAACATCTACTGTAGATTCAAAAGAGCATACAAGCACTTTTACGAGACCGATCTCCAAATTATGGTGAAACAATGAGGTCTAAAGCTTTCAATGGACCAGTTTCAAAGAGTAAACCAGTCTACAAGTACCTACAAGCATAAGTTTTTTAGATCAAAACATTACATCTGGTAGTGTGGCGACACGTAGATGTGCTCAATCCCTTCGAAAGCTGAACATTGGTTGACATAGCGAGCTCGTAAACATAATTAAGCAAAGGGTTGTCCGTTTTCTACAAGCTATCTACAAGAACAAGTGGCTGGTACTCGTACTCGCAGAAGTACGGTACCGGTACTACTGTGTAGGACGCGTTTGTAATAACAACAAAGTACGAGTACGAGTATATACTTGTACAAGCATATAATATTTGTAGCTTAACTATCAACCTATGGATCAGACCAGAATCGAGCTTTTTAGTCCGGAACCAGCGCATGCTTAGTGCATTTTATATATCGGCTTGGATTGCTGGAGAGCTGTCATATCCACGATTAACTCATGATGCCTATGGGCTGATTTCAGGTCGTAAAAATACCTTTGCTGATCCAGGATAGAAATTGGAGTTGGAGATCTACATCACCAATGGACTGCAAGTGGAAGATCAATCCCGATAGGAAAGAAAGGATCTACAGCCATAAACATTGTCTTCATTGTTGTACAGCCGAAACACGTTAATAAATCCCATTGTCTGGTTATCCTCTGGCGGCTAGAAATTATTATACTACTGGTACTGTATGTACTGAGATGTTGTATTGGCGTGACTTCTTTAGTTCCTTTTGGATGATAAATTAGTCGCCCAGATTCACTCCTTAAATACTGTAGTTGAGGAAACCCCGTGTACAGCTGCAGGCGCAGTCGTTACTTCTTCCCATTTAATCTGGCTCAATCTGTCTGTAATCTTCTCGCTTGATCTAGATGCGATCCATGGCTCTACTGGTCCACATTCCACCGTGATGATGGCTGCCTGTTCTTCATTCCGCGTGCTGGAATCAATGGAGATCACGACGATCGGACACGCGTTTTAAACGCAGATGAAATCGGTGTTGTGTGAGATTCCGGTTCCGGAATCAGAGGAACAATTGGTGCGAAAGTGTGCCGTAGATCGTGCGGTTACAAGTACCCGTGGTTCCATGTGCTCTGACATCCAACCCCGCCGCACTAACACAAAGACAGCAGGAATGTACCGACCTGCTGTTGACAGGGAATTAGGAAGACGAGCTGCATTTCGGTGTATCGTACTCGTACATATCGCATGCAACGCGTTCTTGTCCAAAAAGAGCTTGAAAATGGTGCAATTAGGCAAATAGACAAATAGCCCCAGTATGTGCGTGTGTGTGTGGTTGCCACGATATTTCGGGGAGCATTGTTACTGTACGAGTAGCGTCCATCCTGGGCGGAATGTGCAGTAAAACATACCCGGTTTTTTTTTTTTTTTTTTTTTTTTTTTTTTTTTTTTGACACGAAGGGCAACTACTCGTAAAGAAGCGATTCTGACGGGTGACGTGGAGAATGTCCCATGTGTGTCTCCTCTGAGGTGTCACGTGTCACGAGAGGAGAGTCATTATTATGTCATCAAAGTGTAACAGGGGGTGGAACCGCGGACTCGGGTGGCCTATAATTACAGGAAATTAAAATCATGGGAAAAGGGTCTCGTCAGAGTTCTGTCACCCATGTGAATTGCTGTGGGAGAGTTGGCGACACAACATTAAGCTCTCCTAAATCCTGACAGTTGGGCTTTGCACCTACATCTGTTGGACCAGTTTGACGAAGGCTATTTCCCTCAGAAGCTCAATACAGCATCCTCTGAGTGTTTTTGACAAGGTGCGGTACACACGCAACACAAGGAATGACAGCCATCGATACGACCCTCTGACAGAACGGAGACGGACAAACAGAGTGCAGCGTTCTCAAAAATAGACGTCCCAAACGGGTTCCTGGCTGCTCCAAACAGGCCTTAGTATCCCACCCTTGCTCGTTTCGCATGGAATGGACGAAAAATATTCTTTGCAACAAATGTGTCTCATGTCTGTCTCAGATATGCAGTGGCTGTAGAGGGCCGGTCATAGCTTCCACTGTATAGTTGGCGCAAGTGGCCCTACCCACATGGTGCAGGGTAAATAATCGGGGTTGTATGGTGTGACTATGGGGTGGCCGTCTTGTTGTGATTTATTATCCTTTGTTGCTGTCAAGACTGCTCTAACTCGCTTGGCAAGCTTACACTCTTCAAGCGACCATACCCCAGAGTGGCTCATGCAGGCAATGCAAATCTCGTTTGCAGCGTACCCCAGTACCAGTCTAAACACAGTGCGGCCCAAGAAGCCTACTGCAAATACAAGTTAGCAGCAGCGAAATAAGCTTTGGGCTTGTCTGTAACAAGCAAAACCACTTAGGTTTATAGATTAGGTCGCCTCCCAGCCCACATTTGGAACTCCACTTCTTTTTTTATTCTCGACTCTTTCTACACCGCGCCCAGGTTTTTTCGCTGCTTCCTCCTAACTGCGCCCTACCCCCACAATTACCAAACTGCTTCCCACGACCCATAGTCCAAACACCACCAGATACGCCGATCGCGACGATCCTAAACAATTGGTAGTATCATTGTCGTAAACAGGAGACCGACTGGAGATACCTACGCGACTTGACAACCGCCGGAACACATTTGCACACACATTCGCTCCATACCTGCTCCTACGCTCACTCGCTCAACACACTAGCGCTGTAACCCAACAAAGACAAGATAATCCGATGAACCTCTTTTCGTGTTTTCAGAATAGAAAAACGCAAACGGGGTCCACAACCCCGACCGCGACAGCAGCAAGAAACACACCGAAGGAAAACACCTCGTCGGCAGGCTCAGATGAGAAACACACACTCGAAACCATTGCAGAGGGTCCGGAAACAACTTCTCCTTACAAGGCTAGCGCCAGCCGGGGCGACCAGGTGCCAGGAACTCCAAAAAGTGAACTAGGAGGCTACTCCTTCACTCCCCCAGCGCTCAAGGTACCCCCACCAGTGGCTGGACACAAGCATATCTCGTCTCCGAACGAAACAGGCTCTCCATACCTGCCGACTTCTCCATCCTTTAAGACTTCGCCTAGAATCGACGTGGATCTGGAAAGCCGAATGTCCACCTTCAACCCTTACTCCTTGTCACCCCCCTCATCAGCTGACAATAACCTCAAGACCGCCCCTTCTTTGGATAACCAGAGCCTCGCCTCTGGTCTTGGGCTGGGCATCCCCAATCTAAACCCTTCTCCCCCTGTTACCCCCGTCAAAGCTCACCCTCTGAGTAACGAGGTGAAGATGGACATGGATAACGGATCTTCGCCTCCCGTACCTGAGAAGGACCACCCCCGCACTCTGCGACCGAAGTCACTCCATGGAAGCCAGTCCGCCAGTAACAACACTCGACAAGCATCTCCTCCCAAAATGGAGCCCATTCCCCGACCCCGACAGATCGTGGACTCGCCGTCGTTCACGTCGTCATACTCGCCCACAATGGCCCCCCGAATCTCTATGAGCTTTGCTCGACAGTCGCGTCTAATTCCTCTGGACGTGCTCAAAAACTTCTCGTCCGACGACTTCTTGGGCGATTTCCTCAAGGACACTTCGTTCCGAGAGTCCATGGACGCGTCCATGCTGTCCTCTGGAGTGCCTGGCATCACTGACAGAGCCACCAACAGACAGACCTTTGCATCCTCCCACTACTCGGAATACTATGAGGACAACCCCGACCTGCAGTTGGAGCTGTCTCGAATGAGATCCATGTCTCGACAGGCCTCTCTCCACCACAAGGACAGCCGGTCAAACCGAACGTCGCAATACACCACATACAACCCCAACAATGAGTACGAAGCTTATGACCACGACAAACTAGCCCGTGAACTCGCTAGAGAGATTGAGGGCGCCAGCCGGGAGTCTTGTGATCCCGGAAAGCCCAACGTCAACAGACTGTCCACTGTCGCTGCTTCTGAAAACTCTGGGGGAGTTTCTGTGCCTCCATCTGATTTTGGTTCTCCACGAAGCGAGATTCACCGAGAGCGAACTAACAACAACAACAACAACAACAACAACAACAACAACATCACCCAAAACAACCACCTCACGACCAGCCATAGCAACAACGGTGCTGATGGCTCTAACTTTACCCACGACTCCATCTCGACATCCAACTCCATGAACACCATGTCCAACATGACCAGTACCACGGCTAACACGACAATCAATAGCATTGGTGAGACTCGAGATTCCAAGAGTGACGTGAAGACAGTCCCCGGCATCCCTCCCCACGCCAAGACTTCGGCATCTGCAACTACCACAGCCCCTACCATGCCTCCTTCTCCCCCCGTGTCAATGCGGGAGTCCATCAAGGACCTCCCCAATTACACCGTCACCCACTCCTACCGACCAATTCTCGAGGACGAGATTGAGGTTCGACGAGGTGACACTGTCAAAATCTGCCAGGAGTTTGATGATGGCTGGTGTCTGGTAACCATTGTAAAGATGCGATCTGACGACCCCGAAAACCGACGATCTATCGGATCCACCATGGGATACAAGGAAGGTGTTTGCCCTCGAGCATGTCTTGCGCTTGAGGTGTAGCAATCAGCTCAACGGTTCACCAGGTTCCGGCCTTCCATCACTTCTCAGCTTTTGTTTCAGAGCAGTATGGCTGCCATCCACCACAACTGAATAATGTCTTCTTCCCAGACCGAGCGGCTACGTGACACTTATATGTCCTCCAGCAACACTCATACAGTATTATTTATTTATATAACACAAATTAATTCTTGTCAGTTATTCTATGGTCTACGGTGTGGGGTAGGATTGGTCTCCTCTGAAGCAACAAAGTCAGAACCAGTACACCCACAGTATTAGCGTCGTATTAGTGTCTTACGTTAAGGTCCGGCACGTATTTAGAACTAGAATTGGACTACAAGGATGAGGGACTTGTGGCTTCTATGACATGTGGCTTCTAATACCTCGAGATTTCAACCTCAGGTTGGTGCAGAGAAGCTGACTCGGGAGCCAGCTGGCTATACATGAGTAAAGCAGGTAACACTTATCGCAGCATTAGCTAAACTATTACCTGTGAGCTGCACAGTGATGTCAGAGATGGCCTCTCCTTTGCTACTTGTAGTGGCCATCCGTATCGCACCAGTGCACAAGTAAAAGAGGCCGTTTTCCCTAGAATTTGCTCAAGCCTTGTTTTCGGAGTTCGTGAACACATGGGGAAAAGAAGCAACCAACCTTGAAAAAAATGTCAGAAGCTACACGGCAACCATCAATGGACGAAAAAGGAACAGCAGTAGATCAGAACTCGTCTCGCCTGTACACTAATGTCTCAATAACTATGGTTTATTTAAATCATAAATTTCTATTATATTCTCGTAAACCCACTTAAATCACTCAACACTGTATCGTTCATGGTCAAGCTTAACTCCGACGAGGTTAACTTATATCCACCCGTAGGAATGCGGCGAGCCCTTCTCAATGGGCTTCTTAGCTGGGTTCTTTAATCGCCTTGTCCTCGATCACCACAGCAGTCTCGTTTAAACGAAGGCATGTTGCAAGATGAAACGTCATATCGCCATCAATGGAGACTCAGATCTTGATGCAGACGACGAGAAGGAGGCTGATCCGCTAGACATCTCTGACTTCTTGGACCCCTCGGATTTGGAGCCGGAACCCATTCCCATGGATTTATCCGAAGCAATTCACCACGAAGACTTGCAGCGCTTCCAAGACTGGGAAGAGCAGGTTGATGAGGAGGAGTACGACGACACCTACAACGAGATCATAATTGAAGACGGGTGTGTGATATGGAAGGTATGGAAGGAGGATGCTGGAGCTGAAGATGAACCCCTTACTTCGGCCACGTTCAGAGCAAACGAAAAGGCATCCGAATACGAAAAGCAGCAGCATGAACGGACGGAGAAGTTTGAGAATTTGTGCCATTGACTTAGCTAATACTAGCGATGGTGGAGGCAATAGCAAAATTGAGAAAACTGAGAGAACAATGGTGGTTTAAACGGATACAAGACGCATGGAAATTAAAGGGGTGAATATGAGTCTTACGGAACATGCTCAAGTATGTTAAGAGTGGTGCCTAGGCCCTGTCTCTGGGGACTTGTCTTGATGAGTCACTCAACACCAATGACAGGGATATAGCTGATGAGTTATAATATACAAGATGGTATAGTAAAACTTTATCTGTGATACTGCGTTACTGTTCTACAAAACCCCCGCAAATCGTACTTAGCAAGCATCAACATCGATGTGCTCAGCTCAAGATTGACATAGTTGCCGCCCCTGAAATAAGAACCATCTCAAATGAGAATAACTACCTCAAAGAAAAAACTGTTATCTAGGTCTTAGTTTTTATTATTCTGATAAGCTAATTTTTTTATTCTAATGATTCATTACAGCTATATTCCTACAAGTAGTAAGCCGGGTTATTGGCGTTCAATAAATCATACACTTCTGAATCTTTGCGATGTGCGCTGCGAGGCGCTGTCGGTTGGTTTGTCGACGCTTCGTCTAGTTGATGTCATTGTCGTGGTCTCGTGGTAGTGAATCATGGCTAACAGATCAAGAAATAATATCAATCGTTTCATGTCCTATCCAGACTCGAGGTTGGTTTAGTTTGTTCTCATAAACTTCGATGACTAATCCTAGAACACCTTATGAATCGATTTGATATTTTTCAAAAAAACCTTCCGATATAGTGTAGGGGCTATCACATCACGCTCTCATCTTTGAGGACCGTGGAGACCGGGGTTCGATTCCCCGTATCGGAGTACTGGTTACGGCCATATCCTGGTGAAAATACGGCTTCCCGTCCGATCAGCCATAGTCAAGCACCAGAGAGCCTAGTTAGTATTGTAGTGGGAGACCATACGAGAATCCTGGGTGCTGTAATCATTTTTTGCTCTTATAGAGGTATTGGTCATCCTCTTTTTTAACACCACTCACTACCTGTACAATATGCACCTGTAGTTACTCGTACTTGAACAAGGACATTATTCTCTTTGCATACGGAATCTCGACCCATTTCGGAATTTTCTTGCTTACTGTAGGTACATACTCCACGTAACTTCAGATTTAGTCCATGCTTAGTTGAGACAAACTTCCAAGGTGGCATCAGCGGGAGACAGCCGACGAAGTTAACATGCACACCCGAATGCCGTCTGTCAACTCTCAGACCTTTGCGGTTCCTGAGGGCTCTGAATCGGAAGACCACTCCGAGTCGGGGTCTTCTTACGCCGGATCGTCGCTCAACGAAACGGCTCTTGATGTGGTGGTTGAACAATTCACAGCTCAGTTCAATCCTGCCAGATTGGACAGAAGTATGGCTCAGCAGAGTCAACTGAGTGGACAGATGAATGCGAAACAGCGAGAAGTCGACGAAGCCATCACCAAAGTGACTCAGCGGCTGGAGGAGATGAAAAGAGTGGTTGCAGATGGACAGAAGAATGTCAAGCAGGTGAATGCGCTTTTGGAGAAGTGCGCCAAAAAGACTGACAAGCTACAGGCAGAGACCAAGTCGCAGTTCCCGATTGAATACGCCCAAGCAGGGGAGAAGTACTCTGATCACTGAAGCCGGGTACCACTTGATTGCTCTGATTTGCCTTCCATGGTGATATAATGTCCCCCTACGAATGATTCATGACTACTAGGCCAAAGGACCACCCACCATACCTTTGATGGAATACATCAGCAGCTGCGCTATATACTTATTTATTACATAATTTCTTTGAGGACAAGCGTAAACTACTATTCGTACGATCTTCGTACCCGTACTTACACCATTCCTGGCACACGAACACGCAGACGCTCAATTGACACTGTCTGTGTCAATGTAACTGCTTGTTCTTATACTTGTACAAGTATCGTAGCTACTTGCAGTTAGTACTTACTGCATAGACGACGTCACGGTCACACTTCCTCCTCTCCCCCCAACTACGCAATCTTTAGCTCAGACAATAAATACATTCCAACATTACGTGTAGCTCTACTCTCCGACTCTCCAGACCTCCACTGCCACCACATCGAACTTCTCGTCTCCCAGAGGCTCGTTTCCAAAGGTGGCACAAGGGTAGGTGACACCTGTCTTGAGGGCGTCATCCAGCCACAGGCCGTACTTGCCATCTCCTCCACCCAAAGACAAGAAGTGAGGGTTGCAGTAGACCACAAAGTTGTTCTCACCAGTATAGGGGAAAGCCTGGAACGAGTCTGCATTCTTTACCTTCCAAAGGAAGCAGTCACCGTTACCGTAGAACTTTTTGCCACCAACATGGTAATGCTGGTCCGTGTATGCACCAAACACCTGACCTCTGGAGTTCTTGACGGCCAGAACGAAGCCATTTCGAGCAGTGTCTCCATGAGGAGGGATGTTTCGGTGGTATAGAGTAGTCAGAGAAGTACCATGCTGCTCCAGAGAGTACTGCAGCTGCCACGATCGGTACAGTTTGATTCGTTCGGGAACCAGGTTTCGAATTTCGTCAGCAAGCTCGGTGGTCATGATCTTGGTACGGGTGGAGTGGGAGTAGCCCAGGAGCTCCACAGGAGGAAGAGGAGGCAGTTCCATGTTTTCGCTAGGGTCGTTAGGGGGTGCGGTTAAGTCGGTAGCGGCCGGTTTCGTGTCGGTTCGGCCCCAATTGCTTAGTCTTTGGCGAAGCGACGGTCTGTCTGAAGAGTCCATTGCTGAATGGCTATTAACTCACAACTTTTGGTCAACACTAAAAGTTAGTTTCTTTATCAGGTGGCAACGGAGGAGCGGGGTGCATTACAAGTTGCCGGATGATAATGCACCATTTATTGGGTCGCGACCGATTCAGTATGAATATTTCGGTCTGCGCACACACAAGAGCAATCTACTGTCCCGCTTGGCTATTAATAAGCACTCTTTCATTGACGTCAGTGTTGCGGAGCTTGTTATTCAGCATTGTGAGGACTTTTTGGAGAAGCAAGCGTAAATAATCTGTTTGAAGTACTTTGTTGAGGGCAATTCGAATAAACTGAGACTCATTTCTCAATGCCAGATAGTTTATCAAACGAATTTCGCAAGAGTTGATGGCTGGGGACCAGTGGGTCCATGGTCTGATCTGTGCGCATGTCTTCTTGAATCTTCTTTTGGCACAGTCGTCTTTAATGAGAGTTTCTTCAAGTAATTACAATACTGTGTTTGTAGCAGACATGACAGCTGTCATACCCTATTGAGTACAGCATCCGGCAGGTGTCACATTTGGGGATACAGCCATGTACGTAATCTCAGTGTAACACAGTTCAGTACGAGAAATGTATGTAACTTCACTACTTGTAGATAGTTGTAATATTTTTGCATTCATAACCAAAGTTCAACTAAGTAATCAAACATGCAGTTGTAACATAATGAGCACCCTTTACAGCCCACAAGTCAACGTCGAGTTACAGAATCATCGAACAAACCTCCCAAACAGCTTACATAATGTTACCCTACCGGTATCACTTCGACCTTTAGAAAGACAATGCTCAGTTGTCCTGCTGATCGTGCCGATCTTGCAGTTTCTGTCAGGTTCCAGATTTGTTAGATTTGCGAAAGCCTGATATACAGTTAGGTTTGAAAAAAAAGCACAATTGGGGTCTCATACTCGTAAGGCAAAGTGTGACCAGTTGCCGCTTATTTACGACTCTCAAAGCAAGGATGATTTTCACGACCGTGCTCTGTAGGTCTGGGTCGATTATACATCAGTTTCAGGTTTGGGAATGAATGTGTAACAAATAAGATCGCGTATGCCGTGGCCCTTCTTTCCACTCGTAGTGAGACATTCCATACATTGAAATCCGGTTACTGTACACGCACCGGCACTTGAACCTGTGTAGTACAAGTACGGCGTATCATACGTACGATACCCAGCTCAATCGTCTGTCTTGTTTATAACCCACTGGTAAGATGGACGATCCATCAGGAGTAATGAAAGTTATGATTGTCTGTCTGCAGGTGAGTCAGGGGGTAGCTCTGTATGGATGGATAAAGTGGGTATAAAAATATTTTTACGCAGGTTACAGCGACGCTGTGAGATCGCCCCTATACCCAGCCCTTCTACTTGTAGATGTCTACGCCATGGTCCCATCCTTTTTCCCTGACGAAGTCCCATCACCACACATTGACAATTAAGTAAGCTCAAAGTTTACATGACAAAAAGAAACAAAAAAATAAGAGGCTGCAAGAAATAAGATACACAGGGGCTTTCACAGATAATAACAAAGCAGATCATAGAAAGGGTCCTTGGCGGTAGGTCTCTGTAAGGGACGGGGCGCTGGATGGGACGACAGAAAGATAGCGACAAACCTTTGATCATATCTCTTTGCCTACTCATAATACGTGCTCATGATGCGTCAGCCGTGTCTGTGGGGGCTCAGAACTCCGTGTCACATTGGTAGAAGAAGTACAAGTATAATAACTGGATTAAAGGGATAGCTAAACGGGTAATGGCAGGTGTCACCAACCTATAATAATGATGTTGAAGGGGCGAGAGGGTCTGTGGGATAAAAAACATAGAATTCTGAGACTCGGTGCACGCTAACGTCTCTGTCGACCGTCCGGGTACCCGCCGGTTATCTAGACTATCTGGGGGCATCTGTCGGTCGTGGTGTAAGAGTGTTATTACTGTAGTCTGATGCGAGGGGATCGCACATGCTGCACAATTATGCGCGTCCCAATAATCACATCAGCTCCTTGGGCAAAAAAGCCACTACCACCACACTAGACCAAGCTCCATTTGACCACTCCGCTAAGTCCGTTAAACGATCGTGTGGAATGAGTGTTTGGGACGCGTCAGAATACGATAAGAAAACAAGCACACGCCTGGGGCCCTGAGCATATATCTACGAGTCACACTACCAGCTTGGTAACATGTCGCTTTCAGGGGTAAAAGTTTGTCGCTTGTGTGTTATTCACTGAGTGTTCGGATCTCTGTGTCCACAAGCTCTGAAAGTGAAAGTGGTACAAGCAAGTACGACTACCTGTACCGAAATTATAGTTTCAATAGAGTTTGGACACCAAGGGGACACTTGCACATTTGTTAAAATGTGACTATCCCACAGCCCACGCAACTTGATACTCATAACTTGAACAACACGCCATATGAGTGAACAACCCCAGCAAAAGGTTTCCATTGTCATTCTTGGAGAGGGAGGTGAGTATTTCCGCTCGCGACGTCACGGTCTCTGAACCACAGGCATTTGTTCTTTTATTCTCTTCCTCAGCGGGTATTTTTTGGGCACCCGCACACCGGCCCCAGCTTCTGACGACCTGACCAGTGCACCCACAGCTTAGTCCTCTGGTTCCTCAGAAGCTCGTTTTGGACCACCTAACGACGCGAAAAAACAGTCTGTCAAGTGCTGCGGCACAGCACACCTCTTTTTGTGTTGTGGAGCTGTGCCATCGACGTGTTCAGGATTAATTGCTGTCCCCCACCCAGCGATCAGACACACCCAGTCGCGACGTAAACAACGCCGCATACCCAGGCCCATACTAACCACAGGAACGGGAAAGTCATGCATTACTATGCGACTTGTACGGAGCAAATGGGTGGATGAGTACGATCCTACCATTGAAGACTCATACTCCACCACCCGAGTCGTCGACGGAGTGTCGTACCGAATTGACATCATCGACACTGCGGGCCAGGAAGAATACCGAGACATGCTCGGCAACCTCTTCCAGGTCGACTCCAACATTGACGCCTATCTTCTGGTTTACGACATCACAGCCCCCCAGTCTTTGGAGGCCCTAGATTACTTCAACGACATGATTGACAAGAACGTCGAGGCAGCCGGCGAGCTCACAGACCGACCCCCACCCATGAAGTTGGTCGTGGGCAACAAGTGCGACCTGACCAACGAGCGGGGAGTGACCGCGGCAGAGGGTCTGCAATGGTCGCGCGAGCATGGATGCGGATTCATGGAAACTTCAGCAAAACAGATGGTCAACATCGAAGAGACATTCTCATCTATAGTGCGCAAAGTCGCGCAAAGTCGAGCACAACTTCAAGCCCGTCGACAGGGCGGAGCCTTTGGAGGTGCTGCAGGAGGTAGCCGGGTTGGCTCCACTGGTGGAGCATTGAGAGTCACTCGATCGCAGGGTCGACTCAGACCACCGGTCAACAGTCAGACCAAGTCAGGCTTTGATAGTGAGAAGGATAGCATCAAGGGTGGATCCAAGTGCTGTGTTATCTGCTAGTTTTGGATGAAGCGGACCTGAGAGAAACGGGACAAAGAACGAGGGTGTGAGAAAGAGCCGTGATGGTATATTTATTGTACGCTAGTAATATGATGGGTGCTTGATATTGTTCTTCGGCGTCGGACGGGAGTTTGGCCAGGTTTCGGTTCCACAGAATTTCTACTGTACCTACTGCCTATCATATAGACCTGCCGATAAAGGAAGGTCGAGGCTATGGTATGTAAACCTACGAACCGCCCCACTGTAAGGCGCTACTAGTAATGGAAGTAATTAATTTGATCTGGATTATGTGTTGTGGTGTACGATACGATGAAGACAGTGTGCAAGTACATACAGTACCAGTACATATTGTGCCGGTACTTACGTCGTCAACGGTGCGTATGGGACTTACAGTACTGCCAAAATGCGCACACGGCAGAAGTGACTGTAGGGGTCCTTGCAGTCACACCTCTCAATTATCTTAGTCCAACTGTCCTACTTGTGGGTCGAAATCACACTCAGCTATACAGTAAGTAGTCCGGATGGACGGATGCGGGACACCCTACAGTAGGGCTGAGCTTGCCGGTTCCGGTACGAAGCAGGAAGCCTCACATCGCAGGCACAAACCGTGCCGACTTATACCGGTAACACCGTAGCTACAAGTACGTACTTGTACCTCAAAACAATGTCCATTAGCAGGGCCGTGGTGATAGGGAGCTGGTGCGTCTTAAGTCGCGTAGAGAGACAGACTACATACTGTACCATAACTGTACATAAGTACACACTATATTTTACCATTGATAGGTAGTTGGGTCACCCACACATACGTAATCATGCCATGCTGAGAGCACAGCTACTCGTACTTATACTTGTAGTTGGTGCAGTCACGGACCCACCCGGTTTCTTGCACAGACGGTAGCAAATTATTAGTGGGGGAGCGGATGGTTCATGCATTTTTTGAGCTACAGTACCTGTAGTGATGTGGACCAATATACGATACCGAGTCAGGAGATCTGTCCACCATGTAAGAGTGGGTGAGCACAGGTGATCACCATGTTTTGTTCCTGGCCCCTGGTGCTTCACCATCCAAGTCAGACAAGTATATTACTTACATTTACTACGTAGGTAGGTTGATCTCTGTTTGGTGGAACCAGGAATAGGAACCCCAAGCTGATTGGTTTTAATGAGTTAATAATCTGTCTCTAATGTAGATACTCATGCGGATTTTTTAAGTATACTCTCTATTTACCAGGTTATTATCAACAATTACACCTAACAGGCCTTGTATTCCTCACCATCTCTGCCATCTCAAGTCAGCATGCGTCTCGACAGACAAGGTTGAGGTGCAGATCTGGAGACCACAACTTTACTCTCGAAACCACACAATACAAGTGTTACACAATGACCGAAATTGAAGAATTGGTGGAGTCACTCTACGTTCCGCGGAACGCAGACGAAATCAAGGAGACGCAGCGACAACTCCAGGCCCAACAGCGAGGCCCTCATGGCTGGGAAATGGCCAGACAGCTTCTACGATCCAACAGCTCTAACTGCCAGTTCTTTGGAGCCCTCACATACGCAGTTCAGATCAATGCAAGGGCAGACTCAGGCAAGAACGGGACGGAGGATGACCAGCGACAGGTGATTTCTGAGCTCCTGTCGTGGCTTGTGGGTATCAGAATCAGAGCAGAAGGTAAGGCGTTTGTGGTCCAGAAGCTTCTATCAGTTATCAGTCTGGCTTTCCAAAGATACCCCTACGCCTGGAGAGCCCCCGTCAACAGTGTAATTGCCACAATTACTACAGGGGAGGTGGTTCTGGACGTCTCGAGAGAAAACACTCCCCAAATCAATAATGCAGCCGACCTGCAACTAATCCTTCTATTTGCAAGGACTCTAGCTGAAGACCTGTCTCGGCCAAGTGGGTTTGTGGTCCAGGAAATGAAGATGGTACTCAGGGGTATCATTGAAGACGACAACATGGACGCAATTATGGCTCTTTTGACGTCGGCACTCCAACAGGGCCTTGGGTTGGACTGTTTCAATTCTTGGGTAGTCTACGGATGTGGCGCTGACGCCAAAAGAATTCTGGAGCGGCTGTCAGAACTCAATAATGTGTTGCTTCCATTCATTCAGACTGAGCAGCTGTTCGAGGAATCTGCGAAGCTGGTGTATGATGTGCTGGAATCATGGCCCACTTACTTCTCACGCGTATGGAAGACACAACTTATTGACTTATTCATGGGTGAGTGGGGTCAAAACACGTGGCAGAGCTTTGCTAATGATATGGACGTGTCTCTGGATTCTGCTGAGTGGTATGTCAAGCTCCTGACAAGTGTTTGTGATGCCTACCCCGACCACGTGCTCTCCTTAATGACTACCCAAAAGCTTGCTCCTGGAGGTCTCATGGCTCTTCTTCTGAAACTGTCAGAGGGTGTTCCAGGGCTGACCCCTCTCGAGGATGAGAATATGTCGTCCGAGCTGTTGGAATATTGGATGGGTTTGCTCGACACCTTATACGATAACCAGGGGAAGATCGACTCCGAGCTGGTTGACAGTCTACTTCTTCAGGTCGCCTCGATCTTCTGGTCCAAGACGAAACTACCTGACCTGACAGAATCTACCGAAATGAAGGAGTTCCGACGAGACGTAGGTGATCTACTCGAGTCTGTCTGCAGCATCGTTCCCACAAAGCTCCTGCAGAATCTTGCTGGTATCGTGACCAGAAACATCGCTGAAGCAGAGCCTGACTGGCCTTCTGTCGAAGCAGCACTTTTTGGTCTCATCGCAGTGGCAGATAGTGACGACGACTCGGTGTCTGTGGTCTGCAACGACCCTTCGCTCCTCCAAAAGATTTCCCAGCATCCCTCTGTCCGACTGCGAAAGAGTACCATTACCTTTGTCGGCGTCTTTGACTCGATGTATGTTCATGGCCCTTGTCTCGGATCAGCTCTAGATTTCCTCTTTGCCTCTTTGGAAGAGCCTACGCTCTCTTTGTTCGCCTCTCGTTCAATCTCCAAGCTGTGTTCTGATGGTCGAAAGTCCCTTGGACCGATGCTGGCCTCATTTTTCCAGGTGTATGAACAGATGGTGTCAGGCAAGATGACCATGTCATCTTACTGTCACGAGAACACGGTAGAAGGTATCGCAGCCATCATTGAGAGCGAACCGTCCATTGCAAAGCAGTCGGAGTATCTTTCCCGCCTGATTGACATTCTTGTTGATCGATCACACAAGGAGATGGCAAGGGCAGACCTTCCAGACGACCCCATTGTGTCCCTCTTCAAGTGTCTTATTTGCATTGGTAAGAAGCTTCAATCAGTTGAAGAGGTGGATCTGGATGACACCAATACCTCGGCTGTTGCTGCTTTCTGGCAGTCGGATCCCAACCATGTGCAGCAAAAGCTATTGCATATCATTACCACTTTTGCTATCCAACAGGCTCCATATAATACTTCTGTCGAGATTTGTGATCTCGCATGTCTGGTATTCAGAAAGGGCTTCTCCGAAGAAGCTGGTCCTTTCGTCTTCTCCACTCAGGTTATCTTCGAGTTTATCAGCACCAAGTTCAACCAATCTCCTGGATTCGCCCCCAAGGTAGTTAAGCTGGCTTCATGCTATCTCACTAGTACCACTGCATCTGCTTCTTCTCGTGATGAGTTCACCAAGGAGATCATTACCCTCTTTTTCGCAGGTCCCAACCCCATTATTAACGGAGATGACGACATGGCCCACGACGTGCTGGGTTTGGTGGAGAAGATTGCTTCGACGACTCCGGAACTCTTCTTTGTACATACGCCGGAGTCATTGTTGCATGCCATTCTTTCTTATTCTGTTTCGGCCCTTGCATCCACTCAGATCCTCGTCATTTCCACCTCCACCAGTCTATGGACAAACTTTTGCCTTCTCAAGCTACAGGGAGAGGCTAAAGAGCGCCACTTGATGATCATGAAGGCTCTGGGACCCTCTCTCATTAACACTATCATGATGAAGATTTGTGGGGATGCTACTCGATCGTCGCTGTCATATTACTCGTCAGTGCTACGGAAGTACATCTACAAGTTTCCCATGGATGCAAAACACAACCTTGAGCACTTCGTCAACAACCCTGATACCAAGCCTGTCAAGGCCAGTGACCAGGACGTGAAGACTTTTGTCGCTAAGCTTGTTAATCTGCGGGGACAGAAGCTGACTGATACCGTAGTTAAGGAGTTCTGGGTTACCTGCTCTGGTTCCGGTCTGGACTACATTGTGTAAAGAGCCACACGCACATCGCATATATTTAATCTACTCATGTAATCATACAACTATTGAATTTACAGCGCTGGTACAAGAACATGGGCAGATACAATAAATAAATAGATTAGGCTACTCAGACACAGGCGAAACCTTCCATCGATCCACTTTGAATGGTCGATGGACTTTTCGTTTGTTTCTTACCAAACGACACTGGCCGATCTTCTCGCAGATATCGTACACATCATCAGCCGTTCTGCGTAAAACAGGCGGTCCCATGATGATTTTGGATGGTTCAGGGCACATATTTTTTGGCGGTGGTGATTTGGAAGACCTGGGAGAGGGACTGGAGTGATGAGCAACACTAGGCTTACGAGACAGGCTCGCTTGACGCAGAACACCAGTAATCCTGGGTGGTTGTCGAGGAGCGGTGGGTACCTCCGGACGTAGTGAAATGCGCCGTTGACTTAGTGTATTTTCCTGTGGCTGGTTCACAAGATCCTTCATTGGCTTTGAAAATTCGGCTACTTTCGCCTCCACTTGTTCTGTCATTGATACGTTCTGTCGTTCAGGTTGTTCAACCATCGAACCAAGCTCCGGCTGAGTGGTAGGTTGAGATGTGTGAGAAATCGGTTCTGCTGTGATTCTAGCAATCAACTGAGGCAGGGAGTTGACGGAAACATAAAACTCATCCGAGTCTCGCTCCACCTTGACGACACTTTCAGTAATTGACTCACATTCCTCAGGCATTTCTTCGCACATGGAACTGAGGGAGGTGGCCTTCTTGAATGGACTCGACATAACTGCATCCGCTGGAGACGACGTGGGCATCCCAGGGGAGGATGAAGGCATAGGTGTAGTTGTGAGCATGGCAGTAGATGCAGGGATAGGTGCAGTCGCAAGCTGTACTGGTAAAGCAAACGAGACAGGGGGGACCGGAATAGACAGAGCTTCGCCAAATGAAGGAGTCTGGGGCTCTTCCTTCACAGAGGGCACAGAAGTAGTGGGCAGTGGCATTGGTCGGACAGCGTGATCTACCCTTCCTGGGCTTGATTTCGTTCTCACCGGTGACCTGATAGGAGATTTGTAGAGGTTCAACTGGTCTAAGATGTCAGAGTTACCACTATCGCTAGCTGGAACATAAGCATCTGTTTGATTGAACACGCCAGTAGGAAGCATCTTGACATTCTGAGTCCCTGGAGCTCTGACTTGGAATGACTTGACAGTCTTGGGGACTAGCAATGATTGCGAGTTGGCTTCTTGAGATGGCCCAGAGACAGCAGGTTTTCCATCAATCTTCAGAGTGAGAACTGGTTCACGAATCCTAGGGATCGGTCTCGCTGTTTCAATGCACATCTCCACATCGTACATGAACTGCGAGGGTTGATCAACGTGCTCTTGACAAACATGTCCGAATAATCTCGCCATAGAGAACCCTCTTTGCCACGAATCTTTGCTGACCACACATGGGAACACTGAGCGGGGTTTGAACAGGCCCACGAGCTCCTCACATTCCAAATACGAAGAATGTCGAGAATAATGGAACAGGAGCATATCTGGAAGATAAAGATCTAACCCTTGCTCACATTCAGTTTTGATGAATCTCTGTCCGGATTCAAAATCAATCACGTCAGACAGATGGGACTCGTTACTTGATGTGTACTCCTCTGACAACCGCCTCAGTAAATCCTTAACCCCCACCAACTGGAGTTCAGATTCCTTTTTGGGTCGGTTGTGTTCGTCAACATGAGATGCCAGGTAGTTCACCACAGGCAAGAGTAGCACCGAGGATGAGCTAGTCCGTTGGCACGAGCAGCAATGAAGAGTGGCTTCCGCAGCCTCCTTGGTCAGATACTTAATGTAGTGCGAGCGACCCTCAACCTGGAGTACTTTAGACACCCTTTGTAATTCATCCTCCTCCATGTGTACCTTCCAATCATATGCAGCAGCAAGGTACTGCCAAATGAGCTCGAACCCAGAGGTATATCGTGGCAGGAAGTACTGTATACTTCCCGTAAGAGGATACCTACTCAGTTGCTTCATGAGCTTGCCAAGCCCCGTGTTGTTGTCTACCAGGCTGATGTAGGGCTCTCCTCTATACCCGAAAGTAGTATCCAGGTAAATGCAATCGAGCTTCTTCACTCCACAAATGTATGGTAGTAACAAGGGGTGATTTTCTAACGACCTCAGCCACCATTTTTCCGCCCGAATATCTCCTGTGTATAGGACACACTTGCCCTTACCTTGAAGAAGAAACATGACAGCTCCAGGGCAGTGGTTGCTGGCATCTAGAAGAGTTACTGAAACCGTGTATGCCCCCACGTTGATCTCGAACGGGGTATCCAGATCCAGGCCTCTCAATCTATCCTGGATAGGTGTGTACTTCGACTTTAGAGTACCGTTGGGAATAGCTGCCATATCGTTGTAGGCCTTGTGGCGTTTGCTGCGAGGGTCTTTTTCGACCAACATGTTCTTCGTCACCTTCGAACAATAAACTAGCCCTCCAACATTCTCCAGACCTGCAGTGTGGTCAGTATGAACATGACTAAGAAGCCATACTTCTGGTCGCACGGGATGTTTTTTGCCTCTGTCGTGGAAGTAGTCCACCCGGATTTCCGGAAACTCACGGATAATACCGTCAAAGGTACTCATGGGCTCTCCAGGTGGTTTCGTTGTCGTGAGGGTTTCTCAGTGGTAGTGGTTGGACCTGCACCTCTGTATTAAGTGATTTCGCGATTTTGGCGTCAATACGTGAATTTGAGTTCTACTGCGCTTCTCCTGCGGTATGCCATAAAAGCGATTTTTGGCACGTGACCAAATAACATATAATATATCTGAGTAGCACAACATTCTCAGACTCTAATTTTCACTAGATTGCTGAGACTCTATTTTTCTCCCCCCTCTCTTTATAATAGTCACTATCACCCATCCGACGTATGCCTGCAGCTCATTACAAGCTACCTGTAGTTGTAAACTCTACTCAAAATGTTCCAATAAGCTCATGCCTGTGTACATGCGTACAATTGTGTACGAGGTGATTTTGTCAACACCTACTTCAGACAACACGGTACAATGCCATGTACTCAATCGCCATACAAGGACTATCATTATGAAGAGCGTCGCGTTGGCTCTTCGGTCGAATTCACTGTCAAAAATCTGTCAAAAACGCGCGCCAAAATAATCACCACATATGCCACATGTCTATTAAACAAGGTCGTCGTGGTCTTGCTGATGCTGGCAACAACAAGTATCTGGCTGGAGGAACACAAACCTGCCTACCAATATGTGGGCGAGTCGACCCTTTCAAAGATCGCGACAGCCTATCCTCAATGGTTGCTCGGGTTTCTTCGAAACAAAACACCAACCATCGCACTCTTGTCTTTGTGGGTCCTGGCTATAATGGCACTCATGAAACGTCCATATAAGATTGAGTCCTTGTTTGTGGTCCACGGAATTGGCCTGCAAGTGTATTCGTCGGGTGGCTACTATTTCATGGGTCAGACGACGTTCCTGAACCTCGATAGCATCATCGATCTCGTGATTCACGAAGGGTTCAAGGGGTTGGAGGTGATATTCTTTATGACCATTCTCGTTAAAGACAAGGACCGAACTGTGGTCATATTCCCCGATTTGCTCCCTCGGCGGGAGCTCCTGGAGAGAGTCTGGAGAGAAAGTCGAACATGCTTGTATTCTGACCAGCCTGAACGGTTCCGCAAACCTGAATTGAAGTAGTAGAAGTAGTATAGAAGACGTACATAGATTTATTTATTCATATGCAGCAACATCACCGGCACAGGCTATCATTAATCATATCATATCTTCTTTACTATATACTATTTATCCATCCCAATGCTCTGTATCATATGTACAAGTATGTTGACCGTTCCTTAGACCCACTCACGGGGCTCTTTGAGAATCTTGAGCAGTCGCTCCTCTCGAGATCCCTCAGAGGGTCTGTGGTCGTACATCCAAGACGCAGTAAGAGGAAGAGACATGAGAATGGATTCGATGCGAGCAGAAGGAGTCTGCAGACCGAACGCGGTTCCTCGATCGTTGACAAGGTTGAACTCGACGTATCGACCTCGTCGGAGTTGCTGCCACTGCTTCTCCTCGGGAGTGTAAGGGAGATCCTTTCGTCGCTGGATGATGGGCATGTAAGAGGGCAGGAAAGATCGAAGAGAAGACCGGATGAAACCAAAGAGCTCCTCGGGATCCTTGTTCTCGAGATCATCGAAGAAGATACCTCCGACACCTCGGGCCTCCTGTCGGTGCTTAATGACGAAGTACTCATCACACCACTTCTTAAACTTCCGGTAGTAGTCCTTGTCGTGCTTGTCGCAAGCTTCCTTGAGAGTCTTGTGGAAGTGAACAGCGTCCTCCTCAAACAGGTAAGAGGGGGTAAGATCGCTTCCTCCACCGAACCACCAAGCCTGGGTGGTACCATCGGAGTTCATGGTTTCAAAGTATCGATAGTTGAGGTGGACAGTAGGAGCCATGGGGTTGACTGGGTGGAGAACCATAGACAGACCACAGGCATAAAAGGGGAGGTTTCCATCGTTGGAAGGTCGAATACTCTTGTGATCAGCCTTCATCTTCTGGACAGCCATGGGGGGCAACAGGCCGTGAACAATAGATATGTTAACACCGGCCTTCTCAAACACCTTACCATCCTGCAGAACACAAGAAATTCCTCCTCCTCCCTCGCCATTGAGCCCACGCTGCCACTCATCAACTCGGAAGGTGGAGGTGTCATCAAGAGTCTCAAGCTCGGCCACGATCTCCTTTTGCATCTTCTTGATGAAGTCCTCCATTCGGAGCTTGATGGGTCGTTGATCGTTACCAAAGTCGAACTCGTCAAGCTGGGGGAACTGGGGCACAGCAGCGGCCTTGACAGCATCGTTGCTAATAGGCTGAGAAGCCTTGAACTCTCGGATCAGCTGGGTAAGATCCTCAGTGAACTTGGGCTTCTCCACGTTAAGAGGGAAGGTCACAGCTAGCACGGTTCCGGTGACAGCACCGAAAGCAAAGGCGCCAGCCTTCTTGGTGAGCGAGGGGGTCAGCGAAGGGGCTCCGACTTTGATTTTACGAGCAAAACGGAACATTGTTGCACAGGTAGGCGAAATGTGGGGTTGCAGTTTGTGCAAGTTGAGATATGTGGGTTTAGCTTCGAGACTTATAGTGCCCCGAAGAGGATTTGAAATAAGGCCATACATGCATAAGGTTCGGATGGTTCGATTGTGAGCCATGTGCATTATGAATATCACACGATCTTCACTGCTGTTTTTGTGGGGTGGATCGCTCAGATGAATTGGAGTGCTGGTGATGATGATGCGGTCTTGTTTGCCTCTCCGGTCCGATGTTACTTGTGTAGCATCGGTACTATCCGATTCAATAAGGGGAAATATTATTCATACTGAGATTTACAATACAAAGAGCTACAAGTACAGTATGTACTTACAGTTGGTCTGCGTTGGGCTGTCCAGATCATCATGACTGAATGTGTTGCTCAAAGGGCATATTTTGTTAAGCTAAAAGCATTAACGTCTTGCCTACATTCTGCTATGAAATGGGACCATATCCAATGGTGTGGTGGACATATGCCATACATGATTACATGGTTGGGAAGTCGTGTATGCATGAGGTTCCTGAACCTCATTTCAGTGGAGAGATGGTTGTACAGTATTTCTTTTACTTTCAACCGCCTTCTTTATCGTATCCCCTGTGTCTATTGTTGTACAAGTGGCGTCTTTACCTCATACCGACCTACAGGTACGGGTACCCGTACAGTATGTACAGTGTATGTACTATAGACACCATAGAAGTGCCAACTGACAGGCATCGTACATACATACAGTCATGAGCTATACACCAATACAAGCTCATAACCTGTTGTAGGAGGCGGAAAAGTTGCAGTATAGTGCACGACGTGAAACCAACGTGGCACTCGAATCAAGGAAGGACGGAAAAACAGCAATGAAAACAGAGAGTGTTTGGCGAGAAAAGGATTACAAGCATATGTTTATGCGCACCGCCGCGCTCATGGAAAAATTGGCCGATGGTACTGTGGCTGAACTACAACTGTCTGGAAAACGAAACTACGATGCAATTTTCCAGCGGCAGTCGGTGATTTTCGCGTCGCAGATGTTTGAAGTGGCGCTGCGGATGGTCCAAGAGCGATCCCACGAGCTGTTCTTGCAGCCCAAACAAGACGACCCAAAAAACTTGTACGAAGTGGTCGGTTCGGCCCCCAACCCCACTTTTTTCTTTGAGCGATCTCCATATCTAAAATGGGAGGGTCTGCATCTGGAACACAGACTGGATCCCTCTGAGCAGTGCAAATCGGAGACTAAAAAGATTCTGGGCGACAAAAAGGACTCTTCGCAAGACAAGGAGGAGGAGATTGAGGATCTGGCTGACAATGTGCGTAACCTTCAGGGTCAGATGGCGTCTCTGAAGAAGACCCTGGCATCCAAGGAGCGTGAAACCAGCATTGTCAAGCAACAGAACCAGGCCCACAAGATCCTTCTTGCGAAACAGGAGGTTCTGCTGGCTGCCGTGTCCTCTAAACTTGGCCTTGATGCTGCATCTGATATTCTGGAGAAGGCTGACCGAACTTCTGCTACTCGAAAGGTCGATACTGTTCCTTCACATCGAGCTGCCCGTCAGCAGCGTGCAAAGGCTGCTGTTGCTGCTAGAGAGGGCACCTCTTCTAAGCAGTCTACCCCTGATGCTGAGCTTGAACTAAAAGTGACAAAGCAAGAGCCCAAATTAGAGTCCAAGGTCGTAGAGGTCAACAAACCCGAACCCAAGAAGACTGAGGTCAATAATCCTGAGCATGAAAAGTCCGAGTCTAAGAGGACAGAGGCCTCTAAAAGGGCTGAAGCTCAACAGGAGGTCAACCCTTCTACCGCCGTGATTGACCAGCAAAAGGTATCTCGCAACGTATCTCGATCCAACCCGAAGACTCAGCATCAGGCCCAAACCAAGGCTGAAACCTTTAAGAAAACCCCTGCTGCTGCTCTTAAGGCGGGCACTCTCAAGATCACTCAGGCTACCCCCGTCAAGGATGCGACTCCTGCAAAAACTGACCCCTTTACTCAATCTCCCTCCCCCGCAGTTAAGACGCCGACGTCTGCTCCCACTGACGCTGGTGCAAGTGCTGCCGCTGAAGGGGAGCGTGTGATCGCTGCTGCTACGCAGGCACTCCAGGACTACCGAGAGCTGTGGGCAAAGGGTGCCCCTTGTCTCACTCTTCCCCTTGATATACTAGAGGGGGCCAAGAATGGTGACATTCGCGCCATCCGGGAGCTCACGGCTGCCGTGGATGAGCTCAAGGCCAGACACGAGTTTGGGCAGGAGCAGAAGAACATTTCTGCCAAGACATCAACCCTCAACGAAGTGTTGGCATCCCGACAGGCTCAGAACGTCCCCATGACACCATCAACAAAGACTGTCTCTGCTTCTGCTAAGGTAACCGCCAAGGCCACTCCTGCCAAGACGACCCCTTCCAAGCCTTCCGCTGCCCCCGCTGCTGTTCCTGCTGCTGCCCCTGCACCCAAGCGTGGTTTTATCATGAACTACCCTGGTGTGCCCATGCCTGCGGATATGGGCAGCATTGCTTCCTCTCTTGGACATTCTGCTCTCTCTTCTGTGAGCGTCACACAACCCGCGGGCACGGCTCCCACCCTGGCCAAATCGACTGCAAAGTATTCCATGAGCCACATGTCTGACTTTGAGATGTCGTTGGACTCTGTGAGTTTCGCCAACGACAGAATCCCCCACAAGTGTGTGTTCGTGATGGGACGGTTTGCCAAGCACCTACCCGTGGATGTCATGGTTCAAGAGGTGTATGACCGATGCGGACCCACCTCCAAGGAGTTCCTGCTCACCTGTCGGGCCGATGACGACGACTGGGAGTGTGTCTACGACTGTCTCAAGGGCTTTGTCGACCGTCAGACCCCCATCCCCTTCCCTGCCTATGTCCAGGATATCTGCTAGTATTTAGTGGCTATAACATAATGCACTGTATATATCGTTTGTTAGAAATCTAGATCCTCAACTTTCATTTATATGTGGTTTTTGCCGTTGCGGTTCAAGGGACAACCCAATGTGCTGTATTTCCCTTCAGCTCATGCATCTCCATGCAATATGCATGATAAGTGAAATAATTTCAAGGTTGATCACTACTTCGAGCTACAGCACCACAACATGGCGAAGAAGGGAGGACTCAAGGCGACTCTTGCGCGATCGCTGCAGGTTGAAAAGGCACAAAAGGTCGAGGCCGAAAAGGCCAAGCGACGGAAGGAATTTGAGGAGGGAAAACGAAAGTCTCAGACTCAGGGAGCATCCAAGAGCCAAAAGCAGGCCAATAAGCGACAGAAGCTCGAGCACCAAAGGCTGTATGAGAAGTCTGACGAATCTGCTCCTTTGACCGAAGAGCAGATTCGAATTCGTCGAGAACGAACCATTCCCTGGAACAAGGATGACAAGATTCTGTTGTTAGGAGAGGGAGATTTCTCTTTTGCGCTCTGCTGCAAGAAGGAAAAGCTGGCGACCAACATTGTGGCGACGGCTTTCGACTCGGAGGAGGAGGTGAAACGAAAGTATGAGAATGGTGCTGAGAATCTGAAGGAACTGGAGACTGAAGACAAGTCCGAAGACAATGGGGAAGGAGAGGAGAACGACGAGGAGGGCTTTGAGGAGGAACTTGAGTCTGAGGACGAGCTGAATGAAGCCGTAGAGACCAGCTCTCATTTTGACATTGATGCTACGAAGCTGTCCAACTACAAGATGTTTAAGAACATGTCCAACGGTAACAAGTTTGATGCTATCGTGTTCAACTTTCCCCATACCGGAGACGGTATCAAGGACCAGGATCGAAACGTTCTGCGAAACCAACAGATGCTGCATGCCTTCTTCAAGTGCGCTATTCCTCTTCTGAAAAACGGAGTGGAGGTGTACGAGAAATATCAGAAGTACAAGGCCAAACATGACGGCAACCCTCCAAAGCCAGGAACTTCACATTACAAGGCGCCTGCCAAGCCTTCCAAAGCTGCTAAGAATGCGATGGCTGGATATAGTATTTACGGGCGAGCACCTCTCAGAACAGGAAAGGTCATTGTGACTTTGTTTGACGGTGCACCATACAACCTTTGGGCAGTCAAATCTTTGGCCAAGGATGCCGGTTTCAAGTCGGTCTACACTGGGCCTTTCGACTGGGAGGTATTCCCCAACTACCACCATCGACGAACTAGAGGAATGGGAGATACCACCAAGAAGGCAGAGACTCGAAAGGCCAAGTTCTTTGTCTTTGAGGTTGAGGATGGTCGAGGTATTATTACTAAGAAGATCGAGAATGATGATGGTTCCGACAGTGAGTAGTGCTCTTGTATTGTTTTAGATGACATTAAATGCATGGTTTTGGTTCAAGTTGATGACTGAGATGTATTGGCACAGTTCAATGTGTTTAGCTTGTCGCCACAATGGTACAAGAGGCTAAGTATGTGTACTTACTGTATCCTGGGGGGAGCAGGTCAGGGATTCCTTACAACACAACCTATAATTCCAATTACTGTACTCAGGGATACCATTAGAAAGACATTACTGGTGCAACTTTACACTCAGGTGATAGCTGTCTATCTATCTATATACCTACAAGTAGTAATCTAGGTTATTGGCGTTCATTAATTCATAGTCATGATAACTGTTGCGATGTGCGTTTCGGTGCGCATGCCATTAAATTATTTTTAAAAAATTAATGACATTTTTATTTAATTTAGTTTTAATTCTGATTATTTACAGCTATATACAGTATGTACCTACTTGTAGTAAGCCGGGTTATTGGCGTTCAATAAATCATACACTTCTTAAACATGACTAATCATAACACCTTATGACTAGCTTCTGAATCGTTACAGGTGTATACGTCAATCCGCAATAGTTTAGTGGCTAGAATTTCCGCCTGTCAGGACAACTGTTCAGCACGCGGGGGACCGGAGTTCAATTCTCCGTTGCGGAGTGTGTATTGCCAAATACCTTTTTCATCTACTGGTGGCCCTATAGGCGTATTCCTGGATATGGATATAAAATTTTTTTCCTGCATAATACATTGTGTAATGTCAACCGTATTAAAAGTGCAGTAGTTACTGTAGGTTTAGTTAGGTTGTGTGTAATTGCTGGCTAAAGTTTTTGAAGTCATGATGAAAAAAATCTCTCAGACCAGTATGTAGCTACAGTATGTATGTACAGTGCATCTTAAACGAGAAACAAAACATTTCAACATATTTGAGAATAAATAACATATATCAACTAGGGTAAGCAGTAATGAGCTCATCAATCTTGAAGCACTCAAAAGATGTGGGGTCAACGACAGTGTTGGGAGCAGCCTTCATCATTTTGTGGGAGTACTCCATGAGCTTCGCTCGGCCAAAGATTCTGCTATTGGGCAACACTACAGGGTCGGCATCCAAGTGCGATCGAATGTGATGAGCATATGGGAGATTTTCAGCAAGGGAGTTCAGCTCCACAGAACACACGGGACACGCATCTGCACGCGACAACTGATGCGAGGTGCAACACCCAGGGTAAAAGTGATTGAACATGTCTAGAGTTGTCTTGGGAATGATGTCTGTGTTCTCCTTGGTAGCTTCCTCAATTCGCCGTGCAAGGTATTCTGCAGAGAGAAGCTCTGGAGGAGCATCAGGAAGCTCCTCGAGCTCCTCCACAGGTACAGCCCCATCGCTGTCACGTTCACCATCGCCTGAAGTTCGCTCTTCACTCTCCTCATTATCATCTTCAATGGATTCCTCCAGGTCCAGATTATTTTGCATTGCAATGTCTCTTCGCATGCTACTGAGGTTGGCCAAAGCTCGAGGAGGTATGACAGGAAGAGTGTCGAGTCCTCGAATCTCGTCAGAGCCGTACATTCTAATTGAGAAGCCAGAACCAAAAACACTAGGAAGGTTTTCCGAGCGACGAGCATATGGACGGGCAGATGAAGTCAATGAGGGGTCCATGTCTTCGTCCTTGTCCGCAGTGATGGGGAGCTCGGCAGGAGCTCCGAAGTTTCGACAAGAGTGCGTCTTAAGGACTGAGAGGCCAGTGGATAGCGTGTAGAGCAAAGAAGAGCCGTCCGAAAGGCCATGGACATCTGCAAACGTCTGCACGAACTTCCGCGACAGCTGGTTCCATCTCTCACAGGCATAAAGGTCCTTATAGGGAGACCCCTCTGTACCAGGGGGGAATGCTAGAAGTCCTGCCGCCTGCTGAATTTCTCTCAGATGAATGTCAGCATTCTTAGACAAGAACCTCTGGCAATACTTGAGAGCGTCCTCCACTCGTCCACTCTTGACAAGTTCAACGTAATGTTGTAGACGAACCTCAAACTCCAGAGAGCTTCTTGTTTTCCTCAAAAACGATCTGTTTTCAGAACACCAGGCAAGACACTCCGCAGTAGAGTGTCGTTGTCGCAGTGAAGTCTCAACGGAAATGCATTGGTCCAGAATGGTAACGTCAACCAGCGAAGTAATGCCTCTGTTTTGAGCAAATGATTTGGCGGTTTCAGAGAAGCCCTGCCTGAGGAAGTAGTCGGTAAGCAGTCGCTCCAGCCGTGTTCTCAACCACTTCTTCTCCGTCTCCTTCTGCTTCTCAGGGTCGGTTTCCTTTTCATTGTCGAAGATGACATTCAAATGCTCCACTCTAGCCTTTGTGGTAGTTAATGTCTCATTTTGTTCGTCCTTTAGAGTGGCAATCTTCCGCTTCAAGCCTCGGACTCGTGAAATGAGTTGATCAAGGCTCTCACGAGCCTCCTCTTGCTGCTTCTCGCCATATTCGGCAGCCACATGCTGAGTACTCTGTTGTAACTTACTCAGCGTCTGTTCGACCATGGTGCTTTCCTGGGTCATATGTTTGTGCACCGTCTTGAGATTCTTACGAAGCATCTCATAAGGCACACGCAGGAGTGGTTCCTCCAGCAGCAAGGCGTTATCTGCTTTGATCATGGTGGTGTGGACTGCGTGATGGTTGTGGTTTCGGTTACTTCCAGATATGATTCCCCAGATAGCGCATGACCAGATAATCGAACCTAAAAGGAGGGGCGGCACAGAAAGTGCAACATAATAGAGAGTCGAAATAGATGCAAGATGGCAACTTATGATGGTAGGAGAGCACTGATGGATTTGTAGTCGTTAGTAGTATAGATTTGAGATTCCCTCTTCAACTTGAGGCCTGATCACGACTATCAACTCGTTCCAAATTGGCTCTCCCTCCCACTACTGTCACAACAAAGTCTAACAAAGTTCAGATTATTGCGTAAAGTACAGACGTTGATGTCTACCGCTAGCTATAGTACGAAACATGCACTCGTACCAGGACGCAGTGCTGAAAATAAATTCCGCCATTGAATTTTCTCAATCTCATCACATGTCAATTATTGTAGTTCGAGCGCCATTTAGCCTACTTGTATAGTACAGTATGTACTATACACTCGTGTCTCAGTCTATAAGTACAGTATGTAGTGTACTTGTACACTGTATGAGTAGCTACAGGGTACCTCGTCTCGACACGGGACACCCAATCGGCCCTCACAGAGTTGAATGGACTGGTCCGCACAGACCCTACGTCTACAACTTCCTAGAACACTATATTTTAAAGGGAATGTTTCAACAGTGAGGTTGTCAGCATACCCAAAGGTCAATGGATGAATTTAAGCATGCTTCCCCTTCTGTGCAGTTCTGTGAATACTTCGCCCAAGTTTTTTCTCTTTAGCATCATATTGTATATCATCATTATACAATTTTAACTGTGTTGAAATATGTTGCTGCAGTCAGTGGTTACCTTCATTGGCTAAACTAGCAGCAGCCCAGAAAAATGTGTATTTAGCGCAATGCTCCTTGAGGTTCTCGGGACACTCTCGGGGAAGAGTGGCGACGAAATCTCCACTGCTCCACTGGTTCTGCTGGGCAATCTCCGTAGGAACCATCACCTTATCCATCTGCTCGGTCTCTTGAGGTTTGTCGATACCCTCAAGCTGGTCCTTGACAGCAGCATCCTTTAGTGTTCGCTGGTACGTCTGACCCGCCATCAATCTCGAGGGAACCACAGCCACTCTGTCTCTGAGATGCTGGTGATGCACAAACACGGTGTAAAGAGCATTTTTAAGTCGAGCATTAGATCGGCCGTCATATTTATGCAGATCGGAGTCCTTGCTCATATCTGAAGCATAAGTTCTCCACAGATGAAGCAGCTCGTAGGTGTATCTCGACTTTCTTAGAAAGAAGGACGACAGGTCGAATCCACCTTCATTGTCCAGAGCAATGACCATAATAGGATCGTTTTCCAGTCGTCTCTTTCGGGTGTCACCTTCTTCTTCCTCCTTTGTCCTCGCTTCAGTCTTGGCACGCTTATCGTAGTAGCCATCTCCATGCCGCAGTTGTCTATCTGGAAGGGCCATCTCAGCCAGCACCTCCGGGTCCAGGACCCATGATGCCACATCAACAGAAGGATGAGTGATGTAGGCGTTGTTGTCCAGCATCCATAGCCACTCCTCATGTCCCTGCTCCTGGTTGAATTTGGAATCGCCTTTGATCTGCTCCAGAGCCTCGAGAGGTCCAGTTCCAATTAGAGGTACCTGCTCAGCCTTAGCCATGACGGAGATGATAGCATCCAGATACTTCAGAGCAGCGTCATACTTAGGTTGCCAGCCTCCTCCTGCTGGAGAGTGAGGGTTAGATGCGGGGTTGGGCTTGGTCTCGACCTCAACAAAGACACATTTGACCTTGTTATGCTCATGCAAATCACAATATTGCTTTCTGTTGTCCTTGGTACGCGTCTTCTCCACTCCCTCCTGCTGGTATGCGTCGACCGGGGTCACAAGAGTGACAGAGATGTCGTTTTTTCTGTTCGAATGCTTCTCGAAGTAATCTGAATCCTTTAACTTGTTCACTCTGTCCTTTAGATTGGCCAGTCCATTCTCCTGTTCATGTTTCAGCAAGTCGTAGTTATATTGACGCTGCACCTTGTTCTTCTGGGTGCGTTCATCCTCCTCTTGTCGCTTAGAGTCCTCCGAACCGTACCACAGTTCCTCGAGAACCTTCTGCTGTGCTTTCTCATCCTTCTCTGCGTCCTGCTTTCGGGCAGTTCTGATTTTTTCCTTCATAGATTCCAGGATTAGGGCCTTCAGCTCATCCTTGTCCTTGGGGTCCAGAAAGCCTTCGACCCACACATGCTGGGGAGGCGGTTCTGCAAACCCCTGCTGTACTTCGGCACCAGCCAGATGCATTTCCAACTTGCTCATCTGGCCTCGCATCTGACCTGTCAGCTGACCAGCCAGATTCAGTGATGCCTTATTTTCGCCAATCATGCGACCGACGTCTTTGCCAGCAGTTGCTTTGTGGTTTTCTCGGTTCATGGGCGTGTCGGTGGCTTCGAGAGCCAGCCGAAGTACAGAGTGGGAAGGGTCCACTGTCGACACCTCAGTGGCAACTGTCTTTGTTTCCTCTATGGGAAGCGCTTGTGAAAGTGCAGCAAACAGCCAGAGATACGCCTTTTTGTGCACCATGGTGATATTGTCGGTATCGTTAGTTGTGTGAGTGCTGTACTTGTGTTTAAGACCGCTAGCATTGTGTAGACGCGGATGGTGCAACTCTAACCTGACGCTTATGCAATGTAGTCGGAAAGTGCCAGGGGTCTATTGTAGGATCAATTTCAGGGTCGGAGGAGTTCATGAACAGCCTAATAGTACTCGAGTCTTGATTCTACGTTTTTCTTCTCTAATCTATGACCTGGCGACTCATATATAAGGACTTGTTATCGTCACTTGCGGTGCCCACTTTTCTACCATTGGTTAAGCTTTGAGGAGCTCCCCATTTTGAGTTGAGCTTTATATGCGCCTACAATAAGTGTACACACTGGAACCTCTAGTATAAGTGCAACGCGCTTTTTTTGACTCATGGCGTGTGGGTCAAGGATTCTTAAAGCTATTGGGCGTGGATTTAACAATGACAGGTCTCCTTTGGTGCACGTGATGCGGTACATGCACACGTACAGGAACATGACTTGTACTTGAAGGTCGCTTATTGTGCATTGCATTGCAGTTCATACTGTATATCCGGATTTTTTTCTTTCGGAGACCGAAGTACATACTCTTGAGTACTTGTGTGCGGTCAAGTGTATTTAGTTTAGTTTTGTTAGAATTCGCGACTGACAATGATATGATAAAACCCTCAAATAGAAAGTACAAGTACTGTAAATTGCATATGAGGATGGCTGTAGTACAGTGTATCAAGTTCTTCTACTGTTCATACTGTATGATACATGTGAGCATTGTTCTCTACCCTCCGAGCCACTCAGCATGTTTTTTACATACTCAGGCGGAGATCAGTGTTTTAATGGCTGTGTAAACTTACGCCTTCACAAAGCAGTTGTGATAAAGAAAAGGCGGCTTCTCATCGTTCATAACAATGGCTCAATGAGGCGTAAATATATTTACGCACTCTACCAGGCTGATCTCGACAGCTGCAGCAAGTGATCGCAGCAAATTGCCTGTACTCTCGTCTCGTGGTACTTCCAACCCTTGTCCCATCGGAAACCCACAACCGATGCCGAGTAGCGAACTCTTCTTTCAGTAATGACAAGTATGTACTGTACTTGTAGTGTGAGGCTGGACTCCATAACTTTAAGATTATGTGAGCAAAGCCTCATGGACCCGGGTATCGTACTGTGTGAACAGGACTAAGGGAAAGAAACAAGCACTGACCACTCAAATTACAGTAAACAAATAAGTGTGTCATCTTACACAAAATTAAGACTAGAATTACAGTACATACAGTAGTGTTAAACACCACCCTACAATAAATCCTGTGAGAGCAGAACCTGGCCGCTTGCCATCAATGTCAGGGTCAAATCAATCAAATAAGCCAGTGATAGCCATATTACTAATTGTGCAGAGAGGGCGCATTGCGGATCATGAGAGGGCGTCACCATGGATACAGAACATGGATCGGCTCTTCAGTGGTATTGCTGAAACCAATCTGGCGTGATTCAATCGGCTTCTATCAGCGAGATGTAGCCCAATCACCATAGCTCACTTGCCCCATACCCGCGACTCTTATGCAACATTTGTCATAGGCTTAATTTTGGCAGATTATCATATACATATACATATTGTCACCACGTGACTAGGCGAAATTGTATGCAGGCTTCTGAACTCCAGGGACTCTAAACATCTCTGCTTGCAACCCCGACAGCCAGAGCAAAAAATGGGTCTCCTGTCGCTGGGAACGCCCTACGAGTGGAAAGACGCGGCCCAGTACGCCGCGCACGTGCGCAAAAACGGAATCGAGCAACTCATCAACATCTACAATGCTCACAAGGACAAAAAAACCACCCAGCTGTTGTGGGGAGACGAGGTGGAATACATGGTGGTGAAGATGGACGATAAGAAGAAGCAGGCCCTTCTGAGTCTCAACCAGGAGCTGATCCTCGATCGACTGACCGCCCAGGAAGAGAAGGGTCTTCTCAATGACGACAATGTGTCGTTCCACCCTGAATATGGCCGGTATATGTTGGAGGCTACTCCCGCACGACCCTACACCGGTGACTTCGACGACATTCTGCGTGTGGAAGGCAACATGCTTGCACGTCGACGAATTGCACAGTCGTCGATGGCCGATCGAGAGTTCCCTGTCACCCTGACCTCGTACCCTCGATTGGGAGCTCCTGGTCAGTTCACTTCGCCTTATTACGAGCCCAAGGGTGCCGCATCTCGATCGCTGTTCCTTCCCGACGAAATTATTAACACCCATGTTCGATTCCCCACTCTGACAGCCAACATCCGACGACGACGAGGAGAGAAGGTGGCCATTAATATTCCTGTTTACAAGGACGAGAAGACCATGGAGCCCTTCAATGACCCCACCATCCCCCATGAGCGAAACCTGTTCCCAAAGGAAGATGCCGAGGCCAAGACTGCAGCTCTGGTTGACCACATCTACATGGACTCCATGGGTTTCGGAATGGGATGCTCTTGTTTGCAGATCACTTTCCAGGCCACCGACATCCACGAGGCCCGGAAGCTCTACGATCAGCTGACTCCTCTCACTCCCATTCTGCTTGCTCTCTCTGCATCTTCGCCAGCCTACAGAGGTTACCTTTCTGACCAGGATGTTCGATGGAACGTCATCTCCGCATCCGTTGATGACCGACGACGGTCTGAGCGAGGTCTCGAGCCTCTCAAGGAAGGCGAGCAGTTCATTTCCAAGTCGCGATACGATTCCATTGATCGTTACATTGGAGAGGACTTGTTGGAAGATAAGGCTCGAGCAGCTCATCTCAACGACACTGACATTGCCATTAACGATGAGCTGAAGAACGACCTGGAGAAGGCTGGTTTTGACGAGCTGTTGGCAGACCATTTCGGTCATTTGTTCATCCGAGACCCGATTGTCGTCTTCTCGGAGCGACTGGAGCAAGACAACGAGAACGACAGTGACCACTTTGAGAATATCCAGTCCACCAACTGGCAGACGATGCGGTTCAAGCCACCGCCACCAAACTCGTCCATTGGCTGGCGAGTGGAGTTCCGGCCCATGGAGATCCAGATCACCGACTTTGAGAACGCTGCATTTGCCATTTTCGTGGTTCTGCTTACTCGAGTCATAATATCCTACAACCTGTCTCTCCTCATTCCCATCTCACTGATTGATGAGAACATGAAGCAGGCTCATGCTCGAAACGCCTGTCGAGAAGCAAAGTTCTGGTTCAAGAAGGACTTGTCAGACGTGAAGTCACGGGAGTATGCCAAGATGTCTGTTGACGAGATCATCAACGGATGCGATGGCTTTATCGGTCTGGTCCCTCTGATCAGACGATACCTGCACCAGATGGGTCTTAACGTCGATACCATGTGTCGATTGGGCCGATACCTGGACCTTGTGTCTCAGCGAGCATCTGGAAAGCTTGAGACGAACGCTACCTGGATCCGAAACTTCATCAGAAAGCACCCCGACTACAAGAACGACTCTGTGGTTTCGGCGGAGATCAATTACGATCTGGTTGCCGAGGTCGAGAAGCTCTCCCGGGGCGAGGACTGGAATGGCATTGGAAAGGGTATTCTTGGAGGTTTTGAGTACGAGAAGGAGTAGGTGTAGTTATAGCTATAATTATATATGAGCATGGATTGCAAATGACAAAGTAGCTGGAATGATTGTTTGATCGTACGTTGCGTACAGCAGCATTTCAGGATGCCCGCACTGCACACCTTCCCTTATGCAACGTGTTTCTCAGGAAGAGTCCTAATGAAATGTGTGGGACAGGTGTATCCGTTGACGTTCTTGTTGAGATACTTTTGGTGGTTTTCTGTTGCGTCAAAGAAGGAAGAAATCGGTTCAATTTCAGTTACAATGGGGTTCTTGTAAAAGGTCTCCTCCATTTTGTTCTTTACTGCTTCTGCCTCTTTCTGTTGAGTATCATTGTGTGTGAATATGGCTGATCGGTATTGGGTGCCCTTATCACTACCTTGACGATTGAGGGTGGTGGGATTATGCATTTTGAAGAAGAGCTCAATGAGTTCAGGATAAGAGATTTGTTTGGGGTCGAACGAGATCTGGAGAGCCTCGGCGTGTCCGGTGAGGCCAGTGCACACCTTCAGATAACTTGGGCTTTCCTTGGCACCTCCAGAGTAACCCACTCTACAATCATATAGCCCCTTTCCCTCGTACTTGTGTCGAAAGACGTGTTCCACTCCCCAGAAACAGCCTGCTGCCACTGTAGCTATTTCGCATCCCTCAGGTTGTTGTAGTTTTGGCGAGATCTTTGGTGATTTCTCATCCACGGGTTTGGAAGAGAATCTACTGAATGGCCAGACCATACTTGAGAAGGATGAGGTAAATGGGGTGCTGGAACGTTGTCTAGCCAGTAGTATGCCAAGCGGTTGAGTGAGAGTACTGGAAAAGACGTGAATCAATATTCACAAGAAAGTGAATTGTAGATGAATACAAAAGCAACTATGAGCAACTAAGAGAAGAGTGAGCAACTGACGCTAGATCATGATTAGTGGTGATAGAGCAAGGTTGAAACCTTATCTACAGTACTGTTCTACAGTGTACACACGCAACACATGAAGAGAGAGGTAAACAAGAACTGTCTTAGTACATACTGTAGGTTGGTGTTTATGACAAAAGAATGTACATTCTCCCGCTTTTATGAAATATGAGACATGTTTGGTAATATCTATTCAGACATTAATGCTCTTTCTATAGCAACTTTCTAGATTTAGGCCTTTTCCAGCAAACACCTGAGACTGTGTGGCTATTGGTCATGTGATTATCCTCGTAGAAGCACGTGATATCAGATCATGTGATCTCCAAACACTCGCACTAATGTGCTGTGTTCCTCTCAACGATATCATCTACTGTCTTAGTTAGCTGTCTTTCCGAGGAATCTAGCTGCCACAATCCAGGCGAGAATAACCGCCAAAACCACGAGAAGCTTCTGTTGAAGGGTCCAAGCAGGCTTGTTCGTTTGTGGCTTCTTCTTGTTGATGACTGTGCTCTTAGCCAAGGAGTCGGTTGAAGAACCCTCGGCCTCAACCACAGGAATTCGTCTAGGTGGCACGAAAGGAGCAGGCTCGGCCTCTTTGGTTCCTCCAAAGTGAGTCTGGAAGCTCTTGTCGTGAAGGTTCCATCTGCGCGACTCGCTGGCGTATGTCCGCTTGGTAGCTTCTGTGGATGTCATACTTCCTGCAGTATGTTCATCTGAGGTCATGAAGCTCAGCAGCCCCGTCAGGATCGTGGACACGGTCCATGCGGGGTTCCACGTGTCCGGATGGTAGTCACTTATCGACAGGCACAGTCGTGTGTTGGGCAGGAACCTGCCTGATGGAGTAATCATTTTGATGGCCGGCGGCTTGAAGGGATACTCTGATGGGAAGAGCAGCACACCGTGGTACTGTCCGCCTTCGTAGGGAGTCTCCGGGGGACCTGTGATGAGATAATGCCACTCCAGGAGATTGTTCTCTGCTGGTTTCGCGGTGATGTAAGGAGGAGCGTTTTCCTGTATCGACGCGTACTCCTTGACTAGTCGTTTGTTAGCTGCTTTGGTCGCCATCGGAATGGAGTCTGTGTGATGCGCAGCTTTGGCGTGCAAATGGTTCTGATGGCGGCTTGATCAAATCTGTTTTTGCAGATTGTAGCTATTACAAGTAGTGTATGGGAGAGGTTCTGGAAGAACAACGCAGATAAAGTTCGTCGGTATCGTGATTCTACAAGTAGGTGCATTAGGGGTGCCTAGGGATATGACCTTCGTGATAGTAAATGTTTGTTTGAGTGAAGACCAAGTTAAACAACGACTGGAGTATATCTCAGAAGTAAATTCGATGACACCCCGAAGAAAACATGACTTTTGCCTCTCATTTCGGTTGCCACATATTCTGAACTACTATGGCTTCTACCCTAATCGGGAAGTGTATATAGCTTTACCGTTGAGTTGAAATCGTATTGGATAGGAGTATGTAAGCGACGTAGTGTACAAGCACTTGTACAAGTAGCAGATCACTCCAGGCATCAGAGCGCCTTTATTCTCTCATGGCACTCCTCATATCCACACCAACTCCGACTCCATGTACTTGTACTTGTACTGGTATACCTCATCGATTCAGATGGTCTATTCATTCATTAAATAAGGGTGACGTTCAGAAGACGTTCCAACGTGTACTTGTACTTGTACCCGTATCAACATATGTATCGTTTGATCCAGTCGCCAGGCCGCTGCCGATAGCCTCAAACAAATCTACTTCAGCGATTTACTGCTTGTCCTTGGCGACACCGGCGGGGAAAGAGCCCTGCGTGGTCTCCTTCTTGTCCTTGCAGTCGGGAACGGGGTCGGAGGGAACAACTCCAGAGGGAAAAGAGCCGGAAGCAGTGGGGATTTTGTCGCTCATTGGGAATGTAGTGTGGGTTTGTTTTTGGTGTTGAAGAAAGAGTATTCGCTCAGAGAGACTGGATATTTATATATTGGCGCCGTTGGGGCCTGCAGCAGCAACCGAATCATTGAACTCTGTCACCAAGGTGCGGTGTCTATGTAGATGGAAGTTTGTGGAAAAGAGAGACGCCGTTGGATGATGTCATGGAGAAAGATACGTCCGTGAAAAAACACATTTGCGAGTTACAGTGACCATAAGGGTAATCCCACCGATCAAGTAGCAAAACATTAATCATTTATTGAGGATGCTCAAGTTACTTTAATAAGTCCTGTAGACCAAAAAAATTGCCTTCGACCAGATTTGAACTGATGATCTCAGCATTACTAGTGCTGCGCCTTACCACTTGGCCACGAAGGCGAAATTTCTTTCATGTCAGAAACCAGATCCGGTTTAGTCAGTAGTTCAGCTCAGACCAGCGGCAACCTCGAGTCTGGATAAGACATGAAACGATTGATTTGATTTCTTGATCTGTTAGCCATGATTCACTACCACGAGACCACGAAAATGACATCAACTAGACGAAGCGTCGACAAACCAACCGACAGCGCCCCGCAGCGCACATCGCAAAGATTCAGAAGTGTATGATTTATTGAACGCCAATAACCCGGCTTACTAGGTATATAACTGTAATGAATCATTAGAATAAAAATATATAATTAATCTGTTACTTTCCTTTCCATTAAGAGATTAATATGTCAGAGTATCTAAAACATTTGGCTTTATCCGGTTGTAGGGCTGTTGCCTCATGGGCTTCTCTTCTACGGTCTTACCGTCGAATTTGTACCAATAATTTGACTTGAGTTTGTTACTGTAGCCCAGAAATATCCTTATTCGTCTCTCTCCACTACAGTATGTACATACTCCAGGTAGGAACACTACAAGAAGCGCCACACCACTCCCGTACCCCCCCTACCTATCAACCTCAACCAGCCTGGGGGCCGTGCCGCCTACATAGTTATATATGGAGCCTGTCTTCTCAGATACATTCTTCTAACTCTGGGTTACTAATCCAGCTTGACGGCTTGTACAAAACCATTGCCGAACTCCCAAATTTATGCGACAATCCTCCAGTATCCACCACCGCCACCAATTGTGGAACATGATAAGGTTCAGGGTTCATGCAAGGTGCAAAAAATTTGGGATTGTAGGTAAAATAAATTTCAGTCCATTGGTGCTACTCTCGCACACATACATCATACGAAAATGAAACGAAAGCATTCTGAGGTGTCTGAGAAGACGAAATCAGAAAAACCGGAATACAAGTCAAGCCTCAAGATGGAGGAGGGCGCGTTCCCCCGAGGAGGAGCTGGAGTGCTGTCTGCCATGGAGATTCGACAGACTGCCGATGAAGCTGCGAAGGACCTGTTCGAGGAATCACAGGCCGCCAAGAGCTCCAAGAAGAAGGGTGGAAGAAAGGCAAAGCAGGCTGTGACGAGCGACATTGTTGCGATCCAGTCTCTTTCTCTGGACAATATCTCTGTTGGTTCCATTATTCTCGGACGAATCGTCAATATCCAGTCCACCGCTTGTGTCGTTTCGCTGCCCAACAACCTGCATGGTTTCGTGTCTTGTGTTCAGGTCAGTGAGGCACTCAACGCCAAAATCGAGGAGGGCGAGGAGTTCGACCTTTCGGACTACGTCAAGGAGGGACAGTGGGTTCGAGCTTCTGTCGTCGATACCTCTAACAAGCGTCTGGGTCTCAGTCTGCTGCCCAAGGATGTCAACAGGGATATTGAGGACAGTGACATTGACGCAAACATGGCTCTGCAGGTTGAGGTCAAGTCGAAGGAGGATAAGGGTTACGTTGTTGCTACCGGTATCAAGGGCAAAAAGGGCTTTATCAAGGACACCGACGTTGAACTCAACAAGGGACAAATCGTGTTGGCTTGCGTGCTTCGAATCAGTGGCCGAACAATCACCCTGGACACAGAGCATACCGGTGAGGCCGTCCGGCAACTAGAGGACTTCTCCAGCGCTGTCGCTGGTACCCCAGTCACAGTCGTCACCACCGATAAGCGAAATAACGGAGCAGTGGTTTCCGTCTTCGGTTCCGTTGATGCCACCATTGATCCCTTCCAGGGATCCTTTGGCCTTGAGGAAAAGACTAGCTCTGTTGCCCGAGTTGTCGCTACTCTCGACCGTGGTGCCAGCGGCAAGCGAATGCTTCTCTCTGCTCTGCCCCACGTCGTCAACTTGGAGGATGCTGACCCCAGAATCGGTGAGGCTTTCCTTCCTGGACAAGTTCTGGGCGTCAAGGTCACTCATGTCGTTCAGCACGGTCTGTTTGTTGAGCTCGCCGAGAACATTCCTGGTTTCATTCACATCTCCAAGCTCGCTGATGAGAAGACCGATTCTACAGCCGACTACGAGGTTGGCCAGACTCTTGATGCCAGAATTATCGCTTTTGCCCCCCAGGACGAGATGTACGTTTTGTCTTGTGAGCAGTCTGTCATGGATGCCAAGTACATTGCCACCAGTGATTTGTCTGCTGGTGACAAGGTCGAAGGTACTGTAACTAGGCATCTCCCCAAGGGCGGTATTATCGTGGCACTGTCATCTTTCATCACCGCTGTTGTGCCTGCTGCTCATCTTGTTGATGCCAAGATGGCCAACCCCGAGCTCAAATTCAAGATTGGATCCAAGATAAAGGGCCGACTTCTCGGTGTGGACAGCAGCGGTTGCCGAATGACCATCAAAAAGTCTCTCTACAACTTGCCTAAGGACGATTTTATCTCCTACGCGTCTGAGATTGGCGACATTGGTTCTGGAACAGTTGTAAATGTCAAGCCTGGAGGGTGTGTCGTCGAGTTCTGGGACAACTCTCAGGCCTGGCTTCCTGCTGGAGAGGTGTCTGAGGCTTTCATCGCTGACATTACCAAGCATTGTCGAGTTGGCCAGACCGTCAAGATCCGAATTCTGGATATCAACCCTGAGAAGCAGTCTATGCAGGTCTCCTGCAAGCTCTCCAAGGTTGCCGCTGAGCATGTCTCTGGTGCCTACGAGGGCATCTCTCTTGGAGACCTTGTTACCGGTAAGATCATTGACAAACGAGGTGACTTTGTTATCGAGATGACCGTTGGTGATGTCGATCTCACTGGCGTTGTTCCTCGAAACCTGCTCCCTCCTAGTCACAAGAAGCTGCGTGTGGGAGACAAGCTGGAGTGCGTTGTCCTTGCCAAGCAGCCGTGGATGAGCTCTATGACTCTCGGTGCTCATCCTGACATCATCAAGGGATACCATAACAAGACTCTGATCAAGGAGACTCCTTCTGTTGGCCAAACTGTCACCGGTTGGGTCCAGAACGTCAACCAGCACGGTGTCTTTGTGTCTTTTGCAGGTGTTGTCGGTCTTGCTCCTCAGGCATCTCTTAGTGATGACTCTTATGACAAGTTCCAGGTTGTCAAGGGTCGAGTGACTTCTGTCAACGGCGACAAGTTTGCGGTCTCTATTGGAAAGTCTCTCAATGGTCCTGCCGTCAACCCCGTTGACCCCAGCATCTCTACCATTGCTGACTACTCTGAGGGTAAGAAGACCGAGGGTATTGTTACTGCTGTTCTCCCCTCCTTCGTCTCTGTCCGTCTTTCCGACAACCAGAACGGTCGAATCTCACTCTCTCAGCTCGAAACTCCTGTTGAGAAGGACGATAAGATCTCTGTGACCGTACTTGGTCCCTCTTCTCAGGGTGATCAGATCGAGCTGGCTACTAACGATGTTCGACTTTCTATCAATAATCTTGAGGAGGGCAAGGCTTACCCTGGTGTCGTTGTTCAGTCTACTGCGGACTCCATTTGGGTGGCTCTGTCTGCCTACATTGTCGGCCGTCTGGATCGAGCTGATGTTCAGGAGGCTGACTTCGCTGATGCTGTTGGTGACCTTGTCGAGGTTTCTGTCTGCGGTATTGAGGGTGACAAAGTCAAGCTTCGAGGAGCTCAGTCCGAGGAAAAGTCTGAGGGCTTCTCAGAAGAGGCGCTGCCCGCCTCCAACGGACTTCAGGGTGCTCAGGTGACTGCTCGAGTCAAGAAGATTGAGGTTGACTACGTTCAGTGCACTATCAACGTCAATGGCAAGTCCTCCACTGCCACAGCCTCTCTTGTGGATGCTGTCGATGATTACTCTCTCAAGCTCAGCAATGTCTACGACATTGGTGAGACTGTTCCCGCTGTCATCTGCTCTGCCAAGGAGCCCTACGCCATTTGCATTCGAAAGAACCCGGAGGGTGTCGATCCTCTCCCTTCGCTCCCCCTCAAGCGAGGTGACAAGGTCAAGGGTGTCGTCACTGGTATTGCTGCCGGTATCTTCGTTGCTATTGGCCACGGCATCGATGCTCGAGTCAAGATCACTAACTTGTCCGACTCTTTCCTCATGGACTGGAAGAAGTATTTTAAGATCGGTCAAATCGTCACTGGTCGAATCATGGGCTTCTCTGACAAGGGTCTCCCCGACATGTCTCTCAAGCAGCGTCATATGACTGGTGACAAGCTCATTGAGGGTCCCCAGGATCTCACTGTTGGCCAGAAGTACGACGGTTCTGTCCAGCGAACTACCGACTATGGTGTCTTTGTCAACATTGGAGACGCTACTGGTCTGTGTCATAGATCCGAGATTGCCGACACCCCTGTTGGTGATTGCTCAGAGCTCTTTAATTCGGGTGACAAGGTCCGAGTTATTGTTCTCAAGATTGAGGGCAGCAAGGTCTCGCTTGGAATGAAGGCTGCCTACTTCGAGGGTGATGAGGATGACAATGACGAGGAGGACAGCGATATCGAGATGGAGGTCGAAGAGGACTCCGAGGAGGATGAGGAAGACAGTGAGGATGATGAGGACGAGGACGACTCTGAGGATGAGTCTATCCCCACCATTCGATCTACCAAGCAGCAGCAGAAGAAGGCCAAGTCCACTGCCATGGATGTTGGCTTTGACTGGTCGGGAGACGTCTTCGGAAAGGAGGAGGAGCAGAATGGTTCTGATTACGATGATGAGTCTGACGAGGAAGATGATGCCCCCAAGTCTCGAAAGAAGCGAAAGACTCAGATTGCTGACATCACTGCTGATCTTTCGACTGCCACCCCTCAGTCTGTTGGTGATTACGAGCGTCTGCTTGTTGGCAACCCCAACTCCTCTGTTTTGTGGATCTCCTACATGTCTTTCGTCATGCAGCTCTCCGAGCTTGAGAAGGCTCGAGAGATTGCCCAGCGTGCTCTTAAGACCATCTCTTACCGAGATGAGGATGAGAAACTCAACGTCTGGCTCGCTCTTCTCAATTTGGAGAACACTTTTGGCACTCCCGAGTCCACCGACAAGACCTTCAAGGACGCTGCTCAGTACATGGACGCCGAGACCATCTACATGAAGATGGCTGACATTTACGCTGCTTCTGACAAGAAGGACAAGGCAGACGAGGTCTATGCCAAAGCTGTCAAGAAGTTCTCTGGCTCCATGGAGGCGTGGATCAAGTACGCCACTTTCCTGTTTGATAACGAGCAGGCTGCGAAGGGCCGAGTTCTGTTGGATCGAGCCACCAAGGCCCTGCCCAAGCGAGACCATCTCCAGTGTGCCATCAAGTTCGCCCAGCTTGAGTACAAGTCTGGAGATGCTGAACGAGGCCGAACTCTTCTGGAGGGTCTGGTGTCTGTCTACCCCAAGCGAACCGATCTGTGGTCTCAGTTTGTCGACTTTGAGATCAAGTATGGCCAGGACAAGACCAAGATCGAGGCTCTGTTTGAGCGAGTTGTTGCCTTGCCCAAGTTGTCTCTCAAGCAGGCCAAGTTCTTCTTCAAGAAGTGGTACCAGTACGAGGTTGAGTCTGACGACGACAAGGCCGCCGAGTACGTCAAGGCCAAGGCGGCGGATTACGTTACTCAGCGAACAAAGGAGGATGAGGAGGAGGATGAGGAGGAGGATGAGTAAAAGAACGGTGGATTGTTGGTTTGTGATAGTATTGGTATTAATTGATTATTAATGATAGAATTACGTTAAGACTTGTACCTGTATTGTATATAGTAGCAGTAAGCGAAGACTATTGGAACAAGTACCGGTGGTCCTGCTTGACTTGTGGGTCCGTGCCCACAATGCCTCAAAACGCCAGATGGCGTGAGCCCATTCTCGGATGAAGTTCATGAGGTCAAACTGAGCCTCAACTAGCACACTATCCTCCATTGTGGCCTGGGCCGGGTATCTGAAGACAGGAAGACGACACAGTCGGAGCATGTGGAGCTTTTCGGCCCTCCGGGCATTTATCCTGTTATGATTGCCTGGTAGCTGGTTTGCTTGTAGCCAAAGTTCATGTTTGGGGTCGCGTTCCTGATCGAGCAGGGCCATCCAAACATAGTTCTTCATGACAGTGAAATGCTTGTGCCAATTGCCCATGGCCTCACGGGGCGTTATCGGCAGAAGGAATAAGAGATTATCGATCTACACTTCGGACATCAGGGCCATGGGGGGATCCACACGTTGCTGGTAGAAGGAATTTTTTTATTATTTTTCTATGGAAATACATTTCAACTACTTGATGCCTACAAACAATGTTATACCCGAATATCGGACTCGGTTTTTTTTATTTTTTTATTTTTTTATTCTCATGATTCATTACAGCTATATACCTACTTGTAGTAAGCCGGGTTATTTGCGTTCAATAAATCATACACTTCTGAATCTTTGCGATGTGCGCTGCGGGGCGCTGTCGGTTGGTTTGTCGATTCATGGCATTCTGAGTTGAACTGCTGACTAAGACGGATCTGGTTTCTGACATACATGTAATCCGCGCCGATGGTTTAGTGGTAAAATCCATCGTTGCCATCGATGGGCCCCCGGTTCGATTCCGGGTCGGCGCAGTGTGGTTACGGCCATATCCTGGTGAAAATACGGCTTCCCGTCCGATCAGCCATAGTCAAGCACCAGAGAGCCTAGCTAGTATTGTAGTGGGAGACCATACGAGAATCCTGGGTGCTGTAATTTTTTTTGGCCCCGATTCACCTGAATGTTCTGTGGCATGTTTGGTGCAACATTGTTTTTATCTGTTCACAATCACCAGCTCTTACAGTAACTACGAAGGCAATTCTTAATTATTCACACAATGGTCATTCTATCATTGGGCAAACTGAACCTTCCCAACAACCATCATATCAACAACCCACTAAGTGATACCTCCAAATAATATCATTCGTTATGTGGAGAAGCCTGCTGCCGTTACTTGCACTCATACATTGGACACAGGCAGCATGGTGGATCACAGAAGATACCCGGTGTGACCCTCTACAGAAAGGCTGGTTGCCATACACAGGATGGAGATTCTTTCGGTCATTTGATTACTCCTTTGGTTTGAGAGCACTCGCGTCTGGTGGCTTTCCGATCAGCTCAAGGCACTTTATTCGAATGACCCACTGCAATATGGGCAAGGTGGACTATGAAGCTGGAGTGCCCTGTCAGCGGAGGGACGACTTCGTGTGGAACACAGACTACTGCATCTCGCCTACTACGTGCTTTCGGCCTGTCCGACGTAAGAAGTACGCCACACGAGACATGGCAATCTACCTTCCCTTTGCTACCGTGGTAGGAGGTCTGTTCATCTGTCCTAATTTTCGAGCTACTGGTATCAATTGCACCAACGAAAACGCAGTTCCAATCAAACCGCTGATAGCAGACTTCGCGGGATACAAATGGACGGAATACCCAAGCTACACCAACGTGGAACAACAGGTTCCATACTTGTACACTCCAGATATACTGGATGTGCGGTTCCGAAAACCTTTCACTAGCGAAGATTGGTCGGAATTTTTGGACGTGAATGAAGATTACGACTGGTCTAATGATGATCGTACTGCTATAAACAAGGCTGTCACGGACTCTCTGAACTTGCTGCATGGTTACCTAGATGCTTCAGATGGGGTTCTAGCGCAAGCTACCTCAGGGAGTCATTGGAGAACCATGTTTGGACAGCTTGAGGGAGCTACTCGGGAATTCGTTTCTGATACTCTTCGTTCCATGGCAGATAGAATCAGTGTTAAAGAAAAGAGAATAAGATAATAGATGGTATAGACAAAAAACAAGCAAAAAATAAAACAAATAACAAAAACATATATACTATCGTATTATGTCGTGTCTCACATGCCAATCATATTGTAGCGGGTACTGTATTGTGTTGAACAGTTGAACTTCAAGTACTGTATGTACATACTGTACAGGACAAGGCTGAAATTTGGGGTGAACCTAAACATAACCGTTCAATAAACGCGTGGCAATTACTGATGAGTGATTACAACACTGTGGACATCGCATAATGCAAATATTTATATGCAAACTTATCATTTTAGGGGTTCATATTAGAATGGTAAAGTCTTAGCTCCCCAGTCCTATCCTTCACACCTGTTGTTGACCACCTCTTTTACATCAGATCAACCCCTCCCCCTACCTGCATGAGTCTAACCGCACATACGTATCTGGGTGCATCTACCCAAGCACACCTCTCAACCCAACGACACCTCATGTTCGATCTGGCGACGCTGGATACACGGCTGGGGCCCTCAGACGATGTCAAAAGACGCGACGGTGTTATCGCCAAAGCTGGACCGTCGCGATGGAGATCTCCCGAGTTCATCGCATACTACATCATTCACCTGATTGCGCTGCCCATCATGTTCAAGGGTGCTTACGACGCGTCCAACCCACCCAATCCCAACTACGAGCTCATCAAGAAGGACCTGGAACCCGGCTGGATTTTCGGACGAAAGGTGGACAACACAGACCACCAGTATTCTGGTTTCAGAAACAACCTGCCGTACCTGGCTGCTGTGATTGTGGCCCAGCAGCTGCTCAAGAAGCTGTTCAAGCTATTCAGCAACGACAGCCGGTTTTTCGATGTCGGCTTTGCATTTGTGTTTCTGATTGTGGCTCACGGGATCTCCACAGTGAAGATTCTTGCCATCATCATTGCAAACTACTTGATCGGAAGCAAGATCTCAAACTCCAACGCAGGAACAATTGCCACCTGGATTTTTGGAATCGCAATCTTGTTCGCCAACGAAAAGGCGCTGGGATACCCATTCACCAAATACTGTCCCCCTCTGGCATTCCTGGATGACTATGCTGGTCTCATGCCCAGATGGGATGTCACATTCAACTTCAGCATGCTTCGAATGGTGTCGTTCAATGTGGACCGATACCGCGCAGTTGATGGAACGACCGAACAATGGCCATTGGACACAAAGGGAGAAATTGATCTGTCGAAGTCCAAGACCGGAGAAGGAGAGAAGAGTACCTCCCTTACTGCTTCCGATATCAGCGAGCGATCACGAATTGATATCAGTCACTCACCATCAACCTACTCCATGTACAATTACCTTCTCTATATGCTGTATAGTCCTCTGTTTATGGCGGGTCCTATCATGACATTCAATGACTTCATCTTCCAGCACAAGAAGGGCCCTCTGGCTTCGCTATCTTTTAAGCGAGTCTCCGTTTACGCCTTGCGACTGGTGTTTTGCATCTTTGTCATGGAAACCCTGTTACATTACTGCTACGTAGTTGCCGTGAGTCAGGAGAAGGCCTGGGATGGAGATTCGGCTTTCCAGATCTCCATGATCGGTTTCTTCAACCTGAACATCATCTGGCTCAAGCTACTGATTCCTTGGAGACTGTTCCGACTATGGTCCATGGTTGACGGAATTGATCCTCCAGAAAACATGGTTCGATGCATGGACAACAATTTCTCCGCACTATCATTCTGGAGAGCTTGGCATCGGTCTTTCAATCGATGGATCATTCGGTACGTGTACGGCCCCATTGGAGGTTCTTCGCGACCTGTGCTCAACTCTCTTATCGTCTTCTCTTTCGTGGCCATCTGGCACGACATTCAGCTTAGACTGCTTGTATGGGGTTGGATGGTGGTATTCTTCATCATCCCCGAGTTGACCGCTACCTTCATCTTCAAGCGTCCTCAGTTTACGAGCAAGTGGTGGTTCCGACACCTCTGTGCTGTTGGAGCAGCTCTCAACATATGGATGATGATGATTGCAAACCTGGTGGGCTTCTGTGTGGGTCTCGACGGCATGGGAGACATGCTCAGGCAAATGTTTGGAACCCGAGACGGCATCATATATTGCATTAGTGCCTCATGCGCACTATTCGTTGGCTCTCAGGTCATGTTTGAGGTACGGGAGAGCGAGAAGCGGCGTGGGATCAACATCAGATGCTGATTCTTATAATTTTGTAGACATTGTCATATTACCATAGCTAAAATTACTATGCTAAGCCTATTCATCTGTCTATGCTACTTACCCATCTATCTATGCTACTCATCCTTCTTGTACTGTCCAGGAGTGACGATCTTTCCCTTTTGTTGAAACATGCCTATTTTCTTCTTTCGAGCATGATCCTCGAGCTTCTGAAACAGCTTACCTTTGCCGTTGAACTCGGCTCCCATCTTGCCCTCGTATTTGACACCCCAGCCATTTTTCAGCATCTCCGTGGAAACGTCCTTTCGTCCAGTAAGTTTCCACACCTTGGCACCTCCAACAATACGTCCGTATTGATCCGGTGAGAATAACTTGACACGCACATTTCGTCCAAGGATATAGCTTCGCAGCCACTCTAATGCCTCATCTCCATAAGGCTGCCCTTGTCTGCCAAAATGAGGTCTCTCAGGGGCATCCACTCCATACAGACGGATGTGTAACGTCTCCTTCCCAAGGCCTCTTTTGTTAGTCTCAGGGTAGGGCCTCAACCAGCCCCAGCCAGCCAATCTTCCACCAGGAGTATGATAAAAATGAAAGTTGTCTCCATCCCCCACAGACGTCACTCTGCCGAAAAGAGTCCGTCCTCTGTAAATCTTTTTTGGGACTTCCGCAGTACAGGTGAACCGTCGGAAATAGCGGCTGTACACATAAAAGGAGCTGAGAATGCCTCCTGTGAGGATCGATGTATAGAACACAACTCTCGCTGTGTTGGAAGCCTTGTTGGAGTCCTCGGGCATTTCTTTTGGGGTCGTGTTTGGATCGTGATCTGGAGATGTTTGGATCAGGACTAGGGTTGGGTGGAGTGCATGAACGTTAAATGGAAATGATACCCGGAATATTGGGGACTATCAGGGACTATCCAGTATTTTTTACTTTTTGGTATTGCTGGAGATATGGTGCAAATAATGGGTAGACAATTTCCGGCGAGAATTATAAGTGTCGCGTCATTCCTTCACTACGTGATAGCCCCATGCGAAACCTCCTGAACACTTCATTTCGCTTACCTGCAGGTCAGGGGACGTGTTTTGGGGTAGCTACAAGTACAAGTATGAAAGTGTAGGCTTATATACAGTAATTACTGTAGTTACATGTAGTGTCAAAAGGTATGGGTCACACCCCCAAAAAAGATGAATGTCATCATAGAACCACGGGGATACCTTCCAAAAATTTCCCCCAAGAATATCGTGGCCCTTCTACAAACATCGGTGTGTCGATGTACAATATTGTACATACTGGGACTTCTGTTCCCGTAGCATGTCACATGACCATTGTAACCGAATATATATACTCAAATACAGGCTATATTACTGTATATAGGAGGTACAGTATGTAGTCTTTAGGCCTGTTTACAGAACAACAGTCGAAATGATACCACCAGCGAAACTGAGGAGCGCTAGGAACACTCGCACTAGGTGGTGAGCTGACCACAGACTCAAGAGCTCCTTGACGTTCTGGCCCTTGACGGTCTCTAGACGAACAGCAAACAGTTTGGTCAGAGTGGGCCACATGATAATTCTAGTATATGGCAGGATAGCAAACAATGTGGCTGCCGAATAGGCCAACAATCTGCTAGACGAAGGGTTGTACCATGCTCGGTCCTTACGAGGTTGGTTGTAAGAACCCTTGGGGTGCCGTTCCAGATATGCAGCTCCTCCGAATGAGGCAGTTCCCAGAATCGAAAAAACAGGAAAGGCGACCTTTCCCACTCCGTAAATAAGATCAAATAGGTTGTAGGCCTCATTTGTGGGCAGTTTTTGAAAGACTGGGCGCAAGTACAGAGTCGTCATGAGAGTGCCTCCAGCTGCAAGGCCTGAGAAGAAAATACCGGAAATTTTGAGAGCAACATCGGGATAGAGGCAATGGGGACACTCTGGGTCACTTTCGATGTGGGCTTGTTCAGGCATTGTTGTTGAGGTGTGGGAGTAGCAAGGGGTTAGTGTGGCTGATAAGGAAAAGGTGGCGCTTCGTTATGCATGATAGCAACTCTGATGTTTTTAGTCTGCAAGTTGGTATCATAGAGAGGGGTATGTTTGAGTCGAGAGGGTATGATGCTGAAGATAAAAGGCCGTACCGATTAGAACCAGTAGCGCCGTTTCCAACTATATATTAAGCGAACCAGTTCAATTCACAGGTATCATTTGATAACCTGCGATAATTACACATGTAGCATTTTTTCTTCTTTTTTTTTCTTCTGCATATACACATTGATTTAATGCAGCATTATCAACAATAATATCAACTACACCTGGAGAAGTCAACTAAAATCAACAAATATTGACATCACACCACGTTAAGAAAGTACAATATGTCTACTTGTACAATGATGAAATAAAAAATAATACATTAATAAATAAGACACTCGGTGTCGCATAAATAACCTCCCAAAAGTCTCGACATCTAATTGTTTCCTCCCCCTTGCCCTCATTACTCCATCTTGTCTCTGAAAGCTGCCAATAGTGGTGGGAAGCCCAAAGAAGCAGCCTTCTTGTCCTCGATTCGAGAAGCAAAAGCACCGGCAACTCCACCAGCTCTGGGCTTGGAAGGAACGCTGTACTGTGGTGGCTTGATGATCGGGGTGTCCCTGTCCCCTCCCAGAAGGTGGGACTTAAAAGACGCAGGCATTGGACCAGGGCTTCCCTGATGACCCATGGACGGCGAGTTGGTGCTGGGAGTCTTGCCCCAGAAAGGCGGGGGTCGATGTTCAGCAGCAACCTGAGAAACTGGCGGTGGTCTGGTGCCAGTCAGGTTCACAGATCCCACATCTCCAGTGATAGCAGCCAGTTGCTTCTCGAACTTCGGATCCACAATAGTCTCCTCGGGGACCTCATCCTGTTTAAGATCCACTCGGTCCTCGGGATCAGTCTGCATGATATACTCCAGTCGCTCCTCCATAGTCATGTCTTCCACCTTCTTTGTAGGCTTCGGGGGCTTAGGCTTCGGGGGAGGTAAGACGGGCTCCACAACAGGAGAAAGAGGCAGAAAGGGCTGAGACGAGGAAGAAGGTCCCATAGAGTTCAGGTTGAGAGGCTCCTTCACGGGTTCATGGATGTTGAAAATGGGCTTGTTAGCAGCCTCGAGAGCCACGTCTGAAGGAAGAGCATGATTGTGGTGATCCAGCTTGAAAGACAGAATCTTGCCTCCACCAGAAGTGTTGAGTCCAGGCCGTGGAGCTGCTCCATTTCCTCCGTTGAGGTTAACTGTCAGCAGACCAGCAATGCCCTCCAAAGACCCGTTGAGCACCTTGCCTCCCTCGTTGACCTTGGCCGTGACCTCTTGCAGCAGCTTGGGGTCCTTGATGAGGGACGAAATGGCATTGTTGAAGTTCTCCAATGCGTCAATCTCACCCAGCGACTCCAACAGTGTTCGCAAGTGCTCAGCGCCAGGTAAGAACTGTTCCTCCTGGCGATTTCGCTCGGCCATCTCCGAACGCTGCAACCGTTTTCGACGTCTCTTGGTGTACTCGGCGTCGATCCACTTGGACTTTTCGTCGGAGTCGTCTGGTCCAAATTTGACGTTGGCTCGCTTGTGCACTCGACACCGCAGATCATTGTCTTTGTTCCGATCTGAATTGATGACTCGCCACTGCTTCTTTCTGTTTCGGTTGGCTTCTCGAATTTCCTCTCGGTGCTGCTCGGAAAAGCCCTGAGACTTTCGTCGCAGATTATAGGGATACCCATCTGCGGGCCCAAGACTATCCAGAGCAGCCTGGATGGCCTCGATAGCATCAGGAGAGACGTCATCATCATCTTCCTGTTGAGTCTGCGAAATAACCTGCTTGGCAAGCAGAAATGCAGCCAGAATGGGATCCTCACCATCGTCCTGTGCAGTAATAGCATTGTTATTTTGGTTACTGTTTCGGAACCGCTTAGCAGCTCCAGAGGGCTCAATCATCGAATCAGCAGCTCGCTTCTGACGAAGAGTGTTCACAGACATCTGTGAAGAGTCTCCCTTTCCAGCAGAAGTAGACAGCTGGTCTAAAAAGGACTGGTCCACATTAACACCAGACGAGATGAGCGTTTCAAGCAGTGCAGCAGAAGACTCTTGGTCCAAAGACAGATTTTCTGCACTCTCTTCGGGCTCCAAACCGTCAAACTTTGTAAAATCAATCTGTCCTTGGTCAGGCAAAGGTCGATGTTGAGGCTCCTCTGCTCCTTCTTCGTTCATAGCCATGGCCAGAGCGTTCATCAGAATCTCGTTGATGGGTTCTTCTTCGGTCTGCGGTTGAGGCTGAGAAACTTGGGATTGGGAAGAGGTGGAGGAGCTCTGCTGGAAATGCTGAGCAGGAGTAATGGCTATCTGCTGTTGAGACGGCTGAACAGGCTGTTGGTGCTGTTGGCTCTGGGAAGACTGAGCAGGTCGTTCGATCTGGAACTGATGCATCTGTTGCTTCAGCTGCTGCTCATGGTCAGGCTGAGGAGATCGGGGACGTCTAGGAGCAAAATTGGGCCGGGAACGAGGCTGCGTCTGTCGCTGACGGGGTTGGGGAACTTGCTGGGCAGGCAGATCGTCGTCGTAAACAGCACTCTCTTCACCCTGCTGCAATCCGTGTAAATGCTGCTGAAGCTGCTGCCAGGTAATGTCACTGATACTCTCTTTCCGCTTGTTGATACTTTCACGCCGTTTCTCGTTCAGACTTTGAGTGATGAGCTTTTCAATGTCACCGAAGTCGAGATTAAAACCCTCAGTCAACTCGGCTGCTCCAGCAGGCTCCTTGCCCTTGTCATTCTCACCTTGGCCCATCAGATCAGGGTCAATCGTGGAGGTGTCACCAACGCCACCTTGAAGGGACGGCTCAATATGCTCCTCAAGAGGAGGTTCAGGCTGTCGGTGCTGCTGCTGCTGTTGTTTTTGTCTTTCCGTGGCAGCAGCAACCTCAGACTCCAGAGTTCGTCGGAGTTCTGCCAAATCATCAGCAGAACCCTCGAACTGAAAGTCCTGGTGAAACGGCTCAGGCTCCTGAGGACGTTCCGTGTCATGTGCAATATCCTCAGGTCCTTCATGACTTTGTTCCTTCTCGCCCTGCTTCATCACAGCGTCGTTGACGGCTCCTAGAGCCGCCTCCAGGGTAGCTTCGATACCACCCGTCAGCTCACCAAGATCACCAAGACCTCCGAGAGATGACAACCGGTGGTCATCCTGTGATTGTGAATCCAGCGATGGTAGTTCTACCTGCTCCTCAGACCGGGGCTCCTTCTGAGGCCGCGGCTGCTCCTGTGGCTCTTGTGGTCGTTCCTTTTGCGCGTCCGGTTGCATCTGAGACGGTTCGGGTACAGCCTGCTGAGCAACATCCTTATCCGCTGGACAATCCTTTCGAAGTTCCTCAGCCTGCGATTGGGGCTCTTCTGGCTTCTCCTGCCTATCCTCCTCAGGTTGTTCTGTCTGAGTCTGGGTGTTAGAGGCAGATATCGCGTCAGAAAGAGCGGTGACGGCCAATGAAATGTCGTCTTCCGAAGGCTGGGCAACTGTTGGCTCCTCGGTAGGTCGAGAAGGCTCCTTTGGAGCAGTCTCAGGCGACTCAGAAACAGGAAACTGCTTGTGAGAAGTCTCGAACGGCTCAGAAGCAGCTTCGGGAGCAGGGCTGGTAGGTTTATCGGCCTTGACAGCCTCCTGGGTCTGACCCTCAACAGTATCTGCCTCCTGTTGGCGTTGAGCATGAGCATTGATAACCTCCGTGAGTGCAGCCAGCGCGTCCTGGTCAGGAGCAGTGTCTTCAGACTCCTGCAGCTGCTCCCCAAGCTCATGAGGAAGACCCTTCAACGTTTCCGTCAGCTCCGCTAGTCCCTCAGGAAGAGAAAACATCTCAGAATCGTCATTGTTGCTTTCCGACGCGTCAACGCGTTGTTGCTCTGGAGCAGGCTCACATTCCTGAGTAGTCACATCTTCGTCACGGTCCTGCGGTTCTTGGGGCTGCTCCTGAACAGGCTTCGGTTCCTGAACTTGAGGATCCTCAGGCGTTTCCTTGGGCTGGTCCTCCTGCTGCTGTTGCCCGGGCTCATCATGATCTACATTCCATAACCCTTCCAGGGAGCCACCTCCCATCAAAGTCTGGACATTGGCTAGCAAACCTGAAAGATCAATCTCCCCCTGCTGCTCTCCATCTTGGCTTTCCTTTCGTTGTCGATGCTCTAGTTGTTTGTGTGGTTGCTGTTGTTGCTGGTCACTTCCCTCTTGTTGCTGTATCGCGTCAGACGGACCATGGTGGGACTCCTGAGCAGGTTCAACCTGGTTCCAATCATGTCCAAGCTCGTCAAAGGGCTCGAACTCGGCTGGCGGATGCTCCTCGCCTCCCTCACTGTCCTCAACGGTCCCATCCATGGCTTGGAGACTCTCCATCAGAGATTCCAGAGCTCGAAGCTCAACCTCACCTTCCTTGTCGGACATGGCTGCCACCAAAGGGGTCAAGTGCGGTCAAAGACTGTGGCTGATAATAATCGATTAACTATAGGTGCAAACACGCTTGTTTCGTGACGCGAAGCTAGTTCGTGATTCGTAAATGTCGTGTCGCGCGTATGCACCGTTGGGTCTTGCTTGTCGATGGATTTGGAAAATTGTGACTGTTATTTTCGAGGTAAAACGTGAGCGAAAGAATTTTATTTCTACCCTAACCCTTGAACTTAAATTTGCATTCTGTGGAGAAGAGCTCTGAAAGCACCAGGGGAAGCTCATGACCGGTTTAAAAAGGGCGATGCTCCGTAATATTCTGACACAACAATTATGGGTGATAGTAAGCCTACAAGTTGATTTGGGTATTGAAGGTCTTCTCTGTGGTGGAGTTTTGTGTGGTATTGGCTGCCTCTTAAGGTATTATCAGATCAAGATCCAAGTACAATATCGTAATAGTTTAACAGCGGTCCAACCACAAGCACGGAAATTTCAACATGGTGAGTGTGAATTATTTTACAGTGCTTAATGAGATATCATGTAACGACAGGTTGTATGTTTTTTGTTATCATCAGTTTATAGCCCCATACTGTATCTTCTCGCTCACCCATGTGTGTTATGTCATCTGGACTGGCGCATTGTATTATAATACGGGTACATACTGGTGGCATGACAGTACCTACAGTACATACAGTACAAGTAAATACAAGTACACGGTACGATACTACTTGTCCAAGTGCCATGGTAGCTATAGACTTGTAGATAATGTTCAGGTGCATGCTACTATATCGTAGGACTGGGATTGAAAAGAAAAAAAAACAAGCAAGCTTTTGATGCATTATATATATATATATACCTGTGCAGCTACGTTACAGTAACTCCTGTCAGGATGTGCGATGCCATGATCTTCTACTACTTGTACAATAGCTAGGGGTCTTGTAATTGAGTAGCACTGCCTGCAAACGGGACTTACAGTATTTACAATACCATGTCGTGCAAATGGACGCACCAAATACAAGTTGTATGTGCATTTGATCTGTGAAGAATCATATCTGGTGCTCACAGAGCTAGCTACAGTATGTCTCGCGCCATCGTTGATGAGATGCTTCCGCCTCTCCAGCCTCGATCCCTTTCCTAACCGGCAGATATCCATCACAGTATGATCATGTTTAATTTATTGCCACCTTGCGTTATATACAGATTTTACATGCCACCTCGACCCTTGAGGGTCTCGGGAGCCTTGTGAAGGTAGGGCATGATGCCGGCACATCGAGATCGTCGAATGGCCTTGGAAATCTTCTTGTGAGACTGCTTGCTCAGGTGGTGAGTGTGACTTCCGGAAATACCACCAGAATAGTTAACGTAGTGCGACAGAGACATTCGATCCTTCCACAGCTTGACGGGATCGAAGTTGGCCTCCTTGAACTGATCCACCTTCTGGGCACCCTCAGTCTTGCTCTGGGTGGCAGCCTTCACGGTCATATTGAAGGGGGTGTAGATCTGACCTAGAGCAAACTTAGGAACCAGAGTGTTGTTGATCTTGGGATAGTTGTCGGACTGAGCCTGATCCTTTCGACCCTTGGTGAACTTGGTGTTGAGCATGAAGCTAGGGCGGGTTCGCTGGCCCTGCTGGCCCTTCTGCTGGCCCTTCTGCTGCTGCATTCCTCGTCCCATCACTCGTTTAGCGGCGGCGCCAGCCGAAGCCTCTGTGGAGTAAGATCGGACCGATCGAATGGTTCTGAGCATTTTGTTGTGTGTAGTGCTTGTATGAATGGGCGAACTGTGGGAGAAGGTTGAAAGATTTTGGCTCTGCTTACTCAGCAGAGACATGTAAGAGACATCCCCGACTACTCGTACCTTATACAGTAAATGAGGAATAAGGGTCGGCATTAAGATATAATCTGGATACGACTTCTTAGCCGCCTGTTGAGAAGCATCCGGAGTGGGACGAGCTCATCATCTGTAGAGAGGCTGCTCGTAGCATTCTTGTTAACAAAACGCATGCTGCCCTCTGATCACAGGTCAGTAATGTAGGGTAACCCTGGTATTGGGGGTGGGGTGTATTTGATCAGTGTGTTAGTCGACGCCAAAGGAATTGAGGGGGGAACATCAGAGCTCATAAACAATGATACTATCGTACTTGTACTTTTGATATCTCTTCTCTTCTAATTATCTACTAGGATTCGCTAATACGGCCTGCCTTATACCCGCAGAACAGCTACCAGTAGACTTTAGTGATAAACGGATTGTGTATTTCTTTAGATCTACCTTTCCTCTCCCTATTATTGCGCCAACACAATATGGTTTCCAATAGTAACATCTGGAAAGTATCCCAAGGCAGAATATTCACATTAGTCGCCACATTGTCATAACTGTCCCTCAAAGTGGTTTCGTGATGATGTCAAGTCATCGCTTGCACCTACAAACTCTGATTCTGAGCTGGATAGAGTTCGCGAATTTCACAACTTCTGGCCCGATCACATGATACCCCACACAAAAACATGCCCAACCGTTGCGACTTTTGTACCAGCAGTTCCACCAAGGATAAACAGCAGTGGACACAATGCGATGGCTGTGATAGATGGGTACATGACGTGTGCGTCAGCATAACAGACCCCGTATCCTACGCCAAGTACCATTGTCCAACATGCACGAAGACAAAGGGCCCATCCCTCTACAAACGTCAGTCTAAACGAAAGAAAATCGACATCGACTACGCGGCTATGCATTCTGGCAATGTTGACATGAGTTTAAGAACTCGCCACGTCCACAGCTCGCGGTTTACAGACGTCGCTGCTTCAGCGCAAAACAAGGAACCTTTCAAACGGGTTTCAGGCACAGAATTGACTTTGGATTGGGCACAGAGCTCAGATGGCCTCAATGAGCCTGTCATCGTTCCCAAAGAGTACAAGGACACCCTTGGTATGTATATCCCAGAAGATCTTACCGTCAGACAAGTAGCGGAGGCTGTGGGTATGGAGTCTCCTGTTGAGGTCATCAATGTGGTGTCTCAGAATGGATCTCCAGGATGGAACATGGGGAAGTGGACAGAGTACTACGAAGATATTGAAGGTCGGGACACGATTCTCAATGTCATATCACTCGAGATCAGTGCCTCCGCGCTAGGCAAGACCATTGTTCGTCCTACCCTGGTCCGTGAACTGGATTTGGTGGATAGGGTATGGCCGACAAACACTGACGCTGCTAGGGAATCCAAACCTCGAGTGTCTCTGTACGCCTTAATGAGCGTGGAGGACTCCTTCACAGACTTCCATATCGACTTTGCAGGCTCCTCTGTGTTCTACCATGTTCTCAAAGGGCGGAAATCTTTCATGTTCATTCGACCAACAGCGCGAAACCTTGCAGCGTACTCCCAATGGTGTCTCTCCGCTGACCAGAATGTGGTATTTCTGCCTGATGTCTTGTCTCCTGACTCCGACATTTACACCGTTCATCTGTCGCCTGGTGATACCATGTACATTCCATCTGGTTGGATCCACGCAGTTCATTCCCCTCAGGACTCTCTAGTGGTCGGTGGAAACTTCATCACTCCTCTAAACATGAAGACTCAGATTGATATCGCTGGCATTGAGGTCAGAACGAAGGTTCCCATGAAGTTCAGATACCCGTTGTTTGCTGGTGTCATGTGGTACTACGTGCTTCAGCTTTTGGCAAACCCCGAACGTCTTAACACTATGTCTACCAAGGAGCGTGATGGGTTAAATTCTGTAGCTGAATACCTTAGTGGATTCATCAAAACAATGTCCCCTACGATGAAGGATGTTCAATACCGACGCTTCGTTGCGAACTTTCCAATGGAGATTCGTCCGTTTCCTGGTAAGACCCTATTGGACTACTGTGCGATGTTAGACTTCTACCCCAAAGGAGTTCAAGAAACTGTCGACATTGATATTAGGAAGAAGAAAGGAGAGTCAAAAGAGAAACACAAGATCGAATCCCAATTACCTGAAGAGAAGATTTTACAAGGATCTAAACTGGAGTCCAAGGAGGAAGTCCAGACTGAAAACTTCTGATCCTTTTCAGAATTGGAATATATTAAAAGAATTACCAGTGTTGACGCTATGGAATGTCCCGCATATCCTTATTGCCGGTCTGGAAGGTCGATTTACCAGTTGGGCTCACCGTAACCAGGCAGCCAGAACCATCGCCAAGCCTCAGGGTTGGCCTCACGCTTCTCCTTATCGACGTCAGCGGGCATAGCATCGCGCTTCCAGTTGGGCTCACCGTAGCCAGGCAGCCAGAACCATCGCCAAGCCTCAGGGTTGGCCTCACGCTTCTCCTTATCGACGTCAGCGGGCATAGCATCGCGCTTCCAGTTGGGCTCACCGTAGCCAGGCAGCCAGAACCATCGCCAAGCCTCAGGGTTGGCCTCTCGCTTGGCAAGACCCTCTGATCCGATCAGAGTAGTGTCGACAATGAGCAAAGATCGAGTGCCGTCGTCGTCCTCGACAATGAAGAACTGCTCGTTATCGTTGGTGAAGAGGACATTCTGAAGAACACCCTGAAGACCCTGGAGCTGCTTGGGGAGGTCGTCCATGTTGGGAGCCGCAGGCGCCTCAGGGGCGACAGGGACCTCAGCAGCAGGCTCCTGCGCAATGGGAGCAGCAATGGCAACAGCAGCCATGATTGAAAGGGCAATAGTAGAGAACTTCATTGGAATAATGTTGGTTGGTTGGTTGGTTGGTTGGTTGGTTGGTTAATTGGTATTGAGAGACTGTTGGTTTATGATAAATTGGAAGGGCTCCCATGGTGTTTATATATTTCTTCCGTGTCTCTTGTTCTCATTGCTTTTACGGTGTGGCAGAGCTGATTGTCGCCAAGATCCCCTACTGGTGCATGATAGTAATGGAGCGGCTGGCATGACCTAACAGAGAACAACAGGTGTCTGGTGATAAGTTCATTGGTTTACCGAAATAGTAATTATCGGGCATGCATGCAGATGCTCGTTTTACGACTGTAACAAGTAATAAACCAATATGCACAAAATCAGATCAACGTATCGAGGTCAAGAACCAGCATCTCGCTGTAAAACACACCATTACATATACGTCAATTCACTCAGAAACTATCGATGTGTCTTTGTCTTTGCATCTACAAGTAGAGATTAATCAACTCGAATAGCATAATACTGGCATGCTCAGAAACATGATGCCACAATGCCTTTTACTTTTCCATTTACTTACATTGCTCTTCATTTGCAGCCTATATAAGGTTATTATCGCAACGAAATATTTCCTATTTGGGCATTCAAACATCCACACACGCATAATCCTACATGCAAAACTCTGAAGTTTTGCGTATCAGCGGTGCAACGGGAAGGTTCCTGTGCATTGAGAGAAATATTAGCGAAGTATCTCATTGTTCTGCGATCAATATCATGGGTACCCCTTAGCCTCATAGACTGGGGTAGAGCAATGTTGTACGCTGGAAGATTGTAATACGTACTCTTTGTGCATTTGATCGTGTCAAACTCACTGATCAAGGAAGATACTGTAACAAGACTTTCCATATATCATACTATACGCTGTAAATATTTATCTTAAAACTCGATTGACTTCAATGAAGCTCACTGTACAACCGGTTACTAAGCCGAACAAAAGCTCATCAAGTCGACAGTGTAGTCAAAAATTGTACAAATGATCTTGTTTTACCCTACTTGTATTTCTGATGGGCTGACTCGCATAATTGGTTGTATCTTTAAGCACAATATTGCGTGAGGCATATACAGTACATACTTTAAAACCTGATGTTGAACCATGGGACTCTCTCGCGCTCCATCTAAACGTGGATACCGTAAATCATGCAATATAACACACTGAGGACGTCCGAAAATATATTCACTGATAATTTACCATTCATTCAGCTTCTATAACCAATCAAAAGACAATTAATCAATCGACTGCAAATATATATATTGGTTCCAACACACACACCAACATCCAGGTTTAATGATGATTTGTATCACGTGACTCGGTCTTAGAACTGCGTGTTTTATAATGAATTTTCCAGACTGTAACGATTCAGAAGCTAGTCATAAGGTGTTATGATTAGTCATGTGCCTTGGCACGTGACTGGACGATGATGACGTCCTCCGGACGTCATGAGTGTGTCATTATGGATGAATACTTGGTATCGCGTGGCTAGGTCACGTGGATAGTGACGTGCTTTACAGAGTTAGGGTTGAGATGCCTGTATATATAGCCACCACTCACAAGTATGTAAGTTAAGTTATGTTTATACGACTTCCGGAGCTCGTACTATTGGTGTACTGTTCTGTAGAGTAGGACGAGCGGTTCCTGCTCGTACCTAGGGATATCTTGAGGATTGACCCATCACCGATCCGTTACACAGACATATCCGCAATAGTTTAGTGGCTAGAATTTCCGCCTGTCAGGTATATACCAGCACGCGGGGGACCGGAGTTCAATTCTCCGTTGCGGAGTTTCGGTTACGACCATATCTTGGTGAAAATACGGCTTCCCGTCCGATCAGCCATAGTCAAGCACCAGAGAGCCTAGTTAGTATTATAGTGGGAGACCATACGAGAATCCTGGGTGTTGTAATTTTTTTTCAATTGAGGCTGGTATTTTTTGGTTTATACACCTATTAGTTGAGTAAGCCAGACACTACTGACACAATCGTACAGTGGCTACAATAGTAGAAGTACACCGGTACGTACTTCACAATGTACGGTATGTACTGGTATGTATGGAATGTACTGTAGTCAAATATCAAACCCCATCATACTCCATGTCATTTTCTATGTGATCCAAGACTTGTCCGTCTAGTTCTCAAGAGGAAGGTCCTCATGCTTGAAAGGCTTGTCACCACCAGCTCCTAGGTAGGAGGCGGCAATCTGGCCGTTACCCTTGAGAATGTACTGGTAGTTTACCAGACCTTCGAGTCCAACGGGGCCTCGGGCGTGGATCTTGTTGGTAGAAACACCGACCTCAGTGCCGAATCCGTATCGGAAACCGTCAGCGAATCGAGTGGAGGCGTTCCAGTAGACTCCAGCAGAGTCGATACCCTTGAGGAACTTGCCTGCGGTAGTTTCGTTGTCGGTAATAATACAGTCAGTGTGTGACGAGCCGTGGGAGTTGATGTGGGCCATGGCGTCCTCGACGGTGGGCACGGACTTGGCGGCGATGATGTGGGCCAGGAATTCGGTCTTGAAGTCCTCCTCAGTGGCAGTCTTGCAGTGGGACTTGAGGTCAGCGGGAAGAGCTTCAATGAGCTCGGGGGTGGCTCGAATCTCGACGTTGGCGTCCACGAGAGCAGAGGCAACGGTGGGCCACTTGTCGGAGATGACCTTCTCGTTGATCAGCAGAGTCTCGACGGAATTGCATCCAGCGGGGTAGTTAGTCTTGGCATCGACAACGATATCGGCAGCCATCTTGGCATTGGCGTCCTGGTCGACGTAAATGGCGCAGATACCGTCGGCGTGGCCCATGACGGGGATCTTGGTGTTGTCCTTGATGTGTTTGACGAGCTCGTTGGAGCCTCGGGGGATGACCAGGTCAATGTACTGATCCTGGGACAGGAGAGAGGAGACCTCGTCCCGGGTGGCAATGAGCTGGATGGCTCCGGGGGGAACCTTGGACTTTTCCAGTGCCTTGGTGACGGCCTTGGCAATGGCGGTGAAAGAGTGCAGAGACTCCTTACCTCCCTTGAGGATGGCAGCGTTACCAGACTTAATAGCAAGAGCAGTGATGTTGGCAATGACCTCAGGTCGGGCCTCGAAGATGACGAGTAGGACTCCAACGGGACAGGTGAGTCGGTACAGCTCAAGGTTGTCGTCCAGCTTTCGGGCGAGAGTCACCTTTCCAACGGGATCGTCGAGAGAGGCGACATCGAGAATACCCTGCAGCATGGAGTCGTACTTGTCGCCGGTGGACAGATCGAGTCGCTTGATGAGAGAAGGAGACAGGTTGGCGGATTTAGCAGCATCGAGATCCTTGACATTGGCAGCAATGACCTCGTCCTTGGCCTCTCGAAGAGCATCGTGGACCATTTTGAGGGTGGCAGTTCGGTCATCGTTGGACACGGTTTTCAGCACCGTGGCGGCGAGGTGGGCTTTCTGTGCGATTTCCATTTTTTTTGTATGATCCCAATATGTGGTGACAAATGTATAGTGATGTGTGAAGATTGAGATAGGCCATAATGTGGAGAGATTGGTCACACTTGCTACCAATTATGCTTTGGGTTAGGGTGAGTTGTTGGGGGCTGGAGAGCTTCATGGGGCGTTTGGGGCATTTATGTGAGGTTTTGGAGAACGATTAAAATGATTTAATAGTATGGTTGGTTGACTTATCAACTTTCCAATTCGAGAATATCGACTTTTCCTCGTTGATGACGTCACCATGTGCGGCCATGGAATCAGTTAACCTCTGGTAGCAGCATCTTAGAGGCATCCCAACTTTGCTGGGTCCAAGGTTCAACACGAGGGATGGGAAAATTGTGGAGCGATATACTTGTAGTGTTGGCCATCGCATGGGAGCTGTCAATGACTGTTTGTTTGATACACCCGAAGTAAATAATGGTCTGTGTAAATGATTAGCAACTTATCATACACGATATATTGTCAGAATTTCCCGTTCTGTCCTGTCGTTCAGGAACAACCTCGGCTTAGCAGGAGGCTAAATTTCTTCGAAGTTTGTTGTCTACGTCTTCTATCACCGCCACTTACAGTCACCTATACTACGCGTTAGTTGTGCTATGAAATAGGTATTATTACTGAATAAATATGTTGTAGCATTTAACCGCTCAAGCTCGCCCTCTACCCTAGCCTTTGCATCTTCTAATGCCCTCGTTCCCTTCTCGGCTGCCTCCACGATCTCCGCTCTAATCTTCAACTCTTGTCGAATCTTCCTCACATTCTCCTCGGGCACCACTTTGCAGTTTGCTACAAATAGTAGGAGGTGAACGGGAGATTCCACACTTCCCGTGTTCACAAGCTCGGAGCAGGGTTTGTTGGTACCGACATGTTCTTCTTGTGACTGGCTTTCGCTGGGTTGCCTGTCCCCGAAGTTTTGTTTCCGGCTAAGTTGGATTTGGGGATTCTGACAACAGACATGGTAGAAGCACCACGATGAGACCCATATGGAGTGGCTGTGAGGCCGTCGAGAGTGAGAGCCTCGAGAGCCTCGGTGCTTTCATCGTCTGAATCCTCGCTTTTGAGATATACGGACCGCTGGGTCTTGATCTTACGACTATCGCTGACCCGTTTGCACAGCAGGCTTCTCATTTCGGAAGGTAAGCTGTAGAAGCCCGAATCTGCAAACACAAGAAGAGGGTCTGCCTTGACGTACTCAACGATGTAGTTCTGAACTCGAGCCGATGACGCTATGGAAGCCCGCTCCCAGATGAGAATTGCTTCAGAGCCACTTCTGATATCCCACCCGACCAACACATCCTCCAGACACGTGAAGAGGTCGTGCTTCATAGATTCTGCAGCCATCATAAGCATGCCCGAATACACGTCTAGAGTATCGTAAGCGGAAACAGTGTTTCTGTAGATCCAGGACAAAAACCCATGAACCCAGATCTTTGGATAGTCCACTTGGGCAAAAAAACCATCATAGGTAGACTGGAGTCTGAAGCTGACCCATTGCCATTTCTCGTTGATAGTTCTGGACGAAGTGTGAACGTGACCATCAGTGCACAAGAGTCTTGTGTCGTTCATTGGAAATGCGGTGTACTGCGTATGGAGTGCGTGTGGTGTGTATGATTGTGTGTGAGGTTCTCTAGTTATTTGTCTCCCTCGTGTGTCTATATATGTCTACATTTAATTTCCTCCATCAGACAGCTCTACTTTGTGGCAATTCGACCTCACAGAACACCTTCCAGTACAGTACCAGCCAGTACGTACCGTGGGGCTGCCATCATGTGGGGCGCCATGCATATCACCAATGGGGCACACGCATTTTTGAGCCAAAATACCTGGCTCGGGATCTGTGTAGTGCGTCTGCGTCCTCATTTGCGGTCCCATTCGAACTCACGTGAAGTATCGTGGAGATTCAAATCTGGGTATGCGACGCGTGAGTTGTCATGGGCTCTACAGTACATTGTGCGTACTGTGCTTTTACTGTAGCTACGTGGTGTTGTGCATAAGTAGTATGTATGTAGCTGTAGTTGCAGAATGAGCACAGGCGGCAATAGACTCGGCCTTGAGTTAACCATTAAATGCGGAATGATAATATTGGGCAGTAATTATGGATGCACGAATGAACCGCAGGATGAGGCAGGAGGGAGTGAAAGTTGAGGCGATGCCAACCCCACACCGTTGGACTGCCCACATGACACCATAAATAGAAGTCTGGCTGTTCGCTCAAAACACCGAACCCTGACATCATTACCGTTGATTAGCTCAACTCTAATCAAAGGATTAGAACAAGGAAGGGGAGATAAGGGAGTGCCGGAGTGATGTATGGGCCTTCCTCAGTCCTTTTTTAATCTCCACGTGATGTAGGGCACGCGATTCGGTCGCGACTCGGTAATTGTGCAATAAATCCACGGAGCTACCCCGGTCGTGTGATGGCTGTGTGTTCCAGTACTCAGAATTCTACACTAGGATGAACTTAACCATATAAAGGCGCAACTCACCACGCCGCTTGTTTTAGGCCATTCCATACTGCGCCCCATGGATGTAAAAACTCTACAGAGTGGCAAAAATGAATACCAGTATTCGCAGCCGAGGACGAAGGGCAAAGACTGAATATATATCTACATACGCAATTGATATCCTTCATATAGACCCAACTCACTCTTTGTATTTTATATACTGTTTGCTCAACATGAAATCCTTCCTGTTGGCGCAAGACATTCTCCACAGTACATAGCTTCGTATTACTCAGTCCCTAACCCTGGGACAAACATGGGCATTATCTCATGCACGGTCACTTTGACCCATCACTCATGAGTTTTTCGAGCAGCCGAGTCGAGGTCAGACGTGAGTATGAACAGAGAATCTCCGCCGAGAGAAACTGAATCTCCGTCCAAAATCAGTTTCCCACAACTAACCAAGTCGATGACCCTAAACGCTACTATTCACATGGTGACACTATTTCAGGCACGGCAGTGGTCAAGTTAAACCAAGATGAGACCATCAAGGAGATTGTAGCCAAGTTGGAAGGTGTGGCTCGAATTGTGGTTCCTGCCGGAAGCGTCAATGCCGAGGGTCGAGCCAAGAAGAAGGACAAGGATAAGGATAAGGAAGCTACCGTCACTTTTCTGCACATTCAACAGGTCATTTTCCCTGATCCGAAGACATCAAGAGTGACCTCTGGAAAGCTGACCCTCGGTGCAGGTACATATGAGTACAAATTCCGATTCAAGATTCCAGAAGATACTCCTGACCAAGCTCGAGGAGCTAGACTGCTCAAGGGTAAGAGTGTCAGTCGGTTCATCGATGACATTGACCATGGACACGCCTTCTGTAACAGACTGCCTCCCAGTATGGCTCCCACTGCCGGAAAGGCAGCTAGCATCGACTATTTCATTAAGGTGACAGTCCAACGTCCCTCAGTGTTCAAGATCAACCTGAGAAACCACGACGCTTTTCTCTTCCTTCCTCTGGATCCTCGACCTCTGAACAGTGCTGAAATGTCGCGGACTTCGTTCATCCGACGAGATCACAACCTGACTCTTGCTGGATTCCGACCCGATGACAACCGAGGTTTCCTCAAGAAGATGTTTGGTTCGGGAGGAGGTAGCGATACTCCGCATTGGCACTTCTTCCTCGAGCTTCAGATGTCTTGCCCAGTCATTGCCAAGGCCGCTCCTTTTCTCCCATTCAAGTTCCTTGTCGTCTTCGATCAGCCTCCGCCTCAACAGCGGTTGTTCCTGAAGGGCTTGACCATTGTTCTAGTGACCACTTGCCAGGTTGCCATTGAGGAGTATGAACACACATTCTTCAACGAGGAGGTCATTTTCAACGCCACAAACTTGCCCTACACTGTGCCGCTTAACAAGGCCACTCCTGTTCCCGGACAGCCTCGTCTCAGGGCTGCTCTGATCGATCCTAATATTTACAAGGACGCCCGAATCCCTTCGCATGTGTCGCCCACGTTCACTACACAAAACATTGCAAAAGCTTATGAACTGAAGGTCTCTGCTGCCTTTTGCTTCAACGACGGTCCCGTTGAGGTCATTGAGCTACGAAAGCCCCAGGACATTTGGTCTGGTATCAGTGCTGGATCACGCAACTACAAGGGACGACAGCCTACTTCTCCTAACCCTGCTGCCGTGACTGCTCCTCCCCCTGGATATCCTCCGGAGAAGAGCGGAGGTCCTCCTGCAGGTTATCCTCCTGAGAAGGTTCGCCCGCAAGGACCCCCTTCGGGATACCCACCGGAGAAGATGCCACCACCTAAACCCAACCGACCCCAACCTGCATCTGACCCATTGGGAGAGAAGAGACGTCAGGAGCAGCATTATGCAGACATGGAGGAGCGAGAGTACCAACAGAGCCTGCAGGCTGCTCTGGAAGAGAGTGCAGCTATGGCCGAGGCTCAGGGTCTTAGTGTCCCTGGTCCTTCTTCCTCTGCTGGTCCATCTTCTGGTGCGCTGTCTTCGGCTGGTAGACCCTCCTCCAGTACGTCATCGTTCACTGGTTCCACTCCTGCCCCTGGAGGTCCCGGAGGCTATGCTTCACACACCCCTCGACCTGCTGGGTACTCCAGCTCAACAGTAACTTCTACCAACACTGGTGGCCCCTCATCAAGCCTCGGAGTGCCACCACATCACACTGGGTCCACCACAACGAGTACTTCCATGGGAACCACCGTGCACACCACCGGTTCAACCATGAACACCTACTCCACCGATGCTACCATGGTGGACCCTGTTCCTCAGGAGGGCGACGGATTGCCCAGTTACGACGAAGTGTGGAGAGAGGGCAGATAGTATATATCAATTTTTAATTAATTAGAATAACAGCATGAGCATGTACATGGGATTGAATGTAATCTGGTTGTCGTATTGGGACAATAAAGTCATCGGGTGTGCATAAACCCAATTGTGTGTAGCTGTTCTGCACCATATAACCTACGCCAAAGTAGAGTGGTAATTACAGTAATTACCTTGTGAATAGTGACGCCTGTGAATGTTAATGTTGGGTTAAGGATCTCGGACCGGGTATGCCACAAGGTATAAGGAAGACGGAAACAGAGGCAGACTTAAGCGTGTTAATTGTAAATATACAGTCTAGCGACCAAAAGGCATTAATAATAGCGGGTATAATGGGCTAGGGCTCACTGACATGTGCCCTTGAGACTGGATTACTGGTACTCTTACCGGTACGAGTAGTGAAAACTTGATGTGCACTGAAGGCCTGTAGGGGATGTCTTTCGTTTACAGTAGCTGGTTTGGTTGTGCACCGTTCATGTTCACTATCCGTTGTCCCGCTGGTTATCTGTATCAGCCAATAACACAGGAAGATGGAACGATATATAGTTGAAACACAAGGAGGTTCAAAGGGCTACTGTACTTTTATCGTGGTTCTTCTGACATTTCTATGTTCGTCTACAGGAATATGTAACTTCAATCACCCACCTCCACTTGGGGGAGGATGCTTCGGACCGATTTGGTGACTCGGTCGTTTCTGTTCCTCTCTTTGCTCGATATGCAGAGCGAAGATTCGTGTGATGCTATGAGCGGGGGAAAAAAACGCTCTTTCTTCGGGTGGGAGGCCTGCGGAAATTGCTATGGAAGTTTTGTTTTCCTATCGCAGAAAGCAGCCCACCCTGCCGACCAAGGTTCGAGCGTTTTGGCACACGAATTAGACTTGGTGTCAATCAAGGCTTGTATGTATCCGACAATGAAAAATCACCCCCGAGCTGCTTACATAACGCCCGTCTCGGAACCTACAGACGGTTGTTTGATAAATGAGAAGATGTTTCGTTGCGCCGGGTTACGGCACCTCGACCGGCGCGAAAAGAATAGCTCTTCCGCGGCATTATATGGTCATGTCACACTGCTGTCACATCCGGACTTCCCGACAACATGCAAGTGTGCGTGTGTGATGTTGGGGGCCCTCACTGCGCGGATGGTCGCAAGATGAACATGGGCAACGAATGATAACGGGTAATACGGCCCATTTCCTTATAGTATACGTCGATTTGACGCCTTTGGAAGCTTTCGATTTCAAAATCGGAGAATTCTGCTCAAGTAGCCCCACTTTACCGTCCCTTCACAACGAGGGTCGCCCACATTGAAAAGGATGAGAAATACATCGAATTATACAAAGTGAATTGGGTCGACGTGAATCGTCCTCGTTCCTGCCGTCTAAACAGCATAAAATATCTCAGCTTTCCATAATGTGAAGTCCTTGCCTTGCCGCTTCCATCAACAGAGTTTTTCTGACCAGTGAAGTTTCCATCTTACTACCCACCAGTCACGCCAGAGCGAGAAGAAAGTGAGTATTTGCCGGCTCGAAGGGGCCGTGCGGAAGCTGGAAATTCCAGAGATCAATCATCTGGCGGCTTCGGGGCTCTCGATTGGCCCAGGATGATCCACGCCAACATGGAGAGAATCCCCCAGAAGGGGGTGGCCAACAGGAGGGTGTTACGGGAGGAGAGCAAGACAAAACCAGACACCAATGATTGGGGGGAACACACGGAGCAAACGGAACTGCGTCACAGGTATCACTCGGTACACCTACTCATATTTATGTCGCCATCATCACCATCTGGGAGGACTGAGAGGCTGTGTAACCTCCACGACTACGAATGCGATACTATGCCACATCAAGAGGGAGCGATTTATGCCGGGTCAAGTGGTTGTGCCGCCGGAACTCCCTATTAAATGATCCATACGTCGCCCAGCTCTTTTTGCCATCTACAGCCCTTGTGTGTGGTGTTCGTTCGAGGTGAACATCTTGTCGTTTTCCTCCAAATTATCACCAAGACCCTAAATGGTTGATGACACCTGATCTATATGGTTCAAAGCATGGGACACTGGTGTCCCTGTGTTCGGCAACAAGCGCGTGTTGGGGGAGCCCATGTTCTAGGCCGTCTCGCAAGAAGTTTTTTCCGCTCCTTTTCTGCGGGTACCCTGTCGAGTGATCCTGTCTTCTGAGGCTAGACGTTGTGTTTGCGCCCCATTCGGCCAGAAAACTACCGTCTCTTTTCTTGCTCTGTTAGAGGGCCAGTTTCGGACCGCTCCGCGCACCTCATTTTCCATGCACGTCCTACCTCCCAATATTGACAAAACCATTATTATGTCTGGCTCACATGCATGATATGACAAACCATAAACTAACACAGTGTCGCGAAGACGAACCACAAAGGTGGTAAATTACTCGGAAAAGATATATGATGAGAGTTTAGAGGAGGATTTCGAGGGGGAGGTGGAAGAGGAAACCAAGCCCACCCCGCAGTCTCAAACACCATCATCTGCATCATCCACACAATCGCCGGCCAAGATGCCGAAAGGAGAAGGTAAAAAGACCTCCAAACAGACCACCCCAGACGTTGCTACAAATGGGGTAGGGCATGATATCGTCCCCTCCAACTGGCAGCCTCGATCGCATCCCAGTGACGCCCTCACAGGTGTGCTGGATCTGGAGGACGCGTACATCAAGGGAGGAAAACTGCATCTGACCTCGGGAACCACATATGCTCCAGGCGACCATTGTTACATTGTTTCTGAGCCTCCTGGTGAGCCTTACTACATTGGTCGTATTATGGACTTTGTCATCAACGAGGAGAACCCTACAGTCACAGATGGCAACACCGACAAGCATTGGAGCACCTTGAATCCCCGACAAAAATACCCTGCATCACAATTTCTGTTCCAGGTCAACTGGTTCTACCGACCCAAGGATATTTCCAAGCATGTTGCTGATAGTCGTCTTCTATACGCCACCATGCACTCTGACATTTGTTCTCTACAGAGCATGCGGGGCAAGTGCATTGTCACCCACAGAACAGACATTATCGACATTGAGGATTACCGTACAAAGCCCAACCATTTCTACTTCACACAATTTTACGACCGGTACATTCTGCGGTTCTACGAAATTGTGCCCACCCATACCATGGTCAACATCCCCAAGGAAGTATCCCAGGTCCTATGCGAGCGGTTCAAATACGCCATTATGGAGATCAACCGAAAGCAGGAGTTTTGTGAGCCTCCTAAGGAGTGTGTTACCTGCTCCAACTGGAGTTCGCCGGACGACTCTGTGGAGTGTGCTCATTGCAGAACCAACTTCCACATGATGTGTGTTACTCCGCCGTTGTTCAAGAAGCCCACCCGAGGTTTTGGATGGTCGTGTGCTGCCTGCAATCGAAAAGTAGAGAAGCGTCTCAAAGAGGCCAAGGGCGAGTTTTTCGACGATGTCATTCCTGAAGTTACAGAGGTTGCAGCGGAGGTCATGCCTGAAACGAGCCCATCAATGTCTCGTTCCACATCTCCCGATAAGCACAGAAGCAGGTATGAAGAGCTGGCTGAGGCGTTCGGAAAGGACAATTCATTATCGGATGAGCAGAAGCATCAACTTCAGCTGTGGCCGTTCCGATATCTCGGTGTCTATGCCAAAATTGAGGACGTTCTCGATGTTGATGATCGAATCTATCCTCGAGCCGTGTCTCGTCTCGGTCCCAAGCATCAGGCTGTAGTCGATAACTGGCCTGGCCAGCCAGTGGAGTACGTTGGTCCATTCCGAGATGCTCCTGTCAAGAAGCGTGGTAAGAAAAAGAATGATGATGGCTTCAACTTTGACCCTGAGAAGCCCTGGATTCAAGATCGGCCAATCGGATACATTGACCGAGGAGGGGACGATACCGTCAAACTTATGTGGGACTGTGAGGCCGGTGCTCGGGCTGAAGAGAAGAATCCAATGCTCATTGAGAACTTCCTTGAGTCGTGTGCCCCTCACGCGAAGAAGCTGGGTGTTCGACATGACACACCAAACTACTTTGACTTGTGTCTCAAGGCCCTGATGGATGCTGACTTTGACCCTGCTGTTGCTCTTAAGGCAGTCAACAAGCTTACTGTCAAGAGCATTGATGAGCCCGTGTTCAGCGCTGAAGACAAGCGTCGGTTTGAAGAGGGAGTGTCAAAGTACGGAAGTGAGTTACATCCTGTCACGCTGGAGATTGGTACACAGACCCCTGGCCACGTTGTTCGGTACTACTACAACTGGAAGAAGTCTCCCAGTGGTCGTAAGATCTGGGGCAATTATCCGGGCCGAAAGCACAAGAAGGGAGGGGCTGCAGAGGAGGAGAAAAAGAAGAAGCCCAAGGTTGATATCGGCGACGACAGTGATGGAAGTGCATATGATGTCAACAAGGCTGTTCGTCAGAAGAAGTCATTTGAGTGCAAGCATTGTCTCACCACCAATTCTCCTTGTTGGAAACGTGCCCCTGGAGGTGGAGATGACGAAGGCAATCAGGTTCAGGCTTTGTGTCAGCGATGTGCCAGACTGTGGAGACGTTATGCTGTTATCTGGGAGGATTCTGATGATATCAACCGCAAGCTCATTGCTCGAGGAGGCAAGTTGTGGGCAAAGAAGGTTGAGGCTGAGCTTCTGGACGACACACGAGGCATTTTCGAGGAGCGTGCACGAAGCTGCTCCAAGAAGGGTGGCCGCAAGAAGTCCACTGGAACTGCAGCTACGTCTGCTACTCCTGTGCCTATTCCTCACATTCCCACTGCCCGTGAGGCCGCTGCTGCTGCTGCACGAGAAGAGAAGCAGCGCATGGAAGAGGAGCGCAAGGCCGAAGAGGAGCGAGAACGCAAGGCACGAGCCGAGGCCCGGGAACGAGAAAAGGATCGTAAAGAGAAGGAGGATCGCGAGCGACGAGACAAAGAACGTAAGGAAAAGGAAAAGCGAGACAAGGAGCGAAAGGAACGGGAAAAGAAAGCCAAAGATGAAAAGATCAAGAAGGAGGATCGAGAGTCGAAGAAGCGATCTTGGGAGACCGAGGAGCAGGCCAGAAAGAAGGTCAAGCCTGCCTCTGCCTCCACGACTCTGAGTGCAAACCTGCCCACCGAGTCTTACAGACAGAGGGAACGCCCTGGCCATGTGTTTAAGGGTGACAAGACCCCTCCTCCTCCCCGAAAGTTTCCTTTTCGAAAAGTTCTGAAGGATGCATGCAACGTCTGTGGTGTTTCCAATGAGCGTATGATTCTCAGTTGCTCGGGGTGTCAGATGTGTGTTCATCGAGAGTGTTATGGTGTTACTGCCGAGGAGCCCCAGTTGATGTCTGGAGGATGGTACTGCGATCTATGTACCAATGATGCTAAGCCTAATGTCAACACGCACTACCAGTGTGTTCTGTGTCCTATCAGGGACAATGACAACGAGCCCAATGGTAAGCAGTACCCTCCCGACCCTCTCAAGCGAACTGAGCACAACCACTGGGCTCATATCCGATGCAGTGTTTGGAACAACAAACTCATTTTTGGTACCCCCAACCTGGAGCCTGTTCTTGGTCTTGCTCAAGATGTGCGACACAGTGGAACTGGCATCTGTTTCATCTGTAAGACGGGGGTGGGTGTCTGCATCAACTGCCGATGTTGCGGTATGGAGTACCATGCAGGATGTGCTCACAGACACAACTATGTGTTTGGATTCGAGCTGCTTCCTGAGAGTGAGGTTCGACCCGGTTACCCCCTGGTGGAGTTCAATGGTAAAAGAGGTGGTATGTGTGCTACTACCTATTGTTATTGGCATGCTCCTCAGTCGGTGATTCTGCCTGCTGAAACGGATCAGAAGCTTGGGAAGACAGCATTGCAACTCTTCATCGAGAAGTACAAGATTGACCCTCAGTGGAAAAAGTGTGCCAGCGATGCCTCACTTGCAATGCAGCTAATCTACGACGTTAACCACGACCCTCGACCTCCCCCAGACGTACCGGAGCTCAACAAAAAGTGCCACAAGTGCAGCGTTGGGGTTTCGCCTTTCTGGCGAAAGACCGATGAAGGTGACATCTGTCATAGCTGTTTCCATGGCAACAAAATTGAGCATCAGGATCTCAACATTGGTCTGCCTGAGTTTTCCCAGCCCATGCGCAAGTTGATGCATTTAGATATTCTGTATCGAACCGAGCAGTCGTACAGGAATGCCCGAGATACTCAACATCTCAATCATGCAACTGCCCCACTCCCCCTTCCCCAGATTCATCCAGCTCTTGAGTCCTACGGCGGCGATCCCATGAGCATCAGAGCGCGAGCTGAAACCTCCTCTATTTAGGAGATTTACATAGAACATAAATTATTACTGACTTAATCTTCCCTTGGTTGTAGCGGGTTTTGTGCAAGTGCATAATTGTACAAATGTGAATATATTACAATGCTAATAGTAGTGGTGTTAAATATGATGCAGTGGCTGGATCTTGTCTAGACCTTCAGCATGGCCTCGATCTCCTCGATCTCTTGGATGGTGGTAGCGTTCTTGAGTCGCTCTCTCAACTCAGCCTTGTCCACAGCGCTGAGGTTGTCGGTTTCCGTCACAGGCACCACGTCGAACTCCATGGCTTCAGCCTCGTCACGTTCCTTTTGTGTTACTCGCTGGAAATCGAGCATGCGAAGAGAAGGCAGAATAGAAATCATGTAGCTTCTGTAGCGGGGTACGTGCTGCACGGGATTGCCATCAAGAGTGATAGCTGTGAGGTTGACGAGGCTCTTCAGGCTTTCTAATGCACCCAGAGTCGCGATTCCATTCTGTGTCAGAACCAAAGTCTCCAGCTTGGCGATGTTTTTGACATCGTTGATCTGTGTGATGCGATTTTTGCTCAGCAGCAGTGTCCGAAGGGTTTCGAGTCGAGGAAAGCCTCCCATGACACGGATCTCGTTGTCACTGAGGTCCAAGGACGTGTAATGATCTTCGGTGACTCCGAGGTTCTCTATAACCGGAATCTGCAGCCCACGCAGATTCAACTCTCGGTCACCAATGGGGTTGATGTATGACTGCGCGTTGAGAATGGTGTCTGCGTTGAGTCTCATGTTTTTCGTAATGCTGTTGTTTGTGAAGATGTTGTTTCGAAGACTTTCAGTGCTTGCATCGTCGAACTTTAACCACCAAAAGTTCATGAAGTGCAGAAGCCAAATTGTATACAGATACTTGTACTGTAGCGAGCGTGATGTTTATTTGTAATAATGGATGAGAAGATACCAGTATACTTAAGTACAAGTTCATGGTACTTGTACTTGTACTTGTACTTGCAAAATTCTTGCATACACCTCTACATTGTACACTCTCCTTGTATAGTAGCTCAAAACATGACGTCATTAATATCGTTATCTGTACAATCACTCCTTACGCTTAAGGAGTCCTCTCATCATATCGAAAGAGTTTCCATCGGGCTGAAGCTCAATGACACGGCCAGATCCCTCCTCCTGAACCAGAAGCATTCCCTGGTCCATACTGATTCCTTTCACAGTGGCCTTGACATTGCCATAATGCTCCAATCTGACCTGGGCATCCTGGTGAAGCCAGCTGGAATAGTAGAGAGGCTCGAAGATGGAGAAGCCATGGTTCTTGAATGCGTCCATCATGGCCTCGAAGGTCTCGAGGAACTTGGCAAGTAGCACCTCGGTTCGGTAGTGCTCCAGAGTAGTGCCATTCTTTTCGTTCATGGAGTTGATTAGCATGTTAAGAGATGTGGTAGGAGCACTGTTAGTAACGTTGACTCCACAGCCCACAACAAGCATGTACTGACCGTCGAATACGTTGGAGTTGACAATCACACCTCCAATCTTTAGATAGGCATCAGTGGACCCAACCATCTCACTTCCAGGGTTTGCGGCATAGATATCGTTTGGCCACTTGAGCTTGACGGGGACTTCAGAATAGCCGGGGCCATAGTTCTTGATAGCCTGAACCATAGCAAGAGAGGCGAGGTACTGAACAAAGATGATGCTAGTGTTCTGGCCAAAGGGGTTGAAGTTGATTCTTAGAACAGTAGAAACAGCAAGCACGCCGATGGGGTTCACCCATACGTTATTTCCACGGCCTCGACCGGAGAGCTGAACAGTACCTACAGCAGTAAAACCGTTAGGAAGATGTCGCAGCAGATTGTAGTTCTTGTCCAACAGAGTAGAAGTTGAGGTGAGGACTTCTCCATAGAGCAGGGTGGAGCCAAGCTCAGGAGCCCGCAGGCTCTGGTAGTAAAGCTTGTGGTCGAAATGGGGTGTCAGTTCAGATGCAGGAACATCACCAACCATAGGGATGACATGGGTGTGGTTAGAGTCGCCAGAAGGCTTCTCGCCAAAGAAGAAGGTATCATTGGGTGCGGAGAATACTCGGTTCTCTTCTGAGACATCAAGATCCTTCAGAAGCTTCGCGACTCCGTTTCCGGTGACATACAGACTGGTCAGGGTCATGTCTGTAGTGTCAGGGTTCGTCTTGAGACCCAGAAGAGTCATCAGGTGTCTCAGAAAGGCCAATCGTTCTTTCTCAAAGTTCTCCAGCTCTTCAATAACAGCATCAATATGCTGATCTCCCTTCTTCATCATGCTGGGATTAAACTCGGGGTGGATTCCACTGAGCACAGCTCTTCCTTCGCCAACGTTCATCTTGACCACGGCGCTGCGTCCAGAGTTCGGCACCTCCGTGTCCTGAGAGTACTCTGCCACCACCTCAGTGTTTTCAGTATCCATGTCCTTACCAGGAACGAATACTCCTCCCCCATTGAAGTAGCACTTGAAGGGGCTACCCTTCCAGTTCACCCCCACAGCTCGAGCACCAGCATGAGAATCGTAGACAAAGCCCTTGTATGCAGATCCGACACACTTTCCTCCGTAGAGTGACAGTTCTCTGTCTCCTATGACCTCAAGATCAGTTCCCTCTTCAAACTCAACCCTTTGGGCTCCATAGTATCCTCCAGCACAGAAACCAAGGTACTTGCCTCCAGCTCGAATCCAATTTCGAATCAACTTGTTTCCTGGTCCACCTAGGTCCGAACAGTAGGGCAGATCGGCTCCTCCGGGCATCACCAGCAGTGCGGTGCTCTCAGTCCAGGGTTCGTTCTTGATCACCTCGGCGTCGACATTGTGAACAGAGTAGTAAGGAGACAGCAACTTTCGCAGAGACTCGGTGGCATGCTTGACTGACTCGGGGGTAGATCCTGGACCGTTATACACCAGCACGTTCATTGCTCTTTGATGGAATCGACTGAGTGTTCGGAGAATTTTCGGTAGATGTATCCGGTTATGAGCGGTATGTGGGGGACTACGGGCTGCATGGCCATGCACCTCCAGATCAACCAGTAAAGTTACAGTATGTACTTGAAACTCTACTTACAAATACTGTACATACGAAAAGTCAGATAGGGAGGTTCGAGTTGTTAGTAAGCTTGAAGACTCGGTATAGTGACAGATACTAGGGCGTTTTTGCTTGGTATAGTAAGAATACAGTATCGTACTGGTATTTAATTTAATGCTACTTGTAGTCTTACAAGTACCAGTACGACTACCCACAATGGACCAACATTATTCCCTATTGTAACCCACCAAGATGACCTCAGTGATATAGTCCCACACGACGCTTCGGAAAACTTTTACACACGACAGAAATTGATGAGAGGCATCTTGCAACCCATATTCAGATCAGTTCCTTAACAAATTGCGATCTACGACTCCACAGTAAAAATCAAACATTTTTGGGTGTATTTCCATACTTTTAATACATATGCTAGCTAATTTAGGCGTGTCGAGAAGCGGTGATGACGTTGTTCATGTCCTCAACCTTAGCCTTAGCACGGCCGAAAGTACCGAGCTTCTTCTTAGCGAGCTTTCGAGCTCGCTTATCACTGGAGTTTCGCAGCAACTCAATGATTCGTCGCTCGTAAGGAGCCTGGCCGGTAACCTCCTTTACGAGGTCTCGGACAAAAGCGGATCGCTTAGAGAGGGCACCCTTTCGTCGAGAAACTCGAGTGGCGGGGGTTCGGGCAGTGACCTTGTGGCCCTTGTTGGGTCCAATAGCGATTCCTTATGTTAGTTTTGATTTTGTGGTTGTCTCGTCAACAATGTGCTCGTAGACACTGACCTGGATGAATTACTGAGTGACTAACCAGTGTGGACGAACAGAGTGGGCAACGAACCAACAACAAATGCCAATCCATCATCCAGAAAGCCGCGACATATCTTCCTTCAAACATCTTGGTGGTACTGACAGTTGTTGTGTCGCCACTCTGAGTGAGTGGTCCTCACATGACCTTTGCAATCACCAAATATGTTCTCTCGTCGACATCCTGTTCGTCAAATCACGTTCTCGTCCATCCGTCAATGCTGCTCGCTCCGTCTCCCATCGTCGTCTGTCATAACTTACCGGACTTGGTAGCCATTTTTGTATGTGTCGTGAAGTTGTACAAGAAAAGAAGACGAGAATATCAGGATGAGAAGTTTGCATGGTCCCAATCGGGGTGCGTGTAGAATTGAGAACGTAAGAGCTTATTTCCTGGTCTGAGTGGGTTTCCAAAAAGGAAGGCCGGGTAAAACTTAAAAGTCACGTGACTGCTGTCGAGATGATTTAATGTCAGTAAAATGTAAAAATTCATCATGTCATTAAGATGGTAAGATCACTGGTGTAATTTTCTGTTGCAAGACCATTTAGGGGCCTCGTTTTTCTATTCATTGGTGTTGTCATGTGGGTCTGTACTGGAAGCTTTCGGGCATGCATAATCGGACACTGACTTGACTTAGGTTCAGTATGGCTCGATAACTGCTCGATCCTACAGACTTCATACCACTTACACACAAATGCAGCCTGCTACTAAGAAGGAAGAATTTGAGGACGACGATGAACCTGATGCTTGGTGAGTGTTGCTTTGGCTGGGTGAGATTGAATTGGTTGTTTGAGTATGAGAGGGAGCCTCTGATCTTGGCCATCCTGTGATCATCCTGAGTCCAATACGCCAACTAACAGGATCCATGATCATTCAGGTCAACTGTAACTAACACAGGGACGCTCGCATCAATAAGACCGGGTGTGCTGATGAGAATATGGCTCTCACTGATTGCTACCAGGACACCAAGGATTGGCGAAAGTGCACTGACGAGATGAAGGCCTTTAAGGACTGTTGGGCAGCTCACAAGCAAGATGATCGAACCCAGACCAAGCAGATGTAGTGGTTGCAACCATTACTCTCGTCCTAACAATTGTACATAGCTAATAACCATTCTCCTGTATTGATGATTGAATATGGGTTCTTTTAAAATTAGTCTATCTATTGTACTTACTGTGGTGTACATACCATACACTCTGGCACACAGTCTATGCCTAGAAAGCAGCATCCGCATCAATGATTTTTCCCTCGGATAGAGACTCGGGCTCTTCCTGACCCCCAATAGCTTCTGACTTGATCTCGAGCTCGGCCTTGGGCTCAGCTTTTGCCACTCCAGCATCAGTAACTTTCACCTCAGGCTCAGGACCAGGTGTGGAGTCCTCAGGGGACTTTACATCAGTCTTGGGCTCTTCGGACGCCTTTACCGGCTTCTTAGCGTTTGCCTGCTTTCGCTTTTGCCTCCTTGCTCGATTTTTGTTGGTCTTCTCTGCATCCTTCTGCTGCTGTTCTTCCCTTCGTTTCAGAAACTCGTCACGCTCGGTATCCTTCTGAGCAGCTTCATTGATATACTTCAGTCGCTCGGCCTCCTTGTGTCTAGCGTGTTTATACACATGGAACTCTCCGGATCCTGCTCCTGCTGTAGATCCAGTAAAGGTGTAGATGACGTCTGGAGGAGGCGCCACTGATGGTGGGGGCGGTTTTGCTGTGGAAATTTCCTGTGTAGGGTTTGCTAGAAGTTTCTTGAGCTCCGATGCGTTTGCGTTGGTCTTTTTCTGTCCAGGCTTAGTGATCCTGGACATGTTAGTTGTTGATGTTTATAATGTTGAGGTTCGATCAAATATTTTGGACAGTTGGTTATCCTGCACCTTTAGCGTTCAGGTTATCTGTCTGTGGTTGAATGAAATGTACCAGAAGATGAGATGGGTGAGCTTAGATCACACTTTTCAAGTAATATATATATATATATATATTATCATGAAGTCACGTGCTTTATTGTCAACCATTGGTAAGGCGTCTACCTATACCCCCAATCCATAATCACATTCTCCAGCACCGTTGATGTATCCCTGCCTTGACTATCAAAAACCATGAATTACAGTAGCTACAGCAGCTGCACCATCTCACTCTCTGAAGTCTAAAAAGAACACGTCCAACTAACTGGGAACTGCAACTACCAGTGGAGGTAGTGGGCTAAATAAGCGCCACTAAACAGCCTTGAGAGGTGCGAATTTACAATTGAGACCGAATAAAAACACTTATAAACAACAATGCCATTGTCATAGCAGCAACCTATCTAGTTCCTTCCCCTAATCACCCTAACCTCGCAATCCCCCTCATCGTTGCTAACCTTCGAAAGCTCACTGTATGTACCCTAACCCTGGGCCACGTCACCTCACCTCCCACCTCGCGGCTTGATCCACGTTACACCACCACCAACAATGAAGCTCAAGGAAATTGACAGAACGGCCACCTTTGCGTGGTCGCCCAACAACTTGCGCATTGCTACCGGAACCGTGGCTGGTACCGTGGATGCTGACTTTTCGTCTTCATCTCAGCTGGAGATCTGGGACGTGGATCTCATGGACCGATCCTCCGAGGGATTCCGTCTTACCAAGCCCGCCGTGTCTATCTCTGCCGATACGCGTTTCCACGATCTCGTCTGGCACAACACCGGCAAGCACAGCCTGATCGTCGGAGCCACTGAGAGCGGCTCCCTCGAGGTGTGGGAGGCTGACAACATCAAAGACTCCTCCACGTCTGTGTCTGTCAAGGAGCACTCGGGCCCTATCAAGACCCTGCAATTCGACCCCCACAACCCCACCAGACTGGTTTCCGGAGGCACCAAGGGTGAGATCTTTGTGTGGGACTTGTCGGACCCCAAAAAGCCCATTGCAAAGAAGCTCGGCACCGACAACAAGGCCGGCGACATTGAGTCTTTGGCCTTCAACAACATCACCAGAAACATTCTCGCCACCTCATCGTCCAATGGTATCACCACCATCTGGAACGTGGACCAGAACAAGGAACTTACGCGTGTCAAGCACGACAAGCCTGTTTCCCACGTTGTCTGGCACCCCTCCAAACCCACCAAGCTGATCACAGCCGTGGCTGATGACGCCGAGCCTGTCATGCTCATCTGGGACCTCAAGAACGCAAATGCACCCGAGGGTGTGCTGCAAGGCCACTCCAAGGGTATCTTGTCTGTCGACTGGTGCCAGCTGGACCCCCGGTTCCTGCTGTCGTGTGGTAAGGATAACCGAACCCTGCTGTGGAACCCGGACACCCACGAGTGTCTCGGTGAGTACGGTGCTGCTCAGAACTGGACCTTCAAGACTAAGCTCAATGAACGAACCCCCGATCTGTTTGCTACCGCGTCGTTCGAGGGCAAGATTGTCATTCAGACTCTGCAGGACGTGAATGGAGGGGACGCTCCTGCCCAGGAGGGCGACTTTTTCCAAAACCTCGGCACCCAGTCGCAGGCCAAGATTTCGCTCAAGCAGGCCCCCTCATGGCTGCAGCGACCCGTGTCCAACTCGTTTGGATTCGGAGGAAAGATTGTCACTGTCACAACCACCGACGGCAAGAGTACTGTACAAGTTGGAAAGTTTGTGGGCGACAAGGTCGACACTGAAAGCATCGAGGTTGTTCTGAAGGGAGACCTAACCTCGGCATTTGACGAGGTCAAGGGCGCCGAGTGGAAGGTTCTCGAGGCTCTCAGCAAGGGCACTGACGAAGTCCGATCTTTCCTGGACATTCCCGTCATGAAGGAGGAGCCTGCCGTGGAGGATGACTCTGAAGATGTTTTCAGCAAGATGTCTCCTTCCGGTGCCTTCTCTCTAGAGTCTTCCGACCCCATCAATCAGGCCATCATCAACGGCAACCTCTCTACTGCCGTTGATCTGTGTCTTAAGGAGGACCGGCTTCTGGACGCCTTTGCTCTGGCTGAGAAGGCCTCTGATGCCGTCAAGACCAAGGTTCAGAACGCATACTTTGCTAAGCAGACCTCCAGCACTGCTCGACTTCTCAACGCTGTCAACACCAACAAGCTTGACGACGTCGTTGAGAACGCTAATCTCAAGGATTGGAAGGAAATTCTGGCTCTTCTATACACTTACGGCGGAGCTCAGTTTGGCGATCTGGCTGCTGCTCTTGGTGACCGACTTCGAGAGTCCGACCGAGACAATGCCGCCACCTGTTACCTTGTGTCTGGCAAGCTCGACAAGGTCTCTGGTCTGTGGGAGTCTGAGATCACTACACGAGAGAAGGAGCTGACCAAGGACAATGTGGCTCCTTACACTGCCCACTTCTCCGCTCTCAAGGAGTTCATCGAGAAGATCTCCGTCTTCCGAAAGGCTACCAACGCCGTGGACTCTGGAACTGTGGATGGTCTTTACAACAAGTACCGAGAGTTCGCCAACATTGTGGCTTCCCAGGGCAACCTGGAGCTTGCTCAGCAGTTCCTTGCTCTTCTGCCTGCATCCTTCGAGGGTGTTGGTCTTGAGCGAGAGCGACTCAACAAGGCTGCCAAGCCCTCCGTTGCCACCACTGCCACTAGCAAGGCCTCTGCCTACGGAAAGCCTTCTTATGGCAGTGCTACCCCCCAGGCTTCTGCTTACACGCCTACCGCTTCTGCCTATGGTTCCATGTATGCTCCTGCTGTCCCTGCCGCCGCTGCTCCTGCAGCCGCTGCTCCCCCACCCACTGCTGCTGCTGTGCCTCCTTCCCCTGCCAAGAACATGTACGCTCCCCAGCCTCCTGCTCCTGTCACTGGTTTCGCTCCTGCAGCTCAGTCTCCTGGAGCTCCCCAGCAAAACACACACAACCCCTACAACCCCACTCCTCAGACTAATGCTTATGCTCCTCAGGGTAACGCCTACAGTGCTGCTCCCCAGCAGAACACCTACGGAAGGTCTACTCCCGGCGGAGGTCCTGTTCGAACCACAGCTCCTCGTCACGACACTGCTGGCTACAATGATCTGCCTGCAGGTTCTGTCCCTCCCCCTAAGAAGTCAGCTCCTAGCCCGGGTCCTATCTCGTCTGCCTATGCTCCCCCCACCCCTGCTGCTCCCTCAGCTCCCCCTGCTGGTGGTCCCCGACCTCCCTCTGTGAATCGAGTCACCTCTCCCGGTGTGCCTAGCGGAGGTGTAAACGCCTATGGCTTCCCTATTGGAGGTGCACCCTCTCCTTATGGAGCCCAGGCTGCGTACGGAGCTCGACCCCCTGTGCCTGCCGTGGTGTCTCCTCCCCCTCCTAACCCCTACGCTCCTGCCCACTCGCCTGCTCAGAACAATGTCCAGCCTGCTGTTAACCCCTACGCTCCCGCCCCCGGCGCCGTGGTTTCTCCTCCTCCCGTACACGCTGGTATTGTGCCTCCTCCTGCTCAGCGATCTGCTCCCAGCAACCCCTACGCCCCTGCTCCTGGCGCCGGTGCTCCTCCTGCTAGCAACCCTTATGCCCCCCCTACTGGTGGCTTCACTGGAGCTCCTGCTCCTCACGCAGGTGGAGGCTACACTGCTCCTCCTCCTGCTCAGGTTGCTCCTCCTCCCGCTGGTCCTCCTCGAAACAGCGTGGCTCCTCCCCCCGGAGGCCCCGCTCGAAACCCAGTGCCTTCTTCGCCTGCTCCCCCACCTGCAGCCGCCAAGCACCCTGCAGGAGACCGAACACACATCCCTGCCACCTCGCGGCCCATCTTCGACACCCTGTCCACGCAGTGGGCTGGTCTGAAACCTCACATTCCTGAACAGTATTCGAAGCACGTGCGGGATGCTGAGAAGCGTCTCAACATTCTGTATGACCATCTGAACAACGACGACGCCCAGCCCGAGATGGTTGAGGATCTGCTGAAGCTGTCCAACGCCATTGCCCAGCGGGATTTCCCCACTGCCCAGGCTCTGCAGCTTCAAATTGCCACCGCTCGACCCGATGAGTGTGGCAAGTGGATGGTTGGTCTCAAGCGATTTGTTGAAATGGCTGCTGCCGTCAGGACTTGGTAGGATGTTATATGATAGTTAATGAATGTAGAATTAGAATGGTGTGTGGGTGTAGATGAGCAGACATGTCGAACACAGAGGTTGATTAACACCGTAACGGATGAACTCTTGAGTCGAGCGTTCATGAGATGAATTGTCCCGTCATATCATTCCTTTCCAGTTATATTTAGAACTGCAACACAGTATGTACTATCTTGTAGTACAAGTACATACTGAACAGTATATATAGAAGTGTACAGTCGTTATCCCGGTATTAAATTAATCTATTGTTAAAGAGTAAAATGCATGAAGCTTGCAACGATAATCAAACAGAAGGCCATGAGCATCTTGACCACGAGCATATCAGTCTGAGGAGCGGCACTCTTCGCCTTACCCTGACAGCCGTTGCATTGGAACTGGTCCATAGGCACATAAGGCTGGGGAGAGTAGATTCCAAACTGGTATCGGTTGAATGAGGCCAAGTAACCAGCACTGGCAACAGCATTCATATCCTCGTTAGCATCATATATGTAGAGCTGGTAGTTGGAGTTGATGAGAGGAGTGTCATCGGTGTTGTTGTCCGAGTACTGACTGGTGTCCCACACCACTGAGGTCTCCGTTGCACTCTGGTTGGCAGCAATGGTGTAGTAGTGCCTGTTCTGGGAACAGTATGCTTCAATATTGATTGCCGATGGAGTCACTGAGAGAGAGGTGTAGTTCCACACAAATGTGGCTTGCTCGCCGAGCTTGATGTAGGTGGAGGTGGTGGCCTCGGGGGTAAGCAAATCTACACCACCAGCAGGGAGTCGAGGGTCGATAGAGGTGGAGAACTTAGAAGTGGTCGAGGATTTGTCTTCTGTCTTGTCGCTAGATTTGTTGTCATTGTCGTTAGATTTGTTATCGTTATTGTCCTTGCTGTCCGACTTGTTGTTATCCTTGTCGTTGTTGTCGCCAGACTTGTTATCCGAGCCGTTCGTAGTCTTGGAATCGTCAGCGCTCTTGGTCGACGACTTGTCATCTTTTTGTGTGGCTGACGCACTCTGTTGTTGAGTCTTAGAGGCTTGCGACTGTGAGGATTTCTGCCCGGTGGTGGCTGTGGATTTGTCGTTGTTGTTGTTGTTGTTGTTATCACCGTCTGCTGCCAGGGCAGCGGCGGCCACCAGCGCCAAAACGTATACCGAAAACTTCATCGTGCCTAGTTGATGTGTTAAGTGAGTACTGTGTCAAACTGGTGATATTATTGATGGGACTAAATAGAGGTTGGGATATAAATAGATACATACTGTACGTTTTGGGTAGTGGAAATACACTGGAAGTTAATTTCCCCAGAGGCTAAAAAGTAGCGCTCCAAGCTCCCAAAATGTAGAAACCTCCCTTGAATAGGTGAATATATAGAAATTGATGCGCAAGTTGGTCTTATACTGGTAGCCTAGTCTACAATCACTGGTTCCTATTGGCAGATGACTCCCCATTGGCGTCCAAGTCCTGTTTGAGATTCATGTAGGCGCACAGCACACATGTCCCCCTGCGCAATAGAGCTTACAGTTGCTTACGATATACATTAATACAGTATTGTAGGTACAGTGCATCAGAACCTCTCCTTCTATAGTAGTACGGTAGATCTTCCAGATTCAAGTGATTAGCTACTGTACCTCCAAATTGCCACACCCCTCTATACAGCTTTTACCACCTTATTGTATTGTACAAATCTACGCTCACAAAATAGCAATAATATTAAACCCATATGAACCTCTTTTTCTTGTACCCAAATATAAATAGCGTGTTGTTGGTATTTAGCCTGAACGTGATCAGGCTACCTCCAGTTGTCCAAATCTCTTAGCGAGTATGACATAAACAACCTTGAAGGCCTCCTTGACCAGTGCACGACAAACGACGAGAGGGGCAGAAAACGTGCCCCTCATAATGGCAAGTGCAATGCCTAACACAGAAACAGACTTGGGTGACGGCGAAGACGGGCTGAGTTGCCGTACCTTAACTTGGGCCTTGGAAGTAATGTCGCCTCCGGCCTTTTCTGCGTCGTTCACAGAATCAAATTCGTAAAGTGTAGGAGAAGCTGAAGCTGTGCCTGGACGGGATAGTTTGGAAGATCTGTGGGATCCACTGGACCCGTTTTCTAGATGTGAATCTTTCTCTCGAAATTCACGGGAGGTGCGTCGCTGTAGTTCTCGACGCTTCAACTCCTTGGCTGAGCCAGAAGATGATTCTCTGACTAGAGTATCACTTCGGTATGTGGGGTCTCGGATATCACGTCGTCGCTCCTTGAGGTCTCTGAGAAGGCTGGACTTCTCATCCACGCGTCTGGCCTCAGCTCGTTCGTCTATTTTAGGCAATTTGCCTGTTCGGTCCTTCTCCTTCTGTAACTCCCGCTCCCGCGCCCGCTCTCTTTCACGTTCACGGTCACGTTCTCGCTGTTTCACTTTGGACAATTGGACAGCGACATGGTTGATGGCGCTCCAGATCTCATTGATCTCGCGTTCCCACACGGCGTCGTTGTTGGTGATCTTGGTATCGAGGTCTCCCAGTCGACCTGTCAGCTTGGCATACTCGCGATGCTCGTCAGAGTCGGTCCAGCCACTTGGAGACGAAGAGTCTCTCTTGTTGGGGTTGAACTTGTGGAGCCGCATGAAACCACGACCCAGAGACACTGTCAGGTAGAGCAAGATATTGAAATTGGACACGAGCTTAGTGCCTGCCGACAGATTCATTCGTGCATAGTGGATTATACACGCCCCAAGAACCTGGGCACCTAGATAGGTAGTTGCAGCAAAGTATCGTGAGGGCATTCCTTGGGGCTTGGCTCGTGACTGAGGCCGCGTTGTGGAGCCTGTTGGTGAATTGGTAGCTGTAGGTGGCGCTGTTGTTGTGGGGCTTTCAGATTGAGCAGAAGTTGAAGCAGGTAGGCCGGTCGGAGAAGCACCTGGCACTTGTGTTGTAGCGGGTTGAACGTTGGCGCCAACTGTTCCTCCTGCTGCCATTGCGACCGTTGTTGCTGCTTGCTTTCGTAATTTGGCATCGTGGCGCGCGCAGTTGACGTAAAACTTCCACGAGGTCTCGCTGACAGACCATAGAATCCAACCAACAACAATGAGTGTGAGTAGATCGCTGAGTAGACCGCTAGCAATGTCGCCGTAGAGGACACTGGCCACTGCTGGTAGAATGGCGAACACCAGAGGAAGCAGCGGGTAGGAGGACTCGAAGTTCATGGGCTTGTCCTTCTGAGCATGTTGGCTGTTGACCCTGATTTTCTCAAACTCACTGGCCCGTCTGGCGGCGGCCTCGTAGGCCCGGATGGCGTCTGCCGTGGTTTTGATCTTCTCTTTGGGGCGTTCGTCTAGCATTGGCGACTACCACTGAAGAGTCCGGATATATATGGTGTGGGTCTGGCACAAAGAGGGTGGTCTAGAGTTGTTTCGGGTAAACCACTAGACATATGTAGTGGGAAGCTTGAGGGAAGCCAGATGTCCAAACAAGGCCCGATGCAAAAGGTAATTCCGAAGGGATGGTTGTATTTTTTTTGAGCGCTACACGGGCAAGGTACCAAGGACGCCAATCCCCCGGAAGTCTTAGAAAGGGAAAAAGGAAAAAGCACACACCTCTCATCTCTCATCATGCGGGGGAGAACCACCACCCAGGATTTGCAACCGATGTGCACGACGATGTACCAACTAAATGCACCCCAAGCACATGGTCCACCTCGCCCTATTTTTCTACCTGCGTCTCCACAAGCCGAAGAAGCGATAATAAAACGTGCATTCTCGTGATCTCAATAATAGGCCATTATCGGCTGGTTACCCTGTTGTCTCTCAAAAAAAGGTCGGCTTCTTTTTAGCCCCTTCGTTCACTTGTCTTGTCTTGTTTGCCCCCTATTACGGATCTGAGCTTCTTTGGCTTTAGATCGCCCGAAATCATGTGGGATTTACATTGGTACGAGGTAGAATGCATGCACAAGGTGAAACCCTCGGTGATTACGAGCCTTCAAGCATATACCTAATCAAGTGCAGATATACAAATAAACAAACTTGTGTGGATCAGAAACACACGAAGAAACATCAGCCGGGGAGTAATCGGCATCATTTACAGTAACCCGCACCATGTCAGACCCTGACCATATCAGATATCCTTCCCCACATGCACCTCCCCCTCCAATGTCCTATCCAGGAGAACATAAGCAGCGTAACGCAACTCCCAAATAAAATTCTACCCACGCGTGACTTTGGCGCTTTATCTATTCGTGCGCCTAGCCCTTGCAGACTACCTGTTTGGGAGGCTTCTAAACGCCATCACATATACATGGTCATGTCGCTAATATGATGTCCCATCCACCTCCCATATACCGGTATTTTCTTATCGCAAGAGGCGGTTTTCTTCCACATACAAGTAGACGTCTCGGTCCCGGTGGTTCACATTCCACAGTCCAAGATTGGTCTCAGTAGAGTTACGGAAAACTTTGAGGCTACGCAGAACAAAGAATTTACGACTCCGTACAAAACTAGCTCTCAATATACAACTTTCAAGCGGGCAAGTATTAGAAATATGTAGCCATCTTCTATATAAACTAAATGCAATGCAGTCTAATGCACCAAACACACGAGAATAAATAACAGCCTACAAGTAGCTCGTGACGCAGGTGAGACTCAGGATCACACAGTGAATCTGTCCTGTGTGCTGCGAACGTGTAAAGTCCATTCCGTAATGATAAGCCAACAGCTGATCCCATCTTAATCTCGCTTCCATCGGACTTGCGAGGGCTGGTATGGGTAGTAGATACCACCCACGCCCAGCTGGGTGTTCCACTGGTCGATGAACGAGATCATGGCGGTCGTGAGTGCCATCTCGCGACTGACCTTGGACTCGTCAATCTGGATCTGGAAGCCATGGCCAGGGAGAACCGTGACGGAGGCAACCCGCTCTCGGACTTCCGATTCCTTCTCACCGAGATTGTGTACCTTTTCCATGAATTTGCCCTTGGTGGTCCACTGGTATGTGAAGCCGTCTTTAAGCTCAAACAGTCGGTAGGAATCAATCGCGTCAACCCGGTGGCCCATGACATGCCAGCCTAGCTCGAATTCGTCGTCATCCGACGTGGACTGGATCATCAGAATGTTGGAACGGAGGCCGGCTCGGATGTGGGCGGTGGCTTGAGCCTCACCAGTGGTGTACATCTTGTAAGCTCCCTTGACGGCACGAGATCGCACAAACCAATAGAGTCTCTGGTCGATATGTTTTATGGGATTCGCATCGTCAAACACTCCGTAAACCTTGGCACCTTGTCCGAACTCTCGGCGCACGGTGTAAGATTTCACAGACGTGGGGTTTGTCTGGGTGCTGACAGGGCCGACGTCGATGATGTTGGGGACATACCGGGAGGTTTCACGGTGAGGGTGGAAGAGGACTGCCTTGGCCAGAACCAGAGGGCGCATGATGGGGGATAGCAGGAGTTCGATGGGCATATTTGTAGCGACTGTGTTAGCAGGTATCGATGGCATTGACCGTGTCATGTTCCAGGTGGTATCAGTGAGGTTTCAAGTCCTGTAGTGCTGTTTGTGGTATCACGTATGTACTTACATGTGTGTTTGTGAGACTGCGGAAATCCGTTGTGTAGAAAGAAGAGCGAAAGTGGATGCGTGAGGGGATATATATAGACTGTGGAAGGGGTTACACAAACAAGGTCACACACCCAAGGGGAGTGTAGGTGAGGCGGGGTAGGTCCCTGCATGAGGAGACCATATACTGTAATGCACACATGTTGCTGTAGGGATACATTGATAGCTCTTGGGGGCTGAGTGAATAATAATATTACATGTATATGTTTGCTTATTTTTTTACTAGGCGACAGCACATGTGGGTTGCACTAACACCACTGGTAATCCTTTGTATGCTCACCTTAGACGTGAGTTCCCTGAGCACGGGCCTTGGGTCCCCAGTTCTTGGTGGGGTTCTCCTGGTATCGGACCAGAGTTCGGCTCTTCTTCGTCTTCTCCATCTCTTGAACCTTGGGGTGGATGGTGAAGTCGTACTCTCCCTTGAGAGGGGTCTCCATGAGCTTTCTGCCCCAGGGCTTGAGGTTCTTGGACAGTTCCAGGCCCTGCTTCTTGAGATGGAACTTGTAGATGTCGATGATAACATCAAAAGGAGCCGAAGTCTTGAGGCATTCGTGGGAGGCGTGGGACATGGACACGTCGTAGCCGGCGTTCAGAATGGCCGAGGCCAGCTCAGCCTGCTTGAAGTTGGGGCACTTGGTAAGCTGGCTCATTCGAGCTGGAGAGAAGTAGAAGGGCTCGTAAATCTCGTTCTTGGCCACCGTAAGCATACCCTTGATTCGCTTGAGGGTTCCGTAAACATCTGGATCGAGAGTGGAGTGCACCTCGAGAGCCTTGTCGATGAATTCCTTATTATGCAGAGGACCGCCCCACATGGGTCCGTTGATGTAGTAGTGGAGCTCTGGGTCGGAGAAGTCAGGCAGAGATCGGTCCATGGTATTGTATGTGAACTTGGGTCCCTTTTCTCGCTGCACCTTTCGGCCAAAGTACTGGTTCTTCCACTGACCAGTCTCAGTGCAGTGGTACGTGACCATGGTGTTGGAGGCGAGCTCCTTAACCTTGATGGGGGAGGTCTTAACCCGAATAAAAAGTCGTACGTAGAAGTCGATTGATAGCGACAGCTGGGGCTCAATGCACTTGCCGTACTTTGCAGCGGTGCCGGCAATCATATGCAAGACGAGACGGAGAGCACTCTCGTGTGTGGCATCTCCTCCATGGAAGGTCTGTCCTCCGTAGGAAGAAAAGCACTTTTCAGGATGGGAGTTTCCTGCTAGAACAGCTAGGTCGGTACAAGTCACCAGAAGTAGGCCGTCCTCATCGACGCTTCTGACAGCAGCATCAATGAAGGGAGTGGCCGATCCGTAGGGGTCAAGATCAATGACCTGGAACTGCTTGCCGTACATGACGAGGTTGGCGTCGGATTCGTTGGGGGTGACCAGCTCCTCGACCTTGTTGTGAGCCACGTTTCTCTCAATGCTAGCAACAGCGTCCTTGGAGAAGTCATTGGCTATGATGTTCTTGACACCAGGAATCTCCTTGGCATATCGGATGGCTCGCAGACCAGAAGCAGAAAGAGCCTCAAGAATGTTGAATTCGGGAATGTGAGGCTTTCCAGACTCCTCATTTTCTTTCTCATCTCGCTTTCGCTTCTTGTTCTTCTTGGCCTTCTCTTCGGCCCAGATCTCAGACCAGGCCCGAATGCAAGTGACGGAGAGGTCTCTGTTGAACTGCTGAACGGGGTTATAAAACACCTGGTTCTCTTTGGGGAAGAGAATGTTGGCCTTGCCCTCAGTAATCACTGTGTACTTGTCGGCGTCGGTCATGGCGACTTTTGCTCGGGAAATTAGTCGTCGGAGCACTTTGATGGATGGAGATTTTCACTTCACAAAATTTCAAAACTTTGCAGTTTACTGCATGGTGCATGTTGACCGTATTTTGCGACGTGTGACGAACATGTTGCTCAAAGGGGAGAGGGAATGAACAAGTGAGGTACTGTAACAGTGATAAATAATCTGGGTTATCTTATTATCATTTTGATTGTTTTATTGTTTGATTAACTGCGCGTAATGGCATTATATGTGCACTTCGTAACGGTACACTAGTATTTTACACAACACTTGGCAGTTCCAACTAACTTACATCACTAGTTGACATAATACTTGAATATCAACAACTGAAATAATCCACCCTACTGACATGTAACGGGTGGCTACGGATATTGAAAAACTCGCTTTTATCTCATAAACCCTCCTTGCCACACATTTTTGCTTCACTTGTTGTTATCCCATCCACACCCAATACTACACCAAAACCACACGTGCCAGCTGGTTGCTCCTCCACATCATTATCACCGAACCTTACTGTGCTCCACAACACCCCCAACCAAACGTCAAACCACGATACACAACACAATGGTGGACGTGGCAAGCCAAATAGGAGATGTGAACTTTTCTGTCGCCGGAGAGGGCGTTGCAGCTCGTCTTGCACAAGAAGGGGTCGGCGGAAGAGTCTATGATCTGCCGGAGTTCTCGGACATCAGCGATTACTCAGACGACGGATACTCAGACGCCCAGGAACAATGGGAGGAGTCGTTACGGCAGCTGGAACAGCTGGTCAGTTTTGTTCTGATTCCCCTCATCGGCAAGTTTTTTGGCCGTCGAGCTGCATATTTCGGTGAGTACAGTCGAGAAGGACGGAACGGATGCAACCGTATGGCAATACTAACACAGTGTGGGGCATGGTGGTGGACTACAGATCGCCCAAGAAGCTTCATGTTACCGACTCCAAGGCATTCAACGTCAGTGGAGTTTTGGGGGCTGTCTCGTTATGATCAGACCTACCCTTATTATACCAGACTATACTCATAATGCATATGGCCTCAGGGTCTTTATTTAAGACACAAGTCAGAGTGGTGCTGCAACTACTTGTAGTCGTATCGTGCATCTTCATCTCAGATCGAAGCTGTATATTACCCTATTAAGTACCCTTTCCAATATATAAACACCGGGAGCTCATGCTCTCCAGTGTGCGATTACTCGCAGTTGTGTTGTCTTGTGGTCGATCAAATGTTGACCAAAAGAGACTCGATCTTCATGGCCTCGTCTCTCACAACATTTTTTGACATTGCGTCAACGTCCTTGACAAATGCATCCAGCACTCCTCTTTTCACGCGCTCATCTAGTCTTAGCAGCATCTCGTAGCTATCAGGGGCCTTTCCTGGCAGCTCCAGGATCTTGGAGTATGCATCCACTAGGATGGCACATACTGACCCAAAGGTCTCGTACATGTCTGGTACGAACGGTAGTCTGTATATTGTGAGATGTGTGAACTCCACAGGCGCTGAGGACTCTTCACTCTTGTCGTTCTTGGTCTTGGCCCGGAAGAACCGTCCCACGCCTGAGAGTCGATGCTTTGTGGTCTCGGCGGACGAGAATGTCTCGAACTCCTTCATTAAAGCCAGAAACGAGCGTAGGTAGCTCTGCTGAGTCGTGTTGGAAACAATCATGTGCGGCAGAGATGCCCCTAGACAGAAGAGATGCTGGGCGGCGTTGTTGTCGTAGTGCATGGCCTCGATGTCGTCCCTTGACAGATGTACCGAGTTGAGCCAGTATAGAGATCCGGAGTGGCTGTGTTAGTTGGCTTGTTCTCCTTTCTTGTTCATACTGCTGTGCTGAGGTCTGTCGTGTGCCATATCGTGTGTGTCTCGCGTGGGGCAGTGTCGAACCAAAGGCGCTTTTCTTAGCGCGTGTTTTTCGTGGTACTCACACTCTCCGAACATATTCAATGTATTGAATACGTCTGACCACGAGCTCTTGGATCTGCTGCTCCATGGTTTGACGGTTATCGTCTCTGTCGGATGGTGACAATCATGACCCCTGTGTCAGGGTTAGGGGATGACTGTTTTGGACTATTTCAGCGAACTGACGCGGATGGCTGGGTAGGGAGGTTCTCGGTCATTTTGAGGAAGAACCTCGTCTTGTTTGCCAAACTAGGGGGTATATGGGCAATGTTGGATGGTGATCTTTTGTCTTTGCGTCACATCTCACATTGATGTGTGATTTGTTTGTTCTTATGTTGCTTAAATGGAGTATGTATGTACAAGTACAGTAACCTCATCTGATTGTATTGACAATTTGGTGATTACGGAACTGCACAACCTGTGTCTACGTGATGCTCCCTTCCGAAAACACTCTAAAACACGGCTGGCACTCTACACCATGGAGGTGCAAGACATAGTCCATGGGTTCAACTATTCTGCTGTTGGCTGCCGCCAAAACGCTACTTGTAGGGGCGCTTTGCAATTTCAACCGAACTCTGTTGTCGCGAGGATAAGGTTTCAGATGAATCTCTTCAGAGGTGGCAGTAGCGAACATCTTGTACCACGACACCTCTAAACACGTCAGTGCAAGTTAGCGCAGCATAGCCGTATACGAGCCGGAGTAGGAAGGGTGGCATGTGGCCGTGACAGCGGGGCAGAAGGGCGAGTGGACGACAAGGAGGGTGTATCACGTGTTTGAACTGCGCGCAACTTGACTCCAAATGACCATGCTGGCAGCAATTCTATCCATTCTCCCTGTCGTCATTATGCATCTCCAAAATCAACACTTTCGCGAGGTGCTAGAAAACCGCAGAAACCTCCAACGTACGTACTGTAATTACAGTACTGGCTGGTATGTACAAGCACTCGTAGGACGCGCAAGACTCTATACAGGAAAGTGTCAGTATAAGACAGCGAATATTATGCTGCTGAATACGAGCACCGCCATTGTGCCGACGCAGAGAATTATTTTATCAAGCATCAATCGCATTCGAGAGGTCCCATTGCCTATTACCCTTCTTCCATACGCCAACCCTTGTCTGCTACGTAGAGTCTCTGTCGAGTCTCCCCAAAGCTTGACTACTTGTAGTCGCACTCCACAGGTTGCCTGTCAAACCCAGCTGAGTTAAATAGCAGGAGGGCAAGCGTCGGAGATGTGGTTTCCCAGGCTTGATTTGCAACATGGATAATTATAGAAGAGGGGTCGTACCGTTGTTTCGGGGGCGGGGTAACTGCGTGCACCAGTGCGAGGTGGCGGAGAAGGCGGGACCCAGCGTGTGGAATTAATATGTGTCGGCTGATATTCGAGGGGCTCTCGCACATCTACCGTCTACGGGCCGATCCTTCCCCAGAGATCATCGTTGCCTCATCGTTTCCTCGCTGCAAGGCTCCACTCAACGTTATGCACAACAAAGCCCAAACTAATGGCGGCTGGGGGCGCGGAACAAGTGTCAAGTCAGGGCCAGCGGAAAAAAAGGTGACAGAAGAGAAGGAGAGACACTACTGTACAAGTAGCGCTGGGCCAAGGATGGGTGGTACAACATCATTAGATGAGCGAACAGAACCAGTACAACGCACGCTACTGGAGCTTCAACAATTAGGCGTCGGTGGTCTACTCAACAGCAGCAGCCGCCTCTGCTCTACAAACGAGCCAGGCCAGCAGGGTGCTCGTAGAATATCTCACCTCGAATGATAGAGTTCGGATAGAATATTCCGAAGACAGACGTCATAAGCGACTCGGGAATAATGCCTTGAACTTGAGCGGGGTGGTGGTGGGGCGCGCACGTCCAATCTCAGTGACTAAGGGCGGGGTACAAAACACCCTCCAATTGAACGCTGCCCAGGACGCTGCGCTGCTGCGACAAGTAGCTAGCCCAAAGCGAGATGGAACAAAAAAAGGGATATAACCGGGATAGCTGCTTAAAGTTCCCTTTGTTACAACTTTTGAATTTTTTCCCCACAGGCTTGTCGTGCGGGGTACAAGCAAAGGCAAAGAGGTGGTGTAGAGAGAAAAATTAATGGCGCTGGACAGTGGTCTTGACCCGACTTCCAAGCGACGTTATTTCGAGCCCAAAACACCAGCTGATACGGAGCGACTCACACACGAGTACGCGAGGTGGAGGACACAAGGGAGACACACGATACACGCCCACAGTACAGTTCGTCTGATACACCAGACTGATACCAAGTCTTTTTACAAGTCTTTTTTCGAGTCCTAATTCCAAAGATCATATCATGAACGCTCCAATCAAAAAATACAGATGCACGTTTTGCGACCGGGCCTTCTCGCGGTCCGAGCATCGTACTCGCCACGAGCGGAGCCACACCCAGGAGCGGCCGTTCCAGTGCACGAAGTGCACCTCGAGCTTTGTACGACGAGATCTGCTGCTTCGACACGACCGAACAGTGCACAATGAGAACAAGGTGAAGAAGGAGGATCGAAGGAAGTCCTCAGTTAGTGGGCTTCAGCAAATGTCCGTTCAACAGGGTCAGGTAGGCCAGGTGGCCCAGCAGGTTGCCACGCAGCAGCAGCCACATCAACAGCCACCGCCACCACCACCACAACAGTCTCTAGGTCAACCGATGCAGCCCCAGCTCCAACAGTCAATCATACCTGAACCCCAACAGCATCCACACCCACACGCGCAGCAGTTACAACACCAGCAACTGCCGCCAAACCACAATGGTATCCAATCTCATCTACACAACAGCAACAACAACAATGAAAAGCCTGAGCCTCCACTTCGACACGACCCAGCTATGAACTCGCCAGCACACACGCAACACTCTCCAGTAGACGTCAAACAACAGCCCGGAAAAGTGGACATGTCCATGTTTGGAAACTTCAACACCAGCTCGCCTAACACACAGGACAAGGAATCGCTAAGCACGCTGGCGGAAGCTGCGGGACGCGAGTTTGAGTACGAGTATCCACACAGATACCCGTCTCCTCTCAACTACGACATGCTGTACGACCAGGAGCTGTCTGCGGCAAATCTCATCACCGATCTGGGCCGCAAAAAGAACGTCAACATTCCAGGGATCGACAACATCAACAATGCCATTTTCGGAGAGGCTCAGCATCGAGACGGATCCAACGGAGAGCATCCACACCAACAGCACGTGACGTCCATGCATGTGAGAAGTGCCAGTGAAACGTTTGGGATGAAGACGGACCCCATTTCTGCCCAGCCTTCGCCTCCTTTATCAGCCAGTGCGGCAACCACAGGAGCGTCTGCTGGAGTAGGAGGTGGAACTGGAGTAGGAGGAGGGACTGGAGTCCCAGGAACAGTGGCAGTAGCAACAGGAGCACCATCAGCATCAACAAGCGGTCACCCACCACCACAAACCCCCCCTGCTCCTATTGTCATCCCCCAGTTTGCACCTCATTCGCCTCCTCTGTCGACACTCCTGTCGGCAGTGTCTCAGTACGAAATCAAAAAGAGCGGGCTGCGGTTTCTGCCAAGTAAAGGCCAGCTTAACAGATACCTGTCTGTGTACTTCACATGCTATCATATGACGACTCCCATTATCCATCCCCAGTCGTTCAACCCACAAACGGCCTCCCCAGCTCTTTTGTTTGCAGTGTGTGCCATGGGAGCTCTGTTTGCCTCTGAAATCGAAATGTCCAAAAAACTAAACGATCTCAGTTGTTCGTTGAGACGCACTGTTTTCGAACAGAGTGAAATGTCATGGGCCAGTCCCGTGCCTATTTGGGCAACCCAAACCCTGCTCATCAACGTCTCGTACGAAATGCGAGTTGGTGATGAGCCCAGTCTGAATTTCGTCGAAGGCACAAAGACCCTGCTTTCTAACCTCGTTACTCAGCGAGTAGTGGAGGTGGAAAACCTGGAGTTTGGGTGGAGCAACTGGATCATGCAGGAGTCGTCCAGACGTACGTATTTCGCCGTCTTTGTACTATACGGTACAATGACGTGCTTGTTCAACCATGGGCCAGCCATCTGGAACGCCAATGTGCGTCCCAATCTCACTTTGCCGTGCTCAGAGTCGCTGTGGAACGCCTCGTTTTCGTCCGAGCAGGAGTGGCTGCAGGCTTATTCGCAGACTGTACCTCCCCAAACCTTCAGATCGAGTCTGGAGGCTCTTTGTGGCATTGGAGACACGAGTTCGAGTCATTATGGGCTTCGAATTCTCGGTACAGCTCTGTTTTTCGAAGTTTGGGAACTGAAGAAACGGGAAGGTGCCAACAACACCAGCAGAGATGGAAGTGGCGAGTTTTCTCAAAATGGATCTTATACGGGCCATCTAGGTCGAGCGCTGTTGAAATGGCAACATTGCTGCAAACAGTTGCCCCCTACAGTCTCTGGAACAGTTGATTTGTTTGCCAGTGAGCGCCTGATGATCATGATTCGAGCCATTATCGAGTCCTCCATCAACCCCTCTACTGTTTCTTCCGTGTCTCTCTTCCGTGCCCATCCCATGATTCTCGAGGGTCATATTCTCACAATTTTGTCCTCGATCAAGCTCCACTCGCCCCCTCGTCAAACCCTCAGCCTAGCTACTTTTGAGCTGTCTCACTGCGAAGAGCTGATGGTGACCGAGACGAAGATCATCGAAAAGTGCTTTGAGCTGTTTCACGTGCCTCTTCTCTGTGGATCTCAGATCTTCCAGTCCTTCATGCTCAAGCCTCTCACCTTTGGTATGATCGACGAGAACATTGTCTCGACTTTTGAGATCTGTCTGGTGTTCATCGTTTGGATCGATTCCATTGAAAAGCGAATTGGAAGAGACCTCAGCACACGTGAGCTGATACTATGGAACACTGTGCAGACGAGTTTGATTGATTCTGGAATCGAGCTCAGCTGCCATGAGCTTGCCAAGCGTCATGGAGAGCCTAACAGAGTGTCGGACATGCTGACTTACTCTTACGCTGGAGGCTTTGCATACTTTTGGGCGGATGTTCTGTCAGCTCTAGACACCTGGGGAATGGCCAAGGTGCTGTCCAAGAGTTTGTGCAGAATTGGAAAGGGTCTCACAGAGCGCAGTGTTGAGAGACGACGTAGCAGCACTGGAACGTGACGTATTTGACGTGATGCAGAGAAGATGTAAATTAGCCACCTAATGAAGATGCATGACTGTAGTATCGAGTTGTAGAGTGTACGTAGTGGTACAGCGGAAATAGGAGTATCTCAGGTGGTATTATGAGCACAGGGAACTCACTTGGAGGAGTCGTGACTACAGTACAGCCGCACAAACTTAGAACATTGGCTACCATTCGTTGACTTTTAGTTAATATATTCCTTACAGTTGTTAAAATATTAGTTAGGACTACTAGAAACTTACAATACAGAGTCATCAAAATGATACCCAACAATGTAGAAGTGTCACTTTTGGCTGTCTATACTGTTTAAAGTATCTATGTCGATTAAAGAATATTGAATACTTTCCATCACTTCCATGCTGCAAAAAATATCATTAATCACTCACTCTCTCTATGCACCAATTATCTTAAAGTACCCCTTCTTCCAACAAAATAAAGTTGCGGGTTCAACGAGAGCTCACGTGGGAAGAAAAGTTTTCCTTTTTGAGAGACAGAGATACAGCCTAGAGACATAATGTGTAGAGCAATAAAAATCGAGACTACAAATATCTACAATTAACAACTCCAAGATACAAGACAAAAAGCCATTCACATGCGATGATACAAGAATTTTATTAAGTCTGGTGTGTCCACCAAACCGGTTTTCAGTTAGCCACAGAGTGACAAACTTAGGCCTGGAGAGAGAGTCGACCAGCGGGGTTGGTGACCTTAACACCGAGAGCCTTGGCTCGCTCGAGGATAGCAAGTCGCTTTCGGGAAGAAACGTTGTGGGCAATCTCGGCGGCGAAGACCTTGGTGTGCATGAGGAGAAGCTCGACCTCCTCAGTGTTGGAGACGAGGAAAGCCTTGTGGCCGGAGGGCATCATGTGCTTGGTGGCCTTGGCGGAACCGTAACCGATCTTGGGCATTCGGATGGTGCCTCGGAATCGTCGTCGGACACAAGAGTCAATACCCTTGGGCTTTCTCCAGGACTCGCCGACTCGGTCGAATCGGTCGGACTGGTGTCGCTTGAAAGCCTTTCTGTGCTTCTTGACAATCTTGGGATGGGGGTTAGAGGCGGCCATCTGTGTTAGTTTCGAGTCTAGAGATATCTGGTATCTGTTTCGTCCTTACAGTAAGCGTGTGGTGTGGTGCGTGTGTAGCGCTGAGGAGAGAAGAGAAGAGAAGAGAAGAGAATGAAGTTTTTTGCATGCAACAACCACGCTCCAATCAACCAACCACAACATCACTCAAACAACCTAACACATAGAGAGACATAGGTGGTCAACCAACGATAATATCTTATCGCATCAATTCATGTTATCTCTGTGTGCTGATTTCTCAATCCTCTGTGGGATCTCAAAATGAGAGCACCAGAAACACAGACATGTTCTGACATCAACTTTTTCCCTTATCCTCGTGTTGTTGCCGGGTCGTCTGTGCCATCACCGTTACGTCCACTGTTCATTCACCGTCGTGTCAATACCCACCTTTAGTCGTGTGTTGTCGTTGGATAGAAAGAGAATTCCAGTGATCAAAGTAAAAACCAGAGTGGGTCGGCGTTTGGGTTTGTGACTGCGTTCCCAAAATGGAATTTCACGTGACCACTCAGAAGAGACTGAATAAGGTGCATCGGTGGGACTGGGCGGTGTGTCGAAAGGAGGGGTATGGGGACAGTTTTAATGGGAAATAATTACATAAATCAAAAGGAAATTGGCGAGTTATTCATATTATTCATTTTTAAATCCCCACTTCTCCATCAATATCTACTTCTATCCCCCTTCAACCATTGTGTTAAAAACCTTATTTGTGTTACCAACGAAGAAGTGTTTCTGAGCCGTGTGTTCACGTGATGGAAGTGACATGAGATAGAACATGGATAGACAGAGGGTTGGGGGTGACACATAGTAAGGGATGTACTGAAGAATGATGAGGTGTTGGTGCTGATTATTTAAACCAGCTCTCAGAGCTAGTTCAGCCTTTTTTGTAAGAAGCTCTATAGATGTTCCATGAGAAGTACGAGTACGATAGTCACTGTATGAGTTGCAGCGCGGTTGTGCATATCAGTACAAGTACAGTACAGTAGCTAACACAGTGACGTCAATGGGACACAGAGGGAGGAGAGAAGAGAGAAGCGCTTAGAAGCGCATTAAGGTCGTAGAGCGATGTTATTATTATTATTATTATTATTATTATTATTATTATTATTATTATTATTATTATTGATTTGGTATTACCACAACACACACTGCGAGACAACTAAGGCAACTGCAAGTACTCATTACTATTACCCATGGTTATAAGACGTTCATATACTTGTACCAACGTCTCATACATGCCCAGTGGCACTGCCGATAAAGCTGTATTGAAGATACCTCGATGTGCATGTGACATGCAAGACTGATGGGCTCGTGTGGTGATTTCGGGGGGTGGGCTAAAATGTCCACCGGAAGATGTCTACAACGTTGCTCAATAAATAATGTACGTCATATCTCTCTCAGTCAGTGGTGTTGATTAAATAAAGCTAGACCAAGCTGGCACTATTCAAAAGCAAGGTCAATTTCTCCCTCAGGATCAACAGGCCGCCCAACAATGAGCTTGGCCTTCTTTGTGACCAGGTCCATGGTGATATTGAACAGAGTGGTGCTCTTTTCAAGAGAAGTAGTCTGAACAGGTTTGCAGATGGACTTGGGCTCGCCCTCAGTGTCGGAGAACAGCGCTTGGACATTATCAATTGTGGGCTCGGCACCTGATGTGGCCAGGTCATGGACCAGTGTGTCGATTCTCTCTACTCGGTCGGGGGAACACTGCAGGAACATAAAGTGCTCCACGTCCTTGTGTTCCTTCAGGTAATGGTTGGAGTGCACGACAGCACCAATGTTGTCCTTTTCGCAGACTTCGATATCAAAGGCCGACGACTCTACTCCCTCGGCGTCTCCAGAAGCATCCGACACCAGAATGTGGGCAGCAGCAGCAATTCCCTTGAGCCGGAAATCCTTGACGACCTCAGCGGTAGTCTTGAACTGGAGTGCGTTTCTGAGAGCCACGTGGACGGGTGTCTTGGTGGGGTCGACTCCCTTGGCAGCAATGGCGTTCAACAGGACACCCACGCCGTACTCGTTGAAACCAATTTTGCCAATGATACCGGCCTCTGTGCATGAGAAGAACCGGGGCAGGTTATCTGGGGTGCCCTGGAGCACCACGAGGTTGTTCCTCTGGGGGGCCATCCAGTCCCAGTTCTGAGCCAGAATGGATCTTCCGTCCTTGGCCCAGGCTAGAGAGGTGCATCCGTCTGAGGCCGCCTCAGGGGCTGTAGAAGCTCCCTTCTTGAAGGCCTTACTCAGACCAAACGCCACCTCGGTTCTGACGTTGAGGCACACAATGTCCACCACATGCTGTTCGGAACCCGACGCAATACCCTCCATTTCGGCGTAGAAGTCGGGCCATTCCCGCTGCAGATAGGGCACGAAGCCATTGGCGTGTTGCTGGATCTCTGTCCACGAGAGACCGCTCCAGGATGTCAGGAACGCCTTGTAGAAGTCCAGAGTGCCCTTGACCAACTGGGGGACGGCTTGGCCGTGCTGGTAGCCCATGTTGTAGGGAGTACCTGCGATTTTGATGACTTTCATGGACAATTCAGGCTCGGGCGACAAGGAAGGACCATCTGCGCCGTTTGTACCGTTTGCACTGTCTGTACCGTTCGAACTCATGATGTTTAGCGTTTTGCTAGTGAAGAGGGATCTGGCAGGGTTGGTGACAAGGTTCAAGGGCCGCTTGATATATCGCATGAGTGGGGAAGATGATGTCATAGAGTTCTGGCGGTTAAAGTGGCGTTGGTCTAGACTAACGTGTGATAAATGTGATAAGAAGTGCCACTACTATAGTCTGGACACGAGAACGAAGATGAGAATGACAGCCTGCCCGTATCAAATCACAAAGTCTACCTTGGAAAGGGATGATCAAAGTCAATTGCTGTGAGACCCGAGAGTGCTTTGGTCATGTAATCGATGATCAAGTGCAGAAAGGTACTTGTAGCTCTACTGTAATCAGGATTCTGAGTGGTTTTCAATTGACGCAAAAGAGGACGGAGAAAAGGTGCAAGCCCGTTAGAAGCTGTTAAACGATAGATAGATACTCGTGGAGACTTCTACGAGGGAGTGTAGGCTTGGCCTGCAGTCGAGACTGTTGCTGCTGTATGTCCCATCCCTGACCTGTGTGTCTCAATTGCCGTGTCTAACTGAATTTACAGTAGCAATATACCTGAAGCCATGTTAACATACTAAGAGCGAAATACGGTGTAAAAGTAGCAAGTCACGGGTATTTGCTATAGAACATGCTGCAGTGCACTTGTGATTACGAGGGATATTAGCAAAGGTGTACAGTGCAGGAGACACATGCTCTGATATTTTGGCAATCCCACAATCGCTGGCATTTCAGTCATTTGGCTTCGCCAACTGTTGCACATTCTAAACGAAAGCAGTCAACTATGAGTACGCTGTAGTTAGCAGTTATCAACTATTAGCAAGTCAATTATGAAAATCGAGACCAGCAGAAACAGGTGTCTGTTTTTTTTATAGACGCTCAGTGTTGTTCGCACAGAGGTATCACAAACCAACAACAAATGGTTTTGACTGACAACAGAATTGTGTCAAGGTGTGTACTGTAAGTTATATGAGCCTTCATAGCAACAGCTTCTTGTACTTGTACAATAGCTACAATATGTTCTGTTGTTTTCCCAGATCATACTAACCCGATTGAGTTGAAGATTAACTCTTTTGCAAGATCTTTCACTGTAGAGGTGAACAATGGGACACTGTGTAGCAGCAATTCAAAGACATCTCCAGACACATCAAACAATAATATTATACTGTATTCTCTGCAACGCATTCTTTTCTCTATCTTTAAACAGTACGAGTACTTGTTCTGTACTACGACACTTGTAGCCATCACCATTCATGCATCGTTACCTCACTCGCCCTGCAGAGTTGTCGTCGTCGTAATCGAATGCAGCCACGTGACCAGATGGACGTGGAACTAACGTTGGTGCAATTGCTGATTGTGCAGTCTTCATTTCCCTCCAAATATCCTGTTCCACCTCCACGTCCACTCCCTTTGACCCCTTGTTCAGAAACGAACGGGTGGTGTCGACTATCTGCAGATGTAAGTAGCCAGTGAGAAAGAGGAGAGCGAACACGGCACACGTGGTGGTCACGGCGAGCAGAAGAACGCTCAATAGTCTGAACCGCATCAGTTCAATTGTGTGTCGGGACACTGGCCGTCGTCGATTTCAATAGTACAGTAGTATAATTATACGTATATCCGATCACACCACCATGATAGACAGTATGTCAATTAAGATTTCCGAGTTACAGGGTTATATTGTGAGGTGTAACGGTGAATTTGAATACAACGCCACACATTGCTACCAGCACATAATACTCTATACAGATAGCTGCTAACAGAAAACAAATTACAATACAATAACATTAATATACAAAAACGTCCCCTCTATCTCCCCTCTATCTCTCCTCTATCCTCCTCTATCTCTCCTCTATCCTCTTTATCCTCCTTTATCCTCTTTATCCTCCCTCTCTAACCTCCGTATCATCCATTCTCTCTTTATAGAGACTCCCTCAATCGATGGAAGAAGCCGCTCTTTCGATGCTCCTTGCCATTGGACTCCTTGCTCTTGGAAGTGGTCACCTTTCGAAGAGACGAATCGGTGGAAGGCTTTCGACTGACAGAAGCAGACGAGGGCTGAGTGAACGTACCAGCTCTCGACTCCAGGCCAGCTCGGCCGTTCTGATGGTCGTTAGAGTCCTTATCAGCCCGAAGATCATCCACAGCAGTAAATTTGGTGTACTCAGAGATCTGTCGCAAAGGAGCGGAATTTGTTTCTCTCTTGTGGGGTCGGATCTTGTTTCGAAGAAGCGAGCCAGTATGCTGCAACAGAGCCCGAATAACGTCCTTCTTGACCTGATTGGCCAGATCCAGGTTGGTCCACGTCTTGTTCTGATACACAAGATCGGGAATGGTGAAGACAAAGTTGTGCACGTCGGCCAGGGCCTTGGTACCGTGGCCCTTGAGAGAGATGCAGATGACAGCAGAGTGCAGCCGAATATCCACAATGGAAGTGTACTCGGAGGCTCGCTCCATCATCTGAGTTCCCTCGTCAGACTCATCCTGACGTCGTCGGTTGCGGAAAATGTTGAACCGTCCCGAAGATGACTCGTCGGATGAGTCGGACTCCATCGACTTTCGGGTGGATGAAGCCGAGGGAGAGTCGGGGTCACCAGGCATCTTCACACCGACAACCTGGTATCGGTTGTTGGGAGATGCGTCTAGACGAGACGCTAGAGAAGAAGACAACGACTCATTGCCCCCAGTCAGATCACTGCCATTGTCGCTGTCTGCGTAAATGGCAACAGCATCAGCCATGGTCTTGTGTTTTGTGGGGTCATGCACGTTGAAGGGAGAGTCATTGTTCTTGGGAAAGACATAGGAGAACATCTTCTCGGCTGTGTCCTGGTCAAGAGCAAGCTTGAGGGGTTGCAATTGAACCTCCAACAACTCCATGACAGGAATACCACCAATGGGAGCCAGCATCTTCCAAGCCGCGTACACAAGAGCAGGCTCGTCCAGCTTCTTGAGCTTGGCGTTTCGACGGTTCTTGTTGACATCACCATCCAAAAACGGACCAAGCATCTCTGGGTAAGGAGCGTTGGGCTTGAGGTTGAAACCCTGCATCATCTGGATCTCCATACAGTTGGTGTTGGCTCCGTTGGGCTCCTGGAATCGTACAAACGAGGGAGAAGCCATACCAAAGTCGACCAAAGGAGTATGGTCGTCTTCCAGCAAGTGCCAGATGATCTCATCCGAGCCAATGGCCCACTTCATGGTGTCAGTGAAATCTTCGGTCTCCTTAGAAGTGACGAGAATCTTGGTGGTGGCAGCCATCATTGTGAAGAGCTCGAGGTATCCAGACGCTAGCTCGACGTCAATTTGTCGAACGTCCTTCTTGCCGTCCTTCTGGGTCTGCATCAGATCTCGGATCTTTCGCAGACGTCGCATCTCGTTCTGAAGACACTCAATGGTCTCCGGAGCGGAATGCAGACGCTTGGGATCGAAAGTCATGAGCATTCGATCCATAGCCTTCTTGTTGGACTCCTTGATGGGCTCAGAATACAGCAACAGATCCATGGCAATGGTGTAGATGGCAAAGTATTGCTCGGAAGTACAGTAGGCCGTGACCTTGGGAAAGTCGACCTCGATTCGGTTGAAACGGTTGAATGCCTCTTTCTCCTCGTCCTCAGTACAGCGAGCCTCACGTGCAGACTCCTGCAGAGACTTGAGACGCAGTGTGTTGGGCTTGTCGTATCGAAGACCAACAGTAGCATCGGACACAACAACATCATCTCGCAGAGCAGTGGCGTCATAGCACATTTCAATTGCCAGCCAGGGAGGCCAAAGACTGTTGCGATGACAACCGTAGTTGTTGTTATTCATGAGGAACGCCGACCGGTTCAGAACAGCCTCCCTATCCAGAACAAAGAAATTGGCATGCTCCAGTTGCACTCCATGACGCTTCTCCACAACTCCCTTGAAGTCAGCATCGATATCCGACTCGTCAATAGCAGAGGTGATTCGAAGCGAAATGTTAGGGGCAGTCAACATGACCACCTTGTCGGGGTTCTGCTCAGACATGAGCTGCACCTGAGGAGACACCAGCTTGACCAGATAGGTGTTGTCAATGGTGATGTTGGGGTCACTGTAAGTGTTGTACAGACCCTCCTCCATGGTATCGACTCGCTCTTGACAGGTGGCGCGATTGTCGATCATGTGAGCGGCCTCCTGCAGAAGGTTGGTGGTCACCTTCTTGGCCCGCTCCTGCTTCTGCTCACTGGTGTAGTGGTCATCAGCCATGGTCTTATCCAACTCCTTGAGAAGATCCTCAATTCGCTTGACAGCTCCTCGAGACATGAAGTACGTCAGCTTCTTGCGCTCCTCCACTCGATGCAAGTAACGGAACATGGCATTACGCACAATGTTGTTCCACTTGAGATGAACGTTGTGCACAATGAACCGGTTGTTGAATTTGGTCTCGTTGACGTCGTTGAGCTCGTTTTTGATACGCTCAGAGATGGAGTTGGGACCACAGGAAGACTCGCCAGGAGCACGGATACCCAGACAGGTATGCGAGATGACGTGGTATCGCGTCTTCAGGTTGAACAAAGTTTCTTCTACAGACGCAATACGGTCCTTAACAGCCTGACCAGACTGGTTTCCACCATGCTTGAGAGAGTCCAGCATGGCTTCATGAGTCTTGATTTGCTCAGCCAGGTCCTTCTCTCGCTCCTCGAACAGCCGAATCTGGGTCAGTTGTGGCGCAATCTTGCCCAGGAAGCCATCCAGGACGTTCGTTTCGTCACCAAACCGTCGGTACTTGTTGCCACGTGAGTCAGTCATATACTCCTTTTGCTCATGGTCAGTCTCTCGGAAATAGGTCCATCGAGGAGTGTAGAGCATAGGGATAACAGCCACTTCGGGAGACTTGCCATCAGGAGTAGACTCGTTGATCTCGACGAAGTCGTCCATGTCAATCCAGGAGAAGTCTCCGTCGGAGATCTGGAAAGTACCGACTCGAGAGGATCCAGTATTGGTGGTACCAGACTGGTGAGAGTTAGTGTTGTTTGTGCTGGATCCGAGCGACGAAACGTCGTCCTTGAGACCCATGTGGCGAGCCAACACACCGTGGGCAGATTCCTCCTTGAACACTGCAGAAATGACACGGATATCACAGCTCTGGAAATCAATCTCTCCCGCATTGAGCTTCATCTTCCACACATCACTGCCCTTGATAGGCTCTCGTCGCTGATGCAGCTCCATCATATACGCATCCGTTCGAAGCTTGATACCGGTAGCGGCACTTCGAGTGTGCTTCGATGCCTCATCCTCGTTCTCAGGGTGTCTGTACAAGTGACAGATAAAGAGCTGAGATAGCTGGATCATGTACTTGACAGTATGCATGGACTTGCCAAAGGACACCTTCTTAGGAGCCTTCTTGAGCTCCCTACGCTCCTCAGGCGACATCCAGAGTCGACCGTGACGAGCAGGCATGCTAGTAGACGAGTCAAACATGTGCCACCACTTCTTGAAGTGAGAGAAGGTCTCAGGAGACAAGTGGATGGCATTGTAAGCCTGTTGTTCGGGCTCGGTGGCGTTGATCCAGTCCCTACCCTGAGGATTTCGAACAGATAGAGCAAGGTGGATGTACTCGGATCTGAAACCCCGGAAAGCATCCCAATGGGGATCATTGATCTCAGCCGAGTTCTTGGTGATGACCTCGTAATGAGGCTTGAACTTATCGGTTCGCTCACCGGGATGCTCAGGATCATCTCGCTCAAAGGCAACTCCAGCCAGCCATCTCACCTTACCAACGACCTTCATAATCACCTTTAGGAACTGACCCTGAGAACCGTAGTCCTTGGCATTGAAGGCTCTGAGGAGATACTCTCGCTCAGACAGACCCAGGTTAGGTACGGCAAGCATGAACTCTTCACTGTCGACTCGCATGAACTCCTTGGGGTTGTCTTCACCATTGATATCCCAAACGACGTGGTTTCTCCATACCCAAACGAGTCCTGCGTCGTCACCAAGCACGGCGTAGGGGTTCTTGGAAGACTTCATGACGAAATGAATATCTGACTTGTCCCATTTGAGCTTGAACCGTCCATGGGCTATCAGACGAGCCTTGTCCCAGAAGCCAGGCTTGGGAGAGTGGTCAGCCGGAGGCTTCGAAAAGGTGTCAATGGCGCCAAAACCAGCACTAATGGCTGGAGACATGCTGGAGCCCCAGTTGATTCGAGTGGGCGAGATGGAGTGACCCTCGAATGTCAGGTTGGTGAATACCTTGACCGAGGTAACTGTTCGAAACACCTCCATCATGAACGTGGAAGGTGCAATCTCGTCAGGATGAACGAACGGAGCAAGAGGCACCTTGATTCGTCGAACATACTCAATGCCTTCACTGAGCATCTCGCCAACAATAAACGTACCGTGGAACGAAACTGCCGGTCCAGAGGCATCCTGAGAGGGATGGAGAGGAGGGAAGTGAACCAATGGCAACGGGTAATCTCGCAAGTTGATTCGCCACTCGCCCATCTGAACATTCCAAAAGAAGGGTAACATGATGGTGTATACCGTATCCTTAGGCTGACCCTTACCGACATCATAGAGGAAGTCTGGAATCTGGGCAATAGGGAATTGGACTCGATCAATCACCCAGTCAACGTCCTTGTGGTACATGGACATTAGAGGTGGGTTATCGGAGTACTCCAGAATGTTCTCGTTCTTTGCAGTGTCTTCGGCAATCTGCTCATCGCCCCAAACAGTACCATACAAATCTGAAACAGCCAGCTTACGCTCGTCCGAAGCCGCGTTGAAGTTGATAATCCAAGAAGTGGCGAAGTTGCGTCTGAGCTCCTCCTCAGCCTGCTCAATGGACACAGTCGTCGTGTCCTTGTAGCCCCCGGACGATGAGTTTTGAGGGTCACTGCTGTCGTTTTTGTGCTTCTTGTGGAACACATCCTTGAGACCAGTGCCAATACTGGCCAGATTGTGATGGTGACCCCCCTCCTTGTGAGAACCAATTTCGTCCTCCGTGGCAACGCGTGTAGACCGTTTTTTGGGCAGTCGCGACGCCATAATACGATCACTGTACTCCTCAAACGCCTTTTCCTTCTCCAGACGACTCTGCTGTTCCTTGTATCCAACCTGGAAGATGAGGTTGAGTTGCGACTCAAAGGGATCGTCCTCAACAATGACCAGAAGACGAGGAGTGTGGATTCTGACCTTGGGAATAGCTCGGGGCTTCATCACTTTGGGCCACACAACCACATCGGACGTGTTGAGACGGAGACGCTGACTAATATGAGCGATGGACTTGACTCCAGACAAAATGTTGTCCAGAATAGTGTAGCAGATGAACTGGTTAGGAATGCATAGTTGCATACCATCAATGAAGGCGGTCACTGCATCGTCACGCTCGTCACAAGGAAGTGGGTCTTCATGTACTCGTTCAGTGGAAGCCAGAGTCTCCTTAATGAGAGGAACATCAGCTCGAACTCGCAAGCCCCGGAAAATAAGAATTCGGTTCCAGTAATCCTCCACAGTGGGTGAAGTACCATACAGACGCAGGTACTTGGCCAGAATAATGGGCTTCTTGAGATCTCGACCGTCTAATGTCAGTGTGTCAAGCTCCAGCATGGCCCAAAAGTCGTGGGGAAGATGCCACTTGATTCGCATCATGGCAATGGCCAGATTGACCGTCACCTCTTCCTTCGGACCCTTGACCACCTTCTTCCTCATACGTCGCTCTCGAATCAGCTTCTTGAACTTGTTGGTCTTCTTTCGAAGCTGCAGAGCCTCCAGGGCCTCGGACATGTTTGTGTCGGGCTCCACGAGGTTGACGTCTTCGTCCTCTTCAATGCTGTGCTTTCCTGTGCCCAATTCCTCGTGGAAAATAGAAAGAAGAAGACCCAGATGAACAGTCACAAACCAATGAACATGAGCAGAGTACTGCATCAACACCTTGGGGACCATGACAGTAGTCTGAGTATAAGGACCCTTCTTGTTGGAGGTTGTGAAGACAGCCATGTCGAGAGAAGGAAGATTGAGAATCTCGCGGTTGTCAAACTTCTTGTCATCTTCATCTTCATAAGCAGAAGAAGAAATGGACTCCTTGGCAAGTACATTCTTGACAGAGACCACAAAGCGTCTGTCGTCAGTCTCGTCAACAACCTGATCAGAGTGCTCAAGAGCATACTGTCGAGCAGCCTCATTGGACACACCATCCTGAGTGACTCCGTTCTTGTAGTCCAAGACACACTTCTCTACCCCAATCACCATTAGAGTAGAGACGTCCTTGTAAGTGTCGTCATGAAACAACAAACCAACCGCAATCGCACTCTCAGAAGACTCAAAGTTCACGTTCTGGAGCCAACAAGGCAGTTTTCGAAGAGCATTGGGCTTCTTAGGCAATGTGGGATCGTATGTGCAGGGGTCCTCTTCATCATCCTCTAGATCATGACCACAGGCAATTTCCTCCTTGGCCTTGGCCTCAGCCTCAGCATGAAGCTCCTGATCAGCCACGTCATTTCGTCGTACGTTCTGAACAACTTCTCGAAGACCTCTGACCACTTCAGCTTCAGTCATATCAAAGCGAGCCTTGAGAAGCTGTCCATCAACAGTCATAAGAAGCTTGGGAGCCATGTCTGCATTGATGGATATTTGCAGAATTTGCGAGTCTAGAATGTCGTGTCGCGATCCCTCGGGGCTTCTGTACCATGTGGAGTAGCCCACGACCTTGAGAGATGTCTGCAACTTGTATTTGGTCTCCAGGTCATTGTCATGCAGGTTTTCATGAGACGAATGCAGGTTGCAGACAATAGCCTCACACGACGAGATGACCATCTTACGTGCCTTGTGGTCCTTTGAAGCTCGGGTCACCAGCACTCGGGCAGCAGGTTCCTCGATGGTCACCTTGAGGTTGGTAGCCGGCTTGAGTCCCTTCATGAAAAAGTGCTCGTCGGATACCTTGGGAGGCTTGCTCTTGGAAGACCGGTTCAGAGCAGTCAACAGGAGAGGGACATGGTGGGTCTGCAGATCGACAGTGGGAGATGAAATAGCCAGAGCACCGGTGATTAGCTGACCGGAGTAGATGGGAGCAGCAGCATCAGATTCGGTATCACTTGTTTCGGCCTCAGAAGTGGTAGCAGAGCCAGAGTCACTTAGAATAGACAACGTTCTGGAGAACATGTTGGTCTTGGAGTTGAGAGTCACCATAGGCACGTAGACCAGCTCCTCGGGAACATCCTTGTTAACGGACAGACCGACCACGACAGAAATGACGGAAAAGATGGTCTGGTGGGCCGTATCGTCTGACTCGAAGTACATTCGAAAGGCAGGACTCTTGGGGTTGAGCCGTCGCAAATCGAGGTTGAAATCCTTGGCCATGATGGCAAACGACAGCTTGTCGGTCGGCGAGTCGTTGAATAGTGATGCAGGAATGTGGTAGACTCCAAACTGGGCCACATGGACTTCTACTTCTCTGATAGTTCGGATCAGCAGCGTTGCAAAGTTGGCCTTGACCTGAGCAGCCTCTTCGGCACACTTAGCATCGGCCTCGGCCACGTGAGGCTTTTCCTCCTCAACCACCTCAGGCTCAGGCTCGTGTTTCTTTACCTTCTTGATTGCATCCTTGATCTCCATGAGTTTGTCGACCAGAACATTAATTCGACCCAGCTTGAAATTGACAGCCAGCCGTTTCAAACTCAGATCCTTTTTCTTGAGGAAGCCTCGCACCTCCAGGAGCACCGAGTCCAGAATCTCCTCCGTCTGCTCGTCGTCGTAGTCATCACCCGAGGGCTTGACAAGAAGCTCTCTAAAAATAATGGTGAAAAATGCAGGAAGCTCTCCGTCCAACTTGAGGTTCTCATATAGAGTTCCCGTCACCGTGTGTCTTCTACTGGCAATATGGGACCGCAGATCAAGCTGGAACACCATCTGGGCCAGAATGAAGGTGCTGACGTCCTTGACATCGACTGTAGTGGAGTAGATGGCGAAGTCAATGAACCGCGTGATTGTCAAAAAGGAGCGAGCTACACGAGTGGCCGCATTGTCGGGCGGCGTCAACGTCCACTCCTTGTTTTCGTATGTGCAGCTTGTGGCTGACTTGGACTTCTTGCTCTTGTGAGACTTGCTCTCTTCCAGCTCGACGGGATCTATACTGATATCGAGACCGGACACGTAGAAGTTGATCCAGCCTGGCCGTGCGAATGACGGCCTATGCAATAAGAAACCCACCTTGCCAATGTTGATTTGCACGCCGGCCTTGGGTGAAAATGAAATGCCCCGCACACACAGGTACCCCAAACGTTTGATGGAGATACCTGTGGTAAGTCGAATGAGGGCGAACAGCACAAACGACGCAATGTATGTGTACAGCAGGTACTTGACCAGCGTCATGGCCAGTCCTTTCAAGTCCAGCACTGGGTTAGCGGTTGACGATAGGTTCGCATGGGTTGCTTATGATACTCACTTTTACCGTCTTGTTAGAGTAGATCAGAGCTTGTGTATTGGTTGTTGCGTGTGGGTGTTTTGATGTGCTCAGAGATTTGTGTGTCTATGTTAGTTGGTGTTTTCAATGTGTCAATGTCGTCGGTTGCACTCACTTTCAATTGTCGTTCAATTGTACGTGCTCTTGTTCCTCCCCTCTGGGGTATGTTGTATCTCCTTGTCAGTGATGTGAAACTTCACGGGCTGAGTTAGTAGTGTCCTCGACCTGTCACAGTCTCTCCAAGCGACTCACTGTTGGCACCAACAGCACTGGTGTACGCGTGCAATAAAGCCAAGACCGAAAGTCGTAGTGATCAAAGTCGTCGAGCAATGGTAAAGACCGCAGGTCCATTCAAGGTTAATGCCTGAGCTTGCTGCTGGCTGCAGACTGGTGGCTGAAGACTATTTGCCCAAGTCGGGTAACTACTTGTAGGGTTTGTGGGGAAAATAAACAGAGCGAAATTTGGAATTTGGTGCGGGATTTGGAACCGCGGAAGTAACGATTCTAGAACCAACGGGTCTAAAACCCATTTCTACGTTGACACATTTGCGTTGCCGTGTCCATTTAAGGCACTAGTCAAACGAATATCGACCGCTCATGTTCCGTGCCCTGCAGACAGGCCGTATGCGAGATGCTGTTGCTTTGGTGAGTGTATTACTTCAGAGCTGCGGGGGAGTGTGGTGCCTTGTCAAAAATCAAGCGGGCATCTATACGTCACATTTTGATGAGCAACTTTCCCACAATCACGCTATATTGTAAAGTACTTAGGCAAGCATCCCATACTTGTTCTCTCATTCACTGGGCTCGGAAATAGTTATTGCCGAGGAACCTAATATGTAGTTTGTTCGCCGTTTCGCTTGTCAACGTTCACTTGTGGATGTCACGCCGACCTGTTTGAAGGATTCGCCGAAGGTTTGACGTTTGAAACTTGAGATCGAAAAGCACCGCAAACAAGAGCTTTATTATTTGCATTCCTCTCGGATTACAAATATTTCCATGCCACAAACCTGCTTACAGTACGAGTATGAGTACGAGTACAGTACAAGTATATCTCCCATTCACAACCGTATACGGTTCCGAGCTAATATATGTTTACAGGTTAAACTCACCTTAAACCACACATTGGGCATGCCGTGTATTCCAGCCGTAAGAGCGTGCGAAAGAGAGAAATGAGACTCGCAAGCGAGCTGCATGTTGTGGCTTAGTCATCAACTTTAGGAAGTTCAATCTTGAAAATAGACGTCTAGAATCGACCATTTCTCCGGCGAAATTTAAGGCCTCATTACTAGCGGTAAATGCTGTTTTCGTTATCTACGCTACTGAATGTAGTTGTCCTACTGTACCTGTAGAAAGTATTGCACCTATACGTGAGTGATTTATGGCATGGATGTTCCAGTGGTCGATTGGGGACGACTGACAACTCGACAGGGTACTCGTACTACACACACAAGTACGAGTACCGTACCTACGTCGTAGTAGAGGTTGAACACACCAGGTGTGTCTCACCAGTCCGCCTCAACCGCCTCTGTCCCTCCAGGCACTTGCTTATCCCCATGTAGCTACCCTAAATCAACCGCATCAAGCTGTTACAGAACAGTGTTATGTACTGTAAATTTTGTACTCGTACTGTAGTGTCGTTGACCGCCTACTTGTAGGGGGAGTGTCGTTTCAAATTGAGGTTGCTGAGACATGTTCCCAGATCTTTACCAGTAGCAATCGAAGCAAGAAAATGGGACTTGCAGTGTCAGTACAAGTAGCAGCTAAGTACGTAGTATGCATGTCCTCAAATCTCTCGTGGCTGATAGCCTCCAGTTACGCCTCCCTCTTCGCATAGAATTTAATTTCGCTTCTACTGTACTTACCGAGTACTTTTACTCATACAATATGTACTCAAATACTTGTGCATCCCAAATACTTATTACTGTATTATTAAGGTACATCACAAGACGAGCCTCTTATTTTCGGTGAGCATATGAGGCTGACAGTTTGAACACTAAAAATTATGAGTGTCGAAAGTATAACGACATTTTTGGGGCAATATTTCCAGGGACATATTTTTTTGCAAGCTGGAATGCATACACGAGATAATACATACTCATGAACAAGTTTTTTAGGCGGAAAAACGCATGGTGGCTCCCACCAGCCCCTACCAGCCGGATTCTCTGTCCGGTTAAAGAGGCTTTCTCTCCTGAAGGGGCAGACTGCAAATTGTGGTCAATGTTTTTAGGACATCCAAAAGACGTCATACGGTGTATGTAAGAGGTGTAGACATGAAAATTACGTACATCTATGGTGCTGGTCAAATGACGGCCAGAATCCAAAAAAAATTCCACCTTCGCCGACGCCATTATGTCTCCTCTTCACTCCCGCCGTTATGGCAGACACGACTCACTTCTGGGTTCGTGTGTCAAAAAGACAGACCTCCCAACGAACCCTAACCCGGTAAAAATTTGAAATTTACATATCCTGCACCAGGACAGAAGTGGACCTGAACAATAGTGATACCACTAAAGAAACCCTTCCAAAATGCCTCCCAAAAAGCAGCAGCAGAAGATGTCGCTCTTCGAGTTCAATGCGAACGAAGACTGGGCCGACGACATGGATGAGACGCCTCTTGACAGTGGTTACGACAACCAGAGCTACGGTGGATACTCCTCCAACAACAACTCTAGCTCTTACGGTGCTTCTCAGTCTTCTTACGACCGACCCAAGCGAGACTACCCCGAGACCCCCGTTCCCGATGTTGCTCCTTGGCTCGCCAAGCTGGTCAACCTCCCTTACGACATTACCGAGGACTCTGTCAAGCAGTTCTTTGGTCCTGGTTACGACATCAAGGAGATCACCCTGGTAATGGACCGAGACACCGGAAAGCCCCGAGGAATTGTCAACATGGAGTTTGGCGATAAGGCTTCTCTGGAGCGGGCTCTGGGCCTTTCTGGCCAGAGTTTTGGTGGACGACCTGCTCGTGTCTTTGTCAGTACTCCTCGAGACACCCGAACTGAGCGAGACTGGACCCGACGAGGACCTCTTCCTCCTCTTGAAGGTGAGGCTCGAGCTGACACCCGGGACTGGTCTCGACGACCTGCTCCTCCCGTGTCTGACTTCGACGGACCCCGAGAGACCCGAGAGGCTCGAGAGGCCCGAGAGGACGCTGAGAACCACCGAGATTTCTCTAACTGGACTCGACGAGGTCCTCTGCCCTCCAATGACAATGAGCAGCGAAAGAGCCGAGGAATGGAGTTCCGAGAGCGACGATCTCGACAGGAGGACCCCGAGAACCATCGCGATTTCTCCAACTGGGAGCGACGAGGACCCCCCAAGGGCGAGGCTGTTCTGCCCGAGCAGCGGGAGCGAGCACCACGACCCCCTCGAAAGGAGCGATCTCCTACTCGAGCCGACCAGGTCGACTCTTGGAGAGGTGATGCCAAGCCCTCTGGACCCGGTAAGACCGTGAACCTGTCTGGAAGCTCTCTGTTTGGCTCTGCCAAGCCTATCGACACCACTGAGCGACTGGCTGCCATTGAGGCCCGAAAGGAGAAGGAGCGACAGGAGCTGCTCGCCCGAAAGAAGGAGGATAAGCCCAAGGTGGTCAAGGAGGACAAGACCGAGCGAACCTGGGAGCGACGAGGACCCCTGCCCCCTAAGGGCCGAGACTCCAAGCCCGCTGGAGCTGCCAAGAAGGACGACGCCAAGCCCAAGCCCAAGGCCACTTTTGCTGCCCTTGCCGTTGAAGGAGAGGACGAGGACGAGTCTGCTTCGGCCCCTGCGGAGACGAAGCCAGCTGAGGAGGCCAAGGAAAATGCTGATCTGCCCGCTGCTGTTGAGAAGCTGGAGATTGAGGATGATGGAGACTGGAATGTTGTTTCTGGCAAGAAGCGGCGATAAAAGGATTTGTATGTAAATGAACTGATGTATAAGTATTGAGTGGCGGGAAAAAAAAAAACATTTTCAGATGACAGGTTAGTACACTTGGTAGTCTATCGTATGTGCATGCCCCTGAGAAGGACCAGTAAAGGGCATATCTTCCCTCCGCTAGGTGGATGCAAGACACCCGTATGCAATTGATATCTTTCGTAATAAGATGGTCTGTAAGAGCTCCCCTTAGAAGTGTCTATTGGTTATGTTTGAGAATCTCTCTTTACTGTACATACAAGTAGAAGAGAATGCAGCGTGTTTAGAACATACTGTTGTAGATACAAATATCAACTTTTCAAGATCAAAATAGAAGAAGTGTGTACAACTACCTGCGATTATGTACTTGTACCGTATGTACAGTAGGTACTTGTTTTCGGGACACTCGATGTACTCATGGCTGCGAGACTACCCGGTACAGTATGTACACTATGTATTGTAACCATCGTATCGTTAACAATAGCTTACCCTAAATCACCCCACTATTATCAGTGTACTTGTATACTGTACTTACTGTAGAGAAGGTGTGGCTCTGCACAGAAACCATTTCTACGGAGATGGCGCACGTGACCTTATCGGTATGTGCTTAGGGAATTTAAATTGTCAGTTTAACACGTAGTCAAATTTAAATCATCCTGAGCCTGACGATATTGACATCGGATCCAGAGTGATTGGCAGACTGGAAGCAGGAGCCTTGGCTCGCATTTATTTTCAGGCCCGGCCTTGGTAAAGTCGGTTTTTGGTTTGGCAACAATAATATCACATGATACAACTTTAGCCCACGTGTAGACTCCGTGACAGGTCATGTCAGGCGGCGACTCAAACCAGTATATTATAGACGGGCACGCGCCGTAGTACTCGAACCGGTTGGGGCTATTCCCAGAGGTCGTTTTCTTCGCAGCGGCGGTAGGAACGGCATTAATCGACCGTCGGATAACGAGAGTCACGATAACCTTGTGGTGCGGCATTAACCGAATTTCCTCTCCCATACTGGGAAGTGTAGATGAGTCCCAGTGATTGCAACTGGCAGTGTTATACGGGCTGAGGCATGTCTAAGTGCCATTCCGCTCTCAAGACGCATCCACACTTCCATCCTGATTGTCTTGACTAAAATCAGCAGCATGGTTCAGATTGCAGTCCATGAACCTGTTATAGTTTTAGCCCATCGTCATGCATTTGGCTGCCTTAACGAGGGCATCTGAGCCGGCCGAGTAGCTGAATATTAATATGTGGTGGCGAAGTGAAGAAGAAGGTGCCAACGCTGAGTCAGTATATCAATCTCCTTTTTCGGGTCCACAAATAACACAACCTCTGCCGCGGGCGACACACAGAGCACCTGCCAGACCCTCAGCCTCCTGTCTATCACACGCGCAAGTTAACTTTGCTGTTGCAACTTATATGCAAATCGAAAACTGCACACTCGACCAACGTCAACTGCGGGAGTCATCACAAGTCACTACACATTGCACAGAGTCGGAGCCCGAAACAGCGCTGAATCTTTCTGCATCCGAATTCATCGACTCAGCTTCACTTGCCCCATTCCCTCTCAGCATTTATCTCGACCACTAGACACTCCACTTGTAAGACATCTACATCCACAAGACAACACTTGCAAGAACACAACATCGCCCACGATTACACCACTGGTAAACGGCTAGCTAGACACATCTATCTTTCCCTCTCTTCACACCATGGGAAACAACCCCAGTAAGTCCAAAGGCGGACTGCAGTCTTACCCTTCCTTCTCACGATCGGACACACAGGGCTCGACACGGTCCGGTCGGTCCATCCGGTCACGACTAAGCAGCATGTCCAACAATTCAGAGGCATCTTACAAGACTGCGGGCGGCGAAACCGAACCCCAAAACGTACCGGGAGCACCCACGTCCACACAGGATCCCGGTAACGTGAGCACCGAACACATTACTCCAGTGGATAATGCCACATTGCCGCCATCCATGCAGCAGATTGAGCCCAAAGACCCTATTCTTGTCCGTGCAGATGGTTCTAGTGGCTCCGCTCACGACACTAACGACGCCCATTCACAACCCGTGACCCCAGCAGCCGTTCCGTCGGCAGGATCTTCACCAAAAGACGGAACTCCTGGCCCACTATCGGCAGACGTGCCCGGCGGCTCGGGATCTGACTACTTTGCCCGACGACAGCTCTTCTCGCCCCCGCCAGGCACCCCGGCCACCCCCGGAAACGACTCATTTAACAACTCGGGCGCGTCCACCCCTAACATCATTAGCGAAAACAACATGACGCTCAACATAGATGAGGTGATCCAGCGACTGCTGGATGCTGGCTACTCGGGAAAAATCACAAAGGCAGTGTGTCTCAAAAACTCGGAGATTGCCCTTATCTGCAGACGGGCCCGGTCCATTCTGCTGTCACAACCAACGTTGCTCGAGCTGCTGCCACCAGTCAAGATTGTCGGAGATGTGCACGGCCAGTTTGGCGACCTCATTCGAATGTTCGACATGTGCGGGTTTCCACCAGCAGCAAACTATCTGTTTCTGGGAGATTATGTGGACCGAGGCAAGCAGTCTCTGGAGACCATCCTGCTATTGTTGTGCTACAAAATCAAATACCCCGAGAACTTTTTTATTCTGCGAGGAAACCATGAGTGCGCGAAGGTCACCCGAGTCTACGGCTTCTACGACGAGTGCAAGCGCCGATGCAACATCAAAACATGGAAGACGTTTGTCGATACATTCAACACCCTGCCCATTGCCGCAGTGGTGGCCCAGAAGATCTTCTGTGTCCATGGCGGCCTCTCTCCGTCTCTCAGTAGCATGTCGGAAATCAGATCCATTGTACGTCCCACGGACGTGCCCGACTACGGTCTGATCAACGATCTGCTGTGGTCCGATCCAGCAGACACACAGAATGAATGGGAAGACAACGAGCGAGGTGTCTCCTACTGTTTCTCCAAGGTGGCCATCAACAAGTTCCTGACGAAGTTCTCGTTCGATCTGGTCTGCCGAGCACACATGGTGGTTGAAGACGGTTACGAGTTCTTCAACGACCGTTCACTTGTAACAGTCTTTTCAGCCCCCAACTACTGTGGAGAATTCGACAATTGGGGCGCCGTCATGAGCGTGTCCGAGGAGCTGCTATGTTCTTTCGAGCTGCTCAAGCCGTTGGATTCGGCCGCATTGAAGCAGGAAATGAAAAAGGGAAAGCATCAGCGAAGACTGAGTCTAGAAACACGAAGCGCCCCTGCTACGCCTCAGAGCGTCTAGACGCTGACAAACTTACTCGCATCTACATTTGCCTGAACCAATGCTCAAGGTTGCTGGCATATATACTGAGCTATATACTGAACAAATTGTATTTATGACGTTTCTCTAGGCAAGGTGATGATGACAATGATATAATTATGTATAAATATTCTATAGACTGACCCACTCACTACCTCCTCCATCCACCTCAAGGTAGACTTGGGTAATGATATAGTCTGCTACGCAGGATAATTCCACGTCTGTGACTTCGTTACCATCAGGATCCTCTTCTTCAATGGTCAGGAACATGCGAGAAATGATCTTGTCGATCTTGACAATTTCTTCGGGGGTGTTGAGATGAGAATGGAACCCTAGTTTGTGGGAAATCGAGGCCAAGTTCAGACAGAGCATAGCTAGAGCGTGTGCAAACTTGCTGAACACGGCAGGCTTCTCAGATGATACCTGGGGCAGTGGGTCTTCCAAATGCAACGGGTAGTTGTTGCTGGAAATGCGGATGTAAGGATGTCGTCTCTGGGGGAGTAGAATGACATAAGGAAGAGGAGCCCCCAAATAGTATGCTGCGAGACATGTGAAAGATGCAAGTCTATCTAACGCAGTGTTGATCTCTCGATGAGACGATAAGCACAACGTGATGATATCAGGAAGAGAGAGCGTTCCAATTAGTGGAAATGTATCTGCTGTAGACCCAACAGAAGTGATACCACTCCCTCGTCTCACCTTTCTCAATCGAATGTTGTACAGAGAGACCAGCTCTCGACAGAGTACGCTTCGTTTGGCGAGAAGACTGTGTGGGATCTCCGTGTTGACCTTGGTCTTTAGCTCTTGGACATCCTGTGACAGTTTCCGTTTGATTTTCTGATGCTCATTGACACTCTGTGTGTGTAGTGAGGCGGCTGTTTCTCTCATAGTTGAAACCTGGTTCCTCAGTGTTGCTAGGTGTCGCTTCTTGGCTGCAATCTCATCTGTCTGTAAGTCTCTGGCTTTTCGGACTACATCTAGCTCTCTCCGGACACCCTGCTGTTTGATTTTGAGCAGTCGCAGCCGAAACGGATCTGTACCAGGGTCCTTATCCGGACAGTCTAGCTTGTCGATGTTCTCTATCTTCTGTGTGACTGTGTCCAGTGAAGCGTCGATCTTGATTTGCGCCACCCGATGGGCCAGAATGGAGTAATTAGCGCATCCGCAGCACATCATGTGATGTTCGGGCACCCTCTGGTCACAAATAGAGCATGGAACCGCTGACAGTGTTACTTTTTGTGGTCTGTGGGCTCTCACTCGTGGCTGGGGAGCCGTCTGTTGTTTGATTGGTGTGGTCCGCATCCGTTGAGGCACAGCCTGATGCACTCCCGAGCCTGGTCGACGGTTGAAGACCGAAGAAACGGGTTTGGGTTTCAGGGCCGCGCTCTGGGACGCGCTGAGAGAGTCCATTTTCGTCGTCACGTCTTGTATATGGCGTTCTAGGGTGGATTCGTGGACTCGTTAAGTCAGATATCGGTGATGGAGGTTAATTTTGGAGACTGCATGGTATCTGCACGTGACCAGTTTTGGTGCGTGTGGGGCAATAATTGTATGAATGCGGACCCCAATCCAGCACCGATGGCCATTTAATTATCGAAAGGATTTATATTGTAATGACGATACTCCACTGTAGATATTTTATTGTCTTCAAGACTCATTGTTGAAGTGTAAGCATAAATGCGACTATTACACATACGACTGCTGCCTCCTTCAACAACACCAACTCTTCAATACATCAATATACTGTAACTGCAATAACTCGAAATACTCATTAGCTTACATGACGATACAATTCTTGTTCTGCGCAGCAGGGTCAGTCTTGTTCTGGGTCTTCTCAATCTCCTCTACCAAGAGCTCGAATGCCTTGGCGACATTGGTGCCGTCACGGGCGGAAGTCTCGACAAAGGCTCCTCCCCAAGATGCAGCCAGTTCCTTTGCCTCCTCAACAGACACTTGTCGCTGGGAGTCTAGATCTGACTTGTTGCCTACAATGACCAGCGGGATTGACGACGAGCCTGTAGCGTTGAGAATCTTGTCGTGGATGATGGGCAGCACGTCAAAGGTGGATCGTGAAGTGACCGAGTACACCAGTAGGTATCCATGGACACCCAGGAGATGCTTCTGGTTCATGATACTAAACTCATCCTGGCCTGCTGTGTCGATGATCTCCGTGTTATACTCAATGCCCTTGTACACAATGGTCTTGGAGAACTGGTTTTCGATTGTGGGGTAGTACGACTCCACGAAATGCTGCTCGACGAACTGCACGGTCATGGATGACTTGCCGACGGCTCGGGAGCCTACCACGGCGATTTTTCGCGCTCGCTGTGCTGCCATTGTAGTGTAGGTCTGTGCTGGTATGGGGTGTTGTCTTGAGGTGTGTTAGAGCTTTGTGGTTTTACAGAGCTCTTATTGTTGGTAGGGGTGAGGTGGGGGGATGATGTGTTATCACGTGATGAGTTGGTTGAAATGGCGGCGACTGGTACTGTCTCGGGTCTGGCTATCGACAGTGAATGGGTGTGTGTGGTGATGGTGTTGGCCAAGGTTGCGTTGGGAAATCTAAGGTTCTAGGTTATGACAAGGACGTTGGGGCACGAGTCAAGAGCATTATATAATGAGGGTTATTCGACAGGCGGGACTTTTGGGGCCAACGAGGGGAAGCGAGTGCTATAATGGGGCATTGGTAGGTAGGTATCGGAGGTTCTCCAAGCCCTAAAACTCCACGTGTGACGTGTGACCTGCTACTCTACTCTTTCGATCGCAGGCGGGTCTAAAGATAGTCTCTTCTGGGAGTCACGATAGGGTTGACAGGGTTGGGGCTTATCCACTATGGAGCTCGCCCCATTAAGCCGACTAAGCCAAAAAGGAAGTGCAAGTGCAGCCACGATAATAATGTCGCTACGACGGGGTCTAGTGGGTGTATTGGGAAGTCACACGACCAAGAGAACGGCGCTGAAGGAGCTGTATTTGACTGTCATGTTTCACACCCTCGGTGTCCCTTGCCGCATCTAGTACAAGTACCACTTCGTCCGCTGTTTATGCGGTGTCATCTGTCAGCCGACAGGTCTGATCTGGCAGTTGGTGGGCCGAGCTAAACAGCTTCCAGGTGTGTTCGGTGCATGTGGATCCGTCTTCCCAGAGTGATAGTCTTGGGTTAGGGTGGAAAGAGGTGTGTACGTATGTAGAGGATGTAGTAAATATCTTCAGTGTTTCTCGAAGAACGGTTGTGTATCGTATCGTGGCAGGACTGGGTTGGGACCTACTTGTAATCTTGAAATTTCATCGGTTGCTTTGCCTCCGGATTTCAAAGAAAAGGATCATAAATACACTCCGTATAGCTCGCACTATGTATTTGTACTTGTACTTGTACCCGTAATTGTACCAGTCGGCTATTGTTCAAGCCTGGTTGTGTGCAACATGGCATTATCGTATCAAATGTTGTGCTTACTTCAGAATGTCGTTTTTACGACGCATTGTCATTTCCTCAAGAACCCTTATCTCAGCAGTGGATCACCTGTTTATCGTTCGGACGACCGGAAAGATCGACAAACAGTGCTCATCTGAGGTGAGTTTGGAAAGGAGACATGCCAGAGGGACGTGGGGTGGTTATTTGTACGAGCATGCCGATGCTAAATACTGCCGTGTCCTCCGAAGTCTCCCCTTACAACGGCCACGTTTAATAACTCAGGTGTACTTTTAGGCTAACAAAAAGCAAACGCCGCTAAACAAGAGGTTAAGCTATGGTCTCAGTCTTGAGTCTGAGAGCCGTGTGGCTCTTTGCGACCGGATCACGTGATCCGATCTCTCATAGTCACATAACCGTGTCTCAGATGACGTCCTAGTATATCTTGTACTGTACTCGTATCGTACCCCACATGATTGTCTTCTCACTTGCTGCTTGCTTATTGCGCTCTTTTCTATTGCTCGATATACTCACAGTTTGGGTTATGTCATGTCTCATCTAACTCTGTCGAGATTTTTCAGCGCAAGGCTTAGTCAGGGTAGAAACGCAGCATTACGAACGCAAGCAAAACGCTTTCTAAGCCGGTCCAGAACGCACAAACACGTCCACATGGGAGCACCTAATGCCTGCCAAGCCAGACTGAATGTTTCTTTTGGTGTATCTCTCTCTCGGTTGTGTTGTTACATGTAACATAATGTAATATACGACGCGACCTGAGAGAGAGGTTGTACTGGTAAGGTAACGGAACCAGACGGAAGTGGTACATTCTCGAGGACAGGGACATGAACAATCTGACAGAAGGAGATGCGAAGCGCTCCCTTGACAAGACTGAGATGTATGCTTGAACAGGGGGCGCAAGAAATATCCGGTTCTCGCAGCCCTCCATGTCGTTTACCCCAGCTTAAGAATCTCTCATAAAGGTGGTGCGTCCAGCCCCACAGGCCGTTTGCTTTGTATAGGAGATGAGATGCAAAAAGCCGTTGTTTGACGGCGTTTGACAAGGTTCGGCGTTAGCGGTTGCCGTTTCGAGCAGGTACTTGTAGAGTGGGAAGAGGTGAGTTACAGCTAGCCACGGTATTCTGAAAGGTAGTCATAATCAGGGTAGATTGGTTAGAGTGTCATACAATTACTTGTAGCTATTCTTACGGTGTACAGTTACGAGCACTTGTACTATAGTTTAGTTGTGGTTAAAACAACGTTGTGGCACAATTGTAGTCCTCGCAGATCCCTACAAAGGCCGGCCATTGCACGCAAATTGCACGAATTTTTCGCAGGCTTGCGCGACAAATGCACCCAAATACCGCACAAATGACTCTGTTTTTCACTTTCTCGTTTTCTCCATATTCTCCATATTCTCCATTTTTTTGCCGTCCGCAAAAACCCAATTCAACCCGGGGTACAGGTTTGGTGCATGCTGTGCTAGATGAAAGTAGCCCTATTCCACTTCGGAAGGATGGGATCCGAGATTCAAAGTTACCCTGTCTCATGATTATCCGAACTTCCGGGTGTCCATGTGGTGCCAGGGACAGCGGCGCTATGAGTAGAGAGATGGAACGAGAATTACAGGAAGGGGGGGAGACACAGATCATGGCTGATACAGATGTACCTGCGTCTTTTACGTCTCCTGGGTCCTTCTCCATGTGTATTTCGCACCCGCCAGGGCAATTATATCCGCCTCTCCATGTGTCCATTTTTGTGTATCAGCTGTTGGGCGCTTGTCAAGCACACCAATGACAAACTTCATAATGACTCTGGGGAAGGAAGCGCAGTTTGGTGGAAGTGTATGTATGTAGTCTAAGGGAGTCATGTTCCAGCATGAGCAGGAGAGGTGGGCGGAAGGGAGAAAAAACAATCCGATACCACTCCAATGGTCATGTCACCCCTCTCCTTCTATCTACACTCTGCCCTTCTCAACATACGACCCTATGGACACGCCTCTACTAACCCCAACTCAGGGACTGCGGCTCAACATTCTGCAAGGCTTGGAAGAATTTGACTTTTGGCTTCCGTCAACTTTTTTATTTTGGAAGAAGTCAAAAAGCTAATAGCACACGCATCGCAAACAATATCGAGAGACGCCTATATAAAGGCAGCGTGTCCTGATCCCTCCCTTCCGTACTACCCCATCTCACACAATGTCTGCCGTTCTCAAACAGCGAATTCGATACAAGCCCTACTTGGACAAGATCCGAACTGCCGCCCAGTGCGTCGATCTGTTTGGCGCAAAGCCCAACCAGTACATTGGATGGTCCGGTTTCACCGGAGTCGGAGCCCCCAAGGTTGTCCCCGATGCTGTCTCCAAGCACGTTGAGGAGAACAACCTGCAGGGACACGAGAACTGGCGATACAACCTGTTCGTCGGCGCCTCTGCCGGTATGGAGATCGAATCTCGATGGGCCAACAACAACATGATTGCCCGAAGATCTCCCCATCAGGTCGGAAAACCAATCGCTGCTGCCATCAACGAGGGTCGAACCGACTTCTTCGACAAGCATCTGTCCATGTGGGCCCAGGATCTCACCTACGGCTTCTACACCCGAGATAAGAAGGAGAACTCTCTAGACATCGCTGTCATTGAGGCCACCGCCATCACTGAGGACGGTCATCTGATCCCTGGTCCCGCCGTTGGTGCCTCCCCTGAGATTGTCCACATGGCTGACAAGATCATCATTGAGCTCAACACCAAGACTCCTTCCTTCGAGGGTCTTCACGACATCAACATGCCTGTCCTGCCTCCCTTCCGACAGCCTTACCAGATCACCGACGTTTCCCAGAAGATGGGAACTCCTTACATCCCTCTTGACCCCTCCAAGGTCGTTGCCATCGTCGAGTCTGAGTTTGCTGATGTTGTTGGTGCCAACTCTCCTGCCGATGAGGGCTCTAAGGCCATTGCTGCCAACCTCATTGAGCTCTTCCAGCAGGAGGTCAAGGCCGGCCGACTGCCCGAAAACCTGCTGCCTCTCCAGTCCGGTATCGGTAACATTGCCAACGCCGTCGTCGAGGGTCTGGCTGATGCCTCCTTCAAGGACCTTAACGTCTGGACCGAGGTGCTGCAGGATTCCTTCCTGGACTTCTTCGAGTCCGGCAACCTCAACTTCGCCACTGCCACCTCCATCCGTCTGACCGAGGACGGCTTCAAGCGATTCTTCGACAACTGGGACGAGTTCTCCAAGAAGCTGCTGCTGCGATCCCAGGTTGTGTCCAACAACCCCGAGATCATCCGACGACTCGGTGTCATCGCCATGAACACCCCCGTCGAGGTTGACATCTACGCCCACGCCAACTCCACTTGTGTCAACGGCTCCAAGATGCTGCATGGTCTGGGAGGCTCCGGTGATTTCCTCCGAAACGCTAAGCTCTCCATCATGCACACTCCCTCCGCTCGACCCTCCAAGACCGATCCCCTCGGTATCTCTTGCATTGTCCCCTTCGCCACCCACATCGACCAGACCGAGCACGATCTGGACATTGTCGTTACTGAGCAGGGTCTGGCCGATCTCAGAGGCCTCTCTCCCAAGGAGCGATCTCGAGAGATGATCAACAAGTGTGCCCACCCCTCCTACCGAGACCAGCTGCTTGCTTATGTCGAGCAGGCCGAGTTTGAGTGCGCCAAGAGCCGATCTCTCCACGAGCCCCACGTTCTCAAGAACGCCTTCAAGATGCATACTAACCTTGCCGAGAACGGAACCATGCGTCTCGACAAGTGGTAAACACTATATAAGAATGTATTTATTTTCTCTCTTAACCTATTGATGTTCCTGATCTTGAGCTACTTGGACTGGTACAGTAGCTATAGATGAGCCTTATGCATGTCTCACACTAACTACATAATATCTAAAAAAGCCGCTAACGGCGTCTACCCTTGTATAGTGCGGCTACAACCAAAGATACCACTTTGTGTCCAATCTCCATTGTGGGGTGTCAATGGCGTGACGTGAAGACGCGTGCGGACAGGCTTTGTAGATAAGGGTTGTAGATAAGACGTTATTGGAATGACATATGTATTGTACAGTGTAATTGTGCTGTAAGTACTCGTAATTGCATCTGACTGAGCTGTCTTAATGATGTATCGGGTTGACATATCTGAACGTCGAAATTTGACACCTAGTTGCTTCTGAACACTCATCCTAATCACTGTTGATAATAGCTCAACACTCATTGGAGCGCCGGAAATTAGTCTTAGTCAGTTGTATTGTTCGTGCGATAGCTACTGTATGTACTGTAATACGGCTAATAGTGTAATTTCCCCGCCAGGGGTTTTGGTTGAGTCTAGTTCCATCATGTGTTGGGAGAGCCAGAATACGATATTGTACAGGCAAATAATACTCGTCTTATTTAGTCCTCGTACAGCACAAAGAAAGTTGTTATCAGTGCCGATGTGCAGTATGTCGGCCGAGTCGGGACACAAGCAGAGAGTACGGGAGATGCAGTGGTCCGACTCGGTTGTTCTCTGCTGTCGTACTTGTACCAGTGCAGTATACACCAACAAGGATTTCTCGTCATACGGTCATTGCAGCTGTGCTTCATGCGCTGTCAGGTAATATCATATCATGTCACCCCCATTTTGTGAGATCTCACTATAAAGCATGTTCGTTATACTGTTATTCAATGTCAACCAAGCTCTGAGCAGCTACTGCTGTAGTTATTAGTTGTAGTGTACAACAGCTAAGTATGAACCGGAAAGCATGTATGAGTCAACCTACTCGCGTCTGTAGTCCAAAAACTCTCGAGAGTTCTTGTCCAACATCTCGAGAGCCCCCGCTTTAGATACACCCTTTGCATGAGCAACTAGATCCAGCACCTCCTGCATAAGATCATCCATAACAGGTCCTGCTTTGTAGTAATCCGACTCAATAAGCAGCCGGTCGTCCGGAATCTTCGCCAACAAAGGAGAAATCTTCTCCAACTTTTGATCGAAGCGGTCTCCTTCACGATCGATGTGTCCGCAGGTTATAACACTGCTCACAGACACGAAGACACGTACCTTGGTAGGCTTCTTCTTGGAGCCTTCCAACTTGAACCAGCCTACCAGAAAGTCGGGAGGACCAGAGTAAGAATGCAAACAAACAGTCAGGGGTTTTCCAGGGTTCTTCTTTAGAATCTCGGTTACACACTCAAGTAACGCTCCATGACACTGAACTCCATGCAAAGATATGGGTCTCCCATAGTCAACAGCTAGTTGCAACTGGAGCCCCAAAATCGTCCGCTGGTGGTCAAGAGACACTCTAAATGGCGTCAGCTTATCCCCCTCTTTATCCTTAACCCGAAACGGCTTGTCCAAACCCGCCTCCCCAATCATGCCATTAGGATACTTCTCAAGACCTTGTCTCATGAGATCAAGATAATTGGAGAACGGCATTGGTTGCTCTTGGCTGGCCACGAATCCCTGCAGTTCCTCCTCAGAGCCTCTGGGACCTGCCAAAACACGACTATAATGTTCCTTTGCTTCCAATCCTTCTTCCGTGTACACCTTCCATGTGAACCAAGGATGGTATCCGAAACAAGGTACCACCTTAGGCCAATCAGCAATCGACTCCACTCTTTCTATATCTTGAAAGTTGGTCGACATGCAGGCCAGAAGGTCCGTTTTCATGCTCGGGATCAGATCGAGGGTATCAGGAGTGTCTGTTGGGTGACAATGGGCATCAAACATGGTAGTTATAGAGAACAGAGGGTGCGATGACGAAAGGCTCAAGCTTACAAACAAGCATCATCGAGGGTTAGGGTAATCACTTGTAGTTTAGAAGGTATGGTTGATGTCATCGACTTGGTGTCACCAGCTCGCCGAGTGCCTCCGTCTCGCCACTTATAGTGGTGCGAATCAATAGATATTCTGAAGCACATTGGAAGTGACCCGTTATAAAGGCACAAGTGCAGTCTGTTCCATGAAAGAAATAAAGTGAAATGCATTCTAACATGCCTGGAAGGGGTAGGTTCAGTGGTATAGCAGAGGATCAATAGTATCGAGGCCGGGGAATGCTGTTTAGTAATTTTTCGGTGCACGTTTATTGAACCTCTCTGGAGCGTAGCATATTCATTCTCTAGCCTCCAATCATCGTCCCTCTCATTTTTAGCGGATAATTTATCCATAGCCTATATATAACTTTAATAAAAGCTGCAGCTGGGTGCCAATCGCAGCGTTATCGAAAAAAAGAGACGCATCGACACCACTCTACGCCAAACCCTGGAAATGAAAGCCAAACAGTACGTCCCGCCATGGAAACAGCCCTACATTATTGCCGTGGCGGGGTCTTCGGGATCGGGAAAGACTTCGGTGGCTCAACTCATCATCAAGCAGTTGAATGTGCCTTGGACCGTTCTTTTGTCCATGGACAACTTCTACAAGACGCTGACACCTGAGGAATCTGCTGCTGCCCATCGAAACGAGCACGACTTCGACACGCCTACCGCATACGATACCGACGATCTGGTCAAGTGTCTTCGAGATATCAAGGCAGGTCATCGAGTCAACATTCCTACGTACTCCTTTGTCGAGCACGCTCGAACCGACAAAACTGTCAGCATTTACGGCGCCAACATTGTGATCCTTGAGGGAATCTATGTGCTCTATGACCACCCCGGCTTACTGGATCTCATCGACATGAAGATCTTTGTCGACACTGATCTGGATACTTGTCTGGCTCGACGACTCACGAGAGATATGCTTCATCGAGGACGAGAAATGTCCGGTATTATAAACCAGTGGCGTAAGACGGTCAAGCCCAACTTTGAGCGATACGTGCGACCTACAATGGCCAATGCTGATGTTCTGATTCCTCGAGGACGGGACAATGTCGTAGCGATTGATATGGTGGCCCAACATATCACTAAAATTCTTACAGACAAGAGTGAACGACACTTGGCCGATCTGTGCTCGTTGATCGACGACGACGAGCTGGCTGCCGAGGAAGCTACCTGGAACAAACAGATTCATGAACTGAAACAGTCGCCCCAGCTTATCGGCATTCACACAATTCTATGTTCAGATGATACCAAGCGAGCTGATTTCGTGTTCTACTTTGATAGAATCGCCACTCTACTGGTCGAGAATGCACTGCAGCACTCCAAGTTTGAAAACATTAACGTCGAGACTCCCACAGGAAACACCTTTGAGGGAGTCCGACGTCTGGGAATTGACAATACCTGTGCTGTAGCTATAATCCGAGCAGGTGAGTGTTTCGACCGTTCTGTCAAGCGAACCATCCCTTCAGTCCGAATGGGAAAGCTGCTGATCCAGAGTGACATTTCTACCGGAGAGCCCAAATTGCATCATCTGAACCTTCCTTCCCGCATTTCAGAGCCTGACGCCTTTGTTCTACTATGTGACGCTCAGCTCTCGTCTGGAGCTGCCGCTATCATGGCTACCACAGTCCTGGTTGACCACGGCGTCAAGGAGGAGAACATTGTCTTCGTTTGCTATCTTGCATCTAAACGAGGTCTTCAGCGGTACCTCAACGCCTATCCTAATGTGCATACTGTGGTCGGTAAGATTCTCGACGGCAGTCATGGCAGATTCATCGACACCAAGTACTACGGTACCTAGAAGCTGTAGACTACACGCATTTGACAGTTAACATAAATAAGCGATATTCCGAGTCCTAGCTTTTCCCCTGCCAATCCGAATTCTCGCAGTTTCGACGAAGTTCTAGACCCTTCCAGTAAATTCAAAACCTTATTTTTAGACATCGTGAACTTTTATCCGGAGGTTTTTCTAGAAAAGTCTAGAGCTTGCATGATATATGCATGATAAGTATATAACGATGAGGTCTTCCTCAAATTTTTGCAATCATCAAACCGTAACACAACTTAACACAAACACTCACTATGGATTTCTTTTCTCCTTACTCCAACTTTGGTGGCTACAGCAACGACAACTATGGTTACTACAGCCGACCACAATCCAGACGACAGTCTCGACAGCAGCAGATGCTAAGACGACAGGAAGCACAGCGACAGGCCGAAGCTCGAGAGTATGCTCGACGAGAAGCAGAGAATCGGGCTTACTACAAACACAGACAAGAGGTTTACCGACAGAAACAGCGTGAGGCTGAGGCTCGACGACAAGCTGAGGCACGAGCTTACTACGACCAGTTGGCCCGACAGCAGCAGCAGAAGGCTCGACGACAGCATCAGTATGTTTCTGATCCCTTTGCTCAGCTCTTGGGTATTAACGACCCCTCATCTATCCCTTTCCATAACTTCGACGAGTCTGATGGCGAGTACGAGTACGTTGCACCCACTTCTCAGGATGTGGCTATGTCTTCTCCCACTGCTTCCGAGTCCAACACCGATGTTGAGGACTCTGACTCTGACTCTGACAACGATGTCTTCTACGACAGCTTGGAGTCTGCCGAACCTTCTGATGACTCTGACTCTGACTCTGACTCTGACTCCGTGACCGATTATGTGGAGCCTGCTCCTACTGTTGTTGTTTACTCTACTCCCCAGCCCGCTGTGGAGAAGAACGTCACCAAGAGACTTCAGAAGATGGCACCTGTCATTGAGCGACACGTTGAGACCTTTGAGCGAATCAAAAAGGCTGCTTCTGGCTCTTCCTCCGACTCTTCTGACGATTACGAGTCTCTTTTGAGCTCCACCAAGTCTCGACTCAAGGTCATTCAGAACGCCCAGATGAAATTGGAGCAGCTCTACGACCAACTAGACTCCATCAAGACCGACAACAAGAAGGACAAGGCCATGCGAACTACTCTGATCAAGAAGTCTGTTGGCACTGCTGAAGCCATTGACAGTGTGGTCCAAATTCTCAAGGAGCAGCGAAATTACTACAAGCAGTGCATCGAAGAGGACAGTGGGTCTGACTCTTCGGTCGACTCTGCCTCTGACACCAGCTCCTCTGACACTAGCTCCTCGGACATCATCTACCATGTCACGCTGGAGGAGGTTCCTGACTCGGACTTGTCTGAGCTGTCTGAGTAAGCGCATACTCAAGCCTGCTAGATACCCGTAGCTCAGCTACACTAACGACATGTACATATTTAATGATAATGATGATAAATTGAACAAGACTGCAAATTTATAATTAGTCCAGAATACGACGTACTTAGTCCTGAAAATGTAGACGTCTGGATATGGGAATTTTAGTTACAACATTTCCATCATCACCGCTGCCACTGCTGCTTTTGCCTCCCCCCCCCCCGGCAGTACACACTTCAGACGTCCATTAGTCCCGGTGCCACCAACCTCAAGGCTCTCCAGCTTCACGATAACAACATATATTACGGTCTGTCTCAGAGCTACTCTGACTTCCGGGCTGAGGATGACGGCAAGATAATCAAGCTGTTCTCCCAAGGTTACCCCGATCTCTCTCTTGATATTTGCCCAGGATGGTGAGCTCACCTTTAAGTCACCTCCCGAGCCTACTGTAAGGATTGTTTCTCCTGAAGGGTGACGGTGAAGTCCAGGGCTTAGAGTTCAACTGCTCTCGCTACTTTGTAGTTCTACTCTTGCTCCGACAAGATCCTTGGTCCCCTCCACCCCCAGGTCGTGTATGTCAAGATCAGTGACAAGTACGAGTGCGAGAACCCTGACAAGTTCACCATTGCTGTCACCAAGGAGGAAATGATACTAGCTATTTTTTGAATGATATTTCTAAACTGTGCAAGGCAAGATGAAACGTAGATGCTACTTACTCACCTACTACTGTACTGTAAAACATAAGTTTATGGCCTGTGATGTATTGTGTCTACCTCGATTGATGGATGGCTGCTGACTTGTAGTATGTAACTTTTCGGCCAATGTTCGTGTCGGATATGCGGTTTTATCATCTATTTTTCGGAATACTATGACATACTGTACTTGTACTCTGTGAAGTTTCCTATACATCAATAACATCTATTTTATACATTTTACATATATACCCTAGTAGCCAGACACGACCATGAAGAAGTATCCAATGGTGATAATGGCAATATAGACCAGGATGGAGGAGGGCACACCTCGAGTGATAAAGTTAGACACAGTGAGGTACCGTCGGCCCATCTCATCAGTCATGCAAATAGCGGTAACGTTGGGGAAACCTGAAGTGGGCAGGCCCATGGCGGCCGAACACAGCAGAGCTGAAACCATGACCAGGATTCGCGGCTGGGGATCGGGAAGAGACTCTCCAATTGTCTTGACCAAAGGTAGAATGACTAGAGCAGCCACAGTATGTGACACAAAGGTGGCGACAACAAGCACCAGCATGCCAAACACGACGATTACGCCAAAGAGGTCCAGAGAGCTGAGCTTGATAGAAATGGCAGATGCAATAGTAGCCAACAGGCCTGACGATGCCACGGCCTTGCCCATAACGACACCACCCATGGCCAGTGCAATAATGGTCCATAAGAAGTTGTTGAAGTCCTCGGTGGTCAGCAAGCCGGTTCCGAAGAAGAGAACAATGGGGATAAGAGCAATGACACCCATGTTTCCTAGCACAGGCTCAAGCTTCTGAGACATGCACCAGAGAACAATAGTGACCAGCGAGCCAAACACCACAAAGTACTGCTTGCCAGTATAGGGTTCTCTCATTCGTCGAATGGGGGTCAGTTTGAGGTCTCCGGGAGGGAAAGTGAGCATAAGGAAGAACCAAACCATGAGGATAGACACGATGGAAACGGGGATGGCAACAGCAAACCACTGCATCCAGGTAGGGATGGGGTCCATGTTTTCTAGGGCAATCAGGTTCTGGGGAGAAGCAATGGGTGATCCCATTCCTCCGACATTGGCAGCCAGCGCGATACCCAGAATGACGGCCTTGGCGAAGGTCGAGTCCGGAGGAAGTGTTCTCAGAAGAGGCTGGGAAATGGAGTAACACAGCACTGGAGAAGCAACGTTGGAGATCCACATGGACAAGAACCATGCCACAAACATGAGGGTGAGCAGCACGACTCTGGGAGAAGTACCGGCCTTGGACAAGATGGCAGTGGCCAGGATCTTGGCGATATCGTATTTGGACAGAGCGGCAGCCAGAGTGAAACCTCCAAGAAGCAACATGATGACAGAAGACCACATTTGCGAGAAGACGACATCGGCAGCGGCAGGAGCAGTGAGTCGGTAGGTGACGGTGTTGCCATGCTTGTCAACGGTGGTGCCGAGGTTGACACGCAATAAGACAACGAGGAACGGCAGCATCATGGAGGTAACAAATAGAGGAAGGGCTTCGGTAGCCCAGAAGAAGGAGGCGAGAACAATGATGGCCAGGCAGTTGTTCTGGGCATCGCTGTCAAAGGGAGTGATGACATGGATGAAGGTGAGCAGGATGCCCAGACCAATGAGGCACAGAATGGCTCTTCGTCCCACAATGGCTCGGGGTAGACGGAAACCCCACATCATGACATAGTCGACCTTTTCGAGCAACAAGCTGGTGGGTTCTTCTCCCTGCAGTCGCACGTTTCTGTTTCCTCCAATGATGTTGAGGTTGGCGGCCTGAGCCTTTCTTTCCATGCCAATCATGTCTCTCCACACAGTGTTTCGCTCCCACACAATGTGTTCACGCAGATGCAGACGGAGTTCCTGTCGGGCAATCTTGACGTCGCCGTTGGTCGCGAGACGGGCGTACACGTCGACAGCCTCATCAACTCGATGATCGAGGTTCTGTTCTGTTGCTCGCGAGAAGATATACGTTTTGGAACACATGTTTTCGAGATACGACTCTCGGATGTGTCGATCGAGCGTCTTGTCGAACTTTTTGAGGGCCTTGGAGAAACCCGTCTTGTTGAGCTGCGAGTACGATCGCAGTTCACACAGCGAGACGTAGACAGCGGTGGCTCGCTTTTTAAGCGTAATTCGCATGTCGTACAGGTTTGAGAAGACGTCTTCCTCCCCTCCATGGTGGAACCACGAGGGTCGTCTTCGGGCACCGGACTGGCTTCGGGTTCGTTTTCTTCGAATAGCCACTACGTCCTCGTCTGAGTCATCCGAATGGATTGTAGAGGGGGCAACGGCCTTACCAAATGACTGTCGGGCTCGAGATCGGACCGGAGACAACTGGTTGTGGAGATCCTCACCGTCGGTGGAGTCGACAGACAGAGAAGAGCGGCTTCGGGCGAGTCTGAAGGGCTGCTCATTGTCGGTATCCTGGGGACAGTAGCCCTGTTCGTGGCCAGCGTGTTCAGCCTGGAAAACAGCCTCATCCTCGATCAAGCGGTCGAGATCCAGGTAGATGTCCTGCTCCCGCTCCATGTAAAAGGAGTCGATCTTCTTGAGCTCATCGTCCAGAGCTCGTTTGAAAATATCCTCAGGGTTGGAATCTGCCTCTCGGATCAGCGTCGAGTTTTCCTCGTCCTCGTCCTCGTAGTTGGGCACGCCCAGCGCAGTACGTTCCAGCGAGTAGATGAGCTTCTTGAGCTGCGAGTAGGCAATGTACTCGGAGGTCCACTCGGGCACTGCGTTGAATTGCAGCGAGTGGTTGAACTTCATAGTGATGTAGTCGCTAGGTGGGTTGGGGGCGAGATCCTCGAGCGGGATTCCTTCGGGGTCGTCGGATGCGGGCAAAAAAACAGACAGTTTTACCGGTGAAACGACAAAGCTATGCAGCACACACGAACGGTGGGGGATTTTTGCTGGTCTCTGTCTTTATCAGGTCTACCTGAAACTGTAATTGACTGACTATAATCCTAGGGTTAGGTAGTCTTTTGGGTTTAAGCGAGACACGAGACTGGGGAGGTAAAAGACTAGACAAGTTAAAGAGATGTTGAGGCCATTGGAATTCGAGTAGATCGCTTGGTATTAGAAGGGCATGTTCTGTGAACCAAACAAACTCCAGATTTGTTCCTCTACAGTACTTGTACCACCACCTTCATCTCGCAACATGTCTCAGAGCCCGATCTACACCAACCACAAGTACATACTACACCATCATAGTTTCGCATACACTTTCAGAAATCGCATAATTACGGTCGAGGTGATAATTGGGCTACCACCACACACAGCTGACAAGCACGAAAGGCCGCTATCCCGATGCTGTCAACCTGCCAAAAGGCCCACGCATAGTCTCTATTACACTCTCCGCAATCGGAACCAAGGGTGGAACTTTGCGTGACTATTGGTACTTGGCTTTTTATACCCCGGCATAAGTAGACGACGTTTAAATCCTGTTGGGTGGGAGGAGGTGTTACTTCTTGACACCTGAGTGATAAGTTACAAACACTAGAACGTGACCACAGCTACAAACACGTGTTACAAACACGTTTTCCCACCCGCGTCGGTGCAAGAATATAAACGCGACTTCACCATGCTGGACCTCGAGCACAACCAATCATTCTCCACTAACACTGCAACGTGATCAGCTGACCGAAGTCTATTGACTGGTACCTGCTAAATTATCAAGGGTGAAAAATCCGCTAGTGCACGCGACCAGTCTGACAGGACGGGCTATATGTTTAGGCGGACGGATTAGAAAGGCCCTACATTGACACGGTTACATTTATTATGTGGACTTCCGTATGTCACACGTCACAACCTCTCTTCCCATGGGCAGTTGCAGTAGTTGCTCACTCTCGGTTAAATGGACTATCTGCATAACCTCCACAACTGCACGGGCCTGCAGTAGTATCGTGAACCAGGGCGTGCGTGCACTCTCAGACAAGAGGGTTTTCACCCCAAGCTCGCACCTGTGAGGACCGCGCTAGCGCCTCTTGGCTTTTTCCGTGGCTCCAGGTACAAGCAGACGTTTTAGGCCTCTTTGTATGTTGCACATCATTAATTTTTGATCGTCACTGAGCCCGTGTCTTTTTTTCGGCACCCCCAGAAAAACCATAAGTATGCTCTAGTTTGAGAGCACGTTAGAGAAGCAGATATGGTACTGTTGGACCCATCTTATGGCTCCCAAACAACATGATACGTTGTGTTACAGATATAGATACACCCTCGTCCAACACTCAACTTGGATGTACCAAAAACGTCAATTTTGGCAGGTCCTATGAAAATAAGAATAGCATCCAACGAGAGAAAAAGGTCGCGTGCAGAGCTAATTTAGAAACGATATCAAGGTATTAGCACCAAATTGATATGGTATACAGTAGCGCCGTTTGTCCTGGCTCAGGTCACCAAGTGCAGTATGGACATCAGTACCGTTCGATGATACACGTGTTCTGGTGGGCGGCCTGTTGTAACGACGATACTACGCCCAACTGGTTATGTGCTTACAGTATCGGTGTTCCCTTCAGGGTACATTGTATTGACGACGTCACTCCAGTGGTCCTGTCAATGCTATCTACAGTAATTATCTGCAAGCGTATAAAACGGAGTCAAACATAAGTATGCTCAGGTGGGTGAGAGTTTTGTGACCAATTCCGTGGTGAACGTGGCAGTGGTGAATCCGAACTAATAATTCTAGTACATCAGACCCACCATCGATCTTAAAGTACGAGTACGGCAAGCGGCAGTAGGCGTGACTGGACGATCGGTTCTTCGACTTCCCGTGAAAGTACCGCTACGAGCAAGCAAACCATGGCTACAGTCCAAGCACAATCCATGAACATATATATAAGTACGACATCTTCAAGAAAAACCCGGATATAGAAGTACTTACAGTCATGATGCACGTACTTGCACATATATTCCCACCAGAGATACAGCCACACGATCTATAACTCCTGACAAGGGCCTATATCGTATCAGCTTGAGAGAGTCTGGTACAAAAATCTGTATGCGGCTCTTAATGCGGTTTGTGTTGTGTAGCGACTTCTATTGTCCTTAGCTTGGTTTGTTATTACGGAAGTGCAGACTTCGAAAGATTACTACTTGTACGAACTTGTTATATACTTGTAAGTACTGTATCTGGTTTCACCTCGCTTTTATATTTTTAGAATCTGTCCATTATTATTTCACTTGTGGTGTATTTTTTAAAAAAAATATTATAATTTTCACCACATTTTTTATAACATAATACCTTTTTTTATAACCCAATTACTAAGTACTGTATGTACAATGTTTCAACTCAACTAAACATTTAATCACTACACAGCTTTAGTTGACATAGTAGCGTCATTTATGATTACGTAATTGACATGGAGACTTTGAAAATCGATCGAAAATCAGTCTCAGACATATGCTGTCTCATCTCCCTACCGCTCTTACATGTCCAATCTCATCCAAACCACCTCGCAACATCCAACGGTTCAGCCTTACATCGCTTAACTTTTAGACAGTCCAACATGCAGCAATGTGCATGAACATCCCAACCACCTACAAACAACATCATGACGTTAATTGTGGTGTCATTGTGAGTACCAAGGGCGGAATGGAGGCGTTTTGAGCAGTAATTTGCCACAGATTTACCACCAACATTCGCCACACAACGCTAACACAGATTCCTTCCTTACACCATCAACTTCAATCTCGATGAGGGACAACGACCCAAGGTGGACGTGACCACGGAGCCGGTGGCGCCTTCGCGACCTCCAATCAGTCGCTCCAACTCGGATCTCAAGACTCTCCCGACGGTGCCCAAAAGTGGAGGCGTTTCCGCTCTCACTCTGGCCCTTGAACGATTCCCTCAGGAGAAGCCCTCTCAACAAAACTCCGGCGGCTCCTCCCTTACCTCGTCCGTGACACAGACACCCAACCCGGCTCTCCCTTCCATGTTCCATAAGGCCGAGCCTACAGGTCCTGCTCCCGCCATCGTCCACCCTGACGAATTCTTCAAGCCCTCTCCGCATGCGCAAGCCTCCGCTATTGTGCAGCCTCCATCAGCGGTGGCAGGGGCTCTACAAGTCTCGTCTGCTGGATCACCCCAGCAGGCCGGATTCTTGGAAAACGAACTTGCTCTGCAGAAAATGAAGCACCCTACTGTTCCTCCGTCTGCTTCGGAACCGTCGTCCGTGTCTTCAGCCAACTCCAACCCAGCAGAGTATCCTACGCTTCGGCCTCCCCGACCGCAATACAACCAGCCTCAGTCCCGTGCCTCCTCACCACCCCCTAGAGTTGTCGACAAGCGTCGCCCCGTGTCTGGACAGACAGCCATGCGGTTTATTGACAGATTCGGGCAGCAGAAACCCAGCGATTCGTTTCAATCCGCCAAGGACTGGACTGTGGAGAAGTCGCACAAGGGTAACGGAGGTCTCAGAAATGCCGTCAACCGATATTGCGCTTCTACTAACCATAAGAAGCTGTGGGTGGGAACCCTTGGCATGCCTTCTGATGAACTCGGAGACGTCTCCAAGGTGGAAATCGAGCGCAAACTCACTCGAGAGTATGATTCAGTACCTGTGTTTGCTCCTGATAACACCTTCGAAGCCCACTACACACACTACTGTAAGGGTATCTTGTGGCCCACTCTCCATTATCAGACACCTGACTCAGACAAGTCAAAGGCATACCATGACCACTCTTGGGAACACTACAAGGCCCTTAACCAGATGGTTGCCGACAAGGTGATTGAGGTGTACAAGCGTGGAGACGTTATCTGGATTCATGACTACCATCTTCTGCTCGTTCCTGAGATGGTTCGTCAGCAGCTGCCCAATGCTCGAATCGGAATGTTCCTGCATGTCACTTTTCCTTCCTCTGAGGTGTTCCGATGCTTGGCTGCACGAAACGAATTACTTACAGGTATGCTTGGTGCAACTTGTATTGGTTTTCAGACTGCTGAGTATGGCCGACACTTCTTACAGACATGCAATCGTCTGCTTGTCGTGGATGCTTCTGTCGACGGAGTAGAGAACAACGACGGCCGTTTTACTGCTGTAGTTGCTTGTCCTATTGGTATTGACCCTCCTTCTCTTCAGAAGCACTTTATGGACCCTGAAGTCGACAAGTGGCGTCGACTGATCCGTGCACGATGGCCTGGGAAGCGATTACTTGTTTCCAGAGATAAGCTCGATTCACTGCGTGGAATCAAGCAGAAGCTGCTGGCTTATGAACACTTTCTGATCAACAACCGGGAGTTTTGCGATAATGTTGTCCTTGTACAGGTATGTTTGTCTGGAAACGAGTCGGATTCTCTCGAGGGAGAGCTGGTGCACATCATGGACCGAATTAATGCTCTTACCGATGACCTGAGCAATCAGCAGGTCATCTTTTTGCATCAGGATATCGAGTTCGAGCAGTATTTGGCCATGCTGGCCGAGGCTGAGGCATATGTTGCTCTTTCTCTGCGAGAAGGCATGAACCTGACCTGTCATGAGTTCATCTTGTGTAGCAAGGACAACAGTGGTCAGCTGATCTTGTCTGAGTTCACTGGTTCTGCCTCCGTTCTCGACAACGACGATGTGCTTGTTGTCAATCCCTGGAACATGCGACAGGTCTCTGATGCATATAAGACAGCTCTTACAATGGACCGAGGGACTCGGGAGAAGCATCGAGGACGTCTGGTCGAGTTTGTGGAAGGCCATACTTGTCTGCAATGGGCCACTACTTTCCTGCAACATCTGGAAGATGCCTGGGTGGAGCACCAAAAGTCCAAGCGACTGTTGCCCAGATTGAACATTGCGTATGCCAAGGAAAGGTACGATATTGTTGCCAAGCAGCCTGGAAAGTATCGGTTGTTCCTTCTCAACCTGGAAGGGCGAGATTTTTCCTCTCCTCACACTTCCAAGCCTGCACTGTCCTCCTCAGCTGCTGTCTACTCGTCCACTCACAACAGGATCCCCATTCTCACTGAGCTGGTTTCGGACCCTTACAATGTGGTGTACATCATCTCCTCTGATGCCAGGCACGATATTGAGCGTCTGTTCCGCAACGTCCCCAACCTGGGTATTATTGCTGAGAACGGTGGCTACCTGCGCCCTTACAGATCTGACCAGTGGATCCGGATGTGTGACGAGGAGGATGTACATAACTGGAAGGACTCTGTGCTAGAAGTCCTGGAGAGTATCAAGGAGCGATGTCCGGGATCTTCTATCAAGAGCGACGAGACCACCATCACCTTCCAGTTTACTCCGCAGTACTCTGCTGAGCAGGAGCAGGACTTCTCGTTTGACTTTGCCGGAGAATGTGTCTCACACATCAACGACGCCTTCTCCACTCAGAACATTACTGCCCGATTCAACGACGACCGTATCCTGGTTGAGAACCAGCAGCTCTCCCGTCTGGCGGCTGTGAAGCGCGCTGTGGCCATTTTTGAAAAGACGTGCAAGATTGGAGGAGACATCGAGTCCAAGGGCATCAACTCTGGCCACCTTACCGTTGCTCCTTCGTCTCCCACGCTCACAAGAACACGGTCATACACCATCAGTGCTCCTGGTCCCTCTTACGATGCCACCATTTCCTACGTGTTTGTGGCTGGTAACGACCAGAGCGACTACCCCGTGATCGAGTGGGCCAACTCTCTCGGCGATGTGGAGACAGTGCTTACTGTCGGCCTTCATTCGGAGCACAGCCCTGCAGCTGTCAGTGTTGAGGGTCTCAACGGTCTGACTCTGGCTCTCCGAGAGCTTGCCGTGGGAGACCGCAGTGATATCAAGGGCGACCGAGATACGCGAGAAAGAACGCCGTAGACTTAGTCAGCTCTTCAGCTAACATAGAATTATAGAACATTAGAGTGTAACTTTCGGATGTAACTCAGAAGTGTAGATTGGGTGTGGGTTGGGATGACCTTGGTTGCCTGTACGACCATCAACACCGTGTCGCGTTCGTTTATAGTTGGCGTTTTGGGTTGGGAGTCAATCTTCCTCGTTTGAGTCTATTTGTAGGACAAGACCCAGTCATTTGGTAGAGGCAGGTCGCGTGAGTAAACTGGAGAAAGGACCGAGCTCATACACAAAGGAGTTATTGTGTGTGTGGTCTTTACATTGTCGTTGGTTCAGCCTGTAATTGTACCCTTGTACTTGCATGCGTATGTGTTGGCCACAATGCCAATGTTGCGTCGACTATTTTAGCGTAGCATACATTAGAAGTGTACTCGTGTGAGTATGACAAACAGATATACTTGTACTACTGTACTTGTAATGTGAGACCTGGTCATCACAACACCAGTTACTTGTAGACCTCGACCCGCTGAAATGTCCGGGGGCCACGGAAGCCGCCGGGATTGCACATCCATGCAACTCCAATTGTATGACTCCAGTATACCTGTCGAAGGCTGTTGCCCAAACAGGAATACGATCGGCTCTCTGGAATGTGAACCCAAAAGTTAGAGCCGAGAAGGACGGGACACAAGGGAACAATAGCTGAATATCCAAACACTGCAAGCAGCAATCGCAGTTTCACGACACGATATACGAGGAAAAAAGATTCCCGAGCAGTTGCGGTTCTGCAGCATGTATAGCTCCTCAGTGAGAGTCACCAACAGACTAATTATGTCACATTGTGTGGTGTTAGATTCATGAACTCACTAAAAGTTTCCGTTCTGGTCGGTGTTAGCACACTACTCACTTAAGGGATACATTTGTACATACTGTACGTTGGTTGGCTAGTGAGTGAATGGTTAGCGTCCTTCATTGTGAAGTTTAGTCTGGTTGTGATGCAGTATGTGCGAGTGTAGGGTGGGTTGGTAAGCTGTTGGCAAGATACTGTAGAAGTACGATACCTTGTACAAGTATATGAATTGGTACGAGTACTTGTATGGTCTATAAACTGATACTATAGTATATACGAGTGCAAACAAATAAATAATTAATTATATTGAGTAATGGCTTAGAAAAGCATGGCGGCAGCAACGACGACACCAGCGACAGCGGAGACACCCATAGCAGCGGCACCGTTGGCCTGGGCGGGCTGAGTGGAGGGAGGAGCCTGGATCTGGCCATCACCGATCTGAGAGACAATAGCACCGGGAGTGGTCTTGGCGGGGGCAGGTGCGGGAGAAGCAGCAGCGGCGGTCTCCTTGTGGCACTTGTCATCAGCACAAGAGGTGATGGTGACCTGGACAGTAGACTTGGAAGTGACAACAGCGGACTTAGTGGCCTCGGCTGCGGGGCTGGAGTTGGCAGCAGCAGACTCACCATCGGAGTAGACGGCTCGGGCTACGATTCCAATGGCACCGTTAGCGCAAGCATCCTGGTTTGCAAGAACGTAGCCGTTCTTTCCGTCGGGGCAGGCAACAAAGTCGAATCGGGGAACGTAGAGGTGGTCCTGACCGTTCACAATGATATCTCGGGTGGCCTGGCCGTCTGTCTCCTCAATGAAAGCGTACTGGCCAAACTCAACGGGCTTACCGTTGGCGTAGAGGCCACGGTCCTTCACCTCGTAGGTGGTGGGCTCACCTCCTCCAATAACGAGCTGGTTACCGTTGGAGTTGATGGCAGAGTTCTGGACATCGGATCCAGAGTGGATGGCGATAAGTCCAAACTTCTGAGCGGAGACAAGGCCGGCGGTGGCGGCGAGGAGGACGGCGGAGAAGTGCATTATGATTAACGAGAGTGTGAGTGTCTGTAGATCGAAAACCGGGAAGAGATAGCTCCCGTTTATATAATCATCTCAAGCTATAATTAGGACCTCCCAAACGCTACAGTAGTCCAAAAAACAACATCATTCTGCGCTAAGCGAGACTGTTTGGTGCTACTGACATAGCGTGACCCCAGTAAGTTTCAACCTTGCGGCTATCCAAGACCTTGTCTAGCGGCCTGTGGGGCTGGGGTGGTGGCTACCGGTTAGATCACAGTGGGCCGTTAGCTCGTTTTAAGAGACTCGGCAGTTGCCCTTCTACAAGTATAGTGCAAGCAATTGGACGTGTCTATCCCTTGCTTCACGATACTGTAGGCATCGAGGTGCCAAGTGCTTGAGATGAATAATATCCCGCATCACACGAATGCAGGCCTGTGCGTGCGCTTTGCATTATTCTGGGGATGGAATCAAAACAGAGCCTGGGAATGGAAATGGGAATGCGAACACCACCCAACACAATCTCCTCACACTACAAGTAGCAAATGTCTACGACGACGACACACAACCATTGCATTGTTGCTACTACAGTAGTAGCGTCGTGTGGTATCTGGACTGGGCACTCCCCCTCCTCTGGAGACACTACAGTAGTACATGTCTATATTTAGTACTCGTACGGTACTTGTACCATAATGTAGCCGCTACTCATTAGCTCGTCTACACGGTGCTAACGAATTGAAGGGGCTACCAAGCTACGCAATGGGAGTCGTTTGCACTAAAACAATTCCCGGCCTCAACCTCCATCAAGTAAGTAATTGTCTCTATAATGTCTCTATAATGCTGCCTCTATTATTGAGCAGTCTCTTCACGCTTGTCCCTTGTTATTACCACCCGAACTCTATCACCAAATTCGATCTCGTACATTCCTGAGCTCAGGTATCGGGAAGAGGGACTTGCCGTATGGGTCGACTTTAGAGCTCAAGACGGAAGTGCACCTGGGGAATGAAAAAACAAGTGTGTTTAAGATCCGCAGGTACACCACCGGAGATAAAAAAGCAAGAGTAGTGAGAAAAAGGGGTTCTCGTGCTGTAATTGTACAAGTATGTACTGGAAATTAGGCGAGGACTGTACAGGCCGCGATATTACGTACTGACAACCCTGTTCCTCTAGTCGGCAGATGCCCTTGAAATGCTCACCGCATGTTTAATTGGCTGGTTTGTGTTTCCACTGCGTGTTCTTCTCTTTTCACCTCCAATTTGCTGCTGTCTCTACCTGAACTCAGATGGTGACAAACATTGGAAGTCAAAAACATTGCACCAAGGAACAAAGGTCTACTTCTGATTCACTTTGTTTTTCGATATTTTCGCGACCGAGACCTGAAAGACGACTAAGGGCGAAAAAAACACAGCGACGCGGGAAGGCCAAATAAGCAACCGAAATGATACGATTGATTGATTAGATTTGACACGAGGGCGAAGCGTTTGAGACACCCGTCAGGTCCAATATGACATGTGTCTGCCCACGGCGAACAAAGTAGGTTCAGGAAAAACAAGAGTACAGAAAAAGAAAAACGGAACGGGGAAAAAACTGGGAATAAGCACACAGCAGAGAGTGTCCCACACCCCACAATGAATGTGCTTTAGCGAAAAGCCATCAGTAGTACGGCTTACTCCAGATGAAAGGGTTGTAAGACAAATTAAACTAACAAACTGCGAACCAGACACACGCAAATACTCTCTCGGGTATCAGTCAAGCCTCGCCTACGACTCTGCCCCTGTCTCACCCTACCCTTGTCTGTTCGCTTGTAGCTTTCAATATGATTTGGGCCATGTGAAAATCTTATGCACATATTTTATCGTGGTATGCACTGAACTGAGAGCAAAGTGCGACAGTGGTGAACGGCTGTGAGGAATGAAATAACTCTGGTGGATAGTATAACTACCAGTCGGCAGGGGCCTACAAGTAGGTACGGATTTCGACACATAGAAAAGTGATGAAATGGACACGATACCAACTCATCGGCACTATCTGCCCCGAGAAGGCCCCGGAAATCCCTCTTATTAATACTTATCGTTTCTCTCGCCCTACTTTGCATGTTTTTCCTATATAGAACGCAGATCTCCCACATTACTTGGAGCACGACAAGAGGTGTTGTAGCGGACGTTGAGTCTAAATGCGATGAGCTTAACGCTAAGCGGCAGCTAGAGTAAACAAGCGAAAAGTGATTCGCACAGAAGGTGTATGAAAATGGCGGTGCAATATAAAGGACTGAGTGCGCTCATTTGTTAGCCCCCATTTGGCCCTAAGCACAATGTCGACCTCGGCAGCACCAGCGACCGATTATACGCCGATTGAACAGCTGTTGGCGTTACTACCAAAGCTATTGGAGGGAAACGGTAACCTCGCCACGGTCACACAACTGCTCCCTCATGGAGTTTTGGAAACAATTCTCAACTCACCCTATGGACCCGCGCTCGTAGACATTCTCAACCAGGGCGTGGGAAATCGACCACTGGAGTACTCGGATCGAGTGCTCTCAATTCTGCCCATCCCACGATACGCATGGACAGGAACTGGAGTGGTGCAGGTACTCAAGATGTCTCATGAAGTGATTGGCAACAACATTCCGCCATGGCTGATCAACATGGTCATGACCACACAAGCAAACATTTTCGGTAACTTCCCCAACAGGAAAGACATTGCACCTAGTGGTGTTTTTGTGGCCGTCTTCTGTATCCTGGCCTTTGGCCACTTTTACGTCTTCGGCAAGGGAGTGTCACGAAAACACTACTTCTGGCCGTCATTCGGGCTCGGTTGGCATTGCATTCTTAATACAATTGGCTACGGCCTACGAATCGGCTGGGGAAGAGACGTGACCAACATTCGAATTGGCATTGCATCCACCATTCTCATTGTGGCTAGTGTGGTCTATGTCAACGCCATGAACCTGCTTCTGGGACACCGAATTCTCACATACAGACATCCCGAAACAGGAGATTCGACGTGGTTTGGTACCCTTATGATTGTCAACTACATTGTCATCATCGGTATCATTATCATGGCCATCTGTTCCCAGGTGACCATCTTCATCTACTTCCTCGACTACGAACATTGGCGTCAAGCAACAGGTGCAATGCAAGCAGCGTCTGTATTTGCCGTTGCGGTAGCATCTGGAGCGCTGATCAACATCACCATCGCATACTCGCTCCCCCGTGGAGCCCTGGCACTGCATAACGACGACAGAAGACGTCTCACCGCCTCGAACATTGAATCCTACGGCATCTTCTGGTACCCTCCGAAGTACTCGCAGGTTTTGCAGTACGAGGCTGACCCCAGTGCCAAGCTGGACTCTGGCAAGCTCGCCGCTCGAGTGTTGAACGGTCGAGACCTTGGTACCTCCACTATCATCATCATTATCACCACCGTGCTTCTTACCGTGTCTGCTGCTCTTAGATGTGCAACCACCTTCATTGGCTCCCGGTGGGAGCCCAATGAGGCCCCCATCTACTCGGGTACCCTCTTCTACATTGGCTTCGGCGTGTTTGAGACCATCACTAACGTCATCTACTTGGTGACTCGCATCGATCTGCGTTTCTACATCCCCGATTGGCCCCTCAAGGGTTCCGGACCGCTCACCATCAAGCCCGGAACCATGGAGATCTACAGAGACCCCTATTCTGCACCCCCCAAGCCCGGCCCCGACGGAAAAACCAAGTCTGTCAACTATGGACACTACGCCAACGCCGCTGGCCTGGACTACAACATCCCCGGCATGCCCACAGACGGCCAGAAGCTCCCCCACACTGGTGTCTCCACCAGTCTGGCCCACAACATGGCTGCAGGCATTGCTACCCCCGCTACCCCCGGCATCGCTCAGATGCCCGGTTACACCGCCACTGGTCTGGAACATACAACACCTGGTCTTACCCCAGGTATGACCCTGACCCCCGGCTATGCAACCACACCAGGATACAACTTTGTTCCTGGTACCGGAATGTCTACTCTGACTCCCGGAATGGCCACCATGACTCCCGGCATGACCCCTGGCATGACCCCTGGTATGACCCCAGGTATGACTCCTAGTTTCCCCGGCATGATGAGCCCCTCTATGAGCCCCGGTTTCACCATGCCCCCTGGCTTTACATCTGCAACTCCCGGAGTTCCTCCAGTTGCTGCTACACCTAGTCTTTCTCGATCAGCTCAGGGCCACCAGGCTTCTCATGCTCTGGCTCGAGATCTCGGAGAACGAGGCCCATCGCCTGCAGTTGGAAACTTCCAGGAAGCCACCTCTCTGCCCTCAGACTCTTCCTTCAGAGAGCCTACCCCCATTAAGCCTCCTTCCCCTGTGGGTGCTAATTCTCCTACTGTCGGCCAGGAGCTCATGGGAACCGTGCCTCCTACACCTGCACACAAAATGGCTCGTACTCCTCTACCTGCTGCTACTCCTGCTCCCATGCCGGAGGTTACCTTTGGAGATCCCTCTTTGGCCTCTCCTTCTCTTCATGAGCCCATGCCCAGCATTGTGGCTCCTGAGGCCCCTCGAATTCCCGAGATCGTTTCTTTCCCTCAGACCCCCTTCCAGCCTGAGCGACGAGCTGTCACTCCTGCTCATTTTCCCGAGCCCATTCTTTCTCCCGCTACGCCTGCTCAGTTCCCCGACCCTCACACCTCCATGTCCACTTTTAGTGGCTCGGTGACCAAGTTCCCTACTCTGGCCGAAGCCTCGTATGGTACACCCCAGATGGAGCGAGTGTCCATCCCTTCTCCCATCCATGACTACGATCCCCATTACGGGCAGCCTTACGAGGAGCCTGAGGACGAGTATCGACGCAGCGGCGGATCCGAAGAAGCCATGTAGGCTTCGAGTTTAAGCTGATTAAACCCGCTTGGACATTTATTTATTGGCAGGGCACTGCCGCGCTAACTTTTTAGTACATGTAATAATTATGAATTTTCTTAATGATCTCGTCAACTGTACTTTTGAGACTGCTTTGAGTGTCGGCACTTTTTTTTCAACCTCTCAATGTCGATCTTTCGACACAACTGTATGTACGTATGTAACCTTCCCCACAATAGTCTATAAGTAATTCAGACAGGTACATAGGCCAAAGGATAAGTGCGTGACCAATTCATAATTATACCAGGAAATATAGAGGCAAAATTAACTCACTTCTGTTGAGCACTTCTCGTTCTTATATCCAGTCTGTGTGACTCTTATGATTTATTGTCTCCCTCTTGCATGTGTTCAAGGGCTTATGACATGCCCAAGTGGCTGTCTCCAAGGTAATGTCGATCTTTGGATGCATGTTGAGGAAAAACGGGGTGAAAAAAGTGCAGAAAACGGCTCAAGCTAAAACATGAGAGCAAGCGATACACATGTAGCTATTCGGGGCGAGTCTGACCGCAGTTTGATCCCAGCGGAGTGGATTAGAATATTACAATGGTTCGGGAATTGCAGCATCTCTATCACCTTCAGTCCGCATATTTCCAGTCGCTGTTTTAATTACACTGACAGATATATATAAAGCATTCACTAGAATACATACTGTACAGTATTGTACTTGTACAATTTCAGTAGCTGACATATGATCCAAACACGGCCAGACATTCAATGAAACTGAGCTTGTGTCTTCAGCCGCAAAACAGTCCAGACACACACTACGTATGTACAGTAACGGCGGTTACTTTTCAGATCAATCTTCACCTTTTTTTGCACCTGTGCAGCACCCCAGAGCAGAAGTCAGTCTCATACAAACCATCGGATTAACACCAGTTGAACGGAGAAGTACCCGAACTACAGCAGTAGACATACGTTAGCCACACCATAGTTGGATTTACTCAAAAGTGCAGCACATCTCGTAAAGGCTGGCTACGAACCATGATCAGTATCACTTAGGTGAAAGTTACGGTCTACTTGACTATTTTGAGAATTAATTGAAATTAAAATTACTGGTAGTTATATCGGGCTTGTAAATTAATTGGACCGCTGTGTGAGGTATAATATACCTAGCATCGGTTACCCTTGCCACCGCACTTGTTGCTACCCTTGTTGTACTGCTTGGTGGGTCGCTTGTTGTAGTGAGTGGGCTTGCACTGCTGCTGCTTCGCCTGGACAGTCTTGGTATGGACCTTGGTGACAGTCTTGGTGACCTTGTTGCACTTCTGCTGGGGCTGGGGGCACTTCTTGGTCAGAATGTTGCACTTCTTGTCATGGATCATCTGCTTGAACTTCATGATGTCTGCAGGCTCCTCGGGGGAGTGCTCGATGTCAGCAAAGTCGAGTCCCTCGATGTCTTCATCGGTGATGACGGGAGAGGCCACGGCGACGGCAGCGAGAGTGAAAAGAGCAATTTTCTTGAACAGCATTGTTGAAACGGTGGATGAGATAATTGGGTGTAGTTTGTAATAGAAGAACAGGAAGACCGTTATATAGATTTTCAGGGCCTGTTGTTTTTAGCTACACCCATGTAACATCATGAGATCATGGCTCATGTAATTACCATGTTGTATTGCACTTTCCAGGTACACACAGGGGGTCACGTATGTACCTTTGTTCCACGATGCACATCTGTAGGGTCTGAGATGGTGCCCAAGTTCCACTTTCAGAGGAACTTTGGACCTACTGAAAAGTCCTGTTAGTGCCTCCAATGCGGCTTCGTTTCTGTCGAATCTTCTGGCGCTCCCTTGCGTCAAAAGCAGGGTCGAGGTACAAGCCCAGGGGTTTTTCTGCAGGGTTGCTCACGTTTTTCGAGGGCCCAAGTCTGATGAACAGAATGGGAGATCCCAGCGAAAAAATTCGATGTACTTTGAAACGGTTGAGTTTGGTGATCTTGTAAGCCAGAATACCTGTATCGACGGATTTGTCCTCAGCGAGATCTGACGGAGCAGAAGAGTCAACCTCTGTATTTGAATCGTCACTCTTCATCTCTAGCGATTTCACCTTTTCCAACAAGGAAGGAGACAAAGAGTCCTGGTCCAACCTGGGGCTAGAGGAGGTGTCTGGAGTAATTTCCGAGCCAGGGACCCTTGGCTGATCGTAGGCGATAACCACTGCCTTAGCTCTTTCCTCCACAGGACCCCGCTGCACCTCCTTAACCCCCCACACCTGTTTCAGATGAACCTCGATGGTGTCAATCTGGTTTAGACCTGCCACCAGCATGGCCCAGGGCAGCTCTCGCCCACGGGATGAGATTGAAGCAATCTGTCCTAGCTTGCTAAATAGAAAAAGTTCATTGAAATGGAAGGTGATGATGTCACGCAGCTCTCCAACACTGATGTTGGGGCTGACATCAATGTTGAAGCTCTGAGGGTCGCTCGAGAGAATATCGACCGTCAGATGGCGCATGATGGCGACGTCAGAGTATGGCATGTCGAATTTCGCACTAGTGGGTCTTAGGCTCGGACTAATCTCGTGCTAGCAATGCATGCATCCCACACGCAGGCTATATACAGGTTTTTGAATCTTGCGCTATCGAGAGGAAGTAGCAACTTGAAAGGGATATGATAGTCACAGTACATATAAGTATACAGTACGAGTAGCCTAACAACTCGAGCGGGGAACGAAGAGCTTCAAAAAGTTTTACAGCAAAAGTCGGCTTGGCTCGGAACAGACCACTTGTAGACATCTCACGTTTGCACGTGCCACTGCTTACAGTGCCAGTACAGGTAAGATGCTGCAAAATAGCATACGGGTCATTGTAGACAACGCACGACAGTGAGTCTAGCTGGAGTTCCGAGCATGCTACTGAGAGTCTGTTAGAATTCAGTGAATAGAGCAGAATCGACTGTAGCAAACAAAATGGGATTTGGTACGCTAAATCCTATATGTATTCATCTTCTGACTTACTTGTGCTCTAATCAAGTCAACTTTATTTTGTCATCTCAACAATACAAGTAACTAAATAGAGATAAATACTTGGTATATTAGTGTAAAAAGAGTAAGTAAGGAGTAATATTGTGTGTTGCACAATGTTTAGACGTGCACTGCTTACAGTGTCGTACAAGTATCGAACCCGTACTATAATCACGTACTGTACTTGAACTCGTACTCGTAGCTACCGCACGTACTGGTACATTCTGTAGCTATGTTATTGATCAAACAGCTGCAAACAGTTTCATACACTTTTAGATAGAGACCCAAATAACTCCCTGTCTTGATACCACCAACCGGTACCGCTACTTCTCTGCCATTACAGTATGTGCTCGTACTGTATAGTCTACATGGCTCCTACTGTATTATGGAATAATCACAATTAATCAATTAAATCTTACAAAATCAACTCAGTCGCTCAGACAAGTCGGGCTGCTCAAAGTGAAGATTGATCTTCATGAAACCGTTCTCGCCAAACTCAATCTCCTGCTCTCCGTTCTTGATCTCCGCCACGTTGACCGACCATCGTCCAAAATGCTCCGATCGGCCAAAGGTTCTATCCTCCTTACAAGAGATGACCAGCTTGGCCGTGGGCTCGGCCTTGAAGGGCACCTCCTGGTTAATGTCATAGTCCTCTCGTTCAGTGGGTTTGATTCGCTTCTTCCACAGTTCTCGGTCCTTTCGGCCAGACAGATACACCTTGACCTGGAGTCGGTCGGTGCCCTGAAAGCCTCGAGCTCGAAGGATGGTTAGAGTACCGGGGAAGGTCTCGCCCTGGAAGAGAGCAGCAGCTCCATGGTTGGAAGCAGTGCTGTTGGCTCGAGAGTGGCCAGTTCGACCGGTTCGGCCGGTTCGAGAGCTCATGATGCTGCCTCGAGTGTCCGAAGGAGACAGATGCGAGTCCATAGACTTCCGCTCCATGGACTTTCGAGCATCGGGCATGGCAGGAGCCTTGAGATTGTGATCACCATCGTTACCCTTGTCGTTGCCTCCTCGGTTAAAGGGGTTGATCTTGGAGCCAACCTTGTCGAAGTCTCTCTCGATTCGGCCAAAAGGATTGTGGCTGTGATGTCCACCCTGCTGACCATCAGCAGAGTCCACGGGAGAAGCAGAGGTGGGATCGTCCTCGTGGTTGGAAGCCATCATGCCCTTCATCCGAGCACCGAGTCCAGACCGTCGAGGCTGGTCTTGGCCCTCGTTGACGGCATCAACATCAACGTTGGGATCGTCATCGTAGCTGGCGTTGGCAGCTCGATGACCTGCCACCTTGTCCTTGAGACCGCTGAAGGCCCCGCCAACAGCATGACCTGCACCTCCAACAGCGCCTCCAACGGCACTAGCAGCATTGTGAGCACCGTCCATAGCACCACCGAGATGAGGGTGGCCAGAAGTGGCACCAGTGTCAGTGTCAGCAGCATGGGGGTTTCGAGCAGAAGAAGGACCGCCAAAATGAGACACTCCAGGCTCGCTCTCGTTGAGGTCGTGCTCAGAACCGTGAGTCTCGCCATCATTGGGGTCTTCTCGCATCTCTCCCTCAGAGTCCTCGTCACCCTTGTCCTTGTGTCGGCCAAAGATGGCTCGCTTGAGCTTGGAAGCTCCTCGGTGCACACCATGGCCCACAAAGCCAATACCCTTGATGGGGGCACCAGCGACAGAGGTGATGATCTTACCAGGGGTACCGACGGCACCACTCATCATACTCTTACCCTGCCAGGTCTTGGGAATGTACTCTGGCGAGAAGTTGAAGGCAAGACGGATGGATCCAGCGTGCTCTCCATCCTCACCAAAGAGGTCTAGCACCTTGACGGCCTCCTCGTGAGGATTAATGTCGGAAAGGTCGACCCGAGCCTTTCCGAGGAAATCGTCATCAGCAGGACCCATATCCCAATCCCAAACGTTGACAGTGAAGTCGGCCTTGATCAGAGACGATATCGCCATCTCAAAGAACTCGTTCCAGACCGGGTCCAGAGTCTTCTTTTGGGTCTTGGTCTTGAAGACACGCTTGCCCTCGAGGTCGAAGACAGCGTAAGGATCAGACTTACCACTTCGATCGGCTGCAGGCAGATCGTGGGCGTCCAGAACAGACACTTTGAGGTAGCCCATGTTGTCCAGGGACTCACAGGGGTCAATGGAGAACTCCAAAGGCAGGTACCAGGCGGACATGACACACTCACAATGGCCTCGCTTCGTGTCAAACGCCATGGTGTAGTCCTTTCCGTAAGAACTCTTCAAGAAGTCAAAGGTGTTCATGGTATGCGACCCCAGGAGATGCTCCTTTCGCTCCTCGTCAGTCTCAATGCTCTTTCGAGAAGTCAAACGTACGGTAATCTTGGACTTGTACAGCTCTCGAATCATGGCGTCCGAAGTCTCGTTGCATTCGGGATTGTTCTCCTTGATCTTACCAGACGACCACTTGGGAATGGCAAACTCGTCAAACAGCACCTGCAGGTAGCACTCCTTCTCGCCAATTACCTTGTAAGACTTCATGGTAAAGGGCAGCAGACCAGTGTCGTGGGAGACAATCTTGTCAAAAGGCCAGTCAAGCTTGCCCTCAAAAGCATCACCACCGGAAGATTCATCGACACCGCCAACAGGGTGATCAGCCTCCTCGGTGGTGTCTTCGTCAACGCCCTTGGACTTGGGATTAACATTGTCGCTCTGGGCACCTGCCTTATCGGCAGCCTTAGCGGCCTTGGTCTTGTCCTTGGCAGCAGCAGCCTTGGCCTTAGTGTCGGCCTTGATCTTGGCCTTCTGCTCCTCGGGAGTCATGGCCTTAGGGGTGTCAGCCTTAAGAGTGCTGTCTCCCTCAGAGCCGTCCAGACCAGTGCTGTCAATGGCCCCACTGTCGGAACCCTTGGCGGTGTCGTCGTTGTCGTTGGACGCAGCCTTGAGATCAGCCTGAGGATCTTCCTTGGCAGCTCCACCACCCCACCACCCTCCACCACCCTCCTGCTTGGAGGCGCCGGACTTGACGGAAGCAGCAACACCTTTCTCTTTAGCCTGTGCAGCCTTCTTCTCGTCAATCTCGGCCTTCTTCTTCTGCTCGGCGGGAGACATGACGGGGAGACAGGGGTAGAAGGAGCAGTAGAACTCCACTCTACCCTTAGGAGACTTCTTTCCCAGCTGAAGCTCACCAACATGGCCCTTCTCGTCGACATAAGGAACGTAATTACCATCGTCATCGGTCTTGATGATAGAAGAAGCACGGTGCTCAAACTTACCGAGAGATCGATCATGAGACACTTTCTCAGAGTCCATACACTCAACGGTAATTCGCTCGTGAGATGAGTGGACCGGAGCGTAGATGTACTCGTCCCAAACAGGGTCCAGGTTGGCAGTAATTGTTCGAGTTCGACATCGGGCATATCCTCCGACCAGAATTCGGACGTATGGATCTACCTTGCCGACGGTCTCGAGGTTTCGCAGGTCAGTAGCCTTGATGATGTGGAATCGGAGCACACCAATGGGTTCAACGTAGCCGGAGCCGCCACCAACACCAGACAGACCAAGAGGTTTCCAGAGAGCAGTGATTCGCATTCGACCAGCGTCGGCAAAGTCGTGCCAGTCCTCTCCATCCTCAGTGCTCTCAACCAGATCGTCGACAGTCTTCTGGATCTTGCCAATAACAGGATCAGAAGACATGCCTCGAGAGTCCTTGACAGTGAATGAAACCTTACCCGAGTCCTTGTCTGTGACGAGGAACTCAAAGGCGTCGTCCCAAACGGGGTTGTTGGACCGCTTGATCACGTTGGTGTTGTGCAGCAGCTTACCATTGAAGGCCAGCTCGACGTAGGGTGACAGTTGGCCAACCATGGATAGCTTGGGATCCAGGTCCTTACACTGGTTGATGACCACTCGAAGAATACCAGAGGGGGAGTCGGGCGGAGGTTCGGTGGTACCATCCTCCAGAGTCTTGCCCTCTAGCACGGGGAACCATCGGGCATCGTAGATAAGAGTTCCCTTCTTCTTTCGGCCCTCCAGCACCTCGCCATGGATACCCTTCTGCTCGGGCTTGGCCGAGACAGTGTCCAGGTTCATGGAGACAGAACCAATGGTCTTGTCGGTTCGGAAGTCGTTGAAATCGATAATCTCCATTCGCAGCACTTCGGTAAGGTTGTTGACCAGCAGGTACTTGGTCTCATTCCATCGGGGGTTGCAGGTATCCTTCTTGACGGAGGTTCGGCCACATTCCTCGTTCTTGAGCCAGAAAATAATGTAGGGATCCACTGTGTTGCCAATTCGACCAGAGCCCTTGAGGTTGCCGGCTCGGTAGACAGTGATAGCCAGCACACCGACAGCAGAGTCCAGAGCAGAGCCAGAAAGCATCTGCTGCACGTTGAGCTGGAAGGCGTTGGGGGCGTACATCATAGGACCAATGTTGGCATGGACCATTTCGTGGATGAAAGAGGTAAGGCCGGGGATGACGTTGATATCGAAACCGAGAGTCTCTCCTCCAATGGGCTTAAGCACGAAATCAAAGTCCGGAGGCTCGAGGAAGGAAATATCGACAGTCTGGATATGGGGGAAGAGGGTCATCATTCGGATTCGGATTCGTACGTGGCCGGAGAAGGACATGTCCTCCAGCAAGATGGGCAGAGATTTGGAGACAACACCCTTACCAATTCGGACAGACAAAACAACCTTGGGGTTGACCTTGTTCTTCAGCTGTCGAGCAGTCAGATCCTCGGTATCGTTGGGAGTGAAAGAGAACTTCCAGTCCATGATAGACACGTCGTCCTCAGTCTTGGGGAATGTCCGAACATGGTCGACTCGAGGGGGCTTGGTTCCCAAAGTGAATGACTCAATGGCCATGGACTCAATGAAGCCGGGAGTGGAGCCAGCAAGCACCTGGTTACCAATCTGGACCACGGTGGCGGCCAGAACGGGCTCGTAGATGACCCAGAACTTGACCATGAACAGGTTGAGCCACTCCATGGTCTCCTCCTCACTCTCGATTCTCTTGACAGCAGCTTCTCGAGTAATGTCGTCTCTCACGTTTCGTCGCAGTCGTCGGATACTGGTTCGATAGTAGGTTCCGGTGACGGCAAGCACGAGAATCAGCCAGGCGGTTCCTCCACCGAGCTTGGCCACAAGGAAAGACAGCACACCAGTCACCACAATACAGGCAATGTTGTGGTACCAGTCGCCGTAAAACTTGTTGGCAATGTACTCCTCCAGTAGAGTGGACTTGGTGATGAGGTCGTCGGCCTGCTCGTCCGAAGTAATACCCATCTCCTCAGACCATCCACCCATCTGCTTCCATCCGAGCTTCTTGGGCTCGGGAATTTGATTTTTCTCCATGTTCTTGGCAGCCATCTTCTCGATGTACGCGCCATCAATTGAGTCGGACACTTTGCCCTTGTCTTCTCCCTCAGCCTCGATTCGGCTCGACAGGCCAGGCACACCGGGACCACCTTGGATCAGATCAAACTCGTCAGCTGTGGCCTTTCGGTCCATGGGAGTATAGTTCTTCTGGTAGGCTGCGTTTCCTGGTAGCTTGTTGTCGGGAACGGCGATGGCGCCTGCCTTCTGCTCAGCAGTTCGCTCCTGAGAATTGATATGGGTGTCGTCCACTTTGTTGGGCACCGAGTTCTGCTGGTGGTGGGCTTTCTTGGGGTCAACAGCATTCTGATTGGCGACTCCGGCGACGGGGAACGCGGTTCCAGCGGGCCGGTCCTTCTTGGACAGACCGGGCTTCTTGTTGGCATCCACCACAGCAGCGTTGGGAGCAATGTGGTCACGGATCTTGTGACTGACACGTCCGGGCATGTCACCGAGAGAAGGGTTAGAGGAGTCTTCGGAAGCTCGTTGGGCGCCTTGGTTGCTGTTGTTGTTGTTGTTGTTGTTGTTGTTGTTGTTGGTTTTGGAGTCGTCGCCATTGCCCATGCCGACGGAACTCATGACACCGTCAACAAACCCCTGCGACTTGGAACTCTGGGACTGGTCATTGTCCAAATATGTTTCTGGACGGCCGCCTGAGTGCCCGACCTCCTGGTTCTGATTGCCAGAAGCAAAGTGTGGGTCGCTCATCTGTGTTAGACATTGTAGGGGGTTCTTGTCCAGTAGGGTGACTTGCTCGTCAGGTGGAGTCATAAAGTCGTACGATAGACAAATTGACGGTGCAACTGTCTGTGTGTACGCAATGGTTCACGTGAGTGTCGCCCAGTAATACTCACACTGGTAATGGCCTATATGGCTCAGTTGGTTAGCAGTGGTGCGGGTTTTGCCAGAGAAAGAAAGGCAAGGAGCTGGAATAAAGGCAACGAGAGGTGCAGGCGCAAGCCAGAACAATGGCTATTGTTGGAACGCGAGGGTTTGGGTTTCACCCACTTTAGCAAGAGTTAGAGATGAACTTTAGAAAGACGAGCTCGGGGAAGATCATTATCGGTACAATTGTAACTACAAGGGCTGTGTTCACACAAGTGCAGACCAGCACAGTGAAATAAATTGTGCAGTGTCGTTCCTTGGTAGCAGCTCTTGTTAGTAGTACTAGTGTGCGACCCACAGCTATAGCCCACACCCACACTAAATGCAGAAATAAGGCGGATCACCGGACTAACAGTAACTGGGGCATTAGACACAGAGTTGAACGTTGATTATAGGACTGTGCATTGCACTGGCATGGTTTGTGTTCCCTACAGGCGGCCTACCCTTTTTTTGGCCGGTTTTACCTTCATAGCCCGGTTTGGCTTCTTGTCTGGTTTTTTTTGCTTCCAAGCCTTCTTCGAGATGTTCTGTCTAATAATTAATATATCCCAAGCCGCGCGAAGTGGCCCCCTGATTTTCACTCACACGTCACATTCCAACGCACAAAGCATGTATGGAAGAAGCACAATACGGAGATAAAGACAAACGTGTCATTGGTGGTCGGGGAGACCACAGACGATTTCTGTCAACGTGTCATTTTCACCCTAAGCGAAGACTTCCATCCCTGCTGTCGGGTGTCGGTGCATCTCTCTTCCCACACAGAAAAGCTGTTCGCAATGTACTTGTAATGACAGCAAGACCCATCGTCTCACTCCAGCAACATAAGTGAAACACATTCCAAATGTACAGCCGCTGCGGGACGAGCTATGTGCAGGCACACAGGCCATTTTTAAGGGGTACTAAAGCACTGGCGATTTAGAACTAGTGCGGTGCATTGTGATGAACTACAAGTCGATCATTGAGCGCTTTTGACATTACTGTAATGACTCTGGCACGTCTCCTTTTCTATAATTTCTACACTGGTATGATAGTTACAGACAGTCCTAATATTAGACATTGTGAGGTGTAACCTGTTCCCAGCCCAGTTCGGCAGAGCTCAACGTTCGAATGGGTCAGACCCTAACCTCTGGTTGTTGGATAGAATTACCCTGCAGATGATGGTAGCCGCACCTCAAAACCAAAAACTTTGCCCTGTATCGACTGAGCCCTACCTATTCTGACTGTTCACACGCGCAATCACACTGTCAACCTCCGACCTGCTGCATCACAACACCTCCCCCGCAACCTCCACTTGTCACATACTGTAGCTCGTTCGCCAAGAAGTGTCAGAAACCCAATCCATCCAATTTTACCGCTTCCCCAGTCCAACTAAAAATACGAGCAAGCTAAACTAATCGCTACCTAATCGCTATCAACAATAACAAAAATGGCACCGCCTCTTAACAACCCCAACTACCAGCCCCAGCAGCAGAACCCCAATTACCAGACCAGAAATAATGACGAACCGTCCAATGCGTGTCTCTACGTCCTTGCCGTCTTCTTCCCCTTCGTCGCCGTGGGAATCAAAAGAGGAGGCTGCTCGGGAGAGATGTGGCTATGTTTACTCCTGTCCTACTTCTTCTACATCCCAGGGTTGATCTATGCCATCTACATCATCCAGCAGGACTCAGACAAAAGGCGAGCCCAGGACGTTGAGCATATGGGACAGGGCTATGCTACACAGTACCAGCAACCCCAACCCATCCAGCCACACTACAACCAGCAGCCCCTGCACCAGCAGCAGGCTTACCCTACTGAAGGCACATACCCCCAAGTCGCTCCTGCTAAGCATGAGCCTGCGCCCATGACTCAGCCTCCTGTCAACCAACATTCTGGCGTTGCTCCTCAGATGCATTCCGGTATTTCTCCCCAGGCCCCTCCTCCTACCTACGCTGAGGGTCCCTCACAGCCTCTCCATGAGAAGGCTCAGTATGTTCCTCCCAACTAAATATTCTGCAACTCATCAAACTACTACAAGTAGTACATACTGTAATACCAAACAGTGCATACTGTCCTCGTACAATAATGTGAGTGTATGTTCTGTATTATATAATATCATTAATGCGCACAATAATTGGATCCAGTACAAGTACGACGTACGATACAGTACATTCGTAGTTACTTGTGTTTGTACTCGTCCCCCTGTACTCGTACTGATACGATATATACACTGTGACGAGTAGCCACGGCACATCCGACAAATCTCCAAACGTTTGCTGACCACAACGTGGGCCAAACCACAAACACTCTCTCAATAACATGAATACATATAAATACATTGACTATAAATAGTGCGTTTGACCCTAACCTGTCTCCTTTTCTCCATCCGACTCACACCACCTAGTAGATCTCTCCTATTACCACCATCTAACCAGCCTTCGACTTGGCCCACTGAAGACGCTCGTTCATCTCCTCAAAAGGCCGGTTTAGCTCAAGATAGTCTTTGAACTCCTGGTAAAACCGCATGGTGCAGTAGTACTTGTTGCCATGGGCCTTCCACAGCCACTTCTCCTCCACCAGCAAACTGATGGCAGTGTTGGCCTGGTTGATGGATCCTAGACGAGCCAAAATCATAGACAAATCGTCTTCGAGAGCATACACACCCTTGTCATCCACTCCACCAATCAATTGCCGCTCAAACAGATAGCTGATGAACTCCCGAATGAACTTGACCACAAGTAGGTTCTCCACATCAATACCCGAAGTGTCCTGCAGAGCAGTGGAGTCGTCCTTTGACGACCACACCAAGCATCGCGTTTCTTCGTTCAGAGAGTTCTTGACGACATCCAACTGGAATCCAAACTCCGAGATGTTGGTCTGGATCTCTTGAATCAGTTTCATGAGCATCATAGGCTTGTTCCTCTCCCACTCAACGGCTTCCACATCCATGTATTCTGGATATTGGCGAATCAGCATGTAAGCATCTTCAATATCCATCTCACCACATTTCATCATAGCCTGGGTGAATGCTTGTCGTGCCGTCATTGTGTGCTGTGATGTTGATGATAAAGCCTACGCGCACAGTGAACTTTTTTGACGCGTTTTCAATTTAGCTTAGCGTCCAGAGCGTGAGGTGAAATGTGAAAACGGCTGTAATACAATATACAGTAGCTACAAGTGCATTATGATTAAAGAGATGAACACAAGTAGCTGAGTATATAAATGAATAAAATCAAATTTATCAATTTTTTTTTCATCTTTTTTTCAAACGACATTGAGGGCGAGATGACTCCCAGTGGGCCGTGCGGCGATTAATAGGTACGGTTTATCGTGTTGTAAGGTCGTCACGAGTAATTGTGCAAAATGAGACCAGAACCTATGGAAGCACTTATTCTGTAGCTATAGCGGGTCTCAGTTTACCAATCCTCTCCTGATGAGTGCTCTCTAACTCTTTCAAATACTCGTCGTCATTTTCGTCCACCATGGTACGGCCCCTGAGGTTCTCGTCGTTCCATAGCGTGTATCCGTCCGTCTCAAACTGTACAAGATGCTTCTCTGACAGCTTTGAAGGTAGTTCTAAAGCCAAGATCTCCTCTTTCGTCATACCCGAACATACAGCCGTCGAGTAGGTCCAGCATCGCGCAGTATCTGTGTGATTGTACCCTCCTCCCCCTAAAACCAGAGTGGGCTTCTTCCACGAAGCGACCTTGCGAACAATCTCACCCAGACCAGGAACACTCAGGTTCCATTTTTTATGTTCATCAGTAGCCAGTCCATCACATCCAAGTAACAGGACCACCGCAGTAGGCTGATAGGCCTCATAGTATCCTTCAACAATACTATGGAACACTCGGTCCAGAGACTGGTCTCCAAACCCCTTTCTCAAAGGCACATTGGCAGTATGATACTCGCCAGGGCCAGACCCACAGTCAGAAAGTGCACCTGTACCAGGAAAAAATCCTGTATCGTAATGATGTAAGGAGACACAGAGAACATTCTTGCTGTGGAGAAAGGCTGCACTGACTGCGTCGCCATGGTGAAGATCAACATCAATATACATAATCTTCTGATACTGCTTCCGCATCTCCTGGATGCCCAGAACCACATCATTGACATAGCAGAACCCAGATGCAGCCGACCGCTTACCATGATGTCTTCCTCCATACCAGTTGATGCACAGTTGGTGTTGTCCAGACATAAGTTGCCTCGCACAACTCAATGTAGAACCAGCAACAAGTTTGACATACGCGTCAAGACCAGGAAAGATGGGGCAGTCGTGAATAAGTCCCATCTTGTCCAACGTCTTTTCGCTTTGACCCTTCTTCAACACCGCCGAAACATACTCCAGACTGTGGTATCTCTGAAGTTCAGCGGCTGTGGCAGGGGTTATGGGTATCAGCTTGTATGACTTGTGCAATTGAAGGGCCACCAACAATGAGTCGACCAGAGCAGCCCGGCCTTCATTGGAGGGTCTCCCAGAACATACTTTACTGGCCAATGGATGAATGCAAATTCCTGGCATGCCGACAGTGTATTGTACAGTTTCAAACGACGTGTCTCCAAGTAATTTCGAGTTAGGTTTACGCGTTATGTCCCTATTGTAAATCAAAATCGCAGCCATACAGTAGTTACTTGAACACCAATATATACAGTACATGTACATTAGTTGAATATAAATTCTATTATACACTTGCTGCTGTGAGCTTCTATAAATAATTACTATTAGAGATGAATCATCTGCCTCAATCGACCTGAGACAATAGACTGAATAAACCACTCTCTATCACCAAGCACAATGTTAGCCCAGGGAAAACGCTGCTTGAAGTTCCGAACCACCTGCTCGAACTTGATGTTTTGGGCATTGGCCTGTAGGTTCAAGATCAGAACCGTTCTGCTGGCAGGCGACTCAGCCGAGTCGCTCTCATTGATAGTGAATTCACTGAGAGCATCCTCAAGCTCCCCACGGCTGAAGACGGCTTCAACGTAACTAGGGTTTTGCCCATGAACTAAAACTTGAACGTTCTGATCATGTGTATCGTTGCCAGTGATCACAAACGTGGCAAGAATATCGGAGAGAACCGTCTTCCGAGACTTATAGAGACTGAGAAGACTGTGCCTCTTCAAGAAGATCGAAGACGCCTGGTCGCCCTGAGCGTTGATCTTGTTCCAGTTGTTCGAGAACTCCACAATATCCTGATTACAACAAAGACCGAAGTCTACCTGTCCACGAGGCAAAAGGTAGGCAGGCCAATCATTAAGAATAGCTGTGCCACCAAGAACATCGTTGACAAATGCAGTGTTGAGACAGGGCCACCCCATAGAGAGAGCCTGCAAGTACTTAGGCGTACGAGTGTGAGAGTTAGAGATGACACACCCAAATCGCATACTGAGAGCCTTACCGTTAATGGTGGGCTCGCCATTCTCCCACTGAAATAGGGACACGAAATCCTCGTGGATGGTGCCGCCTCCAGCAGTGATGGCATTAATGAGTTGTGTACGCTCACTTGGTTTGTCCTCTGTAGACGTCACAAGAAAGATGCAGCCTTCGAATACGGCCTTGCTCACTGGAGGAGCAGGGGCGGGAGAAGGAAGGATGATAGAGTGCTCCCGTAGGTATCCAAGATCCCTGCTTAGGCTGTTGTTGGGCTTGCTGGCAGTTGAAACCGAAGTTGAACGTCGCGTCTCTTGTCGACGAGCAGAAGTAGTCTTCCGAGGAGGGGGAGAAAGCTTTCGCACGGGAGTAGGGGAGACTCTCTTGATGGGAGATCTCATTGGAGGAGGAGGGGATGAGTAGTGGGGAGCAGGTGACGACATGACCACTTGCGTATCAGGGTATTGGGGGGCTGAAGAACTGGATGCCTCAACGTGGTCAATCTTTGTAAGCTTCACGTTGTCTGGGAATTCGAAAGACACTCCCGCTCGGAAAGATCGTTCTGGCAGCTTCAAAGAATCAAACTGCTTTTTCGTCAAATGTATCTGGCTCAAATGAACTACTCCCACCTCGCCACGATTCAAGAACCGAACCTCGAACGAAGTGTACCCATCCATCGTGGCTACTGTATCTGCCACTTCGCCTGGGGCCGTTACACCACGGACAATGACAGCTCTTCCCCTTGATGATCCCTTAAAGACAGTGACTTCCGTATCAGGGAGAAATATTAGCGGGGTAAAGGGGCTTCCGCTGCTTGAGTATGGACTCATCTCGAGCTCGTTGGGATTATTGGTAGCGTAACAAAAAATCAACTTCGCAGTGTCATCCTCATCACACATTACTCTAGTAGGGTACCACTTGTTCTTCCATCGCACCAACATAGTCAGGTACTCAGTCTGAGCAGTTTCCGGCGTAGATGTGATAGACTCGGGGATCACAGTCCCGTCCTTCACATGAGGAGCCTGTGTATGACGTCGCAGGATCTTCTCGTGACTGGTGCTGGGAGAGACATTAGAGCTTTGAGATGGTAGCACATAATTTTCCTCATTAGGGGAGGCGGATCTGTCTCCAAACGTCGATCTGTGACGCTTGCTGTTCGAGCTGTCTGGGGCAAGCTCTTGCGTATCCGCCATCTCCTCGGAGAAAGACCGTTTTCTGCCATTAGCACCCCCGTTATCAGGCTGCGAATCGGCCACTTCATCATCAGACATGGACACGTCGTCAGACCCATCAACCACAGTCATTCTTGACATCCTCGCTCTTCTCACAATCAGAGGGCTTCCTTGAGAAAGTGTGGGGCTATGTCTGCCCAGAGCAGATCTCCTTGGCTGGATGCTTGGATCTTGACTATGGGGAACTTGAACAACAGATTCCTTCGAGGGTCGCAAGGGAGTTTCCAGCACTTCCTCATCCGAACAATCATCCATAACTACAGGCTTGCGCGCAACTCCAGCTCCGGCAGGTGTGGCCAAAACCTGGGTCTCTTGGAAGTCGAACGACTCAGGGGTCTCTTGGATAACACCAGGGTACGATATGCGACTTTGGGGTCTACCACGGCTAGAGCCTCTACCGGAGCCGTCGTTGTCTGTGGCCTGAGAGGTGTGCGAGAGCCGGGCTGCTCGAGAAGACGGAAATCTCATTGGTGTCTCAGATGGCATAATCTGAGTGTCGGGGATATTGCCATCGTTATTTCTGTTCTGGTCTGGGGAAGATACAGGGGAGCTGGGAGTTTGTGTGAGCTCCTGAGTGTCTGGAATGCTGGTAGGGTCTTGTCGGCTTTTCGGAGCAGGTGTACTGAGATCGTTGGGCATAATTTGTGTGTCTGGAATATCTTGGCTGTGATGATTATCAGATTGTGTATCGGCCTGATCATTGGAATTGGGCATGATCTGGGTATCGGGAATATCGAGGGCATGGGGGTAGGCTGGCAGTTCCTGAGTATCGGGAAGGATCATTGTTTCATTGTGAACGTAGTCATTGGCGTCTTGGGTAGCCTCTTGAGTCGCATCTTGCGTCACTTCCTGCGTCACTTCCTGCGTCACTTCCTGCGTCACGTCCTGAGTGATGTCCTGGGTGATATCCTGGGTGTCATCGGGCATGCCTGCCTCTGAAGACTCAGGGATAACACCTGCCTCAAGCTGGTCATCTATCTGAGATTGCGACATGTCTCCATCTTCCAGGAACCGGCCAATGCCAAAAGAGCGCTCGAAATCAAACGGCTGAGCGGGTCCTTCAACTCGGTCCGAGGACATGTCGGGCACGCGGATGTCTTCCTGCGTGTCAGCTTCGTCCATAATTGGGTCAGGTGCCGGTCGACGCGGACGTCCACGATTGGCAATTCGTCGAGCACGAGCGTCGTCTTCCCACTGAGGATCAGGCTGGGTCTGTGTTAGTGTACGTGTCTGTTTTCCTTACCACCAGTCTCAATACTCACGTCAAAATCGTCCATCAGCGTGTCGTGCGATGTGCTCTTGTTATGGACCGAATCTGTGGTGACATGCAAGTGCTTTAGCAGGGATGAAAGTGTATACGCGGTTGGTGCGCGAGGGAAGCTGTAAGTGCAAGAGATGGGTGCAAGCAGAAAACGCATATCTTGGCGTTGGAGTAACGTGTAGAAAAGACGGGGTATCAGGGTGAACCTGGCGATACGCTTATACACAAGGAGTATAAGCAAACCACAGACTCATTGTATCCACCACTTTTAACTGTGTTAGCATATGGCTCTACAATGCTTACTCGAAGCCAAAGTACCAGACTACATACTGTACACTGACACAACTACATCTATACTTCTATTCTACGCTAACTACTGTCTATTTTTTGCCAGCAGCAGCAGCTTCGGCGGCCTTTTTCTCGGCGGCTGTGTTAGTCATGGAACTTGATGGCGTTGTAGACTCTCCCTTCACCTTCACGTCTTCGCTCTCTACTCACCCTTGGCCTGCTTCTGACGCATGATTTCGGCGTCAGATTCCTGTCGCTTGGTAGGGTCGCCCTCCTTCTTGTTCTTTCCGGCCTGCTGCTTCTTGAGGTTCTTGAGTCGGGCGAGTTCTCTCTGGTTTCCTCGGGTCATGTTGACAGATGGTGTGTGTAATGTGTGACGTCTGCAACTCCCAAAATTTGGGCTTTTGGACTCTCAGTTAGCATCGTGACATGTGCATCTGGGTGCAGTGACCAGAAAAGCAGCTACCACCAACAGTTGGGGCATATTTTCACGTATTTACAGATCATAATGGCGGCGCATAAACCCAACTCCCTCACTTATCCGAGTGTAGTACTTGTACTTGTACTTGTTCTCGTACTCGGACCACAAACTACAGCACTACGAGTAGCCAGGTGTGATTCAGGGTTAGGGTTTCCACTTGCAGGCTCGTGTGATGTATGATGCAGCAGCATCTGGACATCGGCACTTGTTAACTACAAGTACAACAATCATGTCTGACGAAGAAGTGAAAAACGCGTCTGGAGGCGAGGAGGACGAAAAGCTGGCTGCTGCCAAGAAGCGGGTGAGTACAATTGCGCCATGGGACATTGCCGACCTTACTAACCCAGTTCGAGGAGCTCAAGAACAAGAAGAAGAACAAGAAGAAGAACAAGAAGAAGGCCAAGGATGACGAGAAGGAAGAGACTCCCGAGGTAGAGGACAAGGAAGAGGTAGACGTCAAGGACGATACCAAGAAGGACGATACGGATGATGAGAAGAAGGTAGTGGAGGAGGATAAGTCCGAACCCACAACTACAACAGAAGTTGACAAAGCGAACAATATCGAGGAGTCAGACGAGCTCGACAAGATCGTCAAGGAAAGTGTCAAGGAACAGAAGGAGATTGCTGATGCTACCGAGACCGATCTTGCTGCGACTGCTACTATCGAGCCTCCCAAAGACATTGAGGTGTCTCCTCATCTTGACACCATTGTTAAGGAAGAGGTTCAGACTCGAACCGATATTGCTGATGCCACAGAACAGGATCTCAAGAGAGAGAAATTTGATAAGGCCGACTTTGAGGAGACCGCTGCTACTGCCACCCTTGCAGTGGAGGCTGGAAAGAAGTACAAGGAATACGAGATTCAGATCTCGGAGCTGCAGGAAGAGCTCAAGACCCTCAAGCTAAAGCATGAGCAGGAGGTGTCGAGTCTCAAGGAGGAGCTGGCAGCGGTGAAGAACGAGCGAGAAACATACAAGGCCCGATTGGAAGAGTCTGGGAGACAAAAGCAGAGAAGTGCAATGGATCGACCTGAATCTCGGGGAGGAGAGTCTGAGGTCTCTCTGTCTCCTCCCATGCCTGCAAGCAGTTACCGACCCCGTGTTGGTTCCCTTGTGGACGTCGATCTGTTCGATGTTTCTAACGCCCGACAGGCTATTGGCAAGTGGACCGGATGGCAGGTTGATCTGCGACAATGGCGAAGCCAGGGTATTGGCAGCGTTGTTACTTTGTAGGGAACATGACGAGATGCGTTGATCGTGCCTATGAAGTATCCACCATACCCACAACTTATATTTACATGAATTTTTATATGACAACAAATAAGACATTACACGACGGCATGTACAGTAAGACCATGGCGTGTAATAGGAGCGCCTGGGGAAATGTATAGACATAGTTGACCTTGCCTTATCTTAGCTGATGCTGGATCACGCTTCACGTAATTATGAAGCTTCTATGGCAGGTATTGTGCCATACCGCTAACCGCCCAGTATCCTGAACATCCAACAATCTACGACATCTACGGGATCCAACGACAGAGGTACTACTCATACCAAGACTACTCGCACAGACCTAAACCGATGCGCTTTAATGCACACACACCTAGAACCAATCATTTACTATGTACATTTTCATTGGGCTTAAGAGGCTCGAAGGATGACCTCCCCGCCGAGGAATCGTCGGCAGGCCTCGTTGAGGTCGATGACATTTCCGTCCTTTCCGGGAGTCTTGATAAGAATGACCTCACCAATCTTGGGAGGGTTGACGAACTTGACCTTTCGTCCAAGCTGTAGCTGTCGCAGCTCCTCGGTGGTCAGCACCATTCGTCTACTAGGCTTGGAGACCAGCTTCAGGCTGTTGAGAACGGGCTGGTTCTGTCGATACTTGAGCTCGATCCACAGCCGTCGCGATGCCACGTTCTGGGGGGTTGTTTCTGTGTAGACAGCATCAGGGCCGTAAATGTCTCCTCGCTGCACGCCGGAAAGGAAACCCTCACGGTAGAGACCCAGGGCAATTTGCAGGTTGAGCTTGTTGTGAGGAATGGATGTGAGGGGTCGGCCCACTCGTGCAACGTTCTGCAGGTGCGCACAGAGGTTGGAGGCGTGCAAAAGAGGCATGTCGTGCTGGTGATGTGTGGTGAGATGAAAGTTGGAGGTTGAAATTTGCAACTCATACCCAAAACTTTATTTCGATAGTGTACTGTGTGATCAGTGGTAGGAAAAGCTGTCCAGTATGAGATGATCTGATATAAAAATGAGTATGAAAAATACTTGATAATGTATGATTCAGACATACAACAAACTTGTTATAATTTTTAATTGCTCATTTCTTCAATGTCAGGTCCTGTTATCTTCACGTCAATCCCTATACTTAAATACTTCTAGATAATTCCAACTAAACTCAACTAAACTCAACTAAACTCAACTAAATTTTACCAGTTCTGCAATACGACCAAATACTATTGTTTGACTCACTCATAATTCGTTACATTAAGTAATGTCTAAATGCTACCCCTACTTAAGCCCTGGCAACTCCCTCGCCTCGACACATGGGACACGAGTTGCATCCAGTCAGGAGCCAATGATCCACACAGTCCTTGTGGAACTCGTGATGGCACTTATTGAGCTGCCGACACACGTCGCCCTTTTCGTAATCCGTCATGCAAATAGGGCATTTTTCGCCCTCGATGAACTCTTTCACCGTCGACAATCCTCCAGCCTGCTCCACGTCCTCCTGGGTAGCCAGATGGTTCTTCATGGGGCTCAGATGCCTTTCCAACAGGGACAGATCCTCCATGGTAGGTTCATCTGTGAACAGAGAAGCCGCATTGAGAATGGGATGGTCTTCAGGGTACGTGCCTCCAAAGACATAGACGATCCATGACTGTCTCAGGGGGCGCTCGGGGATGGCTTCTCGTAGCGACTCTCGAGTATTCCGAGGTTCATTGGCGTTGTCACCAGTCGGAGGAGGCAGTGAAGGGAGGCTAGGCAGAGGTGGGGCAGTCTGTGAAGCCGGAGAAGTGGCAGGGATGAGAGGATGAGGAGCCACAGCAGGAGAAATGGCGGAAGCAGATGCAGAACCGGCATCGTCGACTTGTTCCGTGCTCGCCAGAGGGGTATGGTAAGTGGATGCCGAGTCGGGCATTTCCGTCAACGAGTCTGTGCTACCCTGTCTATCTGGGTTGTTGAATGATGGGCCAAAGTCGCTCATGAATTGATCCAAGATAGATCTACCACGCTCGTAGCGCGAGCGAAGAGGGTTATACTCTACTGTGTCGGTGGGTTCACTCAGACGAATGGGTCTGGAGGTGGCTGCTTCGAAAAACGGCATGGAATCAGTGGTGATCTCCGCATTGGGTCCCTGTCCGTTATCTTCCGAAGATCTAATTCCGACCACAAGCACAGGAACAAACGTGGATCCTTCAGTCGGAGGGAATCTAAACATTCGAAAGTAGTTGAGGGGTCGAACACCTTCCGCCCCAGAGGGTTCACGAGCAGTGATCTCAGGTGAGAGCAGACCTCGCGAAAGTCCAGAGAGGAACCGGTCAAAGTCGTCTGAGGATGATCCGGTACCTCCGCCGTTCTGGAAGCCAAACTCGGTGCCCACAAGCGAAGATGCGGTCATGGCAGAGGCCAGAAACAACAATCGAGACAACATGACCGACTGATTACGTGGCTGCCGTTCATTCGACATACCTGGAATGTCCATGCCTGGAATTCCGCCCGTCGGCACACCCGAATTCCGTGTGGATGCAGGCTCGGGTTCCTCCAGAATGTTCTCCAGCAAGGGTTGTGTTTCTGAGGCATCGATGGAAGCCTCTCCTAAAGTAGATGCAGCAGCCTGGGGAGTTCCACCAGGTGGGGAGCTCGACGTTTCCGTATTCGTCGTTGTTGCCGTAGCCCCTGTTGCTGTTCCTACAGCTGCCTGTGTTTCCGCCACCTCAGAGTCGTCCTCAACTCTACGTTTGCGTCGTTCGCTGCGGACGGAATCTGTGGCTGATCGCCTTCGGCGTTGCGGTACAAACATGGTGGCAGCGGGGGCCTCCGGACGTCGACGGCGCAGATGAGTCTGGAGCCGCTGCACCAGACGATTCCGATGTGGTTGTTGAGGGGCACCGCTGGGGTTAGACGACGACGTCGAGTCACGTGACGATGACTGGCCCATGAGCGATTTATGTGGCTTGCTGGTGGCGAAAGTGGGGGTATCTGTGTGACGACGTTGTTGGGGGGCGTCGTTGTATGTGCTGGGTTTATCTTGTGCTCAACCTGCTGCGAAACCTCTCAAAATTTGCAGTGTTGTGAGCCTTGTTGTGCTGAGGCAGATAGGACCAGAATGTCGTCTGTGAGTGTGACCTGTATTAGAGATGGAGGGGTTACAGGGAGACGACAGGCGTGGTGCGGTGTTTCAGCGGTCCCCAAATCGGCTTGGGCAGAGTTGAAAGGTAAGAATGTAGGGCCCCGCTGGCGCAAGACAGAGACGAGGGGTGATTCTGACGAAAAAAACAACCGGCTTTAGGGCTCCTGGGGTGTCACTTGGAAGAAACCGATGTTGCTGCGTATCCGAACTCTATGATTCATCCAGAGCAGATAGGAGATAGGCTGCATGTGGGGAGCAAGTGACGTCTGCTTGGGGTTATTTGGGGATAAGGGGTGGGTGGCTACATACGTAAGATGTGGGTCTCCATAAGACGAGCACAGCTACTGTATTTTTAGAGCTGTTTATCACCTACTGGTTGTTATGACGCGAGGGGGAGGGGAGTGTTTCAACGTCCAGCTATATACAGTAACCGTAACGTAATGTGCCTGTGAGTGTGCATTCTGACAAGATCCTGTTGTTAAACATTACCATCATTATTGTACGTGTGATCAAAACGGTCTACTTGTTGGGAGGATACCTCACAGTAAGAGTGTCCTGTAATTATGTAACCTACAGCGAGTGACCTGCAGAGTGTGTGACAGATTTGGGGTTCCCAAAAATAGCTTGTTGCAGAGGAATTGATTTGTGTGCAGGGAATCAGTGATTCCTGGCGGTAGGCTATCGAAATAGGTAAGGGTAGCTACTTGTGGGGCGGGGGTAGACACTGGGGGCGACAGCTGAAACGTGAAAAGTCGGCTTAGCTTACAAGCACAATCGTCCCCCTGACTTTGTATTTATTGTCCGCGTAACAGTAAAAAAATAATAAAAAAAAATATTGCCGATATTACTAGACGATAGGCGGTAGTCGTATTATGTACGATGAAACGGTTACCTAGCCAAGATATTTGAAGATGTATTTTCTGTGTATACCTTCATACCCAATCTATCCCCCTTCCCCAGCCATACTACAAGTGTCGTAGTCGTGCTCCTCCTTCCACATGTTGTTCGACTTTTCAGTCGTCACGTAATCCCCACTTAAACCTTCATGCAGGACCATATCATGGCCAGCAGTTTTTCAAAGACGAAACGACAGAACACACACGCAACGACACGACGGACAACATGTCGCAAACTCCTCTGCCGTGTCGGTACAAAACGGCCAAGACGCTCGGCCAGGGCACGTACTCGGTCGTGAAGGAGGCCATGCATATCGAGACGGGCCAATACTACGCGGCCAAGGTGATCAACAAGAAGCTCATGAGCGGACGCGAGCACATGGTGCGCAACGAAATCGTGGTGCTCAAGCGGGTCTCGCAGGGCCACAAGAACATCCTGACGCTCGTCGACTACTTTGAAACCACAAACAACCTCTATCTGGTCACGGATCTGGCTCGAGGCGGCGAGCTGTTTGAGCGCATATGTTCTAAGGGCGCCTACTACGAGTCGGACGCCGTGGAAATCGTCAAAAACACACTGTCGGGCGTCGCGTACCTGCACAGCCACGGCATTGTGCACCGGGACCTCAAGCCCGAAAATCTGCTGTTCCGAACGGCTGCAGAGGACTCAGACCTGCTCATCGCAGACTTTGGACTCAGCCGTATCATCGATGAGGAGCGGTTCCGAACGCTCAAAACCACCTGCGGTACACCGGGTTACATGGCGCCGGAAATCTTCACAAAGGCCGGCCACGGCAAACCCGTAGACATGTGGGCACTGGGAGTCATCACCTACTTTTTGCTGTGTGGATACACGCCGTTCGACAGGGACTCGTCGGCGGAGGAGATGCAGGCGATTCTGGCTGGAGACTACGCCTTTGAGCCTGAGGAGTACTGGCAGGATGTGTCTGAGGAAGCCCGAGACTTCGTTAACAAGTGTCTGTGCGTGGACTCAGACAAGCGTATCACAGCCACCGAGGCCCAGGAACACCCCTTTCTGACACGGGATCTTAGCAAGGTCGCCGAGAACGAGACCAACCTGTTGCCCCACGTCAAGAGCAACATTTCACTGCGTCGTTTGACTGGCGCCATGTCTGGAACATCCCTCTCAGAGCAGAACAAAGCCATCTCGCGACTCAAGGAGTCGGAGAGCATGGATGGCGCATACTGCTTCTCGCCTGAAAACAACAAGCCTGGCGTCACGCCTACAGGGTCTGTTGGAGTCAAGAGCCAGCGAGCTGAGTTGGCCGAACTGGGTCTCAAGCCTCTTACTAAGATGCAATGAAGAATGGCAAGGAGGAGGGCTTGGATATGGAGCATTCTAACTGTGAACGAGGGATAGTCGGCGTGGTCTACTTAGATGTAATATCGCAATAGATAGAGCGATTTCGTGTCCGCGTGTAGTTTCTGTACGTGCTTGGATACAGTAGCTACTGTACGAGTAGTTACTAATATGATAGTTACAAGTAGTTATTGTCCAGTATGTGGCATAGCTATTCTGTACAAGTTCCCTCTCTTTGTTCTGTTTGACCATTTCAACGTCCCCAAGACCGCGGGGTTTCCCGACCATCCATATCGAGGCCATGAAACCATCACGTACATTCTCAAGGGCAAACTGGCCCATGAGGACTTTACTGGTGTCCAGAAAGCCCTGTTGCCTGGAGACCTGCAGTTCATGAGGTATGAAGAGGAGTACATACAGTAATGCATGCTGAGATGCCTTAGGAAGACAACACCCAGGAGATCCAGTTGTGGGTCGATTTCCCAGAGAAACATTCCGCCAAAGCCGTATACGACAGTGCGTGGACGATTTTGGACGAAAGTATAGAACTTCAGCAACTTCCGTTATTGGACACGATCTGTGGCCAATTTCATCCGGGTGACGGCGTATGCGTGTGGTGAACTTGTCGTACAAGTACAAGTACTTTAGCTACAAAACACAGTTCGTCGAACATCACGATCTTGTCTGAGAGAGAGATTCTTGATTCAAATATGTACTGTACTTGTTCTCGTACCTTGTATATAAGAGTGTACAGTAGCTACTGGTACATACCTGTATGTACATACTGTAGTATCACCGTGTGTTAATAAATGTACTGAGATGTATAAGAGCAGCTCTTAGGAGAAAGTGTAGGTTGTGGGGGTGGGGTATCATGTGATAAAAACAACAACAATAATAATATCAGTCATGCTAATTAATTCACCCCTGTGTCCTTGTCAGCGCCGAGCCTAGATGGACCTCGGATCTTCCATGCCTCGTCGTATTAGATTATAATAATCATCCCTGTGTTATCGTCCCCGTATGCCGTGCCGTAAGATTACGTCGGCATAAACATCGATGTTCCATCTACCGAATACACGGAATCATGGATTGCTACAGCGTGACATTGAGGTAGTGGAGCTACAGTAAGAGTTCCAATAGCCACTTACTCAGGTTTGCCCTACTACTGTACAGTAAGTATAAACTTGCACCAAAATTATTGTAAATATCCTTCTCGGGACAGTTTGTTAGTCCGATCTTGATTGATTGTGAATCGCCAGCCAAGATCACGATCTACTGGACCGGTAGGGTTTGGATTTAGAGCCTCTTTGTCCAGTGGAAATAGCGTCTCCGATTGGCTAGAGGGTGGCGCATCAAAGCTATTGTCTAAGGCCATCTGCAGCTATCATGTCCAAGAAACAGACCACTCTTCAGATGAATAGAACGGTGCGATTGTCGGTCCGAACATGCACCTTTTTGGCTCGGGTGTCGTTTTCGTCTTCTCATGTGCAGTCGGAGATTCGAATTGGCCTGACGTGTTCTATGCGCGGCTACCAAGCTGAGACACAACGTCTCGGGTGGTGAGTCGCTGACATTTGACACATGTCTTCCCGCGCTGTACGTGGCGTGGCCGCTGCTACCTACATGGCCTCGGACAACGCCGTTTGGCTTGCAATTTCAAGGTTCGAATCCATTGTCAGCCGAGCCTTGTTCAGGTGGGGGACGACAGACAAGAGGCACATATATTGCGAGAGACACTGAGTCTAACATTCCTGTCAGTGCTGTGCTGTGCCCCTCTCTGCTTGTTAGGGATGATTATGCCTTAACGTTCGGACTGAGTGTAAGGGCAAAAAGGTACCCCATCTCCGTGGAGTCCGAGTGAGGCGTGAAAAATGACACCACTACTACTTGTAGATTCGGAAGGGAGCCCCAGGTCGTATCTGGATTGCCCACCAAAGCCGCCTAGCTTCGTAGACCCCCGCACTCATCTGCTTGGTCTATGTCTGAAGGCCCTTCAAGGGCCGCCTGAAACAGTTAGTGCCCATTAAGCTTCTCTGGGCCGAGGCTTGTGTGAGAGAGGACTCGCAGTGTGCGCATTGACCTACTCTTGATGACGATGAGAGTGCATGCGTGCAAGTCGTTGTTTAGGGACTATTGTGGGGGAGGAGAACATCAATACAAGGCTGCTAATACACGGTGAGAAGCCGTCGGTTTGTCGGCGACCCAATACCCGGTTTCGGCCCGTCGTTCCGTCGTCCCTCATCTCCTGTTCCTGACGGCCTGCCCCATAGGCTTTCTTACTTGGCCTATCTCACACACCCTTTTCCTATTAACTATAGCTAAAAAAGTATAGCTCTTGTAGTATACAGCAGCTCATGAGAGCCTGCCGGGTGGTAACTAAAAAATCCCGTGGTTGGAAAAAGAAGCACTAGCGGTAGACCCGTTTGCTCACATACACTGACCCCTCTAATCCGCCGCTTGCCGCCCCCTTGAAAAAAAAAACAACACACTCGCTCGCACGCACACGCACACGCACACGCACACGCACTCACTTCATCACTTGTACGTACAGTACCCCGTAAACCATTGGGGTTTTAGCTCGGCATGCATTCTTAAACAGAAAGATTGAACATCTTCTCAGCTTGCCAACGCCATGAAACGAACTCGAGTGGTCAAGGAACGCACCAAGATGGGGTGTGCGACCTGCCGCAAACGGCGGGTCAAGTGCGACGAAACTCGGCCCGTTTGCTCCAACTGCAAGCGAGGCGAGCGCCAATGCGACTACTCGACCCGATTCGACTTTAAGCAGACGGCACTGGCCGAATTTGGCGAGTTCGAAAACCAGCAGAGCCAGATATCCAAGGGCTACAAGGTCGGGTTGCAACGAGATGTAACGCAGAACGTGTTCAACGCCCGTCTGGTGGAGACGGAAGACACCGAAGGGACCATGGTGCCAGGAGAACAGGTCTTCAAGGTGGTCAGCGCGGATCACCAGCAACAACTACCACAACAGGAACAAGGTCAACGACAGGAGCTTCAATATGAACAGCAAGGCCAGCAACACATACAATCTACATCACCACAAATACAAATCAAACCGGAGCCAGAGGAACATGCATTCAAGGTCCCTTCTTATACGGACAAGTCGGAGCTCCGGTTTCCGCCAGCAGCTCTGGCGTCAACAGGCCAGCTCCCCAGAGACGGCTCAGCACCTAACCCGGATTCCGCATTGCTGCCCCCTCAGCAGCTGCCGGAGGCGCTGGAGAAGGCTGCAGCTGCCTGTGTGCCCCCACTGACGCAGTCGCATCTCACTCTCCTGCATCGATTCGTGGCCCACCTCGGACATGAAATCCCCATGCATATGCGCCTTAGCGGTGAACCCAACAGTCTGCTCGACGGAGTTACTCCCGCATCATACTGGACTCACGATGTGCCCCAGATGGCCTTCTCTCAGGGCTATCTTATGAGTGCCATCTTGGCGTACTCGTCAGTGTGTCAGTTTCCATTGTCAGAGGCTGCAAAGAGAAGCGGAATGTTCTACTACCAGCAAGCCATTGAAGGGCTGGCGCAGGAAATCAAGGCTAGACCAGATAGCATCAATGTAGCCGCTTGTGTGTCGTGTTGCGTGCTCCTGACATGCTACGAAACGTACTGGGGCGATCTATCCAACTGGTACAAGCACATGACGGGTTTGGGAGACTTTGCAAAGCTCATGGGAGCCATTCCGGGAAGCTGGCAGCAACTCGATCTGCAATATACGGTGATTCGGTTCGAGTTTTACCAGAGCATGCTGGGAGGAGTCGAGGGCAGATTGGGCCCTGAATACTGGCTAGGTATCCCGTCGAGGGAGGGTAACCCTGCACTGACAGCCGGCGACGACATTTCGCGGTTGCTAATGCAAATCACGGGGTTTGTGGCTAAACAAAACGACTTGCGTTCATCCATGGTCATCTTCGAGGGCGCGGAGGAGGTATGGAAGTCCCTAAAGAGCGACTTGGAGCATTTGGAGGTCAAATGGGAGCATGTTCTGCGTCCTGTGCGTCAATCTCAGGGGATGTTTGGTGAGTATATTGAACATTCGTGTGAGGATGCCATGGTGGCTGCCATCCATATGCTGTTAGCCAATGTGATCCTGATCAGAAACCATCCACACGTCGGCACCAACCGTCTCTTCTACTTCAATCTCACGGCCGACAAGACAAAGGGGTACGTTACAGAGATGCTGTATCGACTGCCGGTTGATATCAAAGACTGGCTCTTCACCAACGGAGATAGCATCTCTCTGGACTTAACCGATATCACGTCTGTGGGTTCCAACATGGCTCGGTTGCAGAATGTGACTCGAAAGGTGAATCGTATGTCCTCTTCCGCCTTCGAGCGGCGTCACTCCACCGAAATGAGTCCCTCCAGCAGCGGCTCTTCCCCCTCGTCAATTTCGTCCCCAACATGTTCGTCTCCCGCGTCGTCAACTGCTGGTTCTACTGGAGTGTACAAGCGTGGACGGCGTATCAAGCTCCTGACCGTAGCTGTTGCTACCTTCTATGCTGCTGTTCAGATCCAGGATGCACACACACGGGACCTGGTGACTCGATGGTTCACAGAGGTGGCCAACGCGACCACTTGCTATTCCATCATCTGGTTTATCACAGGTTTGTCCGAGGCGTGGGAACGGACTGTAGAGACGGAGTATCAGAAGTCGCTGGCCAACTACCTGCAGCAAATCAATTATGACGGTGCAGGGAACCTGTCACGTCTGGATGAAGTGCATGCCAAGATTCGGCTAGCTCAGGGCGTGTTGGGCGATATGGCCAGTATTCTCAGCGAAGACCATAAGAAACTGCTGGCCAAGAGTGAAGATTGAAAGAAAAGTTAGGGGCGTGGGAAATAAGCCAAGAGGAGAGTTACCTCGGGACCATTTCCAGTTTGCAACATTCATGCATGGCAGATCTCGGAGAAAAAGCAGCTACTTGTACTTTTATCAACACGTCGGAGATTTGGGGGTGACGATAGTTATCCGAGGGACGCGACACGACATTGAGAGCAGCCTTTGCATCTCAGGACGGATTTCTAGACAGCCGGCAATGACGACGGCGGCAATGTTGACGAAGAGACTTCCCTCAGCACGCGAAAAACAAAGCTAGTCTTCCGGGGTTAGTGGAGATAAATGTCCTTCCGCTTCTCTGCAGCCCAAACACATATTGCATTTAAATTATGAAAAAGAAAGCATGGAACTGGGGAGGAGATTGGATACTGAAACAAAAGGCAGAACAATTATTTATTATCATGCATGTATCGAAAGAAGTCAGCGAGCTGTGTACATACTGGTACGATTACCGGTACATAGCGGTAGAGGAGGTGTAGAGAGCGCACACAATGGGATTCCAGTCATCTTGTCTTGAGAAGTCAGCCCTGTAGTCTTGAGCAAATTATCTTATCTACCCACCCTTGTACACACTAAGATTCGCCGGCCAAGTGGTGCTCCCTCAGGACGCTTTTCTGCCTCCATCCACTCTTCTACACCTCACCATACGACCATTACTTAGGTCTATCGGACATTGGAAGACGCCGTATTGCGTGGGAAGTCACCTACCCATGCCGATCATAAGCAAAAGGCGCTCCACAATCATAAACGACAGGCGAAGGCGCGCAAAGTTACAGTTCCCGAGCGGGAACGACTACCGAGATCTTGGTGCATTGACACAACCGCGGCGTGACCCGTGGCCCAGTGACAAGTTAGCTATATTAGATCATGCGCGAGGATTAGTGCAACGGTGTGTGTACATATACGGGTACAAACACCGACATTATACTGTATGAATGGTTGATGGCTACCGATGAGCGATATTCACACTGGTTTTCACCACCTGAGTCATTAAGGCAGCTTTCTGTACGTGGTTGTTCCCTGGGTGGAAAGCCAGTCAGTCTTCCTTTCGTTACGTTCTTTGGCCACGAAGTAAAGTTCTGTTCCACATTAACCATTTTCCTGTTTGACAAGCTCACGAATTTTTCAACGCGAGTTCAGGATGTCTAAATGGGTCTTCAGAGATACTCTGGAGTCCAGCCAATCACACGAATGCCATTGTGTTGCATGCAAGATGCCTCCCAACCCATGAATAATCCACGCACGTGGCATTGCCATTACATGGAGGAAGGCAGGACAGCAGCATGTTGCCGAAGGCGGTATGTACTTCAGAGTTATTTTTCCTGTGCTGTTGCTCTCCAACAAAAGACTCTTGTCTGGACTTGAGCCCCAGTTCTCACCCAGCTATAGAAGAAGAAGTACAATGAGGGGGGGAAGGAACTGGCCGGGATAATGAAGATCGCTTTCGAATAGTCCTGGGATAAGCACAGCATACACCACCACCAGCGCCATCGCCATGTGAGACACGGTGTGGTATCAGTGGGAGAAACAGCCCTGCAGCGAGCCTAATCGTGCATGTCCTGCCATATTTTTTCCTGCCGGTTCTCTCTGGTTTCTTATCCTCTCGGGACATTCTCTTTCTTAGCGGAACTCTAATTTTATAAGGCTGAAGAAATAGCAGACCAGACACAAGAAGCTCAAAAGCCACTGTGGAGACTTTCGAAGGAAGCGGCATGAAAAGCGACAGAGATGGCAACCTGAGAATATTCCTAGTGTCCATCGCTTCTGCGCGAATATGCTACCAAGATGCGAGATTTTCCGCCTTTTGACAGCCCCCCCATGTCCTGAGCAGCGTGCATGACATGTGGGAGTTATGTATATTAATAGTGGTCAAGACGGACAACGAGTGCGTTACACGTACACGACGGTTACAAGTGAAAGGAGTGTGATAGTCCACAGACGCTATAAAACAAACACATGTCCATCGATTGGCCATCACGTCGCGCCTCCCAAAGTGAGAGACCATAAACTACGAGCGCCAGCTTCCAAAAGTACAATTACCCGTTCAGATGGAGTGCATCAATGTATGCTGGTAAGTAGATCTTTAGGGCTACGCTGTTAGAACGTGGAGGGTGTAGTTGTAGAGGTCAATACGTTGGGTCAGAATCTTAGAGATGCAAAATAAACACTTCTAGACAAATATATAGATCCAAAATGCCCTCTTCAATCCACCACTCCTACTTCCCTACACCTCCACCACCTGCACGGCTGTCGTCGACGTCAAAGTTGCACGCCGCCTAAGGTTCACAGTCTTGGCTTGAAAACGAGCGTTGTTCGAGCAGGAACCTTGAAGACCAAAAAAAATCATCGACCTTCGAACAAAATCCAAGAGTCTATCTCTCGACACAACCTAACTCTCGACACCACACTCTTTAGGTCACCAGTTCCCCCGCACACCGGCTTACTAAAACCACATGCGTACCGCATCTCTCACAACAGCAAAACTGCTCCTGACGCTCATAGCAAGGCTGCCTCTTCTGCACGCCCTTCCTTACGGTGGGTTGTCACGAAGCGGCAGCTACTCTCCCTACGAACACGATGACGATACTCTGGACCCGGAATCATCTGACTTCTGGCTATACATGTTCGTCTCCTTTGTGCTCGTCGTGGCTGGCGGAGTCTTTGCTGGTCTGACCATTGCTCTGATGGGCCAGGACGAGGTCTACCTGCACGTCATCAGCCAGTCTGGCGAGTCACACGAACGAAAGGCTGCTGAAAAGGTCCTGCGGTTACTCAAGCGAGGTAAGCACTGGGTTCTTGTCACCCTGCTGCTCGCTAACGTCATCACTAACGAAACTCTGCCCATTGTCCTCGATCGATGCCTCGGTGGAGGCTGGAGAGCCGTCGTCATCGCTACCGTGGCCATTGTCATCTTTGGAGAAGTGATCCCCCAGTCAATCTCAGTCAGATACGGTCTCTCTGTCGGTGCCTACTTTGCTCCTTTTGTTCTCGGTCTCATGTACATCCTCTACCCTCTGGCCTACCCCACTGCCTTGCTGCTGGACCACCTGCTTGGAGAAGATCACGGAACCGTCTACAAGAAGGCTGGTCTCAAGACCCTCGTAACCCTGCATCAGACCATGGGAGTTGAGCGACTTAACGAGGACGAAGTGACTATCATCTCTGCTGTGCTGGACCTCAAGGAGAAGCCTGTGGGAACCATCATGACTCCTCTGGATGACGTCTACACCATGTCCTCCGATACTGTCCTTGACGAGAAGGTGGTTGACCAGATTCTGCAGGCTGGTTTCTCTCGAATCCCCATCCACGCCCCCGGAGAGCCGACCAACTTCATTGGTATGCTGCTGGTTCGAATTCTCATCTCGTACGACCCCGAAGATGCTCTTCCCGTGTCCTCCTTCCCTCTCGCCACTCTTCCCGAAACCAGACCCGATACTTCCTGTCTCAACATCCTTAACTACTTCCAGGAGGGTAAGTCCCATATGGTCATTGTTTCGGAGTCTCCCGGCGACGCCTACGGTGCTCTGGGCGTGCTCACTCTGGAGGACGTTATTGAGGAGCTGATTGGAGAGGAGATTATTGATGAGTCTGACGTATACATTGACGTCCACCGAGCTATTCGAAGAACCAATCCCGGTCCTCTGTCCAAGCGAAATCTCGTTTCCTACGTGCAGAACTCTCCCCGAAACTCCATTGGCAACTACGAGTCCGTTTCTCACTTCCTGTCTCGATCTCTTTCCCGAGATGAGGCTGGCAAGGTCCAGCATCAATCTCACTCCAACCTCGGACCCCATGGCAGCTCCCAGCTTGCAGCTAACCCCACAATCACCGTCTCATCTTCACCCAAGACTGGTCTCAAGCTTGGCAACAACACTGCTACTCCCCACGACGCGTCCGCTCCCGGCCCCTTCCAGAAGAAGCACCATCGAATCGAGCCACTCAACCTGGCTGCCAACCCCAAGGAAACCTCCAATACTAAGGTGACCATCAAGAAGTCCGGATCAGGCCACCGACCCACCGGATCTTCCGATCTTGTCCATCATCCCGATCACCCCGAGGGCGGAACTTCTACCCAGTACGGCACTATCTTCGAGACCGAGCAGGGTGCTGTGGTTGATGCTCTCAATGATCCCGAAATCAACACTCGTCTGTCTCCTCGAACCGGCATGTCTCCTCGAACCGCTGCAGTTAATGGTGTGAACGGGGCACGGCCCAGCGCCATTCCTTCCCGACCGGATCTGGGTACCGAAATCCACTCGTTCCGATCCGGGGGCATCATCGAGTCCGTCGTCAACGTCCAGGGAGTCCACAAGACCATCATTGAGGCGGCTGTGTCGGATAATGACTTTGAAGAGGAAGATAGCCCCAAGTCCTCCAACGGTAGCTCTCGTCGAGGAAGCCGCAGAGCCCTTCTCGACTCGTCCCCCTAGAGAAAGAGGAAAAAACAACACAATCAAACAATTAGCATAATATAGGTGAAGTCTTTTATTGAACGCTCAGCTGCTGTAGCCGTAAGATGATACTGGTAAGACTAACCGAACTCGTAGCTCGAGAGGCTCACCGAGGACAATTAGATTTTGTCCTATTTTTGATTTGGGTTCAAACATTTTGAGTCCTACGTATGGATGATGCTTATCAGGACCCTGTCGCTCTCTCCTGAGCGAAAATTTGCATTTGTTTCTGAGATCAATTGCCTCATGGGGGGTTATGTATCGTTCCTTGTTTCCTGTATCAGCCGCGACTGACATGCCAGACTCTTATCAAACAGTATTTCTGTAGCGTGTACATACTGTAGCTACTTGTACTTGTGGCTACGGTAATCGGAGATCTACACTCGTGGTTGCCGTGCAACATAAACTACAGTTTAGCTACTTGTACTGGAATTATAATACAGGACGAGTACCAACAGAAACCTCGTACTTGTACAGAGTTCACAGTAAGGCTCTCATAAAGCAAGCACTTCGAGACAGAAGAGCTTCTGATGTATCCTCTCTGATATCGCTAAAGCTACCGAATGGGAGGAGGGCTCTATCGTACACATTGTAACCGTATTATATCAACTCGTACTACAGTGTCTTGCACTACATACTCTCTGGCTCCAAGAATACCACCATATATTACCGTTAACGTCTATTTACCCTTGATGGCCTTCTTGATAATCTCCTCAACTTCATCAATGTCGTCGGTGGGAACCTGGGTAAGGGTCATACCGAGAGACTGCTGGATGGAGTCGAGAACCTCGAAGCTGGCCTCGTCGTGCACAAAGGAGATGGACACTCCGGATCGACCGAAGCGTCCGGTTCGTCCGATTCGGTGTAGGTAAGTCTCGGGATCGGGCTTACCGTTCTTGTCCGTGGGGAGATCGTAGTTAACGACCATGGAGACGGTGGCGATATCGATACCTCGGGCAATAACGTTGGTAGAAATGAGAACCTTAGATCGACCAAATCGGAAGTCATCCATGAGTCGGTCTCGCTCGTCAACAGACAGATCTGAGTGCAGCAGTGACACCTTGTGACCGTTCTTCGACATTCGCTGGTAGAGAGCGTTTGCGGTGGACCGCTGAGCGACGAAAATGACCGACGATGCAATTGTCAGCATGGAGTACAGCTCCTCCAGCATCTTGAACTTCTCCTCGCCATCCTCGCAGTCCATGTACAGTTGGGTGATGGCGTCCACGTTGAGCTCGTTGGCCTTGAGACGGATCTCGTTGGGGTTGGGGCACATCTTGCCAGCCAAATCGAGCACAGACTCGGGGAAGGTGGCAGAAAACAGCACCACCTGGGTCGAGGAGGGCAGGTACTTCTTGATTCGAGCACAGGTGGAGCCCATAGAGGAGTCGACCATGTTGTCAGCCTCGTCCAGAACAAACACCTTGACATGCTTGGCATCAATCTGCTTCTTCTGTAGCAGACCTGCCACAGATCCAGGAGTTCCCACCAGGATCTGGGAGGTCACCTTCTGGCCCCGTTCGGTAGACTCAGGAACAATGAGATGTGTAGTGATATCGGTGAACTTCTTCATCTCATCAACCACATCCAGGGTCTGACGAGCCAGCTCTCGAGAGGGAGCAAGACAAATGCACTGAACGGCCTTGAGATTGGGGTCCACTCGGCTCAGCATGGTCAGCGAAAAGGCTCCTGTCTTACCGGTACCAGATTGAGACTGGCCGATCATGTTGTGAGGGGGGTCGGACAGCAGAAGAGGAAGAGCCTTCTCCTGGATCTTGGAGGGCTTGTTGAACTTCATGGCGTACAGACCCTTGAGCAGGTTCTCGTCCAGCCCCAGATCCTCAAATCGCTTGGCAGAGTACAGGGGTGAATTGGGGTCTGCCTGGAGATCGGCCAGCTTCACTCGCACTTCGTATTCCGTCTGGATCAAGTTGTTTTCCTCGGCATCCTCCTTGGACTCTTCCTTGGCGTCTTCCTTTTTGTCGTCCTCCTTGGCCACCTTCTTATCATCTTCATTAAGCTCCTCCTTGACATCCTTCTTATCATCCTCCTTCACCTCCTCGACCTTGGCCTCGGTGGCGGCGGCCTGGTTCTTTTCCTTCTGAAGCTCCAGCTTCTCAAGCATATCGGAAACCTGGTCACTCATGTTGTTCGTGTGTTTGGTAGGTTGTGATGTGTTGGTGTGCAGTGTTCAGATGGAGGGCTAATAAGTTTGTTGGATGCATGTCAATTTGGGGCTCATTTTTTGAAAAGTCGCTGAAATAAGCTCCACACCCACTCACTCCTCAAGGTGATGTGGTGAGCATGGAAGCACTGAGAATGACTGGCAACAAGCAGAAGGTGATTGGCGAGCTCTTGGAGACAAATAGTCACGTGACTAGTTATATTGTCATTGATGACTAATCAGCTCCAACATTTTCTTGCACGTCACTCACTCGTAATGTTACCTCCTGTGAATTAATTCGTATCATTACTGGAGTTCCTCCCAACCTTTGTCAAGTGTACATACTACCGTGTGAGTACAAGAGTAATTTATTGAGAAGCATGCTTCCGTAGATCCGCAAGACCAGATGTTGAAAATTAGGAACATGAATACGAAATACGACGATTTTGGAGCTCATTTCTAATTCATGTCATCAACAGTCACCCTCAACATTCTTGTTGTCATAATCACATCACCCCGGAGTAAGATCTAATACCAGAAGTTGGCTGGAGTCAACATGGACCTCGTGTCTGACGATGTCCTGTATTGTCGATCTTTGATAAGCTGTTGTAATAGTGATAGCTGCAACGGTAGACGAGAAGTGTTCACAAAGTCACATGCTAATATCAATACCACTCTGTCCGTCAAGATCACTCTGGTTCGACGTCATTCTTCAATGTCAGTATCGTACCTCGGCTCCATATGCCCACACTGGCACTCTTACGGTCCTCATGCAACAACCCTGTAACAACGTGCCTTTTCTCACGCCAGTCAATTATCTACCTCTTCGACAACACTGGCGAAACAGCGTCTTTACAGACACTCATGGAGGAGAACAGACCGCTCTCAGACCCCAGTTTCACGACCATCACGTCTGAAAAACGGACCGCAAAACGGACAACAGCATCAAGCAGAGGTGGAGATGTAAGGGGGTCACTGCGGGACCAGCCAAGGTCGGCTCAGAGACGTCCAAAGTCGACAAAAATCAAAAGAGGGACGTTTCGGAGCACCCTGAAACCACCGCCATCTTCCTGGGTCCGGATCAGGCGCTTTTTTGTGTCGTTCGTGGACTCCAACAGGAAGTTATCTCCCGGCCATCTTCCTCTACTGATTCTCGAGCTTATCCTGCTTCCCATAGTATTGCAGTTGGGACTTTTGGTGGTAGGGGTGTTAAGCGTACTAGCACTGCTTCTACTGCCTGTTTTCCTGTTGTTGCGAGCAACAGATTTCAAAGAGATCATGGCGGAGACATAGAGAAGACACACATTATTCGCATCATAAAACTACTAACATAATCAATGGACTACACAAACTATTCTATCGACTATTGTTGTCTTACCTATATCAGGCACTTCTGCCTCCAAATAGAGTTCCGCAGGTCCAAAATATCTTGACGAACATTACACCAACTTTTTCTATCACAACTAAACATCACAATGGTGAGTATTTGGATGAGCGGGAGGAGTGATGGAGCGAGTTGCAGACAAAGAGACATTAACGAATGCGTTTATATCCTCTTATGGCTCTGAAAACTCACGATTCAACCCTTTGCTTCTACTTTTGAAGGTCTTCTCTAACTCAGTCTATCGCCACAGTCGCACAAGCAAAAGATGTGCGGGGCCTCAATCTGGTGGCCGCACACTCACACATCACCGGTCTGGGTCTGGAGCCCAATTCGCTGACTCCCAAGGAAAACGCCCAGGGAATGGTGGGCCAGGTCAAGGCTCGAAGAGCAGCAGCAGTGGTGCTTCAGATGATTAAGGACGGCAAGATTGCCGGTCGGTCTGTGCTTCTCGCCGGTCCTCCTTCCACCGGAAAGACCGCCATTGCCATGGGTATTTCTCAGTCTCTTGGCTCTGATGTTCCTTTCACTTCTTTGGCTGGTTCCGAAATCTACTCTCTGGAGCTGTCCAAGACTGAGGCTCTCAACCAGGCCTTCCGAAAGTCCATTGGCGTGCGAATCAAGGAGACCACAGACATCATCGAGGGAGAGGTGGTGGAGATCCAAATCGACCGAAGTCTGAGTGGAGGACACAAGCAGGGTAAGCTGACCATCAAAACAACAGACATGGAGACTATCTATGACCTGGGACACAAGATGATCGACTCGCTGAGCAACGAAAAGGTGACTGCCGGCGACGTCATTTCCATCGACAAGGCATCTGGCCGAATCACCAAGCTCGGACGATCTTTTGCTCGAGCTCGAGACTACGATGCTCTGGGAGCTGACACCAAGTTTGTGCAGTGTCCCGAGGGCGAGCTGCAGCAGCGAAAGGAGGTGATCCACACTGTATCCCTGCACGAGATCGATGTCATCAACTCTCGATCCCAGGGATTCCTGGCTCTGTTTTCTGGAGATACCGGAGAGATCCGACCTGAGGTGCGAGAGCAGATCAACACCAAGGTTGCCGAGTGGAAGGAAGAGGGTAAGGCCGAGATTGTGCCTGGTGTCCTGTTCATTGATGAGGTCCACATGCTCGACATGGAGTGTTTCTCGTTCATCAACAGAGCTCTGGAGGACGATATGGCTCCCATTGTCATCATGGCCACCAATCGAGGTCAGTCTACCACCAGAGGAACCGACTACAAGTCTCCTCACGGACTGCCCGTCGATCTCCTCGATCGAGTCATTATTATCCCCACTTCTCCCTACTCCCCTGACGAGGTGAAGCAGATTCTGCAGATCCGAGCCAACGAGGAGGAGGTTGAACTGAGCCCCGAGGCTCTGGAGATTCTGACTTCCATCGGAGCCGATACCTCTCTCCGATACGGATCCAACCTGATTTCTGTGTCTCACATGCTGGCCCAGAAGCGAAAGGCCAGCAGTGTGGGCTTAGAGGACGTGAAGCGAGCATACTCTCTGTTTTTGGATACCGCTCGATCCGTGCAGTTTCTGTCTTCTTCTAACAACTACGTTGGTGAGGACGGAACCGCTAAGCTGGGTGAGCGAGAGAAGGATGCCATGGACACCTCGGCTTAAGGGTATAGGTAGATGTATGTATTGTATTGATATATTTAATTAGAGCTTGTGTTGTAGCCCTAAAGATATTCACAGTAGAACATGCGTTCTATACTGTAGTTACAGTTCATCTTGGTACAGTATGTACAGTATGTACAGATAGATTATAATAAGTGGACATTTGCGTATAATATCGGATTATGAGGGAAGGTATAGCGTACCTTCTCTCATATCGTACCGACCTCTCTCTACTCCTATTAACTACCAACCCACAACCTTTGTGCTTGCGGTTCCTTCAATCGTTCATCTAATTATTGTTAATATATATCTGACTAACCAGAGCCCTTGGTGTTGAGAATCAGGGCGATAATCATACCGTAGAGACCCAACACTTCAGCGAAAATGAGAATCAGCACAATGCCGACAAACAGACGGGGCTGCAGCATGAAGTTTCGCACACCCTCGTCACCGACAATACCAATGGCGTAACCCGAGGCCAGGGCAGCGAAGCCTACCGAGAGACCACAGGCCAGATGCATGAAGCCGTTGAACAACGAGTAGTTTTCTGTGGGGGACAGCGAGCCGGCAATCAGTACAGACACCACGAGGCCGTAAACGGACAGAATACCACTCATGACGACGGGAATGAGAGACTTCATGATCAATTCAGGCTTGAACACACCGATACCGGCAATACCGATACCGGACTTGGCGGTTCCAATAGCGGCTCCGGCAGAGGACAGCACCATTGCTGCGCAGCATCTGTGTTAGTAGGAATGACGGAAAGGACCGAATGATTATGGGAGGAGTGGTAACAATATGAGAAGAAATACTTGCAACTTATGATAAAAGACGCTGGTGAAAACTTGACTGGAGCAGTCATTGATTACCCTCATACCCTCATAGGCTGAATACGACCTATCCTTGTACCTATCTGGCATGATAGAGCAGCAGTTGTAAGACAAAGGGGCATATCGTGTCACCAAACTGTCTTGCGATATCAACACAGTCCTATCCATGAATGAAAAAAGTCTCTGTTTTGACTTCATGGTGCATCCCTTCACACGGGCTTCACAATTGTCATAATGTTGCTGTTGTTGTTGTCGTTGCCGTTGTCGTTGCCGTTGTCGTAGCCATTATCATGACATGTGGTAGTCATTGACAAATGAGAGCACTGGTCTCATCAGAAACAAAACCACCACTCACAAGAGCCATCTCTACCTGGTTCAATTTCTTCACCGTTATTCCCAATATCGTCCATCATCGTCACCCTCACTAGTCGACGTGTGTCATCAACTAGTGGAGGGATAGTACCCCATAACAACTCACCCTGCAAAACCGAAGAACGGCGCATAATTCGGAGCATAGACATCCGATTCAGACCTGAGTTAGCGGCGTTCGAGCCGTGCGCATCCCCCTCCAAGAAAGCCCTACTCACATTGTGTGTGTTGTCGATGAGTGACGGAGATGCAAAGTGAATTAAGTTCGAACACCCAACCTGGTGCTGCGTGGTGATACTATCGTGCAAGTATGCACACTTCATCGGTGATGGAATGTCAGGGGCGAGTACACTGTATACCTATACCTATTACTAGCCAATTTGTGAATTGAACATATGAAATTTGTTTACGCGAGCTCATGTCTCTTATCAAGGAAGATTGTTAACGCAGAACGTCTTGGTTGTATAAGCTGACTAAGCATGTTAGAAAGTGGTCTTGTATGATTAGGAGCAGTGATAGAGATCTGAATTGGTATCCATAAGTGATATCACAATCGTGTAGCATCTTTTTTTATATCCATTTTCATTGTAAAATGCCCAATGCTACGAAAAGAGAATCTTGAAAAGCGTGCCATTCAAGGTGAGGTTATAGCGACAACATAATACCCTGCTGAACTACTGGAACCGAGATGGTCCATATACGCCTCTTGGGATAGCCAATAAATAAACATCAATGGTATTATACGCAACGGGCTTCAGTTATCCGCTTGTTTATCACACTCATGCATACTCCTCCTCATCAGTGTGTACCGACATTGACTCGGTCCTTCAACACATGGCCCATACCTCGACACTTGAAACATCTGTTGGAATGGTACCAATCTCTCAGAACCGTAGGGTTTCTGTTTTGAACATCTTCCCGCTTCGTGGCTCAAGTTTTTGTTGGCTGAACGAACTCGCTTCAGCTGTCTTACCTTGTTCCGCCAGTACTGCTGATCTGGCTTCTGCACATTCGTCCAATAACTCGTCTCCTTGCCTTAGGTCTAACCGCTGAATAGCCTGTCAAGCTATATCTGACTTCAAGTAGTCGAACAGACTCTCAGACGAATCTGCTGCATGTCCGTCTTGTCCTCCGAGAATCCATAACCAGGTGTAGACGGTGAGATATGAATGCAAGTCCTGGAATCGACGTGGCCTGAGGTTAGACTGCTCAACTATGGCAACTCGGCAGTAATTGGTGCCGTACAACTTCTAAAGCACCTGGTACCGTCATTGGAACAACGACTCTCGGCGCTCGTCCATGGTAGTTCCTTGAAAAGGTTCTCCGCACACTTGAAAGCTTCCACTTAGAAGCGAAACCGTCCACCGCCATATTCGCACGTTTTTCATAGTCATTGAGAATCTTCAGGAAACCCCACTTTTCTGTAAACGGTGGTACATTATCCCCACTGAAGTTGTATTTCTCCAGGGTCTCCTGCTGTTTCTTAGTGAACTCTTGTTTCAGCAGGTTATCCTTCAACCCATACAGCCTTGAGCCATTGGACCTTCACAAGGCTCTGTCCATGAACTCCCCCTCCCCCCAACTATCCAGAGTCGATGTGTCCAATATCAGGTTCCAGAAATGATTTCTTTTCAATTTAGTCTTCACTTGGCGTTTCTGAAAGAGTCAATTCGGCGTCGGCTCCGTCGGCTCGGGTCTTTGTCAGGTTTCCATGCTGGTTACCTTCTCCTGTAATGACTTGAGTTGGTCCATCATGACCTACATCACCGATCTCTCCTCCGCATCCTCAGGCTCTTCAAAGTCAATGACAATCTGATTTCCCGGTGATTACGTCATTTCGGCAGTTTGTCGCTGGCCAGATCGACTTCTGTCATTGCTCTTTTCCCCGTGAGTTTCTGGTTACTCGAGTCATTGTGGCAGTGATATCTACAGCTCAGTTACAGGTGCACATGATGCAACGTGTACCCTTTCCAGGAAACCTACAGCAGTGGACTGCACTAAGGGGAAATAAGAGATACGGGAACTGTGGCTTGAAACTGGCAGATGAAGACAGAGGTTTAAAGTGCCCGGCTAAACAGATGTAGGTAAGTGGATAACCTGTTGAAATCACAACTATATCTGGGGGATGGCTCTCTTAAATCTAAGACACACTGTGCTTATCATATCCTTACGAGTATAGTTGAAGATAGTTCAAACCTCCCACTCTACTTCATCAATACTTACTCCAGAAACATCATATAGTTAAGCCTATTTCGGTGAAGCCAAGCCCATATATGACGATCCTGAAAAACAATTGGGCTACAAGTGGCTAGCAAACAACCGGATAATACAGCCAAATACCGTTATCTCCGCTTAGCCGCTCATTATCTCCGCCCCTTTCTGCACACATTTGTCAGCCGCCTAAGAAGCTGGCACGGTACACGTACTTAAAGCCTATCTCACAAGTGTCAAGTGCAGCCGGATACGAGCAATGTTCGATGGTGGTTGGGTGGGGTGTTTTGATCGGGCAAAAGAGGACAACACATCGGAGTGTTTGAGAGTAATAATTAGGCGAGAAGGTCGCAAAATAAGTACATCACGTGAGTGCGACTAGATTAAGATACGATTTTCCTTTATATCTCTTCTCTAAACCCGATTTATAAACCATTACTGTCTACTGCTTTTCTCCAAGCACACCCCACCATGGACTGAACTCTGATTAAATGTACGCATGCATATAAGGTGAGTATAAAGATGGGGGGAGATCCAGGAACAGCAACTCCACGTACTTTTTACACTCACAAAAACACAATGGCTCCAACAGTCACCTTTTTCCACTACAATGAGTCGCCCGTGGCCAACCGAACCCGGATTTTCCTCAACTTCAAGAAGATTCCCTATGTTTCCCTTCTTCAACGACTAGTGCTACCTCGACCCGACCTTCAGAAGCTGGGTATCAACTACCGACGAATTCCTCTGTGTGCCATTGGATCCGATGTGGTTGTCGAGGCCTCTCTCATCATGAGCGAGCTGGAGACCCACTTCTTCCCTGCTCCCGAGTACTTCAACGCCAATCTGGTCACCGAGGGAGTGTTCAAGACCACCAACGACCAGGTGGCCATGACTCGATTCGGACTGGCCGTGACCAACCTATTCCCTCCCGAGTTTTCAGCCGCCGCCATGCCCGAGTTTGCCAAGGATCGAGAAGACTTTCTGTCAGCCAAGATCGGAGGAAACGTGGACGAGACGATCAAGAACCAGGCCAAGATTGAGATGCAGCAACTGGCCGACACCATTGAGAACTTTCATCTCCGAGACGGCCGAGACTATCTTCTGGGTAGTGAATTTTCGGCTGCCGACGCCGAGTACGCCTGGATCCCTCTCTTCCTCATCTTCATTGGAGGCCTTGAGCAGGCCGGAGTGACTGCCGAGGCATTCCCAAAGTTCTTTGCTTGGATCGATCGAGTCCAGGACAAGGTTGAGGACCTCAAGGACTCCAACCCCAACATCACCGAGGAGCCCCACAACGAGGCCGTGGCCAGAATCATCAAGGGAGGTAACGCTGGCGACTTCCCTCTGTCCAAGCTGCTGAAGCACGACGAGAACAACATTCTTGGAATCAAGCAGGGTGAGGTTGTGAGCGTGGTTCCTCTTGACACCGGTAAGAACCACCCCACCAAGGGCTCTGTTGTCGGGATTGACCGATACAAGATTGTCATCGAGGTGCCTTCTCCTGGCAGTGAAAAGGACGGTATCGAGAGTGGAAAGGTCAGAGTACACTTCCCTCTCAAGGGATACAAGGTCCAGAAGGAAAGCAAGCTTTAGAAGGTGGATTAAATGCGCGAATATAATATGATGGTGGATATACAATCAGATGAATAAATCCTTAGTACCCGAGTCCGAGGCATCTGAGTTACTGTACTTATAGTGCCCTAAGTCTTCCACCTCGCCTCCAAATCGTTTAGTTACGATGATAGTCATAATTCATTCATACATACAATATATACATCCATCATGGCTCGTTAGTAGATCAGATATGATACGTTGTCATGGTGAGTTCTTAGAAACCCCTCTTTGCTAAACCATCACAAATATGCAAATAAAATGCCAGAGCATTGAAACTGGGTCTCTGGCCTGAAAGTCGATACCAATGGTACCGTATTCGGTTGGTCCAGTTGATGAGATCCAGATGGTCGCAGTTGTTGATTGTACCGAGATAAGTACCCCACTGAGCGGACTTGACACTCACCAATCCATCACTAGGACCTTCATAGTGATCAATGATCTTCCAGGAAGGGTAGAAGACATTGTACCAGTGAGGGAAGTACTGCGCACCATATGAGTAGTAAGCGACATCAGGATCGTTCTGGGTGGTCTTGTTAAACTCCTTCAAGTACGTGGTAGTCAACTGTTTGAATCCGTCGGGGTTCTGGACTCCTAGAGTCTCCAGAATGGTGTATAGCCGGTCCACATTCTTGTCTCCAAGTTCATCAAAGCACCAGTCTGCGAAAGAGGTTCCATGATGAGGAGTAGCTATAGTGGTGAGAGAGGCTACTTTGAAGGGTAGGTCTTTGGCTAGGTTGTGGATCAAATACCGCGAATCCAGCCCGCCCATGCTGTGAGCAATTAGATTCACTTTGGGCTCTTCCTTGTCCTGCTGGCTCTTCTTCTCCGTGTCCTTTTTCCAAGGAGCATCATGCAAAATTTGAGTGAGCGACCCAGCAAGCGTTTCAGCCCGCTCCTTGATACTGCTCACTGGAGGCACCGCTGTGGTGATGACTGTAGCTCCTGCACCCTCCAGACTCTCCTTGATGCCTCCCCAGTACTCGTATGTTGGAAGCACGGGCAGATGAGTGTCGATCTCATTAAATCCACACAGTCCATGGCACAGAACCACTGGCCATTTTGGAGCATTGTATTTGTCTCTGAGAGTGGCAAAATCGTTCTCTATGATTCGGGGTTCCGAGAGACGCAGCGAGGTCGTGTGCAGTGGTCGGAGTAGGTTCGGCCCCAGCCTGTGTCGTATCGGCCTCATGGCGAGCATTATTATTATTAACAGAGGATACTCCGTTTTCGTAGCCACTGAGTCTGTCGAGGAGGATAGAGTATATAGATCAGATGCCACTATGAAACTTTTTGTGCATGTAGCAAGCAGCAATAGCAACAGCAAGTATAGATGGGTCTAATCGTTCTGTACTGTACTGTATGTGTAAATAGCAAGCAAGACGTCATCGTCTGCAAAAAAATAACATAGGATTCATTTGAGACTTGCAAGCTTGAGACATAGCCATCCCTTTCTCGTTCCCTTTTGCGTTTGTCTTCTTTCGCTTACACTAATGTTCTCCATCTTCACATGCTGCATGTCTCCGGCACAAAGTCGTCATAGTCGTCTGCCTGCCTCGATCCCGCGAGAGTTGCAGCGATGAGATGACTTGTGCAGAGTTACAGCGGGTCTATATTTCATCTATGAGAAGAGGCCGAGGCATCGAGAGCACCTAATGTCAGGTGGCGTATATGACGTCAACGGCCCGATAGTCAATCGATCACCCATTTATTATGGTCGCTTAGCTTAGAGTGAGCCTACTGTATATGATCATGATCATGATGTTTTGTCGATTAGGTGTGTTCAGCCTTCCAGAGGAGGTCCGAGGGACATATATTGCGGACGTCAGTTGTACCACGTGATTCATCAATCTCATTGCCTGACAGCAAGTGAGATTCACCACTGCTGTACGACTACTCATACTAATTACTGTATGTCACACTTGTACTGGAGGACTTCTCAGTAAACAAAGAACTACAAGTAGGGTAGGATACAACTTCAGTAGAGATTACGAGTGAGAGAGCGCCAACCTAACGAAAAGAGGACCAGGCAAAGAACTAACCTGTAAGCACTGTGACTGTGGTACAAAAAAAAGCAGTCACATGACGGACTGCCCAGTTATGGAGATTCTGGGCGGCTTAAGAAGGTGCTAGCGGTGATCCTTTTATTTTTCAATGCAACAGGTGTCCAGGGTAGCAGAGTAATACCATAAGGGATGAGAGATTTGACGGATACGATGGAATTTGCCTGCAGTCCCTCTGTGACGTTTTCAGCTCTAGCTCCCTCCTTTGGTGCTACGGCCACACCTGTACAAGTACCGGTACATCGGCCTTCCTCTTGTCTTTCTCTCACCCAATATCCCCGTTTTATGCTGTGAAGGTTCTCCTTTTACGTTCCATGGACCAATTACAAAAAATCCGGAGTCTAGACTAATTGTACTGTAACTCTCACCAATGATAAAGATACAAGAAACGAGGCTTGGCACGGCGACCATATTTGACATGTCCAATAATCTGACGAGATCCAGACTCTGTATTGTGCTTGTCTTACACAACCCCAACTCTGTGATCCCGGAAGCAACGGCTTCTGTAGGCATCCGTACGTACGAATACCGGAACATGCATGCCGTCGTACATTTAAAAAGTACTGGTACTCGTACATACTTGTACATCCTCGTACATTAGCAAGGCGGAGATGGTGGACACTCGGAAACAAGCATACCCGCTAGTAGTTGCCTGTATGAAATGCCCAGGACATCCAGAAGGCTTTAATAGCAACCAGCTATGCCTTTTATCTTCTGCGCTTCGCCCTATAGGCTGAAACCAAGAGGTGGTTCAAGTATGCTTCTCGTTAATCTGTCCACAAACTCTGACACTCACCATGGCCAGCGCCTTTAGGATTCGTCACCTACAATGTTTAACCTAACGAACACTGTATAGTGTTGAATACGAGAAGATGCACGCAGAGTGAAAAAAAAAAACTGCCAAAAAAAAAAAGAGCGAGATCTTCGGACAACGGACGTCGTGGCTAACAATGGCCTGTAGTTCATGGTCTGGAAGTCAGCCTCGTCCCAGTGTCACAATAGTACGATATTATATATCACCCATGGCCGTCTGTCTCACAAAAGTCTCAGACAAGGGAAAACACTACACACAACAAGGCTGTCAAAAACTACCAGCGGCCAATTCACTTGAGTTCATGGAAACCTACACTCTCCGTTAACCGCCGCCGTGTGCGAAAACACAATACCGGATGTACGCACAAGACGTATATACTGTAATATCTTAGTATACGGCGTTTGGTGCGTCTGGAAGGACCTGAAAAACGCTGCCCATGTTATATATCAGCTGTCTGCTCCACAGTACGTAAGTGTCCCAGCCCCTAGATACGTCAAAAGATCAATTAATGCATGCAAGGACTCCGACCCGCCGTAGGTGGTAGTGCTGTCTCTTCACCTCCAGTCAACGGCGGCGGTTACCCCGGTTGTTCCATGGCTTGATTGGGGCTTAATTGGGGCTTAATTGGGGCTTTATTTGGAAAAAGTAGAAGCGGCTTCTTGTAGTGTTTATGTCTACAACATTTGTCCGCGCTGTATCAGTATCAGTAGTGCTTCATTGGTGCATTCTCCAACGGTATCAGTTGGAGTCAAAGATCCACTCAGAAATGAACGTCTCAGTACGATACTGGCCACCTCAACTAGTCAAAGATCCACTCAGAAATGAACGTCTCAGTGCGATACTGGCCACCTCAACTCATGCATTTAACCCACCCGCTGGACTGTTGTCCATGTGTTCTTACATCTTCGCATAATGTCCATCTTGCCGTGCTACTATGCGCCTTCTCTCCAGCTTGCACGAGTTTCATATCGTCCGTACTAGGAACAGTATTGCTTCACTTGTCAGTTTCATCCGGAGTGATTGGACCGACGAGATTGTCTGGCGGCTTGGAATTGCTTTTTCTTGCAGGCCAGATTCAGAATCCTCATGTCCATTCCCATCTCTATTCTCCGTCAACTATAGCTGACGCCCAAGAGTGTTTGCACGATAATGTGGATGTTTATCCCAACGTTCGGCAACCTGCGCTAGCTATAGGATTGCATTCGGCAACGGTTCGGCTTTTTGTTTCTCTGTATTTTTTTCCCGTTCGGATTTCCATCCTTTGTATATCGTCGAGTCTGGGACATGTGACGTCACCAACCACCACGTATTAGAGTTGCAGAGTCACAGGACAAGAAAAAAAACCACAAGAGAGAGAGGAGAGAGAGTCTTAACTTAGGGCCCTCGGTTCGACACCCTTTTGTGCCATCCAATATTTTCACACTCTGATGTCAATCAACAACACACCCAGCACCACCATGGGCCATGGTTTCAAGCCTACTGTTTCAAGCCAAGGAATAGGGGGGGGGGCCAGGCAGGTGAACCCCACATTTTATTACAGAGCCTCCATCTATGCCCCAACGTATGCCTGTGTTCTATGTTTACACCCACCCTTCTATACGAACAAAACGGTCCACACTGCATGCACAAGGTGGCTATTCTAACTGGGTCAAATAGGCAGAGAAGAAAGACGACCGAGTGGCGACGGTCTCCACCATGGTCTTTAGCGAGAGCAAGCCGGCCGAAAGGTTGAAAGGGCCGCTCGCAAACTCGTCGCCGCCTCAAATGTCGTTTTCGCACCCACACGCACACAGCAGTCTCTACCCAACAGCCCCGCTGTCATCCCACCCACCCCCGCTAGCTTAGATCTCTTTGGCCTGGGCCGGTCTAAACCTTGGCCATGCTTTGTAGGAGACCGCTGTTTGCAGTGTCGTCATTCTGCCTCAACTGAAAAGGGATGTTCAGAAAGTCTAATCTAATTTGGCCAGAGCTTATTGCCAGAACTTTAGCAGAGGACTCCCAAAAAAGTTACGCTTTCCTTATAGGCTTATAGGCGGCCACACCACCTCTTCTCTCTTCGTGACGGATAAATACTCTTTACACACCTCTCTGGCACGAAAATCTTTCTCGCCCCACGCCCCTACTCTTGAACACGCCCATACCACGCGGCTTTCGACCCATCAACAAGCTCTGCGACTGACAAACAGCTACAGTCTCACCACTCCATCCCCACAGTCGTGATTACGTCATAGCCATCATCCGACATCCACGAAAACACCACTACACAAGACCACACACAACCACACGAACCCACAACCTCACCCAGCAACATGTCCTCGCCACCACGAAGTAGAGCCGCGTCTAGAGACCCCCCGATCATGCTGTCGTCGTCGACTAAGGCCGGGACCCCCAAATCAGCATCGCGGTCCACGTCGCCCCGACGTGACTCGTCCGACATTGAGCGAATCAGCAAGGAGAAGGTGCTGGTGATGCACCAAGAGGCCCAGCACATGCAGGAATCGCTGGCCGAGATCTTTGACCGCATTGTCAAGGTCAAGGAGGAGTACGAAAAGCTGGATACCGAAAACAAGTTCCTTCAGGACTACATTGGCAACCTCATGGCCACTTCCATGTAATCTGGTGGTATCAACAGGTAAGTCGCGATACAGAGCGGCAAGCACAGTTTCAACCACACCCACACATACACACACACACACACACACACACACACAAACTCACACCGATAACAGCTGCCTCTCAGCGAACCAGAACTGACACAACGCCACTCGTTATGGCCTCCGCATCTATGCTGGCACTTTGCATCTAGCCGCATTGTAATTTATTTGTATATTTTGATCCTGGGGAGCGTACTTTGTAATTGAGCTGTGGAGAGGAGTTGCCACTCAATTGGGGGTGTTGGAGTGGTCGATTTTTCACTCATGCTTACGCTGTCTGTGATATACTCTTGCCCACGGTACTATACGTATGTTTGGCTTTACACTCTGGTCTAACTCCTTTGCGAAAGCTACTTGACAAAGGGGGCTGATAAATGGGATCTATGAAAGGACATTGGCCCACTCTACTTGTAGTAGGCGAGAGAAGGTCAAAAAGAACGACTTTGCCAGCCAGTTTTCCGGGCTGGCAATACATCCTTGTCCTGTGTCCCCAAGCAAGGAATTGTAGTGATAATAGGCCAGACATGGCGATACTTCATTAACTCCATGCATGCCCCTAACCCCTACCTGTCCCCAGTTCTATTTTTACAATCGTCAACATTGCTTGGGGCGGAGTTGGCTTGGGTGTAAAGGGCAGGACTGTACAAGAATAGATGTGGCGGCGATGCACATGTGGACTGTGCTCGCGTCGCATCTATCGTGCTAATAGTGTACCGCCTCACCTAGAACGGCCTGGGCGCAACCACAGCAAACCCCTTGTCTCAATTTTCTCATCTCTTGTCTCACTGTGCGTACCATCTTATCAACGTTGGCAGGGGAACAACAGCCATCAATGTTGCTGTGGAGTGGGGATGGGTGTCAATGGTCAATGGGTGGTGGTAACGGATGGCAATCGTGGATGGATCACTACCCTCCCGTATAATTCACCACAACCATTGTATTTCTTTGAACTTGCACTTTGGTTTCCATCTCTATACTATTGCCTCCCTTAGTCAGCTCTTCAGTACAAGAAGCTTCCACGGTACGAGTTTCACGCACATACGATTCTGGTGCAGCAGCTATCGTACATACAAGTGCCCGGTACGTGGATGTAAAAAAGCACCGCGAGGTTTACTGCTATAAATGGCAAATGGGGCCTGAGCGAATATGGATCCGAGGGCGGATTTGCATGCCGGTCGCCGCTTTCATTTTATTTACTTTTTCACAGCCCTCCTCGAAGACCCTGTCCATCCACCACCACCCCACACCCTTGTCTCGCTTGACATGGACCGGTTTGGAGGTGATGGACATGGATGTACCGGATTTTCGCCCTCAAGCTTCACGCTAACTCCGTGTTTCTCTCGCTCTCCGCTACTTATAGATTGGCTCTGTGTTTGTCCCATTTTTAGCCGTTTGCCTTTTGGCATAGCATAACATTCGGAAGCCTAACGAGACTACCACAGTCGGTCTCCGAGACCAATAACAGCAACAGGCAAGAAAGAGTGCCGAGTGTGAAAAACTAATGGGACTCAAATACACGGCGGTTTTCACGGCGAACCCAAGTCGTAAGCAGTCGCATAAGCAGATGCAACCAACGCAAATCTCAACAGATCTGCACTCTCCCATTCGCCTCGGAGTGTAGCCCAAACCGTGACGTAATGCGTCCAGATTAACTCATCAGAGTTCATACTGTACATACGAGTCCTACTGTAGTGGTTCACGGCTGTGCAGAGGAGGGAAGAGAGCGAAGAGCCGGGTACGTTTAGAATTTATCGCAAGGCGGCGTGATACAAGGCGGCGTGATACAAAGACAGTAGTGGCACATTCTCGTGGTCAGCGGTGGTATCTGACACATCCTTGGTCCTTGTTTAACACGTGGAACATGCTGTCTTATGGACGTCATCAGGCAGCTCACCCTGCCCTCCCCAGCAACCAGTTCATACCCCCCACCTTGGCACCAACTAAATAGTTAACTTCCCGTCCAAGCTAAGTTTGCTTTGGGAGATTGAATTCGACATGGATGCAAGGAGACAGAGCCCGGAATGAAATCAATTAATAGACACACATGACGCACATTCCTGCCAAACCACGCGTTTCATCGTCATTATACACACATGGCTTATACATATATATCTCATAGGGGTACATTAGTGCTATGTAGGGGCCCGAAAAGATCGTGGGAAATTGTACATTGGACCCCTGCCACAGATACCATACTTGTATGACCGTGGTACGACGCTTTGGCAGCAGCTCATCTCTTCAAGCCAGACTATCGGACTGGCACCAGTGTAAGAGAAGAGAGTTAACCACTATTTTTAGCAAGCATCATTCCAACCATGCTCTCTTCGAAGGCAATCTCTGCAAGAATGTGGGCCGTGAAATGGTCGTAGAGCTTGAGACAAGAGACAGGACAGACGGTTAGTGAAAGAGTTAGTGTCTTGATCGTCTTTCTGAACGGTCCTTGTCAGAACGAAGTGGACGGTGGGAACGCTTGTCAGACTCCCGTTCATGCCCCTCACGTCTATCACGTCTATCACGTCTATCGCGGCTGTCACGCTCATCTCTATCTCTGTCGCGATCGTAGTCTCTATCCCTGTCCCGTCTATCTCTGTCAGGCCGTCTGGACCGACCAGGAGACCTATCTCTGTCTCTGTCTCGGCCTGATCTGTGTGAGTCACGTGAATCCCTGTGTGATCTTCTAGAGTCATGTGAGTCGCTATTGTCTCGACTCTCTCTATAATCTCTATCCGATCTGGAACTTCTGTTAGTCCTACTGGACCGAGAGTCTCTGGAGTCACGATCCGAACGATGCGACCTTCTATCTGACTGTCTATCTGCTCCTCTGTCGACAGACCTTTTGTCGTCAGACCTTCTATGCCGGGAATCACGATCAGATCGGCTATCTCTACCAGATCTCCTCTCTTCAGGGTCATAATCCCGCCACTCCCTGCCACCTCCACCTTGTTTTCTCTGCTGCATCTTTCTCACACTTTGGCTGAAATCAACATGAATCCGGTGATCATCAATAAGAACACCCTCCATCTTCAAGTAGGCTCTCTCACAGTCTTCCCGCGTAGTATACTCAATGAACCCATACTGTAACGAGCTACCGGTTACAGGATCCTTGACAATCTGACACCCAGTGATCTCGCCGAACCGGGAGAAAATGAGCTCCAGATCCTCAGCTTCCGTGACAGGATTGAGCTTGCACACAAACAAGACTGTCTCGGAGGGTTTTATCTCAGCAAAAGGCAAATCACCGATGATTTCAAGAGTCAAAGCTTGAGAGGTAGTTTCCGATGGCGCTGCATGGGTTGCCTTGGCTGAATCTGCTTTCGTGATGTTCAATCCAGCCTGTAGCCCAGTGTCTTCCTTGGTACCATCATCGCCAATTACAGAATCTTCCGCAGCATCTTCACCCTCTTCACCAGTTTCCAGGCCCTCTAGAACATGAATGATCTCGATGCTGCCTCCGTTCAGACCCTCTAGTAACTCCGCGCCCTCCACAATGTGTCCCAAGGCATGATCCAGTTTCTCTCCTAGTGAAAAAAGAAGATCTCCACTCTCACTGAATCCAACAGCTCCGACTTCAGAGCTAGAACCACCGTCACGGCCCCCAGAAATACCGCTGCCTCCCCTCAGTGTGCTCAGCACCTTGCCACTCATTTCCAACATGACTCCGTTGAAATCTTCATTTTCGCACAACTCGAGAAACCGAGTGCATTCTTTCACTGCAGCAGTGTCTAGATCAACAACCAGATCGCCTGTGTTAGCACTTGTGTCGGTTGTACCTGTTTCTGGGTCGTACTCACCACTGGTAGTCTCAATCAGTACACTCATTGCGTTATGATGTTTGATGTCAAGTGATGGTGATAAATATTATGCATGCCAAACTCAACACCATCGCCATGCTTGGGAGGTGCATGGTAGCAGTGAAATTGACTTGCGCCAAATGGAGTCTAAGCCATTGTCCGAGAAGGCAGCAAATACTATTCACAATGGGTAGGGATCAAATCGGAAAATTAAATCTGTTTATCATTCAGCGCAGAAGGGTTCAATATTATAGACCACTTGGTTTTGTGTGGCTCCATGTCCAACGCGCTAAAGAGGAAGAACAATGACGAAAGTCACTGTTGGATGCGTGATACTTGTAGACAGTATTATTTTAATGCCTCTCGCAAGCTTGAGAAGAACCAATATGTCCCCGTTGACCTTACGTTGTCCGTTGCCATCATGATTACGTTTATATTACATGCCCTTCCAGTCTTGCCTACTCACCAATCAACCGAACACGCCGCAACCGCTCGGGATTGCCGGTGCTCTGGTAAAAGACAGTGGTAGCAGTCCACAGGTCCATGGGCTGTATCACCTGACATTTAGTTCCCAGCTCATCAAGCTTTTCGACTGTCTTTGCTTCCAAGCCTTCAATTTTGAGACCAGAAAAAAGGAGGTTCTCGTACAACGGCGGTTGCAGATCAATGTCGAGACTCTTGACAAGCTTATAAATAATAGTATGCAAAGGCACCTCGTCGTCGTCATCATGTGAGTCAGCAGAGTGCTCAAATAGCTGGTCCAGGGGCGCAGCCTTTCGAAATTTCACATGACTGGACATAACTCGAGAGTCGTACACAGGGACTATCGTAATCTCAACCGAAGACACATCGATCACAAGAGCAACGTCTGACCGTGCACTGAGCGTCAGACAGAGCGGGGTGGGCGAAAATGCAATTCCTGGACAGTTCAGAAAGCCTGCCTTTCGAGCAACATGCACTCCTTCCCTTGAAAACCGTTCTGATTCGCGAGTGTGTGTATCTCGTGACTGTCTACCATCATTCGAATGTCTTGAGTGGCGACCGTCCCGTGACTGTCTGCCATCACGTGACGACTGTGGAATCTGCTCGTATCCTGTAAATACTAATCTCAACACACGTTTGATCGGATCACTGAGTGGAAACACCGACTCACAGATGATGGCCTTGTGTTTGGACGAGTCCAGCAGTAGAACTGACGAGAATGCATGTCGGATGGTTTTGTGTAAGAAGCTGAGTAACGAGCCAAGGTTGGCGCCAGGCTCTTCTGTGTCTCCTTCAACCTGAGTGGGCCATTGTAACGTGTAGCCGTCGTATGGAATGACATTGGGTCCCCCAACTTGTCCAATTGCTCCGACCACGAGATGCGTTGGGGTGAATTGGAAGATCACCGGTGCTCCGCGGTTGGTGGAGCTGGTGGATGACATTGTGTATGTTAGCTGGTCCTGGTCGCTCTGTCGTGTTTCATTTCGTGTTGTGCATGGAGGCGCATGAGAGTGATGGTTTTAGCTGTGATGGAAAGTGAGTGTGTGAGTTGCAGTAAGTAGTTTAGTTGGGATTTTAGTTGGTACGTGCGAGACAGGAAAACCTTCATCGATTTGGTCTAAAATAACAACCATGATAATCAATCATCATGAAGATGTCGGTAAAATTATCGCTGTGATTTCATCTCTTTAGTATGTTTTGTTATTGTCAATAGAAACAAAATTGGATGTGAACTTGTAGGATTGACTGCGCGCTACATACAGACAGTGAGTAGTTTCAACTCGCGAGCTGGTTCTGATTCAATCAGCACAGCAATTGCTATAAACTACCTTTCGTCCCCACTTCCCCGCAGCCCCTCATCTTTCTTTCATAGGCCCGGCTCTTGTTAGTTCCGTTTCCGACTATTGGTACAGATATTGAACAGGACAATAGAATAGCTACTTGTACTTGTAGTTGTAGAGCACCGATCCACTTGTAGCCAGCCATAGTGTAGCCATCGCTTCAGGTGCTTCTGGGACAGTCATATGGGGTATCTTAGTGGGGTGACAGGGTGTAGATGTCTCAACTCGTCTACAAGCAGACCTTATCAATGTTTGTATTGAGACAATTCGAACAAGCCAAGTCCTGCGAACATATAGAAGCACAGTGTCGCCAAGACCAAGATAGTCAAGATCCGGATTAGTTCCAGCACCTTGTCGTGGCTAGTGTCAGGCTGTATTTTGCTCACAAGTACTAGCGCTCTATATCAACAACCGTACACCACCTGTGCCTTCAAGTTGGCTGTTATTAGAGCTCTTTCTGATCAAGTTGACGCTCTCGAATCTGTCGGAGTCCGGTAAACAGGTGGTTCTATTAATAGTCATCGCCAGTGTCTCTCTCCGCACTTAAATGCACATGTCGTCCGATTGGTGATTGTTCCTGGTGTGTACGTTTGACATGTTTACACTCCTGAAGCATGCGTAGTGAGACAACAAGACAACCGCCGCCATGGACGAGAACAGGGACGAGACAGGGGCCACTGGTGCTATTGGAAATAATATTCCTCAGAGTGGATTTGTTCCAGAATGGACTCCAACGATGCAGACCGACACATTCATGGTTATTTTCCAGTCTCGTTCGACTCGTCTGACTCGGTACAGCAAAAGAGACCTGTCACTCTTCCGCACGATAAGATAAACGCAATCTGTTTCGGGGAACTCAAACCTTTAGGGTGATATAAACCAGTCACTGGAGTACCGTGCCTGTGACCGTTATCGTCAGTGTTTATGCACAATCGGGGTTTCTCTGTTCCTACAGCTGCTCCTACCCGGTTTGATCGGAGCTTCCAGCCGGCTGTATTCAAGTATTGTATTTGACAGTAGTATTTGGTCTCCACTAAAATAAAAAAATTACGCTTTCGAAAACTGTAAAAAGGTGGAGATGGAGACATGAGACGAAAGATACCAACTGTCTGGAGTCACTGTAATAGCTGTCGTACGAGTAGCTGGTGTTGCGAAGGCCATTCGACTACAAGTATGTAGCCGAAAAGTCCAGGAATGAGATGTACCTGCGTTGCGGTTTCTGTATGTACCAGTAAACACACGCTTCATCTATCATACTGTGGCTTGTCTATCAAAACAGTGACAGGGGCACGCGACACGCATCCACATACAGTATTGTACAGCACTACGTACGTTTGTATGCTTTCCTATACTGGTGGTATACTAAGGAAGGTGCCGAACCTTCTATGAGATTCCGTGGTCGGCGAGATGGGAGCTGACAACCGGAGGTCTACTGGTGGTGAGACTAATCAAGTGTCCCGACCCAGCTCTATCGCTAGTGAGCCAGAGCCCCACAAAACCTCCCCTTCCTATCCGGTTTCATCCCGCCCTAAATCGGCCCTTACATTCGTTACATGTCTGGCCACTGGAGAGTTTCTGCACCGCAGTGTTAGCGTGGATTTTAGTTCCCTTTATCGGCTGCTCGTGTGACCCGTTTTGGGGGGCAATAAGCGGGAATAACTGGATGAAAGTGGTATTTTTGGGGTCGTTGAGACGAGGGGGGTATGAATTCTGGCCCAAACTGTCCGAAATATGTATTTCAACCGCTCCATACCACCCTGAATCAGTACTCTATGATGCTCCCACACCTAACTATCTGGATCTTTTTCCCCCCCCAAACAGCGAATAAGCTTAGACTACATAGGCTCGGACTACTTTGCACGATAAAAAAGAGAAAAAATTATATGGTGTCGGTAGTTCCGTCAAATATATATAGACGTGGTAGGTACCTCCCCATTTCTAACCTGCAATCAATGCAACAGACTCCTTTTCAGGCACTCAAACAACTAACATGGACCGGCGACTATGGAGCCTTTGTAGATAATCTCCAAGGGCTACGACAAGGCCAGCATGGAGAAGCCGGGGTGGACGCTCGTTTTGTACTGATGCGTCTGATGAAGATTCTCCCGGCCGAAGATCTCGTGACTCTACGAGGACTGTGCGACGTGGGCGACGACGACGAGGAGGCCACTCTGGCTCTGTTCGAGTCGTATCTCAAGGAAAAGGACGGCAAGGCCCGGTTCTACAGACACAAGATGCTAGAAGTCATGTATAGAAAGCTGGTGGAACCTCACGGACGACTCAACACCCACGCCTTTCTGCTCGTGTACATGTCCTTTGTGCGGCTCGAAATTGAAGATCTTAAGCTGCCCGAGGAGGACAAGGCCGCTCTCATGATGTATCATGTGCCGAGGGTGCTCTATAGACCCCTGGTGCGAGCATTCCCGTATTTGGCGGACAACGTGGACCGAGCTCATCTTGGACCTCCCCGACGAGGCTCGCATGGAAGCATAGAGTCCGCCGAGGTGATTCCGCTCGATTGGGACGGTATTTGTGCGCTTTTCGACACTGAAGCCGTCTCCAGCGTGTTCCCTCTTGGAGCCACTCATCGTGCGTTTGAAGGCGACGTTCTGTCTCTCATTGACGATGATGTTACTGTTCTGTAGAGCAGCAACAATAATTATTTAATTAATGATATCATATTTAATCCATGGACCAATGTTCTGGCGACAATACTTGTTGTTCGGTCTTCACGTTCCTTTGTCTACACATTCTCGTGTTAGTTCGTATGTCTTCGTATGTCTTGGTAAATCGAGGGGCATGCGGCTCAGCGGGAGGTGCCTGTTTATGGGCTCAAAAAATAGAGCTGTGAACCATTTGAAGGTATCTTTTTGATTGTCGAGACGACGTCTACATGCTCGTAGTATTATCGTTTTTTCTAGCCCCCGCTTTAGATCCGAAAATCCTGCTCATTAGTTTTTCGCAGAAACTTCTGCTCCACATTGACTTTGTTGGTCTGGTCCGGCGCTCTTGCAAGCACAAGTACCAAGGAAACAGAAGAGTGAACCGCGAAATTTCCGACCACCTTGGCTAATTTATTTGTTTCCTAGTTGGACATATAGGAGATATGGAGTTCGCGTGAACCTCGACGTACCCTCGGAACTCCTGCCATTCAGCACGACGGGAAACTCCGACAGGAGGATCAACGATAGAGTTAATAATACCGCCTCTGAAATGTCCGCTATCGACAAGTCAACTTTAATATGACTGCGTGAGTGCATACAGTAGATATGTACATCCGCTTAAGCACCAGGCACAGGGGACGGCGTCCGATACTCGTACCGAGAAGATGACATAGGGAAGAAGTATCTGAAGAGACAAAAGAAGGTGGAGGGTATATATGTGAATAGTTCCCGTATGTTGAATACTTGGAGACTTTTGTATTTGTGTGTTTCCATCCAGCTCTTCTCCTTGTAGACTCTTTCAATACTTGTATGTACTGTAGTTTTAAACCCGGCTAAATCCGATCTTCCCCTGTCACACGACCCGACGATCATAACAGCGGCGAGATTCCAGGGGGCGCCGCTAGTGTGATTTTTCGGCACTACTGGCTCCTTGGTATTGGGCACGCGATCAGATGAAATCAACTGCGGTTCCGTGGTTATTTCCCAGTGTTGGACGGTACCTACCGGTACTAGTTACAGTAGCTACTGGATGTGTTTTGTAACAGTAGATACTCTGTTTAACTCAACGGCTATGGTCAGGGTTGGTAAGCAGCACAGTACGAGTATGAACGTCATGAAAAAGGTACGAGTACTTGTTCCCGTACTCGCACCTGGGATGCCAATGTAACACTCGTCGCGTCTCATATCCTTCTCCGCCACCGCCACCAAGACTCAACCACTTATACCTTCCGCTTGCATTCCATATCAAAGTGCATAATAACCATTGAGTGACTCGGGAGATATTGCATTAGTGTGGAGGTTTTTTTTCGGTGCTTTGAGGTTGAGAAAGAGATGACAATGACAAAGAACTGGCGCGTACCCGACATTCCTGATCCAGAGCACGTGTCCACGTGTTTCCATGTGCTCATTGCACACACTTACAGTACAAGTACCGGTATGCAGTGTACTCATACTATCAACGCTCATTTCCAAGACTCGCTGTCTCAATCAGACTCCAAGTTACCTCACCGCAACCAACCTTGGGATGCCCAACAAACAACGAACAGCGCCCATAACAGCTTTTGGGCAAGGTTGGCACTAGCAACCAACAATGCTCGCGTGACGGGAGGAGCGGAATGACAACAGCGGAATCGGGCAAGTGTGGTTTGGACACGTGACCCACCCCTCCCCCTTCTCACTGCTGCTCACCACGTCATCACGCACCACGCACCACCACCTTGGATCTCCATCACTCACCCCATGCAACGTCTCCTTACGCCTGTCTCACTCAGCCGTGTCCCGTTGGCCAATGCGGAGGGAGCTTTTCCACCGTGGCTAGGTTCCACCCTTGTGGTTAGTCGGCCGAAAGTTTAGGTTCGATGCGTGGATGGCAGCCGGCTAACAATGTGCTTGAGAAAGCAAAAAATCAAAGGCAAAAACGCTGCGCAGTGAGAAGTAGAAGATTTGAAAAAAGTAGATATATGATCTGTGCCAGTCTTGTTGCTACAAGATCCGACTCACGACGAGCTCGAACATGAAACCTGTCTGTGTGCTGACGCTACTCCTGGTGGCCCTGGCCGCCGCGTCCTGGATGGCCGACACCTGGGCGCTCATGGACGTGCAACGAACACTGACGCCGGCCAACCGACGCCAAAAACACATTCACGGCTGCCTAAAAAAGGTCAAGACCATCGCCCACAAACACAAGGATGACTCGTGCACCCAGTGCAAGAAGCTGGTGGAGTACGGCCACCGGGTGGCCAAGCAGCAGCCGCATCTGGGTCACGATGTCATCAAGAAGCTGTGCAAGACTTACGCAGACTCCAAGCTGTGCGACAAGTACAATCTGGGCGAGGAGGAGAACGACAACGTCTTCAACATGACCTCAACCATTGTTCGGGTTTTGACGCTCATCGATACCTCCAAGGGATCACTCGATGCGCAATACATCTGTGCAAACCACTTTGATGGCGCCTGTGACGCCCCCAAGACCCCCAAGCACGACCTGGAGAAGCTCAAGTGGTTCAAGCCCCGAAGCGAGAAGGAGATTGAAAAGTACCACCGAAAACTCGCTGAAAACACCGAGCATCTGCCGCCCACTTTCAACGTGGTGCATGTTTCCGATTTCCACCTCGATCTGAGATACACCGTGGGTTCCGAGGCCACTTGCAGTCAGGACATGTGCTGCAATATTGAAAACTTCCATGAAGAAGCGCCTCTAAATGATACTGCTCTTTCTGGACACGTAGTGTTGTCTCCTGCCAGAGAACAGGGAGAGTATCAGTGTGACGCTCCGCGACCTCTGGTTAAGTCGTCGCTGGAACATATCAACAAGACCATCAACGAGGTTGGAGACTTTGTCTTCTCTCTCTTTACCGGAGACATGGTAGCCCACAACGCTCCCGAACACAAGACGCTCAACTATACCCTGGAGTCTGAGCTGGCGGTATACAAGTACATGAAGAATAACATTGGTAACCTGCCTGTTTTCTCGTCACTTGGTAATCACGACTCTTACCCCTTTGGACAGCTGTCCCAGGCCTCTACTCGCCATAAGACTGAAGACTGGAACGCCCAGCTCGCTTCTCAGCTCTGGGAAGAGTACGACTGGGTCAACACCACCCAGGATGAGCTCAGCAACTACGCTGGCTACTCCGTGTCACCATACAAGGGCCTCAAGGTGATTTCGCTCAACTCCAACTACTGGTACAAGACCAATCTGTACAACTACTGGGACATTCGAAACCCTGACACTTCTGGAATGCTGCGATTCTTGTCCGACGAGCTCAAATCTGCCGAGAAGCACGGCCAGAGAGCCTGGATCATCGCCCACATTCCGTCTGGAGGTAACTCCAAGAATGCTGTTCCTTGGGCTGGTGAAGTTTTTGCCACCATCACCGAGAGATTCGACTATGTCGTTGCTGGTGTCTTCTTTGGACACACGCATCAGGACAAGTTCAGCGTGCAGTACCGAAAGAAGCACCCCAGACGTCATAAGCATTCTTACAAGGAGAAGCACGCCATCAATGTGGCCTGGTTGGGTCCGTCTGTGACTCCTATTGACGATCTGAACCCTTCTTGGAGATATTATACCATCAACTCGTCCAACTTTGAAGTTCAGGATGCCCACACTTACTACACAGATCTCAAGAGTCTGGATTACAAGTGGGAGCACCTGTACTCGTCACGAGAGACGTACAACACCTTTGGATGGCCCGAAGAGGCTCCCTTGAACGCCACCTTCTGGCACAGAGTTGCTCATCAGATCAAGGACGATCCTGAGGTGCGACAGCTGTACACTGACCTGGAGGCTCGAAACTCGCCGTTTGAGCGAAAGTGCGACTCCCACAAGTGTATCACCAAGCAGTACTGCTATATCACCAGTTGGACTACTGATCGATACGACAAGTGCCGCAAGATTCTGAAGTAGACTGTGGAGGAGAGATATTTATAGAGCTCGAGAGAGAGAGTATTTATTGATTTGTGTATATTGTTTGTGGAGATTGTAATGGCAGTACAGTAGTTGTTTGATAGGGTAAGTATTACAGTAGGTTAATACTTAGATAAGCACTAGTTGACACTCTACACTAAAGATAAGAGCTTCGAATGTCGGTCATAAAGTGGATGGGACGGGTTGAATTGAAAAATATACTTACATCTTTGTAATCCTAGAGTCGAGCTGTTTCCATAGATGATATTCTGATTTTCTAAAGACAAATAATGACCCACTTGTACCAGTATGTACATGGCTCTCCGGATTAGCATTCTATGCCGGGCTGGGTTCTTACTTCTTTCATAACGCAGACCACCTCTAAGGAGTCCCTCGAATGATAGCCACAAAGCGCCAGAGTGTTCCGAAATCGACGGTGGCAATTTTGGAAGCAATAGAAACTGGTCATGGTCACATGCTCACCAGCGGACCCAGTTCAGTGGCAATATTTCGGACTTGTTTGTCCCGTTGTTCCTTCTCTTGTCTTATTCAAAGCCAAATTCGAGAAGGTCCCAATCGGGAACGGCTGAACTCTAAGCGAGGTACAAAGGATTATAGGGGTGACAATGAGGGAGCTAAAACGGGAAATATTTAAGGAAATTACAGCTTTAAAGGAGTCACATGACATTAAAATGTGTTAATAAAAGTCCTGAACATTCAAAATCCTCTTTTTGGCAGCCATAATCTCCATTTTGGAGGCCACTAATCGTCATATTTGCAAAAGTTTGAGCTTAAAAATATTTTTTCCAATTAGACTTTTTTTTCTGCACTTCTTCTCAAAGGTCGCGTGCCGCACTCCTCCCAGCCATCTATATAAAGGCCTTTTATGCCCCTCTAGAACATCAGAAGCGTCCAGTCTCTGGGTAGTAACATACACAGGACCTCGGAGCCTTCTCGAGAGTGCACGCTCAGTCAGATGTCTGGTTTGCTACCATGATACTGCTGCGGCAGTGTTCAGTCAGCAAGAGCTGTATTCCAAGAGTGATGACGTTCTTTCTCTTTGAAAGTGCATGAGCCTTGAGATGGTCCTTTGGACCCAGCCACCTGGTCAAGTGTTGAAAAATACCACCTTGGAACAATTTACTTTTCCATGAGTCCAGTCGCGAGTTCACCCAGTGTGTCTCCGTGCCTTGTGCCACCAGTTGGTCACATGTGCAGCCGCCAGGTTTTGTGCTTTCATGCCCTGACAACTTTTTTTGCACCGCAAGGTGTCGCAGTAAGAGCCTTGAGCTATACGCCAGGAGCCGTGCAAACAGCAATAAGCGCCTACCAGGTAGGCCATGCTGGACCAGCCCGAGCTGTGAGAGCTACATGCCATGCCTGAGCCATCTGCTAGATGAAGGTCATTGAGAGATAAGTGCAATGCTAAGTCCATGCAATCTCGAGCTAGAGCAAAGTGCCATAGGGCCATGCCTATGCTAACAAAGCAGTGAGTGCCATTGAGCCATGCTACGCCCGAGCAAAGTGCCCAGAGCCATGCCAGTGCGAGCCAGAGCGAGTGAAATACCGCCAGAGCAGCCGGAGCGAGCGAAAGCAGCCCGAGCATACCGCGCTACACGCGTGACAGTGTCGACCCGATCAAAAGGGCCCGCTGTGTGAGGATGTACGCTGTCGAACCTGAACAAGGATGTACACAAGCAGAACCTCATTGTATAGATTGGAGGATTAGGACGAAAGATCCGAACCTCCGGGGATAATACATTATGGACCAAAGAGTCCCTCCCGAATTTTGTGTATTGTAGTAGTTGATAGTATTGGTATGCCAAGTTTAGTTGGAGAGTAGCGACTAACTTAACTACAGCTGAAGGCTTTTCTACGCCAGGAAGAGGAAGTCCTTATACTGAACTGCTCCAGGGATGTCTCCGGCTATTTCAACCACATTGGACTCGTCAGTGTAGTGTGAGCAATTGTTGTATGCGATGTTCTGAAGGCGTTTGACCTCGTGTGACCAATTACACCAGTGGAGTCCGGTTTGGTTCAGAAGCGAGTGAAACTTTCTCTAGCTGTGCACAACTTCAACAGAGTACTGTGAGGTATCCCATAGACACCTTGCACAATCCACTTGCTACTTGCTGTCTCTTGAGCACTCCGAAACGTGATCTCACCTGTTGCTAGCTGCAGCTGGAGCTTCTTCCCTTGAAGTGAGGTTTGTCGAGAGCGGAGACGGCGGTTCTCCGCACACACAGTCGAGTGAAAGAACACGATAGGAACATGCGATTCTCTTACAAGTGCCTGACAGTCTGAAAACATAAGTGGGTTTGGTTGTACTGAAGTTTTCATCCTTCAGAAACTCTTCATGTATCAAATACTCATACTTGTACTCTAGGCAGGGTCCAACGTTATCAACATCATAGAACCTCCTGCATGTCGATCTCCAGTGACTCTTGATGCCTGTGTTTTGCTGCTGAGTAAGTATGTACAGTGTAGTATCTAACATACGTATTCTCTCTATGGAGAACCGGAAATATCGTGCTTTCCAGACTCTCAGGTTGGTGACCATACGGTCCTGTTTGAGACCAAGCGTCTGTTCACTATGCTAGGCGGTAAAAGAACCACTGTCTCAGTTGATCAGCAGATACGACATTCGACTATGACTTTCAGTCTTGAAGCTGGAATGTAGCTCCAGGACTTGTACAATACATCTGATATACCATGTTGGAGATGTCTGTACCGAACAATACTTACACTATTACAACAAATGAACACACATTACTTACAGTATACTAATTATAGTTATAATTAAATGTATGTATATGCAGAAAAAAAATAGTAAATAGCACTTGACAATTTACAAATACAGTACATCAACAAACATTTTTTAGATACAACAATTGACAAATGTCAAACTGCCTATAGAAGAAGAGCGCCAATGGCACCGACAAGAGCAGCGCCGGAAAGAGTGGCGAGGGTGGCTCCATTGACAGCATTCGAGGGGGTGAGGGTGGGGGCGGTAGAGTTGCCTCCAGTGGCGCCGGCGCCAGCAGTGGCAGAGGAAGTGGAGTTAGTGGAGGCGTTAGCAGCCTTACCCCAAACCTGGGCGATCTTGGGCAGAATCTTGTTGCCGGAGGTACCAATGGCGGTCAGATCGGGAACGGGGATGGCAAGAGTGTTGTCCATGAAGTAACCGGGCTCGGAGGCGTTTCGGTACAGACCCTCGGTGGAGACGTTGTGGTTCTGGATCTTGAGCTCATCGGCAACAAACTGGAAGACGTTGGCGTTGACATCGTGTCGTCCAAGATGGGGGAGCTCCCAGTTGGCCTCAACGGTGGCAATGTTGGAGTAATGATCGTAGAAGGTGTTGTCGGTGGTTCCTCGCAGGTGCTCAGGGATGGCTCCACCAAGCAGAACGGCAAAGATGGAGTTGGGCTTCTCGTAGGTCTCGTTCTCATCGAAGGTGATGATGACGAGGTTATCGTTGAAGAAGTCGGTGTTGTTGAGCAGAGGCTTGATCCAGTTGGTCACGTACTGGCCAGAGAAGGAGATATCAGTGTCGTGGCCATCGTTGGTCATGTTGGGGGTGATGAAGGCCCACTGGGGGAGGTCATTGTTCTTGACGTCTTTGTCAAACTCGGTGTAGTTCTTGATGTAACCCAGGTTGTTGGGGTTGGCGACAACGGAGTCGTAGATGATGAGAGGGTTGTGTTTTCGGACGTAGTCAGGAGCGTAGTCGGACTGTCGGGAGTAGTTCATACCCTTGAAGCCAGTGTAAGGCTGGTGCTCCTGGTACTCACCCCAAGAGATGTTCTTGGAGTCGAGCAGGTCGACAACGGTGGACACGTTCTCGGGGACTCGAACAAAGGCATCATCGAAGATACCAAAGTAGTCACCACCAACGGAACCAACGTAGTTGGGCATGGAGGGGTGGGTAAGGGCCCAGTAGTTGGTGAGGGTGATACCCTGCTTCTGGAGCTCGACAAGACCGGGCTCATCCTGAGCCTTCCACTTGTCAGTGTTCTCGAGCCACACCTGGTAGAACTTGTCAAAGACCTTACCCTTGACAACGGGCTTGTCCTTGAACGAGTTGGAGACGGCGGTCTCGGCAGCCTTGGCGATCTCGGTGGCCTTGGGGTCAATGGTAGAGAAAGAGGCGGCTCGGGTGGCCTTGGAAACGATCTCATCGTAGGCAATGTAGTCGTTGGAGGCGGTGGTCTGGGCAGACACACCGGCCACAATGGCAAAGAGGATGGTAGGAGCAAAGAGCATAGCGAGTGTAAGATGTTGCTTGGCCCTTCAGAGGCTAGACTCCCCGGTGTTTATATACATGTTGAAGCGAGGACAAGATCGTGATCCACGTGTTTCAAGACCCCCATCTGTAGAGCTAGTCAGTAGACACTAGGTTGGCCGATTGCCGCTCAGAGGCATTACTAGCGTCGTGAGAAAGGTTGAGACTAACCTTGGAGAAGCTTAGTGGACTTGGCGGTTGGATCTCTCTGGGGGTCATGGCTCAATTATGCCCGTTGATTGGTTCTCACATTGTTAAGCATGGGGAATGAGACAGACACTGAGACCCAGTGAAGTAATAGGCCACGGAAGATCGGGGGTCGAAATATGGCGAGGTTAGAGAAATAAGCCCCTGTTAGCAAATAGAAACTCATATAAGCAGTTCCCTTATGGCAATTATACGAACGAGAGAGGTTGTGGGTCGAACATTTGACTGTCTATGATGTACGGAACGACTTATCCAGTCTTGGCTCGAGTCTGTCGTCGTGCTTGATGGCTTGATGTCATTCTGAGCCCACTATCATCATTTCGCCGAGACAAAGAGTAGAGCCATTTGTTTTCTTGGCCGTCGCTGTCTTGTTCGCAAACACAGGGGTTTCCGGAGCCCAAAGTTTGGTTGGTGCCATAACGGGCCATGTGCGCTTGCACGGCTCCTTTTGAGTAAAGTTAGAGGGGCTCAACAGGTTCAAGATTTGACAGCCATCGCGGCTACGAGTCGGGGCTCTGTGAGCGACTTCTTGTTTGTCGTTCGTTTCTTTTTGTTGTTGACCCAATGCGGGGTCGTATGTTACGACTCGTCATATTGCAAATTTCATCTCATCCCTTGGCATTGCAGCTTGGCTTGGCATGAATCAGTCTTGTCCAAGCGACGTATCTTGGAACCCAAAAGCACACTTAAACCGCACACTAAATAAACGGTATAAATTGGACCCAAAGGGGGCATGTCACTGGCCAATCAGATGGGTTCCAATGTCATGCAGCAGGTTGTGGATGTCGGCGTTGTACTCGTATAGTATGTAAATACGCCTCTACTGAAAGACTACAGTAGGAACTAGCTTAGCTACTTGTGGGTCAACGTCCACAGCGCGTCTACCATGTCTTACGATAACACGTGCTTCGGTGGACACACACTGAGGCCATGTCTTTTCCACACAGATTGTCCATCGAGAAGAATTGCTTTTTTTGCCCTATGCTCAGTCAACAACATTAACCACCCCAAATAAAAGCGCTTTAGTTGCAACACTGTAACTGTGTTTGAAAAGCCGGGGGTGTCGATCAACAAACCATCAGTGGATGGATTATCTTTTTCCGGCACTAATCTCTCGTCTAACTGCAGTTCCTGTGTAACCGCCGTTGTATGCATGTATTACTTGTATTAGTCTAGTCCCTGCGGATATATACTGATGATACTGACCTTTGAACCAGTGACTTTAGCTACAGCGTAGACATGTCTCTACAAGTACTGTAGTTGTAATCACACTCAGATTCAAAGGAGCGTTTTAAGATCAGTAAACATCTATCCTTCTGGGGTTATTGGTTTCGTTCTTCGGAAAATAAACAAGGAGATACAAGTGTACACAGACTTTTCAAGTGGTACAGACACTAGCGGAGCCGCCGATGCAACCAGGCGGAAAATACACACAGCCCACTAAAAAAAAAAATTAGCAGTATTTGTAGATCAGTTCCAGAGGATTCACGGCAGTGGAATAGTTTCGGAAGACTCCAAAAGACTCGAAAATGCAGCCATCATCGTAAACTCAATCACACCATCAGATACCGAGCGTGTCGCACGTGTTTTCAGTACAAGTACCGTACAATTACTCCTACAGTAGTATAAGTAGTCTTTCACGGCGCCCAACCCGTTATAGTCCCGGTGAACTTCGTTTGAACCACAAGGACATGGCGACAAAGAGAGCGGAAAAGAGTGGTGGTAAACAAGGCGTGGTTGTTTCGTTTCGTTCGCCACAAGCACCAATCCGTTTTGGTGCTAATACGGGCTGAATTTGGACGTGAGGGGGAGGTTACGTTATACCGACAGACTCGATATTGGACGTATAGACTGTATGGACTTAGTCGTTGTTGCATCTTTACTACATACTTCATCAGCTAGGACTCTAGACCGATTCCGCATCAAGAATTGGTAAGGGTATAGATTCATCTACAGCAGCTGATCCCATATGGCTATCAGATAAAATCGGTACCAGTCTATGTAAGGCTGCCCGTTAGAGCTGTTACAAGATGATGTTATGTTGAACTACATGCACACTGGACGGTCTGTGAGTACAATGGAAGGTGCAAGTTCTCAATTACATTCTCCGAGTTTGAAATACAACATATTTCTTGTTTTCTGGTCCATATCGCTCGTGCAGACGCAAAGCAATGGTTCAACGGTTAGCCAGCTAATGCAGGCTGTCCACTGACGCACTCATACTTATTGTAAAGTATCAGTACGCTGGTATGCACTTGTGCAGTAGCTAGTGGGTGTGTACACTCTGCTAGTTCGGGTATGTTGGCCTGTAGTTCTTCCAAAGTCGGTTCAAATACGTACTGCGGTGTAATATATCACTCCATCTAGACTCCACCATCTTCTTCTAATCTAATCAATGCATCTATTATTAAATCCTCCACGAAGCCGCTATTTAACATCCACCTTATTAATCAAGTCTCCTCCGATTCGCTTGATCTCGCTAATAATACCCTCCTGGTCAAGAGTCACCTTGGAGCCATCGGGAACGGTGGCGTACTCCAAGTTGACACGGAACTTCCGGGGCTCCTTGGCCTCAGGGAGCCACATTCCGGCAATAACTCCAGAATCCATGGCCAGAACGTCCGAGAAGAAGAGACAGGCTCCAGCATAGGTGTTGGAGATTTCATCGTAGAACCGACGCGCCTCGTTGCAAGAGTTGGCAACCACTCCGTCGTCATTAGGGAAGGTTCCCTTGACAATGGCCTGCAGATTCTTATACTTCGAGGTCTTCTTGGGCACCTGGTCCTTTCGCAGCTTGATGGTAAAGTCGTAGGGAGCCAGAGAGGTGCTGAAGAGCGACTCAAACTGCCCGTCGGTATCGATTACCTGCTTGGCAGCCTTGGCCAGCGCTGTGAGACGACCAGAAAGCATGATTCCGGCCCCCTCGTGCTTGGGAGCAGACCACAGAGCTCCGTCCTCGACCTTGGTTCGGGTGGTGGCCACAAATAAAGGCACTCGAAGAGCAGGGTCCAGGTGACGATGTTTGGCGAAGGCAGCGGTCATCTGCGCATGCACAGCAGAGTCGGTGGTGGTTCCAGTCACGTCCGAAAGATTTTCCTGCACAGCCAGTTCTCGGGAAGGATCGGGATGCACCTCCACATCGAGCAGTAGAGGGTTCTCCTTCCAGTTCCAACGCGCCAGGAACGCAATGACTCGGTTGAAGGCACACGAGATGCTCTGAGGAGGCACGTAGGGTGCCGAAGACACGAAGGGCTGCAGAGCAATGAGCTCCCACAGCTCCTGGGGGAAGGCGGCAGTCATAAAGTGGGCGTCCAGCCAGGCCTTTACCAGTCGCACGGTGGCTCCGTACAGAGGATATCGGGTGGTCATGGTGGTTATGAGCCGGGTGTGGTTAGGGGCGTCATTGAACTGTCGGAAGGCGAGGTGTCGAAGAGCAGCGTTGGCGTTATCTTTGACGAAATGTTTGACCAGCAGTTCGTCAGTCTCGGTGATAATGTGCAGTCTGAATCCGAATCCCTCCGGCGTCAGAACAAGAGCAAACGCTTGCTTGTCGTTGAAACCAACAATGACTCGATATCCCTGGTCTGCCAGCTTCTTTCGCATATCCAGCAAAAAGGCCAGCTTGGTCTTCTCCATAGCCTCAATCTCTTCGGGCCATCGAGACGAGCTCTCAAACTGGACAATTGCGTCGCAGAAAAAGTCGCCGTTGAGCTCGAAGGGCAGAGCAGGCGACACATCGGTCGACCGAAGAGCCGAAGAGGCGGGAAGAATGTTCTTGACCACCAGAGGCAGCTCGATTCGATTGACGGCAGCAGTGAGATTGACAAGAGCCTCGGAGATGAGCTTGGAATGGGCGTCGGTCACCTCCGTGATCATGGTCTGGTAGTTGTCGGAAGACAGGTACAGATCAGCCAGACACGAGGGAGACACATGGTTCTCCAGCACAAACCGAATGATCTGAGAAGTCACGAGTCCTCGACCGTTCCACACGGTGGTCTCCTTAATAGAGCCGTCAGCGAACCGTCGAAGCTCGGCCTTGTCGCCCCAGAAATCTCGGAAAGCTTCACAGGCCTCGGCATCGTCGTTGGCGGGTCCATGAGTGACAGTTCTGTTGCAGTCGGCAGTGAAAAGCAATCCCACAGACACCTCGCCAGTGGTGGAGGTCTCGAACTTGGCATCAATGTCCCAGGCCTGGCCAGTCTCCATGGAGACAGACACACAGGCGACTCGGTCATCCAGACCCTGTTTCAGAACAGCGTAGACATTGTTGGCGAAGAAGTTGCCAAATGACGAGAACTGCACTTTTTTGGATCCAGTGAAAGGATGGCCCTCAATCTCAGTCACGGGGACACGCACAACCTCGTCGAAATACAGCTTGGGCTCGGCAATGTATCGCAGGAACAGGAGTCCAAATCGGTCCACCGTAGTGTCGCTCAGGAGATCAAAGGAAACTCGAGACTCGTGCTTGATGAGATCATATGCCCAGGGCTGGACCTTGGCGATGATGTTCAGACCAGTATCAGAGTCCAGAACACAGGGCAGTCTGGTATCATTGTCTTCAAAGTGAGCGTCGTTGCTGAGCTCAAGGGCTGAAGAGTAAGTCCAGGTCTGCCGGGTCAGATCCTCAATGGCCAGGAACCGTACCACTCCCTTAAACAGCTGGTATGATGAGTATCCGGCATGCAGCTGCTGCTTGGATCTCAGCAGAGCAGCCATGAGCATTCCAAACTCCATGGCTCCAAAACCTCCCTGGCCCACAGCTCCAGAGAAGCCTCTCTGCCTGAGCCACAGGCTTCCCAGACGCCAGGCAGCCACAAAGGCAGGCACGATCTTGGCGGTCTTCTTCAGGAAGCCGAGGTATCGGGTTGTGGTCATGTCTGCAAGGATAGCAGAGTTGTAAAGGGGGGTGGGGGGTTCTTCTCCGTCCTTGGATCGCAGACAATTTCGGCCAGGGGCCAGTTTCTTGGTGTCAAAGACATCCTCTTCGATGACGGGAAGAATTCGAATGTAGAAGGGCGACTTAGGGCCGAAATCGGTATCGCTTTTGTTGATTCCTCGAAGCACAACCACAGGCCGAATATCGTCATCCAGAGTCTCGTAAGACACGCTGCAGTCGAGCTCCTTTTTCAGAGCAGCAGCCAGAACAGTCAGATAAAAGGCCCTTTTGTGAAGGTACCGGTTGTTGAGGAAGTCCTTTTCCTGAAACAATTCTCGAGGCATAGTGACGGAAACATCCACAGCCACACGCTCCTTTCCAGGCAGTCGGTTGACACTACCCAGAGCAAAAGATCCCACCACATTCACATCTGAAGGCTTGGCAAAAGCAAATTTGTACTGAGTCTTGTCACTGGGTCGGTTCCAGGGGATCTCCACCTGCTGGGAAGAAGCCCACTTGCTAGCTCTGGACACATCGAAGGGACCAGCCTTGGGGATCTCGGCGATGATCGAATGGACCCGATGGAGCATTTTGCCAATTCGCTTGGTGTGTTTCTCATCCACGTCCAGCTCCTTTAGCAGCTCGTCAATCTGCATCTTGAAGATGTTACTCTTGAAGAGTTCAGCAGCCTCCTTTGCAGCCTTGATTTCCGCTGCAGAAAGCTGCAATTTGGCCTTCTTTTTCGACACTCGGCCTGGTTTCTCCTCGTGTTCATTGTCCGAGATCTCCTCCTCCTTGTCCGAGAACTTGTCTTCGTCTGAGTCGTCATCAGCCCCGGAATCGTCTTCGGAATCGTCCTCTGAGTCGTCGTCTTCGCTCTCCAGGTCGGCGAGAGAGGTGATTTCGGGCTTGGCCTCGGATTTCACCTTTTTACTCTGGCTCTCATGCTGAGAAGCCTTGGATAGAGGTCGCTTGACTCCCATGATTGTGTTGTGTAGTATGCGTTTGAAAATAATCCATATCATGCATGAAATAATTTTTATAAGGTTCGGGTTAGGGAGTAAGCCCAAGACTTGAAACGTGACGGGCTGAGATTGATCTTGCAATGGAGAGGCAACGAAGCGACGAGACGGAATTTCTTTGGGGCTCTTGGTGTGCTTAGTCAGTATACTGGTCTCATTTTCTCACTTTTCATACACACACACACACACACACACACACACACACACACACAAGAAAAGACACTGACACGTCTCGAACTGGGGATGTCCCCATACAGAGTTTAAACAATTCTTTCCACTAAATAGTTCCATACTTAGTCCACACAGTTGAAGACATGGAACTCTATTTGTGGGTCCCCTCATATCACTCAAGGAGACATTTAGGAGACAGTTAAAAGTGTTCCATACAAGTAATAGCTATCAATGTATATATTTGTCTCTGTTTTATCCCGTCTGTATTTCCCCCTCTTCACCCCACCTCTTGTTACTACAACCACCATCGTTTGCCACCCCAGTTTAACTTCAGCCCACATCACATCAATCAACCCACATAGAGTCAAGACATGACACCAAAACCTCCTCCAACAAAACACAACTCAGCACAACACACCACCACAACCATGAAGCTACATACAGTCACGTCTCTGGGGGAGTTTGACAAGGTGCTCAAGTCCGAGCTAGTCATTGTCGATTTCTTCGCAGAATGGTGCGGACCCTGCAAGGTGATTTCACCCTTTGTCGAGACCCTCCAGTCCGACTACAACCAGGTGCTATTTGCAAAGGTCGACGTGGATCAGGGCAAGGACATTGCTGCCAAGTACACCGTGTCTTCCATGCCCACTTTTGTGTACTTCCACAAGGGCAAGGAGGTCAATCGGGTCGTTGGAGCTGACAGAGCCGGAATTACTACTGGTCTAGATCAGTTGGTTTCCCTGAACCCTGCAGCCGTCAAGTCCCTTCCTGGAGCAGGAGGCGCCGACTCTGAGGATGCTGGCTCCACTGTCAACTCGGCTGACAACTCTGCCATCGCAGCTTTTGTGCCCAAGAACATGGAGATTCTCAACTCTGGTATTGACTTCACCTCGACCGAGGCTCTCAACATTGCAAACAACGGCGACGTGCGAAACGTGCTGACCAACGGGCTGTCGGGCGATCAGGAGTTTGTCTCCGATACAGACTCGCAGATGCTGCTCAACGTGCAGCTGCAGAACAACGCCAAGATCCAGACGATTCTGCTCAAGAAGCCCGCCGTCAGTGGTGACAACCAGATCCCCTCGCATATCAAGGTGTGGGCCAACCATCCCAACCTGTCGTTCGACGACACCCAGTCGATCGAGGCCCAGCATGTCGGAGATGTGGTTTTTGATGGTGAGTGGGCCGAGATCAAGCTCAGATACGTGCGGTTCCAGAACGTGTCGACCATCTCCATGCTCATTGAGGGAGAGGACGAGGACGAGTGCACTAATTTGGATAGAGTGGTGCTCATTGGATCAAGCGGCGAGGCTCGAAGCGGAAAGCTCGAGAAGATGCAGGATTAGGCGGCATGGTGAATGGGTTTGAACCAGTTAATGTATATCGAGTATGTGCGACCCAAGCACATTGGTTAATGACATCGTAGATGTATCGTAGATGATTGTATGGTGTTGGTGTAGCTAGTATATACTATAGATGTTGAAACTGTACAGAGCCATGAGACAGTTATGACATATCGAAGCATGTCTGGAAAGCAAAGTAGAGAACTATTAACGAGTAGCTGAATCTCAATTGAATCATCGACTGGTAGCATTATACAATACAAGTACCAACTACTTAGACTGAAATCTTTAATCATCTCACTCTCTCCTCTAATAAATACTATATACAATATTCTGTTGTCCTTTGACAAGTTTTCACCCCTCTACTCCCAAGTAAACCTCTCCCCTGAGGAAACGCCTTCCAGTTCTGTCTGAGAGTCGTGAGTAGGACATCCCTTACACTGACAGCCGTCTCCACAACCGCACTGGCCAGGAATCGAACATGTGGGTGCAAAGTACATGTCGAAGAACTCCTCTGGCGTGAGTCTGTCTTCCGGCCCCGAGTCTGCCGAAACATGAGGCTGGGCAGGCTCCTGGGGTGTCTCTCCTTTCCACATTTGCGAGAACGACGGGTCGATTTGGCCAAGCATGGGCGAATTGGCGTTGGTCTGGGACATTTGGATCTGTACCTCCTGGTTTGGGGTCTGAACCTGGGTCTGAACCTGTGGCATAGTCTGTGCTTGCGTCATAACCTGAACATTTTGGCCCTGAGGAACTCCCTGTGCCATGCTCTGTCCTTGAACACCCTGAGGAATGCTCTGACCCGGAAGACTCTGGCCTGGAAGACTCTGGCCTGGAAGACTCTGGCCTGGAAGACCCAGCTGAATACCATGTCCGTGTCCATTCACCCCATTCATACCGTGACCCTCAGACTGAACCTGGACTGTATGGCCAGCATAGTATGCCGAGTTGTACATGTACGACGGCTGCTGGTAATAACTGTTGTAGTGGTACCCGTTGACCTGTCCCTGGGTCTGACCCTGGCCCTGTATCACACCCGGTCCCTGGTAAATGGTGTTGACTCCAGGCAGAGCTTGTGTCGAGTTTTGGCTGTGGTTGATATGTGCAGCAGCAGGACTGGGGTTCATGGGGCTACTGCTGTTCACGTGACTATTATTACCCACATGACTGCTGGCCACATGCCCTCCATTTCCATGCATACGACTCGGAAGACTCTCCTCTTCCTTCTTGACCTTATTCCCACTGCAGCATCCGTTAGAAGCCGGCTTCTCCTCCTTACTGCAACAGGACGACTTCTGCTTCAGTCTGTCAAAGTACTCTTCGGGCTCCAGGCCTGAGGCAGCACATGTGCAGTTTCCGCTGGGATTCTCCTTGAGAAACTGGTTCACTGGCGTGTCCAACACAGTCACCTTTCCGTTTGAAGTGTCGATAATCTTTTTGGAGTGCGCTCCGATTCGAATGATTCCCACACTCTTGGTGGTCTTCTTGAGCGCCGAACTGCCAGGCTTTTTGTCCTCCTCCTTGATTCCAGCCACCGAGTGCTCGGGAACAAGCACAGCAGTCATTCCACACGAGCAGGTGGGCTCGGCGATAACTGCGAGACGGTGTTGACAGGCATGGTTTGGCCGTCCTCTTCTTCGAACTTGCACCAGAGGTCGGTTAGTATGGTCACAGGTGGAACTCCGATGACCGCGGATGCAGTTGAGACACGCGTACTTTTCGCCCTGGACGAGAATCATGTTGGTTGAGTGTGTCTAAAGACGTGATAGTTCGTGTACTATCATTAGTTTGGAGAGGAAGAGATATTGGAGTCGGAAAAGTTTATTGTAAATAAGGTTGCCTCACTCGGAAATGCATGACAAAGGCGGAGATTCTCTAGTCAAGTAGACACTGGGCATAGATAAGGTTGGGGGGATACGGGAGATGAGCAGGGACGACGAACTCACGTGACAGCTAAACTAGGGGACCTTTTCCTAGTCGGGCGCCTCATTTAGGAGCCCCATCAGCCTCCCCCTACCTCCCAAACCACCTCTCGTCTCGACAAACCTAAATAACAAGCAATCCTGCATCCGTGAGCAAATTGAACGTCACGTGACCAAATATGCAGGTGGCGGTATACAGGGTGATTAGTGATCGGTGTGATAGGGTCATGTGACGTCCAACGGCGAAATCACGTGAATCGGGACCAGGGGGGAGCCTGCTGGGCCAGTTATGGTCACGTGACGTACCTGCATAATCCATGCGTTGAGTGAAGGGATGGGGGATGCTAGAGGCTGGAGGTGTGGTTTTCCAGTATTGCGGGGATCTGGGTAGATGGTTGTAAACCCTGGATCGAGAGGATCACGATGAGCTTTTCCAGTGTCAAAATCGTCTCTCTGTCAAGTTTTAGTCAAGTTTTAAACAAGTTTTAGACAATTTTAGACAATTTTAGAAAAGTTTTCAGGTTCATGTCATCGGGCCATCATAAATACAAGTATTCGTACAAGTATTCGTCGGAGACTGGATAACTTCTCGAGGTTGAGCAATTGGTGAGATCCAATCATGTCTACAAGTACTCGACTTCCTCCTGTTGGTGCCCACCTTGGCTCTTTGTTTCCGTGATCTCCATTTGGACATGCAATATGACATCCGTATGTCTTGTCTAACAAGCGTTTATATGAGATTGCGTTAGCACGATCCCATGCATTGTTAGCGCCAACTTCAGACAATAGCTGTCATCGAGATACAAGTCCAAGTAGACCTGCTCAATGGTACAAGTACTGTAGAGTGGATCTCTCATTTCGAGTGCGTTAGCGTGCTCTTCTAAGCCATTTGAAACGCGGTCCGCATAGACAGAGAGGTGGAGGTAGAGTGGCGCCTCAACGATCAGAAAACGCGACAGTTGTAGGTACAAGTCGCTACACCCGAGTCTGGCGCATCTTGTGAAATACCCTACAATGTTGTTATCGGCGCTCCTGTCTCTTTAATCATGTATTGACCCTTATCAACGCAATCTACAGATGTAAAGAAGCGGTACCTGGCTGAAACAATCAGTTTGTACTTAGCGGTACTTGCACCGTAAATGTCCGCTCTGCTTGTTTTGGTACTGTAGGTAAAACAGCTAGGGGTGCCGGATACGACCTAAAGGCCCTTATTTCAGCCGACACGGTTCTGTTTTTTGTTTAATTACCTCCAACTCAAACGGACGTTCCATCCATTCCAACAATAGGCGGATACTTGTGTCTAACTGTGATGTTAAAGGGCCCGCGCAACTCTGTATCTATCTTCTATTGTTCGCGGCACGAGGTATAGTTACTTAGAGTACCATAGACACGATATCCACGCAGGCTCGAACGGCATTAGATTTCATATGGGCTGTTTTTGGTTTCTCCAAATGAAATTTCACGTGGAGCAAGAGTCAGTCTGATTGTGAGAGGCATGCATCGCCGTTCGAGAGCGGCTCAGACTGTTGTCGTAGCGACAGTCGGCCTCGATACCATTTAGTGGTATATTGCTCGCGATTCAAAAGGCCCGAAATGCCGTCATGTCTTGGACCTTTGTTTCCCAAACCAGTATATTCGCTGCTTCTGTTGCTTTTAGTGTCTCATGACAATGCGATAATTTGTTTCAGTTTGGCCAAAGTGAAATATACACAAAATTAAAACACAAAAAACAAAAAACAAAAAACAAAAAAAACCGAACCGAAAAAACCAAGTCCACCGGTAGCCACAGAAAAAAGTCTGAAAATCGTTGCTCAGATCGCTCCCATGCCGTGCCAGCCCTGGTTTTGTGTTTCCACACACGAGGCTCACGTTCCGGAACGAGTACAGTAGTGCCAAATCTGATGGGGGTTAGCTGAATGTTGAGAGCAGAGTAAAAAGCCGAGTGAGCATGTAGGAGAGCCGAGTGACAGTGGCAGGCATTAATATCTCATCCAACAGACCAGGAAAGACGACATATCGAGGCATTATAGGCGGATCACTCCACCCAACAACTGTTCGTCTCTGTGAAACCTCTCTGGACCCCACTGCTTGTGGTACAATACGAGTGCTGCACTTTTCACTTTCATCCTTGGACACGCCATAAACAGTTTAATCACCGCACCTGTCCAAATCAACGCCCAACAGCAATAACAGGCCTTTTATGAGATCTCCGTTAATATCTCATTGTTATCTGTCATTGACTCAACAAGCCCGCGGTGTTTACTTATGCTACCCCGTATATCTCAGGTGAGAGTCTACTTGTACTGAATCGTACATACGAGCGTTTGGATTCTACAGGGTGGGCCTATAGGTGTTCAAATATGGTCAGTGTTCACATAAGCCCGAGAGAGGGCCCCCAGTTTGTTGCCAAAGAGGAGTCACCAGTCGTCCCTCACAGATACAAACACGTGCAAAGTCCCTCAGCCGGGGCTAGAAACGGACACTTTTCACGCCCATTTGCTGTGTATATGAAAGGCAATCTAGCATACGCGCTCGTAACAAGAGACTTCATTTCGGATATTGAGGGCAAGTGTCTTGGATAGCTGTACTAATGTGGATGGTAAATGAGGTAGGAGTTATGGAGATCAACTCGATTGGGGTGTGAGGTGTCTGATTAGGGAGAGGCGGGAGGGGTCAGAGATGAGAGTTTGGATCTTAACGGGTTTACTTGGCAGGTGCCAACTGGAGCGATCGAATTCGTAACAAATTCATCGCTGCAATTATTGTAGCTATCGAAGGGAACAACCGGTATAATAGGAAACTGATAATATCAAAATACAGGAAATTGCCCGGAAATTACGAACGTGTTAAAATATCATCAAAAAATCTGCAAACCACCCAATAATATCATCACGTAAGATTCCATCACGATAGGAGCAAAAGTCTCTCAAGTGACCATTGTTTCTTCTTAGACCAAATAAAATGAGACCTCTTGATGAGAAATATTGTCATGGATATCCCAACATCAAGAGTATCTTTCTACAATACACACGTCAGCCATAACAAGCATTTCATATTCATTAACAAATTACAACTATCTCAACTCACATTACTTATCAACCCTACTTACCCGCCATGACTGAATCTAAGGTTCCATGTTCACGTGAGCGAAAAGAGCAGATCGGGCGGCATCCCCTAGGTGTTTAATAGTGGTGCCTAGAGTGGATTGAATAGAGATCTGAAAATTGGATATAAGATAAAATGGCCATTGGAGTATAAATCCGCTACTACGCCTCCTAAAAAGTCCCCATGACAGTTCCAAGATACTCATATACCATTTCCCCCAAAGGTTACCCTACCTCAACATAAAGTTTTACCGTGGGTACAGTGAAAAATGATATCTCAAATTACCACCAGCAGTATCACAAACACCACACACATCATGTCGGACATTGAAGATAAGAAGGTGGAGAGTCTGGACTTCGACCCCTCTCTCAAGAAGAAGAAGAAGAAGAGCAAGCCTGCATTTGTGGAGGATGACGAGGTCTCCGAGGTTGCCGACAAGCTGGACGATCTCAAGACCTCTGCTGCCGCTGACGATGTGGACGAGTTTGATTTCAAGAAGAAGAAGAAGAAGAAGAAGGCCCCTAGCGCTCTGTCCGAGTTCGACGAGGAGCTGGAGAAGGCTGGTGTCGACGAGGACCCCGTTGCCTCTGGAGAGAAGGTCACCTACACTCTTGACGGAGAGAAGGAGTTCACATACCCCGAGCTCCTGAGCCGATTTTTCGACATTCTGCGGGAGAACAACCCCGAGCTGGCCGGCGACCGGTCGTCCAAGTACAAGATTCCTCCTCCTCAGCTGCTGCGAGACGGAAAGAAGTCGATTTTCGCCAACATTCAGGAAATCGCCTCCAAGATGCACAGATCTCCCGAGCACGTGGCCATGTTCATTTTCGCCGAGTTGGGTACCTCCGGATCCACCGACGGAAACGATCGACTTGTCATCAAGGGTCGATTCCAGCAAAAGGGTATGGAGACCGTTCTCAGACGGTACATTGTGGACTACGTGTCTTGCGCCACTTGCAAGTCCGTTAACACCCGACTCACCAAGGAGAACCGACTCACCTTCCTGGACTGTAACTCGTGTGGATCCCGACGATCCGTCTCGTCCATCAAGACCGGTTACTCTGCCCAGATCGGACGACGAAAGAAGATGTAGACGACCCGTCTACACAGATAGAAAAAAGGAGAATGAATGGATTATTGATATTGCAAAGAACAGAAGCCGGATTCAAGGACCATTTGACAAGACCATGACCTTTTTATTTGTGTGCCAAAGAACTGGGTTTACAGGATGTGTCCGGGTTGCGGGATGCAACAGTAGAACCCAGCTCGAATTGTAGATAGACGCGTGTAGCGTTACTGAGACGTGACTTTTGACTCGAGCCATTGAGTGACTGTGACTTCCAGAACCGACTCTTGTAATAATTCTCAGTGTAGACCTTCATGTACCTGGAGATGTATCATACACTCACTATAGGTTTGGTTACAGTACGACCGTTACAGCGTATCATCTCCTAGAGAAGTGCAATATTGCAATTCAGGAGTTTCCAAGCGTCCAATGATACTGTTCTTGGAGCCACAGGGACCCCGCCAACCATACTAATCATGTATGCTAGGACGATGACGCTACCGCTCTACCACCATCCATTCATATTCTCATGTAATTACATAATGCCATTCAAGCTCATAATGATCAATGAGCTGAAGTGTACCCAAAGGATTCGCCCGACATTATACGCGGCGCATGCATGCTGTTAAGGCGGTCAGATACGCCTACCTCAAGCAACTATACACCCTTGCAACGCCGTCACTGGCACAGGTGGCAATATGGCCCTTCCATATCGACCCTTCCTTTCCAGCTGTCCATGTGACACTGGATGCTGTGGCCGGCGAATTGCAGGCAATCTGCTCTACCGGCTCCGTGGCTCCCACGGTCCAGATCTTGACTCCCAATGAAGCTCCCACAGACGCGAACATCTCTCCCGATGCTGGGTCGACACTGATGGACGACACAGCACCCTTATGGGCATCCACCTGCCACACCAGCCGTCCAGCTAGATCAAATGCTCGGATAACGCCGTCTCGGAAACCTGCCAGCAGCGTGAGCTCCTGGGTGGACGCGTGGGCTCCTCCTACCATGGCCAGACATGTGACGCCGTTGTCCTCGCTGTTGTATGCGTCTTCAATCTTGTGGGTGACGAGTCCACTGCCCACGTCAATGAGGTAAATGTGAGCGTTCTCGTAGCCAACCACCAGCTTCGTGCCATCCTTGTACAGCAGTACCGACGATGCCGACACAGGCTTGTTGGCAAACGTGTCTTCCGACAGATCGCTGTTTTCGTCCTGAGTGGCACGCTTGGGACCCTCAATGGAATGGAGCATGTCGTTGGTCTTGATACTCCAGATCTTGGTGGTGCCGTCGGTGGAGGAAGACACCAGCACAAAGTTGTCTTCGCTCACGTCCAGAGCCACAATGCCCTCTTTGTGCGCGTTGATGTGGAACAGCTCCGTAACCAAGTCCGACTGCCAAAAGCGCACCTTTTTGTCCACGCCGGCGGAGTAGAACATGCCCGACGACTCCGACGCCACCACGGAGGTGACTGTGCCCACGTGACCGGTGTACGTGCTATGCGACTTGGACTCGTGTTTTTTGGCCTTCTCCAAACTCCATCGCTTGATGAGACCGTCTTCCGAGGCGGTCAACAAGGCGGTGGACGACTCGAATGACGACATGTTCAACGCGTTGTTGCCAGTGAGCTCGTGCTGCAGTTTCCAACTGGATGTAGCGGAAGCATCTCCGTTTTGTGCTTGTGACACTGCTTGTGCCTGAACTGACTGTGCTTGCGTTTGTGTTGTGGGCTGAGTCTGTGGTTGTGACTGCGAATGTGTCGTGGGTTGTGTTTGTGGCTGCGAGTGTGTCGTGGGTTGTGTCAGTTGTTGAGGCTGCTCTTGGACAGGAACACGAGGCACTTCTCGAATGTCGCGGGTGTCTCGCACGGCCTCTCTAGCAGCGGCCTCCCTGTCCTTGGCATCCACATCCACATCGACAACATCAGGATGAAGCAGATACGAAACCTCCTCCAGACACTTGGAGAGATACTGCTGGCCCTCGACGAGTGGAGACGTGTCCAATGGTGGCAATTTGGGCACCTTGGCGTCCTCGCTCTTCAGCGCCTCCATGAGCATTTTGATTTCCTTCTCCTGGCTGGAATTGTGCGCCTTCAGCGACTTGTTTTCGCCCTCCAAGCGAGCTATGCGTGCCTTTGTGTTAGCTCAACGATTCTCGTTCCATCCCACCGCTCGTGTCGGCCAAAAGCCCCTCTTTCTCTCCGCAACTCACCTTCATTTCCGCCCTCTCCAGCTCCCATTGTATTCTGTCCTTTTCGTTCCGCTGCCATTCGCGTTGTAGATACTTCATGACCCCTGTGTTAGTGGTGGGCGTTAAAAAAATGCGGAACGTGGATTTGTACTCACCTGGAAGAGTGTACTCTCCCATGGGCGGGGTTGATGACGCCATGCTGGTGATGATGGGTTGTGTGTCTGGGTGGTGTGTGGACACTACAAGGTGTCTTCTAGTCGTACGTATCAGAAGGACAGTTTGATGACCTCGCATATTACTAAACTGAAATAGGGTTTGCGCTTGTGGGGGGTGCACGGAGGACCCGGACGCGTGTTCGATTCCCAACATGGCTGAATTAAACGAGATTGTTAGCTTGCACAATGAAAAATAAAACAGGATACTGTACTTACTTGACTCCAACTTGTTCCAGTACAAGGATAGAACAAATATAGATGGTAGTTCTCCGAATGACTAATCAGACTATAAAAGACGCACACAAACACCTCTCTTATCTCCACGGAAATATCGGCTGGTACATGTACTGGTGTACAATACAAACGAATCTGTCTGTTTCTGGAGACCTTATGATGACATATGTGGAGGAGGTGTCATCTGACAGACACCCCGGTTCAGTGTTGTTTCAGTCAAGTTTTCTTCTGGTTGGATCTGGGTGTAAAATTCCTGTAAAATTCCTTCCATAGCCATTCTACAGTATGTACTATTGTAATTCAGACTATCGTGAGACAATATTGTTAAGGATCGGTTAGTGAAGGGTATCTTATGGAGATAGATACTTAGTCAAGCTTAACTAGTCAATTAAAATACATGACACATTTTACTTGATTTTACTCGGAACATATCGTACTGGCAGATAACACGCCGCCACCTGGTCTACACCACTAAATGTACAAGTACCCACACCAATCCTATATTACATTATTAATAATGGCAGTTACGCCACTTGTTAGCCTCTTGGGTACTGACTGTCTTCGATCCCGGACACAGATCAACATTTCATACCGTCTATACGCACAGCTGCGAACCAGCCGAACGTTGCAAATACTTGTAGCACACGTCAGTGCGCGGCTACTTGGTATTCTCCACCACCTTTCGCAGGGGCATGGCCCAGCTGCTGCTTCCGCTCTGTCGCAGCATGAACTGCACCAGCAGCTCCTTGGCGGTGCTGCCCTTGCCCTCATCTGCCAGGACCAGAGCATGGGACGCGATATCACGACACTCCTGGTCCAGACCGGGCAGAAGCTTTCGCAGCTTGACGCAGTAGTGGTCAAACTCGCGCTCGGGCAGCCCGTTGTCCTTCTTGAGCACCTTTTCCATCTGTGCCACCAGATCAGCCTCGGACACGTTGGTCTCGATGGCGTGCTCCTCCGGCTCAGCAGACACTCGCTTGGTCTCTCCGCTGGCCTTTCGGCTCCGGGGGACTCCGATGGGAGGAGGAGGTGGCAAAGAAGCCGAGCTGCTGAGGTTGGTGACTGACGTGTTAGCAGACACAGAGGCCGACGAGCCGCCTAGGGAGGTGTTGGAAGTGTTGGAGCGCGAGTAGATGGGCTTGGAGAACATGTTGAGATCCAGATCATTATATCCGGCGCCCTTGTACTGGGTCTGTGACGATTCGACCATGTTTAGAACTGTAGCAATGTGATATGTAAGAGACTATATGTATGTGCTTATTGGATCAAGATGGTGACGTGTTGGCAACACGAGTGACCGTGCATGAGCCAAAAAGGTTAATATTGGAGTGACGTTTTTTTTGGAGTCAGAAACAAGACTGCAGCAAAATCAGAATATACGTTGGTGGAGGTGTGAAAAACACGTATCTGTGGGATCAGAATAAATAGCTGTTCGATTCCGAGCCGGAGTAATTATTTTCGGTGATATGTGGCGAATTTGGGCTTCCACATTAGCGTTACATTGTTGTGGATAATGTATAATGTCCCTGCTTATATTGTGAGCTTATTTGGGCGGTGTGGAATATTTATAATTATTTAATTAAAGGAAAATTAAATTCGTCAATATATGGCCGGAAATTCAATTCCAAAAATAAAAATAAAAATAAAAATAAAAATAAAAATAAAAATAAAAATAAAAATAAAACCAAAGAAAAACATAGTACCAAAAATGGCACCATCGGAGAACAGAAAAAAATCACGCCACGTTGACGCCTAAATCTGCTAATTTAGCCACGCCTCAGAGTGCTTCTCGAACCCAACGCACGCCAATTTAAACCGGTTGATGGCGGGTAGAAGGGGTTACGAGCCTCACAATTGCCCTAAATAGTCTGTGAATATTGCTTTTTTTTGAATTTTTTTGAATTTTTTTGATCTAAAACAGGAAGCGAGTCCCATTGCAGATAGAACCTCCGAGGACTGGGGATGCTAATGTATGGTTGGGTCAACTGTAGTCCATGGGCGAAATTAGCTGGAATATTGGACAGATTCGGGCGTAGAAAAAAGGAACCAACAATATCCAAACAATGCCGTGAGAATGGACTCCAGCTTAGATCATTTCACTGGAGAGTGTACTTGTAGTTCGAGTACGAACTCGAGTACGAACTCGAACTCGAACTCGAACTCGAACTCGTACTCGTAGTAGGTAATGTCTGACAGTTGTATCTGAGACATTGGTGTGAGATTCCTGGACGTCACTCAGAATCATTATTCACACCACTGATACGAAACGGACCACAGACTTGGCACGAACAGTGCGATTCACGGATACCAAACACGGTGTTGAATGGGCAAGTGGGCCTGACTGCAGATATCAGAAGAGCTACAAGTAGCTCGAAGAAAGATGATGACTGTTGTGGCCTGAAAGACAGATTGCAAGCAGGGACCGGGTCTGCCAAAAGTGACCGACAAAGAACGATATCTGCTACGGTACGGCACGTCCAGTACAAGAACGTACATATCGGTACCAATACGGTAGCTGCTAAACTAGCTGCGGTTGACAGCTCCAGCTGTCGCTACAAGTCCGTGCGTGGTGATGTTGGAGGGCTGGGAGGTGTCTGATTGAAGCGGGAATGGTCTCAGACGTCAGATTTAGCGGTTATTTGGGGCTATGTCGATGGGTCCAGGGGTTCAAGATTGTCAGTAACTGTGAATATCGGCCTACTTGCTCCTAGACAAGTTCCGCGTCTCTACGCCGCCGTTGGTGTTGGTGACAGCAGCTATCAGTAGCTCTTCTTGGCGTCTCCGACCCTTCCCCAGCAGCTCCGATACTGGGCCCGACTAAAAGTGCTGATCGGACCATCTGACGTCGATTGACACCTGTGGCTAATTTGGGAGATGAGCCTTAGTGGTAGCAGGAGTTGGCGAGCGAGCTACTTATAGTGGCTTGTCTAGAATACGGTCCAAGTCGGGTCCGAACATGAACGAGGGGCCAGAAGAGAACAAGAAGAGATGAAGAGCATTAGACAAATGTCAGGGGAGCTTTCACTTCAAGTCAAAGCCAAAAGAATGCGGGCCTAGGGCTCGGCGGATCTCACACCAACACCCAGTCTTGGCAGACGTTTGTGGGGCTAGAAACGGCCCGTGATCGTGGGTGTCGTATCGGTGACACAAGTCTTCGTTCCGTGGGGGAGGGGAGCCACGAGAAAGCGGAATACGAGGACGATACGTCTGAGAATGGCGACGGATTGACGGATTGACGGATTGACGGTTGTTGGCATAATGTGACGTTGGCGACATTTTGACAGCTGACGGCTGGCATTGACAGGACAATGATGAAGCTGCAATGACACAACAATGAGCGAGGCTGGGGTTTGACAGACGCAACAATAGAAAGACTTATCTGTATGCAAGTCCAGGTCAGATTTGTCATAGACAAGGCTCCAAACACTGACGACAAACTGACGGACATTCAAGCGCCGTCTCGTACTTCACTCCTGGAAACAGAGACTGACAGGCTTGATACACGGCATCAGAGAGCCGCATTTGCTCTCTAAGTGAACTGCTGGAGATTCCTTCACTTCTCCAGCCCACACCAACAACCATTTCTTTTTGCCACGCGGAAAGCGGAGTGGACGGGACCGAAAGATGATAGACAAGCTAGCGAGGAAAAGCAAAGGCAGCCGAGGACTAGACTAGATCGGGGCGGGCGAAAATTATTTACAACAACTCTGTCCTTGCGCGCTTCAGGTTTGGACTAAATCAACCTACAAGAGTGTCTACTGGACCGTATATATGAAATGACATCATCGTGTGACGCTGTCAAACGTCATAAAAGCGGTTGACGTCTTCGGTAGCCGTTCCACAGACTTCTAGACGGGAAAAAAAAGGGGGGTTAGCCGCGGTGGTATGGTGCCAAATCGCTTGTCACTTTGACACAATGAAGATATTCGATTCAGTCGATACCATGGCCGTCAACTTTCTTGTCCGACCTCTCAACTTTGTATCTATGTCTCAGGACGGAGTGTTGGTCCATCCAGCCCCTACCAGTTCCGTGGTGATGTTGAAAGGGCTATTTTTATCCAGATCAGAGGGTCACTGGAGCTTGAATAGGATCCACAAGAAGTTCAAAGGACTTTACTGGTGTTTCTTTTGTCCGAGAACTTCAACAACTCCGTCTGGTGTCTCCAAGATAGATTCTGGTGCTCTCCACGCCTATACATCTCCAAGTACTGTACACCACAAACACCTTCCGGGTGGTTGCTTACAGTTTCAATAGGCGACCGCTTGATTTCGGCAAATCTACACCTGCCAGCTACGCATATTGCAGGAAGCAGCATCATGGAATGGACTGTATAGCCATAAGACAAGAATGCTCTGGAGAAATCGTCCGATTTTGCTGCACTAAGACACCAATAAGTGCTGGCGAGTGTGGATTGCGATATTGAAGTGTTGACTCGAAGAGACAGCTGCCTGTCAAGTTGATTGTTAGCTCCTTGGCATACAGATGCAAGAAATGAGAGTGGCCATACGGCGGCAGTTAGCATAAGATACTACTTGTAGGAGAGAGCGCTCACCACCAGCTAAATTTAGGACCCTGGCTGTCTATTTACATTTTTGCACCCTGTTGGCTGCCTAGCTATGCGGCCAGTCAGCCCGCTGGACATGTGTTTGGCATGTGTTTGGCATGTGTTTGGTGCAGGGAGAACCGCGATGGTGACCGTCCAAGCAATTACCCGTTTGGACCAGAAGAGTAAAGAGCGACATTTGCAAAAGAAACGCGCTGAAAAAGCAACTCCAGCGATGAGGAACTGAGAGTCTGAAGTCTCTGGACGAGGAGTGGGAGGGGGGATGCCTTCTGTGGGTGCCGTACGTGTCTACCGAGAAGTTAACAACCCTCCTGTTGGTATAGTCTACAAACCTGGCGTATTTCAGTTCGAAATGTCTCGGGAACAGTTGTGTCAGATATTACACCTAGACAATACAATTGTGTGGGGGTTGTATGAGCGGAGCATTTTTCTTCTGGAACATGTCGATCCACTAGGCACGATATACAAGTGGAAATCACAGTAACCCCCGCCACTCCCTCCACTCTCCAATGTAACATATGTCGGATACCAGACACTATCGACACTCACTCGTATCGCTCTTGCACTTTCCAAACGTTACGTCTCCCTGATCATGCTCTGGCGATCAACCTTCTCCACCCGGGAGCCATGTCACGAGAACCAGTGCATAGCCATGGAGAAGTGACCAACTCATATGACAATACCTGTAAGCGCGACAGCGGCTAGACTTGGCCGTTTACACTCCTGTTTTAGCACCTCCAAACGCAGCTCCGAGACGTGGAATCTAGTGGGCCCAAAAACAAGTCTCTGTTAGTGGGTTGGTCGCCGTCTGCCTGCCCCGAGACCTCCTCACCTTGCTGTACACAGCAATTCACACCGCTCTCCTCCCGTCAGATTAGGTTGACAACTTTCATCTGCTTGTAAAATATTTCAATGATCGATCTCAGCCGAACCGTGACGGAACTACATGGCTGAAATGGCTGATCAAAAAGCGAATAAAATCCATCAAACCATTCCACCACCGCCTGTGTGTAGACAACACGTGGATGATTCGACGCAACCTGTCTCTTGTGGTTCCCCAGGTCTGTCTCAATTCTTTTTACCTCTCGGATCCCGCGCCAAGACTATGACGTAGGGCGGCTCTTGTGTACACGGTTGGCCCCCTCCTCCTCCTGCGCTCCATGCAGCTTCCTAAAATGGACATGCTCACTTGTCTGCATTTGGAGGTAAGTATTTATGCACAAGGGGGGAGTGTTGATATATCATAAAGTCTAATCTTATTTATTTACGCGTCATGTGCGTCACAACAATCACCATTGTGCAAATTTAAGAAATCAGACCACTTTCATCTGGAAAAATGCAAAAGCGAAAAACCAGAGATAGAGAAAGGGTGAAGAAAAAAAAAAAGGCGAAAAAAGGTGAATTCTTGCTGGTGCTAAAATTCGTAGATCTACGGGGGTCCAGAGGAGTGATGAAGTGAAGACGAAAGTCTCGGTCCAGATACCGGTTGCTCATACAAGTACCGTACGAGTACCGTATGAGTACTCGTAAACGCACACAAAGAGACAATTCAATACAATGCAAACAATAGCTGTCATATCCAAGAGTAAGATAAGATAACCACTGCGAAAGTATCTGTATCTACATTTCAACCGATTCAATTGGCTCTTTTTCATGTACCAGTACAAACGAGTACCATAAGAGTACAATCCGAGTCAGAGAACCCCTACAGACATGTAGACACACAAAGATGATCCTCCGACCGCTTTTCGGAGTCTGTATGTTCGTCTGTATGCTCGTCTGTGTGTTGTTCACTCACTCGTTCACTCACTCGTTCATGCGGTGAGAGAGTCGTGCATACTCGCAGAGTTGCATTGGTAGGTGGCTTGTGGTTGGTTCGTCTTTAGAGCAGCGAAGGTGTTTGTAGGGTGTGTTGAAGGTGGTCGAGTGAGTTATCATCTTGTTTCTGGCTCCCGAGTCGTTTGGAGTGGTTTCTATTGGACTGACAAGTGCTGTATAAGTAGTATTGGTATTATTGCAACTTTTCACTGTTGAAACTGTTGATACTGACGATACTGGAACTATCGGTACGGCTCTGAACCTGTTTACCGATACTTGTGTCCACCGTTGATACTACTACATTGTAGGAACATCACTGCTCAACCTCCCGGGCCAAAGCTCGGCTTATTCAATCCATCTCGGCCAGAACCTCGACACCATCAAGTCGAACCAATGCCACAATGCAAACCCTTACTCAGGGCCACTTTGCATGTGCCCAGCAGTGCAAGATACCGACTTTTTGCGTGGCAAAGTGGTGGGGCCCGGAGTGTCCATGCACCGAAGAGCAAGAAACAAACAAAAGGACGTTTCATATATGTGGGGTGGAGGACCAGTCACGCTGGGCAGAACTAGGCAGAACTGGGCGACTGGGCAGGATTGGACATGACTGGATACGATGGAGGGCTGCAAGTAGGACCACCGCTGGGTTCAGCTCATGCTGCACTTTGGCTCCACAAAACCGTGTCATTGCCTCCTGGAACACCTTACATGACACCCTGGCGGTCGTTTCTTTTTTGATCGCTTTGCAATCTGCTCAAGATTTCTGCTTGTCCAGGTCCTGGAGGTCCCCACGGTGAAAGCCCTCTGATGGCTTGCTGATATCGAAAAAGACAAATAAGGTTTTAAGACAATGTTTGCAAATAAGGTTCGACACATGGATTTCTTTGTGGCCATAATAAACTCTAGGTTTGACTAATATACTTTTCAGAAACTCGATATATAGAGTTTCGACTAGAACAATGTATTTGCATGTCTTTGTTTGCTCAAAATGGCACATTAGCTTCGACGCTAGGGTGGATTGCGGGAAAATGGAACACTGGGCAAATAGAGGTAGCCGGGGGCCTGGAGAGAGATCCAGTTGATTTTACCCCCAAAAAACAGTCCTAAAACCGCTCTCAAAACGCCCCCACGTGTCCCCGCGGGCCCCTACACAGCCCAAACAACACAGGGGTTCTGCATGTGAGCGGCATCTAGAAAAAAAGCAGACTTTTGGCTGCAAACCCTAACCGTATTTTGGGTGTCAGGCACGCCAGATAATAACAAGCAGTTGAACAAGGACATTGGACAGATTAAACAAGCCGCATGGGTCTAAGACGGGAAGCCATTCTTCGCAAAGTCAAAATTCCCCAGTCTCCAAACTAATATATATTGCTGTTCCCCATGGAGGTTGGCGGTCATATCATCCACCCTCTTGTTCTTTTAGCCGTCAGCGGTCCCTCAGCCTCTTTCCCGCGCCCCCGTGTCTCGTCTTGCTCACCCCGTCTGTCGACAAGGACCGAGTGAACAGTGCCACCACCTCCTCCCCGTGAGCTTCATTTCCAGAATGATTGCTTCGGCCACTCCTCGACCCGAACGTTACGTCCTGTCGCCCGTGTCGCCTCATGCCAAGGTCGAAATGTCCAAAAATGACCCTTCTTCATTCTACAAATCCGAGGTGCGACTTCCGCCAATGCGGGTTCTGGACACCCAGCCATCCCAGCTGCCAGTGAACATTCCGCCATTGAACTATACCCCGTTTGACAGTGCCAGTGCGAGTGTCAGTGCAAACGCCAACTCAAACGCCAATGTAAACGCCAATGGAAACGCCAGTGTTGGAAACACCCCCAATCCTGTTCCCCACAGTCTGCCCCCACCGGCTCCAACACACTCCATGTCTTCCACGCCCATCTCCACCCCGGCGCCCATTTCTACCACTCCTATTCCTCATCTTCACTCGCAGGCTCCCACTCCACAGCCTGTTCAGCAGCAGTCTGTTCAATCTGTTCAACCTGTTCAACCTGTTCAGCACCAGCACCAGCACCAGCACCAGCACCAGCACCAGCCCCAACATGTCCAGCATATGCCGCTGAACCAACCTCCTCTTCTTCACCAACCAACTCCCCTCCCCCCTCCCCCCCAGCATAATACAACCCCCCAGCCTTATGGCCACCCCATTCCTCCCCCCATGCCCATGACCCACCCCATGATGCCTCCCTACTACACGCCCTTCTCGGGCCAGGACTTCAAGCGCAAGACGTTCGAGTCCAAGGACACGGCCTCCCACATGTACCAGATGATCTCGCAACTGGAGACCTTTGTGCAGAACCACGGTGGAGACATGCGGAACATGGCCCACGCCGCCTCGTCCCCACACTCACCTCTGCCCTCCATCGACGCACTCAACGCCATGATCCTGCGGCTCAGAAGCTGCTCGGCCATCTTTGACGAGTGGAGAGACAATGTGGTGGCTATCCACCAGGCCGCCGCCTCGTCCCAGACCACAAATGCCCAGTACCCTCCCAAAACCACCCCTCCCGCCTCGCCGCTCTTCATTAACACAAACACCAAGCGAAAGCGCAAACGATCTCGATCCGACGCCTCTACCACGGTCTGTAGAGGCTGTGGAACCACCGAGACTCCAGAGTGGAGAAAGGGTCCCGAGGGAGCACGAACCCTGTGCAATGCCTGTGGACTATACCATGCCAAGCTGGCCAAGCGAAAAGGTATCAATGTTGCCGGAGAAGCCATTCGTCAGAAGCGAATGCGAACTAATTTGAGCGAGTAGGTCGGCACACGGAAGACTTTGTCACGACACCCGCAAGAGACACTAGACTGTCATGTATTTATTGTATAATAGCATCATCATTGAGCATATTGTGGTACGAGTAGTAGTATTGTCGGTTTGTGGGTAGGAGAAGATGAATGGAAAGGCGGTTCTGGAATGTAGTTGGAGTTTGGTTGGAAGAATGGAGACGCTCTGTTTAGCTCAATTTTGGAGGTGATTGTTGAAAAATTAGACCGGTTGGTCAGACAGCGGATAGAAATGTCGTCTATGAGTTTCAGCCTGTTATGGCATCCACAAAGGCACTTTTGTGCAATTGCGCAACGAGGAGAGCTGACATCAACACGAAATCTTAAGATAATAGTGTGTTGATGTTATTTGAGGGGGCTGGAGATACTCTGAGACCTTTTCTGAGACCGGTTTCTGAGCGAAATGAGGTTTTTTTTGGTACCACTAGGTTCGGGACGATCTTCTGAGTTGTTCCTAGAGGGGCCAAACTTGACATTCGAGGGGGTCCCTATCGCACCACTTCGTGTGTATCCATGCTGGACCCAAAGGAGCATTTTTGACAGACAAAACGGCTTACAAACTAAACAGTATCATGACCAACACGGTTCGTTGCTATGATAAATGTTGTATTGTCGGGTTTTATGGCGTATTGTTTCACTTATAGATTTGTTGGTGGGCTTTTCTCAGACTTGGCTATTAAGCAGCCATTTATAGGTGGGAAAGAAAAAAACCAAAGCTATGTGAATACAGACGATTCATTTATATCCAGTCAGTCAGACTTGTTTCCTCCCTGAGATGTCTCACAACAGTATTCGTGCTATCTACAGGTGGCTAGAGCCTCCCAGACCACTACCAAACGACGACGGAAAAACCGCTAGTCAACCTGCACAGTCTCAAACCCAACCGTGCCCCTAGATTTGGCTGCCTGATCTGGCAAGTACTAGTTTCAGATGTCTTTTCTATGTTCCGCTAACTTGTGGGGGATAGATAGATTGCACTAACTCTAGCTAGCGTAGCACTAGAAGGTGGTATCTGCCACAGTGCAGTACCAAGAGCTTGGATCTGTTCGATCGGAGATGCCTAGGTGACAGATAAGGAGTTGACAGCGTTCCTGTCGACATGTGGTCCGTACAGGCGTCAGCAGGCGGCATTCCGGTAAAAAACACTCAATAAGCCCCGTAGAGCCTTCAGTCAATCAGTTGGACCTATTCATCTCACTGACCGACAAGTACTCGCACCCGTATGTACTACTCTGTCAACTTTTCAGTGTGTCTCCGCAACCCCTCCTCTTAACCATCCCTGCATCCGACCCTGTCGATAAATCCATAGTATCAAGCCACTGGTCCACGCTAGCTCATCATAGCAGCAAGCAACCCTCCAACCCGACTATCACATGGTCTTGGTGGGTCGTGACAGCCAGCTATAGCCACAACTCCAGCCAAACAACAACCGCAACCTGGCCCATAGTTGGCTACAGTTCAAGTCATGCTGCTTCTTGTGTCACAAACATCTACTGTACAGTACCTGTATAAGCACCCTTTCACCGTCGTATATAAAGAAACAGTAGCCGCCAGCTGCCTTGTTTCCCCTACAGCACAAAGACAGACGTAACCGCCTCCACCTTTCCAGTAGCTCCGTTCGCTATAACGCTACCGGAGTGGGTGGAGGGTCTAAAAGCCATCAGCTGCGCTTTGTCAACGCATCTCCGATCGATATCTCTCATTGGCCTCAAGCATTCCACCACACACACCGTCTAATCGGTGCCATTGAAAAGACATCAACATCCTGCAGTAATTAAGTATGTACTACGTAGTTTAGTTACCTTTTTGTTGAGCATAATACATAAAAACAAACACGTCCAATTCTGATTAGAACCCGGTTCCGGGACGCGATGATCTCCCGAATCACGTGGAGCTGCTTGTACCGGAACCAAACCTCCACCCACACCTCGCTCGTCCTCCTTTGATCCCTACACTACTCTCAACCATTCAAATGTATGTCTAATAATAATTTCCCTACTTGGACTCCTCAGCGTCAGCGGCAGCGGCGGCGGCGGCGGCGGCAGCGGCAGCCTTGGCCTGCTCGATCTTCTCGGCCTTGAGCTTGTCCATGGCCTTGACTCGTCGCTGGAAATCGGCCACCTCACACATCTCGTACTCATGTCGCTCGTGGCCACAGGCCCAGGGCATGTAATAATTCTTCTTTCGGCACTCGTTGAGGGGGACAAGGAGGGCGGCACACCGGTCTCGGTATGCCAGAAGAATCTTGTGCTTCTTCATGTCCTCCTGGGAGACTGGGTTAGTAGGTGAGGGGAGAGAGACGACATTGGACAGAATTCTGGAGCACCGTTGAGTAGAGTCACAAATGTTTGAATGTGGTAAACTAGTGGAACCAACAGTGAGCGCTTGTTTCCACTATTGCCGGGTTCACCATGTGATATGTATGACGCAAAGAAAGTATCAGATCACACTATCAATGGACCATAAGCACAACCACACACTTTCCATGACATATCCACATAACTACCATTGCCACATGTCACATTCTCCAGACACAGACTCACGTCTTTATGATATCCTTGGGTCAGGTCGATGTTTCCAATCCAACCAACGTCTCTGGATTTGGCACTTTGTCTCTGAATTTGGCACTGGTCTCTGAATTGGCACTGGTCTCTGAATTGGCACTTTGTCTCTGAATTGGCATTGTGTTTCCGAATCGGCTGTGTGTCTCCGAATCCATTGTGTGTCACCAAACTGACACGGTGTTTGTGCCTCTCAATCGACACGTTCTCCATGGACCGAATCAGGTGTCTTTGGTCATATCGATATCAAGTCTGCGTCCTTCGTTTGTTCGCCATTGTGTGTGCTTAAATTCGTGTCTGAAAGCGTCTTCAAGAGCCGTTTTTGACACGCCATACTGTCGCTTCACGCCGCCCAGCAATCACTTCACTTTAGTACTCACGAAGAGGAGGGAATTCAGCCATTTTGGATGTGTCGTTATGTGCTTTTGGAGGTCTGGACGTAGTGTAGGGAGAATCTATGTGGAGGTTTAGGGTTTGGGCTCGAATCCGCCAATCAGAGTGCACATAAGGGTAATCACACATAATGGGGTGAGACGTGAATATGGGCCCTGTAACGAGCCCAACAAGGAGTTTGATGGCGTCGGGATATTCGATTGAATGGGTTGTATTTAGAAACGTCACAGGTTATGACCTTGACAGATGAGTTACCCGGGTGAACAGTTAACAACTCTATTGAATGCTCGAAGAACAGAGATTCGGAATGGCTCATCTGGAAGCTGGAATCTTGAAGAATGGAACCGGTTTGTCCGTTTGTTTCTACGACCAAACTTGACGGAGAAGACCGCTGCAGTACATACGACTACACTGTACAGAGTCCATGAAACGCCATAGAAGCGGCAATACTCGAGCTGCAGATATACGACAGGAAAAAAACGTGTCGGTAGCTGCTTGTATACCTCAACACCATCTTTTTAGTGCATGGTCCAACCAACGACCAACTGATCAACTCGCGGAGATGGCGGACTCCTTCCACTCAGTGACTGATCTCGGCGGCAAAAAGACAGCACTCGGTCAACGTAAGACATGCCGCAGTTTGACAGGTCTTGATTTGGTCTTTTAGCGAGAGATAGTGTGAAGCGCGGAGTACTCGGGAGAAGTTAGCCCGAGTCAACCAATCATGGTCCAGGGTAGAGTCCAACAGGGCTTCACGCTCGATTTTCGTACTCGTACTCATCCTCATACTTGTATCGACAAATAAGCTGAGTTGTCGTCGCCAAACTACCCTACCCTGTCCATGCTTGTTGCACCTCGATCATCTGTCTCTTTTGGCGGGTGAGACATTTGAGAATGTAAGGATGGTTGGTTGAGACAGAGCTATTGGACGAAACCAACGGTGCCGTTTAGCCCGTTGAGAGCCTCCAGAACGGGTGAACGAGCTCTTCGCCATGGCTAGCGAGTCCGATCTTTCCGCCTTCTCCGCGTCCCATCTTTGCTCCGCTTTCTTCCGCCCAGTGACAAGACGCTCTCAGGATCTCGATCGACACCTGGAGGAGATCTGCACGTCAATCTGCGACTGGGGTGCGCACAATTAGAGCTTTGTGTGTGGATCGAAATTAATTTCTAGGGTGGCGCGCAGGACAATGGAGGCTGCTCGGTTGAGCGATCCAACAATAGAAGTTTGCAACCTTGAGTTGCGGGTGGGGAACTGTATATTGCGGGCGTGGATTGGCTCTCAACTCTGAGTCAATGGCGACAGGGAGGGAATAGCGCCAAAGCCTGGTTGGAGCTCTTATTACAAACGTTACAGCCGTGCCGTGTGGTGAGAGAGTTGGTGTGAAGGAGTGAGTGAGAGTGGGAGTGCAAGTGGGAGTGGGAGTGAAGTGGAGTAGAGTGAAGTGAAGAGTGGGGGCAAGAGTGAAGATGGGGGAAGAGTGAAGAGTGGGGGCAAGAGTAAGATGGGAGGAAGAGACACTACTCAAGAGACACCACTCACTATCACTCACTATCACTCACTACTTGTACCACCCCTACACCCCAGCATATATCTACGTCCACTCGCATTGCTGGATCGACTAATCTCTAGCCTCCGACATCTCCATCTGTATCTCGATCAACAGATAGGCTCCAGCCCAACAGGCATGTCTGCAAAAAGAAACGTTGATGACGTGGAGGGGCCAGGCCTGACGGGCGACCCATGTTGACGGCGTGATCACCTACCGTACGGGCGATGTCGGTATAAAACCTCCCCTGTCTCTGACGTCACCAACACTCTTCACCCGCCCAGAAAAACAACGTCCAAAAGCAACAGATCCAAGTGAGCCCAATAGATCCGAAAGGTCCACGCTCATAAACCCATTGTATGCAAGGTTGGCTCAAGCGGCGGTGTGGGCCTACTACCACCACTAGGTTTGACCAGCCAGCAGAACAATGAGGTATTTATCCAGATGTGCCGATGTTGGCTTTTTTTGTATTTTGTTTTTTCCCTAAGCAAAACAGCTCGCGAGAATCCAAGGTTAGCCTTTTTGTGGGCGCCAACACAAAGAGTGGATTGTATGTGAGACATTCCTAATTCGGCCGCTGGTATTATCTGCAATATAAGCGAAAAGTGCAACCTACCAACCTCCACGACAATGCGCGTAAAAAATGGTAAAAATGGTAAAAATTGTAAAAATTGTATAAAAGGGCAAAAAGGGCAAAAAGGGCAAAAAGGACAAAAGGACAAAAGGACAAAAGGTCAAAAGGACAAAAGGACAAAAGGAGAGTCCCGGGCCCTACAAAGAAAAGGTAAATCGCCGTCAATGTTATTGTTTCGAGCGTTAATTATCCCCCGCCTCCTCCCCACCACCCCACCGGCTGTCCAAAAGCTGACCTATAGCCCGAGTCACCTGCCCTATAAATTTCGGCCAGTATTATCCGACCGTATCGTGTCAAGTGCAAGTAGGCGCGGTACTAATTATACTGTATATCACTACTGTACTGTTCTTGACAGACCTCCTAAATGGTCCAAAACAATGCACATCTGCAGAGAAGAGGATTGCCATTACATGGAAGGCGAGCAAGGAGATGATTGATCGCAAGTTCCCATAGCAAGAGATTTGCAGGGGCCTAACGCAGATGAGGTTTCCCCCAATCAGATCCACGTGAACGAACAAACAGAGGTACAGTACCACCGGTCCCAGACGTGTACAGTCGGCTCGCTGCAAATCTCAATGTGCTTGTGGAGAAAAAAGCAATAGCAAGATCTGCTATTGCCTAAGCGAGAAGTATAGCTGACTGAGTGGATTTACTCTGTGCTACTGCACTACTTGTAGTAGGCCGGTGTCACATGGAGAACTCTCACCATGTACATCCATACGATACTCATGGTTGGGTTGGATCGCCAGTGTGTTAGGTATCGCACAGACTCAGCCTGGATATCTCCTTTCACATGACCTTGAACAAAAGCTCAACTCAGAGTTACAAATACTGAGAAGAAAGACTCTCTCTCTTGTATCCACATGTACGATCCACCGTACAGCACATTCTTCCTCGATAACACAGCCTGGGTTCCCACCACAACGTCACTTTGCTTTGTATCATGTCTCGGATTTGCTTTTGCCTTCCACTGGTCTCTGAAGTCGTTTCTTTTGACTAAAGACTATACCGAATCGAATAGGAAGACAAGAGTTCACAGACTTGGTAAGCCTGTCCTATAGCAACCTGGCAGAAAACAGAATTGATCTCCATAACACTGCTAAACACTGTTGACCCGTTAGATGGTTCTCTCCACCTCATAGCTTTTTCCCTGAGACCTCAACTGTAGCTCCAGGTGGGGTGCGTATACTCACCTCCGTGGACAATTTTCAAAGCTAGTTTGTTCTTTTGCTTATCGATTATTTACACGGGGAGAGGCGGGGGAGCGCTCACAAAATACAGCATCTCTCCCGATCGGGCTACACGGCTTCCCTGAAACAGAGATACCCTTGCTTCCCTGGCATCTTCATAGATCTGATACAGTCGATGACATGCTTGTTTGGTTCGGACCGACGCATGTTGGTCGGAGATATCAGGCCATTTTTTGGGCCTAGAGCATGATACAAACAGTGGAACATTTTATTTGAACACTGTATAGTATTCGGCAGCTTATCTTGTGTTTTTAGCGCTTTTTTTCTGTCGATTTTTGGCCAACATTTTTATTTTTTTCACAATCTCGAAAATTCCAAATGTCCACTCTTTCTTTTCATATGGAGCTCTGTCTGTAACGTAAGAATGTGAATACGACCCTTCACAGGCTCAATGACCTCTTTTAGTCCACACAGATTGTCTCTGTACGAGTTGGTTTAGTCATTTTTCGCGTATTACTCACTAGCTGAGACACATCTTCTGCTAGCGACGAATGGACACAACACAGCTTGGTGCGCTCAGAGAGATGCGATAACTTGAGAAAGATGATTGGAGATGAAGGTAGCTCATGGAGAGCCCAAAAATGGACTCTTGAGACGACTCCGCGTGTCTGAATGATGGCAACATGACTTTTGATGGCAAATCACAGTCCCACAATTAAAACGTGAGTGCGGAGGTTTCAGAGAGTGCGGAGAAGAAATTGAAGTTGATGGATAAAGCGGGAAGATTGATTGGATGGTTTTAGCCAGCTTCAATTGTGTGTCTTCAGATCACTCTTTTACTGGTTGTTTTCCCACAAACAATCTGATGACTAATAGGAGAGAACTCCCATGATGAGTACACACCAGTTGAGAAAGCTAACAAACTCAACGATGCCCTCTCCCTTCTGTTATTTCCTTCCACGTGTCTTCTGAACCAGGGCTGCTTTCTTGCACTTTTCGGCTTGCATCATCGTCTTACTAAGCAGTCTTGGTTAAGCACCCCGGTCAAGCATCCTGGTCACGTGTGCCCCTGCCTCTCTCTCGTCGGCTATCGGTCCCGCCCGCCACACTAACTTGCTGGCGGAAGTTTCCCATTGTACGGATCGGCGCAGTTTATTGTTTGATTTAACGCTCGCTTCCGAGGCAGCCATTTTGGACACTTCAGGGGTCTTCATTTTGTGTTTGCTGTCAAGAGGACAAAGACCGTGGATAGGTGGTGGTGGTGTTGGTTTGATTTGAATCATAGAAATTGGATTGTCCAAGGTGATTTTCACCCCAATTTCTCTTCTCGACAATCAAATTTTCAAAAAAAAAAAAAAAAAAAAAAAAAAAAAAAAAAAGCAATTAAGTCTCTAATAGCAGTATTGTACATACAGGGCTACGGGGCATAGGCCTGGGTACAAGTATAATACGTCCATTGCGTTCGATATAGCCATTGTGGCAGTTCTTTTTACAGCACTATTGATTGCATGAACCGAAACATATTCACCAAGACCATGCTGAATACAGCGTACAAGTACACATGATCCCCAGTTTCTATCGTCGCCCTTGTCCACCTTACAATGACCCTTTTGTCTGAGAGCGCCCTGAATATGAAAC